TTCGTCCAAAATAGGAACATAGATTTCAGAAAAATCAACCCTCTCAAATCTAACTTGATGTTATGGAAATGATACAACAAATGAGTCAAATGATGTAAGAAACTATGAATCAAATAATGTTACATCATAAATAAATTATAAAGGCTTTTGAGAATAGGGGAGAAGAGGGACAACCACTCAGTGAGCCCATAGAAAATTTAAGAAATTGTCTAATAGTAGGATTTCAGTAAGGAGAGTCTAGCTGGATAAATTTAAGAAAAAACCCACGAAATGAAAATATTAGGATAGTGAATACATTGAGTGAGAATATTTTACATGATCATTATTTCTAATTATTAGAAGAAATCAATGAGCCATTAGAAGTAAATGAGAATATTAAGGTTGAAAATATAATAGCAGAAAATTTGAATAAAATTATTTATTGCTCACAATTGATGAATGAATATAATGAAGATGATGAGGAGAAAGAGCCCTTAGATGAAGAAATAACATCTGATCATGGAATAATCATCTAAATTTTAGTAGAAGGGAGTAAGGACAGAAATGAAGAAAAATATATTTCAGGTGAGGAAAAATCAATTGATTTAAGAGATGTAGGAGACAAAATTAATAAATATAATCATAATTTTGTAGCCATAGATGTTGATAGTGAAGATAATAATGTATATCATATACCGAAATTAAAAGATAACTCTTGGAAAGATGAAGAATTTGATGAGTTGAGAAATGAAAAGCTAGAAAAAGAGTTGATTCAACTAATGGGAAGAAACGAAAATAATGAATATGAATATAGGGATAATTTTGGAGGAGAAAATTTGAATTTTATTAAATTCATTAGATCTGAGATTAAAGAAGACAATCCTTCCATTCTTCAAAACCCACAACCCATTAGAATTATTTCTAAGCTTGAAATATTTCACTCCTCGTAAATTGAACAAATATGTATGAAAGATAAAATAGAGTAGGGAAAGATTATGTAGATAAAATAACACATTAGGAAATGGGTGAGTGGAAGAATTAGAGATATCAATTTAGATGAAAAAATTCTAGATTGGGTAAGAGCTAATTTGAAAATTATATGACTTGATTACATTTTATGGTCTATTAATATAAAGTATTTATTAATGAATGAGAACCTTACAATACAAGATAGAAATGAGGAAAGATTCTTTTCAAAATAAAAATATTATTTTTAGGAAAATTTTGTTAATTTTTTTTTTCTGAAAGTATATCAAGGTATATATGTGAAGTATATGAATTTATGCTAAATCTGAAAAAGAATATCATGAAACTTACCTTAGGATACAAATATATTTTGATGGCCATAGATCATCTTATATGATCTAAGAGTTGTCCAACTGAAGACATTAAATTCAACGTTGCATGGAAGGCAACTCATGGTTTTTATTTCATTCTATTTGATTTTTTTTAAGCTCTATTTTTCTTAGAATTTTGCAGTACTTGTTTCTGTATTTGTTTTTTTTCAAAAAAGTATAAGAGGAATGTAAGATGAAGTGAAAAATTAAAAACGAGGTGAGGTGATGCCTTTCTGAGCTTTATCATTTATGACAATATTTTTAATGCTTAACTTTGCATATATGTATGCTTCACTTGAAAATTATATTTTCTACATATTCTATTTCGATTTTTCTATGTCATTGAGGACAATGTCATTTTTAAGTTGGGGGGTGAAGTATTAATTACTGATTTATACTATAGGACGATTAAGAACATGTGTTTACATTTTATTTTTTTATTTTTTTATACTCACTTAGAACAGCAACTAAAAAAATAGAAATAAAATAAATTTCGAAAAAACTACAACATTTATTTTCTGATTTTCTATTAGAAACAACAAACTGTCAAAAATAGCAAATAAAAAACAACCCAAAATTTGAAATTCTAGAGATCCTTTTCTCACATTTCAATCCCCTAAAGATATATTACTGAAATTTGAAATTACAGTTATAAAGAGGATAGTTTTGATTTATTTTTGACAAATTTATTGTTGCTAAAAATAAAATTGAAAATAGAAAATAGAACTATCAGAACTATCTAATTTACGAATTTCTTATATCATATTGCATGCATGAAAAATTAAATAAATTAGATTGATTGATACCAAAAGATACTAGGAAGATTATTATTGAGTCAAAAGAATGATCTAGTAGCATAAAATATTGGAATACTCCTTGGATACATGATAGATAACATGGATTTGATTTTACAAATTTTTACTTCATGATCTTGATAGATAGTATTTACTTAATGTGAAAATTTAATTGATCATTTGAGTTTAATGGAGATTTTTACACCTTGATCTATAGGACTTGTGAGGAAAAATCACTTATTTCGAAAAAAAAAGAAGAAGAGAATAATGTAAAAAATCTAGAAACAAAGAGTACACATGGAGGGTGTGAGACATCATTGTCATTGTCAAAAATCGTACATAGAAAAACATTTGCTACAAAATAAGTGGATAAAGTGAAAGCCCTGAAAATGAAGAGTATACATAGAGGGCATAAGATATCATTCTTAATGTCAAAATTTGTCTACAGGAAAAGTTACTTATCTACTATATATATATAAAAAGGAAAAAATATAATACAAATTTTAAAATTTAAGTTATGGAAAAAGTGAAATATAGGATCAATATTATTCTTGAATGAGTATTGATAATTGGAACATCTTGTAAATATATCTATGAGTGAAAAAGTGATAAAGATATGAATAGAAAAGTGAAGTCTACATTATTATTCCAAGGAGTGCTTAAACATTTAAGTGCTTGACATCATTCTTAAATACTTGATATAAGAATCTAAAGTGTCTAAAGGTGCATCATTTCTAATTGTATTTTTTATTTATGTATTGAAATATAATGTTTGAAATTTGTAAATTTTTACTTTCGTAATTCCATTGCTAAGGGACTAGTAATGATTTAAGTTGGGGGGTATGATAAGCCTTCATTATCATGAGTTAATAATTAGTAAATAATATAGTTTTAGTCTTAACTCATGATAAATACACTTATATTTGTATTAAAGTGTGAAAAGTGATTTTCAGTTGATTAACTTGAATTTTTGACTAATTATGTGATTGTCTACAAATTTATATAATTTTTATAGTCTTATAACACCTACTATAGTTTTGGCTGATCTCATAGATCTCCAAGATCTCTTCAAGTAAGCCGCCCTCTTCCTCTCTCATACTTGGAAGCGCCCCGCATTTGGGCAAAAGATGGATTGCCGTAGGAATGTACCTACTCACCCGCTTCATTTTTCATATGATCTGAACATTGGAATGTGATGCTGTCTTCGAAACAGTCCATCGGGGTCGCTCTTCTGTTTTTTTTAATCAGAAGTACCCAGTGAATCCGAGAATTACTTGTTGGGATTTCCTGATAGTAAATATTAAATTTGTTTTTATTGTATCATTTGGACATCAAAATTCTCTCAACCTGTAAAACCAGTCGAGCAGAGGGGGGCTTCATGCAGGCCATGCCCAGCATCATCCCCGTGATCTTCTGACATTCGCCCCCCTTCATGGGTCCTTCCTTCACTGGCTGAGCTGTGACGATTTAGTTATCTGTCGCCGGGAACTCGCCTATCGAGATGGCCCATATCCTGTTGCTCGCCTCCGTCGTCGCGCTCGCTGCGGCGTGTGGTGACGTCGCCTCGGCACAGGGTCCCTCGCCGGCGACGGCAACCGACTGCGACGCAGTGGTTCATGCCCGCCTGCTCCCGTGCCTGACGTACGTGCAGGCCGGGAGCAACCTGACAAGGCCCGAAAAAGGGTGCTGCCGGGGGCTTTCATCAGCCGCGCAAGACGACCTTGATGAGCCGGCGAACTTCATTTGTGACCGGGAGCAAAGTCCGGAAAGCTCCTATGATTCTCCGTCGCGGTGTCTCTGCGCGTTCCTGTCCGCAAGGTCAACCTGTTGCTGCCTACCGTCTGCAACACGATGGCGCCTCCGCCAAGCCTGTGCCCGTGTAAGTTTTTATTCTCCGCCTCCCTCATCTACTCAGAGCTTCTCCTACCGGCGATTAGATTGTTCCTCCCCCTCCCGGATCTTTGATATTTGTAGCGTTGTTCTACCACGCAAAGGCGTTGCCATTGATTTCAACCACGGTGCCTAGTATTCTTCTTTCCAGTTCTCGGGACCCCCCACAGGAGTCCGGTGGGCTCGCCCGCCGCCGCTGCGCCGGCGGGGTCTGCCACGACGCCCGACGTCGCCAACCCTCCGGGCGACGAGCCCGCTGCTGCCGGCCCCCGGACCGGGAACGACGCATATCCGAGCTCCAGACGCTCCTCCACCCTGGCGCTCCTCGCGGCCACCTGCTTCGCCATCGCTCCCGCTCTCTAGCCTAGATTCCACCGTCCGCCCCTCAGGTGATAACGCCATCACACTCGGGGAAGAACGACCGTCCTTGAAAATTCCAGATCGTGTAGGTTCAATTTCGATCAAACTGTCAGTAAAACTTGAAAAGAAAATCTGCTTTTCGAAGTTTGACTTCGGGGTTTTGCGATCGACGACATTTGTCAGAACCCGCCGCCACATCCTATACGTGAATCTTAGTCCATACGGCCCAGTAACGGCCGGGGATGACGCAGACATGGCAGCTGTCAGTCTCCTCCGGTCGGTACCCTCTTCCCTTCTTCGTCCTCGCGGAGGTAGAAGACGATCTCTGGAGCAATGACTGCTGACACAGACCACTCTTTTTTCCACGCGAGATGGGGATGGCGACTGTGCCGTGCCATTCAGGAAGGAGGGGCTTCCGACCCCGTGACCAGAGCAAGCCAGCCTGCCCAGGCTCTTTATTGCCGTCCCGCCCGACAGCGGTCTGCCAGTCTTCCTACGCCGCCTCCCCACACCAAATTGCTCCTGTCTCCCGGCTGCCTCAACGTAGTTATAAAATCCCCTGCTCGGAAGCTGTTTGTCCCTGTTTTCTCTCACCTAGGCTTCCCAACGGCGGCGGTGGATGCCTGGAGCAGGTCTGAAGATGGACCGGATGGTGTTGTTTGTGGCGTTCCTGATTCTGATGGCGGCTTTCAGCGGCGGCGCCTGGGCTCAGACGCCCCCAACGGAAGCTCCCACGGGAGATGACCCCTGCTTCACGGCTGTCTTGGACAACCTTTTACCCTGCGTGGACTTCCTGGATCCCGACGGAAACCAGACGAAGCCCTCCAAGGAGTGCTGCAAAGGCCTCGAGGATTTCTTGAAACGCAACCGCACATGCATCACCTTTCTCATCAACGTCAAACCGGACGACTTCCCCGTCCCTGTCGACCAGAGGAAGGCCCTCAATCTCCCCGGTGTCTGCAGTGCGAGTATCCCTCAGCTTGACCATTGTTTCCTTCATTTCATTTTTTCCTTCTACTCTCTTTCCCTGTGTTCTAGCGCAGTATTATTTGGTTTTCCAGGTTACAATTCAGCCGCCCCCTCCCCCGCCTCTTCTCCCCCAAAGAAGGCCCCATCTGCTCCCCCGCCCTCGCCTCAGACGCCCCCAACGGAGGCCCCCACGGGAGATGACCCCTGCTTCACGGCTGTCTTGGACAACCTTTTACCCTGCTTGGCCTTCTTGGATCCCGACGGGAACCAGACGAAGCCCTCCAAGGAGTGCTGCAAAGGCCTCGAGGATTTCTTGGAACGCAACCGCACATGCATCACCTTTCTCATCAACGTCAAACCGGACGACTTCCCCGTCCCTGTCGACCAGAGGAAGGCCCTCAATCTCCCCGGTGTCTGCAGTGCGAGTATCCCTAGCTTGACCATTGTTTCCTTCATTTCATTTTTTCCTTCTACTCTCTTTCCCTGTGTTTTAGCGCAGTATTATTTGGTTTTCCAGGTTACAATTTTACTATCAAAAGTCGAAATGGGCCGTCAGTTGAAAACGACAGTTGGGTTAAGAAGTGCAGTCGGAGAGGAGCTGCGAGCAGGGGCTCAGGCAGCTAAGACCAATGGGGGCACGTGTGCGCCACTCCCCTTCTACATCATAGGTGGCTAGTTGACTGTGGGGCAAAGAGTGCTCGTACACGCGGAAGAAATAGACTTACTTTCAAATGTAATATTACTATATATTTACCCAAAACTTCAACATACAAGTAATGTGGGATTAAACTCGTGTCACACATTCCTCAGAAAGCTTCGATAATTTTAATACCTACAATATCTCTTATTTATAATAGAGATATATCATGATGATGTCATTTGATAAAGGCATTAGAATATTTATTTCAATCTCTCCAATACATATAGACAACCGGCGTGGGTTCGAATCCTCCTAGAGCTAAAACTCATATTTTTTATCTGATTATCACGACTTTCCTGTAGATCGCCAGTGAAAGATTAAGCTATTAGAATTACTAGATCACTGGCGAAAATCTCGTCAATACGATTCGCGGAGTATTGTTACTAAAATTATTAAACGATTTACAATAAAAGGATCGTGAATCCATCAAGTAAAGCATCTCCGATTGATTGATGAATAAACTGTTGTCAGGAAGAGGACGATCCGTTGAGAGACGAGTCACCACCTCCTAAGAGCGTAGCGGATGCGATGAAGAGCCTCCTCTAACTGCGCGGACCTGAAGATGAAGCTCCCTGACATGCACCCCACCTCCATCTAGCTCCTCTTCGTCGGGTAACAGCCGCCGAAGAGCTGCAAAGTCGTTGTTTTTCCGCTCTGTTAGGTGACACTCGTCGGAGACAATTCGACGACCCATTTCATTGATCTCTAGACTTCGCAATGAGATTTAGAGATTGTCCACGTCGTTTTTGTCCAAAGAGAGCCTTCGAGGTCATGAACACTGCACAATGATCTTCTTGAATGCTTAGGATTCTAATGCATTGCCGACGTATCGCCGCCATGACGTCGGAATTATGTTTTCCTATTTTCAACTTAATTTTCACTTCATTTAGTGATAATTTGTGTGATTTAAATTTATCAAGATATATTTCATTCAATTACGATTCTTTCAGCTTTTACAAATCTTAATTTGATCAATTAAATCGCCTATAATCAATTATGTAAGAATCGTCAGGTGGAACTCTATTTCTACTTAATTCGCATTCGCAGAACGCTGATGTTATCTTGACGTCTGTACCCTTATTTTCTTTTTTCGTGAATTTTAAATATATTTCATTTTTATTTCCTAATATAAAATTCATAAAAAATAGTATTCTTTGAAGAAAATTCTGAATAATTACCTGATATTATATTACATTCATGTGATCAATTTAAAAAATTATCACTATTTTTGGAAGTTTTATTAAATTATAATTGATATATTTGTTTAGAAATATTCTAAATATCAGAAAATTCGTATTTTCTAGTTTTATAAAATTTAAATTTACGTGATTTACTATACAACGACTAAGTCACGTCAAGATGGAGATGTGAGCCAAAGTAGCATAGAACCAACTTTTTATGAGGCCTCTTTGCAAGGAATTTCTATCGATAAAGGCAAAGTCATAGGTACACAAGGTCTCATTGCTCAAACTCAAGGTCCCACCTCTTGTAGTTGGCTTGCACTTTCATGCGAGCCTAAGTCTAGACTAAGTGCTACTTGAGTTGATCGAGGGATGCATCTCATTCTTGAAGAAAATGATCGATGTCCTCTATCTTTGCTGATTGAGATTCATACTACAAGAGCGTCAATCGGTTGCACCCATAGATAATCTTGAATAGAGAAGATGCTGTAAAAGAATTCAAATTAGTGTTGAACTTGAATTCAGCCCACATCATTCATAAACTTTATTGATGTGGTTAATTGTTAGCAAAGTAACATAGATAAGTTTTCAAGCCTCGATTGGGCACTTTTCATTGTCTATTTGTTTGCAAGTGTTAAGAGTTGATCCAACAAAGAGTTGTGTCTTGGTGTGAGTGGTTATTTATTTGTCTCAATCAAATGATAATATATGTAGAGAAAATATGAAGTCAAATATGTTGGATTTGGTGTGGTTATGTGCCCTACATGCAACTTGACTTAAAACTCAAATTTTGATTTTGTGATCATTCTGATTTATCTCCCTCTCACTCTCAGTGATGATGAACATAGAGATTTTATACTAGTTGACTCTTTCTTGGGCTATGTTTAGTACTAGAAGATATTCATTCTAGATTTTTACTATTTTTAAATTAAAATACAGCTGATTTCATAAGCTAGGTTTTTTTTACACAATTATTCAACCTCCATAGAGGTCTCACTCCTCACAAATAATTTTTGACTCACAACACTACATACTTAAGTTTAGGTAAACTTCTTTTCAAAGAATAACACCCTTCACAAGTGAAATTTGACTCTCAACACCTGGTGCTTTAGTCTTATTCTTTCTCCACTCATTACTCAAGTTATCTTAAGGTATGATGGAGAAATATAACTTTTGCTATAGTTTAATAATTTATTATTTGTTGTAGATGATCAAGAATGATGTTGTTTTGATTTATACTTTGAAATGTATAATTGATTTACTATGAATAATTGAGTAAGAATTTCATCTAAGCTCGTGTAAATAATGTTGATGTAGATTTTTTTATTCATAGTTAATTTAATTTTTCACAACTCCCTCAACTTATACTCTAATTGATCCATGTCATATCAATGTCTAGAAATGGTCATGTAAATTTGAATATCTTCTTGTTACTCCACTAGCATCTAGAAACCTTCAATTGCTTTTTACTTCTAATATATCTAGTCTTATGATAACTTTTCACGATATCTTATATGGAGATTCATATCTCATCGATAAAAATTTCTTCTTTCAAAGTCTTAATTAGAGGAGATCATCTTGGTAGTCTTTAGTCCACATCTTCTGCTAACAAGTTATTGTGTAGAATCTAGATTTCTGACTATCAATCATACTTTTAATCAAATCTTAGAACCCATATGTATATTGTCCTTGATATGATGTATGAAGATAACTAATCAACAAACATCTTTGTCTTCAAGATCAAGTTAAAATAGTTTTCTAAATTTCAACATACGTTCTAAAATAGTTTATGCACCCTATATACAACTTGACCTAGCACTAATATTTTTTTGGTGACCATTCTTATTTATCTCTCCCTCACTCTTAGTGATGATAACCAAAGATTTTATATTGGTTCACTCTTTCTTGGGCTATGTTTAGTATTAGACAATACTCATCCTAGATTTTTGCTATTTTTAAATTAAAATAAAGCTGATTTCACTAGTTATATTTTTTTGACACAATTATTCAACCTCCATAGATATCTCACTATTCATAGATAATTCTTGACTCACAACACCGCATACTTAAGTTTAGGTGCTCTTCTTTTCAAAGAATAAACCTTTTACAGGTAAAATCTATCTCTCAACACCTTGTAACTTAGTCTTACTCTTTCTCCACTCACCACTTAAGTTATCTTAGGGTATGATAAAGAAAGACAAAATTTATTATAATTAAATGATTTATATTTAGTGCAGATGATTAAGAATGATGTTGCTTTGATTCATTCTTTGAAATGCATAAATGATTTACTATAGAAGAATGAGTAAGAATTTCCTCTAAGGTCATGCTAATAATGTTGATGCAGATTTCTCCATTAAACGTTAGTTTAACTTAACAGCTCCCTCTACTTATATTCTAATAAATTCATGCCATATTAGTATTTAGAAATGGTCATATAAATTTAAATATCTTCTTATTGTTTCATCAGTGTCTAGAAACCTTCTATTACTTTTTACTTCTAATATATATACTCTTGTGATATATATCGTGATAATTGTTCATGATATCTTATATAGAGATTCATATATCATCAATAAAAATTTCTTCTTTCAAGGTCTTACTTAGAAGAGATCGTCTAGATAGTTGTTAGTTCACGTATTTTGCTAACCATGCATAATCCATTGACATATTTGTCTTCAAGATTGAGTTAAAATATTGAGCATGTCATTTAGTCCATATATTATGATTACATATTTTTGTCTAAACTATGAAAGGTTGACCTTAAGTCTTCATTTGCTTTGAAATATATGTCTCTCACATGTGATCATTGATGCTTCTATTTAGTGATAATTGTAACTTCAACAATTAATCTTTTACTTGATGACAAGTTGAAGTTTGATCATTTCATTTTATCATTTTTTCTATGTCAAACTCTAACGTGTCAAAATATAAATTATGTGGTGACAACTTCTTCATTTGACTCAACTTTGAGGGTTTGAGTTTGAATCACTTATCATTTATTTTATATGAAATATGTTGATTAGATTTCCATGTGTTGTTATAGTGCTTTAAATTAAAAGTTTACTCATGTTTTGATTTGAATAATTCAACTATCATTTTTTATATTTTTCACATGGCATACTTCTTGAGTTCAAATCTCATGTTTGTTATAATATATCTTTAATATTTTAGACATTCACACTAACTCTCGATTCTTCACATTACTCAAGTGTTTTGTTTGAATCTCATTGACGATTAATTTTTCAAATTATTCTTGAGACTTCGTCAAACACTTTGACACATGTTATGTTATACTTTATATTTATGAAATATTATGCTACATTACTTCAATACAAAAACATATATATCAAGAGAGTGACTCTTTAAATTCATTCTTAGTCATAAAATTATACATAGTATCATCAATATATTTGATTTGAATGTTTCTCAATTTATACTTATATCAATAAAAATAATCATGATGCATATTATGATTTAACTCATTCAAAAATAAATTTCAAATAATTTTTTCACTATATGTGTTAAAACACACCATCTGTCAACACTAAGATCATCCACAAAATAATGTATTAAATAAAAATCATAACAATGTCTTTGGTGGTGATGGGATGCTAAAGGAAAGAAAAATTAGTGTACTTACTCAATTAATTAATCATGACCAAAATCACATTAAATCTATTATAATTTGATAATAATTCAACAAAATCTCTAACAAGATCGACCTAGATTTTCTCTAAAATTAAAAGGGGGATTGAAGGAGGCTTGTTATGTTGAAAAGTAGGACATGTAACCACAAATTGCATAATGTAATTTTTCATGCCCATCCACCTAACATTTTGTCTAATTTAGTGGTAAGTTTGTATATGACTAGCTATTGTCAAGTTGTAAAATTCTATAAGAGCTGTAAAATTAGTTAACATGTTTAAGAGATCATTAGTTACCCTTGGCAGAACAAGAGACTTTGTTAGAGTGAATAGTGAGGAAAAAATTTAGATGGAGGGAATGTTGGTCAATAATGATTGCTTGCTATGAATCCTTTCAATTTTCTTGTGAGATTCAAACCTGATCAAATAGTTATGGATGAGATAATTTAGTTACCTACAACCATACTTAGTATGGGGCTCTTGATAAGGCATTGACAACTTAGTTTCTGGCTCTCAATTTATATTTGATTTCAAAATCAAAGTTGATAATTTTTTAGAGTCATTTATTATATTCAAGCAAAACTTAATATTATTCTAAGAAAAATTCAAACTCTTAAATAAGTGAAGATGATAAACTTTCACCTTAATAAGTAATACTTCCACCAAGGTGGTGATGGCAATAACTATTGGCTCTCCACTTCTACATAAAAATAACTCCAACTCCGTAGTTTGATGCTTTAGCTTTGAATGCAAAATTTAGGGTGAAGTCAAGAAGAAATAATATCAGGATTGGGATCACAGTGGTCTTGAGACATTGAGAGGTTGTGTTTGCTTTCAAGCCCCAATTAAATGTGAGATCATATTAGGTTTAAGCTACTAAGCGAGAGCCCACATAAGCATCTTATATTCGGTGATGAAGCGTTGATAATAACTAGTTAGGCCAAGAAAGCCAAAGAGCTCACAAAGGTTAACCAAAGATGACCACCTCAAAGTAACTTTAACTTTCTCCAAATTCACGACAACTCTTATTAATATCCAGCAATCGAGATAAACAATCTTAGGTTACTTGAAAAAGCACTTTATCATATTGATGTGTAGCTTATGATATTGAAGGATTTTGAACACTTGGGTTAGATGTCCTTCATGTTTCTCATGGGTCCTATTATAAATTAGGATATCTTAAAAAAAAAAGATAAATTTCTAAAAACAATTGTAAAAGATCTTGTCCATCAAAGCCAATAAGTATCAAGGAGGCCAAAAGGCATTACAAGACATTTGTATTGACCTTCATCAGATTGATATGTAGCTTATGATATTTGTGATTTTTGAAATATTTTAAGTACCAATATGGATTTGATGATAACATGATCAAAGATCTATCATTAAAAGTATCTAATTTTTCGATGATGTCTACTTCCAATATTTTTCAAACTGATTTCTCTAATTCAGTCTTTTTAAAATATGGATACTACGGGCATGGTGCTTATTGGTTTAGAGTGAGTTTCAAAGTTATCAAATGATCCATATTTCTACTAAGGGAAAATCCATTTGGGTCAATGAATGCCTCAAAGCATTTGAACCTTTCATATTTTTTCAAAAGAGAGAAATTCCATTTTGGGTTCCTTTTTGTCAATTAGAATAGCTCATGATATCATCTCTCCTTGTAATGTTTCTTGACAAGGACTTGAGGACAATGGCAAATCGAATTTCCATAGGCTCTATTTTGAGAATAACTCACTCCACTCTAGATTTGAAAGTCAAATTTCATTGCTCAAAGTCCAGCTGAATCTTCTCTCAAGCTTCCATCTATTGAATCTTAAGGATGACATTGGCGGTGGCCAAACAAAGAATTAACATATTTTTATAGATAGGTATGACCAAAGAAGTCAATATTAGTCAAAGTTAAGTGGATATATAGTTTATTTTGACAACGATGCCCTCATGATAATTTCTCATTGCAGGAAAAGTACAAATCTTGGATATAGCATGTTTGGATTTTTACAGTTATAAGTTAATTTTCTTCCTTCTATTAGATGAATTCCCATATGAGTGAGTTGCAGTAGTTGTTTGAATTCTCAAAGATACACCACCTCACTTTATTAAGAGAAAGTAGGATGTCTTACTCTGCTAACATAAGAAAGCAGGGGACAAGGAGGGAGAGACAAAGAGAACAGAGAATACAGGGGAAATGATAAATGAAGGGGACAAACACTCACTATCTACCCCCATCGTTGGCGGGGGGGGGGGCCTTCTTAGAATCATAATAGCCTTCATCCGTCGTAAGGTTCCAACCTTAACGGGCCATTCTTTGTGTGGCCCTCTTGTGCGACACCCTCCTTTAGGCCTAATGGGCCATTAATAGGCCCATAGTCTCTAACCGACCATTCGAATTTTTCCCACGTGTTAGTTGGGATCTCTTCCCATGTGGGTGAGCGATGAACCCGCGCAACGAAAGACCCTGAACCTCTGCGGATTTATCCAAATCCGAGATTATCCGGTCGATTCAGGTGAGCTCTCTCTCGCGAGCGCGAGCGCCTCTCTCTCTCTCTCGTTCTCCGACGTTTCTCGTCCATGGGATCGATAGATCGGGGATAGTGAAGAACACGGGCAGAATCATTTCCTACGCCGATCGTCTAAATTATCTTTCCAGAAGAAACATTCAGATCTATACATGGATTTACTCACAAAAAGATAACCGGGAATTGGAAACAACAATCCAATCAAGCTTTGCGCTCTCAGAGCGTAGGAGAAAAGGAGAAAAAAACCCTGAGACGAGCAATAAACAAGATCGATACCGAATCACACAAGATTGAACATTCCCAAGACTCACCTGCGCCTAACGACCTCGCCGTCGCAGCATGACGATCGGAGAATCGATGACGAGGAAGAATGGACCACGCCTTCATAATATTCCTTCCAGTTCCCTCCTCCCCCTCGCAGACTCTATAAAAAGATGGACAGCGGCGGCCTCGCTGAATCACGACTCAGATTACTGAGGTGAAGAGCAGCGGTCAGCGCCGTCTCCGTTCCCCACGACGGTCGTCTTCTTCCTCCGCCACCCCTCGGAGAGGGTCGCGGTGGGTTACACATGTAGACTAGTGGTAGGGTGGATGGATGGATGAGTTCTTCACGAACAAGGTAAACAGGGACCAACAACGCCTGTGGAAACTCTACAGGCCCGGAAACAGTGATCACCAGACGGAAGCTCTGCGAAAAGTCCGTCCAGAGGAAGAAGGGGCTTCAGATGTTCGGAAGAACCCTAAAATCCACACTTTCGCCAAGTCGGAGCTCACTAACTCCTTACCCCTAACTAGTGTGAAGGAATCCTCAGCCGGAACTCTCGAGGTGAATGGTGTTGAGCCGGACAGTGGTGATTCTGATCTCTTCAGTCTGACACCGAAGCACGAACTCTGAATAATCTGATTCTCTAGATTTTAGCTTTACTGGATCGATCGATGTTCATCTGTCCCCGCGTCTGATACAAGACGGACGACCTCACCGGAAGTTAAATCCCTCGGATTGAGATTCTGAAGAAAACTAGGAAAAGGCCTTCAGCCTCCACTTCCCCTCTCAGGCTAGAGATCAGAGCGGGAGCAAGAAAATCCAGCATAATTTCCTACTCATAAAGAGAAAGGAAATTGAGATTTATGTAACGGTTCCAGCATTTACAGGCCAGGTGAGCAGAAAGGCAGACAAAAAGGACAGGGAAGGTGAGCAGCATCTACAAGAAGAAGTTAACCTAGGCAGAAGCTGTTAACCCATCTAAATCAGATGCGGCCATTAGACCGCTATGACCTTCCGCGCCCTCTTGGCGGCAGGGGATTTGATCGACTTTGGCTGCTTGGGCTTCAGAGGGGTGGTCTTCTTCGACTTCTTCACTCCGGTCTTCGCTGACTTCCCGGCCTTCGTCTTGGTAGGAGTTGATACTTTCCTCTTCTTCTCAGCGTCAAGTTTGACCTTCGGCCTGCTGACCTTAGCCGCTGGGGCCTTGGGCTTCTTCTCTTTGCCGGACGTAACAACCTTTTTCACCACGGCTGTCTTCTTTCCCACCTCGGACAGCTTGAAGGATCCCTTTACCTTGACGATCTTCCCGTTAGCGAGACAGTTCTTCAGTTGGAGCGTCAATATCTTCCGGAAGTTCGCTGGGAGAGCGGACTTGTACTTCTCCTCCATGTGCTTGGCGATGGCGTAAGGGCTTGATCCGCTCTTCTCCTTGAGCGCCAGGATCGCCTCCTTGATCATCTGAGCTCGACGCGCGAAGGAAGCGGAACTCAGCATATTTCTACGGAAGACGAACTACAAGCCGACACAACACCGGAGGAAGGGGGAGGCCAATACCAGAAAGTAGGTCGGATGAGAAGGAGGAGCAGGCTTGGCCGCTCGGGGCTTCTTCTCCTTGGGAACCTTTGGAGCGGGGGCCTTCTTCTCCTTCGCCGGCTTAGATTTCTTCTCGGCCACTGGTTTGCTGATGACCTCCACCGGGCCCTCGACCTGAGTCGCCGTCTCCGTTGCCATTACCGTAGCTTCCTCAGCCATTGACGGGACCTCTCCTCTCGATCTACTCTCTCTCTCTCTCCGTCTCTCTCTGTGCAAAAACCGCTAATAGTTTCAAAGCCGTATTTATAGATCCCGTAGTGGAGGAATTCCGAAGCAGGAATCAGAGAGCTATGATTGGTCTAAATTCTTTCACGGGGATCAATATGCAACAGAAAATCTTAACCGTTCAATTGAACGGGGATCCCAGGGGGATGGGGCACGCCGGATTCGCATTTCTGTTGGCTTCCAGAAAATGCTGGAGACATGCATTCCTCCTTACTCGAGGGGAAGAGATACCTGTTTTTCGGTTTGTGTTTTCGGGTGCAATTCGGGGCCCCGGATCCGCTTCCCCGCTGAGCTCTCCGATGAAATCTTCCGGCGACGGCGGAGCGCACAGCGAGACCCTTCCAACGACCCATAAACCAACGGAGATGGTTCCCATTTTGGGCCCCAATTTGGCCGTCCAATTCGAGATCTCGCTGATCGGACGGTGCAGGACGTCTAGTTCCGCTGTTTCCGCACATCGCGGTATGTTCTGGGTCGCTGGGCCCAGTTTAAATAATACGATGTTCGCAGATGGGCTGGACTTCATTGAGGGGACGGTTGGTGGGTGGCGGCAAGAATGGGCTCCCACAAGTTGGCCCATTAAGGCAGTGTGACTCTTTCTTCAAGTCCATCCATCTCTGGCTGGGGAGAGTGGTCATAAGCCTCATCACCCCCTCTCATATGTCAAACTTTCAGTACGCGGGGCCCTAACAAATGGGTCAATAATAACTCTGCGTGAGAAAGGGAGAGAGAGATAGAGAGAAAGAAGGGGGTGGTGAGAGGGGGAGAGAGAGAGAGAGAGAGAGAAGAGGGGGGGGGGGTGGGGGTGAGAGGAGAGAGAAAGAGAGCACGCACGATACCAACAGCAGTAGCAGGCCCCTGACAGCAGGGGAAGGGGGAGGGAGGATGAGAGAGAAATTGGAGGAGTAACAACGAGGCGGGGAGGACAGGAGAGGGAGGAGGCAGAGGGGGAGACGAGCCGGCTGTTTTTCCAATTTATCTGTGGGATTTTGCCCTCCTCGTTCGCCGAACGCGCGTCTGCGGCGGTGCTAGAGGTACATGCTGCTCTTATTTTCTCGCAGCAGGGGGGACTCCTACTGGTTCCTATTTTATAGCAGTCTCTCTCCCCTTATTTCTGGATGAAGATATTTCTTGGATGCATTAATTATCCCGCTTAAATTTCTGGAAATTGGATTATCCGTCTGGCTTTATTTCACCGGGAAACCCTAGCACCGGATAAAATTTGGCCACCTCTGTATCTTCGAGCGGTGATTTTGTTTCGATCCGATTTCTAGGGTGATCTCGTGCGTTCTGGAAGAATTCTCCTCATGTCACGCAAACACTACTCCTGGAGCATTGCAGTTGTTTCCCCTCCACTATTTGCGATACTTGTGGCTGTCAGAGTTTGCTACGCCTCTTGGTGCTCACGATAATGTAAATGCTGCTTGTTGGACTCTCCGGAGGCCGTCACTGTTACATGTCATGATAGACGATTGTGGTTATTTGGTTGAAATTATATGTCGTACGAATCACACTTGTTTCTCTTGCCTGAATTCTGAAGAGCATCTTACGATTTTCATGTGATTTATTCTGCTTTGATACGAGGAGATGCCTGTTCTTAGGACTTTGATCGGATACAGTCCGATAAATAAGAGCATGTTTAGCGCTTGCCAGCAGGCTCCTGGATTGGTGTGTCCAGTGGATTCTCCTGGTAGAACAGATCGATGCCATAGGGTTTAGGGATGTACCTTTCTACTGATAATTGAGGTAATTGTGGTAATGGAGTTTTTCATCTCCTTCCCTGTAAATTCAATGTAGACCAGGTTGTGGAGTTTAATACGAATGCTCAGAATTTAGATAATAAACTCGAGAACGACTGACAAAAACATGTTCAGTAATCTGCTTTAAGCTTTCATCGTCGTTTGGTAAAGTTGATATCTGCTGGTTGGCTTGGTGCTTACACTATTCTCCTGCACGTTGCACTCATGCACTTTTTGATCAGTAGTTATCTTGAGTATTGCATAGTTGATTTACCATGTAGTTGTTTAATTTTGGTTGACGTTTGTTTAGATGTAGAGATTTTGGTTCTTTGATAATATATATATTTTTATTATAAACGTTTCTCTTTATTATATCTTTTTTTTATTCCACTATTTCATTGCGCTTCACGTTACTGGCCTTGTTTAATGTGATTATTGCTGTCGATCTAGCACTTTTGGGCCACTCTTTTTACGATGCATGTTATGCATGGTTGACACCATGACGAATTTATTCAAAAAACTTTTAATCTAGGGTGGCTCATCCAAGATTATAAATTGGTAATGCGACTAAACATGGGCTAATGATGATGAACACCCATAATGGTTTTCATATCTTTCACTGCGTGGAAAAGGGAAAACGATGCCTGCTGGATGAGATGATTTTAGCATTTGACTTCTGCCTTTGTACTGCGTTTTTATAAAATTACTCGCTTTCACCTTTTGTGAGTTTGGGATTTAAAGGCAGTGCTTGTGATGGAAGGGGATAGAAAAAATTCGTTATATGTGAGACTGATGATGCGCAATAAAATGTTTTTTGTGTACATTCCTATTGGAAAATATGGTACAAAGTAATTCATTTCTTTCCGTGTTCACCTCTGAAAGGAGTGAAATAGAAATATTTCGTTGACGTTTTAGGAATTATTTGCTCTTTGGTGCGTATGTAATTTTGGAATGTGTTGTCTTCCTCTGTATGCTTTCAAAACTATGTTTTATTGCTTGGTGTGTAGTTCACATTTGGAAATGCTTCCACTTGTCTGGAACTAAGAGAATATGGTTTAATCATACTAGGAACTGGTGGATTGAAGCACTTGTTCAGAGACTTGAAAATAATTTTGATGATTCTGGTACAAGGAGAAGACAATTTGGAAAAGATAAATTGTTATCTAAACTGATGAGTCAGTTTGATATCGGGTGTCTTTTATATGGTTCCAACGTGGAAAGTTTGGCCCCCTTTGAAAGTTTAGAGAAAAGAGTACACTGGAAATTGGCTGATCTTACTCTTAGCAAGAGCCAAGCCTCTTGTTGCTTTCCTTCTCGTAGTCAGGAAAAGAGGCAACATGGGAGGCGCAGTTTTGAATGGCTATTATCTTAAAAATATTTTATATATTGTTGATTACGATAGATTATTTTTATTAGCTTAAACTTTGTCTGGATATTATTTCCATAATTAAGTGGATCTATTTTCTTTCTTTCTGCTAGTTTGCAGAATCTCATATTTTCCAAATTGGCTTGACGTTGCACTGGGTGATGTGATCCTGACTGTAGGTTATGCAGCATCGATATGCTAATTTTGTTTTTGGGCTCTTATAAACCCAGCTCATTATCTCTCTCTCTCTCTCTCTCTCTCTCTCTCTCTCTCTCTCTCTCTCTCTCTCTCTCTCTCTCTCTCTCTCCCTCCCCTCTCCCCTCCTCCAGGCACTTATTCTTTCTCTCCTATTATCTTTGATTTGTCTCAAACTAAGGAAATAGATAAAAAAAAATATCATCATTTAAAAAAATTCATGCCAGAAGAAAATGGTAATTGAACATTGTGTATATTCTTATTTACCTGATGATGAATTAACTAGAACATTACATCCTAACTGTGAGTTGCTATGGTATTTTTGTTCTACTATGACTTGTTGCCTACTTCTTGCATTCCTCTTTGTCTACTTTACAAAGCCATTTATGATGCACAGAAGAAAGAAACTCATTCTCTATCTTTTAAACTCACGTTCAGCTCGTGGAAATGCGACTCATTCTTATGCATCGATGTTTCATTTGATAAATGATCGGTTCTGCCTCAACATAACATGCTATTTCACCTAGATTTGGGTTTAGTTTTTTATAGTGTGATGGTTGGCAGTCATATAAGCATTCTTGATTTTGGTAATTTATGACTAAAGTGTAGTATTCAAAATTAGAAGTCAAGTTTCCAATCATATGCATTGTGACTGTTTGGTGATATGGTGGCTTCCTTAACCAGATGAATTAAAAGAATGACTCGTCATGACAATGGAGGAAATGAAAAAGGAAGCTGAATTTTTCTATCTTTTGTTTTAGAACTTTTGAAAAAAATGCCAATTTTTTATTTCCAAAGTGACTCTTGTTTTGTGATACCTTAGTCAACACCTATGGTTCATCCTATCTTTTTACCTAACTTCGTCAACCTACCTTCCGGCGTCCAGTTCTTCTCCAAACTCAGCATTCAATGCTTTTGAGATGTCTATCATATGAGCAGTTTCTGTTTGATCATCGCAGATGAAAATATTTTACCATTCCAATGTTTGGGTGTATAATGTGATCTTGTTTCTGGAATGGTATGCATCATCCCATTGTTGAAAAACAACGAGGACAGGGTCCTGGTGTGCAGGGTCTCCTCTAATGGGTAACGAGTTCAGAGTTCCTGATACTATCAGTATACATCCAAGCTACAGCGAAGTTTTTATAGGTATAGTGACTCATAAAAATCGCCAATTTGTAATGAGATGGGTTGTAGTGTGGATGTCAAAAACGGGTAAAAGAAAAGAAAACCAGGATGCAGAAATTCAAGGCATAGACTATGCCGCATGGCAGAACATTCATAGATCCGATGGGATGAGTGGCTGAAGTAATCAAGTTATAATTATCCTCAATTTAGATATTTTGAACCAAGAAACACGAATTAAATTGACATATGTTCTGCAGGCTGTTGCCATCTTTAACCATTCAGAAAGTTTTGACCAGAACTGCTAGATGAGGTTTACTTCCCTCAGTTTCGTCTCCTACCCTTTCGGTGTGAGGAGCAATTTTGACATTCTCTGTTGGTTTTCCTTGTAATGTGCGAAAGTTATGGAATGCTGGAGTTGGATTCTGGTGCTCTTTGTAAGTGGGGGACATGCCTCCTTTTCTCAGAATGGGATCCTGTTTGATGCCTAACCCATGATGTGCTGTTTTGTCATTTTGATGTGTTCACTGTTGAGACGTAGGCATGCTATTTCTGTGAATTTCAACTAATGGATCTCTTTCTCCTTACAAACCTACTTGCAACCACACTTGATGAATGTTTTCTGGACTTGGAGTTAAGCCTTCTGAAGTGAACGATCTGTTGTACGTTGGTAAATAACCTCTATGTGGAATTCCTTGCAGGACCCACCCAAGCACTGCATTTCTCCTGAATTCATAAAGCCTTTGCAATATGGATGACAGTGGGCAAAGAGACAATGTTAGGCAGAAACAAGATCAGTACAAAGGAGTCCACACTCAGGTATGTAGTCCTGACATGCGTTTTTTTCTCTTCAGTGCACCGTAAGTGTGGATTAAACGTCCATAGCTGCTTAGGGAATACTCTTGGGGTAGCCATGAGTTGGTCCAAGTTGTTGACCAATTCATTCCACACCCCCATGCTGTAGATCCCTGTATAACTTATTTAAGGTGCCCTCATCCATTTCTTGTTTCAATAAGATACCTATCAAAGTTTTCTTCCTGCTATCATTTTCAAATTACGTTGTCGTAGTTCAGAGTTTTCATGTATTAAGTTCATATCGATTTCGTTGTGTAATCATGCGTCTCTACAGGCCTGGAACAACTGAACATCATCTGGTGAGATTAACAGTCATAAGAACAATGGGAATTTCCTATAGAATTATTGTATTCTGCTAGATTCTGTGAAACATTTCCTGATCACGGAGTATTACAATTTTTTTGAAACAGAGGGTTATAAAAGGATATGGGGCGATGCGTGCATATCGTTAATTTTCTCACATATTTTATCTATTTAAATAAACTTCGATGCCACAACTCCGATGATAGAACAAGGATTAATTAAGCATGTGGATTAATGGCGATGTGAAATTAGCGCCGTTTTCTGTTGTGCAGTGGATGATGCCGCAACATCAGATGAAGGACCATCACACGATCAAACTCATGACCATCATGGCCGAGAGAGACAACGCCATCCAGGAGCGGAATTTAGCGCTGTCTGAGAAGAAAACAGCTATGGCCGAGAGAGACATGGCCATCCTCCAGAGGGACGCTGCCATCTCTGAGAGGAACAATGCCTTAATGGAGCGAGACTCCGCCATCGCCGCCCTCGAGTACGCCCGGGAGAACGGTATCAGCGGCAACGGCGGCCCGGGGTGCCCCCCGGGCTGCACCATTCCCCGGGGATCCAAGCACATCCACCACCACCAGCTTTCCAACATGCACCAGCCGTCGCAGCTCTCCGACGCGTCCTACGGCCACAGGGACATGCACATAAGCGAGGCGTTCCCCATATCTGTCTACTCGGAGAACGCCGTGAAGGCGAGACGGGTCAAGCGGTCGAGGAAGGAGGTGAAGGTCCAGTCTGGTGCGAAGAGAGCTCCCAAGTCTCAGAAGAAGAGGAGGGTCGGGGGCGAGGACCTGAACAAGCACATCACCATGGCGAAGGGGCACGGCGGGGAGGATCTGAATAAGGAGGTATCGGCGATGAAGCACGAGTGGAAGAACCAGGATTTGGGGCTGAACCACGTCGCCTACGACGAGACGACCATGCCGGCGCCCGTGTGCTCCTGCACAGGGACCCTGCACCAGTGCTACAAGTGGGGGAACGGTGGGTGGCAGTCGGCGTGCTGCACCACCACGATCTCCATGTACCCGCTGCCGGTGATGCCCAACAAGCGGCACGCCCGCGTGGGCGGGCGGAAGATGAGTGGCAGCGCCTTCACCAAACTTCTCAGCCGTCTGGCCGCCGAAGGGCACGACCTCGCCATGCCGCTGGACCTCAAGGACCACTGGGCCAAGCACGGCACGAATCGCTACATCACCATCAAATGAAGCCCCCTTCCCTTCCCCACCCGCCCCCCCGGAGGTACCCTCGTAGACCTTCTTCTTCTTCTTTGACCCCGTCCTGGAGGGGTCGGTAGCTGTAGCTAGTTATGAACCCCACCCGCAAACCACCCCAATTGCTCTCCTCTTTTCTTGTTCAGCAAAACGAAGCCGATAACTCGGAGGAGGAACCTCTCCCCCCCCGCCTGGGGAGAGGAGCCTTTAGTCTGGCAGTCTGGCGCTGCTCGCTCAGGAGCCTTGAAGAACAGTGCGAGGAACGGATCGGCCGTGTCATGCCGGGGAGTGCCCAGGTTTATTGTAGTCCGCCTCATCTCCCGCCAGAGGTAGGCGGCACTTTCTGAGTATATATAAATCTTAGTCAAAACCTCATCTCGTATTGTAGCTTCTTCGTTGACTTTCCTTAATCGCGTATAAGCTCGGGTTTACGGTGTCCTCCAGTATCCAGAGTGATTTCCAGACGGGTCGCTCAGTTTATTTCCAATTAGGGTCAACGCTCAAGTCAAATTTGAAAGGAGGGCGGCTTTCAATTGACGGCGTCAATTTGCTCACATTTGGAGGTGGACAATATACGAAATGTCTCCCGCTCTTCTTCTCTCTCTATCTCTTGTCGCTAAACAGACACATCTAGCTCTCAGACGCCTTACTTGGTCTTTAAGACCTATTCTCATTGTCTGTTTACCTCTCTGTCTGCCTTACTTCTTATTCGTCTTACCGTGCACTGCAAGCCTCGTTGACAATTTATAACTTAAATAAAGCACAAACCTCAATGAGATCCGTCCTAACAGTTAAGTCAAACGGAAGAAGGAGAGAATGGTGTCAGATACTGATCTTTAATCATCCCACTTGTACATACATGCATGATTCAAAGCTATTCTACTTATAGCTTGAGTTCACCTACCTCTTAGATTATTGAAACGTTTATGCCATCATTCCGCGCCCAAATGCCCTTACAACTGCCACGTCATTTGCAATATTCTCGTAGAATCTATGCCGTAACTTAACTCCCAACACGCATATGCAAAATGTACGTGGAGTTAGAAGGCTATAAGAAGGCCCTAACCTTGCCTCATGATTCATTTCGGGATACTCATAATCTTCATTACTAAGTCTTCTATTCATGATTCTCCCCTTTAGGGTTCAACCCATATTAACCAGAAAATAATGCATCTTCGACCAAAGTTCTCTAAGCTTTCGACACTGGGAAAAGAGAAAAAAAAAAAAACAAACAATAAATGTTTCTCAAGTGCATGTCTTTGATATTGCATTAGATTATCATCAATGGAATAAAACAGATTTTTCTCAAGGTTAATATGTGAATTTAAATAAAAATTCCTGAAATGATTTTTAAAATCTATTTTGGTGTTTTTTTGTTCTATTTCATTAACTTTGCCTTAGGTGACAATGGTAATTTTAATCATTTAACCCTAGTTATCCTACAAAACTAATATGTTAACAAAACACAGTGTGTTGACCCACGGGAAATGTAGGAGTGTTGACTTAGTGAGTCTACACACATTAGTTGTAAGATTTTTAGCATGTCGGCACAAACAAAGATTTTTTACGAGATGTGACATGTTAGACATGTCTAAAATGGCTAGTTTCAACGTAATGTATCTTTCATGTGTGTTTATTATTTTGTCCTATAATGTCATAAGTTTTTGTTTCTCTCATTTGAGTAGACTTTCCCATTAGTAACACCCAATCTCATTGTGCTCTCTTGATAACTAATCTTTATATGTGGTAAATATTATTGGTCATATACTGCCCTCTTTTACAACACAAAATTGTCATATGTAAAAACAATTTTCTCTATATTCTCAAATACCATGCAACGTAAAATTTATTTTTTATCTTTTATGAAAATGAAAATCTACTATTAAATTCACGATATTTCTTGCAATTTAAAACTTTTATCTTCTGTTTTGATTTAACTTTTTTGCTATTAGCAGATCCTGATTCTCTAACTACAACTATAACCATAACCTATCCTATTGATCTATAGTTTTCTAAATACTTTTCTGAAGTTAGTAAAATATAATCATATTATTTATTTTTTATAAATACTGCATATTTTATTTCAAATATCATTACCCTTGTATGGTTTTTCATATATCGTCCAATATGGCCCAAAGAACCATGACTTATTTCGTAAAAAAATACCAGCCAATCTTATATGAAGTGGTGCACAAATAAAGAAAGGAATGCACGATTTGTCAGTATAACAAGCATTATATGAAATTAAGTATATGATGAGTGGTCAAATAAACAGCTACACACAATCTTTCAAATACTCAAGCTTACAAGTTGTAGGAATGTAGGTCTTGACATGGTAGTCATATCTGACGGAGCCATTTCTCCCATTGGTGATTGGTCTCCATACATATGAAGATACATGAGATGTTTTGGCTAGAATCTTTGCACCTCACGTCATCGCCGATGCGCCCTCCTTCCCAGGTAAGACAAGGACCAGCACAGCTCCCAGTTCTTCTGCCCATTTACATTCCCTAATTTCTGGAGACGACAGAGGAACCTTGTGTACGCGTTAACAGAGGCATTTATTCGTTTCAATTCGCAGCCCTGGACAGGTGGGCGGCGATATGTTCGAGAGCGCCATCTTCATGAAGGTGACCGGCTCTCTCGTCGTGTTCCCCGCTTCCTTTGTTCTCAATCTCCTCCAGTATTTACTCGATTTAAATGTTCTCTTTGGAGCCGGATCTGCAGTGGATCCTTCACGACTGGAGCGACGAGCACTGCATGAAGGTTCTGAAGAACTGCTGGAAGGCCCCACCGGAGCAGGGAAGCTCATCGTCATAGAGGGTATTCTACCGGAAGCGTAGGAGACGACCAAGGAGGCGAAAGGCCTGTTCCAAACGGATCTGTTAATGCTCGCCGTGACGCTGGGCTGAGAAGAAATTCCGATCGCCAAGGTTAACACCGTCTTCGGCGTCTGGATAATGGATTTCACCATCTGAGGCACTGTTTACGTGGCTAAGGCACCCAACATCCCCACGTGACTGATACACCCAAAATCCCCAAGTGGCCACTGAACTTTAGTTCTTCTTCTTCTTCTCTCTGCCCTCCGCTCACTGTAACATAATCTAAAAATCCCTCTTTTTTTTCCCAGATTGTGGCAGCAGTAGTCCAAATTCCCTTCACATTTGACCAGCCCAACTGGAGGCTCACACCCGACGTTAGCGTACCACGATTCCCGAAAGTCGATTGGCAACGATGGATCCGAACGAGATGAATCTTGGGCTATCGATATGCATATACATTGGGCAAAGTTCAATCTTACGATAAAATGTATATTCGTACGCGATCCAAGCCTATTGGCAGGTCCTCTGTTGTGGCAGCACGGTAATTTGCTTGGCTTACGTTAACTATTTTGCCGCGTGTTCTACAAAGTGGGTGGCGCACAGCGGTTGGCCCAGTAGGGCTTGGGCAGTTGTCCTTGCCTACTGACCGGAGCCGCAATTGAGTAGGTAGGAGCGTAGTTCTTTTGAAAATAAGGCTTGGTTAAATTTCTGGTATTCTTAAATTTCCGTAAGTAGGTTTCAAGCTATCAGTAACCTCGATAAAATTTTATTGAACGTAACAAGTCAGAAATTCCCACTAATTGATACGATCTCACTCCTGGTTTAGATTAGCATCTAACATTTTTGTCTAACTTGGACAATGGACAAACTACTGTGATGACCAGGAAAACCTATGCCATAAAGCTGCCCAGTGCGTACGTTCTCCCGATGACTCTCAAGGCGGCAATCGAGCTGAACCTCCTCGAGATCATCAGTCGGTGGGGGGTTCCGGTGCCCAACTCTTCCCTGAGGAGATTGTCGTCACGCTTCCCAAGGAGAACCCGGAGGCGGCCGTCATGGTCGACCGTATCCTCTGCCTCCTCGCCAGTTACTCGATCCTCACCTACTCCATCGTAGACGGCGATGGCGGAAAGGTCAGCAGACGCTATGGCCTGGCCCCCGTCTCAAGGTTCCTCATACCGAACGAGGATGGCGTATCCATGGCCGCCCGAGCACTCATGATCCAGGACAAGGTCCTCATGAAGAGCTGGTATTACTTAAAGGACTCAGTTCTGCAAGGAGGAATCCCCTTCAACAAGGCCCACGGAATGGCCTTATTTGAGTACCTCGGAACTGACCCCAGATTCAACAATGTGTTCAACGCCAGCATGTCAAACTGCTCCACATAACCATGAAAAAGATGCTGGGGATCCACCGGGGGTTCGACGGTCTCGGCGTTCTGGTCGGCGCCACGCTCAACATGATATTTTCCAAGCACCACTCCATCAAGGGTATCAACCTCGATGCGCAGCCGTGGAGTACTCGTTAATGGAAGGATTTATTCTTTTCAATGCGCAGCCGTGGAGTACGTGAACGGCAAAATATGGTCGGGAGCGTTCCCAGTGGAGACGCCATCTTCATGAAGGTGACCGACTCTCTCGTCGACTTCCCCACTTCCTCCGTTTTCAATCTCCTCCAGTGTTTACTCGATTTAGACGTTCTCTCTGGAACTGGGTCTGCAGTGGATCCTTGACGACTGGAGCGACGAGCACTGCCTAAACCTTCTGAAGAACTGCCGGAAGGCGCTGCCGGAGCAGAGGAGGGTCATCGTCATGGAGGGCATTCTTGTCATGGCGGATAGATTCAGTATTTCTCCTCTTAAACACTCATATACCGATCCAGAGGTTGCTTAAATGTTCTTACGTGTCATCATCAAGCTTCATGGTATTCTTCTATCCATCGTCTCTAGTCATAATTGGATAATTCTCAGTGCTATCTAAATAGAGCTTTTCCACCTTCAAGGCACATGCTTGCGTCGTAGCACTGCCTACTACCTCCAAACCGACAGTCAATCTGAGATTGTTGTCTCGAGACTTATCTTCGCTGTTTCTCGAGTGATCGCCCACGTACTTAGAGTTAGTGACTTCATTGGTCGGAATACAAGAATAATATAAGTTAAGACTAAAACTATATTATTAATTAATTATTAATTTATGATAATGAAGACTTATCACTACACTCAAAGACTAATTCTTGACGACTACACACGACTGAGCCAAAAGGGCTGCCATAAGATTAGCCTACTCTGTTGTGGCGAAGAAGGTTGCGGCGGAGCACAATAGAGAGGGCTGACTAATCACAGATGCCTTGTTAGAAGCATTAGTCACGAGTGCTTGAACATGGAATCTTGTCAAGAGGAAATTGAGGGACCAATGGGCTGACGATGGTTGATGGCAAGGGAAGCCGAGGGAACTGATGAGTGAGGAGCTATTCCTTAGGGGAGTCCAACATTATGTGACGGGACCCATGCGAATGAATATCGCAATGATCTAAGGAGGCAGCTACAAATTTTGATGGCAGCATCATCCTTATTACCACCCAAATGGGGGCCTCAGTCCTCTTAACAGCTGCGACGTCACCTCACCCCTGGTAATTTTTGTAGTCTTTGAGGCATAAGTAACGTTGCAAATGCTAGCTACCCCAATATCAATGTTTCCTCCACCATCACTATCACTGGAATGACCAAGGGACCTGTAAGTATCCCTCCATCTCATCCCTACAACCTGCCCGTCTCACCTTGTTACCATATCCTAAGCCTAACCTCTAGATCTCCGATTTAGTCGTCCAACGTGCAGCCTTTCATCTAGAGTCCATCTCACACCAGATCTCTGTCCCTATCTGCTAACTTCTTCTCCCTAGATTCTTTACTCCCCTTATTCTATTTTATCAAATGTTTGATCCCATGGTGACATATGTTCTCAAGGCGGACATGGACGTCAACTCCTACATAGTTATGTGTGCTCTAGTCCCTTTTGCAAGGTCAAGGTCTGGTCAGCTAGTGGAAGAAAAAACTGGAGACTCTTTGATTTATGCATGAATTTGGTTGGCAAGATGTCATGAACTCCTCTTGTACTCAGCTCAAACACGAGGGCATGGATAGGGTTGGTAGCGCAAAACTAATAGAGCTGACAGTAGAAAAAATAAATTAGATAGCAATCTGAATGAGATAGTCTATAGCTCAGAGCAGCAAATGACAAACATTGTTCCTCCCTAGAGAAGAAGTGAGGAATCAAAACAAGTGTCACTGATCAATCTCCATCAAAAAATCCTACCAAATAACTTAGAAGCCTTTGAAAGGATGGCTTCATGGGCAAAATAAACTTCATGATAGAGTCCCCTAGGCTGCTTGAAATAACATTCAAGTAACAAGTCATCAAACCACTAGTATGTACATCAATCTCAAAACTCACAGGGCGAGACTTTGATGGCATGGAGATTGAAAAGATTCTAATGGATCATAAGGTTTTTTTCGTCGAAGATCGTCCTTGCAGACTGAAACATTCCAAGAGGTGTCTATATCTAAATCTTTCTTCCTTCTAGTAAAAAGATTTAGACACCTAATAATTACTTTTCATTGTTGGCATTTAAAGTTCTTCTCTATTTTAAGATTTTGGAGAACCGTGGATTAGTGGCCCACTCAAAGGAGTGGAAAACACGATACATATCACATCTAATGTCTTGACATTGTAGTTAGAGACAACAAAGTTGTCCATTGAACATTTGGAAAAACAAGCTAAAACTTCATCTTCACGACTTTGAATGCCATAATCAATCTCTATATCCAAGTATCATAATTTCTCTATGGAGATCTGATACTAACATTTTCTTCTTCCTAGATTTCCATCTACGACATGAAATCAAGCCACATTTATATAACATAACCATAATCTCTTCTATTTCGATGAACCTATTCATTTGCCACTACAAATGAGTACTTGAGATTCTAAATTCTCATTGAAGTGGCATAGATTTTTTGACAACCTTGGTTGGGTTCCTTCATAGGGCTCATAGAGTCTTCTTTTATATGATTTTTGTGTGTAATCTTGCACCTAAACCACTAAACCAGATCCTTGTTGCTGCTTGTGTTGGTGACAATGCAACAAGCATCCTTGCATCTATTAGACCCACCTCCCGATCTACCTCCCGGTCTATAGTCAATTTAACATACACTTGAAAGAAGAGGGACAACTTACCATGAGCTGAAGAGTAATTTGAAATAGAGATATCTATTGAGAGAGACATAAGGGAGCCCTAAGAGAACAATTAGGGCATTGAGAAGTTGGTCGAAAAGGAGAGCCAAAGTTTCTCGAACCACCTCCTCCCTCAAAACCCTAGGGACATTCATCAGACACCCACTTCCTTTCCCCTTATTCCCAAAACTCATATTCCCATGTTACTGTATGCAAAGACATTAATTATTCTACTCTAGTTGAAATTTTTAGTATCCCCTTGTCTGTTTTACTAAGTCAAATCAGATGCTCCTAACAACTTGGTATTAGAGTTATCATGCCCATAAAGAAAAGATGAAATATATGAGAACTTGGAGAAGAAGACTAAAGGTATAAAAGAGGTAAGGTAGATGGAAAATATCAATAGAGAACATAATGAGAGAGCTAACATAAGTTATGGAGTAGCTCATAGATCATCGAGACAACGTCCAAATTGTGTAATAGAGAAATGAGGAAAGAGTCATTATAGGTGGTGAGATGCGCACCCCATCACTAGATAAAGTGTGAGATATAAGTGTTTGACTCCAAGTCAATAGCAATTACAATGAAACTATGAGAAGAGTTCATAATCAATATATTTCTAAAGCAATCAACTACAAGTAGAGATAGAGGATGTTGTCTCAAAATAGCTTTTTTTGGCAAATAAATATTTGGTAAGCGTATATTTCAAGTTAAACTACACTTTGAGATGAATACAAATAAAGGTTGAGACTAATTAAAAATACTTGCAGCCAACTTGGATGACAAAGCACTAGTTGTGGTTTTGGTGCTTCATGTGTTGGCATGCAAGCTATCCTCATTTAGAATCATCAACTAGTGACTTATTTTAGTCATACTTTGTCACTTCAGAATTGACTAAAATCAATTTAGAAAAGTGAACTCATGACCATAACTCTAATGACCTTAAAGTTGAAGTATTATTTAATGGGTCAGCCATTTTATCATGTATATTAATTATATTAGTTTAAAATATGTTTTAAATAAAGATAGTTACATTTCAAATATCATAAATGGCTAGTCAAGATTCTCAACTTTTATTTCATAATCGAATATAAGTCCATAGTCAAGAATAAAGTCCTTGATATTTTTTTCATAAGTTTCACATCCTCTATTATAATAATCACTTTCATGATAAAAGGCTCAAGTGAATGACCGAAATATCAATTGCATCAATGTCTTCTTCTTTACCATCAATGACTATTCATTTCACAGAATTATGGAATGATTATGCCAATACTCAAACAAAATGTCATGATAGTGCTGTAGGGGGTCGCTCATGATTTCTTCTAACTTATAAATAGATGGTATAAGACTTTTACAAGCAAGACATGAGAATTATTATTAAAAAAAATTATGTCTAAAAGTATTTATTTGTCATAGCAGCAGCTACAAAACATTAAGTATAGTTGGCCTACTCCAAAATCTCTTTATTTATCATCATATTTGGGCTGATGTTGTAAAGGATTTTATCAAGAGATTACCTTGCTCCAATAGTTATTGATCCATACTAGTGGTCATGGACAAAGTAAATAAATATTCACATTTTAGTCCATTCACACAAACGTCTACAATGCAAGTGTAATTATGAAATTTCTCAAACATGTGGTTAAATTGCATGAAACCCTAAGATCTATTACATTCAACCATGACAAGGTTTTCTATAGTTTGTTCTAAACATAGTTGTTTTGATCAAAAAGAACCATTTTTAAGTGCAACATGACATTCTATATACAAATACTTGATTTAACTGAAGTAGTCAATGACAAATCTTCACTATTCTGTCTATGACAAATCTAAGTATTGGAACCACACACTAACTAGTGCTGAATTGTTTCGATATCAAATAACATTCCATTTTAAGTGGTTCATGGAGATGATTCTCCACCTACCATTGTCACCACATTACAACCTACACAAGTGGCATCAATTGAGGAGCAATTGCAACAATGTGACTCTATATTGAACACTTTTTTATCTTTAACCAAGTTGACATAGTGGCCTACATATTAGATATATTGGATTTTGTCAAGATATATCTCATTTTTTTTATATCACAACCTAAGAAGGCATTAGGTGAATGCTCTTGCAATTAACCTTTGAGACCAGTGTTGGATGAAAATTTGCAACAAGTAGTCCAACTCAAAAAGGAGAGCCAGAGGTGAATGAGTATTTATTTTAAAGTATTGACCCCTATTTATTGATAATTTAATCAACATGTATTTATATTTTTGAAAATTATATCTCTTAATTCGTTTTATTCGGAAGTGAGCTACCTAATTTAATTCGGGTCGGGTCCAAGTGTATTATATATGACCCGGGTCGATCGAAACCCGGTAGACCGCCGTGGCAAGCGGGTTATTTGTGCGGGCCCCACTTGAACTATGGTTGGAACCTTCGAGACGGTCCAGATCGAGCAACTCCATCGGAGGGCCGGCGCCGTCACCCGCTCGGATGTCTCATCTGGAGAGCACGATAACTACGTAACCGTATATGAAGAGAGGGAAGGCAGATGGCTGTGGTGGCTCCTCTCGGCGTGTAGGTCTAGGGTTCATCTTCCTCTCCTCTCTCCTCCCCCATTCTCGGGGCGGTTCCGACGTCTTGCCTCTCGTTTTGACGACTCTCGCCGCGTATGTATTCACGAAAATGAACGAGATCGGCCGATTTGGATTGCTTGGTGGGAGCGTTTCCGCGGAGATTAGTGTAGGGGTCCTGGGTGGTTCTCATCTTTTCGACTAGGATTCGGAGGTTTGGGGGAGGCTCAGACGTTTATCTTGACCCCTAAGGTACTGACTTATGGCGGGGCTGAAGCAGTCGAAGAGGGTCTCTTGGGCCCCGGCCGTGAAACTGTGTCAGGTATCAATGCGTCGCACGACTTTGTAGGCAAATCGTTTGATTTCTCTTTCATAGGATCTAAAAAATGATTGCGTCTGTCTCTCTGCCCCGACTGATTGAGAAGATTTATGGTGTTGTTTGCCCCATATTTCTCTCTCTCTCTCTCGCCAGCTATTATTTCTGTGTCGCATGAGAAATTGCCACCCTCACTTCTTTCCCCTTATTTTTTAGCCAAATCCCAAGTCAATTATTAGACTGTATCTTCGTGGCCTGTGATTTCAATTGCAGTGGTCCCATCCACACCCTGTCGAGCGGATCGGCTCTGTTTTTCCTGTTCTTCCCTCGTGTACCTTCCTTCCCCAAGCCCATCGGTCAATCTCGACAGAGTAGTTGTCGAATTCCTCCCATGATTGGAGATTTTTTTTAATGAAGGAAACGATTATGACAAAAATGTAATTGGAACGACTGACGTCCGACTCGGAATATGACGACTTCTTTCACCAGAGAACTGATGTGTTCCGGTGGGCGGTCGATGAATCAACTGGTTATACTCCTGTTTCATCATAATTTTGAAACAATTGATCAGCTTAAATCTATCACCTCCTTTTATCCGTTGTATGATGCAGACCTATGCCTGATCAATCAATCAGCTGTTTCGATATTCGTTTTAAAATAACAACGATTGTTACTAATCAGATATCAAATCCATATTGGCACAATTGAGTAAATTAGGTTAAGAACATCAGATTACTTCATGTTGGATACCAGCCCCACTTCTTCTCTATGTAGATTCATATCGCCCTCATTAATAACGGAAATGTCTAAGAAAACACTTTAAGAGAGTAATAAACACATGAAGTGATGTCTTGTTCCTATTTATCAGTATTTCCAGTACGACACAGACTTGAAAGTTTAGCCTTTTTCTTTGCAAGAAGTCAACAAGATAAGAATTCTTAAAGATCAGTTCGAAAGGAATTTAATGTAAAGAATTTATTTAAGGAGTTTATAACCAGACTTCCAGTCTTATTTGTGCATGGAAAATGCTGAAATTGTCGCCTGTGTTCTGTGCGTGATGATTGCTGAACCTATGGGGTATTATGACAACCAAACCCAGGATGCGCACAATAGTTCTATGCTGTTAGATGTTTGGCCGTTGGCTAGATGCTGGCTTCCCAAACCCTACAACTTGAAGCAATTTCCTACAAAAGTGGCCGTCCTAGTGTAATAAAGTACTTTGGCAGCATAATGAAATTTAATTCCCGGCAGTGATGTGTTTGGTGTCGGCTTTAAATGACCCCATCGCAGGTTCTCATGCATGCGCTACGCTAATATACACCCTGAGTGAGGGGACGCTTCTGTCTTCAGTGTGAGCAGAATTTCCATGAGTCTGATTCATGGGATGGACACATGATTCGACCTATTTGGTTTTCCACAGTTGGCAAATGTCACAAGATGGGATCGAATTACCTTTCTTGAAAGCTGTTAGTGGTTAGATAATTAGTCTATGCAGTAATATGATTCATGAATGATATTTAATCCATCAGTAATACGTTTTATCGTATTGAAGTTTGATTTTCATTTATCACCATCTGCTTTCCTTGGGGAAGGACAGAAGGTGTCAGGCCTATTTGTCAATTGATAAGAACCTTCACTGTCTAGCCTAGGATCTCTGGCCAGGGTTGATGAAACCCATGAGTTTTCTTCTGTTTCTTTCCCATTGCATAGACCATAAACCACGGCATCACCATTAGCAGAATTATGGTTCAGATACGTCTTTTAGTTGTTAGACTGTGAAACAGCCAGATGTACGTGAGCTGTGGGAAGTCCACAGGGTTTTGGGATTAATTATGATACAGTGTGTATACTATCACATCGTATTTATTTTTGCTGCTATGGTGAGAACTTGTGGCTACCTTGGCCACCCCTATTTTCTGTTCTTGCCTTCCAGCCCTTGCCCTCAGTATCTGTGACCTGAAGAAAGATATCGGGCTAGTGACGTAAAATGTGGGCAGTTGTGACTCGAATTGATTTTAGCTCTTTTCCCCTAAGATTTTATAAATGTGCTTGAGCAATTGAAGATCCCATTATGGCTCTACCTTCATAAAAAGCGGATGCTTGTTCTAGTGTTCCTGACTGAAATTCTGGGTTGGTTTGGCTGATTCTTGAGACTTTCAAGACGGAGAAAATAAAATTCAAACATGCAAAATAATAGGGAAACAAAATAAGGTCACAGAATATAAATTAAAAAACTGGAAAGTAAGAGAGTATATTTGAAGAGTGTCGTGGATATCCCAATGCGAATACAGAATGGCAATAATGAGAAACAAATACATTCATCTTAGGTTTAGCAAGAACTTTAAGATGATCACTGGGATTTTTAGCCTTGAATCTAATAAATGTATCTCTCTAGACATTCTTATACAATCAAAAGTTGTTAAGACACCTCTCACCATCTCCATTTATTTTTTCCCCGCTGAGCTCAGCCCCTTTTTAGGAAGCTTTTTAATAACTACATTTTGATTGATGTATGTTAAAGTACGAAGCAGATAGGGCGGCACCTGAATTTCTCTGCTGTTTTCTTAGTCCCTTGAACATGAGTGAGAGCCTCTCTTTTTTCTGCAGTGTGGCCGTTATCAATTTATGGTGTTCCTTTTCCTGATGGCTGAGACAAAGGTTAATCTGAGTAATTTCATCCGAGGATTTACTATTACTCCCTGTCGTTCGAGCCATCTAGGGGTTCCCTTTAAACTTAAAACTTTTAATGTCACTCATGTACAGTAATCTGGTATGAACCTAATGTCCTGTCTGAGTTGTTTTATGATCATCCTTGCCAATTTGTTAGCTTGTACTGTAGTGGAACCTGGATACCAGCATCTCTTCTGTCGACTATGGTTTCTTTATTTTCTTAACTAATCGTTTTTCATCAGAGCTTTTAGTCCCTTCTTACCATCTTTCCTCCAAGCATACATTATTCCTCACCCCATTCAATTTGAGTTTCATTTTAATTTTGTAGTATTTGCAAATAGCATAGACGCCATATATCTGGTGTCAAAGGATTCAGTGGAATTGGCCAGATTTTAAGAATAATCTTGTGAAATGCGACTAGGGTTTCTCCAATCCAACCCAAACAAAAGATGGGTACCAAAACTATAAAAATGTTTGGATAACAAGAATTTATGATAGAGTTGTGAAGATGTTAATGCAGGATTTCCTTGTGTTCCTGTGTCCTGAGAAGGCAAGGTCCCAGTGTTTGTTGTTTCACTAGAACAATTGGTAGGTAGCAAGTGATCGTCCAGATGAAGCAACTAAGGAAAGTGAGAAAGTGAAAACCAAAGGATATCCCATGTTGGTTTAAGGAAGGCTGATACTGAATTGTGTGGACATCCCAAAAAACTTATCACTGGAAATGATATTTCTTATGAACCAATTAAGTTTCCGTTTGAGTGCATAGACAAAGAAATGAAAATTAGTGAAAAATAAGGTATTTTATGTTGTTTAACAAAAAATATTTAGTAAATAGTCTGAGAGAGTCACAAAAGGAGGGAAGGCCACATGCAGAGATTTCCTTTTGTCCTTTTTTTATGTTTTCTGTGAAGAAAATTGTCTGGCTTAGGAAACTAAGGGCAGATTTGTCTTCCTTTTCTGTTTAACCTTTTTTGTACAGCTATGACTGATTACCTTGTCGGCCACACACCTGCGGTGTTCTCCTTAAGGAGCACGTGTGCCTAAACAGACTTAAGGTCGAAGTCTTGATGGTGGGTTGCGTGTGTCCTGGACCCACCCTGGGTTTACCCAGCTCCAGGTCGGATTATACGTTTCCATGCATGAAGAATCACCGACTATAGAGACAGACTCTCTTTTTCCCTTATCCCAACTGTTTTCCTGCAGTTAATCTTCTTGAAAAGATGATTATGCATGAGAATGGTAGTCTTTAGCTAGCATAACCAAATTAATTTGCCTGAAAATAAAGGCATACACTTGATTTTCATAATCTGGAAACGGAATATGATTGTTCAGAGTATAGTATATCCCGGACATATCCTCTGATCTGTACAAGTGGTCTCTTTCAATGATCACAGATAGATTCTCAAAACAGTAAGTTTTGACTATGTGGATGGTGTAATATTTGTCTGTTATTGAGAAATGTCTTTTCAGATTAGCTCAAGTTTTTGGTTATATCTGTACAGCTTCGCATACTCTTTAACCTCATTTTCCCTTTGTTTTTATTAGTTATTGACCCTAGTATCACCAATGACATCTAAATAGGTCAGACTTTTTCTATCGGATGATACCCCGTCTCAATCTGGGTCTGGAGCGCAAGACCATCTCCAAGCGAAGGCTTCATGGCTGTGGCATTCAAGAGAAGCGGTGAACTCTGATGAATACTTGCCTCCTGGTTTCGAAGCACCGCCTCTGATCCAGCAACAGCCCAAAGCAGTCCAGATTCCTCTCATCAAATGGAAGGTCCCGCTCAAAGTGAGGATAGATTTTTTTCCTGCCTCATCGTCACTGCTAAAAAAGGTGCTGCGTTGTGGGTCGAATTATGGCTCTAACTCTTTTCTTGTACAGTTTTCTTTGAATCAGGAGTGGCTGGTGGTGGCTGGAGAGGAAAGCAAGGAAGTAGAGCTTCAGAACCAGAGGCAACTGGGAGTCTTCGAAGCAATCTATCCCCGTCTATCATCTATTCCTCCAAAGTGAGATCTCCCTTACCATCTCTCAACCGTGTCATCTCCCCTGCTCCAACCCACTATTACATGTCTGTGTCCACTGATTCAATTACTTATTGGCCCTTCATTCAGTCCTATCTCATCGGAGGAGTCACAAGATCTCCACCACGATGAGGCTCAGACTCCGCCTATTCCTGTGAATGCCATCGAAGATGATCCAACAGATGAACTCGACCTGCAAGCAGCACTTGACACCTCCAGGTACGAGCAGCAGCATTCAGAGGTGATTGAAAGGGTGACGATGGATATCCCGACTTTGCCAAGAGGGCCGGCAGAAGGTGCTGAATCAGGGGTTCCAAGTATGCCCAATGACGGAAAGCCCGTGTTCGCCTTTCCTCCCGGTGTAGAACCTGATGTGGTGGCGGCTGCATCCGCCGCCTTTACAGCATTGATGAGGAGCAGTGAGGAGGGAAGCCTCATCGACCGTGATTTGCTCATCAAAATTCTCAGCAATCCAAGCCTGATAGAGAAGCTACTCGCAGAGTATGGAACACCTAGACAACAACAGCCACCGGCCATGATCCCCGCGGCTGTTCGACCAGCACTACCTGCCGAAGTGAATCCCCTGCCCAAGCCACAGATTGGGCATATTCATTCCCAGAGTGCCGCCGCTCTACCCACTCCCAAGAATCCACCGCCACTTTTATCTACGGAAGTCGGGCTTGCTAACACGCCGCCGGTCAGGGGCCCTCCGATGAGGGATATGAGCTACTTCAAGACCTTGATTCAGCAGCACGGCGGAGATGGGTACGAAGTGATGGACCCGGGCTATGCCCCATTTGACAGGCACCATAATTATCTTTACAAGGATACAGGTGGTGGGAGTAATGTGGAGCAAGGGAATCAGAGCACGACGGTGCACAGGGATCCCAAGTCGAGAATACCAAAGCCTTGTGTGTACTTCAACAGCCCCCGGGGGTGCAGGAATGGGGCCAGCTGTTTGTATATCCACGATGGTTCACTTCCTCAGAGGAATGATCGGCAGAGCAGAAAGAAGATTAAGCTGGATAAAGAAACGATCAGAAGAGGCTGACGTCACACTACCCACCTCTCTCTCTCTCTCCCCCCCTCTTTTCTTTTCTTTTCTTTTCTTTTCTTTTTTTCTGCCCCCTGTAAGTCATTATTACCTTCATCATCTTTATCATCTCGGTACATATGCTTCCCGCTCTCTTCTTTTCATTGTCTTACGATTTGTTTGAAGAAAGTTTACTAGAATTATTCGGTCTTGAGTTCCAACCTCCTGGAAAGAACTGATACCTGATCGACAACAGCTTCCGAAGAATCATGAGTGAAGATATCATCATCTCGGCCACAGGGAGCGCACATTTTTCTTGGATGTTTGGGAAGCTTCACCCTCTTAAGTTAGTTTTAATCTATGGGAGATCAAGAATTGACATTCTTCATGAACGTATTATACAAAGAATTGAGGGAGTCTGAGACGGTTCGGACGTTGACCGTGGGGACAATAGACAGAATGTCAACGGAATGAGCTTCAGGCTGCGGCCGGGTTTGGATCATGTGGGCTGGACCGATCCTTCCTTCTAGACTTAACCCCAGAAAATGGGCCTTGTTGGGCTCCTGCACGGCCCAACCCCCAGGCACACCTGGTTGCCTGAGGGACAACGGATACCTTCAACTTTGGTCTCCCCATGTTGCATGATCTATAACCTCTTCCGAGTTCATAAATATACACAAATTTTCATGGCTTCACACAGCCGCCTAGCGGTCTTCGCGTTGGACTCTGTTCGGGTCGGTGATCATGTCCATCATCATCTTCTCTGGAGAGTCGTCCCAAGCAGCAAAAGTCTTCAAGTCAACCTGCGCAATAAAGTCAAAGTTCTCCAATGAGCTCTGACCCTCCGTCAATCCATTGAATTTCCGAGAACTAAATACATGAGAATCGGCAATCCAATGGCGAGGGCCAACCTTGCGGCGTTGCTCTGAGAAAAGCTGCTCTCTTCTCTTGTACGCTTCCTGTTGCTCCCTGGCCGCTCTTCCACCCAGACCCCATGCCTCGATCTCCAGGACGAAAGCTTCACTGGGGAGGAAACCCTGTAGATTGAGGTGGCATGATCAACGGCAAGAAATTTTGGAAGCCTGCCCATAATTTAATCCAAGATCATCCCTTCTTTTTTTTTTCTTTTTTCTTTTACCTGATTGGGAAAGAGAGGGCCGGGCTTGTATGTTCTGTCGACTGCATGGTGCCGGACTGTAACTCTGGAAAAATCTTCATCGATGAAAATCCTCTCGTTGCCCACCGATCCCCCAAATCCCAAGCCGATGGGTTTTGGGTGGGGATCATAATGTCTCACAGAAGGATGCAGGCGAGAGTAAACAAAGTTCTTGTCTTTCCCTGTTCAGCGTCAGCGCAGTGTCAGCAGAGATGAAGAATATTTTTGAAAGGAAAAGAAGAAAGCTACTTTGTCTGGATGCCAACCAGAGTGAGAAAAGATGCGGAAGACTGGGCTCAGTGCATAGAGATATCCGGGCTCCCCATAAAATGCATCCCCGTTCTCAAATCCTTGTGCAGTAAAGACGCCAATAACATGATTTCCTTGACTGCTTTCACCATCAGCAGCATCCGCAGGTTTTGCTGCTAGGACAAGCAGCACCGGCCCTTGGTAACCTTCCACGTTAGACCAGAATCTGCTTAGTCCCTTTCCGTGAAAAGATGACCTGCATGTCGAAGTTCTTCCCGTTTATTCTAATAAAGATCCAATGCAATGGCAGAAAAGCCGTCGAAGGCTGCTGAAAAGGGGGGGTTTACTCTGATTAACCCTTCTTCTAGAAAGCATAATAATAAATCAACAAAGAATCGGATGCAGGAATGGTATTTGGGAGGACATCGAAGAACATATGATCTCTCGAGGCACTCCCTATGAACCGTCTTCTGCCGTGAGATTTTTTAACTTGTCTTACTCTAACATCCCTCAACTGTTAAAAGAATGGAGAATAATATCAGAGAGTTCCTCGGACAAAAAATAATTGTAAAACATCCACAAAGTGCTTGGAAACTTGTTGATGGCGGCAAACATGTGCTGAGTTCGTCTGTATAAGTGATTTTTTTCTAGTGGAGAAAATATTAGGTTTTTTTTTTTTTGCATTGTATAAACAGTGGCAGCCTGTGAGGTCGATTTTGAGATCTGTTCGGTGGGAGTAGAAGCCTGTAAGGACTTCATTGGACAAGGAATCAATAAATGTGATTTGAAACCATATTTATGTATCCCCAGAGATGGAATGCTCCCAAGAGGCATTGAGCGTGGGAAATCTTTGAAGGTCATTAAGAAAATTTACATACAATAGTCCGAACTAAGATTATTATATTTCCCACGAAAAGATGAAGATGATTTAGTCTAGCCTCCAAGGGACAAAGAAGGACAGGGCGGCCAGATATCACATCACCATGACAAAGGGGGTGACAGCCTCGAAGAAGGTTGCGCATGAAACTAACCTGTGTTACTAGTTTCCTTTCACCCATAATTGCATGATTCCTATCTCAATTTCAGTAAGCAACACACCCCCATGTGACAGTGAATCAGAAGCTGCTAGGAACACACTGGCCAACCTGATTTCATTCTTTTTTCAGGTTTGAAGAACAAAATCTAAAAGAGATGGTCTTATAGGAAACCATAAACTAATAAACGCGAGATCGTTGGCTCGGAAAATGCAAATTCCTCAGGCTAAAAAAGTAGTATGGAGAGAATCTGAAACTGAAAAACTTCAAATTTTAAGCGGTCTGTTTGCCAAAGGGAAAAGAAATCCTTACTGAAAACACACTTCTCATATGTGTTCAGCAACAATACAAGGGCAAATAGCAGGAAAAATATTTCATTCGATGATCATGTACACGTTTTAAGTGGAATTTCGACGAGAACATACAGGTAATAAACCCCCAACATTTAGATTGATCCAAATGTTGAGGGTAGTAGGTTGGCCGAATGAAAAGGTCACAAAGTTATGCTGACAAACCTGTACAGGAGATTATCAAATGCTCCAGTGGATTTTCTGGGAAAGCATGCTCGAGAAAGCTCTTCATTCACAGTATCTCGGAATGTAAGTGAGATTGCCCAGGCCCTTCCGCATGTCAAAAGACAGTTCTCATGAACATTGACGGAAGAACTCTCACCAATCAATGAAGATGAGGAGTCCACGTCATCCTGTACATATTTATAAAGAATGAAATACTCTGAAGAATCTCAGGATATCTTTCTTCAAAAGGATCGATATAAAGCGAGACAGCATTGTGGGATAGAAATTCCGTCTACAGCCCTTAGGAATTTTTTTTTTCAAACTAGATTACTAATATTTTTGCACCTTAAACTCATGTCACAAATCCTAATACTAGAATTTGAATTTGACATAGTTCAGCTACAAAATAGAAATACATAATTATTTTAAGTTAATTATATTTCCGAAGAAACTTGCAGAATCAGATCAACCAAGGCAGTTGCATAACAGTTTTTTTTTTAATGTAATAAAATGAAAAAATAATGAAATTTCTTACGACCAATCATCAAGATTTTGCACAACGAATTGATCGTGAATCCAAAGGATCAAAAATTCCAGCACTAAAATTCATAACGTTACAACTAAAAAAAACATGCTACAGATCATAAACAAAGTTCCCACTAATGCTCAAAAGGAAGGATTTACCTTTGATGTTACGCAGGCACGAAATCTGTCCTGAACATATTGTGTCAAGCAATGTGAAAGGCCTGGGATCGTCGCTAGGATCCACATGTGAAGCTTTGGCATAGAAATCTGCTTTTCTAATTCCAAAGGCTGATCATCTCGAGAATTTGGCAACCCATCAGTTTCATGAGAACATATATATGCTGAAGCTATCAAATGATATACATCAGGGAGAATGTAAGCTGACTGTTTGCAATATTTCGAAATCTTAGTGCCCTGTGCCATGATCCAACACAACCAAAGAAGCATGAGCACATCACTCAATTTCACATTTCCAGTGATTTTACCAACATCCGTATCATGATCAAAAGCAATCCCTGACCCAATGCCAACTTCTCTCCCTAAATCAGAGTACAATTTGTACAAATTATGAATTGATGCTGACAATGGCATCCTTCCACAGCATCTGTTGTAACCTTTCAAGAAACCAACCCAGTCGACATCTTCCTTACCTGTGTTGAAGAAGAGATCAACAATACACGGGCCAAGATTAACCAACATTTCCTGAAAGTGTTCAGGCATAGGAGATACTTCTGTTTGCAAATTCTCGATGCGTAGGGAAAATGTCTCCTAAAAAATGAATATTGGACCGATTGCTGTGAGAACACAACAAGTGTAATAAGAGAGGAGTAAAAAAATAGTAAGTAAAAATGCATTAAAGTTGACGACTACTAGGAAAACATACTGCTATCCTGTGAGTTGACAACTGTACGTTTTCTGACGATGGAATACATCGTCCTTTTGTACTTTGGACAAAAATCCCGGACTTCCCAACCGGCAGGTTGATTAAAAAGAAATGTTCATCATAATAAACTGATTCCCTTTCACCGTCGAGATCCTTTGAGTTCATGACATCTCTCTTTAAGGATGGATATGAAATTAAACTGACTAATTATCTACTATATGACGAAGACTAAGTAGTGAGACCTAGTCTTAAATGACAAACAAGAAGACAGACATAACTCATTATCAAGAAACCCAAGCGACTGACAACCTTCACCAGGATCCTAGAAAGGTATAGATGCGTAATCGCACGAGAACACCAAATCGCTCGTGACGTGACAATTCAGCTCACGAAAAAGTTCTTCCAAAACAATGACTGATGGGTACGTTTCTGGATAATTATCTGATTACCTGGAGGGATTTAAGAGGAATAGCCCTCGTTTCGGGAAGGGAGAGTTCGGCAAAAACGCTCTGAAGCATGGGGAGGGACCCCGTGGACGCCGCCAGCGACTCCTCTTCCTGCAGCTCCTGGGATGGCTTCCCGACCGACGACGAGGCACCCATCTTCCCTTCCTCTGAGCAGAGCCAAGAACTGAAGGATCCAACGCAAGCTTTCCTCCTCTCCCACTCTCGCATTCGCGACCAGGAATTGGGAATTTGAACAAGAAGAAGCATGTGAATCAGCCGACTTGACACGTCCCGCCCCCCCTCCCGCCGCCTGTCCGCAGGACCCGGGGACACGTGGCTATGCTCCCATAGACTAGCCTTAAACTGAAAGAAAAATGCTTCACAAGGGCTATTCTGTAAAAGCTCCGATCACGTACACGTTGTCCGGCGGACTATCTTACCGCAAAGTGTTGCAGACCAGAGGAAGGTGAAAACCTCTTTGGAATCGCAGCTTTGTTTCCGTCTTCACAGGCATCTGGTTAGGGTTCCAGGCCAGCGGAGGAGACAGCGGGGGCCTCTTTCTCTCATTCTCAGCGTCGGTTGTGCTTCTCCCATGGCTGCTCCGGGTCCTTACTCTGGTGTCAGCACCCTCGCTTTTGTGCGTACCCTCCTTCTACTCCTGTTAAAGAAAACTTTTCCCCGTCACTTGTGTTCTACCCGCATTGATCCGCGATTTGGCGCTGGCAGGTAGCTCGTGCTTCAGCCCTTACCGTCGGGTTGGTCTACGGAAGCTTTAAGCTATCGTATCTCAAGGTAGTTTTCCCCCTTCCCCTAATGCCATCTGTCTTTGGCCGTCTCAGCCTTTCGCCAGTAGATCTACTCGAGTTCCACGGCATCCGGTTAGAAGTCATGTATTGATTCGTTTCGATTGGGTAGATAAAGATACGTCTTGGTTTGTCGCGGCGACTATCTCTTTGAGAATTGAATTTTAGCCATTTCCGAACCCCAGTGCATAATATTAGTTTCCCTTTTTGTAAAAGAGTGACTACCTGCAGATGAAAATCACGCTGAGCGATCTGCAGTAGCTATTAAATCGATCGGTAGATGGAAACTTAGAGTGATTGGGCTCTCTTTCTTGGCTTATTACATTTTTTTTGTTCCGCACCTTTAACAACGGCTCACAGTAAAACCTTACACGTGACCGATCGAAGGCTGGATTCCATCATCCCTCGAGATCTTTAACCGATTCATCAAGGGAATATATAATTTTATTTCTGATAATGATTTCGTGAAGCAATAGCAATAGGAAATGTCTTCAGGTTCTGACAATGTATATATAATTTATTTCATATGAATATCCCTTATGATAATCGATGACAACTTTGTTAAGCGAATGTAATTGTCCCTTTTATTTTCGTTTATTGCATGTTTTATCTGTAATTGTTCTCTCCCAAATGCGGTGGTCATCTAGATTTTTCTATTTCTTGGATGATTATGAACGGGGAAGAAGATCTTTAACACATTGTAAAATGTAGGTGCCCAGATGTGCAGCAAACGTTTCTATTCATGAAGTGCGTGCTTCTGCATATTTCGTTGGGTTTATTACATTATACTTCCTCAAAGAATTAAACTCAGCTCTATTGATAAATATCTATGCTGGATCTCAAAGAAGATTGCTTTCGTCTTTTGGCTGGGCTTCGTTCATTGTTCTTGCGTTTTCGTGGTTTGCATTTTAATTAATTTCCAACATGCTTTACGGTTTTGATAGAGTTTTGTGCATCTTATCTTGTATTCTCGGCTCAAAGTACAAATTCATTTTAGCATTTGACAACCTGGTATTGCCCTGGAACCTGTGCAATATCTTTTTTGAATTTATCCACCAAGATTTAATCAAAGTACAGATTTTTTTTTTGTATTTTTTTAACAAGAAAAAAATCGAAAAGGAGAAGTGGGATTCTATCACGTCTCCTGGAGAAGTCCGACTTCAGATTTTCCTCTGCATAAGGTCAAGGTTCTATAAGGATTTGGAGTTTCTTAGTTTCATTTATGGGCTTCATCATTCTGAGTAAAACTCTTCGCCATTACTCATCTTTTATCACTCCTGAAGAATGAGGGCCAGTTAAAAGGTTTAGCATCATTGAAACTTTTAAGGTTATTCCCTGGTAACTTAACACAGATTTTGGTCTTGGGAGCTATGGGCACATGTCTTTGTTTTGTCAATCTCTAAATGCCAATGGGGCAGATTCTGGTTGACCCTCGTGCATTCCATGTACGATTGAGTCATACCTCCTGGGCATAAGAAAATAGGGGATTTCTTTCGAAGCCAGTGAACCATTAGTTTAGGAACCAAAGTAACCGTCTGTGCATGCGTAGATATATCGATAGCTATTCTTTTCTGGATGCTTGGCTGCTAACACAGATACCCTTTTTTTTTTCACGCAGGCCAAGGCAAAGTCCCAGGCAAAAGAGGAGGCAAAGGGCCACCACTAAAGAATGAGAGATGATTTTTGATGTTTTGGTGGGACCATGCACACTGCTCGCAGTGTCAAGTTTTTTTTTTTTTAAAAGAAGTTAAAGACATCTCAAAGCTTGTTCATCTTCACAAAACAAGACATCTGTAATGTTGTCATGCTCTCATTGTTGAGTAGAGAATAATCCGCTTTCTCTAGTACTGAAAAAAAAAAAACATGGATTCATGGGTTCGTTTGCTGCTTATCTAGAGCTCTCTCAGGAGCGGCCAGCCTCTCTTCACTATCTCGCTGATCCTGTTGTAGATCTGCATCTGGATTTTTGGTGGGCAAAACTCCGCACAATAGCTGTTCAGCTTTGCAGCCATGGTTGATCCCTGCAGCTCCTCTTCCGGCAGGTTCCCCATCAACAGGAGCAGAAACCGATTGCGTTTGAGCTCAAACTTCTGTGACGATTCACAAGGGAACTCGTTAGTTGGATAGTAAGACTCCACTATGCATAAAAGAGTGCATATGCCGAAATGAAATGTCAATGATAAACCATAAGTATATTCAGCTATTAACAAAATATATAGGCAAGTCATGCGCATATTACTAGTAAGGTTAGGGTGGCTCCGATATCTATCCACAGTTCGGATATGCTTGTCCATAAATGGTTCCATGGATCGCGTGCTCTGATTTGATGTTTATGGATACTTGAGGGATGGATCCCTAGGGTTAAGGAGTATGGAAGAGCACAGAAAAAAGGAGATTCGAAGCAGGTAATTTGGCTTAGGAGATGCCCGTTGGCTGGCTTCTATGAAAACACTTTTCAAAAGAGGCTTATGTGATTACTGCTTACACCGATGGCTATGGTTACCTAACCAATAGAAAATATCAATCCGGGAATATTCTCTGCACCAGAGGTCTTTACAGGTCCTCTTATCAGGGATTAGATGGTTGATAGCTGAAAAAGTTGGATCATTGGCGAAGATTTGACTCCGATTTTCCCATGGTTCATGAGGATCTTATTCTTTCTTGCTGAAGTGTTTAACTAATGTCCTGAATCAAATGAAATAAAAATGAAACATTTGGACATTTTTTTTTGCAACCCGGAGAGAGAGAGAGAGAGAGAGAGAGAGAGAGAGAGAATGCTACAACACACCTGCGAAATCAAGAAAATTGTGGGTGGCGCGTAATAGAGAATAAAACTGGATCTAAGTCACAAAATATTCCAAGAAAACCATAGCTAAGTCTGAATGCACATCATAGTTCTTTAGCAGATAAGATGAGGCATGCTCTGGCCAAAGAGATATATTTACACTATTGAATGGTGGCATTGAAGTTTACGTAAAATTTTCCTCTACGAATTTCATAGATATTATGGCAAGAATCACGTAACAACTATCAAGGGAAGAAAATAAAAAACGAGGCTAGCATGGACTGACCTGGTGATCAGGCTCTGCAGGATAGAATGTTCCCAGCTGCTCGATGCGGGTAGTCACAAGGCTACTTTTCGACAAAGTCTGCTCTCTTTCTTTGCTTTCAGAAGCTAATCCAGCCTCCAAACTTCCATTTGTGAAGATTATAGACCTGATTTTCACACGTGCTAGTGTCATCGACAAAATATTCCCAACGAAAAGCTGCAGAAATATTTCTCAGCAATCCATTACCTGTACTGGTCACCCACATCTGGCCCTTGGCCGAAAACCTGTCTGGAGTCATGACTCGACCAGAATACATCCAAAAGCTGCTTGAATTGAATCACCTTTGGATCATATTCAATCTGAGGTCCAGCCCATAAAGTCAACTTATGAGATGAGCAAGATCATATGCTAAAGAATGAAGGTTAGGAAAAAAATAAAATCATCAGCCGAAGGACTTCCGTACAAAAATTCGGGAATTAAAACTCAATAATTAGCTCTAAAATGGGCAGTCACCTCCTGAATGTAGTTCCTCGGAGGTTTAAAGGTTACAAGAGATCAGATGAAGCGTAATAATTGGCGTAATACTGAATGATGACGGTTAACATAAAAAAGTAAACGAGATATTAACCAGTCAAAGTAAAACAACGCCAACGCCAACAAGAAGAGATTCCCTGACGTATTACCGAAGGAGATGGGAAATAATGCCGAGGGGAAAAACCCCAAACGAATCAAATTAATATATGTGCTTGCTATACCACGAGGGAAAAGTGTCAAATAAATTTTTGTATGAATGTAAAATAGGGGAGATCAACAGGAATACAATAATTTTAAAAAATTCGCAACAGAGATCAGCTAAGAGAAGCATGGAATTCATTTTTCCCCCTCCTGGCCAAAAAGGAATCAGCGAGAGAGAGAGAGAGAGAGAGAGAGAGGGAGGGAGGGAGGGAGGGAGAGAAAGAGACCTTGACGCATTCTGCGTGGCCTCCGAGATTCCGGTATTGCGGATTGGTCTTATTACCGCCAGCATATCCCACCGTCGTCCGCACGACACCGGGCAGGCATCCAAAGACGGCTTCCGATCTCCAGAAGCTGCCGAGGGCGAAGACTGCCACCTCGAGGTGCTGCTGTCTGTGATCCGCGGTCGCCACTGGAGGGTTCCGGTCGGGCAGTCGGATACCCAGTGCTTCCTTCACGAAGAGAACGCCGACGGCAAGAAGCCCCACCAAGAGAACTCGCGAAAGCTCCATTCCCCTGCTAAATCCTCACCGGTGCCAGGGATCCCCGCTCGGAGGGAAGACGAAAAGGGTGTTCCTCTCTCTCTCTCGGGGAATGGCGGTTAACCGCCTCGCGGACAAGTCTAACTAGTCAAATCGTGATCCCAGAACATCGATCGAACGGTTAAAATAGAGAAATGGAATGGACGGTCATGATGATTCCAAATAAATTGAGATCGGAGCCGCTGTTCGTTGTCTCTCTATAACAATATTGTTTGTCTTGCAACAATCAATGAAGACAAAAACTTGCTCTCTCTCTCTCTCTCTCTCTCTCTCTCTCTCTCTCTCTCTCTCTCTCTCTCTCTGTCGTCGTCACTCCAGAGTGAGTTACTCCTGCAGAGAGAGCTCGAGAGGGTCAACGTGGGGGTGGCGAGGGGGAGAGGATGGGATCTGTGTCTCTGAAGATCGGCGATGGCACTGCCCGCTTCAGGCGTGCGACGGTATGCTCCTCGGCCCTCCACATCGTCATGCTGCTCTCCGTCGTCGTCACGAACCTCTTCGCCCTCTACGCCTTCAAGTACGCCCCCGCCTCGCTCGCCGGCAACCGGCAGCACGGCGACATTGTACTCCCTCAGGATCATCACGGCAATCTTGACATTATCTCCGATCACGTCTCTCTGATCGTTCGAGAGATTGAGTCGTCTCAGAAGAAGCTGAGCCAGATCGAGCGGGAGATTCTTGGGTACGAAACCCTAGACGTGTCCAAGCCGAACCTGCCTTTGGAGCTCAAGTTGTTCCTCCACCGCCATCCGCTTCCTCTAGGCAGGGACTCTCGCACCGGGATCACTGAGATGGTCTCCTCCGTTGGGCACTCCTGTGCCCGCGCCGCTGATCTGCTCTCCCTCTCTCTCTACATGGCCTACAAGCCCGGCGAGGAGTGCCCCGCGGACGCTCATCTGCAACATAAGCTTATCTCCAGGGGCTGCGAGCCACTGCCGAGGAGGAGATGCCGCTCGGTGGCCACTTCCAAGCCAGGTCTGCTCCCGTTGCCGCATTCCCTGTGGAAGCCGGTGAGCGAGAAGATCGTCGGCAGCTGGAACGGATTCGACAAGCAAATGTGGGTGAACCCCAGGGGAAAAAACGACTTCCTAATCGACGATGTGCTTGCTCTGGGAAGGAACATCAGGTTGGGCTTCGACATCGGCGGTGGAGCAGGCAATTTCGCGGCGAGGATGGCGGAAAAGAGCGTCACCGTAGTGACGTCCTTGCTCAACGACGGCAACCCCGTCAGTGATTTCGTTGCAGCTAGGGGCCTCTTTCCTCTCTTCCTGTCTTCAGATCAGAGATTCCCGTTCTACGACTCGGTCTTTGACTTAGTTCACACGATGTACGGGCTGGAGGTTGGCAGTGTCGGGGGATCGAGGCCAGAGAAGACGGATTTCTTCCTGTTCGATGTTGACCGAGTGTTGAGGCCTGGCGGATTGCTCTGGTTGGATAATTGGTATGTGGCTGATGAGAAGAAGAAGGGGGAACTGACGGTCCTCATTGAGAAGTTCACCTACAAGAAGCTGAAATGGGTTGTGGGCGAGAAGCCCGACCCTTCAGGTTCGGGGAAGAAGATCTGTCTCTCAGCAGTACTACAGAAACCAGCAAGAGGAGGATGACCCAGTGGTGGAGACGGCGGTATAACCATAACCTTATTAGATTCTTGGAGGCTTTCGTTGCAACTAATATTTCTAATCTTTTCTAAAGTGCTTGTGAGAAATTTGTTAACAGGTATGTGGAATAATCATAGCGAAGGCTGTTAGTTCGTAGACAGTGTGAGACATAAACTGGGGGAGCAATCCATACCGTGTAAAGCTTTTCTTATGGGATGATATTTCATGGAGATCATGTTGTACCGAAGTCAGATTGCTGTGTAACTGAAGGCCAATCCGTGATTAAATGGGTGCAAAATTGCAGATTTTTTGCAGTGAATGGGAAGGATAGGGGGCGAAGAGACAGAAACATGAAGAGAATCATCTTCTTACCCCCCTTATCACCATTACAGTAATGGCACCATTGCATCCACGTATAAACATCTTTGTGTCCTCCAAGATCTGACTGGACTGAACCCTTTAGTTCATCCGGTTACACGTAAAATCTCCTATATGATCACACATAAGACCACATTTCTCCAAAAAGCTTTGATCTTCACTCGCAATTTTCTACTTCAACATAGGATTAGTTCTTGACCTCTCTTCCACTATACTTGCTCAATTAGTTCTTGCTTCTTGATTTTTTTACACGAAAGTCATCATTTTTCTCTTTCAATTTTTTGCTTTTTTTACCTTTATGGTAATTATTTCTTCTCTGTGACAAGCGCTGGGAAAGTTTCATTTCTCCTGCATTGAATTCCTTGAGCCTCCTGCCCGTACTCTCGATAGCATTTACCATGTTATTTCCCATCCCCCTTTGATTTTTCTTCAGTTTCTACCTCTATATCCATTAGCATATTAATTTTTTAACCAGTCCATCTATTTAATCTGGTGCTTATTGAATACAATAGTGAGAGAGTATTGAAGAAAAGCAATGCTTCTTCGGCCCTCCGTCTCACTACGATCTGTGTAAGTTCTAGTGATTATCGTATCTATAATCCCTAATATATCATAATACTGTTCATGGCACTGGATTGGTTCTTTCTTTTGTGCCAACTCTACTCTTAAAGAATTAAAATAAACGAGAGAGAACAGTTAATAGGCACGCATATACTTGAGAAATCTGACAAAGTCTGCATGAGATCGGAAGAGCAGGAACGATCACAATGCTTCATCTGTACTGATCCAGCTCTTGGGGAAGCTTAGCAGCACGTACCTTCGTCCTAGTTTTAATCATCTTTTTGTACAGTAGACACTGAGGGCTTTCCAGGCTTCATAAAAGTTTGTCTACAAGTCACCAGTGCCCGTCACCATGTTCATAAGCTGCAGCCCCTCCTGGCTCATCTGCTGCACTTCAGAGGGCGAGAGGATTCTGATGCACTTAACGCAAGTGATGAATTCCCTGAAAGAATATGCCTCACTTGGTATTAATCTATGGTAGTCAATGACTAGGGAGGAGCTCCATGGTACATGGGAAAATAATTATATAGTTTGGAGAGAATAAAAGCGGCGGATTGCTCGGGCAGAAGCTACTTACTCCCACGGGTCGTCTCCAACAAGAAGGACATCGTTTTCATAATCCACATAAACGAGCTTCCACCCTGATCCTCTGGGGTCGTCCAGTTGACCTTCGAGTCCAAACATGCAGGCAATGGCATTCTTGAGCTCATCATAGTTTCTGAAACGGGTCGCATCGATTGACCTTCCCACTGATCCAGCCTTCTGAACCTGCTTGCTTGATGACCCATGTCAGTAGCAGAAGCTTTGAAGACACCAGAGTTCGGGCCTACACAAAAAAAAAAAAAAACTGATATCCATATCATACCTTGGTATATGTCCGTAAAGGGGGGGGGACTTGCTTCCATGAACTTGTATTCAAATGATAACGATCATCAAACTCCAAATTGCTTGATGATGTTCCGCCCGAGCAATCGGGCAACTCCTGAAAGGAGATCGTCCGGCAGTCTGTCAGGCTTGCAGTGGTAACCTGAGACTGGACGTCCTGACATGAATTGCAGTTGCTGTGAAGACCCTCTGAAGGTATGAGAAAACAGCAAAGTTTCCCCGCATCAAGGCCGCATTCTACGCCTGTATTGGGGTATGGACCGGCTGTATCTTCTCCACTGTGGCTTGTAAAAGGGAGATTACTGAAAGCTTCATGTTGATTGATATTCCCATCAGCGAAGTCTCTCAGTCCATATGAGTTAGAAATGGTCTGCAATAGCTTGGCATCTTGGATTGATTGATTGTGATTTGAAAACCCATGACCCAGCGATTGCAGAATTCTGTGATTGGTCTCTGAGACCAGAGAAAACTGGAGCCCATCAGTGGCAGCAGAGATCTCTGGGTCAAGAACATTAGATATGTCTGCTGAGCTGGTGGTGGAATTGCCACCTTGCTTCAGTGAACTGGAAAGAAGCTCAGGCGGATTCAACCCAGGAAGAGAAGGATGGTGGCAAGTGCTCCCCAATAACCACCAAGCATTATCCAGGTAGTCAGATGAAAGATGGCCCGAATGGAAATTGTTCACATCAACCGAAGATATTGCTCCCAAACGTGGCTGGTCCTGCATGTGCTGAAGATCTCCCATTAATGGTGGTGCTGGTGCGAGGTACGGGGCCTCTTGAGTTGACAAATCCTCGTCATAGAACTTCCCTGAAGGCTGAGATGGTCGAGATTCCGCATCCAGTTCATCAACAACTGCCTGAGATTTTTCATCAGGATTTGCAGGAGCCTTTCCCTCCGCAGAGGCATCTTCATGTTCATCCATTGAAATAGCGTCATTGTGCTTGCCGACTTCACTTTCACTCTGATCTCTCGACTCCTCCGGAGGCTCACTGACAGCTTGCTTATCTGCTGTGATCGTTTGGGATGCCTTCGAAACACATCGTGATGATACATCTAAATCAGCTGACTGTTTCTGCTCCAATGAAACCCCAGGGCTACTATTGGCTGGTCCCGTTGAACCCTCCATCAATTCATGTTCTTTTCCTGTTTTGTCAGCTGTTTTCTCCTCTTGTACTTGCCCTCTTATCACGCAACTGAAAGGAGCTGCAGGAGAAGGCAAGACTAATTCATGGCTTCTCATGTTTCGTAGTGCATTTGTATACACTAAATTCTGAATCTCGGGGTTGAAACATGGCCGTTGAACTAGCGATCCCATCTGCAGATCTGACTGAAGACCAGGAATTGGAGGATATGTGAATGTACGGTTGACATTTTCTGAAGATTGAGACGCCAGGCGTTTAATCATCATCCCTTGCCCGGATTCACCACCTGATAACCAGAGATTGTCCAAAGCTAGCTGAAGTTAGAAAAGGGGGAGGAGAATGTGAAATAAAAGAAAGCCAATAGGGAATGCCTATCAGTTCTGACTAAATGAGACGTCAAGACTCCTTCAGAGAACCCTGTGTTCTCGTATTAGATGTATTTCCCCTGGTACTAGATGCTTAGAATACGTCAAAGCTCAGGTCAATCTGGGGCATTCAGTTTTATAAATCCAGGTATTTGGCGGAATAGAGAGGACTGGCAATTCACAATACATCAACGAATAACTTCCAATTGAATCCATCCACAGATTGTCACAGGCTTTCAACTAGAAGATAGATCATGAGAATATGGGTAGTAGAGTTACTTTCAGAAAGCATTCAAGACATATGAGTAATGAAAAAGAAAGGGAAAGAATAGTGATTCTTATATTGTTTGCACATGTTTGTCACAGAATAGGCTGGAAAGATAGGCTCAAGTCCCGGTTGATTATTTTATAGAATACGTCAACAAACATAGGCCCACAAAGGAATAGTAAGTTTAAATGAACATCGAAATAAATGGCAAACGCTTCCAGGCAGCATGATGCTCAGGGTCTCACCAGTAATTCCAGAACTTAATTGGCGCTTCAGATTGGAAGCCAGAGCCGGGACAACAAAAAGACTCTCAGGGGTCTCGATCTCCCACATGCTAACTCTATCTGGCCTTTCCACAGAGCTATGCTCATCCCATTCCACCTGAACATGAAATGAAAATGTAGCAGTTAGTATGAGCCTCGACTAAGGAAGCTCCATGCTTAAGAACAGCCCCCAAAAGATCTGACCTGAAGATTGCGCCATTTGGAATTTGGCCATCTCAACGGATCACAGTCACTGATCCCCACAACTGTGCCCATGTACCTGATTAACCCCAAAAAGTAAGTGAAAGGTCAGTGAACCCAGAACTAATGTCATGGTGAACCATATCATGTATTGAAACACCAACGAACAAGAAACAAAGAACAGCCTACTCGGCTTTGATACATCATGGAGACGCAAAACATTACAAACATAGGCCTCATGAACAGTTAATCCCATCCAAAGGAAAAGGTAAAGCAAAATGTTGTAAATCCTCACAGATTCAGCGACTACATACATAGCAGCATACACCAAGGTGATCAGTTAGAAGGAGCAATTAATTTACGTCTCATTTTGGACTCACTTGATTTTCGCTCTTCCAAAGTGAGAAGCAGTTCTTAGTACTATCCTAAATGTGATGATAAAAAACCTAAGAAAAACAGACGCCACAAAGATTCCAAACAGACCCAAAGACCTGGGTGTGTCGAGAATTAGAGGAGCTAATATCTGCATGAGGAACAACTAAAAAATCACATTTTCCCTCATGGAATTCTAAAAGGCGCGAACAATACCTGCGCTTGCCAGAATCTTCTGTTTCAAACATCATTCCAAACCTAGTTCCAACCGATATTTGGTTATATGCAGCCCTGTGGTACTTGGCAATAGGTACAACGAACTCTGAAGGGCATGCCCTAAACGAAATTCACAGAGATCACGTGATTTAATTTGCAAGAAACTAAAATCTCAAATGCCATAAAGCCAGAGATTGGAGAGAAAATAGGAGTTAGGAATAAAACCTTGGGTTGTAATAAACAGTAAATGGGCTGCGATTAGCAGCGGCATGAGCAGCCGCAGCAAAGACTCCAAGATGCATGCTATCAGCAGACAGAACTGATGGTAACACTGTTTGCTGACGATTCGCACGCCTTATGCCCAAAAGCAGCTGTGATTTCTCATCCCTTCAAATCACAATAAGTAATTTCTAAGACTGTGAATACATATTAAGTAAAATTACTTCTCAGGGCTGAAACAATAGTTTTCCTTCCCTTCCAATCAACGTAATAACTTGATGGTATTTGAGGACCGGTAAGTTACAAAGTGGATTTGTTTTCTTCTATTTTAACAGCATTATGCCAGGTTATGCTGTTGGAACAGACAAAAAGTGGATATATCAAACAATTTTGCAGTAAAATTGTTGTTACCTGATGAATAGAACAGAATCACCAGCTTTAAGACGCTTTGCACCAACAAATACACTCCAACCAGACGTTAGAAGATGCCTTTTCGGCTGTCCTGAAAAACATCAGGTATCCATTCAAGCAAATGGCTACAGAAACATATAAACAAGATAGACACGTACAGGAAAAAAAAATCAACAGTCATAAAACTTTGAAACATGAATATGCAGTCGAGCATCTACAGAGTTTTGATATGTTTTTTTAATGCATTCTGTCTGTAACCCACCAAGAGAATATTACAATTCCCAGTACATTATATGAAGTATAGGAAAAGGATGAAGTGTGATTGCTAGTTATGCGAGCTTATATGCCACAGGCAGTATTTTCCAATATTTTGAATCCTCCATGCATATAGTAGAAGTACTTGAAACACAAGAAGTTGAGGTAAGGCATGTACTTGAAGACTTTTGCCAAACCCTTTGATCATTGAAATAGTAGACTTAGGTTGAAATGATTAACGACGATGATAACGATAAAAAAAATGAGAACTAGAGAAGAAAATTTGTTTTCACCTCGATATATGTGCCGAAATGTCCATGAGTTGTCGTGCAAGTCTTGAACAATGAGTTCTTGATTTGGAGGTTGCATGGAATAATCCTGAAATTTAAATTAGATGATTATAATGACAAGCTTAGTGTATGACGGAAGATTTAAATTTTATTTCAGCTTAATTATATATCTTAAAACCTCACCAGCTGGGGAAATAGCTTCTCTGCAGCCCTGCGTGGAACAGAAAAGCCACCATGTGTGCTGGTATCACTCGCTGTTAGAGTCTTACAGAAAAACTCATTGGATGCTTGCTTTTTGTAAGTCCAAAGTCCGCGATAGGAAAGACATCATTTTCCTGGAGAAAGGGACCAACTTGTTTTTTAGTGAAAATAAAATTGAACAACATACATTCCATTAGTTCGAGCAAATAAAAGTTTCATGCGGGCTTAGACTGGGATGTTTTATTTAATGTTACTACCTTATTCAAATACCTGTAGAAAGGAAAGGGTTAAACTTCTAATAACAAGAAGAAGGCTAGCGTCGTGCAAAAGGCATGTTTTCAAAGAAAATAATCCTGACATCTAATCTATCAGAGCATATAACAAAACATCATGACTAACTGAGATATTGCAGCAGTGGCAACAACAACAACAACAACAAAAATTCCCTATCGACAGAAGCCCTACAGATACTGATTTACTTGTATATTAAAACCCAAAGGATTGAAGTAAACTCCTAAAAAGAGCACATGAAAGAGGAAGCTAAAGCTTTACAGTGATAGACCACAGCCAAGGAGAAATTTCAATAGAGTTTAAATATTCAGTCACCAAGTATATCAATTTAATAAAGGTACATTTTCTGAAAATAGTATCGCACATACGGAGTTCACAGGCTGAAGAGTCATCTGGGCATATATCTCATCAGTGTCTTTGTCCGCCTGGAAGGTTCAGTTCAAAGAAAGGAAACGAGTATATCAGAAAATCCTCTAACCAACATGTAAGCATAAGAATAAACCAATTAGTACTTACATGTAATGTGACACCGTGAACCTGACACATCATCTGATATGGGAGACTCGGATAGTTCGGAATATGGGAATTAACAATCCTTCTAGTTGAAGCTGTAACCTGATGGCACACAGGTTTCATAATTCTGAGAAAAGAATAATGCTCGGAAAGACAAGTACTAAGAATCAAGCAGAAAGCGTAAAGCATGAAGTAAACTTATAAGGCTCCATTTTAATCACTAAAAAGACCATCGTTGCTACACCCATGCAAAAGAAAGCGTTTAAAACTAAATCAAGTATGTGCATGATTAAAATGACAAAAGACCATCGTTGCTACACCCATGAAAGCAAGCAAGAGGTAGACCAAGGTATTTTTCAAGGCTTAAGATATTTTTCTAGATAAAAATAAAAAAAGGATACCAACGACCCCTAATAAGTAGCCACCGAGAAATCTTTATTTATTTAGCTCACAAACATGTGTCATTCAATGTTCGCCTTTTAGATGGTATCTTCTATTGCCAGACCGGACATGGACAAAGCAGATGATTGTGAGAATATCCAAGTTCAATAAGAAAAAGCAGACAGAGATGTTAAGCATAAATATTTCAAAAAAGAATCCAAAAATCATTTTTGTGATAGCTTCACATGACACTTTTGCCAGAGGTCATTTAAATATTTGACCGAGCCAACACCTTATCCTTAAGGCATGTGATAAGAATACGAAATTATGATGTCACGTACAAGTTTGAAAAGATTTAACTGGCATCTCAACAATAAAATTTCGAAACTGAAAATTCTTTGGAGGCACGTCCTTCACGGGAATCACCAATCATGCTGAATAAAATGTATAAGTCGGGAAAATATTGATGCATGAAGAACCACGTAATGCTCACTCAAAATGCATGGGAAGGATTCTAGAAATTTTGGCCGCACACGGCGTTTAGCAAACACTTGGGGAAATAAAGACGGCTTCACCTGTTCACTGTGACCTTGAGGGAAATAATAAACAAGACTGCCAGGTTGGGGCAGAGAGATAAGAGGACCCGCGCATGCATGCCAGAGTTCCGAATTTATCACCTTTCTCGCGCCTGAAAAGAAGAAAAAGAATCAGCTTACAACCCTCAAATGAACCTCATCCACGAGTGTATGGTACTCTCAAATGAAACTCAAATGTTACAGTAAATCGTATGCAAGGAAGCTCATGCTCCCGAAAATATGGCAAACAAAAAGGACGGATTACCCGGCTGGCTCTTAAACTCCCCTAGGAGCTTCATTTCTTCGATAAGAGTCCTTGCGTTCCCCGCCTCCCAAGGTCTGGCCTTTTCTTCGACAGAAGACATCTCTGCAGCTACGACGTGGAAAAACACTGACTACCCTCTCAGAAACATTGGGGTACGACCGTAGCAGATTCCTGACGCCGTCGTCTCTCGGCTCAGAGTTCGGTTTGCTGCGTAGGAACCCTGCAACCGTGATGAACAAGCTGACTAAATTCTGCTCAAGTCAAAGTCGAGAGCATCGGAGAGGGCAACGAGCTCCATTTGCAAGGTAAAGAAATCAAGTAACTGGCCACCATTGTCGCTGTTAGCTTCCTCAGACATCTACATTCAACAGAAACTCCCCTGAGGCCAACCCACAGTTGCGAGAGACACTTCAGAAGACTCCTTCTCATCAGCAAGCTACTTCCGCGTGCAACCCGATTCAACGGAGAGGAGAGAAGCCGGTCCAGACCCAGATGCAGAGCAGAGTCTGGTTCTCCGCCGGAGCGCCGCAGAAACCTTCAGAAATCCCATTCGATCTTCCTCCCATCCTCCATGAAGACCGCCGGTTCCCTCGTGAAGCACAGAGCAAGACTCCAGCTCAGGCTCCAATTTAACCGGAGAGGTGAACGGAGGAAATCTCCTCCGAGAAGATGGTAAAAAAGGGGCAGGAAATGGCGTCTAACCCAGTGGGCCTTCTTCCACACCAGCTCAACGAAGCAGCAGAACAACAAAGAAGGATGAAGCACGCGAGCCGGATCACAGCATTCGAATGATGATCACCTCACCTTTCCTTTTTCTTCTCCGTCTTTTCTTCCTCTCTCCTTTATCTTCCCCTGCTCCCTCTCAGTCGCAGACCCACAAGGTTAGCCGGCCTTTCGACGGAAGTCGATGATTCCCCTTCCTCTGTCTTCTTCCCACGGTCCTCCTTCCGCCCGCTTTAACGAAAATTTTCCTCTCTTTCACAAGCTTTTCTCCGTGTCAGCTTTAAGAGTTACGACCACACTGTGCGAAAGAAGAAGCAGGGAGGTGAGCGCGCAGAGAAAGAAGACCTCTGCAGCAGCACCGGGGGTGGCTCCTTCAATGCTTCGAAAACGATGAAGAAGAGCTCCCGCGGCGGACGGTAGCACTAACGTGAACTCCTACGCCGGTCACCGCCGCCCGCCGGAAACCCGGGAGGTGACCTCAGAGCCTTCTGCTCAGAGGAATTTGACCGCCTGCAGTAGGCGGTGCTTAAGCGGCACGTTAAGGAAAAAGCGGAGCCAGCGAGATGTATCCATCATTGTCGTCCACAGTCGCCGCCTTGAGCAGCGCCGAGAATCGACACCGCGTGCCGGAAGAGAGGGCTTGCGGAGAGGTGAAGGTTAAAGAATAGATGATTTGACGGCTCAGATTAATCACTTATCGTACGAAATTCCCTGCAACTATAGTTTATGCTCCTCGGTGACGGAGCTCGCGGGCCCGGTGATGATGACGACGATCTTCGGGCTTCCATCCACCTGCAGCTGAGGGTCGGGTGTTTAGGGTTTCAGAATGGGCCATGCAGTAATAAATCTCTGAGATGGTCGATAGTTGCAAACCTCGTCGTCCTGCTGGAGGGAACTGTAGGCGGATGAGCCAGAAACAGACGACCGGATGAGCCAAAAACAGATCTGCAAAAAGGTCCCCTTCGAACTCTGGTTTGTCTTCCTCTGTTTGAACCCCAGCCTCCCCTCCCCCGGGCACGCGGAGAGCTTCGAAGGGTCCCGGACCCGAAGAGCACGCGTGGAAAAAGAGAGGAAACAGTGGACCTCCCCGGCGGGCTCGTGATGGCTGCGCCGCTCTCGGGGACCGATCAGAGCATCCATCTCCGAAGTCTCCTGATTATCAAGAGCCCGGGAATCTACCAGTACGATGGATGATCGATCCCCTTTCCACGTGACGATGGATGATGGAGCTCGCATCGGAATCGGCCATGGGACATCATCGGGAGGGAGGAAAGCAGGATAGGCGGAGCAGGCGCGGTGGCCCGCCAGTGACATCACGAAATGGGGGAACAACGTCAGATCGGGAACGGAAAGCTCCCGTGGAAAGAGCGGCCGGGAAGGGGAATGGAGGATGGACTGCCGACTGCGGAAAAAGGCTGACGACGGATGGCCTGCGGCGGAACATCGGAAGCGCCGTCGGCGACGGCCAGGGAGGGAGCACGCAGACTTTTGTGCCGCCGAGGCGGGGAACAGCGGCCTGCGCCTTTGCTGATTACGGATTTGCTTTTCTATGTTCCCACATCTCTCTCCCGAGCCAGTGGAGCCCAATCGCCGCGTCGCTTCCCTCACCTCCGGCCGCCGGGGACCTCGATTCTCCTCGCCGGAGGCGGCCAATCGCCGGTCGCTTCCCCTCCTCTCCGGCCGTCAGCTCATGGCGGCGCTCTCCGATCTCCTAGCGTTGCGGAAGTGGGCCTGTCCAACTGATCCGAGAGATGCTAACGGTCTGACGTTGACGTACACTTTGGCGTCTCCAGCACGTGGAATATTTACTCAAAGGTGGCATGGGCTTGGCCCAAACTAAATAGGCCCACATAAAATCCCGGCCCAGTAGAGCAGCACAAGAAACGGTCCAGTAGACATGGGGGGATTAAGTATAACTATAATTATACTTATTATATTAATTTGGTTTTCGTAACTATTTACCATTTATTTATATTATTTTTTATATCGGAATATATAATTATGGTGCAACGGCTTACTTGCTCACAAGATGGTTACCTGGTCAATGGGTCAAACCGATATTCTCTGAAAATGTTTTGGTCAATGGTGAAATATTAGCTAAATTCGTGGGACAAACGATTTGGTAGTCAACGGAGAGAATACTACGAAAAAATAGTGACTAGACGGATCCGAGAACCACATTAGGACCGCATTGACGGATCCTCCCCAGTCCTTTAAACCCCAGGCTACTATGTCGCAGAAACCCTGTCTTCTCTCCTGCTGCGGCTTCTCTTGGGAGAGGGAGGAGCGGCCGGGAGAGGGGTGCGAGGCAGAGGAGCACTATCGTTGGTCGAGGAGGTGGAAGATGGTGAAGCTCTACCACCGGTACAAGCCGTCTCTGGCCTTCGGCGTGATTGCTTCTTTAGAGGCCAACATCTGCTACGACGGCTCAGGGAAGCTTCTCCTCTCCCCCGCTCTCGACCAGCTCGGCCTATGGAATCTCCGCCAGGGCGTTTGCGCCAAGAATTTATGCGCTTCGTCGGAAATTCCGAGCCCCGCCCTCGCCATAACTTTCGTCGCCTCCTCCCCCTCTACCGTAAGCCGTCATCTATCGCCGCGTCAGTTGTATTCGTCCTTCTCCTCTTCTCCCTCGTATTCTCAAGGGATAAATATCTTTTGAATGAAGGTGGCGACTGGGCACGCTGACGGCAGTATAAGGATATGGGACTGCGACAGAGGTACCTGTGAGACGACCTTTAATGGGCACAAGGGCGCCGTGTCTGTCCTTCACTACAGCCGTTCTGGCTCTCTGCTTGCTTCCGGCAGCAAGGACACTCGCATTATCATCTGGGATTTGGTCGGGGAAGCCGGGCTATTCTCCCTCTGTGGTCACAAAGACCAGGCATAGTTGCTCTCCTTGGGCTCTCTGTCATTCTCTTAGGCCTTCAGAATTTATCTCAATCCTTCATTTACTTTCTTTCGTTTTGCATCAGGTAACAGACCTCATCTTCCTAGACTCCGATAAGAAGCTTGCCACCTGCTCAAAGGACAAATTCATACGCGTGTGGGACCTAGAGACACAGCATTGCATGCAGATAATAGGTGGGCATCAGACAGAGGTATGGTCACTGGATGTCGATCCCGAGGAGAAGTATCTGGTTACGGGCTCTGCAGACCCTGAGCTACGATTCTACCGCATAAAGCATGATACTCCGATCAACGGACTGTCAAGTTCGCATACAGAAAACAAATGGGAAATTTTGAAACAGTTCGGGGAAGTCCGGCGACAGAGCAAGGACAGAGTGGCCACTGTCAGATTTAATCATAGAGGGAACCTTCTTGCTTGCCAAGCTGCGGGGAAGACTGTGGAGTTATACCATGTTCTGGACGAAGTAGCATCAATGCGGAAGGCCAAGAGGCGACTTAAGAGAAAAAAAGAGAAGGCCTCATCAAAAGGAGTCGATGAGGTGAATGGGGATGCAAATCTTGGAACATTCACTGCTGAGGATTCCAAAAATCCCACTGTTTTAGTTTCTGATGTTTTCAAGTTTCTTCAAGTTTTGCGAGCCAGCAAGAAGATATGTTCCATTGCCTTTTGCCCCCTGACCCCTAGTAATGATACCCTTGCTACTTTAGCATTGTCCCTAAACAATAACAGTTTGGAGGCTTATACAGTGAAGAACAGCGAAGTAATCAGAACACATGCTATTGAACTCCAGGGTCACCGTTCTGATATTAGAAGTGTTGCACTCAGCTCTGACGGTACACTTTTGTTGTCAACCAGTCATAATGCTGTAAAGATTTGGAACCCAGGGAATGGTTCTTGTCTCCGAACAATTGAATCCGGATATGGATTATGCAGTGCCATATTGCCTGGCAATAGGTACGCTCTGATTGGAACTAAAACTGGAGCACTAGAAATCATCGACATTCAAAGCAGTTGTTGCGTGGAAGTAGTGGAAGCCCATAGTGGTTCAATTTGGTCGATTGGATTAACCCCAGATGGAAATGGTTTTGTGTCTGGCAGTGCTGATCACGATATCAAGTTCTGGGAGTATCAACAAGTACAGAAACCTGGTCATGTGAGTTACAATCAACAAAAACTAGTTCCTTGAGATTCAAACCTTCTGCTATGTTTTATATTTTCGGTTGAATGAAAACTGCTGTCAACTGTGGAGCCGAAATTAGATGTAGAATAGCAATGCCAACTGATCGTTTGTTTTCTCCAGTTCACTATTTTTTTTGCTCAGCAGGGACTTCGATTTTGAATCACAGTTGCTTGTAGTGCACAAATTATCCGCTTTGAAACTCAGATCATTCGTTATCATTGAGCAATTTCTATATTTTTTTTACTTTTAGAATATCAATATTCACACCTTAGGTCTTTCTGTCATCAGTTTTGTACATGAACAACGTTATGATAAATCTGTATTATCTATTCAAGCTATCGTTGTAGGATCATTTTTGCCAGAAGATGATTATTGCGTGTGCTTACATGAGCAGTGTAAAATATACTTCTGCTTAGTTCCTCGATTAGATCTAGTATTTTGCGCACTATATTGACAATCCTTATCATGTTGATGTAACCCCTTCAGTATTTGACGTCAAATTATTTCTTTAGTTATATGATTAGTTTCCAATCAGAATTATTGATTTCTTTTTCAGGGATCTAATCATTTAACTGTGACAAATGTCCGGACATTGAAGATGAATGATGATGTTCTCGTGGTTTGTGTCAGCCCAGATGCTAAATATATTGCAGCTTCTCTCATAGATTGCACAGTCAGGGTTGGTTTTAATCTTATCATACTTAGCTCTCTTTTTATTATTTTTCTCTGCTTCTTACTTCCTATTATACCATTTGATTACAAGACATATAAAATGAATGTTTACACTGTTATTTATGTAGCTCCTTTTTTATGTTAAATTATGATTCATTAATGCTTCTCGTTAAGATGCTTGATTTGAAGTAGGGTCTGTTAACTCCAAATCATTCAATTTTGGATACCGCTTTCCCTGAACAATTACGCTTATTGCTTTACAGGTTTTCTATTTGGACTCGTTAAAGTTCAGTTTTCCTTTATACGGCCATAAACTGCCTGTGCTTTGTATGGATATTTCATCCGATGGGGACCTTATAGTTACTGGTTCGGCTGACAAAAATTTGAAGATATGGGGTTTAGATTTTGGTGATTTGCACAAATCTCTTTTTGCCCATGCTGACAGGTAATGACTTATTATTTCGATAAAAAAATTGTGTTTGGCAGCATCTTTTTGCTAATTGATTGTCCTGTGGCAGTGTCATGGCTGTACAGTTTGTACGGGATACACACTATATGTTTAGTGTTGGAAAAGATCGCCTGGTAAAATATTGGAATGCGGACACATTTGAGTTAATTTTAACTCTTGAAGGACACCATGCGGAAATTTGGTGTCTTGCAATAAGTCATCATGGTGATTTTGTTATCACAGGATCTCATGATCGTTCTCTTCGGTGTTGGAAACGTTCAGATGATCAATTCTCCACTGAGGTTTTTATGCTTTTTTACTTTGACAAATTTTCTCATGTAGTTAGTTAATTGTGCATGTATTTCTCTTATATTTTTCTTCTCATTACTTTTTCATCTCTTCATTTGCAGGAGGAGAGGGAGAAAAGGCTAGAGGAAATGCTTGAGTCCGACTTGGGTGGTATAAATGAGGCTAGCTTTGGGTTCAAACAAGAACTTCCTGAGGAGGGATCTGCTCGTTCTTCTGCAAAGATAACTCACGAGACATTAACTAAAGCTGATTTGCTAATCGAGGCACTAGACGTTGCTGATGTCGAATTAAAACGTGTGGAGCAACATGAGGTACTTCTATTTGTTGCTTTAGATTTTCTCATCTACTCATTTAAGTGAGTTTGGGAAGCTGGATGAATTTCCAGTAATGCATGCTACAATGTTATATTTATAATTTTAAAATGCCTGGAATACTGGCCTTCGTGTCCTGCGGTTCTCTTTTCTCTTATCTTAGATAAATGGCTAGCATTATCTCTTTCATCTTATCTTATAAAAGTGAACAACATCTGTAACCACTTTCTATAGAGGAATGACATCTGTAGTACCTCGAATTCTTGGCAATGAATTTGGTTAGTCTGCTGATGACTGTCTGTAAGGTGGGTTTATTTTATCTAACATGCAATCGCCTTTCTACTACCAGTTGGAGGGTGATTTGGGTTTTGTGACAACCACCCTTTATAATTTGAGTTATGTGAAATGACTGGACCTTTCTAAAAAGTTTCGGTTATTTTCTTTACTTGTATTTTTACATTGTCAAACATGCAATCATCTCATGCATGGGATGGCCTGATCTTGCCATTGGCTGAATTCCATGGGACTTCTGTGGGAATTTTTTTGGCTATTTGTGTTGGTTGTGATGCTATGAAGATATTTTGAATGCAACACCTCATTCGTAAATCCTTGTGTGCGTGCATGTGTGCAGGAGGAAATGAGACACGGGAAAGCGAGTGCACTCCAGCCGAATCCTATAATGAATGGGCTCTCACCATCTGATTATGTTCTTGATAAACTTTCCCGTATTCAGCCCAATGACTTGGAGCAGACTCTGCTGGTATGCTGGTTGTTCATCTTGCTGATGTTTATTCTTCCATCTTTTTCTCACTCATGGTCTTTTCTTTATTGTTGCTTGGATTTTGTTGATTATGGCTTGATTTTTATGCTAGCGTTTAGTTTGTTGTATGTACATCTCATGTATATTATCAGCTGTGTCATTTGGCATCATATTTGTTGTTTTATGATTCGTCGACGTTGATCTCTACACATAGTTTAGTTTGGCTAAAACATAGAATATTTTGGAAAACAATTACCCTAAAACGAGCTATTATTTGATATGGTACATTTTTAGTTAGTGATTCGGTCATTTATCCTGAGATTAAGAAGACCATTTAATAATCTAGTTCTGAACGACAATCGATGTTCATTTATTTTTATCGTTTCAAGGAAAATGTTTTTACACAAACAAAACATAACTTTATGCTAAATCATGCTCTCATTCGATTTACAATGAACAAAGTTTTCTTTGTTGTCATTCCTAAGATATATCACGTGAGGTTAGCACATAGGTGGCTTTTCAGGCAGCAGTTGATATTTCATTTATAAGAGTTATTATCTAATTTTTTACTTCGTTTCGTTCAGTTGTTTTGCCGTTTTGCTTTAGACTAATAAGTCACTTAATAAAAGCTCTATTATGAAAAAAAATATTTTTTTCTTTTCTAAGGAAAATGCTTTTTCAAAAAAAGCCATCTATTATGAGCCTAAACCGTTGTCTTTAAATTGACGCTGAACTGTTGACTTTAAAGCCAGCTATCGTGTTTTCTAAAATGTATCACATGAAACCTGAGTACCTACATGTCTTTTGTGGAGGAGCTGCTATTGCAGTTCGTATGCTACTTGGCGGACGGTGGCTGTGTTACTATTTTAATGGGAGTTTGATTGTGTTTTGGTATGGATCAACCTTCTATCTGATAACTTATCTGGAGAGTAATCCGATTCTGCCGTTCAATTATTGATACCTTGCGCTGTAAACTATTGAGATGGGACAATTTTCAGATAATTATTTGTTGCTATGTGAGGTACTGATAAACTACAGGGTGATATCAGCCATTAACTGGCATTGAGCCGGCAATGTATATAATCACAATATTGAACTTATTTAAACTATGGCAGGATGGGTTTTAAATCATTGGAAGAGGGATCAGAAACAAGGTCGAGTAATGGCCAAATCCTGTACTTTGGCTGCTAATTTTATCAGTTTGAAATGCCATCCACTCTTGAATCAGATGGAAATAGTTTTTTTAACTGTCCAGAAGCTGACCAGGATACAAATAGTCGATTAGATATTTACCTACTCTTTCTCTCCCTCGCTAATCCTTTCTCCATCCACATGGCAGTCTCCATACGAGCTTTGTTCAGGTTTGGTAACCATGTTCGAATTGCTCACATAGGTTTTTGGTCTCAGCAGATCGATAAACCAAGGGTAGTACTTGTTGTGACAACTGTTCATACACTTATCTCATTTTATTTGATTTGAAGAGAATGATATTTTTAGGAAGAATCGGGTTGAGAATCTGTTATAAAGTGAAAGGGTCACATGGTTCATTGGATGTCTTAACTTCTGTCTGGATGTTTGGGAAATGGTCAAGATCAAAGATTCCTTCATTGTTGATTCTAAAGAGCTTGGGGCATTAACTCAATGTTCATGCAATGCATTATCAAGGAAAATATATGGGACGATTTGATAATATTTATTAGTAAGCTTTATGGATAGATTGTTTGTGGTGATAAACTTCTAGCATTCATTCATCCGTGTTTAATCATGTGGGAGTGTGCTGTTCCTGAAAAGGCATTCTAGCTAATAGAAGTTCCTTGTGGTCCATGGATGTCATTATATCCAAAAATGTGGAGAGTAGAATAGCTCACCTTTAAATTTCAACTTTTAGAAGATATACGGACCGGTCAACTAGCAATCTCATTAAATGTATTAGGATATCGATTTTGATCAAATCCAAATTCCTTGAATCTGAAGGCCTTTGCCCCTACTCTTTTGTGGTCTTTGCTCCAACTCAAGGAAGAATGGCTAAGATAAGATGATCCATGGAAGGATTTGTCTCCTGGTCTTAATCAGCCTTATTGGGCAGGCATACATTCTTTATTTTCTTTAGATAACATTTTTTTCTATTTTAGGGCTCAATTTTCAAGTAATACACAAAAAATTATTTCATTCAAATAAAAATATTAGGTTTTTTTTTAAGGTTTCGAAATCATTTCAATTCATGATGATATTATTGAGTTTCACTGATGCCTGGTGGAAATCAAAGAAAAAGGAGAAGAAAGATCTTGGTGGCAATGCAATCAGGCCTGTATTATCTCATCTCCATTTATGGAAGGATGATATGAACATCACCCTTAGTGCTATTTTGTCTTCTCTTTCCTAAACTTCTTTGTCTTAGTGTTCTGTTCTTCTCTCTCTCCCTCTCCTCAATTTAGTAATTTGACTTTTTGCGTATTATTGTTCAACTGTCTCATTCACAGCCATGTTATGAATGCTGCCTTGGTGCTTTAATCTTTTCTCTCTCCATGGCGTGAAAATTAGCCATAATGACAGTCAACATTTTTGAATGAATGATCAGGATTAGACAACAGTTTTTAATAATTGAGTAAATTTGTATGATTTTAACATGCAATATCTCTTTTGCAGTCCTTGACGTTTTCTGACACTTTGAAGATCATGTCTTACTTGAAGGGATGGGCCTCCATTCCCAACAAGGTAAAAACAAAACTAACTTTTCCACTGACTGTAAAAGTAGATGTGAGTGTAGTTTTTTTTTTTTTTGCCCTGTTGCCTTCCCAGCGTAAGGCTCTTCAGTTTGCGCCGCCATTATCATCTCTATGGGTCCATTTCATACTTGAGCAGGGATGGGCCTCCATTCCCAACAAGGTAAAAACAAAACTAACTTTTCCACTGACTGTAAAAGTAGATGTGAGTGTAGTTTTTTTTTTTTTTTTTGCCCTGTTGCCTACCCAGCGTAAGGCTCTTCAGTTTGCGCCGCCATTATCATCTCTATGGGTCCATTTCATACGGAGCATATCTTAAAAAATTGGTAGATCAGCTTCTATCTGCTTCTCTTTAAATATCTTCAGGTATTGGACAGTTTAATATATAGTCAAATGCAAAGGAGACAAGCGTTTTGCTAGAGGCTGGGATATCTTTCCTCTAGAAAAATCAGTAAAGGAAAAGAAGAGACACCTCCAGTATTGTGCCGGTGAATGAGTCAAAAAATGAAGTTTTCATTCAGCTTTCGAAAGATAGTTGACAAATTTTCCTTGTCGGGGAATCAGAAGCTAATTACTCCCTTGCCCACATGCCCTCTTATAGTATGTATCTGAGATAGTATTCCCGCCCAGTGTTCCATCAGAAGACGTCCGTGTGCTGTAGAAACCACAGTTCCCCGCAAAGGCAACGAAATTTGCATTAAAATGAGCCGTGTAAAGGTTTCAGTCTAATGATTAAAACAGTTCTTGGGCTCTTAGAACAGGTGGTGAGGAGAGTTGGTGTGGCTTGTTATTCGTCTCATCTTTTTCAGTTTCCTTTCTCACAGTAGCATCCCACTCTTTATGTGTACCTGACTGTTTCTCTCACTATGCTGCTGCTGCTACTCAAATGTAGGTTGAGCTCATCTGCAAGGTGACGACAGTGCTTCTACAGACGCACCACAGCCAGCTAACAGCCACACCTGCTGCCAGGCCAATTTTATCAGTCCTGAAGGAAACTCTTCACGAAAGGGTTGAGGTAATGGCATGCTATTGCTATTGAATTCACCAACGCCTATGATATCAATGTATCTCATCTCTACGTACCTGCTGTGGATTATCTGAGGAATATCTTCAATCTTTAGCGTGAGGAGATGAGGAAGCACATGGCTCGCGCCTTGTTTGTGCATCCCAGGGAGAGGTAACCTGGGTTAAGGTTGAAGAGGGTCTGGTGATGTTCTGATGGACTTGGGCCATCTCACAACTTGGACTTTGCGTTGCCCCTAACTGAAACAGAGCCGTCCCATAGAGTTGACCTGTTGAGCTGGTTAATCCAGAAGTGGGAGTTGACAAACCCTGAATAAGGTGAGGCAGAGGCTACTAGATTAGGAGATGACCCGTTGACCCAAAAAAAAAGGCAAAATTTTGAGGTAATATCTCGCATTTGAAAAATAAAAAAAATTATATGCAGGATTCACTACCATGATGGTGGTAAAGAAAATTTTTTGAGGGATGGAAACGAAGTCAATGTCGGATTTCCCCCACTTTCCAGATTTATTTATTTATTCGAAAAAAAAACATTGGCATATGAAATTCTGTTCAAATGTCTGATAATGTATGTTCTCTCTCCTCAAATGTGTTCAGGAATGCAAAGACATGCTGGGCTTTAATCTTGCCGCCATGGATCATCTCAAGGTTTGCGGTTTGCCTCCAATTACTCCATTAATTTCTTTCCCCTCTCCCCCTCCTCCCCCCGGTTCTCTGTAACGATTCCTCCGATCTTTCAGGAGATGATGTCCATTCGATCGGACGCCCTGTTCCAGGACGCCAAATCGAAGCTCCAGGAAATCCGGTCTCTGCAATCCAAGCGCATTGAAGACAGGATGGATGGAAAGATGAAGAGGAAAAGGAGACGGCAGAAGGGTTCAAACGAGTTGCTGGCCGCGGCCTGAGGAGGGGGAGCTTCCATGTCTGTGTCTGCTGGTACGAATTCATTTCTTTCCTCCTCGTTCTGTTCATATCATCGGCCGTGTAGAAATTTTGGCGCATTCTCTGGCGTGACGGTGATGAGCTCACGGATGTGACGGACTAGATTTCGCTAGTGGTTCTTGAAAAATTAGCTCAGAGTCCGAACAATTGTGACGGCGATCGCTGAGAATTACAGGTCTGGTTTCCTTGTCTCGTTGTTGACTTTTTACCCTTCATCGTCTGGTCAACCAATCTCGTCGACTCAACTGCCCATTTAGAGAGAGAGAGAGACTCATGTTCATCCATGGCGGCGTCTCCATCGTAGGCGATATGAAGATCACCGGTATATAGGTCGACTAAAAATGGCTGTTTTTTCCTGGAAATTTAAGAAAAAATTACTGGTTTAAAATAATCTCATTGCATGCATGCCTGTTTCGTTTTATTATCCAAAATTACCATTTTTAGGAATATTATAATCAATTTTAACCATAAAATTACTCTCTCACGAATTAGAAGAAATTAGTATATGAGCTTCCTTTCTCTTCAGTCTTTCTAATTTATGCTCATTTATCTTCCTTCGCTATGGAATGTTACCGTTTTTTTGGAATGTTAATATCAATCTTAACCATAAAAACAAATTTTCGCTGTTTTTTTAGTAAAACTGCTCGTTAAAAAAATATATCGTCTCCTCATATTTTGATTTTTTATTATTATTTAATATTTATTATAAAAAATAGTGTTCAGCTGGAACTTTATCACGAACTTTCACGATATACTTTCCTTTTTCACAGTTTTCAGAACTATAATCTCAAGTCAAAAGAATCCCTTCATTTCGGTCCATCTAATTCGGTCGCATTTTTCTTCATTATCTCCATTTTTCTTCGACCATAAAATTATTTTTTCACATTTTTTAAAAAAGGAAATGACCGGAAAAAGATTTCCCATCGACTCCTTCCATCTCGGCTATGTTTATCTATCTTTTATTTTTTGCACTAGAAAGATTGGGAACTCTTCCATTTCAAAGATTAAGAAATCCACGAGGAATGATCGGGCACGGGGTGGGGAGCCCGAGCATTCGACGGCGGCGGCGTCTGCTCGAGCTAGCGCCGCCGTGAAGGAGAGAAAGAGGGCTCTGGTTCTGTCCCTCCCCAAGCCAAAAAAAGACGTTCTTTACCCCGTTTTTTAAGCAACCTGGTAGACGAGATACGGCTAAGCTAAAGTAGGGCTACGCGCCGCCCGAGGGCGCTGTCGGAGGCGGCACGGCCACCGGCGGTCTTCTCCAAGTCGTCGGCCATGAGAACCAGGGAGAACACCTCCAAAGCATTCGTACAGTGTGTGTCTCTCTCTTTCTATCTCTCTTATTTTACGGAGACCTTCTCGGTGGAATCTATACACTTGCAAAAACCCTTGCGTCCCGACGAAGCGGCCACCCACCGTGGCCCTTGGCCTTTCCGCACACCAGCCTGTGCACAACCAAGAGCAAGATAGAGAGAGAGAGAGAGAGAGAGGGGCAGCAGCGGCGAGCGCAGAGAATCCTGGCGGGGCCCGGTAGGGGGGTTGGAAGGGCGTTACGGCGGTTCGTGGATTAAAGAAAGGAGGGCTCCCCTCAGGGAAGGGGCATCTCCTGGCACATGCAGGTAGGGGACCCGTCGTCCTGCTCCTGCTTGTTTATTCAGGAACTCCGAGGAGGAGGAGGAGAGAGAAGCATCTCCTCATGCCCGGCTCTTTCTTTCCCTAGAGAAGGACGCGAGAGGAAGAAGACGACCCACGGGGCTCTGCAGTGGCCCACATGCAGCGGCGACCCTCTCTCTCTACTGCTCTCTTCTCGCCCCATCCCGCCGGCCGGTCTCCATCAAGACGCCACATCTCTGCAACTGCGGCGGCCCTGATTTGTTGTGGCGCAGAGGGATTTGGGGGGAGGTTGGGGAAGGAGACCGAGTCGTCCGATCCGTCTCCCTCGGACCGAGTCGGGCCCGGCCCGTTTATATAATTATTTTAACTTGTTTTCAAGTACATATTGATGATAAGGGAGGACTAGGGCGTGGGTCGACCTGAACGGCGTGACATATTTCACTGTGTCATACGAACCGTACTTGCCGCGATGAACTCACCGTCGGAGGCGGTTATCCGCAGCTCTCCGGTGATGCTAGATAAGGGAGGACGGGTTGGAGGTAAGGTCACCAAACGTAGGATACGTCGCTTAGCTTTGAAAGGAGGTCTGTTTTAGTCATTATTTACTGACTATCCCAACGAAAGTGGCGGCAAAGTTTTTTTATCGTAATATTCACAGGATCCAGGGTTTTTTTATAGATCCCTACCTCTATAAGAACCCCCCCTTCTTCCCAGCTCCCCAGAGCTTCCCCCTCTCTCTCTTCTCTCTCTCTCTCTCTATTTTGCTTTTTATCTGGGTCTGTGTGAGAGGCACAGTGAGGTTCAGGAGGTGGGAGGAAGGAGATGACGGGGCCCTCTGGGAAATGCAGCAAGATCCGAGGCATCGTGAGGCTGCGGCAGATGCTGCGGTGGTGGCGCGTCAGAGCGGCAGCGTCGGCCGCCTCAGCGGGGAGAACGCGGCGGATCCCGGCGGACGTGCCGGCGGGGCACCTTGCTGTGTGCGTAGGGCCCAACTCGCGGAGGTTCGTGGTGCGGGCGGCGCACCTGAACCACCCCGTGTTCCGGAGGCTGCTTGTCAACGCGGAGGAGGAGTACGGCTTCGGCCAGTCGGGGCCGATCTCCATCCCCTGCGATGAGGCCCTCTTTGTGGAGATCCTCCGCCATCTCAACAGCGCCTCCTCCGGATCAGCGCGCTTCGCCAGCCTTGATGATTTCCAGAAGATCTCCCCCTCGCCCTGCTGCCTGTCCCGAGCGCGGAGCGCCTGGCACGAGTCCTCGCCGTTGCTCAACGGATTGTCCGACAAGTCCTCGGTCTGGTGACGTGCTGCCGCTAGCTGCAGAAGCGTCCGGCGAGGCTAACGTGATCCTGATCTATTCTGCCCGGAGGTGTTTGTTAGCAGTGCCGGCCTTGCCTGGTCAGTCTGAGAGCCGCCGGAGGGCACCGAGAAGAAGCCGGTTCGTCGGCTCTCTCCCTTCCTTCCTGCCTATTTTCTCTCAGGACTTGTATTTCCGATTCCCAAGGCCTTGCAGCCCCCCAGAGATTCTGAAGAGAGATGGCGATAGAAAGAGAGGAAGAACGGAGCCGGAGAGAGTGGAAAGAGGAGCGCTGACACTGAGCTCCTCTTCTCTCCATAGTTCTCTGCTTTCCTCCTTCGACATGGGGTCATCCCTTTACGTCTAACTCGGAGGATGTCTCCCTCCCCTGTTCTGCTCTACGAGCCGAGCTTTTCTTCGTCCCTATTAAAAAAACCAAAAAGGATCATGCCTTTTGTTCCCGGACTAATACCACTCTTCCTTTCCATGTGCCAGCATCTCCCTCTCTCTCTCTCTCTCTCTCTCTCTAAATGCACATTCTCAATGTAGAGAGAGAGAGAGAGAGAGAGAGAAGATCGGAGAGTGGGAAGTCACTCTCACGGCCCGAGGCTTGACCAGCTTCTGTGATAAGTAGGTCAAACAAAATCCTTGGTCCTCGATTCTGCTGGCGAGGTCATCGGAACAGAACCATGTGGATAATTTATTATCCACGTGGACGTTAGTTTTACTTTGTTCCATCTCTCCCCATCTTCGTACAGGGGGGGACGAAATTCTCGCTGGAAATAAATTCACGTGAGATGTATTTAATATTGCCGATTTATTTGGGGGGAAAAAAGGCATTTCTTGAGAAATCGCGGACTGTTAATTGATAAATAATAATATTTTTTATACAAAGAACATAGCTCCGCAATGGGCTGAAGTGGGCCATGGGCCTTCATAGACTAACGGGCCGTAATGGACTACGTAGGAAAAACTTTGCTTAACCTGCAGCCCAAGTACGCTCCCACTGACTGTACCCGGAGGTCGGCATCTGGTTTCGACCCAATGGGTAAAGCTTTTGATGGGCTTTCCTTTTGGGCTCATTAGTCATATCCCCCTCTCTCTCTCTCTCTCTCTCTCTCTCATCGATTATTACGTTGACCATAACCGTCACAGTACGCATCAAACTAGCCGTTAAGTTGAATAGTCGTTGGCGACTGCTGAGAGAAACCAGAAGCATCTTCCTCCCTGCCCGAGGGGCTAAACGCTCCAGGAAGCCGTGTTCGAACTGCGGCGGCTCTGCCCCTGTTACAACCAGCTCAGTCACCGATCCGTGATCGGCGCCAAACCCCGCCGCCACATACTGAGCAGGTGAGTTTCAGAGGAGGATTTCCTTCTTCTTTCCGTTCTCTCACCTTCGGCGATGAGTATCAGAGGCTGTCCAGAAGAAGGTGGGCTAAGCTTCTGTGATATGGCCCATGAACTCGGTGGCCGACAGTACGGAGGGAGGGGAAGAGGAAGAGGGAGAGGACTTTATCTACCGACATGATTGGTACTGGAAAGAGGCGATCGTGTGGCAATCATTCGGTCTGCGGAGTATCTGAGGAGGAGCTTTTACAGAGGCGCCAATTACGAGCTGGGCGAGCCATAGCTGCCCCGAGAGTAGCGTCTTTCTTTTAGGCTTTCGGTCGTCAAAGGACGGCAGGCAGGGGACCTTCCTCACCATGCGAATCCCTGCACGCCGCCTCGCGCCGAGGGCGCACGCCTCGCAGCGCATCGAGATGCCGCTGGCGGGCTCGCCGAGCGCCTTTCTCGCTCTGCATGCTTTTCTATATTCACATGACGAGGGCCCCATTGCCGCAGTAATTACGTGGGCGCATCTGTACAGGAAGAGGACAGCACCTCTTGCTTATCTCCTCTCATCATCATTTCACATGCTCTCCTCTCTCTCTCTCGCTCTACATGTTTCTTCCTCTCTTCCCCAAACTTTCCTTTTGGTTGCCTGCGAGAGATTAGCTGGGTGCCTTGTGGGAGACAAAAGCTCCGCCGTGGATCCACATAACAACGAGTGAACAGCTGGGGAATGGATCAAAAGGAGGAGAGCAATGGAGGAGAAGCAACCCTGGGTGCCATGTGACCCCCGCCCACTTGTGCCGCCGACACAAGCGGTCTCTCCACCATGTTCTAAGCACTAGGAGCTTATGCCCGGCATCATCTTGTGGAGCGGGCCCACTCCTCCGCCCCCATTATCTTCCATAGAATTCATCAAGCGAGTGCATGAAACCCTAATATAATACTGCACCAAAGATCACTCCCTCTCCTCTCTACCATCAAATACACACCTCGCAGTATCTCCGGGAAGATCGTGGACGTTGTTCGGGGTTCCTGATAAGCATCCGGCAGTGGCTGGGACGACGAGATCTCCATTCATTGTGCTCCGGCGGATTCAGACGGTGATTTTAAGAACTAGACTTGGACCAATCAAGTCATGCGTCGTCCTATGAATCTTAGTCGAGGTGGCAAGCGAGTGGCGTGATTTCTTTAATGGCTTGCCGGATGGGTATGAACAGATAGACCAGTTACTGAGACCCTAGACCTGCACATTCGTCTATTAAGTGAATGGGGAAGAGACTGCTCCCTCAGAAGGTCGAGGTTTACTGTGGGTCACCGTAGGCGTTGAAATCTACGTCGTCTTCTTCAACCACGGCAAGGAGGCGTGGACAAGCATGCACAGGCGAATTGGAGGGAGTGCCAGCTTCAAGAAGGTCCCATCACCGATCCTGGGAAAAATTGCGACGAGGACAAAGAGAATAAGGAACACAGGCTCATAAAATGCCTCCCCGTCCCCACCGCTAATCCCTCTGAGTGTTAGAGTCAGCTTTGCTGCAGACACAGAGAAAGGAAAGAGAAGGGAAGAGCGGACAAGGTGGAGGAACGACGACCATGTCAAAGAGGTTATCTGCGAAGTAAGATGATGCTGAAGATAAGTCCCTAAAGACGGATTGGGTCAACTGTAGAGAGGGAGGAGAAGGTGGCCATAACGAAGAGAAAGAGAAAAAAGTCCACCTTTATGCTCTGGGAAAAAATCGTCGCGACGCGAGGGGAATTCCAGCGATTTTTTTGTTAAAATGGGTGTACGCTAGTTTGATGGATTTAGACGTATGCGGCAAAATACGGCAGCATTGAGTATGCAGGACAGAGTCTACATTCGTGAAACAACAATACGAGACATCCCTGCAATCTTAGTAGAAATATTGGTCAATCCCATGCAATATACTTTACGTTTTCGTAAGTATTTTGTTGATCGTTAAGAACGGAGCAAAAGCCTTTATCCTGCGTAGTTTAAATCTGATGCGCGCCGTCTCCAACTCTACCTTGTTCTTACGGATCATGTTTTTCCGAGACTGATCTTTAAGAGGTCCTCCTCGTCTAGTAGACATCTCCGTGATCACCCTCCACTCCCTCCTTTCTCTCTCTCTCTCTCTCGCTCGCTCTCTCGCTCGCTCGCTCGCTTGCTCTCTGGCTAGCTCGCTGCGACTGTTGTAGCAGTAGAAGCTGTACGAAGGGAGGGTAGGCCCCGCCAAGGGCAGGCCTACGATTCGTAGATTCTGGCCCAAAGGCCGCTTTCCTAACTCTTCTCTCTGCCCGAGCCCTAAAGAAAACCCCCAGGCTCGAGGTGGTTTGAGGGGGGCCTGAGCGAGCACTGATCAGAAAGCGAGGTTGGCCCACCTCCTACTGCGTTAGGGATAAGACTCTTCAGAGTTTCAATATTCGCAGAGAATTCTTGTGCCGGTTTCTGTCTTTCATTGCTCTCTTCCTCTCCTTGAGCGGCAGAGGCTTACATCGGACGTCGCTTCACCGACAGCGCCAACGACGTGGATTGTGTGGATGGAGGCCACTGGTGACATGGTTTCAGAGGGAGGGACTGCAGGGGGTCATGGCTTTCAGCCGGTCCCCATCGGCCCACAAGGTTCAGAGCTCCTCATCGACAGCAAACCCTAAGATGCAGATTGTATGAATGGGGGCCACTGGTGGCATAGTTTTAAAGAGAGAGAGAGAGAGAGAGAGAGAGAGAGAGAGGAGGGGGGAGCCCGTGATCTTTGAACCAGTCGAAAGCAGAAGAGGGATCGGAGGTCCTCGTCGACAACAAACCCCAAGATGCCGACCAAAGACCAACCCATCTTCAAGCATGACTTTTCTATAGTTGAGATATTGCGTTCAAACCTAAACGCCTCTTTAAAGCAGAAGCAAAGGACACTGGGGGTCTGTTCTCGGGGCCTGGCTAGTTTAGGTGAGACTGGTTTTCAGTGATGTGATGCCGGCCGGGTGGTGGTTCCTCGAAGTGGAAGAAAATGCCAACGGGCCGGCCGTCTTACAGTCTATTGCGCCACAGTATTTTGTTGCTGTATGGATTTCTAACAATAAATGTTATAGATAACTGCAAATAATATCACGAACATGATGAGAGCAATTGTGATCGAAATTTATTTAATTCAAACTTTTATTTTATTTTTATTTGGGCGACGGAATAATGAAGTGTGATGGGTCGCATTAGCAGTCCCCGGATATCAATTCCGTGATTGAAGATCATACGCAGACGATCGAAGAAGTCGCCGTCAACCAGGATGGCATCTGCGGGAGAACTCTCGGCTTATCCATGCACGCTGAAGAGCAGCGTCGAGCCGATCGCACGACGACGTCGACGGGGCAACCGATCGACTGTTAGCCGCTCGATTGGAGTCTTATCTCATCGTCGCCGGTGAGTATTCCCCAGAGAGGCCCACGAGAGCAAGAAGCCAGGTGTTGGCCCGGCGGCGGCACAGTGACCGGCGACGGCGACGGCGACGGCGGAGCCGAAAGGATGGCGCTCATTTGGTGCAGATACATGGAAGACGACCCTCCGACGGCGACCCAGGTCAAATCCGAACTTCCCAAATGAACCCAGCTGGCCGTCTCCGGAGAGAGGGGGGCAAGGCTGGCTGGTGAGAGATCCTTTCCCTCCTTAAATGAGCCCCCCAGAAAAATCATACTTCCCAGCCGTTACATCGTCAAATCGGACAATATTTTCCCCACTCTTCGCCGCTGGACCATTTCTACCGCTTTGGGGGGGGGGGGGGGTGAATTTATTCTGCTGCCGTCGGTGGCGACCTACGCCGGTCTCTCCGGTGGGGACTGAGCAAATGCGGTGCCTTGCTCCTCCGTCGCCTTTCTCCGGTGGAAGGTGAGGAAGCTACCGTCCCTCGAATCTGCCGATCTACAGCTGCAGGCTTTGGGTCCCGCCGGCGGCAGGGCGCCGCAGAAAGGCAGGCGGGCGCGCTGTGGTGGGCCTTTGCTCATCTACGCTCTGACCGACGGTGCCCGCCGGGCCCTCATCGGCCTTACCAGACGCACACACCACCGCCACCCGGCGCCCTCTTCAACGCAGGTACAGGCGCCGACGTCGTGAATCTCCTGCTTTGATGGCTTCAGTTACTGCGCGAAGCAATAAGCCGAGCCGGGCGGCGCCGCCTCGGCACGGTGGAGCTCCGGCCAGCCTGCCGCTTTCAAGACGAGGGGTCGTAAGCCAATTTAAAAAGAAGGGTTATTTCGGGGCCTCAGAACCGCGAGAGCCCACGGCAGAGAGTGAACAGAGCCAATTGCCACTGTGCGGAAGGGCTCCAGAGCAGGGTACGGCTGGGTGTTTGTCCGTACGTATTCATTGTCGGCCCATGCAATCGTTGTCCGAAGCCAATTTCTTGCCTATATTCTTAGCGTTTTAGTCCATCCCCCTCGCCCCCCTCTCTCTCTCTCTCTCTCTCTCTCGCTATCTTTCTGATGAGAAGGGGGAATGAAGACGGTCCTCCATTGAAGACAAACGAGAGTGAGCAGAATCCCAGGAGGCTGTTGCGTAGATCGCCCAATAACGTAGACTGCACCCAAATATCTAGCGGCGCCGCCTCGACGGTCAACGCACCGACGAGTCTCGGGCCCACCGGAGTTAAAACCGTGCGGCGTTTCCGCTGCGAGGCGTAAAACACGTGTCCTATCCATCGCACGCCGCAAACTAGGTTCTTTTTTCTTCTCCCTCTCTCTCTATCAAAGATGGCATCTTCTTCTAGTGAAGAAACGGCCCCGTCCCGGGGAGAGTCCAAGGTCGGTCTCAAGACATCTAGAGAGAGAAAGAGTGGGTCAGGAGGGGTATCTGATGAAGCTGTCTTAAAGACGGCGGAGTAGTCGTTACGGTGAGTTATTTACGTCGGACGTGGGTCGACAACCTTCGCGGGCTGTGAGCCATGCGGGAAGCCGTCACCCAGTTTTCCGTGAACGGCGGGAGGGCGGCGCCCCCACACCCGCTGCCCACCCAGCCCTTCACTCGCCGGAGAGAGGAGGAGGGGGCGGCGCCGCCGATGCCGACCCGCGTTCCGATTTCCGGGACCCGGTGGCGTACGGCGTTAAGGCTTCACCTGTCGCTGTCACCGCCGTCGCCGCAGCGGCGAGAATAAATGGGCGGCCAACCCACGCTCCACCGTAACGCCGTCACTCTTCACTACGGCTCAGGGGAGGAGGAAGGGTATGATCATCATTATAGGAGCTTTTTCGGGTATAATAGTCATCCTACACCTTCGGCTGGGGCGTAGCCGTCAAAACTTTTCCCGGGGGTCTGTTTCATACCTGCCGCACAACAATAAGTGGGAGACGTGGGCGGTGTTTTCAAAGGGGAGTGGTGGGGTAGTTTTCCAATTTTTAATTCTCTTCGGGGGGAAGTGCATTCTTTTTTGTATCCTTGGATCCTTTTCAACGTCTGGCTTTCTATATGACACCTAACGCGCATTTTTTGAGGCCCCCCTAACTGCTCTCTCTCTCTCGCGCTGTCCTCTGCCGTCCTCTTCAGAATTGAAGAAGACGGGGAAGGAGAAGAGACAGGGGAGCTACCTGTCCACGCCAGCTCCCTCAAGCCTGCTCTGCGCCTGCGACCGATTTGAGCTAGTAAATGCCGGAATTATCAAGTGGGCAGCGGTGACTCCATTTCTCTATTTGCCGCATTTTCTCCTTCCCCGCATTCTCACGCTCACCGTCGCTGGTATCTGCGGAAACCTCCCTCCACCACAGATCTTCCTCTGGATCGACACTCCCTACTGTGGCATTTGACGGGTGAGGACGCACGGGTGTTTCTCCTTTTCCCCTGCCTTTCTCTCTGCTCCTGCCTGCATGCGTTGTCAGCTCCCATAGCCGGAGCACCGCGGTGATGAATTATTGCGTACCATTCCCTTTCCAAATGTAGGACATGGAGTAGCAACCGTGCTGTTTGGTTTGCCGTTGTTCTCCCTGTGTTTGTCTACAGTCCGCGCACGCTCTTTCCGCTGATCATGTAACTCATTCTTCACATTTGTTGATACTTCCTTCCCACCCCCCACCCCCCCCCCCCTCTCTCTCTCTATATATATATAGAGAGAGAGAGATCAGAGAAGAATCATCTCATAGTTGATCTCTTCTGCTTCAGTGGATCCTCCGATGCTATGAAGAGATTTATTTGTTTCCTTGACTTCCACGACAACATTTCGAGATAACTGCTGTCGATTCAACTTGTCGAGTTTCCCCGGTGCAGAATTCACGTTCTCTTCGCTTTTGCCTCTTTACACCTCTTTTCTTCGTGTACAGGGCAGAGGATTCAGACCTCTAACCAATGTCAAAGGTGCCGACACCAGCCTCGAACTCAGCTCGCGGGGGGTATTTGGAAAACTGACTGGCTGCGTCCCATGAAGCTGCTCTTCTTATTCTCGGGGAGCATCGCATATATGCGGGCGTAGCAGAAGGGGTAAGTTGATGTGTTGCATTTCCATGGATTTTCGATCTTGTTGAATCTCTCTCTCTCTCTCTCCCTCCTCTCTCTCTCTCTCTCTCTCTCTCTCTCTCTCTCTCTCTCTCTCTCCCTCCCTCTCCATCAGATGCCGGTTTCTAAATTTTGTGTTATCTTGGTGATGAAGAGCTTTCTAAAGTGGTGTCTGATTCTTAGATATTATGCCTCCTATGTGTTCTTTGTTTCTAAGCCATTTTTTTACGCTTTCCTTGACTTCTCTTATGGGCTTCTTGTCTGTCTTTCTGCTTTGAAACAGTTAAATATGGATCGTCGAAGTTGGCCTTGGAGGAAGAAGCGTTCAGAAAAAACTGCGCCTACAAATGCCTCACCTAACGCTTCTTCAGATGTTTCAGCTGGAAATCAACGAGATCAGGTTTGTTCTGTGCCATATATAATTTTTTCATTTGTTTATATTGCTGCAATAACTTCGTATGTCCCCAGCTTTATAAGAACTCAGTTTTCAGCCAAGCTTCTTATGCAGTGTCACGAATAGTCACGAAGCCTGATTAAAGGGCTCAGATTTCTTTCGTAAAAAATAAGAAGTTGCTGCTCTTATAGGCAGATTCTTAATGCTAGAACCATTCGTTTTTTGGCCCGTGACATGCAAAAGAATCTTGAGGACACCATCGTTTTTTCTCACTTCAGTGCTGTGTGAAATTTTCTTTTACTCAGAGGTATGTATTTGTATGTGAGGGCCAAAGGGTTGCATAATTTCACCCACCTTTATTCTTAAATTGCTCTTCTGTAAACATACTATAATTAATATTTATTTTTATTCATTTATGCCACTTCCTAGTATATTGGTTTTATGTCAAGTAGCATTTTGGTAATTAGCATCTTCATGACGGCACACGTTGTATGCTTTTTGGTGTCTATTATTCTATCTCAAGAAAAGGGATTCCGATGTTACGAAATTTCATCTGGCTGAAAATCTGTGTACCTTCTCTGCATTTTTCATTTCCATGACTTTGGTTAACGCCAGATTGAGTAGATAAGAACCGTGTATAACGTTGAGTGAATGGAACACAAGTTTTCTATTCATTGAAAGGGAAAATGAAATTGAATTTATTTAATGAGGATTGAACTTCTGATTTTTTAATCTCAAACATTCTCCCAAGTTATTTAGCACATCGTCTGTTATCCTCTATTTAGAAGACACCCGGTATGATTTTCTGGTCGTCTACATCAGCAAGAGGAATTTTTCAATATTATGCGGAAATTTGCGTGGAAAAGTAGGATCAACATCATTTACTTCAAACATGTCAGATTATGTTTTTGTAATTAGTCTGATCGTCTGGGATTGTTGACAAGCGAGTAAATATGTTTTTTGTAATCATTTTGTTCCTTCTTGGTCATGAAGTTTGATGCCCTACTCTGTCAATGAAAATAATTTTCCTCCCAAATGACATCTGCACTCTAGTTCTTCTCATGATTTATCTTCTTTGAAACTCTTTCGTATTTTTTATTTGTGATCTTTACATCTTTTCACCTTCCGTTTAAGGCATCCTGAATTCACCCAAGACATATCAACTCCCATTAACCTTAGATCAGTGGGTAAAGAAGCGCATGTTTATGGGTATATTTGTATCATAACTGTTTTCCTTTCCCTAAACTACCTCATCCTGCAGCCTAATTCCAAAGTTGTGGACTACATCCAAATTTCTAAGGAGCGATATGCCAATCTCACGGAGTCAGAAGATCAAGTGAAAGCTTTAAATGATGAAGTGAGGGAATTGAATGAAAAATTATCTGCCGCACAAACAGAATTGCTGAGTAAAGATAACTTAGTAAATCAGCATGCAAAAGTTGCTGAAGAAGCTGTCTCAGGTAATGGCCCTCGCAGTCGGATTCTACTGCTGCCTTTCCTCCTGGCAATGAATCTCGTCTGTCTATTTTTGACTTGAAAATCCTGCTTCCATTTGTTGGACTCTTGGATTTCTGATTAGAGTGAATTTTCTGAGGTTTTCATTTTCTATAATTTCTTTAGGTTGGGAAAAAGCTGAAGCTGAAGCTTTGGCATTGAAAAATCAGCTCGAATCTGTTACCCTTCTGAAGCTAACAGCTGAAGAACGAGCATCCCATCTTGATGGTGCTCTCAAGGAATGCATGAAGCAGATACGCACTGTGAAAGAAGAGGGCGAACAGAAGTTGCGTGATGTTGTCCTTGCCAAAACCGTACAATGGGAAAAGATCAAGTTTGAGCTTGAATCAAAAATTGCTGAATTTGAACAAGGTCTCCTCAACGCCTCAGCTGAAAGTGCTGCACTTTCTCGATCTCTTCAAGAACGTTCTCATATGCTGATGAAACTTAGCGAAGAAAAAGCTCAAGCCGATGAAGAGATTGAAGTCTTAAAGGCCAGTATTCAGTCGCTGGATAAGGAAATAAGTTCACTAAAATATGAGGCTCAGGTTGTCTCAAAGGAGCTTGAAATTAGAAATGAAGAGAAGAACATGAGTCAAAGGTCTGCGGAGGTTGCTAGCAGGCAGCATTTGGAAGATGTCAAGAAGATAACGAAACTAGAAGCAGAGTGCCAGAGACTGCGTGGACTTGTGCGGAAAAAACTGCCTGGGGCTGCTGCATTAGCTCAAATGAAACATGAGGTGGACGGCTTGGGCCATGATTATGGAGAAACCAGACTGCGGCGCTCTCCTGGTAAGAGTGCTAGCCCGCGTCGCGGACCTTCTTCTGATTACGGCACGCCACGCTTTGGACCTCATGATTTTGCCCTTGAGAATATCCAGCAGTGCCACAAAGAGAATGAGCTTCTCACTGCTCGTTTACTGGCAATGGAAGAAGAAACAAAGCTGTTGAAGGAGGCTTTGTCGAAACGCAACAGTGAACTTCAGGCTTCAAGAAGCATCTGTGCCCGGACAGCCACCAAGCTTCGACAGCTGGAAGCACAAGCGCTGTCTCTGGATCCACCGGTTGAAGGTTCTCTGATTCGAAATGGGAGTGATCCACCGAGCTTGACGTCGATATCAGAGGATGGAATCGACGAAGACGGGAGCCATAGCGATTATTGGGCTGCAGTATTGGCACCAGACCTCTCACGCAAGAAAGACAAGGATGCATATAAATCTAGTCAGGTTCAAGACGCTGATCCTCTGGACTTGATGAACGATTTCCTGGAGATGGAGAAGCTGGCATGGTTATCCACAGAATCGAATGGAGGCCAAGTGTACACTGATCTTCACAACGATGTGGAACAACATCAAGTTTTCAACGGAAAGCAATCCTCAACTGAGTTGCAATCTGAGAGAAATCAGGTTTTCCTTTCAAGGATCAAAACAAGAATAGCTTTAGCATTTAAGGATCAGTCTGATAAGCTAGACGTAGCAAAGCTTCTGGATGATATAAAAACCATTCTACACTCCATGGAAGAAGAGCTGTCTCTTGGGTCTACTGCTGATGAAACCATCGGCAATGGAATTTCTGTGGCCTGCAATGGGAATTCTTTGCCCGACTCCAAGGTTTCTGAAGATCAGGACCTGAGAACAGCCATTTCTCATATCCAAGACTTTGTCGCGTCACTCTGGAGCAAGACAAAAGGAACCACCAGGACCGCGTCTCCTGATTGCTACATGGAAACTGAGAGAGCTGGGGAGTTCTCTGACTGCGTGAGTAAAGTGCTTTCCAATGAGATTGGCTTCGACAGCTTCATCATCGCCTTGTCCCTCAGTCTGTGTGAAACGAAGAAATCTCTCTTCCATATGCTGGGAGATGGAAAAAATGAAGGAGATTGTAGCAGTGCCGACTGCATAGATAAGGTAACTTTATTAGAGAATAATGTCGAACCTGGTAATCACTGTGATCGCCTTCCGACTCCCGATTCGTATCCTGACATGAATTGCCACAATGGGGATGCCAGCCCGGCATTTGAGCTCGAGCACACTGTCGCAAAAATCTCTACAGAAGAGTTTGAACAGTTGAAACTGGAGAGAGATGTTCTAAAGGTCGAGTTGTCTGGATGTTCCCAGTCTTTGGAGCAGGCGAAGATTCAGCTACATGAGATGGAGCAGCAGGCAGCTGAGCTGAAATCACAGCTAGCTGCATCTCACAAGTCAAATAGCCTGGCTGAGACGCAGCTGAAGTGCATGGCTGAATCCTACAAGTCCCTAGAAGCACGCGCTCAGAAGCTGGAGACAGAAATCAGTCGTCTGAGAGAAAAAATCGAGATGTTAGACGACGAGCTGCAGCAGGAAAGGGTTAGTCACCAGGATGACTTGGCCAAGTGGCGGGACCTTCAAGAACAGCTAGAAAGGTCAGCGCTTCATTGCGCACCCGTTTTTCTTATCAACTGCCAGCATCGATCCAGTTTTCTTTATGGCTCGTAACCTTGTGGTTCATATTTTTAGGAACCAGAAGTCAGAGCACTCGTTGACATCAGATGCCGACATTGAGACCAAGATGAAGCAGGTGGGTGGACTTCTTCTCGATTCAGTTTCGATTCGGAATTTCTCCTCCTTAAAAAGATGGTTCTCTCAGCGTCTCCCTTTGCCCGAAGCAGGAGAGAGAAATAGCGGCGGCGACAGAGAAGCTGGCAGAATGTCAGGAGACAATTTCGCTTCTGGGCAGGCAGCTGAGATCCTTGCACGCGCCCAAGGAGCCCCCGGGATCCTCCCCGAACGGCAGACTTCAGAGGAATGAAGATTTCTTCGAAGACGAGGTCAACGCGAGCAACGGAAACGGAAGAAGCGGGCAACACCCTCAATTCTCAGACCGCGTTGACCTGGATGGAATGGCTTCTTTCCTGCAGAGAGCGGGCGGCGAATCTCCCGTGGGAGGCTTCAACCCCCTCTTCAGCCCTCCCCGCAGTGAAGCCGGTGGGTCCTTCCCGATGTCACCCGTCAGCGCCAAAAAGTCAAACCACCGGTCGTCTTCATCCTTCTCCAACAACCCAGGTCCCGAGCGACACGGGCGCGGCTTCAGCAGATTCTTCTCCAAAGGGAAGAACGCTCACTAGAGAGTGAAGACCCCGTTTTACTCTCTCACCAGTCCGATCCAACACACAAAAAGTCAACGTGAATTGACGGCCCTGGAGGCGAAGATCCCATCTAAATTCCTATTTTTCTCTTCTTTTCTTTTCTTCCCGAGGATCAGTAGGGCAGGAGGTGTGTAGTCTGTGTCGTCTTCCTTCTAACCTGCACGTTGACTCCTCTGGGGGCTGTACAGAACCAAATGGACATAATATGATCTCGATTCTTCTCGCTTGAAGGTCAACGGGGAGCAGACCTATAAAAACAAACCTTTTATCCCGTAGTCTAAAGCTTCTCATCTTCTTGCTCGCTCTACCAAGTAGCTTTCTCTCGCTGATGGCGGTTCTGAATGTTGACCTTTAATGGGCCTTCGGGGAGCACCCAACTGGTCTTCGTTCTGGTCCACTATTCTCCCTTTGGGCCTGGCACGCCAACATTGAATCCAGTACTTCAGTCAGAACTACGCCCAGTGGGCCCTTATTGACTATGGCACGAGTCATCGGTCCGCAGAGCCGTGGCTTGTCGTCTTATAAATCAAATATTAGGCCCAGCCCAATAATAAAATGGGCTGAAGAGGTTCGGGAAAGGTTGAACCGGGTGGTTCGGGACACTGCAGCCCTAACTCGAGGTCTGGAGATCGCGCGGGATCAACGTCTTCCTCGTCTGCATTCATCGACTCTGCGAGCCGTCGTCTGCTCTTCTTCTCCCTCCCGGCCATCGTCCGTCACCGAGAAGAGCGGGAGCCATGAGGAAGCTCAAGTTTCACGAGAAGAAGCTCTTGAAGAAGGTGAACTTTCTAGAATGGAAGAGGGAGGGTGGACACCGGGAGGCCCTTGTTATGCAGCGATATCACCTCACCGAGCGAGACGATTACAAGAAGTATGCTGGCACTTCTCCCTTGGATAATTTTCTTCAATCGAATATATAAACTCTTTCTTTCTTCGGTTCTGTCGTCGGCCGATGTGGTAACAATATTCTGCAGTTTTTTTGTTTTTTTTTTCTTAAGTCTCTTTCCCTTCTATTATTGATGCTCTAGGTATTCAAGCATATGCCGGATGGTGCAGAAACTAGTCAGTATTTTGAAGCAGATGGATCCAAGAGACCCTTACCGTATCGAAATGACGGACATGCTACTTGAAAAGCTGTGAGTTTTAGCTTCTTCGCGTTGGAGAGTTTTTTATAATTTATGAGTAAATTCTGTCTTCTCGTATTTTGCTTGGCTTTCCTGCCATTGGTCTTGTACGAAACGAATGTTTTCCTCTCATTCTTCTATGACACATAGTCTAGCGTGTAATGAATGTATTTCAAGTGTGAAGGGTCTGTGAAAAACTCTTTATCGCTGGAGATAGCCGTCTCTCTGCTAATAATGTTATTTCCATCAAGTTATGATCATGTCAACTGGGTGTAGTTCATATTTTCACATTTTCAGGTCCTAATTGACGCCCGCATTTATTAAGTTCGAAAGCAATGATTTCTTCGTTTCCTGCCTCTTTGCTCGCTATCTTTTTACTATTCGTTGGATTTTTTTGGTGACTTACTTCCATCCGATGACTATGGATTCAGGGGCAATTGGGTTTAAATGATTTCTAAGCAAATGTTTTTGGGCATTAAAATTCAGATCTTTACTAGATATTGGGCGTTATTGCAGCTTATTTTAGAGGCCGAAGACCATGGTAAACGCGTGTACAGGTTGTTACGCGCGCTCATTCCATGTAGATAATGAGCCTTGTCTTGGTCACAAACGTTTTTGCCTCTGGAGAAATTCGATGAACTGGGCTTACATATTTTATTTTATAAAGTTACCTTCATGGATAAGTAAAGCCCATAGTATAAAATTATTTTATTACGGGGTATACAATCAATTTGTATCATAGGATAGCTTATGACTGCTTATCTGATTCATTATTTTATCTGGTTCCCATTGCCATATAATCTTGTGTCATATAAATGATTAATTTACAATTTTGTGACATTGAAATTCATTCTTTTACTGTATATCATGCTTCTATGGGCGTGTGTTTTGTCGGACAGTTTAGTGAAATTTGTTTGCATGTGAGAATCAGCACTGGTGCATCTAATTCCGATAAGCACGTTGATCTTGATTTTCTTGTAGTAGATCTGTTTCAAAGGATGATTGTGAATGGGCAAACGATTTTCAAATAACCAGATTCCCGTCAGACACGTTTTTGTCTCAATTATTAGATCTTCCAGTTCTTGATGAATTTCTTTTTCTTTTACTGATGGGAATGATATTTTTTGATGTTTTGAACCAAGAACTAGTTTTTTATTTGGTTCTTCTTTTTTTTTTTCTTGACATCTTTTTTACACGAGAATATGGGTGTTCCCATTATTGTTATTATTGGCTATTTTGAATTGTTTCATTTTATGCAGTATGGTTATTTCCTGATTCTTACATTTATCTGTCTTGATGTTGATTCCAGCTACAACATGGGTGTGATCCCTACTCGGAAGAGTCTGGCGCTATGTGATAAACTATCAGTTTCGTCGTTTTGCAGGTATTAATAATCAGTCCCTTGTAGTCCTCATTATCGTCGGATGAATTGAGTTTGCGTGATAATTGAATGAGTTAATCGTTATTTTAATGCAATAAAGTTTCCTAACTCATTTATTTCAATTTATATTCGCCGTGTTTGTTTTATTTTTATCTATTTGAACAATTGAGGTAAGCATTTCTTGAACAAGATGATATGGACGTAAATGTCATCTGCCTTTCAGGTAAAGATCCAATCGGATGGATATTCATTATCTCTGAAAATTTCTGGGGGCCTTAGAGTTATCTTGTCTTAGCACCAGTTCAATAGAATAAAAATAATGGAAATATACCATTTCTTTATTTATTAGATCAATCAAAGTCCGAATACGTATTATCTACCGAAGGAAGATGTATACTTTTCCACGTCTCAAACTATAATTTTGTCTCCCACTCTCTAGTCACGGTTTCAAATTTCAATCTTGTTTGACTAGTATTCAACCCTAATTAAAAAGCCAGCATCATCAACAAGAAGGATCTATGTCTCAATTAATAGATTTATTTCCCAGTTAGTTTTTTGTTTGTACAGTTACATGTCATCTCGCCTTGTTCTTGAGACAGATGGACTTTTATGAACAATTTAAAGGAAAAATTGTAAAATCCTTGGTGGAAGGTTCGAGTCTGAGATTATGCTTATAAACCTTACTGAAATATAAAATCAACTTTCGCACGCTGTATTTTTTTAAAGTATTATTCTTAAATGTATCTATATGTATATTGAATCTGTTATGAGCATAAAGATAGAGAAAAAAATGATGTTTCCAGTTACTTTTATGGATAGATTTGTGGATCTGGTGGTGCATGCTCACCGGTGTTTTCAAGGCATCTTTGTGGATTCAGTCCCAAAAAGTCGGTGGAGGCATCGCTTTGCCATGCCATCTTATTACCCTAACTTAGTCTATAGCCAAGGTTTCATCTTGGTCTATGGGGTCTCAAACACACCTCTGGCGGTGTTCCCAGTAGAATCATAATTTTAGCCACTATGGAAGGAAAAGGGGGAAGAGTCTCAACCTCAGAGAATTAAGAAGCGGAACGGTGGGTTGTTCCTACCTATGCAACGGCAAATGCTCAATCGTTTCAGGCTTGATTTGTTTTCAATGTTTAAGATTTGAGTGACATGAACTATTCATGTAATATGGAAAAAAGGTCACTGGTGTGGATTTATTTTTTCAATTTTTTAGCTTCTAAAATTTTTGTGGCCTGAATTATTCGTGTGGTATGAAGAAAGCAGACCTCGGTTGGTGATTTAAATTTTTTATTATATATAGGATTTGAATGGCATGAACTATTCATGTACTATGGAAAAAAGGATTCTGGTTAGGAATTTTAATGCTTTACAGTATTTAAGATTCTTATGGCATTACTTATTCATGTAAGATGACAAATGACACTGTTGAGTATTTTTTTATAAAAAATAGCATTCAAGATCTGTGTGGCTTGAATTATTGATCTCGTGCGAAGAAGAAACCACTGTTGTGGATTGGAGCCTGCTGTAACTGGTCTGGTGTATAATGCTGCAGGCGCAGGCTATCAGTCGTGCTTGTGAGGCAGAAATTTGCAGAGCATCTGAAGGAGGCGATAACCTACGTAGAGCAGGGTCATGTCCGGGTTGGGCCTGACACCGTGACTGATCCTGCCTTCCTCGTGACAAGGAACATGGAGGACTTCATCACATGGGTCGATTCATCGAAGATCAAGAGGAAGGTGCTCGAGTACAACGACAGACTTGACGACTACGATGCGATGAACTGAGTCTTCTTGAGGCGAATTCGCGCTCCTACTTGCAACATGCGGCTGTTCCCCCACACACCTGTAATCCAGTTACACTGGTAGCTTGCAATTCGCTCAGAATCTTCTACGTTAAGTCTGTCGGATTCTCTGTCATTTGGGTATGAAAAGTATATTTATTCGTTGGATTAAGAAAATATGAGCTCGTGAGTTTCTTGAAGGTTTCAGGCGGTGAAGTGAAGCATCCACCATGCTTCTGCCCGGGGCCATGGCAATGGCGATGGACGGGGTTCACTTTCCGGCAAGCTCCCAACAGTAGGGGGGTCTACCAGGGCCAGTTGTCTGTTGACCGCCGCCTCATCGGTGACCTAGCTTAGGAGGACCCCCTCCACGACCAGAGACCCCGATCTAGTCAGGGAGGGGAGCCAGTCAACGTCAGCTGGCCCATCGCCAGCTAAGTGAGGAGAGCTTTAATATGACAGAACTCTGGCTAGATATTCAGGCGAGCCCACCCTCATGACCCCCTCGGATTTGGGCATCTCCCGCTAACCCCAGTCAGGTGACGCCGGTGCATTAACTCATCAAGCTTTGCCGATGGGGATGTGAATGGTGATGCGCTTCTACCTCTTCTTTTTCTTCCTCGCGGTGGGAAGAGGAGGAATCCCGACGGTGAGGATTGGACATGGCAAGCGGCGGCGACCAAGAACCAGAGCGACGATTTGTATCCTGAAGAGACGGCCTTCGCTTTCACAGTCAATAAGGCTGGTGGGGTGGCGTGAGGGTTTCAGCCGAGAGCTACGTGCCGAGGCACTGCATGTGCATGCCATCGCTGCCCTGCGACCGCCATCGCTACCTTGTCGACCCTGACCCTGGTGAGCATGCGCGCGTTCGGCCCTGTGGTCGCACTCCTTCCCCCATCGTTTTCCTTGCCGGCGCTTGCTCGTCAGATATAACCCATGTTAAAACGAAGGATGCTTAAAAATCTGATGGTACTCCTACGCCATCAGCACATCACCATCGATAACGTGGATTCCACTTTTCTTGACTGCATCCAGGATTTGGATAAATACACTCGTGAGAAACGGTATCTTGGTATTATCCATTGATTTGATCGAGAGGCGGCGCAGTTGACTTTTGTTGTCATCACGATAAACCCTGGATGTGTTTCTTTAAATAAAATCACCTGACGGATGAGGGACGAGGGAAGCATCGGAACATGGTGAGGAGGGCTCGAGTGGAGCGGGGGGGTGCGAGGGGGAGGAGGGAGGTGGGAGATAGGGAGAGAAAGTGGAGAGGCAGGGCATGCGGTTAAAACATGAATTGATTCAAGGATGGAGTGGTTGAAAGCATGCCCCCGGGTGAGATGGAGCCGATGAAAGACGGGCGAACTTCTCATGGCGCGGGCCGCCGTAGCCGCCCACAGAAGTCTTTAGCCGTGCGCCGGCATCGGGATGCACCGGTTATTCCTAGTCCGGAATCTCCTTCCTGTGCCGTGTGAACACCACGTCCAGGGTACTTGTCCTTCCGTCCGCACTGAACATTCGGACAAGATGCCGCAGCTGGCCTGCCCCGTCTCCTTCCCGACGTAGTTCCTTCACGTACGAAAAGAAATAGTCACCATCTCACCAAGGTCCTACCCCCCCCCTCCTCCTCTCTCTCTCTCTCTCTCGCTCTTGATAGGAGTTAAGGGGACGGCAAGGATTCTGGGGGGAGGACCATGAAGACTATCGTGGCGGGGCGGAGTGGCCGCGGCGAGCTGTCGCTTCGTTGGCAGATCTCGACGTGGGGCACTGCCCTGGCGTGTGGAGGGGCCGAAGCGCGAGGATCTTCACGTGGGCATGTCCGTTCGTTGGGCTCACGGCCGAAATCCATGAGTGAAGTGGCGGGAAACGGTTTAATGGAGGCCCGCAAGACGGCGGCGGAGCTCGGGGGAGGTTGGGGTGGCCCAGACTTGCACCGCCGTCGTATTCATTGACGCTCACCCATTCCGACCTCCTTAACGATTACTCCTCTACAAGCTCCATCGGGGAGGATTAACTGCCCTTCGCTTCGTCGGCCGGCAGCGCCTTAGGACGCGATTGGCGAAGGAAAGGGAACTGTACTTGATCTCCATTGTTCCAGTGATTGAACCCACCCGCCATATCTACAGACTACCGGCGTTTCGCCCGATCAGTTTCAGTGAATAACGCATTTGGAATATACAGGCGCTGCAACATGAGTATCGCTCACCTGAGAGGGAAGCCCGAAGAGAACAAGCTCCATGGCAGACTGTTATCAAGCACAGTCAAACCCTAGATACTCTCAATCAAAACGTGCACTTATCTTAGAGAGATGAGGATTGTAGGTGAGAGATCGGGAAACGAGAACGAGGACGTGATAAAGAGAGGCCATGAACTCTATCTGAACCCGCAATCTGATCTTTTGGTCCATCAGTTCCTAACAGGATTAAGGCGCGTGGGACGAAGAGGAAGGCGGAAATTGCTGGTTGATAAAGGTCCGACGGTGGTTCCGGGATTGGATTTATTTAAATTGAATTTGGGCAGGTTTGTGGGGGCCGGAGGATGTGGGCGCCCGGCGGCGAGTACGAAAGGACGAGGCAACGTACAGGAGGGCAGCTGAGCGTGGGGGGGGCCGACAGGCTTTCTCCCTCTGCGTCGGATTCCATGGCACGAGGATCTCAGGCCAGCTCCCCGATTTGTGCCGTACCACTCTCTGTCCGTCCTTGTATTGATTTAATGGAGGCGCACCGACTTTGTCCGAAAACCTTCGCCAACATGACGTCGGACCGCATTATACGGTGAATATCGGAGGTTTTTGAGTTGCAGAGTCATCGGCTTGTTGTTCTCGTCGTCGGTAGGGATGATGCGTCAGAACCGTGTGCATAATAAATCCTCCTCGTAGATTAAAGCGTAAAGACAGCCTTCATCGGTGCTTTACAGCGAAAGACGTCATTTCTTTGCGGATTGTTCTCTCTCTCTCTCTCTCTCTCTCTCGGGCGAGGGGTTGAAGCCAGTGGGGGCGTACTCGGTTCGTCGCATTGCTTTGATGCCGCTGCAGGGCCTGTCGCTCTCTATACAGGGACAACCGGAAGGGCCACTGGTTAGCTCCCACATCTCTCTCTCCTTTTTTTCTCTCTCTCTCTACATCGACGGAGCTGGTTCAGCCGTTCATGGAACGCACTTGCTTCATCAGACGCACGACCAAACGCAGGAAAGAAAGCTTCGCAAAAAGGTTGATATGGCGCAGAAAAGGAGGACGAAGAAGATGAACGACCACTGCGTGAGTCATCTCGGACCGACCGGTCCGTCAATCGAGTACAGCCACGGAAAGAAACCATCGCCGGTGCAAGCCACCTCCGCTTACCATTAACTTCAAGATCTCGAGCCGCTGGCCGAAAAGGGCCGGCCGTCCTATCGGCGCAGGCCTCCTCTCCCTCCCTCCTTTCTTTTTTCAGGCACGGCCGTTGGTCTCCCTTTAAACTCGTGCCCATTGTTTATACGCAACCAGGGCAGATTACCTTCCGAGGACGGTGGGGGCGGCGTGGGGTAGGAGAAGAGGGAGGGGGCTTCCCATTGTGTGGCGGGCTCCGAAAGGAGGGACGAAGACGATGAACAACGACGACTGGGAAAAAGGCAACGGGGACCGTACCGTCCGCACGTCCGGCCAATAACCGCCACCTTCGAGGAGCCGCTCGGTGAATCCTCCGGTTGGGCCACCGATCCCCGCCGCTCGTCGGTGAATCCTCCGGTTGGGCCGCCGATCCCCGCCGCTCGTTGCTCCGCCGCCGCGCAGCGGCGGTGCGAGCTGGCGCGATGACCCACAAACGCGCAGGGACCGGAGAGGTAGTAGGCAAGGCGATGGTGGGCAGGATTTTTTATTGAGTGGGTGGATTCCAACTGTGTTTCAAAGAAGCAAGCCGTTCTTTCTTCCGTGACCAGTAGCTAGCGAGAGAGAGAGAGAGAGAGAGAGAGAGAGAGAGAGAGAGAGAGAGAACAGAAGCAGGAAACAGGAAGCTTTCTCTTCCGTTCCCAACAGAGGGCGACCAATCAGAGGCATTATCACAAATGGGCATGCATGATGGAGTACGGAAAAGATGGAGAAGGTCTTGATCGGGGTGGAATCCGTGAAAGCTAAGGCCCAGCGGAATAAAATAGAGAGAATGATGCTCCCCAAGGCTCTTTGACTTGCTCGTCCATAATGTTGTCACTTGATGTAGCCTTCTGTTTCCTGGGGCAGCGAGTGATTTAATGACCGTCGTTGACGTCTAATAGCTTCAGTGGGTCCCGCACAAAGTCAAAGAAGAAGAAGAAGAAGAACATGAAGAAATGAAGATATAACCCCTCTAGATGGTGACGTCAAGATTACCGGTAGGTTCGCGGTCAGAGTACGCTCGTGGGGAGATATTAATCGAGAGATTGGATCGTTGGCTGGCTTCTTCTATATGTTGAATTGAGTCATCGACGTCAGGAACATGAACGATCACGAACGCTGTTTATCGCTCCAATAATGCAGGGGCTCCATCAAGAAAGGGAAGAAAATTGTTGGAATTCCTTCCTTCACCTTTCACTGGTCAGCCAACGGGAAGGGAACGAAGCACCCGTCTTTGGCCGAAATATCTTCGTCTCTCCCGGTTTCCGAATTTAGGCCATGCCTCTGGTTACTCCGGTTGCAGAGTCTTGTTCCCCTAGCACTTGTTACGCGCCGGGGAGAGAGAGAGAGAGAGAGATTTTGAGGATTTTAATGGCTTCTAGCCATAGTAGATTGTTGTTGGTTGATGGCTGTGCGGCAGAGAGAACCAGAGGTGGGTCCGTCCGGGAAACCGGAGAAGGTGGTAATTAATCAGCTCTCGAAGAGGGCGCAAATCAAACGCCGCTCACAATGTACATGTCCAGCCCGTGGTGCAACCCCACGGGCGTCAAGTCAGAAATGGCTACAAGCTCGAGAGGATCCAAGGAAGAGAAGGGCACAGAGAATCGGAAGACGTTGGAAGGAACATGGGAGATGGGAGGCCTCTTCAGCCGTCTCCTTCCTCCCCTCTTTACCACGAGGCTGGTTCTTCTTCGTCCTCTTCCTCCTCTCGTTCTCTCTCGGAGCTCCCTCACTGGAGCATGGACGTGAGGGAGCGGAAGACGACCTCGTCACAGGGGAGAGTGAGGCCCATCTCGTGATCGAAGCCGAACTCCTCCTCTGCGCGCTGGAGGAGGCTCTGAAACTCGGGGTGGCTGAGGATGGAGATGGGCACGATGAATCTGCTCCGGTTTTCCCCCACGTAGACGGCGAAGTGGCCCTTGGGGACGTCCACCGGCAGACCCTCCTGGTCGTACCCGGCGCCCCCTTGCTTCCGGCCCAGGCTGGAGCACCTCTTCAGGATCTGCTTCAGCATCGCCGCCTGGCTGAGCTTGTTCGACTTCTTCAGCGCCATCTCCACCACCGCCGTAGAATCCCCCCTTCCCTTCACTTGGAGGGCTCCGTCAAAAGAAAGAGGGAGGGGAAGGAGAGGGGAGAGGGGGGGGGAGGATTCCCTTCAATGGGACTGAGGGCAGCGGTGTGAGGAGGGGCTGAGTCCGAGGGGGGAAGAGGGGCATATTTATGGAGGGCGAGTGTGAGAGCAGATAGAGAGAGAGAGAGAGAGAGAGAGAGAGCAAGACGTGGGGGCGGGAGCTGAAGGCGAAGGTGAACAGAGTCATGTGGTAGGGCCGCCGATGCGGTGGGGTGTCCGGCGAGGACATCCCTGAAGCCCCCTCTTCTCACCCTGTGGCCCCCTTCCGCAGACAAACTTGGCCCCACTCCCCCCTCCTCCTTCCCTCCCCTCTCCAGACAAGCCTGACCCCCCCCTCCCCCCATCCTCTCTCTCACTCTCTCTCTCTAAATGTGTGCCACAGGTTTACCGTCTAGTGGGCTCCCAGTTAGGTCCGCGGGAAGAGGATTTCAAACAATATCCATTTTCTTCTTGGCGCTGACTGGCAAAATCGTAATTCCAGGGGGAGGGTGGATAATATTGTACTTGAGTTTTTCTGTCTAGATCTTTGGGAAATTTTTCCTCTGTACCTTCCCTCCCGCCCCACCCTTTTCCGCCCCGACACCTGTCCTTTACCTCCGACCCCCAAATATCCACTGTGGTACGCCTTTCCCGGCCCCGTCGGTTTCAGGGGTATAGACGCAAACCTCGATCCTTACCGCCCTGCCCATCTTATCCCCACAGTAAAATCTTTGACACCAGAGATAGAACGGTCAAATTTATATATCTGACCTGGTTGACCATGTAAACCGGGTTCTATTCGGTCAAACCTCGTCTGATCTACTTAGCTGTCAATTCCACAGGATTAATTCTTGGTATTAAACGATGGGTATTTTTTTACATGCATAAAAGCACAAACTTTAGTAAAAAAAAAAAGAAGGTCATTCATGAAAGGCTTCCACGGGGAATTCAACCGTCTGACACGAGTCAACGTGGGATGCTTGTCGTAGTCTCCTCTCATATGTTTCCCCTCACGGGGTACCGCAGAAGCCTCTTCAAGGGGAAAAAATTCTCAACCTTTAGTTTTCAACGGTCAGCGTCGTCCCGCAGTAGCTACTCCCTTCTGTTATCTCGCTCTCTCTCTCTCTCTCTCTTTCTCTCTCTCTCTGTCTCTCTGTCTCTCTGTGTACATCATCTGCAGGACTGTAGCACGTAGTTCCATCGTCAGGGTTTTCCCGCAGGGCGGAGGGAAGTACTCCGTTGTTTTCACGTCCCTCTGTATTCATGACTACCTCCGTATCTTAAGATAATCACGGAAGGAGGACGCCAGACGTACGCCACAACAGTACGCCTCTGGCGCCGCCTCTTGTCTTCTCCAGACTGTGGCCCTTGTGACCATGTGGTGGTCACGCTCCTTCATTCACAGCGACCCAGCTCAAGAGACAGAGACGCAGAGAGGGAGAGAGAGACAGAGAGAGAGCTGAAACCGGGCATGGAGATCTCAAGAAGCGCTCTTTCTCTTCCCGCAGAACTGAAGAGACCACGAGGCATCATCCTCGAGCCTGCCCGCAGATATTGACTATGAGGTCACTGAGAGGACGCCGCCTCGTAATCTCTAACCAGTCTTTTCTCTGCGGCGGCCGATCTTCGCTCCCTGGAAGCACGCCTCTGGCACAGAGTATCAATCACCCTGCGCGCCCTCTGAGCTCCTCTACTGTGCACGGCGGCGCCGAGTCACATGCGGCGGAGGAACGGCCGCCGGGGGAGCTGGTGGAGATATTTCTCCCTCTTCTCCGGCCCCCCTGATCCATAGTTTTTTTCGAAGCGCATCCAGAGAAAAACGGGCTGCGAGCAATGGCGTCTTCGGAAATTTTCATGAATCTCGCTGAGAATCTCCTGCCACCGCAATGGGTCTTCGTCGGCGGCGAATCTACCGTGGGTCGGGCGGTGCTCGCGGCGGCGGCGGCGGCGGCTGGAGTGGCGGTGGGCCGTGCCTCCGGGCAAGAAGGACATCGCATGTTCAGGAAATGGCACCCGTTGGTGGAGGACAGAAGGCCCCCCGGCGCGGATTTCCTAGTGGTGTTATGCATCAATGGAGAACCCACAACGGGCACTCCTCTCCCCATTTGCCTGCCTCCTCATAAGAGAGAGAAACAGAAGGAGAGAGAGAGAGGGAAGGGGGAGGGGGGGGGACGACTAGGACGAACGTCAGCTGCCATGATTTAGGCTGCGATGGCGACTGGCCTTCGTCTTTTGTTCGAGCACATGAAGGCCATGTTACTCGGCGTCAGGGCCTACGCTGACGACGGAGGAATCTGGGCCCAGCGAGATCACTCCTCCGAACCGACATTTTCCTCTCCCTCTTCACCCATTCCCAAAAATGGAGCCTCGACGGGCACCCACCTCTCTCTCTCTCTTTTCTCTCTCTCTACGCCGTCACGGATTTCTCAAAGCAGGGTGCCCTTCCGTTGGCTCTGCAAACACCCACAAGGGGAGATACCAACCGGCGACAGGGAAGAAGCCAATGCCGATGGTGAGAAAAGGACAGAGACCCACGAGAGGTACTACGCTGAGGAAGAATGCGCCACGGAGTTCGACAGGGTTACACTACAAGATTCTAAGTCAATCATGCCGAAGATTTATATTAAGGAGTGAAGCCCAGCTGAACTGAAGCCCGTGATAGAAGGCCCGGGGTGCAGGCTAAGGGCCTGTGGTGGTGGCATGTGGAATCTGAGAAACTTTCGGTGCCTTTGTACATTTTGCATGAGAACAAAAGCCCATGAAGGAGGAACAGAGAGCACCAGTCCGATGTGATGGCGGCCAAAGAACGCCATTTTTTACTCTGTTTTTTTTTTTTATCTCATTGAAGCTGCATTCTGTCCCAAGCAAGCCCCGCGAGTTGGGGGGGCATGGGCACACAGGGCGGGAGATTTTCTAGAGATTCACGCGAAAATGCGGCCACAGATTTCCAAGGTTCTGCGGTTTTTTGGGACAATGTGAGGTCCTCAGTTATGAACATGAAGGGGCTAGTCCGCAATCTACTTGAACGGGAAAAAAAAATTACAGCTATCGGAAGCATCTGAGTATCCAATGCAGAAAAAAAAATAAAAATAAAATCTTGAACGCCTACTGACCAGATGGGGCCTTGACCTGCTGGGGCGGGCCATCGATCATGCTCAGCTGCCGCCTGAGCTTAACTATATGCGCCTGGACCTGTAAAACATTGGCGAAAATTTTCAATAAACTAACTTCCCCTCTTTTTCCGTCCTCCTCGAAAGATAAGTAGCCAGCATTCCTCTAGTTCTCATGATTCATGTGATCGTCCATACAAGTCAAGTGACGCCGGAGAAGCCCGAAACCATTTCAGTCTTTCTGATGCGGTTGGGAAGAACACTCGTCTCATTTAATGAATTGCCCAGGCCAAAAGTCTTTAAATCGAATCATTCACAGCTTCGTCGGGGACCAACATGATAAGGAAGAAGAAGAAGAAGAAGAAGAAGAAGAAGAAGAAGAAGAAGAAGAAGAAGAAGAAGAAAAGAAAATCTCCGCCTTGGTGTGATAAAGAGTTGGTGAAAGAGATGGCACAACAACGTCATTCCAGAACAAGAATGCTTTATGGAATGGATGTTGCACGGACCTGTACATGGAGTCCTTGTCACCCTTCTACAACGAGGACAATTTAGAAGTGGGGACAGCTTCCACCTACAGGATTCCCAAGGAAACCACCACCGAAGAAAAAAAGGACAAATATGGGATAAATGCACAGGATTCTACCAACTCGGAATTCAGCCTAGAGACAAACCCACGCACAGATGAAACCATGGGTATATAATCCCCACAAAAAATGACCACTCATGTAGATATATCATGCATGTTTCACAAATATATCATCAATAACAGCCAAAAAGTCATCATCGTGGGCAGTCAATTTTTTTTGCTGAGGGGATGCTAGAGTTAGAAGAACTAGTCAAGCCTTCGAAGTGTATAAGCTCCATCAAGCTACGTGTTTGGAATGATCTAAATGCGAAATAAAAATGAGTTATCATAGGTTCAAAGGTAATGCAGTTGTAGAGGCCAGAGGGAACCACTTCATGTGAGCTCACAGAAGGAACTAAAGCGACGACAGGAAGTTATAAAATGCAGAGATGAATCTTAACAATAACAGAAAAAATGAAGAATTACAACTTCCTTCTTCAGAGAGACGCTGGAACCTTTTACAAGGCGACGCAGAATCTCATTAAATCAAGATGGAAGGGTTTGGGTGAAAGGGAAAGGAATTGAAAGTTACCGATTTTTTTTATTATTGCAACATTATGGAGACAGAAATTTCGTCAAAAAAAAATCCATAACATACTGTGAATCCTCTGGAAGGTGTAAGATTTTCATGTTCGCAGTCAGGAATCAAACAGGGAAGAGAAAATGAAAGAAAATACTAACTTGTTGACGGGCAGCGGCGAGTTTTAGCAGCTCATCTGCTTCAGAGAAATTCATGAACCACTGACTAAAAGGATGATCTTTGGTGTCACCTCTTTTCTTTTCACTAGAGTTTTCAATGGGGCCTACAGTGATCAAGTGAATACCCCAATAAATATCTACAAGAGAATATGAAAGTAAAAGGGATAGTAAAATAAGGAAATATACCAGGAGGTAAGGTAAGACCAGTAGGAAGTCGGGGTACAATGGCTATAGGATGATTCTGGATTCGGGCAACAAATGCTTCAGAAGGATCAGAGAAAACAATCTCATCATAAGTTTCCACAACCACAGGCTTTTTCGTTGACTGGGCTCCAGATTCCTCCTCTGGATACAACTTCAGCTGGTGATACCTGAAAATTTTGGAAAAAGCAAAATAGTCAGCAGATAAAGGTCAAACAAGCTCCATGGATCTACAGCAAGACAGATGATAGGTGATAGATAACTTACAGCTCCAACTGTCTGTCACAAACATCGCTATGGAAAAATAGAGTAATAGCAATCTCGAATTCCCCCCACCCAGATTCTGATACTTCGAAAGGAGCAGACTCCACAATCCTTGTGGGATTGTCAAAACTGGGATGCAGCTGAAAAACAGCACGCTTTACTACCGAACTAAGATCTTCATTTGTTGCCCCACGAATGTACACAGTCCATCTGTGGGAGTTGTACCTAGCAGAGAGCAATAGAGAGATTATTACATGGAGCCAGTGGGAAGTTTGAAGAGAACGAAAGGCTACTGCTTACTCAGTCGCCTTCTTGCCCAGCCAAAAAGACATAGTTCCATACACAATAGGAATGCTGATTTCCACATCCTTTAGCCTTTTTATCTGGCCCTAGAAATTTTTAAAAAAAAGGTACTGCCAGTCAATATCATGGTACTATAATGAAACAAAGATTGAGGCAAAGGCCAGTAAATAGTTTCATGGGCAGTATAAGTCAAAGGCCAGGTAAATAGGTTGACGTAGAAGGAGAATTTGGTCACTTCGGAATTGAAATTTGAACCATCTTCTAGATATACTTGATTTTTTTATCATTTTGAAGTATTCCTAAATAGCTTGATATCAAGGACCATACTGTAACAACATGTATTGGTACTTGGATACTTATGGATTCTTATCAAACGATTCCATTCCTGTCACCCATCTGTGACCTAAACTAGGGTGAATCATATTAGCCCCAAATTCTAAAAGAATCACGATGTGAGGCTTGTGTTTTGTACACATTCTCATTCAAGCCAAAAAAGAAAAACTACAAGTCTGGTGAACTGGATTGACCTTTTAGTCATTCAGGATCATTCAATAAAAGTGATCACCTACGAAACTACAAGAACAAGTCAAGAAAGTTCTGTTAGAACATAAACTAGAAGTGGTTTTGTCAATGAAGTAAAAGTCAAGGCACAAACAAATCCACAACTTGCAATTTTTACCTTCAACAAATGAAGCACCCAATACCTGAGTCAAATACTAAGTTACACAATTATCTAGGTGATGTTGGTTACTGTGCCCCTATTTGTCCCCAAATTATTCTCATGCAGTTCCCGAAATCCAACGTAAGTAATTTTCTTGCAGCCATTAAGAAGAGTTTGAAAACTAACATAGCAAATATATTTATTATAGAGAGATGCAGCATTGCAAAGTTGATGAGGAACAGTAATAAATGGTCAAAGTTCTTGCTTTTATATCTGGAGAACTTACCACCTCTAAAACTCCTGCAGAACATCAAAACACACTGATAAATGCAAAGTTTAGGCATAGATACGAAATTCCCAGATAAACCAATTTAACTATGGGACTCCTGAAAAAAATAGTTTCCAACAATAACAAAGTGAGAAGAGGCGAAAAATGCCATTTGGCTATGCTACGCTTACTCGTAGTCAGTTTTTTTAACACACGATACAGACTTTCAAGGGGGCTAAAGGTTTTAGAAGATCATAGGAAATAGATGGGACAAGCGTGCAGTATTGTAAAGCTGGCAACTCTCAGTTGTAATAAATCTTGATACAAATTGATTTCTTAGACGCTGTGGTTCACCTCCTTCTATCTCTTTCTAGGGTTTCAGGACAATAACGGTGATTCAAGCTCCAAGATGTTTGTAAGACAGTGGGTGGAGACCCAATTCCTGTACAATTAACTTCACCACGAAGCTCAGTCACAGAGAAGCTGATGCAGAGGATAGCGTTTGTCCTGGAGTCGCCTGCACCATGTCCCTAGAATGCGAGGAACATGCTTACGCTTCTCACAGAAAAAGCGTGGTCCGTTCACCCCCACACCCCACAGCGAGCACACACACAGAGGACAGGTTAGGAAGCCCAATGGATCCCAGTTACCGCACCAAATGCCATCGTCTAAGAATAGTGTATACCCTAAGCAATAACGAAGATGAAAGCTAAATACGCTTCATTCGCCGAGACAATACGAACTGTGCAGCTAAACGCAGGCAATTCAACGTTCAAATTACCTATTCTTTCGGAATCGCCCCAGACAGTGACTAGGCCACGCCTGAAACGCTCCTCATCAGTGATGACTAAACTTTTCCCTCAAATCGTCTGTTGAAATCGAGCGGGCGTTACAAACCTTTTTGTCGATGTCGTCGGGAACCCTAGCGACCTTGGATCGCTGCTGTGACTTCTGGCCTGAACCACCGTCCGACTGATCGCCACCACCTCCTCCTCCTCCTACGTTCCCGGAACCGGCCGCGTGTTTTCTCCCCGCGCTGGTGTTTGGCATCTTGCAGCGCCTCCCGCGGGAAGATGACGCTGAAATGGAATCGAAAAAGATGGTAACTTTATACGTAAGCAGAGGCTCAATTTATCTTACGGAAAATATGGTTAGACATCTTCTTTCCCATGTTTAATGGGCGTAAATGGGCCAGTGAGCCAACTCTCCTGCCGAACTTTTCCGGATGGGATCAAAGTCAATGATCGATAGTCAACGATCAAAGGGTAGCCCCCCCCCCCCTCTCTCTCTCTCTCTCTCTCTTTCTCTCTCTCTCTCTCTCCCCCTGTCTCGTAAACAAGAGATCACCCTTCCCCTCTCCCTTCCAAACTTCATGCGGCGAAGACGTTGGGGATGAGCTTCCCCGCCTCGTACAGCGACAAGCGAAAGAAATAGGAAAGGAAGATGAGGAGAACATCCTCCTCTCTCTCTCTCGACTCAACACAAGATTCGTCACCCCCCTTTTTCTATAAAAGGATTAGGGCAACTGTTGAGACGGATTACAATAAAGATTCTCCATTTCGATACCCAGCTCAAGTCCAGGATCACTCTTCACATTCTTAAACAATATTTCAGTAGAAGAGTGATCTTCCATATACGAGAGAAAGAATCAAGGAGAGGAAGATGAGGAGAACACCCTTCTCTCTCTCTCTCTCTCTCTCTCTCTCTCTCTCTCTCTCTCTCTCTCTCTCTCTCTCTACTCAACACAAGATTCGTCACCCCCATTTTTCTATAAAAGGATTAGGGTAACTTTTGAGACAGATTACAAGAAGGATTCTCCATTTCGATACCCAGCTAAAGTCCAAGATCACTCTTCACATCCTAACAATATTTCAGTAGAAGATTGATCTTCAAAAAAGAAAAAAAGGAACAAAAATAACAGTTTCTGAATGTGCATGACGTCCCCAGTAAGCAAATCATGAAGATCAATTGGCATCACACATTTCCTCGATTTCTCTCTCTTATGATTGTCTTCAATCTGTTTGGTGAATTTTCAACCAACAACAACTGTCACGGGTCGATTCTTTATGTCACTTGCAATCACCTTGCCTTCTCTTGTGATCGTCCACAAGTCTTCCGCAAATCTGACGACATAACCTTCACTAGCCAGCTGCCCTACAGAGATGTAATTTACTTTCAAACCTGGGACATGACTTACATTCAATAGGTTCCATACTCTTCCAGCAGAAGTCCTGATTTTAATATCTCCTTTGCCAACAATATCCAAAGGTTCATGATAAAAGAGTTAAATTTGCCAAAGTTTCCAGCAACATAATTATTCATCCACTCTTTTGCATGAAGTAGAGTGCACTGAGACACTGGTGATCACATTCCATGATTCTATGGGACTCACCACACTCAAGATTAAAGTATCTTGGATCTCCTCTATCATAGAGCGTGTAGAATGATCATCAGTGCTTTGACTTTCATCGACATCTTTCTTTCTTTCTTTGCAATACCTCTTGAGGTGCCCTTTCTTCCCACATTGCCAACATGTGTCGTCTGTGGACTTGAGTTGACTTTTTCCTTTCGATTTGTGTTTACTACAGCGTTGACTCTTGTGCTGTGTTCTTCCTCTATCTTCCAAACTTCGGGTAGAATCATTTTTCTCTCCTGATTCTCTCATGCGAACATACTCCTTCGAATCAGATCACGGACCTCATTCAGCTTCAGTTTGCTTGAAGAACTACTGACAGCAGTCATACTAGTGGAACTCCAAGTCTCAGGCAAAGAAAACAACAGAATTAAAGCTTTAAACTCATCATCAAGCATAATACTCGTAGAGTCCAATTGATTAGTTATCAAATCAAACTCATTGATGTGATCTTTAATAGATGTACCTTCTGTCATCTTCAGATTAAAGAGACGTCGGATTAAATACAACTTTGTTGACGGCGATGTGTTCTCATACATGTTCAAAAGAGATTTCATAAGACCAGATAAAGTCTTCTCATTCAGAACATTTAAGGCAACATTTTTACCCAGTGTCAAACGGATCGCTCCTAGGGCTTGTTTATCCAATAGATTCCAATCCTCTTGTGGCATATCGTCTGGCTTCACACCGAGCAACGGCTGATGGAGTTTCTTCTTGTGTAGATAGTTCTCAACCTGCATCTGACAAACGGAAATTCTTTCCATCGAACTTATCGATCTTGACTTTATCTTCTTCTGCAGCCATAGCCTCCAACTCTGGTTCTCAAAACGGTTCACCAAAAACAGGTGTTCTTGTATGTAGAACGTACTCAAACTAGAAGATCTTGTAACCAATTAGTTGATTGGGATAAATGTACTCTCCTTACCTAACAGAATAAATGGAAATAAGAGACAAAGAAAGGAAGAAGAGCGAGACACACCAGGGTTTAATGCGGTTCTGAGAATTCTCTTACGTCCAGTGGCTCATGGCCCACTTGTTAGTGAGATTAAATATCTCTGTGAACTTGAGAAGATGACAAAGGACCCATCTTTCTGGCCCCTCGCGCACGCCCTTCTCTTTCTTTTATCTCTGTTCAGCGCAAGAGACGGCGCCCCTCTCTTTATATATGGAGGGTTTAGGGCAACTTGTGGGGCGGATGACAATTACGCCCTTCCGTTTTGGCCCCCTCCTTTTAATACCCCTCCCAAGCCCCCAAGATCAGTCGCTCCTGGCTGCTTTTATGATGGATGGCGCTATCCTCCGGCGGTGAACGCCCTTCTTCCTGGTGCATTTCCCCCGTCCACCCTCGCTCCCCTGCTCAGATTAGGGTTTGAGCATCTTCTCTGAAGATCCGATTTCCACGGCGAACTGTGGTGAGAATCGCCGGACCGTTCGTGGACGGCGGGTACCTGGCTGTGGAAATGGAGCATTAATGCGTCTCATGGGATGCGATCACCGCAGCTTGAGGGAGGTGAAGCCTCAGAAGACGGTGCTAGAGAAGAAGCATTCTGATCTACCAGTGATTTGATCCATCGGCTTGGATTGTTTCCTTTCTCGGGTACTCTGACGGCGCCGCCCCCGTTCCTAGTAAGATGGGCTCTTCGCCGATCGGCTACCACTTCCATGTCCGACAGGAAAATCCGATCTGGCCGGCTGCCCGATGGGCTGCGACGTCGACGTAGCTTCGTTGCAGAACAACGTCCGAGATTTTCCTAGCGAGATGCATGAACGGAGGCCTCCACGGATGGCGGAGTGAGACATGTCGAACTCGTACGGGACAAGCAGGCCCCCCGACTTGAGAAGAGTCCACCGTAGAAGGAGAGACGAGATCCAGCTCCTGCAACGATCAATGTCGGAAAATGTCTTTGGTCCCCAATGGAGAGAAAGAGAGAGAGAGAGATAAATCATGGTTGTGAAAAAGATGGGGTGATGAGGCTGGGGAGGGTGCAGGGAGCCAGGAGGGCGTCTCCTTCCTCTCATAGGAACTGGATCTCTGAAAGAAAGAAATCATCCTCTCAATGCCTTCTGTCCTCTCGTTGCGTCAAAAAGGGATGATGATCGTGGTAATGCAGCTTATAGGCTGATTTTTTTTCTTATGTTAGTTAAATATTTATATTTACTATTTTTTAAGAGGAAGAGGAAGAGGAAGAAGTTGACTTTGGTAAAGCTAGTGGGGGTATACATCTCTATATTTCTTAATATATCAGACTAGTTGAAAGTCCACGGTTTGTCAAAAAGACTCTCCAGTAAGCAGCATATATAACCTGCACCGCCCGCAGATAGGTAAAAAATGGTCAAAATTTTCAAACTAAAGGGCTCTGTACAATTCTTTCGGTCTCTGATTTGTTCCTCAAGCATGGGGCCCGCGGAATTTCTCTGCTAGGAATGACCGGGGCGCCTGCTCAGATAAGCCGCAAAAGAGACAGAAAGTCGTCTTCCGAGCAGGGGATCGTGAGGCGGCCCGTCGGGTGTTGGTAGCCGATCTCTTCCTCAACCCTCCGCAGTAGCGTCTGGAACGAAGCGTGCTTCAGGTAGGTCAACGGGATCACGAACCGCCTCCTGCTCTCCCCAACGTAGACCGCGAAGTGTCCCTTGGGGACATCTCTGGCCGCAGTGGAAGAGCGGGCCCAGGCCAGGTGCAGCCGGCTGATGAGGTGCTGAAACCCGAAGCCCATGGTTGAACTCGTCGTCGTGAATGGCCTCAACGAACGGCCGAAGTTGGATGAGAGCGAGGTGCAAAACCTTCCGTTTATAGCACTATCGCAGGAGATGGGGGGAAGCTGGGGAGATTGGGGATTTATTTCCCATCATCTTCTGCCCTGGAAAACGATCCGAGGTAGGGCCTGGTGCCGATCTCTAGAGAAGGTGAGGAAACATGCCCACATGGGGGGCTCTTTTGACCGGAAGAGCTGGTTCTCGTGGGCTAGCTATGGCCTCCGTGAAGAGGGCCTGCATCTTAACTGGAAACTCCCTCACCCCAAACCACGAAGGAGGGGGGACCCGCCCCGAGAGTAGGACATATGGGATCTCAGTGGGATGATATACGGCCATTACACGACTCCGCAGCCGCCCGAGACGGCGAGGAAAGCTCATGCTTTGCGTCTCCTGCATTTTTTTTCTTTCTTTCTTTCCACCGACGTGACTGATCCGGAGATTGATGTTCGGACGTGCCCATGTGTCGAACGATCAGCAGAATTAGGACCGGGAAATCTTCAGTACGCTGGTAGGTTCCCCTCGTAGGTCGATTGCCCGAGTGGTGAAGTATGAGGAGTAAGAGCGAAGTTAGAGAGAGAGAGAGAGAGAGGTGGCGGGCGAGCCCCTGGTTTTCCTGCCGTGGTGGAGGTCCGCGAAGGTTGTGAAAAAGATGGGGAGATGAGACAGGGACGGGAAGGATCCCTAACATGGCCACAGGCTGGCGTGTGATTCGCTTGTCTCTCTGGTTCTATCATTACTCAGCGCTCCCGCACCACGTGGTATGAACCCAGGAACTTAGGATACATGAAAACATATCAATTTTAATACTATTCAAATAAATAAAGTCCTTGGTGAATTACTTCGATCGGCACGAATGCATCGAATGGACGCGAGTACAGGTGGGACGAAGAGGAGGGGGGATTCATATGGGTTCGACAACCATGGCTGCGTGATCAGGACCCACTGCTCATTATGGCGTCGGAAACTCTGCTGCCTCTGCCGGGGAACAAGATCTCAGACGGTTGCGAGGATGACGCAGAGGTGAATGGGGAGATGGCGACCGGGCGAGGTCCAGCGCCTCCTCCTCTCATGTGCTGGGTTACCTTGTCTAAGTCGGACAGCCTCCGGTGAGTCCCAACAAAGAAGCCCAGCAAGTGGTTCCTCGCTGTGCTGAGGTGCATGAACCAGGCCTCTGCTCGTCGCTCAAACAAGGCCAGCCTGCAAGCCTGGAAGATTGAACAGAATGAATCATAAGCAATGGCGACGACCAATGAACTGACCGATTATGGAGAAAACTTAAGTTCACGGACGAATTACTAGTGTTTTGGGTTTCTTGGTGGAGGGCCGCGGGGGAAAATGGAACAGTGCCACGTGATGTTGCTTGATGCATGTCAATGGATCGCCAGACAGAAGTTCCTCCGAATTCACACCCATTGTGAGGACCATCCTCCATCTTCCTCTATAAATAGGTTCTTATAGCCGTCTGAAATGATCACGAATCACAAGAACAGGGAACTGGATCAGGCTACTGTACTTTCAGCCATTACCGAGCTCTCAGCTTCTCCACGTTCAAGTTTGGGAGCTAAAGAGTGGGAAGAGACATGGGGATCCATCTGCTGGGGATCAGTCACCCAAAGCACGCCACCCAACGGGCTCCGGGACGGAGGAGTTCACAGCAGCGTGCAGACGTGCCGAAGGGCCACTTCGCCATCTACGTCGGGAACGAGGAGAAGCGCTTCGTCGTCCCGATATCATACCTGAAGCATCCACTGTTCCAGAACCTCCTCCAGATGGCGGAGGAGGAGTTTGGACTCGATCAGCCGATGGGTGGCCTCAGACTCCCATGCAGTGAACTCACCTTCTCGTGCGTCGTCTCTCAGATGAGGCGTTCGTCCTCTCGCTCCTCAGGCTGAGGGAGGATGACGACTGATTCCCGAGACACTACCCACTTCTCCCCCTCGTGTGAGTAATCTTCACGCCGGGAAAGGGGTTGACGTAGTAAGAACTGACTTCTAGGGACATTTGCGCAGAGGAAACTGAGAATAATTTCTTCAAATGATGTCCGAGATAGAATTCGATTAAACGGTGAACTGTTGTAGTAATTTGCATGTCCTCATTTTTGGTTGCCCATGTACGAACATGATATAACTCAGTCTTAATCATCTCGGTATCGTTAACGTCGCCCTCACAAAAGCGAGAGAGCGAGCGAAGCGGATGCTGCCCTCCTGTCAAGAAACATACGACTTTTATAACACAATGGGAAGAGGGCGGATGGGGCGGCGGGGTGGAACGATGACTGCCGGCCCAGCCCTCTGAGAACTGGTGGGTACATTCGGGGCTCTTCGTACTGAAGGTGGTTGTCGGAAGAGTGAAATCATCAGGTAGATTCATTGTGCTGGTGCTCTTCGTACAACAGGGGATGGCGCTGGGGCCAAAAATACCGGAAATCGCGGCATTTCCTCAAGCAGATGTCTTTCACGGCGGCTACAGCAGCCCGTCTTCTACTTAGATCTGTCAACATCAGGGAAAAGGGAATCAAAATTATATCTGAAAAGAAAATGAGGACTCCCAGGGTTGAACACCAGGCGCATAAAAATTAGATTGTGACGACTGTAGTTCGTCCATATTATCTCTCTCTCTCCCTCTCTCTCTAGGATAGGTGTCTATAGAAGGCTGCGTAGACCCGTAATATGGATCTGGCCTAGAATCTCCATATTTGAACTGAGCTTGGGCCTTGTGAATCATCTTGAGCTCCACTAGATTTGGCAAGGCGTGAGCAGTTCTTTGATGACTAAATCGTGTGTGAACTACGTGCGGACGTAGGCCCCTCGATCCAGACTTCTCGCTCGCAGTACACCCTTCGAATTACCCCCCAACTCAGACGGATGAAATGGTGTTGCAATTTAGGTGGTTGTCACGATGCCCGATTTTGCTCTTTTCTGTGGGCATATGAACAGGCGCCACTGTTCGGGGTCTCACTCATCAAACCCACCAAAGGACTGCACTATTTTAACCACTGTTTTCTTTTGTCTGATTTGTGAATAAATATTTGATAGATTTGAAAGTCCACTTCCTCATTGTGTGAAAGGAAGCGCATAGAGCCATCGTCAGGCGTGATTAGAGACAAAGAAGAGGTCGAAAGATCGACTGAAACATGACTGCAAGAAATGGTCTTTATTTAGTTGGAAAGCTAGCGATTATGGAGGAACGTTCTTGATATGTCTGAAATTTTTAGAATCTCCAGCATGCAAACATTAGACGCTATCTATGAAAAACAGACAGTGAATACGCAATGGGCTCATGTGGTCACGTTTGGGCAGATCTCATTCCTTTCAGCGGCGCCGATCAAGCATCAGCCATCACATTTTAGCTGACCAGGGTGGGGCCGTTCTCACAGAACAGAGACCCAGGAAATCATTATCATAGTTGTCTGTGCACATCTGGCAGGAAAGATCCTTCCGAATCTCATGACACAAGCTGGAAACAGCCATGGAGGTCCGGGGTTTTCAGATTAGCGCCTCACAGCTTCAGGACTCGTACTCTATCGTCGTTGGCTAGATCATCAACTCAGCTCGTGAGTTGAAGAATCGAAAAAGCGAAATCCAGCATATTTGCTTGCATATTCCATCCAACTGGACGATAGGTATAGCCGTATCGGTCCCTGTCACCTAGAAGATGGACAAGGGAGGTTTTCTTGAGTGAGTTGTTATCAGGTTTCCTCAAATCCGCGAAATCCGGCATGCTCTCTCATGTATTCCATCCAAGGTATGATGGGTTTCCTATTGAATTCAGAAAGAGGGGTACGCACCCGATTCATCTGTGAAAATAAGAAGCCACCAGAGGAACGGTGATCTCGTCGGTGGGTGGTTCGTCACGATATGGTTATCAAACACATGCTCGGAAACGATGTGCTTGTCGACGGGTTCATCGGGAAGAAGGGTTGGATGGAAGGCGAGACAGCGGTTTTCAGACCCGCAGCGGTTGGACTGTGATGGGACGGCCTGGCCGTTAAGGACCACTCATTGAAGACTAGCTTTCTACGTCTGTTAGAGACGTACATCGGCCTTTACTGCGGTTCTCTCTCACACAGAATATCCCTCCGTTCTCCATAGTTTGGTGGAGAGACGAAAGGGCGACGGGATGCCCACCGCTGGCCCAAGGGATTGAAAAGCTCCATGGGTGAGAAGAAAGCAAGCGGCGGAGCCGTCGGTTTTGCTGGGCCGGAAGGGCAGGAAAATGTGATAAGGAGAAAGCTGATTGAAGTACACGAACCCGTAACACAAATAGATACAAGCTCAATGGTGCGCCGGGGAGACCTGGTTTAACCATCTCTTTCTATACCTAGACAAACTAAAGTGCTGCAGGTGGGCCCCAAAAGCGTCTCTCTCTCTCTCTCTCGCTGCTCTCTCACTCCAAGGGCTCCCTGCCCTTATCCGGTCCTCCTCTCCATATATGTGGCCAAATATCTTCCAGGCCAAGAGTAAAAATTAGAGCCTCCTCTCCCTCTCACGCACATAGACACACTCTCTCTATCTGATTTTCCGCTCTTCACCTCAGCATCCTCGGCGAAATCCACCGGACGGAGAGGGCATAAGATCACACAATGGGAATCCGGCTTCTTGGAGTGATTAGCGCACGGCTCTTCCAGCGATCCCTGAGCTGGAACCGGTCATCCCCGACTTCAGACGTGCCCAAGGGTCACTTTCCCGTCTATGTCGGTGAGGAGAACAAGCGGTTCGTCGTCCCCGTATCCTTCTTGGAGCACCCTTCCTTCCAAAGCCTGCTCCAGCTTGCGGAGGAGGAACTGGGCGTTGATCACCAGGCCGGCGGCCTCAGGGTGCCCTGCAGGGAGGACGCCTTCGTCGCCCTAACTAAACGGTTGAGTAGCTGCCGCTCGTGACTCCGCGAAGTGTGGACGCGCAGGGCTGCTCGTCTGCCCTCCTCCCACCATCCGCTAAGTTTTGTACCCGCTTGTAGTATCCGGCAAACCTTTGGGACCGATTTTCAGTGTTCATATACCTCTTCTTCCTCGTTTTCTTTCAGATGCCGTGTTATATGCATCTAGTGAGAGACGAGAGTTCGGTTTACAGAGGTGCAGGGTGCGATGATAGCAGCACAGACGCTTCTACGAAGACTTTCCGGACAGGAAGAAGAGGGGTGCAAATGAGGATGGCGCCGAGGAGGACTTCGGAATAAGGAGGTGGAGACTGGTCAGCTTAAGATAAGCTCGGGCTGATGTCGAGAACCTTATCTCTGTCGTTAGTTATTCACCGCGAAGGGAGAAGAAACGTCTATTTTATAGCGGTAGAAGAAGACGAACAGCGCAGTTCCTGGTACGATAATAACCAGAGAACTAATTTCTTTGACCGGAAATTATGAAGATCGCCATCCATCAAGCCCACATCGGAAATTATGAAAAGCCTCGAAACCGACAACCTCAAACTACGATAGTCAATCGTATGTCTCCATCAAACTATTTTAACCCACCAACCCAGACCTGATCTGGTCAACTTGGAGATTATACGGAGGGCCTCGACGGTATTATGGCTCTTCATTTTCCCTGCATACGTTCCCCCTTGAGAGCCTACTCCGTTTGTTTCATGTTCCTACACATTTCCGATTGACTTTCCGCATTCATGATCCTTTCTTTCTGACACTATTCATGAGATGATGTGAGGGCGTGATCTTTCATGCCCCACTTTGGAAATCCGTCAAAAAAAGTAGTAAATGTGCAGATTTATCGAAGATTATTACTCTTCATGGGCCACGCTTGGCTCGTCGTGCATACGAAAAACCTGATCCCCCGATGAAGCTTCCGTGAAAAATGCCCACAGGGGATCCAACGGTCAGCTTGAGGTCACGTGGCCAGAAGTAGTGATGTGATGACCAGTAAAATGAGTCCACTACACATACACACACCTCTCTCCACCTTGCAAGAAGGGCTAGGTTCTTAATGGGCCTACCCCTCCCGATCATTAGAGGCCCAAATCCACCCACCTTAGCAGACCTGTACTTGAAGTGGCGGGCTATCCGGCCCAGGTCTCTCGTAGATTATGGGATGGTCTAACTTGCCGATTATCACCTTTGAATATGAGATAAGCCACACTGTTCGAGACAAACAGAAACTGTAACATATGTTAGGATTCCGATGGGTTTATTGGGCAAGATACTCTCAGGCTGTCAGGGCGTCGTCCATAGAACCTAGAACTAGGGACAACTCTGAGTACCGGGCTTCGTGGGGAGCGAGAGGGAGAGAGAGAGAGAGAGAGAGAGAAAGAAGCAATTTGACGAAAGAAATCGTAGTTGGGTTCTATAGCCAGAGTAAATGAACCCAAGATCGAGTCAACTGTTGGAAGTAAATCCAGAGGAAAAGTGGACATTTTGAGAATGATTTTGGAATCAGTTGACCTGTGGGCACTTCCCTTGATGTCATTAGCCTTAATTACTTTCTTTATTATGCTAAAGATCAAACACCATAATTGTACCCAATTTAAAGCATTTGAAAATAAAATCTACTTGAAAGAGTTCGATCTCCGCAGTCGAGCAAAATGTCGCATTCTCCCCTCATAGTTTTCAAAATGATGTAAATCGACCGTAGCAAACTATCCACGTGATGTTTTCAATGATGTGACCGAGGGAGCCATTGATCTCGCGGGATCTGAAATGGGTAGGTAACTCCCGGCAGGGGTAGATGGGAAGAGTGGACTATACGGATCTGCCAATCCTATTCTTCCTCTAAAGGGACGCCAGTTTCCGTGAGCGACTGGCAGCTGTTCTGCCACGAGCCGCGTGGTTAGGTGCAGCTACCACGGCTAGTATAAAGATCAGCCCTTTCTTCCCCGCAGATCAGCCCGAGTGGAACAGAGAGTAGATAGGGCGGGAATCCTCCTTGAGGGAGAGCACGGGAAGAAGAACAAGAGCAAGACAGTGGGCTGGTCATGGCAGCTGCGGTGGTCCCATTCTTGCCTACGCTGGCGGAGGAGAAGACGCTGAGGGCCAGCTTCATTCGCGACGAGGACGAGCGCCCAAAGGTGCCCTACAACCAGTTCAGCAGTGACATTCCCGTCATCTCCCTCGCCAGCATCGACGAGAAGGAGGATAAGGGCACCGGCTCCCCCAAGAGGAGGGATCTGTGCCGAAAGATAGTGGAGGCGTGTGAGGAGTGGGGCATCTTCCAGGTGGTGGACCATGGCGTCGATTCCGGCCTGATCGCCGACATGACGAGGCTATCCAAGGAGTTCTTCGCCCTCCCTCCCCAGGAGAAGCTTCGATTCGACATGTCCGGCGGGAAGAAGGGCGGGTTCATCGTCTCCAGCCACCTCCAGGTAAGAAGTGAAGCTACGGGGTTTCTGTTTTCCTCCAGCGCCGGCGGAAAGTGAACGCTCCTCTCAGGATGGTTCTTTCAATACGCAGGGGGAGGCGGTGCAGGACTGGAGGGAGATTGTCACCTACTTCTCGTACCCCGTACGAGTTCGGGACTACTCGCGGTGGCCCGACAAGCCGGAGGGATGGCCGGGGGTGGTTGAGGCGTACAGCGAGCAGCTGATGGGGCTCGCCTGCAAGCTGCTGGGGGTCCTGTCGGAGGCCATGGGACTGGAAACGGAAGCCCTGACCAAGGCATGCGTCGACATGGACCAGAAGGTGGTGGTGAACTACTACCCCAAGTGCCCTCAACCGGACCTCACTCTGGGCCTCAAGCGCCACACGGACCCCGGCACTATCACCCTTCTCCTCCAGGACCAGGTCGGCGGGCTCCAGGCAACCAAGGACGGTGGAAAGACCTGGATCACTGTCCAGCCAGTCGAGGGCGCCTTCGTTGTCAACCTCGGCGACCACGGCCACGTGAGTATACGACGAACCTACCTCAGGCAAATTCTCATGATCACTAAGAGGTTTAACTAAGATTGCTTAGTCTTTCTATATAGTTAACCAATGTGCAAAGGCTGTCCGTAAGTTATCTTAGTTTATTGACTTTAAAAAAAATAAAATTAGCTCCAATTTGAAGTTACATTTTCAAATCAAATTAAAATTTATTTGTGGTCAATATTTTATCAGATTTTGTTCTATGTTTTCACATCATAATTCTGAACCTTTATTATCAGATAATCAAATTTATTTTGAATCCATCAGAATTTCAATACAGTTACTTTTTGCTAATGTGGACCCTACCCTGTTTGTTTGCTTTTGAGGTCAGGCTCTTGAATGAATATTTAAAAATATTAGTCTCGAATTTAGATATATCTGTTTTTTCGAAACAATTTCGAACACTAATTGTGACTTTTTAGTGTTCATCTACCAAACTACATGTAGATTAAAAACCCGGAAATTATAACATTGGTTTCATCGGCGTTAACACTTAACAAGGCAACCGTTCGATTGATAATCCGCTGGCATCTGTGGATGAGCAGTTCCTGAGCAACGGGCGTTTCAAGAACGCGGACCATCAGGCGGTGGTGAACTCCAACTGCAGTCGTCTGTCCATCGCGACGTTCCAAAACCCGGCTCCGGAGGCCATCGTGTACCCCCTGGCCATCAGGGAGGGAGAGAAAGCCGTGCTGGACAAGCCCATCACATTCGCCGAGATGTACCGGATGAAGATGAGCCGGGACCTGGAACTCGCAAAGCTTAAGAAGGAGGTCAAGGAGGGGAAGCAGGATGCCCTTATCGTAGCCAAGGATACGATCGAGAAGAAGGACATCGTCGAAATCCTTGCTTAAGCTGCTAAGTTTCCTAGGGGGTTTGATTTTGAGACCAATGTTTGGGTCTGTTAGAAAAATAAGGACTCGCTTGCGGCCCCTCCGGCCGGATACGAAATAATCTATGTGATCTGTCGAAAACGTTCAGCATCTGGTCCAATATTTTTCTATCCTGTCTCTCTTTCCCTCCCCATGAATTTGGTCGTCAATGTTGCTTTAGCTGAGATCATGAATGAGGGGTTCAAAGCTTGAAGAAGGAAGATTATAATTCATGATATCGTATTGATTACTAAGGAAAGAAGCCTGAACTTATATAGATTTGAACTATCGTACTCAATTGATTTTTTGTCAGATGGCCCAGTAAACTTAATAGAAGGAACGAAGGTAAGGCATGATATCTTATTTAGCGCTTGCATATGTGCTAGATATTAGTTGAATCTAAAAGAATCTCACCTTACTGTTGTTAAGAGAATATTCAAATATTTGATTGACATAAAAGCATTAGGTATATATAGTATCATAAAACTAGAGTTTGAATCTTTTAGGATATTGTGATTCAGATTTTTTAGGATTAAGATTGATCAAATAAGCACAAACAGTTCATGTTTGTTCTTAGGCGGATCTTTAATCTCTTAAAATTTCAAGAAACAAAACTTCATTGCGTTATCCATTGTAGAGGCTAAGCATGTGTTTGCAGAAAAGTTGCTGTGCACAGATATTTTGGGTAAAGTATCAATTAAAAAATTATGTACTAAAATTAGACCATGTACCAATATATTATGATAACACTAGTGCCATTAATCTAGTCAATAATGTGATTATTTACTCTAGAATTAAGCACATCGAAGTTAGATATTATTTTATTAGAGATTATATACAAAAAGTGGATATTAAACCTCACTTCATTGAAACATTAAAATAGTTGGCCAATATATTCACAAAACTATTTTTTGAAGATAGATTAATTCAATTATTCATGAACTTGGTATGTGCAAAATGACTAATATTTCATTTTTTGAGTTCTTGTTAATTGGTGGATGAAAGATGAATTATGTAATTAATTTAGAGATTCTCTTACTGTCATTCTCTACTTTTTTTTGTTGTTTAAATTGTGCTAAATAATTTTTTAAAACATCTTATTTCATGATACTAATTCTAAGTTTTATCATGAGACTCATTTGAAGTAATACATTATAAAGTTTTATATTATGTTTATACTCTTCTATCCATAAAAATAGCGTGGCTTCGCTTGTTGGAAAGCTCAATTTGTCACCTTCCTTTCTTGCTTCAAAAATCTTCATCCAACTCTCTCAACCACAAACCTTAAGAGTAATGTTTGTGTGGTCCCACTTGTGTTATAGGAGTAGTCTACTACATCTACATACAAATACTCTTATTATATTTTATTTGCATTTTAGTCAAGCCATTCCTCCCATTCAAAACCCTTGAATTGAGATGACTGACATATGTCACTCTACTCTTCCAACAAACCCTTCTAGAACATCTAGATGCTTTAGACTTTCCAAGAAAGATAAAAATAAAAACATGATTATTGACTCCTCGCCCAACAACTCTAGACCCTCCTCTCCATTGCACACCTAATCATCTTTCCTTATTCCGACACTGCATGTATCCCATGTTACTAAATAGTCACTGAATCTCAACACTCCAAATAAATCAATTTTGATCTCTCCCTCATCTGTAATAATAGACCTTCAGGAGTCATCAAAATCACTTTTTCTCTAGCCCAAGCAACTAACTCCTTACCAGCCACATCTATAGAACCTTCTCCAACAATTGTTACAACTTCTTCCTTAGTTGCACAAATATATTTCATTTTATTAGTCACTATACACCCCACTCCGCTGACTAATAATTCCTCTCCACTTGTCATACAAACTCCCACATCACCCATCACAGAGATGATCTCCCTTCCTAAATTAGAATGCAAGTTTCTTGTTGAATTGGAACCTATCTTTTCTTTGAAATCAAAACCTAAATCCTTTGTATTAGTCACTGGCTTTCTTAAATTAGAATATGACTCCTTTGTACCAATAACTATCAATTCTCATAGAATCAAAGCACCAAAATCTTCTTGGCCCAAGAAGATATCCAAGACAACCTTCAAGAAAACTAGACCAATAGAAGATGTTCTTCTCAAAGCCCATCAAGCTACATATTAGCTCACCAAATATAGAAAAGACTAGCAACCCTCATCTTCTACATCATATAAATACCTCTCTCTACTCTTTTCAAATGAGGTCTTTGAAGTCAAATTCTAGAAAACATTAAAAGATAGAAAAGCCATATATTGAAAAAAATTGACTTAATTTTTTTTGAATTTGAAAATATTAACATGAAATATTTTTTTGATGCCCTTAGACTCACTACTTGTGTTTCCTCTCCTATTGAAAATTATCCAAATCTAGTATGATTGTTCTACAATAATGTCACCAAACCTCCTACTAGTATCACCACTTATGTGAAAGAAATTTATAAACTTTAGTCCAAAGATTTTGAATGTAATAATTGATTTACCCTCTAGATCTTCACTCAATGTTGACCGCATCACATTAAAACATTTTTTTATCAATGTTTACTAGCAATGAGACACTACATAATACTAAGACATTTCATCTTCCACTATTCTACAGAGTCATGTATTTTCTCATTGACCATCTTATATGGCATAAAAGTGATGCATTTAATAAAATATTTGATAAATCTACATCCATTCTTTATTTTTTTGTCAATGGCATTCATCTTGACCTCAATTCCTTCTATTTGAATCAAATGGGAATAGTCCTCAAGTATGATCTCACTCTTCTTCTTGGGATCATTCTCACTCATATATACTTCAATATTTCAATGTAGACACCTCTATTGAAGAGTCAATTAGTAGTTATTCTCATGATTTAATTGATAAATTCAATCTTCATTGAATTGAATATCTTTAAATTAATGATCAATGACTCTATTGTCTTCTTCCATGTTGACATCTTCATCTCATGTTCTCACATTCAATAAGAGTGTAGAATAAGTGGAGCAGCGACTTAAAGTGATGAAAGAAATATTTTAGGAACTTGAGACATGATTTCATAGTTCAAATCGATTATCTTGTGATCTTGTAACTGACTAGAGCATCTATATCATCAACCATTCTTTTAGACCTCTTGTGTTTATAAATTTTTGATATCTACAAAAAGGGAAAGAAAAATAATGACAAAGGGAGAGAAAATTACATGAGTGCACAGACTTAGGAGGAACACTCACTTAAGAGGAGAAATAACTATAGTTGAATGACCATCATATATATATATGACTCTTTGACTATCTCAAATGTTTATTTCATATGTTTGGTTATTATGTTCACATGAGAGAAAAACAATGAAGGTTATGATCTTGTATGACTTTTTTAAATAGTTGTTTATTTACACATATCTTTGATGATTGTGTACACTATGAATGTGTGAATACATGTATCAAATGTTTATTTCATATGTTTGGTTATTATGATCACAAGGGAGAAAAATAATGAATGTTATGATCTCATATAACTTTTTTAAATGATTGTTTATTTAAAATTGGAATTTTTTTTTATACACATATCTCACTATGAATAGATAGAACACTTGATATTAAATCATTGTTGAATGGATCATCACACAAATAAGTTTTCTTGAATGAGTTTTATGAGCATAAAAAAGGGGAGATTATTGATGCCCTTATTTTCGGTACTTCAAACTGAAAATTTGGTTAGAAAGTATTCATAAAATATTTTTTGAAAATTTATTGAACCATCAATACACATCATGAGTGAACATTCAATATCCTTCATAAATATTTAATATATATATTGATTATGCTTAAATAATCATATGAGTAACAACAAATTCAATGTGTTATATCCTAAAGATATTTTCATGTTGAACATAATACAACATCATATAGTTCGAACATAAGTACAAATGAACAAGTGTCAACAAATATGACGAAGTATTATGTAAAATCTAGAAATATAAAGTCACATGTGGTATTTAAATATAAGACATGAGCGACATAAAGTTTGAACTCAAATATGTAGTCATGTATAAGACTTGAATTCAAGACTTAAGTCATAGAAAGGCAACAACTATGAAAAGTAAAATATTTAAATATTATGAAAAGTAAATACATTAACATGATTTGAAATTGAGACCTCCTTAATAAGACACTAAAAATTTATTAGAGAAATACAAAGTAATACCAAAAAATCAATGACTAAGATAAAATTAGAACTCAAGGCATAAATAATACTAAATTAAAGCATACACATGAAGCCCTCACAAAAATGGAGAAGCATTCACCATGTACCTTAGGCAATATCACATTAACACAATATATAGATAAAATGACAAATTAAATGTCTCTAGATTGAAGTAGAAATAATCATTGATGAATCACATATCTCTAGATTGAAGGTTCAAACACAACTTATGAGATAATAATAAGTCTCGAAGTAAGGAATGACTGAAGGTTAGTGGAATGTATTTTGAATGATAACATATTAACAAAATACATGGACAAAAAGATAACTCAATGATCTTATTTGAGCTCGACCTTGAAAGAAAAAATATTTCTTGATATGTTACATATCTCTAGACAAAATTTTAAGGATAATTTACACAAAAATAACAAGCTTTGAATCGAAGAACAAGTAAAGTTCACTAGTAGACTGGCGGAGCAATTGAAAGAAATTTGAAATTACGTGACTATTTTTAAGATGATGAAAATATAAGAAGATATTAAATAATATAAAGAGTGAGCTTACACAGGCTCATTTATTTAAGTTTAGAATAAGATCTTACTCCATATGTCAAAGTAAAACTACTGCATGCCTCAAAGGAAGAGTTGAAAGGTTTATCCTATGAGTCATATATTATAGTGATTCAAGTCAACTACTACATCAAAAGTTGACTTTCTCTATTAAGTATTAAGGTATTTAAATGGTAAGTGGAGAGACTCATGGGCTAAATGATGGTATACTGAAAATTTATTAATGCTTATGAAGGGTGTAATCATGAAGAAATTAATGTATTTGACTAAGACACATGGTGTTGAGAGTTAAACTCTATATGTAAAAAGTGTGATGTCTATAGAGATTGAATTGAATTGACTGAGCCATTGATCTCATGAAATTAGTTATGTTTTTGAAAGAAAATAGTGAACTTTGGCATTAAGTATACTCTAGAACTTGACATAGCTCAATGATAAGTAAATTAATATAAAAACTCTTATGTTTCTTGTGGTAAGGAGTGAGAGAGAGACTAGAGTGAACAAACGTATGAAAAAGTGACTAACTTAAGTCTACTTTTACCTAGAATAGAGAGAATATGTGAGAACCTTTGTTAACACATATATATGTAAACATAACAAAAGAATATAATTAAAAACATAGAAAACTAGTTCATCCCCCTCTCTCTTGGTGTTCTACATAGTTACATCAAACCCAACAAGTACGACTTTGTTCTTAAGTATGAGTTAGGGAAGACAAATATGATTGAAAATACTCTTAATTGTAAATAGTATAAGACGAGTCTTGTAGCTATTATCTCAGTGGCATAATACATTATATTGGAAGATATTTAAGCCACCACAATTGAAGACAAAGAGGCCAAACATTGTCTATAGCATGTGGAAGATGGCACAACATATTACTTTTAGGTAGAAGACATCATATTATATATGTGCATGTAACATAAGTGGGTTGTGATGTTAGCTGATGTGCGAGGTGCATGGCATGTTAAGTGTAGGATACTCAAGATAGCAACATATGTTGGCATTACTAGTAGATAGTTATGACTTGACATAGACCGAGATATGGAGGTGTACGTCTAAGCTTGCCCAATATGTTAATATAATTAGACAAAATGAGGTAAAAGTTGTGATGTGACTTAGTTGTTATTTAGTAAATCATACAAATTTAAAATTTATAAAACTAGAAAACATAATTTCTTAGATATTTAAAAGTATTTTTAAACAAATATATCAATTATAATTCAATAATAATTTCAAAAATAGTGATAATTTTTCAGGTCAATCATAGGGATGTAATATAATATCAAGTAATTATTCATAATTTTTTTTAAAGAATATTATTTTATATAAATTTTATACTAGGAAATAAAAATAAAATATATTTAAAATTCCTGAAATAAAGGAAATAAGGGCGTGGACGTTAGGATGACGTCAACGCATGACGAATGCAAATCAGGTGAAAATAGAGTTTTATCTGATGATTCTTACATAAGTAATTATAGATGATTTAATTGATCAAATTAAGATATGTAAAAGCCAGAAGAATCGTAATTGAATAAAATATATCTTGATAAATTTAAATCATATAAATTATCACTAAATGAAGTAGAAATTAAGTTGAAAGTAAGAAAACAGAATTCTAGTGTCATGGTGGCGATGTGTCGGTAATGCACCAGAATCCTAAGCGTTCGAGAGAATCATCATGTAGTGTCCACAACTTCAAAAGCTCTCTTTAGATAAGGACGACGTGAGCAATCTCTAAATCTCATTGCGAAGTCTAGAGATTAGTGAAATGGGTCATTGAATCATCTCCAGTGCCTATCACTTGATAGAGTAGAAAAATGACGACTTTGTGGCTTTCCAATGGCTGTCATTTGACGGAGAAGAGTTGGCACTAGTGACGTGGAAGGGGAGTGATGCACACATGCCTCTATCGGTCCTAACTACTCAAGCCTCTACTCGTGGCTCCTCCTCGACTATGCTTCCGACTATGTTGGTAGGTCCCCCTTATTTTGCTATATTTTTATTTTTATTTATTTTTCTTCATTTATTTCAAAAGTAAGATTGTAAAAATCATATAAACTCATATAAAATCACATAATTATCCAAAAGTTCACGTTAATCAATTAAAAACCAGTTTTTCACACTTTAACACAAATATAAGTCTATTTATCATGAGTTAAGACTAAAAATATATTATTTACTAATTATTAATTTATGATAATGAAGACTTATTAAGTTGTAAGCATGTTGGTGCTACTACCTTCTTTGAATCAACCATAAGAATTCATCTTCATGTACTTCAAAATTAAGTTGTGTTCAAAAAGGCATCATCTTTGTCAAAGTAGATTGTAAGTCAATAGAATAAGTGGCTCAACTTTTCTTTACCAACATCGTGAAGATGTGAGAGCTTTAATAGGACATAATTAGTGACTAGGTCTCTTAATTCATTGAAAAATTTTGGACATCACTCTTCATCCTATTGAGAATTGAGCTCAAGTTCTCAATAACATTTCATCTATAGGTGAATAAATAAAGAGAGTAAACCAATATTAGTAGAGTAACATCTTTAACATTACTTGACAACCAACTAGGCAAATTATGTCAAATTACATGATGTAGCTCATTTCTTATAACTTGTATCAGAATTTAGTGACAAATCAATTGTTATTCAAACTCACAATGAGTCAATAGCCACTAACATCGCTGAAGTTAGTGAAGTAGGAAGGTGTGACGTATTACCTCACAACCCTCTAATTTGCATAATGGTGTAAAGAGCATGTAGAGGAGGCATGTGAGGCCTTGATATAAGCAATATTTTGAATGAAGAAAAACACAGATTAGAGTCAGTGCAATATAGAGCACCAAGTTGGTGACAAGATGATGCTTAACATCTCACCAAAGGTGCACAATAACATCAAGTGATCCAAACACCATCACAGCCTAATCCCTAGTACAATGAGCCATTCAAAATCATAACAATAATAAAAGGTTTGGCATATTATCTCAATCTACTATAAAGGTTGGTAGTCTACCTTGTCTTCCATGTCTATTTGCTAAAGACTTATTATCATGATGAGGATGATGTGATATAAGAGACTGAAGAAAGATGCAACGTAGAAAAGTGAGGTCTACCTCCGGAAGTTTGAAGACCTTACTTGAGGGTAACTCGAAGGACTAGCTCCAATGAAGACCTCAAACTCTTTAAGGGGGGAAGGATGTCACGACCCCAACAACCTAATGGGAGGTTCCATTGGTGGGATGTTGGCACCCATTTGAGGAGTAGGCACAACCGTGTGTGCACAGAACACGAACCCCACAGGCTACTCATTGCAACAAAAAAATAACATTGCACAAAGTGTATGTAGACATGTGTCACACAATAGCATGGACTTTGAAGGTATAGGGCTAGGTTGTGTGACATGTTCAGTAGGGCTTTGATTCAACACAGTAAGGTGCCAACATAGGAGTGGTAGGGCGTAGTGTCTGCAGCCAATGTGCAGCACAAGGTGGTGAAACATGGTATAGTGTGACATCAACAAGGCATGGCACTCGTATGAGACATGTGGCAGAACAAGATAAGGTCCTAGGATAGCTTCAATATTGGGAAAGCACATGTGTGGTGTGGTGTGAATGGGAAGAATAGTGTGACATGAAGGTATGTGTGTCATAAAGGAAGCAGTGGCACAACATGCCTGCAAGGGGCAACAAGCACTTGCCATAGGACAAGCACATGGGGTACGACGGGCACACGTGACACGGTGGACGCGCATGGCACAGCAGGCATGCGCGACACAACGGGCGTGTTTGGTAGAGTAGGCATGACGAACACGCACAACATGCGTGCACACATGGCATGATGAACTTGCACAGCATGGCGGCATTAAACCCCCACAAGAGGTAGGAAGACTAATACACCTACGTGATGGAGGGAATGTAGTCTCAAGGGACACAATGGACGTCGACAGGTGAGATGATGCTTGGGCAAGCAGAATGGTCAGTGGGGCACCCAAGGCGTCATAACGGCTAACAAGTGAGACGACTGTTACACCCTAATAGCTAACTACAGTTCAGGTGTAATGGTTACTTCGAACCCCTTGTAATGGTTAGTCCACTTCCTTCCCCCTTCAAAATTAAGGAAGGTGGGAAGTGAATAGGATGAGGGACTCTTTTGTGAGTTTTATTGAATATTCAAAGGGTTAACTCAAGAGTAGATCTTAACTATTTAGTGTCACATTTCACCTGAGGTGTAATAGTGATATCAGAGTCATGGAAGAAAGGGGACAAAAGCAACATATTATGCAACTAGAGTAAGAATTGTAGTTCACACGAGAGTCCTTCCAAGTAGTCAAAAAGGTGTTTGAAAGAAATATGTTCAAATCTACGAAATGATGGCTCGATGATAAGAGTGCTCAAACAAGAGGTAAGAGCGACTAGAGGAACACATTCAGTTGACAAATAGGAAGGTAGAGGAGCTTCAAAGAGAATCTACGAGTATTACTAGTGAGGAGGAACCTCCTACGGTAGAAAAATACTTAAGAGCTTTCAACAAGCGACTCCACCAACAAAGGATTAACCCCCATATAAGGGGTTAGAAGGAAACTAGCCTTCTCCCACCTAAGCCGTTCTCGGGCTAGAAGGATACGGCCAAGGTGGATGCCTTTCTATAGGTGGTAGAGAACTACCTTAGGGACCACGACTACACTGACACATAATGCCTTGGGATCACTACACGATTTCTTGAAGACTTAATAGCCCTATGGTGGAGGGCAAAGGGAAACCAAAGACATAGGAGGACTTCAAAACCTCCCCAGACAATATTTCAAACCCTTGACTTGGTTGTTTGAAGTGGTGTCCGAGTTGACAATGCTGAAGTAAAGTGGGTCCACATGAGAATATATGTAGAGATTTCTGAGATTGATGCTCGACATCCTAATGATGCCCGAAGAACTCAAAATACAAAGGTGAGGAGGTGGGAGGACCACCTAGATTATATGGTGATGTCTTCTACCTCCTTTAGTATATTACTAAGTATGGATTTCTTGACAAAGATAACTATGGAAGTCTTTCCCAATGGAGTGACAATCTAAGGGGGCGGAAGACCGCACTTTGTCTTGACCATTGAGGTAAATCTTGTAAAATACTAGGAATTAATACGATCATAGGACAAAGTGATCTTAGCACAATAGGTATAAAAAGAACTAAGGAAAGGGGAGGAGACCTTCACGTTGATCGTCTAGACTAGCCCACGGATGGAACAAATCAAAATCCTCGTCAAAATTTAGCAACAAATAATAGAGTTTGCTGATAGGCTACTAGAGAAGCTACTAGTCAAACTACCTCTAAGAAGAGGGGTAAATCATGTCATAAAGTTGGTCCCAAAAGCCAACCCTCTAGTGCATACATCATACACAAGATGTCACTGCATCACCTCATAGAATTACACACTCAAATTCAAGGCTTGCTGGAAGTAGGACACCTACAATCATCTAAGTCATCATTCGGTGTATTGATGCTATTCCAAAAAAAGAAAGACAAAAGCCTCAAGTTGTGTTTGGACTACAAAGCTTTGAATAACTTCATTATTTGCAACAAATATTCAATCTCAAATGTTGAAGACCTATTTAATCGACTGAGTCTGAGTGTGGCAAAGATATTTTTGAAGTTAGACTTGAAGAACATATATCATTAAGTGTAGATCTGAGTAGGTGACAAATCTAAGACAACTTGTGTAACCTAATATGAGTCATTTGAGTTTAAGATATTGTCCTTTGGGTTGACCAATACTTCAACTACTTTTTGTATTTTAATACACTTAATTTTTCAACTATATTTAGATGTGTTTGTAGTTGTCTACTTAGATGACATCTTGATCTATAGTCACAATATGTGAGAACACCACAATCACCTTCACATAATATTAGAACTACTTCGAAATAATAATTATACTTGAATCCCTCCAAATATAGTTTTACTAAAAAAGAAGTGAACTTTTTGAGGCACATTATCGGTGAGGGAAAAGTATGCGTGAACAAAACAAAAGTAAAAGCCATCAAGAAATAGACATCAGCACGAAGTATTAAAAATTTATAGTCATTCTTGGGACTAACTAATTAATACAGAAGATTCATAAAAAGGTTCTCTCAAATTGCGACCCCTCTCACTAATCTTTTGAGAAAAAACGAGTGTTGGCAATGGACGTTGGCGTGTGAAGAAGCCTTCAACAAACTCAAGGAGGCAACCTCGTTAGAACCTCTCTTTTGATTGCTAAATTTTGGTAAATCATTCATCTTGCACATAGATGCTAACAATGAGGTAGTGGGGGGTGTGCTTAACTAGGAAGGTCACCTAGTGGCTTTAGAAAGTTAGAAGCTAAATAGTGTCAAACATAACTATCTTGTCCACGAAAGAGACATGATAATAACTATCCATTGCTTAAGGATATGGTGACATTACTTACTTGGCAGTCAATTCACCATATTCACTGACAACATGACAAATACTTATTTTCATCACAACCAAGACTCATGAGTAAGTAGGGCGATATGATAATAATTTATGATAGAATACAACTATGATATTCATCATAAACTAAGGGCTTAGAACGTCATTGCAGATGCCGTCAACTGCAAGGCGGCGATAGTAGAAATCAATGTGACCAACACAATAGAATTAACCATAGACCTATTATAGTAAATTAGGGTGGCATGCGAAGGAAAGTCCTATGCCCATAAAATGTTTACTTGCATTCAAGCCAGCACAATATGGTCGTATTGGTCTAAGGATGGACTACTATTCACAAGAAGACAATGAATATACATCCCAACAACTAGGGACCTTCGATGAAAGTTAACTAATGAGGCACAAACACTTAGTGGTCGGGTCACCCAAGTCAACAATGAACTCTATCCTTGTTGAGTAGGGACTACTTTTGGCCAAGGATAGAGAAAGACGTAGAGGCCTACGTCGAGTCTTGCATGATCTAACAACAAAACAAGATGAAATGTTTCTGCCCAACAAGATTGCTACAACTATTGCCCATTTCAAAAGTACCATGACACACTATTACCCTTGCTTTCATTATTAGCCTGCCAAAGAATGGGGAGGTTAATATCATACTCATGATAGTTGATAAACTCATAAGTAAGAGATATTCCTAGCCACTAATTGACATTGCTCGGTGGAAGAGACATCATAATTGTGTTCAAGCATGTGGTAAAATATTGGGGGCTAACATGGAGAATCATATCCGATAGAGATGTACATTTCACCGAGAGATTATGAAAAGTGTTGTTCACTAAGTTAGGGACACAGTTACACTTTTTCACTACATACCATTCATATACAAATGGTCAAATAGAATATCTCAATAATATATTGGAAGAATATTTTGGACACTATGTTTCGGCCAAGTAAGACAATTAGACATAACTATTGGATTCAACATAATTGGCGTACAACATCTAATGAAGTAGTGCCACGGGTTACTCTCCCTTCGAGCTAGCCACAAGTCACTAATCATTGATGCCCTTATGAACACCACCAAGAGGTGTCATGCAACCACTAGACTAGTGACGGAGCACATGGATATGTTGGAGACAACGAAGGACAATTTCTAGCAAGTAGTGAATAGAATGAACAAGTAGACGAACAAATATTGATGAAAAGTCAAGTTTTGGGCGCGTGACAATGTGCTTCGTCAAATGAACCCCGAAATTCGCCAATGCATGAGAGATGCTACCAAGAACTAAAGTTTACTTCCATGGTTTGAAGGGTCCTTCATCGTCTTAGAGCGAATCAGCTCAGTACAGAGTACATTTGCCCCCAAGGTTGCCCATTCACTCGATTTTTCACGTATCATTATTGAAGAGGTACATGGCCGACTAGAAGAACTTGGAAATAAACAAAGTCATGCGGCAACCTCCATCAGCCATAACAACCTTCTCAAGGGAAATTGACAATATCTTGACCCACAAGTTCATCGACAGAGGTGGCCACCACAATGTGCACAAGCACATCGACTTCCTCATACGATGGGAAGGGGACCCACAAGAAGCAACAACATGGCACCACGAGAAGGACCTATGACAGTTCAAGAAACAACTTGCCAAGTACCTCACAACTCACCCGACGAGAACATTAGATTCTTCAAGGGGGGGAGATGTCACAAAGGAAGTAGCAGTGCAGTAGACCCACAAGGGGCAATAGGCACCTGCAACAAGGTAGGCTCACATGATGAGACAAGCATGCGGGGCACGGCAGATGCATGTAGCATGGTGGGCACGCTCAACATGGCAGGCACAGTAGGCAAGTATGGCACAGCAAAGGCATGTGACACAGCGGGTGCACTTGGTAGAGAGGGCATGGTGGATGCACATGGCACGATGTGTGCATACAGCACAACAAACTTGCGTGGTATGACAGTAAGGTGCGCATCACAAGACCCAAGACAAAATGGGTCCCCAAACACACGGAACCCTTGCAAGAGGTAGGAAGACTAATACACCCACACAATGGCGAGAATGTAGTCATGGGGGACATAGTGGATGCCAACAGGTGGGATGATGCCCGGGCAGATGGAACTGTCAGCAAGGCACCCAATGCGCCCCAATAGCTTGCGAAGTGAGACGATCGTTACACCCCAATGGCTAACTACAGCTCATGCATAATAGCTACTCTGAACCCCGTGTAACAGTTAGTCCGCTTCCCTTCCCCCTTCATAATCGAAGAAGGTGATGAGCAAACAAGAGGGGGGACTCTTTTGTGAGCTTTATTGAATATTCAAAAGGTTAATTGGAGAGCGGATCTTAGTTATCCAGTATCACATCTCACCTGAGGTGTAACAATGTGTTCTTGTAGGATGCACCCTCCAAGGGTTGCATCTTTCAAGTGGTGCACCAAGGGTCACACCCCTTCAGACGTGATGAACTAAGGGTCATACCCCTTCGGGGTGGTGCACAAAAGCTCACACCCTTCATTAGGAGTTGGATGGTGCAAGGCAGGCAAAGAGTGAGTGGAGAGTCATCCTATAATCCCCAAACTGCTCTCATGTGTTCTAGGTTGAGGAATAAGAAGTGTCCATTATCCCCATCTCTACCCTCTTTCGTGATTGCTTCTGCTGGAGCCTTTTGGACCATAGGAAAACTTGTTTGTTTGAGCATTGCTACAGAATGTGCCAAAGATGTCATGTTTGTGATCGCTAGTCATAGGCTGATCAAGTGCCAGCATGACACAATGCCTTCCTACACTCTTACCATGGGGTTAGGAAAAATACACGAGGACAACAAGCATTTCCATCCATGATATATTTTTTTCTTGGGCACCTGATTGCACCTTTAAGTTAGATTTGCATACTCCCAGAGGACCCATTAGACCACATTTGATCATTCTCCACGACTTCAACAATAATTGTGTTCTCTTAATGTTATGATACCTTATAGAACCTCATGTCTACATCTTATGCATCCATACATTTATCATCCATATATTATTGTAACTATGGTAACACACATAATTTACTATTAATGAATAACAAATTTACCAATAATCATTCAAACAAAATGCTCATTTGACGAAATGGTGACACACACTGACTTAATTTGTATCCATTATAAAATGACATATAACGTGTTGAAAAAATAAATTGATCTCTTTTCTCACGGTATATCTTTTAAAGGATGGCACGATGATGACGTTTTCACACATGAGCTTGTTACTCTTCCACAATCTAATTACTATGTTCATTTCAGGTTGATATTTTATCATAAGCAACAATATTTAATAACTTGACATCATATTAGTTATCGAGGCGTTGAACTCTTGTAAATTTGGGAAACATTAACAAAAACTAACATGGGACTAAGTAATGAGAAATGAATAACTTATGGGGAGCGGCTGGCGGGCGGCGCCCAGGCGGTGCGCATGAATGCTCCGCGGGTCGGCGGGAGCTTCGCGGCATGGGGAGGCCTCTTCACGCCAGGAGGATCCCTGGAACTCGATCACCGCCGGCGCAGTCACCAGTGGGTTCGTACAGATGCGGTAGGGCGCCGCCGCGGCCTCCAGGTCGGCTCTGTTTGGGGGAGTCATCTTGGCTCTGATTGAAAGCGCTGGTATAATGTTTCAATCGGTTTCTGAGTGCTCCCCTTGAAAACGAGAGACTTATTCATAATAGAGGTAATTCGTAGATATATGAGACCTAGTAGCCAATACAAGTATTTGGTCAACTGTGCTCCATCTTGATATATTGTAATCTACCAGATATTTATTCCAAATGAATGAAAACTTAATAACAATGGAGAGTAATGTCATGATTCGTGTGAATAGGACCAGTTTGCTGACGAGAGCACACTAAATGGGGTTGGAGGTTGTTGAAATCCAAATGGCCAACAGTTGGACTCCACGAACGTCCCCAGGACAAAAACATTCCAATGTACTCCAGTACATACGGGAAGTGAAGAGGAATACGTTTTGAAGAGACCCATTTGGTAAATATATAGTTACGCATTTCCGTCTGTCTATGGTCTATGCAGGAGCATTCTCACTAAGTACGCTCCTGAGGATATAACCAATCTCTCTCGAAGCGTTCTTCAATATTGTTTCGCGTGCCGTGGCAGATCGAGTGCTTCCTGACTTAGGATAAGCCTCTTAACTTCGATCAAAACAGTAGAGCGGTAGACTCCACCATTGCCGTATGAGATCGTCTGCCTTCATGGACCCGCCAACCCATTCCCTGCTCGACCGGTATAATCGCCGGCAAGCCGTGCTATCTTAGCTCGTTGTCCCCCATGCTAGTTAAGCGCGGACCAGAATGCACGTCTCAAGGCCCACAGCTCTTACTCCGCGGAAGGATCGCCCTCTCTTCCCTATTAAATGTAAGGGATTAAGAGTAGCGCACACTCGCCGGTCGGTAGCTCAGTGAGGGGTTCCTTCACAACTCAGCAAAAGTTGAAGATCTGCTTGAAGCTCTCCTTGCCAGCTGACAGCGGCGGAGCCGGAACCGTGAGAAGCCCGCGCGCGGAGAGGAATGAGACGTAGGCGTTCCACGATATGCCTCTGTTTCCCGTTGTCCTTTCAGGGTTGACGGAGTTCGAGCACCGGACTGTACCAAAATGATGGGGGAGCAGTCAGAAACGCTTGTCTGAGGGTTATGCCGCCTATTAATTATAATCGAGACGAGTCAACATTCAATGAGCCAGTGCTCCATACAGAGTGTGAGAAGTCGGGGACTTCAGTGCTCCACCCACTTCAAGGATGCCTTCGCAAGCCATCTGTCGAGCGGCTCTTACTCCGCGCGAGGGCAACCGGCGAATTAAGGGCGGGGGGGCGGGGTGTGGAGCCCAGCTACCACATTTATTCGTCAACTAAGCTGCAAAGAAACGTCAGCCCTGCTGCCTGTTTGAAGCTAAGGTGGAACCCCTCCGTTGAGGTAATCTCGGGAGTTTGATCGCGAGGGACGTGTCGAGGGTGCTTTACCCTGGTCCTTTGATCAACTCTAGAGCTTGGCAGAGTTTTGCCAGCACGCGTCTCATCCTTATTACTGAAAGGACAGTTGCAGGGTCTCCGGTTGCTGTTTGCTCCTCTTCTATCTGAAGGGACGTGCCATTAACAAATGGCTGAGCTACATCCACGGAATTCCACAAAGGAGCGAGGAGGATGCATGGGCTCGCCCTTGGAGTATTCCAGGATATCTCTCCCCTCTCCTTAGTTTGGCTGAGGTAATTCGATAAAAGAAAAGACTCAAAAGAAAGAGAGTCAGTGAACTCGAGGAGGGGAGGAGCTGCCGAGGGCATTCAATGGGAGGAAACCAAAACGAGGCAACCTAACCAGTGACAATTGTCACTCGTTAATCCACAGATGGGCTCTCGTCACATGTGATGCCATAATGGGAAGTGTCGGCTAGGCGGCCTCCGGCTCTTTTTAAACCCCAAGGATCCGAGGCACTGGCACCGCCATTGCAGCGGCCGAGCTTCATTGCCTCCGCTCTCTCTTCCCCTTCCTCCCTCCTTCTTCCAGCCCTCTTGACAGGGTTGGCCCGCCAACATGGGGATTCCTCCACCTCGGAGGAGGAAACTCATACTGACATTACTGGCAGGTCTCCTCCTGCAGACCTTTTACTCCGCCGACGCTGTCACCTCCTCGGAGAGGCTCGTCTCTGTGACCGGTGCCGGGGAATGTTCTGACTGCGCTTCCAAGAATATCGACGGTGCAGTTGCATTCAATGGTAGTTTCCTCTCTCTCTCTCTCTCTCTCTCTCTCTCTCTCTCCTTCTCTTGCTCAAGCGGTTTTTCCTAGAGCGTGGTTGGAAGAGTCTCTCAGTGCTTTTTACTTCCCCGTGGGTTTGGAAGTAAGGACTCTGGACGACCGCTTGGGTCTCCTGCGAACAGTCTCGCGGTGTTTCTTCCATAATCTGTTAAAACTCTCATATTGACGATGACGAGGCTCTCGACGAGTTTCTCCAAAGTGACGGACAAAGTTTGACGTTGATAATCACGTTAAGTCTTGTTCGGCAAAAGCGGCGCACGCTAATAATAAGAGCTAATCGTTTAAAGTCATAGTTTTACTATCATTTAGCGATGGAAATCTTGCTCATGCTCGGCTACAACTCTGGGCCGATTTTCTTTCGACAGGGCTCAACGTAGCGGTCTACTGCATGGGCGAAAAGGGCCAGTTTCACATCAAAGGAGTGGGCGAGCTCGACAAAGACGGAAAGTTCAGCGTCAGGCTCCCCAGCGAGATCGTCAAAGAGGAGGGGGGGCTCAAGAAAGAGTGCTTTGCGCAGCTCCACGGTGGCTCCAAGAACACTCCCTGCCCCTCCGCCGGCGGCGGCTTCGACGCGGCGAAGCTCGTCCCCAAGTCAGTCGAGGGTGGGAAGCACACGTTCGTCACGGCCGGGAAGCTGAGCTTCTCCTCTGAGACATGCGCGTCTACTTTCTTCTTCTGGGGGGATCATCCGTGGTTCAAGCCGATAAACAAGTTCCCATGGTACTTCCCCCCCAAGTACTACCCTCCAGTTTACCAGCCTCCCACTCCGGTGTACGAGGCACCCCCACCGCCCGTTTATACACCTCCCGAGTACTCACCACCGCCCCCTCCTCCCGAGTACTCACCACCGCCCTCTCCTCCGGTGTACTCGCCACCGGAGGGTCCTTCTTCGCCGCCGGAGGGTCCTTCATCGCCCCCAGAGGGTCCTTCAACGTCGCCCACTCCCCCGGTTTACACAGGAACACCCCCTCCTTATCACTACAAACCCCCTCCTCCTTACCACTACACACCCCCTCCTCCTTACCACTACACACCCCCTCCTTACCACTACAAACCGCCCCCTCCTTATCACTACAAACCGACCCCTCCTCCTTATCAGTACAACCCGCCACCTCCTTACAACTACAAACCGCCCCCTCCTGTGTACTCACCACCACCAGAGACAACACCCCCACCAGAGACAACACCACCACCAGAGACAACACCGCCACCAGAGACAACACCCCCACCAGAGACAACACCACCACCAGTGACAACACCGCCACCAGAGACAACACCCCCTCCTGATCACTACAAACCCCCTCCTCCTTACCACTACACACCCCCTCCTCCTTACCACTACACACCCCCTCCTCCTTACCACTACACACCCCCTCCTCCTTACCACTACACACCCCCTCCTCCTTACCACTACACACCCCCTCCTTACCACTACAAACCGCCCCCTCCTTATCACTACAAACCGACCCCTCCTCCTTATCAGTACAACCCGCCACCTCCTTACCACTACAAACCGCCCCCTCCTGTGTACTCACCACCACCACATCCCGTTTACTCACCACCACCCCACAAAACACCACCACCCGAGACAACACCACCACCTCCTGATCACTCGCCGGGGGTTCCTCCAGTGATCTCACCGCTGGGGCATCCTGTGTACTCACCACCACCGCATCCCGTGTACCCACCACCGCCCGTCACACCCCCAACACCTCCTGTGTACCCATCACCGCCCATCACACCACCAACACCTCCTGTATACTCACCAACACCACCAGTCTACCATTACAAGCCACCGCCGCCCGTCTACAATTACAAGCCGCCGCCGCCCGTCTACAATTACAAGCCACCGCCGCCCGTCTACAATTACAAGCCGCCGCCGCCCGTCTACAATTACAAGCCGCCGCCCGTCTACAATTACAAGCCGCCGCCGCCCATCTACAATTACAACCCGCCACACCACAAGTACATGTCTCCGCCCAAGTACCACACCCCTCCGGAGTACAATCCGCCACCAGTCTATGTACCACCAAAGGACTGCCCTCCGACCTACGGCAGTCCCCCAATCGAGACCCCCCCAGGTTACGGGAACCCACCGCCACCTTACTAGTATGCTCCCTCCCTTCCCCTCGGCCAATCCGAAGCGCCAACCATCCCCCCAGCAAAAGGGGCAGGCAACCAGACGTCCAGGTTTTAGAAGCTGCTTTTAATCTGTCATCCATCTCCGCCATTAGTAGGCCAATAATGAGCGTTTCGAATTCTTGTGTTGGTGTCTTGGTCGCAGCATCTCCGTTTATTTCTTCTCTACTTGTTAAGGTGCTATATGCTTTGATGGGCTTCTCTCCAATCTCTCTACTAAGATATCAAACACTGCGTGTTCTGGTTCCTTTCCGCTGCCATCTCGAACCTGGCTCTCTCTACCTTCACTGCTCCCAACTGTGGATCGAACAGACGGTAGGTCAACGGGGCAGGTCCGCGACTTTCTTAACTCTTCTGTTCGAAGTCTGGATGGATCACCAAGGAGTGTCACGAGTGTATGGGAGACAGTACAGATCGAGGATAGAGACAATAAAGGCTCGGCCTTCAATGCCGCTGTCCAACTCTTGTTAAATGCCGTACGTTACAGACGCGAGGTGTTGACCGCTGGAGGATCGATGATCGCTATCAGAACAACCTGAACGACGAATCTGTCGAAAGGGATTTTCAGAAATGACGCGTGACGTTAGTTTGACTTTGGTTAACGGCCCTGTCAAGATCGACTTTCGCGCCGTCGGCTCTATCGGTCCTGCTTTGGTTAACGGCTGATCTGGGTTTGACCTTCCAGACAGCGGCGAGCCACCGAAGCGTGCCTTGAGGAACAGCGGGGGGGTGCCGTCATCAATCCTCCTACTTTTCTCTACTATTTTTGGGTAATTAATGCAGTTGGGTAAATAGAAAGACGAGCTTTTATCGCACAAGAACTGACAGAGACTTTCTCGGACTGGTCTTCTACGAAGCCCGATCTGATCTGACTTTGACCTTCCAGACAACGGCGAGCCATCAAAGCCTGCCTAATGAGGGACAGCCGGCAGCCGCCGTCGTTCTTCCTCTTACTTTTCCCTACTGTTTTTGGGTAATTCATGTAGTTGGGTAAACAGAAACACGAACTTTAACCACACAAGAATTGACAGAGACTTCTCGGACTGGGCTTCTATGAAGCCCGATCTGATCTGGGTTTGACCTTCCAGACAGCTTGGCGAGTCACCGGCGGGAGGGGTGCCGGGCGGCGCCGTCCCCGCACAGCCAGGCGGTGACCAATCAGATCCCTAGAAAGGGCCCGGATGCCTACCCATGAAAATCTGGTGATCATGCGAAAAGAAATAGCATTCTGAGCAAAATCTTCATGGGCGTCGGCTTGTGTAGTTAAGAGTTCAGCGCCACTCCAAATGATACAACAGGATGGATAAACCAAGAGTAGCAGGTATCACCGGTGGCTGCGTTGCTCTCATCTCTCCTTGAAACTACCCCGTGGGGAACTACCTCCTGCCTTTGGGCAAGCAATGCTCTTCAGCAGTTCGGGCTCGCACCAGTACCTCGCGGCGCACTCCTTCACTTCTTCTTCTTGGATTTGTTCGACAACGACTGGGCGTACGCTGTTCCCTGCACAACACAGGCACAAGCTTTAGGTCAGCTCTCTTTCTCCAAGGAATTTCCATGGAAAATGTTCTCTAAAAGAGGGGGAGGAACTCACTTCCAGCCACTCGTCCATGGATGAGTCAGTCGCCCCTGTTCCAACCTCCACCTTGGGTGCCCTCTTTGTTTTCTGGATGGAGAAAGAGGGAGCATGATGCTCTCCCAGGGCGGCACCAAAAAAGAGGCTACCAGGTGAAAGAGAGAACAACAGCAGCCACTGTGCTTACCTTGGAGAGGTTCTGGATCTGTCCGTAAGCCCACAATACGAAGAGGCCAACAAGGGCAGCCCCAAGGGTGACGAGGAAGATGGACTCGATGCTCAAAAAGCCTCCTGCTTCCACCACTTCGATAGTACCGTTGTAGAATGTGTTCTGGAACGGATGCTGTTCGATCTCATAAAAAATGGTACCCACAAGATCAAAAGTTCCAGGCTGCAAACACAAGAATAGAATTCTCATTTCAATCAACACACACAGATTTTTCAATACGTGCAATTGAATTTTTCAGGCTGTGAGACTGAAAAGCTGGGAATCTCTAGGGGATGCTGCAAAGATGGCATCTCACCTGCAGATATTTACTAACAACAAAGACATATGGGTACGCTGCCTGAGTGGATGGAGGGATGGTAGCATTGAAGAACTCCTGCAAAATCGTAGAAAGATAGTTAATATCAGGAGAGACTAAAGCTGAAAACAAGTACATGGGTTGCCAATACAGTGTGGAGAAAGTCATTTGATACCGTTGTTTTGGTAAATATATAATTGGAAAATTTCTCAACACTACACGATGCTCGAAAAAACCCTTAATGATTATGTCTGTGCATATGCATGGTTTTCTACTTGCAGTTATGGTTGTATCAGGTAATGCCGCCAAAAGAGAACAGGAAATAAAATTGGTCGGCAAACAAAAGCAAAAATGGATGACGCATAGCTAAACAAAGAATAATTATTGAAGAACGCAATTTCTAATTTCACAGCGAATGCTACAATCCACAACTGTGTCCCGTCTTGGTCTCCATTTCTAGGTGTCCTGCATTGGCAAAAGGGATTGGTTAAAAGAACCCCGTGGGTATTTTCCAGACTGGCCAAGCGTGAAGTCAACCCATGTGCCTGCGTGGCTCCCTATTTTTCACCCCGTGCACTAGGCTGCAGAAAGATGAGAACCGCACACGTGCACCAGATCTGCATCCGGAGGCGAGGCTAGTGTGCCACCCGGTCACCTGATCAGTTCCCAGACTAGATCATAACGGACTTCAACCATATCTATTACAGTCACCAGTGTCATGGGAGATGCAAGTATGCGAAAAAGGGAATCAGAGGTAAATACTAACAAGGTCAACATTTTTGGGTGTGATGTTCATAAAGGAAACGATATTTTTCTACTAGATAAGGAAAGTCTTCTGGAAGAAAGGGCCTCGTAAAAGGGGATTTTAGTACTAATTATGAATCTAAACCGTTGGATACGGATATGCAGAGCGTTCTCCTCAATTCACAGGCCACAAAAAACAGACAACTGAAAACCCTTCAAGTAACAGCTGAGTCTAAGAGAAAAAAATTGAGAGAAAATATCTGATAACTTTCTGATTTCCTTGGAATCAGGAAGTTATCAGCTATTTTCTGTGGAAGCAAGAAATGAATCTCCATAATTGATGTATAGATTCTGTGGTTTGATTGAGATGTTATTGCCCGGACGAGAAAGACAACAACATCAATTTTCAGGAAAATACTGCTCTGTGAAAATCAGACTAGATATCTAGTCCACTCTAAATGACCCAGAAGAGGACTTCCAAGTCTCTATAGAATGAAGCAAGCAAATATCAGCAGTAGGTAAAAGAAAAATATATATCTAGGGGCATTGAGATGAATGGTTCACCTGCACAGTGAGATTTTGGATGAGCATCCGATGATCAAACGAAAAATGAACACTGGCCTTTATTGAAATGACTTTCAAGGCAGCATCACCTGAACTTCAAGACAATAAAACCCATAAGGAAAAGAGACCAGATATCTGATAGAGGCAATAAGTTAATATGAAAAATAAAATAAACATGAAATTTTGGGAAGTCAGCACTCCACTAAATGATAAATGCTAAATAATACAGGAAAAAAATCATATGACACAAAAGCCAAAGGGAATGGACCTCAAAGTCAAATTTTTCATTAGGTAAAAAGATCTAAATTGTCGCAGAAATTGAAAGGAGAAATGGTAACATTTCAGTGTGATTAGTTTTTCTTAGGTACATGAATGACATTCAACACTAGGAGTGAAGAAGTCCACGATAGAAGACTGAATTTGTTCTCAAGAAAAAATGGAGCAATTCGACAAGCGAATACACGTAATATAACACCCGTGTGCGCGTGTGCATTGATACATAAATATAAATACATATATTCATATATGCTCGTATACACAAGAAACACATATTGACATTCATCAGCACACTGAAAGTATGGCTATTTACTGAAAACATAGGTATGCACAGGTCGTAAAAACAATCAAACTGTGATTCTGCGACAACCATGAACGCTAAGATATGGATAGGAGTTGCAACAGGATGGTCACAATATATCTGTTTTTGTGTAATTATTCAAAATATGTGCTGAACAACGTAATATCACAATGAAACAATAAAATGCAGAGGACTAATAAAATAACAAACGCACAAAGTCTGACCGGTAACCAAGTGCAAGTAGCATTGATGAGATTACCTTGGTTGTTTACTCCAACCAACAGTTCAGTTTCTTCCCCAGCTGTGACCACTGCAGCCATAGGAGATTAACACATACAGTATAATGTCATACAAAACAAGCACCTATTCTAATGTAGATTTACTAGGCTTACAGCGAGGTGGGTTTTTTGGAAAAACACAGGTTGTATCCACCCCAAGAGCTGATCCAAAGGAACCATCACCGAAGTCTTGGACATCATCACCAACAATACCAAGATCACCACCATCAACAACTTCAGCGGCAACCCCATCTGTGTCAGATTGGCATCTGACCACTGAATGATTACAAGTCACATGTCAAAAAGCCAACTGCATTACGTCAGAGCTGCCTAGGAACCATATAAACAAGTGGCAGAAAGAATTAACTCAAGTTTAAATGGCTTAGAGAAGTAAAACAAGAATGATAATGCAACGTCAGAGAAAAATCAAACGTTACAAAGCAGAAATCTAATGACAAAAAACAAATCAAGGCCACTGGCTAAGACTTCAGAAGGTAAGGTGCCCTATTGAGAGAATCAAGGAGGATATTAGTTTCGTATCCAATAAAAAGGATTGAACAAATTGCTCTGCTCTGGCCTTCCGAGCAGAAACATTGATGCAAAAGTAATAACGCTCTGGGAAAGGACCATTGTAGCTGGACACTTAATATGACAAAGAAAATAAGACGTGGAATCTCATTCTGGGAGGACGACATCCTTGAGGAAAAAATGGATTAGTTGGCCTTGGATTGAGATCCCCTTAACCTTGAACAACACAGCTGAGCAAGGCCAATAGGCCCAGCTAAGAACATGATCCATAGTTTAAGAACGAATCAACCTTGACTATGGTCAAGGCTGGTAAAGAGGTAGAGAGGCCATGCGCCAGGCAGATCTGAGCCCAGATCTGACGAGAAATGATTCACTATGCTACATTCATGCCCATTTTTTAATTAGAACTCACATGTTTTTCACGCGGAAGAAGGTACCTATTTCTATAAGATTGGATTTCTTGTGGGGACACGATGTTTTTTTTCGACTATTGATGGTGTTCTCAGTTACAAAAGATGTTAGTAAGTTCCCTTAGAAATGGAAATGAGCACCGGACCCATGTTCTATATTAGTTTCCCTGTATTTAATGACTATTAATGCCCATAGATGGACTGTTCATCTAAATCGGTAAAAAAACATCATGGATGTACGAATTATATAGCATGCCTATTATCATCAGAAAGTTGAAGCCGAACTCATGGATGCCAAACGTATGCTGGACATTCTGCATAACCCTCTTGTTACAGAAGAAATTTCTTGATATGACGCCGTAACAAACAAATCCAAAGTTTTTCAGAATGTAGTCTACTGGCGAGCAGTAGTTTCGGGGAAAATATGCGCTATGTCCGAAACAAAGAAGAAAACAAAAAAAAAGTTGCAATTGGTGAACAGTCATTAATCTCACAGTCGAGCGAGATTCTACGAATCAACGATTCAAGTTTTTGAACATAAATAAGCGAGCTAGAAACTAAATCGAACACCAAATGAAGCCAGAACGGATCGAGGGAAAAGGTAAGAGAAGCAGGTCGGAATTTTCTTCGACGATCTTTCAAGGTGTGCCATCCAAAGAAAGCCATTGGGTGAGAAAGCAAATCCGATCTCACATGCAAGATGAATTTTACCGGAGAAAGGGCCACAAACACCAAATGGCAAACGAGGATGAGAAAATGGAGGAACCGAACAGACCTCGTTGGATCGGAGCGGCGAGGAGGAGGAGAGCCAGGAAGAGGGAAAACCGAACGCCGATCGCCATAGATCTCGCCCGAAGAATGACTTCCCGTTTCGAACACTCGATCCCCAGGGATCCACAACCAGCAAGCACCGGTTCCGGACGCAGCCGAATGTTTCCAACACCTGAGGCCTCGCCCAGGTCGACTTGCGAATCTCCCGATCAAAACAAGGAAGCGGAAGGAGAAGAAGAGGAAGAATAAGAAACCCTATCGAACTATATGGGACCCACACGCGGAGCCAAATCTGACCCGAGCGCCCGATCTAGACCCCCACGTGAGCAAGTCAACCAGTAGATTTGGGTCCGGTCCGGCCCAATATCACGCGTCCGGCCCAACTTAGTCAGCCCACATCCCAGCTGGTACTACCTTTTCCCGCCTGATCCTCTGCTACAGTCCTCGAGAACAGCGCCCACCCCCCAACCAGGATTCAGTTCGGAGATCATCTTCAGATTTCCAGGTTTTTTTTATAAACAGTGAAGAGATCCTGCCAACTCCGATCGATCTCGGAAGAAATATGGAGAAATTTCCATCAGAGAAGTGAAGACGGCGACCCGGACGAATCTCTGCTCCGCGAGCGCTCCCTTCGTGGACCTTCGTCAGATCAGTCCCCGTGAATCGTGTAGCGCTCCCATTTCCTGGTCGGGTCGTAAATCTGCGGCAAAGAGAGGGAAAATCAGCGTGCCGAAGAGGTGACGTCTGAAGCATATGGTTAACGAGGTCCGGCCGGCGCCCTCGGAGTAGGAACACGGCGAACTCCAGGCAGAAAATAGGAGGGCGGGAAGGAACGCACCTCCCATCTGGAGGCAGGGAAAATGTGCTTGTTCTTCTCGTACCAGTGCCTCTCCACCACCTTCCCGGCGTGAGACTGCAAATGAGTAGCATCTGATGGTTATCTACGCTTAATCCGGGACGAATACAAGCATCAACTGTGTATGTTCTACCGTGTTCGATGAATCAATAAGGTACAAGGCATCTGTTTATCTGTTCTCCAATCATAGCCGAAGGAATGTTATCGACTGTATTCATAACGTCTGGAACCTCATCATAATTTAAATGATCCAAATATTTTTTTTTCCCGGGATGAGAGCTAAACCGCATAGTGTTCATCTCAAAATCGGTGGCAAAAGATGTTACAGCATTGCGATTAAAAAAAATATAGTTGTCAAAGGCCTAGACCCTCTGTGCGTTCTTAACTAACAACTGTTTCTTCAATAAATGCAGACCTGGGCCCTTATTAAAAGGAGGAAAGTTTCTTTGAGATTGAACGCTCAAGAAGAGATGTGACCAGCGCAGTAAAATTGTCAAAAACAGAAAACAGTAATTCAGCACCACACTTTATTGGGCTATTTATCTTTCCATATTCCAACTGTGATGCGTTATTTTCATCTGTTTTTGCCATTCCCTCTTTCCATTTCTTCTTTCACTATCAATCACCTCCTAAATATGTTTCAAGTGCGATGAAATCGCAATCCTCGCTCTTTAGCACTTCCTACCTCCCTGTTCTTAGCTCACTTCGTCACTTGCTCGCAGTTACACGTCTTCTGAAAAGATTTTTTTGGTTCCGTAGTATTCTTTCTTTCAATTTCCTGATGCCGGATTTCTGTGGCTCTTTTATATCAGTGATATTGATCAACATGTCTAACAGCAAAAGCCTATGTCAGCCGAACAGCATAAACTCCAAAAACATTTCACCAAAACGTGGGCTCATTAAGATAATTCGACGTAATAAGATATACCCAAGCAGAACACTAAAAATAAAAAATAAAAATGGGCATGATACACTATCCAGAATGTTGCCAAAAGTAGTGATTAGGAAAGGCTAACCTCGTCCTTCTCTATTGTAGCATCAGCTGTTGTCCGCACATCCTCGTGAACATCAAAGTGGAAAAGCTGCGATATGATTTAACGTCAGAAACACAATGGTTTTATAAACCTAAGTCAACCATTTTTACCCATATTCCACTTAAGGGATAGGATCCAGGAGATAAGACTAAATCATAGAATGCATACATGAAAAATCCCACTCAGCTTCCAAAGCAAGACAATACCATTACCATAAATATGAAACATGGAGAAGATAAATCCTCTCTCTCTCTCTCTCTCTCTCTCTCTCTCTCTCTCTCTCTCTCTCTCTCTCTCTCTCTCTCTCTCTCTCTCTCTTCATGTCTTATTTTTGAGAACCTTAAGCATGCATCAAGTTCAATGATGTACGGGTACTCTATTGCAAAAGAAAGTTAGAGAAGTGGCCAAGTGTGCAGTAAACATTTTAACAAAAAATGAAGAGAGACTATAAGTAGAGAGACCGATATCGCACTTCTGATTATTACTGTTCTGGTGAATGGATGAGCATATTAAAATTAGCAATGAACGAGAAAAACAAAGAAGACGGCAGATGTGTATTTCCAATGAAGTTCAAATATTGACAATTTCTTCTATGATATGTGATCTTGTAGCACCGAGCACAAGGGAAAAAAGGCTACCTTGAGAGTACTCAAGATGCAAGTGATACACCACAACCAATTGTGATCCCCATAATCACTACTTATACAGGCCAAGCGTCCTACTCAAATGTGACAGGGTGACCCTCTTTACTCTGGGCATGTGGACATGTTGCTATTATTCCTACCATGAGGTGAGGCCACACCATTATCAGGCTACACTGGCTATTGTCCAGAACGTTATGGGAAGCTGGTATACATGGCCGTAAATTAGCTGACATCTTTCCTACAGATTCATGAGCTCTGAGAGATCGAAGCCGTATCAACACTCAACATTAAAGAACAATGAAGAATGCCCGGAAGCCCAAATGAATGAATGGTGAGAGAAAAGAAGCTGCAGCAACACGGAGGTATCCCAATAACATTCTTCCATTCTAGAGAGGATGCCTTTTGACTAATAATGAGAGAGATAAGGCTGTGGTAAGGAAGAGAATTATATAAGCTTATGGAGTCTACTTTGGCATTGGGTAGCAATAATCAAAACTGATATATTTTCAGTATGCATTTCTATTAATGCTGATCAGTTCTAAATAAATTCAGATGTTTCTGTTCATTCGAAAAAAGCTATTACATCTTATCTGATAGCCATTCACCAAAAATCCAACAACTTCAGATAGCTGTCAACAGATCAAGTAAAAGATGGCGTAAATGCAGTACTTCGAGAGAAACAGAACCTGGGAAAAGGAAAATCACATGCCTTTATCTCATCGAGACAACACAGAATTCTCGGAACATAAAAGAGTCTCCAAACCCTTCTCTAAACGAAACCAAGTCTCTCTATTTATCCTCAGAAAAGACAGTGGAGATGGGCATTACAACACTACTTCCAGCAGTCTACGTAAACACTAGAATGAAAACTTACTGGTCCACTTTTTCCCCTTGCTTTGTTGACAATCAGTTCATAGAAACTGTGTTGCTGAAGAAATGAAACACAACTATCAGCCAAATCTGGAGAATTAAATGCCGGGAAGTAGGAAAAAAAGGATAAAACGAAGAAAGAACATACATGAGGAATGATCAGATCTTCTTTCACATACAACAAATTTTCCACGGAGGTTGTTCGAATCTCCCTGAACTCTGGTGCGAGCTGCTGCTGAACAGCTCGCAGAAACTCTCCTATGGTGTCACCTTTACGTACCTGACAAAGATGATTGATTCCCAGAGAAATTAAGCTCATCATAACTAAATAAAAATACATAAATCAGCATTGATAGATGAAGAGCAGACAGAAACAACTTGCCTGGATTACTCTCCTATGACCTGCTCCATCCCAATAGCTGTATGTAATTTCCAGAGGCTCATCTAAAATATAGACATAACCATGTAAGAGAAATGCCCATATCTCTCTTAAAAGTAATAATATTAGACTGAGTAGGGTACTTCGGATAAGTTCTTGTTCACGGAACCACTGCTTGCGCAGCCGTTCCCGCTCTGCTTGCTCCTCTGCCTCGCGTTCACTGAAGGATCATACATGGCACCACCAGGCACATACATTAGCACACTGATATCATTATTATTATTTGCTTCATTAATGATTTTAGTTTGGAAAACATTATTATTACATACAGATGCCATACCTGTCAGGTAAAAAGCTTGTCTCAACTGTTGGGTCCTTGCCAAACTTCCCATGCCTAATCTTATCTTCGCCTTGATCACCTACATCGTTAAACAAGTAATAAAATGAGACGGAATGACTAATAAACCCATTAACTCAAGCAAAAATATCTGGACAGGATCAACAAATTCTTGACCATACACATAGGTTGCATGCATGCCATGTTCTGGTTATAATGTTTGCAAGGAAAGGGTAGACATATAGGTTCTTTTTAGCCCGTCAAAGTCTAGGCATCACCCTTAAAAAATTTCAGTATTTTACAAACTACCATACCCCCAGTTCTCATTTATTTTCTTTGGAGATTCCGCTTGAGATCCCTAGGATTCTTGATATTTAGAGACAAACCTCTAGTATACAAATTTCCCTTTACCAAGTTTAAATTATCAAAAGTATATGTTATAGAAAAGGAGGAAAAGGACAATATGCTATGGAAAGGGAGGTTCTGATTGGATAGTCACGTACTCCCATTGGTAGCTTGATATCATTTAGCAATAATGGTAATACTGAGATCCACTCCATTCACAACTACAATCCTGTCCACCTATGAGAGGCTTACAATATTTTGATTCTACCACCAGCCACTGTTTATCTGATGACTGCATTAACAGATCACGTTCCAAAGAAAAACACCTATTAAATTACGAAAATCATTCATTGGAGAGGGCTAGAGCAAGAAGAGGAGCACCTCACTGGTACAATCACTTTGAATATCATCTCATAAAATGATAGCCAACCAAGTTAAGTAAAATGGGCAATGTGTAAGGACGTAAGGCGGAAAAGTGGGAATATTACCCTAATACGAGTTCAAAACTAGGAATCTCAGCGGAGATATCACTTAGAATATTAAGGCATCTAAGGAATAGAAAATGGGCCATTCATAAGAACCTAGAATCCAAAACTGAGACATGCATATTGGATGCTTGAGATGATGGCAAGGAATTCGTTGGTCATTAATAAATATGCATAGCAAAGAAGTAAGGCATAGTACTTAAGAGAAATCCCCCAAGCAAATTACATGAGTCATGTGAGGAATCCACGATGCATATGAAGATATGTTCATTAATCTTAGTGCGAATCCATGGAGCATATGACGATGTAATATCCTTACTATTTACTGCAACCTCCTCGTCACTTCCATCGTCAACCTCATCAGCAAAGGACAAACGTGAGGTCCCCTTCACCCTCCGTTTTTTCCTCTTCTGCAAATGAAGCTCCTCCTCTCTGCATTGGCATCACCATGTCACGTCTTGTGCAACAGAAAATCTCTTTGGAAAACAAGTGAACGAGAAAGCAAAGTGCTATATATATATATATATTTCTCCCACTCTTGCTGCAGTTTCTGAAGCTTCTCCTTCTCCTCCTCTTCAATCTTGTTTCTTATGTTGACCCTCTACCATGCAAACAGGTAAAGATAGACGTGAGAAAAGACAGCAGACAGACGTAAAATGAGAAGATTCAAGTGAATCCCGCCTACCTTCTCCACGTACTCCTCCCGAGTAACGAGTCCCACAGTTTCCTTCTTGAAAGCGGTCTCTAAAACCTGAAAGCAATGGTAATAAACACAAAATTCCCATTCACACATCGTGTAAAACAATAACGAGCTCAATAACCGATCTGTACCGCGACAATGCCACAGTCCCATTCAGAAATGAAAGCGAAAACAAGTTGTTGTGAGAGGGATCGAGCAAGACGAGAGCTGTATAATCACGCGATACCCTAAAAAGGGCTGATAGGAAAGCGAGAAATTCAGACTAAGAAAGGCTACGTATAATAACCTCGGAAGTGCCAGAGCCAAACTGTAGGAGCCCAGTCTGGCCTCCTACGGAGGCCGTCTTGTTCTTCAGCTCCTGTATCTTCCTGCGCTCCACCTCCCTCTGTTTCTCCAGCCGCCGTATCCTCACGGCGTCCTGGGCAGTCCCCACGTATCCATCCCCCATGCCCGCCATGGCCGCCGGAACCCTTTCTCCTCAGCTACTCTCCCGTCTTTCTTCCGTCCCCGGCCGCTTGATCCGCAAAGGATTAATAAGACCCCCCCTGCTCGAGATTCGGAGAGAGGAACAGAGCTTCTCCTTCCCGTCACCTGTAAACAACTTCGAACCTGAGGAACCCGTCGTCGCCGGAAATCCAGTAATCTACCCTGCCTGCAACATAAAAAGCCACCTCCGCTGCCCCATCCCGCTCCCACCGTCGTCAATCCGTTTAACCCCCCTTCGCTTCGATAGCCCACTTAGGCCCCCACTATCCTTCCACACGCGAATCGGGCCGAAACCGCTATTCAGCCCAATCTACCCCAGCTAGTTCTAAGTGGGCACAAAAACTAAAGGGGGAAAGGCTCATCGATAGCTACTCTTCAGACTGGTTCATGCAACGTAGCGCCAGCTTTTTCCCGAGAGTTAAGGATTCCAGAACCTCTTCAGAGAGAGACAGAGAGAGAGAGGAAGGGAGTAATTACTTCGACGTTAACACAGATTACTCAGGGAAAGATGTCTCATCCAACAATATTTATACGACTGGTGTAGAGCACGGACAAGCTAACAGGCCGCAGCGTACCCTCTTTTCCGCTGTTCTCTATGCCATTAATCAACGCGGTAGACATCGCTCCAATAGCTCAAGAAAGCAGCCCGTCGAGAAGTTTCTTCGGCACAGAGCTTAGTCAGCTATCATTTATTATTTCTCTCAAGAATGAAAAAAATAGGGCCGAGATCACCTAACCACGTGATCGGATCCTCTCCACCGATCGCTCTTGGACTGGGCAGAAGGGCAGGGCTGGCAATAAACATGAATTATTGGCCTGCGGCAAACTATGATACAGAGTTATAACAGCTGGGTACAAAGACGGCGTCTTTGTGGCGGTCGAGGCCGGTCAGGGGGCACGGCTGTAAATTCGCGATCATTCCGGCGCATTTTCTGATGTGGAAACTTCAGCACTGCAGATTGGGCATACCTGCATGGGCACAAGTGTTTTACTGCAAAAGGAAGAACACGACCATTTACTAGACACAAGAGCTTCAGCGGAGATTCTTAGGCGATTCATCAATTCGCCAACGGTTCATGAATATGCGAATAAAAAAACATTCCAGTAGCTTACAACGGAAAGATTGAAGGTAAAGCCCTTTTTTGAATCCTCTAAAATCTTGTAACACCAGTTTGATACTTTAGTGCTTCAACAGTACAAAAAAAAGTAACCGAAACTACTGAATATCTGATTAAGAAAGACTTATGATAGACTTGTGGCATAAGATAGTAATGCAGTACCGCTCCCTGTGTGGATAATATGCAGCAGCATAGCTATACATGCGAAATGGTGTACCGTGGAATTTATCTATATATCCATCCATCCGATGATTAAAAACAAATCAGAGAGGGATGGAGAGGCTGCAGTGTGTCATTTAAGTGTGCTTCAACATTGCTTTGTACGCATCTAGGCTCAAGTTATGGGATCAGCTTGTCAGTCTGCTATGTACGCCAACTAAGATCTCAGCGAAACGCAGTGATAATGGTGATGTCAACTAGCACTAGTCCATAGCCTACTAAAAGTCAACAAATCGAAGCATCCTCTGATATCTAGGTGAGTCAGCTTTTCTGACAAGGGTAGTGACAGAATGAGGAAAATGAACACAAAAAAATAAAATAGCAGGGCATCATTCTAAAATCTGGCAAAAGCAAGAACTTCATAGGTACCTTGTTTATTTGAAGCCACTGATTAATGCACTCAGGGTGGTACAGATGTTTGCAAGAAAGGACAACTAGGGCCTCGCCGTCAGCATAGTCAAGGCGACAGATGACACATCTGGAAATGGGTCTATAATGAGGTTCCTCGCAGTATAAAATTTATCAAACAAATGGAGGAGAGTGTTTACTCACTGTTCGTTGCTTCCTTCTTCAGAAATTTGGGCTTTGTAACTGACAGAAGGCAACGAAGCAATTGTATCAGCAGTGAGACCCCTGTTCTCAGTTCCCACAGCTTCACCCAAGGCAATAAGTTCCTAAAATGACAAAACAACGTCAACATATATAGAAGAAGAAGTGTTGAATCCAGGCATCAAATATGCTAAGATGGATTAAATACCTCATATGACAATTCATCTGGATCAACCTCCAACCATGTATCCTAAAGAAAAAAAGAGAAAATTCATTTAGGTCACCAGAAAACTTCAGTTAAATGGCTTTCACTGATCACAATTAAATTCGATTATCAAATCTTCCAGATTTGACGAGAACAATAGTTAATGCATTCTAGTACTAGCGGTTGCAACAGTAAGATATTTGCTAGGGGTGCTCAGCACAGCTGTTTCATGTTCCATAAGTGGATTAGTTCCCAGAGCATTGGATCACTGTTGGAGGGAAGAGAGAGACAGAGACAGAGAGAGAGAGAGAGAGAGAAAAGCATACGATACACAAATGTTTCTCTTCTTGAAAAGCATATCATAAAAGGTAAACAAGAATTTCACGAGTTCATGTCAAGGGGTAAAAAGGTGTGCTCCTTTCCTCTTTTTTTTCTTTTTGCACTCTCCACAATAAATCAATGTATATATATATATATATATATATATATATATAATCCAAGCAATCTCGTCCATTGGCTTCCACGATCATTGCACCCAGTTCACAGGTGCAGGCAAGCCACCAAATACTAAATTGAGGCGCCTTGACATAATGAGCAGGTTTTGTAACTTAAAACGATATCAATCAACATTTCAAAGAGTTAAGTTTATTTTCCTTGTCATATGCAGTAGCCTGGTTAGAGGAAACAAAGGACATTTCAAGTCATGTATAGTTTAAAAACAATGCCCAGAACAAAAAAAGCATACTTAGCTTTCAGTTGTTTAATATAATTCAGCGAACATTTATGAAATTTAAATGGATGCTCGGCCATTGTTTGTTTGGAGACACGACTAACATGGAGACATATATGTTAAAGACTACGAAAAGCAAGTTTTGGATTCTCTAGGACGCGAACAGCATATTTTCATCCAGGTCGAACTAACTTAAATTGATTATTCTGTAATATGAATGAATAAATGTGTTCATATGTGTATCTTCATCATACACACGGGATCCTTGTTACAAGGAAAATAATTAAGATGAGTGATCTTGGGAAGAAATACCCTAATACTGCAAGGAAACAAGATAGAGAGAGATAACGAAACGATCAAAGTTGCAAATGTGAGTGAATATGAACAAATCGATAAACCTCACACGCTTGGCAACAACACAAAACGATTAATTTTTCATGAGTCACAGCAATCCTCTGAAGTGGTCCAGAAGGTGGGGAGAGAAAAACTTGAGATAAAGAATCCAATTCCATGTAAAGAAGCCATTTTTGGTACCATTCCCACAAAGAACAGAGAAAACCATATAATGATGAACACTAAGCCAGGTGGAAGGAAAAACCATGTCCTGAGGTCAACAGCTGAAAGCCCTAAGCAGATGAAGCAATGACAGGAAAAGCCCTAGGGAGTCCAACATAAATAAGCGGACACAACTGACACATGGAAGCGACTCCCACAAATGGGCTTCCGCCGATGGATGAAGGTAGACTCCCATAAATAAGTGGAGTTTGAGGGGAGAATTATTGATGCCATAATGGAATGGATGTACTGGAACAGGGGACAAATGAGAGAATTTGATATCAGAGTGATTGTCAAGAAGGTGAAATTCAAGATGTATCTTAACATCTCCAAGAAATTTTCCATAAACGAAAGCATCTGGATATTAAAAACGGAAATTGGGACTCTACACAAGTTTTAAGCAGAAAGGACTACGAAATTAATTGGACCATATTTATGGAGTCCAAGGAAGATGGCATTAGCATAGAACATAAGAAATCCTTGAATCAGGTGGATTTTCCTGGAGGTTCTGCCAGTGGCATTGAGAGCCTCCCAGGAAAGATTTTATGACTATATTCAAAAGGTTTAGATAGAGATCTCTAATTATCAAAGAGTTGATTTCTTATCAACTAAGGTTCATCCCCCAAAAAGTGGACAGTTAGCCCAAAGTATGAGTTTTTTTTTCTTTCGAAGTTAAATTAAAAAAATAGCAAGACGCTGATAAACACAACAATATAAATGTCGAACCATTGCATAGGCAAGGATTTGAGGAAGGAAACACTGTATGATAGGACAAGCTACGATTGTCTCAGAAGAGGAGAGTATTTCTCTCATCTTAGAGGGCTGTAGCAGTAGTATCCGGTCTCCCTCTCGTTTGGTAGACTTATGAAAACACAGTGAATGGAATAACATCAGGCAGGAAAGAGTGAAGAACTAAAAACAACATGCTAAGAGAATCAGCCTAATGCACGTAATGCCTGAAGAATGCATTACAAGAACTCAAATCACAAGGATAATGCTCAATCGGTTGAGATATTTTGTGCGATAAAATTCAAGCTAGAAATATTAATCATAAATCGTGGAGAATATTTTTGGATCAGCAGGCATATAATACCTAAAAAGGGGAAACGACTCTGTTTGAAAAAAAACTTGCTGCAGAGGGGGGGCAGTGTGGTCAGAACCACCAAAATGATGACACATGCTATGCAAGGCTCTGAAGCAAGGACAGCAATGATAAAAAAATGACTTTACAAGGAATCATTAACAAAGAAAGAAATGAACAGAATCCCTGTTAGGTACGGTAACATAAGTGAGGAAAAAATCCCAATCACCTGAGAGTTCCTGCGGTGTTCTATTGTGTCTTCCGAAATCCCTGCATACACCAAGTTCACTGGACTTAAAAAACCGACAACGTTAAAATTAAACATTAAGAGTAACGCACTGACACTCATTGATCCCGGCAAGGGCCATAAACTGAACAGCCACTTCTCGCTCCTCTGCATCCTGCAGCGCTCTCGCATACGCCTCATCATCGTCGAAAGCAGATGGGTTCATGACAATGGAGACGTTGCGAGCACCAGATGCATCTTCGTTGTAGTCACTTTCCTCGACAGTTTCATGGTCCAATGAGTAATTATCATCCTCTTCTTCACAGTTTCATGGTCCAATGAGTAATTATCATCCTCTTCTTCATCCGCGTAATGAAGCTCGTATTCGCTCCCAGACTCAGAGTCCACAAAGTCACTGGCAACACCACCCACTCCTCCCATTGTTAGCATCATGTAAGCCCTTTCCTGTGTTCCCGCCGCGATACTCCAACATCAGTATGGCAGAAAAGAAATGATCCAAGACCGCAAAATACGAACAAGCTAGAAAACCCTAACCTGCTCCTGTAGCCTCCTGGCGAGCGCAAGGTCCGCCTCGACTTGGCTCAGGCTGGTAAACGGCCTTCTCGAAACGCGTAGATGAGGATCGGGTTCCAGCGCGTAATCGACTTCTTCTTCCTCCTCCTCCTCCTCCTCCGCTATTTCAGCTTCTTGTCCGTTGTCCTCTTCTCCCCTTGCCTCCACTTCCCATCGATTCTCCTCCTCCTCCTCTTCTTCGTCATCTTCTTCTTCTACTTCGTCTTCTTCTTCTTCTTCTTCTTCTTCTTCTTCTTCGTCTTCTTCTTCTTCTTCTTCTTCTTCTTCTTCTTCTTCTTCTTCTGCTTCTGCTTCTGCTTCTTCTTCATGTTCTCCTCCTCCTCCTACTCCGCCGGTGGACGGCGGGCGGGGGAGTTCCACACCAGTGTTGCCGCCATTTTTGTGGTTGTCCATGAAAATTCGAGGAGGGGGGAGAAGGAACGGAATGAAGAAGAGCTGTTGCAGGAAGCGGAGAACCTGGAGGGCGCGGTCGGAGAGATGGAGGCAGAGGGAGAGAGGCGACATGCGCCAAGAAGAGAGAGGGGAGAGGGGAGAAACGGGGGCAGAGCTTTTCATGAAGATGAAAAACAACTGAAGAAAACAAATGCCCCCCTCCCTGGAATGATCGGGAGAAGAAGAAGGGACCTCAATATCTGGCACATCTGAGGAAATAAATTCCCTCTAAAAGTTTGTTACGGCCGATGCCTTTCTTCACCCGGAGTGAACCCGTCGTCAGGGCAAACAACCTTCCGAGATTCCCAAACGGGCCATCTCATCAGCGAGCCCATGGGCCTGACATTGTGGGCCCCTACTTATGGGCTGATATGTGCGTGTCAGACGAGTGGTTTATTTGTATATGATTAATGATTCAGGGGTAACTGCACTAACTGACCTTTTTAAGGGGGTAATTATCAAAACCTAAACAAATCAGCATGCGGGGTTTTTCAACTTTGTCTTCCTCTTCGTCTCCGGGGGCTCGCCGTCTGCTGGCACGAAGTCAGAACGGAAGGCCGGCGAGGAATCTCGCCGGAGAGATCGATGCGGCAGAGATGAGGGGATCGACCTCCTCCACCAAGCACCGAATCTCCGCCGCCGGGCTACGCGGAACCCTCGCCTCGAGCTCGTCGGCAGCAATCTTGGTGAATCCTCACAACGGAGAGTCGTCGGCTCAGGCTCAGACGCCCTCGAGCTCAGATCCGACGATTCAGGTCTTCTCGATCTTGTCCCGGCCAGGCTGGAACAAGAACTCCGCCTTGAAGAATTTGGCTCCTTCCTTAACGCCTTCCCATGTCTCGAAGCTCATGAAACAGCCCCTCGATCCCAAGACTGCGCTGAATTTCTTCGACTGGATTGCACGGAGGCCTGGATACCGGCACACCATCAAGTCCTACGCCTCCCTCCTCCAAACACTCGTCAAGTCCAGATTTCTTGGTCCGGCGGAGAATATCAGGATCTCCATGATAAAGTCTTGCTCATCGGCAGAGGAAGTGGCCTCTGCGCTCAATGTCATTTGTGGCGTGAATCGAAATCAAGGTGCCAGTGTCAGTGATGGTGAGAAATTCAGATTAACACTTCGGTGTTACAATTTGCTACTGATGGCCCTGGCAAAGTTCAGAATGCTGGAAGAGATGAGGAGATTGTATATGCAGATTCTGGAGGATAAGATTTTGCCAAACATTTATACTTACAACACCATGATCAACGTATATTGCAAGGAAGGGAACCTTACTGAGGCAAAGTTGTACTTGAGTTACATTTTGCAGTCTGGGCTGAAGCCAGACACATTTACATACACCTCCCTCATTCTGGGCCACTGCAGGAACGGCGATTTAGATGGGGCCTGCCAAATTTTTACCGCAATGCCTCAGAAGGGGTGTCGTAGAAATGAAGTTTCATACAATGTTCTAATCCACGGGCTCTGCGAGGGGAATAGAATAGAGGAGGCTTTCCTTCTGTTCTCAAGGATGGAAGAAGAAGGCTGTGTGCCAACTGTCCGCACGTATACTGTACTAATATCCTCTCTCTGTATGTCTGGGAAGATTGCGAATGCGTTCTCCTTGTTTCATAAAATGAAAGAGAAGGGTTGCGCACCGAATGTTCACACGTACACTGTGTTGATTGACGGGCTTTGCAAAGAGGGCAGGCTCGAAGAAGCAAAGTCCATGTTGAATGAGATGTCTGCGGCAGGGTTAGTCCCCACAGTCATTACCTACAATGCTTTGATCGATGGGTATTGTAAAGAGGGAAAAGTCGACGCTGCCTTTGGCTTCATGGAAATGATGGAATCAACCGGATGTAAGCCTAATACAAGGACCTATAATGAGCTGATCTGTGGCCTTTGCAAGGTGAGAAAGGTGCACAAGGCAATGAGTTTGTTGAGTCAGATGCTTGAGGGTGGCCTTTCTCCTAGTCTCATCACATATAACTCACTGATCCATGGTATGTGCAGGGAAGGGCAGATTGATGGCGCCTTTAGGCTAATTGATCTGATGATTGAGGCTAGTTTGGTACCTGACGCGTGGACTTATTCTACATTAATAGACTCTCTTTGCAAACTTGGTAGGATGGAGGAAGCTTACTTTCTCTTTGATTCAGTAGCCAAGAAAGGTATCAAGGCAAATGAGGTCATATATACTGCATTAATCAATGGAGAGTGCAAAGCAGGAAGAATTGACACTGCTTGTTCATTGCTTGAGAAAATGATTTCAGAGGGTTGTGTGCCCAATTCGTGCACATACAATGCGTGTATTGATGCCTTGTCAAAAGAAATGAAAACCCAGGAAGCTATGTCACTTTGGAATGAGATGGTGGCACAAGGAGTGCAACCTGATGTTGTCACTTGTACAATACTTATGGCTGGTTTGTTGAAGAAAGGTGACATCGAAGATGCTAAGAGGATATGGGACCAAATGCTTTTGTTGGGTTGTAAGGCTGACACATTCACCTATACTATTTTTATTCGTGCATATTACAAAGAAGGAAAGTTGGATGACGTCGAAAATTTGATTTCAGAAATGGAGAAAGAAGGTGTTCATCCAGACACAGTGATGTATAATACTTTGATAGATGGTTGTGGAAATGTAGGAATGATGGATCAGGCTTTTTGTTTCCTCAAGCGCATGATGGATTCACAGTATGAGCCCAACCGGCAGACATATGGTATCCTAGTCAAGCACATGTTTGGTTTGAAGCAAAGTGATGGAAATGGTGTTGATGGCATTGACATGTGGAAGTTTCTGCCCATAGAGACCGCACTGGAGTTGTTGGACCAGATGGCTGGACATGGGTGCATCCCTGGTGTTGGCACCTACAGCGCTCTCATAAAAGGATTTTGTAAAGAACAACGGGTGGAAGAAGCAAAAATGTTACTCCACCGTATGCAAGAGAAGGGAGTATCCCCCAATGAAGATATTTACAATGGTCTCATAAAATGTTGCTGTGAAGAAAAGTTATTTATACAGGCTCTGGGTTTTATGGATGTAATGACTAAATGTGGTTATCAACCACATTTAGAATCATTCAAGTTACTTGTTTCTGGCCTTTGTGATGAAGGGAACGTTGAACAGGCCAAATTAGTTTTTGTTAGTTCACTTGGTTGTGGGTATAATTCTGATAGCATTGCATGGGAGATCCTCATTGATGGGTTACTTAAAAGGGGTCATGTTGACTGGTGTTCTGAGATGTTATCAATTATGGAGAAAATGCAATTCAAGCCTAGTAGTCCTACGTATTCTATGTTGATCAAAGGAATCTCTTGATGGAAGAAACCGAGCATAGGCAATATTGTGACGTATTCTCCATCCTCAAAGGGAGAAGAAGTGAAATCTTCTTTTTTCCACGGAGATGTTAATATGAGATATTGGGTTGCATCACCGCATTCTGTTTTCTTCCAGGAGGATGGTGTCTACTGAAGCGGTGAAAATATGAGAAATACACAGTTTGCCCCTACAGACAGAAAATTCTTAAGTCGAGGTTATCTAAGTGAATAACCTATCCACTTCAAATGACCATGAGCAAACCTTCAGCATTTGAAAAACCCATGGATTTTGACAGACCCATGACCATGGCTTCGAAATCTCAAAGCCATTGCCAACGCTCAATGAGAGGTAATGATAAGTTGGAACCTTTTTTTTTAAAATCCCGCAAGGGGGAGATTTAGAACCATGCGTTCATGACGAAAAATCAAATTTTCTTTGTTTTTCCTTACTGAGTAGATCTTAGTTACAAATCTAAATTGAATGAAACAGTTTTGCAGCACATGATATTATTTCTATTGGTTAAGCTGTTGAAAGATGATATCATCGGCCTAACTCACTCTTTTTTCACCATGGATTGAAGGGAGGGCATCACAGGTCATTTACGCTTAACTTGATTAGGACTGGACAAATTGAGTGAAAATTTGGAAGTCAATTTTTGCTTTTAATTTGTTGTAGCTTCATCTTCATTGGCATAAATACAGAAAGGCTATACAACTGTTCCATCTGCTCTGCTAAAAATCTCTGTATTCTGAGAGGATATTTTCCTTGAATGGATTCAAATACAAATAAATAGCTGACTACTCTTTCCTATAAGGTTTTTTTGCTCTTCGTTACTCCCACCGCAGAGCTTTGATATCTCTATCCATGTTTGCTTTCCATAGGGTCAGTAACAGTCATCTGTTGGAACCGAAGTTCAACCCGCTTGTAATTGGCTGGAGTGAGACAGAATGCGCGCTTGCTGAGAAACCAAGTCAACGAAGGTATTTATATGTGACAATCTCCTTTTCTCCCAGTTAGCTGCATGGTAGATGTAATCATCCAAAGTATACTTATATTATATTTTCTATAACTTCTTGCCATTAATTTTTTTTGTAACTTTTGACACATTTAAATAGAAATCACGCATCAAGTTTCCGATATAGTATGTATTTTTCGTTTTCTTATTGAAATTGAACCAAAAAAGTTTATTTTCACATATTGCATAATTTTTTTTGGGACTGAAATGTATTAATCCATGCGCATGAAATAGGAATTAATTTTTCTTCCGGGAGAATTTTCTAACTTTCATGGTTTGTATGATGTCAAGATGTAGTATCATCGAGTGGTGGAGTTTGCCTATTCAGAATGCTAAAGGCAGAAAAAAAAAAAGACCTAATAATTTGTACTGGAACCTTGTAGATGAAACTTTGTTTCATGTCCTGACTAAATTCGTGGCCGGCTTTCTATTTTACTAGCAAATGAAAGCTAAGACTGTGGAGCAACTCTCGAGGAAGGAGTTTATGTTCCCTATGTGCATACTATTGCAGGGGAAAGGTCCCTTAATCTTAGCGGATAAAAATTTGAAAGACAGTAGAGGATGCAAAGATCGAGAGGCAAATATTTTTGAAAAAAAATAATCCCCCCAGATAGATGGCCAGTTTATGTCCTGATTTGGGAAGAACAGCAACATGAATTGTCATCATCAAACATTTTATACTTTAAAATTATATTAAAAAAATAAATAATAAGACCACATATATAAATGGTATAATTCATCCAATAACTAATGGTAAATAGCCTTGTCTTCCCTTTCAGGTTGCTTAATTCTCACCATCACATGCCTCAGGTCCCCCCAATTGAGGCTCTGGGAGGGGGAAGAGGATGGAAGAATAAAAGAGAGAATGAGGTAGAGCTTGTGGCGGAGAGTGCTGGCATGTTGGATGCAATGTATTCGACTTCCCATTTGATTGATTATTCATGCTGTTAATTTTTTTTGTTGCATATACCTTTTTATTCCATTTTTTATTTAATTATTTTCCTGACCTCTGAGAACCTCTTTTTTTTTTTTTTGCATCCAACTCTCCGAAGTTTCCTGGCCATCATCTCTGTACAAGAAACTTGTCTCAATTAAAAAAATCATATTTATTTAAATGGCAATCTCTGTAAATCTTTTGCCTAGTTACGATCATCAACTGTAAAAATATATGTTTTCTTGATTTCTCCCTCCACGCCAAAAGAATCTACAACCGATCGGTCTGGAGAACATGAAAAGCAGAAGACACCCGCCGGTTTCATCTGCAGCACCATCATTCCATGTACTTGTTCAAGTTATTTTATTTTATTTTATTTTATTGTTATCTTCCCGCGTTGATATAAATATTAACTGACTTAGTGGCTCTATCTTGCAGATTCTTGAGCCCCCCGGCAGCGGGAAATCGTTTCATGCCTGAAAATGGTTACCCCGCAGAATGTGGAGTTGCTCGGTACGAGAGGGCCCAAGAACTTGCTCTGTGTGATGGCTCGAGCAGCTCTGAATCTTCGATAGGCAGAAGAACCTTCTTTCGCTGTTCCACTGGATCTGTAAGCAATGTACGCTATTTGTGAGCGTTTTAAACGGATCTAGAAGAGCGTCTCGTCCGATTTTTGATCGGTAAGTGAGGAACAAAGACTGCTATGCCGTCACCGGATCCATAGAACTCGCGCAGTGGGCACAACTTTGTCGAGAAATTGTTCGGGAGGGAGGGGGGTGACACCGACTTCGGTGGTAATTATCGCGTGAAGCAGGGCTGATTTACAGGTCATCACAAGTCGTAAATCTTGCCCTTCGTGAGCCCGCCAGTGGCAGCGCTGGGCGGGGGCCGTGGCGCAAGAAGAGGAAGCGTCACTGGTATAAAACCGGGTCAGCGGGCGGGGGGGTGGCGGGCCAAGAAGACGCCGATCGTGAGGGGAGGGAGGGGACGGAGGGGAGAGAAGGATAACACATCGACCTCCTCCCGGCCATGACGCTCTCCAAGGAAGTCGTCGGAGAGGCGGCGGTGGAAATAGAGGTGATGGCGGCGATTGAAAGAGCTGCGGACCAGGAAGAGAACGTTCAGGGCAGTGGCGCCATATCGACCATCGTCATCATCATAGGTGGATTTTCGTCTCGGCGGAATCTTTTTCTTCTTCACTTTCTGATTTTTCCGATGTCTTCTGCTTGATTGTCGATCCTTAACGGCGCGTTACTCGCAACAGCGATGCAGACGGAGGCTCTCCCTCTCGTCAACACATTCCAGCTTACAGAGGACCCTGATTCACCGTGAGTGATGCTAATCGCTTGTGGTTATGTTGCTTCGATCCAGTTTAGGGAAAACTTTTCATCAGTGACCCATAATTCCGAACAGAATTGGCTCTTCCGATGGCTATCTGTTTTTTTATTATCTAGCTTCCTTGCCAATCTCTGAAAACACGGCTTTGTCGTACTACTCGAAGTGCACAAAATCACGTTTAAGTCAACCCAGACTTCGCACAATTCTTCCCAGTCGTCCTGACAATTTAATTTATCGTCGATAAGCATCTTGTTCTCTCCTTCGTTCAGAACCTAACTACCCGAATAACTGAGCAATATGGGATGCTTGAGTTATGGATGGCATTCCATAAATCATTTGGTGTTCTTTAAGGAGTAATTCCACGAGACGCGGGCACGGCTATATTTCCACCCTCATTTTGTATCTCTTTTCAAGATGTAGTCAAACAGAGGCTCTTTTTCGCGCTCCATATAATGTTGCATGCTTGCTTCAGATTTTCATCATTTATTTGGTGTTCTAATGCAAGTTTTTACTCGTTTGAGTTCACTGTTTTATGCACATGTCGTCTGGTATTTGGGACCAAAGAGTTCCTAAAAATGACTGTTTCGCAGGTTTCCAAAAGGTGTCCCGTGGGTCAGATACCATGGTACCTACAAGGGTTTAGAGATTAATATAATCTGGCCTGGGAAGGATTCACTTCTCGGTGAGAATTCAACTCTCGATTCATTTTAAACTTTGTCTCTGTCCTCTGAGATTTTTAATGAATTGAATAATTCTCGTGTCAGACTAACTGCCTGGAAATATATATTGGTTGTACCTTTTAGTTTTCGAAGTATATAGGGGATACTATGATGTACATTCTTGGTAATGTTTTTTCTCTTGTGAGTTTCACTGGCGAAGTTGCCAAGGCATGGCTCCTCATTTGCGAAAATGACAATTATGCTTGGGTAAGCTAATCCTTGTTGAGTGAATTTGGGTAGTGGAAGTGCCTCTGAAACAAAGTTCAGGCTCATTTATCATAAACAGCACTATGACCAACCTTGGAAATATGACAGTTGCGTATAATGTCAGCCTTATAAGATTTAACGATTATAACGATAAAACTGATGAATATTGAAGTAGACTAAAAAAATAAGATGGCCAATTAATTTATCCAACTGTAGGGTTTGTACGAGTGCCTCTATTTTTGATGGGGGTAGAGCAGAGAACGAAGCCTGAGGCATGTATTTGTGTAAGGCAAACGCAGATATTGTGGATCTAATTTATTGGTTGTAATCCCTTCAATGTTAATAAATTTCTCTTTTGTTTTCTGTTGCATTTTGTTTGTGTTGGGGCATGTCCTTAACACTTTGGTTACTTCTCACACCATAAAACTATATGCATAGATGATCTTGCCCAGGTATATGAAGCTCAATATGTGTGCACATGTTACAGTTAAATATCTTTTCTGTTATAAATCTAAATTGTATAAATCTTCGTAATGTATTTTTAAATTTCTCGGAGCAATGATTAAGTTGAACTTTGTTTCTACTAATGGTGTTGACTAAGCAGAAAAGACAGAAATTTTTTAAAGAGAAATCCATCCCCTTACTGTTGGCAGAAGCTGGCTTAGTATCTCAAGATCTCAATATGGATAAAGCAAATGGAATAATGGCAATGCTTTCCACGCCTTTTATATGAATATAGCAAGTGCATGGTGTGCTTGTACTGGTCAGAATGGATTTCTGATATTTTCCATTTCCAATAGATGTTAGGATGGTGCAACCATGACGGTGCTGACTCTTTTTTTGTCACTTTCCTGACCAAATATGATATAGATCTTGTCAAAATTACCGGTACATGGAAGAAAGTGATATTCTATTGCTGAAATCTCTCTTGCTCGCCCTTTTTTGCCTTTTCTATTTTAGACCCTGCATCCAGCGAGGTTAATCAAAATGTCCTTACTCCAGAAGGCCATGCCAGTGGGCTCAGCTGCCCAAGGATAAAGCCCTAGTGTATTTTTTTATCAATAATTTGTAATTATTTACTTTGTTGGTTTTGTTTTCTTCTAATGGAATCACGTGTGACACATGCATATTACGAAAAGTTGTCATTTATGATGCAGAGATGATCATGTCTGCACGGGACATCAGATGTTCTGTTCTGATTGTTTTGATCCGACTACGAATTTCTTCAATCACATAATGTGTTATCCTGCAGGGGTCGACAGTGTAGGAACCATCTCAGCATCTTTAGTGACATATTCATCAATTCAAGCATTGAGACCTGATCTCATCATTAATGCAGGTACTGCAGGTGGTTTTAAGGTATACTTCCTTTTTTCCATGCTCAAATTTTGATGATGATTCTTATCCTCCTGCTCATTGCTTCTTCAGTTCATATTTTTGAGTTTTCACTTGATGAGGTGAAAGCCATCATCTTTCAACTTGAAAATGAACGGGGTGTCAGAAATTTTATGCCGCGTGCCATTCATGTGTCACATGTTTTGGAAAGGGTAACATCTGATGATGATCATCTACATAACGTTTATTGCTCTCTTTTCCTATTGTTTTTTATTTTTCTCCTAATAAGTCTCTGGTTCTTGCTTTAAATTGTTTAATTAATGTGTTTTTCTTTCATCTCTGCATCAACTTTTTGTGAGGAATTCTGGTAAGCATTCGATGTCTGACGCCAAAAGCAAAAACGAAAATACAGTTTTTCAGAAATTATATGTTTCACTTGTTTAGTGGAGCAAACTTTCTCGTATGTTCTCATGTCTGTCATCGGCTCACATATTCCTCAGTATGAACACTTTGTATTACTATTCTTGTATAATCATTTATCCATGTGTTAATATTTTCTGGTGTCTTCTTTCAGTAATTTCATTATGGAAAAACCTGTAGGTTTTTGCTTTAAGGCAACCAACATTATATCCATGAAAATTTTCAGGCAAAAGGGGCATCCATCGCTGATGTTTACTTGGCATCCGAGGTAGCTTTCCATGACAGGAGAATCCCAATACCAGTGAGTTCCCTTGACCTTTGTGGCCTTTTTTTTTCATTCCATTTTCATAATCGTCGTCATCGAGCCCAATCCCATGAATTTTGGGTTGACTTAGTAATCTTAAACCAGAACCCCAATGACTTGGCAGTTCTTCTAGCCAAGTGTCGACATGATGCCAGTTCTGGTTTGTTCTATGTCAACCCACACTTAATGACCATTGTCAGAAGTCTGAATTGTAGAATCGGCTGATTCGAATCCATATGCATTTGCCAATCATAATTCTGGGGAGGGAGGGAACTTGATATATGGTTCGATTTGAGCAGAACCTGAGATATGGTTAACTGACTGAAATTAGTCTGGCAATATGAAAATGTTCGTCGAAAATTATGCTTAAAATCAATAATTCAGGTGGTGTCTAAAGTAATAAAGTTGATGAGATTAGCATATAAATACGATTTATACCAAGAAAATTATTGTGACCAGTGAGTAGTGACTGCATAGTCAGAGGCATTCATAAAAGGATACGCATCATCAAGCTTGTCTACTATGATGAAGTAAATCCTTCCTAGAACAATGAAACAAGAAATAGAGGGAATCAAGTCACCCTGACAACATCTTAAGCATGAACTTTCCCTGCACAATAATCCAAGAGATATCCATCACTTTTGAGACAACCATGTGTGCAAGGTGGTGGCATCCGAACTTACCACCTAGGCAGCAATGCATGGTATGTCGGTGCAACCCAGTTTTTGAAAAACAAGAAAGAGAAAGGAGAAAACGGAGAGGAGAACAGAGCAAAGATTAAGGGTGTTACTGCCCTCAGACTTTTTAAGGTATGCACAGACCTCTCAAAGTCTATATCTAGTATGAAAAATTTGAACAGTGACAAGAGTATCCCTTTTTAGGGAGAAGGCCAAACTACCCTAATTCAATAAAAGACATAAATACCCCTCTGATGATAAAAAAAACTAAAACAATCACTTCTTCAGTTTTCCAAAAATGTTATCCTGAAAAATAGTGATATATAAGTATTTAGGCATTGAAAATTGGTGAAGAAATATTAAACACTTGATCTCCACCATTATCAAAATCGTCATTAGAGCAAGTTTTGACCATCTTGTATGACGATTATTCAGAGAATGTATTTTTGATGCTGTTACGAAAACATGCCTACGCTGTATTGAAGGTTTCACAATCCAATTCCATATTTAGATAGGTTGATTTAATGTCAATGAGGCTAAATTTTCAGTTGAGTACAATACTTTATTAACTCAAGATGTGAGGCATTGCATCTTGTCATTTAACGTGTGAACCACATTTGTTTTTCATCGATTTGTAGGTATAACATTAACTAACGGCTTTTCTATACAGCAACATGTATTATGTCTAATTTAGCATTACAAGAACCATGTTCTGTTTTCCTGAGTATGGCAAAAAAGTGCTTTAGCTCCTAGGTGCCCAATGCCTTGCACTCCTATAGTGCCATGTTGTTCAGGCAAGGCATTGAAAACTAAAGATACATCCAGATCATTGGACCAGAAAATGCTGAGATGGAACCTAGCTGTGACATCATGTTGGATGCACATGAAAAAGAATGACACTGTCAAGGCAAAAGCCCGTAGGATGTCCTCTTCAAAGTTATGAAACACCATGACTAATTACATTGTGTGTCGAATTCACATGCACTTGGATGGTACACGTGTAGGAGAACATATACTCACTATTATAATAATATTTTCTGCTTTCACTTACATATCAGCTGGATCATTTCTCACAGGTTTTTGATCAGTATGGAGTCGGTGCTCGTAAGACATTTTCGACACCCAATCTTGTGCGGGAAATCAACTTGAAGGTGACTGTCGATACTGATCCAAGTCATATTTCTGCACTTTAATTTTTCAAAATTGTTGAGAATAGCTTCCATATTTGGAGATGTGAGTTAGGATGTACAGAAGCATGAAGTGTCATTGACCGTATATTGTGTTGGATCTTTTGGAAAGAGTGTTCGCCTCTTATTTTTATTTCACCTTCTTTCAACAGCATTTGATAAAATTCCTATCCTCCCACGTGCTCATCTATCTGTGAATACGGCTGATTAACCCTAGTTGTCCTACTAAATCCGCCATATGATTAGAATTGGGCATAAAGAGTTCTATCTTTCACCCTTGCCCAAGTGATAGTAATATATCCCCACCCCCCCCCCCCCCCACATAAGCTTTTAAGTACAAACATGCTGAAATAATTTTGATATTCCTTTCAGTCTTCCTATTTCTTATTGGTTTCATCCGACCCTCAAGGCCATGACATGATCCGAACAGTTTTTCTTGGAAGCTTCAGATTCTTAATCGTCTTTAAATCTTGAAATTTCAGCTTTTTCATGTGTCTCACATTTACTACAACGTTCAAGTGATGAATTTTCTTCTATTTCATTCAATGTTTTTTTGTTTCTGACCCAGGCAACTTATTCGTATTTCTCATTCTTGGTCAAATCTTTCTCCTAATGGAGTTCAGCTCTGTTTCTACGGCAAATAATGCCATATGTTGCACACAGTAGAATTGTGCCCTTACATACTGGTTGTTTGAAGATAAGGCGACCCAAAAACATTATGTCCACTGACCAAATTTAGATTAGATGCTGTAAAGCTTGGCGTAATGATAACCAGAGAAATTTTGATTCTCCAAGGGTACAAGATCCGGTTCACCTACGTGGATATATATATATTCGGACTCCTGATCCCTTTTGCTTCCTCATTGTGATCACAGATCGGCAAACTATCCACAGGAGATTCTCTAGATATGTCTCCACATGACGAGGCATCCATCATGGCTAATGAGGCAGTTATTAAAGATATGGAGGTAATCTTCTCATTTTATTTATTTTTATTTTTATTTTTTTGCCACTTGGTTCGTAGGAAATAATTCTAGCAGTGGTGCTACTCTGCATCAAGACTTGAAGATGATGCGTTATAACTTGGAAGCATGCATCACCTTCCCTGAGACCAAGCATGACGGTCTCAGTCCCAATCAACAAATTCTCACCCTCTGAAACTAGGAGCAAAGAAAAACTAATAAATTTGCTTCTCAGATGCTGTAGAAAAACATGGAGCTCTAAACTTAAGTCAAAGACATCTTAGATCAGGAAGAGCAGCTTGAAAGAAAGATATCAGTATCAATTCTTTGCATACCTGGGGAAAGCAGGTTCAGCTATTTATTCGAGGCATCTCTTGATTAAGACATCAGTTAACATGGCCATTTTTTCTTCGATCAGTGAACTCTGTCCTACCCTTTTCACAAACCTGGATTACCAATTAGATATGTCAGTGTCTTTTGAGGGTGCCAGAACTGATGTTCAACATGGAATGTTAACCCCGAAAACATCGCTATGAGCTTTTTTCTCCGTATTTAGAGGATGGTGCATGATTGCATGAAACTGAAGAGGATGAAGGAAAGGAAAGTGGAGCAGAACACCAGGTTGAGAAAGCCAGCTGGGTACCAATTTTCCAACATGGGCTTAATTAGGCTAAAATAGGAAAAAAAGAGTGGTTCGGCTATATCACCTTGGAAATGGCCCCTGATTGCAGACGACAACAACGGGGTTACAATCTTCGCATGTAGCAAAAATTTAGCATTCTGACAATCTCTGGCTCTTGCATCCTTCCACTCGGCCCTCGGTGTTCTCATATATCCCATGGTGATGTTGCTTTTTATCCTAATTATTTTAACTCTTTGAATCTTCTCTCTCTCTCTCTCTCTCTCTCTCTCTGTATATCCTACTTATTGCCACATGCAAAATCGTGGGGCATGCCGATTTATTGATTACCAACCCATCCAAGAAAGATTGTGACCGACCGCAACATTCTCTATCAGTGCATCAGGCTAAGTAAGACATGCTCTCCAAAATATCTTGTTATGTTCAGGCTAATTCTATGGTAATATTAAAACCAGGTGCAGTTCATGTCATCTATTATCTTAATCTCCTCATCTACCGGTTACTCTTCTCTTCATTTCAGGGAGCGGCAGTTGCATATGTGGCCAGCCTTTTCTCAGTCCCAACCATCTTCCTAAAGGCAGTGACAGACATCATCGACGGCGATAAGCCCACTGCCGAGGAGTTCTTAGAGAACCTGGCTGCCGTCACAGCAGCGCTCGACCAGGCGGTGAGCCAAGTTGTCGACTTTTTTCCGGGCAGATCCCTCTCCGAACTTTAATGATCACCAACTGATCTGCTGTGCCTGAGGTCTGGTTGCTTCGAAGGAACAAGGTTTGATGAAGGCACGGCATCTGATTATTGCATAGCCTTCATTGCCCAGCTTCTGACGCCGACTTCATCATTAAAAGCTGGGAACTAGATCTATGGCCCCAATGGTCTGTGATTTTTACTATTATTTGCGTAATTGTGAAAGCTGGGAACGTTGCGGGGATTCATTGAGACCGTTGGATGCAACGCATGTTCTGTAACATACGAGAATTAAGCCTGTGCTTGACTGCGGCATCTGCATCAAAGGGGGAATGTATGCCACCGACCTCCATATCTGCCTAGCCATTTCTAAAGCGAGGTGACTTTCTCCGATTCCGATAGTTAATATTTCACGGCCAACTGCGGGGAATTCACCATACATCCATTGGACCTATCCATTATCAGCCAAGGATCACAGGGCCACCCCTACCAAGAGATCTGCAGACCAAGTGATGATGCAGCAGAAGAAGTGATGTGACGTCTTCACCGCCCAACTCAATTGACAAGCACTCAGTGACCTCCAATCTAATGAGTGAGAGAGAGCGTAGGCCACAGGTGAGGCATACGACCTGCACCCGACCAGAATCGGGTGGAAACTACACCACTCCTAGACTCCAACGGCACTGCGTCGCTCCCCAAACAAGAACCTACCTACTCTTCAAAGCCAGCCTCCACCATAGGGGGCGCCCTTGGATCCTGAGAAATCCAGAGCCTATATAAAAAAAAGGAGATGCATCTCAGTCCAGCCTATGCTCCTGAACCGTCACCACTGGATTGACTGATTGCTCTCATCGGGGGGTTTATCGCCGCCAATATGGGCAGCTGCGAAGAGGCCGTCAAGTATAGGCAGTCGAGCCCCGGCAAAGCTACGGTCCTGGCTTTGGGTAAGGCCTTTCCTCATCAGCTCGTGATGCAGGATTACCTCGTCGACAGCTACTTCAGGGACATCAGGTGCAACGACTTGGAGCTCAAGAAGAAGCTCGCCCATCTGTGTAACTGCGACCCTCCCCTCCCCTCTACCATTCTCTTCTCAAACTACTCACTACACCCACTAAGCTTTTGAGCAAAACTCAAAACGAATAACCAATCCATCAAAGAAATCCTAACCTAACAGGGCGGCGAGATCTCACCATGCATACCATGCGGCCTTGGCAGGTAAGTCGACGACCGTGAAGACCAGGTACGTGGTGATGAATGAGGAGATCCTGAAGAAGAACCCGGAACTGATGGTCGAAGGCCAAGCCACTGTGACGCAGCGGCTGGACATATCGCAGAAGGCGATCACCCAGATGGCAGTAGAGGCCTCGCAGTCCTGCATAGAGAAGTGGGGGAGGCGAAGTTCGGAGATAACTCACCTGGTGTACGTCTCCTCCAGCGAAGCCCGCTTCCCTGGTGGGGACCTGTACTTGGCGCGAGCCCTCGGCCTGCGCCCCAACGTTCGCCGGGTGATGCTCTACTTCATCGGCTGCTCCGGCGGAGTCGCCGGACTCCGCGTTGCCAAGGACTTAGCCGAGAACAACCCCGGGAGCCGCGTGCTGCTGGCCACCTCCGAGAGCACCGTCCTCGGCTTCAGGCCCCCCAGCAGCCTCAGAACCTACGATCTCGTGGGAGCGGCACTGTTTGGAGACGGCGCGGGGGCGGCGATACTCGGCGCCGATCCCATCCCCGGCGTAGAGCGCCCGCTTCTGGAGCTGCACACGGCGATCCAGCAGTTCTTGCCGGACACGGAGAAGATCATCGACGGGAGACTTAGTGAGGAGGGGATCAGCTTTAAGTTGGACAGAAATCTCCCGGAAATTATTGAGGGGCATGTGGAGGGGTTCTGCAGTGGGCTGTTGAAGGAGGCGGGGTTTGGGACTTTTCAGTACAACGACTTCTTCTGGGCTGTGCATCCGGGGGGACCCGCCATCCTGAACAGGATGGAGAGGAGGCTGCAGCTGCGGCCCGCAAAGCTGGCGGCCAGCAGGAGGGCGCTGAAGGACTATGGGAACGCTAGCAGCAACACCATTGTTTATGTGCTGGAGTACGTAATTGAGGAGAGCATGAAGGCCGGCAAGGACGAAAGAGCAGAGGATTGTGAGTGGGGTCTCGTGCTGGCTTTTGGCCCAGGGATCACCTTTGAAGGAATCCTGGCGAGGAAACTTGTCTGAAAAGTAGCGGCAGCCCTCTCAACAGTTCTTTTTTCTTTTTTTTCTCTACTCCACATCCCTAACTAAAGTCGTCCTACTGGCCACACCATATGAAAATCTATCTGACAACCCGAGAAATCATCTGCACCAGCTGTACCGGGAGTGCCTCCACTGTGTCTCGAAGAAGCTTCGAGAGAGATGAACAACCCCAGTGAGGACAGTTTATTGGGTTGGTATCTGGCGAAATGAAGCTCCCACGTGGTGTATGACGAAGGGGATCGGTGCCTAGTTTTCAACTTACATCATGCTTCGTTCACATCAAGGTCATAATAACTTTTCGAACTATATGAAATATTGCAAGCCCTAAGGATATGTAAATATAAATTTCAACCAGACAAAAAACCTCAAAAAATAGGGGTTTTCTACAACATGTTAAGATCCAAAAGCAATGAGGTGTGCCAATATGCGAAATAAACCAGAGTAACTTATGCAGAAAACTCAAAACAGAAAAAACCGACGTAGAAATATCAACACGGAATTACGCATCTATTCAAGCTGACAAGCACAAAAGAGCATATGATAAAATCAAATGATGTAGAAAAACAAGTTTTTTTTTGGTTGTCCTGAAAAGAAATAATCCAAGTCGAGAAAAACTTTGCGTATGTTTTCGCAGTCCGATAACAAAAAGGATAAAAACATCCCATCTTTTGAGATTCAATTTATGAAAAAACACGCAATTTCTTCAGCAGTTATAAACCTTGGAGATCTTTCACAATGTAATTGTCCAAAAGAGACAACAGAGCATAACGAGGTTGAAATTAGCTTATCTTGAATGTAATCCTCTACGGTAAATCTCATGCATGTCAACAAAATAACTCTTGCGTTGAATGAGAAAGGGAAAAAAAATTCAAAAAAGGGAAATTCAATTTAAATTATGAAAAAGGATATGTCAGATAACGTTCTAGCGAGTAATTGTGAATAATAATTGAAATGTAGATAATCACAAAAGGGTATATTTCAATTTAAATTATAAAATATTGAAGAAACCAAGCACATAACAAATGATTACTATCCAAGCATAAATGAAACTTGAAATACAGATCAAACCATCCATGAAATTAAAAAAAAACACTTGAACAACAACAGCCCACCATTTCGAGCTCTGTAGTTCTTGAGAAATAATATCCTAGTCCCAGCTTATCGTTATATTGGCTAAAACTAGTTTGCATACACATTATAAACATTTTCTTTTCTCCTTATTGGGGCTAATGAAGTTCTGATGGGAGACAGTAGTATATCCTTTATAGATGAGTTATGATATCAGGTATGAATGGACAGCAGGACGAATCCAAATTTTGGCTTTTGTAATCACATTTGCATTAGTCGACAGCATAAAGAAATACAAGAACTGCATTAGACTTTGATTTGATGGGAGATAAATGATACTCAGCAAAAGATAAATTCATAGCGCTAATAACCTGGCTACAAAACCAAGCGAAGCCAGTCAGCAGCCGCAGAGCATAGTCAAAGTGAAGAGCAGAAGACATCACCCACGTCTTTCTTTAGATGAAAAGTAGAATCACAAACTATTGCTGACCTTTCTCTTAAATTATAGAGTAACCTGATAACTACAATTTCGACCTCATACTGCACGTTCTTTTCAAGGCTTTTATAACATAGAATGAGGAAGGGCTGAAAGATCAAACCTAACACTTCGAGACATTCTAAATCCCACATGATGATCAACTTAATTTAACAATTGGTATACATACCATGCCAGACTTTATAAATGTTGCCTGTGATAAATTTCACACGTCGGTTATGGTTCACAAAAAAATAAATACAAAATCAAGGAAAAACATTATCAGGACAAGCAACTGCCTTTGGCATCCATTCGAAGGTGCATTTTCTCACGAAGATGACACAATGATACTGCAGTGTTAGGAATCAGTGATGATTGACGATGCAAATTCAAAGAGGAACATTAATATATCCTCATCGAAATGAATAAATAGCATATCAATAGGTTTAAAAAACTTGCAGATAAAGCAGAATATCGTACATTCAGCACGAAAAACATAATTTGTCAGCTAGAGTCTAGATATGGAAGAAGATTAGCATGCCTCATATTAAATAGTTGTGATTAAAAAACAGTCGCGGATCTCCTTGTAATCACGGAAGGGGGGAAAACTAGAAAATAAAGATAACTAACCATGAAACGCTTACCTCTGTCATCTGATTAACACGTCAACGACTTCTTCTTGAGGATAATAACTCCAAGTCATGTTTTCGGTTCGCATGCCTTGATGAATTTATGTAAAAATGCCTCTCTTGCGCCCCGCTGGATTCAGGAATTTGGTCGCCTCACAATGAGTCTGGAGATTTTCAGTGCCTCACGGTATCCTACACTTCATCTTGCCAGCTCCAATCTTCAAAGTAGATTCTCAAGAGATGTGAGACGGTTTCAAAGATGGGAGTCCGGAAAAGCCATTCCACGAGGAAATTTGTCCATTACTTCTCCTTGCCGACCTTGTCGAAAACTCTGTTTCCCGCCTGTTCCACGGCCCGGGCCTCAACCTTCTGCGCGGCTTCATCTCCAGTGGCCCGAAGGAGTTACTACGTAGATGAAACCTCACCGGACTGGTCAGTCTTCCGTAGCCATACTCCGGAATCTGTCAGCTTCATCGGATGCTCAGATCTGCAAGAGGTCCCCCACTCAAATTTGGTTTCCTGTCGAAAGAAGGACACTGATAAACTAGCATAAGAACGGACGCCTGGGCTTCTACCGAGGCTGCAGAACTGATGAGCCGGTTTCCACTGTAGGTCAAGGAGCTTCCACCAGGGACTTTCCGCCTTGAGCATAGGCAGCACGGTCCTCCCTTCGGCTGGCGTCACTAGGAGTCGAGAACAACACCAGACCGGTCCGGGATTTATTTCCCCCCAGAAGGAGACAGAGAGATGAGAGAGAAACGAGAGATTGGGCGGGAATGCCGTTCGTCTCGCCAGCAAGTTCTGATTGGGACATGCCACGTCATCTTATTTTCCTCCAATGTTTCTGCTCTCCATTCCCACCCGTCAGGCCACGTGGAAGAGTCCACTTTTGGGGGCACCACCGTTGGTCCGGGGACCATATTTTCGCGCCAGCAGCGGTTGGTTATTCTCACTGCTGGTTTCCTTAACGAACCCGAACCACGTTGGCTTTGAAGGCACGATTCTTACACGTCACCCGAACCAGTCTTCTTCCTCCAACGATATAGATGGACGCTAAGATTCAGCTGAGCATCTAAAAGTGCTTTCGTATCACAGGTATTCGAGCTATTTTAATTCAGCATGACAATTGTCTATATGCTTTATCTGGCATCCGCTCGCCAGGGAAGCAATGCCTAGGCTGACCTCAAGACGGCTTCATTTTGTCATCGCGGAAGGTTAGCCATCAGCAGCTTCTAGCCCTGCCTTTCAATGGCAACCCAAGCTCGTTCGGTGGGTTTGAAAATTAGAGTTATTTAAAGACGCCCCCTTACAAGTTTAGTTGATGATGCACACGTGTGCTCTTCTCTGTCGTGGAGAGAGGCTCGTTGAAGTCGGCGTGCCTTTTTGGCGAAACGCGGCAACCAAAATAACGAAAGCAACCAAGGAGGACGAATGGGCCGTTTTGTGTATTTGCGAGGGGATTTAAATCATGAAGAACTCCGATCACCGCGCGCAGTCAAAGAATGAGAGGAATCCAACAGGGGGGGGGAGGCAGAGGGTCTACCTGTTATTGGCTGAGAAAAGAGATCGATGGTGAGGCCCTCCTAGTACGCGTATTTCACCAGCCACTCCAGACTCTGCGAGATGTCCGGAGAGACGTTCCCCGGTATGTCGTCAAGTCTCTGAAAGTGGGCAAGTTGGTAATGATGCAGGAAGTACGAAAGCAGACCTGTATGCATTCGGATAGGTCGTCATTCCTCGTCCGCACGTGCGTCTGCTAACAACGCAGTAAGCGCCTCAGGTTAGACTTCCACTTGGTCCACGGGTGAAGTGAGAGGGTGAGGGTGAAAGTCACCTCCATGACCCGGTTGCAGGAGTCGTCTTGATCTGTAGCGAGAGAGGCGAGGATGACCACGCCGGCTGCCACGGTGGAGGGCCAGAAGGTGAGTCTCTCGTGGTCCAGGAGGGACAACACTGCGAGGTACTTGGCCAGTTTTTCCACGGCTACGTTTGCTTTCGCCGCCTTGAGATAAAACCTACAAAGGGTCGGCACGGTCGTTCGAAATTTATTAGCACCATTCCGTGAGAGAAACTTCGGCAAAATAAGGCAGCGAGGTAGTACCATAAGAAGTTGAAGCTGGTGAGATGGAGACATTGGAAATTTAGGACCTCCTGGACGAACCATTCCATGGCCACTACTTCGCACCTGCTGTACGTAATGCCCCGCACGTAGAAGGATTTCTGCCTCACGCTGGTTAACGGTGAGGAAACAGTTAGAATCCTTTGGGAAGATGCATTCTGCGCTACAAGTCCACTAAATTCCGAGAATAGCGCATAGAAGCCGGGTGCGTGACCGAAACAGTTTTCGTGATCCATGGATTTAAAGCTTAAAAAAGCATTAATCCCGTCATTCTGAACTTCAGTGCAGGGATTGACTGCTTAGCATCGTTCAAGTAGGAGACGAAATAAACAGAATTACTCTGCTAGGATTTTTTTATCTAAATACGTGCCAGGGACGATGTCAATGAAATAGAGGATACTGCTGCAAGGCATCACGATATTTCAACAGATTTTCCGCATCTATAATGAACGTGTAAGGAGAGTGAAGTTAGGAATACCAGTTATAGGGCTGGTTTTCTTCCAGCCTAGTGGCGAGGATGATGCAAGCAATACCAAGAAGCTTCAGGTTCCTCTCGGTTTTGAAGAATCCTCTGCTCAGGAATCGGTCCATCAAGCTCACCCCGAGGAACAATGTCTCACACTGGAGCTCCTCTATGTTCGCATGCTGGGAAGTCCGAAAGAAACAGACATAGGGTGACGTATCGGCAGAGAAGGGTGGGAGAAAGATAGGATAAACCACCAACTGTTGACGAGTAATTTGAATGAAAGATGAAAAGTCATTCTAAAATTAATAAAAACTAGCGACTCAAGATCAAGCGTCTTTGTTCATCAGGCAAATCCGATTAACCATCCAATTAATCGTCATCCAAGATGAATGAAAATGCTCACCTCCACCATCCAATTAACCATAACCAGCCGCTGATGAATTATGAGATCGCCAAAATCCGTTCTGGAGCTGTATTCTTCGGTGTAGTCGTGAAGCATGGCCTGACTCCTCTCCCTGCTACGGAACATCTCATAGCTCTCCTCGTCATCACGGCTTTCAAACCTCAACAACTGGATACACGGGGGAGTGGATACCGAATTAACAGCAAAACCGTCCTACGCTTACCGAAATCAATTTTGAAAATGATACTGAAACTGAATAAGCAATTACCGTAAACTCGTGCGCATACTCATCTTCATGCTCCGAAGACTCTTTGGGCGAGCTGGAAGGGCAGAATTCTGAACCCAAACTAAGGAACAGAGATAAGAAAGATGGAGCGGAGTTCTCGTCCGGTCTCTCTAAGCAATCATCAGAGGATTCGTAGACAAGTGACGACGTGTAACCGGAGAAAACTCCTTTGGAGCTCCTATGGAGGAGATCCGATCCGAATTCTGAGAGCGTCGGCGCCCTGCACGAATCGTTGGGACTGTCCTCACTATTTGATAAATTCTCCGAGCACGCAAGGTCGGCGACGCGCGCGAGATTGCTTTGGTCCAGCCTTTGAGATACATAAGATGATACGGCGAATTCTCGAGAGCTGGCCATAGAAATTGACTCACGTCCTGGCGAGTCCGAGATTTCCGGGGCCTCATGGCTCCCAACTCTCGATCTGGACACACCGTTGCGATTTTCATCGCAAAATTCTCCGGAAACGTCAGACATCTCGGACGTCGTGAAGCCGGAAAAGGCATTCCCCACGCTATTTTCCTTCTGAACCGTGGAAGCGTCCCTATGGTTAAAGTTAATAATGGCCTCACCGGAAGAATCAGGGAAGAAGATGAACCAGCCGCCTCTGTTCCCTACCTTCGCTTCCGACACCCAGAGTTTCTCCTTTTGCTTCGCGTAAGATCTCGTGATCCGGCGGAACTCCTCGTTGGGGTGATCTTTCACCGTCTGGTCTGTCTTCCTCGGGCGAGTTGCGGAGCCTGTTTGCTTCCTCGGATGCTTCGATCTCGCAAGGGAGGGGGCTGATTCGAAGGTGACTTCGCTGGCGAAGCAGGAAGAAGACGAGGAAGCCTCGTCGAAGACGGAGGCCACGGCTTCCTCCGCCGAATCCACCTCCTCCCCTCGCAACGATGCTGCAGGATCTCCATCAACAATCGAAGGCAGACGAAGACGCTTCCGGCTGGGGCTCTTGGTTTGAATCTTCCTCGCGTAGGTGACGGTCTCCAGCATACTCTTATTGGCACAATTGATCCCCAGAGAACCGGCCTCACAATCTGGAATCATGGCTCAGAGGGGGAGAGACAGAGCACAGAGAGAGAGAGAGAGAGTACAAAGCTTGAACAATCCACCTCGGCTCTCTTTTGACAGAGGACGGACAGGAGCGGAGGAGAATGGCGGGAAGACGGTGGGGGACGGTCTGGCCACTCCGAGTGATCTCGTGCTAGGATCTCTTCGGAACTGAATAAAAGGCGGGGCGTGGCCCACTACTGCCACGTCACAGTCCTACTCCTCGTGGGGAAGTGGGCGTTGGTTCGTGTGCACCGCACGCGTCTCCCCGGTGGTCCCTCCTCTTCGACTCCACTAGACCTCGGTACCGCCTTTTCGGTTAGAACAGAGTCGCCTATCACCGTCCGGAGTTTCCTCGAGTTTTTAAAGAATTTTTTAAATTTTATTTCCACTTTTGGTTGTGATGGAATATATCCATCGATGAAAACAGTAACGAGATGAGAGGGGATCGACCGTCGGGGAAATCCAACGGTCAGGCGGGGGGTCCCACGAGAGCAATGAGAAGACCGTGCGGACCAGAGTTGTCTCTCGGGCTCTCCTTCAGTCGAGTCTCTTCGGTCCCAGAAGACCCGTTGGTCAGTGAATTGAAAGAGATTTCGGAGGCATCATTACGCTTATCTCAAAAAAGTTGCATAAAGTTTATAAGAAATATCAATGATAATATTTGGGGGGTGCGCTTTGATTCAAAATTACAATTAGGCCCTTATATTAAATAAGCTTATATACAATTCCATTATATTATTGTCCAAATTTTCTTGTATTTTACAATTAATTCAAAAGGAATATAGCACTCATATAACTACAATTTTACTATATTCTCATTCTCCATATGTTAACTTCTTAGGTAACATAACACAACAAGCAAGGTGTGTGGAATTCACAATCAACACCACCATCTTTAAATTATAAAAAATGTGAGTCAAAATTCTTATTCTTATATAATTAAAATATGATTATAACTAATACATAAACACTAAGAAATGTGAAAAATTATAGAGACAACTAAGGGCAAGATAGAAAATTATAAGATAATGAAAATACTTTGAAAGTAAGTCTGCCATTTGTGATGTATGTATCTCTTTAATTACACATTGTCTACTCATATGACTTACATTAGGCATCCTCCTAATGTCCAATAAATTCATAAAAACTCACACACAAAGGGAGACTCACACTCTTCATAAAAGAAGATTGTATGAAATATGAGATTAATTCCATGCTCAGGAATGTAGAGGTATGCCCATTTTATTGAGAAGTATAATTGCTTGAAAAGTTGTATGACTTTATGTGTTCACACCACATGATGTTTTATCACCCTAATAATTCATTTACATGCTGTCATATGACACATCAAGTTGTTGTTGTGTTAGTATCATATACATGTCAATATTCTTTGTGTCCCACCATCATGATTATTGAAAAACATTTTAGTATATTAGTAGAAACATCTGACATATCATTTGGATGTATGTGGATAAGTATATATGATATATTTATTTCATGTTATGTTGTCATGAGCTGTGCTACTAAGGTTCACAATCACTCTATGTAATTTTTACTCTGACTTGACAATATTGCTTGCTCGAGTCAAGAGTGTATGCATAAGACCTTCAATGTGTGTATGCCATATCATTATGTCTATGTACACTTCATGTGTTTGCTCATTTCTTGGTATACCTTTGTTTATGCCACATATATCTAGTTATGTTCCCATGCTACTATACTTGTGTCACCATGCATGTCTAGATGTAAGCCACACACATTTACTTGTGCTGCATCATATTATTATGTGTGAACAACACATATTTGTATGTATCACATTACTTTGGATTGTGTCAACATATTTATACTTATTATATTGTTGTGCGAATCAAATTATTATGTTGTGCTTATGTTAATCTTATACTAATTTATCATAACTTATAAACTAATTTGGGGTAAGTTATTACATCTTTATCCATATAAAGAATTTAATATCCTTATTAGATCTACATAAAAGTGTCAACTATTATTCTTCTTCCACACCAATAATGTAGAGTTGGAAAATAGGATGATTGAAGTGTAAAGAATTCCTACAGACAATGTTTCATACACTAATTATTTCATAGCATCCTTTTATATATAAGGGTATTGAAAGGGTCCCACATTGATGCGAGTAATACTTGGTCACAAGTGGATTGTGTGATTCACTTGGTGTTTTGAGGGTAACCCTTTTAGGGGTGGGAAGACAAATATATATATATTATTGTAGGTGTTGTTGTTAGTCTTGTGGGTTGTCTATTGAAAGAGTATGTTTTGAGAAATTATTTTGATTTCAGTTTGTTGAGATTGCATGCTACCACCATTTCACTGTCCACCTTGAATGACCTCAATGTCATATTTATGATGTCGAGTCTGTCATCATTTTGTAGCGTTACCACTTTCTCCCTCACACGAAAACACATGATGCATATGCCCCAATATACCTTTGTAAAGTCAAGTGTGATGAGCCATTATGCCAAGTAAGATATCTTAGCTACAAGATGATAAGGAAAGAAAGTTGTTAGTAATGTGTAATCCTTGTAAGTAGACGTCTAAGAAAATGATTTTTTCTTTTAGTTACAACTTCATTGCCTAACAACATGTTGTGCTTTATAGTTAAATTAACTAAGATTTTGAAACATTGTATTGAGTCATTCACAATGAGATTGTGTGTTGTTCTTGAATCCACCAAGATTGTGACATCCTCACCTAGCATAGTTTATTTTGCCTTCAACATCTATGGTATAAGTATACCAATAGTTTTGCATAATGAGGCTTCTATCTGGTTAACTTTCATTATTGTCTTTGTAATTCCTTCTTCATCATTGCAGTCATTATCTTCTTGTGCCACTAAAATTTATATAGCTTCTTTGCAATAATGGTTTATATGAAATTTCTCATCACAATGAAAATATAAACTTTACTCTTATTGGTAGAAAAATTCAATGTCAATCATCTTTACTTTTCTCTTGTCTACTCTTATGGTTGGGTGTTTAGAAGGTTTTACTATTGACATACTTTTGTTGCCTTGATTTGTTGCTCAAGTCTGGTGATTGTAAACACATGCACTCCAAGCTCATATTAGGGTGTGAGTTCTTTACACCTCTTGCACTCCAAGTTTACACAATACTCTTAAGCGCTCTTTTACCATCTAAGCCAAATCCAACATCTCCCTAATATTAGCAGGGTTGAACATATTTATCTCTACTACTAATTCAGGGTTTAGTCCATTGAGACATATGCTGTCTAAGACAAAGGCTTGGAGTGTGGTAGGAAAGCTACTAGAGATTTGAATTCCTGATGAAATGTTGCCACCATTCCTTCTTGTTTCAAGCTGAAGTTGGTCCAATCTCGAAATTATGTTTGTTCTACTGTCCATGAATACAAGGAGAGAGGAAAACTTATAAGCTTCATAGCTGCTATGAGTAGTTTGTGCTGCTCTTCCATCTTCATCATCTTGAAGTATAATTTTGTTTGGAACATCAAATTGGTGTAATTTTATCTCCCAAAAATAGATATATTGATGTGGGGAAACTTATGAGTCTTTGTGTGCCCTCTTTCATGCCATTTTGTCACGTTAGGGTTTCACTTTGAGTTAGAATAGAGTTCTCATTGACATGATGGTCGTCCCCCTAGTTGTCAGTGCTAATGTTCCTGATGAAGCTGCGTGTGGGCCTCACCTCCATACATTCCAAGCATTGCTCAATTCTAGCGAGCTGTTGAGATAGTTAACTCAAGATGTGGCCAATGTTTTGCTCATGTTGGGTGAGGTCTTGGTGGCTTGAGCCTTGCTCTTCTTTGCAGTCACTCCCTAGTCTTTTGTTGCTTTATTGAACCGCAATCTAGTCTTCATTCAAGCTATATGTTGTGATGGTGGTAGGTTGGGTCATCACTTCCCCTCTGACGACTCTAATATCAATTGTTAGGACAATGCATCATAAAAATAAAGATTAAAAGAAAATTATAATAGATGAAGAGAGAATACAAGAGGGGAGGAGAAAGCACTATAAACCCTAGTGCTCCAAAAGAGGGTGTTCAAAAACCCCATACTCTCCCTGGAGGACTATAATATTCAAAAACCTCTCTTACACTCTTAGATTCACTTCTCACATGATAAGACCCAATGGCCTTACAAGCACCCACATTATATGACACAATAGAAGTGAGCCTTATTCTAGTGAAAGTAGTATATTTTTTTCAAATTCTATGATTTATTTGATATGACGTAAATATGTTATAAATACTCAAGATTTAATATACCATAAATCATATAACTTACATAAATGTTCAACTATGAGAAGATAAGCATAGAATGTCAAATAACAAAATATCTTGTGATATGTAAGAATGTGGTGGGTAAGATAGCTGACTTGATCGTAGTTGAGCACTTTCACATGAGTGATCTAGTGCAACTTTTATCCCAACTAGTTTACCATTCATGTACACCAATGAGAGGTCTAAAGTTTTATAAGCTTTAGTGATCACTTTTTAGTGCTTTAGAAAATATTAAAGAGGGTGGAAGATTAATGTTTGATCTACTAGAAGAAATACTTTATGGTTGTTAAGTCACACAAAAGTTTTCATGGTTCTCAAAATAGTTGATAGGTAGTTTAGAACAAGATTTATGACAAGTTTTATTGAATGCTTTTGATCTATCAATTTTATAGACATCATTTTCGTCCGATTTAGTGATAGGGTGAATAATATCATCAATATGTGATGAAGAACTTGATCCATCTACCTAATTCTGTGCCAAGATGTTATTTCCTTGTAATGGCTCCTTTTTGGAATCTAGCATCATTTATTGAAAGAGAGGCCTTAAGACATCTTGATGGTCCAAATAACTATTGTGTATCTAAATACATGAAGGGAAAATATAAGGATTCAAGAGTACAAAGAAGTTTACAAGACGATGGTAGGAATCTAACAATTAAAGAGGAGAAAACATACTCCATTGTACTTTTATAACAACACGCAATTCACCTTTGGTATTTTTGTGAAGAAAAAAAAGTATACATCTTTTCCTAAGAAACAATGCAAAAGAACTTTAAGGATGATAAAACATATGCAGGGAGATGTGGAACATAATTTTCTAAAAGATAATGGTACACACAAGGAGGCATCTCATACATGAGATAAAGATAGGAATGAGGTTTTTATAAATCAAAAGACATTGCCCTCTTTGTTTTACATAGTATAAGATGATATAATCAAATGATGACATCTTGCACATTAAAAAGATGTGGAGAGAAGATATTCGTTTGATCATGGCAAATCATGAATCAACGTAAAAATATTATAGAAAAGAAAGAATGAGAAATTACATGAAGTGGATCGTAAACATTTGCCATTTCAAATAAAGGGCACATGAGTTGTGCCCAGGATCATGAAATATCAACTTGTCATCCCTTGCTTGCATGCATGTTCTCTTGGAAAGAAAACTATCTTTGATGTGATATATTGTCAATTGTCAAATGCAAGGAAATCTAATCTAATCAATGACTTTCTTAATAGCATTGGCTCGAGAGACTAACTTTTCCACCTCAAAGAAATTCAATCAATGAGATCTATTCACCACATGAAGAGAAAAAGCTTATTAACCACAATCATAACACAAATTAGAGAAGACACTGCTCGAGGCCCAACATTCAATAATTTTTAAGAAGAAAAAACAAATCATTACCAAGAAAAATGAAAATTCACTCAAAAAGCATTCGCCAAAATGGATTTGGTGACCCTTGAGGTCGAGGTCACACTTCTCTTCTTCCATGCATACAATTCGGGCCCTTGGGCCTTGAGCAATCTTTGATGACATTTGATAGTTTGGGCCCTCTTTGGCACTTGAAACCATGAGGGTCAACAACTTATGACCTGAAGCAAAGAGGGTGGGAGGCAGCTGCATTCCTCATTTTTGAAGGCCGCAAGAGCAAAGGAAAGTTTGGCCAACTAGGGAATGTCAATTATGTCATGTGAGGCAATGGACAACAACCAGTGGTGATGTACCCCAAGACACAAGTTGAAGTGTTAACTTCAAATTTAGATCCACTTATCTTGAATTTGGGTCATAAAGTGAAAAGTGGAAGAGAAAGAACCCACGTATGTCACCAATAGGTTGGAGGTCTGAATTTGTCTCACTTTATGTCACTTCACTTATAAAAGGTATTTTATATCTCATTTCTTCTAGAAGAGACTTTAATGTAGTTTAGTATGTACCTAAGATCTGTTCAGAATCTCTGAAGGTTAGAGTTTGTACCTAAGATCTGCTCAAGATCTCTAATTATTAGTCTATTTTAGGTCATTTCAGAGTTAATTAGAGTATTTTTATAAGATTTATCTAAAATTTCAGTTTATCACAACTTAACTTATTTTCAATCATTTTAGAGTTAGTTAGACTCTATCCTCAAGATCTCTCAAAATTCTCTTTTTAAGGAGCACCTAACCTACTTTCTAGGCCTATATAAATGCTTTTATTATAACATGAGGTCTTCACTTTTTTAATTGAATCAGTTCTCTCCACTATGAGAATTTTTTCCTCTTGCTTATAGATTTAGGCACCCCTTTGTAGATTCGAAGGTTGAAGACTCCGAATTTGTGGATTTAAAGGCAAATTTCTTCCCTAAGATTAGAACTTTGTGGATTCAAGCCCATATCTTATTTATCTTCTGCATTACTGCGTCAAGTGGCCCCCATATGTGGTCTATTTTATCTTACTCATATGTGGCAATTTTATAATTAGAAGAAAGTATAAGGTACAATTTGTATTTATTGGCGAAAATATTTTCCAAAACCCCGGAGTGGGCTCCTAATACCCTTCTTCTTCCGCCCCCGCCGCCGCGGGAATTCTCTGCAAATCCCCGCGTGGCAGCCCCTAACAGCAACCTCGTCGCCCCTCCTCCTCTTCCTCCTGGGAGCAGTCCTTTTCCTTCACGGCACTACATCATCCTACGCCCCCTTCCCGTGCAGAGCCTCCGATAGCTGCGCTCCGGCGGAGGATAGTCGTTCTGCGCTTCATCCTCCCCGAGTGCTGGCTCTGTGATGTCGACAAATGGGCCGACCTCTGCGAAGGATTCCTCCAAGAAGAGGAAGAGGCTGTCTACGCCGTCGGTACGAGGAGACGCGGAGGCAGCAGTGGACATGGAGAAGGAACCGAAGAAACCTGTGCGTGGTTGTACCTGGAAGAACCTGGATCTTATCCTTTCCCTTCGGGACAAAGACGTCCCTACTAACAGGTCCACCGCTCGCGGGTCATTGTATTATTATTTTCCTGTGTTGCATTATTTATTCACGTCTCATTCAACCGCAGGAAGATCGAGCTCGCCTTCAACTTTGTTGGTTCGGATTGTAGTGGCGACGGTCGGGGACGCGAGCCCCTTCAGGCTGGGCGAGTAATCTCCTTTATGAGTGATTGGGTCCAACCCGTCTTGATATCCTCGGACCAGGAAAAGAGTAAAACGTTGTTTTTTCCTGACACCTGCCTTGATTATAGACTTTGGATTGTCCTCAAGTTCTGCATGGAGAAATCTGCTATCAACGTGTCTCATAATTTACTTCGACCAGTCACTCGTGCTATGGTCCATGCATCGTCATTAGTAGATAGCGACAAGGATCCGAGAGCGGGAGAAGATTCCTCTGGATTTTATGAGGTGTTCGCCGAGTGTCTCTCTCTTCTTTTTTCCTCCCATGGCAGAAGCTTCAATGCTGCCGGCTTGGAATTGTGGGTTTCATGTGCTGTTGCAGCTGTTGGCCTTCTCTTGAAAATATTGTCGAGTGACGAATCCTCCTTTTTAAGTAAAGATAAGCTCTCAGCGCTGTCAATTCTTATGCTCGAGCAATTTGCTAGTTTTCTAAGGTTTCACCCTAGTCCAAAGAACATATTTCGTTCATTTGTTGATAGGCTCCTGGAGCCATTAGTGGCATTGCTGTCCCTGGTGCATGCAAAAGGCGGCAAAAGGGACCATGAATACGCTGGCAGCCTATTGACAGCGGTGGAGAATGCTTTGTCTAATGGTTTGTGCCATCCTGCACACATCAGTGGGTTTGTAAGCCTAAGAAGTTCAAACTTGAAAACTGAGGTCGAGGAACCAAAGACTTTCAATGAAAGTTACCACAGACATTTCTTTGTGAAATTGCAAAAAATAGTCACTGAGAAAAAGGTGACTTTAATGGGTGGCTTGGGGCACGTTTTTCATCTGTTTATCACCAATCTGAGGAATAAGCGACGTGTGTCTACATCCTTCAAAGTCATCCATAAGTCGGACAAGCATCAAACTATGCCAGAGCAAGAGCATGCAAGTGGCAAGCTGGTCTTCGAAGTGTTCATTCAATTCATGGAGCCTCTTTTTCATGATTGTGGGAAGTTCACGGAAATGGATTTATCTGTGGCTGGAGCGTCATGGGAAACCGTATTGATGGAATCTTATTGGACCATTAGAAGCATTAATGATATTCTTGAAGGTGTTATGCGTGAGAAAATATATGATCGAACGCAAGATTCACCTGAAGGAGATCATTGCAATTTTCTTAAGAAGGTGTATGAAATGGTTGTCATTATCTGCAGAAAAGTATATGTTTTTTGGTTATCGATATCAAGTGTGTGTGAAGCAGGATCTTCAAATATACTTGTCTTGATTGCTAAGGAGCTTATTGTGAGCATTGGCTATTTTCTTGAAATTGAATATAATGTTGTTGGGGATGATCTGGCTGGTATTTGGCTCATGATGCTGTCATACCTAGCTGTTTCTGAGTGCACAGGGGCGAAATCAGATGATTCCAGGCTCACGAATGAGATCCTGAGAGTTGGATGCCAGATGATTAAAATGTACAGTGATATTCGACAGGTTTGTGCTCCGTACATCATTAAATTTTTTTTCCTTGTAATCTGTAATTTGACGCTTGGATGCTATATGCCTAACTGCCTTATTGATTGGTTGAAAAGTTGATTTTTTCAAATTTTAGGTAGCCAAAAGTTCTTCTAGCTGGAATTTTCCTGTCTGTTGTGGCCATTGTTAGTTTGCTTGGTTGGTTATAGTTCTCTCCTGCCAATAGTTTTTCCTTCTTGTTATTTTGCATTATCCATGATAGCAGTTACGTACAGAATCATCAGTAGCACTATCCTATGATTATCCTTCTCCTTATCTCGAACTTGATGCCCGTTACAACAAACAAGAGGAAGGTATTAATCACTTCCTGTTGCATTAGTATCCCTTAGCACTTGGTCATAAATGACGAGAGATATTCTCATGGACTAACGATTGATGAGGAAATATAAATGATGAAAATAATTGGCCAACTCCGATGTAATGTTTTCATAGAATGAACGATTTTTTTATCTTTTTATTGTTTGAAAGTGTTCTGCATTTTATTTTATAGGCATTATTGATTCATATGAAGTTTCCTCTTTCATTTGACGACTTTCATATGCCTGTGTGCTTGTGTGTGCTTTCTTTGGTGAGTTCATATCCTTTGGCATGGCACTCTTGTATAACTTTGGTGTTACCACATGTTGGCCTCCTGTGTCCGTTTCCTATTTAAATCCAATTATCATTATACCCAACCTAGTCACTGAGAGTATTGCGGCAGTGGTACACAGTTCACGAAATGATCGTTTTGCTCGATTTGGCCCTTAAGCGATTATATTAAAATGCATAAGCTTGAATGAGAATACTCTTTTTTGCAGGCTAGTAGGCCTATCTTTGCTTTATGTGAAGCTGTGAGGTTCTTCAGATTTGATGATGATGGAAGCGAAACTGGTCGCTCGACATTTTTTCCCTGTGGACGTTTATCCCCTGATGCATGCAGAAAAGCAGTTATGACTTTGATATGCTCACAAGATTTAAGATTTGCAACTTCAAATGCCATTAAATCGATACCAGAAGGGCAAGCAGGTGGATGCGTTCATCAGTTGAAGTTAGATTTTACTGATGCTTTAGGATGGTTGAGAGCCGTTCTCTTGAAGACCAGTGTAAACAGTTACGTAAATTTTCATGTGGAAACTGAAATCTTTGGAATTCTCTCAGAGATGTACTCAGCTGTCTTGGAATCTCTTAGTGTGACAGCAAGTAATAGCATTTTTGTAGGAAATTCTATAAATGACCTTATGGCAGCTGTAAGGTTGACTTTTGCGACTTTTATGGAAAACCATTCGTGTAATTTTGACAATTTCTATATTTCTTTTACTGGCAGAAGTTTATCTGATCATGTGGGCCTCTTGGACACTTCATGGGTTTTCGTGTGCTTTTTTCGTCTCTATGTTTCCTGTCGTAGCTTATACCTGCAAGTGATAAGCCTCATGCCACCAGACTCATCCAAAAAGGCAGCATCTGCAATGGGTAACTCATTTATCATATCTTCTGGAAAGGACTGGGAGGGGGAAGAAGGCTGTACTGCTGAAGGTTACTTTTCCTGGATAGTAAACCCATCCATTTCACTGGTTGCGATGACAACGGCTTTTTCAGAATCTTTCTTAACTAAACACGTCACAATCGTTTCACCTTTAGTTTATGTTTTAAATGTGATGGCTTTACAGAGGCTTATTGACTTGAATCGGCAACTTAAGGGTTTGAGTTACCTAGTACAAAGGAACAATAGGATGGTTCAGATGCGAGTATATGGTGATGTTGGGCATTTACCACAAAAACAGAACAGAAAATTGAAGCATTTCGTCAAAATCACAAGGCAGGAGGCAGTTGATCTTACAAATTTTATGACTGAATTCTTACATTTATTGCCTCCAAAGAGAGATTCAGAATTCATTGAGGTGGAAAGGGTTGGTGAATGTAGTGAAGGTTTAAGAGAACATGCCTGGGATCTGGCCGTTTGCTCTTTGAATGAAAGGTCCCTGCCCATTGCTATTTGGTGGCTTCTTTGTCAAAATATTGATGTTTGGTGTGTTCATGCATCCAGAAAAAGCTTGAAGAAGTTCTCTTCCCTTTTGGTTCACCATTGGATAGCTTATGTTAGAAACTGTTGGAGAGATACTGTAGAGCAGGAGACTAGGGAACCATACTCAAAACATGTTACATTCCGCTCCATTGGTGCTGAAGTTCTGAAGAACGTTGCTTTTTATGAACAACCAGTAAGAACATGCCTTCATTATAAATACTTATGTTTTCGCTTCCTAAATCTCTGAAGTCGTCCTGGTTAAATTTTCCTACCAAAGTTTTCCTTTCGTTCTAAGATCCTCTCGCCTTTCTGTTAAATGTAATCTGTTGAGATGTCATGCTTTTTCTTAGGTTCTTTTGAGGCATCTGGCATCAAGGTTATCCAGTCTTTTAAAGACATTGGTACTACCACTTGTGTCCCATGCATTTGGAGATGACCTGGACTTGAGTTCTTTACCTGATTGGTCAGATGTCCTGGTCAGACTGGGGAAAGGGCCGGTCTGCTCCATGGGCACTGGTAATGTTTCAGATAGTTATTCAGCGCTATTGTTGTTCGATTCGGTTTCGTCTAACTCTGGTTATCAAGAGGATTCTACAAAGCGGAAAGGCCTCCCTTCCTTGAAGCCTGAAGTCGGCGCATGTCAAGGATTGCTTAACTTATTATGTAAATTGCCCGATGTATACATAGATCAGAGATCACTTACTGCCGTTGTACGTTATATTCTTCATCTAGAAAGGTGAGATTTTTTGTTTTTAACATTTTTGTTCTTTCAATGATTGAGATCTTACTTCAAGAGAAACAGTAAACTTTTAAACCCTGAGGTTACGGCCTGTTACATAACTCACCAGTTTCTTCGACGTCATATATATATATATATATATATATATATGTCAAATTGCTGTTCCAATGCTAGCATGATGCCTACATCGGCACGGTTAACACCGCTAATATCGCAATTTATAAACCTTACATTGGCATCCCAATGCATGAGCCGAACTTTTCTATCGTTTACCTGCACGTGCACAGCTAACACCACTAATATCGTTATTTATAAACCTTACAATGTCCTTTCAATGCATAAACTGAGCTTTTCTTTCATTTACCTACGTGATCTCAATGTTCTACATGATGGTGCCCCATCTATGGCCAAGGTAGCTTTGGACACTTGATGGCTAGGATTCTGTCAAAGGACCCATGGGTAAACGTCTTGAATTCCCTTATTATCTGAATTCAAGCCAAGACATGAATACAGGAGGCAAGTTTCGTATAGAAATACGTGATCTTCTCTAGGGAAGCTGTCAACCGAAGAGAAAAACTGAAATGCAAACCATATTTTTTTGCATTTATTTGTAGTATCAAGTTGTTAAATTTATATACCGCTACTGGATATCAAGTAGATCTCAGAATTTTGTTCACTTTTCTAAGCATTTCTTGCTTTATTTTTATTTTTTTCAGGCTCTTGGTTTCAGCATTACTGAGCTGCTATGATGGGTGCTCTTGTTTTCAGTATGACCTATTAAATTTGTTTGTCTGCTGTCGAAGGACTTTGAGGCACCTTTTAGTTACATCTTTTAAAGATTATGCAGCGGATAAAATGTCTTCCATCGTTGATGTCTTATTTGGTAGTCTATCTACTATCCAATGGCTGTTAAAGTCAGTATCCGGGCTGGTTGGATTGCCGGTTTCACACTTTGGGGACAGACCTACTAGCGAGGTGAATATGATGTTCTTTGTATTGATGGACCACACATCCTATTTATTTCTTGCTTTGGGTGAACGAGAAATGTATATGGGCGTACAATCCGTGCATAGTGGCGAAAAGCTGCTAGAAGAGCCTGTGCGTGATGGCCTGACAGAACAAAGTTCATTGTGTGGAGTTGATGCGTATTCCAGTTTTTCTGGAAATCTCGATGCCTGGAAAAGCCTTACAGCTGTAGCTACTTTTCTCGAGGAAGAGACAAAAGCGTCACTGCTTATCCTGAGGAGTTATGGCAATTCAGATCAAGAAATTAGTGTTATCAGCGTAAAATGGAATAATATTTCATGTATGCTTTCTTGTCTTCAAGGGTTTCTATGGGGCTTATTATCTGCAGTAGGGGTTGTAGATGGGAAATGCTTCATTGAGAATACATCAATTTTGTCATGCATCTCAGAACTCTACAAGTACACCGATGTATTTGAAGAATTCGTAGATTGCTGCCTGTCGCTATCACTTGTAAAGGATCATCACACTGGGAATTCGAGTGTGTCCTCCAGATCGTGCATGCTAAATTACTTATCACGCTCACATTTCCCTACTTTTGATGAAGCTGGGATTTCCAGGGATGAGGGTGAAGTTGCGCCCAAAATTTATCATCTGATCGGTGAAAAAAGTAATGGGTCAATGTTTTATTCGGATGGTGATGGTGAGTTGCATCACTTGAGACTCTCCCTCTTGCAAAGTTTATTGAAAGGTGAGAATCCTGATGTTGGGTTCTCAATCAGGCAAATTTTTATGTCAGCTGCAGCACTTCTTAAGCTTAGGCATGTGCCTTCATTTCTGAAAGTCCCAAAATCACAGAATGACTCTAATTATTTGCCATCGATCTCAACTGGTATTCTTGTAACAACGTCAGATTTCATTTTATCAAACATGACTGAAATTTTGGGAACATCACAGAGTCGTGATTTTGTGTGGATGGATGGGATATTAAAATATCTTGAAGTTCTTGGCAGCTGTTTTCCCGTGGCCAATTCTGGCCTTTCTGATCATTTGTATTCCAAGATGGTCGATATGCATCTAAGAGCGATGGGAAAATGTATTTCCTTACAAGGCAAAGCTGCAACTCTCGCATCCCATGAGACAGTATCGGATACGATGACACTCCAATCTGAAGTGGGTGAATGTGATAATTATATGTATTCAGTGGATCAGCAGGGTCACAAATTGAATGAATTTAAAAGTAGGCTTCGAATGTCGTTCAAAGAATTAATCAGGAAACCATTACGGTCGGATATTGTGCTCTTGTTTCAAACACTAGAGAGCGTTTTGGTTGGGGTACGGCGAGGCTGCAATATGGTTTATGATATAAATACAGGGGATCCAGATGGTGGACGAGTTTCTGCTATTGTTGCAGCCGGTGTTGAGTTTTTTGATTTAGTTTTTGATTCATTCTCAGGTGCTTGTGTATACCTTTGATTTTATCCAGTTATTTTGTTTCATTAATTAAAACTAACGGAATCATGCATCACCCTTTCAGGCATCGTTTTCTTGGTTCTGCTGTACATCACCCTTTCCAGATGTTATGTTTTATCTGTCGTTTAACTTTTCATCTAGTGAGACCATTTTAGCATTTGAAATGCCATAATTTGACTGTCATTTTTTAAACATACAGCCATATATTTTAAATATTAGTCTTTTGTGTGTAAGCGAATATCGTGCATCCTCTGATTGCCTAATTCAAATATTGTGTATCCTTTACAGGTGACAAGCTGTTTGGAATCATCAAAGGCCGCGTGCAGAATTTAGTTGGCTCTTTGTTCAACATAATTCTGCATCTTCAGAGCCCATTAATCTTTTGCAGAAAGGCATCCACTTATGGTCGACGTGAAATTGACCCAGATCCTGGCTCGACCATTCTGATGTGTATTGAGATACTAAGAAAGTTTGCTAGGAAAAATACTCAGTTAAAAATGGATCCATGCCTTGTAGGGCAGTCCTTGCATGCACCGTCGTCTCTTTTCAAACATTTTCATCAGCTCAACTCTTTCCGAGTGCCAAGCGGTGCTCTAAGGTTCACAGACAGTGGAGAAAGCATATCAATAGAAGATATCGATCATCACATTGTTGATACACGGTTCTTTGTAGACCTATATGCTGCCTGTTGTAGGTTACTGTGCACCGTAGTCAGGCATCAGAAAAGGTATGTCTTGACTTTCTGACTTTCTAAAATTATTAATATAAATGCTGATGTCGAAAATGGATAAAAGATGGGTCAATCAGCTTTCCATCCTGTCGGTCATTTTTGGGAAAGTTGACTTGTGCTGATCACTTGTTTGCCTTTCGTTCAAGGCTCTTTCTTCTAGTCCACTTTTTGTTTTAACAGCATGTATTTTGTGGTGTTATCTCTGGTTTTCTTCTTCGCCTACGTTGATATGTCTGCAATGATCTATATCTATGAGTTAAATGACCTCCCTTTGTTGTAATTTTTCATTTTTAACAAGGCGTTATTATTCCTAATGTTAGCTCTGGTTTTTTTTCTAATCGTCGCCATATATTGCAGTGAGACCGCACAATGTATCGCCCTCCTTGAAGATTCAGTAAATACTCTGCTTACATGCTTGGAGTCATTGCACGAAGATAATGCCCGCCAAAAGAGTTCTTTTGTGTTGGATATAAAGGAGGCCGTTACATGTGCTAGCTTTCTTCGCAGAGTTTATGAAGAGGTATGGTCTCTTTATGGTTGTTGACTCTTTATAGTTGAAATACCTGATTTGACTTTGTTGTTAGTGTTTGAAATCCTCTAGTATTTTAATGTGGAAGGCGATGACCAAAACTTGTGAGCTTAAACAGAGTATCGTCATTTCTTTCTTTACCAGAAGAGTTCATTTCTATAAAACTCTGTTTATCTTAATTTTAGCAACTGCATAGGAAAGGAAAGGGCTTCTGGTCTGAAAGAGGTTCATGTTAAATGAAATTATAGTGAGTAATCCTGGGAGATCCGGTTAAATGCTCGCTCACATCTAAGGCACTAACACCATTACAGGACGTCCAGTCCCCCTCCCCCTGTAGCTTGCTGGCCTGCACTGTCCATATTGGCCCAGTATCATATGAACCTGCCTCACGACATCCTCCTAGATACACGCTTATGTTGTCCATAATATTTTTTTGTGGCAGTTGGAGGTTTATTAAATATTTCCCGTCGCTGGTTCCTTAATTTTCTTGTTTTATACAGGTCAAACAGCAGAAGGATACCGTCAGAACATATGCCTGCCATTTTCTTTCTGATTACATCTGTGTCTATTCAGGAGAAGGCCCTCGACGAACTGGCATCAGAAGGTCACTCCTCTCTCTCTCTCTCACGTTCTCAGATCTTTTTCTGCACCAGGAGACGTGTAGAGTCTACGCTTCCTATCTCCTTCTGATGGGGTTCGGCTTCTTTTATTTCCTATTTCTGTATCAGAGAAGTAGATGAAGCGCTAAGGCCAGGCGTCTATGCCTTGGTTGACATATGTTCAGCTGAAGACTTTCAGAAGCTTCACACGATTCTGGGCGGTTAGTGATTGTATAACTCTTTCGAAATGGTTGACTTTTTTCTTACTATTTCTGCCCTTTCCCCCTCCTTCAGAGGGTCAATGCAGGAGGACTCTCGCGACTCTTCGCCATGATTACCGGCTTTATTTCCAGTATCAAGGGAAAATCTGAGCCGATCCACGACAGTACTTAAGACACGATCCTCCCTCTGGTCGAGATTCGTTCCGATGCAGCTACATGTGAGCATTGAATGGTCTTAAGCACGACTCTAAGCTGATTTTCTTACAGGATCAGCTTCTTGCATATCTTCTTAGTATTTTCTTCTGTGCATCAATCCGAAAAGTTGTTCCGAAATATTTCATTTCCAGGTTCTGTGAAGCACGCGCAGCTGACGTCTGTAATTCTACGACAGTATGACGGTGGGCATGATCCACTGAGGTCATGGAATTCCTCGGAGAAAATGAGCAGGGTGAGCACGAGCTTTAATGTATACCACCTTATAAGCTTACTAGCAAGCTCTTGGAGTATCCTCTCGGAAAACGTTGGAATCATAATCACTAGATTTCGCTACCTTCATCATGTTCATAGTTGCTTCTGTATAAAGCTCGCGATCAGCTCTTTATGAGTTGTGTGGCCGAGATATCTTGCCTCATATTTTTGTCTTCTTTCAACCCAGGAATGAATTCCCGTCGATCCATTTCTAGTGTTTTTGAGTCGACATCCTCCGTCACAGAAGCACGAGGTTCCCACTGCAGCAGCTTGATCTTGAGTCCATTTAATCTCTTAATCTCTAAATGGGTTTTCAGAATTCGTTCCCTTGGTCAACCCCTCTTGGCAGAACACATGATTTTGAAGCGCATTTCTTCTGCAGGGTGTTGGTTCCGGGCGACAATGCGGGCCCCCGCGGTGTGCCGAGCGATCCGAAGGTGTCGGAGGGAGCATCGTCTCGCGGCGGAATTGTAAATTTGGCAGATCTGTACCATCTGTGAGCATTCAACGGGCCAACACCCACCTAAATTGAGATTTTTTTTAGTCTGAAAGTCGCTCGTTCACTCATTCCTTGCGAAGTCAACCTTTCTATAAGCATTCTTGTATTCTAAGTTGTTGTACAGTGGTACCCGGGCAGTACCTCCACGAAGTCGATGACGATCTCAGAGGGCGAGGGAGAGAGGGAGAGAGAGAGAGAGATGCTGGGTGGGTCCGGCCTATTTTCATAAGCTATTTGGGATCAACCCAGTACGGCCCAGAAGTCAATGTCAAGAGGCGGCGAAGGACTCTCCCAGCTCTTCGAAAACAATGGTCTCCGATTTCCTCGAAGTTTATTATAGTAAAAATCAAAACTTTCCTTTCCTCATACACCAGCTCGACGGCTGAGCTGAATGCGATAGACAGACAGTACATACAGAAGAAGACATCCATTTGGTGGGAGAGACGACACTCCGACCGTTGACCATAGCCCGGCTGCAGCCGCCAAGGTCCACGTGAGCGAGAAGAACCAATCTAAGGGGAGGGGGTGATTAAACGGCCACGGGCGCAGGCTGCTGATCGGCTTCTTTGGCCTGCAAGCTCTTGAAGTAGTTGACCAGGACCTCCCACCCTCCTGGGCACATGAACCCGCTGGGGGGGCTCTCTCCGCTTCTGGCGTAGGCCCGCATCTGACCCACCACGAAAGCAGCAAAAAATTAAACTCGAGAATCTTCTTACTTAGAATTCGGCACGAGAGGAGGGAGCCCTTTACCTTGGTTCCCGAGATGAAGAGGAAATCCTTGGCCCGGGAAGGATCGAAGAACGCCATCTTGCCCTGCTCCGTGTCATACGCCGCCACCTGAAAAGAAGAGGAACAAAGGAATGAAGGAACGCTCCCAAAAATAATAAATAAATAAATAAAGAAAGTGTTCAGCAGAGGAGGAGGAACCTTGAAGGGCAAGATGTTGAGCTTCTCCAATCCTGGAGCCATGCTCAGAACCTTCTTCCCATGGTCGGGGTCATATAAATCTCTCTTCTCCAGGGGATGGCCCATTCCGGCGGGGTCACGCCCCACGATGTAGAAATTAGCGCCCGCATTAATGCGCGCCTTGGCGTGCCACTGGACCTCCGTCGGCCCGGCATAATGCATTGGAGAGGGGAATATCGCCACAATCGTTGTCTCCGGGTCAAGAACCCCGTCCTCAAGAACCTACGTAAAGTTTGAGATCAGTCATTAGATCAGTAAGATAATGGAAGGAACGAAAGATTTAATCTTGAAATGAAACTCACCTTCTTGTGCTGCTCCATCCGAACGTCCAAGGGAACGTCGTCCGGTTTGGTGAAACCCCCCAAGGGATGAAGGAGGAGGAGAGGATTCTTGAAGCCCAGATCCAGGAGGCGTCTGCGGGTATCATTCATCAGCAAGGCGTGGCCGTTGTGAACAGGGTTTCTCAATTGAAAGGCAAAGACTGCGTCGGCTCCACGCCTGTCGAACTCTGCTCGGAGCTCTGCTGGAGTGAGTCTGTAGTGGTCGAGGCCGTCGTTGTACTTGATTGGCTCCAGCAATTCCAGGTCCCCACCGATCAGCCAGTCCCCAGCTGGGTCGATCGCCTTCTCAACATAAGGTAGTCCTGGGGCCGTCGTTCCCCATGTTCTTGCGATTCTTTCCTCTTTGTTGTGCTTGAATATCTGAACCCTGAGAAGGAAATATGTTCGGCATGGAATCAGTACACGAGGATGAAGCTGTTCATGAAAATCAGATCTTTCCAAGGATATAATGTTTTAGAACACTATGAGAAATAACTCAGAGGCACGAAAGATCCTAGGGAGCCTTCAATCAGAGAGAAAAATATAAACAGACCAAGTCCGAACGAGCTGAATCGTCAGCCGTCAGACAACTAACTGCAAGGGCCTCCGGAGCTTTGAGGGCACCAATCAAGATCCGCTGAAGCCAGTTAGAACAGTACTTTTAAGAGGACAGAGTGCTGGACTCGACAGGAAGTAGATACGTCTGGAGCAAGATTCAGACAAACTTAGGCACGGATATAGCGCATGAATCTGAAAGTGCGGACATATGAACTCATATCCAGGCATCTTGGAAGCGAGCTTCCTGCTTAATCATTGGGATTCATTTCGCCCAAATTGTGGGTTGGGTTTTCTCCGGGAGAACGAACGTGATTGGTGCTGTATCTGTCCTGAATCCATACAACTCTTCTGCGAAACTGAATTACTAATAACAAGGAAAGAATTATCGAAAAAGAAACAATATTTTCCGTAGATACCAGGCGAATAGAAGAACGTGTCAGATGAAATTCGGAAAACACCGCAGAAAAAAATATTTCGACGTAGATGTTGAAACGAGCTGTATAACCTTCCCGGTCCAAATCTCTACGAAAAATCTTGGGCAAGCGGGGGAAGAAACGGAAAGGGAAGAGGAGGACCTCCGAAGAATAGCGACGAGGTCGCCGCCCTGACCGGCCAGCGCAACGTCGGGGGACTCCCCGATGGCCTCCTTGGTTGCGTCGTCAATGGCGAGAACGATGGGGAGGGACATGTTGACGATGGAGCCATCTTCCAGGCGGAGGCTGTTGAAATGCAGGCTCTGCAGGTACTCCTCCTCCCGCATGAACCCACGGAGCGGGCTCGCCCACCCATTGCCGATCACGTCCACCCACTCGAGGTCAATCTCTCCGATCCTCACTCTCGGCAGTGCCGCCGCCTCGGCCCTCCTCGCCTCCCTCTCCGCTGGCGGCACCACCAGGTCCACCAGCGTCCCCCCGTCAGGCTCGATGAGGGAGCTCCTCACCACCGGCGGCGCCGCCGCGGGCGGCGCCGCCGCGGGCGGCGCCACTGCCGCCATAGGTACGTACGCTCTTACCGAGTTGGAACGGTAAAGGGAGTTCCCCAGCGAGAGAGCCCCCCCCGGCTGTGCCGCCGCCGGTCTGCCCAATCTCAGGAGGCCGCCACCGCTCCCCCACCCCGCCGCTGGCGCCGAGCAGACGCCTTGGGAAGCGGAGCTCGTAGCGGCAATCCCGGCGACCGCCCCACTTGAAAGAAGAAGCGCCGTAAGACCCATACTCCTGATTCTCCTTTCTCTTCTCCTCCGCAGCAACGGGCAGCCACCCTTGCTCTCCGAGCTTGGCGGAGGCGTTGGCGATGGGGGGGGTTCTTCTTAAGGGCCGCGTCCTCCGATTACTTTATTGGGCTCAGCTCGAACGAGGAAGAAGCTCAGAGGAGGCTCTCAGAGCCTCTCGTCTTCTGTGGCTTGTAGCCGCTGATGGTTTGATGAACCTGGACCAGAAGTCTGTACAGGGGGGGGATGATGCTATCGCAATAAAATAAGTTTTGGGGTCGAGCGGCTGATGTCAGCCCATCCGTATCTATGTTCAACATTTTATATCCGAATTGACCGCCGGCCTGATGGGACCGTTGAATGAACCGTACAATCGAACAAGCGGCGATGATGCGAAAGGTTGAAAGTCAAAGCCAGGGTTCGAAAAGATGGAGGATCGGAATCCGGAAACTACCCGAGCAGATCCGTATCTGAATCCCCGATCAATCCCTTGCCGTCCAACAGGTGGACCTTTTGGTGCACGATATCCAATAACGTCGAATGATCTCGGCCGTCGATTTTGCTCGATTGTAGATCACGTTTGAGGGGAGGACGAACGTGGGGCCAGACAGGCATGGGTGACGTCGGACTGGAAATATCTACACGTCGCAGACTGTTTTATCCCCTCCCCGCGCGATTCCTCACCTCTCTCTCTCTCTCTCTCTCTCTCTTCTTGTTCGTTGCGCGGCTCTCACACTAGAGAGTTATCTTTTTAAAAGCTCTCCCTCCCCCACATTTCTTCGATGGAATTCAGCTTTGCCGTAAGGTTCCCTGTCTAGGTTACGTACTGCCATTAGTAGTGGGCTGGATTTCCACGGCTCCGGCCAGGTAGGGGTTGGCGGGGTTCATTCTCGAAGGAGATGCAGGGAATTGCGCCTCCGCGTCCTAGCCCCTCAGTTCCCGTTCCAGGCCTAAGTTCCAAAGGATCCCACTATCGTTGTGGCCATGGCTATCGCCGCCATCAATCCTCACTGAATGGTCTGGTTGAGGTCTACCGGTTGGAAAAATGCATCTTCAGAAGTAAGTAGACTTTGAGAGGCTCTATGAACTCAGGATATCCACTTGGATTGATATCTCCTTAATTACTGGGAACAATCTCAACGTGTGAGCTGACGCAATTTGTGCACGAATTTAGAAAACAGCTGAACGAGTAGACTCTTATCCTGCTTACGAAAGTGTTCAAATTCAACAATGCCACTTTTATTTATGCAGTGATGTTATGGTTTTTACATTTACGGTATTAAATATGATCCCCATCCAGATAGATGAAAATTATTCAATTCTGATGCAAAGGCGAATTGAGTGTCTTTTCAGGCAGTTTAATTGGGCTGCTCTGTTCTGAGCCAATTTCGGCAGCCACTCACTGTACAGTTATCCTTACTATCTCTTTTAGAGGGTTTAGAAAGTCGGAAATCCGGGGGTGGATGATGGGGGCTCAGTTTGGAATGTATGTTTTTATTTTTTGGGACAGAAGATGCAGTTAATGATGACATTCTAAATTTGCACGCTACTTGACGATTATTTTGGTTTTTCCCCATTTCGCGTATTAAAATGAATTCAGGTTCGTGTAAGACTATCAAAAAACTGTGAAACTACGGTGGAACTAGTACGTATAGGTTGTATGTTTCTATCTAACGCATATTCCTTGGAAAATACATTTATTCTGTAGCTTTTCGTTCATTGACTTGAGCCGTCTTTATTCCTTACATTCTTTGCTACAAGTTTCGTGACTCAGCAACATAAATGTTTCGAATGGTTTATCTCAAAAAATGTAACTCCGCCCCAATTTTATCTTTACTTTCGCATAACATTTTACCAAACTGGAAGAGTGGTTCATCTCAGTAAGTGGGCTAAGATTTTCTTATATTTTCAATTGCCTTTTACATAATTCTGAAATGAAGGGATTAACCTTGTCTCTCATGATGCGTTCTTACTTTTTCAATGAACATATATTCTTTAATCTACCCTTAGCTTCCTGATCCTAGATAAGTACTTTCTGATGTTTGTGTTAATATTGAAATTATAAAAAAAACAGTGAATTTTAGCAGTAATCCAAAAACATTGAGGCATGTAATGGATCTAGATAAATAATTCTAAATATCACCCAATGAGAAGGAAGAAACATTTTCTCTGTGATGATCATGGAAGAACACATTCCAGGGGTCTTCCCAAGTTATAAATGAATGCTTTGATATCTGAGACGTTTGACGTGCACAGAATCACCTGTTTATGGTGATTTACCCTTTACTGTTGGAAATGTGTCAAGATAAATGGTTGGATATATTTAATCTCATTTCCGTTGTGAAATAGCCCCATTAGAACGGGAAATAATAGAAGGTTTTTTCTTTACGGAGTTCTATCCATGGAACTGGAATGTCTGACAGAAAATGTTGTAATGATGTACTGAGTCATTGAAAGATTCAACATATATGTGGCAATGTATATTTCATAAGTTAATCGCCTGATTATTTCAAAGGAAGAAGCCATATCATTATCTCTGGTAGTAAAACCATTATTAGATGGTCCAAATGGTCTTTCAAATGCTGTTCAAACTTTTGGCACTTTGGATTTTCTTCTAATGTGCCAATTGTGCATCTTGTAACCATCCTATGATCACTGCATGGCTCGAGCAGCTATACTGCAAGACTCTCTCCCTTTAGATCTTCAATCTGTAAACGGTATACATCCATATTATACAGTATTAGTGAAAAATATAACTGACGCTTTAAAATGAGGTCCACTCTGAATGGCATAGATTGAGTGGAAATTATTTATACCTTCCCATGTTTTGCATTAGCTCCACATTTTGCGACTAGCAACTCAATCCATTCTTCCACCCGAGTTTTAAACTTTTTCCTCTATGTCAAGAATGCCAGCTTCCTGGACTGGTAACTTTTGGATGCTATAGAGAAGGACTGGTTTACATTCTTAATTTTTCTTAATTTTATGGTTATTCAGAAGGACTGGTAACTTTTGGATGCTATAGAGAAGGTTCCATCAGAAACCAAGACGGTGGTATCAATATTCCTGGACCAAAACTGTATGCAAGGAGAAATGTTTCCAGGAATCGTACTGGAAGGCGATCCAGAACTCTTCAACTTGATGCGGTATCAACAAGAGATGTAGATGACCCATCTTTCCTGTTAAACATGTATAATCGTTTTCTTAGGGATGAAAGGTATAGTTATTCCTGAATGATCCAGTTTTTGCAATGTTTTAATTTTGTAGCCCACCATCAAGGCTAATATGATGAAACCTCATTAATGATGAGTCTAGTGAAGAAGCTTCTGTGGCTATATATATATATATTCATCATTTCTGTGTATGTGCCTGATTTTTGACAGGTTAAATGACTGTTTAGATCTGCTTGAAAGCATGGAGGAAAAAGGTCTCTTAGATATGAACAAAGTAACTCTTTCCCTGTGCACTGATATATTTAAGCGACATTTGACAAAAGGATTCTGCTCCTGTGTTTAAGGCCCTTGATAGATGTAGAAATTTGATGTTTCAGGTTTACCATGCAAGGTTTCTGAAGACATGCAAAAGTCATAAAGCCGTAACTGAGGCACTGCGTTTTACTAAGCTTATTCAACAACCGTCCCTCAGCACTTTTAATATGCTTTTGTCTGTATGTGCAAGTTCACAAGATTCTGATGGTTAGTTATTATATTAACCATAAATTCTTTTATATTTATCCAAATAGAGTCCAGATTATCTTTCTATGATTTTTTTTTCCCCATCTGATTCCGTATCTGAATTGTATACTTAGGAGCTTATCAAGTTCTGCTACTTGTCAAGAAAGCTGGGCTAAGACCTGATTGCCAATTGTACACCACTCTGATATCAACCTGTGCCAAAAGTGGAAACGTTGACGCCATGTTTGAAGTATTGTAACTTACCCTTTAAGCCTATAAAATATTAAACCTTAACCTTTGCTGGAGTCATTTTTCTTTTTTAAGGGCTTGCCCATTGTGGAAAATTGACGTGAAGCTTGTGATTTTTTTGGTACAATATTAGTGTTAATACACAGATACTTCAAAAGTGAAGGTGTGGCTTTTAGAAATTTTTAGTGATTTGGCCTGATCAACATTTGATTTATGAAACATTTAAGTAGTTGGGAAAATTACTGTTTAAATACTGCTTCATCATAAGCCAATTTTGAGGCCTATTACTTCTTTTTTATCTTAGTTCTAAAGTCTGCATAAATTTTTGCGTTTGCTTTCCATTGGCATGAACTCATACTGATAATAAAAATATAAGTTACAATTTAAATTATTGTTTAGTAGTTAGCCAATAAATTTTGCATTTCACACTTTTCTATGGTGAAAATGTTCTGTTGACCCCACGAAACGGAGTAAAATGTAGAGAGACAGGCCACGGAAGGAGTAAATAGATTAGCTTCCGAAGCAGAGCTACGCTAGCTTTTTTTTTAATGTATCGTGCCACATGCATTGAATACAAAAATGATAGGTATATACAAACACAGGATCAGCTTATTTTCAACGAATGAGACACTATGTATCTTCTACATGGCATATAGCAGCGTGGTGTAGACCATGACAAGATTCCGATAGCCTCAAAATTAAGGAATAAAATCCCTCCTCATCACAAAGTTCCAAAGATTGGTGTCTTATATGGGGCATGTAGACACGAATGTGTTCTCTAATCAATAAATTTCTGTGATAAAGGTACTTATTAATGGATTTTCAATATAACGTATTCAATCAAAACAAGGTTATAGCCATGGTATGGGCCAAGAAATTCTAAATTCAGATTGTGCAGTTGGCATCATCTAGTGTAAGGGCTGCAGATGACGGAAGGCCCAATCAATGAGCAGAGGAAGAAATGATGGCACGATATCATCAGCACTGAGTAGAGAAGGAGAAATACTTGGATTGAAATAGGTGCTTGGGGTAGAGGAAAAAAAGTCAAGGTTCACATATTTATGTATTCTGCCACGTGATGCGGACTCAGAGAATAATAGATGGACATGATGTAGTCGTCCTCCCAAGATGCAGAAGAACCATGGGCATGTCTCAACTAGCGTTACTAATCCAGCATCAATCGAATTACTAAATGTCGTGCTGCCTTCAAGAACAGAAAATCTCTGATGAAAGGCGGTCATGGGTTACTATGAGTCCTCAAATTTATCAATCCAAGACAGGGCAACGAGTGGTTGCTCCTCAGTCTGGTGAAGAGTCTCAGTTGAAGACCAATTGCTTATAGATGGCCGCGGCTAGTTGATAGTCTGCATCACAGAAGGATGGGGACAGAATTCTAGGCTTAAGAGCAGACGAGAATATCATAGTTTTGATCTTTGGTTTGATAGGATAAGCTCAAGACCCCACGGTAGTTCCAGGGGTGCTGGCATCACGCCTTCTTATCTGAATACTTTCTAATCATTTAGTTTAAGTAATATTTTCCACCTTGTGTGTCATGAAGAAAAGATATTATAGTTAATCTTATTAAAACCTTTAATTTGAGATTGCTTTTAGTTTTTGCATCTCTCTGAATATTCCCTGTGAAAACAGTCTATCAGAACTCATAATGTTGAACTCTGCCCTTCCGAAAGGAAGCAGTGATGAGTCTTAGGGAGTTTCAGATAAAATGAAAGCAATGCGAAGATAGCTGAGTCTCCATCTTCCATTTTTCCCTCAGTTATTTTTCATTTTTTGTTATAGAAAAATCACTGATCCTTTACTTTGGTCAGCTGATCCCTTCCTGATCCGGACAAAAAATTAAATCGTAATTATCCTTTTTCTTTGAATCTAGATTTTTGAAAACCTAGGAAATTTTCCAAAAAATATTGAAAACTTCGTCTACTTTGTAGTGAATATTGTACTGCCGACTTGCAGCCTATTTCTTTGTAGTTTATTAGAATGATTAGCTTTTTCCAATTTCTCCTAGGTTTTTCATGAAATGGTCAATGCTGGCGTGGAGCCAAATATTCATACGTATGGTGCACTTATAGATGGTTGTGCGAGAGCTGGGCAAGTGGCTAAAGCATTTGGTGCCTACGGAATAATGAGTTCCAAGGTGAAAATCTCTCCATGATTCATGGTACAAGTATGCCGATATCTTAGGTTAGCGATGTCGTCCATTTCCGATCACTTCTCTGTGCGACATGATCGTTTCTTTTAATATTTACACGAAAGGCCAACGATAATTTGTGGGACTTAATGGATTTTAAAATGCAGTAGAAAGTGAAGCCTGATCGTGTTATATTCAATGCGCTCATCAATGCTTGCGGTCAATCAGGAGCAGTGGATCGAGCTTTTGATGTTTTGTCAGAAATGAGGGCAGAGCCAGTCCCTATGGACCCTGATCACGTCACCATTGGGGCACTGATGAGGACGTGTGCCCAAGCTGGTCAAGTAAGTCTATCAAGCAGCAAGGTTATGGAACACATACTTGTTTACTTTTGTTTCATCTTAAACATTATCCTGTCAATTTGGATTGCTTGGATCCAACGGAGGATCCATAATTTATTAACATCTTGATACAAGGTATCCGATGCCAACCCTTTATAGGATTATCCCAAATACCTAAGATTACATAGGACATTAGACGTTTTGACAAAATTCCCATGCGAATTTTTTTAGGTAGGTAGATTTCCATCATTGCTTAGGTATTTTTAGATCAGGCTAGGTGAGAACAACATTGGGTGGTTCCCAAAAAGTCTAGATAGAAACTGTCGCACTTGAATACAGGATCTTAATATATCCCATTTTTATTTTTATCCTTTTACTGCTATTTCACAGGTTTCCCGTGCTCGTGAAGTATACAAAATGCTTCATCTATATAATATAAAGGGTGATGCAGAAGTTTACACGATTGCTGTCAGCACTTGTAGCCAGACTGGTGACCTGGATTCTGCACTTTCCATTTATGATGACATGACAAGAAATGGTGTTCTTCCCGACGAGGTAACTCCATTGGCCATAGATAGTCTCCTGCTACTTTTTCATAGAGGTGCTTAGTTTGTGAAATAGTTGCATTAATTAATGTACTGACGCTAAGTTACACATTGACGCCTGAATTTTCTGTAAGGATTGGGTCTAAATTTAATGTAATGTACCTTCTAATGATGTGTCTGAATATTGTCTCAATTGAATACTGATAGTCCACTCCCTTGAACTTGAAAATCAGTCCAAATATTCTGGTATCGATCTAATGCACAGTGCACTTTTGGATATTATTTTTTGTTAGTAATAATTATGTGATAATTCTTGTGAGGCTTGGATCAATAATGGCCGAGGAAACTTTTCTCCTCTCCTTCGTCATTGCCTCCTTTTTATTATCGTGCTTTCTTCTCGATTTTATTTTATTCCTCTTCCTATGCCTCAGTGTTTTTGAAGCATTGATGGAGGTGATGGGTGATATCCTATCTACCTCGCTTGAGAGACACTTGGGTCCTTGAGTGTGTAATATGCATTTTTTTGTCTGAAGGCGGTTGGTAGAATATTTCGAAAGTAAGAAGAGTATCATGCGTTTAAAAAAAAAAGGAAAAACAGCTGCAAGGCTCCTTCAGGGAAATGACGACATCTTTCAGAATAACCGAGTATTCCTCTATCTCGAAATGCATTTCCCTTAGTGGATATTTCATAACCCCCCTCATGGAAATGGATAAATTTCACAAAAACTAAATATTCCTCTCAGTCATAAATGGATTACCTCTAGCTATTTGCTTCATAGCACTCCAAAATGAATAACCTCGTTTTTCAAAAGAATAATGAAGAAAAGATAACTATTACCCGAGGTCCCCACCTGAAATGACAAAACTACTTATACAACCACTATTCTATTGGTATATAAAAACAGAAATTTCCCTGATGAATCTTTTGTGATTATAAACGGCTTTCTAACATGTATATATTTACTCGAGGTCATCAAGAGCCTCGTTTCTGAACGTCACTTTTTGTGGATTCGTTTTCGTTTTATGTTTGCTGATTAGTCTGTCTTCATGATCATTTTCTGGCTTTTCGGGCTTCTTGAAAGGTCATTGTCGAACCTTCTCTTGCCCTGGTCTCCTTGATGATAAATTCATATTTCCACATATTTCTGTCATTGTGACCCCGACCATGCCAATCAGGTTCTCTATCTCTATTTTATTCTCATCCTTCCTACCTTCAACTGCTGCCACCGCACCATTCACCATTTTCAGAGGGGATTCCATGGAAGCTCCTAGCACCAGTCCATATTCCTCATACTTCACAAATCCAAGAGGTCAATAGACAAGACATTTACCATTGTGCCATTCGAAAGCAGGAATTTTCTTGTCTAACTATGGCCGGCGCCTTTACGTTTTATGTAACATTTCAGTTCTCTAATAAACCGCAATAGAAATTTAGTGAGCCTAGGCTTCTGGCTTTCCGGCTACTTTCCGCCTTTGTGGATCTAACTTTATTATGCAGATGGATCTCATTCTCTATTGAGTAGGCCTTCTGGCATCACCGGAGGGATCAGAACCTCATCGTAGTCCTTGAGAATTGTTTCACATGAGCTAACAGAGAGCTAAAGTGAAGACCCCCCCTCTCTCTTCTTTGCTGTGGGCAGCCTTTCCCTCCGGTGATGCCATTCTGTCGTTCCCGTTAGTACGGTGGAAACTTGAGAGCGTCCTTCAGGCCTAGCATGCTCGTCAAATGTGTGCTTGAGGCAAATTTCGATGGAGTATGACACAAAACCAATATCACACCAGGGTCAGTTTTAACCTTGGTCACGTAACATTTACCTCTCCATCTTGCTGTATATTGACTGGAACATGTGCCTCGTGGTATTGTGTTCAAGTTCCTGTATTTTTGAGGATTAGGATGGAGTTCTGGTCTATCCCTCCAGTATTTCCACTCCCATAATTCAAACCTAGCATCCTTTTTTGCAACATTCATAATATTTATTTTTGCAGAAAAATAATGTCCACAACAGCCACTTCTACCAATTTTAGGAACCACCTTTTTTGAGCGAAGGACAACAGGTGCACATTGCCAGAAGGATGCTTTGAGACTTGGAAGCCTCATTGGTGGTTCAAAATTTTCACCATTCTACCCGATGATGAGGAGTCTTTTAAAACTCTTTCGCACCCATTTTTGACAGCTGGTGTAGAGGAGAAAGGAGGAAAGGGGGATGGTTGATCTGAAACGTTTTCGCGGAAAAATTATGTGCCCAGATAACAAATATGCATTGGAGTGGTGATATGGAATTTTTTTGTCTCTGAATTATGGCCTGTAGACAACTACAAATCAAACCTTCTTGCCAAAAAAAATTTGTATCGTTTTTCTTCTAATCCGAAGACAACCGACCTAGTGTTTGCATGGATATTCAAATTAGCTGAAAATACAATGTTATGCATTATACCTTCTCAAAAACCTAAGTTACCACGACTAGGAGTCTCTAGTATCAACGTGTGTTCACCATTTTTGGTTGAGCATTTTGCACCCACCGTACTAGGAAAAAGAGACTCGTTTAAACACTCGAGTGCATCAGGGATGATTAAAGAAGAATTGTTTGATCTGTCTAGAGTGATTTGAAATTAGGACTAATCCAGTTTTTTGTTCTCCTAATTTATGGCCTTACAGATATTTTCAATGGTATATATCTAGTTGAGCAGGATCTTGATTCCATGGTTGCGCGAAGCATTTATTTTAGGTTTGTCTTTGTATGGAATAGAATGAAGGGGAGGACGAAGAAAAGATGCTGGATATGCCAGTTAACAGAAAGCATGAATGCATTACGGATTCCAGCCAGGAGATTAAATCCTTAAGCCTCTAAAACGAACAGCTATGTATTACCAAATAAACAGTAGACTAAAATCTGAGTGGATTTTTTTTTAATATTGATATGAAGTATACTTATCATATCTTCACTGCTAAGAGAAAGTTCCTTCATATAGTATTTGGAGTTGCATGTATTTTGATCAGCAGTCGAATAAACATATTAAGAGATGCAAAACTCGTCATATTGAATTGTCTAAAGACCCTAAAACAGTTCATATGCTCGATCGGCTAAAATTATTTTGAACATATTCTGAAGAATATAGTGTACTTATTCATGTCTCCACGGATGATTAAGGGTGCATGATCAATATCATATTTTGATTTAGCAATCAAAATGTCTCACAATGCTCTTTGGTTGGTAATGTACGCCCTTCTCTTTTGTACTCATCATATATTCAAGTAATTTGGTTTATCCATTTTTCATTCACCTCTTGATGTTAGTTATTTAGAGAAAATGGTTCTATTTAAATTATTGACACACTTTGTTTACACAGATGTTTCTGAGTACATTGATAGATGTAGCTGGACACGCTGGTAAGGTTGATGTTGCTTTTGAGATCCTGAAGAATGTGAGAAGCAGAGGAATTCAACCCGGTGATATGTCTTATAGCTCATTGATGGGTGCTTGCTGCAATGTACGCAATTTTTGGTTCATGCTGCGGTTTCATGCAATACTGTCCACTAGATTCCATTGTATATACCTCAAATGCGATCTTATCCTATGCTTCCACTGACACTATGTTGCCAGCTTTGCCAAACTCGATATTATTATTTTTACCCTTGAATTTGCCACATTTTCTTTTGAAATGGTGTTCATAGCAATCTGGAAGACCCATACAATTTTTTCCTCCACTTTTGCAGGCGAAAAATTGGCAGAAAGCTCTGGAACTTCATGAGTTCATTATGGCTAATAAAATAGTTCCAACAGTTTCTACAATGAATGCTTTAGTTACTTCCTTATGTAAGTCTTTCCAATTTTCAACGTGTGATGCTTTATTTTTCTTCTTAGAATGTCATAGACTTTAACATTTGATATTCAGTTATTGCTTAATTCATTATTTGATTTGCCTTGTTGAGATTTTTTCCTTTATAATTTCTTTTTCCTCTAACCGCACTCAGATTTATGACCTGAGCCTTTGCAGTGGGTTTATCATGATTTAGGAAGATCTTTTCCCTTTTTTTCATAGTCATCATTGGTAAATCTTTAGGCCTTCAATTTTCATATGTGCCCTTCTAATTATTGTTGGGGCATAGTTTCTTAAACCTCTTGAAGATGTACCCTCCATTTTGATCTAAAATACCGATTCACCTAATTAAGATGTTCAGGGAATATTTTCTGGTAGGAACCTTGATCTAGAAGATGGTAGAATTTCCTCTGAGAAGAATAGGAACAGGGGTTGGGGGTTGAGTCGTGGAGACCGAATCGGTTCTGCCACAACAGACGGAGGATCTCCAGAGACTTTGGGAACAAATGTTTCTTTTTCTGCCCTATACAATGGAGTTCCCCTTATTTATAAACCTCAATCTTCCCCTTCACACGTGGGTGCTTACGAACATCCACGTGCATCAGTTGGACCGGAAGAAGCTGGAAACATCTTTAGTCGAGTATGTCTTAATGGGAGACTTATCATTTTCCCATAAGTTACAAAAGTTGTGAGGTTTATTAGGGTCCGTAAATTCCCTGTGCATTGCTGTCATGATAATCATTTTCGGGTTGGGAAACTCCCCTCTTTTTCTTTCAAGAAATTCATTTCCATCATTCAGATGATGAATAGACGAACTAAAGCTTCATAAATGCAACCTAGCTGGGAGTTATGCAGCAGAATTACCACAGCAGGTCCAGTGTATAGTCAAAAAAGTGTAAAATATTACATGCTATATTAACAACGAAATTTCAATCTAAAAGGAAAATAATTTCGGGGCAGTTAAAAGAGTACGTTCTACCACATGTTATACAGAAGAGCAGACGCTCTTGAGTGTTTTGAGACAAAAGGTAACTCTTGAAGCGAACAGCATAGCAATTTGCAACTGACATTTGAATTCTCACTTATGAGAGATGAAACTCTTTTCTGAATGAATGCTACTTCTAGTTTGTCTGGATTCTCCAATGTGCCTCCGAATCATGCACAATCTCCGTGGAGAGTTTCTTGAAAATTCGCCATCTGTGTTTTGTGAGGAAAATTCCCACAGTTTTTTCTATTATTCAGATGTGTTCTGGATTTTTGAACTGTGTTTCTACTGCTATTCTCTCCGGAGTTACCAGCAGAAGCATCACTCGACCATTTTCCTAGGAGTGGCAAGCATTTCTGTATGTTAAAAAATCTGCCTTCTTGTCATAAAGGAAGAAAAGATACCCTTATGGGATCTGCATTCTTTATTTTCCACTTTATAGAAGAAAAATCTCGGGTCGTCTCCTTTCATCTATTTCCTCAAGTTATCTGGAACCCTTTTTCTCATCCTACAACACTTTGCGAGTGAAAGTTGTTTTTTCCATTATTTTCCAATTCTGTATACCTTTGTTGTGCTTTTCTGTCTCCTATAAATGATAAAATTGAAAGATGGCGAGTTCCAAGTGAAAAAATTATATATCTAGGTTCATCTCTCTCTGAGATTTTTTCCACTTTAAATGCCTTAGAAGCCGTTGACTTCAGGCCCGAGCAGGCGTATTGGATGGTTCCACCATTATAATTCATGAACGGAAAAGGAATTACATTATAATAAATAGTTGAAACCTTGTTTAAGTCATCAATGATGAAATTAATCAATTTAAATCACGTGCATCTCTATGAGTGTAAGCTAGATTTATAAGAGCTCGTTTTTATCTAGGTTCATTGAATGTCTCCCTGGTGGTTGGTAATGGGCTGCGTTAAATGAATGTGCAGGGCATTGCGTGCATTCAATGCCAAGTATCTTCTCTGAAGTGCTCGAAAACCACTTTTTTTCTAGGGTGACAAAAAAATCATGAATGAATTGTAGAGTACGAAGAGCGACTAAAACTAATTACACCAGGTGAATGAAAGCCGAAAAGAGAATTACATAAATAAGATAACATCGTCTCAGAGTACTAACGTTAGGGTAAACAAAGGGTCGGCATAGATCTAATTGAATTGATGGTAAATGCACAAGAGAAGAAGAAAAATAATATAACGCTATCTCAAACATCATCTGAAGAAAAACAAGGTGGAATTATCTTTGAATCTTATCCAAACATTACATACATCCTGGAGAAAATATAGGCAAGAATTAACAGTTTCTGATCATTTTCTATTAAGAAATGTCTAGTGATTCCCGAAATAAGTTTCTAGGGTTTAATTGTCCAAAAATCCGTTTCCCCTGGTATACATGTTATCTGGATTACATATATGATGATGTTTCACCATATTTCAACTCCGTGAGAGTCGTGGCATTTTATTGAGATATGTGGCATTGTACACAATGTTGGTGTGATTGTTTTCATTTTTTAATCCATGCTACTGTTCTGAGTTTTCCCCTTGGATGTGTGGAATATATGATGTCTGGGGATACAAATTGCCGATCATTCGTCATAGTTGGCTGAAGGATGATTCGATATTTCACCGTTTGTATGTCATAATTTTGATGTAGGTGACGGGGGCCAGTTGCATAAAGCCGTTGAAGTTTTCAATGAAATGAAGGAAGCTGGTGTTTGCCCAAATGGCGTAGCCTATTCAATCCTCATTGTAGCATGTGAAAAGTAACATCAGTGATGCACCTCCTTTCTTATATGTATATATTAACTTTAACAGTCACATTCACAATTGTTGCATTCTCTATTGAAGGAAAGATGCGGTAGAATTGGGCTTCCAGCTCTTTTCACAGGCTAAAACAGACGGTGTTCGTCCTAATCTTATCATGTGCCGGTGCTTGACTGGTATTTTTTTTTTAATTTTTCAGCTTTATTATCACTAGTGTTATTTTTTTTCTGAAAATCATTTATTCTTCACAAAAGGAGGCCCGATCTGTCCTTACCTTTTCTAATCATTTGATTCTGCTATTGATAATCGAACAAATGAGTAAGCCAATATTACAAGCCAAGTGGGCAGTCTAATTGTCTCACGCTGATTCTGCACCTGAAGTTCGCCGTAAGAATTGGTTATCTCCCAATTTCATCATGTGGCAATGGCTGACTCATGGATCCATAGATCTATTTTCTAATTTTCTTGGTACTATAATGAGGCAGTTTGTGCTTGTCTTTTGTCTTTAACAAACAGAAAACCCGTTCTTTCATCAAATTTTATGATAACATTCATTTGATTTAGTAACGTTTTAAATTACTTCATATGAGAAAAGTGGGTGGCCCAGTGGGCTTGAGACATTAGCTCCGGAAATTATCTTGAGTTTGTCTCCCCACAGTGTCATTTGATTTGCGAATGGTGTGAAGGGTTCGGAAGGCAAGCGCACCTGGCCCTCAATGGGTTTCATATTTCGTCAGATTTTCCGTGTCCTCAACCTGCCATCTTTTGGCACACGGCTGTATTTTCAGAATCTTATCTTGGATGCCAAACTAGTCAACGTGGCTGCCGTAATAAAAGGCCTTTTTACAGGTTAGGTGCATAGCAACAATAGAAGCAAACTGTGATATCCGGAGACAGCATACAAGATATCGTAATGCATGCTTCAATAAAAATTCAACTTGTTTGCAAAACATATGCTTAAGTTGTCCATTTAAAGGTTGAATCTGAGATTAGTTTTAGTTCTGTTCAAAAAGCATCTGAAAAGCGCCATATTGCTCCGTTTTTTCTGCGGAACTCTACAGTCTCTAACTACAATTCAGACATGCATATATACATTCGTACATACGGAACTTCATTTATGTTCTAAGTTGGCCTTTAATGAGCTTAGGTTTATATTGATGCCAATAGTTTTGGCCGACCGAAATACCGTTTCATTTCCAACTGCCTTTTTGTTAATATCCATCGTTTTTGATAGATATAGGAGTATTACTTTATAATGTGGACTTGTTTGAGAGCAATGGATGACGAACTCGAGAAGGAAAATAAAGACCATGCAGAATAAAGATTCCCTTTAATTGAAAACGGTCTAAATCATATATTGAGGACAGCAGATTATTTATCTAACACACTTCAAATCAGAATTGTACTTAAAACAGCTGTTTCCCAAACGCGCTATTTGAAGGTTTTCAGACCTCTGTTGCTGCTGATCTTTTGACGAAAATTAATATAGTTCTGATTTGTAGATTCAAGATCCTTCTTGGTCGTGAGCTCTCGTGTGTCTCACCCCTTGAACATTCCACCGTTAGAGATAAAAACGCTTGCTACGAAAACATGCATTTCCCTTCTCTGGATGTCATCCACGGGTTTAAATAAATCTCTTGAAATGATCTCCTATTATTTTGTGAGTTCTGATGAAAAGTTACTTTTCTCTCCGTCTCTTTATACAATATGATTTACTGCTTCTATGTGGTTTCCTTGCAAGGTTTGTGTTTGCGGCGTTTTGAAAGGGCTTACACTCTTGGCGAGCCTATTCTATCCTTAACCTCTGGGAAGCCGCAAATTGATAGTACATGGTATGGGCCTCTTCATTTAAAACCCGCTGGTCGTTTGAAACATAGTGCTAAAGGAGCTTGGTTGTCTTCTATGGGTAGATAGTTCTATTGATGCTTAGAGCTTCTTCGTTTGAATTCAGTTTCGGTTTGAACAAGAAACATATTTTATTACGGTAATCTGAATTGTCCAAATACTTATATTTATAATGAAACTGTGAAGTTTTAACTTTGTTAAATATTGATCAGTTGTGTGTTATGTATTTGCTCTTCCTCTCCCTTAGTGTAGAATGTGCAAGTCTTTCTATCGGTATTTAGGGGATGAGATGTCATTATGTCCGATGAAGTACAAACTCACCCTTTTGTTTTTTTCTGTTTTGTTCTCTGGGACGTTAATGACCAAGCTACCAAGTCATCAGGCAGGGAGCATAAGGATCTATTTTAAGATGGGGATGTAAAACATATAAATACTGGTTTTTCTTGTGACCAGTTTCACGTTAAAACTTTTGTATGTAGTTTTATTTCAATGGACTCATATGCTGCCATATTTGTATGAAGATATTTTATCTTCTTAACTTTTTATATGTACTCTTTCCAGTTTCTTCCGGATTCCTTGACGTTACTATCATTTACATGCACAACCAAAAGCGTAGTTGCCCGCAAACTGTACTCATGTGACTTCTGTCCAATTCCATCTTCTCCAGGGTTTGTCCACTAATAACCTGTGACCATGATGTTCTGATCTATCATTGGCTCCAACCGACTTAGGATTGACGGAATAAGTCGCATAAAAACAATCATAAATAATGTAATGCTTTTTTAATTACTAGTTTTTTCTAGTTTGGCAGACTTTACTAGTCGTCATTCCAATTTCTTCACAAAAAGTGGTCTAAATTTTTCAGGACAACTTGGGCAATAATGACCTACCGTGAAACAATTGCTGCTGGTGTGATACCACCAATTGAAGTTTTTTCTCAAGTCTTGGGATGCTTGCAGTTCCCGCGTGAAGCTTGTTGGAGAAACAGATTTGTTGAGACCCTGGGTCTCACCATCGATAGCCCAAAGGCTTCCAAACTTGTTTCCCTGCTTGACGGATTTGGAGAATATGATTCACGTTCCTTTTCCATACTGGAGGTTGGAAAGAAATCCCTGGCATTATCTCTGATTGTTTATTTTTTACAAGATGCTACACCATTATTACTCTCGTGGTCCAGGAAGCTTCTTCCCTTGGAGTAGTTCCATGTGTATCGTTTAAGGAAAGTCCTCTTCTCATTGATGCAAGGAAGTTGCAGATCCACATTGTCGAGGTAATATAACGTTAAGCTATCCTATTTGGAATTGGTGCAGGGTGTTCATTTATTGCATTGATTTATGACTTTGGTGAATTTACTTGAGAGCTTCTTGTCACTTACGATGTACAACTTATACCAGTTTCTACTAAATTGGTACTTTGCTCCAATCTTTAAGGAAACTTTCCCATTGTTTAGGCAATCGGTAGATTTTCTGGAGATGTCACTGTGCTCATTTTTGTCACGTTGACCCCACTGACATCAGAATAGTATTTCGTACTGCCTACTTAATTGCATAGTCTCTTGTTTTTACCTTGTCAGCAACTGAGTTTACCTTGTGCAATTGTCTGTGATGTGGTACTCGGACGCCACTTGTTTTTTGGGTTTCGTTTTGCATCCTTGTCACTCCTTGCCTATCCATGAATTAAAATTTCATTCACTGCATGTGTCACATGGATAGGCATCTCGCTCATCAAACATTATCACTTTCCGAATTCAATGAACCTTTTTTTAACCCTATCGAATGCGTCCGAATTATAAAAGAAAAAATCAGCCCATTCAAATATTCTTGATAGGGGTTGCTTTTGTATAATATGGGTACCATATTCTGATAGGGAATCCAATAAAAATAAGTTGTGTTTAAGAAAATATTTGGCAGGAACCATACTGTTCCTAGACAGGGCTTCAACAGATCCCAGGTGCGTAATTTTCTTGTACTGTGGAAACCCGAAATCGTGGTGCGCTTATGAAGTGGATAATTTCTGAAATCAAGGCATGCCCCAGAATGTACCTGCAAGATAACAAATTTTCCTCGCAGGAAATCAAGAGGATTTTCTTTTCCAATCCTTGGGTTATTGTTCTCTCATTTATATTTTCTTCTGCAAATCTTCATGTTTTAGGGTGAATTTTTAAATTAAAAAGTCAGACATGCTCTTTTAAAAAGCCTTTTTTATTTTTTGTGGGCATTCCATTTCGTTTTAATTTCCCGACTTCAGGTAACTGACTCAATCATTCGAATGTATCAGGTATATATTTTAACTGTTTTGAAAGGTCTGAGGCATCGTCTTGCAGCTGGTAACTCTATCCCTACCGACGCTAAATCTTCATTGTGTAGTTATTTTTTCCGCCTTAATTACAGTTTGAATATCTGATGTTAAAAAAGCAAAACAGAAAACGTGGGATACAGCAACCAAAAGTTCATCGGAATCACTTCCAGTTAGTAAGATGATCATAAATTTAACGATATTAAAAAATTACGTGTTAAGATGAGATGGCATGTTCTAGGAAGGTAACCTTCCTCTAATTTCGGGCTCACGATTTTCTCTTTGGGAACCTGATCTTAATTTTTCACGAGAACTATTATTAGGCTTTGATTTATTCGTTATTATCATTTATCTTTTTTACAGGCGCAAGGCTACCCAACATAACAATTCTACTTCCCACGGAGAAAACAAGAATGTTATCCATAAATGGAGAGAAAACGATCACCCTAGCGGGAAGGTAACAATTTTTTACAATTTTTTTTTTCTCAGTAGCATAGTTTTTTGGAAGAAATATCTAAAGCAGCCTTTTACCGACATAACGATTACTTTTACAGCAGAGGAAGAGACTATTTATTCTCATATTAATCATTTATCCTTGAGATGTGCGTATAACAATCTACAACTCCAGGAATTTCTTCGTACACCCTTCCAAAATTATTCCACATGCTATGAAAGCCAGTATTAGACTCATTGCACAGACGTAGCAAGTGATTTAATGAAGTCATGATCCTGTATGGTAATCCCGAAAGATGGTGGGCCTGCAAGTTTCGGCCTTTCTTTTTTCATTTAGTTCGGTAGGAGGCGTGACTATTTGTCCTTTGGCCCGACCTCGTTAAACACAGTTCTATGAGCTACTTGAACTCTGTTAATGCATCCATACTTGGTGAAAACAAAGGCATCGGCAGATGCCAATTGGAGAAAGAAGATGCGTTATTATGGACCATAGTGCCCCTTTTCCCCTCACCCCGGCAGACCAATTTTAAATGTTACCCTCCGTCATTCATTCACGTTGCAGCAGTTCCCCGCTGTATTGGTGGGTCATCTTTCTCTTAGAAAAGAAGCTTATCTTCTCAAAATGCCGGCGCCATGCCGCTTGTTGCAGGATTGGGAAAGCCGTAGGATCCTTGATGAGGAGACTCGGGCTGCAGTACCAAGGAGATGAATCTTACGGTAAAATAAGAATCAGTGGCTTCGCTCTGAGGCGCTGGCTCAAGCCGAAGACGACCAGCTCATCTCTGAGCTGGAAACAGCCGCTGCTGACTTCTTCACAGGCCCGCCTCGCCAAGGGCATCGTGGAGCAGCAGCGCAGCATCCGCAATAGTAACAATCTCTCTCTTGGGTATTAACCGGGGAGCCATCTCTCTCTCTCTCTCTCTCCGAGGAAACTGAACGATCCAAGGGGGCCATGGAACCATCCCACGCGTGTTTTCTTCTGTGGCACTGATGACTGTCGTCTCGTAAAGCCTTGTTTTCTAAGGAGAATCCATTCTCTGCTCCCAGAATGAATTTTTCACCCTCTGTTCTGACATGGGCAACGTACTAATAGCCCAGTTATGAATTTGTTGCTGGCGAGAATCCCCTCGCGCTCGATGACAAAAATTCCTCCCCATATGTAAACGGAAACAGCCTCCTTTTCCCTTGGCCGACAGTCCCCTCCGTAACGGCTCACGATTTGGCGACCACCCACCGGGCGCAGTCGGAAGTGCCCACGTGGACGTTGATTGATGGGCAACAGCCAACGTGGGTCGGCTGCGCCTTTGCCAGTCGCTCGTTGTCAATAGTCCACGTCGGTCTACTTGCCAGCTGGCCCCCCACGGAACCGACGACACGTGCATTAAAAACCCGTCGACCAACCACCCGTTCGTGGGAGCGTTCCCGGTCGGTTGCATGTGTGCGCGGGCATGTGGGGTAGACGATCACGTCATTCCACACGCTCGACTGCCGCATGGAATTCCCCGGTGGCGAGGTCGATGTCTACCATTTTAGCGAACAGTTTGCGGGTCTTCATTGGACAGCGCTCCCCGCGACCCGGACCGGAGTCAAAGGAACGCTAGGCTCGTTCGGAGACGAATAGCTTTTCTATAGACGCCCTGGTCTAGGGGTTCTGCTCTGCCGGAATAAGGCGACACTTGCTCTGGGATTTCCCCATGGGGAAGCAACAGCACGCATCCTATTGTGTAGCATCCCGCTTGAGACAATTCGTAACTCGATTGGGGATCACTGAATAAGATATTCATGCCTGCATTTCTTCATTCAATGGTTTTCTCGGATGATGGGTCTCCCCCGGGGACAAATCTCTGCCCTTTCTATCTAGAATTTAATACTGTTCTCTCTTCCGCGCTGCGCAGAACAGCCGTCAACCGCCGTGTGACCCGTTTTGAATGCCCTCTTGAAGGACTGGAAACAAATAAATGCGCGTAAAGGTCGACGAGCAAAGTCGCCGCCAACTCACCTCCGACGACCTTTTTCTCTTCTCTCCTTCGACCCCCCTCCTCCCGCCCTCTTTTTTTTTTGTTTTTTTTCCCGTGGTAGTTGATGCATCGCCTACGGTTGTATCTACCGCTTTACGCTGCCTCGGAGGGAGTCGTCTGGTCGACCCGGTCCAAGGAGCAGTCCGTTCAATTCATAGTTTTCTACTTCGTACTGTGTACAAGAAAACAAGTAACAGCTCATGCATTACGCAACAGCATGCGGGGGGAAAGTTTTCGCATTCACTCTGCTCGCAGGGGGACTAAGAATCTAGTCCATCATTGGGGCTTTTCAGGGAATTGGGCCTTCGTTCGTCTTCGTCTTCTGGCTCCTCTTCCTTCTCTCTGGCCTGCTGTTCATGCAGTAACGATTCATCAGCACGAATTCACTGGTGGACGAGGCGTGGGTTACTTTGCCCAGGAAGGGTGCAACAACGAAGATTTCTGAACTCGATCGGTGAGCTTCCATTGGAGGAGTCAGGGGGGGAATCAGTTCTTTAAGACATTCCACGTTCTTGATGGGTTCATCTCTTTACATGATTGTCGGCTCATGACTTTCCGTGGCCTCTCAAGAGGACACAATTATTGTCGGCGAGATGATAATTTCCCCGCTCTAATGACTTCCCGTGACGTCTTAACGGGTAAACAATTATTGTCGGCGAACGGAGGTTGCTCACCCTCGTTGGTGTGCGTTGGTCTTCGTTACTCTCTCTCTCTCTCTCTCTCTCTCCACCCCCCCTTTGGTCAGACTTGAGTTCCGTCGACATGTTGGCGTTCTAACAGGATCAAGAAACGGGGCATACCCATCGAAGAACAGGTGGCCATGATTATAGGTGGCGCCGGCCCCCACCAGGGGGGAGACTGTGTTCCCGGCGAGAAGCTACAGAGGGCCCTGCGCCCGCACTGTTGCTGTTCCTTACGCGCCTCGCTATGCCACCAACCCTTCGTGCCAGACACCAGATGCATCAACTAATGCGAAGTACACCAAAGTACAGTCTCCCACTTCCCTTCTCCCCGGCTGGTAAGGCTGTACAGTAGCGAGGCCAGCTCACTGCACGCAGGAGAAGGGAAGGAGGAGGGCTGCCAGACTAGAGATGGGGAGAATTAAGGCGATATCGAAAGGTGCCGGTTTGTCATCTAATCGGCACTTGTGTGACCGGGAGATGCTGGTTGACGCTCCCATGGTTGCAATACGAGACAGTTACAAGCTCAGTTCAAAGGTTCAATAACCGAGTTAAGATAGACTGCGACATATTTCCCTCGCAAAACCTCCAATAATTGAAGCATTCCGTGGCGACTACACAAAGGAGAAGAAGAAGAGGATACTGTTCCGCGGGTAGTTTACACACGTGTGGGTTCGGATATCATCTCCAAGGAGACGAAGCAGCATATTCTCGTGCAAGAAATCCAAATTCTCCAGCTAGAAAACCCACGCCACAGCTGTCGTCTGCGAAAGGTCTCCCGCATTGCGTCATCGCCCGTTAGTTCGTATAAGTCTATGAGAGACAATCGATCAAGCTGAACGTCTCTTAAGTCCCCCTCCCCCGCATGTCCACTTCGTCAACGTCTCCTCTAGAGGGCCTTTCATTGCTGACCGGAGAGAGGGACAAGCGTGCTGCCGAAAGCATCGAAGATGTTACGCTCGGGCGTGGAGAGGAGGGGATGCCGGAGGGGGTTTCGTCCCCGCTCTAAGAAACCCCGGAAGCGGTCCGAGAGATCAAGCGAGTGGAGCAAATGAGGCCAGCATTTCGAGCACCAACGGCGGGCTAACGAGATCGCGACAAGTTGTGCCGAGTGGCGGCTCCACAGTGGTCCCCCTTCTCATGGCGTCGACCTCAACAGCGACTGGCTAGTCGACACAAATCGAGTCGGCTGTTGACCTAATGATGTTACAGCCCGTTAATATCTTCGTCGAAGCATCATAGGGAGGCTTCTTCCCGTCTTTCGTCACGGCTGAGGGAGCCGATTGCACCATGGGTTGGTGGGCTCGCTGCCTGTTTACATGTATATTCCTTCAACATAGGCCACAGGAGATTCACACAGTGGGAATCTAGAGCTCTTTCTGAATTGTTTAAAGTTGTTAAGATATCGAAATCGCGGCTTTGGTTGGGATTGGAAAGCCCAAAGGATCTTCTAGGATCACGGGTAGAAATTCAGCACAAAACGTCGGAATGGCGACCGGATCATAAAGTGCCCTCCTCGTCTAGTTTAATCGATACGATAAAGGAATGATCTCCGAGGAAGAAAGGCAGACAAACCCATCGGAGACCGAATAATGAATGGTCAAACAGATTTTAGATATGGGAGTGCCTGCCTGAGACATGTATCGTCTCCGCCTCCAAAGCCCTCTTCTATATATTTGCGGATACAGTTACCTCTATGTGGCCCTTCTCGACTGTTCAACTCATCAATAATAGGCCATCGTAAGGAAAGTGTTCCTCTCCTCTCCCTGTAGAGTGTGAACAAGCTCGGCTGTCGGAATGGGACAGGACGACATGTGGCCATTCCCAGGGAGATCCATCGGTGCTCCTCAAGAACACGCCCTCTTATAAGTCAAAGGTCGACTGAGAGAGATGCCGCCGTAAAATCATGGTGGGTTGCGGGAAATCGCCTCTTATCCTGCAGGAACCGCGTCCTGCAAAGGGGAGGAAACTCCGTGATCCCGTAGTCTTCTTTGATCACGCCAAGGACAGCGAACCTTACGACTCTGGGGAAATTATTTACTCTGGCGGCGCAATTGACTATTGCGTGGACTCCGTGGGTTGTTCGCCGTTCTTGGTGGCACGCGGCTGTTGATCTCTTGACTCCCAAGGACCCCGGTTCCAACCTTCCCTCCACCCCCGCCTTCCCGCGGCCCAAATTCTTCTCCTCCGGGTAGACGGATTTGAGATCTACGGCAGGGTGGGAGGCACCTGCGGAGGCCCAGTGGCCCGCGACTGCGGCGACAGGATCGCCCCTGTCGGTCTTATCTCGGCCGTCGCCCTGCCACTGCTCTCTGATCTGGTCAGAGCGAGAAAGATAGTAACAATCCATAGGCCCGGAGGGGGGAGGAGTGGGACGAGTCACACCACTAATTACCTCCCACCACTATTGTGGGGCTTCCCTGCCTCCCGACCTCGATGGGTCGCCTGGATCGAGGCCGACTCACTCACCCATCCGGTCGTTAGTCCCGGGGAGACTCGTTCGCGCCGCCCTCGCCACCAAGTTTCCAGTTTTGGGCGTCTTCCGAGGAGTTCCCCATAGTCTGTCTGCTGTCTGTCTGCGGTGATATCTTTCCTAAGCTGTCTTTCCGTCAGAATGTTTTTGTGGACGTTAGAGAGAGGCCGCCGTAATGAATGCGAAGCAATAATCAAAGGTGCCTGTGCTTATTGTCAAAAGGAAGGGAAAGAACAAAAGGGGGGGAGAAAAAGGGGAGGGGAACGGTGGTTTATCACGTGACGAGAAATTGGGAAGAAGGGAGGGGCCGGGGGAGAGGCGGGTTTCAGCTTCTCGTGGTTGTGGGTTGATTTAAGGGAACCCAGCCTTACGCCTCCTCCCTCCGTTGGTCGTTGGTTGCCTCAGGTTCACCTTCCAGGAGGAGCAAAGCTGTTTCCGAGTGCGCTCTGAACTCGCCGCGCCATCTCCCCCTTCCTTTTTTACCACAATTTCTGCGCCGTACCTTATTAAAGTCAGAGTCGCATTGCTCGAAGAATCCGGGGCCCGGATTCCTGCGGGAGAGCAGCCCTGTTTCAGTTCTTCTCCTTCTGCTGGCGCTTCCCTAGAGAGAGAGGATCGAGAACCACCTCAGAGTCTTCTTCCTCAGCCCGGTAAATGGAGACCCAACAGCCGATGCCACCTCCTCCTCCTCCGCCGCCCCCGCGACTCGTGAGGACGGCCCCGTCGCGGTTCAGAAGAGTTTGCGTGTTCTGCGGCAGCAGCTCAGGGAAGAAACCCAGCTACCAGCTTGCGGCCATCCAGCTGGGCGAAGAACTGGTACACCTCTGATGTTCCCTGCTTCAACTGTTATATCCTTCTTCTTCTTCTCGTGTTTCAGTTCATGGGTACAGACGTAAGGGGACCCCGCCCCGCTACAGCTTCCTCTCTTTTCCTCGAGTTCTCAGCCAGGCTTGTTTCATTCAAATCGACCCTGTTTTCATTTGTGGGCTGAGATCGAAGAGCTCAGGTGCGTCCTTGCAGAAAAGGAAAGCGGATCGCTGATTCTTGAAAGGGGGATCAACTTTCTTCGATTCAGGAATCAATTAGCTTAACCAGGCCTCAATGTGTATCCAAAACCTTTTAGGACAGCACGCAACTTTATCCTACTGATTACCCATATCTGGAAGCAGAAGTTGCGCTTTCTCCCTTCGTTGCCCGTTCCCTTGATTGGCACTCTCTTCCTGCGGCTTTTGCGCTGAGGCAAGTTCCGGATCGTCCCGCAGGTGGAGAGGAGCATAGACTTGGTCTACGGAGGAGGCAGCGTCGGGCTCATGGGTCTCGTCTCCCAAGCCGTCTACGATGGCGGCCGTCATGTCTTGGGGTCTCTCTCTCTCTCTCTCTCTCTCTCGTCGTCTCTTTCTCGCGCTCGTTCTCCACAGTTTGATGACCCTGAAGGCTGATTTTGCTTGCGTTTGTGTCGTTGCAGGGTCATTCCCAAGACTTTAATGTTCAGAGAGGTCTGTTTTCGCGACATTTCCACAAGTTCTTTTTTTAACAGGAGACAAGATGAAAAGGAAAAATCTAGCCCTGTCTTGGCCCACCCCCGCCGCCAAACATCCTCCTCCCTCCTCGCCCTCCCGTCCGCTCACAAGAATTTGAGCTTATCCCATCCTCCTCCTCCTCCTCCTCCTCCCCGGAATGGCGCCGTTCCGGTGCTTCCTCCTCTCTGTACTCCTGTGGACCGACTCGGTTCTCACAAACGGCCAGCTGACTTGTGAACCCATCCATATTCCCTGCCTCGTCTGAGCTCCACAGACTGCTTCACCCGCACTGTGCCTGCGTGCCCCCCTTTCTCCCCCACCGATTCCACTTCACTTCCCTTCTGTATATTTTTATCTCCTCCATCGGTTTAATGGTTTCCCTGAACAGATCACGGGGGAGACCATCGGAGAAGTGAGGGCGGTCTCCGGCATGCACCAGCGAAAGGCCGAGATGGCCCGCCAAGCCGACGCCTTCATCGCATTGCCTGGTGAGATTCATCCGGCCGAGCCCACCATTGAGACCTCCCCCCCTCTTAGGTTAAAGGAGGGATCTTTTATGCGGTAGATACCCCTCCTCCTCTCCTTGGCCTCTGCGAGTGAAGGCCACCTTCTGGTAGTAGGACCACTGATGCTGATTGGACAGTTGCGAACCCTTCGTACCACGTGATTTCTACCCTCCTGCTCCTCGGAAAATCATCGAGAGATTCTTCTTTCTGATCATCCTGGTTCTAACAGCGGCTTGGTGGGGGGTGGAGCAGGTGGCTACGGGACGCTGGAGGAGCTCCTGGAGGTGATCACCTGGGCTCAGCTGGGCATCCACGACAAGCCGGTGAGTGATCCATGCGGCGGCTATCTTCTTCCTCTAAAAGAGCTCGCTTGTGTTCATCATGCTTGGCGCTTGCAGGTGGGCCTGCTAAACGTGGACGGGTACTACAACTCGTTGCTGAGCTTCATTGACAAAGCGGTGGACGAGGGCTTCATCACAACCACCGCGCGCCACATCATCGTATCGGCGACCTCCGCCCACGAGCTCATGTCCAAGCTCGAGGTGACTGGTTATCTTGGTTTCGCCATGAGAAAGGCAGCACCTTTATCATGGGTTTGAGCCCCGACCGTCTGATCCCCTCTACCGAACGACCTTTTGCAGGAATACGAGCCCATGCACGACGGGATGACTCCTAAGCTGAGCTGGGAGATGGAGCAGTTGGGCCAGTCCGCCAAGTCCGACATCTCCCGTTGATCCTTCCCGTTCGGACACTCGGACGGCGTCAACAGTTGTAATTTCTCCACTTGTTTCCTTCCTCTCTCACCCTCGTCTACCACCCTTCCCTGCTTTTTAGACGTCAAAAGGAACGGAGGAGGCGTGCGACTTTTCTTCTCTATTCTCCTTGCTTCCGGTGTGGATCCCGCCGGTGAGGGGAACGTTCCTCTCTCTCTCTCTCTCGCTCTCGCTCTCGCTCTGTAGTTATTGACTTCTTTGACCAGGCTGTTGTCACGGGGTGGTTCGGAGAAGGATGAAAAGTGTACTGTAACTAATTACAAATGCTTCAACTTACTGTAACTGTAGATGGCGGCTGCGTGTAGGAACTGGCGCCAGGCTCTGTCGTTCTCCCCGACCTTCGTCTGTGTTTATCCACGGATCAACGTCTCCGTTTATTTATTGACCGCTTAGCGTGTACCCCGCACGTGACTCTATAGTCCATGTAGATATGCGTCGACATTATTGCCCCCCTTCAATTCCTCACTGTTGTGGAACGTTGGCCCTCTTCGAGCTTTATATCGAGCCAGAGGCACAGTGGAACTCTTGAATGTGTCAGGTAGGTTGCAGGTGCTGGAACTCGGACTCCTCGCTTACCCTAATAGTGAGAGAGAGATAGAGAGGTTTAGTAAGTCTCTTGGGGCCGTACGAATGGAATCTGTATGGGTGCAAGTGGAAGCTTGGAGGGAGTGAGGTGATAGAGACAGACGGGGACAGGAGCGAGGGGATGAAAGCACCCGACCGAAGACAGCTTCCCCCGGAGGCGGAGAGGATGAAGGCCGGGAATTCTGTGCACACGTGAAGGACGCGCCTCCACACGTTACCACGTTGAGAACTGGGGGATCCGGAAGCTCCCCGCCCCTTACAGTCTCACAATTGTCCTCGTCCATGGCGTTTGCGAGGAAAACCGGGAACCTCTGATAGAGAGAGAGAGAGAGAGAGAGAGAGAGAGAGAGAGAGAGAGAGAGAGAGAGAGCAGCGCTGAGAATGCTGCGCCCTGGGCTGACCGGAGTCACCGGGAGCTACACCTACGCTGTAGGCAAATCTACGAGGAATATAGTAATCAAGAGATGAGATGAGATCAACCCTTAACCAGGTATCGTCGGTACGCCTCACATATTCCGGCAAGTGGATAAGCTGATCCCCACGGCACGGGTCCACATCCCCGCCCCCTCCGGCGGCAAGTAAACGGCCGACGTGGGAGAAGTAAAACAAGCTTTCCCTTATCTCCTGGACAGCAACAGCAGGGGTCGTCCCCTTGCCGCCGTGCGGGCGGAGGGCGGTCACTCCTTTCCTCCTCTTCCTCTTCTCCTTCTTCTTCTTCTTCCACTTCCTCTTCCTCTTCCTCTTCCTCTTCCTCTTCCTCTTCTTCTTCTTCTTCTTCTTCTTCCACTTCCTCTTCCTCTTCTTCTTCTTCTTCTCCTTCTTCCTCTCCTTCTTCTTCTCCTTCTTCCTCTCCTTCTTCTTCTCCTTCTTCCTCTTCTTCTTCTTCTTCTTCTTCCTCTTCTTCTTCATCTTCTTCTTCTTCTTCTTCTTCTTCTTCTTCTTCTTCTACTTCTTCTTCTTCTTCTTCTTCCCGTCGCCGTGGCTCTCACATCGCAAGTTCCCTTGTGAGCAGGCAGGGATGTGGGGCTGTGGTCGTCTCCAACCACCTCCGCTCGTCCTGTGAAGAAAGTGACGTTTCGGTACGTGCAAACGGTATCCTTGCCCCACACGGGACGGAGCCGTCGGACCTCCATTGATATAGTCCAAGGACAAGTGGGCTGCGTTTGGAAACCCATAAAGAGGACATTCCTCACTCTCTCTCGCTCTCTCGCTCTCTCTCTCTCTCTCTCTCTCTCTCTCTCTCCACCTTAAAAAAACCCCTAGTTTTTCCTCCCTCTGTCCGACATCATTTTCAGCTCTCTCAAAGCTGGGCACGGTGATGATGGCGGTGGGGCTGGGCCCAAGTTGACGCTCGTCGGATATCCCTGTAGCGTAATCCCCTCCCGTTTCCAGTGTCCGCTAGTTATCTTACAGGTCTGCGACGTGAGACGTAACTCTGACACGGCCGCCGGCCGGAGCGAGAGCTCCAGCGAGCACAGTGAACAGAACAGACCAGGAGGGCCGGCAGCGCCATGGCAGAGCACCGGAGCGGTCCCGATCAACGCCACATGCGCCGCCCGTCGTGTCCACACACTTGAGCCCGATCAGGTGCCCAGTCGGCCTCGCAGTGGAATCGACGGCCGCAGCAGCTCCACCACCGACGCGGACCAGCTAAAAGCTGGGATCTGTTACAGTATTCGTCACGTTCGAGATCTTCCTTCCCTTTCGCCGGGCGAAGCCGGGGAGGAAGGACCAAGACGTTTGAACCACCCCGTATCAGCGAACCGTCCTCGGTCGGCACCATCATATCTTAATAGTCATGCCCACTGTGACGTCTCCCTCCTCACCGCACACATATTCTCAGAGGGAATTGAAAACCCCACGCCCGCTACGCAGGCTGTCTTTAAACTCTCCGGAGTCAACCTTGCCCTTTGGGGACGGATAAAATTATATATCTAGAGAGAGAGAGAGAGAGAGAGATAGGGTATTTTAAATTCTAGACTTCTTGGATGAGGCAGCTGGAGGGCCGTCACAGGTCGCCCAGCCAGAATTGATTTCCTCTTTGAAAGGCGATTCGTGGCCTCTCATGACGGGTCGATTAAAAATTAAATGCGGGCTACGAATACAGAGCCTATCCATAAACACCGGCTCAAGGTCTTAAGCCCCTCGGTTTCACTGGCTTGGAGCCCAATGCACTCGAAGGCACCCGGGCACACGTGGGCGCCCGATCGGTCAACGCCACGGCGAGATATGAGCACAAGCTGCGCCGAGAAGACAAAGCTACGCGCCCACCGAGAGTCCGAGCTCATCCGCGTCCTTTTCCCCTGTGCGAACCAGCCCAGAAGACAAAGGCAACGATACAATGCCTAGAATCCTAACCCTCATTTTAGATAGGCTTTTTATGTGTGGGGAGCACACGCAGACTCGAGGGGAATGTGAGGAGACTGAGGGGGGACAAGGAAAGGGACGTTTCGAGGAGTCAACTCAATGATTTCTCTCTGTCACACTCGTGAACTCCCCCACCCCCCTTCACCCTTTTCTTGAAGGGAGCCCAGAGGATCTCTCTCTCCCCCTAGAGACTGACCTCACAGAGCGCCACCACCATTGGGTGGGCAGCACGAAGCTGTGCCCGATCCGGCACAGGATTCTCCCTTGGGCCACTGTACCCCACTGACCCATCAGAGACGACAGCTACTTTAGTGAGATGACCTTTATACTCCTCGGAGTCAACGCGGCGACACCCGCCGGGCTCTAGCTGACGGACGGGCGATCCCTCCCCCCTGGAAAATTAGCACTTGCACGTCGCCTGCAGTGTCGTCGATTCTCTGAAGGTTACACAAGAATTGATGAGAGAGAAAGAGATAGAGAGAGATACAGAGAGTACAAGGAGAGTGGGCTTTCCGATGGTGTCAGATGTGATCCAGGCATCTATGGCGTAAGAATAAAAATATTGTTTGAGCATGGATGAAAACCCAGTGATCCAATCAAATGGCTTGTTACAGGATTCTCAGAGCACGGATTTTCTCCCACCGCGAAGAAGGCGCCACTGATCAGAAGAGGGAGCTCGGCATTCCTGAAGAAGAAGACTTACTGACCAGTCCGAAGGTGAGGACCCAGCGGATGGAAGGAGCTCTAGAGTTCTGGCTTCCTCAGTGCCATAAACTTGCACTGCTCGTTCATAGCAAGGAGCTGCGCCTCTTTCTTATCCAGAAGAGCATTCAACCTCACATTCTCCGCCATGAGCCCCTGAACCTCGGCTTCCTTCTGCACTTTCTCACTCTGGAGGCGTGTAGCCCGGTCAATCAGCCTGTTCAGAAGGAAGGGAACGCGCTTAAAAAGGAGTACTGCAAAGGAACGGAGAAACCCTAGAAGATGAAGCCCGGAAAAAATAACCAAAAAGTTAGGCAGCTCTTCGTGCACGGCCTCTCTGAGGTATTTTATCAACAGAGGGAGGAGCTCCGCAAGCAAAAATCGTCATTCCAGCATTCATCCACGAGGGAATCTTCTGTGTACATTCGAAACTCCACGGTGAAGACCAAGATGGAGTACAGGAGCCCCGAAACAGCTAAAATGAAGAAGATACGGGGAACCCTAGTTTGTGTTACCTTGTGGCGCTGATGGAAAGCCTTGAAATAGCATAAATTTTCATGGATTATCATCAAATGAGGATATATTTATTGCCTGAGAAGACAGAACGCTTCTCTTCCAAAGCGACGAGAATCGTTAGGTAGGGCCGCAGCTATGACTAATCAGTAACTTCATTGGGGCTGTTTCTATGTGGGGAGGCCTTGGGAACTACATTTGGATGTCGACTTATTTGAATCCACTTCTATGCTCTGGTACTTGGAGCTCTTCCTTACTCCCAGAAAAGGCTTATTATCCACTTTAAAAAAAATAAAAAACTATGAAGCATACAAATTTTCAGGACCATCAGATACCACCGCGATTTGAAAAAAACTCATTCCTGACATCAAATGAATAGAATAAATTAATAAATTTCCCCAAAAATAAGAAAACAATTTCATATCTGCTTTCTCTCTTTCGGGCAAATTCTAGTACCTGAGAAACTGACTGGACAGCAACGCCAGAAGCGAGAGACACAGAATACCACATGTCACACGTAAAGCTTTTATCAGCCTACCTAAGATGTACCTAAAATTGATTCCAACTAGGTCAACATGCTTAGATACCGGCTTTGTTGATCTTGATCTGCAAAGGGGCCAGATTCCTTTTGAGGATGGTATTCTGAAGGGCGTCGTTGTTGCCACCTTCTGGCACTGGTACATCCACGCTCCACTGTCTTACTCCTGGTTCTTCCTATTGGTGATAATCACAGTTCTAGATACCTAATTTTTTTGCTATTTTTGACAAAGTCTTGGCCATCATTCTTTCAAAAAACTTGCTGACGATCCATCAAGGGGTTTGAGACATTATTCATATGATTTTGAACCTCATCAGACAAAGATTAATAGAATTCATTCGAAAAGTTACCAAATTTTTAGGTTGACGACAAGCTAGTGAAGATGGTCCATAAGATTACCAAATCATGAGTTAATAAGAGTCATTCTCGAAAACAATCCAGTGTAGAAGCAACCCCCCCTTATCCAATAGATGTCGTAAAGACTAGATGCCCCTTAGCAATTTTTTATGCACCATTACTCCATAATGGCCATCTGTTGCACAACGACTACCTCTTGTGTCTTTAAACAATCTAGCAAAGGAGCTTTTTGGTCCTTGGCGTTTCATGAAGGTTTAATGGCACGTATTGCACCGGTATACACCATACAGCGGATAATCAGGTCGTTAATCCCTGAGGGATACAATGAAAAAGCTTTGACGATAGAAGGCTATGGAGTTACGGTAACCTTCCTTCCATACAGAAGCAAGACATCATGAACACTCTTCCCCCCCACAAAGAGCATCATGGTTCTGCAGGTAAAGAAAAGGCCTATATCCCATCTCGCCATATATTTAGGTCAAGAACTTTATAGGTATAGACACTTTTCTGACAAAAATATTGATCTCTGTCGTACTCAATTAGCTACTGACTGGTGGGAGGTACGTCAACCAGAACTATAGTGGGATACTGGGCAGAAGAGAAATACCAGAAAACTTCTACGGAAATGTAGAAGATTTAGAAAACAGGGTTATAATGTCAGCTATTGACTGGTCGAAATAATCGTGTTCAGGAAAATTGAAGATTCTACTTTGTTTTCTAGTATTAATGCTAGAATGAACACATTCTTCTGAAATATATGTTTCAGTACTTCAATGACCTAAATAGAAAAGAAGTCCCATCTGGATAGCTTTCTATGCATTGTTCTTATGCATTCTGTTTTCCCTCTTTCCTTCCTATTGATGATCACTCTATTTTTCTATTTGACATTTTCAAAATATCAGAGGTCAATTTCTAACCTCGAAAAAACTGTAATACAGAAAACATGCTACAAGAGGCCACCGAAACATCATATTTACTTCGACAATGGGAAACACATATTAAACTGAATAAGTACGAAATAAATGATGGTGAAAAAACTTGCAAATACTTGATGGCAGTGCAAAAATTGACGGATATAACCTTAAAATAAAATCAGTTGAGTAAACTTTTCCGAAAAAACATTAAGGGCGTATGATGCACCAGGTTCAATAAACGCCACATGCATGCATTAGTCATATTGAAAGGCGGAATAAGTGATGCAGTCCAGGCTTAGATCAAATGAATTTAAATCACTCAAACAAATATTTACATACATTCCTAAAAGATTCTCAGTTGACTGGGCCTGCTCTGATGGAAGACGAGCTTCTCTAACGCCAATGAGACTACAAACATAGGATTTCAATGATTCAAAATCTTGCTTCACACGAAAGAGTTCCTGTTCATTTTCTGCAGCTCTCAGTCTTTGCCTGGAGGTTTCTTCAACCATATCTTCAACCTTTCGCCGCATTTCATTTAATACATTGTTGGTGCCAAGAGCAAATTTTTCCATCTCCTGTACCTTAGCAGACATTATTTCAATTTGGAGGGACTTTCTTCTAATTTCTTCCTTTCCTGCATCTACTTTTTCCTTCTCAGTAGCAACTTTTTTTTCTGCCATAAGAACCCTCTTAGCAAGAGACTCCATAACATCCGTCACTAATTGGACTGATTTAAATACTTGATTGATGTATGCACAATCATTTGTATCCACAAATCCAGGTCTATTACCACTCATTAGCAATTCCTCAGTTGAATTTTCTACAGATGATACATCAGCATTCTTAGACAAATCAGACGATGATGTCCCAGGTCTATCAACAAACACGACTCCATCGTCATGCTTTATTCCATATGAAGACTGGGCTAGTTGAGAAACTGCCATTAGACATGCCTTGGATTTCAAGTAAGTCAGCAATGTAGCTGTAGTTCTGACCCTCCTCCAAAGAAATTCCAGCTCATTTTTAGCCATATCTTGAGAACGATGGATGGTGGCCTTCACCTCCTGCAGCTTTTCGTGCAATGTTTCGACTTGACTGTCATGGCGTTCCAACTCCTGTTTCCATGTGATAGATGCCTGATTCAGTTGGGACTGCAAAGCTGACACTTCTGCATCCTTTTCAATCTCATCATCCATAACCTTGATCTGATAGGCAACAAATCTGCAGTTTAAAAACAATGCCTGTTGACATCAAATTTTCTTTCCCCATTTAATGTTGGAACAATTGAATGTGGAAATAAGAATAAAAGATAACCGACAAATATTTTTTCCACCAATGGCTCTTTATCGAATGATCAAAGCATATGCGTTCTGTATTTAGGATGCGGGTAATGTCATACGAGTTCTAGGTGAAAGAGAAAATTTTATGACTCGTTGGCATATGAATCAAATGTAGTTTCTGAAATCTGTTGAAAGGAATCACAATAATAAATGAGGCTACCCAAACGGGACCAGCAGACATAGTCATGTATGACTATGGATATTTGCGCACTCAGAGACAAAAAATGGACGAAATGAGTTCTGTGAATGAAAGGAGAAATAATAGAAAATTAAGGAATTATCCCTCACCAGAAGGACGGCATAGATAAAGAAACTTCTAATTCACGAAAGCAGAAAACATACATCCGCGTAGAATGGTGTCTAAACTGGAAGGAAAATTCCAAGAAGCACGTTCTCTATGCATAACAGTGGCAAATTATCAGAAAATTTTACCGAAGACAGTGCTGTCATGTCTAACAAAAGGCCTTCGCGCAACGAAATAGGAAGAGTTCATGGAGAGGTGAAGACATACTAATTTGGAATACTTAATTCAGGAATTTAGTAATAAGAAATTCTCGCTAAAAGTTTTTGATGTCACGAAAGAAAGAGACAACCAAGCAGTGAAAAAAAAATCAAGCCCTAAAAAAATCAGACACTAACTTCCATAAAATATTCACAGAGGACCAGTAACAGCATCCTAATTGAATAAGGTCATCCTAAGCACGACACCGAACACCAAGCTCTTTCCTACAATAAGCGATAAAAAAAATTGTTATCGTGCAGAGAGAAAAAAAATCAGAAAGAGAATTTCTCATCCAAGATTTTTTAATCTTTCCGGATATCAGACGGCAATAAAACAAAATTCAACAAAAGACGCAAGCCGTCAATCCGGGAATTATGCAACAAAAACACTTAATCTCAACATTTCTCTTCACTCATCGGCAAAAGGCTATCATTTATATGAAGAAGGGAGATCTCGAAGGCTCGCATGAGATCCACTATATTATAAACATCGCACAAATTATCATAGACGAATGGAGGGGGAAAAAAGGAAAAGAACTGACAGAGGATCGGCCAGGAAGCGGGGAAATGGAGCGACCAAAGGAACCTGCACCTTCAACGCGGCTGGAATCGCACGTCGATGGAGATAGAAGCGTATCCCGAACCCCACTCGTCCCTTCTCCTTTTTCGCGTGCGCGTTGTTGTTCGTGGAATGTTGAGTCCCTCCAGACGAACCAAAACCAAGGTGACTCATTGTTTATGCAAGCTGAGAATAAGAGTCCAGAGGCGTCCACCGTCCGATTCAGGCACTGAAGATCGCTCGGTCGGTTCGGATGCCAACGGTTACCATAAGGCGCGATGTTAAAGGTTCGGATCTTCCATCCGGATCCAACGGAGAGAATTCGGATAAAACTGAATTTTACCGGAGTGCAGACTGATTTCCTCAAGTGAGTCCCGACCGGCGTCAAAGACAGAGATACGCTCTCCCTCTCCCTCTTCTCTCCCTCTTCTCTCTCTCTCTCTCCTCAACGCCGCTCTTTCTCTCTCATGGTGGTCCTCTCGTCGTCACTTCGACGCTGCTCTCTCTCTCTGTCTCCATCTCTTTGTGGCCCTCCCTGTCTCGCGTATCCGGAACATGTGGTGAGAGAGCCTGCAGTTGGCATCGGCCATGGAAGAACGATAGAGTGGGGGAGTTGAAGAGCAGCAGCAACGGTGCCACCTGGAGATTCACAGGAAGCGAAAGGGGGAGGTCATGTCGCTGGCGCCGTCTCTCACTCGCCTTCACTCCTCTCTCCTCCCTTCTCCTCGCGTGAACCTCTCCTCGCTGTCCTCCAGATCCGCAGCCGTAAGCGCCCGAAGGAGGAGCCATGGACGGCGGGTCGGGACGGCGTATCCTGCCGTCAGAGCCATGGATCTCGACCAGAACACGGTGGGACGAAATTCCTCGAATGCTTCCGTTGCGAGATTTTCAGCAGATTGAAGGGTTCTAATGTATGTGTCCCTTCTCTGTGCTCTTTCGTTCCAGATCATCGCCATCTCCGTAGGGCTCGTCAGCGTCGGCGTCGGCATTGGAATTCCGATCTTCTACGAGTCCCAGATCGACAGCGCGGTGAGTTCCGAAATTTGAGGAGGATTTCGAGGGGTCAGGCAACTGTGACGCTGGAATAACTAGGGTTTCTGCTTCTCCGGCGCAGGCGAAGCGGGAGAACACGCAGCCGTGCTTCCCGTGTAACGGGACAGGCCAACGTAAGCCTCGGATCCTTCGCTCAGACGACTCCGCACTCTTCCTGTATAATGTGGTAGAACACCTGTAGACTGGTTGCCGGGAGATCTCCCCCCTTGAAACCAACCTTCGGCTGCAGAAACCTAAACGAAAGAGTTGACGACCGTGCGAGCAGGAATCTCGGCAAGGAGGCTCGAAAATCATCTGTTGGCTCGGGGAACCCAGAATCTGAATTTTTTTTTCCCCCCTTTAAAGGCATTTGTCCATCTTCTTGTCTGCAAGGTCGGGTATCTATCATCTCATCTGACGCATTGGTTGCATTAAAGCATGAATGCTTATTTCTGTCGATAAATTGGGGCTATGAATTTCTCTTATATACTGTGAAAATAGCATAGCATTACTCAACACATTTATCTAGGTATGAACATGTGGTAGTGTTTTAATTGGAGTTTCTAACTAAATTGGCGCCTGCTAAAATGGGTCGAATTCATCAATGAAGATCAGATGCCTTCACTATTTTCTGAGAAATATTAAATGAAGCTCTGGTACAGAACAATGCAGGTTCTGTGCCGGAAAAGGCAGTGTAGCAGTGGCCCTCGGGGGAGGCGAAACGGAGGTCTCACAGTGCATCAATTGTGATGGGGTAGGGTCAATAACGTGCACCACATGTCAAGGAACAGGCATCCAACCCCGCTACATGGACCGGAGGTAAGAGAGACAAAACTTCACCCCCTTTTGTTATGATTCTGGCCCGAGTTCTTTTGACCAATCTGAACAGGAACATGAAAAATGCCTTTTTTTTTCGCAAAAATTGAATCCACCATCAAGTGTGTGGACATGAATTTGGTTAAACAAGAAGTAGCTGTGAAGATTTAAGCATGTCCTTTCTTTCGTGGGTATAATCAGTAAGAAAAAATAAAAATATGATTTATTATATGACCTTGTGAGCAGTATCGATGATGTAAAGTCAAACCAAGTTCCAGAAGCTGGCTACACTTATTTTCCATAGGTCTCATGGGGGCATTCTCTATTATGCAGAGAATTCAAAGATGACGATTGAAGGTCAACAGCATGGGGAAGCTCGAGAGACAGAATTTTGCGGCTCTCTACTGCTGAATGAATGCCGAATTCTCTTTACCTCACGCCCTGATGTTTTTCACTGTTTCATGACTATTTGTATGTTCTTCTCATGAAATTTACAGCAGCAATTGTTTTCTACATCTTTACTAGTATTATTTCCTTGTTTTAATGTCCTTCTGATGAGATATAGTGAAGATAACTACGCCAGACGACCATGTCACCATGTCCTAGCGAAATAAAAGAAAGGGAACTTGGCAAACTCCTCTCATGAGATAGAAATATTATTACTCAATGGAAAAAGGGTAATAATGTCATCAAAAGAGACAACTGATGCAGCAAGACATACGAACCCGCAAAAACATCTGTGGAAGGCCAACCACTCTTCACTGAACAATTTACAGAAATTCAACCCACTAGACGACGCTCACAGGCTGTGGAGCCGCTTCTTTCTCAGTTTTACACCTGCAGAAACGAGAAGATTCTCGTGTTATTGTGAAAGAAAATACAAAAAAGTTCATACCAGAATCTTTGTCGGGCAAAAACAATGAGCAGTCAACTGCATTAAATGGAAAGGGAAAGCTGAAAAGTTAAAAAGTCAATCTACAAGTTCAATTTTCGTCAACTTTTTAGCTGCTCTACAGGTTCCTCTAGCTGAGAATAACCTAGCCATCCGCCATTCAAACTTCCATCTTTTGACTAAATTTCTCAAAGAATCTCACTTATCCTGCAATCTAGTTGTACTGATCGTTTTCGTAGCCATGACTCGTCTACCTTCACAAGCAACTGCTGTTTCAAATCCCATCCTGTCAGAACATTTCCTCCTTCTCTGTTGATGAAGCCCTCCATAATCATCTCCATTGTCTCTTCTTGTCCTGACTTTATGGTCATTACTACGGTCTATCATCTTCCATGCTGTCAGATAGTAACATGTATATATAGACGGAGTACTTGTTTTTTTTTTTTAACCTATCCAAGAATACGACAAAGATAAGAACTCATTGGAAAAAAGAAAAGAAAAGAATAAGTCAGATTTTTTAGATCCACATCGACCCAAGAAATCTTGGAGATCGTTGAATGAGGTCCTAAGTTGTGGTCCACGTCGGAGCTGCCTACCCACAATCCTGCCCCTGGTGAAGGGGGGAAAGGCACATAAGCAGGTTGGATAGGTCTACCTGACATCACAGAAGGAAGCCAATCCGCTTTCTCTGAAGGAATATTACCAACGAGCAGATTCATCGTGTTAAGAACCGAGAGCTACTGATCAGGAAGATTGAGCTATTTCTAAGAAGATAGTATAGATGGGTCTTCCCTCATTCATTCGATGCAGGTAAGGAAAAAAAATTGACTGCTAATAACTGAGGGTGGGTAAGCCAGGATTTGGATGATATGGTATTCTAATTAACATGAAAGAATGTTCCCATAACTATATTAAATCTCAGAGGTAATTAAAAAATGTGACAAAAACTTAATCAGCGATCAACCTAAAAGAGCAAGATCAACCTATTGCAAAATGAACGTGTTGCAAAATTATGATTGTTGCAATGTGAACACATCCAATCCCCGTCACGCCACTGTTTTGCCCTGATAACAAGAGTTGAATGGAGTAAGAATTCTGTCGAACACATTTTAAAATTTTGCCATAAAAATATGTAAAATTCCATGGAACAAATCAAGTTTTCATAGTCTACAGCATAGTCTTTCAAAAACTCTTCTTGGAACACTACGTCATACGATCTTCTAGCTCCTTTTTCTTCCCCCAATTAGGAACCATTTAGTCACTAAATACATGAACCCTTAGGTCATTCAATGAACATCAAGTTTCTTACAAAAGAAAACGTGGCATTATTAGAAATTTTTTGAGAAACATATATCTTGTAAAAAGAAATTTACTTGTAATCTCATGAATATGCGCATCATCATGAGCATAAGAAAGAATGACAGTAAGCACTCATTCTGTATGCTGATTGAATATTCGTATCTGAAGGAAATGCTACATTAAAATAATGGGAGCATGGACAGCTGATCCAGTCCCACCACCGTCCATGAATGACATAAGGGCATAAGTAATTAACAGAGCTAAGTGGATATCCAAGAAAAAGAAAATAGCTACCCTTTTCCAAGAATTGCAGGCATCATTGTGAGCTGCGGAGATTGTGCAGGTATCTGCAGCGTTGTTACTGAGGTAGAGCTTCCAATGCGATACTTGGGCTGCATTCCATGAGCTTGATTGCCGCTGGATCCTCCTAGATGCTCAAATCCCTGATATGACAGATTCTGCCCACATGTCTTTCATCCAAGTAGAGAGGAGTAAAAGATAATTATCATATATATAACAAAATAGAAGTAGCACAGGTGCAAAATGACCTTACCAGGAAATGGTTTTCTGTATCTCCCGCATTAAGCCTCTTGCTATCCCATTCATTAACGAATTCTTCAGATGCCAAACGCTTTGTACCCAGGCCTTTACACAGAGAATAAAATCCGTGTTTGATATGATAACCAAGAGGATCCTTCATCAAGAAATCATTAATAGGCATAAACCAAGACACTTGCAGACATTTATTTCTATGACTGGCTAATCATCCGAAACAGTCATCACAGTTGATAAGCTGACTAATTTTCGTTCTCCTACAACCTAACCATCCTTCGCGTATACCTGTATATTTCATTTCTTAATAAGATTAAATAATCTCATAAAAACGATGCATTCGTTTTGGAGCTAAAAAAACTCTAATAGTTCTTTTAAATGAAATAAAAAAAATAATGTTTTCCAATTCTACCAGAATTAGAAATATAATGCTGCGTCTCTGCTCCTTGACATGTAAAATGAGTTTCGGTGGCATAAGCAACTCCTACATAATGTAAACACCGAAAAATGACCAGAAATTAAATGCGCAGTCTCCAAAAGGAAGGTCCCCGTTTTTATTATTGAAATGACAAGAAACCCGAGCACCCCCATATAGAAAGAAGAGTAGAAGGTTTTGGGCCTGTCCCACTTGAAGGTTGAGTGCATCCTTTTGGGGGTAACAACTCGTGAAAATAAATGATAAAAAGATAACTATACCATACGAAATAGATTGCACAATTTTCCACCAAAAAGCGAAAAAACCAGCAAAACTCGATTTATCAATTTCAATTAAGAGTGTAATTACTTAGAAATAAGTCTGTAACTGCAGAATTCACCACAGATGATGGGACCCCAGAAGCCAAAGGCGCATTACACTTCTTACACTGCACAAATCAAACGATAATTTCTCAAAATGCCATGTCATATAAAACTTCCAAAGATTTCTCCAAAGGAAATAGATGATAAATTTATCATATTTAATATGACTCTCGGAGACAGGGATGACATCAACAAGGAAATAGTAAAATCACATCAAAATAAAGAGTATGGTGCATAAGCTATAAAGTTTCCATATATGAAACAGCGTAAGAATTTTGAATTGGTCAGCTTAAACAGGAGTACTATACCTGAAGATACACCATTTTTGTCGAGATTCATATAAAGATCAATATTAACTACGCAGTACCATTTGTGGTGGACCCATAGCTTGAAACACATACCGACCAAAATTTATGGAAATATATCTGTAGACAAACAGCTTTCTTTATATGACAGCATTTACTATAGAGTTTGATAATAAGAATTAATTTTTTCATAAAATTATGACTGTCATGAAAGGCGTTAGGAAAATTTTCCTTCTCTAGACAAAAGAGAATAAAATAATGTTGAATACAAGATTTGGTATTGTGATCCTTCAGGTTCTTGGAAGATTTGGACTGGAATTAAAGATTGGGGAGTACTATCTTATCCCATGGAAGGATCAAGAGTGAGTACAACTGGATTGACGGATCCAATGAAAAATCATTAAAATGGCATTGCATACAAGCCTTGTCTCTTCATAATAAATGACTTTGTAACTCATTGATTAAAATGGGGAGACCAAGTGACTAAAAAGGCACACTGAGCCATACTCCTAATAAATCTTCTGTGGATAGGATTCTAAAAGCTATTCAAGCAAACTACCCCAAAAGGCACACCACCATGCAAGCCCATGGCTGCTACAAGTAAAAGCCACATTGGCATGATTTGACTAGACTTTTCAACCGTCTGAATCTCTACATGATGTTGAGTAAACCAGTCATGAATTATGGTCACCGGTCAATGATAAGCACAAACAATTCGACATTCTGCACCCACTATAATTGACTTCCTTTCCAGGCTATGCCATACCTTGTCTACACTGGACTAAGCTTCCGTCAAGTTGGAGACATTCCCAAAATAAAAGGCAAACTGAAGCTTATTCCCTTTGATCCCAGACTCACTTGTCAAGTGCTGGTTTCACTTTCTAGTCACATACACATAGCAGAACATCATATACTCCGAATCAATCATGACAGATTTTGTTGACAATGATTAATGAATCTATTGCATGCAGTACGCAGCATGCGGGCAATTTCCACGCTTATTTAATTCATGAGATATCCAAAAACAAACTTTTTTTTCGTTCTCTAGTAACAGGACGCAGCCGATGGCATTCTTCCTGGAATGGAGTTTATGTCCAGTACACACAAGCATCATCTACTCCATATAACAGGCAACGCCAGTTTTTCTCATATGTGCGTTACTGAATGTCCCACATTAAATTCGAAGTAAAAGTCTGAGAGCCCCCCTATCACCAACAAAAGCACTATCATAGGGAATCCTAAAAAGAGATGGTCGGGAATCATATAAATACTATACGAGGTACCTGTGCACGAGAAGAGTAGTTGTGAAAGCCACAATTGCACATCCAGTCACCAACCCGCCAGCCTTTTGGAACCCCAAGAAGATTATTTGCATTGTTTGGATATTGAAGTCCATCAATGTTTCCACTCAAAAGCAAGCCAGAAACTGACTGAAGTCCATATTTATCAGCAGCAACATGTGACCAGCTAGAATTTGGTACCAGTGATTGATGCAGAGCACAACTGTCTGTCATTCCAAAATTCATCCTCACGCCAAGTACTCCGTCTGCCCTGGGAAAATGATGTGCAAATGTCGGAAGAGAAGCTCCAAGCATCGCAATTGCTGGCATTGCTGCTTCCTCCTTTGGTTGCCCACACTTTTTGCACTTCTCTCTTGAAGCATAATTGTTGTTACTGCAACCTATTTTACCCATCGTCCACATGACCCAGTTGATAATGCAGCCAGAGAGATTAATACAGAAATGAATATACACACCAACCAACCATTAGAAACACAAAACGAGACGTAAAATAAAATTATGCCAGTCATATAATGGACAACATTCCATAGTAGCTTCGCGCTCGAATTGACATAAAGTAAATATCTAGTAAACAAGTCCAGGGAAAAAAATTAGAATATCAACCATATCAAATGTATCAAAGTCTGCCATCAACCATGGACAACAATAGTTTACTACATTCTCATAATTTTCCCACCTCCAACATAAGGGATCATTCCTTAAAATCAAGCTTCAAACCGTTGCCATTTAATAAAAGCAGCCCTGGCATTAAGTGACAGAAATTTTCAAAGAAGGAAAAATTGAACGAATGCTATGCAAGAAAGGTATCTTGCTGACTCTCCTAGTAGCATCCGTTGGCGGCAAGGAAGGAGTTTGGAAAGATTAGTCCATAAAGTACAGGGGCGGAAGTGACTGGTCGCTTCTGAAAAAGCTTAACAAAGGTCGATCAGATTAACTTACTCTTCCTGAATCGCCTTCCCTGCAACTTGAGGTTTTGAAACGTGTAGCACAACACCAACAGCTATGCAGAATACAGCTCTCAAAAGGGTGTCTGCATAGCCTTCAGCCCATATTGGCACGGATATATTGAAAAGGATTAGTCGCTCTCATAATAAAACCTTTTTTTTTAAATCTCATTTTTTACTGTCCTTTAACAGTAACTTCAAAAATACAGCTACATTATTAATTCAAGTACGCTCAGCATAGTAAATGGACATGAGGTTCCGGCTGCATTATTAATGTTAAAAATAAGGAAATTCTTCTGAGAAAAGAACATATTCAAATATCATCGCACTTCCAAGATCTTAAACAATAAAATTGGGAATCGAAATTTTCACAAACTGTCACCCATATCTGATAAACTGCAAGTTCACAAAACAGTCAATCCCTCAGATTCAGCTCATCACTGCTAATTCTTCGAACCATGGTCTCCATATCTCATTAACTGCAAGTCCGTAGAGGTGCAAAAGTGGGAACACATTGTCCTTCCTTCGCTTAAAAACTGAATTTGAAACTCTTTGACTGTATCCTCTAAACCTAACATTGCGACTACATAAACACAAGGGCCTAGCCTTCTCATTTATATTCGACTTATGACTCACATTGATTGTTAGAATCTTAAGATGATGATGTTTTTGATAGTCTTAACAACTGAATTTTAAAGCTCAACGTTTGTACCAAAATGCCAACACAATGCTTAAGAGAACAGTAGGAGGTCGGTATACTGGGTGTTTACTTTCCATTCAAAAAAAGACACTTACAAAAAAAATTAGGAAGTATAGTTACGAACAACTGTTCAAAAGATGACTGTATCCAATCATCACAAAGAGGAATACTCACATTTGATAAAATTTAATTTAAAAAATGAACCCTCCTAGCCCAGCTGAAAAACGGTTTTCCAGCTCCCAACCTTTTCAAAAGAATTTCAGACGAGTTGCATACGATCTACAATTCCAATATGATATGTCTGCGCGCGAGATTCACAAAATTTTCTAAAATAGCCACAAGCCTTCTCCCAGTATTTCATCCATCATCCAACAAGACACAATTATGCTTCAAGTTTCCAGGCAGCATCTACTTCTGTTCGTATCATCCATTTGGCTTTTACCCCATACGCAATATTTGGTCGGAACTCCCACCAGAATATAAGAATAGAAGAGAATGTGTGCATACATGCGATGAAAGAGACGTGTGGTCGTATGTCAAATGACACCTTCTGAAAAAGTCGAATCTCAACTAGTCTCCAGGATATCTCAGAAACAGCTGAGAAACTTAGTCGAGTGCATAAGAGGCCATGAATAGCAAGCCACACCATCTCGATTCGAAGTGCGTGCTCTAGCGGGAGTGTGGAGAGGGGGGCAGGAAGGAAGGAATCTGACCGATGCAGATCCAATCTCCGATGCGCGGAAGCCACTTAGAATCCCCGGGTGTATTGATGTCGACCAAAAGGCGGGGTTGCTTGCACCGGTTGCAGAAGGATCTGAATGCATAGTTGCGATTCCGGCACCCACCGCATTCCCAGTCCCCCTCCCTACCTTTGCCCATGCCTCTCTCTCTCTCTCTCTCTCTCTCTCTCTCTCTCTCTCTACCGCCCACCCCGACGGCGGCGAGGTCGGGTAGCACAGGAGGAGCCCTCCTCTCTCCTTTTGACAACAAGGTGGGGTGGCCCGCGGCGAGTCCGACGAGTGCCCCAGCAACTCCCTCTTGTAGACCCAAACGACTTTTCATGTCGACGGGCCGCGAATCCCCCATATGGGGCCCGGCCCGTTTCTGGATAAAAGCCCGTGAACTGAGAAAATTCTAGATAGCCGAATTTACGGGTCGCCCCTGATCCTCGGCACCGGAATTTTATTGTAGTCCATATTTCTTACATTTTATAATTAATTACTGTTTACGCGGTATGATCGCCGGCATGTGACGTCATAAAGTCCAGAGTCAGCGAAAAACAAAATCACTAATAGAGAAAATTCGGTCACGTGACTGGGGACGCGACAGCCGAATGTGGAAATAACGGCCTCCCTAGGACGAGTACGTTCGGCGGATGTGGTCGCGACTCCTCGATGGCGAGAGGAACCGGTCGCAACGGTTTACACGATCTCTCTCTCTCTCTCTCTCTCTCTCTCTCTCTCTCTGAGGCTTTACACAGAGCCTGGTTTTGTCTTCACTAGACAGAGCCGCTTGCTGCTTCGCCAGAAGATCGGAATCAACTCTCATCGGCTCTGCCGGATTTAGGTTTCTCTGGGGAGGACGGGGAGCGGGATCAACAGTGTATAGTACTGGTCGCAGGAAGGTGAGAGTCATTTTCCTTCCACTGCGTTGTAGGTCCGAGCATTTGGGCCTTTCGGTTGGGTGTTGGACTTCGTTGTTTGCGTCGCTTGCTGGCCGTTGTCAAATGTTCATCGTAAGGCGTCGGTTTCAGATGTACGTGTGTGTAAGTGAGAATTTGATGTTGGAATTCTTGGTTCCTGTGATCCGTTTTCCCTTAGTGTTCGCAGAGCTGACATTAGTCTGCTGATGTTGTGTGGATCGCTACTACAGCTATTCGGCGATTATGTACTCTGGTTATCTTGAATGCCCTCTGTTACTCGGTTGGGTTGATTTCGCCTCGTGTTGACGACAAAAATGGAAGCCCCTCTGTTTATTCCGATTCTAAAATATGCATCTGCATTTCTCTGAGAATTGGCAGGCAACCTGAGGGTTTTGTTCTCTTGTTCACGCGACTGCTGATACCCACCCTGTCCTGGCTTTTGTTTCCGAACCCGCTGACCCACTGATTGGTTATTTTGTTTACGGTTTATTTTCTCCCGTCTCATTTCAGATTAACTCGTGTGAGTGGGGTCTTATCGTCGGTGCTTCTTACCATTTTCCGTAAGTAATTCAGAATGATGGGATCATCCCTTTCAAGGGCCCTTATGTATGGACCTCACTGACGTTTTACTCCGTCAGGTAGTTTTTGTTTATAGATGGCCTAACTTACTATGTCTTCACTGACAGTTTGGCTCTTGGTTATGCGTATCCGTCTTATGAATGTTTTAAGACTATCGAAAAGAAAAAACCCGAGATTCAGCAGCTTCGGTTCTGGTGTAAATAGTGGTAAGTTAGCATTCCACCTCTGGCTAACATTTGTACTTCTCTTCTCTGTACCTCAGTTTTGTTTTGCAACTCTCGGTAGATTTTGACATATTCCGACGCCAATTTCTTGCTATTTTGTCAGGATTTTGGCTTCAGTACTGTCCATCTTTAAGAGAGTTGGGGACGTTTTTATTTCCTGGTAAGCAGTACCCTCCTTTCGTCTTCCTTTTTCCTCTTTTAGCCATGGCCCAAGGCATGAGACTTCTACACTATTTAGTCATTTATGTTTTTGGTCGAAGGTTGTCAATGTACAGCGGAGCGAAGTTGGCGTTCTATATTTACCTCTGATATCCCACAACGGATGTTAAGGACTCTCATACATTTATCTGCAGTATTTCCCTCTCAGATTGTTTACGTTTACTTTTCTCATGTGACGATGATTACATGCTGTTTATGTCTATGAAACCTTTCTTCTGCCATATATTGTAAAGTACGAACCTGACATTGACCAAAACCTGCTTGAGTTGAAGGCCAGGGGAGGGAACATTATTGCCTTACATTGTCTTACATGCCTCATAATCTTGCAATATGCTGCTTTCCAGTCACAGACTACTGAATCTAAACCTTTTCAGGCACTAATTCCTATAAGTCGCTTAAAATATTATTATCAATCTCATTGTTCTGTCTGCAAATTCTTTATGAACCTAGCTATGTCATGCGCTTTTTTTATCACCAATCATGCTCTCTTCTGCTTTACTTGCATTCCAACTTGAAGAAAGGCAGGGATTTTAGAGAGAATAGAAGGTTAAAGAAAAACGATTGATTGGATAACATTTCTTCCTCCCAACTTGATTTCACGTACAGAAGAAGCGGTTAAACTTTCATTTCTCTCTATTCCCAATAGAGAGAATAGATAGAAAGAAAGACTTCTATTCCTCTCTTCTTACGTGAAACCATGTGCTTATATAGAGGAGCGGTTAAACTTTTATGCTTCAAGATAACTCATTTCTTCCCGTCGAAAATAAGAATAAACTTAAAATGAGAGTTTCTGAAATGATTACTACCACGGCCTGTAAGTTCATATAGCCCACAGAGAATCAATATCCACTCGGAAATAATTCCCTCGTGACCATGGAATGCAAGAATAACGGTGTTTCCTGGACTAAAGAAGTTTTGTGCTGCTGAAATATTGGGTAGACATGATTTAACTATAATGTTTTTGTTGGTTCGTCAACCCACTTTCTTGTCCAACACTTTGATCCTTCAAAATATGACTGTCCTTCCATTTCAGAGTATTTCCTTGTCTTTTCTTTTGCTAAATCGCTTCCGCATGGAGCTCGAATCGGTTCTCTCCCAAAACTCCTAGACCGCCAAATTTCCAAAATAATCTCTTTCCATGTCCAATCTAGCTTACAGATTCCCTTCTCCGTTATTTACTCATCCCAGCTACAGATCAGAGATGATACGAAGTCAAACGTTTATCCCAGAGAATCGAGAAGTTTTTTACTATTTCTGCAGCAACAGCACCCACAGGTCTGTCAGCTACCACCCGCAGTGGCGGGCCCACCGCCAGTGGTGCCGAGCGCACACCCACCACCAGCCCTGATAAAAGTTAGGCAGTGGCTGGGCCAGCGCTGGGGCTCCAGCCCGGCCGAACGCGCCGGTGTCGTCGAGCCCGCACAGTCCGGCAGAAACCACCGAAGCTGAGAATCTCGTGTCAAGGGGCCTCGTTTGAAGCGGACGGAATGCCGAACCCACGGCGGACGGTCGGGGAAGAACCCACCAGATTGGCCCGCTGCCGTATGAGGACGAGAGCTCGAGTATTAACAAGTCATTAGAGTTGCAGATATTTGCAAGTTCAAAGGAGAATTATAATCGTGCTTTTATTGGGCAGTGCAAACAATCAAATTAGGATGCTAATGGATTACAAATGTACAACCCCTGGGATGAGACGACAGACGCTTTCCCATCATCCCCACTGCCGCTCAACTGTGACCGCTTGACGACGACCCCGATGATACGCCTTCTGTCCTGCGGATGCCGAGTTATGGGAAGGGCAAAGAGACTATCTGAGGTTCGCTTGTAGAGGGGCTCCGAACGGGGATATGAAAATGCTGGTGACGCTTCGTTTTTAATACACAGTACCACCAACATAGAAGGTTTCGCCGGTGGAATGGCCAAGGGGGAGATAGTATATTATTACTCTACTCAGGCAATCCCATGCTTCCCTCGCTCCCCCTCCAAAAGAAGAAGGAAGGAGAAGATTTGTACAGTCACCACCTACCCCGGCGTACTTACTTGAAAAGGGGAAGAACTAGACATGAAGGATACAATCTGTCCACATATCCGTGATGCTCCCTCCGAGGTCCGACAGAAGCCAGTAGTCGGCGTTGCTCTGCTTCAAACAAGAACAAGAAGAGGTGACGATTTCCGCTGGAGTCATCATTAATCCCAAGCCCAACCTATACATTTACGCACACACCCAAAACTTACGTCGAGCTCTGATGGCACGATCTTCATAATGCCACCAAATAGTTCCTGCGAGCAAAGGGCGTCTGAATAAGCCGTGTGGCCAGCCACCTTGTCATCCGCATCGGAGGTGGCGCATTCGGCCGGTAGAAGCGGAGGCCCCTCATCCCCGCGGGCATCGCCCTTCTCAACGGAGACGCCCTCCATTGGCGCCTGCCGTGGATCATGGCTGCTGGTGGCGGCCTCCAACCCGCCGTCAGGGTTGCTGTCAACGGAGCTACCGAGCCCAAAGTATCAGAACAGAAGATGTGTTCTTAGACGGTCCCCTTCATCCCATTAATTAAAAAAGCTCACCTGATTAGATAGCAGTCGATGGGGCCCACAGAACTTCTCAAATAGATTTGGTACCGTCTGTTGGGAAAATCAATTGCCTGTTCACAACAACAAACCCATCAATTACATGTACTTGTGTATACAACTTTTGGAGGAAGACGGAGGAGGCCAAAAAAATTCTTTTGTTCTCCCGTACCTCATCCGGATCTGGAACCTCGAGACTTGTCCCATGAGGGGCCTTTATCGCAACAAGCGTATCATTCTACCATCAGAATAAGAGGATGATAGGTGGATTAACTTCAACAGGAGGAATAACGGTAGAAGTATAGAAAAAGGTATAGAACAAGACATGCTTACGGCAAAGCAGGGTAGACTGCTGATGTCGTCACGGGTGACATAAAGCCATCTGAATGATTTAGAGATCCAATTAGCTACGATATAAAAGAATTAATTAGCACAGTGAGAGAGGCGAGGAGGGTTCCGGCAACATTACTTTTTGTTGTTTTCATCTTCACTCAAGAACCTCAAATTCTCCAGCGTTTCCCTGCCCACCCCAAAAAAAAAGGAAGGAAAACCATGGTAAGCACAACTGAAATGAAGGCACTAAAAGCTGATAGTCACTTTCGAGAAGACAATCAGAAAGTCAATTTAAAACCGTATACCTGATCATCCCGTCAAGACTGTATTCTTCTGTGGAAAGATTTTCAACATGAGCCTGCAAAAATGAAGAGAAACAAAGATGAACCTCATCCCATCAACCTAGAGTCTTAGGACCCAACGAGGGACGAGAGGATTTTATGTAAAGGTGATCGCAAAAAGGAAGGGAACCCTTTCGAGGTCAAGAACATGATTCACAACAGATCCATTAAAAAGAAGCGGGAAAGTGCAGTTGTACCACTGATGTGACTACAGAGAGTATTTCGACCGAGCTTTTATTCTACTATGACTGGAAAATTTTCAAGGTGCCAACGAATCCAATACACAAGGCCTAGAACAATACTCTGTAATCTAAAAAAATATGGTGGTCGAATAAATATTTATGAAGAATTCACAAACAATGCATCAACTCATTAGAAAGTTGGAGATGAGTTGATAAAAATTAAGGAGCACCCAATGAAATGGAGCCCGCCCGTTCAATTCACAGTGTAGATCCTATCTTATAAACACTGAGAAGCAAGCTTCAGTGAAGGACTTTGCAAGCTATCTTTAAAGTATACTGATCTGGAAAAAAATAAAATAAAATAGGACGACGAGTTGGAGTAACCTTTTACGAGATACTCTACTGACACACATGAAGCAAATCGTAAAATAACTCTTCGCATGAGGACTCGAGAGCTATAGATGAAAATAAACACTAACTACACAGTTGGTAAATGAAGATCGGAATCACCAAAAGACAATAAAAAAAGTTTTCTTTGACCGTAATGCACCACTTCAGAGAACAGTAGAAGATGGGAAGCTTCCCGAACAAACTTTCATCCGGATTGGACACAAGGCATCCACCAAATAAATTTTGAAAATTACTTCATGCATGGCATATTGCTCAGTGTGACCACAAAACTTCATAAAATGAAACTGGATAGTAGTAATTGCCTTTCTTGGCAATTGTATGGAGAAGACTGACGCATCTGAAGCAATCGAGAAGACTACATACTTTATGGGTGCATTTATAATATAGATACGTATCCGTAAATTGATGGTTTCCATCTCAGCATTCCAAAATGAGTAGGTAAAGGCCTTTGAAGAGGATGTACAGCATTGCCGAGAAGAACTAATTGAAAATGATGAATGCACATTTATGCCGACTAATTTTATGGTTTGGTTGTACTCTTACAAATCGTTACCAACACTTACTATATTTACACGATAATTGATCTGTGATTAACTCACGATAAAGGATCTCAAGATTGAGGGATGTTAGTAATCAGAATATTGCCCAAACGATGAGGAAAAAATGCGAGACTGTTCGCGCACTTCAGCACATTTGGTGGTTATCGTACAACTAATTAGCAGCCACTAACATGATTAGAGAATTTTTTGGGAATTATTCTAAACTAAAGACTAGCAAGAAGGGCTAAAGAAAGCAAGATACATTCCAAATCCACACAAAACCCTAGGGACCACGATGCATAACAAAATCAAATAACCAGCCATCAAAGTTCTAAACCCATGAGAATATCATATACATTATGTTCCTCCTGTTGGCTGAATATTGAAAATCTAGGCAAAAATATGAAGAAAGAAAGCACGAAAAATTAAATGAAAATACAGTGAAATAGCATATTTTAGTATGTGTACCTTCAGAACACCAATTTGGTCCTCTAGCTCTTTCGGTCTCGGCATGTCAAGTCCCCTATTTTTCACGTGCAGTTAGAAGGTGTACCATATTAAAATTATAAAACCAAATAAACAAGGAGAGCACAATTACTTCCAACGTATCCTATTTTTTAGCTTTTTCTCAATCAGTCCTACTCCTTCAAGAACATTCGTTATGTCATATATCCTTCTCTTCTGAACCTATCAGATCAACAAAAAAAATAAAGAACCAAATTCGACAGTAGCTCAATGAAAATACAGAGGCATAGAAAATAGCAGGTCGAGATGGTCAACAGCTTTGATGGAACTTATACCTCTAAAATATCAGCTGCTTTGTTCAAATCGAGAGTACCATCCTCTGCTTGTTGAAGCAGACTAATGAATTTCTTTGTTAACAGACCTATAACGGATATTAAAGAGAAAAAAATATATTAACTAAAAATGTATGAAAACAGTCGAAATGTAACATTGGGAACGTGGTCAGGCTGTCTTACCTAAAGAACTATCATACCGGCAACTACTAATGGATTGCAAAGCATCTGGACAACATGAGGAGAGGGCAACCAAGCATGCTTTTGTGAGAAACACATAACTGTAGATTCTATACTAGAAGTCAGCGAAAACTAATTAATCAAAAAAAAAAAAAAGCATCACCATCATTCGATCCTGGAGTAAAAAGTCCATTTCTTTTATTTTTTGAACTCTTTTGTTTTCTGCACCGCTTGCTACCTGCATCAAATGCAACTGGATGTACATAACTGTGAGGTGCTTCATTTTGCCCAGGATCAACCGTCCCTTCACCACTACTAGCTTCTTCGTCCTTCGCTCTAACCTCCTGTTTTGACTGCAAAAAACATTAGTTTAAATGACGAATATCCAAGCAAAAAGATAAGTGGCAAGAATATCCTCATTATAGTTGTAACACTAGTAACAAAGAAGGCGGATGCTAAGGAGGAATCGGTCCTTTCTTACAGTGAGGTCAAGGACCAAATTCTGGAAAGTTATTCTGTGTTTGCTCTGGCCTCAGATTTTATTTACATTATGCCCAAACATTAATCTCACCAAAACCATGCAAGTCAACATTAAGGCTAAGCATACCCTGGCTACTAAAAAACTATCACCGCCCACACTCTGTAGGAAAATAAGAATGTCTCAAAAAGAGTCCACCTCTCTAGATCATATGATTGACTAATGATCCTTACATCAATCTGCAGCATTTTTCATTGAATCTAAGCATTCACCCCAACTTAAACAAAGTTTCTTCATAAAATGTCACCAAATAGCAGTGAACTTAGCTTGCACGAACCATAAGTACAGGACCAAATACAAGGAATTGGACCAAATACAAGGAATTCCGATAATACAGGCATCTGGACTAACTTCAGAGTACAACATGTATTCATGGTAAATTAAAAAGAGCCTGGTTCAAAACCAAATTCTCATCCCAACTTCTTCCCACATTTGTCAATGATGAACAAGGTCATTCGAGCCTCCATCGTCTAGCTTCTTATTAGAAACAAATAAAATTGAAATAACGCATATCATAGGCAATGACATAACAAAAGAAAAATGAAGCTATGATACGTCAATAATTACCAAAAAGCTCCGTTCATTTCCTAAGCAAAATACGAATAGCCGTGACCTCTTTAGTCATGATTCTTCACCACATTATGGATACCAGGCAGTTTTATTGGACCAAGGATCAGAATGCCAAGGGAATGACTAAGTATGGTCATCTCTTCCATGGACCTTTGAGTACGAACACGTCACCAAGACATTTCCAATAAATGTATAACCATGATCTAAAGAAACTGAAACTGAACACCACTACTGTCTAAACATTTATCACTATTCAACAATCATTTTGCAATCGAGTTCCATTAATAGCCAAAACACTTATCCACAACCGAACATCAATTGCCAGAGAAAAAAAATTTGCATGAAAAAAAGTAGCTTTTTGTTTTTTTAAAAAAGGCAACAATACGTCTCCTCAAGAACTGTAAAACAAGAGCGGCTTTAGAAGCCCAATGTCAATCAAAAAAACACTTCCATAGACCCTTTTTTTAAAATCTGCATCCCCACAAGATACTTGACTATAAACATCATGCAGAGACTACTCCCATGGGTAGCCACAAGGATTAAAAAAAAAAGAGGACAAAAAATGCGGGAAATATTCAAAGGCCTACAGTTTCTATGGAACTCTTGGAATGTTGATTATTAAATAAAAGTTTGATCCTACATCCATTTTACAACACAGAGGTCTCCATTCTGTCTATGGTACAGATCAAAAATCTGTTCCTTGCATCAAATTTAAAAATTAATCATAAATGATAAATTAAATTTGTGCAACATGATGATAAGAGAAACAACTAGGCTACGAAAGAACCTATGTTATGAAAGATCTTAGCCAAAGAATGATCTCATTTGCATCTGAAGAGGGAAATGATTCCTTCAGCAGTAAAATTGAGCACTTAACCAGAAAAAGGTACCGATAGCCAGTTCACCCTATAGTCAAATCACTGCCTCACCCCTTGGAAAGGATGAAGGCAAGCTTGCCAGTCTGGTACCAAGAGAAGTAGCGACCAAATAGGGGTGAAAGATTATCTTTAAGCACAGAATGATAACAATAATGCACACAGAGGTCTCAGCACCCTGCACAAAGTTGTTATCAACTCGGTTCCCTATCTGATCATCTGTAAAGTCTCTCCTTGGGTAGCAAAACCACTATAATCACAATTCATGATAGACAATGCAGGAACTCTTCATTAAGGATAGTGATAAAAATAGACAAATATGTGAATATCAAAAAATCGTTCAAATGGCCTATAAAGATCAATACCTAATTCTATGTTCCGGTCCTTCCCTTTGTTTTCAGGCCACGTCAAAAGCCAATTAGTTTAAGTTGGATAAGCACGCCATCATATGCAAGGAACCCTCAACATAGGAGAAAAAATACGAAAGCAAAAAGATAAAAGCCATCTCTGCACACTCTCCTAGCATTCTGACAATGATCAGATCATTATTAAACCCGCCAGCAAACTCAGAAGCATCACTGACCAGTGGCATACGTATACACATTTATTTCTTCATCTGAACCTAAAAGAATCACTAGAGCCCGCAAAAACGAAGAAAATGGTATCCGATAAAGGAAAAAATAAAGGACACGATGTGTATATCCATAAGAAAAAAAAGAGAATAATAGAGGAAAAAAAGAGAGATAGTAGATGCCAATGACATCATCGCCAACTCGAACCAGATCGGTCTCTAACTGAGATCAAATAAAACCGGAGGACTAACCACGACGGCGTTGGCTGAGACAGAAGCAGGGGTGGTCGAAGCGGGGTGATCGCGGATTTTATCTCCATCAACAGCCGGGATCGAGGCAGCATAAGCCTTCTTCGCGGGGGTTGTGTCGACGCGGGAGAATCTTCCCCTAAAATCGGCGAACGTGAAGCGAGAATCTAGAGAAGAAATCTTTGAAGGAGGAAGAAGATTATTGTACGGATGACGAATAGGTAGGGAGTGATTGACAGCAGGAGTAGCCGGCGAGCTGGAGGAAGAAACTGGGAAGACGCGATTGGTGGGACGGAGAATTTGGGGGAGCGGCGGTGGGAATTGCTGTGGGGGCCGAGGCGGCTGCGTTTGGGGTAGGCTGGAGCCCTCAGCCCCGGCCATTGCCCTGGATTGGCGGCAGACAGGGATCCCCTCTTCTCCTCCTCCCCCCCTCGGGAGCGTCGACGAAGAGGACGGTGGCGGGGAGGGTAGGGTTTGAAGATGGGAGGGAAAAGAACCGCGGAGGGGTAGAGGAGAGAGAGGGTGGGAAAAGAGGGAAACCGGACCGGTTTGTTTTTATCTCAGCTGATACGCCGTTTCCCTCCGGGACCGGAGCGTCCGTTCGCCCATTTTTGTATGCGCCACGAAGCAGCGGGAAGAGGAGCGAGGCCCGTACAGTAGAGAGAGAGACCCACGCACGCGAGCACGGGGCGAGTTCGAATCGCGCGACCCGCCTTTTTAGCGAGGTGACACGTGGACGCCAGGGGGAGGCCGTTTTCCTCTTCATTAATATCCTTAAAAACGTTCTTCTTTAATTTCACGATGAAAAAAGGGTAACGAACAAGCGAAACAAAAACTGGACTGAAAGATTAAAATGGACTCATGCGGCCCGAGATCAAGTAATGGGCCATATTTCTGGCCCGTATGGCCCATTTACTGCGTAGGGGTGTTATGACGATGCCGTAGTCTGTGCGGCGAATTAATAAACGCGGTCGTCGTCGTCGTCGTCGTCGTCACCATCTTTGTCAGATTGAGCGGCGAGGAGGACGTGAGAAAGACACCTGCGATGGTCTCATAGTCCGTAGATTGAAGACTTAGGAGTCGAGTTCGTAGATTTCCGTCAGCCAATCGGGTTGGTATACCCCTGGCACACCGCGGTGTTCAGTTTTCTGGTGCCGATCGACGTTCTCACGAATTCCAGGAGAGTTCTCCCGTCCATTGAGGAAGGGAAAGGGGTGGGAGGGAGAGTGTTGGCGTAAGTTGAGGAAACATCACTGATGGGGGACCTCTTCGTCCGCGAGTACGACGCCTCCGAGCTAAAAATCGCGGCCGAGTTCCTCACTAATTGGCTCCCCTTCCTTACCAAAGACCTCTGCGAGGGCTGCACCGCCAGCATGCGCGATCGCATCCGTTCCCTCGATCCAGGTTTGAATCTCTCCCCGTTCTTCTCCTATTCCTTGTTTTTGTGAATCTGTCGAGTCTATTCGTTTATCGTCCTTTCTCCTTCTCTCCAGAAGGCGCCGTGGAACATTCAGGAGACGAGGGGGCTTACGCGGATCATAGCGAGACCCGGCCCTTCTCGCCGACGAGCGTGGACAATCGAGAGGTCAGTGGACCGACTGATCCAGCACCACCCTCATCTCCTAAGGTCCGCATGTCGTGGGCGGACATGGCGCAGGAGGACGAGTTGGAGATGGAGGCTGAGGCAGAGGATGTCAAAGCACAGGCCGCAGACGATGCGGATGAAGTAAACAAGGATGAGGGTGCTGTGGATAAGTTGACCGCGAAGTCTGTTGTCACGGAGGACAAGGAGAAGAAGACGGAATTGTCGAGGGAACAGAGGGAATACATTCGCTTCACGAATGTGATGAGGAAGAAGGATTTTATATGTCTTGAGAGGGTCAGGGAAAAGATCACGAACGTCCTCGAAGGTCTGGAGCTTCATACTGGAGTGTTCAGTGCTGCAGAGCAGAAGAGAATAGTAGATTTCGTGCATGAACTTCAGGAAAAGGGCAGGAGGGGACAATTGGGAGGTAAGACGCAATCGTGTTTTGTCTTTTCTCTGGCTTCTGAAAATCGTATGTAGTACCATGGGTTTCAATCTTCAAAAAAAGCTTAAGACGTGCATTCATTCCGTCGGGATCCTGCCATGACATAAAATCTCTAAAACCAGTAAGTTGGCACCTAAACTCGACCTGTACTTCCCAGCATGTTGTACCTATCATTCGAGTTCCAAAGATAGAGGCGTTGCCAGTAGTATGCTGATTTTTTTTGGCTTGGAATAGATGAGATGGCCGTGTGCATTGTAAATTTGATAACGTTAGGAGTGAGGAAGATTCACATTTATTTGGCCGATGACCTACATGACTCTAGATGTAAAGTTTTCAAACATTATGAACAACAGTTTGCAGGTCCAATGGCCTGGGCTGAGGACAATACCAATGGTGATCCCGATAGACTTTTCTGTAGAACTTAGGTGATTCTTACTCAAGTTTGGATGATTCCTTCACAATGAGGTTTGTAGATGGAAATTACCGACTTCAGATTAAGTGTATGAAAGAATTTGAGACATCATACTTTTATTTCAGGTTATTTCAGATGGGTTTTATTCTTATTATTGATGATTTGATTCCTTACCGGGAAAGCTAACTGTAGAGCAAGAAGGCCATGAGCTTATAAGCTGTTACATCAAACTCAAAATAAGTGGCGGTGGTGGAGCTAGAATTTATAAAACAGATATGATGCCGCAGGGGTGAAATGATGATTTTATGGTCTGCAAGAAACTCTCTAGCATATATAAATTCACGTTCTCCAATTTTAGGGCGATTAAGGGTTGAAATACAAAACGTTTGATGAAAATCCGCAGAAATGAAGAGTTCATCGCCAGCAAGAGACTGTCTAGTGTATGTAAATTCATGTTCTCCAATTTTAGGATGACTACGGGCTGAAATACAAAACGTTTGATGAAAATCCGCAGAAAAGTTATGCTTAGTGCAGAATCAGCGTCCATCCAATGTTAGGACTTATATTTTCATCACAGGAAATGCCCTCTCGTCATTCTGTGATGAATTGATTATTTTACGAGAACCTTGGGAATCATTTTCATTTAAGTTGAAATATTGTTTGAGAAACTCCTGACACCAAATTTGAACCTGCTGAGTTAGACAGAACTAAGAAGCCTCAGTTTGATTCCTAGGGAACCTAATTCTCGCTGATTACCTTATGTTGAATTGGGGATAAGACCGGGATTGCCACTGTCTTTCCCTGATTATTTAATATGTTGGGGTTATTACTTGAAAGTCACTAAGAAATTCAATGATGGGTTTTTAATTGTACACTTGTATTGTGGTAATTGGCAGGAAATATGTTATTATCTGGAAGTGTAGCTAGTCCTCCATATCTGTAAACCTTGCCTTATCTGGTATCTACACAATCATGTCGACGGAAAAAGCCACGGAAATGCAAAGTGGGGACTTCCTGGTCTATTTCCCATACGGGTAGGGCATGGTCCACCTATATGGTGTTCCTCGTTAATCTGAACTTTTGTGCTATTGAGAATTGGTCCATATTATTTTGAGTTCGTTCTCTTGTTTCTGGGAAAAAACATTAAGGTTGACTCATTACGTGGAATTTTTTGAAGACAATGTAACCTTGTGGAGGTTTTTTTTCGTCCTGATTCTCATTCCTATTTCTAGGGAATCCCAACAATTAGAAACAATGTCAAAGTGCTCATATTATTAAGGAAGACATGACGTGGGTACTTAATGTTGTTCCCTCTATAAATTCTCTGCAATTTGAAGTTGCTTTCTTCACTTTGTCACTTCTATCATAAAATATGGAATTTTATTTTCTCATACTTCTTCCGCCAGTTTTTCCATGTTTATTTGGAATCATCACCATCATTAAGTCGGTTTCAATGCGCCTAAACCAAGTTGTAGAAGAAGAATGCCAACTTTATAATCCGGACGTGGCCCAGCACAAGCAAGAACAACGTAACCTAGCCCTATTCCAACTTGATTATATGTCATATCAATTAATTTTAAAAAAATAATGTAGATTCTCTGGAGCTTGACAGTCCAAAACTACATCTTCAAGGGACACCTCAGAGCGAATCTACCTATGTAGTTTGTGACTTTACTATTGAGAGTGATGATCTTCTCTCTACGCACTTTTAGAACTCGTCAGAGATGATTCTGCACTGATCAACTTTCACGGGATAGTGATGCTTTGTGTAACCGAGTCCTTCATCTATTTCCCTGTTTGTCCAGTATTTCATCTTTGTTACCATACAATCTGGCAATATTTCGTTATTTTTCGTTCTATATAAACTCACGCAAAGTTTGGGGAACTGCTGAACTGATGAAGGATAGCTTCAACTGCCTCCCCCTGACGTGGAACCCAAATATGTTCTAATATTCAAAATAATGCTTATCTTGTATTTACCATCAGTTTTTAATATCTGTTTTTCTGTGTGAATCTTTGGCCTTAGTTCACTTCCTTCGTACATATTAGGATTGGATCTGTTTTCTTTCTCACTCAAGTACTCTCCATTTTATTTCGTGTTTTACTTTTATGCTTTGACGGATCATTCATCATGTTTACTTGATGAATGTTTTGTGCTTATCTGCTCTCTACAAAAAGAAGAAGAAGAAAAAAAGAAAACATATTCTTCATCAAAGAATGCCAATTCCGTAACCACACTTTCTTCCCAATCGCGTAATTTTTTTTGCCCACCGATACTCTGGCGTAATGAAAACGGAAACCTCTGCTTATGCTCACATGCAGAATGCGCGTATTCTGGACCAGAGAAGTGGATGAGGGTTAAAGGACGGGCGACCATCCAGTTTGGCTGTTGCTACAACAATGCCATGGTTATCCATCTTCCAGATCATCAGTTTCGTTTACAGCCGCCTCTTTCTATTGACTTGATTGGCTGAACTTCCCATACAGGACAAAGATGGGAACCCTCCAGGCATCTTGAGAAATGTGGCCGCTGAACCTATACCCTCACTCTTCAAAGTGATCATCAGGAGGCTGGTTCGATGGCACGTCCTTCCTCCATCGTGCATACCAGACAGTTGCATTGTTAATATCTATGATCCTGGTGACTACATACCTCCCCACATTGACAACCATGATTTTCTTCGACCATTCTGCACGGTTTCCTTTGTCAGTGAGTGCAACATACTCTTTGGGTCGAACCTAAAGAACTTGGGTGCTGGCAACTTCACCGGTTCAGCTACAATTTCCTTACCTGTGGGGTAAGTATCATTGAGGTCCAGAATTTATCGTTGATATTTTGAAATCTGTCCAAGTGTAGCCTACCTTTCCTCCTGAATCCTTGTATTTTCATTTAATTTGGACCTTCCAACCTCATGTAACTGGGTGTTTAATTTGAAAGCGTGCCCCATTTAATTTGAGGAGCTATTGAAAACAATGGGCAGGATGTGCGCATTCTTAGATTTTACTTTTTTTACGTGTTGAATGATCCTACCAAATCTTTGTGCACAGTCAAGCCCATCCTTCTGTTGCATGATCATAACAAATCTCTGTTGATCTCTTCAAGCAGTCGAATCATTTCAAAGGTTTTTTGGCCTTCTCTATTCCATGATTATGCTTCTTACATAACTTGATAGATGAGTTTTGTTCTCTTGATAGATAGTGCTCTTCCATGTCTATCTCATCATTTGCTGTTTTAATCAGAACGCATCTATGTTTCAATCGACCAAATATTTTCTCCTTCCGAGCCAAATTATTGAGTCGTCGATTCTTTTTTACAGGTCGGTGATTGTCCTGAACGGCAATGGAGCCGATATTGCCAAGCATTGCGTGCCGGGCGTTCCCCACAAGAGGTGCTCTTCTTCGTCGAACCCTTTCCTCATGCTTCTTTGACAGCCTTCATCAGTTCGTTGGGACCCTATGCTTGTCGGCGGCAGGATCTCCATCACATTTAGGAGAATAGACGAAGCCAAGCGTCCATTCAGCTTCCAACCCGAGCCAGATCTCCAGGCCATCCAGCCCCTCTCGTACGACACAAATGCGTCGAAGAAGAAGCCATCCCGCCGCAGCATCGGCGTGGCGGATGCGGCGGCACATCCGCCGAGGGCCGAGCACGGCGCGCAAGACCGGCGCGCGCCCCCGCGCGATCGCGAGGCGGGCAGAGGAAGGAAGAAGCCGTCGCGGGTGGTCATCGACGGGCGGTCCTTGGCGGACGGCGATGCACCGCCGCCGCCGTCGGACTCGTCGGGCATCTTGCCGCTGCCGCCGGGATGTGCCGACGAGCCCGCGAGGAGGGCCGCCAGGTCGGCAGGGAGGACGGTGGTCGTCGAACAGCAGAGGATCGTCGTCCGGAGGAACCTGGACGGGGACGAAGAGTTCCCCTCGCCTTCGATCTTCGCACCCTCGGAGAACCCGGGTGGTGGTGACTCTCGGTTCTCGGGGTCCAGGCCCGCCAACCGCCGGCGGCGTAGGATCGGGCATGTCACCCACGGCGTTGACTGATGTCTCTCTCTCTCTCTCTCTCTCTTTCTCTGATGAACAAGCAACATGTCGTTAGTCTCTGAGTGGCGAACACGCTACGAGGTCTACGGAAAGATCTCCGGCACTGAGCCTTTTCAGGCTCCTGGGGCAGCCCCACGCGACTCTGGCCGCGGCTCTCCTGATGCTGACGGCACGGGCGCGGCCTTTGTCGTCTCTGTCCTCACCGCCCTCGATGGAAGCCACCGTGGCACCATGAGGGGACATACGACGAGCCAGGCATGATGCGGCTAAGCCAGTCTGAGGAGCCGGTCGAGGAGGCCGATGTTTTTTTTCCCTGACACACGTGTCAGTCGCTAGGTGGAGAAAAAGAAGGAAGTTATCTACGTGGCTCTCCTCCATAGGCTGTCACTGGACTCAAGATGGATACTAATTTTCATAAAACATTTTGAATGAATAAGACTAACATGATCGAACTGTTCCTTGCCCCTCTGTTCCAGCTGGATCACGTCGTCGGGTCAACATGCCGTTGCAGCATTTGCGCAAGAACTGGACGGTGCCGGTTGATAATTGTGTGTAAAGCGAGTACGCAGGATACTTTTAGAGACCTCTTTCTGCAGGTCAAGCTGGTCCCTTTCCGTCGTCTGGGGAACCCAGATGGCGATGTCAGGGGCGGCGGTGCGGCGGCGGGCGAGATGGTGACGGGCATGGTGCGGGGAGGAGGTGCCTTCACTCGGCAGGGACTTGGGCCTAAACCGCAGACGCCTGCAAATAGGTAGAGATCCCTCGCCGTGCGGCGTGGAAGACGTGAACCCGATCCTCTCCCCCTTGCGCGTGCGCGGCGCTCGCTTTCTCGTCCAAGTAAAGAGGGGCTCCGAGTACGCAACCTAGAGTGGGCGACTTCGAACAGCTGCGACTCGCATAAATGGCCATGCTTTTACCGTAAGTTATCGGTGCAGTGAGAACCAATGCTCTCTCTCTCTCTCTCTCTCTCGCTGTAAATTCTCTGTTAATTTGGGTTCGTCAAGAGCCCGAGGTAATTACAATTTTAAGATTAGGATATGAAAGCACCAGAAGAAGATTTGTAAGTCGATTGATAGCGATAAAGAGAGTCTAGTTGATTCTGTCCAGGGCATCTCTTGGGTGAAAGGAGAGTAGGGTTCTCGAGAAGAGAATCCTTCTACCTTTCCCCCTAGGTTATCAGACGCCGGGGGACGATATGGCGAGGTGACTCCGCCATGCAGATCCCTTTCAGAGGAGTGGAGCCGGGGACATCGATCAGATGTTTAAAGCGGACTTTTGCGACATTATTTATCGATGAATTAAAAACGGGTTTCTTCGTCGCTGCAGCAAGAATGGAGGTCGGAGTGCAGAGGGCAAGTTGAGAGACATATCTTCGCAAATCTTCGTGGAATCCTCGGAGATCTCCTGCGGAAGGAGAATACTCGATGATTACCCCTGAGAAAAAGGCGAGGGATGCTTTAAAGGCTCTACCCCCTCGGAAATGCTCCTATGTGGATCATAGCGAGGGAGGTCGCCATTTGAGCATTGCCGTGGGGGGCAACCTTCGAACCTCTTGCTGCCTATCCGTGTATTTTGGGAGAGAGAGAGAGATGAACGGGGAGGCTGGGCACGAGGCAAGACAGGGGAAGGAGAAATCTTACGGTCATGTGTCAATATCAGGGGAATACAGCAACCTGAAAAGCAAGACTCGGTCCCTCGGCTGTTGTACTGACAGAGCCCCACTCCGTATTATATATACGCTAGGGAGAGGAACTACGGAGAGGTGGCTCTCCGCCGGTCCCCCGCGTCTATCTTTCTCTCTCTCTCTCTCTGAGAGAATTACTACGAAACTACGAATGGTAGCGTGGATGCTGAAGTCTCTGTTGGGATCAGAGACGGAAGAAAAGAAATGCTCGGTCAGAGAAGAGGAAACAAAGGAACGAGAGGGCAACAACAGAAACTTCTGGGGAGATTCGTCTCATCCCCGGCCCCTCCGCAGCTACTTGCCGTTCGCCATGGATGGGTTCCTGCGTTTTTAGAAAGCTTGTAGCAGCAGACGGACATCTCATCCTCCATGAACAGTGAGTGGGAGGGGAGATGATGAACTGAGACCCCGACTGCTGCAATGAATTTGACGTCGCGGAGTCCCAGAAGGAAGAACTCACGGGCCGGACCGCCTTCTCCGGCTGCGAATACCCACCCCGGGATGATTCTCCGAGGAGAAATCCCATCGCCATTGACGCCTTCTGCTCTCCGCCTGAGCTCCACGAAGTCATCATTTTCCGCAGGAGGGACAGGCCAGATACTACTCCGAAGATAGTCAATGTACAGAGAGAGCTCCAAGGCACTTACAGAGAGACCCCCATATCAGAACCACCACCCCTACGCGATAAGTGAATAATGGAGACGTCAACCTCGGCGATGGCCCGTCGGAGGACATGGGCCTCGCCATAGCCACACCTCGCCGGATATCAGATGGTTCAGGCACCGTATATCGCTCATTTATCTCTCAATCTTTTTAGTCGTACCAAAAATGGAAGGGTGGGCCTCCACGCTTAAATGAACCAGCTTGCTTCCTCTCGGCGGGGTTCAGGGGAGTTCTGGGTCTTGGGAGGGACGGGAAGGGATTTACAGATTGGTCTCTGTCACAGAATCAGTGAAAGACCCAGTCTGCTGACTGACCTGCCCGGAAGCCCCCCCCGACCAATACCTCCCCATTAAAGGCTCGAGCCAGATGAATCGGGAAGGATGTAGGCGAAAATCCGTAGGTACTTCTCATGTTCGGCAAGTATAGCTCTCGTGAATGCGGCCTCGCCCTCTAGCCTGCGCACCTCTCAACCCTAGGTCTTCAGCCTTTCTCCCTCCGCCCTTCTCCTCCGAGCCCAATTGCCCGTAAGGACGAAGAACAACATAACTCTCGGTCTCTGCGTTTAGAGAGAGAGAGAGAGAGAGAGAGAGAGAGAGAGAGGGTGGGAGAGGGAGGGAGAGGGAGGGAGAGGGAGGGAGAGGACGGCAGAGGCTAGGGTAGGAGGGGGAAGGGAAGAAAGCATTGTTAAGGAGGAAGGAGGGCTCACCGAAGGGGGAGGATTGTTGAGATGGGCTGCAGCCCCAATGCCCGCCACACCTCCCACAGTTCACTGTCGACCTCACATTAAAACCTCGTAATCATACACCAGACGCCCTCCCTCCCCTCACTGTGGCGAAGAATGGGCTGCCATTTAAACCCAGTGGGGAGCTGGAGGGGTTCCAGAGATCGCCTCTACGTTGCTCGCTCGCTCGTTCTTTCGTCAAAGACGGACTGCGGCCATTACCGTGGAGAATGTGAAACCCATGGCAATAAATTGGCAATAAATAAAGCGCATATTAGTATGTGCATGAGGAGGGACCAGGATTTTCCTCTGTCTGTTCCGCTCCTGAGCTACGGAGTGTAATCATGTTCTTGCATGCCTTTTCATCCAAGCAACTCCAGTTCGAGCCCCAGCTTTCTACCCCCTCCCTTGTCCCTTCCCTCTTTAAGCTCCCTTCTGTCAACTTCAGTCCTTCTCTCAAAGATATCCGTCTGATCTCCCAATCTCCTGCTCCCTCTCTCTCTCTCTTCCCTCGGATCCCACTCCATTCAAATAGCCCCTTCTAATTCATTCTCGTTTCCAGCGTTCCGGCTCCCTCTCTACACTTCTCTTCAGACGCTCTCCCTTCCTTCGTGGGCTCTCTCCCCTTCTCGGTCCCATGGAGCCTCAGAGCTACCAACAGCCGCAAGAGGACACCAGCGGCGGCGCCGTCGGGAGTGGAGCAGGGGGGGGCAGCAAGAGCAGCTTTCTATGCCGGCAGTCGAGCAGCAGGTGGATCCCCACAACCGATCAGATAAGAATACTCAGGGACCTCTACTACAATTGCGGGGTGAGGTCCCCGAGCGCGGAACAGATCCAGAGGATATCCGCCAGGTTGCGCCAGTTCGGGAAGATCGAAGGGAAGAATGTTTTCTACTGGTTCCAGAACCACAAGGCCCGAGAGCGGCAGAAGAAGCGGCTCACCGTTGATGTTACCTCGAATAAGTACAACAGCCCCAGCAGCGTGATTTCCCCAGGTCTCCCTCTCCCTCTCTCCTTCTCTCTCTCTCTCTCTCTCTCTAGACCACGCGAAGCCTGTTCTCTATCCTTGTCTTATGTTGCCGTTTCCAGGCGTTCCGACGGCTTGCACTTCGCCGGGGCTGTACTTCGGGCAGGTGAGCGGCAATGGATGTGGCGGCTCCCCGTCGATGGAGAGGAGCTACATGGTATGCCGCCCTGAGTGTTTTTGCTATCTCTGGTCCTTGAATTTCCAGTTCTCATTCGTTCCTTGATCAACAACTATTCCATTCCTGCTTAATTTCTTCTCTTCGACCATTTGACGTTCACTATTTATGCATTGAGCGAGATTCATGACCAGGAAGCAGGCTCACGTTTTTTAAGAGACGACGATGGTGGGTCTGGTGGTTGCAGGAGTATGCTATTCCTGGGGGGCTCGCCGGAGGATCGACGGTGGAAGGCGGCGTGGGCTGGATGGGTGTAGAGCCGCCGGCCGTGCCGCCCATGTACTATCACCACCAGAGATCGTCTTACTACTACGAGCAGGAGCACCATCATCACCGTGCCCAGCAGCAGCGAGGAGGAGAGGCGGCGCCGCCGCCGCCGCCGCCGCATATTGAGACTCTCCCCCTCTTTCCCGTCCGCTCGGAGGAGGACATCCTCGGGTCCGGCTACATCCCCATCAGGGCCCATTTCTCCGCCGCTTATCTGGACCAGCCGCAGTCGGAGGAAGAAGAAGACCGGCGGCATTACAGAGTGTACGGCGGCGACGGCGCCTCACTGGAACTCTCTCTCTACTCCTTCGACCCATTACCAACCACCTCTTCGTGACCTCCGTCTGCGTGTTTTTCTAACAAGTTCTCGACCCGGCTCAGCCATGATTAGACAAAACTCGAGCTCGCCATAACCTATCATGTTTACGAAGCACTGCTTCTTCTCTCACGGTTGTGGAGTTTGACGAAGATGATGCCCATCTTTGCTACGTATTAAAAAACCCCACTGAAAACTGCAACGTTATTTCGTCATCAGCTTCACGCAGAGACAAAAACTCCCTCCCCCACAACCCCACCGACGAATAGAAAGAAACAGAAGGATCCATGGGACCGTACATCCGCTCCGCCCGGTTGCCGGGTAACGGTTAATGTGGCACGAAGAGGGCCGGAGTAGCTAGCCGCCGCCCCTTCCCAATTCCTCCGCCGGTGGAGACGGGGAGGCTCCGAGATATGCCGTCGTAGGTGCTGTTCTTAGCCGCGGCCTGGGGTTTATCAGCAGTAGTCGACTGTTCAGCACGGAAGGAGCATTTACACCGGATCTCTCCGGCGATATGATCGTTCTTGGAGTCGTAGTTGTTCGGCGATTGGACAGCTTGAGCTCGTCTTCTTCTACCCCCACGGCTTCGGCCCGCTTCGCAGCGGAGAAACTACCGGCTTCTCCATGTGGATTACTCCCCGTCAAGCTCTCTGATTCGGGAATCTCTCGCCGGACCATGGAATTCAACGAGCGGGCGAAAAGCTGAAAGGAGGACGGAGACGGAGGGGTCAATACCGTAACCTACTGTTTCTGGGAAACAGACATTGATGAAACAGGGGGAGACAATTCCACGTTGCGAGGCGTCAATCCCTCTCGTCGAGACGGGATTCGAGTCCTCTCACCGGCTGCTCGTCCCTCGTGAAGGCCATCAACTACCAGGAGCCGGAGAGGACACCCCCCCCCCCTCCCCCCGCAGGTCCGTGAAAGCCATTAACCAGACGGCTTCCTGGAGCATGAGGGAGCTCTGAATTCATGCCGCAGGGGGTTTCGGCATGCACGGCGGATGAGAACCAGAGCTCCAAACTGCTCTCCGTTCTTCCTCTTGGGGAGATTCTGGAACCATTTCTCACGTTGTGAGTTGGGTTGGATTTACTTCTCAAGATCAAGAGCGATTTCTCAACGAAATATTGAGATTAATTTTTATATAAAAAAACTTCATGAGATCTTCGTGAAGAACGATGGAGGAAGATCTCATCAGGGCGTAGGATGGCCCTGGACCTCTAGATGGGCCTTTAGCCCAAGCCCATTAAGGCTTCCTTTCTTATGGGCCACAAGAAGAAAGGATTTGGGCTTTGGGCGGCCAGAACCCCATCTACGAACTGGGCTACGAAACGGGGCGATATCCGTCATCGTCCGGGTTAAAGCGGCCCATTAGCAGATAACAATATATATATATACTGATTAAAATAACATTCATAAATAAGATATCCCATAAAAATGTAGCCCTATATCGTCGGCCGAACCATGGCCTTCTCCGATGGCGACCGGTCGCCATCAGATGGCCGTGGTCGGCCGCGGTGGTTGGCGGCGACGATAATGGAGCTCTCAGTGAGACGCTCAGAACTGCGATGGCTCATTAAATCACGCTGCTTTGCTATCCCGGATCCCCTCTCCGTCCCCACGGGAGTAGGTTGGAAAGAAATTAAGAAATTAGAATGGCGGGGCCGGCAGAAGCGTCGCGGTTTAGTTCGCAGGTCACTTCACCGCCGCTAGGGTTCGGTCTCCAGGGTCAGGCTCCTTCCTAGCAGGGAGCCCCTTGGGGCCCCTCCCCCTGTGGACCTCGGAGAGTAGGTTATCTAACCCGCCCCCATCTTGGAGGTGGGCTGCAATAGCCGACCCTTCGTCAATGGCAATGCAGTTAGTGTAGGAGGACAGTCATTGGATTCCTCCACGGTGTTTGGCGTCTTTTATCGTCCGATACACGACGTTCTTCGTGGGATAGATGGGAACCTCGACAGAGTACAAGAATATGTGATCATGGGATGTTTCCCCGGGGGCCCTCGGACTGATGTGTTGGGCCCCCCGAGCGGCACCGGGGCATCTGCCTCGCCGGTGGCCGCTTCTTCCTGCTCGGACAGCGAAAGAACAGCGCCGGCGTTCACGGACCTCGGCGTCGGCGATCAAACCCGAGAACCAAACCTTGTAGGTGGCCCACGAGATACAGCGCTAGCGATTATCATCGTCGGGGTTCACGGACGTCAGCGTAATCGGCACAATTCGATAGTAGATTGGTTGGAAAAGATCTGAAAAAATCGTTGTCGTGGAGTCGGTCTGAAAGCGACGCTTCACTCGCGCAGGTAGACCAACACTTTCCCCGGTATTCACAGTCTGATCTGCGAGAAGTCATCTCCTTGGAATCAGCAAGAACAGCTGTGGCCGCACGGATGTCCAAGCCAGGAGGGCATCGTAAAAGCCATTGCTACCGGAACATTCCCCATCCGCTCTTCTTTACCAGAGAGTCGCGGCGAAGAAATACATTCGATCGACCAGATTGCGACCGTCTCTTCGTGTTTTTCTCTGATTTCGGGTTCTCTACGATCTTACCCCCTCGTAATCCCAAATTGTCGTCAGATTTTTGGCCGGGGGGAACCCGTGGGCATGCTGAGGTGTCGCCATTTCGGACATCGCGGCCCACAGTCGAGCTTCCCGATGATTGCGACGTCCACGGTAGCATAAACCATGGGCCCTGCAGGACCATGCGTGACATGGTTGCCGGAGGAGAAACTGGAGATCATTTATTCTTGGTCTTGTTCTTCTTTTTCAATTCAGAGGGCGTGCTCCGACCCGGGCCCGGAGGAAGAGGACGTGGTGACAACTGCGCGTCCACTCAGCTCAGCTGAATTGGAGGCACGCCGCTGCCGATGGGTCGCCTGAAAGAGTGGCCGCCACTCTCCTCAGATCCTTCTACCGGCGACTTCCCCGTTGGCCTTTTGCTCTTTCTCTTCTTCCGGCCCGTCGGATTCTCCACTTGCTCAACCAAATCCTAGAAGGAATAAGAAAATGGGAGAGGAGTGACGTTCAGTTTTGTAATTCATACCTGCTGTGCCCTACTCTTCCTGTTCCATCAGATAAAACTGCCGGCAAAGCCCACTGGTAGCATCGAATCAAATGGAAGTCAAGGCCTTCTCCGAGAGTCTGCTCTACGGCGCGACGCGTCTTTCATTCAGCCAGTAACATGGGCGATCGGTCCGTGGGCTTTAGTAAGAGCAGTATGCTTAGCAGATTCTACGGGGGGGAAAAAGGCATCATCTTGTATAATGGTGTCAGTGTGTCCCATCTAGTCAAACCCTAATGTGATCTGTCTCTACTCCGGACCTAACGTTCGACGGGTACACCTCAGAAAATATAGACCGTATTTTTCTCAACATACAGCTGTCCGATCGTCTCTAACACTGAAACTGTTATCGCTTTTCTCCCTCTCTCCTAAACGAATTGAGATAGTCTAGGGGAGTCGTCCCTACCCGATCCCCTTCCCCATGGTAACCCTATTCTCATGATTCATAAGAAGAAATCCTAATTTCTCCACCCGGCATTAAATATTTCACTAAGTGGATACCTTATTTCACGCTCTGAAATCATAACTCCTAAATTACGTTGTTTTCATGGGCCACGTATGATACATCAACAGCAACTATCGAACTACCGGTTATGCAAGTACTTATCGATCTTGCTCAGTTTGTACACTTAATGATGACTTTTTTTACAATATTCAGGCACCCATTTCCATTTATATATGGTTAAATGATTTACACAAACAGCCAAGCACAGCACGCGAGGCGTTTATTCTCTGAATGAGTGAACAGGAGGATGATCTTGTATCTTTCTCTTCTTTGTCTACTTATCAGAGCCCGTCTCCGTCTTGTATGGCGATGAAAGGCCAGGCAAGTCCACGCAGTCGTCTGGAACGTCATCCCCCCACCGGACCAACCAGCGAACGCCAATGGGCAGATCGGACATGGTACCCATCCATTGATCGCCGAGGAGGCAAGAACCCCCCGAAGGGGTTACGGTGGAATGTAATCCGCCGAAGGCGAAGCTTCTATTTCCTAAACTCCTAATTTCTTTATCTGCAAATCGCGCCGTTTGAGGTAATCAAGGCTGACAAGGGTCCGGCTAGAAGCAGCTCACCAGATCCATCATCAATTCTTCATCATTTAGAGAGAGAGAGAGGTTAAATTTTCACTTTGGGCACACGGCTTAGGACACTCAACCCTGACAGTCGGGAGAACTACCGAATTATCCTCCCATTTTATACTCTAAAAGCTTGTAAAAATGATAATTAGGAATTCTTTCTTTGCCTTAATTAGGAATGAGCTTGTCTCAGAACAGGAGGCATTGGCGAGTGCTTTAAGATTTTTCTTTTTTTTTTATGAAATAATCGAGGTGTGACCGATTATATAACACCGACGACAGCTTAAATGGTGCGCCGCACGAGTAAGAACAGCCTGTTTTCGAGCGAGGGTTTTCGAGCACATGGCGTGCCTTGGTTATAGCGTTCGCTAGGTGGTCAACTCTCACAGACTGTTGACAGAGGGGTAGCATTAACGACTCATTAAGTATTCTAATGATTAGAATCATCTCATAACAGGTTCATCGATGGGAAAACCGAGTAGAGTTAGGTCTAAGCTCTCTCTCTCTCTCTCTCTCTCTCTCTCGCTATCTCTGTGGAGTAAATTCTGGAGTCAGATCTATAACTACGAGGTGTCTGGTCTACAGACTCGGACGAGCAGGCGTTCCGATCTCGCTTTACGGGAGGGTATTAATTGGTAAAATTAAAGGGAGCGGTGGTGTTGTATTTTAATAATGCAGCACTCGTACACTGTCCTCTTCTTTTTATCGATTCACCGTGATAAAAGCAAGCGGCGGGCCAAGATGCGAGCATCATAACAGAGGCCTCCTACCATTTTATAAATCTCCAGGTAAGAGAGAGATAGAGACAGAGACAGAGACAGAGACGGAGATAGAGAGAAAGACAGGGAAGGAATGGAGAAAAAGAGAGGCGGAGGAGCTTAAGTACCAGCTGCAACAATACTCGCACCGGCGGTTCTTCTTGGTTCTCCTCGCCATGGCTCAGCCTTTCCTCCCAAGCACTCCTTCCTCTTCCTACCATGGGAGCCAGAGCGACAAGCTCAGCCTTAGCCGTACACGGAGCAGCACCAGCAATGGGCGGGTTCACAGGCAGAGTAGCCACCAGCAACAGAGGCAGCTGCAGCAGAAGCAGCATCGCAAGAAGAAGAAGCAGCAACCGTCCCCGCCGCCGAAGCCTCCGTCCTCGTGGGAGCAGCTCAAGAGCTTACTCACCTGTCGAATCGTCGGGTTGACTCAGGTCCACGACCCCTCCTCCGCCGCCGCCGCTGGCGGAACGGCGAAGAACGGCTCCAAGTACTCCAAGCTGGGCTCATCCTGCACCAGCATCTGCACCTTCAAGGATGTCGTTCACTGCAACACACGAGCCATCCACCACCGGGGAGACCACGACGCTTTCCCAGACAGCTGCAGCACCGCCAGCGGGACCCTCGGCTCCGAGATCGGCCTCCTCCCCGCCCGCAGCATCTCCCGGCACAAAAACCTCTCCGGCAGCGGGGGCTACTCCGCCGCCACCTCGTCCTCCAGAGGTGGCTTGCAGCTGAGGAAGCTCTCCGGGTGCTACGAGTGCCACGCCATCTCCGAACCCCGGAGGTAAATTAATCGCACGGCCAATTCAAACCCGTTAGAGGATGAACATTCTGCAGTCATCAGAATCAAATATCGGATTATTTAGTCGTCTGATGGCGGGCGAACCAGGTACCCCACGCCGAGGACCATATGCTCGTGCCCGGAGTGCGGCGACGTGTTCACCAAGGCGGAGAGCCTGGAGATGCATCAGGCCATCCGGCACGCAGGTACCTGCCGGTTCACCTCCCTTTGCTTTCTGGGACGCCGCATTTCCATCCCCAACAGAGGAAGAGGCTACCTCAAGATGTTGTGAAGGGGGGGTGGGGAGGGGGGGGGGGTTGTCTTGAGTGTGGCTTGAGAGTTCTCTCTGTTCAGAGAGGGACAAGGGGAGGCCCTCGTTTTGACTGTTCCAGATGAAGATTGGTGACGACGGCTTACTTTCTGCACCCCACCCAGCCTCCACTCGCTGCCGACGTCGCTAGGTTCTTGTTCGGTTTTATCAGCTAGGCGGAGGAGAAAGTCTAGAGCCGCTACCTGTTGCATTTCCATAGATTTTCCATAGATTCTGTGTTTGGTGTGAGACTATTATCTTCCACGGACCGAGAGGCCGCTCCTGTCTGTCTCTTATAGATTTCAAAAGTCTTCTCTTGCTGCCACTGGGCGGTAAAGCTCCAGATCCTACGACGGGGTAGGGACGATTTGATGCTATCCCTTAGTTTACGCGACCGTCAATTATCATCATCTGCCTCTATCGTGTGGAGTAGAACAAGGGCCAGCACAGAACAATTGCCAGTGAAATAATGGAGAAGGGATTTTGGTTGCAGTGTCGGAGCTGGGGCCCGAGGATTCGGGGAGAAACATCGTAGAGATCATCTTCAAGTCCAGCTGGCTTAAGAAGGACCAGCCCCTCTGCAAGATCGAGCGCATTCTCAAGGTCCACAACACCCAGAGAACCATCACCCGCTTCGAGGACTACCGCGACTCAGTCAAAGCGCGCGCCGCCGCCGCCCTCCTCCAACTCAACGCCGCCACCGCCAGGCACGGCGGAGCGGGGAAGAAGAACCCCCGGTGCGCCGCCGACGGCAACGAGCTGCTCCGCTTCCACTGCAGTGGCCTCAGCTGCAGCCTCGGCGCACGGGGCTCCACCAGCCTCTGCTCTTCCTCGTCGTTGTCCTCTCCAACGCCTTGTGGCGTCTGCACCATCATCCGGCACGGGTTCGCTCGAGCTCACCATGAGCCCGGGAAAGGTGTTCGGACCACCGCCAGCAGCGGGAGGGCCCACGACTGTTGTCTGCGGGCCAGCGGCCATGAACCAGACGGTGGCCTGGGGAGGAGAGCCATGTTAGTTTGTCGTGTCATCGCCGGGAGAGTCAGGCCGGTGGGCGACGAAGCGGCGGCGGCGCCGCCCGACGAGACCGGCTCCTCTTCCTCCGCCGCCTTCGACTCGACAGCGACGGTGCAGCACGGATACTCCGACGGCGCGGCGGCGGGTGGGGCGTGCCCGAGCCTCGAAGAGCTCTTCGTTTCCACTCCCAGGGCCATACTGCCCTGCTTTGTGGTTATCTACCGGGTCACCGCCTGATTGGATGATCGGTATAGTAAGATTAGCGTTTAGGTAAATAAATGGTCTTCGGAATTAAGTCAAACAATAGACCAGAGTTGTGTACATCATCATCTATTAATAGCATTCACCCACTCACCAACTATTAAATGAATATCGTCCTTTATATAACGTAAAATATAAGGTGAGAAAAGGGGTCCATAAAGGGCACGTAGAGCAGTTCATCGCCTCCGAGCCCCCTTCTTCACGGTAGATTCTCTCTTTTTGTCCTTTCCCGACGAGCTTATTCTTTCTTGTTTTTTCCCTGAATTCTGATGTTCCCCTTGATTGATTGACTGAGTCTCCAATAATGGGGGGCTATCCTGGAAGCCCGCCGGTGCCAGACTGCCATTCATTTCCATCTTTCTACCTGTCTCTCTCTCTCTCTCTCTCTCTCTCTCCGTTGGCAGCGAGGTTAGCAGCAATGGTGGGACTACAAAATCCTCCTGGCGGCCAGGTCCGGATGGCCGGCGCTCCCGCGTGCTCACTTGTCTCCGCAATGCCCGGAGGACCATGGGTTTGGGAGAAAGGCGAGCATTAACAATTAGAACGAGGTTCTACACCAGAGCACGATACGAAAGGCGGAGTTGTTCATCTGTTCACGTAAAAGAGGGGGGGAGAGGAACGAGGGTGGAACTCAGATTCGCCCTCAACCCCCGCACTTTCTCTGATTAGTCATGATGAATCGTATTTATAAAATATAATTTGTTTATGGCGTTCGTATCCCAGCGGAAGCTGCGCTCAGATCCGTGAGCATCTTTCAACTGTTCTCTCTCTGCGAGTTTGTAAGATCCAGTGGAGATGGAGGATAGTCTTTCGGGCTTGGCTTGGTGAGCGGAATAACCATCCGATTCGTTTCGACCAGCCCACAACCCGTGGTGGGTCGCTTCTCAAGGCCGGCACGAGCTAGAACAGGTGCTCATCGCACGGACGAGATCACCCACCTGCCCAGAGATCTACCTCCGCAGCGATGAATGCGGGAGTAGAGTAGAGATAAACCAGGAAGGAATCGAAAGGAGAAACGATCGTTGCCCTCTTTCCGTTCGATCTTTGAGAATCCCCGAAAGAAGCCCAGTTTTGCGAAGAATGATAATCCTAGACAACCGGGCGAAAGAGGAAGGTGAAGAAGAAAAAAGGGGAAGGGAAAACTCAAAAAATCGGCACAGATCACCAGAATTGGATTTACAAAGAGGGGAACAGGAACCTTTTCCGAACTCCTTGTTTTTTTCCTTCAATAGTAACCAGTGGATCATACAAGAAATTCCTCGACACCGGCGGCGGCTTTCATCGGCTGTCGAAGAGGCCTTCCTTGAAGAGAAGCCCGAACAAGAGGACGACAAAGCCGAGGAGGGTGCACTGCGTGCTGGAGATGATGGTCTGCGAATACGCCGACATGGTAATCCCCGCGCCGAGTAGCCCGATCAGGAGGCAAGTCGTGTTCTTGTTCATCTTCCCCTTCCTCTTTCCTACGCCTTTCGATCTATCCGGATGCACCTTTTATGGGCCTCCAGAAAGATTCAGCAATAGCGAGGCGATGGGAAGTCAACCTTCCATAGATCTTCGCTAAATCGAAAGGGTGTGCCCTTTGCTGACATCCGAGGGCTCATTTCCCTCTAGGCGAAGAAGAGCTCTACCCCAAATTTCCGTGAGATGCAGAAACCGGAAAGTTATAACGCAGCCGCCACAACAACGTTGACGCCGAATCGAGAAGTCATGTCGAAGGGTTAACTCCGGCCACTTGGACGAGCGAGGACGATGGGCAAATTCGTCCCAGAGAGTTGACTATAGTTTTTATGATCCTTATTCTATTATACACCATTACATTAATCCTCCTACCCCGATCCAAACTTTGAAATGATTGCCGCCTATCACAGCAAAGTCATCCGGACATTTCTGAAAAAATAGTAAGAGAAATCCAACTCCTGGGGACTTGGAGGACGTGTTATTTTGAGACGAACGGAATGTTGAACGACAAGAACAGGCCGTGGAGGTAATCGTAATCGTTATTTTCCTCGAGAAATGTGTGTGGAGAACTCTGGGTAATCTTTCTTCGTTGAGAAGATGATCCCGAGCACAGGGATCAGCGCCCTTGTCTTCTTCTTCTTCTTTGTTGGCGTAGAAGCCTTGGCTTGGGGTGCTGAAAACTGCCTCTCGAAGACCTCCGGTGTCTCCATAGCCATGACTTCAGCGAGTGAAGGAGGCTTGGCAAATTTGACGCATCGTCTCTTCTGAATCTCGGGTCTTCCATCGGTGTTTGCGGGCTTCTCCCCCGCTTTCGGCTGGCTTGAATTGCCCAGTGACTCGATATCTTTGACCTCCGGCTCTTTCAGGCTGTTCTCGGTCTTACTCGGTTTCAACTCTTCGAGTTCCTTCCTGGTGTTGTGGAGCTCCTCCTGGAGCGAAGTGAGGGTGGTCATCATCATCATGCCCTCTTGTCTCGTTTTCTCGAGCATCTGCCTGGTTTCTTCAAGCTCGGTCTGGATCGAACCTAACCTGGACAGCCCGTTTTCCTCAGTCTTTCTTGCTTCGGTCTTCATCTAACAGAGAGGAGAGCAATCATCAGCTTAATCACTACCGAATGAATGCTGGAGAAGATTACCTTAGGTTCCTAACTTCACAATTGATAGAAAAGGTTTCAGAGAAAGGAAATAAAATAATTTTATGGATAGCTCTAACGATCGTTCTCTTCGTCAAACAATCATCGCCGATATGTGGCTTGACCGAGAAGACAGTCATCTCCTCTGAGGGTTAAGGCAAAAAGGACACGTTAAGAATAAACTCGACTGTCAAGCCTCGTGAGAGACCAGTTCCAGTAGCAGACTGCGTTGGCCTTCTCATGCTCTAACCAGTCACACGAGGAAAAGGAAGAGAAGCATGGAGGGGAATGGGGCTTCCCTTGAATTAAACCAGTGAATTGGCGAGAGAGGATGATGTATAACCGTTAGACATGTGAGATGATCAACCACAGCCTACTATTGCTTTGGGGGAGAGAGAGAGAGAGAGAGAGAGATGAAGATGATGATGAATGAGTCCTGCGCTTTCATACCTCATTATGCTTGTTGCCGTAAATCCCTCCGGCAAGGACTGTCTCTCCGAACAGCATGACGGCTTCCTTCACCGACCGGAAGGGAGCTCGGGTGTCGATCTCAACTCTCCCGATGACAGCACCACCACCGCTCTCCATTCTCGGCGTTATCTTCTGTTCTTCACTCCTTTCTCTTTTTCGTAGCGAAATGTCTGTTCTTATAAAAGCCGAGGAGAGGAGCTGAGTTTGCCGTGAGAGAGAGAGAAAGAGGGAAGGCAGAAGTTCAGCGGGGGCGCCGGTGGGGGCCGGTGCGAGTGGGGGAAGACGGGCGGTGGCCGGGGGGAGTTTCATGGATACGTAAAGTGCGGGCGTGAGGTTCGAACTTAACGAAGTCTAATAAAATCATGTGCCCCGTTGCTTAGCGTCCACTTCACTGTTATTCCGTCAACATTCTTGGTGGTTATGGCACCTCTAACAACCACCAGTTCAATTCATTCTTCGTTTCCAGTACACATCTCTACAGACGCCGTGAAGGAAGCCTCTTAGAGAATAGGTTGAGTTCTTTAGTAGAAGCTTAAGACTCTGACTAGTACGAATTCTATGATTCAGCGCACCAGCGCTCTAAATTATAATTATTTTGATAAATTCTTGAAATTCTTCTTGCATTCAACCGCTGCATTTTTTTATTTCTGCGTTGAACCAAACACAGTTTGACTTTTATGATTATTTTTGTGCAAACTTGTGTTGATTTAGTGTACAAGTCTATACTTGAAAAATATGGTAGATTTCTTCTAGTGATACTTTTACATGGTAATGATATACTCCGTACTATGTTAGAGCCAACATTTTATTTGCACAAAAAATTCAAAGAGTAAGTGCCAATCCTATTACTAACGACATATCTATTCTTTGTCAACAGAATAGCATGTATTTAGAGTCAACTCAAATTTTTCATTGAATAATAGGTGTTAATTATCCACCAACCGCAAGACATACTACTACATAAGAAGCCAAAAGTAGTAGTCAAAATCTACTGACATTTATAACTATTTTTTAAGGTACATAAGACTTTGTCAAGTCATCATTAAAATATTTCTTTAATCTTATGAATAATTCATTTTAATGAAAAAAATACAGGAATGTTATCAATAAAGAACTCTCTATCTCTCAATCTCTTTGAAATGCCTCATTGAAGATGAGAAATTTTTGTCATGTTATCATGTTTTTTTATGAACTTAATCACATATCTAGACTTCTTAACCAATTTAATAAGTTGTTAATTTTTTGGGTCGTATTTTACTTTTATAATAATAAAATAAGACCAAAGTTAGGCTTCCCTTGTAAGAAAAGTAATGTAGGACATTTGAAAAACTAACATGCAAGTAAAAGGCTAAAAATCAATCTTTGTAAGCAAAACTAGCTTTTTGATGGCTAGCCTATCCATTTATGCTTGAAATGCCTATGAAAACCGAGTAGCTATTCATCTATGGGGAACTTGGCACTCAAAACACCCTCATAAATAAGTATCAAAGAAATCTGAGTGTTGAATGATCAAGGAGGATATGATTAAAATTAAAATGAAATAAATGTATAACCGAAAGGGAAAAGAGTGCTAGACATAAGTTAGAGTAGGGAATATGAAAGTGTGGGGGTCAAGATAGCTACTTCTCATGATGCATCATTTCATTTTGAACATGTAATTATTTTTTCAAGTAATCTCTTCTCTTTAGTTGAGGTTACACTTACTTAGACCCAACCATAATTGAAAGCCTGAAGCTTTGACTATCCAAATTCTACAATGGGGTGTGTCAACTTTTGAAAAGAAAAGTTAAATCTTGTTTTGAAAAAATATAGATGAATATATAGATATTTTTATCACGGGTGTTCATTTACTATAATTTGAGCATGACATTACAAGTCAATCCTCATCAAATTTTCTTGATATTGAGAGAAACACAGGCAATGAGAGGCCACAACAACCAGAGTATTATAGGATATAGGATAGTTGATACCAATATGCTCTCCTCTTGATTCACTTTCTTCTCGTAACCACAATCTCACATTTTATAATATAAGTAGCTAATATTTAAAGTAAAATTTGTATTTTCCATGAATCTATATATTCCCTAAATGACTAAGGTCGAACCCTTTTAGTGTTTGTAGGAAATTTGTTATGCAATGGTAGCATCAAGAGTCATCTAGCATAGATTATCAGAACATGCCCATCAACCTGCAAATATACATACCGTCAGGGAATTTAGGTACCCTCGGTCAAACGTTTATGATACTTAACAGGGTTTAGATAAGTACCAAACGGTAAAAAATCGCGCCAAAAAAAACATCTTATTTGAATGCAGTGTATTTTTTATTTTTCAAAGTTTGGTATAAAGGCGAATGCATTGCTATAACTTGTGGTCGACAAACCGTGGTTCAGATGCTACCTTGTGTGAACTGCGGTTTAGAAGACCTGGAATTGCACTCTCCGTTCGAACAGCCACGTAGCGGGAAGAGGCGGCCAGCTAAAGGCGGTTCGTAGGAGGGGATCTTGGTTGGCCTGTGGCACTTCGTGACGTCGACGGCTGTAGTTCCTGCAGCTAGACCAGCTTCTTACGCCCGGATTCATGCTCTATTCGTAGTCTGAGGGAGCAGAAGTGCGATTGTTGTCCCTAGAAGTGGAGATGCAGAAGAGGAGGTACGGGCAGGTCTTCTCAGGTGACGACGAAGAGGATGGAGAAATTAGACGGGGTGAAGGCAGTGAGGGGGAGGATCCGAAGAAGGTACGGGTAGGAGGATTGCAGGAACCTGACGACGGGGAGGCAGCAGAAGAAGAAAAAGAAGAAGAGGGCGAAGAGGCTAGATGGAGAGCACGGGATGCAGAGGCTCCAAGGAATCCATGGGGAAGAGGATTGCAAGAGGTAGAATCAAGGAAAGCTGACAGCGGGAAAGATGAGAAGAGAGATGATGCACAGGAGGACATAAAGACGGTGATTTCTGATGAAAACAAGCTTTCAAACGGCATTTCTGATAATGAAAGTGCATCCTCGACTCCTGACATCCTGTCTAGAGAAGAATCTCCAGGACCCACGATAGCGGAGATTCCGAGAAGCCATCCAAGTGAAGCCTCAGAAATTCACGTAGCTTTAGAGAAATTGGGGGCATTGACGGGAGATGTGCATCGTGTGAGGTGGCTGGAGAAACTTGTTCAAGGATTTCGGCTCGTTGGCAGTTTGGAGGAAAATGTGTCCTTGGATAATGGGAAGAAGGTGAGTGAGCATGCTGCAATTTTAGGCCTTCTTTCATCATCCTGGGGACTTTTTCCCGGTTTTCGATACGTCTTCTGTTTCATCAAATAGTCAATCTTTGTCTGGTTTCCCGATCGGAAATAAGCTCCCGGAACTTATAACTCAGTTTTCCTTGGATCTTGAGTCGTTGAGTTTAAGTAAATGCTCGACAGTTTATCGTCATAGTTCTAACTTCCGTTTCTTTTTCTTTTTTTTCAGGCTAGGGAAAGCTTTTCCTGGCCAGATTCTGCTCTTCCGATGATAGTTGCTCTTGAGAAGACAGTGCACGAAGCTCTTGGCTCCGATTTTCGCAAGTATAATCAAAAGATGAGGAAACTGGATTTCAATTTTAAGGTCATACTCATGCTTATTTGCATAATTTCATGAACTTTTGAATCATGCGCTTCGTCTCTCACATTCAATAACCATCAATAATCCACAAGAACAAAGATTCCGCATGATAAGGAATCTTCCCACTGTAATAAAGTATTTCATCATCCCATAAAGCAATTTTCTTATTGTGCTTGTGCATATCAATGCCTCCGTTTAATGAGCAATCGAACCTTCCAGCGCAACGCGTTGCTCACAAGACGTTTCCTAAAGGGGGAATTAGAGCCTAAAGTGATTCTCAACATGACTCCAGAGGAGTTGAAGGTAAAAAAAAACCTCTCATCTTCGTTCGTTGACATTTTTCATGAAATGGGCATTCCTTCGTTATCATTTCTGAGGATTAAATTAGAGAAAAATTGACAACGTGCAATGGTTATGAGCAAAAGATATTTAACTTAGTTTGAGTGCTTACGTGCTTGAAATGCGCGTATTTTTTGAAAGCAATGGTTAATCAGCGTATTCTCCAATAAACACAGTATTGGCCAGTGTTGTCTCGCCTATTATACATTATCCATTTATTTAATATTATAATTTTAGGCCCAGCTGATGTACAAATCGTCCAAGTAAGGATCATCAATTGCACCATGGTTTTTAAGGATATATGAGAAAAAGAGTGCATGAAAGGATGCATATATATTAAGACCATAACTCCCTACGAACAGTTCCATTTTAAAGCGCATATCTTCGCCATAGCAATTGCACTTGTACTATCTACATTTTTTTTGTCTGATCTCGTGATTACACGTTTATTTTATTTATCTATTAGGGTTTATTTTTTTTAATTTTCTAGGTTTTTTTTCCAACATTTCCCTTCTGGAAATTCAGGAAGGCTTGACTTTTAATGAGAAGAAGAAGAAGGAGCCTGAGCAGTTGCAGTACATTCAGGTTCTGTTTTATGTTAAAAGGCTTTCTGTTCCGGAGGTCCTGGTCTGGATGCCCTCAAACTAGGCTTCCTTGCGCTACGTCAGATGGCAGATGCTCGGTGTTCGAGATGCGCGGAAAGGAAGGTGGGGGTCGTAGAGATCATCCATGCGGGAGGATCTGGTGATAGGTATCAGGTCAGTAATTTATCTCATACTGGGTACAGTCCTTCTAAAACTTGATATAATTTCCGCTCTTTTTGTTGGTCTCCTGAAGGCCTGCTGAGATTTTATGATGTTCATCCCACCCGTTTAATCCAGTTGGAGTGTGCTTCATGCGGCCACACCTGGTCTGCTTCCATAGATGATGTGTCCTCGTTGACCATCGATTCACCAAGAGCGGTGGGAAACGTCGGTGCTGCACCGTGGGCCACCGCCAAGTTTGAAGACGTCGAGAGGAAGCTGCTGAGCCCCCATGAAGCTGGGAAGTCCTCGATCGATCTTCCACAGAGAGAAGTCGAACCTTACATTCCCGTGCTAGAGACGCGGAGGTCTCTCGACAAGTGGAATCCGGAAGACGTTCCTGACTCGGCCACACTCGCCGGCTAGAATGATACTTTCTTTATGGTAAGTACAAAGACCAGTGTTTCCGAGATCAGTGGAATGATACAAAGATTACAGGAACTTGGCAAGTACAGTGAAACAGTTGTATAACTAATATTCTCCACCTCTCCAGGCCTTGTCCCATGTCCGGAATGAACGACAGGCGGCTCCATCTCCTGCCTCTGCATGGTGATATCGTCTTCCTTCGATCTTTCGGATGTTCTCGGTTCGCTGATCTCCGTCGGCCGGCGCCGGTGTAGGATTATTTTTAAGAATATACACGTCGAAGTGTCGCTGCTCTCTCCCTGGGGAGTTGGTGCCTGGGATGGAGGGGACGTTAATGGCGGCTGATGGTAGTCGGGAGATATGGAGAGAGAGAGAGAGAGAGAGATGGGGGGATCTGCCTTTGGAATTACTGTTTTTTACATCTATGTTTGCTATTAGCATAGCAAGCCCAGACTGATATCTGATCCAGTATTGTGATTTGAACTCGTGGATCCTAACTTTTTCTGTTCAGTATTGAGGGTCTAATATTTTATTTCTATTATTACTAAGAGTGTCTAATGAAGTAGTAGGAGATAAAAACGATGAGGTGTCCAATACTTTTCACTCTTGCATACGTATTATTAAACACATTTATTTTTATTCTATATTTAATTCTAGTTTCTTGAACGTATATACGTATTATTCATTATCTTTGCATTTTATGAACAACCTCTTTTTTGGATATTCGATAGAAAATTTGTGGATATATATCTCATGATTTCGATAATTTGTGCCCATTTCTCAACAACAACATTAGATTTATTTCATCATGCAAAACTATTTATTTTCACACATTTACAAAATACATTCTGGGAAGTTGCCCAGACAAAAGGCTTCCATGTTTTACGTCCTATATAATTCCCTACCCTATTTACATAAATCTCTGGAAATCCCCCAGCTTTAACCTTTAAAGCTCTCAGTTCCAGTTCCTGACTCCTGTCGAGCCGGTTTTCTGAACCCCAGCTGCTGGCTGAGGATGATTGAATCTCCTGGATGGCTCAGCAGTTGACGGAAACAAAGAAAAAGGGGAATCTTTGGTCAAGATTTGGCAAGATTTCGACAGCACAAGAGATGGGTCCGGCGGCGTTTCAAGAGTTCATGCTCGCGGTTCTCAAGAGCCTGCGGAACTCCGACAAGCTGATCTTCCCATCCTTATCTATGTCAGCCTCCTCCAGTAATGGGTCGATGGACCCCTGCAATCCAATGTGCTGTAACAAAAAATAATTGTATAAATGAATAATTTTTCAAATTTTATTAAAAGGATTTCAATTCAGACTCCCACTTATTCTGAATATATGAGGTAAAATATATGTAACATTTATGTATATGTGATGGAAATAATTCGTATTCATCATGGAGAAGTAGAAACAGACGTACCGTTCTGAGCTCCTCAGGGGTGATGAACCCATCTCCATCCAAATCAAATTTCTCGAAAGCAGACTGCGACCGAAGGAGCCATTTTTCGGAGTCATGTTCAACGAGCTGATGCACCTGCAGGGTTGCAGCGACGAATTCTTCGAAGTCAACCCGCCCGTCAGTGTTGCTGTCAATCTGCCCCATGAGTGAAGTTATTAGCACGTCATTTGTTAGTTGTCACTTTTAAAGCTAGAGACTGGGGATTAAATGAACTCGAAGCCTGAACCGTAGATTCAAGCAAAATTACCGCACGGAGTATCTCAAGAACACGCGGTTCCTTCTTTCTCCAGGGAACATCTTTTGCAAGAGCCTGTGAGACAGAATATATAGCGGGTCATATTAAAAGCATCAATTATGGAAAAGAGTCGTAGTGGAGTAGATATGTTCATATGAATTCATTCGCAATCTGAAAATAGGATATAAATACTCCACAATATGGATAAATAAATAAACGGCTCACATGTCTCATTTCTTCGAGACTGATGGAGCCGTTTTTGTCCACGTCGATTGCATCAAACTGGTCATAGAGATTAGATAGCTCCTCCTGATCGATCGTACTCGCCAGTGCCTACACATTATAAACGTCTCTGTTTTATGCCCGATAAGTAAAATAAAATATTTTCTGCGTTTAAAAAAGGAAAAAAAGAGATATATACCCTCAATGCAAACTGCTTGAAGCAGCTGTACTTCACAAACTGCCTCATGCTGTTCAGAACGGATATGTCCAGAGGGATTTCCGAGGCATCACCCCCTTCTCTCACCCAGGGGTGTGCTGGTAATATTTGCATCAACATAAAATTGATTTTGGTTTGTCAATGATAACACCAAATAGTATGAATATCGTAAAATTCAGTTGAGCATAATGACCACATAAAATTCAATTCTTCAAGACGATTCATTTATAGAGAATCAAAGAACGGAGGAGAGCATGGAAAAGTAATGCTGCATAATTCATATTGTTTGGATTAGTTGGCTTTAAATCCTCTTCAGTTTTTAGTCTTAGTTTCTGTGAGAGATGCCTGCCTAACCGCGGTTAACTCCACCAACCTTTTAACCCCACAAAGTGGAAAGAGCATTATGCATGAAAATACTAAATCGTGTTCCTTGCCCTCATCTGTATCTCTCTCGCTCTCTCCCTCTAGCCAACACTATGCCTTCTGAGTCAGGTAGGAGCCAGAAGCACAAGCCACTCTCTTCTTCATTCCCTACCTCTCTACTCATTGAGGTGTTACTTGATGTGGGTTTCTTGTTCTATTTCTTAAAAAAGTAGGCAGCTATCCAAACACAAATGAGATATTAAAAGAATATTCCACATTGGTCCAAGAAAGGTCACCGGGGAGGGGGAGTAAATACTAGGCCACGGCAGGCTTCTGAGGGCAAGAATCTTATCTATAATTAGATTGATCCTCGAACATACTCATTAATAATGTGTGGGTAAAGTACGTACAGAGTGCTTGAGCTGCTGTAAGTCTAGCTCGAGGATCCTTCACTAGGAGCTTTCCAACGAAATCCTTAGCACTGCTGCTTATGCTTGGCCATGGTTTCCGACGAAAATCTGGCTTTTTCCTTAATACCTACATCAAGTGGTCGTTAGAGACGAAAATATGTTATTAGATTTCTCGGGGGAATATGAATCAACAGCAAGAAATGACTATTTGTCTGATAAAATAGACCAAAAAGGGGAGAAAAGCCAAACTGTTCGAGATATCACTTTACATCTACCAGTGAAGGGGAGGAAACGTAGAATTAGGCTAATATAAATTCTTGTGAAAAGACTGTACACTAATACTCGGCTATTGAGGTTATAATTATATGATGCTGTAAGGGCCTTGTTTAAACCTTTTTCTGCATTACAAAAAACGTAAGTGCATTATAAGGAGTTATTCAACTTTCGTCAAAATAAGACAGTCTGTTAATTCTTTATACTGGGAAATTACAGAAAATGAAAGATCGATTTGGACATGAACAGTAGTGGCTTAAAATAGAATGCCGTAAATGAGAAAATATTATACCTCCTTGAAAATTCCTTCCTCAGTTTTATCCCAAAATGGTCTTCTTCCACAAAGCAAAATATAGGTTATCACTCCAATGCTCCAAACATCCGATTCAGGTCCTGATCTTTGTTTCAGTACCTCTGGAGCAACATAGTAGGCACTTCCAACGACATCATGGAACTTCCTCTCTGCACAGTAGAATCTTCTTCTACATTACCATTGTTTATTCACGTAGAGGGTCTCCAATCAGGCGGTTCGGCTCAAATCAATAAATTTTCAGTACTAGTGTTGATTATGCGTACCGGGCACAATAAAATCGGAGAGACCAAAGTCTGTTGCCTTGAGGGGAGAATTTTCTATGGTTGATTTAAAGAGAAAATTCTGCATGCCCAGATATCAACAGATTAATATATGCAGTAAAATAAAATTACATTTTTTTTTTTACCATAGAAATAATTATCGGCATCCGTTAACTTTTTCTGCCTCTACCTCGGGTTTCATGTCTCTGTGAACCAGTCCACGCAGATGGCATTCAGCTGCGACTTTAAGCATCTGTCGGACGACTATAGCTGCATCTTTCTCGGCATAACAGCTATCCTTTCTGTTCAAAATCATCTCGTTACCAACTAAATATGTTTAAGCAAAATAAAAAAAAAATTAAGTAACGGAATGCACCTTTTAAGGACTAAAAAAAAACCTAGTTTTAGTTTCATATTCGTACAGAGATTCTGTAAAATACTAGAATAAAAGTTTATTGTGGTCCAAATGGCCCGAGGATAATATTGCCCGCATAAAAAATAGTTTGACATTTATTTTGCGTTTTCTCAACTCTCTGATTTCTGATGCAGCTATTCTTAATGAAAAGAAATTTCCATGTGAACTTACTTGGACAGTATTCGATCCAGTAGCTCACCACCTTCACATAACCTGAGGAATATAATAATGTGACTAAATTAAAAGAAAGGAGAATGTCATATCATATATCTTACATAAATCATGGGTGATCTTAACAAACAAAAAAACCCACAAAAACTTGTGCTAACAGAAGGATTAAAAATAAAGGATAAAAATTACTAAAATATAAGTACTGCATCGGAGAGAAGTTCATCCCCCGGTGTAAGTATATTTATTCAAAAGCAAAACATAAGCTCCAGCCAATTGGTGGTAGACAGTCCTTGTTAAATAATATGAAGTGAATTTTAACTCAAACCCATTTAAACGCCCTACGAGATGAACGCCTTTGCTGAAACATCAAGAAAAACTTCCGAGAGCGAAAATATTGCTCCTATGTTTTCGAATAAGGTTGAAACTTTAATTAACATTTTTATAGTAGATATATTTTCTGAATTAATAATAATTACAAACAGTACTGAAATAGAAGATTATATGATCTGAGAACCTAATAACCCAATGTGATAGCAAAAAAAATATGTTAACTGAAAAATGGACAATTCTATGCGGTTATTTAAATGAAAACGTCTTGAAAAAGCTATGTGATGAATGATAATGCTATCCTATTTTTTTACCAATCTTTGCTGTGAGTTGTTTTCACAGTTGAAATTTATTCACGAAATAGACAGGCAAAGGGGTAGATCACTAAGTCTATATGATATAGACAATGGAAGATGACGAGGAGACTGGTACTATAAACAATTTTAGAAGCATTCCCAATTAAATTTTCAGCAATATTCTTACTCCATAACTATATATACGAAAGAATCATCTTCGAATGCATTGTAGAATTGAACAACATTCTCGTGGCCTGTGAGAGCTCGCAATATCTTTACTTCTCTCTTTACATCTTCAACGGCAGTACGACGAACCATCTGGAACCAGAAAAATGAAAATATTGAATTAAGTTCATTGCATGCTAAAGGATATAATTATTTCGCATTATTGTTGACACAATTCACATTGTCAGCCAAACGGTGGCGTTCAAAAACATTCAACCAAGCTTTCAACTTTCTTAAAGCTTACACCGATTCAAAACAATTTAGAAAAACATTCCACGATGATTTTTTTAGTAATGTTTTAACAGCAGTAAAACAGTTGCCCTTTAACATCGAAGAGAATAATTGTATAATTTAATTTTCCATCAATATTTTGGATTTAAGTTGATCTACTTCCATAAGCCCTAGTACTCCAGGGGGACTCTCGTGCTTCCAGGAGCTCATGAGCCATTTAAAGTTTCATTATGACTTTGAAAACTCTATTTACACAGGACTAACTTAAAAACAATTTCAAGAAGATCAAAATCACGGCTTTAAACTAGAATCACTAACCAGCGTCCACACTCAGACAAAAAGTTTCACTATTGCGAAAACAAGAACTCTTGGAAAGGAGGGCATTCAAGAACATAAATCAATAAACTATTGCTAGAGCATCGGAAGCCCATTCCCAAAACCGAAATTTCTATGTTCCTGACAGCAGAAAATTATCCACGATAAAAATTTTACTAACTTTGAACGTATGAAGTTTCACACACAGATGACTGAGATAAGGAACCACAGGCCTTCAGAAATAAAGCATATAGAAATCAATTTGCGGCCTAGAACCTGCCAAACCGATGGCCATCAAAAGATGTCTTATGACGATGAGAAAAATATTCCAAGTCGATGAAGTCCGTCCCCCCCCCCCTCCCCCTTAATGATGCCAACTTTCTGGAAACAATAAAATAAAAGGATCCATCTCAAACCCATAAAATTCAACAGTCTTCTCCCACCCATTTAATCTCAATTGGGATGGGTAGTGAAAGTAAATCTGAATAAAATCCAATTAAAATATATTAAATATTTAAACCAAACAATGACTAATAGAAAAACATGAAACGTAAAATCATTAGTATAATGATTTTCAAATTTCACTAAGTTCCAATTGCCAGGTTCAAACCCCCCAAGTTTTGCAGGCATCTCTAACTGAAAATTCAATCCTCCGAGGATTCTCATATATTTCGGTGTGCCAGGTACTCCCTGAGCCAGAGAAACTGTCTCATCCCAATCACAACCGGCTAACCAATCATTATACTCAATTAATTTCTTGTTATCCATTCAAGAAATATCGCCAATTAAAAGAAAGAGCTTAAATCTCTTGCCTTCTTGAACTTCATTTGGTTTAAGAAGAGTTATCTTTATCGTCTTTAAGTTTCCACTTCAATCAATTGAGCCACAAAAATAAAAAGGAAAAGGGAAATCCTGTGAAGAGAAGCAATCCATTTGAATTGAAGTCGAACCGAGCATATCTATAATGCTTGCATCAAAATTCATGAATCTGTTACTTGAAGCATCATTGACTAACACCTTTTCTTGACATAGAAGTCCCACCCAGAAATTCAAGATCATGAAAATAACCATTTCTCCTGTAGGATGAGTCAAAAACATACATCAAACCTAATCCAAATGCCAGTAAGTTAGATCTCTCATTGGACGTAGACCAAACGGCTAAATTAAGGCATTAAACCATCAGTGACCCACTAACAAGGACCCAAATGTTCCGTGGAGAGATTTTCGAAGCCACTGAGAAGGGACACGCGCAGTAAGAATACCTTGTTTTTGTTGATCCTCTTTACCGCCACCTGGTCCCCATTCGCTTTATCTGTTGCAACGAATGTGTAACCAAAATGCCCGTGGCCCAAAAGCTTCCCAATTTCGTACTTGCTTTCGAAATCTCTCGAGTACCCGAAATTAGTCCGCTTCCCTAATGAAACCACTCCATTCGTCCTCGTCACTTCCCCTTTATCTCTGTGATGCTGCTGGTTCTGCGGCGGGTTCTGCTGCTGCTGCTTCCGCTGCTGGTTCTTGTTATTAGATGATTTTCTCTGCGTCTTCTGGGCCTTGTGTTGATGCTTGTCCGACAAGTTGTTGACGCCGGTGGTGTTGCTGCTGCTTGAGCCGCCCACTTTGGTGGCGTCGGAAAAGCAGGCACCCATACCTTCTTCCTCCCGCGGCTCCCCCCCCTCCTCTTTCTATGGTCCGGGGGGTTTGTCCATAGAGAAGAAGGAATATGGCTGGCGATGGTTAATAAATAGAGGTGGGGAATTGGTGGGGAAAGATGATCCGAGAAACTACGAAAGGAGAAGTTAAAGGAGCGGAAGGGGTCAAAAGAGGGGACTTCCGTTGAAGGGAGACCATGAAGACAGACAAGGGACAGATGGAAAACACTGCCCCCCCTTCCCCAACGAAATTGAGAAGAGTGGAAAGCTTCAACTAACAAAGCCGAGTAGAAAAAACTTTTATTTTCCTCCTCCCTGATTCCCCCCTGTAACCATCCAGAGAGGTAATCTACGATTTCGCCGAAGGATAGATCCTTTCTTCGCGTATTAAATAGAAATCTCCATCCCCGGAACAACCATTCTCGGTCACCCTCCAATCTTTGTGATTAAACAAAGCATAAATTATCACCTTTCAAAGCTTTCGATTCAACCCGACAGCATCATCAATGGCAACGTGGGTTCGCGGATGTGATAATTTTTCATTGTCCGGTGTTCCTCATCGAACCGCCCGGCGGCGGTTGGGTTGCCCCAACGACAGGCGGACGCGGGATCGTCGCGTGGACCCATTCGCGCGTCGGAATTCGGTTTCCAGGTCGGACGTTTGTCTTTTTAACAGTAGTACGACGAAGACGCTTCTTTGAGGAAGAACCTCAAACACGAAAGAGGGTCTAGGCGTTGACCTGTTCGTGGAGACCCTTTCTGGGCAACGGAGATTATATCAATTTAATGGCAAATTAAATCAGCTCGACATCTTTTCCGGAAAGGATGATGAAAGATTTCCCACGCTGGGCATCCACAACAAATGAAGCCGCATTCTATTTTTGACAAACTAAGCCGTCTGCTATCCAATCTGACAGAGATTTTCAGGGGAATTTGCATCAAAAGCTCCAAAGATTTAGATACGAGACAAGAACACCCAACCACTCCTCTTACAGCCTCCCGCGAGCAAGATGCCAAGTCAACTCTTGCATCTCGGCGGAGGCACGAGATCTGCCTTTCCTTTCGGCGACACGAGTTCATCTTTTTGACAAGATCACGATAGTTACAGCCGGGCGTGAGACGAACCAACCAGAGAAGGAGCAGGTTTCTGCGACCTTTATCCAACCCACTCGGCAGGTTGGAGCGGACGGGTTGCTAGGAAAAGGCGGCATGCAGCACGCTGGCTAGAAGCAGCGACGGGAAGTTTACCTGAACGTCACGTGCCCCGTGCTGACAAACAGAGACAGGGGTCCTTCCTAGAGAGGGAAGGCGGGAAGGCGGGAAGGCGGGAGGGAGAACTAGAGCGAGAGAGCCCGATTGAGAAGGGCGGCATGTGGGCATCCAATGAAAGATTACAGATTTTCTCTACAAAACCCACACCTCAGTTAGTCGCCATTAAAGCTGTAGATAAAGGAGTACAGGGATCTATGTCGAGTCCACCTCCACACAACGGCGCCTTCCTTCCGATCTTTCGTTGGCTACCTCTGTCGTTCTGCAGCCTGTTGATGAAAAGCCTGGTTAGTTGATGGATCCAGGGAGCATCAGAGTAGGAAACTAGGAGACGGGCGTTTGAGTAATTTCTGATATTTCCATTTCTGCATTCAATCAACGTGAGGAGGAATCTAAAGCTGAGCGTTTTCCATCCTCAATCTAGTTTATCCTTTTTATTTCCGGAAAAAGGAAGAATATATTAAAAACAGGAGCGTCAGAGTAGGAAAATAGGAGACAGGCGTTTGAGTAATTTATGATATTTCCATTTCTGCATTCAATCAACGTGAGAAGGAATCTACCCCACCCCCCACTCCCAACATGATGCCAAGAACTGGTAGCATCGTCAGTGGGATATATTGGCCACTAAACTATATTATGACAACTATACCCTTACCAATCCCCATTAAAGACAACATTTTTTAAACAAAAAATGAAATCCCGGCACACCAGGTTTGACCTAATGACGTAGATTCCATTTATGAATGTTAGAGAGAGAAAATAAAGAGTTTTATAAACTAAGCTGTCTTAATCCTATCAAAGGGAATAGGAGAGGAGAAACTAACACAAGACCCAAATATGCATAGGCCGATTGGGCCTACGAGGCCCATTGCAACAAAATAATAACTAGCATAGTATTCTCCCTGGATGTGGATCATCTGTGTGTGTGTGTGTGTGTGCTTACAAGTTAATTACAGCTTGTCACATAAGAAAAATGATTATTACCAATGAGATTAATAGTAGAAGAGATGAGACCTATTGGCCTCGTGTTTTCTAGTGGGGTCACTGGCACACAATAGCTAATGTCTAACTAGGATGACTGAACATATTGAGAAATAAATAAATACTCATGCTGCAGTTTATCACTTTAACCCACGGGAATCATACTGATCCCATTTGGCCAATAAATACTCATCAGTTTATACTCATACTTAATCTTCCAGGGTGAGATTGGATAACGCATCAAAGATTTATGCGCCAATAATCCCATTTGCATCTCCTGTAATGGGGGCCCGGGTTCCACGTTAACCAAGAGAGGGAATGGTCCGTTGAGTTATAGGTGGATCCCATGAACAAGAGCTTGGTTCATTTGGCCATCATATCTTATTGGTTGGGCATATTAGGTACGTATTGGGAGAAACTGGCAATAATGATCGTAAAAATATAAAAGAGTGCCCTCCATACCCTCTGAAGCTTCTTCAAAACAGAATCTTCAAAAGCCTGATAGCCAAGACCAACAATGTTGCTCAGCTTTGGACTGTCGGCTTCAGCTGATCTCACAGGAGACCCTTCAGAAAGACCAGTTGCCGCAGGCTGAAGAGGAAGAACCAGTAAGGGATTTGAAAGGTTCCCGACCATACTATGCACAGCAGCAACCTGCAAACACAAAGGAATAATTCCCATTCCATTTAATGCAGGCGATAAGCAAACATCATAAACTGGATTGATGGAGAAGGCAAGGTTTCTATGCATTTTTTTCCCTGAAACTGAGAAATCCATACCAGTAATAGAGTGAAGAATCGTTTAAGGTAATACAGAGCCACATTCGAAAGAGTTATGTTAATTATAATGTATCTAATTACACAGTGAGCTAAAATAATAACATCAGCTATAAGCTTATTCACAGCAGAGTCCGAGATCTCTGAAAGAGCAGGTTTCCTCACACCAGTTGGCATCTACAGGGTCTTTGGCAAGTCTCTTCAGGCTTGTACAAATCCGCTTTTTGTGAAGGTGGATATAAGAGAATAGGAAACCACGATAAGAGAAGAAAAGAAAGCAGGATAAATTTCCAGAAGAAAAAAATATTAAATCAGGTTTCCCTGATGGAATAAATGCGTCGATGTAATAGCTAAAGAAAAGTTTCGCTCCCCCCCCCCAACCCATGATGAGAATAGATATTTGAGGATTTCCCATCTCCTCCACATTCAAGGATAGCCCTGTTGATGTCAGACAACGAATTTTTAAACTCTGCAGAGATCCTGCTACTCCTTTCCCACCAAAATCAAAGTATTATCGGAAAATTTTGGGGTTTTAATTTTATCGTAAGCAGGATGTCTCTTATTGGCTCTGTATCGCGGTATTTTCATTGTAAACAGCAGGGTTTTTTCACCAAACTCAGCATTCTCCTTTTTCAACATTTGAACGAAGAGACATCTGAAATTCTCTCCAGCCCCGTTCTCCACATCTTCGAATTTCATCGTTCATACTACAAACAAACTCCAGATCGAGGTGAGGCCCCATGATGATGCAAGGAATTTGAAGCGCATATTAGGAAACCACTTCTTGGGGAAAGAAAAAATCCGAGTGTTGCCTCAGAGCTAGGAAACTATTCTGCCAGAATTTCATCTTCTCGTCTATCATTAACGATACCCATGATCGATGTCACAGATAACTTAACGAGAAAAAGAAAGAGTCTCACCGCAGAAGCTTTGGAAGCCATGACAACGAGGGCTGATCCTTTCTTCTTCGTTCCTTTCGACCTTAACATCACATCCTCCACCTCTCCGAAGTTTCTGAATACCTCCCTAAGCTTGGCTTCGCTGTACTCCCCGGCCGTTCTCTCCCAGGAAACTTTCAGAACCCTCTCTTTATCAAGACCAGGACCTCCGTCGTTTTTGACCTTGTCCTTCCTAGGTCCAGCCCCACCTACCGGCCCCCCGGGCGGAGCCGTTGGCGCGTCACTCCCCTTCTTCTTGACCAACATCGCTGCCCTGAACCTCGCTAGTTCTTCCTTGAGCCTTGCGGCCGCCTGCGCCTCCTCTCGGCGGGCCTTCTCCACCGGATCGAGACCGGGGCCTGCCGTGGCGGCGCGTTCCCGTTCCTCGAGGTCGGTGGCGAGCTTCCGCCGCTTGGCATCGTGGCGAGACTCGCGGAGGAGACGCTCCCTTCGAGCGCGAAGCAGGTCGTCGAAGGCCTTGCGGGCGGCCTCGTCTTTGAGAATTTCAAAGGAGGAGACGAGCCTCTGGAAGACGGCGGTGGCGTCGGGGTCGTCCCGGCGCTTGTCCGGATGGCACTCCCTAGCTTTGACCTTGTACGCCTTCTCGATCTCCTTGATTGAGAGCTTCGCGCCCTCCTCTCCCGAGGGCAACCCCAGGATCGCATAGTGGTCCTCTTCCTCCTCCGACGGCATTGCCATCGTCGGGGGAGTAGAAGATGAGAGAGAAGAGAATTGGGCTCCTTCCCCTACTGAAAGCCTGGAAATAATTTGACGGCGTTGTTATTTAGCGGAGTCAACGGGCCGAAGCCTAGAAAAATCGGACAGTTGGCCCATCGACCCCATTCCTACGATTATACGGATCTGTACAAACCTCAGTCAATCCGAAGGAAAACCGGACAGATTTGGCGAGGATCATGTTTGGCTACCAGATCAGCGGGGCAATTCACTTGGAGAAATATAAATTCCATTCGACGTAGATTCTTTCAAGTAATTGAAAGGAAACTATGGATTCATCGTGGTTCAATTGTCACTTATTTTACATGGTCGTTGACTAGGAATGCAATTCTCGTCACCAGTTAAATCATTTTATTTCGATCATAAGATTGAGATGATAATTAAAGCTAATATTAAAAATAATTATGAAACTAAAATGTTTGTGCTGCCCAGCAATGATGATGGTATAATCGTAGATCACCGATCTTTTATTGTTTACTTTCATCTTCATGTTGTTGTTTTTTCGGTAGATTCTGAACATTAAATGTTAATAAAACACTCGAAAATGATATATTAAAGGAAGTATTCCGTCGTAATTATCCTCCCATTAACTCCTCATCGAAGGGCTTCGCATCCACGTAAAACACGAACATTTGGCAGTTTAAACCCCCGTTAAGAGATGAGAGGAGGGATGGACGGGATGGAGAGGGTGAATCCGCCGGACCTCCCTAGTGAGAGAAAATAGAACAAGTTTCAGGGAGATGGAGAGAGAGAGAGGGACAGACGGAGTGGACGTTCTTATTGAGAGAAAATAGAACAAGTTGCAGGGGAGATGGAGAGAGAGAGGAGGAGGGTGAGGCTTAAGTCGACCACACGTCACGGAAGGTGGACTGGAAGGAAACGAGCACCAGGACCAGAACAACAACGGCCGCTACGGCCCACGGCGAGCCGCCTTCTTCCGAGGCGCCGTCCACCGCCCATCTCCGCTGGTCCCCGAGAGACAAGCCGAAGGGGAGGCCCGACCCCTGGAACGAAGCCGCCCATCGGATGGCGAAGATCAGGAGCACGGGCACCGCCATGAGTCCCCAGTTAAGCCGCTGCTGGGCCTCCTCCACGGCAGACTCGTACGCTAGGAATAACGGGACACCCAGAAGAAGCCCCACCAGCCCCAGTATCAGCAGCACCGGGTACGGCACTGGCTGCACCCCAAGGTTCTCCAACGCAGAAGGCCCTCCACTCCCTGTATAGTAGTCCATAGAAAGAGAAAGCAAGAAGGAGAGAGAGATAGATCGATAGATATTTACATATATAGAGAGAGAAGATTTCGCAGTTTCGAGAGCAGGCGAGGCGGCTGGCCGCTTGAGTGGAGACGATAGAAGAGAGAGAGAGAGAGAGAGAGAGAGAGGATACCGCAGTTTCTAGAGCAAGAGAGGCGGGTAGTACTTTCTCGAGTAACTAAGATGAGCGAGTGGTGTTAAAAGAGGGCCGCAAGCCTGGCCGGCCAAACTTGTTGGAGAGGAGGACAGGACTCAGAGGAGATGAAGCGATGTGTCCTCTTCGCCACGGCTGGATTGCACCAGCGTGCGGGTCGTAATAATATTTTTTATTACGAGGGGGGAATTTGTTTAAAAATATCGTGTCGTAATAATATTTTTTATTGACGTGACATGAAGAGCTCTTCTGCTCCGTATCCGAGAGAAGCGCACACGTGCCAAACACGTGACCTTTTTTTCTGTGTAGAAGGCCCTTCGTAGATTCTCGAACCTCCCACTGGAATAGTCTCCAAGCGCGCGTTCCTGACGTGGAAGATTTTGATTCCGGGAATCGCTTTAGGAAAAGTGGTATCAAACAGTTCTGCGTATTTGTATACTCGTAGATCGATTATGGGGAATACGTGTACGTAGCTGACGTGCGCGTACGTGGTGTGACGGTACGTTTGAGAGCGGGGAATCACTTCAAAAACCCTGCTGGTCTAGGGTTCCAAAGCAATGTAGGTGTCGAGAGGGAGGGGGAGGGAGAAGGTGACCGTTACTCGGTCAGCGGGAGGAGCACAGCTCCTACCCTGGGCGATGGCGAGCGCTGCCGAAGCCATAGACCAGGCCGCGCACGCGAAGGCGGTGGATGAGAATCTATGGTGGGGCTCGTTTGTCATCCTGCTCGAGCAACTCGAGGGTGCGCCTGTTTCTACATATGGCTCACCTTCTCTGGTAACAACCGTTGACGGTGGCGAAACGATCTCAGACTACCGTGTCCAGAAGTAGAGAATTAATGCCTCTCATCGGTGCAGGTGAAGAAGCTGAAGAACAACCGTTCTTGGTTTCTGGACTCCCTTACTCGCTTCAAGCCCCCAAATGCCTCGTCAAGAGAGGGCCTGAACTCTCCGGAGATATCGTTTGGGCAAAAACGCTTACGTATAAAACCGGAGCTCCGAGAAATCGCTCTACTTGCTAGCGTGTCCCTGGTAAGCAATACTTTCATTTGCCACAACTATTAGCTGGGTATCACTGGTAACATTTAGTGAGATTCTTTCCAATCTGCGGGGTAATTTTTGCCTTATCATTTCCTTCTCAACAAAAGTGCTTCAATTCATCGTGCTACGTTTCTTGACGATAAAGTTTGAGAATATACATGTTGTCCATATACGGTACAGAATTGGACACTAGAAGGTTATGTTGGCGGAGTGACGTACCAATAGAGGGCAAGAGTGAATTAATTTTTTCCATATGAAACCACCTATCAAACACAAGTCAGCTGCATTTTGATGTCCATTTTTTGATATCTGGGGGGATTTTTTTTGTCTAACCTCCCGAACTAATTTTTTGATGTCCTTATTTCTATTTTCGTGGATGCTTTCTTTAATTCATTCCGTATATTACAATGGTTATCGCTATTTGAGGCAAGTTTCCTTCAAATGTATGCTTTCGATGCGAATGTCTTTGTGATTTCTTCAAACTTGTTTTTTCCACCGTAGTTGTGGTTTCGAAAGGTGGGCTTGCTTGCCAAACGAGTAATCAAGTATAATATCGCAGTTCAACAGCTCATAGATATCTGGGGGGGTCTATGTTAATAATATGTGATGTTCAGACACAAGCTACTGTCAAGGAACCCCGGTTATCGTGACAAGGAGAGACATCACCATAGGAAAAATGGCTCTCTGGGTGCATTTTTGTGCATTCTCCAGTTGCTGTTACAGTTATATTGGTGCAATGATTCATAATCTTAAATTCAAAAGCCCGACTAAGATATTGGTGTTTTACCCTTAATTTCGATTTCAAGTGTTGCAATATTTTGACGTGAAGAAATATCAGTGTCTCCCCTTTTATGTTACTGTGCGGGCTTAATAGAATGACGACTAGCAGACGTCATAATGTCTGAACAAACGTGATTATTTTCCAGTAACTATTGAGCTCAAAATGAACTAAAAATATTATAACTGTCTAGTGCCTCTCCAATGAACCGAAGTGATGTCAATTTCCAGTGCCATGGAAATGGTCGCACACATGAATCTGGAGACTCATTGTATGTATTTGGGTTGATCAAAGGTAGATTTATTTGGAGTTAAGATTCAGCTTTATTTCTCCTTAATTTGAAATAAGCTAGAGATATACTCTGGTGATTTTCAATTTTTGGCCCAATGGTTGACCTATAAGGGAGGATCTCTAATATTGTGTGGTTACATCTTGTGCTTGTTGAATATTTTTGATGCCAATGTCTGGCGAAACCTGATTTTTTTTTTCATTGTGTAGTATTTCCCATAGATTATTGAATATTGGCGACGTTTTTTTACTAGACGTTATCTTTTTTGACTGACACTTAATATGTGGGACACATTATAAAAATAATCATGGAATCTTCTTGCTTTAGGTACAAAGAAGTAAAACCTTACGAAGGAAAAAAGGAAGGGTTTGTTGGTTTGTTCATTTCCAGCTAATGTGCTCGTTGATCTTATTGAAGCAAATAATAAGGTTTAAAGAGGTTAACTATGACAAGAAAGAGATGATTGCCAGTAGAGAGCATTTACATTGAATCCCTGTAATTTTCGTACCTCAAGTAATCAGCTTGAAATCATTCATGACCAAAGTCTTCAAGTTTGTTGGAGAAAGTTAACTGTAGATACAATTGGTCCATTGGAGGTCTAATCCTATAAGTTAATGGGCACAATAGTCTTGTGAACGATAATCTTACAGGATATTTTTTTTTTGACATTGACTCTGAATTTGTGCTTCGAAGGTACTAATGGTGACTGTGTTCGGTGCGAGTAATGCCCATCATGCTTCTGCATTTGGAATCCCATGCTGTTCAAAATGTATCTAATGTTTTGATTGCTAACTTTAAGAGAAATCGGTTGTAGAATTTTGTGGCAACATTATGCATGATGATTTTGACATTGCCCCCTGGATTTGGCATGCGTTTGAATTTTGAATGGCATGGGACAGTGATCTGAATTCTTGGACTTGCTCTAGTGCAGTTTCTAACCAATCTATGGAATGTGACGAGGACATTAGGTAATCAAAACCCTGTCGGCGTTTAGGGCCTTTGTTGAAAATAGAGAAATTTGGTCACGAAGGACGGAGGGGAGAATGGCGGAAACCGCCTCAAAATTCATTCAACTCTAATCCCTATTATATAGGGAGTAACGATACACAACTTTTGCCAAAACACCCTCAACTAATTAACTAATTTGTGACCTAAAATTTCCAACACTCCCCCTCAAGATGAACTTTGAGAAATTCATTTTGGCTAAATTGGTGATGACAAAAAAGTACTACCCTCTGAACATTCACTTGTTGGCGATGATAAAGATCTGTTGTTGCAGCAGCTCTCCCTTTGATGGTAATCACAGATGACCACCATTGAGGTTGTAGATTCGCCAACACCCTTTGCTCCTTTAATGTTGTCATGCCCCAAAGACAGCTCACCATGAATATGATAGCACCAAACAACTGTGGCTTGATCATGATGATCACTATGTCTCAGGGCTGTAGAGCCTGCCTTGGAGTCATGAGGTAGTTGACAGCAAGCATGCGGAGAATATTCCTCTGCTTGGAGATCTGCATAGTGTCAAGATCTGATGCAAAGGCTCTCTGCTATGTCTGTTGATTTGATGATGGGGCTTAGCTCTCAGGAGAGGTGCAGGCCAGCACCCCTCCCATCGATCGAGTAATGAACTCGTGGAGAAATTAGAAGGTGAAGGCCATTTTGATGAAAGCAGAGCTGAGCAGATAGCACCATACAACATGGACTGTAGCAATGTGGACTGTGGGGAACTTTGGTCACCAGACTAGGGAAGACATAGAACTGATGTTGAATAGAGGGAGACAGACTGAAGAGGACGGAGTATGACACTAGATTCAGACACGTGTGGATAAGAGATTGATTTTACCGCTCATAAAATGCTGATGAAGGTGGAAACGATGGTAACACAGACCTAGATATTTCAGCCTCTAGACAGAAGGCTTGATGCAGACAAATATGACGCCAATGAATTTGAAGATGTCATTGACGAACCTGCTATTGATGAACTCAAATATACTTTCAAATGATAGATGAAGATCAGTGCTCTCCCGTCAGTAGAACTGCCTCGCCGGCAGAGAACCTCGCCAGAGGAGGAGATGACAGTGGACTCGTCGTCCTAGACTAGAGGACTGATGGAAGTAGAACCGCTCGAAATGGCAGAAAGAAAACCTGCTTGCAATGGCAGGATATCATACCTATAAACGGCGGAAAGATAACACGCCTCCAATGGCGCAATAAGTGCATCAAGATGATGCCAGAAAGAAACTCAGCAGAGGCACCAGGCATTCCCTGTTGAAAATGGAGAAAAAACCTAGCCATGAAGGACGGAGTGGAGAACGGCGGAAACTGCCTCAAAATTCATTCAACTCTGATCCCCATTATATAGGGAGTAACGATACACAACTTTTGCCAAAACACCCTCAACTAATTAACTATTTCTCTATGACCTAAAATTTCCAACAACTTTATTCAATCCTTTCTGTTCATACTGTTATTCTATTGTTGAGTCATTCTATGCGGGGAAGAGCCCTGTAATCTAATAAGTTGTCTGCCATTTTCTTATTTGTTGGTGCATTTTTTTCCAGAGCTTAGATGAGGTGCAATCATACATTCTGGTTGATAGGACCATTAATCTTGGAAGCTTGCTGTCTGATTATAGGCAACCAGAAATTCTACGCCCTGTGAGTAATTTTCTTCGTTTCTTCCTTCTACCTTGCTCGGTGGCATCTGCCACAGTTCATTTTTCTATGTCATTAGCTTTACGTGGATGCCTTCCCCCCCTAATTTTCTGGTTATCAGAGATATAGATTCTTTTTCAGTTTTTTTGTTTTACTGCATCCATATTCATTTAGTTTTAGGAATATTTTTTAACTGATAACTGTTTCAGTTCTGATCATATATTATTAATATGATTATTATTATTTCATATGGAATTTTTTTACTGTGGGGAATTTCGTAAGCAACTTCATACTGATTTCCATGTTCTTGTTTCACAGTGTGGTCATGGTGTTTACATTTCAACTTTTGAGTACTAATTTTCCTTGGCTCTGGAAGATCTGAGGTTTATGCTAACATCTATCTTGCTGACCTTTTTTTTTCTCCTAATGTTATCCAGGGTTAATTTCCCCATGAAGAGAGTGATGTCCCCTGGGCATTCCTTTCTCTTGATAAGCCTGTACATTGAATTCTATATACCTTCTTGGCTGCTCTTACAATATTTAACTTGGTTGTTCTAGATGAATGTAAACGTTGTCTAAAATAGGAAATCTCTGATAGGATTCTCTGTTTATGGTTGTTTGGCTTTGTTTTTGTATTACGAGGGTTTTATTCGCACTCTTTTCTTGTTTATTGACTTTTATTTACATGAACTGCTGTGTTTCACTGTAAAAAAAAACCACATGCTTTCACTAGATTATCTAATGATTGTGAACTGAAACAAGCGTTAGATTTGATCATTTGACTTCATGTGTAACATTTGGTCCTTTTTTTGATTTGCAGATACTGATTCAATATTATCTCGAACGACAGTGTTTGTTGAAGTGCGTCAGGTGGATATTCATGCATGCGTGTATGTGAATGATATTAATTCAATTCATGCAACTTATTTCAGCAATTTTTTCACCTGCATTTTATTCGTTCTTAGGATATCCTTGTACTTTTACTGTGAGCTTCTTTATTCCTTTCGGAAGTTGCTTAACAGACATTTTTCATAGGAAAGTATGTATCCTGGGTGTGTATTGACTGATAGACTGCCCTACAGAAGGCACTAACGCCATTACTCTTCACTGTATTTGGAGCTTTATGCAACCTGGAGTATGAACATATGATACAACTTAGGGATCCTATTGGCTACAATGTTTGTTGCAGAATCAGATTTGAAGTCCTGGAAAGTGTAATGGAAGAATGAGGCAAGTTCAGAGTTTGACTAGCTTTCCTTATCATTCCTAATGGAGGAATCAAACACCATCCGACATCTTAGATTTGAGCCCTTCTCCATTGCAAGTGACGGTTTGTTTATGTAGACAGTTTTACATTTATATTTCTCATGAAGGATCTGACTGAGGCTCTTGATTACAATATTAATTAAGTGGTACTTAATGGTAGTTACGGAGTATTGGAAATGGCATTGGATACTGGTTAATAACTCTGTTCACCTCATCAATTGAGGATGAGTTTATCAGTTGGTTGTTGAGGCATTCAAGTTTTTTTTTCGTTAAGTTTTAGTTATTATGAAATAGGGAGCGAGAATTCAATTTGATGATGTAGGGGTAAATTCCACTATTTTTTGAACCTAATGTTTAACTCCAAGAGCACCATATTTTGTAGATTGTGCTCTTTCATTCGGGTTGTTTTGGATATCTGCTTGTCTCCCGTTATTTGTTGCTGATGCTTCTGAATAGCTGTCACACCTACTTTATGAATAAAACACGGGCAGCTGCTTTCGACTTAGGCATATTCGTTCTTCTTGTTGACTTTTTTCAAAATTCTGATCTCCACACTATTTTCCCCGATCTGACCATCTGAATATGCTGTTCTGTGGCGGATATATCAAGTTTTTTTTTTGTTGCATGGCGATCCTCATGCCACGTACTTTACTGACTGACAGTCATTGTTTCTACATCACTCCCTGTGAGAAAATGTCTATAAATTTTCCTTCTTTCAGTTGCCTTTTGATTGATTATTGATGAGTGATTGGAATGTTGTCTTGCCAACATGGATTTCCACCTGATCCACCTGGAGGCAGGAAATGTTGTTACTTTCTAATTCTCAATAATACTGGAATGTTTTGCTTTTGATTTTTCTTTCATTTACATGGATCAGCCCAGGCAGTGCTGGACGGCCCTGAAACTTTAATTGAAGGAAACTTTATTAGTTTTAAAACAGTGTGGTACATTATATTGACCTTTTTATGCCCATAATGACCTGGATTGGTAGTTGTTCAAATCAGTTGTGACATTCAACTTCAGTACTTTCAGCTACTGGATTTTCCTAATGCTCATGTATGATGAAAGCATCGTGTCCATTGCAACTTTTATAATTTTGTGTTCCATTTAACTTGAATGCTTATCTGTTTCATCATGGAAATCGGCAAATATTGGTGATATCGATCTTTTGATTCTTCATAAGTTGCTTTCATAAATGATATCAAGTTGTTTTCATTTTTCATCATGGCTGTAATTTTGTTTATGGTGCAGTGTACATTGAAGATGAGTCTCATGCGTCTGGTAATATACGTGAGGTGGCTCTGTCTTTGGTTCAGGATGGATTAGAGAAGAAATTCCTCACTATTCTTGAAGATCTATCTCAGTCAGCGTTTCTTCAGAAAGCGGTTATTTCCTAATATGTTTAGTCCTTTATTGAGTTCTTTTGCTTTCTAGCTGAATGCATGTGTGAACTTCTAATCACTCAAAAGTGAATGTTTGGATTTTTTTATGTTGCAATCTCTTTTCATTATTTTTAGCTAGCAACCATTAATGTAATTCACACAGTGCCTCTCTCTCTCTCTCTCTCCCCCCTCGCTGCAACTTTGTAGTGAGGAAGGACTATACACTTTGTGTAGGTTTATTTTCATTCCTCAAGTTCACAGTAGGCAGATTGTTGCTAGATTCTGTATCATATTTTTTTCTCCAAAAAAGGTCACGTATTGTGATTTGTTAATGGAGAGCCGGATAGAATAAACATAAAATATTTTCAGTATGTTGAGGAAATTCCTCTGCACCTAAACCCGTACAATGCCATGTAGTTTCATTATTTGAAGTCCAGCTAAAACACTTGAATCTTTGAACATAATTATCTTTGTTATTGTTGATGTTGCAATTTGAACTGGTTTTGGTTGTTAGGGGGTGTTTTAACTGTTCTTTCGGTCACATTCTCTGCTTTTGGCATGATCCGTGCCAAATCTTGTCACGTGTTTTGACTTTTCTGTTAATAAGCATTTCCACGTTTAGTCTGTGGTTTCTTCTGTAGAGTATGAAACTTGTAATTGCGTTTTTCTAAATGACGATTAATTAGTGCTGTTGTTCTGTATGTGCATTGTCACAAGTTCTGATAGTGATTGGCTTATTGTCACATTTCTTTCTTTTATTGTTATTTTCTGTTAGGAGGTGGATTTGATCACATTGTGGGTGGAGGAGATTCTCATTGAAAGCAATTTGGTTTTGGATACTTTTTTTCTTGCTTATTATGAAAACTTTTGTGGCTGCAAGGGAGAACAGTGGAAAAAGTTGTGCATGCTTTTTAAGGTACATCAATATTTTCTTTTACATTGTCTCGAAACTAAATGCATGACCTTTTTAGTTAACTTGTAAATGTGACACATTTACAGGGGATGATATCTGGTCCTTTTCATATTGGAGAAATGGCAGAATCATCTGAAGCGAAAAACTCATTCTACCATGCAAAAGTTCAGCTAGTTCTTATTCTGATTGAAACGTTGAATCTTGAAAATCTTCTTAGAATGGTGCATGATGACGTCCCATTCAGGTTCTAAGCATACTTATGCATTGCCTTCCTACCTTTTTCTGTGAACCTCTAAATTTTCCTAGAATTTTATTCTTTCTTGATCTTATTCATTGGTTATCCATCGTCTTTGTGTCAGGAGTGGTGGCATATTTTCATTGGCGGATATTCAAGAGATGGATGCTATAATTTCAAGTATGATCCCTTTAGAGACTGCTGAAGCAGGGCCTCTGATTCTTGCATGGGGTGTTTTCCTTTACCTGGTCTTATCACTTCCAGATAAGCAAGACTACCACCCGCTAATGGTCTGGGTGCTTTTTACTGTTTTGTACTAACAAAGATATCTAATGTGCGTATAATGATTCCTTTTTTGTTTATTTTTTTCCCAGGCAACAGATATCATGGGGTATGTTCAAAATGCCACAGTTAATGGGCCTTTTGTATATTTAGTGGAAATCCTCCAGGGTGATTTTGTGCTTAATTCGGATGTAAGGCCCCGGTAACATTCAGGGTTTTACTTTTGCATCGTCATATGGTGTTGCCTGCTTTTGGTAGTGACCCACTTGTTTTTTTCCGTTGTGATAATTGGTATTGCTGGCTCCATCATAGAGATAGGGAAAATTAACTTGGGTGTGAATGGTCCATAATGTAGAATTTCTTTTTTCAATATTTTTTTGCGTTTCCAGCAATCATTTTCGATCCTTTTTTACTTCCTCAGTTGGTAGCACTCTATTTGATATTAAATACGCTAAATTATTATTTACTACTTTATTTGTTTGTCTTTCCATTGTGAAAACTTTACAAGAGATTGAAGTGTAGAGGTATAGTAGGGGGGGAACCATGGGATGAAAATTCGTAAATGCCCTCACTTTGGTGGGTATTCTTGAGGAAAACGCGCCTCAACTAGGATATTTGTTCATCCATTTATGAACTGCAAAGTTAGTGTAAGACTTATGTGGAGCATCGGAGCACAGATGTAATGGGAAAGAAGAATGAGGGGATGTAAGTATCCATTGTGGGATGCTCATGGTTCACGAACAGCTGCGAAAAGATAATGGCCCACAACACAGGAATTAGTACTAGTTTTTTCTCTTCTCTCCCTTCTTTGTCATTTTCTCATCTTGTAGTTCACATTTTTTTTGTTTTCTGAAAAAGATCTATCAGTTGCTTGAAGATTGGGACAGTGACTCTTCTAAACTGCGTACGTTTGGTTTTAGTCACAGCCATTAACCTTTATGGTTTCACTCTGTCTCTTTCTAGGTTCTAAACTTTCGTCAATGGGATGCAGTCACTGTGAAACAGCATCTTTACTAATTGTCATAGGGACATGAGATGTGAATAGTTTATTTTCAAGGTCATGTGGCAACAAGTGGAGCCATATACATGTGGCAACAAGTGAAGCCATATATATTCTCATTCCTGCTATTACACATCCTCCCTGTCTACATGCAGTCATCACAACTATTAGCAGGATTTCCCTGTCATGGTCGATCACTGTTTCATCATTTTTAGCTATTTCTAGCTAATTATTTGGTTTTTGTTTCATTCTCCATTCAAATGACCGAATTATACACATCAATTGTTGTTTGTTTATACTAGTTTTGAATCTGGATGTTCATAATATTTTTGGTTGTAATAACTGGTAATCTTTATATTGCTAAATATTTGTTCGTTTTAAAAGTGCGCTCATGTTATTAAATTTAAGAGCTCAAATGAAAGTCTATTTGCCAAGTTTGAAAAGGCTGTAAATTCACTAGATTTTGTTGAAATAAAATCGTGAATGTTAGTCTTCTTCGTGACTAATTGCATTCTCTCTCATCAGTAAGGTGATCCATCATTTGACTTCATTATGTCATTTCCTAGACGTTATTTACACTGTAACAAGTACTAATGGTATACATTGCTGAAAACTACATGACGCCATTGCATTTAGTTTTGGATAGGGCGTGTGAATTTGAGAGTATAATATATTTTTTTCATAATATATATTTGAATATGCTGTGGAATCATGCATATATCGCCATTTAAAAAGCATTAGTGATTAAAACAAAATACAGTACATTTTCGTATGCTTCTAAGTCTGGAATGCTTATGTGCAGGGCCCTGTTTCTGGTTATCTCAGTGTCCTGAAAACATTTATTTCTGCATTTATTACATGCTTTCAGATAGCGGACCAGGTAACATTTTTCTTTTGATTAATGTAGGCTGTTTAATAAAATAGATGTGGAGGCCATCTCTTACACATTCTGTTTGCTCTATTTATTTTCAGTCAGAGAGCAACACTTTGGAATTAATCCTAGAAATTCTTTGTAAAATCTACCGAGGGGAGGTAAGGTCATATTTTTTGATCTCCTGTACTCATCAGGCCTATGTATATGAAGTTTTTTTTATTATCCATTTTCCATTTGTTTCCTTATGCTACAGGAATCACTTTGCAAGCAATTCTGGGATAGAGATAGTTTTATTGACAAACCTATCAGATCATTTCTTTACTCTTTGGAGATCGATTTTCCTTATAATATTCTGGTTGTACGTTTATTGTCAGCACTTTGCGAGGGACCCTGGCCTGCCAAATGTGTGTAAGTTTTCTTGCTCTCTCTCTCTCTCTCTCTACTTCCCCAATACTACTGCTTCGCTGTTACTTTTCTATAGTCAACAAATTATCTATTCTTTTATTATATTTTTCATGATAGGTATCTTGGCCATGGTTCGTGTGTGAATCATTTTTATTGACATATAGATTTATGCACATAATTCCATGTAAAAGAATCCTCATATATAAGGTCTGAAGTCTTCCTTAATTTTCTGTCAATAATTTTCATGAGAAACTGTACTTGGGTTCCTTGGAAATTGTTGTAATGTGATTTTTCATCATCTTTTATAACTTGTTATCCTTTATCTCTTTTGATAGACTTGGGATAATTTTTTTGAATATTTTGGCTCATCTATAGATCTAGACTTTCTTGATTTGTTTAAGTTTGGGTCCTTTCCATTGGCGAAAGTGAGTGTTAATTACATACTTTTGACAAAGGATGTATGCTGTGAAATTAACACGCCACAAGTAAACAAAATTTAGTTTCTCATTGAAACATATTCAGATTTTGGTTGTTATTTTAGGACCATGGATAATGGATGGGATGATACTGACTTGGTGAATCTATAATGTAAAGCTTATGTGATAGTTCTACTTGGTGTAGCCCATTTAAGAGTTTATTGGATGAGGCTCAATTGTAAAACATATCATCCTTTGTGGGAGACCTCCTTCCACGAGGGATTCTAACTTTGGTCTTAGTGCTCCACGATTACTAGTAGAATTCCGTGCGATGCTTGTGGAGTTCAAATTAACTGGATATAATTTGATACAATGGTCATAATATATTCAAGAGGTTTTGATTGGAAGAGGAATATTACATCATTTGTTAGAAGGGAATCTAGATCCCTTGTCTCATGAATGCCATAGATGGAGAGAAGAGGATGCACTAATCAAGACTTGGATTTGGGGAACGATGATTCCTCAAATTAGTTGAGATTTTTTCTTCTTAGGTAGAGTAAAAGATTTATGGGAAAAACAGTTCACACAAAATTCTCACAGAAGAATAATGAGGCTAATATATACGAATTAAAGACAAAATCAATGTATATAATGCTGGGAAATAAATATGTGCTGGAATATGTTGGAGACTTGAAAGGTTTATGGCAGGAACCTGATTATCACCTTAGTGACGACACAAAAAACCTAGATTACTTCTCTACAAAATTTCATAGAACGAAGAAGAGTCTTTAAGTTTCTTTCAGGACTTAACTATGGTTTTGATCATGTCAGACAATAGATTTTGAGTCACGAGAGGAAATCTGATCTAGATGAGGAAAGTCGTCTGAAATTGATAATGTTATTATTGCCTGAAATTGATAAGGCTGCGTTTGTGATTAAACCGGGTGAAAATATGAAGAAAGCCACAGATCAGATTCAACATCTTCAACCTGGTCAAGGGAAAAATCAAAAGTCCAAGTTTCAAAATAATATATGGTGTACATACTGCAAGAAACCTTGTCACACTAGAGATAGGTGTTATAAACTTCATGGTAGACCACAATCTGTTAGCACTGAAAACAATGGAAGTCAAGCACATTTGGCAGCATAATTACCTACCAATCAGATTTTCAATCAACCATCAGATCCCAAAAAAAATCCAACACTCTCTTTCGTTTCAGATAGATGAGATAGAAGGATTTTGAGTTGAATTGAAAAAGTTGGAAGTCAACAGTGACAGATCACTCATTAATTCAACCTAATAAGTTTCATTACTCTCTTCGAATCAGGGTCTCTTTTAGAGACATTTCTAACAATTGGGTAGTGGACGCAGGAGCAATGGACCATATGACGAATTCTTCTCATTTTTTTATCAAATACAATCCTTGTCTTGGTGACAGAAAGGTATCTACTACATATGGATCTTTTCTAACAACTAATGGTATAAGAGGCCTTAAACTTGAACCCTTTCGGAATTCTTAATAATGTCGTTCATATCCCAAAATTATTTACAAATTTCCTCTCTATCAAGAAACTCGTGAAAGATTCACCTTATCGTGCCTGTTTTGATTAGGATATTTATGTGATATTTGATAAGGTACATTGTTAGAGGATGAGAGTTGCTAGAAAACGTGAAAGACTCTTACTAGAAGGATTTGCCAAGCGTACCTAGTGGAAGCAGATCAACACCTAAAGCCTCTAGAAGATGATCTTGACATACGATTACTCCACCAAAGAATGGGTCATCCTTTCTTCAGCACTTTGAAAATTCTTTTCCTAGGTGTTCTTAGACATCCTTAAGTGTGATGTGTGTAAACTCTCTAAACACACTCGTGCTTCTTTTCAAACTTAAGGAGAAAGTGAGACGATTGTTACTTTTATAGATGGCTGTACACAGTGTATGTTGATGTTTCTTCTAAAACAGAAGTTTAATGTGTGATATTTTAATTTTTTTCTATGCTATGATTAAAAATCAGTTCAACATCAGTTCAAAGAAAATCAGATCCAACGATGCTAAAGAATACTTTAGCCAAAGTCTGACTTCGTATTTCCAATCAGAGGGTATCTTCTTGTGTATATACTCTACAACAAAATGACTTAGCTGAGAGGAAAAATCGACATCTTTTAGAGGTAACTTGATTGATTCTATTTCAGAATAATGTGCCAAAAGTTTTCTGGGGTCAGACTGTCAAAACAGCTACATATCTCATCAGTAGATTGTCCTCTAGAACCTTAGAGTATATACTCTACAACAAAATGACTTAGCTGAGAGGAAATATCGACATCTTTTAGAGGTAACTTGATTGATTCTATTTCAGAATAATGTGCCAAAAGTTTTCTGGGGTCAGACTGTCATAACAGCTACATATCTCATCAATAGATTGTCCTCTAGAACCTTAGACTTCCACAGTTCTTTAATCTTGTTAGCAGTCCAGTTTCAACACCATCAAATTAAAACCATGTTAGAACCCAAGATATTTGCTTGCTTTGGGGGTTTTCAGCTGTTGTAAAGAAAGTTGCCATAAAAATTAAGAATTAAAGGTGAGGTTGTGATGACAAATGAGTGCTACCATAGTTCTGATGAGAGTCGACATTTCTCAATTTGACTTTGAAGGAATCTGATCTTCCTTGTAGATGTTACTTTTTATAAACCCACCAAAATCTAGATGGTCGGCTTATTCTGGTGCAGAGTCTGCCATTTATGGCTGGCTGGGTGAGATCTGGGCTGGATGGCCCAAATGGTTGCCTGGATATGTTTTAAATTAGTTTGGATCAGTTAATATATTAGTCTGCCTTGGAAATAGTCATGCAGAATTGATCCAACATTTATTCTGGATTCATGTCCCATAATTCATTGAAAGATCCATCTAGGAAATGTCCATGAGACATTATTTTAAAATGACAGTCTGTGGTACTTCAACCACGGAGGAGCAATTTCATTTACGTTTTAGTTTTATTAAACTAATCAGGGCTTTTGGTCAAGTAGTTGGAGGATGTTTGTGGCCAAGTTTCGGAATGATTTTCCCCCCCTTTTTTTGTGTTGGTTGGGAGGAGGGGGGGAAGGTTTTCGAAGTATCGTCAATGGTGACGAAGGAGGAGGTTAAGCACCCAAGGCGTTCATTCTGGCTTTGCTAATCGCCATTTATAGACGTGATGACATCCTCAAACAGGTTCTTTCCAATATCCATTCACGGGTGATTGACACTGCCTAACCAGAAACCTGCATTAAGCTGGTAATTTTTTTTAAAAAATTTTACAATTTATTTAATTACTTCCAAAAAGGAAGTTTGTACAGAATAAAACAATATTTTTAGAATGATTTTTATTAAATAATATATTAAATATTTAAAATGAAATAATATGTAAAAATTTTATGTACATTATTTTACATTCATATAAAATGTATGTAAAAGTAGTGTCCCCTTGGTATGAATTATTGGACCATTGTGTAAATTGCCTTGATCTCTTAAAAGCCTTGGGGGGAAGTAACTGTTCAGCTAGAGACCCAGTTGCATGCTTGCAGAATAATAATAATGGCAATTTCTGTGGATGGCTAAGATGATGTGGTGGCTCTTTGTATGCGTAGTGTGAGCTTGCAATCTATATGCGGCCTCATAACTTCACTTTTTCCACTTTCTGTTATTGACATTTAGCATATTGTTGTTGACATATGAGCGTGTTTTTATAGACATTGGGCTGTCATCGATGACTGTAAAGTATGGTGACTTAAATTGAACAGGATCCTTTAAACCATTCGAAAGAAGTCATGAGGCTTGTTTTATTTTTTTTTGGAAGATGCAGTTGGGATGCTTATTTGTAGGGGTTAAGGACACGAATGCATATAATAAACACTGGTGTGGATTAGTTGATTCTTTAGTTATAAGCATTATGGAAAACTGGTCCTTTGTTCCATTTCACGAAATAATTGGTTTCCCGGATTTTTTAACTCTCTTTTTTTCGTGTGCTTCTGAATCTTTGCAAGTACAGCTCTGGAATTGAATGTTATCCTTTGTGTTGATAGAACATTGTATCTGAATCTGTGTTGTTTGATGTCCAGATGCAACACCGCGGATGCAGAATTCATTAATTCGATTGTTCTGACTGTCCACCATGTAGAATTGCACCTGTTTTATTGTTTTCTGATGTATTAGACCCTTGTTTTGTTGCTAATTAGGAAGCCCTTGTTCTTATAATTCACAAGTGAACAAGGAAAGACAAAAGAGGAACGAATTCACAAGAGTTGAGCCATGCCCAGTATCGAGGCAATATTATGCTCCGGATAACTCTCCACAAATAGGCTTATCCATTGATGTATGAATAGGGTAATTGTGTGAAGCTCTAAGGGTATGTAAGAAAAGTGGAGGGTTAGGGTATGAAAGAGTAAAACACATGCAAACGATGACCCAATTTGTTTGGAACTTTATGTTTGCTGGATATGTTTATCTTCTGGCATCTTGTCTCTGTCTATGTTATCTACATAGATTGACTTTGGAAGTCGGCCTAAACTAACTCTAAAGTGTTCATATGTCAAAATGATCTGTCCTGAATAGTGCTGCAACCCTAGGAGGATATGCAGATAAAAAAATTCAACTCGCATCACATCATAGGTGACTGTTATATACACGTAACAGGGCCACAAAACAAGGAAACTACCAGATAACTAGGAAACTGACAATCAATGACTTAAACTGGCAAACTAGGAAACGGTCTAACTAAGAACCGAACTCCTAATTTTTTGTTCTTTCACAAATTATCCCATGTTGAAAGGAATCAACTACAAACACATTTGGATTTCAGTGGACTTTTAAGCACTTCTTTACTTTTCCAGAGAGTATAAGGGAGTTTGACTTGGATTCGTTCACTAGTTTGACGTTTTTCAGTGCATTTCAATTTGAAATTTACTCTCTTTAGCGTCAAAGTCATGATTTACTAAAATGGCTGACTCAGGGTATCAGCCTGGACTTTATATCAAAGTGATGAGTTAGTTCCCAAAATGTACAAATTTGTGAATCTTTTTTCTTCGCTGCCTTGGTTTTCTTGACCTAGTATTTTGACGTTGTATCTTATTCTGCACATTGTGCTCAGTTCATTGGTATTGATAAGGACTCCTTGTCTGTCTTCGTTTCAGATTCTTAGGGATGCTTGTATTTTTCAGTAGCAACTAATGCAAGGCTTCATCCAGGACTTAATAAAAATGTTTTCAGTTTTCATGAATCTGTCAAAGTTAATGTCCACTGTGTTGGTGTAATGGCCGAATGTTTTGGCCAAAATTAATGGCGCTTGAAAGTTCTCATTTCATCATTACTGGTTATGCTTTGTTATCTGTTTTGCCGCCAGCCTTAACATGAAGGCTTTAATTGAACCACAGGCTCTGTTTTTTCCATTAAAGTTATTGGGTTCTCAGTATAAGCTTTGGAATATCCTGTTTGTTATTATCTACATGGTCTGATGAAGTGATTGGCATATCATGCCCCTCTTTGTTTATATGTTTGCTAAAACTTCCCATTGCAGATTCAACTTTTTGTGCAACATGACTTATACGACTTCATTATATGAAGTTCCTGGTGGTTGTCGGACATTGAGTAGTGACATGACTGTTGTGGCGCCCCACCTGTTGTATGTTGAAAGTTTTGATGTACTTACCATTCCGAGTGGAGTGCAGGGACATGTTGTGAGAATAATTGACGATAATACTGCCCTTATTCGGTGGAAAGTAAGTGCGTGCTTCCCAATTGGTTTTCGGTTGATTTTATTTATATGACTTGCTGGTGATTGGTATTGTTTGGAAAATTGATCTGCTATATTTTCCTTATGCCAATAAAACTAGATCATCAGCTACCTTATGACATTCCCTGATGATGTCCCCATCCAAACTAACATTTAGTAAGCTAGTGCCTTGAAAAATGGACAATGAGATGTAGTTACCTTTTAGGTTTTATTCGTCTAATTATTAAAAAAAGATATGATGCAGGAGGAGCTGATGTCTGGGAAAGTTTTTTTGTTTGGATTTTTAGTCCTGACGGTTGGAAAAACCTGGGATGCATCCTATGTATTGCTTTTCTTTTCTTTCGGTGTCATACATTAAATAACATCAGAAAAGCTTGTTGGTCGTCTAGTCACAGTACTTGATTGGCATCTCAGAGTTTAGAGATTCTTCCTCGAATCTCCTCTATCCTTTGGTCTTTAATCATTACAGTCTGCCGATACTGCAATTTTCCTGTAATCTGCCTTACCCTATGATCTTAATATAATATTCCAGATGAAGTATAATCTGATGCGTCTTCGTTTCATTTTTTTTTTATAATTTTCTCTGCGACTTTATTGCTGCCCATCCTAGATATTTGCTACAGTCAACTATAGGAAGGTATACATGATCAAGTTGAGATGCATCATTGAGCAAATCGAAGGAAAATTAATTGATTGAGTATATTGTCTGTCACAGGGATAATTATTATAACTATTTTATGACTGAAGGATGCTGTAAGCTAGGCTTCTTATTCTTTTCGTCAGAACTAGGACACCCATATCAGCTACTCATTTACTGGTTGTGATAAGGTTAATGTGTCTTTGTAATAGTTGATAATGCTTCTTATTCTTTTTTGTCAGGACTAGGACACCCCCATCATCTACTCATTTACCTGTTGTGATAAGGTTAATATGGCTATGTAATAGTTGATAAAGGTTCTATGATCTTTTTTTGACATGTGGCATTTAATGCAGTGTGGTTATTCTGGAGTCATAGTGCTGCTCTTGCGCCTGGCGCAGGAATTTCATTCAAATAGCTACAAGAATATCTCTCTCACCCTTGATCTGCTTTATCGGATGTGTCTGTATAACACGGTAATTTTTTTGAGCTATGAGCATGATGTTCCCATCTTTTGCCTGTGTTTTTTTTTTTTGAAATCCTGTAATTTTTGAGGGGTTCCTTGTTTAGTTTAAATTTTAAGGCTTTTGTGTGGAAATATTTTAATTAAATTATTTTTCACAATTCTGTCACATCTCGTGGAAATATGCAGTCTGCATTTTTTATATTTAGGACTTAAATGGGATTTTGAGCGGCTTCTGGTTTAGTTAAGGTTTTAAAACTTTTGTGTATAAATAATCTTTGATTATATTATTTTGTCACAATTCTGTCACATCTTGCGGAATCTGCAGTCTGCATTTTTATTTTTTATGTAGCGAATGTGGGCTAAACTTGATCCATCCGACATAACTATTGTTTTTTGTTGTTTTGCATTTTTTATTTTCTACTCATTATTGCTCCAACAGAATGGAAGAGAATAAGGTCAGAAGACACAATTCTTTGGCTGGGGTGATGATAGTATTGAATGGCTACTTACACTGATTAGTGTGTGATCAAAGCAACTGACATTTTGTTTGGGTCCACTTCTCTAGGTTAGTAAAGGAAAAACTTAAAAACTCTCAATATCAAAACGCAGGAAAAATATTTTTTGCCATTCTTGTTCTCCTACGGATGAAAAGTACATTGAAATTGATTGTTCTGAATTATATTTCTTCAGGTTAAGCCTGTCTTCGTCATAAACTTATTAAAATTTTTTATCTCTTTTGATTTGCGTTGTCAGTTCCTGAAAATTTTACATTATTGCAGTCAGGGATTCATTTTTAAAATTTTTTTCATTCAAATTTGATTCAGAGAATATGTTTTGCATTAATGGAAATCAGTCATTCTTCCATTTTGCAATCAGCTCAATTAAAGGCAGACATGGATACAACTTCAAGGTTTGTGATCTGGATAAGACTGTTGTGCTGAAAGTGTGAGTCTTTACTTCTCTATTTACTGAGCAGTGGTGGCTCACTTTGTGGTTTTATTTGCAGGATTGATTTAGTGAAGGTAATATGTTCCTTGGCTATGAAATTAGTGCGTGGGGTTGGTAGCGCCGAACTTGTGTCTTTGTGCATAAATATTCTTGGCGAAATGTTGAAATGGTGAATACTTCTGGTCCTTTAATTTTCCTTGGTTACACAACAAAATGGTTATATTTTTCTATTTGAAGTGTTATTAAGGACAAGATATATGTCTTTGGCTGGTTTTGCTTAGTATAAAATACGTTAGCTCCTGGATCAGATGTTTCATACGTTTTTTATCATGTTAAAGTTTGTGCAGTGACCTGAAGGGAATACAAGATGGATATTTAATGTTGACTCGGATTTCTATTTACCAGTATTTTTGCTTGTGGACACATCATGTAAATCAAATATGAACTGACAGCATAATACTTTGCATCACTTTTGTATTTTCTAAATGCATTGGCGGGAACCGCTGTTATATTTTAAAGCATCACATCCAAGGGTATGAACTGAGTTATTTACCAAATCAAATAGTATAGAAAGATTTTATTTTGACATTAATTACGCGATATACCGTCCTACTTGTTAAGTTCTATACATTCAGTTTCCTGTCTCTTCTTAATGTTTGAATGTCATTGCTTAGAAACTGAGTTTCCCAACATTTTTCTGCGAGATCACGGTGGATTTTCTATTGAGATTTGCTTTGAAAAAGATTCAATTATATATTCCTTAGCTTCTGTTGATCATTTGTCCTTGTCATAATCCCTGATTATGTATTTCTCTGAAAGCACTGACAGCATTTTTTATTTAGCTTTATTAAAAAAGGTGACACTAATCTTCTCTTTCTCTTTCAATGTAGCTCACCATCATATGTAGTTGAACTGATTCTGAGGGCAAATATTTTTGGAAGAAGCTACAATGGTCCGTCAAGGTGAGTGAATTTAGTGATGATTTTTGTGTTTTGGTCGATGTTCGTTGTGCATCTTTGTAATAATACATTTAAGAAAAATCTTCAATTAGCTTCGTTTTTTATGCATATATGTACATGTGCCCAGGATTGAAAGAGTTGAGGCACATGTAAGGTAGACAAACAGTGTCTTTTATGCATGGTTGTCTTTCCTATAGAACAGAGACACATAAGGCCATGGCAGGGAAGAAAAAAGGTAGAGCTAAGTTGGTTTGTTGGAGGGTTGGGTGGTTGAATGGTTGGGGTCATAAAGCTTTCTGAGAAGAATGAATATGTATGGTTCTCTGAAAAGATTGAATGTACTTTGGTCCAGCCTATTTTTATATAAATTCAGTGATTTCTGATGAGGTGTATCTCAATATGGATGTGTGAATATTGGTCTATGCATGTTTCATACTGATTTTCTTGTGTTCTTTAGATTTCAGTCTTACATAATTTTTTGTTTCGAAAAATAATTTTTTTAGTCCAATTTCGAAAAATGAAGTTGTCCACATATTGGATCATGTGACTCAAAGCCATTGTGCTAAAGGAGGATGCTTCAGCTGTTCTATCGCAGCGTCTTATTTGTTTCCCCAATGCGTGATTATTGTTGTACATCCTCTGATTTCTAGTCCAATTTCAGTTAGGTTTTGACATATAGAAAATAGAAATTTACACTACTCTAGAGCATAACCATTAGCTCTCATACAATGTTGAAGTATTGGGCCATCCAAATCAAAACTAAATTACCATGAGTGCGGTATGCCCATTATTAAAACCTCATAAGTTTATTTGCTTATTCAAGTGTGAGATATAGAAAATATATAATATCTGCATTCGGCTCATTCTAGCTTTTTCTGATACACATTAATTTTTATTGTGCTTTCAGTGGTCCATGGTTTCTTTCCGGAGGTCTAGCCAAAATGGTTTTGGCCGAGTGTGAACAGAACATGAACGTGTGTTCATTAACTATGGCTGGTATGCTTGTCTTTGGGTTGAATCTACCTTTCTTTGATGTAATGTGAAGTACTATTTAATTCCTTATCAACCTGCCAAATAACGCCTTTTGTGTGTTCTCTCTCAAGATTGGTGCGATTGCATCTTTGTTCCTTGAAATGGCTTTTTATTACTCCACCAGCTGGTTCCCTCTAGTCAAATAGAAAGGGATTGAATCATAAATGTATTGGGATAGTAAGCCCAACAAATCTACTGGGCCAACTAGTTCGCACCCCAATAGCTTGATGTACATTTAACTCTCTGACCAAAATTGTGGCGAACAACATCAGATCTGCTCAACCAGGGCCGTTGAGGATCTATGAATCTCAAGTATGGTTTGCTTGCTTGGAGGTTAGCCATCACAGGTGGAGATTTTGGTGTCTACGATTTTAGATGCATTTTGACCAATTGAAAAAACATCCTGGGATCCGTCAAAACACTTGCCTTGAAATTTCATAATGACAGTTGCAAAATATTGGTTTACAGTGTGTCTATCCATTTTCTTGGATTATGTAAATTGTGCAAATTGTTTCAATCTTCTGTATCGTCGTGGACCGGCCTTTTTATGTATATTTACCATTCGTTCCATTTTTGGCAACTATGCAGTGCTAGATTTTACTAGGCAACTCGTGGAAGTCGGAGCAGATGATGAAATGGTATCTTCACTCGTGATATTCGCTCTTCAGTATGTTTTAGTTAATCATGAAAACTGGAGTTACAAGTTTGGATATGACCGTTGGAAGGTGACACAGAAGGTACATGTTTTCACTTTTATAACTGTGATATTTTTTCATTAAATTTAACGTCAGTTCTGCTTAATCTTAACTCGTTTAAGTTATTTCTCAGCGAATGTTTCCAGACCGCCTTGGCAAACAACTGTTCACGTTTTCTTTGATGGAAGGAATACGCTCCATCTGAATGATTTTGTGTGAATATAAGTTCATATGAACACAAAAACTGGTTTTTAGGCCGAGCTCAAATATGTTTTGGACTGGGTTCGAAGTTTGTCAGGAGTATACACCAAGTTCTGTCCTCCTTTCCCCATCTCAGTATCTCTCTCTCTCTCTCCCGGTTCTTCCCTCCCTCCACTCACGCCTGCACTATCTTACCCCTCTCCACTTTCCCCCCTCGAGCAGAGGGTTTTCTCTTCCCTCCTCTGCCTGCATATTCAAATCATTGCAAACCTCATTCCAACGTACTACCCATCCTTCCCCTTTCCCGTCTCCCTGGTCTTCATTCCATCTCATCTTTTTCTCCCCTTTCCTCCCTAAACTAGAAAATTCCTCTCTTCAACCTCCCATCCTGGCCTATGAATTCTAGTTTGCTCATCTTCTGAGGCTTGTCTGGACTTGAAAACGATGTATTGGTTCAACTTGTACTTTGCAAGGCCTGTCCCAGCCTGGTCGCATCCTAAGAGTCATGGGGAGGATGGTAGTATGGCAATATGATTAAGATTATCCTAGCTAAACTCTGAAATGGTTATCTTCTTGGGTTTAATGGGAGGCTATGTTCATTTTTTGAGGTAGATGTATGTAAGTGTTCCGCCAAGCTAATCTACACCCGAAATTTGATAAAGTTTATCACATTAGTTGGAAACATCAATCCTAATCTCGTCTCTGTAATCATCATATAGTTGTTTCGCTTTTTAAAAAAAAAAACAGTTGTCAGACTTGGGAAAGTTGTTGAGAGATATTACTGGTAATATCAGATAATTGGTTGTTTATGATTTTATCTTTTTACCATTTTGTTGAAGGATCCATTGAATATGGCTGCTTAGTGCTATAAAGTCCTGAAATAAATGAATCCAGTGACTTATACGTTTAGCAGTACGTATATAAGTGCTCTTGTTTATAGTGTCGTCTTAGGAAGAATCGTAGAAATTGTGTCATTGTATTTGTTACGCAGAACAAGTTTTTCTATATTAGGCTTTCCTTCTATTTTCCTTTATGTCCTATTATTAGATGTATTTCCTTTTCGTGTTTCTGTTATTAGACCTTTCTATAATATCGGAAATGTTTATTAGATGCCAATATATAAATACTGGCGTACTGCCCTTAGAAAGGGCTAAGTCAGTTTTTCCTTTCCTACTTCTATTGTATCTTGTAATGTGGTATCAGAGCTTTCTCTCTGATCCTGTGTAAAGACTGCCAACAGAAGATCAACCAACCTTGGTGGCGATGACGTCTCCACATTGTAGGGAGTGTCGCCTGGTGATCTTCTTCCTGTCTACAGTACCTGAAATTGTGAGGTTTCTTGGTCGTAAGTAGACCGACGGATTCCTTGGAGAGTCATTACACCATCATCGTTTCTTGACAGTGGGGGACATCTACAGATACACCGTCGTCGATTCTTGACAGTGGCAGGACGTCTATGAATACATCGTTGTCATTTTTTGATGGTGGCAGATGTCTGCGAAGACAACATTGTCGTTTTTTGACAGTGGTAGTTATCCTCAGTTATTCGGACCACATCAGGGAATCTCTGTTTGAGATTTTTTTTTGGCTATCTGGTCACGGTTGAAAAATATGGTGACAAAGGTCAGTGAATCTTCCTTCTCTGGCCTAGGACATTCATTTGAAGTACTTAAGGTATGTTCAGATCTACCTAAAATTACTAAGAGATTTTGATTTGACAGAATCAATTTGTTCCAATGGACATCATATGTGGAACTTACTCTATGTGAGAGGAATCTGGATTGTCACCTAACGCAATCCTCACCAAGTATTGACAACCCCGGATATTTTCAATGGAAAGAAGAAAAAGCATTGATTCAATATTAGATGCTACACAATATTTCACCAAAGATAAGTGATAGATTTCTTTTTTTGAAATATGTGAAGGAATTATAGGGCAAGGTTCGTCGTGTTCACTCTACTAACCATGACGAATCCCAAATTTATAGATTGGTATAGAAATCTCTGACTTTGGTACATGAAATATTGATTGTTCTGGAATATGCTTGCGAATTGGAATCCATTTGGAGAGAAATTGACCACTACAAACCAATCAAGAACCTTGATACTAAAGAACAAAATTATATCATGAAAGACAGGCTGTATACATTTTTGATGGGGCTAAATCTAGAATATGAGACTCTAGTAAATCAGATACTTGCTCGAGAAGTAGTACCAGATATTGAAGAGGCAATTGTATTACCTAGACAAGAAGAAAATACTAAAAATTTGAGAATGATTTAAAGATAGAAAATGTTGCATTCAGCACTCTCAAGGGCAAAGATACCTCTGTATTAAAAAAGGAGGACAGTAAAGTATCGTTCATCAAAGGGGATCCTAAGATTAATCTGAAGGCACACCTATTTTGCACTTATTGTTGGAAAAATTGTCACACTAGGGAGACATGTTGGAAGATCCATGGCAAACCACTGAATTATGGTAAGTTGCATTTGGCTAATGCTCAAAATGAAGATGGTGTTGAGCCCATGATACAAGGAGGAGCTAGTCAAGATGGATCTACTTCCTCTCGTCCTTCAGAGATTGGAAAACTCAGAGAAGAAATTGAACAATTGAGCAGCATGATCAGCTCCACTTCCTTTGCACATACTAGTAAGCATTTTCCTAAACATTTTCCACTATACTTAAATATCTCATCATTGACATCACCTTCACCCCAAAAAGTGTCATGGATCATTGATTCTGGAGCTACTAACCATATGAACACCATATGCATCACTATTCATAACATATGAGGTATGGAGCAATAATCGGAAGGTTATATAGCAAGTGGGGATTTGTTTCCTATAGCTAGCATTGGATCAATTCATCTTGAGAAATTAGGGCCATTAAGATATGTTCTTTATGTTCCAAGATTGAATGCACATCTATTATCATTGAGAAAATTGGGCAAAGGCTTGAATTGTTTGATATTATTTGACGACGATTTTTGTTTCTTCTATGACAAGACCTCAGGCAGGAGGATTGGGCATGTTAGAGCACGGGATGGACTCTATTACACAGGGCGTATGGACAAGACATTGTTGACAAATTCTAGTCCAAACATTTCTACTTTTGCTTCTACTTTTCTCTTGAACAAATTGTTGTTGTTGCATTGTCATTTAGGACATCCGTCAATAAAAGTACTTTGGTACTTGTTTCCAAAACTATGTCATGCAATTGGTGAATCTACTTTCATATGTGAACCATGTCAAATGGCTAAGTGGCGACGAATTTTATTTCCCTCTGCTGGAAATAAAAGTGAATCCCCTTTTTACATGATACATTCTGATATGTGGGGCCCTTCTTCATCCAGTGGTGTTAGGGACTTCAGATGGTTTATAATCTTTGTAGATGATTGTACTAAGTTCATATGGATTTACCTAAAACAAAATCAGAAGCTAATAGTGTTATTTAGAGGTTTATCAAGCTAATTCAAACTCAGTTCAGTATAACTCCTAAGAAATTCCGATCAGACAATGTTAAGGATTTTTTCAATTCTATTGTCTCCAATTTCTTTGTTGAGGAGGGCATTGTTCATGAATTTTCTTGCCCCTATACACCCCAGCAAAATGGGGTAGCTGAAAGAAAGATTGGGCAACTACTAGAAATAACAAGGGGTGTCATGTTTAAAGCCCAAGTGCTGAAGTACTTATGGAGTGAGGCAGTACTAACGGCCATTCATCTTGTTAATCGTCTCATTAGAAGCATTATTATTTAAGACTCCCAAAGCCGTATTGTAGGGTCATTATCTGACTGTGCAGTATGGACCAAAGTTACCTCTTCGAGTATTTGAGAGTGTTGCATACATCTATCAATCTTTGTGGACTGTCTAAATTTGCCCCTAGAGTCGTAAAGGCAATCTTTGTGGGCTATTCCAATACAAAAAAAGGATATAAATTTTATGACCCAAGATATCAAAAAATTATTGTGACAATTAATGTCACTTTTGATGAAAGTAGTATGTATTTTCAGCAGACAACAACTCAAGTATCTAGTTATGATATTTTTGTGCCAAAAAAACACGATTTACATATTGAGATTCTCAAAGGGAATGAAGCTCCTGAAATGAATTGAGGTAGCCTACTCTTGTGAAAAATTATTCTTATCTCAAAGAAACTATATTACAAATTTACTCAAATATACTGGCATGAGTTACTGTAAACTAGTGTGTACATCAATTGAAGCAAAGCATTGTATGGGGCTTCAAAGGAAAGCGATCAAGTAGATAAGGGGTCTTATCAACGGCTAGTTAGAAAATTAATTTATCTATCCGATATTGGACTGAATATTGTTTACTCAGTTGGAGTGCTAAGCCAATATATGCAAGACCCTAGGGAGGTGTATCATCAAGCTGCTCGATGAGTCCTAGCCTATCTTAAAGGAACAATTGGCATGGGAATCCTGTTTAAAACGGGAGATTATCTTGCAGTAGGCATCTATACCGATGCTGATTATGCTGGTTCCGTTGATGATAGGCGCTTTACTACTGGGTATTGTTGTCTCATTGGAGGAAATTTGGTCACTTGGCGAAGCCAAAAACAGAGAGTTGTGGCTCGATCAAGTGCTGAAGCGGAATTGTGGAATTTAGGGCTATGGCCCTTGGGATTTGTGAAGGCATTTGGATAAAAAATATACTAAATGACTTACAAATACCCATGGAAGGTTTGATTACCTTGTTCTGTGACAATCAGTCTGCAATAAGTATTGCACATGATCCTATTCAACATAATAAGACCAAACACATTGAAGTAGACATATGTTTAATTAAGGAGAAACTTGAATCGGGGATGTTTTGCACAGAGTATGTCTCATCTACAAATCAGTTAGCTGATATATTAACTAAGGGCATTTCTACAACAGAGTTCCTCAAACAAAGTAGCAAGCTGGGCATGAATGATATCCACGTGCCAGCTTGAGGGGGAGTGTTATGCAGAACAAGTTTTTTTTCTATGTTATGCTTTCCTTCTATTTTTCTTTCTGTCCTATTATTAGATGTGTTTCTTTTTTCGTGTTTCTGTTATTAGACCTTTCTGTAATACCGGAAAGGTTTATTAGAGGCCAATATATAAATACTGGCATACTGCCCTTAGAAGGGCTAAGTCAGTTTTCCCCTTCCTGCTTCCGTTGTATCTTGTAACAGTATGATGTGTGAAGGAAGTTGTCGAATTTTAGTTACAGTTCATTTAGTTGTCCTGCAGCTTTATTTCAATGTTACATTGGAAAACTGTTCATGTACCATGTGGCTGGTAGTTGTCTAATTTTTGGTTTTTAATCATTTAGTTATTCTCTTGTTTTATTTCCATGCTTCTTAGCAGAGGGAAGCTAGTTTGTTCAGGGTTTTTTTGGCTTTTCAGGTGTTTGAATTGGTGAAGTCATGCATCAAGGCTTTAAAGTATTCATCTAAACTTAGTTGTCTGATTCGAGAAATATTACTTTGCGACTCTTCTGTTCACAACATGCTTACTCGAGCCTTTTGCATCAAATCACAGACATTGGAGGTTAGTGTGTACTTTGGCCACTGCACCTTGACTCTCTAATGATAAACCCTTGTAAATTAGATACTCTACTAACCTGTGGGCAAGGCATTGGCAGGGACTGTGTATAAGCCGACTTTGTGATTCAAGAGAAATTGAAGGCTTGCAGCTTTCTGTTTGTTCTGCTTTAGATGCGGTTTCCTCCATTATGATGGATCTACTTGAGGTATTTGCAATATTTAATACATTTAGAGTTGCTAGAAAGTAGATTTTTTGAATGACAAATATTCGAGTCTTTTTCAGTGCTCAGTCATGATTTTCTTATTCTCTTTGGTAAGGGTGAGGTTGTTAGTTGACTACAACTAGTGTCAGTCCCCAATGAGTGATTGTAGTGGACATGCAAAGCAGTCTTATGAAGCTCATTGAATCTACATTAAATGATGTTTGTATCATGCCAGGTCAAGCATGTTTGCTTGTTTTGAGGATTATGTTTTTTATTGTGGGATACTGGTGATATAATTTTGTAATATGAATGAAGGCAGGGTCAATGGCTGCCTTTGGTGAAGCTGAGGTGACCTTTAAGAGCATGTAGTATGGGCTAACAGAGATGCCGTGCTGAGCAATAGGCTTTATAATTTCACCTATAATTCCTCTTCTTATGGATACTCCATTTTCACGTATCATTTCCTAGTTGAAGAATGCTGACTCTTGTAACAATTATGCAGCATAATATGTGATTTCTCGATGGCTAATGTGTTGAAGTTATCTTTTATGCTGACAGTCTTTCTTTTCTACATCTTTACTCATTCTGATTATAGCTTGCTCTGGTTTCTGTTAAAAAATTCATTTAATATCCATTCTAAATGTAGTAATTCAATTTCAAGTACTTTGTATGATGGCAACTGCATTTTTTTAGCATTGAGGATCTTTACCTTCCAGTTAATATCAGTCTCTGAAAATAGTTTCTTCACAAATTATCATAATTGATATCATATGGCCCATACATAACTTGTGTAATCTAAGAAGAACACCGTCAAATGTTTAAGGGTGGAACACCAGGAAGATCCTAAGACAGGAGTAAGAATGCGTTGGAACAGGAGGTCAAAATTTCTAGGTGTTGAGTTAGAGGAGAGAGGAGAAGAATGGAGACACTAAAAACATAGGCTGAACGGTGGTGGGAATCTCCTTTCCTCTTCTATATTCTGTTCATCCCAAGGGTAAAGTTTCACATATGGACGCAATGTTACATGCTTAGTAGACCCAAAGTAGATTAGAATGCTTAGTGGACTCAAAGGGTTAGTTGTTCCAAACACGATCTGATATCTTAATGGGTCCAACTCTGACACAGAACAAAAAAAAAGACGATTAGCATTGGAAAATATGCATCCTTTTGGTAGATGATTATCCTTCTGGCAAGAAAATTACTCCTGGATAAGTGGTGAAAATTGCACATTTTATATATCAGCAAGCAGAGTTTTTACAATATCAGATACTTCTCTCTTTCACTAAAATGTTGATCTTGGAAAAGTTGTTGATGATGGCATAGTGCTTCACTTAATTTTCTTTGAATGTTGGTAATAGAGGATATACGGAATTGAAGAAAATAATCAAAATGCAACAGTAGTCTTTCAGAAACATTGATTAGCATCTGTTTAGTGAATAGCCCGCCCAGGTGAATAAAAGCCCCTCGCCTGGACCACTTAGTTTTTTGGGGCTCACCATAGTGTGGCGTATAGTATTTGTCCATTCGCCACATTTACAGTCAGAGATCTGTAGGTGTGTGCAGTAACAACCGTTTGGTATGCGACATTTGCCCTGGAAACATGTTAGCAACAACTTCCTTCCTTTTAGGCTCTACCTAACTACCTTGTTTGAAGACTCTTTTCCTTGTACTGTTGCAACATTGAAAACAATCCCAAACAGCAACTGATCGTGCTAGTCTGTGAGGTTCTAACGCCTACTGCTCACTGGCCATCCATAGGTGCTGATTCAGATGCAGCTGTAGCACCTGGCATCAGCTAGCGTTGTTGGTCAACAGGATTGGTCCCAGCAGCTAGTTGTTTTGAAGTGGACCTAGTCGTGGGTATCTGGCGGCCAAACTTTCACGTGGGTAATGACGTCATTTTGTGTGACTTGTGAATGATGTATGGGAACTTCTGTGGACAAGGGTTTATGATTGTTTTACCTGTCAAGTATGTAATGATTATTTTCATCTTTTGAATCACTTATAATGAGTTTCAAATAATATCTTGCATGGGCTCGTTTCCCTGCCGTTTAAGTAGTAACTTTGTTGCATGGGTGAGTCATCAACTTTGTTGTCTGAAAAACTATTCCAGAGAACAACATTCATGCCTTTACCTATCTCAGAAGGATTATTCTTCCTCAGCCAAGACTGACCAACACAGGAATTTAGACACGGAAAATTGTTGAGCAAAAGAGTGCTCTCATGACACTCTGTAGTGAAAATGGACATCTTCATGGGTAGCAGTCAACGGGGAATTATGCTCGAAGAGATTCTTGTTCAGCTCCCCAAATATCTTTTGGGATGAGTGTATTTGTCTATCTTTGGGTAAGAAGAGAGAGTGAAGGACGTGAGTGTTTCTAGGCTATATATTTTGCAATGTCAGAAACACACGGATTTCGAAGTCCAGGTGCCTATCTACAAAATGATGAGATTTGAGGGCGGTGAAGGCTGTTATATGACTTGAGTTCCATTGTCAATACCTGTGGCCAAACATGTCCAGATGCCAAGGAGCCAATGGTGACATTTCTTTGTCTCGGGTTCATGGGGATGCGTCATACTTCAATTTTGTTGATTTATTGATTATAATGAAGAGAATCAGCAGGGCATAGTAGTACCATTGTCTGGCGCCATTCGCATACCTAGTTGTAGATGGGCAGGCTGGCTGGTGTAGCGTCTTTATTATATGTTACTGAAAAAAGAACTGTTCTGCGCATAAGGTCGTTTTTTCCTGTGTAGTTCTTATTGTCTTTGTCATATTTCTAATGACATTCTTTTCTTTCATACAAGTTTCAGGACACCAGTTCAGACATACCAGTTTTTATTCAGTCACTGTTATCACCTGCTAAACCAGTTCCTGTAGTTACAGCTACAGCATCGTTGGTTTCCTTCTTTCACAATACTGTAAGTCAGCATGCATCCCTTTTATCTCATAATTCTGTGTGACATCACGACATTTTTTTATAAGACTCTTGTATGAAATTCATAATTAGAATGCCGATTTATTGGGTTTTTATTCAATTTTTCCTTGGATTAAAAATATTGAAACATGTAGTTCTATAAATTTTATAATTTCAACGGTGGGTCCTGTATTATGATGCATATTGTTTGTTCAAGTATGGCTCATTTGCTTAGAATTCCTGATTTCTTAAGAAAATTAAGATTAGCTCAGATGAAGTACACCGCAATACCAAATTCCCTTAGCTAAAATTTATTTTTAATAGATTGTTTGTACAACATATCCTCAGCACAATGAATACATCAGAAGTATACAATGATCAATCTTCATGCGGATAATTCAAAGGTAACTGTTAGGACACTGCGTCCTAAGACAGGAAATCAGGGGAAATCACAGTGAAAGAAGGGGAAAATGACGGAGGGAAGATAAGGCGCAGAAAACCCTAGCGCCGGGAATGGGGATGTTCGAGAGCCCGCGCTCTCCCCAGATGACCTTAAGACTCCCAAAAAATAGCTTCCCCTCTCTGATTCCCTGATTAAGTAAGGGATGGGGACTATTGGGCTTGGGCCCGTTTTCTACTTCTATGATAGATAAGGCCCAGTGGCCTTACAGTAACCTGCTAATCTGCTAGTAGGTTATATGCTCGAAAGGAGAAACAAATGCGTGAGTGTAGGGGATGTGTTGCTCATGATCTCCGTGGTGGTCTGTTTTGAGATGCGTGACTTACCATGTTTGAGATTAGACTTATTAAACCTGCTTATTAATTTTAGGTGGATAAATTGTACTGGGCATAGCTAATTATGGATTGATCCACGAGTAAATTTCTATTGTCTCTGCTGTTTGACCCTCTGTCAGTCAAACGACCAGTCCAGATAAGTCAATTTGGTAGAATAAATGTAAGTGACACTTTTTGGAAAGCATATTTTCGATGATTGCTCATGTAGTTATACCACCTAGAATGAAGATTTTTTCGGTTTGAACAATTTAACGAAACTCACTCCCTTAACTTCGTTACCTTGCTCATTTTCATTCACTTGAGGCGCTGTAGCGCCCTATCTATCAATTCTAAATCAATTAAATCTACGAGTACAGCACAAGCCTGTTCTTTTATGGTTCCTTTAACTGTGTTTTTTAATGAGATATCCTTGTACGTCAAATAGTCAGGTTTTGCGCATGGTTGTGAACCTGGTAGAAGACCATTTGATGTAGTGCAGATTGCAAGTCATGGAAAATATGGACACGATAATTTCCACGTTATCAATTTTGAGTTCCAGTTGGTTGGTTGATCAATTTACTTTAAGCTTTGGGACCTTCCTGTTGACTTGGAAAGTGTCTGCAGGAAGAAGAGAAATCTGGAAGAGTTTACATTCTGAATTGCCTTACATTGCCTTCTTTGACTAACATTTTGTTGTTCACAGAGGCTCGTTTAGCTTTAAGTAGAATATGATTTTTGTGTGGATGTTTGCTTGATTATTTTGCCTTGGTTTCAGGCTGTACAAGTATCAGCTTCTCGAGTTCTCTCGCTGTTGTGCTTTATTTCCTCAAGGGTGCAGCAATATTCATCAGAAAACACTTTCACTGTTTTAGATGATGTGCAGGTTCGTAACTTGCATGTGCTCTGGAGGTATATTTGTATGAAATTATGTCCATGTCATTTCTAACGCGTCATATACCACTCGATTTTCAGCTTAAGGAGTTAAGTACTTCCATGCATGAAATTTTTATTGATGAAGAGACAAAAAGCGAGGATCTGCTGTTCTCTGTGGTGAACCTCCTGATTTCTGCAGCCTATTTTCAGGTCTGTGCTGCAAAATGACATAATGTTTTTCTACATTTCCATGGAAATTGCATGGGTTTCCTTTATTTTATAAGAAACCGTTTCCTAGCTGTGAATGGATGCTTGTATTGCACGTGGCCTCGTCCTTTTCTGCGACACCTTGGGAAGGAATCAGTGAAACTGTTCGGATGGTTGACTTGCCCATTGGGTTGGGATAAATAATCTTCAGATTTACAGGTATAATCTGATTCCCTTTTAGATGATAACTCTTATGGCAAAATGGGTTTGGATGAATCCATGCTATCCAGAGTAATCTCTATGGGGAAGAAATCATGGGTGAAACCTGAGACACTACCAATAAATATGTCCGAGTAACCACTTTTTTTTTAACTTCCACCGTTTTTTTGTTCTTTCCGAGTGCCAATATTATATAGTGGGTTGGCCAATGCTGCGGATTGGAGATGCTAAAGGAATTAGCGGCTAGGGCAAAGAAGACAACTCCTACTCCCTTGTAATGTATCTGTATGTAGGCACATGGTACCGTTCAACATAGTTTGTCGATCTTTATGTCATGTACATTTAGTAACTCACATGAGTTTGGAAATTACTTTTAGAATTTTTTTTTGTAGAATTTTGTCTGTCTTCACCAAAAAATTGGTTATCTCCTTTTTTTCTTATTTCTGGAGGGACCGTATGACACTAACCCTACAGACAGTGGACCTGGTGTGGTATAGTTTTTATCACAATCATTGACTAGTCTTTCCTCGTGTTAGCATTGTGAATCCAATTTTTTTCCAAATCCTCTTTTTTCCAGTAGTGTTGTAATCTCATTTGAACATGTGGATCTTGCAGCCTGCATTCCTAACCTCTATTATATTATCTCTGGACATGGAGTTGCAATCAAGTAATATGAAGCAGCAGTTGATCAATGATCCCGCAGTCGTTTCCTCAGATTCCTCAAAGACAAGGGTCTTAAATTCCTTGATGCAATATTTGAACAGATCAGAAGATCTTTTTGAAAGGTAATACATATTTATGCTAGCGTGTTTGAAGCATTTTGGATTGAGTGTTGCCCTATATGTATCTCAGATGTTAGAACTACATTACCTCCTGTTTGTGTAGAGTATTTGCTGTGAAAATTATTTCAAAATCAATATTTTCTGATCGTTTGTTAATTCAGGTCTCCACGTTTGCTTCTTGGGATTCTTAACCTCATAAAAGCATTATGGAAAGGAAACGTCCAGTACATGCAGATCTTGAAGAAATTCAGGAGTTCTGAAAATTTTTGGAAAAAATTGACATTGCCAGCTATACACATCAAGGCGGAATGTGGCCCTCTGGGTGAAAATTTGGATGATGATGAAATCCTGCGCTTAGCATACAGGTAGAGATGTCGTCTCAATATCATGTACATCTTTTCACCTACTTGGCATCCTTCTGGGAAAGCTTTAACTTAAGGAGATGCAAATCTAAAACAGGTACCAATGCGAAGCTGCGGTACTAGATGTTATTGCTCACGACATTTTCCTGCACAAAAAGGTCCTACAAGATGAAGTGGCTACAACACAGGGCACGGAACCTTATGATGGCTCTAAAACATTGAAATCAAAGGATGTTATGTCGAAATGGTGTGTTATCTCTCACCTGGAAAATTGTGCCAAGTTATTCTCATCTAGCAGATACCCTGAAGAGATCATCCATCGTGCCAAGGTTGATAATCTTGTTCTTTTTCTTTGTCGCATTTACAATCTTGATATAAAATTCACAAAATATGAATGGCTTATCGAGGGGAGTCGAATATTATGGGAGTGGGTTCGTGTTTCATATCCTTGGCTTTTTGTATACAATTGAAGTCATGTCGGGCATAGATTGAGAGAGCCTCAAGATTCTTATGAAGCTTTATGTGGTTGTGCCCTTGGTTTTTATGCGTACCGAGTACACTACGCCGAAGAGGCATGTAGCAGGGGCAAGCCAATGATATGCTCTTGTTTTCTCTGCTGTTGCCTTATGTTCATGAGAGCAAGGATGGTAGTCAACATTTTTTCTCCTTTACCTGGAAATACAAAAGGAACGCCAGGAGGGCAGCAGTTGAGGATGGAGAGGTGGGAGAGTAATCGGAAGACTACTGATTGAATTTAAGTGTCTTGATGAACAATGAATTGTAGAATTTAGAAAGCTAGCAGTTTTTTGTTGGACAGAGCCTTTGGGAGCGGAAAATGGTGGTATAAAATTCAAGTTGTGATTGGGGGAAACGAGTGAAATATTGAGATCTGTGGATGTGAATGCAATGATACTTCTTTTGGAAAAATCTCCTACTGTGAACTTAGCAGCATTAAATGCTCTGAGAGATATAACAAAGAGTAGGCAGTTTTGGGGAAGGATATTATTCCAATAAATTTACTGATCTTGGCTGTTATTTTCCATTGTTGTCTTTTCACTGGAGATTACTAAGGAAACAAGCATGTTGTAAAAATGGTTCATGATGTTATGCGTTGACCTCTACACTTAGAAATTAGGGATTTTTGTGCAGAATGAGCTTGGAACGTTTTTCATGTCATTTATCAAAAAGCAATCTTGTGCATCTGTAAAATGTGCCATCAGGTTGATGATGCCAATATATCTCAATACTGAAAGGTTGATGATGGGGTTTTAGCTTTACATTTAGATGAATTTTTTCATATATGGAACCATTCGTCCAGATCAGTATCTATATAGTGTTCCCTTTCTCTTGTTAGCCCAATTGATTAATTATCGTGTCTTATGCCTGCAACGAAGCGAAATTAGAAATGTGTACCCACGTTTGCGGTAGTTGAGGTGGAATTCGTTGATATATTTCTTACTCTCATTTATTTATTGTGAGATTTTTGACGTTAAATAAGTATATTTCCAGATGGAAGTGGTTCTATGTGTTGTGCACATGATGGCGAAGTTGTCAAGTGGAGAACCTGGCAGCTTGTCTCTCTCACTTATTCAACACATACTCTCTGTATCCCAAAAGGTTTTTTCCTCTCAAGTGAAACCTTGACTTTCTTCATAGCTTTTTTATTATCTATTGTTTTCATGTCCTCGTTGCTCACCATTGTTGTCAACAAATCTTTTATTCTATTCTGACACTATTTTCTTCTTCTTACACAATGTGCAGTTGAGTAATCATCCTGCCTTCTTATCATTGTTACAACAATATTCAGTGCGTGGTTACAGGTACTCTACATTCAGTTGTAATTTTTTCGTCTGCGTGTTTTGTGCATTATCGAATATAGATAATCGGGAGCATGGCCATTGCACATCTGGATGCTTTTGCTTTTACGTCCTTGAGTTGCTGTTAGGCTTCTGTAAATGGCATCCGCGTTTTGTTGTCCTGTGGCTTTTACAGAAACTTGAATTTTCAGGAATCATCATGTCATGGAAGAAGGTATCCCTGTTATGCTGTGTGTGACGAACGCTAAGTGAGGGAAAATTATAAAGTCTCAGTTAGGTCGTTTTAACCCGCTTTAACTACTCATTTACAAAAGTCTACCCAAACTAAATGGTGGGAATGAAAATGTAACCTTACGTAGAATATGAGTGAATTTGTAAAGTACAGAAGGCATAAATGCTGGCTAGAAGGTCTGGAGAAGAGCAAGATTCCAGTTAGTAGGAAATATCTGCCTCATTGAACTACATCAGTAATCCTCAATTTTGCAGATTTTCCATACGGCTTGACAACATTGTAAGTGGCTTATGATTTTTGAACTTTTAGCTATACATTGACTTTTGTCAGATGCATGGTGTAAATGGGAAATTGATGATGTACATTGACTAATTATTTCGTTAACTCCACTTTATCTTGTTTATTGAAACATAATGTTTGAATACCTTTGCAGTGAGGTAAATGAAGTCAATGTCTTAGTCCTCAGTGACCTCTACCATCATATAAATGGAGAGCTAGAAGGCCGTGAGATTGCGCCTGGACATTTCAAGGAGGTTTTGCAATTTCTGCTGGAATTAGATGCATTTCAGAACTATCAGTGCAAGCATGATGGAGACTCGTGGTCATCTGAGAATGATAATTACATGTTTGATGTCGTACGTCTGAGGAAAGATTTGGGAATAGAACTTTGGGAACACACCGCTTGGAAGACGTCTAGATCACATGCTGAAAGGATGCTATCACTTATGCATCGTGCGAACTCAGTAAAGTTCCTCGCATACTCCAAGAATTCGTCTCTCAGGGCACTGACTTCTCTCCTATCTGTGTATATGAGAGCTGTAAGCACTCTTTTAACACATCCACCATCTCTCCTTTCTCGTACCCACCCTGGATGTTGCGACTTGACATGCAGAAGCATATTCTTTTATGATCCTTGTGCCTCACCTTGCTTTAAGATGTGTGCATCTGATGCAAGGCCGTGTGCCCTTTTCTCTCCTATTTGCAGATAGGTGAACCACAACCGACCTCCTTTCATGATGGGATATCAGAAGCATATCTGCGAACAGGCATTGAACACTTGTCCCAGTGTGTGCAGGCAACAAAAGATTTGTTGGGTCCGGCAATGAGCCCATCTGAAGAATCACTCAAGTTTCTTACGACACAAGTGGAACTATTACAGAGTTTCTTCAAGTTACTGTCGATTTCCCACGGGCATGGCTCCGATGCAGTTCAGCTCCTTCCTATCTACTTATTGCTGATCAAAACTTCAGATGCTGCATTACGATTATTGAGCGATGCCAGGCAGTCGGCAACTTTGCACAAAACGGTGAAGTTTTTCCTCACTTTGCTCTTGACGGCACTGGAATCTATTCACCTCATATACGCAGATAAGTTGGATTCAGAGGTTGATCAATATGCTGAGGCATCTCTCCTAAGTCTGGGACTGTTGCCTGTCCTATGCAAATACACTGAAAGCTCTGTGTTATGCGACCTCTCTGTGGCTGCAATTGACCTAATAGTGAAAGGCCCTTTGACTCATAATACTTGGCTTCCTATTCTACAGAACCACCTCCGTTTGCAGCTTATTATTCCTAACCTTAGACACAAAGACAGACTTGGTTCTGTTCCCATAATATTTCGGTTCCTTCTTACATTGGCTCGCTTGAAAGGAGGTGCCCAGATGCTCCACAGCGCCAATGCCTTCCAATCCGTGAAGATGCTACTCTCTTTCTTTATGAAAGAGGAGCCGTGTCCTCCAGACCTAGAAGGCTTTGGCATTGGTAACTCAATAGATGAAGGTGAAGATCTGAGGAGCATTTGGGGATTGGGCATGACCATCACAGAATCCATGATCAGCTCCCTGGGTGATGACGCGTCCTGCGCGGAGCTTGTGGCCAACGCAATCCACTATTTCTTTTCAGAGAAAGCTTCTCTGATGTACCATCATCTTTCTTTTCCAAAGGTTTCAAGCGATGATCACAGCAAGAAGAAGGCAAGAACCCAGAAGGCGCGGACATCTCTAACAACTCTCAAGGAAACTGAGTATGCACTCATGCTCACCTGTAAGCTGGCGAAGCATCATAGATTGTGGATCAGGGAGATGAAAGAAAAAGACTCGGAACTCAGAGAAAGAGTCATCCATATGTTGGCCTTTATAAGTAAGAGCACTCAGCGTGTGGGAGACTCACCAGTCAGGACACCGCCACTGACATGCCCTCCAACCCTCAAAGAGGAGACCGCAGATCACGAAAGGGCGTCATATGTTGAAAGCAAACAGGGGTGGTTCACCCTTGCTGCTCTTGGATCTGTACCACAGAGCAGATCATCTGTCATCTCACTAGCCACTGGGAGTCAAGCCCATCGGACCCATTTTTCAGACACTGTCGCCACACACATGTACAGGATCGCTTTTCTCCTTCTGAAGTTCTTGTGCACTCAGGCCAGGGTGGCGACGAAGAGGGCAGAGGAGGTGGGATACATTGATCTCGAGTTCTTCCCCGAGCTTCCCATGCCTGAGATTCTCCACGGCATACAGGTAGCACCTCTGTATGATTTTCCTAGTAGACGATCAGGTCGTTTCAGGCTAATAAAGTTGAGATTCTAATGCTCGCGATGATGATGACGATGATGGTGCAGGATCAGTCCATCAGCATCGTCACAGAAATCTGCAACTCCAAGGTGTCTAGAGAAATCCAGCCCAAGTCTCAGCTTCTGTGCCAACTGTTGCTGCAGATACTGGAGAAGGCGCTGTATTTGGAGCTCTGCGTCTCCCAGTCCTGCGGCATCCGCCCGGTCATGGGACGCACCGAGGATTTTGCCAAGGAAATCAGACTGTTGACGCAAGGTGATGATCCCCTCCTCCGTCGGGGCTCCCAACCAAGGGCGTCCCGCACAACCAGTTGCCCTACATTTGATCATTATTTCCGCCCTTGTTCTTGCAGCCGTCGATGGGTATCCGCCATTGAAGTCGTCCATCAAGTCCCTGAAGCAGATAGCAGCCCTTGTTCATCCCAGCAGCACCAGCATCATCCTCTGAGGTTTTCTCCACCATCCCATGCTTTATTTGGGGCAAAATATGGGTTTAATGTGCCGTCAATATAGAGAAAAACTCTCTCTCTCTCTCTCTCTCTCTCTCTCTCTCTCTCTCATGGGGGGGATGCCCTTGTTCATCCTAGCAGCAGCAGCATACTCTTGAGGTTTTCTCCTCTATCCCATATTTTTTTGGGGCAAAATATGGGTTTAATGTGCCGTCAATATAGGAAAGAAACCCTCTCTCTCTCTCTCTCTCTCTCTCTCTATGGCGATGCCTTTGCAACAGGATGAATCTGGGCTTTCACAGGGCTTTTTCAAATGGGTGGATAAGGCGATGCCTCAAGTGGGGCCCAGCCCGGGCCGATGGCAACTTTATACGACTGCCTATTGACACGAGAAGCGATCACGTGCGGCCACGAAATACGAGGAGCAGCCTTGCCTAACCATGGTTGAATTTAACCCCTTTCCTTGGTGATCTTGCTGCTCTAGCCACGTTTCAAATCGACCGTCCGGATCGATCGAGAAAAATATCTTGTCGCTGCTCACGTCGCTATATATCCCCCCGCCGCTCCGCCAGCCCTAACTCACTTGCAGACTTTTCTTGCTCTTCTTCGCCGGTCATTTGGGGCTCCGATCTTCGGGAAGATGGCTGCAAACCCTAGGGTCTTCTTCGACCTCACCATCGGTGGAGCCCCGGCGGGGCGGGTCGTGATGGAGCTCTTTGCGGACGTGACGCCGAAGACAGCGGAGAACTTCCGGGCGCTCTGCACCGGGGAGAAGGGGCGGGGGCGCTCCGGCAAGCCCCTCCACTACAAGGGATCGACCTTCCACAGGGTGATCCCTCAGTTCATGTGCCAGGGTGGCGACTTCACCGCCGGGAACGGCACCGGCGGCGAGTCGATCTACGGCTCCAAGTTCGAGGACGAGAACTTCGTGAAGATGCACGAAGGCCCCGGCATTCTGTCCATGGCCAACGCCGGTCCCGGGACGAACGGATCGCAGTTCTTCATCTGCACGGCCAAGACGTCTTGGCTGGATGGCAAGCACGTCGTCTTCGGGCGGGTCGTCGAGGGATTGGACGTCATCCGTGCCGTGGAGAAGGTGGGGTCCTCCAGCGGTAGGACCTCCAAGCCCGTCGTCGTAGCCGACTGTGGCCAGCTCTCCTAGACGCCTGCACCCCTCCTTCCCCGCCGTGGTCCTGCCGCCGATCTACGAATCTCCCCCTTGTGTGTCCTCGTTGTGATCCCACTGCCTACGTGCGTCGTTCTCCCTGTGACATCGTTTCCCCCTGTCGTTCTTTTAGCGTTTCCGTTTTCGGTCTGCGGCAGCAGCTTTCTGGATACCTATTTTTGATCTGTGTGAAAGCCGCGGCGGGTCGGTAGAACTCTTCTCCATGAGAGACTGTTTAACTCGACACTAGTATGAATCCACATGAAATAAACTTCTACCCGCATCGCCCTTCTCTCTTCTTCTCACTCTCGTCGTAGCTCAACTCACACAGGTGATCTTCGTCGTCATTTCTTGGTTATCCATAATCGGGGAAATGATAATCCCATGGAACTGTGCGTCGAGCTCATCTACCAATGGCGTGGGGAGACCGCGCCATGGATTATTGCGCCTGGTGAAGGAACGATTATTGCGCCTGGTGGGGGGGCGCCTTTTTTATTTAGCCTACCCTCGTCTCAGTTTGACTTCCTCTTTGTTTTATTCTCCGCCCACTGAGCAGATCTCTCCCCTTCGGAATACTTTCTCCGTAGCCGGTGATTGGGTCCCCTGCCGTCGCGGCGGCCACAGGCGCCGGGCGTATCTGCCGTCTCCGTCGTGGCGTGCCTGGAAGGAGAAAGCTCCTTCACCATCAAAATTAAACCTCGAAGGTCGGCCCGTAGAGGAGAAGGGAGATTCAGCAGGTGACAAAATCGGGGAGGGCACTACTCTTCCCGATGAGACCTGCTGTACGAATCGCAGTTACATGCCAGGACTTGGTTTTCCGGCAACAGTGACTGCGCATCGACCCCCCCACTTGAAGAACAACGCCTTTTCTAAAAGCATCAAATGGGGAAAAAAAGAGTCGGGCTAGAACTTGGAGCGCCACCCTTTGAAGAACCCTAAGCGGACCTCGGATTCCCTGGAGTGTCCCCTTCCTCACGCAGCCGCACAGTGACCCCCACCGAGTGCTTGATCGAACCTCTCCGTCAGACCGTAGCCGCCCAACCTTGTGCGGGGGAATTCGGAATATCCAAGAGGGATCTTTAAGCCCCCAAGTGGGCATATCCCGCGAGAATATCATCAGCAGATCGACGCATATATATATAATGTTTAATATTTTTTCTAAAACCTCTCTGACTGTGGGGATGAGCTTATGGGAAGTCCTCGGGCAGTTGCAGAAGGGTGCGACGTGGGTGCCCATCTTTTCTGGGTCCGTCGGCTTGACTCTTTCTGCCGGAGTCCTGGTTTGAAGATTTCTTCCGGCCGTCACCGACCTCCGCCGGTGCCACCGAAAGCTCTGTGGGAGGCGTCTTCCCGCGGTCCACCATCGGCCGTAGAGGCTGTCCCACGCCGCTAAGCAGCGATCTTCTGGGTGCCCGCAGACACACCCAGCCGCCGACTGCATCTTCTTCTTCCTCCCAACGGAGGCGTCTTCCCTCCTCGCCGATGGTCGTCGCCATCGCCTCTCCGGTCGACGGACGGTGCTGATTGGGCCGGGGGGAGCCCGTGCTTGAGGATAAGTCTCGGCCGGGAACTGGGCCCTGTCAAAGGAGCGACCGGGGCCCCGGTCGGGGAACATTCGATCTCATTTAATTCCCCGCCGACTCGCCAAATGGGGACGCCGAAAATTAATGCGCCTCTCGCTCCTCTCTCTTAAGAAAGATCGGGGTTCCACCTGATCGAGATGCTTCGGGGTGGGTGGATTGCCACCGAGGTAAACTATGGAGAAAGATCGCGTTTTTTATCTTATAGTGCCTGAAGAAATCTCTTCCAGTGTAGAGGAAGCCCTCGTTCTTCCCGTCTGTGGCGAAGGTTTGATGGGTGGTTTTCTTAGATGACGATCGACATTGACGGCTCTCGGTCCTCCTCTTTCCTTCCCTCCGCCGTTTGCCATTAATGAGTCCAGGCTCCGGAGGGAGGGACAGTAACTGCACTACCGTCCGGGTAGAGGGGCAGTTGAGGAGTAAAAAGTACGACCCACCATTTACTGGTCCGTCGGGGGCCGCTCTCTTTGCCCTCTCCGTTCTTCGTGACGGCGAGCCTCTCCTCGCCTCTGGCTCCTTCCCGTGTCTCTATCTATTGGTCCCTGATTCATCCGGTCCTACGTTCAGTGATTACCACGCCCTGTCGCTCTCTGTCGCTCTCATGGGCTCTTCGCTCCGCCGGCTGCTGGCAATGCCGCCGATGCTGATGTTGGCGCTGCTGTCGCCGGCGCTGCTCAGCTGGGCGGTCCGCGGGGCCGCAGCTGAGGCCGTGGTTACCGGCACCGTCTTCTGCGACCAATGCCGTGACGGGGAGCGCGACTTATTTGACTACCCGCTCGAAGGTCTGCCGGGGTGGTGCGATATATATATCATCTTCGGGGATCATCCGCCGCTCTTGATCGCTGAGCTGATGTAACCGCGGTGTTGTTGGCAGGGGCGAGGGTGGCCGTGGTGTGCACCGGCGGGGATGGGCATGTGGCCCTCTACGGAGAGGCGACGACGAACTGGTTCGGTGTTTACTGCGTGCAGTTCGATGGCGGCCCTGATCTCAGCTCGTGCTCTGCACAGGTGGTGAGCGGGACCCAGGAGTGCGGGGCGGCGGCGGGCCCGCCGGGGGGGCTTCACCTGCTGTTCGGGCTGTTCGGCACGGCGATGTACGCGGCGGACGGCCTACTGGCGCTGCCTTCCCAGCCGTCGTCCTCTTGCCCGGGTTTCACCTCCCCTAGCCCTCTGGAGCATATCGCTGCACGTCCACCCACCCCGCCGGGGAGGGCAGCTCTTCCTCCCCCATCACTCCCCTTCAGGCAGACCTCAGCCTGTCCATGCGAGTACGCTCCCACCGCCCGCTCATATTTGCGCACGAGATTCGTAGGGCTGCGAAAAGACCGGACTTTTAGCTTGTAATTTCGAACCCATGAAGCTATTTCGAGGCGATCATTCTTTATTTCATTCCCACCGCTGGTTGGCAGGACGTGGACAGCACCGCAGTACGGATGCTACTGGAAGATGGTCTTCCCCGACACGAAGGTGGCAGCGGCGTTCGGGCTCGCCGCAGCCCGGCGTTACGGGACGGACATGACGCTGATGGAGGCCCTTCGAGGAAGGGGAGACCTCTACCGGACTCTGCTCAGGGAAGCAGTCACCGCCCTCCTCAACTCCTACCGCAGCCTGCTCTTCTTCTACCCGACGCGCATCGTGATCGACCACATGAACTGGGCGCTGTCGGCGTCCCCTCGGCAGGCCCTCGTGGTCGCCCTGAGATTCAAGAGGGCTAACTCCGGCGCCGCTGGGTACGGCGGTGCCCGATGCGATTTCGCCCCCTGCGACTAGCTTCCTCGTCTTCGGCCATCCTGCACGAAGACCTTGAAAGATAGCTCCTTTGCCTCCTGGATCATACGTCTCAGCTACGAGTGTCGCATCTTTACTGTAGCGTGATTGAAATCTCATGCAGAGACGACCAGCTGACAGCTGAGATCACTGTTGACGCCTGAATTGTCTGCTGTTAATCAAAATCCTGGTTTAAGTTGAGATTAAAAATATGGGTTTATTCCGAGTTGTGTTGATTGAATGAGTTAGACCAACCCAGCAATTAGTTCGCACCTTCGGTCGTCATCTCAGATTCTCCGCCCACGTACATATTTGTATTCACCTGTCTGTGTCTCCTTAATTGGATTGGTTGCCTCGCTTAAATTCGTACAGAACCAGTATCCAGTCCAGTCCGACCCGGCGTCCAATGGTCACCACTCTCTCTCTCTCTCACTAATTGGATTAGCTGGCTCGCTTAGATTCGCAGCGCAGGAAAGAGCCAGTCCCCAGTCCAGTCCGACCCGGTGTCCAATGGTCACCTCTCTCCCTCTCTCTCTCTCTATCTCCGTGTAAATTCCAACCAGCTGGGTTTACCTCCGTCGTTGCTGGCAGTGGAAGTCTCCGTTTCAAAACCGACCAAACTTTTTTTCCAAGGTGGCCTCTTTTCCGGCACACATCCCTAGTTATGACCGCGCTTTCCTAAGCTCTCCTTTCTGCGACCGTCTTTTTCCCAGGACTCCAGATGAGGAGGAAAAGAAGTGCGTCCAATACAAATGCATTCTTTTGCCGTAATATTTATACTAATCAGTCGAGATAATTTCGACCCATCGAAGAGATTTTCGTGCAGTTTGGAATTCCGCCTTGCGACCGATTTGCGTGTTCTGCCGCTTAGCTTTGATTCCGTGGGGACGTCTTCATTCACACCGAATCGGTCGTCTCCCCAGGTTTTTCCCGAGAAGCTACTCTGCTTCTTCGTCCCCTCGTCAAAAAGGGTAGTCATGCACCCTGAGGTATGCTCTACAGTGAAGCTTAAATGGTCGCTGCCGGAGCTAAACCATTGGTCGGGCGTTGAACGCGCCCACCACCCGCTGCTCGCGTTCATACTTGCAGGTGGTGATTTCCGAATAACGGTGGTTTGTCACCGATAGTTGGAACGGTCACGAAAATCCCAGAGAAGAAACTTCTACCAGATCTGGCAGGATTCAACCAAAGCCCACTAGAGTGACGTGAGGGAGAGAGCACAGAGAGGGGGAGAATTCTTCCAACCGTCGTCCTCGTCACCCGATTCGTATTTTATTTCGTGGTTAATGTGCGATAAGGCAGTAGGAAGAAGCAGGAGACGGAGCGAGGAGATCGATCGCGAAGGCGAGGTGGACGATCTAGGGGTTTGTTCCTGGGGTGACGTTGTTCGCCGGCGGCGAGAGAGCGTCGATGGGGGGCATCTGGTCGACCAGGCTCAAGAAGGCGGAAGGAGGACTCTCCTCTTCCAACACGCTAGGCAAAGGCTACGGTGTTGGTTTTGCTGTCCATGACCGGAAGATCGCCAAGGCGTACTACGACTCGATGGAGCTTAGGCCGACGCCTGGGAAAGATGGAGCTAGTACGGTCAGTTTAGCCACCTGCTCTGCTTCGTTACTCTGCCTGACAAACTCTTGGTGGATCAATTGATCGCGATGTTGCCACACTCTCTGCACTATCTTTCCACTTGCTTGCGGAGCTGCGACGACGGCATGTGGTTGGTTTTTTATATGAATTGTATCTCGAGTAAGGAACCCATATATATATTAATATCTAGTTACATGCATGCATGATATCAAAGGATTGAGTTGTGCATGGTTGATGCTACTGCTCTTCTGGGCAGACGTGCTGAAGAACAGGTGTCTGGGAGGATCCAAACTTCTGAAGGCTCAGTTGAACAATTCTGTCCTGGCATTTAAGGCGATGAAAGCCAGTTTACAAAAACTTTGGGTGTTGTTTACTATATCTGTTCATGTTGTGTTGGGGGAATCACCCTGACAAAGTACAGCTTTAGATTTAGTTGGCCCTTCAAGCTGATCGATTTGTGAATCATTCATGCATATCCAATCCCTCACTCACATTAAACTAGGATGTTCCAAGTATTATCAGGAAAAACGATCATTCACCCGAAAACGAAGGCAAAACAAATCAGCCTCAGGCTGTATCTTGAAGGTTGAGAATGCATATCTGCTAGGCTCATAGAAACTACAAGAACACGCGGATAAAAGCAGTTGGGTTTTGTTCCTCAGCTATTCAAACATGATAAAATGGCATTGACACTTGCCCTAGCACATTCTTAATAATTTTCTTCCAATAGAAGGTCCTTTCGTTGTTACTTACCTGTGATAAATTTTTTTTTATGGATTTTTAGATTTTTCAGCTTCCCGGTATGGTCAATCCTTGCCATGTTACCCATGAATATTATTTCTGTGCTTCATATAACGTTAGATATATGATACATGTAGTTATTATTCAGTTGAAGTTTATTATGCTTATTTGCACTAAATCTTCATTTGAAATCTCTAATTATGGTATTCTATTGACATCGAATATTAACGACAGCACTACATCAGATTGTGTTTGAAAAGAAAACGTAAGATTTTAGGGAACAACATTTAAATAACTTGATACATCCACCGGACTCAACATTCATCTCTACATCTCAAAACTTTATCCGTATTTTTTAATGGGAAACAAAACCCTACATATATAATATGTATGTATTTATATTACCGTTGTTCTTTCTGATCATGGAATTTAATGTAGGCCCCACAAATGACCTCCATCTTGGGAAGAGCTGGAACTGTCGGTCTGGAGAAGGCTGTTGAAGTCCTAGATACGATTGGAAGTAGTATGTCTAATTTGACATCGGCAAGTGGATTCATGTCTGAAAGAGTATCTCGAGGAAACAAGATATGCATCCTATCATTTGAGGTTGCTAACACAATTACCAAGGGTGCTGCATTGATGCGATCTGTTTCCCAGGAAAACCTCGAGTTCCTGAAGAACAAAATTTTACTTTCAGATGGTATACAAAAATTGGTTTCGATGGATATGAAGGAGCTGCTGGCCATTGTTGCTTCAGATACAAGGTTATAAAACGGACTGTATCTGCTGCAGGGATTGATGTCATTTTCATAACTAAGTGTTTTAATATCTTATAGTATATATGGATTTTAATTGCCAATATCTTTTACTTCATGATACATGTTTTTCTTGTGCAGGGAAGAATTGGATGGCTTCTGTAAGGAAGTAATCAGATTTGGAAACCTATGTAAAGATCCTGAGTGGCACAACTTGGCTCGGTATTTTCAAAAGTAAGGTAGACAAAAGAATTGTGAGTTTGTGATTGAATCCAAAATTAGTTTGTTGCATCTTTCTAACTCGTAATTCATGATTGGAATCTTTAGATTGTTCTCAGATTCCTCCCCTCCACAGTTGCAGAAGGAAGACGCTGAGGCAACAATGCAACACTTGACGAACTTGGCCCAGCACACTTCTGTAAGCGCTTCTTAAAGAAAAAAAAGTAACGAATTAATCGATTCGATTCCTACTGAGATATATCTTTTATCGCTCTCTGAAAATCAATGGTCCTCGGCAATAAGCTTTGCTTATATTTTGTTGTTTGTATATTTAAATTACCTATTCGAGCTCTATGTTTGCTTCAGGCAATCCCTGTTTTAGTTGGAGTTTCCACTAATCTAATAAATTTTTATATCAACGGAACAGAAAATGCTAAAAAAACGGATTCTTATGATGATCTAATTTTCTAGGTTGTGTTTCCATCTCTTCCAGTAGTACAGAAGTGTGGCCTTTTATCCCAACATCATCAAACCTGGTCTGAAAGAAATCGATAACAAATAAACAGGCTGCAGAAAGCATTATGAAGGGACGTTCTTGTCTACCGTACCTTGATTTGCATACAATTAGTACTTATTCTTCTATTGTTAAATATACAGCATCCAATTGCTACCTTTATTCCCACACACAGACGCCGACTAAAACCATATATCTATTTTGATATTTTCCCTAAAGAAAGCCAATCTGGGATTTTCCTTCTCTTTCACTTATTTTAGTGATTGATAAAACAAATATTCATGTAGTTTTAAATTTAGCTTAGATTTTGGTGTGCAAGAGGGAATTATTGTCTTGCTAAACTAAGTAATTGCGCAAAAGCAAAAAGAATGATGATAATTTTGTTCACATTGTTAAGATTACATGATCTTGTTAGTTTTTGTTAGAATTACATGATACTCTTACTTTTTCCATAGGGAGTAGTTAGCTGGTCTTCAGACACAACTTCTGGCATATCTCTAAACTCCATGTTTTAATTACGATTTTTAATATCTAGGATCTGTACCATGAATTTGATGCGTTGGACAGATTTGAACAAGACTATCGTTCCAAGCTACGGGAAGAAGAGACGCTGACAGCAGCTCAACGAGGTAAAAAACGAAAACACGCTTATTCCTTAGCTTCTATGAGGGAGCCTGCTTTGTTTGAGTCAATCAGGTCCATGTGAAGTGTAGCGAATTTTCTAAATTCAAACCCTTAGTGTGCTTGAAGTATTGGATTTTAGCCTAGGCCTTGGCTTGACTCCTCGGCCTTACATGGAAACCTGTACACCTATTGGAGCTGCTGAAATTGTAGTACATTGTAGTTTCAAAATTCGTTCATGTTTTCTCCATTACAATATTATGGTAGACTTGGATTCAAAAATTATCTGTCCTATTGTTCAGGAGAGCACACCATGATCCTACAAAGTGAGTTGAAACGCCAAAGAAAACTAGTGAAAAGTTTAAAGAAGAGATCACTGTGGACAAGAAACTTGGAAGAGGTAAGCTTTACGCACGTATATCCTGAAGACACTCGATTTGTTTGCCTATTAGATTTTCTTGGTCATCAAAGGTTCTATAAGTTATGAGTTCATTATTGGCAATCTGCTGTAAAAACCGTAAATTCCTGGAGAGAGCTAATGACTGTTAAATATTGTGCACAATACAATTATTTTCCATATAAAAATGTGCTGCTGATTGTAATTTTCTCTTGCAAGAGGGAGGCTTTTTCCTGGAACCTAAAATTGTCGGGTGCCCTTTCCTGCATAAATTTGACTCTTGGTTGCTTTGGAAATCATTGTAGGTCATGGAGAAACTTGTAGACATCGTCGCTTTTATTCATCAAGAGATTTTGGAAGGATTTGGCCCGACCGGTATGTCATTTCGACAACAATCTCAAGGGATTTCTTTCGTGCAAAACATTTTGTTTCTAATTTGATGTTTTCTTCAAATTTCGTATTTGTCCAATTCGTGTGTCTAAATTCATATCACTGTTAAATCTTTCATCACAATGCTTAAACCCACCCTTTTGTCGTACTTCATACCGAAATGACAATATTTTATGGTGAGATACTACTGTTTCTGTCGGAAAAGGATACCTACCTCGTTTTTACTTAATAATGATACGCACAAGCTCGAGTTTCATAGATAGTCTATCTCCTTGTATGGATTCCTTGGGTTTGATGGCCAATCTTTCCTTTGGGGGAATGCTCTTGTCGGAATTATCACTCTGGAGCCATCCGAGTGTCACTACAGGATTAGAACCCCATATTGTTTTGCCTGAAAAGGAGTTGGATGAGAAATAGGCGAGAATAAGGTAGCCATGACATTACGAATGAACATGTCACTGAGGATGGAACTCACTCATGTATGGAGAATAAAAGGAGGAAGCAAATCTGGAGTTCTCACTGTCAAAAATAGACAGTAGTGGATGGCTGATCTTTTTCATTTGATGACCTGCTTTTGTAGGAGACCTCAATTTTTTTATACTAGTGATAGAATAAGGCTATCTTTGGACCATGTTTTCGTCAGGTTATATCTCATGGTCATCTCATGTTGTAGTTAAACTCATGTATAATATTTTCCTCCCATCTGTATGATTGATGTCTGCCTAAACTCGTCCCAATCATAGGAATGGCCTGAAGCGTAAAACTCTAAGATAATTCCTTGGCGAAGGCTCAATCTCGCATGAGTTTTATTGAAAAACCTTTTTTTTTAATCCTCTTTTGGCACCTCCAGTTGATAAACCTACATCTACTAAGTAATGACTGGGATTAAGATTGGATGCAACCTCTGAACGAGGATCAGCGGAATGTATTATGATGAATCTCCTATTGTTTCTCTTGGATTGTTGTCTTATCTTCTACAAGGATCAAAGTCTCCTAGGCTAATGTTACTCGGTGATTATGGTCTTTTCCCGCACAAGATATGGACTGCTTTTCTTGTTTACCCTCTACAAGCGTTGAAAATGTACTCCAATTCTGACAGGTATAAATACAGCTAATTCAAGGGAAGATCCTGCTCCTCCAAGATTGGGCCCTTCTGGTCTTGCTTTGCATTACGCCAATGTCATCCAGCAGATGGATAGCATTGTGAGTCTGAACTCTCCTGAACCATGGATGTCAGTTCCTTTTTGCGCGATAAAATAAAAACATACTACTGCTGTTTCTTGGAGAACGATGTTAAACTAGAAAAAAGTAGCTGGCTATGTCTCCAAACGGAAATTATAAACCCTTGCCTCCAAACGAAAGTTTTGGCTATGTCCAGCACAAAACTTTATGGCGGCAGGAATCTCTGTGGAAGGCAACTTCTCACAATCTGTAGGATGTTACTCTTTTATGTTACTACGGCATGCTTTCTGGTTTGAATCATAGCATTAACTTATTGCCATATCGAGGGCCTTCTTCATACAAGAGAAAGATTAGGATGTGAAAGAACTTTGTAAAATCATTAGCCCACTTGTACTAGTGCGAAGGAATGGAATAAGTTATGGAATGAAGTTTTATTATCTAAGAATGTATTTACAGAGAATGAAAAGTTGCGATCTGGAGCCTGAAGCCATGTTTTTAACTCATTAACATTGGGATGGACGGGTGCATCTCTTGTACATCGAGTTTGCACATATTTAAGGGGATTAGGGATTTTAGATTAAAGATACACATGATGAAGAAGGATTGGTGGCAGACATCTGAAAAGTATGGTTATTTCATGCTACATTCCTGTATTTATCAAATTAAAATAGTGAAAAGTATGAAAATCTTCTCGATGAGAAATCTCAATGCTGAGCATCAACTTGAAACAAGAAACTGGAAAGGAAAGAAGCTGGAATCGGGCCCTTATCTCCTTTATAGCTGCATTTCTCAGACTGGGCATGAATTTGCATCTGGTGATGTTTGTCTTCTTTACCTCGCAAAAGCTTCACATTGTGTGTTTTCTTACGGACAACTGTTAAAACATCTGTAGTTTTCTGTAATTTCTAGCCACCATTATCATCTTGATCGTACCACAAGGATTCTTTCTATCCATTTTTGTTTCAATGGGAAGCATTCCTATGTTCTGAAATTCTATGGTTTAAATACTTACCCTATTCATCCATCCAGGTTTCTAGACCGCTATCTCTCCCTCCAAATATGAGGGACTCATTATATCAGGGATTACCCGTCTCAGTTAAGGCAGATTTACGTTCTCGATTGCAGACATTTCGTGTAAAAAATGAGGTACTCCTAAACTCAGGTCTCTTGTCTTTATGTGGCATTTTCATTCCTACAGCATGGCTTTCATATTTTCCTCTTATAGATCAGATTTCCCAACCAAGTAGGGAACTCTATCCCCGTCCAGCTCGAGAAGTGAGAAAATAAGATTTGGTTTTACTAATTTGACTTTGACTTTAAGGGGGCCCACCTTTACAGATTTGAAACCTTGCAACTGTCAGATCAATTAGCACCGATTCGGCAAATCATGCACCCAAATGCCTCAATCAAACAAAGTCATCCATCCAAATGCCTAGCACATAGTAGTATGAGAGGAGTCAAAGTATGGATCTACGTTCATTGGTATTTGCCCTTCTAGTTGAGGAAATCACCTAGAATCCACGGTGCAGAAGTTGACCACATAAAGGGTTACTTCAGACTAGAGACAAAATATCTGGGTCCCTGGTGCCTAGTCCCATCTTTTGATGTTAAATTGATCATCCCCCATATGAAATGATTATATGTGTGCCAAGTACCTCGCAGGGGTTCGATGGGTCTCCCACGCAATCAATCACCTCTCTTGTGCTCTTGTGATTGTGAAGGCTTATTTGCACTTACTGCAGATGACTGTTGCTCATATTAAAGCTGGGATGCAGAAAACCCTCCAATGGCTTGTTCCAATGGCAGAAAGCACAGTCAAGTAAACCCTTTTATGCCGCATTATAATCTTATGAAATTTCTCATATACAGTAAAGTTTATCTGCTTATTTTTTCCTTGCTGTCATGAACAGGGCACATCAAGGCTTCGGATGGATTGGAGAGTGGGCAAACATGGGGTTCGTCTGCTTTCACTCCTCTGATATTTCTCCATTCGCCATGCGGCATCCCAGTTCTCATTGAACTGCGGGCTCCAGTGACAGCCGCCGCCTTGACGGGCGCGCTTTTGTCCTGCAATCAATGCCTGACGTTGGTTTTTTATCTCGCAGGGCCGATCTTAACGTGAAGCCGTGCCAGTGTCGTAGTCTGATCCGCATTCAGACACTTCATCATGCAGATAAGGAGAAAACTGACGAGTGCATACTCCAGCTAGCAGTCTGGCTTCACCACATTGCGATTCAAGTGAAAAATAGAGATTTTGGGTTGAGGAAGATCAGCAAATCTCTTCGATATCCTTGCCAGGGCGCGTGTTTATCTCATGGAACGAAGCAAGACCCCAACATCCCTTCCGGAAACAACCCTCTCGCCTTCCAGCTCTCTGTAGAGGACAGAGAGATATTGGAAACTGTAGTCTCCGAGAGGCTGGTCCTCGGAAGGAGCAAAAGCCAAGGATACATCCCAAATCAGAAGAAAGCCAGCGGGTGGGAACGCAGCAGAAGCTGCAGCGACTCTCCGTGTAGAGGGTGCGTCGTTGGGGCGGACTCCCTCCTGCTCGGAAGAGACGATGTTCTGGACATAGTGGACGGGTTGGACAGCCGATGCCCCCCCGTTCCCACCGCTCCTTTCTACGCATAACCCAGACTGCCCCTCGTTCTTCTCTTTCTTTTTTTATTTCCTTAGTATCGATTCTCTTCCTGTATATGCTTGTATATGTATGAAAGAGTACACAAATCTACTTGATTCTCAAGGGCAGGAAGCCGTCCTCCGGCGCCACCGAGGTCATGGGCGGCGGTGGTTCCGGTAGAGGGACGAGGAACTGGTTTTTGGATCTGTTGGGTCTTCTGGGTGCCCTTTTCACCAACGTCATAGAGCTTTTCGACGTCGGACCTTCCCTCCGAATTGCAGATCATTCTCCTTCTTCGGGCCTTCTCCTGTGTTTATAAAAAATATGGCCCGTCCCTCCTGTTTCCAGCTCTGTGGCCTCCTGCCCCATTCTCGAGAGGGGTTGCACCAGCCTCACAGAATCTCCTTTCCTAGGGTGGGCTTATATATTGATTGACCCTCGGCCTCCATTGCCCATCCAGCGAAGTAGTAGTCATCGTCTGTCTGGTCTACACTTGCTAGCGATACCAGTGATGGAGTCCCTCGGTGCTCGGATCGCGTTCTACGTAGCTCTTTTATTCTTCTTCCTCACGCTGTCGCCCTCCATCCCATCTCAGGCAATGCCGGACTTCGCCTGGCCTTCGGGAGGAGAGCCGGTCGACCCGGCGGCGCCGTCACGGGACGAGCAACCCATCCCACCGCCGCCAGTCGAGCAGCCCGCGGCGTCGTCACAGTCGCCCCCGTCCGCGGCGCTGCCGGCAGCACAGCCCATCGCGCCGTCGGGGACGATCAAACGGGACACGAAGCAGCAAATCCTCGCCACCATCCCGCCGGACGCCGCGGTGACGTCCCAACCTTTCATCACGTCGCCGTCGGGGAACTTCGTTGGGTGCCTTCTCCGCCGGACCAAGGCTCCGGGTGCCGCAGGATTCGGCAACGACTTCTGCTACATCCAGGTGCAGGACACGAGCACCGGCGCGAGCGTGTGGGAGTCGGAGTGCGCGCCGGCGAGCACCGCCAACGCTTGCAGCGTCGTCTTCACCGACGCCGGGCTGGAGGTGTTCGACGGCAGCCGGCCGGCGTGGGACGCGGGGGTCGACGCCGATCACCTGGAGACGCTGGAGCTGGTCGATGAGGGCGACATGAGGATCAGAACCCAGGGCGGCGAGCTTGCTTGGAGGGCCAGCGACCGGCCGCTGGCGAACCAGCAGTGCGGGCTGGCGACGGGAGAGCCTTCGTTCGCCGCTCCCATTGGCGGCAACACCAATCAGCCTTTCGGACAGCCCTCACATGGCACCTCGTCACAGCAGGGAAACGACGGCCAGCAGCCCCTCGTCGACAATAACCCCTTCGACAGTGCTTCTTCCCCCCGGATTCGCCATGGCTGGCTTACCTTCGCTTCGGCTCTCGTCCTCGTGGCAGCCCATGGTTTCCCCCTCTGAAGAACTCCTGCAATGCCAGGACGGTGAAATCCCTCTCCTCTCTCTCTCTCTCTCTCTCTCTCTCTCTCTCGTGTTGTTGTTTCCGCTGGAGATCCTGTTGGTCTGAGGTCTAATGTTCCCTCCGATTGCTGTCAACCCTACAATGGTTGAAACTTGTGTCGTAGTGCACTGCTTGCTCGATTTCGCAGCTTCTTATTTCATGAACTTTCCATTGACGAATGCCCTTTAATATCAGACGGTTCTACCGCACCGTAGTTGACATGGCGAATGTCAGCTGCATGGAACCTGATCAAACCACAAATCTCCAGGCCGTTCCTTCTACGAAGGGGTTCAGTTTAATATTTTCCGCAACTCCAGAGAGAGAGAGAGGAAGCCGGTGCGATTACGTCACTGTAGAAAGAGTCAACATTGTTGGGCCGTTCCACTGGCGGTAGCGGTTGACATTAGTTAAATTCACGTGTTTTTCAAGAGGATATTTTCGAAACTAATTTCGGAGCATCACAAAAAATCATTAAACTGCTGAGATTTCTAATTTCTATGCGAGGAAAAATAAAGGTAACGTAAAAAAAATCATTATAATCCACAAAAATATCAATAAATTGCAGCATTATTCACCAAATAGACAAGTCGTAGCCTTAATTGCCACCACAAACTGCGTGCGCCATACTTCGGCTACGTTTGTGACAAGGCGATAAGAACAAACTGTCGACATCTGAGTAAGGGTGGCTCGACGGTGGCGCCGCCATTGACCGGACTGCGTATCCCCGGCGACTCGGAATTTCACGTGCGAGTATGCTCTCCGTGCGTCGGTGCGACCACGTTTTCGTTCACCCCATTGATGATCACTATTAGAACTTCATATCCGGGAAATCCCGACAACCTTCGCCGCCGGATGGCAATCTTGAACCAAAGAATTCGGAAAAACGCAGGAGATTGACAGGAGGAGGAGGATGAGGAGGAGGAGGAAGAAGAAGAAGAAGAAAGGGGAGGAGAAGGCAGGAGATGAAGACGACAGAAATCATGTCGCGAGGTTATTCATGCCTTGCCTTCCAATCTGGCATGAGTCACGCCAACGCAAGCGTCGACGAAGGCCTCGTCGATGAAGTCAATGGACAAAATCTGCAGGCGGTCGGCGAAGCCCCGGGAGAAGGCCTGCGAAATAAACAGCCTGGAGAACTTGCGGACCCTGTCAGTGACCGGGCGAACGCACAGTATGGGGTTGTCCGTCTGCGGCGTAGCCGTGTTCTCTACTCTGTAGAAATACTTCCTCGCCGAGGCCGGCGGCTGCTCGGCGAGGTGCTTCATGTTGCTGTCGAATTTCGTGGAGGGCAGATCGGTGTCGATCCAGTTGTCCTTCAAGTACCCGCTGCTCCAGAGGGGGTCCCCCGCCTTAGGCGCCGGCGACTTCCTAGGCTTCCAGACGCATATAATCCTCCTCGGAAGGAGCTCCGCCACCGTCTTCTGAAACACGTCGTCGTCTTGGTGGATGAGGAGGTCCCCCAGCTGCTCCACCAGGTACTTGTCGAACTCTGGCGGGTCCTCCTTCCCGAACTCGGTGCGTATCTCCAGGACGATGATCTCCGACTGGGTCTCCGCCAGGAAACGCTTGACGCGCTCGAGGACGACGTCGACGCTGTATGTGGCGAGGATCCCGTGGCAGACGCGGCGATCCCCTTGCACCCGGATGTCCAGAACACGGGCCCCCGTGGCAAGCTGATTGTAGATGGAGCAAGACTGGCACTGCGCGAAGGGCCGGCTCACGAGCGGGACGCCGATCCTGTCCGTGCCGGAGTCGTGTGTGCCGGGCCAGACGATCTTGTCGACGACGAGCTTCCCGGGGTCGAGTCCAGACATCCAATTCTTCCGATCTTGAGGGTGGTAGTCCGAGCCAGGGAAATCCTCGCCGGCGGTGGCCTTCAGGTCTGCGAGGACCTTCTTCTCGGTCGCCAGGGACTTTCTCTTGGCCACCTGCTTGGAGACCAGCGAACCCATTCTTCTTTCCTCCTCCCTCCCTCCCTCCTACCCCTCGCCGCCCCCAGCTACACTCTCGCGTGATCCAAAGCGTAATGGGGATCTCCTCAATCCTCCACAGATATACGACAGCGACGACAGTGGCAGCGATGATCATAACATCCCATCGTTAACCTAAGGAAGACGATCAGACGATCAGACGATCACTGACCTCCTGAACGGGGTTTAACCCTGCGAAGGGACCGGCTATGGACGGTGGGTGATGCCGTGCCGGGCTTGGCTTGTCTCTCGCCGCAATTATCAGCCGGCTGGTGGGATGTCTTTGCCTACTGGTCTTTCCGCTGTCGACCTATTGGACTCGTCAAATAGGCTCTTGCCACGCAAAGCAGCTCATATTGGTCCGTCTCTACGATGAGGATCAAATTTGGATGGTATCTGGTCAGCTCGCGTAGACCTTATCGTTTGACTGATTCGGGAAAAATCGGATCAAGACTAGTCGACCCGTGCGTCGTCCGTGGAATCATCGACATGCATGCTAGAGGCTCCCTGCGAGCGGGGGTCAACCAGGGGACGTCAGACCTCTTGTAGCAACGTGTCCGAACCATCTTAGACCAATTCCGAGCAGTCCTGAGGGCAAGAGTCTGGGCTTGAAGTGTTGTCTCCTCTTACTTTGATCTCTTGCTTCTGTCAGTGTTGCCTCGCTTAGAAGCGCCTCCGAGCTCGCACCAACCTTCGAATTATGGATTAGATTATTACCCAAGTGGGGGTTGAGTCTGTGAAAGGGCGTCATGGTGCATATTATCAACCTCGATTCATATAATTTACGACATTAACTTTCTACGCACGAACTTTGTGCTGTCATGAAATATTTATTCGGCACACTAGACCCATAAGCTACTTGGCAGGGATATACCACCATCCATGAGTATATGGATTCGAAGAATATGCTAAGAGTATCCCAATAAAATAAGCTCGGAAGATTGAGGATCATCCTTTCTTATACCTTTCAACGCCGGTCATGACGACTCATATTCTAGAACGTGTGAATTGAGCTTAATCTTCTATCCATCTAGTCTTGGATATGACAAGGAGTAATGGCGGTAGATTTGTAGGCTATTAAGTTTTAATTTGGGACATATTTTTTTTGTTAATGAGACTAAAGCTGACCTAACTTTTGTTCACCATCAATGCCAAATGACGGTGTAATGTGGCCTAGAACCATAGAAACCCTCTCTCTCTCTCTCTCTCTCTCTCTCTTCAAATGATGGTGTAACGTGGCCTAGAACCATAGAAACTCTCTCTCTCTCTCTTCAAATGATGGTGTAACGTGGCCTAGAACCATAGAAACTCTCTCTCTCTCTCTCTCTCTCTCTCTCCAAATGATGCTGTAATGTGGCATAGAACCATGGAAACTCTCTCTCTCTCTCTTCTCCGGTCCTAGTCATCTTCTTCTTTTGCTGTCGGGCTGAGCTAGGCTTCTAAGAAGTCTGACCGGAGAACTCCCGACTGGGGGCTGGGGCCGGCTGACCAGCCCACTAACGGTTCCAACCATTCTTTACTCTATCTACCTAAGCGGGATGATCACGCGACAGCCATGAATAAACGAGCGTTGATTAGTTGTCTTGTCTGCTCCTCCGGTGGAGAAAGCAGCAGGTGAGGGCGAAGACGAGGTCGGCTACCCTAATTGGGAGTCGGGGAAGGAGACAACTCCGCCCCACCAAACATCCGGCAGCCGCCATGGACATGGAGAGAAGACAGCTTTTAACTAAGATGCCGCCAGCGTCCTCGCCGGACGAACTGCACCGGCGCCGGCCGCCGCCCTCTGCCTCGGAAGACGTCGCCGCAAGGGGCCGCCACCGTCCTTTTCCGGCCGTCCTCTCTCTGCTTCTAGTCTGCATTCGATCTTCCCGAGGGCTCTCGCTCCCGCCGTTGGTGGAGGAGTTATCGGAATTTAAAGAATCAATTATAGGGAATCAATTTGGTAAACGACGGTGGTGAGGGCCCACGTCACGCGAGCACGAGAGCGGACGGTATATCGGTCGGTGACCATATCCCACAGAAAACTAAAATATTTGTGAAGGATTATAGTAAAAAAAGACTCTCTCTCTCTCTCTCTCTCTCTCTCTCTCTCTCTCCACGCGGGGAGAGTCGCCCGAGACCCGACAGTTTCTTTCGCAACTAACCAGGCTAATACCGTATCCATCTAAATGGATCCGACCCGATAACCCTGAGCTAATTGTGGAATCCGGCCCGATAACGAAACCCTGAGCTAATTGTGGGGACCATCTGGAGAAATGTGGCCCGTCCGATCGCTGTCGTCGTATTGAACTCATCGTCGGACCGCATCGGACCCATGTGGCACCTCATTTCGAGTATATCCGCATCTCTTTTACAGTAATATGTTGGGTTTTTTGTCATGATCCCCGTAAATCCAATAAATAAAAACTATACCACGATGTTCATTTCATTGGACTTTTGCCTCCCAATAGGGTATAACAGTAATAAAGACGCGGTAAAAGGAAGCGTAAAATTAAATAATTAATTCATAAAATAAAGGCGATTGGAGGTGGGACCCGCCTTTGCCTTATAAAGCCTGTTTCCCCAGGCAGAATGGGTTGACTGCTGCAACTGAACGATCGATCGTCGCTCCGGCCTCCATATCTTCGCCCCCCCTCCATCTTCAGGTCTCCTCCTCTCAGCATGATGGCGGCGTCGCCCCTCTCTCCTTCTTCCTCTTCTGCCTCCAGCGTCAACATCTTCCGAGACAAAGCCTTCCGGCGGTCTTCCTCTCTCCCTCCTCTCCGCACCAGTCGGATACCCAAAGCTTCCGCCTCCTGCGCTTTTGCGACGGAGCGCGAGCGAGAGAAGGCCGATGGTCATAGATAGGCCGATGGTCATAGATACTATCACTATTTCCCCGGATGCAGTGACGACGGTGGAGTGGGGACCGGACGCGGCGGAACGATCATGGCGGAGACGCTGTACGACGTTCTGGAGGTGGGGGCGGGGGCAACCGCGCAGGAGATCAAGGCGGCGTACAGGAGGCTGGCGCGCGCCTGCCACCCGGACGTCGTGAGGGCGGACAGAAGGGGCGGCGGCGGATCCGCCGCCGAGTTCATGCGGATCCACGCCGCCTACGCCACGCTCTCCGATCCCGACAAGCGAGCCGAGTATGATCGCCGGGTCGTGACGACCTTGGCGATGCGCCGGCGGCCGCCTTTCGGCTGGGAATCTTCATCTTCCGCATCCTTCTACTCTCCGGCATCCCCTGGCTCGTCTTCCCCTTCGTCCCGCTACAGGCAGAGGACGTGGGAGACCGATCAGTGTTGGTAGGACACCATTTCTTCAAGGGGCCACCAGATTGATCGCAGTGGGATGCCCTTCCGCGGCCAACGGCGGTAAACTACGTTCAGTACGACGCGACCAACGAAACGCCGGCCCCACGGCGGTGGAGCCAGGGAGGCGGCGCCCTGGCGGAATGGACCTGTGATTCTCAGTAATCTTGTGCTCCTCTCGGAGTTACAATAATTTACCACTGCGATTATTGTTCTTGACTTGGCTTATCTTGATGTACGAATACCATTTTCTGTGAATAGCGAGCTCTTTTCTGCTCTATCTTTGCGGATCCATCCTCATCCTCGTCCTCCGCTCCGTCCCCTCTCTTCTCGCCATTGCTCCTCCTTTCCCCCACAGACTGAGAGCGCGATCATCTAAAGAGTAGCCGCGGTGACCATCTCCGCGAGACGAACAACATCTGGATCTCTGATTCAGCAAAAGAGATTCGAATGGAACGTGGACCGGGACCAGTCGGCCATGGAGGAGGTGGGACTTCTTGTCCGCTGCGGTGGAGGAGAACGGCGCCGGCGGGTATCTTATTGCCACCATGACTCAGCCGCCTCCGCATGCCCGAACCAGGTAGGCCACCTCCATCACAGAATATTCAATGAATCGCTGACAAAATGGGATGAATGACGCAGATGGTCCTTGAATAAGCAGATGCCCTCCTCCTCCATCGTGGTGGGAAGGTTTTTCGCTTCTAGAACGAGAGCCGCCGCCGTAGGGCCCGACGCAAGTTGAGGCGGAGAGGGGTCGCCGTCCCTTCCTACTAACGCCAAAAATCTAATCTTTCCTTCTCCCGTGATGTCTTCAAGTCGGCGAAGGAGCAGCCTGGGGGGGCGGCGTGTGGAAGAGATGCCCCGCCGGCGACGAAGGCCGCTGGGTCAACGGAAATATCGGCAACCTGTCCTGTGGACATGGTTGCCTCCGCTGGCTCTCTCTTTCGTCTCCCCTGCCTTGGAGTGGTCCCCAATTCGCTGCTCCCGGAAAGTCCTGGCCAGATGCTCTTTCGAATCTTCCTCTCTTCCTTTCTCTCTCCTCAACCGATGTGTCCCCGTCATGTTTGGAGAGGGGATGTGATACATATTCAATCTTAATGGCAGCCTCGGTCGGTTTCACGCCGCCGATGCTTGGAATCCCACCTGACCAGCCCGAATCGGGTACAGAAGTCAGACCCACTACCCGAAATTTATGGACCAGGATGGGGTCCGATGTTTCTGATGGATGAACGGATCACATCCCGTGGTAATATTTTAAAAAGGCCTAAACTAAGTTTCTAATTTACCGCTTCCCCCATTAGCTTTTCAAAATTAAAAAACTTATATCGCTTCCAGGGTACGAACTGGGCTTCGGTGAGCCGGGCCCAACCGGTTCTGACCGTCGATCGATCGGAGAGAACGGTTGAGGTTTAATGACCGTTCCTTTCGAATCCAACGGCCAGCGGAACTCTCTGACTGTCAGCGGAGGCCATTGACCAGACACTACCACGTGCATTAATTAATGGGCGGGCCGATGAATAGCGAAGGACCCGGCGAGGGCAGCGAGTTGGAACAACCGCGTTTGACTCTGTAAAACCCTTATCAGGTCGGTCTTGTCCTCCCCCGCCCGACCTTCACCTACCTACCGAATGTAAACCCGCCCCCACCGCGGCCGCGAGGAAGGGAAGAGGAAGAAGCAGCGGCGGAAGGCGGAGCGAACCGCGGTAGTGGAAACTCAATCGAGTGCCGCCTCCGCTCCGGCGTCCTGATCTCCGTATTAATTGCCTCTGCCCCCCCGCACCGTTCCTTCCCTCCCCCCGATCCCCAATTCCGGCGCCACAGTCTTCGTTCGTCGCCCGCGGGAAATCGGTTGATCTGGAGGAGAGCCCCTGGACAGAGAAGCAGGGCGGCGGCGGCGATGGCGGAGGGGGTGAGGCAGGTTCTCCAGAGGCCAATTCAACTGGCAGATGAGGTGATTAAGCTGGCCGACGACGCCCACCCCTCCTTCAAAGCCGACTACGTTGATCTCAGGGTGAAGGCGGATCGGCTGGCGGCGCTGCTCCGGCAGGCCGCCCGCGCCGATCTCTACGAGCGGCCGACGCGGCGGATTATGCACGAGACGGAGCAGGTCCTGGAAAAGGCGCACTCCATCGCCTCCAAGAGCCGCACCTCCCACGGCCTCATCAAGCGTGTCTTCAATCCGGCCACACCGTCCAGGAAGATCCACTCACAGCTCGATAACTGCATCACCGACGTCTCCTGGCTGCTGCGAGTGTCCGCCACACGCAGGCACGACGGTGGAGAGGGCGGCGACTCCGACGACGACGACGACGTAGGTCTGGGGCTTCCGCCCATCGCCGCCAACGAGCCGATCCTCGGCCTGATCTGGGAAGCGGTGGCAAAGCTCCAGAACGGCTCGCTCGAGAAGCGGACGTCCGCCGCCTCCGAGCTCGTCTCCCTCGCCTCCGACAATGACCGCAATTGGAAGCTCATCATCGAGGAGGGCGGCGTGGGGCCTCTCCTGAAGCTGGTGAAGGAAGGGAAAGCGGAGGGGCAGGAGAACGCCGTGAAGGCCATCCTCCTGCTGGCCCGAGACTCGGAGAGCGTTGAGAAGCTGGTCCAGGCCGGTGTCTGCTCCATCTTCGCCAAGGTGCTCAAGGAAGGCCCCATGAAGGTGCAGGCCTCTGTGGCCAACGCCGTCGCCGAGCTCGTCGACAAGTACCTCCCGTGCCAAGACGAATTCGCCCAGCACAACGTCGTCCGCCTCCTCGTCGCTCACCTCGCCTTCGAAACCCTCGAGGAGCACAGCAAGTACACCATCCCTTCCAAGAGCCACATGTCCATCCACTCCGTGGTCCTCGCCAGCAACAAGAACCAGATGCACAACACCACCCAGTCTCATCACGGCGGTGACGCCGCCGCCGTGCACCCCGCCGGGAATGGCCATCTCTCGCACCAGCAGCACCCGCAGGGATCCTCGTCGGGGGCCAGTCTCAAGGGGAGAGAGTCCGAGGACCCGGAGACGAAGGCCGCGATGAAGGCGATGGCGGCCAAGGCCCTGGCGCTGCTGGCCAGGGGCCACCCCAACATCTGCAAGAACATCACCGATTCCAGGGCTCTCCTCTGCTTCGCCTCCCTTCTGGAGAAGGGGCCCGACGACGTCAGGTACAACTCCGCCATCGCTCTGAAGGAGATCGCGAGGGTGGCGGAGGACGATGCAGACCTGCGGCGATCGGCATTTAACCCCAGCTCCCCTGCGGCCAAGGCGGTGGTGGACCAGCTGCTCCGGGTGATTGAGGAGGGAGACTCAGACCGCCTGCTACTCCCCTGCATCACGGCGATCGGGTGCCTGTCGAGGACATTCCGGGCGAAGGAGACGCGGATCATTGGCCCCCTGGTGCGGTTCCTAGAGAGAGAAGGGCAGCTGACGAGGGAGGCGGTGATCGCCCTCACCAAGTTCGCCTGCACAGAGAACTACCTCCACATGGATCACTCCAGGGCCATCATCAACGCGCAGGCGGCCAAGCCCCTCGTCCAGCTGGTGTACCTCGGCGAGCCGCCGAGCATCAGGAAGGAGGCCCTGGTCCTGCTGTGCTACATCGTACGCCATGTCCCCGAAAGTGAGGCGCTGACGGACAACGACGACGTCATCTCGGCCCTCAGGTGGGCCTCCAAGAACATCTTCACCGAGGAGGAGGAAGAGGTCGAGAAGCTGCTGACGGAGGCCAAGGGCAGACTGGAGCTCTACCAGTCCAGAGATCCAAGGGGATTCCGCTGACAAAGCTCAGCTCCCCTTGGAAGGCGAAGATCTTGACCAAAGAGGAACAGGGCTCACACAGTTCAGGGCAATCCAGCTCTGGTTTCTCGAGGAGAATCGTATGCTCTCTGTCCTCTCTACCACTCTCCCACAGTTCAATTTGGGGACTGTAATCAGGTAGATGACCTCTGCTTCTTTTATTTCCCAGTTTGCTAATGTGTATAACCATTGTTTTGTTCTATCTTCAATGAGTTCCGATCTCCCCATGCGCACACAGAAGAATCGAATTCCGCCCCCGAGAATCTCTCAAAAGTGAAACCATAGCCCACCTTATGAGAATCTGTTCCCCCCCTGGTTTAGCAAAGGAGAGAAGAAACAGAACAGGGAAGAGCTGTAGAAGAAATTCCTCTGAAACGATATGATTCAAGCATCCTAGAGAGATGCCGCCCTCGAGAATTCCCACCACTAACAGGCCCCGCGCTTCTCTCTGACGACGACGACGATGGCGAAGGATGAGGAAAAGAGGAAGAAGGGTGAATCGTGAAAGCATTTCTTTCTTTAACCCGGGCCCTAGAAGGTTCCCCCATGGCCAGCCAGAGCATACATATCATGGCACAGAAGAGAGAGAGAGAGGAGCGTATTTCGAGGGCTCGCAGGAGATCCGAGGGGAGTGGGTTGCCCTCAGATGAGGAAGGTGATGGCTGAGGAGGGCGCCAGGTCGACGGGGAAGGTGAAGTGGTTCAACGGGACCAAGGGTTTCGGCTTCATCACCCCTGACGACGGTGGCGAGGAGCTCTTCGTCCACCAGTCCTCCATCAAGTCCGCCGGATTCAGGACGCTCGCCGCCGATGAGACAGTGGAGTACTGTGTTTCGGAGGGCGACGACGGCCGGATCAAGGCCGTCGACGTGACGGGCCCCGGAGGGGCTCCCGTCGAGGGCCAGGCGCAGAGGGAGAGTTCCTGGGGAGGCGGTGGCGGTGGCGGGTTCCGTAGAGGATACGGGGACGGGGGCTACGGAGGCTTTGGTGGTGGTAGGAACGGTAGGGGAGGAGGAGGCTATGGCGGTGGTGGCTACAGGGCAGGAGGTTGTTACGCCTGCGGAGAAGAGGGTCATCTGGCCCGGGACTGCGCCCAGGGTGGTGGCGGGTACGGCCGTGGTGCCACAGGCAGGTTTGGCAGCGGCGGCGGTAGTAGGATTGGTGGTGGCGGCGGCGGCGGCATGAAGTGCTACAACTGCGGGGAGGAAGGCCATTTCGTGAGGGACTGTACCATCGCCATGAAGTAACTTCCCACAGGACGACTACGTCACCTGCTCGTCAAGAACCCATCTTCTTGCTTTCTTTTCCTTCTCTCTTTCAGCCGTCGCGCATCAGATCGGAGGAATCGCTATGCTGTTCTACTTCTGGTTTATCGTCTCCCGCAGACATCTCTCTCCTCTCTCCTTTACCATCCTAGCTTTTTCTTCTGTAAGGCCATGACGGGGCAGAAACGAAGGTCGAGAAAGGTGGTGAGTATAGAATCCTCATCACCAGCCTTCTTCGTTTTCCCCTCTTCTCCTGTACTCTGCCTCTATGGAATAAAAGAATCTCTGATCCATGGGTATATGTCGATGCCGGATGGAGCTCGCCGGGCAAAGATACCCACCGGAGGTGGTCAACTCTCCGCCTGCCCAATCTGCACTTCCCTCGGACCGAAGTCGTCCTCTAGAAAACGAAACCCATCTCCTCTCATAAGTCCATCAAGAATTACAACCAGGGGAAGAAGAGCAGAGTGAACCAGTCGTCGACAGCCCTTCCTTCCACCGTACGAGATGGTGCAGGAAGAACTAGAAGAAGGTGCAGTTGCAGGCTGCCGGTTTCTGTCGCGAGCATCCCTGGTCGTCCTGCTCAAAGAAGATGATATGAAATGAAGATGCTCTCTGGAACTGGCCTTCCAGAGCTTTGCAGTTTCCGCTCTGTAGCTGCCGGGGAACTCGGGACGGCCTTCCCCCGGTTGTCCTTTGGTCCAGTCCTTTGCTCCAACTCTGCTGCGGACACTCTCTCAGGGGCTATGGTGGTGGTGATGGTGGTGGTGGCGGAGACCGAGGGAAGGAGAAGGAGAGGGCGCGATGGTGGGCGCGGTGGCGTTGGGGAGGAAGGTGGGGATCGGGAGACCTGGCACCGGCGGGATGGCCGGCGGCGGGCACTGGTAGCACTTGGCGAAGAGCCCGAAGTTGTCGACCTGCCGCACGAAGTTGGTGATGCTGGCCCATCCGCCGAAGCCGAAGCCGACTATCAGCACCCAGATCACGACGAAGGCGTTGATGGTGTAGGCTCCGGCCCACCTCCCCAAGAACCTCGGCGGTGCCTCCACCGCATTCTGCGCCACCGGCGGGGGCATTAGCAATCGAACCTTCGCGGCAAGGTCAGGAAGCCCAGCGATGAACGTACCTCGCGGGCGGCGGCGGAGCGGAAGGTGACCATGTGGGCGACGGCGGGGATGATGTAGACGGTGAAGCTGACGAGGAGGGAGCCGACGGCAGAGTTGATGGGGCCGAAGAAGGGGAAGATGATGGCCAGAAACCAGATGGGGACCACCACGGGGAGGCGTGCGGCGGCGCGCTTGACCATGCTCCGGCATTCGTGCAGCCCGATGGCCTTCTCCCACACGAAGTAGAGGGGCGTGCAGGCGAACCCGAATGTGATGAGCTGCTCCGAGGAAGATCAAAAGACGAGAACTCCGTCAGAATTTCCCTACGACAGACACAGAACAGCCGAGGGCTTCGATCTCGACGGTGCTACCTGGTGGATGAGCATAAGGATGACAGCAGCGTCGCGGAAGGAGGATTTGGGGAGGAGGGCGAAGGCGTTGGAGTGGTTGAGGAGAGCGTCGCCGAAGGCCCAGTAGACGGACACCGCCGACGGCAGCGTGAGCGTGAGGACGTACGCCGTCGCCAGCAGGTAGATGGCTTTGAACTTCTGCGGCTTCCACATAGCGTGCATGATCTCCCTGCGAACACCATTACGCGTTCGTTAGATCTCACTGTACAACACTGCGGCTTCTTTCTCTGACCCCCTACTCTCTGCAAAGAAAAAAAGACGAGAAGGAAGGAGGAGGCAGCCGACAGCGTGTGGGCCATCTCCCCCTCCGCCTGTTTGTCTGTACGCAGAATCCAGTGTTTGCATAGGCTTGCCCACTCTGGTCATTAAAAACCTGAAGTATACGACGAAGTATCGGGAGATTCTCCTTTGACTATGTTCCTCCCGTCTCGGTTTCTCTTCGCATTTAGGGGAGACGAAGGGCCAAAACACTAGCAGCAGATGCTGGTCTGTCGCTTCATCTAATAGGATTCTCTCTCTCTCTCTCTCTCTCTCTCTCTGTCTCAGAGCACGAGTATTACAGAACGGGAGAGATGAAAAGCGAATGACATTTATGAGCATCTTTACATTAAAAACTAGAAAAAGACGTTTCCTTTCTTCTTCTGCAATGCACTAAAGTAAGTTGAATGAGTGATTACGGAAAGACGAAAACATCGAAGAACCAGGCACGCCTCGTTGTTTCCGAGATGACTAAGACGAAGGAGACGTTAGACAGAGGGGACGCGGGATCGAGACACCCTAGACGGGCGTTGTCTGCTTACACTGTAACAGCGTGGCCGCCGAATGTGTAGAGAATGTTCGTCGCCCCCGTGAAGTAAAGAACCAGCTTGGTCGGCCCCGAATGCTTTACCCCCTCCACCTGTCCGCCGTCATATTTTTTTAGGTCACGATGTCAGTCGGCCGGCAACGAAGAACAGGAAAGCAGCGGAAATCGGGTGGCTTATGGGTGATCTCTGTGAGTACCTGGCCGTGGAGAAGGGAGGCGATGGTGAGATACCAGGATGTGTAGGTGGTCATCAGCAGGCCCAGGAACGACCAGATCCTGTAGTTGCGGAAGGAGGGAATGAAGACCGTGGTGGCGCAGCATGCCCCGAAGATGTAGGTCCATGTCCTCTTGTCGAGCTTATCATTGATGTAGTAGATGTTACTGCAACTCAGAGAGACCGCCATGGTCCTCATCAGAGAGGAAGAAGACGACCCATGGAAGAAAGACTCGTTCTTTGTGGTGAGCATGCCACATACCTCGCGCAGGCGATGAGCTGAATCACAGAGCCGAAGAGGAGGAAGGTGCAGTTGAAGGCTAATCCCAGGTTCCTCCAGTGCTTCCCAAGGAGCCCATCCAGGACCTCGAACCACTGAAGATTTAAGAAGGGGAGGGGACAGTGGTGAGAGCTTGGCGGAGGGTGTTGCCGGCGGAGAGCGGGGGAAGGGGGAGAAGAGGTTCACCTGAATGACGTGGTTTCTGAAGTCGGCCTTCTCTCTCTCTTTCCTGGTTCTGTACTCAATGTACAGGATGCTGATGAGGTACGCCGTCCAGCTCCCCAGCAATCCATATAACAGCTGGAAGATAATCCCACTAAGCATCCCCAGTTGCGAGAAGGAGTAGGGTAGCGTCAGCAGCACTTGAGCAACCTGGAGGAGGCCGTGGACATCGGGCGAGAGTAAGAGAGAAGAAGCCAAAGGTAGAAGATGAAGAGTAGGGAAGGGGAGAGATGGAAGAGAGGGAGCTCGCCTGGTTCGAGGCACAGCTGAACCATGCGTCGTAGGTGGATCCTCCATGCCAGAGGAACATGGAGAGCTTGGACTTGACGGTGCTGGGTTTCTCGTCGCTCTCCATCTCCACATACGTCCCTACCACAACCGTCTCCACTCCTTTCTCTTCAACGCCATCGCCCACCGAACCCATTGCTTCTCCTTGAGAGCCCTCCCTCCTGTCTCTCTCTTCCCCTCCTCTCCCTCCTTCCGACCTATTCCCCTTCTTCGTGTCAGTTCTCCAAAACCATAGAGCGGGCCCTGAGCTATATTTATAGTAAAGCTAACTCGCCCCTGACCTTGCTCCTAAATAGAGAGAGGAAGGGAGAGAGAGAGAGCCTGGACTGGATGGAGGAAAATGTGAACGGCTTGTCGGGAAGAAATGAGAGCTCCGGCCCGGTCTGAGGGGAAAGAAAAAAAAAGGGGTGGGGATGGGCTTCGAGCCGCTCCTCGCTGCACTCATACGAGCGTGGTTAGCTTTCCGCACGATGCTGAACACCCCCCGAGAGACCCACCCACTCCCCCCCCTCCCCGGGCTTCCACAACGCTATCCACATGCATTCCCCGAATGAAATTCACTCGACTGACCCAAGTTTCGGCGCCACAGAACCAAGCCCGGCGACATCATTCCGTTCCAGTCCTCTCCGGCTGCTGTCCCTCCCCAGTGGAACATTCTTACCCGTCCCCGTAGTCGAGGTAGTCGAGGGAGAGAGTGAGAGCAATAGAGAGAGAAGAAAACTACAGGGACAATCGATGTTGGGTCGGGGAGGGCGTCCCAAGAATAGGAATTATGGAAAGCAAGCAAGCCCGCATGATTGCTTCCCAGCAAGGCGTGTTCATCTTTTCTTCTTCCTCCTCTTCTTCTTCTTCTTCTTCCTTCTCTCTCCTTCTACACAGGCCCAGGAGGAGGAAGAGGGTGGGCGGGCAGCGGCGCCTGCAAAGGAACTTTCTCACCCGAGCTCCGGCGGGCTGTCGACTCCAAGCGCTGCCCCCCCGCCGTCCTTTCCCTGCGAAAAGCCAATGGGATCCATCTCTTTGTCAGTGGGGTCCACGATTTCCTCAGCCGGCCCCACTCCCCTACTCTTTGACCGCATCACGGGCTGTCTTTGACTCGAGATTTTTAAAAAACTGTGATATAATTACCTGCCCCTCGTCGTCCCCCCCCCTCCCTCCACGTACCCCTACTTTTTTATCACTATTTTCGGCACACATATTAATGACGTCATGAACTCATTGCGTTGCTCGGGACGTAGGGAACACACGGCTACGAAGGCAATGATTACCGGCCATGCTTTTTTTGTGGGGGAGGGGGGATATGGGCCTAATATGTCTCAGCCCAGTGGGCCTAATGTTTTTACTGGGCCATGGTGGGTGGGCCGAGGATTCGTCCGTCACCGTGGTGGGCATTTCCTATGACAAAGATTGAAGAAATAAGACCATATTTTTATTTTAATATAATAATTAAAATCTCTTTTAAAAATATTTTTTGGAACGGCCTCGGTTCCCCCGCCCGGCAACTCCCCGGGACGGAAAGCCGCCGCCCGCCGCCCGCCGCCTGCCGCCGCCGGACCCCGAGACGTAGAGACCTCCGCGAGTCGCTATCATGCGCCGCTCCACAGCGTTTCTGCTGTCCCGCGGTACGTCTAGGAGCATGTTAATGCCATGGCTACTTGTTCCCGCTTAGCCGACAAATCGGAGCCAACCCACTTCGGATTCCAAATTTTTGCATTAATTTTATTTTTAATCCGGAAAAATTGTTGCGTGTCGGTGGAAGCCTGATAATTACCGAAATATTTTGGAGAACTTTAGGGAAAGCCAAGGTAAGAACCATGAAAGCCGACGCATAAGTTTTAATAGGGTTGAACGGGGGTTTTATTGGGCGAAATGCACCGGCCCAGTTCATATGTGGGCTTTTAATGGGCCGTTTCAGAGGTCCACTCACTCGGGATCGGAGGTCAGGCGTACGGTGAAACCTCTCCCCACTGTGGAGGGAGTGATCCTGAGCTGGGTAGGGAGCGGCGATGGCCAACATGGCGACCCCGTTCAGGCACTGGCCCAAATCGGCCACCATCTCCTCTCGCCATTTCCTCTGCTCCTGCTCCTACGGCGGCGCACCGGGGGCATTCTCAACCTTTTCGTCAACGTCGTCGTCGTCGTCGTCGTCGTCGTCTTCCTCCTCCTCCTCCTCCTCCCCTTCCCTCCTCAACGTTGATGATGCCCGCTTTTCGAACCCCTCTCCCCATTCGCCGTCGTACGCGCTCAGCCGACAGCGGTGGCGCTTCTCTTCGTCTACTTTCTCTTTTCCCCGAGAAGTCGATTCCCCGGGGAGGAGCTTCAGGTTGGCCGGACGTTCACCGTACGCGGACGCCGCCTTCCTCGATGAGGACTCGGACTATGGGCTAGAACAGGACTCACCGAGGAAGAGCCGGAACCAGCAGAAGAGAGAAGCTCGCCGAGCCGTCGCATGGGGCATGGACATTGCTAAATTCTCTCCTGCACAGATTAAGCGAATCCTCAGGTATTCTGCGAACAACACTCCCCGATATTCGATCGTACGGGTTTCCAAGTGCGCCTAACCTTTCTTCCTGCTCCAAATGGGATTCGAAGGGCCGCTTCCCTCGAAAAAGAGGTCTTCGATGCTATTATGCTGGTGAAGGTGCTGGATCCTCGACTTTCTGGTTCTATTGGCGTCTCATGGGGGAGAACTTGTGTGACGTCTGAATGATCTTCTCCGCTCTTTTTTTCATTATTTTTTTGCAGAGATTGGGTCCCGATGTCAGAGAAGGGAGGAGGAGACAGTTCGGTTACATAGGTCAGTGACATCTTTGGCGATGATTCTGTTCCACAACTAATCTTCCCTTTGTACTAAGACCAACTTTGATAAATGACAGTGCTAGATTTCTTTTCAATAAACAAGTATGAAGGGAGATGCTAGGATGGGTTTATTAAGCATCGAGCTGGGCATTTCTGTTGTTTCTCTTCCTCTTGATGCTTTTTTTCTTAAGCATCTGGTCAACTTTGATGCTTTATTAGGATCTGTTTCTTCAGTTGTTTCCGTCTGTGGTCAACTAGTAAGATTTTTTACTTATATTTTAACTGTAAAGTGCTTCAAATCACGGAAAAGTTATAGAATTGAGCTCCTCTGAGATCGGGTTTGTGTCCACGAGATGCACAAATCAATGTACTCAATCTTCGGTTGAACAAATGCTTGATGCGCATATCATCACCAGAAATGGAGGTGAATTATTTCTGTACGAGTGTTATCATATATCATCAGACTTTTGACCGTTTTTTTCTCCCTCCTAAAGGAGTGACTTTTCAAGCATAATCAGAGACACATACATGCATATGAAAATAACAAGATGTAAACGACAAGCATCAAGAGTCACTCGTCATCTCGTTTCGCCTCGTGCTGCTTGTTTTTAAATATTCATAAGAGAAATGTCAGGGAATGTGGGTCTTTCCGGGGTGAAGATTTCTTAGACAATTAGCCTACTACCCGAAGCTCAACTGTTCTTCTCCCCGTCGGTATGGCTAATGCGGAATTCAACTGTTTAAGGGATGTGCACAGATCCCTAGCTATGTGTATGCATCTAACCATGAATGGATGCCCTCAACCCTTTACAGAAGCTTTATAATGTAGACAAGACACCACTCCCTCCAGAAGAAAAGTTCGTTCGAGTTCTTGATCTTGAGTCTCCATTTTCTACTGTGGCTGACTGATGTTGCTCAATGCAACAGTCACCAGGAAAGAAGAAATCTCGGACAATCTCTGGTCTTCAATCTCTTAAAGATAAGTATGCCATAATCCTCTGATCCTTCTAAGAAAGCTAGTTTTTGCGATGGGGAGTATTCGAATCACATTATTTTATTTCAAATGACATTAATGCCATTTATGAAACGATCAGAGAAATGCAATCCTCGGGTCCTTTCTTGCTTGTTATGCTTAAATATGGCTATTATTTATGCTTTGCGCAAGGAACCCTAGGTAGATGCCTAGATTGCGTTGTCTTCAAATATTGTGATCATCATGAGAGGTAGCTGCTGTTTTGTAGTAAATAGAACAGAACCGAAGTCTTTTGGCCTTACCCTCTTTAGAATGCACACATTCTACACAGATCATAATGATAATCTTACCGCGATTACACTTGCCCTTGCTTAGAGGGTGCACATTCTATGCTTATCAAATAGAAAATTAGACCGCTGTGGTGGTGCCTCTGTGATAGAAGTTCATATTCTTGCTATCTCTGTGATGGAAGTGAGGGATTAATTTGAAGCATCTTTGACGTTACTGTGAGACGGATGGGCTGTTTGTGCACGGACTTGTTCTTGTTGCAACTCTCTTGGAAAAGTCAGCATCTCGGTAACCTTGTTTTCTATCCCACTTGGCTCCATAACTACTCGTGGAGGATACCATACGATGTAAGTGGATGTTAAACGGATGCATGGTGCATGAGACGGATGTTTTCTTTCCTTGACAAGAGGGGAGGACAGATGAAGGGCAACTATCGTAGATGGGCTTCCTGAGAAGGGTATGAATGCTAATCAAGAAATAATATGTGATTGATGAGTTTAACGAGAGATGCATGCACGTCTGTTATTTTTTTCAAAGAACGAAGAGCATTAAAAGAATCTAAAACTCCGTATATTGATGCCTCCTCAGTAATTAAAACATAAAAAATTCCATCAAGGTTCCTTATGCTCATTAAATGTTTTCTCTCCCCAGAAAGTCCAGAGAACTTGGCTTTGGAATACTAGTTTCTGTTGAATCTGTTTTCGAGCATTAGGCTGTAATGGTTGATGTTGTATTTCGCCATCACTACGCTTTCTTCCCTCTAGTTAGTGTTACTTCTGCGACGTGTTCATCATTGTGCGTGAACTGCCATCTACATGTAATAAATGCATACCTATATAGCAGCCCATTTGAGCTTATGCATGATGCCTGTAGGAAAACTGCTGAGGAGCGCACAACCTGAATTGATGGATGAGTTGATTAGGGCTACCAAAGACGGTGACAGCAACAAGATACAAATTCTGTCTGGCCCGGAAGTGCCTCTCCTCGAGGGTGAATTAGATGAAGAAGAGGACACCGAGGATGATGATGATAATGATGATGATGATGATGATGATGATGATGATGATGATGTGAGTATTAGCATCTAGATGATGTTCGTCCGTTAAAACTGCTGTTCCTGGAGTTTGTGACCTTTTTTTAATGAACCAAAAAAGGATAATCGCTGAATTGGGAAATTATTTTTCAGGGAGATGAAGCCCTTGTTCAAACAGCAGGAAGATGGTTTGATGGCCTGATTAACAAGGATTCATCCGTCATAAATGAAGTTTATTCAATAAACAGTGCCGATTTTGACCGCCAGGTAAAACCCTTCCAATATCACCAGCTTTCCTGCAGACATCTGCTCGAGAGCCTTCTGAACATCCTCGGTGTTCCAATGAGATTGTGGGTTCAGTGTCTGTCGTCGATTCTTACTTTGCCCTGTTGTTTCAGGAACTGCGGAGGCTTGTGCGCCGGGTGCAATCAATCCAAGGTCGCCGAGCTGGCGAGGAAGAGGGAGGAGAGGAAGCAGATAATCCGGAGCTGAGCAAGGCGAAGAGCGCCCTTGCTCGCTTCCTGCGTCGCCTGGCGAAGCAGTCTGAGGAAGATAATGTCTTCACATCCTCCTGATTCGTTGCCCTGCTTGATCATCTCAGCGTATTATGCTTCTGCGGTCTCCATTCACGGCCGCCCATGAGACGGCGAAGAGCTTGAAGCTCTTCGGACTACGATTATCTCGTACTATCTTATTGAATTCAACTGAAATATGATATACCCGTGGTTGCAAAAAAATTCAACCAAGTACGGCTGTTCAGCGGTGGAGAGAACATCCCTTGAAGGCTTGAAACCGTAGCTGGACCGGTCGCCGCCTCGCGTGACTAGTGGCGGTAGAGCCGTAGGATCTTTAACCGGGGAAAGTCGTCCGCCTGCGCGTGGCATACCAGCCCCGGTCAACAACTTCCTTGACGGCTGCCGGGCGGCGCTGGGTTTGGACACCGCGGCGGAGTCTCGCTCCACCGTTCGCCGCCGGTCATAAATGCGGGGCGGCGTCACTCCAGCTGGAAGGCCTTATCTACGAGACTTCTGAGAGAGAATATATGGATTTGAGACACCGTGGATTGCTGTTGACAGGAATCAATGCGGAGGGAGCACGCCGTTGACCATTACCAGAAGCCGTTCCGAATGCCTTCGGGTCTTCAAGTGAGAGTTGAACCTCATATTCGTCGAAGTCTGGTCAAGACTCGTGGGTGCTCTGCAGATAGCTTCTCCCCCGGAGACACTTGATAATCTGAAGCTGGTAGGTGACCACCGGAACTACCACCGAGTATTGGACTTTCTCCTTCTTCCTTGACTTTTTCCTCCTTTCTTGGTCAAGATCACGTTGGATGATGAGTCGAGGGCAAAAGGACAGTAATCCAGTATGGTATCGGTACGCACTCTCGGGTTGTAAAACTGCTCCACTCCTGTCTCTCTCTCTCTCTCTCTCTCTCTCGCTCTCCTCTCTCTCACACACACTCACTCACTCCCTCCCTCCCTCTCTCGTTTAGTGGTTCATGGAAAAGGCAGAATAGGGGAAAAATCTCTAGGACCATAGAGTTGACTTACCTTAGTATCTCTAGGACGAGAAAGGCATAACTAGACCAGCAAAGTCAACTCGATTCCATGTGCTTTTATTTCGATCACGTTAAGCAAGTTTCGATGCACTTGTTGACAATCTTTCGATCTTAGTGTCATACATTTAATATTGCCCTCTCTTTCGTCTAATCAATGTCTCTATTTTTGTTACATTTCTGACCCAAAACATTACCATATCAAGTTACTAATTGGGAGTTGACCCCATTTTCCATAGTCACTCATCTTCAAAATCTATGTCAAGACCTTATCTTTGAGACTAACCTAGCAGACATGAAAAGCTAGCCGACCTTTATCGAAAGAGATCAAGAGAAAAGGGGCCCCATTGACTCAAAAAGTCAATTTTCCTTCACTTATTTCAAATAATAAGATGACCGTTAAAAATGTGTCGTAAATCCGATTATTTTTTAATGAAAATATGACATGACCTCGGTAAGTATGTGACTCAACTTTGGTTCGATCGTTATTATTATTGGGTTTAGGGTTTAGGGTTTAGGGTTTAGTGACCCTAAGTTTAGGGTTTAGGGTAAGTATGTGACCCTAAATTTTTTAATGAAAATATGATTTTTATTATTATTTCCTATCATTATTGATTTTCCCCCGTTATCGAGGATCAGAAGTGGGTCTACATGATTAGTGGGCTTACCTGGTCTTGCCACTGGACAAGGGGGATCATGCTGACTGGGCATTTTTTTTGCCAAAGTTAAGTCAATGGGCTTGGGAAGACGATTATCAAAGTCAAATGACCTTGCAATCGGGGGGCAACACATGGTCTACGCATGCGGGTAGTTGGGATGGCACGAAGTCTGCTGGTGTCCGTCACAGCCAGCGTGTTTTTCGCCGTGGCGTCGGTCAGCCACGACAGCCCCAATTGGCGGCCCATAACCTCCATCTCCGATACTAATTATTTTAATATTCAAATATATAAATTATTTCCATAATTTATATTCTCTCTCTACTATTTTTCATTCCGAAGGGACATCTGGGGCCAAGTCATAAGAGAGTAGGCCCCATATATCCGGCAACCCCTGCCTATATGAAACCAGTGCTCCGCTGAAGAAACCCAGAGTGCCCTCCGCTGAAGAAACCCAGAGTGCCCTTTCCAAAACCTCCTCTTCTTCTCACTCTACTTTCTCTCTCTCTCTCTCTCCCCCCCCCCCTCTCTTCCTTTCTCTCCCTCCCCTCGTCCCTCTCTCTCGCTTTCTCTGCGGCGGCGAGCTATGGCCGGGAGATTAGGCCGGGTCCTCTGCTTAGCCTTCTTCCTCCTGATATCAGGTAAAGCTCTTTCGATTTTGATTCTGGGGGGAGGAGGGTGACCGCGAGGGGGGAGCGGAACAGAAAGCTCCTCCTTGGCTGGTGAACGATTGACAGAAGAGGGCGGGGATGGAACTGGGAACTTCTGCGGATGCTGACCCCTTGTTCTCTCTTAGATTTTGCAGAGGTTCGTTCGGCATCGTTCACCTTCGCGAACAACTGCGAGTACACGGTGTGGCCGGGTCTCCTGTCCAGCGCCGGCTCGCCGCCGCTCTCCACGACGGGATTCTCCCTCGCGAAGGGCGAGTCTCGGACAGTCTCAGCCCCCACCGGGTGGTCGGGGAGGTTCTGGGGGAGGACCCTCTGCTCCACCGACGCCTCCGGCAAGTTCTCCTGCTTAACAGGCGAGTGCGGTTCGGGGACGGTGGAGTGCTCCGGGAGGGGCGCGGCGCCGCCGGCCACCCTGGCGGAGTTCACCCTGGACGGCAGCGGCGCCATGGACTTCTACGACGTGAGCCTCGTCGACGGCTACAATCTCCCGATGATGGTGGTGCCGCAGAGGACCTCCACGGGCGGCGCCAACAGCACCTGCATCACCACGGGCTGTGTAGTGGACCTCAACGGCGCCTGCCCGTCGGAGCTGAAGGTGACGGAGAACAGCGGCGAGGGGGTGGCGTGCCGCAGCGCCTGCGAGGCCTTTGGCACTCCCGAGTACTGCTGCAGCGGCGCCTACGGGAACCCCAACACCTGCAAGCCCACCACCTTCTCTCAGTTCTTCAAGAATGCCTGCCCGCGGGCCTACAGCTACGCCTACGACGACAGCACTAGCACCTTCACCTGCCCCGGCGGCACCAGCTACCTCATGACCTTCTGCCCCTCCACCTCCAGGTAGCCGTCACCTTACCTCTTCTTGCTTTTCTTCCTTTCTGAAAGGGCTAGCCATTCGGTCTGCGCCGGCGCCGGCGGCGGTTCTCCCCCACACGGAACGCTTCACACTTGGTCGGCCATTTTCACGCGAAAAACCCGTCGGCAGCGGCATCGAGGATCGAAAGATCTTTGGACGCTTCCGTCGACATAAATGATCGGCCCCGCGGAGAGCCCAGATCATCATCTTCTTCTTCCTACTCTGTTTGTACGTGTCCGTGTCTGAGATAGCTGCTGCTGCTTCGTGATGAACAGCCAAAAGTCGTCTGAGGACCCCCAGGCGGTGCCGCTGCCGGGCGGCGGCCACACCGCCATGGTCTACCAAGGAAGTCTGGTCCGCAACGCCGCGGCCGCGGCGTATTCTCATTCGACCGCCTACTTCGCCGTCTCCCTTCTGGCGGCGGCGGCGTCTTTACTACAGCTGCTACGCATCTGAGCCGTCGTCTCTAGGGCCCGCGTTGTCTTCGTCGGGGCGGCTGCCTGGCCACGACAAACACGGGCTAGAAGGCATTCATCCACGGCCGTTGGCTCCCTTGTCGGCACGCTTTTTATTCTTTCTACTCATCCGCCCGCAACGAATTTGCTCCGTCCCCGGCCAAAATCTTTAGATTTTTTTTTAATATAATACCCTTTGTGGGGTACGATTTGTGGCAACCGCAGAGAGCAGAAAAGAAATTCAGTTGGTTAGAGAGGCTTTTAGGCAATAGTTTACTTGAATCAGGCTATTCGTGGTATTCTTTCACCCCCCCCCCCCTCTTCTCTCTCTCTCTCTCTTTATAATTGTACTGGCTCCTCAATTATTTTAATGGGAAAGAAGTCTACATAGTACGGATGATACTGGCCTTATTATCTCGGCGCCTCGATTCCTTCCTACAGGGGAACGTTGGGGGGGATGAATCGGGATCGTCTATACGGGAGGAGTGGACGGTCAGGATCTGTCACAATATAGCCGTTGCTCTAGCCGTTGACGCTCTAGAGAGTACAAGGGGAGAGAGAGAGAGAACGATACATGCACCCTCCCTCTCTCTCTCTCTCTTCTCATCGGCAATATTATTTTTAGCTGTTGGCAAAAAATCAGGTATATTTATTGAGGTGCACGCATAACCTAGATAAAATATCAATTTATATATACAAGTAGATAACTTTTGGGCCTCATGGTCGCAAATACTAATTAAAAAGGGAGTATTAATATGGGAATTATTTTTTATTAAAATCAATAAATACGAGGTTTCGTACTTGGCTGGCCGAGCCGACCCACGCGCGACACCGGTGACGAGACGTCGCTGCCGCGGCCGTCTACGTCAAAGTCCACGTCGACCTCGGGGGTGCCGACGTGTGTGAGTCGGTGGGAGCAATGACTGCAGACGCTAGCTTACGTGGACCCGCGTCGGAACTGACTTGAGAGCCACACCCTTTTGGGTGGCCGCATAAGGGGGGGGGGGCAGTCGGCACTCGAGCGGTCCCCTTGGTTGACTTTTTGAACTCTCCTTCGCAGGCTTCATTACGTTGTCTGGTTGCCCGCCCGTCTTGGTGGTCAACCGCCACGCCAGTCCCGGGTCAGTTCCAACGAGGATAAGCCGTAGTGGAAGGATATCTGTCAAGTAAGACGGGAGTCTGCGGATGAATGGGGCGATGGTCAACGTATCTCCAGTTATGACATTCTTTGATTATGCCGAGGATTCCCGTCAAAGGGGTGTCTAACCGATGAACGACGCTCGGCTGAGTCCACATTAACCGCCGAAAATTCCAAAAGGTACGAAGACAACGAGGGGGGAGGGGGGATGATTGTGTGATCTTCGTCAAAGTAACCGACAGTAGATTCTTTCGAGGTTGACTTTGATCTTGCACATCCCCTCTATGCGGGGGCGTTGAATACCACCTGAAAAAGTAGTCTCATAAGTCAATCAAGATAGTACAAAGTCTACGAATTGACTCGACCAGGCCTCTTGCGTTGCTGCGAGGGAAGATACACATGTTAACGTGAAAAAGCCTCCGCATTAAGTCAACTCGTGCTGAGGCAACCGTAACCCGCCAGCTCTCACAGGAGGATCACCGCCAGTGTAGAGAGAGAGAGAGAGAGAGAGAGAGAGAGAGAGAGAGAGAGAGAGAGCGAGCGAGAGAGAGAGAAGTAGTCTCGTACAGAATAATCCAGAGAAATGATATCCAGTATTTGTCTTGGACCCGTCTCCTCTTCTTCCGGAGGCCCCCTCTCGCCTTTGCCACGAAAGCTTCGGTCCCACTCAACTTCACGCAGAGGTCCCCAAACGTATCCAGACGAAGGAGAGAAGAAGGTAAACCTTTCCTATCAGAACCTAGAGAGATATGACGGCTAGCCAAACCTTTTCCGAAGAGAAGGAAGCATCCATTCACATAACGAAGCAAAGGCCCCCACGTGGAGAGAAAGGTGCAGGTCGCAGCCTTCCACATTCGGCAGCTTACCTCTGAAGAAGAACAGGAGAATCGTAGGAGACCCTTCTCAAGTTCCTTCCACTTTTGGTTTGGCGAGCTCAGACCCTCGTTGGACGAGGGCGAGGACCGGCGTGGATAAGCTTCATATCGTCTCAGCTTCCTTGTCGTCATCCCCACCAGGTGAAGATCCAACCGCAGAAAGCCTAGAGTGCGGGAGGCGACGTCAACATCTAGTGGAGAGGGAGAGAGATGAAGAAAAGCTGTGTGTGGGGTTGGAGGGTGGGGGGAGATACTCGTCAGCACAGCTCCTCGTCGACGCTTTCCACGGAAGAATGAGTTCATGACACCGTTGCCTGATCAACTACCTGCAGCCCGCCATGACACGTAAGTCGAAGCTTTGACGTCCTCGTTAAGGAAGCTGGTGCACCCGCCAGCATGCCGGGGTCACATGGCCGGGACCAAGTCAGAAAAGCCCTCCTCTTTTGAAGTGTGACAACAAGATAACCTCACGCTCAACCATCAGATTTTGTAAGCGATTAGTGTATACCGCGTTCTTCCGAGTGTTGTGAGTGTGTCACTGTGGTATATTACCCCCAAACGAAGCCTTCACAGCTCATCACCTATGTGTGAAAAGTTGCGTACGAAACAAAGCTTACCTCATTAGAGGTGCACTGATATGGGTAGATGTCGGATGCCGAATCTAGAATGCATGTCCACATCTTTTACGTGCACACATTGATGAGCTGCGCAGAGTGTGGTTTTCACTACCATGTCCACATTGATGCTAACCATATATTCATTTGACTATGTTAGATCAATAAAAGGAAGAATTAGGTGGCCTGCCCACGAGGGAGAGTGTTGAGTTTCTTGTGCTTTTGACATGGAACTACGTTGACGCACATGGAGGCTGATCTGAAAGGATAGGATCATGTTGAGGTCCCAGCAATCTGAGTGCATTTTTCCATAGTGCTAATTGATTTCCTACCCCTATGATGACACATCCTCACAACGTGGGCACAAGGATATGGTGCGGCTTCAGCACCTATGCTCAAGAAACTCGAGAATTATCTTAAGAATGACAGTTAAAACAGAAGTCAAGCTATAGATTACAGTGATATTTTTCAGCCGGAGAAACCTTCGAGTCATCCGAGGACAGTTAGTTTTTTGTAATATGAACAGGGTTAGAGAGTCGAATGCGACCCACAAGAGATTGAAATGAGTGAGGATGAGATGAGACGTGAGAGGGGAAACTGGGTGGACTCCCTACTTCATCTTTCATCCATGTTAGCGAGCAGGAGGTGGGGGAGGCACACTCGGACCACAGTCGCTGGATCCTGCTGGAGCTGACTCGGAGTGACGCGGTTGCCTACACTCGTCTACGTGGTTTGCCGACTTTAGCGCCCCCGCCATGCCGGACGACCGTGCGGGCCACCAACCGCGGCTGGGGTGTCCTGTGCCATCAGCGCTAAAGGTGTGATCGTCATTGGGGGCCTTCTAGAGGGCGATTTCCGTAAGAACTAGATGACGTTCTTCGATGATTCAATATGTATATGAGAAAGAGAGAGAGAGAGAGAGAGAGAGAGAGAGAGAGAGAGAGAGAGAGAGAGAGAGAGAGAGAGAATTTCATGGGATAGGTTCACTGATAGTTTGCTTTCCACTGAGTGGGAGATGACGCTTATGATGTACGTAGGCGTTTGTCTGATCTTTCTCCAAATCCCACAACCATAGTGTGAAGACTCCTCTTCCTTGTTTACTACCTTTCACATTCCTTTTCAAGCCGTTATCTTCCTTGCAAGTTCATTCTCCCTATATGGCCCCGGTGTTTATGCCCGCCTTACAATAATGTATTTTACAGCATATAGTTTCAGGGAAATCAACTACTTATGTGATCTCATAACTAGCAGGGTTTGCGGCTCATAGTACGTATGGCGATCCAGATCGGAATTAGTATCAAAAATGATTGGTGCCTACTTTATTAAAGAGGTCCGACAAGATCTGTTGGGTGATCTCATACTCAGATCGCCACGATCAGAGAAAAACGGCATGGTCAACGGGTTGTAACTCCTAGATTTTAGTCTATTTCGCAAAATTGAGCTCATCCGGAAAAAAGATTCAAGTGTAGCAAATTTGAGGGGGTGGGTGGGGGGGGGGGTATTGATACATTTTAATATCAGTCTGGCTGTTTCTATATTGAGTAAGATCCAGGTGACGTGCAGAGAGAGAGAGAGAGCAAGGAGAGAGAAATATCAGTGATCTATAAATGGAGGTGGAGAGCAAGTCACTAGCCTTCCTCCTACTCTCTCTCCCTCGATCTTGCAGGGTGTTGTAGTTAATGGGTGGGCATCCCCAACGTACACTCCATTCCTCGACCATCCCTATCTTCAGCGGGAATCCCTCCGGCTTCTGGCCTTCCGCCGTCGCCATCGCACACCACCTCCTCCTTTCAGTGCACTCTCACAACCACCGGCAACCCCGACAGCAGGATCAAAGGAGACGCGTCTTTTTCTTCTTCTCACATCATCACCTTCAACAAGGAGGAGCACCGCTGTAGTCGCCACGCTCCGTCCATTGACATCGTCCCCGCTCAGAGGGAAGAGATAGGAAAGGTTGATTTAAGAAACCTGCAGCACTCCTCTCCCAAAGACGGAGATGGGCCAGTTCTTGTTCTCTGGCACTACCACAGCTCCCTTGCTATTCCTCTTCTGTGTACTGCTTGCAAACCCCTTCGGAGGCGGAGGAAGAGTGGCGGATGGCGCCACATTTACGTTCGTGAACAAGTGCGAGTTCACTGTGTGGCCGGGAGTGCTGTCCAGCGCTGGCAGTCCTCCGCTGGGCACCACCGGGTTCGAGCTCCCGGTAGGTGGGTCCCTCGCCGTGCAAGCCCCCACCAGCTGGTCGGGCCGCTTCTGGGGCCGCACCGGCTGCGCATCAGACCCCGCGGGTCGCGTCGTCTGTGCGACCGGTGACTGTGGTTCCGGGGAAGTCAAGTGCAACGGAGCTGGGGCGGCGCCTCCGGCCACATTGGCGGAGTTCACACTGGACGGCTCATCGGCTCTGGACTTCTACGACGTGAGCCTTGTGGATGGGTACAACCTGCCGCTGGTCGTGGAGGCGAAGGGGGGGACGGGCGGATGCCTCTCCACCGGCTGCCCAGTGGACCTCAACCTGCGGTGCCCGGCGGAGCTCCGTGCAGGGGCTGGCGAGGCCTGTCGAAGTGCCTGCGAGGCGTTCGGGAATCCCGAATACTGCTGCAGCGGCGAGTTCGCCACCCCCAGCACCTGCCGACCATCTGTCTACTCGCAGATGTTCAAGTCCGCGTGCCCCCGCTCGTACAGCTACGCCTACGACGACGCCACCAGCACATTCACCTGCTCCGGCGCCGACTACCTCCTCACCTTCTGCCCCTCCGGCGCCACAGTCGGAAGGTAAGCGTTCGCAACAAGTCAAGAAAACCCTACTCATATTGCTCTCATTTCAAGCCACTCCGCTTCGCTCCTGACCTCCACTGAGAACTCGCGGTCGACTTCTTTGCTCTCATTTCAAGCTCTATTCATGGCCGACTTCTCTGCGTTGCCTCAATTCTCGTTCCTGTGTTGCAAATTCGAGGGCCTTCTCTTTTCAGCGGATTTCTTAAAGAAGTTCTCTTTTTCTTTTGCTTTTCTTGGTTTCGATGATGATTTCTGCATTCAATGTGTCGTGAGACGGTCATCGTGCTTTCTCTCCCCGGCGTTCTTCAGCTGTTCTTCCGTCCTCCTCGCACTGTACTACGATCCTCTCAGGACCACCATAGTTGGTATACCAGCAGTCTAAGTCATCGGCCACATTTCCCAAGTTCGTCTTCTCACGGCTTCTGGTTTTTCTCCCCTCATCTCCGGCAGCCAGAAGTCGTCCCAAGATTCAACAACCACCGGCGCCGCCACCGCAGAGCCGGGGACGACGGCGGCGGGAGACGCGCGAGAGTGTGAGCCTTGGCTCGCAAGCCTCACCACGGGCGGTGCGACAACTGCGGATGATGGCGGCGTGCTCCTGCTCTACAAGGCCGCTCTTCTCGCCGCCGCCACGGCCATTGCCCTTGGTCTGTAAAGCCACCCAGCCCCGTCAAGGTTTCTCCTCTCTCTCTCCTCATGTAAGTCTGAATCTAGAGAGAGAGTGAGAAAGGGACGACCACCATGGTTGTGATGTAATTAATGATCCGGATTGTTAAAAGAAAAACACCGTCGAGCACATCCCATGGCCAGACGAACCCACAGGCGAAAGCCATTAATGGCGACGAGGGGAGCTGCCTTTGGCGATTCCCCTTCGCTTTCTTCCCCTTTTCCAGTGGCATGCGAAAAGCAAGCAGGGCGATCGCCGCGTGCTTTTCAAATACGAATCCATCCGGCGGGACCTGATCTTCTGTCTCCCTCATATCCCCACCCACAAGCAAGATTCCAGCTCGCTGAGGCCACGGCAAGAAGATAGCAGCTGCCATGAGTCATTCCCGTGGCGGCGCCGCCAGGCGTTACTTTCCGTCTGACACACCATTCTTGGTGTTCGACAAAATGCTCGTCTGTGCAGACGAGTTGGTCTCATCAACCCCCTCCCCTGGTGACTCCATTCGGAAGGCAGAGCGGCGTTGGTGACGAAGACGGCACAACGGGGGTGGGGGCCTCCTTTGGAGCTGTCTGCCCCTTTGCATCAGCAGAGGAGTTGTCTATGTTATCTCCGCGCTCGGATTCCATGCCCACTAAGAAAGACAAATTGGGTTATATGGCTCAGCTTCATTACCTCAAAGGATGAGAGCTGACCAGACGAACCGGTGACCTCAGAGCCGCAGCTTTGTCTTTCGATCGATTCCTCTTCTGTCAGCCAATTGGCCGCAACTTTCTCTCGACAAGATGCTCCATGATGATCGGTTCATTGGGTACATTAAAATTAGAGAGAGAGAGAGAGAGAGAGAGAGAGAGAGAGAGAGAGAGAGAGAAAGAGAGAGAGAGAGGAGGCGTCTACGACATCCTCTTATCTTTCTCTGTCAAGCAGCGTTGCTTTAGGAGCACCATGGCTCCACAAACAGGCGTCTGTGGGACTTTACGGTGGAGGGCTACTCAGAGGGGGCAAGGAATCTTCTCATGGGTCAGAAGCTGCGGGTGCAGTGTCGTTTGCCGGCAAAGCAGCCATATCCAGATAAGGTCAATGAATAAAGAAGTGAAGCCATGAAAACTGTACAACTTTAGAAAATTTTCAAAGCCACAGCGGTTGATGAAGAGAAATGCAGGCCTTCATGCAATGGAGTAATTAGTTACCTGGCAGAGTCTGGAGGAAGGGGGCTTCGGTGGGGTCTCCAAACGAGAGTTTCACGAGCAACGGATAGAAGTGATCCTCGTCATAGTTGGGCCATGATTTGTCCTCGCCACTCAGAAACATGAGGTGGCGCTGCCAGACCGCCGGGTCGTAGTTCTCGACGACTTCAGATCGCATGCCGATCTCCTCAACCTTGACCAAGAACTTGTCCAAAGAGTCGCCTCTCCTGGGACTCAGAAGTATGGCCGTTGACCTCTCCGAATTTTTCAGCAGGGATTTGACCGTAAGTGCAAGGGCTTCGTGAAATTCCTTGAAGAAAGTGCTGTAATGGGTGGTTCTCGAGTCAGATGTGCACGAATTGATGAATGCTAGAGACACGGCAAACCACTACATGCATGGATTGTTAAGTTGCGTGTTCCACTATTTCAGGGCTTTACAAAAAGTTTGACGAATCAAGGACTTAGTATGGAAGATTCAGGGGAAAAAATTAGACAGTTGAGGAGTTTCATATCTCATTAGCTTATCTCATAATGCCTAACTCTTGTTCAGGAAGGCTAAGGGTCAAGATCATGCTGCCTACTTCCCAATTCTGGCAAGCTGTGGTCCAGCCTTGCTCTTGTGTGCACGCCAAGACTTTTATCTAGGGATGCTACAAATCCTCTAAACAGGAAAGAATCGCTATGTCAGGAGATAAACAGGAAAGAATCGCTATCTCATACCCCCCCCCCCCCCCCTTCTAGTACAATGGCTACCATCCCTCCTCAGGCTGACGCTTTTCAGACAACAGCGGGGAAAACTTCTAAGATTCTTTTCAGACTCAATGTAGGTGACATTCTACGATTAGTCTGCAACAGACGGAGTCATTCCATACATGCAATGAGTTTCATACGGCTTTTGATCAACAGTCTCCATAGGAATATTGGGATTTCAGCACATCTTTTACGGGGTCGATATCAGGAGAATAGAATCAAATTAATCCATGATTCGGGAGAAAAAGTGAAGCATCGCAAAAGGAGGTTTCATTTTTTTGGGGGAAGATAAGCATCCTACAATCCTGAATTTCCATAAAAGTGCGAATAAATGATGAGCAAAGATGAATGCAACATAGAATGCTGTGCATAAAAAACATAATTCTACGGTTATATTTGACCACAACGACACAGAAAATAATAGAAAAGTACGGATTTGTGGGAAGAAAAAAAAACATAGAATGTGGTGTAAGGAAGTCAAACATACCAGTCACTTGCAACAATGGCATCAAAGGAGCTCAGCATGCATGAATCTAGTTTCTGATCCCAATGCAATGTCATTGCTTTCACTTTTTTGTCACCAAATGACCTAATATTGGTGTCGATATTAAGTTGAAGGTCTGAAGGTTTAGGAATTGCAATTAAGTAGCAAAAAAGAAGGACCAAACAAGGTGGCGACATTGTGGATGTCTAAAATGGTAATCAATTCCATTTCCGAATTTTGAAAGCAAAAACTTCAGATTACACAGTAATCACACCGGATAGGAAGGGAGGAGGGGGAGGTTTAACCGTAGTCGCATAAATAAGAAAAAAAAATGGCATGGGTTCTTGAAGACAATCCACGCTGTGCGAAGAAGGGATGCATTTAATGTAAGCCCCACTCAACTATTTCACAATCCACCTGTGATTCAAGTCACGATTTAAAGCTTCAGATGGGGAAGCTTTTTCTAGAGCATACCAATCAAAGAAGGAAACTATGAGAGAATGTGTTTGGTTCCCTCCTCTGGACCGCCTTCAGGGCCAGCAGAAGGAACCTCGGCCCAGACCCGTTTTGGGCTCACTTATGGCCGAATGGTGAAGGAGACCGTAAGAGAGAACTGAAGACAAAGTGGGCCCAAAGCTCACTTAGAGAGTTAGGGTAGATAACCCTTGAACCGCCCTTTCGAGGGCACTTTTTGGAAGGAAGTCAGTGGGAGAGAGAGAGACACTCTCGAATCCGTCCCGACTGTTCTGGGTTTCCTTCGAAAGCCCCTCGTTTGTTACTCACAATCCATATTCATCACTGTGGATTGTTCCTTGTTCATCTTTGTTGTCCTCTTCTGTGCAATCTGGTTCCTGTCTGTGACAGGGTTCGCAGACTCGTTTTCAGTGGTTTCCCTGATCAAACTAGAAGTTACCAAGGAACCATGCATAGCTCTAAATAGGGAGCCGCCGAATACACCAGCTACGCCTAACATGTGGAATGGATGCATAAGGATGTTGTGTTCTGCCTGGAATACAATCATGAAGTTGAAAGTACCAGAAATTCCTAGAGGCATACCATCACAAAAACTTCCTTGACCAACAAGTGAAGATACATCGGATCCATTCGCTAAAATAAAAATACGTACTATATGAAGAAAAAGAACAAAAATAAAGCAACGCAAATGAGATTCACTCGATGTTACAGACGAAGATACATCGGATCCATTCGCTAGTATTGTGTGCACGAAAAAGCATACATCTACTGATAGACTACCAACAAGTGACGATGGTGCCTTTTTCATTGGCAGCCCACAGAAGGAGAGATCTGCCTTCACCAAAGAATAAAACTCAATGTGTGCCACTGGTACGAGCATAATGAAAATATTTAGATACGATGTATTCGTGCAAAGTGGTTCACAATTTTTTATAATAAATTAAGAAGTCAACAGTTATGAAATAAATAACGTCAGTTAAAAAATTAACACCAATTTTCTCTTCATGGTGGTCACTTCACGATAATCATCACAAGATGAAGTCATAGTAACGAGCAAAACCACCAAGTAAAAAGGATACAATCAACAACTTGAGGATTCCCATCAGATATGACAACCTCTCGTGCATCTGTACCCGCTGCAATGGCTAAACCAGCTAGTCCATAGCCAGAACCAAGCTCGATTACCTTCTTGCCACTGAGAAAATGGACTATGTCAAAAAGAATCATTTGAAATTTTCAACTAAAAGCAAGAAAACAACCAGACCTGAAAATATCTTTGTTCTTCAAACAAAAGTGAGCGAGTATATCTTCAGAAGGCCAGCAACCTGCAACAATGCAATCGGTAAAGGTATGATATGGCACAGTTGATGTTTCGAATTTCAAATCATTCAAGTTATGAAACGAAAGAAACCACCAAGAAAAGGATTCCAAGATTGACCATAACTATGTTGAGAAATGACGAAGAAAAAGATGAAATAGTTTTCCAAGGGAAAGTTAAAATGATGGTATCAATTGAAATAGGATCTTATGAATCAAACTACGCCTAGGCCATAAAAAGGGTCTCCTTAACTGAAGTAGAACCAAGACATCTATTTCGACTGAGAAGGGCAAGAAAGATGCTGAATGTTATGGTGATTCTACTGAGAAGGGAAAGAAAGACAACTTATGGTGATTTTCTTTTTTTTCTTTTCTATTTATTATTTTAGGAAATCTTCAACATTTTGACCGAGGTGAATGTTCTTAGGTCCAGATGCAAAAGGTACTGCCTCCACGATACTCTATACGGAAATCATCAGATCAAGACCCAACTGAAAACAAGAAATCAGCAAATCATATCGTCTATATATCTAAGTTAAATTCCCTTTCAACATAGTTTCGATAGGCAGTGGTTTAGGTGCCTTGAAAACAAAATCCAATTTTTTTTTAGTTTTCGTAATCCATAATTGGCCAAGCGCATTTAAAAATATATATTGTGTAAAACACGTCTGATGCTGTTCTGAGCGTGACCAGATGTGTTCTCATGTGCACTTTTGGCATTTCAAAGTGAAAATAAGCTCTTGATTTCCCATCCTTTCCGATGTATATTTACTCTTTAACGTACTAGTAGCAATCGAATATATAATCAGAGAACGCCTAGATTAGAGTTGACTAATGAAATAAAAATTTTAAAAATCTCAAGTGAAAGGAAAAATTAGAAACCCATTCAGAGAAGGTCCATTCAAAAAAAGAAAAATTTCATACAGAAGTCAGGGGAACTTTATTAGGACATTAAAATGAATCACACAATAACTCAGTTGCTTCCATTGTAGAACAACTGAACCTTATGAGACATAAAAAATATGCTTACAGAGAAGTCCAGTGTTGTCAATGTTGAATTGATTTGAAATTTCAAAATCTTTGAGATCAACCTCGTTCTCCATTCTTTGCCTGCAATACATTTCTGAAGAATTAAATATTAATCATCACAGGCCAAAAGGGAATATAGTACCAAAAAAAACTGCTCACAGGCATTTTTCCCAACGAAATCCATTAATTTCACACAATCAATAACCGTATTCCATTCCTCGACAAACCCATTAAAATTTAACACGCGATAGCCAACTAAAAATCTAATTCAAAAATTGTGCCTCAGAAGAAATAATGTCATGCGCATCAATCATATGAACTACAATTCTTTCAGTCTCAAAATGTGGGATACAAGAAAATTTACAAAGGAAAAAACAGCGGGAACCATTGTGAAATCATTTGTTGACAAATTTAACAGGTGTGCTCCCTCCTTGTACATTATTTTAGCGTTCAATAAACTAAATCGATCATAAAATCCCATTTATGGAACAAACGTGAGAACCCTAGAGATTTAGTGGGGCCCAAGACTCTGACCCAGGGATGAATATTTTGGTAGCATCCGAAGATATCAATAATACATGAATGCAGAGCTAGCCGTAGACCATGATATTACTAAAAGATGTCTAACAATAATGAGGTGCAATAATGACATCACACAGACTCCAACAATGTTTCGTCATAAAGTTTCAATAAAATGCTGATCGTCTAGTTGTCCTACCAGGGGAAATAATAAAATGAAGGTAATATTAACATTAATGATGACAGATTTTCTGGCAACAGCCAACAGAGTGGTTGAGATTTTTGCGGGATACAATTTTCTGAAAGAGAATCCAAGAGTTTAGCAAAAACGCTCTCCCTCATCTGGAAAGTATGAAGATCAATTCGGGAGAAGTCTGATAATGCTACGTAGGATGAATCTCCACTCATGACTGCAATTCAACAGCCTCAAGGGTATGAAACTATAACCAGATTTGGGCAATGACTTCACTATGGATATAAGGATAACTGTGTTTCCCATAATTTCTACAAAAGATAAACAAGTTGGATGCAGATTGACGTATCACTCAGTAACGAGAATAGGATGCTACAGATACTTCGAGAGAAATGGCACAATGTAAATATCTCAAGGCCTCAATGGGAAAAAACTAGGAAATGAAGATCGAAAACGCATACGAAACGATTGCATAAGATGGCTGCGTTACATCACGAAAAAAAACTTTTATCTTTTTACGCTAAATGGCACAACAAAAATGGATCACTGAATCTTCATCCAAAACGGGATGAAATAATAACTTACGTCAGAACAAGGCTATGAGCTGTCATTACAGGCAACTTGTAGAGGACACTAATATCTCTCTTGCTGTCTGAGTGTCTAACTTCTAATGGAACGTCCAAAGCTCCAGAAAAATTCTCACTTATGAAATGTCGCGGGATCATATTAAAGTGACTTGATGTCCTTCTAGAAATGATTTTTCTGTCCACTTGAGACGAAGCATCTGCATATCATTGGTTGGCTGTGAATAGTGAGAGACCACACTTTTCCTTAAATAAAATAATAAGCGCAAAACGTGTTGAACACTAATGAGGAAGCCTGATAGAAACGAGCATCGAATTCCACATAAAGGTGAAGTACCGAGGAGCCCTTTCTATCAACAATTTAGTGGCACATTATTTTGGGAAAAATAACATTGTGATCAATACAAGTTAATCTCTTCAACCTACATTTGATCAATCTACTGAAGAATCCCATGCTACGGTGCAATTTGATGACAACATGAAGGTAATGTTGACTAACCAGATGTTAACTTCGAGGATGAAGCCAATGAAACACGGGATGAACTAGCAGATGTCATCTCTAAAGTCAAAGAATGCAACTCGTTGAAAGCAATCAGATTGTTTGTCCGACTTAAATTCATTCCAGAAAGGGAGAAAAAAAACAGCAGCCCATAGGACATTAAAAATGGCTAATAGCAGGTGGTCCAAATGCTTAAACTGCCCAAGGTATCCTAATTATTGATCTCATCAAACCCCTGCCAAATAATCCCCCCTAGTAAAGTCGATCACAGTCATGTAGATGGGCCAATATCGGCGAATCAGGAACAAGAAGAATCACATCTCCAAAGAATTGTCGACGCAAATTAGCCTCATTCAACTCGACGAGAAGAATGCCCCTGTTGTAGATACCACCTTCAAACTGTCGGAGGACCAAATGGGAACGGCCAGGAAAACGCAAGAATGAACGAACGTGATTCGGGCGCACCGACGCTCGTCAAGCTTCCCTCGCCCCAGCTACTTCCGCATTGGAGGATGATAGTGATCAATAAAAGTACATCGCACAAACATCCTCGCCGGAGAGCGAAGATTACAGTCCTCGCATCGCAACTTGCTCGCACAAATCCGGCATCCTGAGACCCCGGCGGTTCCCGCAACGAGAGAGAAGAATGCACAGGGAAAAGAGAGGGAGGAAGAGAGAAGCACACCGTTCCGACGCGGAGAGGAAGGAGGAGTGGACCTAGCCAGGAAAGCCCCCCGGAGGATCTCCCACCTCAGGGACGACGGCGGAGCAGAGGAAGCCGAACGGGGACCCTCTCTCTCCATTCCTATGTTCGAAAACTCGAATCCCGTCCGGCCTGTTCAGATGATTAAGTACGTGCGAACGAGCTCGCCTTAACGCATTTCATGTGAAAGCTCATTCATATTTTCTCCCGATTTATTTCGTTAAGACAACTGGAAAATATGAAACAGTTCCTATTATGTGTTAATTAAAAACATTTCGGTTAAACCCACAAATTATAGATTATCTCGCCCATGCCTACCCCTCTCTCTCTCTTCTCTCTCTCTCTCTCTCTCTCGCTATCTTCTCTAGTGCCGCGGGGCTCCCTCGTTCCGAACATCCTATTGCCCACGTACAGGAAGAGAGCGACCGCGGAACTTAAATCATGAAAACGCCACGTCCGAAGACTTGGGAGTCGCTGCAAAATTCTACAGGATTGATGATGCTTTCGCCTACCTACCCCCGCCCCCCCGGTCAAAGGAAGGCCCTGCTGCAGTTTCTTTCTGCTTCCCGACCTTGTTCGTTTTCACGGAAATGGCAGAATCCTCTGGTGGACTAGACTAGAGCTCGTCCTTGAGATATGAGGTGTCGGGCTCGGGCTTCGCGTCCGCATTGGCTTCCGGCACCGCCCCGGCCTCTTCTTCGGCTTCGGCCTCCTCAGCGTCGTCCTCCTCCACGGCCGCGTCGGGGTTGATGCTGAGGGAGGACTTGACAGAGGAGTATATCCTGGAGGCGAAATCCTGGGGGTCGTTGAGCATGAAGCCGCTCTCCATCAAGGCGGTCTGGTACATGAGCTGCGCCGCCTGCTTCGCGCTCTCGTCCTGAAACCAACGACCGAAGGCAAGGGGCGGAGTTAGCAAGAGAGAAACGGGGAGGAGCATCATTTTTCGGATCCTCGGTCAGTCGGTCACCGTGGGATCCTTGACGACTCTCTCGCGGAGCTCCTTGATGATGGGGTGCCTGGGGTTGATCTCGAGCACCCTCTTGCCCTTCATGTACGCCTGCTTGTTGGAATCGGAGAGAGTTTGGGACTGCATGATCCTCTCCATGTTGGCGCTCCACCCGTACTTGCCCGTGACCACCACGCAGGGGCTGCCGGACAGGCGGTTGCTGATCTTCACGGAGTCGACGTTGTCCGCGGCGAGGGCGTCCTTCCACCACTTGGTCAGGTCCTTGAAGGACTCCTTGAGGTCCTTGCTCTTGGAGTCCTTCCCAAGGGAGAGCCCCTCCTTGGACACGTTCTGAAACTTCTTGTCCTCGTAGTCCATTAGGTACTGCATCAGGTACTCGTCCACCGGATCGGTGAAGAAGATGACCTGCGCGCGGCAATGAGAGAACGGCGAATCAAGAATCTAGGCACCTTCCCGTGGGTGGATCGAAATCAAAGCGATCACGATATCCATACAACTTGCGGATTACCTCGTAGTTCTTCTTATTGAGCTTCTCGAGGAATGGAGACTTCTCCAGTTGTTCCTTGCTGGTTCCGGTGATGTAGAAGATGTCCTTCTGGCCCGACTTCATTCTAGAGATGTACTGGTCCAAGGACGTGAGCTTGCCATCGGACTTGGTGCTGCAGTGACAGAGTCGATATAACGTTATAGGGGACTGGAACCTGATGAAGACGCAGGGATTGGTGCAAATTTATTATTAAAAAAAAAAGTTGGCAGAGGTTTACCTCTCGAATCTGAGGAGTTTTGCAAGACGGTGCCTGTTGGTTGCATCTTCAATGATGCCGAGCTTGATTGATTTGCCAAACTCATTCCAGAACTTGGTGTACTGGCCCTTCTTCTCGTTGCTGTCGTCGCTGTCCTTGTCTGACACTGATTTCCGACCAGCATAAGGAAATGAGCGCGCAAATGGAAGGCATTCGAGATGGAGTTTCAGGAATCCAGTTTCTTGAGCACAGAATACCTGTCTTATCCGTGGATTCATCAGGGTCCTCATCTGCAAGCCGCCGGATCATATCGAGGGCTTTGCGGATGAGCTTCTTCTTAATGGTCTTCAGACTGCTATGCTGCTGAAGCATCTCCCTGGAGACATTCAGAGGTAATGAGTCGGAATCCACAAGACCCTGCACATAACAAATGTCCCGAAAAGTCAGGCTCCTGAGCTATCTGGTCACATTCCGCACGATGCCTTTCAAGAGCTGCATGAAAATTGACTCCCTTTACCCTCAAGAAGCTCAGGTACTTTGGAAGAAGGTCATCGAATTCATCGGAGATGAAGACCCTCCTAACATATAGCTTCAAGTTGGACTTTTGGGTGTTGTAGTAACTTTCGTAAAGATCGTGAGGAGCCTTGGGAGGAACAAACAGAACGGCCCTGAACTCCACATCACCCTCAGCGTTAAAATGACTCCAGCTCAGTGGCTTTTCCTCACTGAAATCCTGAATGAACAAGGAGGAAGTGATTAATTTGGACTGTTTTTAACCAAGATCTGGCATTCTATAATTCTAATCCTGACAGTTGAGAAGCTTCTGATAGTTTACCTTTGCAAGAGAATGGTAGAACTTCGCGTACTCTTCGTCAGTAACTTCCTTTGGACTGCGGAGCCATATGGCCTTCACATCATTCAGAAGTTCCCAATCGTAAGTTGTTTCCTTCACCGTCTTAGTCTTGGGCTTCTTCTCAGAATCTTCATCATCAGTTTCTTCCTTTTCTTCATCTTCAGAAGTCTCAGTCTCGGCAGCTACATGAAATCATAATTAGGAAGAGAAACTCAGAACTGATGCAATGATAAACATCTGCTTCTTGGGGAGATCAAGAAGAAAAACGATTAGTCCAACCAAAAAGAACTGAGACTAGATCAGGGATGTCATACGTGTTTCCTCGTCAGTAGATTCACTTTCATCTGCCGGGACTTCAACATCAATCTCTTTGCTGGCCCAAAGATGAATGGGGAAGTTTATAAACTCGGAGTACCTCTTCACCAGCTCCTGTAGTTATAAGAAACGTAAGTGTAAAGAAACCTTGCGCTAGGATGTTCCTCAGTAGTTGAACTACTTTTTCAGGATTTTGACAGATAATCAACTTCAAACAGCATTATCATACTATTTATAGAATGCCAATCCTTGGGATTTTCAACGTTACGACCGCAGACGAGCTCCTGAATAAGACAATGCATTTTCAAGTGCAGGTTGAAAATGAGAGGTACCAATCAGGCAAACAAGACGCCAGATTCTTGAATATGCGTGTTAAGTTTCAGATGAAAACAGAATTCTTCATGTGGAGATGTGAAATCCAAAGCACATTAGCACGGCGTACTCATCCGTCACTGTAATGTGCAAAAGTAGCTCAGTTTCGTCTAATTGGTGAAGATAACAACTCGGGCAAGTCTATTCATCTTTCCACGTATCCAATAAAAAATCGAAAAAAGAAGTTGGGGGAAATACCAAATACGGTAGCTCTTATTCACACCATCTATGAGAAAGTGGCATTGTCTTTCTTCCTGGTCGAGAATAACTAGATCCTAACATATTGCACCTTTCTCGGAAACTAAAAATTATGGTTTCACGTCAAAGTCAACCGGGTACAGTGCTCGAAAAACATGGAGTTTGAATGTGTACTAAGAGAAGAACTTACGCTTTCATAGAAAAAATCAATAATAACGTGGTCCAAGTAAATGAACAACCGAATGATTTCATCGAACTTTAATGAAAGAATGACGAGAAAAAAATTATAATAAGGACGACTATCCAAATCACGAAAAAAACACAAGCTATCAAGAAATAATGAATCGGCATGGTTGTCCCTCAGCAGTCAAAAATTCAAGCCAAGTCTGGCGTTCAGTGTAGTCAACAATGCATAAGGACTTGGGAGGCCTATTACTGTAAGATAAATTTCTATTGAGTTTTGAGTGTACCAAAGTCAAGAACTTCAAATATATTCAGGGATAGTTGATGTCAATTAGATTCGTATTTCATCAGTTCTGAAGGCACCAAAATTCAGAATGAAGCACTAAAATCAAAATGCTTTCAGCTGAATTTTCATTTTCATTATCCTTGTCCACATTCCACCATAATTTATAAGTACATCTCATTTGATTATCCCCATCAATGTAGTTTCGGATCGTCCTCCTCCAGGGATTGATCGTTTAAGATGGGTTATGTGGTTTTAGGAAGGGTTTGCGCAACAGATTCAAGAAACACTGCACAGATTACAACGAAATTAAAAATATGCACAATGTATGCCTAGAAAAACCTAGACGAATCCTACCACTTAATCTAAAATATCTAATGCAATAACACAACTTTACGAAACAGTAAAAACCATCAGAACGTGTACCTTCAGTTTGTCTTCCTCCAAGTATTCCTTCGCCTCCTCTCTGACATGCAACCTGATCTCTGTTCCCCTTCCCAGTGGCTCATTCCAGGTATCCTCAGAAATAGCGAAAGAACCATCGGCCTTAGACTCCCAGACGTACCTGAAAGATCCAGAATACAGTCCTCAGATACGAGAAACCGACGGATTCCGTGCGCAGGAGAAAGAAAAAACACGTAGACAACTAGTGCCGACTGATACGTACTGTTTGTCATCATTATGTTTGCTGACGACCTCTACGTAGTCAGCAACCAGATACACAGAGTAGAAGCCAACTCCAAATTGGCCAATGAGATTGAGATCACCACCGGATTGCATTTTCTCCACAAATGCTGCACGATAGGACAAAACCATTGGAACCGGAAATATGGTCTTCAATAATGAGACATTGCACTGACATTGCGACGCCTTGCTTCATTACCTGAGGTACCAGATTTAGCGATAGTTCCCAAGTTCTTAATCAGATCCTCCTTTGTCATCCCGATACCACGGTCCCGGATTGAGAGAATCTTCTTCTCTTTGTCCAGCTTGATCTATATTACGTATTAGAGTTAAAAAATCTGGGATTCTTGAACGACAGAGAGAAACATCTCTTCTCACACTCAAAACATCATGTCGCCGCTCACCTGGATCTCGAGCTTCGTGTTGTCACCCTCTCCCAGTATCTCTTTGTCAGTGAGAGATAAGAATCTGATCTTATCCAATGCCTGATAGGAGAATGACGATAAACAAAAAAAAAAGGAGAAACATATTATTTACAGAGCTAGCAAAGGGATGTGAAGAGGAGAGAAGATCTGCTCACATCAGAGGCGTTAGATATGAGCTCTCTAAGGAAGATGTCCTTGTTGCTGTAGAGGGAGTTGATAATTATGTCCATCAGCCGTGAGACCTCAGCTTGGAACTCGAACTTCTCAGCGTCACCGCGAATCGTCCTCCTCGACATTGACTCGGCTTCCCTGCCAACAGGGAATAGACACAAATTGAAAGCCGTTACAGATCAGGGCAGATCAATGAAAAAACTGTACGGCCCCGTTCAACCAGATGTCCAAACAGTACGGGAAGGTGAGAGCGGAGAGAAACTCCAGATCACCTCTTGACGACATCGGCATCGGTAGATAATCCACCGGGAACTGCTCCGATCTTCTCCTCAACCTTTGGCGGATCGACCAGCTCGTCCGATCCGCTGCTGTCCTCGGCGTTGGCCTGTAATTTACGACCTGTGGCGTCCCGAAAACAGTTACACACGGCAATGAAAAAAGAAAGACGACAATCTGAGAAACAAAAAATTGAAACGGGAGGGGCAGTCATGGGAACGCGAAAGCCAACTCGAACCGAAGAAGATAGCAAAAGAAAGGTAATGGCGAGATAAAGATAGAGACCGCATACCTTGATCTGGGATGGTCGAGAGGACGAGTAAGAGAACAAGAGCGGAAGGGATCGCCCACTTCCTCATCTCTGCCTCTGTTCCGCGGTTCTCTGTCTTCCTTTTCCTGCTCTTGCTTCCCCACTCCTCGGTGTTCCAGAGGGTTTAAATACGCGGTGGTTTCAGGCAGACGGGGCGGACCAGCCGCTGCGAGGGTTTTGGTCTGCGTGGACAATCGGACGGACGGCAATAGGTCTTAAAACACGTGGCATATTTTTATAGGTTAGGATCTCTTCCGTGACGTGGAGAAGGCCATCTTCGGCACCGTCTTGCCTTCCCTGGGCCCGGTCAAAGCCGCTGCGAACTCAGTGATCCGCTCACTCGAAGTGAGATGCGCGCTTCATGGCCGTCTGATTCGACGTGTTCCACATCGCGTAGTTCCACGTTTATCCGCAACGTGGCGCGTACCCATTGGATAATTCCTAGGAAGAGACGTGGAGAGACGCCAAGTATGCCGAAAGTTCTGGAAACTACCATTCCTCGAAGCCCACGACGGCCACAGCAGAGAATTTCCACGTGTCACGAGTAATAATAGGAACAATTTATTGAGAATTAGTGATCCAAATTAAGACACGATTGTCGGATTTTATTTGTCATTACCGCCCTGAGGGGCATAAAAAATATAGGCCGCAATATATCCTATTTTAAGTAATAAAACTAATCAAAAAAATATTTTCTCCCGATAAATATCGTCAATTTTCACGTGCATTAACACAGTCGAACTGTTGTCGTCAACATTATCCAAGGCTTTTAGCCTAAATTCTCACGAATTTGCCGACTTAAAATATATATGCCATGTATTAACTGACGTGGCAGCGGCATGGCAAAGTGAGCTGCCACGTATTAATCGCCTGGCGTCATGACCGTGAAACGGTCATTTAGTCGCCTAATCGTCTCTCGCCATCGGAATCTTGTCCCATTGGGGCGAAGCACCGTGTAGTCTCTGGGGAGTAAATTAGAAGCAAAATGTACAAAATGACTTGAAAGTTCACTGACCATTCGAAAAGATTCCGGGGGCCAGAAACTATATAAAACTCGTCATCATCTCCGTCAGAAAATGTCTCCACCACCGCCCCCCCCCCCCTCCCAAGCCCAAGTCCACCATCGCGTCAGCGCCGTGAAGGAAGAGGGGACGGCGTGCCGTGTCCGGTGAAGCCCACGGAGCACCGAAGGAAGAGGCATTCGACGGAGAGGAAATCCTCACGGAAGAATCTCGCCGAGCCAGCCCCGCAAGTAAAGCCGCCGGAGCGGGATTCCGTATCTCGCCGGCGCCGGGAGCCGCGGGGATTCGCCTGTTCCTTACGCAGGACGACGCGCTGACCGCCGTTCCTCACCTCGGGAGGAGAAGATGGAGAATGGTCAACCGCGACCAGCGGTGGCAAGGGGGCCCTCCGCGCAGGACCGGCATGTGCCCCCTCGCTTTCTCGCTAGTGACACCGCCGACGGCCGTCGCTGTCGACCACGCCGGTTGCGCACTCGACGGTGGCCGGCGCTGTGGCGTAGGGCTCGTGGTAATCGCCCCCGACGACCCGGTGGATAGCGATTTTCGGTGACACGACTCCTCAAGCGTGCCGGGGATACGGAAGGACAGCCGTCTGATCGATTATGCTCCACGTCACCGTAGTGTCGCCGACGTTCCGCTTCCCTTCAGCATATCCGGCCTTGGCCCCGCCTTCGTCGCTGGTGAGTCGTTGTATCGGAATATGCTTTCCTCTGCTCCTCTGCTCCGCTGATCCACCCTTGACGATCATCTTCTTCAGCCTCTTTCAATCTCTCCAGTTACTCTGCGTTCATCTACCCGATCTCTGGCGGCGCTTGAAGCTGTAGGTAAGCGGCGGAGTGATGGAGCTGCTTCTGGAGCTCCTTTTGACCGTATTGTCCTCTCTCCTCATTGCCTTCTTCTTTAGCAAGATCGTATCCGTTTCGTCCTCCAACAGTAAGGATCCGGACGCCCACCTTCATCCGGAAGGTCTCCAGTCGTTGCCCGGGCGATCATCGACGAGCGCTGCGACGCACGGGATAGAAGGGGACGCCGAAGTGAACCGTGAATGGTTCGAAGGCTTGGACGAGGCTCGGGAAAGGGCGGATACCTGCAGGGATGAATGCATTGGGACGAGGTTCGAAGAGAGTATCCATCTCGAGGATCAGTATGTGAAGGAAGTAGTTGGGGGGTCCCAGGAGGTGAGAGCTGAGGACTTGGACGTCAAGAAGGTTGATATCCAAGGAAACCCTGATGCTGCTGTGACAGAGATAGAAGAGAATTTGGGAACGGAAACGTCGGGGGATGGAATTGAAAATATTGCCAGATGTATGACTGTGGAAGAAGAGCCATTGGATGAAGATCGGAAAATAAACTTCTCTCTTTCACCGGATGAAGAAGAGGCATTCCAAGTGCCAGATATACGCGAAGCTGGCACGGAATCCGTGATTGACGGGGCAAGGGATGCCCTGCTCGGAACTGTTGATGTAAAGGTCGCAAAAACTGATATAGGATCGATGTTCAACGAGGACGACGACTGGGAGGGAATCGAGAAGAGTGATGTCGAGAAGCTCTTCGGTGAAGCGGCAGAATTTGTCGGCAGCACCGAGGGAAATGAAGCGTTGTCAGAGTTGAGTAATGATCTGCAAATGCAGCTATTCGGTCTCCGCAAGATCGCGACGGAGGGCCCTTGCTACGAGTCTCAGCCCTTGGCTCTGAAAGCTTCGGCTCGTGCTAAATGGTACAACTGACGTTATTGTTTCTGCTTTCCATGTTTTAGGAAGCATATCCTTTAATTTATCATCCTTTTATGTGTTTCGTGCTTATGTTGAATTTCTTTACTTCATCCGATTCTTGGGTACTATACAAATTAAAAACTGACGACGTGTGCAGGAAAGTAGCAATCCACTGCAGAACTCGGTTCCCTGACATACTCAGGGAAACATAAATTTGGTGGATGCTGATCCACTTAAAAAAGAAGAAGGTGCAAGATTATTCATAAAGAACTTGTCAGAATCATTTCGCCATTCTACCCTTCCTAAAATTTAAATTGCTCGAGCAGACGCCGAAAGGCAGAGTCTCAGAAAAATAAATAAACATCTATATATATGAAAAAGAATAGGAGACTTGTATACTTTTTATTGCATTCAAATAGTGCTTTTTAACTCTCTCTCCGAATTTTCTTTGAAGATCTAATATTCACTAAAAGCAGGGCATTGATTAGGAATGAAAGAAAGTGAAATCAGATAACCCCCCTACTGTTTGCCTGCCTGCACCAAGTCTTTCTGATTCTATCATACCTGAAATTATGCCTTTCTTTGAGACGCATACTTCTTCGAAAGTTTGCTAAAGTGGGGTAGAAGGCTCTGCTTGTGCTTACTTTTGTCAAGATTACTTCCTACGTGGGGGAATGGTGCAATCTAGGTTAACTGACTTGGGTGCATTAAAAATTCATTTGAAGAAATCATTCCAATTCAAATTGTATGGAGGTGTCTGGCTGGATGCCAGCACAGCTGAAAACATATGCTGAACTAGGCATCAAGGTGCAGATTAATTGCTAGTCATAATAACAGGGTAAAGAGTTGCTATGTATGAGTGATGGAGGACACGTTACGTTGTGCAAGGCATGCTTGGCAAAGGCTGGGGAGGATGAACCCAGAGGAGGCTATGGAGAAGTATGTCGCTCTTCTTTCAGATAATATGCCCAGGTGGACGCCACAAAAGCACAAAGTACGATTCCTGCTTCGTGGGATGGATCCATTTCTTTGCGTTAATTACCTCCTCATAAAAACCTTTTAGCTGTCGTCTAACATTCGTCAATTGGTAATTGTTCTTGTTTCAGACTGAAGGTGATCATTTGGAAGGAGAGGGCTCTATAAGTGAAGGGATAACCGATTATGGGGTTGGCTTTTCAAGCTCACAACTTCAGGATCAAATAAATGAAAGGTATCATTTTAAAGCTTTCATCTGCACCCATCGGACGCCATAGTCTACATTTTTCTGTTTTCTCTTAACCATTGGTCAAGCATTCTGCAGGGAACCAGAAACCCATTCTTACAGTGAAGAATGTGATGTGGATGGTATTTCTGAAGGCAATGGACAAGGTAAGACCAAGAAACATCTTGTTACTTTCTTAGAGTATTGATCCTATTTTTTATTCAGCTGTCTTTTTAGGACCGAGATGTAATATTCCAAATTTATTTATTGACTAGGACATATCTAATCCCATTTCAATTGATCTCTGGCTTATGGAATTTTCTGCTGTAAATTCTCCGTATAAATTAAGGGCACACTATCTTAGAACATCCTCTAGAAAACTCTGCATAAGACTTCATTGAAAAGAGTCCTTTAACAGAACTCTGTTCCGATCCAGACGTTTTGGGACTCGAAGGAGGAAGAAACCACCCGTTGTGTCGGTCGAAACATACCTCCTTGCATCTCACGAAACTGCTGGTATCATGATCGTGATTCATTATTGTCAAATATCTGTACTAAAACCATCCCTATTGGATTTCTGGGTGATGATTACTCCAGCCCAGGATTTTGGTCAATGATATTCATGCTCACATTGAGTTTAAATAATCGATGCAAAACGTAAATATTATTATAAAAACAGAAGAAAAAACAACGACACTCCTAAGTCAAATATCAAATGTTGAGCATTTGACTCCTATTTTTCAGGCCGGTTCATATCAAATATCAGATAGTGGCTCAGAGAGAACTATAGCACATATATGCATATCTTCTAGTCTATTCGGGGGTATATCTACCCGACATGAATCGTTAAATCATCAAAATACACTGAGGACACCATATACAGAATTCTTCTTCTTCTTCTTCTTCTTCTTCTTCTTCTTCTTTTTTTTTTTTTAATTTTTAGGGGGGGAGGAGGGAAAGCAGAAAAAGAAGAGGTAAACATCTTACTCTAAGCAAAAATGTTACTTAGTAGATCCATATTGCCTTCTCTCTCATCTTTAATCCTCCTTTGGTCCCCTTCTATCTCTCTAGCCAACTGCTGGCTCCATCTCAAAAGCATCTGACTGATTCACCGTACCCAATCTACCCGTGTCTTGCAGGTTATCATGCATGAGCTTCATTGATCTGATATTTTCTGTACATGGCTCGTGGTGGCCGACTCCCGCATCCCAATTATCTAAATGCCCAACAGACTGGCTCCTCATGTGGATCTACGTCTGTAGTTGATGCCGTCATCTCATGCTGAGGGCGATTACCACCATTCTACTCCCACTGCTCCAGCTTTAGAGAAAGGCAAGCTGCCGCTGCTCCCTCCTCGTGCCTATATCTGGCCAGAAGGATTGTCGTTGGGTACAACTTCACATCCTCCCGAGATGTTTCTTCGTGGAGAGTAATGATTCCGTTCTTGATCGAAGCTCTATTTTCTGGTAATGTTAGAGAGAAATGGGAAATATGTGAACTTAGTCAACGAGGGGGGTAGGATATTCCCTGTATGGTATCTTCTTGCCTTCCATTTCCCTCTTTTTTACTTAATTTGGGTCCACGGGAGAAGGGCGTGAAGGATCGGTGACTTGAAGGAGTTGGGCTTCTCGCATTCTCAACGAGTGTTTCTGGGCTCGAGTATCCCGCCAGATTAGTCAACGAATTTGGGCTCCCGCCTCCATTTCAGCCTTTCGCATTAAGTCAACTACAGGGTGTGGATGTGAATACACTTGGTGGGTTGGTTTCTCGCATAGTCCACGAGTGTCTTTGGACTCAAATACCAAGGCAGATTAGTCAACGAATTTGGGCTCCCGCCTCCATTTCAGCCATTCACATTAAGTCAACTACACGGGTTTGGGAGTGACTCTTTTTTCATTGACTATGATTTGTTTTATTATCGATAGATCAGAGCAGCTATCATTGGACCGAAAATATTCAGAACGAGTGTGCTTAGGGTGGGTATTAATCTATAATTTGACAGGTATTAATGACGCGACCATAGAAAGGGTTTCAGGGTTTAAGGATCCTCCCCGGGCCCGGGCTTCGGACCGGGCCCAAATATATGTTTCCTGGGCCCAGACCCGGAGGACAAACGGGGAGCACGAGCGTTCCCGAACTGGACTGGCCGGCCCGTGTCGATTCGGGTTTTCCGGGCCCATCGACGCCCTTATTGCGCCCCGCTACGTCACATAGGTCGGGTTCTGATAAAAACCCCGCGACGCCCCCCTGGTTCCCGCGAGGGCTCTCGACGCTCACGACGGCTCTCCCGCTCCGGTCTTCAGGCGGCCACGCCGTTCACAAGGTCCTCCGAACAGCGACCTCGGCTGCGGCTGCGCGCGCAGGGATCTTCTGTGCTGCTCCTGCAACTGCTCCATTGGCTTTCCGCAGGGATGCCTCGGACGCAGGTCAACAAGGCTCATAAGAGCCGCTTTACTTCTAAGTCTACCCGGCACGCCCACAAGACATCGAAAATCGGTAGGCTCTTCCGCATATATTTGTGCCTGTCTTTTCATCTTTCATTTAATCAACGTGCATTTGTTCATTTCCTCTTTTATGTTTCTACATTTGATTCCTTTTCTTCTGAGTCGCAGATAAGGGCCGGATTACAAAGCCTCAGAGAAATCTTGTGAAGGGTACTCGTGCAGCTCGCCTCCAGCACAGCAAACAGGTGGGTTTCACGAGAATTTAAACGTTATGGAATTGCTAATCACGTGGTGTGCTACCGGCAACGTTATTGGGTTGCTGATTTTTTCTGCCTCCTGTTAATTTAACTGATTGTTATACGAAGTTCGAACCTTTCTTTTTTTTATTCAGCTGGTGGCATTTATTTTTTTCAACTAGGGTAGTTATTTTCGTCGTTCCGGTGTTTCTTGAAATGCTCTCACCATAGTACATCGAAAATAGTTTTCTTTGTTACAGTGAACATTCTTTTGTATGCTAATAGAGTCTCTCTATTATGTGCTGCGCACTTTTTAGGGAACGCCCTTTGTCATGAATGCCATGGACATGCATACGGGATTTCTCAAAACACATATTGAACCAACTAAGCTTTTTTAATGAATGATCATGGAGGGACAAAGGCGTTGGTTACTGAAGGATGATACGCAGGTCTTGCGGATGAATTTGCATGTTATAAAGAGGAAAAGGGAGTAACTAGGGCATCGACTAGGCAAGTAGAATGCTTTTTTTTTTGGGGGTGGGGGTGGGGGTGGTGGGGTTGTATAAAGTTTCTTTGTGATTCCCTGCTTGAGTAGACAAAGTTTCTGGGTGAAGCTGACCATTATCTCGCATCTCTTAGCTTCCTTTCAATGAAAGTTACGGTTGAGTTGAAGAGAGGGAAAGGAATTCTTTAGTTTACAATTGTCCTAGCATCACTAGGCATTTGCTTGTTGGCGAAGAATCATCCCTCTGTCCTTAATCGATGGAAGAGTCTCTGCTTCAATCAAAATATAGAAAAGCCTGGCATATGTGGATGATCCTACACTAGTAATTTGGTAAAGCTTATGTTTTACAACTTGGTACGAAATTTTTGTTTAAATATGCATCTGACTTGTATATTGAATATTACGTCCAAACATCAGAGCACATTGTTATTCGTCATGATATATTTTCAATAATGGGAATGCCTTGTTTCATGTATATTTTACGAGGAACCAATGCATGTTTAGGTTTTCTTACGAAGCTTAGTTTTTGAAATTGAAAATTACACTGTATAAATAAAGTTGAAAGAATTAGAATCCCATTTATTCACTTGTGAATGGAGGTTCTTAAACAGAATGCGTTTTGAACTAGAATTATGCTATTTATGGTATTTTTATGTTTTAGCTGCTTGAATTTCTTATCACCCATCACTTACATGGCCTGTTGTGTAATGCATAAAATAATCGTTATGATAGGATTACTGTGTCTTTGTTGCATCATTGATCTAAATGTGTTCCAGATGGATTCACTTCATTCTTTTATCAAAAGACTTTTTTTCTCGGTGGTTATGTTTTAATGTCTTTTTTAGGGATATTTTACTATTTTCAACTCATTTATGTTTTGTAGATTCGTGATGAGAAACGGGCTTCACTGTTAAAAGAGAAGAGGGTTGCAAGTGGATCATCTTGTCCTCCTCGTGTGATTGTGAGTGATTGTCTTTTTATCATTATACGCAGTTCAGTAGACATGTTCAAGTTTTTATCACATTAAGAGACATTTAAGCATCTTGACGATTGATAAACCCCAAAGGATGAATGTGGTGAAATTCTGGCCAATATATTCTTGTTATAGACCTCAAGAATTCATATACGTGTGATATATTTTCGTCAAGGCAGGGCAGTAAGTTGAAGCATGTTTTCAAAGTTTTAAAGTTGATTTAAATACTAAAATACATACATTTTAAAAATAAATCAAGACATCAAAATGAAATAAAGATATTAACATGTCTTCATTAATGACACCAATAAATAATTATTCATTAATACCATAAATTGCTTTAATTAGTGATATCAATGTTATTCAGTCCAAGCCATTGAGATTGGAATCCCAATTTTTTTCTTTTACTGTATGCAATACCATATTTATATTTAACATTTGCATGTTCATGATTTCCTTAACTGACTCTGTACATTCTCTGTTTTAATCTTCCTCAGAAAAACACTGATGAGCTTTCCCGTTTGCGTTTTCCTCCTTGCCATCTTAAATGATTTTCCGAATCTCTAGCAATTTATACTTCTGTTGTTCTTCTTGCGTTGTGTAAGGTTTTTTTGTGTTTGAATCTGCTCAATTTACGAAAATGAAACTTTTGTTCAGCAGTTAGAGACTCGCTTTTTCTTTCTGGCCACCAGTATTCTATATCCTTTAGTGCCGTCGGGTTTCGTTTTTTGTCTACCATGATGTGACATATTTTATTATGCCCTATTTTCCTGAGCAAGACAGCCTGAAGTGGTAGTTTGATTGATGAATTGGATAGAGTATGTTCTACATAAACTTTGCTTTTTCACGCTTGCTATTTTTTTGATTGGTTGATTTTTTTTCTTCTAAATTTACACGTCTACAGGTTCTTTTTGGCCTTTCCAGCAGTGTGGACCTAAGTTTGCTCGCAAGAGATCTTTTGACATTGAGTGGAGCAGATAATACAAAAGTTGCTGGAAATACTATTGCTTTCCCTACCTTCAGACTTAGAACTTCAGTATGTTATTTCTTTAACGCATAGTTGAAATAATCCTCATATTTTGGTTGCCTGTGGAATGTCAGTATTTATCAGATATTATATTGACTGCAGTTTGTTGAGATTTCTTCTGACGATTTTGCTAAAATGCATGCCAATTGTAAAGTTGTCTGCTCTAGAGACACGGCAGAGATAGCCACCTATGAACGTAATAATGGGAAGTCAGTGACTGCATTTCTGATCAATCCTGAGGCCTAATCTCGTCAGATTTGAGCCTGTATTGTACATTGTATGTGATCAGCACGTATTTTCATCAGCAGAAGATATAATTGCTGACATAAATAAACAGAGAAGCAAGAATAGGATGAAAAGTTCTTCTTGAGTGTCTTACTTTTTTTTTAGTTTGTTGGACTAGTGCTTCATCTTCACATAATCAAGGATTGTTTCGTGGATTAAAAATTTGTCTAACAGATGGGAAATTTCATCGCAATCCATTCTTACTCTCAGACAATCCTGTTCCACTCTCAGGAGCTATAAATTTGTGTCCTCAAAAAGCATACAAGATGGCCTAAGCCTAAAGGGCAATCCAGTAAGTCAATGCAGTCAAGCCAGTAAGTAGGGAGGTCCAGCTTATCAGTCTAGCGAGTCAAGTCGCTTGCGCGAAGAAAGTGGTTTTTCCTCAATGGATAGGCTCAGTTCAGCTCAGGAAGAAGACGAAGACCTCGCTGTCTTATCCCGGGCCTTAATAACCCGTAATATTTGGTTGCCTCGATGTTTTGTGTGGAGTTCCCTGATATTGTTGGTCTGAATTTTTCGGTTGGTTGATGCTGTAGTTTTGACGCTGCGTCATATTGTCCATGTTTCCTGTTGCAGAGTACACGTATCTTTGACTGTAGCATGAGCTGGGAGGGAAACAATAGTTTTGGTCTCTTTTGACACTCATAAGTCCTCTTTTCGTTTGTTTTTCTTCTTTTTTTCCTCTTTTGCAGTTTCTCTTGTGGTTTCCCCCTCCTTTTCATTTTATTACTTTTTCCTCCGTTTACTTGCTTTTATTCTTATATTTTCTTCTTTCTTTGCTCGTTGCTGTGTCAGCTAGTTTTTTGGGTTTGGCTGTGTCAGATGTATCTTGATGCACTGACTCAATGCAGTATTGTTGACATGTTATGCTTACTGACAGCGTTTTTGTTCAGTTTTTTCTGGCATATCGAACAACATATTCCCTATACTGTTTCTGCCGGTCGTCACTGTGGGGGAGGGTTAGCTTTTTTTCTAATGCTATCACCAGTTAATGATCTTACCGTTTTCTGGTTGTAATAAACGAAGAAAACCTTGATCGGTGTTCAGTTGTAGTATGTAAAAAGAGGTAAGGGTTCAGTGATTGGCAGGAATTATCTGGTCGGGTCTTGCCTTTCCTGTTTCCAATTTAGACATATCTTACTTTGTCATGTTCTGCTCAGCTTTCAGTTTCTAATAAATAAGATCGTTGTAACACTCATTGAAACTCAGGAAAAATTTATAATGTAGCTCCCATAGCAATAGGACTAGAAACGTACCCAAATGTAATTTCTTATTTTATCAAGGTACTCTATACTAGGCCATTCAGTGTGTGAAAATGCCTTTCTCGCACGTGTATGGAGACAAATCCTGATACGAAGCATCTTCCTGATGATTTGTGTTTTCGTTCTATAATTCAATATATTTCCTGAAAGGTCAATAATTATTCAAATTGGTTCTGAAGGTTTTGCAGGCTCGTCATGGGGATCTATTATCATGTATAGAAATGGCGAAGGTATTTGATTTGTCTTTCAACTATTGCTCTCCTTTTCCTTGTTAGGAGATAGAGATATTTTTGTCAAGTGACCGTTTCTCTTCCATGGCAGGTTGCTGATCTTATTGCGTTTGTTGTTTCCGCAAGTTCGCTATGCAATGAAGATGGTCCCATTGATTCGTTTGGAAGTCAATGTCTTTCTGTTCTGAGGGCAATGGGATTACCAAGTACTACTGTCATGATACGGGTCCGTATTTGGTATTGCACTGTGAATTCTTTCATGTATGGATGCTGATTGTTTTGCTTCTCAGGATCTTCCTGACGACGTGAAGAAGAGACATGATGTGAAGAAAATATGCAGTTCTATCATATCTCCTGAATTGCCCGAGGATTGTAAATATTTTCTTGCTGATACACAGGAAGAATTACGGAAGGTAATCTAGATTGTGATGTTGCTTCAAGTAGTCGTTTCCACTTAACGTGGTATAATTTTCCTGTCGCAAAATGCAAGCGAAAGATCAGCTAGTTCACTGATTCATATTTTCCTTTCCTTTAACTTTTTGATTTTCATTTGCAGTTCATGTGGCTTTTTAAAGAACAGCATCTCTCATTTCCTCATTGGCGTGCTCAACGACCATATCTTATTTCCCATGAGGTAATGCATGCGAATATCCCTCATGATAGGATGCTTAATCGTTTTCACTCCACTCTGCTGAATTCTGATTTGAAAGTATGATTGCCATTGAGAGTTTCTACTACTTTTATCTAGATTCCATGTGGTTTTCTACGTCGGGAGAAACAAAGATGTGTATTGTCTATGATTCGGTGCTCCATCAGCCATGTGAATGCAATCAATTGGTTTCCATTTTTTGGGATACATTTGGCTGCATAAGAACATTGCAGTGGTGAGTAGATGGCAGAAAGTAAATGGGCATATATCATGATACTACTAGTTGACACGTGTTGATGTTGCTAAGGTTTACAGGACTGGTTATTTTAGGATGGAAAACCTGAACTCGATTAGAGCTAAATGGTGGTGGGGGTTCGATCCTACCACCTTGGAGCTGATTGATTCTGTTTGGTAAACTGGAACAGATGGTATCGTCACATAGTTGTTCCCTATTATGCTGAATGAATTCAGGGGAAGGATTAGACTGCAGAGAAAGTTACAGAGAAAGTTGCCCGATCTTCTCTACTCCAAGAGGGGAAAAAAAGGAAGTTGACATTTTCTGAAGGGATCTTAAATATAGATAAGTTTTTTTTAGCATTGCAAAGTCTCTTTTGATTTATTTGGTCATCTTGGAGCCAACTAATCCTCAAGTATCTTGGTAATATCATTCATATATTTATAACTTCTGGGCACGTTTCTCTTTTTCCTTGGTTTATCTTTGGCTCATTGAATTTTTTAGTTTTCGAAGGTTTCTGGACTTTTCAAATTGTTTGAAAATTTTCGAGTATAATTTTAAAACCTAGTTAGGTAGGGTAAGATGGGATTGCGTTGTGTAATATTCTATAAGTTGGCATAATCCAATTTCATTTTGGGGTCCAGTTTTTTGTGCAACTTTGTATCTTGAGCTTGTCAAGGTAGTTGTTGTAGGCATACTTTTCAAGCATTTTCTTTCTCTTATTATTAACTGATGACAGATTCAATTACTTTTTTTGGAACACTTTTGATGTTATTGTTCAAGTGAACGAATCTAATTTTATTTATGATAAAGAGGAATAATAGATTGTTCTCACATGGGTTTACGATTAAAAATGTTTGAAATTTATTTGGCCCGACTGCTGGCATATCATTCTGAAAATATATTTAGCGTTGTAATTCAGTTTTTATGTTGTCTTCATCTCAAATACGCCAATGGTTGCGAATGCCTTTCAGATTGATGTGGAACCTGATGTTGATGATCCTGGCAAATGTTCTTTAATTCTATCTGGTTATGTACGCACTCACAGTTATTCTGTGAATCAGTTGGTACGTTTTTTCGCATTGTGTTCATTTGATTATTTGTAAACTTTTATGTGTCTAACTTTTCTTCAGAATAGGTTCATGTTTCAGGTGCAGGAGACTTTCAGCTTGGCAAAATAGAGGTTCTCAAAGATCCATTTCCTTTAAGTGAAAGGAGTAACTATGATTCAATGGATTCAGATGATACAAACTATAGAAAGGTTGTTCTATGCGGCCGAGGATTTTCGTAATCTTTTTTAACGTTCTCTCTTCATGTTCACTTTTTTGTGTGTCTTGTGTTGTCTTTTGCATTGATCCTACTCGTAAAACTTTGGCAATGTAATCTTTGACTTCTGTAGGGGGCCTTCTCACCTTTTCTATGATGCAAAAATCTGCAGGTTATTTGTGCGCTACTTCCTGATCCAATGAAGGCAGAGGCTTTGCTAGTTGAAAATGTGCCTGATCCTCTTGCCGGTGAACAGGTAAGCATTTGAGGATACTCGTTCCCTTGGGCTAAGTCTTCATTCTTTCATTTGCCATTATTTTATGGATTTAATATCTTATATTTGTGTACGGCATTTGACTGCTGCTATGTGCTTGCACTTCTGTTTTTGATGGATTGATGTAGCAAATATTGTCTTCTATGGAAGAGGGAAGATAGATAAGGCAGGGAAATGGCTAGAAGTCAAAGCGTTCAATTTTTTACTTAGCAAGAAAAAGAGAACGAGGCTTCTTCTTTACATAGTGAGAATCAGCTTTCACAGGTTGAATAACATGAAAGATGTCTTTCAAAAAACCATCAGAGCATGGAAATCTGTTGCTTGACACAGAATGACTGTCATTTTCTTTTGACAGACGGATTCAACGAGGTAGATGAGTTGTTGGGATAACTGTTTGTTCGGATAACATGAAAAAATGTTCATCTACAGTTGTATATCTTCTCGGGTGAATTTGTGGCTTGCATAGAATACCCCAAATGTTTAATGTTGTGACTGTGTGATTTATCTATCTGCTTGAGTGAAGCCATTAATTGTAAAGTGTAAATTGCTATTTCTTGTTTGCATGGGGTCGATTTTTTGTATCTATATTTTTCATTACCCTTCTGTTGCATCTTTTTTTATTTAGTCATCGTAGTTGACAATGGAATGTATTTCACTTTGTACCTGACGTGATAGATTTCTTTGATTAGACCTGGCCGACTGAAGCAGAGATGGCTGAAGCAGATGCCAAGAACAAAGAGAGAAAAATTCTGAAGAAGAAGGCTATTCCTCGGGGGACCTCTGACTATCAGGTCTAGTATTCAAGCTTCTGCAAACATTTGCATGGCATGTTTTATGCAAAGATATTATTTGACAACAATGATCTTCAACAGGCTGCGTGGATCACTGAAGACACAGATGAAGATGACGATCATTCAGAAAGCAATGACGATGAAGGTGAAGGAATGGTATTGGATACAGCGGACGATGAATGCTCTGGGAAACAAGGATATGATTATTCCGATCTAGATGAAGAGCCTGCAAGCGGGAAAGATGTTGAAGATGAAACAGAACCAGATATGACAACTGCCGTATGTTCTCTGGCTTTTGATTTTAATAATGCGATTCCCTGATATTGATCTGTCTTGTTTTCGTGGCCAATTTATATGAAATGACGAGATGTCTTATTCCCTTTCAGTTCATGCTAGTTGTGCAATTGTTTATCCATAGAACATACATTATCACGTCATTGTTTTGCTGTGGTTTGCCAGCGTGTTGTGATAATGGGTAGTACTATTTTATGGTGCAGTCACTAAAGGAATATAAAGTGTCATGAAAATTTTGCATATCAATTGCACAGTTAACTAAACTTTGTTCCTTTTTATCCGCAAAAATAATGAAATTATGATGATTTTGAAATCTGACATATTGTTCATAGCATTTCATCATGTTTTTTTGTTTTTTATTTTTATCTTGTTCGGCTATTTTTTGTATCATCATGCTGGCCATGTTCCCATCCTGGTAGCATATTCCTTCGGTAATTCCCATGTATATTTTTTAGATCTGCTTATTCCGATATCTTTGATGGTTGAGTGTCAGTTGTTTGTTTTGAATGGATTCTCACTGGGTGGAATCTTCTGGTTAAAATAATGCCATCATGTATTAATAATTTTTGAGTTATGCATCAATATCTATTCATATTGCTAAGTTGATTATATGAACTGGAGGAAACCGATCCGGCACAGTATTCACTAGCATGATTTTTCTGTCCTTTTCCATTATTTCTCTATTTATTTGTTTGTTTCTGTATTTCCTGTGCTTGATATCTGTTGACTAGTAATTCATGTACAGGATGACGAGAACTGGACTACGGAACAGATAAAAGCAGAGATGGAAAAAGTCAAAGAAGAGCATGCTGAAGATGAAGGCATGTATTTTCGTGTTTTAGTGTTGATGACTTTGGAATGCTATAGAGATGACCATTCACGTCATACACAGGAGATATTGATAATGTCAGATTTTTAATCTGTCTCTTCAACCAAAATCAAACCCATGCTGAAAGGGGAGAGGCCTTTTTTAATTCTCTTAGCCCATGATTATCTATACTGATTCTTATTGTCATGTGCACAACTTGTCTTTCTTCAAGAATATGCTTGTGAACTAAAAGTTTGCTCGGCAATTTGTGAATACCTCCATGTTGAAAAACATGAGCATATGATCTTTTCATTAGACTTGCTTTCCACACTATGAGCTGACAATGCCTTCATTGTTTCCCTAAGATTTTCTAATCAACCGAACATGTCCCGTTCTGGAATATTTCTGCTTTGTGGAGGCCGGATTTCCTAATTTAGATGTATGAAACTGCTTCGTGTCCAGAATTTAAAATGCCTTTTATTGTAGACCACTCTCATAAATTTGACAAAATTACCACATTATCCACTGCATCTACGCACTTCATGGGCTTGATTGGTTTCCCAAGTCCCATGATATGGTACATATGTCTCATTTTGTTTCAATCATGGCTTTACTGCATGCAATTTTTTAATCGTCTTAGGTCTGATATTCTGTATTGTGCCATGCTTGTTATAATCGTATTAACTATCAGAGGAGTTTGGAGCCTGACGACCACCATTTATGGCAACCCTATTAGTGCTGTAATATAATGCCGATGAAGTTGTTGTAATCCCCTTGCATGCAAAGTGGGTAAAGACGTGCTCTAATTTCAAGGGATAGACGTATATTGCATCTCATATTGTAATCGTTCACAATATGAGATGCAATATATGTGGGCAAAGCTAAATCATCTGCAATTCTCTGGGTCCTTTTGTCTATTCATTTCTTCTCCTTTTCTGTTTTGGTTCCCTTCTTGTCTATAGGAGACTATACGTTGATCGTCAAACTTGGTTTGCTTTTGTTGAATCTGTTTGTCTAAATTCTAGCAATGCATCTCATATTGTGAACGATATTTGGGCGAGACTCATTGTTCAGTTGGTGGGATTGTCATTGATGGGCTTGGTTATTGGCAATGATTGCAGGTGTAGTTAAGGTTTTTCCCATCTTCATTTTGCTTGTGGTTGATGCTTTTCCCCAATGCTCGCTTTCTGAAGTTAGACTTGAAGTCAGATCCATGAACGAATACACAAGAAATTTCTGATATTTTGGGTTGATAAAATAAATATCTGCGTAATTTTTTCTCTCGTTTTGTACATGTAGAGAAGAATTAATGTATCAATACAATATATAATAAGCAGTCCACCATAATTTGGCCTGTTTCTTGATCCTTTTCTTCCCATGTTCATCAGAATTTCCAGATGAAGTAGAGACTCCTCTGGACGTCCCTGCCAAAAAACGGTTTGCCAAGTACAGAGGTCTCAAATCTTTCAGAACATCATCATGGGACCCCAAGGTGGATATTTGGACCACTTATATACTGATATTTTCCTTCTTCAAATTTTGGGCCTTTTATATATATTTATTGATGGCAGGAATCATTGCCACAAGAGTACGGCCGAATCTTTGCATTTGATAACTTCAGTAGGACGCAGAAATACGCACTGGCTAAGGTTTTAGAACGAGATCAGGATAGTCTTGGTGAATCTGTACCAGCTGGTTCATACGTGAGGCTTCATATCAAGCAAGTACCGAAAGACATTGTTTCAAAAGTATGCAGCCTGTCTGAGAGATTGCCTGTGGTTGCATCTGGTTTACTGCCACATGAATCCAAGATGTCTGTTCTTCACTTCAGGTCTGTCTATATCCTAAGTGCATTCTTCACTTCTCATTCTTTTTTATTCATTATTTCTGTCATCTGTGTTTTCGACATATTGTGATGACAACCTTAAAGATTTTCTTTTCTAGTTGTTTTAGAAATCCTTGGCTTCTTGATCGAATAGCAGTTGCCCTGCCTCTCATGCCAGATTGTTACCATCATAGAATGAAAAGTTCATGTTTCTCATTCTTGCTGTATCGAATTACAGCTTGAAGTTTCTTGACCTCTCATTTATGCACATTTAGAGTCACAAGGCATACCCGATGTGGGATTTCGTTCGGATTCAGGTTCCATGATTCTGGTTGATTTAGATGGGGAGCAGGGGGTTGTCCAGATACATAGGTGAAAGGGAACACAAGTGTAATGTTGTATACTCTCAGGGATATATTAGCACAGACTAGGCATGGGGCATGCACTAATGGTCATTTGAGTGACGATCGCAGGAGGGAATGGAGTTAGGCGCAAAAAGTTCTCCTTTGGATTGGTTGCCCTATTGACGGCTTCACATCAGTCCGTGGATTTTTAAAAAGCCAAGTCTGTTGTTATTGGTTTCATTTCCATTTACAAAACTTATCTAACTAGCATTCTTTGGTGTTGCCATCTCATGTGATCTTTGTTTTGCCTACGGACTTATCACAACTTTCTGCATTAGTTTCTCTTTTATCAACGAAAAAGCCTATTCTTGTAGATGTTTGCAGATTGTTTGAGTGAAGTTTGGTGGACTGTGGTTTACAGATCACTTTAACCCTCATCCAGGGGTTGAGTTTGAATGGGGGGGATGTAAAACCGAGGTCTTCCTAATGGAATTTACTTGCACCTTTACCAGCAAACAAAGAAAGATCTCTTAAGAGTTTCACTCATCACATGTATTAGAAACTCGAAATTCTGGAATAATTCACCTGTCCGTTGTTGGTGACTTATGTGACGTAGATTCTCTCAACTGGTCGTGGTCTAGATCATGATAAAACTTAGCTGAACATATTGAAGAAAACGATATTGGATTGGTCAGTTTGTGCGTCTTAAATATTTCACGGTTTCAGCTTTAAGCGATCATAAAATCTAGTTTTCTATCTGTAAACAATCACGCATCGATTCTCGCTACTTTTCATTGTAAATCTGGAAGCTATGGTTCAAATGGTAGGAGATGATGGACTTATGTCCCCTCTCTTTTACCCTGTCTTTGTATCCTCCTTTTAGATTCTTCCATTTTTTTTTAATGTTTGTTATTCATGGAACTGGCATATGCATAACTAGATGTACGCCACACTTTTAGCGTGAAAGGATGACTGTATTGTTCCTCTGCCTATACTTGCCTTCTACGTTTTGTTATTTTCGTTGAATCGGTTGCAGTTGCCTCCTGAATATATATGAGTAGCTATGCACTATCGCTGATTCAACAGTTTATTTAAAGATCTTCAATATCCGTTTCAGCATAAGGAAGAGTGACTCTTACGAAGCCCCGATTAAGTCAAAAGAGTCTCTCATTTTTCACGTTGGGTTTCGCCAATTCCTTGCCAGGTAAAGCGCTAAGAGTGCTTACTCGGGACCTGAAGTTTTGTAATTACTCCTATGAAACGATCATTTTGGCCTTTTTTTTTCTCTTTCTGCAGGCCAATTTTTTCTTCTGATGATATGAATTGCGACAAGCATAAAATGGAGAAATTTTTACATTCAGGACGCTTTTCAATAGCATCAGTTTATGCTCCTATTTGTTTTCCTCCGTTGCCTTTGATCGTTCTAAAGAGTCAGGAAGGAATGGAGCCAGCTGTTGCTGCTTTTGGTTCACTAAGATGTGTGGATCCAGATAGGATTATTCTGAAGAAAATCATATTAAGTGGGTAAGCCATATTTTCTTTGTCATCTGCGATCTAAAGCTGGGATATTTCTTCTTGTGCGTGTCACGTTTGGCTCATACTCGAACTAAATAAAAAAAATGCCATCTATTATGTCTCATGAGTTGAAGATAGTCTCCGTAAGAAAACATAAATATGCTTTCAGGTGTTTGAATAGTTTAAATTTTAATTTTTATTGTCAATAACCTGTCATTGTGTAAACATTCAAACTGAAAATATGTGATTCCAATCGGCACCTTCTTTCTATTATTCTTCAGAATTAGAATTATTATGTTCAATTATTCCTCTTGTTGACTATTCATGCCATCTATCCACTAGATTTGGCTGCGTATACTTGTCTATGTTTTTTCCCATTGATTTCTATTTAAATCATCACTTAATCTGCCCTAAAAACTGTCTAATGGTGCAGATATCCTCAGAGAGTCACGAAATTAAAAGCCTCTGTGCGATTTATGTTTCATAATCCTGATGACGTTAGATGGTTTAAGGTATGTAGAGCTACTTGATCAAGCTTGACAATGGGTCTTAGACTGTTTAAACTAATGACCTCTCCCTGTTCTTGTGTTTAGCCTGTCGAATTGTGGACCAAGTGTGGTCGCCGTGGCCGCATAAAGGAACCCGTTGGCACCCACGGTATGAGGCCTTGTAGAACTCATATCCCTTTCTCTTTTTTCATGAGAAGAATCCCTCCGAAATAGTTTAAGAGATGACTTTAGTTGATATTCATGCCATGCCAACTTTGTTCTTCAATTCGTTGTTCTTCCATGCCCAGTATAGCAACTATTTTCTTGAAAGAAATTCCTCAACTGGCTATGAACCCTACTCATACCATCTGAGTTCTGGGGGACCTTGTGTTCTATATTGAGGATCCAGTCTAGCAACCACGTTGACTCTCATGGTACAGCTTTTGATTACAGCTGCTTGACTTTATTCAGTGTTAGCTCCAGCATTTCAGGAATTGGATGATGATCGGCAGGAGCAGAGACAGAACATCGTTCTAAGATTGTTCAGTGGAACTGCTTACAATATTTTTCTTATTCTTTCTATATATGTTTATATATAAACCCATGTTGTGGTAGATATTATCTGATATTTTATGGCGGAAAAAAAAAGCAAGACCCAACGTGGTGTTCTTCCCTTGACAGGTTCTATGAAGTGCGTATTCAATGGTGTGGTTCAGCAGCATGACACCGTCTGCATGAGTTTGTATAAGCGCGTGTACCCAAAATGGCCTGAAAACCGGTACTTAATCTCGGATCCATCTCACTGAGAAGCTTGGTCCATGACGATGCCTGAAGGTGGACAAGATGAGCTGAGAAGCCGTCTAATGAGTGAGGGGTAGGGTTACTAAATGCCCAATTGTGTGACTGGTTCGCCGCTGCTTCTCTTCTAAGCGTGGGGAAGTTTTTGACAATTTACAAAGGTTGACTTCTTGGATGTAATTCTTTTACTTTCTTTGATTATTTTAATCATATAAGATTTGTGGTAGGAGCCTCAAGGCCATTATCATGCCTCTCTCTCTCTCTCTCTCTCTCTCTCTCTCTCTACTACGTTCCGAACATGAGCATCTTATTCTAGGGTGCCCCAAGTCCTCGGAGGAAGGGGGCCTTCCGCATTAGGGTTCATACTAGGCATGATTCTCAGAGAAAAACCCAATAGGGTTCTTCATGTTCTACGATCCTATTGGAGAATAAGAATGAGAACAGTAGGACTTTTCGCAATTTTGTTTTGTCATAGTCTTAGTTGCTCGGAAATCCCAGCTGACCTCTCCGAGAAATTTGGAATTTTTTTTAAAGGGGGGGATAGTTATGTATAGAAAGGCGCCGTGAAATAAAAACGGATGCAAATTGCGATGAACACGGAGCTTAGCAGCTGGTCTGTGAGTCACCGCCGAAAAACCCTAATAAAAGCCTCCGGGCTTCGCCCTCCTCCCGCTCGCCGTGCCGCGCTTTACGCCGTCGTCGGATTCCCGCGTAGAGTTTTTTTTATGGCATCGACGGCGGTGGTCTCGTCCGACTGGTCTTCCGCTTCAACGACGGCTCGCCTTCTCCCCTTCCGCAGGGTTCAAGCCCGCACCCTCCGTCTCCTCCACCGGCCGGCCTTCTCCCTCCGATGGAGGTCCTCGAGCCCTCTCTCGACCTGCTCCGCCTCCGTGCCCCGTGCCTCTTCGGGTGTGCTACTCAACCGTAGGGAAGTGGCTTTTGACTTCCACTGGATTTCTCTCGCTCTCGCCGTGATTTTCCTGGTTCTCGTGTCCGCAGTGACCGTGAATGCCGATAGTTCGGCGAAGGTGATCGATGGGAAGGCGTGTGCGAAGAAGATTCGGGAGGAAATCGCGGCTGAGATATCCAGGATGAAGGAGGCCATCGGCGTCGTCCCAGGCCTCGCCGTCATCTTGGTCGGCTCCAGGAAAGACTCCCAAACATATGTCCGTAACAAGCAGAAGGCCTGCGAGGGTGTGGGCATCACCTCTCACGAAGTCCGTCTCCCCGAGGATTGCTCGGAGGAGGAAGTCTTAAATCACATTTCGTGCTTCAACGATGATCCCTCAGTCCATGGGATTCTGGTTCAGCTCCCTCTTCCTCGGGTAATATACCGCCCTCTTCTGATCCTCAAGCTATGGCTCAACTTAATGCAATTGATATCTTGCTGAACCTCGAACCTGATCGGCGATTCTACCGATTCATCCGGACACATCCGGATGAATCCTATGGAATCCTCCGAGGTTTGCTCTAAGAAGAAACACAAAATTTGGATTATTCTGTCGTTGACCCAGTAGAAATGATTGAGCGAAGAATCCAGTAGGAAAAGTGGTCGACTGGTGCATAATCTTTTCTGGCGACGCCCATTTCAGATTTGAAAAAAAAATGCGTTTTTCTTTTTTCGATTTCCTCTGCCTGAATTCAGCCTCTCCCATTCCATCGGTTGACCCTAAAAATTTAATCTCTGGTTATTACCCAGATGAGCGGAACCCGTATTGGGATAAGCCGATTCAAGTTTTTTCATTCCGAAATTACATTCATTAATAAAAACAGCAGGTCTCCATCGATGATCCATGATGCTCCTGTTTTCTTATTGGCTGCATGCCATCGCAGAACGGTGTGGAGAGCACAATCTGAAATCATATATGTGCAAATGATCGCAGGATGAATAATTTTTAGCGCAGTCGATCAGTGGGTAGTAAATTTTAACTATTTTTTAGCAGATTCGATCTTTGAATGATCTTGGATACTAGAACTCTGAGTTTTTGTCCATCAACAGCATATGAATGAGGAGAGGATCCTGAATGCCGTCAGCATCGAGAAGGACATCGATGGGTTTCATCCGCTGAACATCGGCCGGCTTGCCATGCAAGGCAGAGAGCCGCTATTTGTCCCCTGCACCCCGAAAGGATGCATGGAATTGCTGCACCGTCATGGTGTTGAAATCAGTGGGAAGAGAGCCGTCGTTATTGGCCGGAGCAACATTGTCGGAATGCCCGCATCCCTGCTGCTTCAGGTAACTCTCTCTCTCTCTCTCTCTTTCTCTCTATCTCTATCTCAATGGTTCCCGCAGTTGGAGAATCCATAATGGGTATGGGTAACTCTCTCTCTCTCTCTCTCTCTCTCTATGTCTCTCTATATATATCTATATATATGTCTATCTATCTATCTATCTATCTATCTCAATGGTTTCCCGCAGTTGGAGAATCTATAATGGGTATGGGTAATTCTCTCTCTCTTTCTCTCTCTATGGGTAACTCTCTCTCTCTCTTTCTCTCTCTCTCACAGTGGTTTCCCGCAGTAGGAGAATCTGTAATGGGTAACGGGTAATCCTCTTGCAGCGGCAGAATGCGACTATAAGCATTGTACACTCGTACACAAGAAACCCGGAGGAGATCACCCGAGAAGCAGATATCGTAATATCGGCTGTGGGGGTTGCGAATTTGGTCAGAGGCAGCTGGATAAAGCCCGGTGCAGTGGTTATAGATGTCGGAATCAATCCGGTCGATGTGAGTATCTTCTTCCCCATTTCCTTTTCAGGAGAAATCCTCGCTAATGCCCAGACCTTCAATGCTTCATCTTCCGTCTGCTTTAGGATCCTGACAGCCCCCGAGGTTACCGTCTGGTTGGTGACGTTTGTTACGAGGAGGCCAGTCAGGTGGCCTCTGCCATCACTCCGGTTCCTGGCGGCGTCGGCCCCATGACCATAGCCATGCTTCTATCCAACACCCTCGACTCTGCCAAGAGGATACATCGCTTCAAGTGATCCTCGGCTACACAGTTTTCAGACAGTTTGGTTTTGCTGGCTGAGCAAATTTCTTGCCACCCAAGTCATCTTCATCTCTCTCACTCTCTCTCCTCCCCGTCTCTTTCTCTCACTATATGCCCGTGTAGATCTCGGATTCCCGATCAGGGTCGCTGGAAAGAAATCAAATTTATGAGATTTATGCCTCTCGTGGGTGGATCTTGTGACTCAGTTCTCGAATTGCCTCAGGAGTATATTAATTTTAATAATTTTTTTTGCCTAAATCAGAAGTACGGATTAGGGATTCTGATTTTTTTATACATGTTAATATAATAGAACGTCGATTTATAACTCTATGATTTATTATGAACTAATTTTAGCTGTAGGGAACTATTAGATCCCTCCTTCCAGCTGGAGGCTGCGATTTATCTATAAACCAGAAGAAATGGTAGTAAACAAAGCTCCAAGATCGTAAGGTCGGTGGGTTTAGGGAGTTGGGGAGATCGAGGATGAAAAGATATTGGCAAATGCTTGGAAGTACCCGTATTTTCAGTGATTTTCTAAGCATCTTATTAAATACATATAACGCGCCGTAATAAATTCACAGATGTGACGGGTTTGCGAAGACGCCATCTTCTGCCCGCTGTTGGACTGGCCTCCCCGCAGAGAGGCGAGGAAGAGCGGCGCGCGCGAGAGCCATGTCGGGGCGGCGGAGATGAAGATTTGCTGCCTGGGAACCCGGCCCTTCGTCATCCTCTCTCCTGGGGGGGGCTCGCCGCGGCTTCTCCACGTCCTGTGCTGCTTGCTCTCCGTCTCTTCGCTCCTCCGGTCCTCCTCCGCCCTTGTCCATTTCTGGGGCAGCTCCTTCTCCTTCACCTTCATCGACGCCCCCGCCCGATTCGGTAAAGCCCTCTACGTCGATCCTTCGATTCCTCTGTTTCTTCTCCCATTTGGCTTCTGATTCTCCTCGTCTTACTTCCTCCCGACCTTCTCTCTCTTCCCCACCCCCTCAGCCGCCCCCATTGATGGATCTGGGATCTGTGGAACGCTACACGTGGCGGACCCCGTCGACGCCTGCTCCCCCCTGGGGAATGTCACCGCCATGGAAGGGGAGGCGGGGCATGTGAGGATCTCGCTGATCGTCAGGGGCGCGTGCAGCTTTGAGAAGAAAGTGAGGAACGCCCAGGATGCCGGTTACAAGGCTTCCATCGTCTACGACGACCGAGGGAAGAGCAACCTGATTTCCAGCTGAGTATCCTCATCTCTCCGCCCTATCCGTCCGCCCCATTTCCATGTTCTAATCGCTGACTTTTCATGTTGTTTTCCTCTCCAATCATCCGATCCTGCCCTCAACAGGGCAGAAATTCCTCTTTCCCCTCATTTCCCATCCATCATCCGCCTAGGGTTGGGCTGATCTCGACATATTTGGCTGGAGATTCTGATAAATCTCTCTAAAAATGGGTTTTTCTCCGGACAAAAAAGTAGGAAACTAAACATATATGTTCTTAATTTCCTACCCAGATTGCTGAAATCTTCCTCTATTGTGAACACGGAGTACATCTGACTTCTTCGATAGATCTGCATTTCATCTAAGTTCTTAAATGCATTTCATGGAAACCGACTTTCATGTAAAGAATTTCTTCAGATGAGACTCCAATTCACGAGAAACTCGCATCATATTTTACGATAGTAACCATTGGGCTCCAGATGCATGACATAATGACCTGTGTTCTTCAATAAATATTAAATCTTGGCCCGCCATGGCTGCAGTGGTCGGGGACCCAGAGGGCATATCGATACATGCCGTCTTCGTCTCGAGAATGGCTGGAGAGATGCTGAAGACGCTCGCTCACACACAGGGCGGGCAGTGCTGCATAAGCCCACTAACAGAGGAGGCAGCGGGCACCGTGCTGGTCATCTCCTTCGTCTCCCTCGTCGTCATAGTATCGGTTGTGGCGACCTTCATCTTTGCCCGGAACTGCCGGCCTCATCGGCACAGGGCGCACAGCCACCCCCCGAGTATCAGCAGACAGGAGTTGGAGGCCCTCCCCCACTTCACCTTCAAGGCTGCTTCTCTGAATAAGCTCATGTCCGAAACCTGCGCCATCTGCCTGGAGGACTACAGAGATGGGGAAACCTTAAGGGTTCTCCCCTGCCTTCACGGTGCGCGGTCTTCTTTATCAAAGTCAAACCATTGATCTTCCATTACCTGTTTAAGTAAATGGGGTGTGATTTTTTATTTTATTTTTTTCTTGCAGAATTTCATTCAGTCTGCGTTGACTCATGGCTGCTGATGTGGGGAACGTTCTGCCCGGTGTGCAAGCATGAAATGAGCACAGAGAACTGCAATGCTTGATCACCCGGCCGGTCGTTGACCTTTTGGCTAATCTGATCTTAATTTCTCTTAATCTGGGTTAGCCTTTCCTGATTGAGCCTCTGGCTATGGTCTCTTCCCTTCTGTATATACTATGGAGTAGTACTTTATTTTCTGCATCGTCTAGCCTTTGCAAAAGTTCATGCGGTTGACTTGTCGATTTCTGGGCAAGCTGTTTATATTTCCATTAGTGTAAATTTCTTTCTAGGCGTTCCACTGAATGCAGAACAGTAGAAAGTAATATTGTGGAAAACCAGGAGTTGACTTTTTTCTTCTGCGACTCTTGATCGGATCATCCTGGTTATTCAGTACTTCATAAGTTGACGCGAGCATTGTGGAATTGTCAGGTGGTTTAATTAGGTGTTAGAGCAAGCAATACCTGTGAGAATCATTTATTTCCCAGCTTGAGGGTCAACTGGGGAGGAGGGCGCTCAGCTGGGCTTTTTCGCCAAGCGGTACCCGATCCTGATCGCTTTTCATAAAGCCGAGATGAGAGAGGATGAGAGAGAGAGAGAGAGATGTAGAACGGATTGATGGTTCATGAACATGCTATAAATGGAGATTGGTTCCTACCTCAGTGATGACCTCAGGATGCCTTCAGGGAAACCCTGTCATTGCTTCGCTGGCACTATTGCGTCCTACGACAGCAGTGACGTTCCGTGTCAGGGGCCACGTCGTGTCTGACGTTGCATCAACCACGCGCCCGCCCATCTGAACCTGTCTGACGTTGCATCAACCACACGCCCCCCCCATCTGAACCACTGCTCCTAACTTATCGATTTGGCAGAAAGTAACTACTTAAGAACGGGCTAATAGCAGCAGCTCGAGGAGTGCTTTCTGACGTGGCAGAGATTGAGCTGTACTGCTATGCGTACAAAATACGACTATAAATAAGAGGCCACTGCCCACTGTTTGTCCCCGCAACTCCAGCGTTCCTCGGTATCTTGCAGCAGTTGGCTCGAAATGGCGGCGTTACAAAACCTTGGGTATTTCCTTCTCTTCCTCTCTCCGTTGCCTCTTTCCTCTCTCTCTCTCTCTCTCTCTCTTTCCGCGTTCATGGCTCTCGATTGGATGGCGGGATTTCTCGCCCTTTGCTCTGTTCTGATGGTCTTCCTCTTGCGTAGCCCTGAGCCGGCGGTGACGACGGTGGACGTGCACGCCGCAAAGGACCTTCTGGGCTCCGGCCACCGCTATCTGGACGTCAGGTGAGTTCTTCCCCTCATTATCCCACTCCTCGCCTGGGATTTCTCCTCGATCGACCGTCTGAGATGGAGAGATTTCTCCTTGTTGCAGATCGGCGGAGGAGTTCAGCAAAGGTCATCCGGAAGGCGCCGTCAATGTCCCGTACTTGTTCTTCACTCCCGAAGGTGATTAATCCATCTCTGCCCCCGCTCCACCGAAAATTGTGGCTCGGCCGATTTCGATCTGATGGTCAATCCCTCAGGGCGGCTGAAGAACGCGGAGTTCTTGGACCAGGTCTCGAAGATCTTCGGCAAGGACGACGCCATTGTCGTGGTGAGTCGTTGGGAAACCCTAGATCTCTCCTCCCCATAAGAAACCCCGCCGGCGGGAATCCGTCGGATCTCCTTCTTCCCGATTTCTCTCGCCTGTGACTTTTCGGCTTCTTGCCAGGGTTGCGCGAGCGGGGTTCGATCTATCCAGGCCACCACTGATCTCCTCAACGCAGTGAGTTCATGTTCGCCCGATATTCGTTCATTCGATCTTCGATTCTCCTCTCGTTCCCCGTCGTCAGAGGTGAGTTTTCTGCTTCTCTGCGGCAGGGATTCAAGAACACGAAGAACTTCGGGGGAGGCTTCGCCGCGTGGGCCGAGAAGGGCTTCGCCGTCAAGGTGCCCCAAGCTGGGCTGTAGCTTTTCCCGCCGCCGCTCGAATCTCTCCCCTCCCCCATTGCTATGGGCAGTGGGTACCTGTTCAAGTTGACGGAATAAATGCGACCCTTTTGACTTATTTTTTCGCTCGTGGAAGAAGTCAAAGCGGAGACTTCCGCGGAATTTCTCTGCCGCTTTTTCTATTCGCTCTCGGGATGTAATAATCTGTAATATCGACAAAATAATGCTCTTTCGAACGTTGAATTTTTACATTCCAACCAACATATCCGTGGGTCAAAGTCATTGGAGAGAGAGTGAGAGAGACAGACGGACATTAGATGAACGATGTTGAGAAAATAATACTCTTCCGAACGTTGACTTTTTACATTTGTAGCAACATATCCATGGGTCGAAGTCACTGGAGAGAGGCAGACAATCATTAGAGGATGTCGAATGCCGAAGAGAGTATCGATACATTTATTCTTCATGCCTTGATCTATAATTCTGACATAACAATGCTCATTCGGACGTTGACCTTTACATTTTTAGCAACAGATGCTTGGGTCAAAGTCATCGGAGAGAGGGGGGAGAGAGACAGATAGTCATTAGAGGATGTAGAATGCTGAAGAGAATATAGATAGTTTTATTCTTCGCGCCTTGATCTGTAATATGAGATAATAATGCTCTTTCGGTCGTTGACCTTTGACATTTGTAGTAACAGATGCGTGGGCCAAATCATTAGAGAGGCAGACAGAGAGGCATACTTTTCTGGGTGGGCCTAGAAGTAGTTCTCAGGCCCATACATGGGCCCACGTCGATTGATTTCCCGCGAGTTTTCCGTTTTTTCGGTAAAAATAGAACGGTTAAAGTTAGTTGACGACGTGTCGATTGCCTGATTGATGTGATGATTTAAAGCCCATCGTAGATCGAGTTCCTCGAGGACTTTCGATGCCTCTTTCGTCCTCACCCTTCCGCCAACGGTCTCTGAACATTGCCGAGCTCTTCCTTACGCAGTCTGTCGCGCAGTGGACAGCGAGGGGCGTCACACAGTCACTTCACTACGGCGGGAGGTGATCCTGCAGTGGTGCAACAATGAGGGAGAGCGCACGTCGTCGTCTGCGTATCATCATCGTCTCGTTGCTGCTTCTGCTCTTCCGCTCGAGGCGAGGGATTTCGACGACGGACGATCTGGTCGGCGGGAAGTTGTCTGGGATCATCATACCGGGGTTCGCATCGACTCAGCTGCGGGCGTGGTCCGTGCTCGACTGTCCATACTCACCCCTCGACTTTAACCCCCTCGACCTGGTCTGGCTGGACACGACTAAGGTTTGGTTCTGCTCTTCTCCTTCTATTTGCCGAGGTACGAACACATCTACTTGTCGCGATGTTGATGATTTTATATAGAACGCTTCTCTTGTTGTAGGTCCCCCGGGTGACCAAGGCGCTCCGTATATTATATACTTTCTAACTCTTAGAGAAGATAGTCGAACCGTGTTTCAATTAAGGGAAAACTATGCGGCAGAAGAGTTCCGTCATTAGTTCGTCAAGTTTATTTCGATGAATTTACTTTAGAAGACATTCTCCGAACCTGCAGTGATTTTAGTAAGAAAATCAAGCAGTTGATCATCCGTCTAGCAGATGAAGGATTTTGGGGTGATCTATTGGGTGGATGGGATAAATGTATCGTCTCCAATACAGAGAGGCATAGTGGTCTTAGTGAAAAAATGCATACATAAGGGTTTTTCTGAATCCAGGTTGGAGATAACGGAGATTGCATATTAATTACTTAGTATTCTTGTTGGATTTGTTGCTGAATGATGTGGTCCGATTTGTGTTTCTAAACTATAGAAAAGTAAGACTGTTGGAATATCATCATATTTTTTGCCTTATGCAGCTTCTTTCAGCAGTGAACTGTTGGCTCAAATGTATGGTTCTGGACCCTTACAATCAAACAGATCATCCTGAGTGTAGATCGCGGCCAGATGGTGGGCTTTCTGCCATTACAGAACTAGATCCAGGGTACATAACAGGTAGACTTTTCCACTCATCTCAGCTCGCCAATGATGGAGAGTATTTTATGCTTGGCCCACGATTAGTTAAATAGAATATGGTTGTGCCATTTTTTCTTAGCTAATGAGGTGAAAAAGAAAAAAATATATCTCTTCCTTGTTTGAAAAATTATATTTTTATTTCAATACATCTTGTGCTCATCTGTTTTCAATGATATTCTTCATAGTTACTGAATAACTTCTGATATGCACGTTGCGTGCTTTAAAATGTCATGAATGCTTGGTTCCTTTTTCTAAAGGATAAGAATTGTTGTGTGAACCAAACTACATTAGCGTCAGTATTTTTTCATTTTTGCCTTTTTCCTAGGATTGTCTTTTTCAAAAGACCGCACTTCTAATGGAATAATACGAAGCTATAATAAATTTGCTGCAAGTTCCTTGAGATCTGACTCCATAGAAAATTATTACGAGGTAATAACTATCTCTTTTTTCGTAATCAAATATTCCATAAACTCGTGTGGCCATAAATATTTAGCACGACCTTCCAGATTTATCTGTTTTGCCTTTTTCCGTTGTTTTCGTTTCCACATGGAAGATAGTGTTCTGGTATTTGTTGGTGACATTATTTGTGGAAACCAGTTTGTGATGGGTTGGATTAGGCATTTTCCTCTGGAAAATTTCTGAAACCAACGGAACAGGTGGAATTGATTTTTCCCTTTGACCATTTTATTTTTTTTCTGATTACAGGTCCACTTTCATCTGTTTGGAAAGAATGGGTTAAATGGTGCATTGAATTTGGCATTGAAGCAAATGCAATTATTGCGGTCCCATATGACTGGAGATTGTCTGCATCTATGCTTGAAGAAAGAGACCTCTACTTTCACAAGCTTAAGTATGCATTCTGCTTTTTATCTATTGTTTTCCTCGTCATTTGTGCGTTGTTATCTCGTCTTTTTTTACACAACTTGCAAGGTACATCCAACACAATACATGGTCGATGGCTACTAAAGCCAACGAAAACCTCCTTTTTTCACTTTTCCATCTGCTGGTGTTAATGCGATATATCAGTAATTCAATCGAGTTTATTAATCTGATACACCGATCATATTCTCATAAAAAGGTCAGAAATATGTTTTCCTATTTTTCATGACTTTAAGATTACCTCGGAATATGTTCATTGGGAGATTTCTTGCTATTAATTCTACTCACCGTCGCAACACTGTATCCAGCCCAGAATTATCAACATATTGACTGTCGCTTAAGAAATATATTCGCAAGATAGTGTCAATAACTATGTGAAAGTTTCTTGTATAAAAGGTTATGGAGATCAATCTCAACTTTTTGTGTAATGGGTTCTATTTGCTAAATCTCTGATAAGCTTAAGATAAGTTTACTCTATTCAGCTGTTGAAATCGAGTATACTTTTATTGCATTAGTGCAGATTGACATTTGAAACCGTTCTTAAGCTTCGTGGAGGCCCTTCCTTGGTCTTTGCACATTCTATGGGAAATAATGTCTTCCGGTACTTCTTGGAGTGGTTGAAGTTGGAAATTGCACCAAAGCATTATATCCAGTGGCTTGATGATCATATACATGCATATTTTGCTGTTGGTATGCTTTATTTTCATTTTAATCTTCTTTCTCCTTTGACCTCGTGAGCTTTCAGAGGGATATTTATCATCATATGATTTTTGCATAATTGAATTTTCAGGAGCCCCCCTTCTTGGTGCTACTGAATCTGTCAAAGCAATCCTTTCTGGATTCACATTTGGTCTTCCAGTTTCAGAGGTTTCTTTCTCCTCTGTCTGTCTGTCTCGTCTCTCTCGCTCTCTCTCTCTCTCACACACACACACTCACTCACGCGCGCACACACACGCACAGTATGCTGATGATTCTTTCTTGTCCGTTTAGTGCAGTGATATTTATTTTTCTTTTGTTAAATCGTATGTCTCTATATTTTATGTAAAAATATGGTGACGCCTAAATATATGACGTAATGATCTAACATTAATAATGGGAACGAAGCTTGACTTACAAGTTGGAGGTGAATTCTGTGAGTCAGCAAGCCAATGGTTAAGTCAGACCTGACAGCGTATGATTGCAGGTGACTGTCTCATTCCTTCTGATATTACCCGACTTGCATGCGATTCGGCCATCACTCAGCACTGTCGCAATTGCGACTCTGGCTGACTTGATGCCAATGTAGGTCAACTTTCCCGGGCTGTAGTACAGAGGTTCACTTTTGTACCAGTTTCGCTCATATGACTCGATACAGACAAGTCCAACTCATTTTACAACAATACAAGTTATGGCCGACCTTGGAAAGTATGTTCTAGACGCCAGAGGAAATTATTGTAAATTTAAGTGCCTTAATATAATGCGATAATTCTAGGAGTCACTGAGACAGATTTCTGATTCCTCACAGTAACTTGATAAATTAAAGAACGGCATGTGGCTGAGTCCTAAAAGTAGCTTTTGTCTCCCGCCACTGTGTTATTCTGAAAGTTTTTATTAGGATAGAGTGTTTTTCATGGCATTGGTGTGCGGATAGAGCCGTTGCAATGATCCATGATACCTAATTGGTGCTTATGCAGTACGTGTTTGACAAAATTTGCGGGTTACTTCAGGTAGGATGTCTCAATAACGATTTTAGTCTTTTAGTTTGATGTTGAAATATGTCTTTTGATTGATTGATGGGGGTTTACCAGTCGGCATTATGCTCCTGCCATCATCCACGTTCATGGTTACTTGATTGTGATGGGGTGGAGTAATCTTCAATTGGCAGACTTCTCCGAATATTATTTCTCATGATTCTTTATTGGCCATTGGGGAAAAGTATGTTACTTTCCAGTCCTGATCCGAAGAACAGATGATTTTTTTTAGATAGACTCTGCGGATATTCAAAATGGATTTATTTTTTAGGTCCTTTAACTCATGTTTCTTCTCTTTATGCATCTCCAAACAGTTTCTTTGTGTCGTGAAAACTGTCAGCATCTTTCACTGGTTTGTCCATTTTTCTAAAAGTATCGAATTTTAATATTAAAATATTAACATTTTTTCTTCAAAAAATTTAGATTGTTAAGTGTCTTTTCTTATTTCATGGAGAGGTAAATAGTCATACAGCTTTGCACTTCATTCATGAATGCGGAGCAACCATTTTGAAGAAAGATGTGCCAGTAATGATGCAGTTACGTTTCATTTTTCCTCTTTTTCTTGAAAGCATAGATCTTTATATGGATCCTAGATTTGACAGTGTTCTTCCTGTCCAATTTATTTGGGAGATTGACATAAGGCAGTGGACCTGAGAGAATCTTCTAATTCTTAACCTTTGATTCTGTTCTCTTATTTGCACACTTACCAAAAACCTGGATCAATACTCTATTGCGGCAAGCTTTAAAAAGATGAACGTATGTCATGGTTATTATCTCGGATATACGTCATGGTAGTGAAGCCATGTATGTGCTGAAGTAGACGGGAGACATTAATGGCGGTAAATTTTCTTTTTTTAGAGCCTATATTCTGTCAAGTAATAAAATATGTGAAATTTGATTTCTTTTATTCCTTGAAAATTTAGTAATCGTTGCTTGACATTTCGTAGCATATTGTGTTAACACTCGCCTGTCATTCTCCTGTGCATTTTCTCAGGGAACCGCTAGGTTGATGTATAATTCATTTGGCTCGTCTTTATGGTTGTTGCCATTTTCCAAGTACTGTAGAGCTGATAATTCGTATTGGAAGCATTTCTTTGATGGGAAGGATGGTCATCATCACACACAGTACTGTGATGGCAAAGAATTTCAATCGAACTACTCTGCTTGGCCAGTAGATATCGTAAATATTGAAGTTCCTTTTGTTCGAGGTACCGAAGCCTTTCCGTCAATATCAGAAGTAACACAAGAGGTCATTTCTAATATGGAATGCAGCCGTCCTGTTCAAATGGCCTTTTCTGTTAGAGAGGTAGCAGACGGTAGTTTCTTCAAAGCAATAGAGGTTTATGATCCAGATAGCGAACGGCTGTTATATCAACTAAAAAAGTAAGTGGGATAACAAAGAAAATTGCTTCAGTAAATTTCCCTAGATTTTTTATTTTTAGCATTTAATTATGATTTCTATTCAAAAATTTTTATTTTTGGATCCTAAATCTTTTCTGGTGGTTTTTGTGTATTTTTCTTCTTACACTTTTCCTCATCATGCTTGCTTCTGTAAAACCTTTCAATTTTTATTTTGTTGGTCTTTAAAACACTTTCCGCTTCTCTATAAAAATTCTGAAAAAATCGGTGGAAATTTCTTATCCGGGCTCTCCTTGTGCTAATTATATTCGTCGTGATATGTCACATTGAATTTGAGTCGGAGTGTCGTGCTTTATATATTGTCTGAAGGAAACAACGTTTTAGCCTTTTACCTTATCTGCAGACCGCAATTCGTATATTGTTTTTTGTATGTTCGTTAAATTTTTCATAAAAATATAGATATTATCAAGGGGATCCAGTGCTCAATCCTCTTACACCTTGGGATAGACCTCCTCTGAAGAACATTTTCTGCATATACGGAATAGGCTCAAAGACCGAGGTATGTGCTCTTCAGAACGTAATTCTTTTTGATGTGACCAATACATGATTTAAGGTCAGCGAAACATTACACCAATAGCTGCGAAATTTTCTATTGCCTCATTTTTTGAGGGCTAGAGGGTGGGAAATAAATGTATTGATGCATCATTATTATGCTGTTGATTGGCATTAGTCTATATAATCATAAATGGTGACGTTGGTGATTTTCAGTTAATTAAGCACACAATGAACCGAAGGATATATTTGACCTTGACTTTATCCTTGTTTCGTATGAAATAAAAGAACCAGAGCTGGATCTGGGGGTAAGTGGCCGCTGGAGGTATAGTGGCTTGTGCTGTGCCGTCATTTCGGGTTCCTGGCCGGTTTCATCACTAGTCAAATGGCGAACTAGACCTTGAATCAACTAGGTTATCATTAGCACAAAGTGAAAAACTTGAAAGCTAGGGTACCATTTATTTGAAATCCGCCCCTATTAATGGTTATGGAAATAAATAAATAAAATAACACCTTCAGCAAGCTGGTAACTCGATTTGGTAATTAAGGTTCGTTTATTAGATGATCATAAAAGAAACTTTATCGGTTTCCTTGTTAGCATTGTTGATTCATTATTTATAATTAAAATTTATGTCACACATCAGAGGAGATATATGTGTAATACGCAGGAATTGACTTGTGTTTATTTATTTGTTCTCTCTCTCTATATATATATACATATATATACGTAAATGTATTTTCATGTTATTCTTAGTTTTTTCATTTCATTTTAGTTTATGATGAATAAATTGGACCAAATTTGAAGTTTCGTAAATAGCATAGTTCCTTTGAACTCCTCTGATTACTGATGGTGATGACACTCGGTTGAAATAGGTTGGCTATTATTTCGCCCCAAGTGGCAAGCCGTATCCTGATAACTGGATCATAACTGACATCATTTATGAACAAGAAGGGACACTGTTTTCCAGGCAGGTGTTGTTGTCGCTGAACTCATATTTTTTATTCTTAAGTTAATATTTTGAGCGTAGTTAAGTGGTCTTGAAATAGAAATATAAATGATCATTCTTTTCCCCATTCATGCCAGATTCTGTTTAGTGTAACTGTTGAGGCACACTATTAACCCTGAGCATGTGCCTTGTTTAATGGTCGATAAGGATGTGATAATTCAAAACTCTTCAATGTTCCGTTTTATATATATATATATAAATAAGTTAAATCCAAGTTGGCATTATCCACTTTCCCTTAATCAGTTGATTCATCTGATCCAATTCAAGTTAAATTGGGATTAGGCCCAGACCGCGCAGCCAATTCAATTCTTCGGTCCATGAAATGGAATCCTTTATGTACTGTGGACATCCCATGCCACCTGTGTCTATGTTGAATTATGAGAATGTAGATCCTTATCTCTTTTCACTCCCCTTTGTTCCTGGCTACAATTTTGGTTAGGCTTTGGGAACGATTAGCCTCAGGCTCCGAGTTTTCACTCTTGTGGTGCGATCCAAAATAGCTGAGAGCTGAGCTCAATGCTCACTTTTGACCAGGTATACTACCGTGGCGCAACCGTATTTGACAATACCGCTAAACATGTGAAGTGATTTTTAGAAGGGTTTAGAAGTAAAGGATGATCATTGGGGAAATGTGACAGCAATATGAGATGTGTATTGAAATCATTTCTATCTGTCGGATTTATCTAAGAGTCATGAAATGGTGTGTTTCAATGAGGTATATGATAATATTCCTTTCAGTGATGTTAATTTAAGAGAAAGTGGATATAATTTTCTATGGGATTAGTTCAATTAAAACGGCTAAAGCTTTGTGGAAACGGGTTTTATCTCTGACCAATTTTTTCGTTGGATAATTTAGGATGAAAGTCCTCTTGACGACGCTCTTCTGGCATGCCGGCTAATCCATGACATGATCATTTTTAGAAATTCAGTACTCTTAATCGAGCATTTTATGATTTCATATATTCATTTTCTCTTCAGATTTTCTTGATTTCTTCCATTGGGATGGTTCGAAGTTTAGGGAATATAATGAGGATTTGCACATGTTTTGCGAAACATTTATATAACCGATCAATATATTTGATGGTGATCGTTATCTTCTACTAAAGCTTGAAATCCCCACTTTCCGCTGCGCTCATTATGAATGATAAAATTATAAACATTTTTTTAGGAAAAAATAAGTCTACAAATCCTGACAGAGTTACCTTACATTGTTTTTCAGATCAGGAAACTCAGTCAGCGGAAATCAAGGAGTAACAAGTGGAGATGAAACGGTATGTTTAAGCAAGAGATTTAAAGCTCTCTGGCATATTAATAGATGTGGAAAATTTTCCTTGCATCAGGTACCTTATAATTCTCTCTCATGGTGCAAAACCTGGCTTGGAACCAAAGTAAACATTACAAGAGCTCCTCAGGTTCTCTTTCAATTCACTAACTCTTATTTATGACAGAAGTTAAAGTGCCTTTCGTGCAAAAATAATGATGATATTCAATGAATCGAAATCATACGGAGAGCTTTTTATGAGTGTACTGGCTTTATGATGATTAACTCATCTCCTATCCCAGGCTTTGTACCTACAATATGAATGTTCTCGGCTCCCCATTAGCTGGTCTCTGCCGAGGATGAGGGTATATATTTATTATTAAGATGGATAACTAAGTGGTGCCCTGGCATCCGGTGTCATTTTTGGTGTTGGGTGTCTCGATGTGATGACAGCCCTGTCATCAGGCCTGCTAGTTCGAGTTATCTATACGTCCATTCCTTTATCTTGGAAACCCGTAGCCTTGCAGTGTCACTACGTCAGAAACTCCTTGTCCCTACTCCTCTCGTGATTCTCTCGTCCTATGCAATTTGGCATTCCCCCTTTGTGGCTTCACTCACCCCCAGGCGTCCAGCAGCACCAGCTGTTGGATGACTGCTGCAAGTAACCCTACCCTCTCTCGTCTAATGGCAGCCGCTCACTTATTTGCCACAGTACCTTTGTTGTTCATGAGGTCATCCTATCCTTCAGTCATACTTCTCGTTCTTTCTCTTCCTTCTTCCTACTGGTTCAGTTACCGCGTCATGCTGGGAAAGCATTCAAACGAAAGTAACCAGCAATGCATCTGTAGTCACTGTTCGCGCTAGAAACCTTCTTGGCTTTATACTGCAGCTTGCCCTGCCAATTAGATAAGTACTGCGTGCAATAGACATCATCAGTATATAAATACCCTGAGGTAATATTTCGTTCTATATGATTATTTTGCAAATATAACCCAATTTGATTTGTAAATTTCTTATCCTAAAACAGGCTCTTCTTTCGAATGGACTTCTTGTTCTGGTATCATTTACCATAAATCCCATGCCTGATTATCATTCGCAAGCATAAGCAAGCTCTTGTTCTCAAATCAGAGATAAGTCATATTTTCAGAAATCACAAAAAATCTCTTAGACAATAGACTACCATGCAAAATTCTGAAGGAGCAAACGTATACCATGTAATGTCGATTCCAGGAAAGTTGGTTGTCTAATCAACCCATGTACCATGTAATGTGATGCGGCTATGCCATCAAGTATTCCCACTTTTCAGGTTGTCACTTCTTATGTATCAAGTTGAAAATATATACCACTAAATATACAACAAATAGGTGATTATCTTTGTTTTGCTATCTTTCCCTGTTTCCTTGTTATCTAATGGCTAAACTCTGTTGACTTTTTCCATCCAATATAGCACGTATCCTTCAAACGTTGAGTAGATTCGTCGTTGTAATCGAAAGAATATTGATGTAGCATACTCCATTATTTATTTTTTATCTGTATCTTCGTTTTTATTTGTTTACCTGCTGCGAAAAATCTGCAGTCAGAACATGATGGGTCTGACGTTCAGACGATCCTAAATGCTGATCATCACAAGGGGGAAGATGTCATTCCAAATATGAACAGGACTCCTCATGTTAAGTATATTACATACTACGAGGATGCTGAAAGCATTAAAGGAAAGAGAACGGCTGTTTGGGAGCTTGATAAAGGTAAACAAGTTTTTTAGACAGCCAAGGTATCCAATTATGTTTCATAAATTCTTAGCCTCTAGATTTGGAAGTGATGAAATTCTCTCGTTCATAATCATTTTCAATACCCATTCACCAACAACATTTTTTTTTTCTTTTTGGATTTTTTTTGTCGAGAAAATGAAATATTTTAGGGTTTATTAAATGGTATGCTGTCGTCATCTGTTCAATCTATAATGATTACTTTGGCAATCTTCTTTGCAAACAGTAAAATAGTTTTCGCCACATTTTCCGTGGTTTCACATGGATAGGTGTCTAGGTAGTATTGTAAAATATACACATAATGATATCACACAGGAGATAGGGAGGATTGAAAATATCCATTCAAAAGATCATCTACTTGAATCCTCTTTTAACAAAATTGAGAACATACCCTTGGAATTTACTAGATTTTCAGACCCGAAACCCCTGATGCATAATATTTTCCACAATATCTCGACATATAATTTTGTTCCAGAACTGTTTCTTAATATAATATAAACTCTGTTAATTAACGTCCTGGGAATGCATTCCAATGCTCCTTTCAGTTATTCAGCATAGTTTCAGAATTAATTTCGCTCCTTATATATAAAAAAAATCGGTTAATATTTGCATATTTAAACAAAATGTGTCTCTAATGCTTTCGGAGGTTTATAATTGGGGCATATGATAAATGAAGAGAGTGGAAGTAACTGCTTGTTTTTTTATTTGGAGCAAATGCAAGGAAAATAATGAAGAGCAGGAACTTAGATCATGAGCTAATACTCAATTATCTGGTGCTAAATGAGAGGTATACTCCCATCATTTACTGAGAGAAATGATGGGTAAATCTTCTCTGCAAATTCACACTTTCTCACTTATAAATCTTCATATTTTTAAGAACAAAAGCACCACAAGTGAGCTCTTTCACTAGACGCTCTTCTGCCACCACTGACTGATACAGGAGCTATTATGGGCGGAGGGACCAATCGGCACGGATTGGTTGCCAGGGTGTGTGGTGAAGGCCATCAGTAGTAGTGCTGGTCAATGACCTTTTGCCTAGCCTAGAACCGGCAGAGACTAAAAGCCAGCGGCAGGATGTTCGAAGGCTTCCTGCCAATCCGTGCCGATTGCCTCCTTTTCAGCCAATTCAAGACAGAACCAGCATCAAATCCAACCTCATTCCTTGCACAAATCATGAACCCATCTCAGTAAATGTGTGGCGTGATCAAGCGGGGAACTGGATACGAGAAGACCCCAGAATACACCCAGATGAATATAATCGAATACTTCTCGCGGATTTACATGCTAGTGTGTGATTATTTGGCTAGGGCAGCACTGACGCCCTGCGCCTCTTCTTCTCATGGACAGCGAACCACAGGAATATCGTCAGATCACCGGTTCTAATGCGAGAGCTGTGGCTCCAAATGTGGCACGACATTCAACCCGACGCAAGGTCCAAGTTCGTCACCAAAGGTGAAGTCTCCACCCGCTCCTTTCACTCCTGCTTCGCGCTAGTGTGTGTACCTTCATGGTCGGTAGGCTAAGATCCATCTCAGCAGCCAGACGCGGGCCCCTGAGAGACGTGGACTGCTACTGGGACTACGGAAAAGCCCGCTGCGCCTGGCCCGAACACTGCGAGTACAGGTAGACGATGCAGAACACCCTCCGCTCTATTTCTTTCCTTGTTCTGAGGATCCGACGGCTGAATGCGGAAACCCTGATGGTGCCCCAGGTACGTCTTCGGAGACGTCCATCTCGGGCAGAGCTGCAGGTTGAAGAACGCCTCCCGCGAGCTCCTCCTGCATTACCTGGAATGACTCTCTCCCAGGTACCTGCATTCCCAAGAACTACAAGGTTTTAATCATGTGAGCTTCTGCTACGTGGGCACCCCACCGCCGGGGTTATTCACCTGAAAGATTACTTTGTGATTAGCTTCGGCATTCCCAAGAACTACGTGTGCTGACTGCAGGAGGTCATGGCAAGGAGCTGATTATGGGACTTAGTCCCAGCTGGGTCTTTTTTCGGGAGACAGAGAGAGAGAGAGAGAGAGAGAGAGAGCGCTGACTACAAGTCATGGTAAGGAGCTGACTATGGGACCTAGTCCCAGCTGGGTCTTTTTCGGGGGGGGAGAGAGAGAGAGAGAGAGCTGACTACAGGTCACGGTAAGGAGCTGACTATGGTACTTGGTCCCAGCTGGGTCTTTTTTCGGGGGCTGGATCTGGGTCGGGTCTGTTTTCTGCTTTGGAGCCTGGTTGTGAAGTTCGAGCGTAGAACAAAATGGCCCAAGTAAGTCTAGATTAACCGGCCCATTAACGCGACAGGCACTGTCGATCGGTGAGAAGTGGATGGATGACTGGGTTGGGCCCACGCGCCAAAAGATCAGGCCCATGATTCTTCGGAGGAGGGAGTTGGGCCATGCTCGTTTGGCCTATGAAGCTACAACGTGGCTAATGACACCACAAGGAGGAGCCAAGCCGACGTGTATATATAAACTCCGAGGGTGTTGCCGACTTTCAGCTGCAAGTGCCGTTTCTTTCTTTGCAAGGAAGACTCGAGGCAGCGGAGCTCCGCAATCTGTGCAGCTCGGGGATTCCCTGCCGTCTGCCTTAGTCGGAAACATGGTTCTCGAGGTACGCATCTGCACTTCCCCGACCAGTGATCCATTTTACGCCCGGATTGCGGTTTTCCTGGATCCTAGGGTTTTCCTGTGGTGACACTGGGCGTGTCTCGTTGCAGTCGACGATGATCTGCATCGACAATTCGGAGTGGATGAGGAACGGTGATTACTCCCCGAGCCGTTTCCAAGCCCAAACTGATGCTGTGAATCTCATTTGCGGGGCAAAGACTCAGGCACTGACAACCTTTGCGTTTTATCCTAATTTAATTTCTGAAATCATCGTTGTCCCTACGTTGGCACGTTCCGGTGGGAGCGTACTAGAATTAGCATCTCAGGCTTTCTTCGTTCTCGGTGATGTTTGACGATTGGCCATGTGGTGGTGTTATGCAGTCGAATCCCGAGAACACGGTGGGCATTATGACAATGGCGGGCAAAGGAGTGCGTGTGCTTGTCACCCCGACTAGCGACCTGGGCAAGATCCTCGGTTGTATGCATGGTAGGTACGCTTTTTCTTTTAAAAAAAGTTCAATTGGACTCTCAGACTGGGATTATCCTGTCTTGATTTTTTTCTTTTAGTTTGGAGTTGTTCTCCCTACTTCATTCAATTGAATCCCATTCGAGGTTTCCTTCTTGAATTTTGATGTTTTTTCTCTCTTTAGGGATGTCATGCATGTCATTGTGTGAAGCTTATCTAATAAAATATTTATTTTTTTATTACTTTTTCCTGTCCTGGATAGTTTATCCATCGGGCTTGGAGGAGAGCTCTCTTTCCGATGATATCCTTTTAATAACTTTCGGATGCGCATTATATTATGGCATGCAAACAGCTCTCCAAATCACGTAAATATTTTTTATTTAGACTTATATATTTCGGTGTATCATCTTTACGAAGGCCATTCTCAGATCAAAACTTCTGTCGCTGGCTTTGACTGGAGTGACTTTAACTTTTCATTTCCACGGTATAAAAAGTATCCAAGGACTGAGTATCCAAGGAAGTTAACAAGGAAGAGAGGGTGTTGAACTAAGTTGATGGCATAAAGGAAGTGCTTCTGGGACCTGATTACATGGCGCCTCATCCTTGCCAGGAATATTTTATGGGGTTCCATCTTTTCTAAGACAGCAGATCCATAAGTCCGTGCCACCAATCTCGCCAAGTACTGAGATGAACCTGGCTACTGGAATCCAGGCTCCTCAGTTGTCTCTTGGACAATCTTATTAGGATTGTTTATTGGGATTTTATCAACCATTGTCGCAGCGTTTAAGGATGCAATTATGGTTATCCATGATGCTAGTTTATTTCGCTGATGACAACGTGGCATTTGACCCGAAAGAATGTTCTTCTTCTTTTTTTTTTTGTTTAATTCCTTTGTCGTACTTCATTGGGTGTTTAGCTGCGTTACTTTTTTTTTTGGGGCATCCTCAAAGGTTATGGCTATTTTTTTGCTCAGGGTTGGAAGTAGGAGGTGAGATGAATTTGACTGCTGGAATACAGGTTGCTCAATTGGCTCTGAAGCATCGGCAGAACAAGAAGCAACAGCAAAGGATTATAGTATTTGCTGGAAGGTAATTCCTGGCTTTTGGTTTATTTTGTTTTTGCCTTTGCTGAGTTTAGATTGGTTATAACTTATCGACGTTTATTAGTCCAATAAAATACGAGAAGAAAACATTGGAGGCAATTGGGAGAAAATTAAAGAAAAACAGTGTAGCTCTTGACATCATTGATTTCGGGGAAGAAGAGGATGGGAAACCTGAAAAACTCGAGGCTCTTCTTTCTGCTGTAAACAACAATAGCAGCAGTCACATTGTCCATGTGCCACCTGGCCCAAATGCGCTATCTGATGTACTCATAAGGTAATAAATGCTGATGACATGCTGTTCATTGTATTTTTTATTTGTCACTCCCAATGGTTGACTGTTACTCCTTTGTTTGGTCCTTACCTCGATATTTGGTTGGAATTATTGTTTTCAACTGCAGCACACCTATATTCACGGGCGATGGGGATGGAGGAAGTGGCTTTGCTGCGGCTGCTGCAGCAGCTGCTGCGGGTGGCATGTCTGGATTTGATTTTGGAGTTGATCCAAACTTGGATCCTGAGTTGGCTCTTGCGCTTAGACTTTCAATGGAGGAAGAGAGGGCTAGGCAAGAAGCAGCTGCCAAAAAGGCTGCAGAAGATGCCACGAAACAAGACAAGTCTGGGGAGCAAGCGGCTGATGCTGTAATATCTGAAGCCGGTGGCAGCAATTCAAGTCTTCCGATTGAGAAAAATGTTGATGTTATGGTTCGTCTCGTCTGAAATATTAATAGCTGATAATGCTCATAATAGCTTTTTCTTCTAAAAAAGGAGAGGTGGTCGTTATTTTTATTATAAATGTTTGAAACACTAATATATTTTCCATTCAGGCTACAAGAAACAACATGAATGATTTACGAAATTCTTTTCTTCCTAGTCACTTTGATTGCTTAGTCATGCTTATGATGGGAATTCTGTGACTTTATATTTTCGTGCCCAAAGTTAACCCAGGATTAGGGAGGATTATGAATGCTAAAGATATCTTCCCTTGGTTTTAGTGTGCTTGGAATGCGTAGAGTCCTTTTGACCGATTAATTGTATCTGAATCTTTACTATTCCATATGTGTTGGCAATATCCTTAGCATCATTTTGCCTATTTCCGTAGTCATCATTTCCTTGACGAACTTTTATTTGTCAGTTTTTTACCGGATTGTGGGATAATAGGGGATAAACTTTATGCACTCTTAACAACTGACCTAGATGATAAGTTGGATGTCTGTATTCTCAAACATGAAGGTTTTCTTTATTTAAATTGCAGCTGTTCAATTCTTCTTTCATTCGAAGGGAAGCTCTGTTGACAATGAACTGTCAGTTTATTTTGAATAGACTCCTAAATCCTAAATATCTTATCTTTAATACGAAACCATGCGGCCAAGTTTATTCATTTCTTGCATCGTGGCATGCTGGTATCAATCTGGAGAATTCTCTTCAACAATTTAGGTTCTATCTTTTCAGACAGAAACCATCATCAGATGATTGGGAATAAAATTTTATGATGATGAGGATGATGAACAGGGAAAAGGGTTGCTAGAAATGAATAAAACCTTGTCTGGTGTGGTGGCCAACAAATTGTAATTGAAACAGTATCAACGTTTCTCTCTGGTATTGATTGCTGTATTTACTCTACTTTTGTACGGTTTCGACTGCAGTTTAGATAACCTCCGAAGTAGACTATCATTTGGTATGTCAGAACTAATTACTAGAGGTAGTACATTATCGAAGAAGATATTGTGGGTTTTTGTTTTTGGTATGCTATGGTAACATTGCTATTGCTTGTGAACAGCTGTTGCTAAATGTGGCGATAATAATCTTTTTGCTTTAAATGGTACAGGATGATGAGTCTGCATTACTACAGCAGGCGATTGCAATGTCAGTTGACAATCCTGATGCTAGTCAATCCACTGGTATAGCTGATGCGAATATGTCAGATGCAGATGACCAGGATTTGGCTATTGGTGAGTGTTGGCATACCCCTTTTGATTATCTGAATGCTGTCTAATTCATTTATAAATCAATACTATGGCATTGCAGATTATGAGGCGCTGTTTTCATTTAATTCTCTTGCTGTTGAATATTTTTAGAAAACAACGAAAAGGGTGTTGATTTCGCGGTGTTCATCCAATGTTTCTGGTGTACAGTAAAAGAAACCCATAATCTGAGTTTTTCCTGTTAGTCTGTAGATTTCTGCCTGAACCGTAACATTGAACAGACTACCTGTGACGCATGGTCTTGAACACAGTTTGATATTTATTTCAGGTCAATTTATATATGTTTCCTTGAAAGATTTCATGACATCTCATAGAAATTCACTGGCATAGAAATTGTCGAGACGCATTGCTAAGTGTTCTAAACTTAACGGTGTTTATGATTGAGCGCTCAACTTAATTCATGAGGCTTATCCGATTTATCTTAGAGTAATATGGTAGTCCGTGATATCCATTATCTGTCACGATCATCTAAATATACATCAATAAAAACGCTTTGGCCAACTTTCAACTTTTTCATCCGTATTTGCTTAACAAAGAGCAGGTGTGATATTTCATATTCGTGTATCAAGACGTCTCCCCTTTCTGCAACCTGTCACACGGATTTGCCATACACTAGTAGCATTTTGGTTATTGTCTATTTACGTATTGATGTCTCCCGTTTCTCAGCACTTCAAATGTCTGTGGAGGATAGTGGAAAAGATCTGTCAGCACAAACAGAAATGAACAAGGTCCTGGGAGATCAGTCGTTTATGTCGTCGATTCTTGCTTCGGTATGGTTAACTCAATTCCTTCGATGTGAATGGGTCACAATTATCATTTGCATATGATTTTTTTGACTATTAGACTTAAAATTTCCATGCAGCTGCCAGGTGTTGATCCTAACGATCCTTCTGTGAAAGATTTGATTGCGTCCTTGCAAGGTCAGCCTGAGGTACGAATCGTAATTCTATGTTGTTTCTTTTGCCTGTCCTCAAGAAATGTTTAGCATTTTCCAGACTCTGTGCTACAGATGAGCTAGCGCACATAAATTACATGGTCAAACCTGCCAAAGGAAAGTAGCATTGTGATAATTGTTTTCTTAGAAGAGAAAATGATGTCAGTTCAAAATTTTAGCATTCCTCTGAAGTAATCCTTATCCTACTTTTAATTGAAGTCAATAAGATGAAAGGATACAGATTGTGGTTAGTTTTCTTAGACATGTACTCAGCTAACGCTGTTGTTTTCCACAGGTTTTGATTATGATACATGGGTTTGGACAGTCTGGATTGTCTGATTGGTGTTATGTTGGGCATTAGTTACTTCGATTTCGGGAGAAAAGTTGTCATCCTTCAATGTTTAAAAATGAGTTGTATTATTTTTAAATAGGTTTTTGATTTGAATGATGTTTAAAACGTAATGGCATACGTGAACATCGCAGTCTAGAAATCGGTTTATGAGGTGTAATTTTACGTTTTTTTGTGGATATTCGTGAGTTACATGCAATCGTTATCACTCTGACAGTCATTTTTCTTTACCATAGGATAAGAAAAAGGAAGATAACCAAGACAACAAAGAGGAGAAACAATAATGCTCTTGGGGTGCCTCTGTGCTTATGCCCAACGGTATTTCTCTTTATGATTGTATTCTACTTTCACGCATTTCTTGTTTACAGTCAACAAAGAGGAGGAATCATCTTGTTGTTTCAAGTTTGATTTTTTTTACCAAAGCATGGAAACAATATTACGCAGCTGAAGAAGAGATGATCCCTGTGAATTGATGTTTTCCTGCCTCAATGATATGTGATAATGATTGTCAAATTTTTGAAATCTGTACAACTTTATTGGGAATCCAGAATACGGTCTTAAATTATTGTAGTTGTGAACTACACTGTGATCAAAATATGCAGAAAAGGTATTGGGTTGGAGATAAATTATTCCTCTGAGGCATGTGGGTACTTGGGTTTTTTTATTTCCTCAAATGGCAAATATTTTCAATGTCAATGAGCTAATCTCCAGTTGGTCTGAGTAGTTGACAAAGAAAGTTGGGGAGTATCTGGAAGTTGATGAAATTTTTACTGCTTCAGCTTTAGAGCATGGCGTAAATGGCATCGGCTTCTCTAAAAGATATCAATCAACATTATGTGCCCGCGTTCTTGACCTATTTTATGTTCAACTTGGAAAAAAAAGAAGGATTGAGATCAGATAATTGCTGGAATAAAAGTGAGAGAGATTTGAAGAAAAAATATTTGTGGGAAGAGAAGATTATCAAAGGAAAAAGCAGCTGGTGACAAAAACGGAGGCCACTTTGTTACATCGCCTTTTATTTTGTAGATGACTGCCGAGCCTAAGAAAAGTCAACCTCTAGTCTCTCTGAAGCACTTGTTCTTTGTCGTTCTCCCTGCAATCAGGCGATTGCCCTGATCTCTGCACTATACTTCTCCATGCAGGCACACGGCCATTCTCCAGAAGATTGATAAAAGCACAACCTGTGAAGCTGCGACCCTGACGAAGTCCCCATATGTACGGCTTCCCTCTGTTGTCACCCTTCTATTGGTTGTGGGTCTCTGGTCTGGTCTCCAACTCTTCAACGCTTCATGTTGTTCAGAGCTGTCTAGAAGTGTGCCCCCTTTTAGAGGCTCCGTCTGCTAGAAGTCGATCGGATTTCCCATATCCAGGTTGTTTTTAAGCAAAGAGAGTTCATGTACACACGCCTGTTGAACTTTTAGGCATTCTACAGCCAGTCCGCTGAGCCGTCAGCCGCCAACATTGTGGGGCTCTCGCGCCGGGCATGCGCGGAAAGGCGCCGACAGCCCCGCACGGCTACACGGCGATCGCTGGCGCTGCTTCCTTTAGGAGCCGGCGGTCGATGGCGCCGAGCCCGCGCCACCGAGCGATCTCGGCATGGGCGGACAGGTGCCGACGACCGCACGACGGCGCGGCCGTACCGTGCGGCTCTCCGCGCCGAGCTTACGGCGCTCGCGTACAGAGCTCATTCTGCAAAGATTAACGCGGAAAATAATGGAGAGTAATTTACATGCCCTGTGTACAGTCTCCATTGATGTCGATAGCCGTCCGCTTCTCCCCCGGCGGCGTCTACACTGGCCTCATCTTCTACCTCCGTCCTATCCGTGTAAAGACGCGAGCTAGCGTCTGCCGGCCATTTCCACCTTCATCCCTTGAGATCCTCGGTCGGAGAGGGAAGATCTCTTCTCTCCAATCGGGTTCTTCTCTCCTCCCGCCGGCCAGAACCCCCCCCACACTTTTGGAAAGAAGGTCCCGGCCGTTCGGTGCCCTGCAACCATCAGACCCCGTCCTCTAAACGTCTGGGAACGCGTCCTTTCATGGGAAGACGCCTTTAGAGGAAAGCAGAGAGTTCTTGAATTGGGCCTCCACATCTCTAGAGAAATAGCTTTCGAGAAGTCTTCCTTACGTTGAAAAGCGTGGACAAGATGAGACGCTTTCACATGGAAGCATGTAATCTTCACCAACGTAATAGGAGTTGAAGAGAGGCAACGATAGTTCTCTAACACGGGTCACCGAGGCCGGCTTTCATGGACAACATGGATACTCTTCCATGCATGAAAAGGGTGGTCGTTGTAGGCCAAGAGACCTCGGGCCCAGGGAGGGCTTTGATCAGACGGTCCCAGTAATCCCCAAAGCGAGCTCTCCATAATAGAAGGGGACCCTGAAGGCGCCCGAGCCCTCAGCTTCCTGGGCTGTACAGTCGTTCGTGATCTTATCCACGCGAAGGCGACGAGGACGGCCATTCAGGGTCTCATATTAGAGTCATCGTCTCTCCAACTTTGGAATTCTGAGGTTGCTCATACCCACTTAATCATCGTTCAAGCCCTCTCTTTTTAAGCAGGGGCTGAATGAATACAAGTCCAGTTCCCCGACTCCTCGAAAGTTGATGGATATTTCTTTAAAAAATAAAATAAAGGACACTTTGGTAATGGGTCTCTGTATATTCTGGATTCGCCCGTGTCCCTACCAAATCACTTGCACCTGCCTCTCATCTGGTAGGGAGAAAGCGATAGAGAGAGGGAGAGGGAGAGAGAAAGATACCACCTTCATCAAAACCTGGTCGAGAAGGAAGAGGGCGCATTGAAGGACAATAACCATGGCGATGGCTTTCAGGATGGTAAGTGTGCATCTCATGATATTCCTGTTAGACGATATTCCCCTCCTCTCACTCGAGATGTAGATCTCCGATCCGCCATTCTTCCTACCTTCTGCGTTTCATAGTTTGGATCCGGTGTTGTTGTTCTTCGTGGGTGACTCCTAAATCTCTGTGGATCGACTGCAGGCCACCATAGGAGTGAACGTGTCGGAGGAATGCAGGAAGTCGTTCATGGAGATGAAGTGGAAGAGGGTACACAGGTTCGTCGTCTACAAGATCGATGAGCGGTCGAGGGCCGTCACGGTGGACAAGGTCGGCGCTCCCGGAGCGGGCTACGAGGATCTCGCTGCCTCCCTCCCCGACGACGACTGCCGGTACGCCGTCTACGACTTCGACTTCGTCACCGTCGATAACTGTCCCCGGAGCAAGATCTTCTTCATTACATGGTACGTATTCTTCTCTCTCTCTCTCTCTCTCTCTCTCTCCATCCGGTGATGTCACCGAGATTACCAGGAGAATAGATATTCTCCTTCACAGTTTAGTGGGCTTTGAGATGGTCTTCTGCCTAGCTTTCCCGTCGAATGATCGACAAGAGCGTGATATTATGCGATCGGAGCGAATGATTCGAGAGAGTCCATGCAGGGCGCCTTCGGCCTCGAGGATTCGAGCGAAGATGCTGTACGCCACGCTGAAGGAAGGTCTGCGGAGGGTTCTGGAGGGGGTCCACTACGACATGCAGGCCACCGATCCCACCGAGATGGGCATCGACGTCATCAGGAGCCGGGCCAGGTAGATGACGACCGCCCAAGATGAGAGATAGCGAGGTTCCTCCATTAACTCCGCTTCTTCTTCTTCATCATCTTCTTCTTCTTCTTCCTCCTCCTCCTCTTCCCTTGACTACTGAGATGGTTTATCACTGTGCATATCACACAGCTGCGGTTTCTTGTGTACGGTCTTAGAACGGCTCGAGGGGGCTGTTGCTATCTTAGCGGCATCTTAGTTCTCTACGTGGATGTAGGCTTGATACTACTCCTCTGATTAATATATCCAACCCAAATGACCGGAGGAAAATCAAGAACATGGTAATTTAAACGAACGTGTGTGTGTGTTTGAGAGAGAGAGAGAGAGAGAGAGAGAGAGATTGGCGCATAAAGTATTACGTCTATGTTGGTGTATCCTCGCTAAGGCTTAAGTTCTCGACAACCGCTACAACTTTATTAATAAATATGACTGTTCTTGAGCAGGACTGGTTCGAATAGTCGTTTCCAGACCCGAATGTGGGCAAAGTGTGAAGGTGAGTCAGTCTGATCCAAAGAATCAACTTCGAACAAGGTTTGGACTTTAAAAAAAATGCAACCCAGAAAGTAAAAACCATGCTAAAGAAAGGAAATGTGTGGCTCAGCTCGCTGGGGGACAACCAAACAGCCTCAGATGCAGGTCGGCGAGAGCTTCTAATCCATGGGGAGACGCTGATCAAACAAATAAACATAAAAAATAATGCTTGCACTATTCTTGAGTTTGTTTTTTTATTAATCAAAATAAATAAATAAATGACGATATATTAAAGATAGATCAAGCAATGACGACATCTACAAGAGATTGTGTTGATAATCTCCCTTCTTCTTGGGATGTGGCAACCAAAAAATCCTGATTTATTTATTTTTGTTACTTGAGTATTATATGTACACATATTTTTTTCAATCTTTGCCAACCATGCGGGCATTAACAAAGTGATAAAATCTTAATTGACAAACTCCAAACATGGATAAGGAGTCTCCACCACCCAAGAACTCTGATTTTATGTAAGATTTAGGGTTTTTTGCCTTTGTTTATCACGCCTATTTAGCATTTCTCATCATTTTTTCCCTTTTAAAATCCTTCTCCATCGTCAAAGAGTGTGGGGGATGTTTTGCAGGTTCTTGGCTTGACGTCTACTGCTTTGGGCAGTGCTCAATAGGTGTAATCAGGTCCATCTTAGTCCAATAGCAAGTGCGGCACATGCAGATTATGTACAAAGAGGGGGAAGAAGGATGGAACGATATATATATATATATATATTTATTTATTCCATTTATATATATATATATTTATTTATTTATTTATTCCATTTAACGACATGGGTAACTGCATGGGAATGGGGATTTTCAGAAAAAAGGATAAAAATACGCCATGTTATAGTTTAACACCGCTTTAATTGTTATCAAATATAGCTATTCTTAATTAAATAATTTTATATTTCTAAGTTAAATAACTAATAAAATCTTATAGGAAGATTTTTTATTATTTATTTTTTTTATACCATCTCATGATATGGGCAACCTCATGGGAATGGGAATATATTCAGTAAAAAGGAGAAAACCACGCCATGTTGTCATGTAATATTATTATTAGACTAATTTAACGCTACTTTTAATTGATATCAAATATTAGTATTCATAATTAAATATTTATATATTTTTAATTTATATAAGGAATAAATTATTCAAATCTGTCATAGATAAAGAAACACCGATTATTCCTGGAATATGCAAAAAATATGGTATTGTTAAAGTTTTACTCAGATAACCCTAAAAAATGTTAAATTGTATGCCGGGCAACCGCGGTTTTCAAGAAGCTACGAACTGGTACCCGCCTTGGCCCCTAGCCCCCTCTCCACACCTCTTTCCATCCCCGCCGCCGCGGCGTCTCCTCCCGCCTGACCGTCTCTCTCTTTCTCCTTCCCTACCTCCCTTCCACGCATTCTCTCTCTCTCTCTCTCTCTCTCTCTCTCTCTCTCTCTCTCTTTCTCTTTCTCTCTACCCTTTCTTCCCTCCCTTCCACTCTTTCTCTACCGCAGTTTTCTGCGGAGTAGCGGCCGCTGTGCGTGGGCGGTGATCATGTGTGAGGCCGTTGCGACAGCCCTTCGACGGAGAAGTTAATTTATTGTCGGTGAGTTCCATGCTTGCAACTCATTTTCAATCACGTGCTCTCTGAGCTCCATCGCGCGAGTGTGCTTGTTTTGTTTTGTTGTTTTCCCGGTGATTAATCATCACAGCGCGTTTCGCCTCGGATATTTGGAGTCTTTCACTCAGTGAGATTTTTGAAGTTGAACTGGGTTCGTGATTGGGTTGTTGGGATGTCTAGCGTACACTCTCCGTACGATTTTTGCTTATCATTACCATCATACGACTCGGTTGACTATTATGATATAAACGTTAGAGGAACGGAGTGTAGGGAGCGGTGTTCGATTGATCTCTGAAGAAAGCTGTTCGACCTTATAGCTATTTTTATCTGTTATTTTCTATTATTCTGTACTCCGTTGAAATTTTACCGTGGACGATGCTGGATTCGATTTTCGATGTCTCGTTTCTGTATTTTGGAATTTTAAATGCTGATGGATGAGGTTGATATGTTTCTCTGACTTTGCACCGGGTGTGTTTTGTGAGCAGACTGGCACAGCCAAGTCTCGTCTGCGACTGTTCGCTGGACGCTATTTCTCAGATATAGTTTGGTCAGATGACTAATTATCTAGGTCTTTTTATTCTTTAGACTGGTTTTTGATTTTTGTGTGACCCTGGATGCCCTCAGAGTTTGGTGTTTAATTGCCATCCTCGTTTCTTTGTTTATCTTTTGACGTTATAAATTCATTATAAAATAGCTGTTGTAGATAGAGTGGATTTTCTAAGCAGATCTGAAGCTTTTTCTTTTGCTTAAATTGAAAATTTATGTATCAACTTATTCTCTTTTTCTGTGTTTAATTTATTATCTGGCAGTCTTTGGTATAAATATTTTCCCTCTATTGCCAGGATCCTGTCATTGTGAACAAACAGAAAGCGAGAGTATTAGTCATGTCTCCTAACTTTTGGTTTGATGTGAGCTCTGACGAGGAGGTAGATATTAAGGATACACGAGCAGGACAGTCTGAGTCGCCTTGGGAATTTTCTTCCTACTCGGAGTCTGTTTTAGAGGAACATGCACGAAAGAAAACCACTTCTATCGATACCAAGATCACCAAAGCACTCCAGGAACGCCCAGTCTCCCTTCCTAATCCAGACAGCGACAGTGAATGCGAAGAGGAAGAATACAAAGAAGAAGCCACCGATGAGGTTCTTCCAACAGCCGCCAAAGCAAGAAGGAAGGTGAGACAATCAGCTACGTATACGCTCGGCCATTCTTTAGGGCGTCACTGAGGAAAAAAGATGCCTCATATCAGAGTCAAGTGACCTGGATTGTGTTTTTTCATGTTAGGGAAAAAAGGACGAACGGTTTTCTCTTCAGAACAAGTGGGCGCTTTAGACTATTTTCATGCACGGTATAAAGGTCTAATTTACGTTGACTATTTTCAGGAAAAACACAAAAGTGGGAAAGCAGATAATGAAGCTCCATACAGTTCCCCTTCTGGTTTCTTTGCGTCATCTGAAGGAGCTTCATTCAGCGCTAATTCTTTTCTGGAGCTTAATCTCTCTCGCCCTTTGCTCAGAGCATGCGAATCCTTGGGATATCAGAAACCAACACCAATCCAGGTATTGAATTTATTCTCCATGATCAATTGTCCGTTATGATTCAGAAACTTGATTCAGTGGAATTGCTGATGGTCAATTTTCTGATGTAGGCTTTTTTTCCCTTTCATGCTCCTCTAGAATGTTTCAGATGATGATCTAATTTCATGGAACGCTCTATTGATATCCATTGAAGGAAACTGGCAGTAAAATCTATACAATTCAATTGATCTTGACCAATTTTCACTAGTTGAATGGCATCATGACCGTGACCTTTCAGCATCAAGAATAGCTTTGAAAGCTATGTAATTATATGTGTAAAAATAAGTAACTAGTGCAACTGTGCTTCTACCTATTTCCCTCTTTTTTCTAGATTCTTTTCGTTGTTGTGCTAACTTTGAGGTGTTCTTTCCTGTTGTATGTGTCCAAACTATAATCTAGGGAGCAGTTTGGTCAGTGCGATACATACTGCCTTGTTGAGTCTTAGCGTGGCCAGGTTCCCTGTACCATCTGATACATTGTTGACTTCCATGAGTGACCAGCCTGGAAACTTTATCTAATTTGTGTGTTGGACCTGGCAACCTAACGTTTATTTGATTAGATCTAATGATGTTATTGCTGAAATTGCGTTCCCTAGTGGCTAAATCCTGTATCAACTTTATAGTGGATATTAGTTTAACTCATCTTAAGTGCGAATAGCTTCTAGTTTGATAGTCTATTACTCAAAAGTGGGGATAGATGTTAGGAATAAAAATGATGCTTTGATCCTTACATGATATTTAGTGGTTCCGGCCATTGTGAAATGAAGATAAGTGCAGGGCCGAATCAGACTTCATGCTCAGCTATTTGCGCAGTTTCCCATCAATTTCTTTGAGTTTTATTCCTTGAAAAACGCTCTTGAGGTGGGAGACAGCATGTTAAACTAAATCACTGCATGGGATGATATTCACCGTGCCTAGAATCCACTGTTTACAGATAGGACTTCTGGGGTATTTAATCCCATTTGCTCCCCTAGCTTACTTGTCTCATTTTCAGTGTCAGCCCACCACGATGCTTTTGCCAGTGATGTGCTTTCTGATCTCTATGCATTTTACTTGTCGACTGGCAACTCTCTCAGGAACATGTGCTTAACGTAGTCTCGGCCGCCTGATTTATTATTGTGTCATTACTGTGCTACAAACCTTGAGTTTTTAGTGTGCTTAAATTTAATTTAATTTATTCAACTTTAAATACTTTGAAAATTAATGATTTTTGAAAGGAAACATTTATCTTCTTTGGATTTTATCTCCTTCGTAGGCAGCTTGCATACCATTGGCATTAACTGGTCGTGATGTGTGTGGTAGTGCTGTAACGGGATCTGGAAAGGTATGGGTGTAAATATATTATTATGTAGTGTAAAAATATTGTTATGCACATTGATTAATTGCTGTTCACTATCTTGTTGAAACTTGGGCTGCCTTATTAGTCACGATTTTTTTCATTTTTCTTATTTAGACGGCTGCTTTCTCGTTACCTGTCCTGGAGCGTCTTCTTTTTCGCCCTAAACGTGTGCTTGCGATTCGGGTGCTTATTCTTACTCCAACTCGGGAGTTAGCAGTACAGTACGTACCTTACTTTTATGCAAATACATCTTGTATTAATGTACTTCTAGGTGGTTACTGTCATGTAGTAATAAGTGGATGTTCCAGACATCCATATTCTGTATATTGTAAATAATTTCTTTTTATGTTTTGATCACCTTTTAAAGTTGTTGCAATGTTTTGGTGTCTTGCTGTTACCCTGCCCCACTAGTTACTTGGATAGTTGGAATCCGGTTAGTTGGTTAGAATGTCAAACCCCGATCTGATCTTGATTGGCCAATCCAAGCCTTCTTAAACCCTGCCACTCCAGTCATTCAGGCCAGCTTGGTGTGGTTGGATTTGTCGTTTTTATGTCAGGACTGGCTGATTCAAGGACGAATTGCCTAGTTTGAGTTTCATTAAAAGAAATATATCTATCCAGAAGGGATCCGAATCCCTCTCCCTAGAAAATAAAATAAAATCAGGTTGGCGGTTGATTCCTATCTGAATCTGGCACTGCTGGTTCTAAGCACATCTTCCGTCTCTTGTTATTTTTCTAGGGACAACTGTATTGCTTGCGGAACTTTATTTCCTGCTAATTTTTTTGTATAGTTACGTGTTTGTCTTTAGTTTCTACTTAAGATCTTAAGAAAACGATGCACAAAGCTGGTAATATGAGGTATATTCATACTAAAAAGTGGTATCTTTCCTCTTCACAGGGTTCATAGCATGATTGAGAAACTTGCGCGGTTTACTGATATTCGATGTTGCCTTATTGTGGGAGGGCTCTCTAGTAAGGTACGCTAGTGTTCAAAATTTATTTTATTTAATCTTTTCCATTTGTTTTTTTAATGTCATTTGATGGTTTCTTTCATAGTGCATTTTTTTTGTTTTGTATGTAGAAATTTGGATAGGCTGTTCCAACACAGTGCTCTCAATGTTGTTATTGTATGCCATATTTATTTCTCTACATTTTTTGTGGTCATACGTTGTCATTTTATAACAGTGTATTGAAGCTTGAATATCCTTCCTGAGTTGTATCAACCACATCTGTTGTATGCTCTCCTTTCAAGATGAAATATTAAACATTCAAGAGTATAGCTTTGCAAATAACCTTTACAATTTGTATCCACTCCATCTGTTATCCCATTTCTGTGGTCATGAATGAATGCTTATAATTTTTAACAAGTTTTCTTTTCACGCTCTATTTAAGTTTCGTTCTGCACTTGGAGGGGATTTTTATGCATCCTTATGGCTTTTCCATTGGAAAATTATGTAAATAATGTATACATTATCTCAAGTAACATGATCTATTTTTTCCCTCAGATACAAGAAACAGCTTTGAGATCTATGCCTGATATTGTTGTGGCTACTCCTGGTCGGATAATAGATCATTTACGTAATACTCAGTCAGTTGGTTTGGAAGATCTTGCTGTGCTGATCCTTGATGAGGCAGATCGGCTCCTGGAACTTGGATTTAGTCAGGAAATCCAAGAACTAGTACTACTTCTTTCCCTAACTACTGTTGCTTTTTTCTAAATGATTCTGTTTGTATTGATTTGTCTCTAAGATTTGTACATCTGTCAGAAAAACACAAATGCGGCTCAGTGAACTTGGTTGATCTTATTACTGAATTTGACATGCTGGAAATTTTAAAATCCCTCGAATTAATCTTGTATTCATCATAATCCCTGTAAATAACCAAATACAGTTAATGAACTGTTTATGTCATATTGATAGTATCTGAGAAGAGATGACAACAGTTGTTTTGTACTTGCAAGCTCATGCTTTGGAGATAGCATTTGAATCTGCTTTGCAAGTATCCACCTTAGTAAAGAATGCCATGTACTGAAGTGCTTAGGCTGATGCCAATCGTGACAGACAGAAAGTTCTCACTTCCTTTTATTTTTATTTTTCAATAGCATATAAATGTGGTTACATCTTGGGTTAGTGGCTATAGAGAAAGCATCCTAATGTAGAGGATTATGCAGCTCAATGGTTTTGCTAAATTAGACGAGGCAAAGTCTAAGGATGTACAGTGATACAGTTGGTTATAGGTGTATAACGCACGGTGCAGTCTGAAAATAGTCAACATGTTTTAAATTTTATTTTCTACCTAGACCATATTGTCCTCGATAAGCTATCATATTTGAAGGTATTCTGTTCATTTGATTATGCTCAGGAGGTATGTCAGATCGGCACGTCCTAGGATAGGATAACTTTTGTTTTTCAGCTGTACAACGCTGATTACTCATTGAACTTCTGTCCTCATCCCTCTTCCCCATAAGGGTTTCTCTGATCCATGTATTTTAGACTTCTTAGAACAACGAGTTACCGTTTGGTTCGATGCATGATGATTCACAGCCTGAGATTATTTCTTCGTAGCTTTGGTCTCTCAGAACGCATTGAGAATTGGCAGGTACTGTGGTTTATATTTTTCTAAGGGATTGTGTTATTTAGGAGGATTGTGGTTGCAAACTCAGAACATAGTTATGCAAGTTGATTCTTGCGCAAACGTTGCTGTATCAATCTAAGAAGTTTTCTGATTTCCTAGTCTTTGTACGGTATCAAGTTGGTTGCCTTTCTCCATCTAAAAGCTATTAGCTAGAAAGAGAGCATGCGTGCTTTTACCTCTGTTGTATGATAAAGTCTTGTTATTTTTGAAAGTGGGTGATATCTTCTGTTAAAATAGTTTCTTCTCCTGGTCGCTTTCTGTGACCTCTGTTAACTGTTGAATGTTTACTTTTTTTTTTTTCCATTAACATGATGCTGTGATGCAGATTAAGCTCTGTCCCAAGCGTAGGCAAACCATGCTTTTTTCTGCTACAATGACCGAGGAAGTTGGGGAACTTGCCAAGCTTTCTCTTACGAAACCTGTACGATTGGAGGCGGATCCATCGACTAAGCGACCTGCCACATTGACTGAGGAGTAAGCTTAGTTACCTTAGATATTGTGTTTCTAATGGAGCTTTTGTTATTTACACAAACTTTTGAACCTGTTAAATTGCTTCCATCGTAACATCATTTCTCCACTGGAAAATTGAAGTTCCATTGCCTTTTCTTCATTAATGCTTTGAATAAGGATGAGTCTCAGTGAAAAATTCTCTGTTCAATTTGAAGAATTCTTCTGTATTTTATTGTTAGAGATCATGCGCAGTCTGTTGGCTTGAATCCGACTTAGTGATGGCCATGCGTACCATGATCTCACCCAATAACTATTTATCTCAGGTACTCTTGTTTCATTTAGGCATCACAATTAGACTCGGACGGGGATCAGCTAAACAGAAAAACGTGTCCAGAAGGGTGTTATTTGGGAGAATAGGTTCTTTGCCCTCCGCACACTGAAAGCTACTAACCGACCTATGTCTCTCCCACCTGTTACTGGTGAAAAATGTGGTTCATCTGCCCCCTATGGACGAGAATTTGTGACCTACTTAAATACTTGTTGTGTGTCAACTTTAGAGTCAGGATAAAAGTGTCTGCCTTTTCTTAATGAAGGCCAGAAGTAATTACAGGAAAGTAGTCCCAAGGTAGAAGTATGCTCTATCGTGGTTTCAACTTGATTTCAGCTACCGTCTGGTTCAAAAGCCCGAACTTCAATGAAGCAGGGAGATTTTAGGTTACACTTGAAAAAGGACTTTGAATTTTTCAAAGTTGTACAAAGTAACAACTGGAATACTTACTAGGAAGTGATCTTTAATGTATAACTAGAGTTTAATCATAGTGAAAATGGATGTTTTACGGGGGGGATGGGGTCCGTGCAAGCTACTCATTTATTAACTGGCCGAGGTGCATTCGTTTCTAATGGTACAGATCACCCCGACTCAGCTATGTTGACATGAACAGATTTATATCTTCACATTGGATGCAATTTATCCACTAAAAATTCTGATATTTTGAAAATTTCATATTTATATCTGGGTTTTGTCTCACATATGGTTTCATTTGTTTTCTCTTCTTGTTTTTCTCGTATCAGAATTGTCACGAATATAATTGATTTGGTGTTCTTTTGTAACTGTTGTTCGTCAGCATTCTGTTTCCTTCGTATTTCTTACTACATGGTTAATCTTCTTAGATTTTATTTTTCTTTTTAGGCATATCCCAAAATCTAATCATCCATTTATGTTTTCATTTTTTTACAATCGAGCAACTGATCTGATATTTCTTTCCCATACAGGGTTGTTAGGGTTCGTAGATCACGAGAAGTAAATCAGGAGGCTGTTCTCCTAGCCCTTTGCTCCAGGACCTTCACGCACAAAGTTATTATTTTCAGGTTTAATATTATAACTTCTTAAATTAATACGAATACATTCTCGTTCTGATTTCTTCATGAACGTACATTTCTCTTTTAAACGTCGAGTCAAGGTATTGACTTTTCAGTCAGTGAAGGCTTTTGCAGAATGGTAAATAGACCAGTAAAACATAAATGCCATTGACTTTGCTTTCATTTTACTGATTGCTGTTAATTATTGTCATGTACGTTACTGTTTATTTTATGTTTCTGTTACATAGGTTCCATTTTACTGTTCTCTTTATGTTGTTGTTATGAATTTAGTTGTGGACTTACATTCTTTTACTTTGTTGAGCTCTCACTAATCCACTTGACATATTTAAGTTTGTTTTCCCTTAATAATAGATGATATTGATTGCGCTTATATCTGGCTATAAATCTGGTAACCGTAGATTTTCTTATGTTTAGCGTTTTTTATGTGATATTTTTGTTCTCAACGTACCCACTTTTTCTTTCAGTGGAACAAAAGAGGCCGCACATAGGTTAAAGATTATTTTTGGTCTTGCTGGATTGAAAGCTGCTGAACTTCATGGTAATCTTACCCAAGTCCAACGTCTTGATGTAAGTATCATTTCCATATACTCTAATGGTTCCACCTGTTATTCCTTTTTTCTTCGATGAATATTGATGTTGCTTCTCAATGGATTTTATCTTTCTTTCTGTAAATTTTTACCAGTAGTTTTAAGGCAGCACAAGGTCTCTACGCTCTGGAATCTATGAGAAAAGTGGGAAATTGAAACTCGTTATCAATTTGTGCATTTAACATTGTGAGATATTCTCTCCCGGCCATTTGATACCTGGAACTTCATTTGTTGGAACACAATCCTCACTTGAGATGTGAGAGGGTCATGGACACTGTTATTCAAATTTCTTTGGAAATTTGGGCTACTTACTAAATGCACAAGGTTTATCAGTTTTATTATGATTTGTGTCCTATAGAATTGTTGGATATTAATCAGTGATTGCTCTTGGGAACTTTATAATGTTTGATTTGATTTTGGTCTCAAAGATATCCAATACTGCACTAATAGTCATAACATATGATCATGACTATAGTGGTTGAGAAGGCTATAATAGTCATAACCTTCGTGTCGTAACCTATGTTAATTTGTGGATGGTCCCTTCATACTCACTAGTGCTAGTAGTCTACTCTTTATTGGCTGGTCTGATGCATCACCTTGTTTGCTAGGGGTGCCAATGGGTAGCAGTTGTAGGGACTGGTTCTAATGCCCTGGTACCAGTCGGGTCGTTCTTGCAAGTATTGGTCCTACATCTTATATGATTAGATTTATTAAGTTATCTTGTTCAACTTCTTGTCTTTTTTCTTGGTTCACAATTTCCTTCATAGATGGAAACTGCTGGTGCTGGTTTAGACCTGTGGACCAGGTTGGTCAGCTTCTACGTGTGTTTGCCAGTGGTGAGTGTCATTTGACGACTCGGAAAGATTGATATCAGAATGTGGCTGGATGTGTCTTCTTGTCCTTTTTCTGGCTTGATCCTTTAACCAACACTGTTCATCTAATACTGTTGGCGAACATTTTAAGTGAGTGCTGGATGGGGAGAGACGGAAGATGAAGGTGATTCTATACAACGAGCATAAGTATTACGGAGCAAATAATTGTAGCCTTAGTAGGGCACAACTCTGTTTCAGTGGTTTGATGGATGAGGGATCCATTATGCTCAAGCTTTAATAATGAGGCCGCTGGGTGGAATTTCCACGCAGTTGGAGCCTTTCTCCTTTGTCGATCATTCAGATGAACATGGATTCGCAGTAGATGTGTGTAATTAGGCGCCAGTTTGTGGTAGATAGAAGATTAAATCACTTGAGTTGCTCCTTTTACGGAGGAGAAGGATTTTTTTCACTAATCTGATTGCCTAAATTCGCTGCGCAATTCCGGTTCAGTAGCTTCGCAAATGAGGTATCCATTCTTTTATAGGAAAGGGCCTTTATTGGGTTTTTAATATTTAGGTTCCTGGCTACGATGCAGCTGCAGTACATTGTGCAACTCCCAGTGGACTTAAGATTTAGGTTACTCATTTTTCGATATCTGCAGCTGATTTGGAAATTTTTCTTATCCTGGAATAGAATGCAAGGTATTTTGTCTGTTCTTCTGTGAAAAGACCTGGAAACTGTGGGGCCTTGTTGTATTTTCCCTAAGCAATGCTATGATGTGCTGGTATAGAGGCGTTGGCAGAAGGCTACAAATTTAGATTGCAGTGTCAAATTTATATTGTACGGTACAGTGTTGGTGGGGGATAGTTCATATGTCTAAAAGTCTAATTTTCGTGGCACTCTTTACTTTGGAAATTGACAAAGAGCCTCGAAACAAGATTGAGCCGATAACTCTCAGGGCCAATTACTAAAAGGTTCATCCCTAGATTGATGGGATGATGAATGAATGACAATTGTGTTTTTGAACATCTTTATAGACATCTTGGTTCTATTCTCATCAATCCAGTTAATTTTAGTATCTTTGCTGACTCACCGTGTGTTTATTTAACAGATCCTGGAATTTTAGGTAATTATCTCATTTTAATTAACTTTCATTTGGCAATTTAGATTTTGCGTATAATGGTCAGATGTTACCTTAACCTGGTGAACTTCCATCTTTTCCGCACGTGAAAAGACTGATGAGTGCATATTGGTTCCGAACGATGCATCTTGAAGTTAGTTATGGCAGATGTTGTTTTAGCTTATCTTGTAGGAATGGCTTTATGCGTACAATTCTGCTGTTTATAGGAAAGAAAGAAAATTTATTGTCAGTTCATTTCCGTTTTAAGGTAATCTTTCTTTTTGTTTTCCTTTTGATGTTGTTTCTTGGTTCTGTCTCTAGGCTTTGGAACTTTTCAGAAAGCAAGAAGTGGATTTTCTCATTGCAACTGACGTTGCTGCTCGTGTGAGTTTCATATTTCCAGGGAATTTGTGTCATCAATTACCTCTAAACTCAAGTGTTGTTTCCATAGTCATCTGACCGTTTCTTTTTCTACATCGGTTCTATTTACATAGGGACTTGATATAATTGGGGTTCAGACGGTGATCAACTTTGTGTGCCCACGCGATATCACCAGGTAAATTTGATTCCTTCTTAATTTTGTTGACGTTTTTCTATGATTACTACTGTTGAAATTGATGTTATTCTGGGTTGAATTGAGTTGATGTTTTCAAGCTAGGTTTTACACGTCTGTAACTTTATTTAATGTCTTCTGTCCTCAAGTACTTCGAGCTATAGTTGTCTTTTTATTTGTTAAAATCCGCTAACTATGACTAAGATTACTATGACTTATCTTCTTCGTCTATTGACTTTCGAATGATTTTCATTTCTAAAATCTGTTCATCCATTACAAGTAGATCATGCTCTAATTATAGATATGGTGATTGGTTCTTAAACACTAATGCTTATTGTATCTAACAGCTGAAAATGGCTGTTTTGATCTTTTCCTTTCATTTTGTTTTTTCTCATTAAATTTACACTTTACCTAATTAGATGTACATTATCTCCTGTCTGATTAGCACATCTTTTTGTGGTGTCGTAATCTACTGAATTGTCTCTTTAGAATTTGAACTATATGTACCTGCCTGTAAGTTTAAAAGCTCCAGTTAGTGCATTTTTAATGCGTACATTATTAGAAAGCTCATGCTCATGACTTGGTCTTGAATTATTACTTATCCCCTCTGCTAATTTGCAGTTATGTTCATCGTGTTGGTCTTGAATTATTACTTATCCCCTCTGCTAATTTGCAGTTATGTTCATCGTGTTGGTCGAACTGCAAGAGCTGGAAGAGAGGGCCATGCTGTTACATTTGTTACTGACAATGATCGTTCTCTTCTGAAGGCCATTGTGAGAACATCTATTATTTAAATTGGTTCCATCATTTTTTTATGCGAGAGAAATGCCATCAATGAAGTAGGTTGATATTAAGTTACAAGCTTGCTTGTCATGGTTGTTGACTTTGGCGTTATACTCGAGAAATGTAGTTTAAAAATAAAGATGAAATTATCCTTTTTTTATTATGATTTGCGTATCAAATATTTGACATAACGGGGGTCTACGTACCAGGCAAAGAGAGCAGGCTCACAGCTGAAGAGTCGAATTGTAGCAGAGAATTCTATAGCAGAATGGTGTCGAGCAATTGAAGAAATGGAAGACCGAGTCTCCGCAGTCCTTCAAGAAGAAAGGTTCATTTGAGTTCTACATGAAGATGCTTTTCGCTTTTATGCACCTCAACATAATCATTTCCTAATGTTGCAGGGAGGAGAGGGCCCTAAGAAAAGCTGAAATGGAAGCAACTAAGGTTTCTTCTTTAGCTTTAAAACTGTTTAATGATTTTCACTCATTTTAAGTGTGTATTAGATAAATTATAGACGGGGTATTTAAATTTAAGCGTTGCTACCCTTGACATTTCTGGTGTATATTGCCGCCCTCTTTGTAATTTTCTTGTGTTGATTAACAGGCGGAAAATATGATCAATCACAAAGATGAGATTTACTCCCGTCCAAAAAAAACCTGGTTTATGACAGAAACAGAGAAGAGACGTATAGCCGATGCTGCAAAAGTAAGCTGTTGAATCCGTAATGAATTTTTTGTAGGTTTTTTAAAGTTATTTTGAATTTTATTCTTATCTTTTATTGGCTTACTTCCTACTGTCTCTTCTTTTGCTATATCCTAACTGTTTAAGATTTTTCTAGCCATGAATATATAATTGAAAAAAATGTGAAGAATGGGAAATATAAATAAAGGAAATTTGAAAATACTTCTTTCTCACGAATTCCGTTGGCTGATGGCTCTTGGAATCCAAGGATTGGTTAAAGGGCGATGAAATGCAGTATGCATGATGCCCAGGTTTTGACATTGTATTCTAGAGAAGGGGAGCACACCATACGTAAAACATGCCCTGCCTACTGCTGCCTATTTGTCCTGTGCTTCTTTGAGGAACATGCATGAATGGAAAATTTTCCACTGATATGAACAATATTAACTATGACGAGATGCCCATTGGAATGGCTTTGAAAGTCAAGAATTGAATGCTATAACGATTATAACATCATTATTTCAACAATATTTTTATTGTTTTTACAATAAAACCGGTATTCTTTGTCCTCTCTTCTAAACAATATTTCTGACTCTGACTTTTTTTTTCCTCCAGCAAGCTTCCATTCAGAAAAACCAAAATGGAATGAAGCAGGTGATCAGTGCTGAACACGCAGATGAAATAAAAAAGAAGGAAAAGAGGCAGAGGGAGCGTGAGGTTTGCCTTCTATTCTTTTTCACATATTTGTTTTTTTTTTTGGGTCGGCGGAGGGCAGGGGGGGTAGGTGAGGTATCAGGTATCAGGAAAAGTAAACAACTTTGTGTGTAGAAAAGAAAGTTGACATTTCTCTTAAATATTTTTGTGCTGTTTAGAAAAACTTGCCACGAAAAAAGCGCCGAAAGTTGGAGGCTGCTAGGGAGACATTGGACGACGATGATGACGATGATGGTGGGGCTGACCATAAGAAACAGGTTTGTGCTTATGTTGAAAAGTGATGATTGTGCTCGTCTTCCCAATGAAACTGTAGCATGCGAAATTGCAATGAGAGAATTAATTCAGATGGTGCTCCAAGTATATTGTGCGCTGTATTTTGTTCTAATACAGCGGAATTTGACAAAATTGCAGGTTTCAGGAAATGACAAGAAAGAGAACTCGGGTAAATTACTAATGGATGTAGCTAAACGGAGAGCGAAGTCAATCAAAGCCAGAATGAAGGCGCGAGATTCCGGGAAACCTCTGAAGAAAATTAGGGAGACGCAAAATTTTACGTCCAAGAGAAATCAAACTAGAAAAGACGAAATGCTTGAGCTATTCCAAAACGACATGAGTGAAAGCAAGCAAAGACAGGCCTCGACTAAAAGCAAGTCAGCATTGTTTAAGAAAAAATCTAAGAGTTCGTTCAAAAGCAAATCAAGGTATGCTTTTCTTTGCTTAAGATTGTTTCCTGCAAAATATTAAGTCATCTGTTTTCCATCTTGTTTGGATGAACCAAAATAGTTTGTGTAGAGTTGGATCTAACTGTTGGGTAGGTAAGCGTCCTGCAGCAAGAGCAGTACTATACCCACAATGATTGGCCATACAATCGCTGTTTATATCAAAGAATTAAATATTATACTAGCGTCAATGAATTTAGTATCATGAAAACTTTTTGTAATGCTCAATTTCAGATTTTACGAGTAGACTTGTACAAGACTTTTCCTATGTTACCTTGCTTAGGATTATGAAGTAGACCATAAAAAAATTATATCTCGCGACTTAATACATTCCTAAACATGTAGGTTTTCCATGCAGAGAATCAAACCATTGCTTTGTGACACTGATCCATGCAAGGCTGCTCAGACCGAACAAATCTTTTATTCGGTGGTTGACTTTTGTGTGGTTATGATGATGCCTTTCAAATTTAAAGTTCAGGATTTGCTTGTGTTATCTATCTTGTGTGATTGGTTTCCTTCTCCCCTTTTAAATGGGACAGTTGGTCTGGGGCTAGGATTGTACGTGACTAGTCAGAGATCCATTAGAGTATTCACAGAAGCCTGAAGGATATAATTCTTGTGTCGAGCAGGGATTTTTGTTCATAGACCCTTCTCCTACGTGTATTATTGATGGATACCAATTACCACCCTAGCTTTGAATCAATGTCTTCATTTTTCTTTAACCCTGGAAATTAGAAAAACTGCTATTTTTACCTCCTACCGTTGACCATTGACTTAACTGCGCCATTGGACTTTATGATCTTGAGAACCGGGTATCATGGATCCGAGAACTATGATTTGACAATGGTTTATGGCTTTTGAAGTTAAGATGATTCTTTCGCACTTTCCGGCAGGTAAATCCAGTGGGGCGTCCAAAACTGATAGGCCCACCCACCAGTTAGGACTGAGATACAGTCACTTGCTTAGTACTGCCAACTTTAATGGAATCACTCCCAGATGACTTTGGTCGTGTGTTTTTTTATTTATCTGTTGGCATATGCCTGGAGTGTTCTTGTGGGAAACTAGTTGACTTTTTTATAAACCACCCAAATGGAATGATCTTCCGGGCAGCTCTTTGACATAATGGAACACAACGCAATCGAGTCTGTAATTAATATTACCTGTGGATGGGATTTACTAGGTTATTTACTGGTTCAGTCTAATTGTTCTTCTTATTCTCTCTGAATCAAGTAAATAAATACTTGGCTGTGGACTTGAGAATTCCCTTTAATAATATTATCCCACTTGGGAGCATATGTGGTGAATCTCTGACTCTACTCGAACCCATATGCAGGTACAAGCGCAGGTAATACAGCGGAGGCACGTCGTTGACTCAGGGTTTCGAAGGAGGCCGTGGCGTAGGATGTTTGATGAAATCATGGGGCAGTTCGTCCTCTTATTTTGTTGTAAGTGATAATAATTTTTGTTCTATGCGTAATTTATCCGCGTTTTAGTTATTACAGAGAGATAAGACGGAGCACTTGGATGCTGAAAAAGCTTCATTGTCCCGATTCTACCGTGAATCGCCGAGGGCCCGTGAAAAAGTGGGCTGCCCACATTCCGACGTTGACTTCGTCTCTTTTCACCAAGGTCAACGGAGGCGCATTCGAAACCCCTGGGGGGCCGTAAAGAACCCACCCCCCCCCCCTTCCCCCACATTAATAGGGGCCTCCTTTTCTTCCTCTTTCCCACTTTATGGGGCTTCTCTGGTTGGCCGACCTTCCGTCAGGGCTTCCACGCTGCCCTCTGCTGGGCTGCAGTCCCGTTGGTCGGGTCAGAGTAGAAGAAGAAGAAGAAGAAGAAGAAAGAGAAAAGGAGGTGGTGGGGGGGGGGTTACTCCTCTTCTGACCGGTGGGTTCCACTCCCTTGTCCTGCGAACTCTTCTTCACATTCAAATCCGAGAGGTACACAGAGAGAGAGAGAGAGAGAGAGAGAGAGGTTGCTCTGATGCATGTGCGGCGGAGGGGCTGATCCACGCTGGGTAGAGGCCGGCCGGGAGGGGACCCTCGCCGGCGGCCCATGGGTTGCGTCGGAATCAGAGAAACCAGAGCGTGCTCTCTCTCTCTCTCGCTTGGAGTTTGGGACGGCGGCGAATGGCCGTCTGGGACCGTCGGTGGAGTTGTTTCGAACTCGGGGGAAAGTGGACTCGTTTCGCTTTTCCGATTACTTCGAGCGGCAAGGCAGTTCGCCTCACGGGAGCGGTGACCGCAGCCACCTGGGCCCTGGCGGCAGCCCGAATGACTCCTCTGGTTCACACCCCACAATAAAAATCTCTCTCTCTCTCTCTCTCTCTCTTCTACCCCCTCCCGAGGAATAAAAACAGGGTTGACTGACTCATCATCAGCATCTCCATCCCCATCCCCACCCCCGACCACGAGAAACCCTAGTCGCCATTAAAGTGGGCGGGGGGAAGGCAAGGTGGGTGGTGGCGATGATGATAATCCCTCGTTAACCGTTAAACTCTCCCCTGAACGCCCTTATTTTGAATTACTTGGGATCCATCCCCTCTCCCCAAACCCCTCCACTCACACAGTCGCCCACAGTCCAGAGTAGCTTCCACTACCGCCGCCGAGGGCACCCATGGCGGCCCCCCCCCTCTTTCTCATCCTACCTGCTCTGATCCTCCCCTTTCTGACCCAAACCCTCGTCGGAGCAGCGGACGCTGCCGCTTCAACGCAGCAGAAGACGTACATTGTCCGTGTGGACCACCGCTCGAAGCCTTCCATCTTCCCCAGCCATGCCGACTGGTACGCCGCGTCCTTCCTCTCCGACCCCCTCCACCTGGTCCATGTCTACAGCACCGTGTTCCATGGCTTCTCCGCGGTCCTCTCCCCCGACCGTGCCGCCGACGTCGCCCGCCATCCCTCCGTCCTTGCCGTCCTGGAGGACCGCCGCCGCCGCCTCCACACCACCCGCTCCCCGCAGTTCATCGGCCTTCGCAACCAGGTGGGCCTCTGGTCGGACTCCGACTACGGCTCCGACGTCATCGTCGGCGTCCTCGACACGGGGGTCTGGCCGGAGCGCCGATCGTTCTCCGATCTAAACCTCGCCCCCATACCCTCTCGCTGGAAGGGGGTCTGCGAATCTGGGGCCAGCTTCTCTCCCTCCGACTGCAACAACAAGCTCATCGGCGCGCGGTCCTTCTCCAAGGGCCACGACGCGGCGTCTGTCATTGGCGGAGGGCCGGTGATCAACGAGACCGTCGAATACCGCTCGCCGAGGGATGCTGATGGGCACGGCACCCACACTGCCTCCACTGCCGCCGGCCGCCACACCTTCGAGGCCAGCATGGCCGGATACGCCGCCGGGATCGCCAAGGGGGTCGCCCCAAAGGCCAGGCTTGCTGTCTACAAGGTATGCTGGAGAGGTTCCGGGTGTCTGGATTCGGACATACTCGCCGGTTTCGACAGCGCGGTGGCGGATGGCGTGGACGTGATCTCCGTCTCCATCGGCGGCGGCGACGGCGTGGGATCTCCCTACTATCTCGACCCCATCGCCATCGGATCGTACGGCGCCGTCTCCAGGGGGGTGTTCGTCTCTTCTTCCGCCGGGAATGACGGGCCGACGAGTATGTCCGTGACCAACCTCGCTCCATGGCTTACGACGGTGGGGGCCGGCACCATCGACCGGACCTTCCCGGCCGACGTCGTCCTGGGCGACGGCCGGAAGATTGCCGGCGTCTCGCTCTACTCCGGCGATCCCCTCGGCGACAAGATGCTCCCTTTGGTCTACCCCGGAAAATCAGGTGGCCTCTCGGCGTCCCTCTGCATGGAGAACTCCCTCGACCCCCAGCTCGTGAAGGGGGCCATCGTCATCTGCGAGCGTGGCAGCAGCCCGCGTGTGGCCAAGGGGCAGGTGGTGAGGGAGGCCGGCGGCGTCGGGATGATCCTCGCCAACGGGATCGCCAATGGCGAGGGCCTCGTCGGCGACGCGCATGTGCTCCCGGCGTGCGCCGTCGGCGCGGAGGAGGGCGATGCCGTCAAGGCCTACGCTTCCTCCTCGCCCAACCCGACGGCCACCATCGACTTCCACGGGACGATGATCGGCATCAAGCCGGCGCCTTTGGTGGCGTCCTTCTCCGGCCGGGGGCCGAACGGGCTCTCTCCAGCGGTGCTCAAGCCCGACCTGATCGCTCCGGGAGTCAACATCCTGGCGGCATGGACCGACGCCGTCGGGCCCACGGGGCTGGACATGGACGACCGGAAGACCGAGTTCAACATCCTCTCGGGGACCTCCATGGCGTGCCCCCATGTCAGCGGCGCGGCGGCGCTGCTCAAGTCGGCGCACCCGACATGGAGCCCCGCGGCCATCCGGTCGGCGATGATGACGACGGCGAACGTCGAGGACAACCGCCTCCTCCCGGTGAACGACGAGTCCACAGGGAAACCCTCGACACCGCTGGACTTGGGAGCCGGCCACCTCAATCTGAACCGCGCTATGGATCCCGGCCTAGTCTACGATCTAAAGAAGGAGGACTACGTCAACTTCCTATGTGCCATCGGGTACGGCCCCAAGACGATCCAGGTGATCACCCACGAGCCGGTAGACTGCCCGGAGAAGAAGCCGGCGCCGGAGAACCTGAACTACCCATCCTTCTCCGTCCTCTTCGACGGCGCCTCCTCCGGGAACCTGAGCAAGACCTTCATCCGGACGGTGACGAACGTCGGCCCCCCCGAATCCGTGTACCGCTCCACAGCTCAGATCGCTGCCAAGGGATTGACAGTAAGAGTGAAACCCCGGAAGCTAGTGTTCACGTCGGCGGTCACTGCGCTGAGCTATGTGTTCACAGTCTCCGCAGACTCGCAGAACCTGACCTTGGGAGAATCAGGCTCCGCCTTCGGTTTCCTCTCCTGGTCGGACGGCGAGCACGTCGTCCGCAGCCCCATCGTGGTTTCCCGAATCCAGGCCTTGTGATGAGAGTTCGCCGTCCCGCATAGGCGGCGGGATCTGCCCAGGCCGACGTCGCCGGCGGCGTTGCCGGAACTGCCAAGTCCGTTTGGTTCCCCCGGCCGATCGGTGTCCTCTGTTCTGTGGATAAGCTCGAGTACTCTTTGGCTTTGTGCTTTTTATCGTGTACTTCTGTTCTTAATTTCGTGCACCGCCGGGCCTGTTGGCCGGCGGCGAGAAGCTGCCTCCCTCGCACCCGTCTTTAGCCCTCGTAGCGGCGCCACTGGTTCGGCCGTGCTCACCGTCATCAGTGCTTGGAGCCGCGATCAAGGAGTTACCCGAGAGCGACGACTGGGGAGGAAAGTCTCACTGAGACCGTTAGGCAGGTGATCAACGGTCGGCTATAGCTTCCCAGACAGTGCGGGAGTCCTGATGGCGACGGCGCCATGAAGAATATGCCATATGCAGGCTGGCGGGGGATGAGAAGGCATCTCCTTTTCCAAAAGAAAATCTCACCATCTCCGACAGGGTAGAGCTTCCGTGGTACCTCAGTTTTCTTTTGCCGGATAGCCATCGATATAAATCGCAGTGGGGTTTTGAGATTACGTCGAATATTTGATTTCGAATAAACAACGGAAGATTAATTTATTTAATGCGATGTTCAGAGACTATACCGACCAGATTAAATGAATTAAGATGAAAATAAAGTTCCTGATGGATTGGGGTGAGTAGCTCTTAGCTTTCGAAAGAGGATTAGGCAGTTCATATCATGAATTGGCACCGGATCCTGCCAGGGAGAGTCGGAACCACGGCGGCTGCGGCGGTGGAGACCTTTCAGTGCGCATGAAGAGATCCCAGACGGGTGGATCTCTGTTTCTGACGTCTGGGTTTCTCTGATTTATGCGATGAATAGCCATTTTTTATCTCTGTTTTCTTCTCTTGTTCTGTAGGATGTAGCAGCGCACATATTTCTAAGGTGGATGGAAACTTTCATGTTTTCTTCTGCTCTGCCTGTCTAGTTCATAAATTTTAATGAATCTACTAAAAAAAATGGCGGGCAAAGTGTATTTCCGCATTATTAGGTTCAGACCCAAGTTCATTTGCTTTGTCATTGCTGATGACTGTAAAATCTGAACTATCTTACAGGTACATTGGCATTGAAGAGCATGCATGGTATATCAGGAGCCGTCACAATTCTGGTTGAAGGAAACACAGAAACCACTCTAGAAGGTTTAGATTTTCCTCTCCCCACCAGGGTCAATCTCCATGCTTTCTCTTTATTCGGGAAAAATCTATTTTTGACTTCTGGAATGTGGTTGACCAAAATTATCAATGGCTGGTGTCTGTACGACGGATGAAAAGTCAGATCTTCCACTCGTGGCAGGACGAAGTGCTGCGCTGCTCATGTTTTGCTCACAGATGTCGTGATTACGGCCCTCGGGTTGCTTGAGAGGAATGGAAGAAAAGTAACCCGGAATCTGGCAACACAGAAGCCGATGGATCCTACAGAAGCTTTGGCCAGGTCGGGAAGCGAGCGAAGAAGTTGAACAAAGTTGGCATCGTCGGGCGCCGAACTCCCATCAGGCCATCAATCATTCTTGTGGAGCGAAGTCGTCGCCTTTGGTTCCTTCCCGCCGGAGGTTGCAGGGTCTGAGCTCTGAGCTCTGAGCTCGCTGCCTCTCGAACAGCGGGGGTGGTACTGACTTCGCTGCGTTGAACATTTATTTTCTCTTTGGGAGTACCTTCTTCTTCTTCTGATCAACACATGGATGGTTTCAATGCCGTGGGTTGACCTTCCACGTGGCCACTCCTCCGGTAAATATATTCCCCGCCGGGTCAAATCCAGCGGCTGGCTCAGATTCTCCATGATCAGACCTGATGCGAGGGAACCCATCTCCTCGATCAGAATTTCCTCCCTCCTCTCCCGTCGCCACCACAGCCGGCTAGATACGAAAGCTACGCCGTGGAAAGAACAGATGCCCCTCTTCTCCAGAGGCCCCATCTCTTTTTCTTACCACCCCCCCCACACCCCCCCCCCCCCAGGTTGCAGGGCATCGGGTTCCCCGGGCCGGAGCTGACGGCGACGAGCACATCAAGAGGTCGCCGGAGCGGCCGCGTCGCCGGCCGGAAAGGAGAGTCCACTCCGACGGAAAAGGCTACGGGTACTGCCTGAGCACGGCGGAGGCTATCCGCCTCGGCATTCGGCCAACTCCGGCAGGCGTTATGAATAGATTAATCCGTTCAGGGAGGAGGAACTGAAGGGAACGCGGCGTGATGGGCCTTGTCAGCTTGTCACCTCAACGGTTCTGCTCGTCCGGTAGCCCACGCCGCCGGACGGAAGCTACCGTGGACCAGCGCAGGGATACGAAGCTCCGCCAGGCCTATACGTCAACTCAGACGCTGCCGTTTCCAGCTATGGCTGACGCTTCCAAGCTTTACGGTGACGGACGCTCCACCTCGTCAAACGGACGCCGTCAGTATGGCGGCCCGTGGCTATTCACATGGGGACCCGTCATCCACCTAAGGACCCTCCGGCAGTCAGTGCAGCAGCACAGCTCACTCTCTCTTCTCTGTCTCTCTCTACGACCTTTCTCTTGTACAGCCTTTCCCTCGATTCTCTTGGAGGCATCGAGGCGAGGCTTGTTATCCGGCTTCTTCTCTATCCCAGCCTTTCCGTCTCGCAGTGTCTGTCCCTACAGCAGCGGGGATATCTCGAGGACACGAGATAGGAAGGAAGAAGAAGGGGAAACTGAGGCTAGCGCGTAGATGAAGAATCTCCGCTTGTCCGCCGCCGCCGCCGCCGTCGTATTCATCTGGTTCTTCTTCCTGTCGTCGTCAGTCGGCTCTCGGAGGCTCTCCTCCGGCGGCGAAGGTGACGGGGATCTCCACAGCCTGATGAAACTCAAGTCTGCCATGGTTGGGCCCGGGGGAGTCGGCCTCCTCGACTGGAACGATTCATCCTCTTCACACTGCGCCTTCTCCGGTGTGGTGTGCGACTCCAGCGGTAGAGTTGTCTCCCTCAATGTCTCCTTCCAGCCGTTATTCGGGCGGCTGCCGCCGGAGATTGGGCTCCTCTCTGAGCTCGTGAACCTCACTATCTCCTCCACCTCCATCGGGGGGAGCCTTCCACCGGAGATCGGCAACCTTAAGAACCTCCGAGTTCTCAACATATCCAACAACATTTTCTCTGGCTTGTTCCCGCTTGAGGTCGCCGGGGGGCTGCCAGAGCTGGTGGTCCTCGACGCCTACAACAACAACTTCTCCGGCGCTCTTCCGCTTGGTCTCGTGGGTCATCGGCGGCTACGGCACCTGCATCTCGGAGGCAACTTCTTCTCCGGCGAGATCCCTGAAGGTTACTCTGAGATCGGGAGCCTTGAGTACCTGGGTTTGAACGGCAACGGTCTCTCCGGGCGCATCCCCGGAAGCTTGAGCCGGCTTTCGAACCTTCGGCAGATGTACATCGGCTACTACAACGCCTACGACGGCGGGATACCGCCGGAGTTCGGGTCGCTGGCGGCGCTGGTGCGGCTGGACATGGGGAGCTGCAACCTCACCGGAGAGATACCGGTCAGCCTCAGCCGGCTGCAGTTCCTTGACTCTCTGTTCTTACAGATGAACCACCTCTCGGGCAGTATACCCCCCGAGCTGGGAGACCTCGCCAGCCTCAAATCTCTCGACCTCTCCATCAACGAGCTCACCGGAGAGATTCCGGAGAGCTTCTCCCAGCTGAAGAAGCTCACTCTGCTCCACCTCTTCCGCAACCACCTTAACGGGCGCATCCCTCCGTTCATCGCCAACCTCCCTAACCTCGAGGTGCTCCAGGTCTGGGAGAACAACTTCACGCTGGAGCTGCCGGAAGGACTGGGCAGAAACCGCCGGCTGAAGAAGTTAGACGTGGCGACGAACCGGCTCACGGGTTTGATCCCCCGGAGCCTCTGCGACGGTGGCAATCTAGAAACCCTCATACTGATGGAGAACGGCTTCTTCGGACCGATCCCGGAGGAGCTCGGTGCCTGCAAGTCTCTGACGAGGGTTAGGTTGGCGAAGAACTTCCTGAACGGCTCAATCCCCGCCGGTCTCTTCGACCTCCCCTTCGCCGACATGATTGAGCTCAGTGACAACTATCTCTCTGGCGAGCTCCCGTCGTACGTCGCCGGGTACTCCCTGGGCATGCTGCTGCTCTCCAACAACATGATTTCCGGCTGCATACCCTCGTCGATCGGCAACCTTGTTGGTTTACAGACGCTGTCGCTGGACTCCAACCTGCTCTCCGGAGAGATCCCCCGCCAGATCGGGCTCCTGAAGAACCTTTCGAATCTGAATTTGAGCGGGAACAGGATCGGGGGTCCTGTGCCGGAGGAGTTGTCCCGGTGCACGTCGCTGGTGTCGATCGATCTGAGCCGTAACAATCTCGGCGGAGGAATTCCTGAAGCCATCACCGAGCTCCAGAACCTCAACACGTTGAATCTGTCCCGGAATGGTCTCATTGGCGGGATACCCCAGCGGATCGAGAGGATGCAGAGCCTGACGCTGCTCGACCTCTCCTTCAACAATCTCTCGGGGAAGATCCCCATCGGCGGACAGTTCTTCGTCTTCAACGAGAGCTCCTACGCGGGCAATCCCAATCTCTGCGGAGGCCCTCTCCATCTCGGCCCCTGTTCCTCGCTCAATTTGGGCCATACACCTTCGAACACGAGGCCATCGCAGTCGTTCAACCCGTCGAAGTTGCTCATCACGGTCGGCGTCCTGGTCGCGGCCACGATCGTCGCCATCGCGGCGGCGGTGGCGGCGAGGTTTTGGTGGAGAAAACACCGGCGGTCGAACAGGTGGAGGATGACGACGTTCCAGCGGCTGGATTTCTCCGTCGACGACGTGATCGAGTGCCTCAAGGAGGACAACGTGATCGGGAAGGGCGGCGCGGGGACGGTGTACCGAGGCTCCATGCCGGGCGGGGCTGAGGTGGCCATCAAGCGTCTCGTCGACAAGGGCGGCGGCGGCGCCGCGGGACAACACGACCGGGGCTTCACGGCAGAAATTCGGACACTGGGGAAGATTCGGCACAGGAACATCGTCCGACTTCTAGGCTTCGTGTCAAACAAAGAGGCGAACCTTCTGCTGTACGAGTACATGCCCAATGGGAGCTTGGGGGAGCTCCTGCATGGAAGCAAAGGGGCTCATCTGGACTGGCACGCCCGCTACCGCATCGCCCAGGAGGCGGCGAAGGGGCTCTGCTACCTTCACCACGACTGCTCGCCTCTCATCATCCACCGCGACGTCAAGTCCAACAACATCCTCCTCGACTCCGCTTTCGAGGCTCACGTCGCCGACTTTGGCCTCGCCAAGTTCCTGCAGGACTGCGGCGCCTCGGAGTGCATGTCCTCCATCGCCGGCTCCTACGGCTACATCGCTCCAGGTAATTATCCTCACTGCCGCGTCTTCATCTCTCTCTCTCTCTGTGCCCTCCCTCCCCCGTGCGCAGTGAATCTGTCTTTACCAGTAGGAACATCCTTGGGCGGTCGGGCGACGGCGCTGGGTGCTGTTACCCCAAAACCCTACCCTCTGCCCCGAGGGGGGTCCAGGAGTTGACAGAGAGGAAAGAGGGTCTGAGGCGGTTGGACTTTTGTGGCTGTCGGGTCAATGCCATCTTTTGGCCCATTGTGGAAGTAGGGTTAAAGGCAGAGGAGGGCGGTTCCCAAAATCCAAGCTTTCCATTGATGACAATAGTGGCGAGCCTTCATGCCATTTCTGGAATTTGCGCGACGGTGGTGGCACTGTACTGCTCTGCAAATGAATAGCTAGCTCTTGGGTGCAGTCATTGCACCGGGAACTGACAACTTTGTGCGCAGAATACGCCTACACGCTGCGGGTGGACGAGAAGAGCGACGTGTACAGCTTCGGGGTGGTGCTGCTGGAGCTGGTCACCGGGAGGAAGCCGGTGGGCGAGTTCGGCGACGGCGTGGACATCGTCCGGTGGGTGAGGAAGACGACATCCGAATTGTCCCCCGAGGACCCATCTGCGCCGGCGGCGGCGATGGCGGTGGCCGACCGCAGGCTGCTCGGCCGCCCAATGGAGACCATCGGCTTCCTCTTCCGGGTGGCCATGCTTTGCGTGGAGGAGAACAGCGCGGCACGGCCGACCATGCGAGAGGTGGTGCACTTGCTGGCCAGCCCAAGTTGCTCGCAGCCCTCCGACCTCCTCTCCCTCTGATCGGCATAACCTACCCCCTCGTCTTCCGCCGAGGAAGATGCCCGGCTAGCCAGCGCCCAATAGGCCGTAACGAGCCACCGAGCATCCCCCCCACCCACCCAAATATATCTCGTTTACGGGCTCTGTACATTCGTAGTTTTTTGTGGATCACAGCCCAGGTGGCGATAGCTCCAGCCCGATATCAGTCGGCTCTGAACGAGGGATGAGAGGGGAGGAAAAACCCTTCAATCTGTTCATCTTGGTTGAGTGCCGAGTTCTTACAGCTAAAAATGGGAAAATATTATGGAGAACAGAGCAGTTTGAGGCACCTAAAACGTGCCATACCAAGAAGGTAATTGCTTTGAGGTGTTCTTGAGACCTAGTTTCAATGCGTACTAGAGACGTAGAACCGGTTCGCGGCCTCCACCCAGTGTACACATGCTCCCCTGTAGCTTAGACACGCGCACTACCCAGCTGCGCGGTTCGGGGGAGGAGGATGACGGAGAACGATGTGGTTTCATAGAAGGGAGAAATTTTGCTCGGCACCCTCGAATCCCATATCCTTCAGAAATTCAGTTACCCCCTTCCTCTCTCTTCCGACAAAGAGGCCTTCATCCCTTCTCTCTACACGTCGGCCCAGGATCTGCCGCCACATCCCCCATGTAGCCCTCCATCGACGGGAAGGACCTCGCCGAGATCCTCGACGCCGAAGAGGGAAAGTATAGCATCGACGTCGTAACTTGAAACAGGATACCCTCGTCTGCGTTCCTGAGCTCAGATATAATATCCCGATGCCTGCTGATACGCTAGTAGTCCCTGCTGGGTCTGCCGGGTGGTCACCGGAATGTCAGAGAAGGTCGTCGGCGGGATCCTGCCTGGGTTCGTGGAGGTCTCAGTTAGTGAACTCGAAGGCTGGAAAGAAGTCCTTCCCCTGATTCCCGGAGAAATCGTTCTCGCTTCTCTTGATAGCTCCGGTTTGTCCTCTCTGCAAATCACTATCCTGCACTGCTTAGAATCATTTCTTCGATAATCAATGCCAGTCTGACAGCGACGATTGATGGGATGTAGAAGCTGGCACGACGAGAAAGCTGCCGACTTCACAAACGAGAGCCTGGAGTCCGCAGGGCACGCCGTAGCGTCCGCCTGGTTGTGTTCGAGGTCCGGCAGGCCCTCGACCCCAACACGTCGATCAAGCAGACGGCACTGATGAAGTCGGCTCCAGTGTCCGCTTCCGCTGAATCAAAGGCTAAGCTTGCCAAGTATGCAGGCACCCAAAACAAACAGTTTTCGGTTTCTCTGCTGTTCATCGTCCGTAGTTTTGATGTTCAGGAGAATCAATTAGGGTGTATATACGAGCAATTTCTATATTTCTTGTCCTTGGTCTCATCGTGTTTTAAGAAAGCTTAATCCGGACTAAGTTCAACAAAGTAGATCGATTTTTTTGCATTAAAATGCGTCGCAGTCTATGCATTCTTTCGTCGAGAATAGTCCCGAGTTGTGTCGGGTTTTTCTCCAAAGTGATGACACCCAGCTCTGGGGTCTTGGTGGATTGTGCCAGATTTTTCCTCTTAGCAAGTTGAAAGATTTAGAGAGAACTTCGAGTCGAAACATACGAAATCTGCAATCCTAAGACAAAGTGGTCCGACAAGAGATTGGAGAGGGAAAATGACGTAGAACAGAATCGCAAGAAATGCGTAAGGCAAAAACAGTGTACCTGAAAAGGCTCAGACTGGTGTAACGTTGAAGATTCAAAGCCGGCATCCTATAAGGCCCATTTGGTTGATTTAACGAAGAATATCCTTTATGAAAAGTTGTGGGTATATGGAAATCTATCATGTCAGCAGCACTAGTTCCTCAAAAGTCCTTTCTTTCGGCATTGTGTTAGTGGAACCTGAGCTAATATTGGCCCATTTAAGCACTCACGCATGATAGAAAGTCACTATCGAGGATAGTAGAAGATCGAAGTTCCAGAGAGCTAATCTAGTGAAAATGGTAAAGCGTATTATTATCCGCCATCCGTCTGCTCGTAAAGACCTCGTTATTAGGCTTATGAATGCCGCGATAGTTGATATCGATGAGGATGCTCATGCTTGGGATGATGGTGAAGCAAACAAAAATACTAACTGACGGAAGTCTGAGAGGGTGGAGATTCATTTGAGGAGAATCCGTAGGGCTACTTTCCTCGAGTGTGGATTTGAAGGGACCAGAAATGTCATCGCTTGGGAGAAGATCATATCCTTCATTAACGAGTAATTGGTGTTGAAGCTATTACGACTGAGATCGTTAAACACGAACCGTGTATATTTGGGAGAGCTAAAGCTTCCTAAAGACCTTCTATGATGGCTCAAACTCCCTCTCCAGAGCGAGCGAGCGTAGGTACTGACGCCTTAGGCTCCGTCGACCGTTTACCTGATCGGGAGGTCCTTGATTTGCGAGTGGAATTGCCTTCCAATCTTCAAGCTATGATCAACAAGTTGAATTTTCTGGTTCTTAGGTCTTGATCAACTCCATCGCCTTGACTAGCCCAGGTTTACTGCCGCCATGGATTGTTTTGGTTGAGAGGTGCTTTAGAAAGAACTTGGGATGTGAGGCGGCACACAGTACCTCGGTGCTTCTCATGCACAGCCTTCGCAGAAATTGTTCCGTCTAGCTGTGAATCACAGGCGCATTGGCATTGCCTAGGACAGATCACTGTTTAGAGACCAAAAACAACTTCTATCCGATGAATATCTCTGACCACGACAAGTGACAAATGTCTATAGGGTATATACATATTTGCGGTATATGTACCGAAAATATATATTTTAAGTATTCCGATCAATATTTCATGCTCAGATTGATATTTGCGGTATTCCGATAAATCGAGCAGCATTTGCCACGTAATCCAAGCAGGTAAGATACACCGTAGAGTGAGATAAAGCTTGCGATTCCGGATCAACTACTTAGAATTCAACATCTGTTTCCGAAACAGATCTACTCTTCCTTCCCCTCTCTCTCTCTCTCTCTCTCTCTCTCTCTCTCTCTCTCTCTCTCTCTCTAGATGACAGTAATATTCTCCTGTCACGATTTGATGTCATACTCGAGAACATTAGGAATGGAAGATAGAACCCATGAGCATAGGCCAAGCCCGGCCAGACTCAATTTGGAAACCAACTGTGCATTAATCATATGAATTAACTGGCGATTCTCCATGATCCTAGTCTATCCAAATCCGATCTTCAACCTGGTTTTCTTCAGTAGAGAGTTCAAGTAGGAAACGCCAACTTCGACCCATGTCTTCCATTTTATTTTTGGCTTTTTCCTATGAAAACTCGTGGGAATCTTATGCCTCGGACATACGTTTTAGATTGGCTTCACTGACGAACTATTTACCCCCAGCCTTCATCTCGTAGCCGCATTCCCATGGTTCTTCTCATGATTTTGTGAAGACCTGCCTTTGGAAATTAAACGACAAGCAATAGGATTTAGTTCATCATTGTTTTTCCGAAAACTTTAGTCTGTGATTTTTTAGGAGTTTCTTTGATCTTCGCCCAATCCGAATCTAGTGGCTCTGACGCTGGGTTTTGTATACTTCTCTAGTGCGCGGATTCCATGTTAGGTAATCTGTCTTGAGCGCATATGTTTACGCCAACCATCATCGTCGAAGAAGCCATTGTTTTTATGAGCAACCTTCTGGCCATGTGCACTTGTTGTCGCGTTGAAAAAATCTCTAAAGATCGTTCTCTAGAACCCACTCCGTCATCCTATTTATTTAAGATGTGAATTAATTTCTTACGTGTCGGTTCCCGTTTTCCATGTGCGTCCTTTACGCCTTCCTACTGGCCAGATTTCCCGCCACTTCACGCCATATCCCCTTCCGGGGGGGAAGAAAATTCCAAGCAGCCTACCATTCTTCCCATTCGATCATGTGCGCGCCTCTTGAAACAGTTCTCCGGTTCCCTCCGGATTGAGATTTCCTCTTCCCGGCCGACAGACGAGGATTACGACGCAGAAGCTGGGGACTATTCTCGATCAGAGTTCCTTGCGGAGGCGTTATTAACGGCGTGAATACACATTATGCTGATAGGATGAGCTCGGAAGAGACTTTCCCTACACGACAATAAATTCTTCGTCACATCGCCCTGTTCGCAAGTTGCAGCTAAATGGCAGCTGGCGGGCGCCACCCCTGGAAGTTTGTTCACGCCACCTAACACTCGGGGCATCAACCAGCCCATCGTCCAGAGTTCGAACTGTTCGACGAGGAAGCGTCCGGGGCTGTGAAGACAGAACGACTCCGAATCCGACCGTTACTGTACCTCAGCCGGTTGCGTGCGAGGGAGCCAGAGTCTCCGATGTGGGATCATTACAGTAGGACGATGTACGAAGAGGGTTAGGCCGAGTTAGGCGGCGTCGCTGGTAGTTTGGCGTGCCATTTAGGGCGTTTTCCTCTCGTCACCACGCTTGGTTGTATGTTCGAGTTTGGCACTTTCTCTACTAGGGAATGGTATGCCATTAGGTCGTTAAGCTACACCCTCGTAGCTTACTATGACGACGTTACAATCCATTAAAAAAATGCAGTCATATCTCTTCTTTCGTCACAGTTTACTATTATTAAGCTCGTGTCTCCTGCTGCGCTGGAAATCCTTTCCCCCAGCCCATTGGGCAAGGCGAAGATTCGAACACGGCGAGGCGGCGCAGCCGGGGGAGGCGGACGAAGGAAGCAACTGGATCACGTGGGTGACGGAGGCGGCGGAGCCTCTGGTGGTGATGTTTTCGCATGATCAGTCCCGGCAAGGTGGAGAGTCCCCGACCTTACACGGTCTCCGAGATCCCAGACTCCCCATCCCAATTCAGTGGAGCGGTGTCGTGGGCCTGTCTCTCACGCCTTTGTTCCTTGGCGATATTCCTCGGCTTCTTACCCCGGCAGCGCCACTTCAACTCTCCAAAAGCTTCCATCTTTCCGTGGCCTCGCCGTAGTAAGCAAGCCATTCTATTAGTGGCACAGGTCACACGGTAGAACGAAATTAATTAAATGACGCAAGATTATTCGTAAACGAGATCATCGACGAAGAAATTTAGGTCATGAAGTCGGGTACGTTCCCGATTTTTCTGGTCTGAGTTCTCTCCCGATCGCAAAGTTGTCGACATCACTGAAACTCGAGATGTGTTTCTGTGTCCTTGAAGATGCCCGCCAGTACTGCTAATCTAGGGTTTAACATATATATTTCGTATTATAGGCCGTAAACTGCGCCGTATGGGAAAAATTCTGAGCACATCAAGCAGGTGGAGCCTAATGAATGCCTCATCTGGGTCCCGGCGGCGGCCCATCGCCGAAATAGTGGCGGAGGGTGAGCAAGGGGAAGAACCAGACTGACAAGAAGAGGATGGGGAGTTTGGGAGCGGTGAAGGGAGATTAGGAAAGAAGCGACGAGCCGAGGACCCCACCAGAAGAGTCTTCGAAAAGGGTTTAGTTATGCTATCCTTATGGCAAGAATTCGGCCAAACTGTGGATTACGGGATGCCAATCGTAGAAGTCAGAGAATAAATGGAGAATGGTTTTCGTTTCCAAACTTCTCGATCCTAGCGATTAATGAGACGGCGGGGGCGGTGGCATAAGCAACAGCAGGAGAAATCCACCCGTTAATGAGAGAAAACAGAAGGGGGGTCGTATTCTAGAAGTCAACATGGAGAAGGACCGGACGACCGGTGGCTGGCGGAACCAGCGAATTCCCTCCCGCGTGTTGTTGCGAGGGGGATGTCAGAGAAGCGACTGCATCTTGGTAGGACTCCGACGGGTCGCTGCCAACCACTAGCCACCGTCATGCTCTACGGCATTAAAGCGCCGCGGGCGGGTGGAGGAAGAGTAGTTGGTATCGTGTGGCCACCCACCACTGCGATTCTCCGACGAGACTCCACCTTACCGAAAGATCCCAAGTGGGCATTCCAGAGGCCCACGACGAATCCTACTCCTTCTCTCTCCTTAATCTCCTCATTCTCCTCCTCTCTCTCTAATCATTCAACGGCTCACTCATGAGAAGGGGCAGCAAGGCGACCGGAGAAAATATCGGCAGGTCATCGAGGGGGCGATGGTCGGATATCTCGGAGGGTCGCATAGCGCATCATCTGGAAAAGGCACCTCCAAGTGACCACCGGCGGCGATTGATCATGTATGGGCGGCGGAGTGGACTTCGTACAAAGTATGTCACGGAGCTGACTTGATACGGGCAAGGCACTCAAGTGGGGCTTGGAAGAGAAGAGAGTGGCTTCTCTGGACGCCAATGGAGCCAAGTATTATGTCAAAGGGCAATGGACACCAGGTCGATCAAACAGACGATAGAGCCCGCTGGTGGGGGGACCCGGCGAGGAGATGTGGTTGCTACCGGAATTCAGCTCCGGCTACGCGAGAAGAAGGCCACATGCGAGGAATAACGGTGAGTGTTCGCCAGCATGAGTGCGTTTCGCCGTCGAGAACGACGGCAGAATTAGTCTGCGGCGACCTTGTTAGCGCCCTTGGTATGAGTTCTCAAAATTTAACCGGACAGGTGGGCTCCCCTACAAAAGCTGCACGTTTCGTGTTGAAATGTCCCTTATTTTGTCGTAGAACTCATAGACGCCGCCGTGATTTCGAGGTTTTATCGTGAAGAAAGAAATCAGGTGAGAAGATCTCGCCTCATTTGTAGAAAAAGGGTGGGAGGAGCCGACACAGTGCAGCTTTTTCCGAGGACGAAGACATTGCAAGCCGATATTTTACAATAAGAAGGCTTTGAGAACTGGGAGGGGCTCATGGAAGAATCTTCTACCAACCAAACCGTGGAATAATACGGTAGGTAGCTATTGAAAGGGACCCTGTTCCCCGGGGGGAGAGGGACAGCGGCCCACGGCGTTCTAGACTTTCAGCTCTCACCAATTCCCCTCCTTGGCTGTGGCGGACGGCGGAGAACGAACTGGACCCAATCAGATCATGCTTGAACCCAAGATCCCTTCTAACAGCCACGCTCGTAGTCCTCGCTACGTTCAACTCCGCGGATGATCAGAAGGCGGTCCCCTGTATTTCCGATCGAGGAGAGATTTATTTACGGACGCTGGTAATAAAAGAAAATGGAGTTCCAGCTTCTTCCGGATCGTTTCGGCGATGGATGGTCGGGTGGAAAGCTCCTGTCTTTTCAGAATCGTATGAAAATGGCCCCAGATCTCTATCTCTTCCAATTTTCAAAGGGTCCTAATTGCCGACTTGCAGAAGAACACGGGCTCACGCGTGATTGGGCCCCTGCTTTCATATGAGATCATCCCTCCATTATTCATAGTCCGCCGATCAAGAGAAGACTTTGGTTATCCGTGGAAGTCATCAATAACCCGGCGGCGGACAACGCCTCGGTGTCTTCTCAGTGTCTTCTCGATGCCGCCGGCGGGAGACGTGTTGCCGGGAAAGGGGATGAACGGCAGGTTAGAAAAATTAAGCTTTGGCGAGCCGACTCCCCCCTCCCCCGGGTCGCCGGTCAACTTGATATAATTTAATTCCTGAACACTCCATATCATGCCGGACATGGATTGCCCCTGACACATGCCTCATAATGCGGCATTAATTCGTCCGTGATGTAATCGCCGGCGACCTTCCGCACCGGAATCACTTTGCGTGAAGTCTTCTGAAACATACAGCGCCGCCCCTCTTCTTCTCTCTTCTCTACAATAGAGACTCGTAGGTAGTATAAAACCCTCCGGTCTGCTTTCTCTCTCCTCTGTGCCTTTCTTTATTAAGGAGACGGTTTACCTACCTGCCCAACGCCGGTCGCCCCCCCCCCTCCCCCCGCGCAGCTTATCCACAAGATGGTGCACGTGACGAGAAATTGCCCTTCTTCCGAGAAAGACAGGCCACATTTTTCCCGCGGGCGGCGGCGTGGGGGCGGTGGCGGGTAGTTCTCCCAGGGCAGACCTGCAAAACGAGCGAGCGAAACCCGGGCTCATCATTGGCGATTAGACCGCGCTTGCTTCTTCGTCTCCTTAGGCAAAAGGCGAGAATAACACTGGACTGATGGAGGAAACTTAAATCTCGCCTTCTTGCTCGTAATTACAAGTGTACATGGAGAGGGAGAGGACGAGGGAGAGGGGGAGAGAGAGAGAGAGAGAGAGAGAGAGAGAGAGAGAGAGAGAGAGCGACAGGGAGGGAGATCACAAAAAAATTAGAGAGATAAACGATAATGGTCCTGGGCAGATCTCCCTCCGCCGTTAAAGTAAGCGACATTAACAATCAATCGCGTGAGCAGAACCAGGAATACCCTTCCCGCTCCCGAATTCATAGCTTCATCTCGAGGCTTCTGTAATCCAAGAATCCCATGCTGAGACCGAGAAAGCTATTGCACATGCATCCCTTGCTCTTCTGCAATCCCAGTCTGCAGTTGAAGCAGGCCCCAATCTCCCCCTTGACGGCCTCCAGAGAGTTCTCGCGCGTATCCCGCTGCTGCACCTCTTCGTCGTAAGGCAGGCTAATAGAGAGGTCGAGGTTCAGATCGGGGCAGCGCTGTTCTTGCTGCTGCAGGTGCGTCTGAGACGACGGTAGCGAGAGCTCCTCGCTGCTACTTTTCTCCTCTTCTCGTCGGAGCCTGTGCGCGACACCCTTCTCTTCTTCCTTGGTGACGGAGAGGGTGACGTCGGAGATGGGCTCGTGAAGGGCGCGGTGGGTCGATGGGTCGATTCCTCTGTTCAACAGCTTCCTTCTGATGTGCGTGTTCCAGTAGTTCTTTATCTCGTTGTCGGTCCTCCCCGGTAGCCTCCCGGCGATCATAGACCATCTGAAGCGAGAAAATCATCATTACTCATCCTTCTGTGGCATTGCTTCTTCTTGAATTGGAGCCCCCGAGAAGAACGGAAATCAAAATCTGGAAAAAAGCTGAAAGGAAGACGCCGATTCGATCCAATCCGATTGTGGGGTCGCGGGGGAAGGGAGGGGGTCCCTGAGCACTCACTTGTTACCGAGGAGGCTGTGCAGCTTGATGATCAACTCGTCCTCCTCTTCGGTGAAGTTGCCGCGCTTCAGATCAGGACGGAGGTAGTTGATCCAGCGGAGCCGGCAGCTCTTGCCGCACCGGAGCAAGCCGGCGGCCTTGGGCAGCGACCGCCAGTTCCCCTCGCCGTGAGCTCTGATGTGGGCGATCAGCCGGTCGTCTTCTTCCTTGGTCCAAGCGCCCTTGTTGGTGTGGGCTTTTTCGCAGCACGGAGACCTCCCCATGGCCCTGGGCACCGCCGTTTCTCTCTCTTTCTCTGCTTCCTCGGCGGCGGTCTCGAGAGGCGGTAAAGGCGACGGCCAACCCTTCGTTGACGATTTATAGGCGTTTGACTCGAAAGAACCAAAAGGGCGTGGGCGGGCATCTGGGCCTTCTAGATGCGGGTTGGTAAGAAAATAAGACACCGTGGGAGAGAAGGGAGGGAGTGGCCGGTACGCACATTCCCGCCGTGACGTCATCCCATCGGCGCTCCGGCCCACATCGACGAGCCACGTAACCCGTAGGAAAGCTGGTATCTCAACCGTCGGTAGGCAGATGAGCAGCTGCCCCTCTGGCACCATACCTCTTGTCGTCTATCTGGACACCCTGTAACATAGGAAACGGCAGGAGCGGTCCGCAGGGTGGTGCCATCGAGACGACGGGGAGTCTCAGTCAGGCCTCGCGCAATCAATTCCACCCGGTCCGCCGGCGCGGGCAGAAAGAGCCCCCTGCCGCCGGCACCTACCCAACCACACGCTTACCTCCAGTGGTAGGTTGGTGGTGGGGGCGGGGAGGATGAGGGGGTTGTCACCTAATCACAGGCTTTAAAACTACAGGGGCCTTGCGGCGTCTAGTTTAGGGTTCCTTCTAGAAGGAGGAAGAGGAGGAAGCGGGGAGGGGGTGTGGTTGTGGGCTACTTCACCTTCCCTTTCCTCCCCCCTCCACAGCCGTCCGGCGGTGCAGGTTCCTGTCCTCAACTGCAAGTGGGGGCGCAGGAGGGAGGGAGCTGGTTTCTTGTCATCCCATCCAACTAGGAGACACGGGGTTGCCCACCACACATGCCCCCAGGGACTCATCCACCCCACCTCTCTCTCTCTCTCTCTCTCGTGGTGTCCGTTGATCACCTGTCCCATCGGAAGAGTTAGCCACTCTCTGCGCCCTCTGGCGTCGGAGTCAAACGAGAGGGACCCCAGAAGGGGAGCTTTTCCTTTTCGGTTTTTATACCGTTTTCCTCCCGTCGCCGATTGGATGAGGGAGGAAGTCCTCAACTGACGACTAATTTCTTCCGCGTGACATGCTGTCCAAATAGAACCAGGATTTGGCACCGTGAGATGAGCCCAACCGAGTCACTGATCCCACAGCGTCGTTGATTGGTCGGAGGGCGGGTTGCCACCGGATCCAGCGGCGACTTCGCCCACTGACGGCAGAAGCCGGCTGCGTCGGCGGTCTCGTTTAATGGGTCGCCGGAACATTCCACCTCCTGGTTGGTCGTCGGGCGGTGCCGGCGCGTTACGTGGTGCACATGCGTGTCACATCATGTAATTGCACCCCAGTCGGGATGATCAACACGTCGGAACTCTTTAATGCAGCGCCAATCGGAAGTTCTTAAGTCAAATGCGCGAAAGCAGCTTTCAAAAATTTCGAAAGAGGCCATTGCCGGTGCCCCAACCCAGATGCCTACGCAAGATGCACGAATGTTCTCCCGACAGAGGATACCTTCTATCCACTCACGTGGATTTCTTCTTCTATCCGCTCACGGATTCGATTCATCTTTCTCCCCCCTCCGCCAGGAGCCAGGCTACAAGAAACTCAGCGTCCTAACTTTCGCCATTAGAGGGAGAGCCGTGCCAACTGCGCGTCGTAGAGTTTAGATGTCGTTAATTATCAATTTAGACAGCTCCTCATGATGAACTCACCCACAGTGTTCTCAAAGAGGTCAGTTTTAACCCGTAATCTCGCTATTTTCTTTTTGAGATCGAGGCCTGAAATCCATTTCAGGAAACAAGATCGCGCCGACCTCGTCGATATCCAAATCTGATCGAGACTTTGATAGACTCATCAACAGTTGGGAATCTCGCGAAGCCCAGACCGAGCCCCGCCCGGCCCTACGAGACGACCTTTCATCAGCTCCCAGTCGATGGATCAACAGCGACTCACGTCCCTCTCACTGGCGTTCGGGCCGGACAGCAGTGCAGCGGCGGACGCACAACCACAGATCACGGCCGGCGGGCGGAGACCAAATGAATGTAACTCCCAACTCCCAACTCCAAGCCCCCGGCGTATTTTTCAATACAAGTGGAGGGATGCGACCGCTGTTCTACGGCTCGACGAGAGGGAGGGGCCCGGCCCTGCTCGTGGCGTCGGGGGTCTGCCGCACGAGCGCGGCAGAGTTCCGAGGTCCACGCCCGCGGTGGTCGGACGGATCCGATGATGCCCTTGTCATAAAGTTTCGGATTCGTATCGTGATCTAATCCCGTCGTTTGTTTGATTTTTTCAACGCTCTAAGATGTGACGATTCGAAATAAATGATTTGATTTCAGATCCTTGCCTGTGTCTAAGAGCCTGGCCAAGAAATAAGTGAACTATCTACGGCATCCACGCCTTAAAATCTCAAAAGGTCCTTAAAAGACAAAAAAATATAGAGCTCGCCGCTGGTCCGTCGTCGCCCTCATAAACGATTTGCATGCAAGGCGACTGTGTCAAAATCGTCCATATAGAGCCCTGCTCATCTCCCTCTCATCCTCTCTTTCCCCCCCCCTCTAATAACCAGCTCGATGTGAGAGCCGGCGAAGGACTCGGGACTGATGAAGGCGACGATTCATACCGAACTTGTAAACTTTTTCTCAGTGAAATATGACCGCGCTTCAACCGAGGTCGGCAAGGTCCTCACTTGGACTGGGCTCAAGAAGAATAAGGCATCGTCCCATCCGTTGATATATATTCGATCGAGCGGGGTTTGGGGCTTAGATGGTCCCCGTTCCACTCATTCTGGGACCCGAACAGATGGAATAGATTGTGGGTAGGAAGGCATCCAGGAGCTTCCTGATTCAAGGGCCAAATCTCCACGACGAATCAAGTTATTCGAGAGCAAGACAATCAGGAGGTCTACGACGATGATACCGAGAGGCAGAAGTGACAACCATCATTGAGTCGGGATGATCACAACCACAGGACGTCCGAAAAATCCATCCTCATCGTTGGTCAGCTGCAAGAACTTTTCTTTATCTGTACGATTAATGCATGTGAAGGTTTCTTTAGGAAGTCCATGGTGTGATCTCATCCTCATTTCATTTGTATAAAATTAAGTTCCAGCTTGTGTGGTCCACATGATCCCATCCAACAAACGCTTTCAACCACAGGACATCCGAAAAATCCATGCTCTCCGTTGGTCAACTGCAAGAACTTATCTTCTTTATCTGTACAATTAATGCATTTTAAAATTTGTTTAGGAAATCCATGGTATGATCTCATCCTCATTTCATTTGTATAAGGTTAATTTCCAGCTTGTGAAGTCCACATCGTCCCATCCTAACAAACGCTTTCCACATCTCCGTTGAGTGTCTGTCTGTAACGGCGAAACTGAGATCATCATTCCATTCAAGATAGAGATCGGTCCGCTCGACTAGAACTTTCACTGGGAGTTTGTCAGACGGGGAACACCATAAGTTGCTTTTATTCGAGAAAAGATCGATTTTATTTTTCAGAATTCATATCACTATGAAACCGGGCATCTATTATCGTGACCATTCGCTTTGAGGCCACAAGAAGAAAACAATGTTTGTGGTATAATATTATACGGTTCTTTAATCAGAAGAGACAACTTGCGGCTCTATAAATTATGAAAGTTGTAAAACAATCAACGAACGATCGCCATCGAAGCCGATCCACCAGGGTGCTGAACGTAAACAACTCGTTAGGTTTTGCATTTTCTGATACGGTGGGTGATAGCGTGTATTGGTGTTGCTAACATGACCTGGGTCCATCCCAGGCCCGGTACAGGCCCAACTCATTAGTCTCAGGCCTCGCCAAGATAGTGTAGGCCGCAGGAGATTCCAGATATCATTTCAGCGAGGTGCCAGAGAGGAGGCAATGACTGTGAGTAGAAGTCTAGAAGGAGGCATTCGCGCCAGCTTTATATTCAACGGCATGAGTTTGCCGCGTACGGATGCGACTCCAATGATGCATCGATGTGGTAGTTCAGTGAGGGGAGTGTTGGATGAGATGCAGTGCAAATAGGATTGTTATCGCAATGTTCATGAACGTCGGTCAGGACGCTATACTTCGGACGGGTTTTGCCCTCTCTAATGCAAGAGATGTTGTGGGGCTCTATCCCCATGATAAAACTATCCCAGCTCATGAAATTGCCCCCCGGTATCTGCAACTGGGAGATGTTATACGTATCTATCCCTTAGTCGCCGAGATTGTGTCTGATCAGGTAATAGTAGAAGCATAAGTTGAGAACAGCAGGATGGACTGATACGGAAGGTTTTGAAAAGAATGTGAAGATTATAAAATCAATCAGATTCACTCAAGATTAAAGTGAATGTGAGTGGACTTCGAAATTATCTAGAAACACCCGCAATTGAATTAACGAAAAGGATCTTCAGTTTAAGAAAACCGCTCACAGGACACCGAGATTTATCACGTCGGAAAATATTCTTATCACGGTTTAAGATCTGCAGAATATCAATTACTGACTATCCTATGGTCTCTTAGGCAACAAAGAGCAAGAGAACATATTAAATGCACAAATTTAAATGGAGAAAGGAAGGAAGTTCACTATCGTTGTCGAAAGTTCGCCGTTCCGTCAGAGATGGCGCAGAGTAAACCGCAGGTTCCTTGGCAGAGACAGACATCAGTTGGATTGCTGGAAGTGTTGACTTGTCTGGCATTGAAGAAGATCGGTGTTGCGAACGCAAGTCGATGGGTATCGACAAAAGATGAATGGGAGTAGAGAAAGGCTCAAGACCGGGAGTAACGGGGTCATCTCGACCAACCCGAGCCGAGGCGACGGGATCAAAAGGTCAATGATGAATCACTCATCATAAGCTTTCTTGAAACAAAAAAAATTATGTCCTTTTTTCTTTGAGCTTCGTGCATATTTTTATAGTTTAAAGCAGTAACCATAAATGCAACTCATAGTAAAAAAAAAAACTCTTTCGGAGCGTTTATAGTTCCGTTGCGGACGTTGAGCGCTCGGGAGCTGTTCTTCAGTTATTGTAGTTGACTTTTTGCCGTCATCCTCGTTGAGCTGTTCTGTCGGAGATTAGTTCTACTGAAGCTGTTCCTTTTGACCAGTTCCTCCATTTCCTTTCAGCTGATGACCCGGCTGAGAATGACTCAATACTGCATCACGGACACTCAAAGAGCACAGTGAATAGGAGAGGGAGATAGAGCATGGATAGCCGCGAGAGAGAGAGAGAGAGGCATCCAGAGGATAGTTCTTCTCAAGATAACCTTCGTACGTTTCCCATCGGGCCCACGTCGAGATCGGCGTAGGTGCTTCCCGCCTGTGCGAGCGACGACGTGTCGAGCGATCGATCACGCCGCACGGACCCATCAATGTATTAGATAAAATAAAACAGGTTAAAAAAAAATTTGACCGACAGGAATGACCTGCCAGCGTTCACATATACGGATAGGCCCACACCTCACGGAGGGGAAGGAGGGACCGGGGGAGATGAAGGGAGAAGAAACTGGAGATCTACGGCCGTGAGGGGGACGCGAGAAGGTGCCCTCGTCCATGACCGCAGGAGGAACTGGTCAGCGAAGTTGTAGTACGTGCTCAGGAGACGGGAGGACGGACCAGCGAAGGTCGGAGAATTGAGGTGTGGAAGGGGGGGGGGGAGGGAGAGGGACTGATCGATACCTCTTTTCCGTCGATAAAAGCCGAAATTTGGGCGTGGGTTTTCTCCACAAAGTCCAAGCGCAGTCTCTGATCATTCCACCCTTCCGTTGGAAGGCAGAGTTTACATGAACATCTATGCATGTACATGGTTGGCATGATGCTTATTGCATAATAATGTAATAGCAAGGAAGACAACCTTGGCTATCTCTTTGATCGCAGAACAACATCAAACAAGGCATCGTAGTCGATATATGCATTCAAATTACCCTTTGAATTCTTTACCCCACAAATTGCCTCTCAGCTTTTCTATCTTTGATGATGATATAACGATTAACGACATCCACAAACAAGACTTTTTGTCTTCGCTCATATCTAGACCCGATAAGTAGGAATTTTAATTGCGGAAAAGCGGCGAGTGCAACACGCAGAGAGGCCTTGATCTCAAGACCTACGATCAGACGGTTGTCGTTGAGGATCTTTAACAGTCGATATTTCTAGCATTACCGCAGCCACTATCAGGCATGCCCCACTCGGCTTCGTGGAGGTCACTTGAGCATGTTCGATGGAGACGCAATCAACTAGTTATTTATTGGCTAATGGACATGGTGAGTTTCGTCAAGAGCGGCCGATCCAGGTATCGAACCTGGAGTGGGAGGTCGTCACCCTCCGCCTCTCTCTCTCTCTCTCTCTCTCTCTCTCTCTCTCTCTCTCTCTCTCTCTATCTATCTATCTATCTATCTATCTATCTATCTATGGTTTATAGTTTGATGCTCGTACCCTAGCTGGTTCAGCTTCAGTTTAAACTTTTCCATGGGGGAGGTCGTCTTCCATTCATTCGAAAGGCTATGAGCACCAGGGGGAAACCGTATTCGTGATTTTAGATTTGCAGCTCCTCATGCGTTCGAGCATACCGCAGTGATACGGGAATCACGGCGGATCAGGATCTGTACCTGAAGAGGAGCAATCCCCTCCCTCCTTTCGGTAGCAGCAGGAACCGTAGCAGCAACAGCAATTGCTTGCTCCGATCGACTAGCGACCATCTTCTCAACAGGCAAGGGGACGGCGCAGACACTGGGTTTGTGGGTACCCATCCTCCACTGTATTCGTCCTATCCACCGCCTTCTCCCATCTACTCTTCCAGAACTCCCGCTAACCGTTTCCAACGGCCACATCCACCTCTTCTCCCGCTTCCCCTTTTGCCCGTTTCTCTTTTCTCTCCCAGCTCTCCAAGCTTAGTCAGCAGGTTAAACGCCCCCCCCCGTGTGCGCTCAGCAATCAAGGACCATAGAAACCCTCTGCTAGACTGACGATCTCCCCCGCTATCTTTGCCACTTCTCTCTCGAAGGATGAAGCTGCGAAGCAGGGTGACTTCAGGGGAGACGTTTATGCCCCATCACCGCCGTCGACCAGCCTCCCAATGCCCAAGTTCTCTCTCAGGACGAGGATGCTTCCCCCTCCTCCGTCATCCTCATGCAACGCATTAGCGGCCGGCAAAGTTGATGCTGAAGTATTAGAGTTAACTTTGAATTAATTGAAAATAAGAAGAGTAAGACCATCTTTATGATAACGTATTTCCTTTTATAATAATTGTTATAACACTCTTTTTTGCACAATCTATCTATCACATGCCAGTCGACTTTTGAGTTTTGTTATGTGAAACATTGTAAATATGACGCATATAGCCCATACGAATAATCTGTTCTGAAATCACTTTACAGTTGTTGAAGCATTCAATTTAAAACACATTGATGACAACTACGATTTCCTTAGTATGGTTACAGAGTTATTTTTATAGTAGCTAATGCCATATTATTCTTGACATAGAACCAATGATGACGTCTTTAGCCTTTGCTTCAAAACCAGTTCATAGGGCGTAGTCTTCTCCGTAAGTAACCAGGGCAGGATAAACTGTTCTAGTGTTGGGGGATGGTCCTTCGATTTCTCGCCGGTTTACAAATAGTCGTCGCTGGTTTTCAAGGGCACCCTTTCGAAATATTTAACTCCTAGGGAGGAAGATTTCACGCAAAAGGCGGCAAAAGAGGAATTAATGATTCTTCTGTCTCCATTCTTCTCATCTTGTGAGCAGTATTATTTCCTTATTTGTTCGGGGAAGACGTCGACGCCGGAGCATGGTGTCCCACCGCCTGGGGACGGCGGTGGCCTCCCCAGGCGATGGAGCAGCTGCGTAAAGCCCGACGTGGACGTGCTGCAGTGGCTTCGGGAATAAAGAGTATGTTGGTGAGGAAGAGGACAGCCATGGTGGGGATTTGGGCGGTTCGGACGGTACCCATTCTCTCTGTTGGTCTGTCTGTCTGCCTGTCTGTCTCTCTCGCTATATATATATATATATATATATATATATATATATATATATATAGATACATGCTCAAGTTTGCGTGTGACTGAAGAATATAGAGGTTCTCTTTCTCTCTGTCCCTCTCTTGGCCAATTGGATTCTCATTCAGAGGAATTCTCTTTGTGATATTCCCAAGTTTGACAATGAATGGGTCAACTGTTTCATCATCAGCCTTGTTTTCTTGTTCTTGCTTTTCTTGGTTTAGTGAGGTTTGTTATGTATACATGAGGGATTCTCTCCAATAGGGATCCCGGTCACAAAAGACAGGGAGACCAATAGACCATGTAGAGAGTCCATCTTGCGTGAGAGAATCGAGTGCTTTTTATCGCGCGCGCGTGCATGGGAATTCCAGTAGACCATAGCTTTAGATGGATGGGGCAAATAGAGGACAATGAGGTAGCTTCACCACGAGCCGGTGCGATCTTGCTTGTCTGACTCAGTGGCAGCAAAAAGTCTCTCAAGGATCCATAAAACCCAGATATAATCACATGAAACACTTCTAGATTCAAAGCAAAAGGAAATGATTTACGAAAAAGTCTCACCTCTTTGATTGTTTCTTAATTACTAAGCCAGGGACGATCGCTGCCGTGGTGAGTCAACGTCGAACAGCACGAAGCTGACGGCCGGTGATGGGCAGGTGAAGAAGCCCTAGGGTGGTGACATAAATCGATATGAAATCGGAGGAAAACAGCGACCGTTAGTTCCAGCGATGACAACGGCTAAAAAGTGCTCACTTGAACGAGTAAGAGCTTGGTGAACAAGAAGTGCCGGCAATTTCCGTCGCGAAATCTACCGGGTCAACAATGCTCTCCCACGAAGGTCCCTTTCTCCTTTTGAACCTCAGGAAAACACGGAGGTAAGCAGGAGACGTGGGGGGAGGGAGGGAGGGAGGGAGGGGGAGGGGGGATTGGGAGAGAGAGAGAGAGGGAGAGAGAGAGAGAGAGAGAGAGAGAGAGAGAGAGAGAGAGAGAGAGAGAGAGAGAGAGAGAGAGAGAGAGAGAGAGAGAAGATCCATCTCTGCCTCTGGCTCAACACGAGGAGGAGGTAATTCTATTATAAGACACTGGGCAAAGGTTTCGCCAGCCACTCAAACCTCCTCCATTCCAACCGCAGCCAAACAGAGCTGGCGTCTCCTTCTCCCCACGTCTTCCCGATACATCTTCTCCTCACCTTTCAGACCACCACGCCTTTGACTCCAACAAAGACGGCGCCCCCGTCGCGGCGAGGAGCCCGCCGGCCCACCCACCCGGCGTTATAAACTTAGCCCTCCGCCCGCGCTCGCCAACTCTTCGCTAGCGCAGGAATAAAAGACGAACAAATCCGCCGAAGGACCACAGTTTTGTCCCATGCCGACGACAAGGCCCATGTCGCCATCAAGGAGCGAGCTCTGCATGCTAAGGTTCCTTTGCCTTCTTATACTCGCGGTGGCCGCCGTGACCGCTCATGGGAAGGGTGAGGTGAATGGCGTGACCTATGACGGTCGTTCCCTGATCATCAATGGGAAGAGGAATCTACTCTTTTCGGGTTCTATTCATTACCCTCGGAGTACGCCCGAGGTGAACATGTAGTTCCTCAGACTAGTTTCCTCTTGTTCATTGCTATCTTCATATCTCACCCTGTCTCCTTGTTGGTGCTCCAGATGTGGCCAGGGATCATCGCCAAAGCTAAACAAGGGGGGCTAAACGTGATACAAACCTACGTCTTCTGGAACGCCCATGAGCCCCAGCAAGGCCAGGTGAAAATAATTAATTTTAAATACTCTTTTTCTTAGCTTTTCCGGTGTCGGCTGTTGCTTGATATCAACGAAGACCGATCGGGGTTACTATTTCAGTTCAATTTCCAAGGGAGGCTGGATGTCATCAAATTCATCAAACTGATTCAAAAGCAAGGGTTGTACGTGACACTCCGGATCGGCCCCTTTATTGAAGCTGAATGGAATTTCGGGTGTACAATTTCTTCCGAAGTTCACTAATTCATGGCGATTCTCAATATATAATGCAGATAGTTTTACGTTCTAACCATGCCCGGCTCATTTCAGAGGCTTCCCTTTTTGGCTGAAGGAGGTCAACAACATAACTTTCCGGTCGGACAACCCTCCCTTCAAGGTAATCAATGCTCTGAATGTTTTTAAGCATGTCAAACTGTTGTAGCATCTCGTTCTGGTTTCTCTTAATTTATGCATTGGAATGAGATAAAAAGAAATGTAGGAAAAAAAATCGGACCATACGTTGACCGTAAAGGTCAACGTTCTAGAGAGACTGTCCGAACCTTTTCTATCCAAGAACCCAAAAAACGAAGATTTCTTGTAGTGCAGCAGTCAAAAGTGGCTAAAAGCGAGATCTTTTCTCTTGTAGTACCACATGAAGAAGTTCACAAAGATGGTTGTGAAGATGATGAAGGATGAGAAGCTGTTCATCCCCCAAGGTGGTCCTATCATTCTAGCCCAGGTTAGCCCATATCGACTCTGCTGATACGTCCTCTTCCTATTAATTTCTTAGCCCACGTGTTCCTCCCAATTGAAATGTTGTATGTTGAATCTCCCCAACGGCGTAGATCGAGAACGAGTACAACAATGTGGCACTGGCGTTCAAGGAAAATGGTGCGAGATACGTCCAGTGGGCGGGCAGGATGGCTGTGGGGCTCAAAACAGGAGTCCCATGGGTCATGTGCAAGCAGAAGGATGCTCCTGATCCAGTGGTAAGCTATGTAAAATGCCGTGACGAGAAAATATTATTCGTAAGGGAATATCTTGTTCTTACTCCCCGATTTCTCAATAGGTTTATGAAAGAAAATATGTGCTTTCATGCCTTTAACTCTGTATTATACATCAAATCTATGTAGGGGGAAGCTTGGAGATATCACTGATGTTCTCTTATGTGTCATTCACATCTATCGACTGAGATTTCGTGTTTTACAGATAAATTCGTGTAACGGGAGGAACTGTGGAGACACATTCACCGGCCCGAACAAGCCCCACAAACCCGTTCTGTGGACTGAGAACTGGACAGCTCAGTAGGTTCACTTTTTGGATGGCTGGAGATGTGTTTTCTTTTGCAGCCATCCTTAACCTTTATACGAGACAAATGGCACTACATATAACTTTTCTTAGTATTCCCACAGAATCTGACGACCTGTTTCATTTAAACTTGAACTATTTGTAGCTTTCGTTCCCTTTCGCTCGATATTCATAGAAACCGCCGTTGCCGACCGCAGGTACAGGGTTTTCGGAGATCCACCGTCGCAGAGATCAGCTGAGGACCTCGCCTACTCCGTTGCCCGCTTCTTCTCCAAGAACGGCACTCTCACAAACTACTACATGGTACCATGCATCTCTTCTCTCTATCTGCCCAACCGTATACCGACTTAGAAGCACCACATAACGCGATCACCGATCTCACTCCGAACTGCAGTACTATGGTGGAACGAACTTCGGAAGGACGGGTTCCTCGTTCGTGATGACTCGCTACTACGACGAGGCTCCACTCGATGAATTTGGTGATCCCCTCTCCTCAGAGCAAGTATTCGATTTGAAGGATTTGTCCGGCTAATCCTCGAATCGCAGGTTTGAAGAAGGAACCCAAATGGGGGCACCTGAGGGACTTGCACTCAGCTTTGAAACTCAGCAGGAAGGCTTTGCTATGGGGGACTAACACCGTCCATCCCCTGGGCGAGGACCTCGAGGTATTAGTGTATGACTCATCCGCAGATAAGGCTATGATTAGGTATATGAATTTTGGATGACTAGATTCATTAATAATATATAATTACAGGCTCATGTATACAAGAAACAAAGGAGCAATGTGTGTGTAGCTTTCCTATCCAACAGCAACCCAAGAATCGACAAGATTGCCAACTTCAAGGGCGTAGATTACTTCCTTCCGCACCACTCCATCAGCATCCTTCCAGACTGCAAGACTGAGATCTACAATACTCAGCGGGTAGACAACATTAATCTCTCAGAAGTTCACATGAGACTAGGAAATCCGCCCACCGCTGGTGTTAGGTGGTGACAACTCTCAATGACGTGGGGTTAACAGGTGAATTCTCAACACAACACGAGGACCTACCATCTGGCGAAAGAAGCCAACAGGAACCAGGACTGGAAGATGTATCAAGAGTCTATCCCAACAGTTGGCCAGACCCACATCAAAGCTAATCAGCCCTTGGAGCTGATGAACCTCACGAAGGATACCACAGATTACTTGTGGTACGCAACAAGGTTAGCGAATTACTGGCCGCTCTATCCATATGGCAAAAATGGTACCGTACTAATTATTACAATATTCGTGAATATATAAAGCATGACCTATTTATAGTACCGTAGCTAAGTTTTGAATTTAAGAAATGTTTAATGATATAATTATGGACATGGTTTGATTGCACATATCATAGCTATATTGCTCATATAATAAGGTTCGATAGTCTACTTGCACTTTGGGCATACGTCAATAATATTGTTCCTAAATGAATGCGTCTCGAAAGACCAGCATACTTCATCCATGGATAATTAGTTTTGATTCGAAAGACTAATCAGCTCTACTTCTGTGTTACACTTCAACCAATATCCCTCTTTTGATACTACATTGCAATTGCATGATACGATCGCTTGGCATACAAGAAATTAGGAACATTACCATCACCCGATCATGATAGTTCATTCGCTTGCCTGTTCTGCTTCCGGCGCAGCTTCAACCTGGAGGAAGAGGATTTGCCCATGCGTCACGACATCCGCCCGGTGATCCAAGTCTCCAGCCTTGGCCATGCCTTGCATGGCTTCGTGAACGACGTCTACATTGGTAGAGTCCTCCCACTCCCTTCGAGTCTGCAGATAGTTTCCCATGTATACGAATAATCTTTCAGTTATTGTTATTCACTTTATTTAATTCTCATCGCCGATCACTGTTCCTCAGGATCGGGCCACGGAACCAACATCGACAAGAGCTTCTCCTTCTCCAAGCCTGCACATCTAAAAGCGGGAACCAATCACATATCTCTCCTAGGCATGACAGTCGGGCTACCGGTAAGAGAAAACCCTCCCTAACCACATCCAGAAGGACATTACTTTGGTATTCTACATCAGATCGTAGAGTATGGCCGCCTTTTGTCGATCTCTAATGATTGCTGGCTTCTTCCTCATGCTACTGGCTCGTTGAATGAAGGATAGCGGAGCTCTGTTGGAGCATAGAATAGCGGGGGTCCACAGGGTGGTCGTCCAAGGTCTGAACACAGGAACTCTGGATCTCTCGGCCAACGTCTGGGGACATGAAGTAATTCTCCTTCTTTCAGTGAAAACTTCCATCTGCTCTGTGCTCTACCGTGGTTTCCACCAGGGAACTTAATCCATTTGGACGACGCAGATCGGCGTACTGGGAGAGAAGCTGAGGATATATAATCATCGTGGATCCCACTTGGTTCAATGGACCGATGCTAAGAAGCGTACTCCTCTCACATGGTACAAGGTGTGCAGAGAATTTACTCTTTACGCAGAAGTGACGAGCTAAATAATTCATTATTATGATTGATTATTCGCAATTAATTAATATCTTGTATAGCCTGTTCTTTAGTAATCATCTCTTGCCAATTTCTTAAGCTTTTTTTACTCTAGCCTTGTTATATTTCCAACTCACCTTATATTCACGAGATGTTGTGTAAAAGTCTATTAAAGTTGTATAGATAGTCAAGTATCTTAGTGCTTTTAGTCAAATAACGAAAGTTCTGGCCTTGCTCGTCCTCTCTGTTTCCATTTTCCTTGACCCCTCCCCCCTCCAGAGATACTTCGATGCCCCGCATGGAGACGACCCAGTGGCGATAGACATGGGAAGCATGGGCAAAGGAATGGTATGGATCAACGGAGAGAGCATCGGCCGGTACTGGGTCTCCTATCTCTCCCCACTCGGGAAGCCATCTCAATCCATGTGAGCATCCTCTTCCTCCACGCGTCTTTCTACTTCACTGAGTCCCTCCACGTTCCTGAGACGGAGTGATGAGAGAGAGTCCTGGTGCTGACGGCAGGTACCACATCCCCCGATCGTTCCTGAAGCCAAGCGGCAACCTGATGGTGGTTTTCGAGGAGACTGGGGGGAATCCGGAGGAGATCGCCGTCGTCACCGTAAGGAGGGACAACATATGCACAATTGTCACCGAGTTCCACCCAGCCCACGTCACCTCCTGGGCCAGGGAGAACAGCCAGATTCGCACGGTCGTAGAAGACGTCAAGCCCAAGGCCCAGCTCAAGTGCGGTAACCACAAGGTGATCCGCTCGGTCGCCTTCGCCAGTTTCGGCAACCCCACCGGCTCCTGCGGCAGCCTCAAAGCTGGCAGCTGCCATGCTACTGCGGCCAAGAGCGTCGTCGAGAAGGTACTCCCCTCTTCTCTCCCCCACCTCTCTCTCTCTCTCTCTCTCCCTTTCTATCTCTCTCTCGCTCTGTGACTGGTTTTTGGTGGTTCTATCAGGCATGCCTGGGGAAGTCTACATGCGTGCTCCCAGTGAAGGCTGAAGCCTACGGCGCCGATGCTGGGTGCCCGGGATCTACTAACACCCTCGCAGTGCAAGTGAAGTGCGCGAGAAAGAAGAACCCCAATGCGTAGCTGAGAAGATGAGCCCTAATGACGCCCTTACGAAGTCGTCCTAGCTGCAAATTGTGACCGTCCAAGGGGGGAAGAGGTGGGGAGGAAGATTCCGTGTTCGAGCAAACTTTGAAGCGTGGTCATAAAAGCTTACCATTCCTTTCTCCTCTCTGCGAGAGACAACGTGGCTGCCGTTATTTTCATCCTAATGGTAGAGAATTTTTCTGTAAAGAACGCATTTTTTTCCATGAACGTCCGCCTGGCCACGTTGTTTCGCTCACCGCTGCTCAGAGGGCCAAAAGATAAGCATACATTGAAGATTTGAAGGGAGAGAAAAAGAGAGAGAGAAGGGAGAGAAGCAGTGCAAAACTTCAGAACTCAAAGAACCTCTTCGAAGAAATTTGAAGCATATTAATAGGCACCGATTGCTATGATCGAAAATCCTACCGGTTTTAAAAAAAAAAAAACATGATATATATATTTATTTATACCTCATAGGCAAGCATATTCAAACATATTCATGAACATGTAGGAGACCTTCCTGATGATGTCTTTTTTTGGATATATGCCTCATAGCCTTTGTTCGTAAACATACCTCATGAGGCATAAACATTGATACACATCACAAAGTTAGAATCAATTCAGTGTGCCCATCTGAATGAAGGGCAGATTTCTTGTGGCATAAAATCCTTGCCTGCGAGTCCCCATAAACTAGTATATACTGCACTGATGATAAATGAGGCCATGCTCTGTTTATTTACATCCATTTCGACGTCGTCTCCAACATAAGTCTCGTCAGATGGCGTCAAAATATAGTAATATTATTTCGAAAGGGATAACATAACAGAGTTGGAGGTGTGATCTGCGAGCAAGATGAACTGGAGAATTTACAGGATCCTTCCGACCACCACAGACCCACCAACAAATAAATGGCGCCAGGCCTCCGGAAAGTACCAAAAAACCATAAGAACCGACCAAAACTGCACATTTAAGCAGATGCTTGATTGCCAATGGTCACGGCAACGAGTTGCCAGAAGAAGCCTGACTGCCGATCTACTAATCACGACAGATCGAACGATCCCTGCCCTTCATTAATTGCGTAAAGCAGCTTATTGAGCATGATTTCCTGCAGGAGAGCAAGAAGTTCAGAATCTTGAGGAACTGGGTAAAAGATTGGCGACCCGAGGGTGCCTCATAATTAAAGGCACACCTTGGAGGAATAAGGAGGCAGCTTGAGATAATTGGCACAAGTCATCACGCTGGGCAAATCATCATCGGCCGACTCTGAGGCATTCGCCCCCACTGATGCTGCAGCGGCACCTCCGGTGGAAGGATGCTGCGGGCAGAGAAACCAAGCAAGCACTGGATGATGTGTATCTTCAGTCCGGACCGATGGACACCCAAAGTAAATGACCGTCACCTACCTTTCTCACTATGGTCAGCTTCGGGTTCAGCACAGCAAGGCCGCCAGGAGGAAGCCTTGGGGCGCCAGTCACAAATTGGCAGAAAGCGCGCTGCTGCGCGGGGCTGAACTCTCCCATGATCTCAAGGAGCTGTCACCCATTGTAAATGGAGTCATAAATTCAAAAATACAGGGATATCACATGAAATATGAATCAAAGAAGGAGAGAAAGTTACATTTAAAATGGGCGGGCTCTTGGCTGTGTACCCATGGTATGTGATCAAGAAGGGTCTCCGCCTGCAAGATGCGACAATGTGATCAACTCTGTTATTCTGTGAACTCAGAAAGGGGTGCCAAGAGAAAGGAGTGAAGAATGTATCACCTCCCACAAGCCCCTGTGGCCGCAGAGCAGATAATCAAGTTCGTCAGGAGAGAAGATTTGCAGAGATGCTATGTCGAATACCTGAACCAACATTGTTTCAGAGAAGCAGAGAATCTTAATGCCTTAAATATATCTGATGATATATAATTACAAACTCAGCGTATGATCCGTGTTCGTCACTTGCCTAAACCTAATGCTTCCCCCGGGTTAGGAAATAATGGCAAATGCAGAACAAAGCTTTGTAGTTAAATTCCTGCTAGCCTAGAGAAATTCCTATATTGTGGTGCCCCATCTTAGAAATCACAGGAACAGAAGCCAATGAAAACCACATGCATTTTAGGCAATAGAACGTGGCAGCATCCTCAGAAAACGAAAGTGGTCGAAAAATAAATGCTTCTTCAGCAAAGGAAGAATATAATTCTTAAATGACTAGGCTGATATGTTTCAAAAGAGCCAATTTTTCCTACCAATATTTAAGCTAGCTACATAAACTGTACAATCTACAGATATAGCAATTTGTTTATACATGACATACGAACATCACACATCTGAATTACGAAGAACCATAAAAATGATACACATGAAGGGAATCCTAAGCAAAGGAAAGTATGCGGTTCACTATTTACGTCAACTGCACCACTCAAACAGCGAAAAAAGGTGAAACCAAGTGCTGTTTTAGAATTGATAATAGATGGATAACGTGAAACGAACCCAACAACGAGGAGATTGAGCGACAATCGCCCATAAAACAAAAGCACCCTTGCTAATTTAAATATTCCTAATGTTACTGTACTCTCGGAGCAGAGACATGATGACATTTCAATAAGTCAACACGCCGAGGTCTATGACCCTTGCCACCCAGAGGACTACGCATAAGCCGGCCCCTCTTCTATGGCACAGCGCGACTGATATGCAAATGAATGTCACAAAGTCTAGGATACATCCACCAAAAAGTAACAGGAGACACTTACTTGGTTGAATCCTGCTCTGAATGCTTCCATTTGGCGTGAAATCCCTGTCTTGACAGTCGCATCAACCAACAAGGAAATGTACTCTTCCAAATTGTTAATATCAACCTAAAAAATACAGCAGGACAAAATGAGACCGATGTCTATGTAAGAGATGGGGAACCTGTGGCCTGAGAAGAAAAAGTACCACTGTGTTCTCTTCCCCTTCTTTGAGGATGTATTCTGGATAACCAGGAAGCGTGAAATTGAGGCATAAGTCTTCAATGGAGGCGCCTCGGAAGTCTAAATTAGCAGCCACTTCCTGATTGTATCCAGTCATTGCTTCCAAATGCCGTTTCCGACGAACGAGGGCTTGCATCTCTTGCAAAGTCTTACCAAACTCGTGATCAAATGAGAAGATATCAAACAAATCTAACTCCTGCATAGGACAAGGTGGTGTTATCTTTTGTCGCAAAAGAAAATAAAAGGCCATTTAATTAGACTAAAATTAAAATAGTTTCATACTTGACCAAGAACAAGCTTATAAAATCCTGTTGATAGCGGAATATCCAAAAGACGACCATCTTGCAGGGCCTTTGCCATTACCCGGCCAACAAGCCGGAAGTATTCAATTACTTTTGAAAAAGGGCTGCCATCTGAACTGTCAGCAGTGGGAGGCCATGGGCGAGGAAATAAACCAAGAGGGGCATCAACAAGGTCGCTATGATCGACAGCCTTGTTAGAACCAGCTTTACCTGGCGCTGAAAAATCATTATCATGCTCCTTCTGACTATGTGTTCGTGTAGCTGATTTGTCAGGTGATGAACTTGATCTCCACAATCCCAGCCTTGCCCTTTGTAGATCATGACTAAGTAGAGTATAAAACTCAAGAGTTGGCCCTAATCCTGTTCCTACCTCACCAAAATATTCCACTTCAAGAACAGTCTTCTGACTGGAATACATTTCCATTACCTTGACTGCAGAGTCTAAAATATGATTTCTTGAGACACGGACTTTCTGTCGCTGCAACCTGCCAATCCTGACCTCCCTTTCATGGATTGAGCTATGGCCATCAGCACCCCGTTGCTGTTGAAGTCGATGGAGTGCTCGAGAGAGTCCAAAGGCTGTTGAATAGAAAAAATCCCTCCTAGTTTCAAAAGGAAATAGGAAGGGACATGCTCTTGGGAGCTGATAGCACCATGATGGAAGACTTCCACTGCACAGTGCAAGCGCATCTTGGATCTGTCGAGCCAGTTTAGGGGACAATTTGTTACTGATAAATTCCTCCAAACGCACCTTCGGACCAGTTACACTGAGTTCATCAAAATTTGAGATCTTTCCCTCTGCAAAAGCATCTGTCATGGCCAGAACTCTCAGCCGAGGGGCTAGCTGATTCAACCCCTCCAATACTCGCAATAAAGCTAAGATATTGTAGGTGCTATTGGACTTATCCAGGTCGCATGGAAGATCTCCTTGCAAGATACTGTCCAGAATAGAAGCGTGTTGCCACCTAGACTCTGAACTGGAATTGGATGCAGAGAAATGCCTGGTAGTCTTGTGCAGAGAAGAGGAGGTTGCCCCCCCTTGGGAAGAGTGATCATTCTGTCCATCTCCTCTCTGATATGTTATGGTATAGATATCACCCCAGAGCCTGCTACCATCACTGGTGGCAAAGTCGACGTTCATGGATCTCTCATCATCATCCTCCTCAAGCACAAGTTGGCGCTGAATAGCCTGGTAAATAGTCAAGTGTCTGTTAAGCTGTTTGCCGCCAGATAAAAATATCAATTTCGGAGGATCATTGGAACTGGAATTAGAGGAAAGCCCCCTACGATCTCTACCACCCCTGGCACCTCTACCACCACTGGACACTAGTCCAGCTATGGCGGCTGCAGCAAATGACATAGCGCCTCTTGAATTAAAAGAACCACCAGCCCTGAATTCAGATGTATCAACAGCTTTAGTTGAAGCGTTTCTATGAGTGGAGCCAGACGAGAGTTGCTTTTGGTTATCACTTGCAGCAGAACTAAGTGCACCATCAGCAGCATCATCACCCAACTTGACATCATGAACTTTCTCTGGTATGCAATTTGGAAGGGAGTCATCCCTCAGCACCTGGAATTGCAGAAGAATCCGAAATCAGGAGATTAAGAGCGATGTTCTTATCTTATTTCAAAGACCAACCAAGATAGTCTTCAGTATTCATGAAAATCTCACACAAAAGAGGAAAATAATCAAATTTAAAAAAATGGAGACAATCCATCATTGAGGAAATTGAGTGGGGAAGGGCTACACAGGAAGAACCAATTACATCATTGTCCATTTACTAGAGATTTAGGTAAATAGCAAGCTTAGAGACAGGCATCTTCTGGGTACTCTACCTCTTCATCATCATCATAGTCATCTTCTGACATGTCATCATCATCGAGAACCAAACTGTCATCAATTTCGACTGGAGATATGCCAAGCTCATCCTACAAATCAAAAGATCACTTTAGCGGTAAAATGGTAGATACTAGTAAGCACTAGCACACATGAAAGGAGAATATTGTTATGCTTTAGAAAATGAGCCAATAAACTATTCTTCTTAACTATACAATTGTGCTGACTGAGTTAAGAGATTTAGATAAATATATCTCAAGATGCACCTCAACAGAATTTAAAGTGCCAGTGGTTCTCTTAAGCGTAGACAGTTCGTTTTCTCCCGCTAGCTATCCTTTTTTTTTTCCCCCAACAACCTACTGACATTACCCCTGTGCACTGCCCACCATCAACCACCAGTTACACTTGCCAGGACTACTGGTGCTGGTCAACACTAAACACTAGTACTCCGCTCTACAATTACTCGTTTCTTATATCAACCGATATTCATCATCGATTGTCAGTCATTAACATCATCAGACGGCATGCCAACAAGTCACCAATTACCAGCATCATCACCACCCATTATTACCAGCTGTGGTCACCATCCTCAGCTATTCACCGCCAGCTATCACGTCCTTGCACCTCAACAGTATTTATTTGTAAAATTATTTCCAAAATGCACAAGCATAAACAATTTGAATATCGCAGTTTTGGATTCTAGTAGTAATCAATAATAAGGACGGAGCTTAACAGAAAAAAAAATTTAAACATGTCAATGAAATGACAAATATTTCAAGAAAAACAGCTGATGAGCAATTTAAATCAGACCTCAGAACTGTAATCACATTCGGGAGGCTTTCTTTGTGTAGCTTTATCTGAAGCCAATTTATCACGTGTAGAACCCCTTGTCCGAGGACCTTTTGCCCCTTCTGATGCAGATTTCAAAACAGCTTTACCCTTTCCTTTTGACGAGCTTGCATTTGCCTCTTGAGTCTCTTTCTTCGCCGCTATTGCTGCCAAGGACCTGGATCTAGTTGAGTGGCAAGGGCCAGATGATGCAGGAGTAGATGAAGGTGGAGTTGACATGCCAGCTTCGGAGCCTAAAGCACTAGGCTCAAAGTTTCCAACAGTGGAATACTTCTGCCCAGACTCACCTCGCTGTATCCTTGGCCAAAGAAATTCTTCAATGGCTGCTAAACTCGCCAAAGGGTCAATGAGCACAACATTCGAAGAATAATCACGGAGGGACTTTTCGCCTGGTGCCCTACAGAGCCGTAACTTGAAAGGCTGAGACAAGGCACTAAGTCCGTAGGAGAGGCGTGCACTTCCACTGGCGGATCTTGAATGACTCAGAACAACTGGAAAACGTTCCAGAGATGATAGAGCACTTTGAAGCTTCTGGACCAATGGTGTCATGGGCATCTCACCACCTTGGTTGAGGTCTGGAGGGAGAGCAATGGCGATGAAAGACTTAAACCTCTTGAGCGCTAGCTGATGAAGTCTGGACAAGTCAGTCTCAGGCATTTTTTCCTTTGAAAAGGTCCCGCAAGAAAAATAATTCAGCAAAGCTTCAACAACTCCGCTCCCAATAAACTCAAATGTCGAGACACCATCTACTTTTCTCAGTTCATTTAGCAGCTCCAACAGAACGGTGTTTAACTCTTCCTCCACATCAGGGGAGTCTAATGAACAAGCTCCACGGGCCTTGGATTTTTCGTTTTCCTTGGATCTCATTTCTTCTATGCTGGCATTTAACCTGGCACAAAGATTTTTCAAATGAAGAAGATCATCTGTCATCCCAACACCAGAATTTGCAGAAAAATATTTATCCTTGAAGGACTTTGCCTTTGCACTGACAGCTGCACGAAGGCTTGGATTAACACTGGGGACCTCTGCTTGTCCAGGGGATAAGCCAACACCATTTGCTGACTCTTCCACAGGACTGCCTTCTACACATCGCCAGTGACGCCTAGCTTGGGAAGAAGCTCCATGCAAAGCGTCACTGTCCTCATTGGAGGTGGACTGTACATAAACTGAGCTTGAAGAATCAGGTAAAATGAGTGTGCCTATAGCATGCACAACGCCTTCTCTCACAAACATCTTCGAGAAAGTTTCTTGAAGTTTATCCATGAGGATTTCTGCTATCTGAAGAGCAGGTATTAATACTTGTGGATCTTTCCAGGCTAAAACACCCGCTAAGAAACTGGAAAAAACAAAATTTGAATAAAACAACTTGTCAACACTTCCAAACCAAATGTTAGAGCATCAAACTAAAAAATTACTGTCTAGAACAAATTTATGGTACCTGGATATATTTGTGACGCCAAGCAGAGATTGGATCATTTCAGCACTGCTGAAGTACATCAACTTTCCAATGACAGAAAGACACTTATGGCGTACTGGACCATTTACACTGGACCCATAAATCTGTTAGACAAAGGGAAAACAGGAATGAATGTAAGAAGACCCAAAAAAAATGAACGTCAGAGAAATTAATAAAGTACGATGACAGAATCTCCCAGATCACAGGCCTTTATCAGAAGAGGAAGCAAATCCACTCCAAACTGTTGCAAGAGTTCTGGTTGATCTCGCAGCAGCTTCTCCCGAGCAGAGATTTCAATTGTTGGAGCGCTAAAACTATCTTGCTTCGCTGAACTGCCTGCTGAAGATTTCTTAATCGTTGAACCTTTCGCAAATGCATTGATAGAAGTGGGAAGAGAGATCGTTCCTTGAGGCAATGGAGGAAGTAGCTCATCCGCAAGGTTCATGATCTCAAAAATCTAAAATAAACATAAATTCAGCACCACATATAAGTACAAACTGATAGACAATAATACAAGTGTTTCGATAAGCCATTTTATAAACAACCCAAAACGAATCATCACTATCTAACTACATAACGATATAGAGAAGACAATTTTCACTTTGTGGGAGACAAAAATCAGTCATGGCCAAAAAAAAATTCAATAGCAGCTGTAATAACTGGAATCGATTTCCAATCATGAATCTTTAAAAATGTTGCAACAGTTTTGTACATCACTCTACGCTATGTCATTTGCTATCCCCTGCATATGAAATCGAGATACTTCAATGTAGAACTTTATAGGACTGTAACCATCAATATATCATACACCAAGATTCCAATCCGGCACACTGATGCAACAGCTTAACGATTTTATAATCATTAGATTGATTCTTGCCAGTTTTGCACCAATGGTGCTACACCCAAGCACTCTGGTCAGCATTAAGTTCGAGCCCAAGCTCTGGAAACCTAGGAAACCACTTTAAGTTCACCAATGAATAATGACCGCAAAAAGTTCTTTTGAGAAGCCCTGAGAACAAAAGAAATGGACAGAGCATCAAATGTTATGAATTTGAGACTTCTTCTGCACGATGTCCGATTCAAGAAGCTTCTCGATCACTTGATCGGTACTACACGAAACTTCAAAATACCAGTCACATTCTAGGCAGACAACCAGTTCTTTGCATTATTGATCTATTTTCTGCCCTACTGAACAGACAAAAAGATATGAGCATAGTTTGTTTTCACAACCTCTGTCTAATGGCTATTATTCTGTCATTCTGCGATAAGCTGCTGCATAAGAGGATTAAGCTTATTTTCTCAAATGGTAGGGGGAATCCGATGGTAATAAGCCCAACTACAAAGTCCTGAATGATGAAAGAAGATTGACAGAGGAGAGTGAATACGGACATGGTGATAAAGGAAGACCAAAGGGGATGAGATCAAAATAAATGCAACAAATGGGTAAGAGCAATGAGCAACGAAAGAGGTGTGTACCTAGATCTTTAGGGAAGAGTTGAAATAGTGGAGATGAAAGATATTTAGCCTTCTAATACATCAAGCGAGCATAACAATCTAAAGATGACCCCAACCGAATTTTTTTTTCCACCTGTCCTCTTCACCTGAACACTCCATTCATTCCTTTCCATTTCCCAAGAACACGCCACCCATGTCCTTGTTTTTCTCTATTTAGCTTTAAGCTCTCCACATTATTCAAAAGTGAATTTCTCTTCGTCCAAATTCATTGTTTCCAATATGTGATATCCAAAGTTATTGATGATATGTCAACAACATTAAACAAGATCTGTGACATATAAAAGAATTTCAGTCCCAATTAAGGATCGAATACGTTAGCTAATGTAGGAGGATAAACTGCGGAGAAGCAAAAAATTGGAGAACTGGCAAAAAACTGCGGTGAGAAGCAAAAATTTGCGCTGACCAAAAACTATTGCAAAGCCATCAAATACCTGCTCTGGGGGCCTCGTTAAAGCGGGTGAAACAGAAATGCTGGAAGAGAGACCATATCCCGCAAGAATATCTTTCAGAATGCCACTAATCCCATGGAGAAGCAGTGTCTTCGCTCCCAATGGTGATCCACTCGCACAAGTTGATAGCAGACGTATTAAACCCTGTAATTTTTGCCAGATTATATAACAAGAAAACAAGAGGCAGAAAGAAAAAAAATGTCTTCTCTCACCGTGTAAGTGGGTGTGCTAAGAGATGCCTGACCACCCCCAGAATGGCTGGGTGATATAACAGTGGCAGCTTGTGTAACCAGCCCATGATTGCATAGCTCATCCAGTTTTTCTGGAGATGAAGCGAAGCCCTCTGCAATGCGAGTCAAGCATACCGATGCATGCTCAAGTACCTGCCATATCCGGAGATTCAAAGGAGGAACAAAATCATGTGAAAAAGTATGAACTTGTAAACACGAGAGATTAGAAACAGAGAAGGAGCTGAGAAAATTTTCAGGTGAATTAGACCACAATCAATCCTCATAAGGAAAAAAAAAAAGAAGTGAAAGTTTATAGTTTTGAGACAAGACAATGAAAGTCATTCCACCTTAGAATCATGATGATAGAGAAGGTTCGTGAGCAAAGGGACAGCTTCCATCACAAAGTCAGCAGCATCATATGGCAGCTTCTTACACATATTTGCAGCAGTAGATAATGCCACCCTCTGTAACAATCAAAAGTGCGGAGACAAGTCAAGACTTTTCGAAAGAAGACGTCCATGATTAATAAGCAAAATCCAGACAAAATTGCATTACCTGAACTCCCGTGGAAAAGAAGTCGAGATACGATAGAACTGCCATAAGAGCCCCCGCACGTAAACAAGCAGTTGGGTGCTCTTGAGATATCTTCTTTAGAGCTTGCAGAGACTGGAGAAAAAATTATGATTTACTAGATGAAAATAAATCTTGTTCGAATAAAAGATGAAGAGAATAACTAAAGCACAATGTTGTAGACCCACAGAAAAGTCTTTACGATGTTAGGCTGAAGATAACAACATTACGCCTATTGATCGCTAGTCATCCCCATTAAAAAATTCCAGACAAATGACCAGAAAAAAAGAACAAACAGTAATGTGAGACATATAGATAATGCATTATATAGCTCAAGAGATCCCAAGAGTCGACAAATTAATGTCTATAACCAAACAAGAAGCTTCTGAGAGATCAAGGGCGGGGGCAATCAATAACATAAACAACACAATAACCATTCATGCATTTTGGGTAATGTGCAGCCTGAAGACACTTCTAACAAGACAACTATTAGACTTAGACATCCTGCTGAGAAAGCACAAACTCATGACATCTCAAGTTGTCTAATTTGAATTTATCGACTAGAGAACAACCGAAGTCATGAAATGTTCATACCGAGTGTAAGCATAGAAAAGGGGGTAACGAGGAAAAAAATGCGCACCTGTTCCGCCAAGTCCATATACTCGATGGTGAGCAGCCTGGCGCATAAGCAAGGAACAGCGCCATAATGCACAACGGCAGCACAAGATGATGGGAGCACATCACAAAGGTGTGTAATGGCCCTTGCAGCTAGCAGCATGATATCAGGGTTGCTTTCGTGGTTAAGCAACCCAACGAGTACCGGAACAAATGTGTCCACGGAGAACGAGCCCAGAGAATCCTCCGTTCCGATGGACAGCATCTCACACAGCTGGGTCAGCGCCTCTACCTGTCTGCCTTCCTCTCCCTCTGCCCTCAAACCCGCTAAAATCTTTTTGAGCCTCCCACTCTGGTGTGTGGAAGAGGAGCCTGAAATGGCTGAAGAAGGCAGGAGATCGTCAAGGCCGGCGCCCAGCTTCCGCAGTAGGCCCTGCAGGGCACTGCTAGCCGAGGTGAGGTTCTGGTGGAGTATCCCAACGCCACCCTCTCCATCACTATCATCATCCCCTTCTCCCCCACCACTGTCGATATTCAAACCCAGGATCCGCTCAGCAACTCTGTCCCTCTCCCTAGACCTAGAAACATCCTGCTCCTTCTCCTTCCCTTTATCCATCGATTCCCTGTCTCGTTCCGACTGGCGGTTCTTGCCAGAGCTTCGTCGCCGGCCCTCGAACTCCCTGCGCCCAGCAGATGATTCAGTAGGGTCCATGGAGACGGCAACACCGGCAGTAGATTTGGCAGGACCAGCAGATGCCACCGATGCAGAGGATTCCTGGGAGAGGGCACTCTGCCTGGAACGGGTGATGATTGTGGAGGCGGCGGCGGCAGCGTTAGCAAAGGCGGTGCGGGATCGCTTGGAGGCGCGGGTTGTCGGGGGTTGAGAAGGCGCTGACAAGGAGGCCTCCGCCCGCTTCCGACCACGCGTTTCCATGCAATAAAGAAAGCCCCTTTGCTCGCCCCCGGGCTGCGGCGGCGGCGATCAAGACCCGGGCATCTCTGGAGGAAGACCTGTGAATCGTAGCAACAAGCCGACGCCAAATTCCAGGTTAACTCAACCCTTTCCTTTCTTTCTCCACTACTAATCAAGGGAGACAAGGATCGAATACCTTCTTCCTTTGGGAGAAGGTCGAAGCGAGAAGAGGAATCCCACGCCTTTTTCCTCCCACCTCAATCAATTTAGAAACTCACCAAAGATCGAGACGGTAAAGGGAAGGGGGGAGGCGGTAACAAAACAAGGGGATGAGGTGAGAGCGGAGCCACCGCAGGCTCAGCCGCGTAGGGTTGGGTTAAAGGCGCAGGTGCGGGGAAGAGAGACCGCCGTCCTGTGGCGGAGACCACCGGCAGAAGAGGAACTCCAGCGCTGGAGCCGCTCCCTACGTATCTGTATTTGCCGACGGGTGGCCCGAGGCGTTTTATAGTCCGCAGGAAAAAGCAATTTATTTCGGTGATACCGGGAATCGAACTGGCGACCTCTCTCCCCCGCGAAGAATAAAAAGATAAAACTGTCCCTTCGGACCACCGCACTCGCGTCCAGAGGAGAGAGACAGACAGACAGACAGAGACCCGGCTTCCGTTGTCCTCGCCGGGTCCCTGTCTACTATATAAACGTCATCGGTCCTGCTCTTCGTTGTTAACTGGTAAGCGACCGATTCCCCCGCAACGATTCGCGGTCTCAGGAACCACCCCCCCCCTCCCCCCTCCCTTCATCTCTCCGTCCCCGTTTCTCTCTCTTGATTGGCGGGGGAATTCCGCGGGCACGAGAGGAAAGGCTGGTAGGAGGGAGCATGCGCTTCTCTCTCCCTTGTCCGCTCGCAATGTCGGTCTGTTCACCATGAATTCATCTCTCTTGCTAGGGTTAGGTTTCTCTGTCGGCTTCGGCTCGCGGGGGGGTCACGGAATGCGCTTGCTCGAGGAATGTGGGGCTATGGATGGGAGGCTTGGGGTGTGTAGCTGAAGGCGGCGGGGGTCTTGGTGTTTCTCGTGGCCCTTCCTCTGAGACTTTTTGGCTGAGAGCGTGGAGATCTGCTGTTTCCTGCTTGCGCGGGCGGGAGGGGACGACGGCGTAAACGACGGAGGGGAGATGAGTGCGTCCAGGTTCATAAAGTGCGTCACAGTGGGGGATGGTGCCGTCGGCAAAACCTGCATGCTCATATCCTACACCAGCAACACTTTCCCCACGGTGCCCTCCCTAAGCTCCTCTGAAAATAAATTAACAGCGAATGCCTGTTCTCCGTCCAGTGTCAGCGTCTCTCATCATCGTTATCTTCTTTTTTCCCCTAAAGTGGATACTAAATGAATGTGTGATTGGAAGGAAGAGTAGCATACCTGAATCACACACACAACAAATGTATGTGTGATTCGAAATCTACTTTAATGGAAAAAGTCTGATGCTCAAATGTGCAGTGTCTTCTCTCTCCTTTTTTTATGTTCAATTCCCTACAACAAAGGCAAAGAACTATTGTGAATTTCGATGTTCAGTCTTCATGTTTCTTCCTTGTATTTCTTTGACTTCTTCTCAAATATTTATTAATTTATTTTTTTAACGTGGAGGGCAGGATTATGTTCCAACCGTGTTCGACAACTTCAGTGCAAATGTGGTGGTGGATGGGAACACCGTTAACCTGGGTTTATGGGATACTGCCGGTAGAGTTGCGCCTGTTATTTAATGCATTACTAAGAAGAAGAGTGAATCACGGGATTTGTGGCCTTGGTTACAATGTTTCTGTCCACATGCATCAGGTCAGGAAGATTACAATCGACTGAGACCTTTGAGCTATCGTGGAGCTGATGTCTTCCTGCTTGCATTCTCTCTTATCAGTAAGGCTAGCTATGAAAATGTGGCGAAAAAGGTTCAAACACTGCCTCGTTTTGGGTTTTTTTCTTTCAAAATGCAAAACATTATGCGTGATTTTGCTGAACCCCGTTGTTTCTTTTTTCTGTTGCAGTGGATCCCTGAACTGAGACATTATGCGCCTGGAGTGCCTGTAATTCTTGTTGGAACAAAACTCGGTAGTTACCACTCCTCTAGATTTTTCAAATACTTTTTATTTGATTTTAATCATGTTGTGTTTCATCACATTACTCTTTAATGACATTAATTATACTGAATCTTTATTTTTATGAAATAGAATATTTCAAGCTTGTTTATCGATCACAAATACTGTTTGAGTTTTCGGTTTGCCCTTTGCCAATTTAATTGATATAATATTTGAGAATGGTGGTCTATCAGGTGACAGAATTTTCATGGTTTTTGCGGAAATATTGAATTTTTATTTGTGATTTTATAGGCATCTGGAGAAAATTTAGTTTCATGATGAAAAGTGATATTTTAGTTGACGGATGACTTTTCTTCATCTATATAATCATATGTTTGACATTGTTTTATATTTTTCGGATTTTGTTTCAATACATATGGCCACGATTTCAGACACGAATTGCCCCGAGTGAGGAACCCAATTGCCATACAGGCATGAACTGTTACTTTTGTTTTTGTCCTGATGTGGAAAAGAATATCATGGATTAGTGAATCCTGTAATTCGAAAGACAGACATCAATTCTCCCTCTTTTTGTTGCGTTGAATAAAATTTTTCAGGATCCACTATGCTGAGGTCACTACCTCTCTTTTTATATGATCAGTCATTCTCATCATATCTGCATGACCTCATTTCTTCCTCCAGTGACCTACATGCAAATCTGATCCATTTATCGATACCATTCATAGGTTATAAGAGGACGATTCATTTTCAGTAGAAATTGGGTGCTCACATTGGATGAAGACATTCTATCTAAAGCGCACAGGATTTGAACTCATGCATTCAATCTCTAACCACAGAAAGGAGACAGGAGGAAAACAGCCAGCGCCCTCTGAAAAGGGCCACGTGGATACACAAAGGGGATCCATTTTGAAAGAAAATAAATATGTATATATATTAAATCTCCTAGTAAGCGATCTCCTCCAGTTGTCCCCATCGTTTCTTTCGAGTGTTCGGTTTCACAAAACGTGCTTTTCAAGTCTCTTTTTGTCGCACTTTCCTCTCTAGAGGCTCCTTTTGTGGGTCTGCTACGGTACAAGATATTCAGACTTCCTCTGGACTCTTAACTTCATTGATTTCAAACCAAATTTGTGCTGTTGCCAGATAAATTATTGTGCTTCATTGTGCATTTGAAGTATTTTTATATATTATATGTTAATATGGTTTAGGTTGACCAATTTTTGAACGATATTTATTCATGCTAAGCCTTGTTTGTGATTATCTATTTCTATTGACAGGTGTTTCTTGGCCATCTACTAGTCTTGAAATCCAATCTTTGCCTTTGATTGACAAAGAACATACTGAGTGCTAGAAACTCTGTGATATTGGTGTAAAATCAATACACGATGTCCTAATCAGGAAAGAGATACACATGAATGATGCATCTGCCTTTTTATGTAAGGCTGTCTTGTGATGGTGAAAATAAGATCTCTTGACCTCTGCTGCACCATGAAATAGCATGGCTTTCTCCATCGTTTCATTGAAAATTGGATTCCCATCAGTTTTTCAGATAGTAACTCGGGTGGATAAAGTGGGGACCTTGAGTCAATTGAACATCTGATATAGAACACTAGCAATTGAGGATTATTGCTTAAAATGTAGCTATTCATTTGACTCATTCTCTCCACTGTGTAGCTTTATTTTTGTAACTGTTCTGGCTTCATACTTTTCCATTTTACTGGGACTTTCAATTTTTATGATCTGAAGTGCTAAAAAGCTTTTTGAAAATGAGAATGTTTTTATGCATCAAATGTCCAGTTGTGGGGGTGCTGTTAACTACTCAATTTTTCTTCTCGAGGAAAACTTGGATGTATTCTGAATCATGTTTTTCCAAAAAAAATAATTACTGAAAAAGGGAATAGCCTCTATTCTGCCCTATTTCAGCCACGTAAAAGATATTCTAGTAATAGCATCTCATCGGGAATCGAATATGTTTACCTCTTTTTTCTGAGTCAAATGTTTGTCTTTAGACGTTACTTGGTTTTTTCTGAGTCATCGGGATTTTTCGTCTCATTCAGACGTTACTTGGTTTTTCTTTTTTAGGCTGCTTGACCCCCTTGTAGATTTGGTTTATAGAAAAAAGGTGTTACATTGCTGAAGCCTCACCAGTTTTGGGCGAATCCTTTCTTGGCGCATTACTTGTCTACATTAAGCTTCATGCCTTTTTGTGCTTTTGACAGAATACATGTATGTTGAACAGAAGTTTGTAGAAAATAGAACACAATGTTCCCTGATAATACATTGATTTTAATCAACCCTTATTTTGTAGTTCGTAGAATTGCATATTGTTCTGATGGGGCCTTTGATCCAATGTTTCCACGTTCTTTGTTAAGCGTGGACGAACATTAGGTATCATTTGCATTCAATAGTCACACATATAGATGAAATGGATCGTCTCTGCAATTCTTTCATACCTAATGCACTTCATCCCATGCTTTATGGGGATAATAGGTACGCTAATTTCGACTAAAAGTCTCCCGCGGTGATATTTATCTGAACGTAAATGATCGAGGAGTGAGAATTGTACAACAAGAATCTATTCGAGCATCATAGCTGACATAGATTCTGGGAGATCATGTAACGAGGAAACTAACCCAAATAATTATCATCCACTTAGGCTGAATAAGCTCTCAGAACCAGGAGGGTGAGCTAAACTCTGAGAAGGATTCTTGACGCTTCCCTCCTATGTGCACCAAAGAAACCTGCATGAAGTATCCTCAATAGGTTCACTAGTATGATAATTTTAGCATGTTCAGAGCTGATATTTGACTCTGATTTATGATGTTGAAGAAAGGATGAAAGAAACTTAGTAACTTTGGTACGAGGAGCAAAATCCTGGTGCTTCTTGGTGCATTGATATGCAGATTTATGCATACTTGAAGGTTATTATGCACTGATGAGAGAAATCGGATGTTATTCTCTGTTGTTCCTCTGGAGAGGGACAAACGGTATCGGTATTATTTCGGTATTAAGCAAATGGAAACTCTTCTCGAGACCCAGAAACGCTTCAGAACCGCATTTCAATAATGTTCCTTTTTAATGGGTGAATATGATTACCTGGCTTTAATGTGAATGATGGGGATTTGACTGGGGTGGTAACCAAACGTGTAGAATTACAGTCAAACATGATCGAAACCGGATGGACATTTTGTACTAGCTGTCTGTATTTAGCTGAACATACATCGTCGTCTATCTCACTTAGCTCTCTCTGCTTCAGTATCAATTCTACAATCCTTTTTGCGAAATGCTATCCTCGACATCACCTCTCTCTCTCTCTCTCTCTCGCTAAGGCGCTCGCGGTGACAGTCCCTTGATGTGATTTGCATTGTGCCTGCAGATCTTCGGGATGATAAGCAGTTCTTCATCAACCACCCTGGCGCGATGCCGATCGCAACAGCCCAGGCGAGAGCCCTCTAACACCATCAAGTGAAATTATCATTCCATTTGTTCCGCAGTTATAGTTTCTCAGATTCATTCCTTGTTATATATAAATGTCCTCCTTTTCCTGCGCCGTCCACCAGGGAGAAGAACTCAGGAAGCTGATAGGAGCACCCGCTTACATCGAGTGCAGCTCCAAAACGCAGCAAGTGAGCCCCCTCTTTCTTCTCTGATCCCCCTCCTCCCTCCCCCGAGCTCATCTCTTCTCCCGTTCTGTCGTCCCCAGAACGTGAAGGCGGTGTTCGATGCGGCGATCAAGGTGGTGCTCCAGCCGCCCAAGCAGAAGAAGAAGAAGAGGAAGGCTCAGAAGGGCTGCTCCATTCTGTGAGCCAAGGCCCCGGCAAGTTCCTATTCCCCCGGGCTCCCCAGTAATCGACTCCTGCAGACCCACTGCCCATCCCCGCCCTGTATGAACGTGTTTAATTCATATTGTACCACCTTCTTAACTCATCCTCGGGCTCTGGTCAGCCGCAGAAACCCTTTACCAGCCCTGCTTGTCTGCCGTTGAACAGCCTCTCTCTCTCTAGGCCCCTCCATTACAGAGGCACCTTTGGGATGCCTCATCTCATCGGTCTACTCTGTTCTAACTCAGAATCTTTCCATCTCCAGGGGCACACCGTCCGCTGGCGAGGACCCACAGCCAAGACCACCACCAAACTCGGCCTAATCCCCATTCTTTTGGCCGGGGAGTTAGGAGTCCTTTAGTAGCCTCTGACATTTTTTAATGGCGACGCCACCCTCCCACCAGACGCCGTCTTGGGTTGTGGCGGGTTCTGAGGAGGCCACGCCTCATGGGCCAACGGTAGGCCAAGCGTCGCGGCACGACTCTGATGGCTCTAAGCTAACGACCGATCCCCGATTGCCCAACACAACAACTGCCATTACCTCTTTGTCGGATCCGATGTAAGGGCCTAATTGTGGGACCCACAAATGGATATCCACGTGGGGCAAGCAGTTAGGACGGTTTCTGGCGGTGGGCCGGGGGTATTATTATTCATTAGGTCGCCGAATCTCTGTGCGGCTGTCTGCGGCCTACCTTCTACACGTGCCAAACAGAGCCATCGTTTGTCGCCATTACTGAATAGCCGGCACGTGCCGTCCCCGCCGCCGCCACCACGACTCCATCCGAGTTCATGGAAGAATTCATGAGGCGGACGGTTCCTACTGCCTCTCCCATGCCGCCGCCGCGGCGCCGGGGAGCCGGCGGAGCTTCGGACGGCGGCCCGTGGGGGATCCACTATCCGCGGCATTCAATGAGGCTCCTCGGTTGCGGCGTTCTGTCGAACGCATGGCGTGCACCGACAATACCCACGAAGGCGGAGGACCATCGGGATTCCTCCCCGGGCGTAACCACCGTGTGGGCATTCAATGCGAGTAATATAGCCTCTGGGTCCGGGGAGATGCCCTCCTTCCTTCTCTGTCTCCTTGTGGATCGGAACGGGCCATGACGGGGCCGACAGAATAGACCAACAGAGAACTCTCGCCCCGCTCTGAACCAGTGTGGTGCCGACGCCGGCGGTCTCTCTCGCCGTTAGGGACCGGCACCTCAAATCGCCCTCGAGGGTAATAAACCCCCGGCGCCCTCAATTGCACGTGCAGAGAGTTCTACTTGGATCCGATGACCGTTCTGGCTGCGCCGAGGTCGTAATCCTCGCCGCGGCGTTCTCCAATCCGCTTTCTCAACGACCACAATCGTACACGTCTGCTGCAATTTTTTAAAAATATGATCTTAATTGATGTTCTAATCGTCTGCGAAGTGCCGGGCGAGGTTCCACTACAGAATATTGAATATTTGGAATGAGAACACACGCAGCGACAACTTGGGTGCGGTTCACAAGTCAACTGTCCATCCGCCCAAGTCCACGTCCCAAGAGGTCGCGTCGTGTCAGCGTCAGCGTCAACGCGATGCCGCACCCAGGACGGCTTTCTACTGCCCCTCGCCCCAATCCCACGTTTGGATGTCAGCGTTTCATCCCCGCCCGGCGCCGGCTTTCTACTGCCCCTCGCCCCAATCCCACGTTTGGATGTCAGCGTTTCATCCCCGCCCGGCGCCGCCTGGGGACTCCCGTAGATCGCCGCCAGTTGCCTGCGATTTCCGGGATTTATAGTGCGGTTGGACCTTACGCGGGAGAGTTCGGCATCGGAAGAACAGTCAACGGCCGAATCTAGCGTCGTCAATAGAAGCCGACAGGGTCGATCCAAGTGTGCAGTCATTCCTAAATATTATCGCGTTTATTGTCGAGTCGAAATCGGGGCCTTTTAACCTGGGCCGGTCGCCGGGCCCCCCGCAGATGCGCCGGCCGAAGCGGGAAAATTGCACCGCTGGGCGGCGCCCGACGAGGGCCCCCCGGCGCAGGCGTCGGTGGAGTGGGCGGGTGTCCACCGGCCTCCCTGGGACACCCCCGAAAATAGGCCAGTCGTCGGCACAGATCCGTGTAGTAACTCCACATGTTTTCCGTTCCCAGACGTTGTCCCGGTCCTCTCTCTCTCTCCCTATCCGACCCTCTCTCTCTCTCTCTATCCGGAGCTCCGCAACTTGACGTCTTTCTCACCTCATCCTGGATTGCCCGCGGCGCCCTCTGGTAATCAATGGATGATGATGACGGGGATACTGTCGCCGCTGCTTATCTAAGCGCCTGTTGTCATTAAATCAGGGGGCCTTAAATTCGCCGTCTCCACGGCAGAGCTTATTCTACCTCGTTACCCTCCTCCGGCCAGGTTCCCTCGATCGGGAATTGATAAATCCGCACGTAGTTGGTCAGTAGGTAGGAGGAGAGGATCAATGGCGGGCGGCCGGCTTTTAAAAGCTAACCATTCAAGAGAGCGACAACCGAATGAGGTCTCTTGGTTTGGTTCTTGCTGATTCATCCCAACTCCTCTCCTCTTTGCCGCTCTTCCAGCCCCCCTTTCTGGGTCAGAGCTAGAAAACAACATTATATCGGTGGAAAGGTGGGGGTTCCTTTCTCTTGCGCCTGCCTCGCTTGATATGCCTTTCTTCTGAGCCAGGAGGAGGCGGTCCATCCCAGAGCTCTGCACCTTCTCTCTCTCTCTCTCTCGTTATCGGTCCGACAAGAAATCACTGGTCTTCGGTTGATCACGGTGTAAGGGCGTCCTAAAAGATCTCATGTCCTCCCGTGCGGAGAAGGAGCTGTCGGCGCCGTTCGCCAGCCCGTGGATCGCATAACTGAGGAAAGAGGTGAGGAGCTGATTCTGAGAATGACAGCGGCGGAGGAGGGGAGGACGGTGCTCGTCGGCGTCCAGATCGACGGCAACGGCCGTGAGGTGCTCGACTGGGCGCTCAGCAGAGTTGCCCAGGCGGGCGACTCCGTGATCGCCGTCCACGTCTCCCGCGACTCGAGCGCCGCCGCCGCCGTCCCCCTGGACGGCTTCCTGGCGGAGTACGAGAATTTCTCCAAGCTAAAGCAGGTGGGTCTGACTTTCTCCATCTCCTCCTCGTTTCTTCACCCCACCCTTTTCTTGAATTGATGGGGGAGACGGTGGTCACCGACGGATTTCAGGTGGTTCTCGTGGGGAAGGTCGCGAAGGGGAGCTCCATAAGAAAGACCCTGGTCAAGGAGGCGAGGCTCTGCTCCGCGGGGGCCGTGGTGGTCGGCGTGAACAAGGGGACCCCTTTCGGGTAGGGAATCAAGCTGCTCACCTTCCTTCCTTCCTTCTTCCTCTCTCTGCTCCATGGCCGTCGCCGACGAGCGCTCTGCCGGCCGTTCTAAAACGGAGATTTCTCGCAGGGGCACCGTCTCGGTGGCCAAGTACTGCGCCAAGAAACTGCCGCCGGCCACATCTCTGGTCGCCATTCGCAACGGCAAGGTCATCTTCGAGAGGGAGACCTCCAAACCGATCCCTGGTCAGCCCCTCTCCATCCCTCCCTCTCTCCCTTCTTCCCTCCTTCCTCTTCACAAGCTCATGCTGGTAGGGTTTCTGTTGACATGCAGTGTGGGATCCAAAGACAAGCCTCCGGAGTCTGCTACGACCCAGTGCCGGCGCCGACTCGAAGGCCGCGGCCGTAGTCCCCTCCGGCGACGGCGAGGCCGAGAATCCGCAGCAGGAGCAAGCAGCGGAGGACGAAGCTGAGCCCGGCTCGGTCACGGTTCTGGTGAGGAAGCTGCCGGAGAGGACGCCGGGTTGGCCCCTCCTCAGAAAGGCGTCGTCGGTGACGAATTCCAGGCTCCGGGGAGAGGGCGATGGCCGGAAGATGTCAGTGGTTCAGTGGGTCATGCAGCTTCCAGACAGATCCGGGCAACCGGAGTCGCCCCCTGTTGGAATACCGTCGAGTCCGTCTTCACTGGCTGGCCTGCGCGGCGAGCTTGAGGCCATCCTCGAGAAGAATTCCTCCGGTTGCAGGTGGTTCACCGATGCAGAGCTCCAAAGCTGCACTGATCACTTCTCGTCAGGTTCTTCCCCTTCCTTTCCCCTTCGCTGCAAAACTTCATAAACTTCATCCCGACTAACGATTTGTTCCTCATCCGGCGCCGGAAACAGAGAACCTGATCGGAAAAGGAGGCGCCGGCAGGGTGTACAAGGGCTGCCTCCCCGGCGGCGAGCGGGTGGCGGTGAAGATCTCGAATTCCTCTGCGGAGGCGACGAGGGACTTCGTCTCCGAGGTGGACATCGTCACCTCGCTGCGGCACCACAGCGTCGTCTCCCTGGTCGGGATCGGCGTCCAAGACGGGGCCCTTGTCTCCGTCTACAGGCATTTCTCCAGGGGGAGCTTGGAAGAGAACCTCCACGGTGAGCCTAGTTCCTCTCGCTTCCCCAATTTTTCTCTTTCTCCATCTTCCTGTTCTTGATCGATCCGTCTGACGCAGGCAAGAGATGCAAGCCTCCGCTGCCGTGGGAGAGCAGATTCAATATCGCCCTCGCCATTGCCGGGGCGCTCCACTACCTCCACAGCTCCTCTTCTCGTCCCGTCATTCACAGGGACGTCAAGTCTTCCAACATCCTCCTTTCCAACGATCTCCAGGCCCAGGTACTACTCCCCCATCTCCTCCACCACCACCACCATAGTTTCTCTTCTTCCTCTGAGATCTGTCTCCTCGGTCTGCAGTTGTCCGACTTTGGGCTTGCTATGTGGGCGCCGACGGGCTCGTCGTACGTATCTCAGGGCGACGTGGTGGGCACCTTCGGGTACCTCGCTCCAGAGTATTTCATGTACGGGAAGGTCAGCGAGAAGATCGACGTGTACTCGTTCGGCGTCGTCCTCCTCGAGCTGGTCACCGGCCGGAAACCCATCAGCGACGACCACTCCAAGGGCCAGGGCAGCCTCGTCATGTGGGTAAGCCTCCTCCTCCACCACCGCCGCCTCCAAACGAGCTTCTTCATCCAATCCTTCTGACCTTCCCCTCCTTCCTGCGCAGGCGACAATGATGATGGAGCGAGGAGGGGAGGTGCTCTCCTTGCTGGATCCAGACCTCGAAGGTAACTACGACGAGGATCAGGCCCGAAGAGTGGTCTTCGCGGCGTCCCTCTGCCTAAGAAGGTCGGCCCGTCTTCGGCCCCCAATGGGCGAGGTGAGCGAGCCTGGCCATGGAATGAAGAATTGACTGCTCTGTTAGCTTTCTTCTTCGGACTGACTGAATGACTGACCTGCGGCAGGTTCTGAGGCTGCTCCGAGCGGAGGAGGGCATGGAAGCATGGAGAGCCGCCGCCGCCGTCGCTGAAGAGGGATCGGAGGATCAGGGCGACGAGGAGGTGTACCCGCCGTCGAGCGTAGCGTCCCACCTCGGCCTCGCCCTGCTCGACGTTGACGACGGCGCCTCCGTCAGCAGCGCTGACCCAAGCTGCTACCAGGTCTCCCTGGAGGAGTACCTCAAAGGAAGATGGAGTCGCTCGTCCAGCTTCGATTAGCAGTCGGTACCTCCATTTCTTTTTTCCTCTTTCTTCTCTCTTCTTTCTTCCAGCTCCCCAGAAGCGCCCGTCTACGGGGATCGCATTCGCGAGAGAGTGGATCAATAAACAGGATGATTTTTTGTCGAGTGAAAATGGAATCGGCCAATTCATTAGGAAGATGAACAGGGGGAAAGGAAGCTCACCCTGCTCTGTTTCGGTCCCTTCCTCCTCCTCACAGAGGATCTTCTTCCTCGATGGTCCCTACCCAGATAGAAAGATCAAAAACATTTACAGCTAAATTCATTTACATGAGGAAAACTATTGGATGACGCAGAATGGCGATCCAACAGCGACGTCACGTCGTTTCCGGAAGAACAGTCACACGGAAATTTGATTCGACGAAAGAGACTCCCCATGAAAATTCCTTATTTTCTTCCTTTTTAATAATAATCCTATTCAATATCAACACAACAGACAACGAAATATTACGCAACACTACAGGACGATCACGTTACAGAAGTTCCGTCATGAAAAAACGCCGTGTAGAGAGAAAAAAAAAGAAAAAGACATACCTTATTCACGACCAAACCAGGCAGTAAAAGAACCGCAAGAGGCAGAACGTCTGCTGCGTCAAGATCGGGTAAGCAGACCTTACCGTCCCAGTCGATGATCTTCTTCCAGAAGCGGCTTATCTTTCCGATGATCTTGCTGTTGACGAGGGGAACATGGACGACCCCAGCTTCCGGTCTCTTCCGCCTCGAAGATCACGCCGCCGCAGTTACTCAGAGTCAATTTATTGGACTGGTAGGGTCTACGTCCGCTGAGACGGGGCAAGGGGAACGTGGGAGGAGATAGAAGGCGGGAGACGCTAGCGACATCTCTTGCACAACAGATTCAGATCGCGGCAAACGTTTATTTGGCAGGATGCTTCGAGGGCTCAACCAGTGGAAGCTGACGTCCATTAAACCAAAGAAATCCGCCAAAACCTTAAAAAAATTTCAATAATTTGTGAGCAGCCAGTGTATCAAGAGAGAGAGAGAGGATCAGAGATGAGAGAAGGATTCATTGCCCAGGGTTTGAGAGAAGTCAAGAGCGTCGACAAGCGAAGCGATAAAGTTGGAGAAGTGGAGAAGATGTCTACCAAGGAAGAGGAAGGCGTAGGGAAGACAACGGTATATACAGTCGCCGTCCTTCCCTCGGCGTCAATCACAGGATCCCCATAAAAAAGGAACCGAGGCCGGCGACTCTCTTTCTGCATTCATGGAGAGGAGCAGTGAGATGAACACGGAGAAATGGTGATGATCAGCTCTCATCTGTTCGCGTTGACAGGGGCGGCGGCGCTGAACCTGTCGTCCCCCGAGTCGGCGACAGCAGGATGCTCCATCTCCACTTCTCCGACATCGGAGACCAGGACCACGGCCCTCGCGTCCTCCCCTTCCTTTCCCCTTTCCGCCTCCTTCCAGTACTGCGCCGATCGTCCTCACTGGTTCAGCAAAGTGCGATGGTGGAAGACGACCCCATCGAGCAGGAGGTGACTCTGGTCCTCTGAATTGGGCCACTTCAAGTGGTTTGGGCCCAGAAGAAATATATCGGGCCCGTGATAGCAAAATAGACGAACGAGATCAGGCCCGCTCCATTCCGAGTGAACTGAAGGAAATAACCCGGACCACTTGAATCAGGTGGATTCCATGCACTGAAACGGCGGCGGTCCCGTCTTCGTCTTCTCCGGCCCTGCAGGGTGCAGGCGGACGCTCGTTAGGTATCTCCTTCCCCTCTGCATGGGATCCATCAGGAGGCGGAGCCCCACCGGGACCTCTCGCTGCCGCCGCCGGTAGATCCACCGGAAAGCTTCCAGGTTGAATACATTCACATACCTTGGATTCCACGCTCCTCCACTTCTCGCCATTCTTGGACGAGCGCGCAGCAGCAGCACATCAGATGAGACAGGAAGTCGTCGAAGAACCCGCCCTGAACAGGCAGGAGAGGTCGTCGGATGATCTGTTGAGCACCAAAAACGGATGAAGATCATCTTGAGGCGCGGAGGAAGAGGACTCCACCTCGATGTTCAGTAGTTGGCGGAGGTTCCTCCGGATGCAGCAGGTGTAGCAGCAGCACGAGAGCACCAGTGAGTAAGCCATCAGATCATTGCACACCTCGGCGGAAGCTGACGATTCGGAAACAACCAGGCAGAGAGTCAATGACCGACCAGGGGGAAGAAACCTAATCAGAGTCGATCTCCGGTGTTATGAAAGCCAATGAAGGGACTATATAAGGGATCTAGTCCATTCTTTCATTTGATCAAAGCCATGAAAATTATTCCAGATGTTGAGGAATGAGGACTGGTTCGTGGAGATGGAGCACTCACAGACGGGTCTTCTTTTGGCGACGCATGCAATCTTCGACAACGTTCCGCATGGGAAGAAGAACGTTCTTATGCCTGCAGGACAGAAGAAGGTGATGAACGATGTAAGTCTGTTCGTTAATGGGAGCTATCATACGGAATAACTTCAGCTTTGAAAAAAAATTTAGGTGAAGAGCAAAAATAAAAAAAAATGTATTCGTTCTTATGAAGAATTTGGATGCCAGATGGAAAGAACTGGCTTACACAAGTACGGTTCTGAGCAGCAATCGAGTAGATCCGAGTGCCATTCTCCTTGTTGAGGCGACTCCTTGCTCGATGCGACGGTGGAAGGGCATCTGCACGCAGCAGGGAGCTCCATTGTTTCTCATACAAAAAACAGGTAAATAAAAATGGCATAGAAATAAAATAGATGGATTTCATATCCCTGGGTTTCGAATTGATTGGTTGATCGATCCACCAGGTCTCTTAGGAGGGATAATTTTGAGGAAACTCAACTGTTATTCAACTCTAAACTATGAATTCAAGGAGGAAATGCCTAAACAAGCATGTAATGAGGAACCAGAATCCAAATGGCTAAAAAAAAGAGTTATTTTATTTTTCAAAAAGGTTGTCAAAGATCAGATCACAAAGGGGCTTGTTGTTCTTCCTACTGGGCAGGATTCCTTGATAGCGATGGATCACAGCACTAGGGAGATTGAAGTGGGGAGAAACAAACCGTTTTCGATCGCTGTGTTCTTTAGCCCTCGCATAGCCTGGATGATGTTGCTCTTGCTTACTATTTGGCGGAGAATCCTTCTCGGGAAGAGAACTTGCGACGGTCTCCGCCACCCCGATCAGATGCTGTATGACCTCGCACTGGCCGACATCCAGGTTAGTCTGAGATCTCTGCAACTCCAGCTGGAGTTTCTCGCTCTCCTTTCGAAGGGCCTTGTCGAACGGTAGGTTTGGATAGGAGCACGAGAGGGTCTTCTTCAGCACCAGAGCATCCTTCTGGGAAGGATCGCGATTCAGGATCACGTCCTGCACCTTCCTGTCCTCTTCATCCAGGGTGTACTCGCGCTGATCCTTCTCGATGTCCTCGAGCCTTTCCTGCCAAGCAAGGAATCGGGGGAGATGTGACGGCATTGTTGAATCCATCCAAACTGAGAAAATGAGCAGCACCGTACCCTGATTCTGGCGTTGTTGACGAGCGTGATGAGAGGGACTAGACGCAGGTACCGATCGATCTCCGTCTGGGCCTTCCTGAACTGGTAAACAATGTTCCAGCCCATGGCCAGGAGGTAGAGGTAGCTCCGGTCCTGGCAGCTGTTGACGAGGACATAGGATCTCCTCAGCGCTTCCTCCAGCTGCTCCAGAGGCTCCCGCGTCTCCGGATATTTCTTCAGCTCCGAGATCCTGAGCTGCTCCAGAAGGTTACCGATGAGCTTCAGGTGCTGCGCGAACTGGCGGCAGTTGTTCTTGTGCATCCGCGCGGTGTTCGCGGCCTGGACGATCATTCCGATCAGGCGGACGGCGTCGGCGCCGACCAGCTGCCCGATTGTCCCCAGCTCGCCCAGATGCTCCCATGACGAGGCCATTTCGGAGATCTCCGCCGATCCCTGCCAGGAATGGCGACCGATCAGCAGACTGAAAAATGAAGGCGCGATCCAGACAAATGAATGCGACGAACAATGTTCTCCTCCTTCCGCTCCCTTAAAAAATTCTTGAGCCGGATAATCACCAAATAGAAGACCAGAAACCGATGCAATTTCTTCTCATATAACAGACGATTGTCTCCCAGAACAGATCGCTCACCACCACCCAGCTTCCACCTAAAAGTTATTTCTATTTAAAAAGAGAAAAGCCGAAATCGAAAGCTACAGGTGGAAACTCGGAGAGTTGAAATCGCTGCCGCTCAGGAGATCTTCTCTGGATCTCGCGGAGGCAGGAAATCGAGGAACATTGAGGGCTCTTGGCACTTGCATCTGAGAGAAGAGCTACAGCGAGGGTGGTGAGGGGGAAGAAATCCCCAGGGAGCGGCTTCTGCCATCACGATGGCCCGCCGAAGTCAGCGGCGAGGACATCGAAAACGGGCAAAGAGGCAGAAAATGCACAGAAGCTAATCGCCGAAGAACGGCGGAATACCAACGCACCAGTCGACGCCGTCCGGAGAAGGATCAGCAGCCGAGAGCTTCAACAATCGTAGAGAGAGAGAATGTCCCTTTCCCTAATCACCGACCGCACAGATTCTCCCACTTCTGAACTCCATTTTCAGTTCCTAGCCATCAAGAGTGCCCAACCACGATGACGAAGTGAGATCAGAAGATTAGAGGACAAAACCCCGCCCCGGAGACCAACAGGAAACGGCGCCGCGTGAAGCGGGACTCTCTCTCTGGTCGCGCGTTCCCGCGACAGCTTTTCTCCCGGTCTTCGAAATCCTTCCCTCCGCGTCTCTTCTGCAGGAATCCCGAGCGGATAGCCCTTCGGCAGAAGGCCTACGGAGGTCAATCTCTGCCACGAATGCGAATGGGGCAGGGAGACAAGTTCCTGTCCCTGCAGCTGGACGTAGAGAGAGAGAGAAGTGAAGATGCGGGAGGGGTTGCGCCGGTGGTGTGTAAATTACGCTATTACCCTACCTTCCCACTTCCCGCGGAAGAAGACGATGAGCTGGAATTTTCTAGCCTTAACAATTTCTACTTCCCGTCTATTTTACCACAACATACAAAAATACACCCAACTTACAATTTTCAGCATTGTTATCATTATTATTTATTTTTTGGGCCACTGCCCAGGATTTTAAACTTCTTGCGGTTTTTGTACTTTCCTTTCTCCATTATTAAAAATCGTTATAAATCTCATTTTTAAAGCTTTTCCGTGAGATACAATGACTCCCGTTTTTTCAAGGAACGATTTTTACGATAAAAGAACGACCCTTAACCCCCTCCCTCTCTCTCTCTCTCTCTACGTCACCACAGATCCCACAGGCCCAGCTGGGACGATGACCCACATAGTTAATGCTAAATACTACGGATTATAGCATGCGAACAACCGCCGCTGCGACACTGGCGAGAGCAACAGGAAGAGCTCGCTGATGCGGGCGCCTGCTGCGCCAACAGCGGCGGGAGAGGCAGTTCACGTGTGCAACCACTGCCAAGCCATGGCATATTAACAAACAGCGTTCCACCGGCTGGGCATTCAAGCAAACAGACTCGAGGTGCACAGTACTGCGGCGAGTTGATGTACAGAAAAAAGAAAAAACTCGGGAGTAAAACGATGTACATAGAAAAGTGGGGGGGAGGGGAGTTTTTTTCATTCGGCGAAGTCGAATCAATAGAAATCTTGAGGACTGCGTGGGAGGAGGATCAGCTGGCGTTCACGAGAAAAGGGTTCTGGCAGACCCCACACTCGACCGTCGCAGAGCCAGAACTGGGGACTTGAACCTGTGGAATCCAAAGAAATCTAGTTTAACGGCGCAGTGGGCGGCGGAGAAGAGGGCGGCGGAGCCAGTTTAATGAGAGGACGAGAGGCAGGAACCTGCAGATGGACGGTGCATGTGGGGCAGGCGACTTCCCGCATCCGCCTTCCCGACGTATCGGAGGTTTTTGAGCCTGTGGAAGGGGGCGATGTGAGAACAGGGAGATTAGTCACGGGTACGCCCCCAGTGTTGCAGGAGTTAGAAAGAAAGTTGGTTGAAGATTACCCCCAGTCGATCCCTTCCGATTTTTCTCCATTTCTTCCTGCACAGGGAGAAATAAAGAGTGGTCAATATCAACTACAGCAGTCAGCGAGGGGTCTAGAGAGAGAGAGAGAGAAAGAGAGAGAGAGAGAGAGAGAGGAGAAGAAAATGCTTCAGGTTCTCTAGCTGGAATTCTTTGAGCAGTGCATCTGTTTGTAGGCCTAATCAACAGTTTGGACCCTCAGGTTGCCTGGATAAGGACAGCGCTGTTGACTTGATGGGAATAGTTACAGCGACGAACATTAAATGGTGTATTTTTATTGATTCCTGCAGATTTACTGCTGGTTTGCTCATGGAGTCACAGACAGTTCCTCCTATAAACAACTACGATGGTGAGAAAAATGTCGCTCTGGAGTTGACTTTCTTAACTTCAGGAGAAGATTCTTCTTCATGGTTTAATGGGCAAAGGCTATATATATGCGTCAATTCTCAAGGAAAGGCGAGTTCCTTTTCCAAGAAGAAGGGAAATATTTGGCATGTGGATATACCTGCAGCTTCCGAGCAAGATCCTCATGACTTTGGGGCATGGCCGATCGACTCACCACTTCCTTTGCATTACTCAATCTTTGGGTGACTTCTGCCTGTCAAATCGAAAACTCATCAACCACCAAACTAAAATTATATTGCAAAACAAAAACCTTCAAGAAAAGGTATGTTTAGTCTCAGCACGCCGCCTAAGTGAATATATTTAGACATGATATCCTGAAAGTTGGAAAGTACATATCAAAGGTTGCTGAAGATTTCTGAAGAGAAATTGTACAGAGCGTTGTAATAACTAAAATCTCAACTTCTTTTGAAAATCACGACATTTCAATCACACCAGATTATTGCAAGATTAAGGAAACACTGCTATGAAATGCTACGCTATAGTAAGTGCTATCGAACTTTTTCAACTTTGAATTGTCTCTTCTCTTTGATGTTGAATCTCGGCATTAAAAAATATTTAGATGTGGTCAGCATCTGGTCTTATGAGGTCACTTTCTTTCTTCAGTTTTCCACTTTACCATGTAATTACGGTAATGGCTATGGCAAGAATCATGCAATAATCGCGCCTGTAAATACCGTATGGTTGGGTTTGTAATCTATCCAAGATAAATCAGAAAACTAGCCATAAGATTATTTTCAACAGTAGACATAAAAAGTCGTCGCTCGTGTAAATGATAAAAATATACTTTAACGACAAGTTGTAGAGATGAGCATTCAAAAGCAAAAAAAAAAAAAAAAAAAAAAAGAAAGAAAGAAAGAAGGAAGGCGCTATATAGGTTTATACAATCAATAACTTCTTCAGATCATACATTAGTAAGATCTAAGATAAATGAAACGCAAGTGGCAAAGGAAATGAAGCAAAGGACATACCAAGCATCTGTCACAAACTCGGACAGGCTGAGCTTGTTCATCAGAGGTTAAAGCAATCCTACCACTTGTGCACTTATCACAGAAAATATCGCCACAATTTCTGCAGTGATGCTGAAAATGAGAAAAATAACAGTCAGTGAATGTAAATCACGGATACATGCAACCATATATTTATAATACCACCAACAGAGAACATTAGAACAATAAAAAACGTAAAAATAATCTTTTGCTGAGAAATGCACATCAAAATCTTGACAACATGACAATCAGCAACTTGGTGCTTCCATGGGAAATGATTCTATGATCCACAAACATATGACGGAGATAACATGACGCTACCTTCCAAAGATCCTTGTTGACTGTTTGAATTCATGGTCCATGGAAATTCCATTTATAACTTATTACTTTTTATGTAATCAAGCTATTATTAATCTATCAACAAATAATGTAAGTTCACTAGAGTAAAAATTCACCCTGCGCACAAAAGCTCCAAAATCCGTTCCACAAGATGTGCACTTTGTAACTGCTTCATCTGGTACCTGAACAGAGGAAAATATTGGGACAAAAAGAAGCATCAGATGATTGTTAGCATTAAACAAGCTCAGCTATAAAATGGAATGAAGAAATAATATTTACAGACTAGTTCATGATACACTTAAGTTAAAACAATCGTCAAGCTTGGAACAATCCGATATGCCCAAACAGGAACTGGGGACACCACGTCTTTTTAGTACTTGTGACAGATGATGCCAACACCAACAGGACTTGTGAGATAATTGAAATCATCCTTAAACTCTAAGGATAGAAAAATAAATATTAACTCACATGTGACGTCTATTTTTCACAATTTCATGGTAATATATCAAGAGAAGAAACGCCTTCAGAAATAAAATGAACTTTAAAATGATGTATATTTTTCCTTCTTTCAGGATAAGGCATCAGGAAAAGCAGCTGTTGCTGCTCCTGCTGCGTTAATAGTGAACAAAGCACGAGCTACAGTGGTCGGCAGCTCCATTGACTGTTGAAACCGCACATTGCCATCACCAGTGGCCGTAGCAAGGCGAGTTGTTATGGGTTCTGTAGATAGCATCCAGAGCAACAACCACAGCAGTGACCAACTCATTCATAACCAAACACCATCTATTGGGATTGATAGAACTTGTTAACACTGAGGCAGCCATGAAACTAAACAGGTGGCCTGGACAAGAGCATTGCCTGGCAGATTGTTTATTTGCACTGCCCTCGGATGTTCGGGCCACCTTGCCACCAAATTGATTCTTTGAAAACCATGATTCAGCAATACCAATATAGGATCCTGATTCCACCAACTGTTACATGGTTACAGGTCAAGGCATTGGGTTTCGAAGCAAGGGCGCGCTCTTGAATTTTAATTTGCATATTTCAAGAAATACATTGAGACCTTTATTTTACTACGCATTTGTTTCATTGTTAGCAGCCACGTGCACTAATATTAGAATTGACACAATGATTGCAGCAAACAGAAACGTTGACATTTACAGAAGATATCTACATGAAAATCAATCAACAAATTCATTATCTCACAATCCAGCTAGGAAGTTACTGTGGCAAAAATGTAGAAACCAGTTTTAAAACAACCCCACGAGCTCAGTTTTTCCCCACTTCATGGAAACACATTGAAATAACAGATGGTATGAAGCGCGCAAATTGAGGAAAAAAAGGTTTTACATTTCTGCATGAGCAAATAAGAAAAATTTTCAGCTAGAGGAGGTTCAGAAAACTTACCCAATGTTCTTTCTCCTCATTAACTGGCTTTATTATGTTGATCCAATCAACAAAACCCTTCTTCTTTTCAGCTGCTTGTTCAGATTGTTTTGCAGCATCAGAAGCTGCTATGCTTCTACTGACTCCATCCTTACCACCCATTTCCTTAAACTGAAATACAGAAAAACTTCGTAAGTTGCAAAGAATACCGCTGATGCTTTAACATATCAATCATGCTATTTCAATAATATTGATATCAGAGGAAAATGAAAAAACTATGTTTACCCTATTCTTAAAAACAGTCAAGACTTAACAAACTTACTTGAATTGTTGCAGCAGTAACAGTATCAAGAAGGGTATTGGTAGTGTAGCTGTTAGATTGCAGCCTAATGCGTCTTGGTTCAAAGTCCACCGAACTTTTTGACCAAAAGGCAAAAGTAGAGGAATCTGCCACCTACATGGAAAAGAGAAGCCAATATGCGCCACGCCTATGAAGCATATGCAACTTAAAGCAAATTACGAATGTTAAAATACTTACTTCAGATCTTGTCACCGTCTCAAGAGGATAGATTCTCAAGGTCCTATTGGAATTTGGATCAAGCATACGAATTCCATCCAAACCAATCTGAAGAAGAAAAAAAGAAGACAAAACTAAATTATGCACAGATACAAGGGTCTCATGGAGTTTAGATCTATTCACATATCCGAGCACGTAAGCATATGATGAAGGATTATTTTTTTCTTTCTTTCATCAGGGAATATCAATCATGGAAAATTATGCAAGTTTTTCAGCTTGAATGCGAGGAGTTCAGGTAGAAGATAAAATAACATTACGCCAAGACGATAAAAAGAAAGTAAAGGCAATCAGGGAATTTAATTCAATAAAAGAAGCCATGTTCCAAACAGAATTGAAGAATGCGAATTTAAAGAAAAGGCTGCTACAACAGGCTAGTGTTTATCACGTTTCCTGCATTAATGCCCAAAAACCAGGAAATTAGCATAAAATTACTTCTGCAAGATTCCTTTTGAAGGCATGACAAAACTCAGTTTTTTATTCTCTACTGAGATCCAATTCCGGCTACATCACTTCATAATGAAGGATAGAATACACTCATGATTCCTTGAAACAAATGGACCAGCCTCAGTAGCATTATTTAACCAAAAAAATAACAATTATCACAGAAATCCACACACCACTGGAGCGAATCCCTTTTCATGCAACTTCTGAAGGAACATGACATATTTTATATAATTTGTTGACTGAACAACACTTTCCAGACCAAACCGTATGCAACCTATATTGGAGTGATAGAGTTATGTGTGTCTGGACATTACTCAACCTTGATCCCTAAAGAATAATCGCACCAAAATCCATGACTAATATCACTACAGCACTACATCATAACATTATTTGTTCACCTTGTGTTTTCAAGAAATTATTTAAAAATGAGTCTCAATACCTGCTTTCAAATGAATTACATGCATTAATTTAATGTTTAGCTCGTATGGCAGTGAGAGTTCGTTCATTCCAAAATTTTGAAATAAATAAATTAAGCAACATTCATTTGGTCGAAAAGAGAAAAAAATGGAGCAGAGGACGGGTAGGCTACGAGTAGAGAAGGGATGAGGGACCATATCGATGGAGTATTTGTTAAAAGTATGAACAACAAAAGGTTCCCCAAGGATTGGACAATCCATTAGCATAAGATAATTCGATGAAGGAATTAATGCAACATTCTTCCCATACTAAATCGACGAGGATGTAGTTAACGTGGTTGTCCGAAAATAACATATTTCATAAGAAGATACTTGAAGCCCCAGATCCTCTGACCGATTTGCTGACCCAAGATTGATGAATAAGAATTGTAAGCTGCCAAGTAAGCGTGCCTATATTAAAGTATCCATTCAAACACGCTCTCATTCACATTTCCCACGTCTACAGGAACTGATATTCGCATATTGCACAATAGAATGGCAAATAACTTGTCTAGTGCAGGAATGATGACACTCTTTTGGGGTATTTGTTTAATAATAGATGTGGAAATTCAAGAGCTTCAAACTAAACGGCTAAGATCTGTCATAGGACAGGAAGCTTCTGTCTATTAGTCACAATTATCCAGGAGATGTTTTCAGCTATAAAGTGAATATAGTGCTTCCCATTGATTTACCATGTTATGTTTTAAAAGTTCAAGCTAATCAACTGAACGCTACAGTCATCAGGCTTGCTCGTATTTCGTTTAATCAATTAAAACGTGGAAAAAAAATTAAAAGATGTCCGGAATTGCTTGTTTTCATACATTCCTAGAGGTGTAGCACTTCTACCATAGTGATATAAACCCAGCACATCTAAGCGAAGCTTTCCAAGTTTTTTCATATGAAAACATGTTGCGTCATTGGAAATAACATTAGCCTATCCCAGGAAAACGGAATTCAATACCCAATTCCATTGTCAATGACAGTGCATTTAATCAAGCTTCAAAAACCATTTGTCAATGACCGTTGAGACAAAATCAAACACGAAGACAGTTGATAAGGAGGATATCTCAGAACAGGCTTTAAAGTTGGAATTCTGCTAACACAGAGGGTTTCTATACACACAAAGGGCACTCGAATCTCAGGGCTCAGTATAAAACTGAAAATCATTGGATGAGTCACGGAACAAAAATGATATGCTCCTTCAGCAATCCAAAGCAATGGGGCAATAACCCAACTGACAAAAGTTTCATTATCAAAAAGAAATAAAGCTGAAAGTAGCACTAACAAACCTGGCAAAGGACATCCATGGAACTCTGGCCCGATCCCTCGGGCAATAGCTTCACACGGAACTTCTGCACCCCATTTTTGACATCCTGCTGAGACTCAACCTTAGGGACTGCCTTAACAACCTTTACCTGTTCCTTCCCGGTCGACGAAAATCCCACGGACCGCCCATAATCATCAAAGAGAACCCGTGAAGAAGAAGATGAGGACCTAGCAGGCGCAGTTCCCCTAGCGCCATACGGTTCCGACCTACCCCCGTCATAAGGATACACGCCCTCTCCAAGAACGTCATCGTAGGGCCTATTGCGGTCGTAACGTGGGGCATTATCGGCTTTCTTTTCGTAGGAATCGCGTTCAAAACTACTATGACTCCGACCATACATGACATCGGGGTTCGAATTATACCCAGCGGAATTTTCGGCGAAGAATCCACTATTGCTATGATCGAATCTGGATGCTGGAGGGTTCTCATACGGGTTATCGTAGGAATGGTACGGGGTGGGGTTCTGAGAAGGGGGCGGAGGAGAAACGGCATAATTGGGGGCCAGAGGCTGCTGGTGGTGGTGGTCATATGTGTAATAGGGGACGGAAGGCACAGGGGGAGGCTGCTGGATTTGCTGATACGTAGGGACTGCAGGGGGATGCTGTTCCGCCGGCGGCGGCATGTACCCAGACGAATTGTATGTCTGGAACGGAGAAATCTGGGGATGTGTTGGCGTCTGGGGCTGCGCCTGGGAATAAGACGGCGCTACCGGCGGCAGGTTGTTGGGGACGGGTTCAGGATTCGAGGAATAAGGATTGTAGGACGTCGAGAAAGGGGATTGAAAATCAGCGGCGGAATACGGCGGCGCCGAGGCGAAACTCTGGGTCATCGCGCCGGCGGCGAATTCTCCGGGATGGGGCGGCGGGGTTGGCGCGTGCTGGGCCAGGTAGTAGGGCACCGTGTAGTCCCCTCCCGGCTGCATCTCCACGAGGGATCTCTCGGCTCCGCAGAAATCAACGACGACTCACCGTCGCTGCAGGAAGGAAGATTCTAAGCCCTTCTTGGCCTTCGACAAACAAAACCCTTCGCGGAGCCGCAAGTCGGCGGTGGCGGCGACGATGACGACGAGTCGATCCCCTCCCCCTCGCCGCTGCTTCCTCCTCTGCCTCTCGGCGATCGCCAAATAATTCGCAACGGATTCCTTCGCGGTTGCCTAAAACGTGTTCTCGGTAACCCCTGCCGCGTCGAGGCCCAATAGAGAGGATCAATTAGTGGGCCTAATAGAAAATGGGGCTCAGAATGGATGGCTGGAAGGAATCCTCTAGTTGTCTTCTTCCCAACGTCCGAACTAAGACGACAAAAATCTGAACGCTCATCTTCCTTCGTCCTCCTCTTCCTTTCGGCGACCGTGCCGGGGAGGAAGAGAGTGGCGGGGTAGCGGCGCCGCCGTCGGAAAACGCCCCCGCCGCCGCTCGAGCGGGGAGTAGGGAGCGACGGGTTCGCGCCTCGGGAAGTCAAAAGAGAGTGAGGAAGAAGAGAAAGAAAAAGCTTGGTCACCCTTTAATGGCGTTTCCCCCCTGTCGTTCGGTGACGCGACTGCGGCGGCCTGCTTTTAAAACGTGAGGGGAAGGAAGACGTTTGGGACGGGGTTTTCCGCACTTTAAACACCACCTCCTCCTCCACCGGCACCGGCACCGCCACTGCCGCGCCGTGCAGGTGGGGCTGTGTTGGCTTTTCCTCGGTCTCTCTCGTCGCGACGTGGGACGGAGACGACGGTGGCTGGCCCCGCGGCAGCCTCGTACGCGGTAACGCAGGGGAATAGCCTCCGACATCGACTTTACCTCTCTCTATCACTCTGAACCATAGGACGAGGCGATGAGTGGGGAAAGAGGAACAGTGTAACAATCTTTTTTCTCTCTTTTCTACGTGACCTTCCTCCTCCCTGCACCCTCTTTCCCGCGGCTTCGGCTAGAGGAAAGGATCTTTATAGCCACCCGAAGTAGGGAGAGGTGATTCGGTGGAGGTCCGCCCTCCGTGATCTTCTCCGGCAAGGCTCGTTCACCCTTCCCTTCTTTCGAGGCATCGGAAAACCAGGCAGCGAAGAAGGAAGAGCCCGACCGATGGGCAGAGGGAGGGAGGGAGGAAGAGGAAGGTGCAGGGGTGCATCAGAGAACTGGAGTGAACGCCCAAGCGCATTAAAGCAAACGGGCCTACGTTCCTCTAAAACCGCAGGCATCTCACTGACATCGATACAGGCGGCCTCGTGAATCCACCATAACTCTGTGGGGAACTGGCTATTTTATCAGAATCGAAGGTAGGGAGACGATGGGGGGAGGGAGGGCCACAGGGGGACTGTCGGGTCATCGGCATCTGAAGCCAGAGAGCCGTGGCAGAACAATAATGTCGTGTGCATGATGAAGATTTCTTTTTTCTGCAGAAACTATGCAATTGAATTGGGGAGGGGGACAGTAAAGAAGGGAAGGGGGGGGAGGGTGGCTGGGGCTGAACATTGAGAACCGATAATGGCGATGGGAAGGAACAAAACCAAAAAAGGAGTCTCTGCTTCTTCGTCCTCTTTCGTCTCCTTCTATGACAAGAAGACTTCAATGCTACCTTGCTTCGCAGATCTACAGACGGGGCAGGAGTCGAGCAGCGAGTCGCAGAGCTCGCATGCGCATAGGTGCATACAGGGCATGAATAGCATGCACGAATCGTGCGAGCCGCATCCCCTGCAACGGCCGGAAACCGCGTTACCTTGCCATTCTCCCTCTCGGTTTCCTCCCCCCCTGCCGCCATTGGGACGAGCGGCGGCGGCGGCGGAAGTGGAGTCGCAGCAGGAGGCGGCGTCGTCCCCCAGCGCAGACGCCGCAGGTATAACGCCGGCGGCGGAGGAGCGGCAGGGATTGTCGCGCACCTGTTCTAGCGTGTTCTGCAGGACGAGGGCCATGGCCTCGTTCTCCTTGGCTATCCTCTTCCACGTCTGCCCCTCCGCCTCCGCCCGCTTCAGGCACTCCTCCAGCTCCAATGTCTTCTTGCTGGCCCTTGCCAGATCCTCCTCCTTCTGCTTCAGCAGCGTGGACGCCTTCGAATCCAGCCGCCTCGTCAGCACAAGGAGCTGATCCCTCATCTGCTGCTGCAATGCTATTCTCATCCTCTCGCTCTGTCCGTGACAAAGAACGAGGAAAACCGATTAAAGACAGACCTAACAAGAAGAAGAAGAATAAGAAGAAGAGAGTCCAGTGCTGCAGATTCTTTATTCTGAGAGAAGCAAAGACAATACGGTTGTATTACCTGCAAGCGGAGGAATTCGTCAATCTCCCGCTTCTGCTTATCCATCTGCGACGCCAGGCAATAAGAGACATCCGTCGGGATGATCTTGGTCGAGGGAGGAGGACAGGAGAGGCCGACGGGGCTGCGCTGCTGGTTCCCCATCATCGTCATCAACACCTGTTGCTGCTGTTGATACTGCTTCTGAAAGGGAGGGAGATAAAACTCCACCATCGATCGCCCTCCTCTTCCCTCGACCCATCCGAGCCCAGAATGGCCGCTGCCGCCGTTGCAGAGCAATGGGGCGGCGCTCTCCAGAAACTGCTGTTGCGCTTGAACAGCCATCTCCCCCAAAGACTCCCACCCCTTCCAGCACCGCCCTCTTCCTTCCTTCCCCTCTCTCTCTCTCTCTCTCTCTCTCTCTCTCTCTCTCTCTCTCTCTCTCTCTATCGCCCTCCCTCTGCAGCACCCCCCCTCGCAGGGCTCATCCGGCCTCCTCTAAAAGAAGAAGACCGCCAATGGAGGAGAACAACTGCGAGTGCGGTTGGAACAGAGGAGGTGCATGACATCCCTCACCCGCCCTCCCCCATCCCCTGTTTAAAGAAGAGAGAGAGAGAGAGAAAGAGGAGAGAGAGAGAGAGGGCGTTACCTGTCTGCGCCACCCACACGCGTCCTCCCACGCACGTCGACATGCCCGGCGTCTCCGAAACGGCAAGCTTTTGGTTATTTAATTTTTATTTATTTGGGGGGCTGGAGAGCTCGGCCATAAAAAGCCTCCGCGGAGGAAAATACCGCCAAACGACACACAAACCAATAGGCGCAGCTTATTTATAGCCTGCCCCCCGTGGTTATTTATATTCATTTACGTACACACAATCCATCGTGTGGGGATTGGATACGCCGTCGGATTCCGCGGGGGCGTTGACCGTCGGGCCCACTGCCCGGTCCGATTTCTTTAATCCAGCGCGCGGTTGAATCGGGCGCGGCTCGAGGGGGCCGACCGTTCCATGGAGGGAAACCCGGCACGGCGCATGGGCCCCCGCCATTATCGTAATTCGCGGTCCTTCAGACCCCCTGTAAAAATAAATAATTATTATATTACATCTTGGTCGCGGCCTTGATGCGTGCGTGCGTGCGTGCGTACCGACCGCCGGCATGTGAGTGCCGACGTGGGGAAGCCAGCAGAGGGAGATTCCGGCGATCTCCAGAGTGGCGCAGCCGCGCGCCGTCTTCCCAAGATCAACCGAGCTTCCCGGATCTAGATAGAGAGAGAGATTAGAGGAGCGCCCTTTAATGGCGGAACCTGACCCGTCTGGGCCGCGGTGGATCGCTGGCAGCGCCACGGCTCCCGGGCAACACGCCGCCGTGGTTTCCTCCGCGACAGTGAAAGATTCAATACGGGCATGTAGATCCGCAACAGTTACGTTGACAGGGAAGAGAAAGAGAGCGAGGGAGAGAGAGAGAGAGAGAGGGTCCAGTGCAGTGGGAGGAGTAGCCGTTGCGGCGGTGGACATCAAATAAACAGGGGAGGAGGGCTGTTTGTTGGGCGGGTCCTACGGCGGCAACATGTGAAGGGTGCCGTCCGATGAGGCAGAGCAGCTCATGGCCGCCATGTGAATCCCGCCTGCCCCCCCTCCGCACGTTCTTCGCCCACTTTTTCGTCCTCCTCCTCCACGGCCGGCGGCGACCGGAGATGCCCGTCGTTAGGTAGACACATCCCACGCGATATTCAGGTCCCCCCAGACAAACAGAGCGATAGAGAGAGAAAGAAAGAGGAGGACAACCCGACTTTCTTGGCTTTTGACTCGTCCTGCGGCATCCTGAGGGGAACGGCCCCCCGTTGATGCGACTAGTTACTACGATTCCTCCGTAGTTGCAGGTGCTGGGGGATGGAAGTCTGCCCGGGTCGTGGCTCCTCGACTGCCGTCCTCCGATGGGTCAACTCATGAGACCCCCCCATTGGTGTTGACGCCGAGCCCTTCTCGGGATGGCGGACTCGGTAAACGGGTCCGCCTCAGACTCTCTTATCTACTTCTCAATTTCCGTCATTTAATCGACGATAATTACCTTGGAAGGGCATTAGTTTTCTTTACTGTGGACCAAACTTTTAAAGAAGGATTATGGGCTTTTATAACAGTACTGGGTTGAGGCCCAAGCCCAATATATTATTCCTTCGGTGCCCATTGCCCACACGTTTGGGCTTCGTGGCCCAATACCGACGTCAACCCTAATGGGCCAGGATGCCATCAGAGAGAGAGAGAGAGAGAGAGAGAGAGATCGGTTCATTTAATTATTCCGTGAGGAGAGAGACAGAGAGAGAGATATTTATCGGTCCATTTAATAATTCCGTGAAGAAAGATCGTTGTTTGTCGCAGTGATACGTGTCTTCCATGCAGTGGCTGCACGGCGGAACCATTCGAACGGCCACGTAGAAGGGCGGTTTACACGCGTCGACACCCCAGAGGCGGGAGCGACCGACCTCGGCCGACTTTTCGTCCTAATCGGATGTCGGTTGTCGGCACGCGCGCGGCCCCTCCCTATTTAAATCTGCAACCGCGAGAAGTGAGTATCAAGCAGCTGTGAAGCAGCAACTACGAGAAGAATATCGCAACTGAAACCAGAGAGAGAGAGAGAGAGAGAGAGAGAGAGAGAGAGAGAGAGGATGGGTGTTCTCGACGGCGCCTTCGACACGCTCTCCGACATGATTTCCTCCACCAAGAACAAGAGGAAGCTCAAGAAGCAGAGGCAGCTGCAGGTTGAGTCCGAAGCTCCCCTTTTCATTCGCCGTCCCATTGTTCTTTCATTCCCCTTTCATTCACTGACCTCTCTTTCTCTCCCTCTCCAGACGGTGGAGATCAAAGTGAAGATGGACTGCGAGGGCTGCGAGAAGAGGGTGAGGGATTCCGTCACAGGCATGAAAGGTAGGAATTCTCCATCTCCCCCCGTTGTTGCCGCCGGCCCTTCTTGATTTCAGCCGCTTGAAGAGATGCCGCTTCCCGTGCAGGCGTGACGGATGTGGTGGTGGAGCGGAAGAAGAGCAAGCTCACGGTGACGGGCTTCGTCGACCCCGTGAAGGTGCTGAAGAGGGTGTGCCGGAAGTCGAAGAAGAAGGCGGAGCTGTGGCCGTTCATCCCCTACACGATGGTGGACCACCCATACGCGCCGGGAGTCTACGACAGGAAGGCCCCCGCGGGATACGTGCGGAACGCCGCTGCCGTCAACCCGCAGATCTCCGAGCTCGCGCGGGCCGGCTCGGAGGAGCAGGGCTACATCTCGGCCTTCAGCGACGAGAACCCCAACGCCTGCGCCATCATGTGAGCGTAGGATTGCCATGAATAGTTTCGCGTAGAGTAGGAGATCAGCCTCGGCTGCGATTGTAAGAAAGGGGGCAAAAGAGAATTTTTTTTAATTTTATTTTTGACGACTGTATTGTGTATGATTTTAGCTTTTCTGAAGAAGCTGTCTATTTTGTATTTTTAAAAATGAAAAATAAAAAAATGTCATTACAAATTATTTATTGGCTCGTCTCCATTTTTGTAAGAAGTCTGCTCTTTGGTCTCGGGTCTAAATGTGCGCCCGCGAGGTAGCGGACCGCATCTCTGATCAAGAACCCTATACGATGAGCCAGGCCTCTTGGCGGGAAAAGGTCAGTCCAGGGGTGGAGGGGAAATGGCGGCGAGGGAAGAGGGAGGTGCTGCGGCGATGGCGGAGGACGATGGGGATGCGACGGGGGGAGAGGAGTACAGCGTGTGGAAGAAGAATTCTCCCTTTCTCTACGACTTGCTCATCTCTCACCCCTTGGAATGGCCGTCCCTCACAGTACAGTGGCTGCCACGCTCTTCCTCCTCGTCCGTTGCCGTGGAGAGGCTCATTCTGGGCACCCACACCTCGGGCGATGCCCCCAACTTCCTGATAATCGCCGACGTCCACCTTCCCTCCACGGATGGGGAATCCACCTTTCCTCCATCCATTTCGACGGTCCAGTTGACCCAGCTGATACGCCATGAAGGGGAAGTCAATAGGGCAAGATACATGCCTCAGAATCCTTCGATCATTGCAACCAAGACCTGCGGTGAGGAGGTGCACGTCTTCGACTGCAGCAGACGGCCTTCCCGGCCTGCGGATGGGGATGAAGCCTGCGGTCCGGATATTGTGCTTCGGGGTCACAGCAAGGAAGGTTATGGGGTGTCGTGGAGTCCATTCAAGGAGGGTTACTTGTTGAGTGGCTCGTATGATTCTAAAATATGCCTGTGGGATGTGAGCGCAACACCACAGCACGGCAGGAGCCTTGAAGCCAAGGACGTCTTTGAGGTGACTCCCTTGGACTTCCCTCTTTGGTTGAGGTGTAGCTGAAGAATCTATGTCTCGTGCATTCACAACGCCTTATCAACTGCCACGAAGAGCTTCGTCGTCTGAGTTTTGACTTCAGTTATACAGGCTAATTTCTTGTCTAATGCCATGCAGAGCTTTCTCCGCCTTTTACTAATGTTTTTTCTGCACTCTCTATTTTTGAAAAGGCCTGGATGTGTAAGCTAGTCGGCCTCCAGTTAAAATGCTTTCTAACTTCCCCTACAATTCTTTTTTTCATCCGCCTGTGATTGAGTTATTGACTCTACATTTCAACATCATAGATATCAGAATTAAGTCTTTTTTAGTACCTGCGTCGTCTTCGTTATACCACTATTCTTTCTTGTGTAATAATATTCCGTGCGCAATTGTAGTTCAGATGTGGTGATGTAATTATCTGAATTTCCTTTTTTTCTTATTATTTGATAAGATTCATGGTTCAATTTCAAGACATTGCTGTTCGTCTCCAATTATCCCTTTCTAGTTGAGGAATGATTGCTCTTGCATAGCCTCTCCATGTCAACCAAAGAACCTTACTCTGAACAATGTTTTTGATTTGGCTCGTGCAGTGTAGATTAACATACGTTATTACGAGGTCGGTAATTTTGGATGGCAAGATCTATCTCTATGAACACTACTTTTTCTTGTTCTAATGTCCGTTTTATTAGGTTCATGAGGATCTGGTTGAAGATGTGGCCTGGCATTTAAGGAATGAAAACTTATTTGGTTCAGTGGGGGATGATCACAGGCTGATGATCTGGGATTTGCGATCAGCTGCATCGAAGCAGCCTCAACAATCCGTCATTGCTCATCAAGATGATGTAAGCCTTCCAGCATATATTTATCTTTCCATTTCCTTCATTTTCTTCACAACATTGGGCATGCTGACTAATTGCTCACAAGTTGCATGGTGGTCGAGATATTTTAAACAGGTGATTTTTCTTTGTCGTAATAACTTTGTCGTTCAGTTTTGCTGTATGATGGTCTCCCCATCTTTTTAAGTGACGTAGATGTTATCTTGCTGCCTATAACTCAATCTTCTGTTAAGCTGATAATTGTAATACACTCACGAACCGATAAAGCAGATGTGTACACTCATGCATGGATGACAGAAAATCGTTTTTCGGGAAATGTTTCCTGTTTTCATGGGTTTGCTCGTGTAGCTAAACTCCTTTGTGCTTGGGGCTACCTTTTTTTCTCTCCATTCAAGTTCCTTTTTGCCCTAAATTTGGGGCCTCACGTTGTGGGGCTGACTCCCAGGTTTACCTCCTCACATGAGTTGGGCTGCTGGATTGCTGACTTTATGCTGCCAAATGTTATCCTTTCTCTGCATTATAAAGAAGCTTTTTTGTTTTTCTTCTTGACACTGTTTTATCTTTAAAAAGGTAGGTGCCTTCAATTTCATGACATGCCGGCGGTTTGAATGATCATATCCTACAGGTTTTAATGAAATGGCGTGAGTGCTGATTGCGTTCTTTGAATCTGTTTCTTAAATACCTAATTTTTGGCATTTAGTGCTGTTTTTTCTTGATTCAAGTAGTGATTACCTAAGAGAAAATGGGTATCTAGCGTATGCACTGTGGATGTGTAAATTTCATAAGTGTCTGTATACTTCTGTGTTTACAACCCTCCAATGGCCTTGTTCGAAGGGATGACAGCAGTGTAGTTCTCTCTAGTCTGCTATTTGCGGTTCTTTTGTTGCTTGTACTTTGATATGTTTGCAGCACTCTGCCATGTTTTCATTTGTAGATATATAGATAAATATATTTGTATTTTTCTGGGGCATGAAACCTTCTAGTTTGTCTTGCAGCTAGGGATGGCATACATTCTTGTTCTCTTTAATAGTCAGATTTCCGTTTTTTAGTTTCATATGCTTGGATATTTTTGTAGCAGTACGCTATGTTTCATGATAGGTAATCGTTCCATGAATCTTCTCCCAGGTGAATAGTTTATCTTTCAGTCCATGGAATGAATGGATTCTGGCCACCGCATCTGCTGACAGGACAGTTAACCTGTTTGATATGCGCAAGCTGACAACAACTCTGCATACCTTTTCCAGCCACACGTAAGAACTTCTCTATCACGCGCTGCCAGCCCGGCAGGCACTTGTCACTGTTCTTACTGTTGATTTGAATACTAATGAAAAACACAATCTATAAAACCCTCTGTCCAAGTCTTTAACTGAGATCTTGGTCCATAGATTTTTCAGCTGCCATTTTGTTCGAAGAGCCATGCCTATATATATATATATGTATATATATACCATCTCTTTAAAAAGATGCTCTTGCCATTTCAGACGGCTGAAAACCCAGACAGCAATTTCTTCTTAGATGCATATTTTTTTATTTTTCTTTCGAACCCCTTGGACTCCACTTGCGCAAAACCTTCTTTTGAAGGCCTCTTTGTTCTTGTTCTGCAGGGATGCTGTCCTCCAAGTTGAGTGGAGTCCAAAGCATGAAACCATTTTGGCTTCGAGTGCTGCCGACCGTAGATTGATGATTTGGGATCTTTGCAGGTTAGCGACAACCCCACTTTTTTTGTCTCTCAATGGTTGCTGCTGATATTCCTTTTTCGTTGCCTCGCCCACCGAGTCCCAGAACCCCATCTCGATATTACCCCCTGTAATTTTAATTCTGTTCGTGTAACACCCACTCGCCGTAAGAGAGCGAGAGAGCGAGAGAGAGAGAGACTAATTATTGGGTTGATGATCTTCAGGATTGGCGATGAACAGTCGGCAGAAGATGCAGACGACGGACCCCCCGAGCTTCTCTTCTCTCACGGCGGACACACGGGCAACATCTCCGAGTTCTCGTGGAACCCAAACGTGCCATGGCTCGTCTCCAGCGTGGCGGAGGACAACATCCTCCAAGCCTGGCAGGTGGCGGAGAGCATTTACGGCGACGAAGCCGACGCACTCGCCGAAGACGAAGGGCCCGCCGCTGCATAGACATCTGAACCGCATGTTCTCCTCCTTTCTTTGTGAGAACATTCATTCCCTCTAGGGACCCTCCCTTTCTCTGCCTCCCAGGTTCTGCAGCCTGTTTTCCCAAGAACTCTGAGAATGCCGATTGAAGCAAGAAAACCGCCGGTGGCCGTCGGTTGGGACAGTCAGGTCGAAGAGACCACAAAAAGCTCTAAATAATCTCTGCTACTGTGCCTCCGCCCTGATCATGCTCGTATAGTTAACTAACTTTGGCGGCTGGGCCGATATCATGCTCTTCACTGTGCCTGCCCGCGTCGGCTGACCAAGAAATTCGGCGGACTCCTGGCTATCCATTCATGAGGACAAACGCGACCAGCGCAAGCAAGCAAGCAAGGTAAAACAACAGGTTCGTGGTTATTTCGAAGCTAGAAAGAGATGCAATGTGAATTCACTTGTGTTCCAAAGGCGCCTGCTTTCGTGAAGAATGTGAAAGCTACGAGCTGCACCCAAAAAAAAACTGACCTTGGAAGGCACCAAAAATGTGAATGGCGATCCTGGAGAAAAAAGAAGCCCTTCTCGGTCCGTACTCTCACGACTCGACCCTGGAGGACCCACCGACGGCCAGCTCCATCCTCTGCAACCACTCGCCGATGCCCGTGTTCTGCACCATGTCTTTTCCGGCTGAGAGGTGTCGGATTGGTCGCAGGACGCCGAAGACCGCGAGGTCGGCTAGGTTTGGCCTAGAGCCCCCTGTAGAAGAGATCAACGGGTCAGTCACGTTCGGGTTTGAAAGAAGCCCAAGGTCATCGACATGAGGGCAACGGACCGAGAAAATCCCTCCCATCCAGAGCTTTGATCCATGTTTCGGCAGCTTCATACAGAGCTCCCCGTTCATCTGTTATGTTATACTTCTTCTTGAGCTTCATCGAAACGAAGTACATAATGGCTGCGCCAGCATATTTGCTGGTGCATCTCTCCAGCCAGGTGAAGTTCCCTGCAAAGTCGGAGAGCCTAATGAGAGCACGATAATCTTTTGCTGAAAAGGGTCAATCAATCGTCCAATGGCATTTGGTTCGGCCACCAAAACTCGTCTAGTGAAAGAGAAGATAACGGATGAGAGGACGGAAACAGGAAATGTGGGAGTCAATGGAGATCGGGTGTTTGGGATGAACAAAGAGTATTCAGGCATGATATTATGACCCGGCAACCTTATGCATAGCATTGGTTGCACCAGACGCGCTTAAATCTCAAGAAACAACCGGTTCTGAAGATATAGGGTACTTATGTTCATCCCTCATATGTGCGGTTCACGAAAACCATCTATGATTCCCCGGCCTCGATGTAGTAGCAATATTTCAGAAACGAACAGGCCAGAAATTCTTGAGGGTTACTCATATCTTACCATTTTTTGTTATGTAGTCAAATGACTCCAGAGCTTCAGAAGTGGTGCGGTAAATGTTTGGTGATAATACGTGAACCAAGTGATCATCAACCCACCTGCGACAAAATGCTGTTCTTGGCTATCAATTCATTATTAACGGGGTAAATAAAAAGAACTGCACTTCATGCCTGCACATATGATAGCAAAACCATGAACAAAAGCTGCACCCAGTGTACTAAGATGGGCGTGACACGACAAATCGTACCAAAAAAGATGAATAAAGTTTGAAATGTAAGTGATGGACACACATGGACAGGCTGCAATATGGCAGTTACATTATCAGAGAGGGTTCACTGAGATTTTTTTAGCAAAAGGTTTTACTCGAGAATCTATAATTGCTCCTGTTTATATTCTATGATCTTCCCCTTCTTCTTCTTCTTCTTCTTCGGGATCATGGATCTGTTGCAGAACTTATACATGATCTCATAATCTAAGTAGAACCTTGACAGGTTCTCTAAGTTTACTTGGTTTTTGCAGAACTCCCAGCGGTCCTTGACATTTTAAAGGAAAAAGCAGATGTGGGATCAGAACTTGGTTAACAATGGGCACAGCGATTGGCTTTCATTCTGCAGGGTCAGAAAGGTAAAAGATTCGGAGGCAGAGATGAAGTATCTTTCCACGAGCAAGCTATCTGCGATCAATCCAGGCCCTCATGAGCTTGAGGGAGGGTGTTACTCATGTGGCAGTTGTGTGACACATCAGTAGACTACCATTTGGCAGCCCCCTCAGCAGGGATTGCTCTTTACCACTTGTTTCCATAATTAGATTTTATATATACGAAACTCGACTACATCCATTGAAGAACTTTATATATTTGGGCTATATGTTTGGTAAGTTTTATACTTGAGGGTCTATAAATACTCTTTTCTGAAAGTTTTCCTATGATTGATGGAGGCTGATGCCATCCCATTCCTGATTCATTTTTTTGCATAAATATGGCTGTCAAAAGGGGATGGGCGGAGCGGGAAGAAGTGAAAGCAAGATTATGGATAAATATCTTGAAAACTCTAATAAAAGGCAAAGTAGCAAGCCGTGTCTAAATCTAAAAATAAAAGTTGTTACCCAAAACAAGTCACATTCTGAAAACAAAATAAAGACGTAATCAGTAAAATAAGCATAGTCAAAGACAAAGTTTTTATGTGATCCACATGAAACTTTATAGATTAGCAACCACTGATCGAATTCGAGTGCTTTACAACCACTAACAAGCATTAGGATACCAATTTTTTTTTATCAATTATTATATATGTTTAATTTTATTTTCAACAAAATATTTCCGTCAAGATGTGGCGTACTCTCCATTTGCATGCTATATAGCTATAAAAAAAGACTTTATAGGTCGACATTGAATTGATAAAAACTGGTAAGCGATTCTATGCATCTAGTTCGCTTGAATGCCCTACAAAATTCTCTGTGAAGCTGAAGCACCTTGTCCAATTTATAGTTTTCTCAGACTTTCAAATAATTTTGGAAAATATGGTGAAGAAGTATAAAACATCTGCACCGTTGTTAGCTTTCTTGGCTGAACAGAAATCATAAAGTCATAAGGCAAAGATTTGCTTTTGAACAAGGAGAGATGCAGCTATTTGTGAAACACAGGAGAAATACTGTTTTGTATAGTAAGCCTTAGATAGTCTCCTCAAATGTTTCTCTCTTCCACAAATTCGGAAAAAACCAAAGTAGATATTTCTCTCATTACTGTGCCAATAAACTTATTCAGTGACAGCCACTGTAACGTGGAATGCGACGAATCCTCTCTTTTGCTGGTTGAAATCGGATGCTTATGTCCAGGAAAATATATGGCAATAATGTGCTTAATTACAAGAAAAAAAACTGACCATATAACCAAGGAAAAAATAAGCATACCTGAACCACTTCGCCTCTTCCTCGGCAGCAAGAACAGAAGATTCAGGGTGAATTCGGCTGCTCATATTTTTCATTATATCTGTAGCAAAAAAAATATCCCAAAGATTATGCAGACAGAAAAAAACGCTGTGCTAAACAATTTATCAACTTCTGGAGAAGATGATGGTTGTAACCTGAAGAGTTAATCAATTGCTCGCCATCCACAACCAGAATAGGAACCTTCTGATACTCCGACCATTTGATTTCCTTCTTACTCAAAGGATTAACCTCCACAACTTTGTATGGTATATCGTGATAATCTAGAAAAGCTGGTAAATAAGTTGTAGTGAGTTAGCTTAATGTGAATCTAGCTGTCGTGAAGTTCATTGATTCTTCGATATTTATTGTACAAACACACAAGAATGAGTTATGATTCAGATCAAACAAAGTACCTAATAGTCAGAGGTAATTTGAAGACAAAAAAAAAATGCATATCCATGAAAACATCAAAAGAATCGGAATCATCTAGAAAAAGTAGATAGCTTACAACTTACCAGTTTGATCCAGAAAGCATAAAACTATAATGCAAAAAATTTAATCCACTAACTTAAAGATGGAATTGACATGTCCTCGAGTGATAGCAATTTACCATTGCTTACAATTAGCCACCTGGGAACACAGATTTTAACAGCAGTTGTGGTTTCAAATTATGCTCAACAAGTAGGTAAACGTGCCTCCTTCGTTCAGTCCTACCTCTATCACTTCCAACAAAGTCATGCTTGCAAAATCTCTAACTCACTAGTCCACTACACCCCTCTCTCAACAAAACCTTACAATTTTTAATGCTGCCCTTTCTTATGAAAAATGTTAGTATCCACTGACCTTGAGGAGCGAGAGACAACCACATCAAGTATCCAACTAAGATTATGTCTTTTCCAATTAGTCATGGATCCTAACAACGGCCGCTCTAATGTCTTTTCTAGCCATCATTTCAAGCTATCGTGGTGAGTGCGAAATCCACCTCTAATTCCCAGCATGCAACTTCATACCTCACTGAATGCTATATTTTTCAGATCCTGCCTGCTTCATAATTCTGCTTTAAATCATGAAAAGCTCGTTCTCAATGTATCAGGAGATTTCTACATGCTACACAACGCCATGATACCATGAGATCTCCTTCCATCTAACTTCAATCAAACACGTGTATTGCATCTGAGTACAAGTCCCAATCATGTGATTCAAATGGAGTGGACTAAGATAGGTCGTCGAGAAGAAAGTGGCTATTCGCCTGACATGGAAAAGAGTAATAATATATGGAAAAGTTTTTTGATATACTCAAAACCATTAGATGGATGGGCGAAATCACAAAAATGGAAAGGAATCTGGTTTTGTACACGATCATTCAAGAAACTTTTCCACAAAATATTAGTGTTTTCTCGTTCACTATGGAAACCAATACATAGACTATTGTCAAAGTAGAAGCAAATTAGGAAGTTGTAGGCAAGAAACTAGTTTTGGCCAGTAAATCAAAACAAAGTTCCCTCCCAACACTCCACGTGAAAACTCTGATGCCAAGGGATAATAGTACTTTCATTTGAATTGATTAATGGCCATAAAAAGTCATCTTCAATCATTATGGGGTACAACTATGGCACTTTGAGAATACAGGCCCAACTCGCCATAAAGGTACTTGAGAACTGTCAACAAACTGAAAGCAAAACTTAGATTGGGCAAGTTTACCCTGAAAGCCTCAGCCCCAGACCCATTTTTTCTAGCGTTAGGTTGATGTTTCAGACAAAGACAGGTTTATTGAGGCTGGCTGAGAAGAAAAGGACAGCCTGTTGCTCGTCCCAGTTGAACCACAAAGGCTTAAATATTTATTTAATAATTCGGATAAAACTGCTACAAATGGGTGTCGCTATAGATGAGTGGAAAATGCATACAGACTTTACTGATTGTTTGCAGGGGTTGAATAAACTAGCCAACATCAAGTAAATTATAAAAAAAGTATGCCAGAAATGCTCGGTCTATGAAAACTAAAACAGAATGGCTTGCGTTTGCAGATTAACATCTTCATGGGTCGTGTAGATATCACAGTGGACCACTCAAAACGTAGCAAATGCTTGCTGAGATAATAACATATGAAATTCGAAAGCATTTTCCAAAAAATGAAAATACGATCTACGCTAAACAAGCATTTATTTCAGAGTTGAATCTGTCAGGATATTTGAAAATAAAGGTATAAAATTTTTATGGTCTTTTCTGCATCAGTTATGATTGATGCTCGCGGTACAGTCTAGAATAGTCGATTGGCCATTGTTGTCACCCCATAAATATCCTGGGCAAGGAATTCTTTTCGTTTTGCGCAGTCATTATCTTTCTTTATACCTTAGTTTTCCCCTGACCTAAGTGACAAGTCAGACCCCTCGTCTGACACCGACTCTTTACGCCTGAAACGTGAAGGATCGTTCTCTAATGACACGTCTGCACTTGGGATCACCAATCAGTCGACTTAGGGTATGTGACAGTTGAAGCAAACAAGCCACAAAATCTGTTTCGGCCGATATGACTTCCATGAAAATTGTCCTTCGTTCTCAGTCAGCTAAAGATAAAATGCGGTGGGCCAATTCAACTCCATATTTCGTTCAGTAAGAACAACAAAAAAGGCGACGAGTGTTCAGAGCGGCCCCAGAAGCTGCAGTTATATAGAGAGGCATCGCTCACCTTTGACCTTGTTGCAGAAGGGGCAAGCTTCGTACTGGTACAGAACGACCTCTTTGGGGAGGAGGTCCCGGGAGGGAGGTTCCTTGGACTCGGCCACCGTTACCAAAGCCATGGAAAAGGAGAGCGATCCAGCGAGGCCCAGACATCCCGACCTGGACGACACCGAAGGTACGCCGGCAGGCGAATTAAACGGGGAAGACTTGAAGCGGGGACTCGAGGAAGCGGAGGCGGCGGCGGGGCCTATCGCAGCGCGAAGAACGGTTTGGTTCCCCGCGGAGGCGGTGCTATTGACTGGGGTGAGCAGAGCTCTGGAAATGTGGCGAGACGAAGAGAGGAGGGATGGCGCCCTTCTCATCATCATCGTCATCAAAACGTTTCTTGCGCCCTGGGTCCGACACCGCCGCCGCCGCCACCGACGAGCACTTCCCTCCGGCCGTCTCTACCGGGATCTTCTCCCTTCTGTCAGGTTTATGGCGGCGGTAAGCAAGAGCGGCGGACCGAGGAGAAAGATTCTGCTGCCCCGCGTTCCACCATGTCGTACGTGTCGATTAAAGGATGAAAGCTGATGCTCGTCGCCAGAGATGCATTCCAGACCCCAGGATGGTTCAGATTTCCGTGAATCCATTTAACCTAAAATTCTCCTGCGAATCAAATAAGCATGATGCATCATATCCCGTGGTCTAGTGCAGAACATTTGTCACGTACGATCACCGCACCGCATTGCCCGGCTGGAGAAACCCAGGCCCATTTGTAAGGCCCGCTTCGATAAGGCCAATAAGGGCCCAATAAAGTTCTCCCTCTCTCTCTCTCTCTCTCTCTCTCCTATTTTCATAAAATCAAGCTTTCATTATTTGATATTTTCTTGAAAAAAATATTTTAAATGCACAACCGGGCGTCCCATCAATATTGGATGATTTCAGAGGTGCAATCCAAATGGTGAATTTTATTGAGAATGCTTAGAAAAATTTCCTCTCCGAGTATGGTTTTTTTCATTTTCCCAGCATGGTTCAATTCGAAAATGTGAGAGGGTCTTGGAGTATATTCTCTGAATATCCGTTTTTTAATTCACGCGATGAATTCTGGGACCATATATCAAGAGGCGGTGCAGAGAGAGTGGAACATAAGGCGCTGCTCCGTAGACGGGATCTACCAGCGAACGACTGGTTGGACCAGTAGATCTCGCGAGTGCCGGATTCCGCGCATGGTGCTGGGGGAATCGAGAAGAATCTGCGGCGGAGGAAGGCGAAAATGGCGGATTACGCTCCGCTCAGCAGTGGTGGCGAAGAAGCGAGGGGGGGCGAAGTCGAGATGCCTGGACGCAGAATCGCTCGCGTAACTTCTCTCGACGTTTTCCGGGGGCTCTCCATCGCCGTGCGTCGTTCATCTCTCCATCTCTCCCATTAACATTTATCCCTGTGGTCGTATGCAGTGTTCCATATCTCTATTCGTTTCATGTGCGTGAGTTTAATTGCGCTTGTCGACGGAGTTGCCAGCAACGAATGCCGCGCTACTTCCAGGAACGAGAACGGGGTCATCTAGCTGTAACTGTAAATGAGAAAATGACGGCACCAAAAGATTCTCTCTAAGGTTTTCCATCCGTTTTGTCCGTTGGGGAATGACGCCTGGCTGTCGCAACAGACTCTCTCAGAGGTCTGAGCTGTACGATAATGTTGGGTCTTAAAATTTGAATTCATATTTCGTAAACTACAATCTTCTTAGTTTCATGAAGGAATTCGAACTGCAGTGTCGACCAACCCATCATAGGAATGCAGTTTAGATTGGATTAGCGTGATATGAATCATCGATAAAAGGTTTAATCTATATTTTTCACCCTGGTCGTCTGACGAACAAATTACAATTCAAGTTGGTTGAAAAATGTTTTCTGATTGAATTTAATAGTTATAAGAATTTTCAAACTGAATCTCAATTCTTAAGATGGTGATTAGGTCGAAAGATCGTTTTGTAAAGATATTACCTACCATTGGGTCACGTGTGAAAAAAAAAGAGAGGAAAAAAACTGACACTTTGGCGGCATCAGGTTGACTTTCATAGACAGACCAGCAGGAAATGATGAGCCATTGTTTGTGCTTTGCACCAGGTAGACCCGCTATTGGTATTTGCGTGGGCAGCCCTATAGAGGCTTGTTGTCAGTCTAATATCATATGCAAACAACTGCCGCTTTACTTCATTGAGATCTGATTTCAGTGCACTATCTTACTCCAGGCAATGTGGAACTACTTTCCACAGGAGCTGAATATTTGACAAAAGCATTTGACATACACATCTGTCTATTCAATTTCGTATCCATGATCGTGACTCGTTTCGTCATCCTCCCATATGATCATTTAAGTTTCATCCTGGAGTTTACAAACATCTGTTTCTCAGTTCCCGATTTAATTTTCTAGGACTTCCCCTTCAGTTGCCCCTCGAAATGGCATGAAAATACTTCCCATTGGAGTTCGTGTTGCCTTTGATATCATCTTCATTATTTCACTTTGCATACAAATTTAATGAAGAAAATTTTCCCTTCCTCTTTTCTCTTCGTGTACGGAGCCACGTTATTTTAGATCTTACCGTAAGCAACACACCAAAGCATCTTTCGTCAGTATCTTAGCTTTCTGTGCAAACCTTGCGTGCATTGATGTATTTACTTTTTGACACTTTTATTTACTTTTTCGGTTATTATTAATAGCTCTTTAGTAGCTTTTTTTCTCAATCTATGCTGCTAATGTTGTACATTTTTTCCTGTTTCAGCTTATGATCTTTGTTGATTATGCTGGCTCTCTTTCTCCAGTCATTGCTCATTCTCCCTGGAATGGTGTTAGATTGGCAGATTTCGTGATGCCATTTTTCCTTTTCATTGTCGGCATTTCTCTGGCCCTCGTGCACAAGGTATGCAAGGAATTTGTACATGCCATTGTCTGTATTAATCTTTTTGACGAGGACTATTGGTCGTGTGACCTTAAATCTGGTAATTATATTGAACAGCGTTACAGGTTCAAGTTTCCGTACAAATGGGCACAATGTAATATGTTAAGATGTAGAGTCGGTCATTTTCTGAAGAAAAGGAAAAACCACTTTTTATCTCATCTTCACGAAGATGCATGGCATTGATGCCAATTCCTGCTACCGTGATTCCTCTTATTATGGGAGAATTATATGATGAGGCTGTATGAAATGTATTTTTGACAAGACTTCATAATATTTGTCATGATTTTATTTCACAGTTTGAAAGGAAAATATCTAGTTATAAATGGTGATTCATCAAGCTTTTCTATTAATTTAAATGTTTAGGGGTTTTCATTCCTCTATAATACTTTAAAGTTTTGAAGTGTCCTAACAGATTTCTTGGGCTTGCTCTCCCAGGAAATATCAAATAAAATTTCGGCAACATGGAGGGTAATTCTAAGGGCTGTGAAACTTTTTCTCCTGGGCATTCTTCTTCAAGGTAAAAGCTCTAAGTTTTTTTTATTTTCTTTAATTTTGCATTCTTGCAGTTTACAATGAATGTATTTATTACAGTTTTGTTGTAATTCCACAAATTTCAGAATTTTGAAATATACCATAAAATCACATTTCTTCGGGAAAATTCCTCATCATCTTCCTCTTGTGATGCCGAATTCTGAGACACAAAATTTGCTTTCAAGAGGAAGATAACAGGCGAATCCATGTCTAAAATATGACAGTTTCTAAGCAAAACTAAAACACACTGATTAACTGCCAGAATGTACGTTCTAAATACACGTTTTGAACTCACAGGAACTCAAGATTCATTGGTCGATTTGAGTATTCAGATGTAGAATACATAAGTAATTTATTTAAGGTAATCATTTATTTGTTTACTTGACTAGAGATGTTATGTCAGAAGATTAGTCGGTTACTTGACTAAAGAATCATTGCAGGTTCTCGGAAAGATTAATGTTTACTCTTGAATTCAACGACCTGGTGAGGAATTTAGGATGAGGATAGGGTGACATAGCATCTCATGCAGAACTTTTCGCGACATAAGGACAGTTGCAGATTAAGTTTTTTATATTGAACGCATCATGTGCAGAAAATCTGACTCGTGACTGGTTGGCTGACTAGTTGGACGGAATTGGGATAATTTGGTATCCATATGATGATGGGGAAGAAATAATGTGATGGTTGGGAGAATTTGGTAGAACGCTTCTGAAAAATAGTAAGTCGACTAATACATGCCAGATGGTGTGGAAAAGCTGTTTTTGTTTAGAAGGTGGTGGATATTTAAAGGAGGAAGGCAAGTTTTCTGGCTGATGCTTCATGTTTTGTCGTGAGTCGTATGGATATGACGGGAGAAAAGCAACCAGTTGCTCAATAGAACTAATAGTTTGGTTGGGCTCATTTGTGTTGGTGCTTGTGTTACGGTGTGTGGGTTATCTTCTGTATGAAGGCGTTTAAGAGCTGAATAGTATCAGCATTGGTCCCTTGGTAAGGAACACATGCTTGTATAAGATAATATTTTTTTGGAAGGTTTCGTATACCTCAGCCTATGTCTTTGGTACCTTCATGGAATTTATCATATTGAGAAGTTTAAAAATGCTTTTTGCAGGTTAGCAGCCTGTGAGATACTATGTAGCATCAGCAATCAATCTTAAGGAGTCAAGGTTTCCTCAAAAGCTGGCTTGTAATTCCAGCTGTTTTAGCCATGTCGTGTCCATGTCCATGTATTTAAGAGACTTATTTATGCATCATTGCATTTTTTTTTTAACTTTTCTCGTCAAATTTTAGGAGAATCATGTACTTTGCATAATTATGGCTTCATGGATTCCCTTAATTAATTCCCAACTTTCGAAGTGTTCTTTTTAAATTCCGTTGAAGATGAATCATTTTCCTTTCTTCCACTCACAATGTTCAGTGCTTGTCTGATTTAATTGCTGATGATGTTTATACTGAAGTTATCACCATTCCACCATCTTGTTTGCTCCAGGTGGTTACTTCCATGGGTTGAATTCTTTGACTTACGGTGTCAATCTTGAAAACATCCGCTGGCTTGGTATTCTTCAGGTAAGATTTCGTGATGTGCTGTTGTGTTTTACTGGTTCTGCTTACTTTGTTTTAAACTGTATCCGCTGGGATTAATTGGCTTGAGCCATGCTGTTTAATATTTCCAACAAATGTTTTGCTCTTTCTCCAATGCATGAAATCAGGTTTACATCTCATGCTGATCTTAATGTAGCTATATTCTGTGTTATGACATTCAACATAGTAATGTTTGTCCTTTGCTTACTATTTTTTTCCTTTATTTGGAGATTCTTGAATACTAATCAATTTCTGGGAATAATTATCTATTCTTTTATCAGCTAAAGAAATGTACATTAGTTGGCCTTATCACCTTTGTTGGTCTGATCACTTCAATATCTGTGGAAGCAGTTACTGATCACTGTTTTTCCTTTATATGGACTCTAGAGGATAGCCATTGGATATATTATAGCTGCTTTATGTGAGATATGGCTCTCAAGGATAGTAGTAAGAGACTCTGTCGGCAGAAGCTTCAAGAATTACTATCTTCAGTGGTAAGAAACTGATGCCCGATCAACTAGCATGCTCTTCGTATGAAATACCGCTACAGCATGTTCTGATTTTTAATTTTCTTGTTGAATGCCCTCTACTTGGACGCAACCCCTTGAATGTTTTTCTGATCCTCTGAAAATTCAGTATTCAATACAGTATCTCATTGGAAGATGGATAATTAAAGAAGCAAAGGCAGAAGCAAATTCATTGAAATGCGATCTTGGTAATAACTGAGAAACTCAACATAAGGCAGGAAAAAGAAAATGCTTTGCCTTGGTCTAGAGTGTCTGCCATCATACCCGCAATGGATGGCATTTGAATCGCTATTCCTGGAGAGGAACATTTGCCCATTTATATAAGACAATGTAGTAAGTCACAGTTGGGAGGATTCTCACCTGCTCGGGGAATATCGTATTTTGACATCTAGAAACTCAATTCAAAAAGTAGTTACCCAGACAGGAGTCTTATCTTGTGGGAATGCAACACTGAAAAAAGTTTAAAATTATCATTGGGAAAAAAGTATAGGAAAATTATATTTTCTTCATGACAGAACTTTATTAAAATTTCAACTAATCATCTTCACAGTTCTGTGAACCTGAATGATTTTCCTACCATATGGGTTAATAAATTTCTTGCTAATTACTAGAATCCCCAATCAAATATTTATGTTTAATTTACTGGAAAATCACCACAACTTGTTGTTACGCAGAACAAGCTTTTTGCTATATTGGCTTTCCTTCTATTTTTCCTTTCTTTCCTATTATTAGATGTATTTCCTTTTTCGTGTTTCTGTTATTAGACCTTTCCGTAATATTGGAAAGGTTTATTAGACGCCAATATAAATACTGGCGTACTGCCCTGAGAAGGGCTAAGTCAGTTTTCCTTTCCTGCTTCCACTGTATCTCGTAACACTTGTATACTTCTATACTTTCATGAAATGAGGCTTCACCACCATCATCCTTTTTAATTTTATCATATTTATTTATGTTTTCCTTTGTAGGTTTGCAGTTTTCTTGCTATCCTGCGTATATTTATGGTTATTGTATGGTTTGTATGTTCCTGATTGGCAATTTAAGCTGGAACAGCCGACATCTTCACTCCCTTCTATTATTGATGACTATGTCATTAAAACAGTGAGATCCTCATTTCTCTTAGATATTTCACTTTTCCTTATGGTTCCACTATCCTTTTTATGCTGATTCTTGATGCAGTTTTTTATTATTTCATTATGAATTGATTGGAAACATTTAAGGCATGACGTTTCATTGCCTTGAATTTCTCTTAATGAAGTGGTTTTTTCTTTGAAAACTTCTTAATAAAATAATCTCACAGCTTGGAACAATCTCTAAAAATCTGGTCCTTGTAGGTCTTTCTCATCTAGAACTAAGACGTATGAAGGTTTGGTGAGGACTACCACTGGATTGCATTGAGCTCAGTTGCAGGATTTATTTGGTTGAAGGACTGTAACTTGATTGAAAAAGTCAATTTACAAAAAATCTTGCTTCGATGGTGCTGGCAGGATTCTATTTGGGATATTTATAGTGAAAAACGTTATTCACGATTTTATTCGAAATTGTGAAGGTTTTAAGGTTCGAGATTTCCAAGATAATGGTGTTAAACTATATAATAAGTTCGATATTTTATACTGTAAAGTTGCATATCTGATTTGTCACTATCACCAATGGTGGCATGCGATTGATGTCGGGAATCAAGAACCAAGTCATTGAATACAAAATACAAGATATCAATTTGAGCTGTTTAAATAGACAAACTTTTACCTGCACGGAAAAATATTGTGGTTGGTATTCCTGTGCACTTTCTAGAAGGTCTCAAGATCACCAGCTCCTGATATGGATTAGGGTTCGTTAGTTGGGCTGGGGTTCTTAGAGGTCATTGGCTCATTCTTTTACTGTCTTTTTCTTCTATAGCCCGCCAACTTTCGACCTTTACTGGCAGTTTTGGCGAATGAATAACCATCTACGGACTAAATTACTTTTATTACCATGAAAAAGCTTGCTCTTTTGAGGATAGATACTGGCGCTATAGGCAAAGATTGTTTTGATTTTCGATTATTATATACTCTGAATTTTGTTCATGAGCTGTACATGCTTGGAATTTTCATTGTTTTTTGTACGGGTCGCTAACTTTTTAGAAGGCCTCTTCTGTTGAATTGAGGTGGTTTCTGGAAAGATTATTTGCAGTTTGCGGTAACATCCCAGAGGAAAAGGGTTTCTTGTTGATATAACCATTATCAACTTGTCCTTACTGAAGAAAGAAAAAGAATGTAGCAAAAACAATTGTCCCATTCACCTAAGGTTTGTCACCTGTTGATCTGATATGATTCTAAGCTCAGCATTGACAACATACAATTATTTAATCATTTACGACAACAAAAATCTAGGTCAAAATGTGCATGTTAGTTCTTGTTGATGGTTTCATCTAGCATTTGCTATGTGAATTTTTTTACTCATTCATGTTTGATCAGAAAGCAATTCTCAAGCTTTCTGGAACTTAGGGCTCACTCTTTAAACTTTTACTACTAATTGATCTGATAAGGTTTTCAAGAAGCTAGCATTTAACTCCATCCACTTGAGGATGCCAAACCTGCTAAATTGATTCTACAAGTCATCTTATTACCAAGAAATATTATCTATTATACCTTTTGTCTGCCAACTGCACCAAACATGTCTAGTGTGCAATCTCCTGAGTATCAGTAATGCGCTTATTAATTTAAATTGAATCTTAGGGGTGATCTGAACATTTGAGAAACACTTGGGTTGGCTAGAGCCATGAAATATATTGGAGTCTGCTTTAAGCCTTGGTGTTCAGCATATGTACGAACAGAAGTCAATGGAACCTAAAAATGTGGTCTTTAGATAGTGGAGTCAGCCTAGCGTTTCGAATCGCTATAGTTCCTGGTTTCACGAATTGATTGGAAACCAGAGTTTAGATAAGAGTCCGAAAAAGGTTAATTCACTCCCTCTCTTTGTTCCTCTTATTGCATCCTCTAAATCCAACGACTGGTATCAATGCCTACCTCTTTTAAATTAAGTAAAAATATGTGAGGAGCAGATTCTATGGTGAATATTGCATGAACCATATTTTTAGAAGGACACTCTGCCAATAGGCCCCAATATTCACTAGATGTAATTAACAATTTCAGAAATTCGTGGGCTGATTACTTTTCCTTTTTTTGTAAGTCAACAATATCTACTGGTGAAACTCTCTATTTATTTTGTATTCAACGTGTATAAGTGCAGTATAATTCCTGTCTGTATTTACTGATGGAATATTCATTTGTGCCATCACAATGAAGTAAAAATAGGACAACGGGATAAGGCATGGAAGTATAAGGTGTAATAATACCCACTGCGCCTACTTACCTATTTCGATTTACTTATCCAGCTGTGCCATCTCCTGAAACTTAAGTTGACATCATACATCTCGTTTATTTGGTCTCTTGGGTTGGTTCCCATGACCCTTGGTATGTAAGCAGTCATGTGTAGAAGATTTAAAGTTTCAATTTGAAAAAAAGCATGAGACAGATTTCCTCTGTAGGTAAAGTGTGATGTAAGAGGTGATCTTGGACCAGGATGTAATTCTGCTGGAATGATTGACCGCTATCTTCTTGGCATTGAACATCTATACAAAAAGCCTAGCTACAGAAACTTGAAGGTAAACATTACCGTGCCATAATTCTGGTTGGTTCCAAGGTTTTGGATTTTCTGATGAATCACATTCTTTTAAATTAATAGGATTGTTATTCAGAGAAGGGGCAGGGCTTGGAGAACTCTCCTGCATGGTGCCAGGCTCCTTTTGATCCAGAAGGAGTTTTGAGGTAAGCTAGACTCCTGAATATATACTTGTAAACAGATGTTTATATTAATTATTTCTTTGTGTGTGAATTTAAGGGGAACGCGTTTTATGTTAGATGGTATTTCTTCATGGAGGTAATGAAAGTTCTAAGCATGCATGTATACTTGCAGTATTTTATGGGAAAACTGAGAACATGCATTATAACACAAGAGTGATCGTTGTATTGTGCACGGGATGTTTTTTTTTTTTTTTTTTTTTTTTTTTTTTGTACAGAAGTTTTTCTGTAGGGAACCGCAATTTTCTCAAGTTTTCATTGTCTTACTCTGGTGAGTATGAAACCGAGAATCATAGGTTATGATTATTTTCCATGAAAGCTTCAGTGATTATGATGCTATTTTATGGGAAGACTGCTATTTGATAGAAAGGCTGTTGCATCTGTTACGACCATTACCCCCCACCCACCCTCCCAGCCAGCATGCAAGATCATGAACTCTCACTGTGGTAAAGTCGAAACAACTCATCCTCACATCCTTTAAAATTGAAATCCTCGAATATAACAAACTTCTGATTTCGTAGGAACCAGAATTTTTAAGATTGGCCCACGATTCTGGTAAGAACCTTGATCCAGAAAAGAATAGGATTCTTCTTGAGTGAAACGGGAACAAGGATTAGGGGAAGAAGGTTTGAGCTGTGGAGACCGGATCGGTTCTACCACAAAACCGCAGAGAATCTCCGGGAACTTCTAGGACCAAATGTTTTCTCTCCCCCTCCCTATACAACTGAGTCCTCTTATGTATAACCCTCAGCCCTCTCCTTCGTGTGGTGGTTGGACCCATAGAAGCTGGAAGCTTCTTCCTTCTTGAATGTCTTGATGGGAGGCTCATCAGATTCCTATGTCTATATACATCTATAATTGTACAAGTCGCATTGAATTTCTCAAAGTCTAACACGTGCGTCTCATACTTCCTGTTTCATTCAGCTGTGTTACTGATACTTGATCAAACCTTTTTCCTTCCTAAAGTTCTGAGTGTTTAGGATGGGTTGACAGAAGTCAAAGTATTTATATCTCTGTCTGAAAAAATCTTCAAAGTACATAAGGCAGAACCTCACATTGTGCGGCTCCAACGTCTGATACAGATGTTACCTGTGTTATTATAATTTATATTCATTATGCTTGATAGGATGGGGTAGCATGAATCTTCTGCTTCCATATGCATCCCGTCAAATCTTATGCAACAAAATATTCAGTGTTGAAAAAAACCCGACTTTTAGGGTGGTTGTCACTGTGAACGCTTATCCGTACGGTAATAACCTCCATCATGTATTATGAAAAATATGATTGGTTTACATTTTATTTCTAAAATGGTGATCTTCACTGGGAACAATTAACTATTTGTTACAGAAAATTGAGATCTACGGGCCAGTGGAAAACAGAAAGTGCTTGCCTCCCAGAATTTAATAGCACGTAAGATGTATTGAGTGATGGTGTGATTCCTGCATACTATTTGTTTGAACGGTGGATATGATCACTCTTTTTTGAAGGATGAAATATAGTTTCGGCAAAACTTTAAGTTCGTGGAGAGTCACGACATGCTAGAAAGTTCATGGATATGATCACTCTCGTGTACTAATTCATTCTATTTTCTGACAGACGCGAGTGACATATACTCAAAGTTACTTGTCAAGGAGTTTTCCGGGTAAAATTATTTGGGTCATAAGATCTAGGGGTATCACTGCATACCCTAGGTGACAAAGTAAGATTACTGGAGGATCACACATTGAGAAATGGTTTGTGTCCTGAACATTGGTGCGGACCCTAGGAGGATATGCAGAGGAAAAACTCAACCCGTATTCACATCATAGATGACTATTATATAAGAGTACCAGGGCCACAAAACAGGGAAACTAACTAGCAACTAAGAAACCGACAAACTAGGAAACGACCCAACAAACTAGGAAACGGTCCAACTAAGAACCAACTCCTAATTATACGTTCTTTCCCACAGCTTAGCGAAGCAGATACGGTTTGAATGGAAACTTTGCGGGAACATGGATATTGTTGCTTATGTAAAGACTATGTTGAATTTGGTGAAATAGGTTGTTCTGGTTAAATTTATGTATCAAAAGATTTCATTCTGATTGATAATATAGGTCCTAGTTGAATATACTTGTTAAATCCCCAGTTTTTATTTTGATGCTTGTGGGCTCTTTACTCTTCTATCATTTTCAATTCCCTTACTTTGGATCCCTCCAAATTTCCCTGAGCTATCCTCCCTTGGCCTCTAGTCGCTATAAACCTCGCTCAATTGGAAAATTTCAGAGAATTTATTTAGCAACCCATACAATCTCTACGTCTGCTGCTTTGTTTTCACTGATTAACACTCGCCCTTGTCATCTATGAATTAGCTCATCAAGTTTAACAATGCATGCTGACAGGATGTTATTCAACTCTATGACAAGTTCACACTTTGAGACGGCAAAGTAAAATATCCGATGGTTGTAAACTCTCAAGTCATCCACTGGAACAAGAAAATCTTCCTGTTATTTCTGTAGCACATACCAATATGCTTCCTCTTTCCAATTCAGTTTAAATAAGTCGTACTTGTACACTAGATAGACATTTGTGCTACCGCGGAATTATTTCCAAAACCATAAGCCAATGAGCTGAAATTCTCTCTTTTTACAATAGCAGACTAGGAAATTTTATGTGCGGTAGATGTCTTGGGTGCTGAAAAAGTGTCAGCGTAGTTAACCAATTGTGATTATTGATAATAGCTTATGATTAATCATTAATTGGTTCATTGATTACGCACTAGTTTCTTTCTGTTTTTTTTTTTTTACTGCTGATGATCTGATACTAAATGGACGTTTATAGAAGTTTGCAAAACACGTATCACACTGTGTTAAGATTCTAAATAACAGTTCTAACTGCCTTCAACTTAACAGATTTTTTGTTTTACAGCTCCCTGATGGCTTCAGTCACTTGCATTATAGGACTTCAATTTGGCCATGTTCTTGTTCAAGTGGAGGTCAGAGAATATTGACGTTTGTCATCTACTGTTTTGCTTCTTTCATTGATTTAACATGATGTTTTTGTGTTTTCCTTATGTTGCCTGCTTAGTCCCCGTATTTTTTGTAAAGATACTCGTAAAATAACTTGTATCGATTTAAAAATTTTAAATTTGAAACAATGTCTTGTGTATAGGACTTCCCATTTTGCACCTTTTTGTAAGGGAAAATGTAATGAGGGAGACCTCAATGTGGTTGCTTGGGAGAGATTTCAAGCTATCAATTTATTTTCTTGCTCTCCACCTTTCCATTTTTTCTACTGATTTATTGTTGCAGTTTTCAATCGTCTTGAACTTTATGGTTGCGATTCTAATCCAAACAGTGTCAAAATTTTCACCTGCATGATACCACATTTATAAGAAAGGAACTCGTTCCATTTAAGCTTGAAAAGAAATATAATATTGCCAAAATCATGCAGTGCTCCATATAATTTACTCTGTAAACAGTGTAAAATTCTTCAGACTGTTGCCTCCCAGATTAATATTAGTTATGGAATAATATTATGTTAATAAGTTGATAAATGGTTAATGCAGTGTGTAAATCAAGAAATAAAAATAAATAGAGAATCATAATATGGTATTCCTGCCATCTCAAAACCAAATGCGGAAAAAAGCACCCAAATACGCATTAAACTGAAGAAATAAGCTCGACAAGCCCAACTCTTTGATACTGCACTTGCCCGTTTCCACAGCATCATTTTGAACGATCCATTTTCTCTGTAATAATGAGCCCGAATGAGTGTGACTAGCTGGCATCTTCGATGCATTTTTTTCTTCAAACACTGTTATTAGGTACATCTTATCTCTATTCATTTGCTCATTTTTTGCTTCACTTTTGTGCTGTCACTTTCAAGTATAGTGTCTGTGTTTTGTGATCTACGATGTTTCTCAACTCGGAAAAGACTACAACTAAGTCTTTTATCTGTTTTATCGTTCATCTGGTTTTATTCATGCCCTAATAACACCCTGACATTGGAAATATTTCATGGCCCACATTCCAGGAACATAAAGGCCGATTAATTCGCTGGATGTCACTTTCATGGTTATTTTTGGCGCTTGGGGTGTTCCTTACAGTAATAGGTATGCATATCGACGTCAAAAGTTGTCAATCGATATTCATAAAGGTCTATTCTAATACGCACGTTTGATTCTAATTGCACAGGCAGTCCGCTGAATAAATCTCTATACACAATCAATTACATGTTGATAACTACCTCATCAGCCGGAATCGCATTTTGTGCTTTATATCTCATGGTAAGGTTGGAGCTTTTAGCTCAGATCTCATAGAATGTAGACTAGTTATTTCAAGGTATGAAGATTTTATTCGCAAGTTAATGACATTCTAAACAGTCCTAACTTCATGCCATCGTGGGAAAGCCTGTTATTACTCTTCCATGCCAGTTCTTGAAATAACCTTTCCTAGTGACTAAGCCTTTTATTTTCAACATCTTGGTTTTGTTTCTGACTAGGCTCAGTCCTTATCAGGGCTAAGCTCAGTCCATAAAGAACATAGAGCCCTGTACTTATGAAGGCTAAGCTCAGGATTAAGTTCTGAAGTATTTTAGTTGGAGTTCAAAAAGAACATGAGGTCAAATACTAGGCTTGTGCTTTCTTGCTGCTCCAAAGCGCATAATTGAAGGCAATGAGGTCACGAATGAAGTCCTTGTGGTTCCAGCATTAGGTTAAGTAATAATTGAAATATTCTCTGATGCCAATTTTAAACGTTGGCCATAGATTGTGCCAAAGCAGGCTATCTAAAAGGTATCCATTACTGGTTCTGGCCAACTTATCCATAGACCCACAGAACATCTGTGCTGAGTCATGTTCTATTATTCATGCATACATGGACGTATATACATATTTACACACACACACATATATATATATGTGTGTGTGTGTACACATTTCATTTAGAGAACATTTATGTAGGAATGTGATTCTTGTTTGTATTTTTCCCAATTCCATAACTTATTTATGGTCAACGAATGAAGAATAATGAGATTAGTGATGCAAGAAATGTTCAGAGTATCTGACCACTCGATCTTCTATCTTTTGGTTGAGAGAGATCAACAATCTTTCTAATTTATATTTGCCGTTTTTTTTTATATGAAACGTAATTTAATTTATTTCGGTGTTGCAGGTGGATGTATGTGGCTACAAACGCATGTTTTTTATTCTAGAATGGATGGGAAGACATTCACTTTGTATATTTGTTCTTGTGGCATCTAATTTGGCTATCATTGCAATTCAAGGGTTTTACTGGAGAATTCCTCAAAATAACATTGTAAGTTTTTTACAATTCACATTTGGGTTTGAACGTTAGGACGAACTCACTTACGTTTTTTTTCTCTGCATCCTCGTTCCAATAACCTCCACTGGTTATCCTCCCGCACCCCCTCTGTTGCCTTCTCACTTTCTCTGTACCTGGCCCTTCAAGGGTTCTATCTATATTAGCATACAAAGAGAACGGCCATGAAAGATATAATGGCTACCACAATATTGTCGTAAAAGACACTTAAGTTAATTCGTATCTTTATTTGGCTTATCAAACAGATGCGTGCCTTCCGTCTAATTACAATTTCTTTCAAACTTGTCTCAACAATGTTGGACTATTCAAGCACAATAGAGAAAATTTGCTTTATTATGTCTAGTACAAGAAATTTTATTTCCTTCGTGATGTATCTTTTTCCCCTTTTTTTGACGGAAGAAAACTACAGGTTGTTGAATCTTCTTTTGTTATTTAATCTTTAAAAATCATTTATTACATTCCTACTTATATTGACTTAATATTTTCACTTGCTTTTCAGGTATATATGATCGTCGCACTCTTTGTAAAGAAATGACCAAGTGTCCTGTATTTCTGTGTACAACGGTACATCTCATATGCCCATGTTTATGTCCTATCTCTGTTCCCGTACAAGAGAAATTCATTTATTTTCTATGTCATATGCCCATTTCTTTCATTAATATGTTGGCTGCTCACTTGGTCATTTTTCATCAATTAGCTAGTAACATTAGTCATAGAAGAGAATACGAATGCTGTCTTGCACCATACCCCGCTGCCATAGTCAAGATTGTATGGAATATGTATCGAATGATGTCCTCATTTCGTTGATTATTATCAAATATCATTCAACATGATATTTACTCCCAACAGGAACTGTTTCATTCAACATGTTTTCCGCTTCCTGCTTCTTTTAGTTTCGGTCTTCTCCCTCTCTCCGAGTCAGAGTGGAAGCTCCAACCAGTAAGTAGGTGCCCAGGTTGCCCAAATGGTGCCGTGGGGGAATGAATTGGTTTTGTGATCCAACCACTAAACACTCCTACATTGCCTCTGCTGTAGTTTCCCTCATCATTCTCAGCACTCTCCCCGATTCTTGTTCTTGGTCATCTTCCTTTCTTCTTATGTCATCATTAGCTTGATGTTGTCACCTTCTTCAATCAAAACCCTCCTGTACCTCCCCACCTAATCAACCAACAGATCTGCGATCTGTGACAGCAGAAAAACTGCCCTACCTTCCCACGTATTGGCCTTTTTACACAGGAGCTTGCGCTCTACAAGTGCGCTCTGCTTGTTCCACCCTTCCCCCTTACCATGCCAAGCCCTTGTGAAAAAAAAACTCCGATGGGAAGAGAAAAGACGTTGAGAAACCCTCCTAGAAACTCATCACTATAGATTTTGCATAAATGTATCGCCGTGTTATTAAGTCTGAAATCCCTGATATGGGGTAAGATCCTCTGGAAGATCAAGCAAGTATGGTCTGGTCGAACGGATATAAAATGCCTTAATCTAATATAATACCAACTTGATCGATCTATATAACCAGAGAACACTTTATTTTCCGTCACTATGAACGTTGTTCCATCTCAAATAGAATGTTTTTTTCTGCTATTTAATGCTTTTTTTAAAAAAACTATTCTATTACTCATGGATGGTCGTTCTTCTTTGACAGTGTACATCGTTTACTCTCACCTGGGGATCGAATATTATGAATAATTTGGAGAAACAAGGGGATCATCCGATTGTTGCCCAACTGCTGCTTTATCTCCCATTGATGGTTAGCAAAGTCTCGTCGCATTGACGAGTCAGAGGCGCCAGACCCATCAAGTTCTGAGCGTCTTCACAGGCGCAACTCCGGACCACTTCTCTCTGTACATCTTATCCTCCTTTCTTGACAGTGTTTCTTGGCAAAACCACACATTTATTGGATCAAGTGACACAAAATTGTTGAGACTCAGGCGTGCAACGAAAGTCTAGGTAGATCATGGCAATGAAGGGTGGGGGGGAAGGCTACAAACCTATCTTGTCGTTGCTCAATACCTCCATTTTTAGTCAAATCTGCGATTGTGACCCAATATAATACCAGGTTTAGATCCTTGCGATGGGTGAAATGAAAAGGCAGGGGAATTCGTCTCTCATTTCGAAAATCTACCCAGATAACTACAAGAGCCCTTTCAAGACCCTTTCAAGACCCTTTCAAGAGCCCTTTCTGCGACTCCCACACAGAGAGACCAATAAGGCGAGATCAGGGCCAAAGGAGATGAAATGACGCCATGAGAAGAAGAACAGGAGACCTGAAACGGGCTGCAACATGGCCTGAGGACGACGCGCGTTCACATCCATCGAGCAAAGCGAGCACGAATACAAGGTATAAACTCTAACACTGTTTTATTTTAAAGATAAGGTCTTGGTCGAGCAATCCCAATGGTCAACCTCATCATGAGTTCCAAACAATATCCAAGAAAAAAAGAAAAAGAAAAGGGGGAGTCAACGGCTCTGAAAAATAGAAGAAAAATGTTTTCCTGCAAGCTAGGACACCACGGGCACCAGAATTGAACCAATAGAATCCCCTCACCTCCATCAATTGAGTCCGTGTGTTCCTTGTCCTCCCCGGAAGATGGAAGCTGCGACCAAAAGAATATACATAAAGCATGGTCAGGGAGCGCCTCGGTGAAACCCCAAGGCATCCGTTGAAAAAATCGCCGCCAAAAATCCCCAACCAATCGACATGAGGCCAGCTATACACGGCGCAGCAATATCTCCCAGGATCCAGGCGCCATCGCCAGGTCTCTCTTCCTTTTTTCTTTTTTTTTCTTTTTTTTCCTTTTTTTTCTTTTATTCATGTATCTTTTTCTTTCCTTTTTTGAATTTTTTTTTTTTTGAATTTTTTTTTTTTTGGTCCTGCTCTCTGAAGAGCCCACCCCATTCATGATCTCGCGCCTCTGAGTTCCCTGTCTCTTCCAGCTTCCTCTGCATCTGACCTACTTAACCTCGGCAAAAATGAGACCTAAAAGTTGTCGCTCCGGCCAAAGCTCCTTCCAGAACCATTTTGGGCTGCGATCTGCCCGGAGTTATCTCCATCCTGAGCTTGGCTGTTCAACTCCCCAGACGCTGATCTTCCGAGGGAAGCTCCAAGGTGAGCTTCACCCCTCCTGATATTTTCACCGGAACTGCCTTCTTCCAATCCGACATGCGCCAGCTGACCAGCCAGAGCATCGTAGTTCGGCCTCGTTGATGGGTCCCGTGGACTAGCTGAAGTGCTTAGCGGCGGCCAATTCCTCCAGTCATTGCGTCTCCTCATCTTGTCACCCTGAAAGAGAGAACGAGGCCAGAAAAGAGTCACCGCAGAAGCAAGATCCGGTTTTAGCTGGCCAGAAAGGAAATTAAATTCAATGGTCATGCGCTGGACTGCATCTTTCAAGCGCTATATCAGATTATCCACTGGATTGTGTTAAAGCATCGGAGGATGAATCAACTATAAGTCGACACCCACGTGATAAAAAAGACAAACCTGCAATTCAACTACTGTTGAACCCCTCACTGAATCCAATATTAGTGGGATGCTGTTCGTTAGGTTTATGACCTGCAAAGCAACAGATGGCCAGTGATCATTCTTCTGGATGAATAGACAAATACGTCCCCACTTACGAGTAAAGATGAAGAGATCTAATTGAAATCCCATATAAGATATAACTTCTCACTGTGATTCCACAATATCACTCAAAAACGTTTCCTAAAGATGAACGGTCATATTTCAAATCGTTTCGAAAACAAAAATGCCGCCCACTGCTCAGACATAAATTTTGACCTGTAACAAAGATAAGATCTTTCAGACGAATAAAATATCACAAACCAAGCGTTCAAATATGCATTAGATAAACTAGCGGGATGTACTAGTACTTGAGTTCCTTCCAGGCAATCCCAATACCCGACTGCCTTTTAGACTCTCTTACATTCTTCGGTCTCTATTGTTATAGGTACTACGTGTCTTACCGTATACTAAGTTCACAGATTCCACTCACTAAAAGTGAGGATAATATCATGGTGATTACACGTGGGCGACTCTCTGCATGTGATCAACTTCGTTAAGTGGGCAGTATCAACCCCTCTTCCAGTCAATGGGGAGGAGGATGAGGCCTTGAACTGCTTTAGCCTAAGGCAAGGGAGCTCATTCACGCAGGAGAGTCGGCCGAAGCCATTTCAAACCATAGACAGCATCATTTGAAGTATTGGGCGAGCAATTGATATAAATTGATATGTAATTGATACCGGGTACTTAAAAGAGAACAAAATCTGATTTAATTAAAACCACTTTACTCCTAATTTTTATTTTTATTGCTGTTTAAGCCCTTATCAGTAGGATCCTAGACTTCAGATAGGTTGGGGCATAGAACATTGACTTTGACAACAACCAGCTCCAGATACTTTAAGAGCCGTTTCACAAACAGAGGGGAATATTCCCTGCCAGAAGTCTAGTCAACATTTGCTAGAGAGAAGGAAACCAATATGTGTCATCTTGTTGATGGGGGGGGGAGGGGGACAGAGGGGGACAGAGAGAGAGACAGAGAGCTACAAGGAAATTGACAGAGAAGAAAGAATTAAGTAAAAAACTTGAGATGAAGGATAGTCGCCTAACTATTTAAGTGGGTGTGTGAAGAAATGAGATGTAGGTTTTCCCACCACTTGCTGGCCGATTTTGAGCCAGTCACTATGCCCACAACGATAGGGATCTCCAAAGTCTTCTTTGCAATATCTACTTGCCTGCCACGAAGAGCTTGAACAATCATGTGCATAAAATATCCTTGGTTTAGGATCCACTCTAGCAGTAAGAGTCTTTTAGAATATACTGTCCCCTAATTGCTCTACAATTCTGCAACTATGAGTTCAAGTTCCATCAGGATTCTGGTAGTTAGTTTAGCATTTCTTTCTCAAAATCACCATGGAAAATTCAAGGAAACTCCATTAGTACGTAGCCATATAATTTTTCCTCGACAGTTAAGGCTTAGATGACAAGATTGCTAAGGATCTAGACGCCCCTAGCAGGACCAAAACATCTGTACAGCTGTGATATGACCTTCGCGATAACTTGCAAGACTTCACTAACCCTATCGTCAGAATTCATTCACGTCATTAATAGATTCCAGAAGATAATTTTCTCTGCTTGCTAATCAATGGAAATCCTTATTCACATTGTAGGAAATAATTGAAACAAAAAACTACTGGTCATAAATTAAAACAATGCGTAGCATTCAGTTCGCCATCAAAAGATTAGAATTAAAATGTATAAAACCGTTGATCTAAATTATTTATCCATGGAACATTATCAGCCTATAAATATTATATTTACTCGTGGTGTCGCAGCTTCTGAAATTGAACATGATTGCATGAACCCTTTTGGGGTTTTCAACATAAATACAGGTATAGGAAAATCATAGCATTTATGGCAAACTCTACATGATTCCATCATCCACCAATGGAAACACAATCTTATTGAATAAGAAAAAACTAAGAAGCAAAAACGAAAAAAATCATGAATCTCAAGCACGAGCTTGAATGCTGCAGATATTAGAGGTGATCAATTTCTTCACTAATGAAGATTTCGTGATGCACTGATAAAAAATCATTCTCGGGAAACAAAAAACCATGAAAAAGAAAATAGACCGAATTATTCATCTCGGGCACAAGCCTGAGTGACGTACATACAGAATGTGACGAACTTCTTTTTCTAAAGGAGACTTTCTTTTCCACGAATGAAAGCTAAATATTATGCAATTAAAACATTATTAATAAAAACAGAATAAAGACTCATAAATCCGTAAGTGCGACTCCAAGTGAGGTAGATACATAAAATGATAATTTCCACAGACCAGCTATCACTACCTCAAATTAGCTCCAATGACTCCTCAATCAATGACTATTCTATGCGAGCCATATTTTGATCAAAGATAATCCTTCAATGATAATGCGCCAAGCAAAATAAGGTATCAAAAGACAAATCAACTCAACGTCTTATTTATATTTGGATAGTTAAGAAAGAAAAATAAACATTTTTCAAATACTTTCCCGCACATAAAGAAAACTTTCCTCACAGACTATGACAACTTAGATCTTACAGGGGACGTGTAAATTCTATGAAACAGCAAAGCGAAAGGTCTGTCTAGCATAACCAAATGAGTGGTAAGTAACTGGGATAATGTGACAGAGAACTTCCCACAATATTATTTCCTTATTTCATGTTCAACATTTGTGACAGATTCGGATCCTTTTAAGATTGGTACAAGTATATTTAACTTTCAACATCATTCCTATGTTCTTCTTTTTCGTCTACTCGTTTGTTCAAGCACGCCTAAAATTACACTACACAAATCATAGTACCTCAAACAGACAACTCAAGTCAAGAGAAGACTCCATGCAACTGAATGAATATCATATCCACAATGTTAAACACCTAATGAAAATCACAACTTTATGCTCGAAACTCAAATTTGAGCACCAAAAAAAGGACAGGAGAAGTCTTGAAAATGTGATAATCAAACCATTTTATTATCTCCATTGTAGAAAGATAATAAAACCTAGAATCATATGCTAAACATTAAAGCAAGGATCGCGTTTTAAAATATAGAAGGATTAAACAGATGTGAGTTACAGAGGATACAGCTCCGTATCAAGGCTCTGCATCCATTAACGACCGTAAACATAGTAAAACAATATGAAGCCAGCAAAGAGGACTCACTCTTCTAAAGCCAGCAACCAGGGAAACAGGGACCCAACCCTCTTCATCCATGTTTTGCCGCAAAAAAACGTCCCTACACAAATTTTCAGGACTGCAGAAAGAATAAAAGGTCAACTCACAGTTAATAACGAAATGCGATAGCAAATAGTCCTTCAATTGTTTGCATTACCGAGCAGAGGGAAAAAAGTGAGAATAAAGTCACCTGAAATAATATTCTATTTGTTGCAATAACATTGCTCGTAACTGCAGATCTGGTGGCGCAAAATACATTGGAGTTGGGGGAACGAAAGGCATGCCCCTCCACGGTTCAGGGAGAGGCGGCGGCACATAGAAAACAGGCGGGGAGATATCTGCAAGATGAATCGAAGACGTCAAAACATTGAATGATCAGCAAATAATGAAAGACAGATCGAACGTTTTGAACTTCACGAGAGAAAGTACTCACCATGATAACCCATGGGGTTTGCAAAAGGACGAATCTGGGGGGGTGGAGGTATGAACGGAGCAGGACCAGGTGGTTGAGGCCGGAGGAAAGGCCTTGCCATGGCCCTAGGCTGTTGTTGCTGCTGATGTTGCGTGTGCATGTCTCTTCCACCACCGAAGGATCGATTGTTCCATTCATAGCCACCTCGTCCTTGGTCAGCACGGTTCCCAAAATTGCTATGATGGTGGCCTCCACCCCCGGCATTGTTACCTCTCCGGTTGCTATTATGATTCCGCTGGTGCTCATTTCCACCAGCCTTGGATCCATTATCCCAGTCGTTAGTCCTGCCGGGTAATTCTCTAGGAGATGGTCCTGAGGCAACAACCTTATCCGAAGCATTATGAGATGCCTCTGCTGAACCTGTTTGAGTACCAGGTGACATAATCCCACTGCTAGTAAATCCGCCACCATTGTTGTTGGGGACAGGGCCGGCCACACCACCACTACCACCATGGCGTTTCATGGCTTTCTGCCGCGCCGGAACCGCATGGCTTGCGGAGGAACTGGTGTTGGGATTAGTAGCAGTCGGTTTCGGTGATGTAGTCATGGGTGCCTGAAACAAATACAAACCAGAAAAACACGGACAAGTGAAAATTACCGCGTACGCGGAGATATGTCTTCGGTATCAACGTTACTTTAGATTTCCACAAATAGATGAGGAGAATGAGCACAATCTTACGGAAGGAACAGAGACAGATCCGTTGGCCAGACCCTTCAGTGAATCTGAGGAAGAGGACTTGAGAGAAACCTTGATGGCCTCCGAGAGGGCGGGCCAGGACTCCGCCCCCATCACCGAACCCGCGTTGATCGAACCGTTCGAAAACGTTTTCCACGCCGAATTCATCTCCTGCGACGATGCAGATGCCTCCTGGTCCACGACATTAGACGACGGCGGCGGCGTCGTCGGCGCTCCTGCAGCATCTCCCGCTCTCACATCGGCCGGGGTATCGGAGGTGGCGGTCTTGAGAGGCGAGCGATCGGACACCTGCGGAGGTGGGACGGTCGACGCCGCCGGCGTCCCCCCGGTCAGGGACGGCGCCGAGGGAGACGCCGCCGCAGCAGGGGCCGGAGTTTCATCGGATTCACCGCGGACGACGTGAGACCACGGAGAGGAGAGGTTGCGGGCATTCCGAGGGAACGGAGGGGCGTGGCTGCTGGAATAGGAGGGAGAGGAGTCCGCAGCAGTCGCCATATTCGGGAGGCGCTTCCCCTCGTCAATGTTAGGGTTTGGGATCGGGGGCTCGGCCAGGGATCGAGGGGGTTGGCGGGGGAGGGAGACGACGCCGGGAAGAGGAGGTGAGGCTCGCACCAGCAATTAGGTTTCTTGATCCTGGTAACTGGTTCAAAAAATACACCATTAAATACAGGCCGGCCCCCCCCCCTTCCGCTTTTGTCTCCAGATACGCAGGAGGAGAGAGAGCGGATCCGCAAATCGGATGCGGAGCAATAGGCCCTCTCTCTCTCTCTCGTCTCTCTCCTGGTGGGAACCGATTACGCACGAGCCGCCCGCAGCGCCCTCGAGTTAATTTAATGGAGGGCGTCGTAACTTAACCGAAATTAAAATCCTTTCATTCCTTTTAAATTATAATAAATTTAATAAAAAAAATTACAAGCTATTTCCAGGTAATTTATATAGAGAAATTGACTGGCGGTCAGACGTTGCAGGGCCACTGCGTTATAATAATCATTAAATATCCGGTGATATATAAATACCAGCTCTCCGGAGTCATGGGCCCAATAGAGGGAGGGCCCAATAGAGGTGCACATGGGCCTACATGTATATGGGCTGGAATACAAACGAAAGGGTCCAATGGGCTTGGCCCGAAAGTCCCCTTCCTGAAAAGGTCCGTGGCGCGTCGTTGTCGTGGGACGAATCTCGTCCGGACAAGGCCCCGTCAATGCTCCGGGTCCGATGTGTGGGCGACGTGGCAGCTCTGTTAGATCGCGGTTGCTTAGCCTGATGAAGTTCCACGTGGGAAGATTACTGCCGTCCGATCGACGTAGCCCGAGGGTCCTGGTGATATGACCTCGGGATTCCTTGTTGGCCTTGGAAGCATCCGGAGACAGCGTACGGACGTGGAGGAGCTGAGGAGCCTTTCTATGGTGTGGGGAGGGGGGGTGTCGGCCGGCAGCGGCGAGGGGGCGGCGCCGCCGCCGGGTGCGGCGGCGGACCTGCCCCTGCGGGGAGAGGACAGAGGGAACACGAGGACCACCACGTTCTGTGTCTGCGAGCCGACCATCGCCGAGCAGGTTGCAGCATCTCTGCGGATCGGAGAACCCTAACGGAAGCATATCCCGTCGTGGGACCGTCAGCCGTTGGATCGGATACACGGGCTCCCCCACCTTCTGATCCTTCTTGTTTGGGAAGGTAAGGGTATTACGGACATTGGGCACAAGGAGAGGTAGCCGTTACACATCTGCCAGCTGGATCTCGGGAGTGGGGCCCTGCCAGGCTGACAGGGGAAAACGATTTGAGCTGGAAAGAAGGCGTTGCGCTGTACTGGGCCCAGTGTACACTGGTGGACACTAGCTCCGTCTGCTGTCTTCTTTCTTGGGTTAATTATTCCTGAGCAATTATTTATTCACCGGGGTTGGGGAAAGAGGAGGAGCTTCGTGCCCGTCAGTCCTATCCATATATCCCCCGTTCATTTCTCTCTCTAGTCTCCGCATCCGTTCAGCGAGGAACGGGAGTAGTTGAGAGAGCCTGGGAGGAGAGGAGAGACTGAGCAGAGAGAGAGAGAGAGAGAGAGAGAGAGAGAGAATGTCGAAGGAGGTGACAGTCGACGCGGAGCAGCATGTGGCCAAGGACTACACAGACCCGCCGCCGGCGCCGCTGCTGGACCTGGGCGAGCTCCGCCTGTGGTCGTTCTACAGGGCCCTCATCGCCGAGTTCATAGCTACTCTCCTCTTCCTCTACGTCACCGTAGCCACTGTCATCGGCCACCTTAAGCAGACCGAGGCTTGCGGCGGTGTTGGCGTCCTGGGGATCGCTTGGGCCTTCGGCGGCATGATCTTCGTCCTCGTATACTGCACCGCCGGCATCTCCGGTACCTGATCTCTCCTCCCCTCGCCGACTCCTCTTCGCTCCTGTCACTCCGGCGACTGTCTAAGCGTGCTTTGCGCAGGTGGCCACATCAACCCGGCGGTGACCTTCGGGCTGTTCCTCGCGAGGAAGGTGTCGCTGCTGCGGGCCTTCCTCTACATGGTGGTGCAGTGCCTGGGGGCCATATGTGGGGTGGGTCTGGTGAAGGCCTTCATGAAGAGCCCCTACAACTCCCTCGGCGGTGGTGCCAACGTGGTGAATCCCGGCTACTCTAAGGGCACGGCCCTCGGCGCAGAGATCATCGGCACCTTCGTCCTTGTCTACACCGTGTTCTCCGCCACCGACCCCAAGCGTAGCGCCCGCGATTGCCACGTTCCGGTATGATCCTCTGACACGACGGTGCCTGTTTAGTCTCCTTCTTGCTGGTTTCCTTCTTCCCCCGCCTGCAAAATGTGTTCTCAGCTGTTCTTTGTCCTGTAGGTCCTGGCTCCCCTTCCAATCGGGTTTGCTGTGTTCATGGTGCACCTGGCCACCATCCCCATCACCGGGACGGGCATTAACCCGGCGAGGAGCTTCGGCGCCGCTGTCATCATCAACCGGGGCAATGTCTGGGACGATCATGTGCGCTTCACCCTCTCTCTCTCTCTCTCTCGCTGGTTGAGCACCAAACATCCAACGTTCTAACCCTGTCTATGTCTACTCTGTTCTTCGTTGGAGCAGTGGATCTTCTGGGTTGGGCCCTTCGTCGGCGCTCTCGCCGCCGCAGCGTACCACCAGTACATCTTGAGGGCGGCGGCACTCAAGGCCTTGGGCTCCTTCCGCAGCAACCCCCGCAACTGAGAGAGAGAGAGAGAGAGAGAGAGAGATCGTCCTCTTCCGTTTGTCTGGTTTCGATTCGCTGTTCTTGATGTGATGTGTAGTGTTAGGGGGGTTTCTTGTATCAATGTCGTGGGGGTTTCTTGTCTCAATTATTATTAGATTTGTGCATGTCGCCTAAAGTTCCTCCGGTCTTCCTTCCCTTTCATTCCCCGACGGAGCAAAGGTGGAAAGGTAAAGGCGTCGCTTTTTCTTTTATTTTTCCCTTTACCACGGGAGGAATCCTAGATGCCCCTGAGAAAGATAGAAAGAGAGAGAGAGACCAGCTGCCTGCGTCTGAGTACGGGGGACGCTGACGTCCCCACACACCCGGTATTCAATGACTTGCAGGGGGGCCTTCACGTGGGAAGAAAGCGGTCGCGTTTACTCCACGGAGGCGAGTCTCCAAGAGACATTGGATACCCCATCTCTCTCTCTCTCTCTCTATCTCAAAATCTCTCTCTTATTTATGGCAAGACAGAGGACTGGGATGGTAGGGCAATCTCGTCGTCTTTCTCACTTCACCCGTTTAAAAATTTTGAGAGGGAACTGCAGTCGAGTCCGTTCTGGAGGTAGATTCAGTCCTCAGCCAGAGTCTAGGGTAGCGCTTCAGAAAGAGGATATATGGGCATCATTCTCTGATCTGAAACCATCGGCAAATCACAGGTGATTACCCTCATATCCGCAGAGAGATATTCTCTAAGTCGCCCTCTGTGTGAAGAGCTGAATTGGGTAAGAAATATTTTTAGAGAGAGAGAGAGAGAGAGAGAGATAGAGAGAGTTGCCATGGGAGCTCAAACCCAACAGGGTAAATTCACAAGCTCTCACCTTCTCCCTTTCGAAAGGGAAGGCATGTCCAAGTCACCCTCAACCTACCCCAAAGACATCGAAGGTCATACGGTATTCGTGGGTGGATACCTCAAGAGAGGTTCTTCAACCTCCCTTCTTTACCTGAAACAGCCGTCTCTCTCGTTCTGAACCGAGTTTCTCTCTCCTCGATGTGAGAGAGGCAACGGTTCTCGACAGCGATCTTCTGAAACCTCTCAGCTTCGGGAGGGGACAGGGGATCGTCTGCTTGTTCAGTCAAAGTAGCAGGTAAGAACAGGGAGTCAGCGTCAGACGAATTATTCTTGTTCCTCTCTTGGCGGGAAGGTCCTGCGCAGATCGATGTCCAGTTCTTAGATATTTACTACTTCACTTACATTTATAACTGGCCGACGGTATAGATCTTCCATCTGCTCTTATAAACTCCTGTTCTAATAGAGCATGAGTAATCATCTCTGCGACAGAGACGAGAGACCGGGGAGCAGCTGCTGCGGCCATGAAAGACCAGGAAGGCTGCAGCGCAGAGAGACTGAGAGCCCTAGTGGGGAGAGGCGGCTGGGACCTGTGCGTCGTGTGGGAAGTATCCCAGGACAAGAGGTCGCCCTTTCAAATGGCTTTTCCTCCCCTTCGCTTGCGTTACCTGAACCAAGGGGCTTTCTTTCTCTTGGCTTTCAGGTTTCTGGAACTGAAGGCCTGCTGCTGTGGCGGCGCCGACAGCGGCGGTGCCGATCAGAGTGGCGGAGGAGACGATGCTTCCCAAGTTGGGTTCACTTTCGCGGCGTGGGAGGAGTGCAGAGATTCGAAGTTCCCGCTGCACCGGAGAACGAGGGCGTGCGCCGCCCTTGCGGAGCTCCCGCCTTCCATTCCCTTAAATTCAACTGCGTAACTCTCAGAGTCCTTAGTCCTACTTTTACGTCGTCGTCCTCCTCCTCCGGCCCTCTGCTTGCTGACATCTCCATCTCTCCCCGCCGTGGCCAGGTTTCACGCGCAGGCCTTCCTTTCAGGGATCACCAGATGGACGCACCCTTCGAAGCTTCTTTCAGGAACCAACGACTCCAATGTAAGTCTTCGATGCCTCACGCCTCTCTTTCACCACCCTGGAGACGACTGATACACTTGTCGCTGGTGTTCCCTAGCAGGAAGCGGTGAGGACGACTAGGGTTTTAGTTCCTTTACCTGACGGCCTGGTGGAGCTGTTCGTCACCAGCCACGTGAATTTCTGTCCCTAAATCTGAATGTCTTACGACCCATTCTCTCCCAACCTTTTGAGCGAAGGTAGCATAAAAAAAATTATTCAGGTGCCTGAGGACCAAGAAACGGTCGATTTCGTAGCTGCCCAGTTCGCCAGGTCTCTTGAAGCGGCCGCAGTCGCTGGCGACGACCTGCATGATCCCCATGCATGGATTCCCTTACAGAGTTCCCCCTTTGATCAAGCTTCCCCAAGGTGGGACATCCATGGACATCAGTCCCATTTCGGGTCCTCCGCGCTGAGTCTCTTCGAGGGATCCCGTGACGACGATGTGCTGCTCCTCGAGGGCGCATCGATTCAGTCGGAGAAGCTGGCGGCGGTTCCCTTCGATACGGTGGCCGGAATCAATCGCTCAACCTTGCCGGAGTCGACGGTGCCCAGGGAACTCGGCTTCGACGACAAGGAGCCTGTTAAACGAGACGGCCAGTGGCGGGCGGGATTCGGCGGGGAGGGCATTCAAGACCAAATGGACGAGGGGGAGGAGGAACAGAAGATTGGGAAGTCGGCGAGACAGCACTCTTGCAAGAATCTTGTGGCGGAGAGGAAGAGGAGGGAGAAGCTGAAGGATCGCCTCTACATTCTCCGCGCTCTGGTCCCCAAGATCTCCAAAGTCTGTATCTACCCAGATATCTCACTCGATGATCCTCCCATAGTCTCTACAGAATACAATCCTCACCTTTCTTTCCATCGGGAAAGATGGACAGGGCATCAATTCTTGGAGACGCGATAGAATTTGTGAAGGATCTCCAGAACCAAGTGAAGAGGCTCCAGGAGCAGTTGGAGGAGACGAATCCAGAGGAAGACGGAGGCGAGCAAGGCGGCGCCGGTGCCCTCTGCAACGGCGATAACAGCGATGAGAATGGCTTGGTGCCCGAAGAAGCGGCTAAGCTCCACCATACTGGGAACGGAGGTCGGGCCATGGAGCTTGCAGGCTCCCAAAGTAGCCCTTGCGCCGATGCCACGACGAAACCGAGGAACACCCCGAAGGATTCTCGGCGATCCTCGACCAACGAGAAGCAGGAGAATCAGATGGAGGTGCGATCACAAACTCCACCCATCGTGAATCGGTTTTGAGTGGTTCTAAGATCTAAATGTACGGCATAAACAGCTATCTCCCCTCTCTCATCTTCTCCAACTTGCCAGCCGCAAGTGGAAGTGAGCCAGGTCGGCTCTAACAGGTTCTTCCTAAAGGTCTTCTGCGAGCATCGGCGAGGAGGGTTCGTACGGCTCATGGAGGCCATGACTTCTCTCGGCCTCGACATCGTCAATGTGAACGTGACCACCTCCGAGCCCCTGGTCCTCAACGTCTTCGAAGTAGAGGTGCGCCGTGTAGGTTCTACAAATTGTGTATGCTTTCATCGACCTGAATTCATCACTTGTTCACACGGGAGTGCAGAAGAGAGACAGCGAGGTCGTGCGAGAGGACCAGGTGAGGAGCTCGCTGCTGAGGCTCACCATGGCCTCCGAAGGCACGAGGTGGCCGGCGGATCCTCCGCCGGGACCAGATTCTCACCAGCATCCTTATCGTCGCCATTACCAAAACCTCCATCAGCGTGATCGTGAGGGTGGGCAATGATTAAGAAGCAACACCTTAAGAAATCACTAGTCCTCGGTGATGACTTCAACACATTATATTTTATGTGAAATAAAATATCGAATGGACATCCAGAAGAAAAAGCGGCTCCATGGCAATTAGCCAAGTTCTGCGTTTATGTGATGAAGAACAAAGCCATTAAAAAACCAATTTAAAATATTTAATAAAGATCAATCACAAGGTCCGTCCCTCCCACTTCTCTGATCACCTTCCTCTCGTCCATCCCACTCCGGCTTCTTTGCGAGATGATACAGAAAATTTGCTTCGTTGAATCTATACTTTTTAAGGGAAAATACTGCAAGAACTGAAATGGCATTCTTTTTTGTTTCCTTTATTCAGGCAACATGACTTTGCGTGTGACGGCTTTTATCTTATTTCATTTTATAAATCGAAAATATAAGCTCGTGAATGCATTTTCTGGTGGGCTAATCCCAAATCCTTTGACGGAGTTCCACCCTACAAGATTCTAGTGAGAGGCTGATGAAATGGGGTTCATGTTTTCGCATGTGTTACTATCATCCTTACTTTTTTGGGACTTGAAAATAAATTAAATACGGAGAAATAATCTCATCATAATCCGAATACCAACTATTAAGAATTTACCAGTATAAATCTTAAATCACTTATTTTATCCATATTTTCTTTCCCCAAAGATCTAAAATGATGAGGAAAATCTTCGAATAACTAGTTTTATTTATAAATCTACATACGTGTTTGTTCTATAGCACTTCTCCCTAAATACTCGTACACATGCAGGCAACTGATGATCTCTTTTCTCCGGAGGGGGTGGGGCGGTGGGGTTCTCATGGCTGTCGCTTAGAGCATTCCCCTTCCTTCACGACTGAGTTAACGTGAGCAACTCCCCACCTATTCCTCCACGATGCGCCATATCAGAGCTCGAATAACAAACGAAACAACACCCATTCACGTCTTCCTCACCTTCTTCCCTTCCAACAGACTGAGAAGCCTTCATGAGGAACACATCATACTTACCTTCAACCTACCCGCGAGAAGCTCAAGAACGTACGATGGCCACCACCATGTGAGGATTTCTCCGAGGGCCCCCTCGACATCGCTCATCCGCCCTTTGCCCACGGTTCTGAGAGCACCTGGTCTCTGGTGCAAGTTCATACTGAGGGGCTCGGAGTGGCTGCGGTTACGGATAGCTGTCATCTGAAATCCTTGCAGTTTTGAAGGGGACCAGCGGGCCGATCGTCCTCTCCCCTCACTGACGTAGATCTCTCCGCTGCTTCAGTCAAAGAAGCTGCGGCAGGAGAAGAAAAGGAAGAGATAAGAGAAAGAGAGGACTGACTTCCGCAGCAGTGGAAAGGAATCCGGGTAGTACTACGCCCAGTCTTTTGATATTTATTCTGTGCATCTTCTTTCTGTTATATTAATTGGCTCGTGGCCTGTCAGATTCTGTTTCGATCCTTCCGCAGTCTTTTAAATGTCTTATCTTACAGAGAAGACCTTCGTCTTTAGGACTGAAGCTGAGGGCCATGGAGGATCAGGACCGCAGCAGGGTAGAGAGGCTAAGAGCCTTCGTTGGAAGAGGCGGATGGGACCTTTGCGTCGTCTGGGAGCTGTCGGAAGATCAGAGGTACCCCCTGGGGGAAGGCGGCCTTCTTTCCTTCGTCTCATGCGGTTCTTTCCTCGCCGATATCGACTTCTTTCTGTTTGCGTTCAGATCTCTGGAACTGAAGGCCTGCTGCTGCCGGGGAGCTGACGGCGGCGGCGCCGCCGTCCATGCTGGTGGAGAAGAAGAGTCTTCCCATGGTGGACTCGCTTCTCTAGAGTGGGAGTGCAGAGATACGAACTTCCCTCGGCACCAGCGAACGAGGGCGTGCGCTGCCCTCGCGGAGCTCCCACCTTCCGTGCCCCTGGAATGCACCTCTTCTCCGCCGACGTAACTACGGATTCTCTCCCAACCCCCAAATTTCTCCGTCTCCCCTTCTTCTTGGACACTTTGGGTCGCCTTCTTACTCTCCCGTTCCTCGCCATGAGCAGGTCTCACGCACAGGTTTTCCTCTCAGGGATCCCCGCATGGACGTACCCTTCTCAGCTTCTCATAAGATCCAGCTGCCCGGATGTAAGCCATTGTTTCCTCTCGTCTCTGATCCACAATTCTGGGGGCAAGTGATAGTCAGTAACGCGTGCCCATCCGCAGGAAGAGATGAGAGCGACTAGGGTTTTGGTTCCTGTCCCAGGTGGCGTGGTCGAGCTGTTCGTCGAAAACTATGTGAATTTCTTCTCGTCAATGTTCAGCGCGTATCTAACAATCTAGAGAAGACAAAAAAAAAGCACATTCACCAGGTTTGTTTCACACCTCGGCAATTTACGCGGTTGCGCATGAAAACTCAGGTGCCGGAGGACCAACGGACGATCGAGTTCATCGTGTCGCAGTTCGTCGGCCAGAGTCCGCCCACAACCTTCGCCGCCGACTGCCAGCTACACAGAGATCTCGATGGCTATGTCGGGATTCCAGATGAGCATCCCACGTGGGGTATACAACCAGTACCCTCCTGCGATCACCATAGCTTCCCATGGGACCCTCCTTCAGACCAATCCCGCCTCTGCGTCTCTCCCTTGAACCTCTTCGAGGGGCACCGGGAAGACGACGCCTTCTTCGAGGGATCCTCCGATTCGGTCCACTCCGACAAGCGGGATTTCCCGTTTGACCCGCTTCCTGGGTTTCATCAGCCAGCGGGCAGGGCGGCGGCGCAAGTCGCCTACACCTCCTTCGGAAACTCGACGGTGTCCAGAGAGCTCGGTTGCCACGACAAGGAGTCGATTAAGCAGGAAGGTGAAGGGAGGACGGACTCTTTCTTAGACGGCAGTGACCAGATGGGCGGCGACGACGACGACGAGCAGAAGACGGGGAGGTCGGACAGACGGCCCTCCTGCAAGAATCTCATGGCGGAGAGGAAGAGGAGGAAGAAGCTTAACGATCGCCTCTACGACCTGCGCTCCCTCGTACCCAAAATTTCTAAGGTCTTTCATATCTTTACTCCATAAAGTTTCCAGTGTACTTTGATACTGATTGAGATAAATGGAACTTACGTGGCTCTTATGATCTTTAAAGATGGACAAGGCATCCATACTGGGTGACGCTATAGAATTCGTCAAGGATCTCCAGAACCAGGTGAAGAAGCTTCAGGATCAGCTGGAGGAGACAACCCCGGTGGACGACGGAGCGGAGTTCGACGCCGAGGATGTCCCTCATCTCAACAACAAGAACAACGACAACCATGACATCCAACCAATCGACAACAAGAAGCGAACGGGAACTGCCAGTCCACGCTCTTCCTCGATGATAATGTCCTCGACCACATCGAAGGATCCCCGGAGATCGCCGATCATCGAGAAGAAAGAAAACCAAATGGAGGTGCCACTCTCAAATCCGCCACTTATTCACCAACAGGATGGGATTAGCGAACTGATTAATGCCTCCCCGTTCGTGTTAGCCGCAAGTGGAAGTGAGCCAGGTAGGCGCCAACAAGTTCTTCCTCAAGGTCTTCTGCGAGCACCGGCGAGGAGGGTTCGTGCGGCTCATGGAGGCCATGGCTTCGCTCGGCTTCGACGTCATCAACGTCAACGTCACCACCTCCGAGCCCCTGGTCCTCAACGTTTTTGAAGTTGAGGTACGCCGCGGCGCTTCAGTCCGATCCCCTATCCATCTACGACGCTCTCCATCTGAAGCAGCATTTGTGCCCTTTGAGAGTGCAGAAGAGAGATAGCGAGGTGGTGCAAGCGGACCAGGTGAGGAGCTCGCTGCTGAGGCTCGCGATGGACTCCGATGACTCCTGTCTCCAGCTTTAGAGCCTAGCGCATCCCATTGATGTTGATACACAACGTGGATGGAACTATAAGCTCGGGGATTGTTGACTTTGATGGAATTCTCTTCTACGGGAAATAACTAATCAAGAAGCGTCCTCAAGTGATAGCCACCTTGTCTCTCCTCTGCAGTCTCAGCTCACACACGCGGTTACCACGGTTCATTGAAACAGGCCAGCGTCTGGTGGCGTTCTCCGCCAACTGACCAAGAACAATTTTTTGTCTCAGTATCATTTTGGTCGAACATGGAGGGTTTGACTTCCTGGCCTGTAAGGTTTGGGTAGTAATTTGCCACACTCATGATACATCATTCTCATGAGACTTCCAAAACCCGTTGGGCCCACCAAAGTTTAGGACTTTCGGAGTAATAAATAGCTTCCCACCATATCCAAGACGAATGGAATTGGTTTTTTTTTTTTAGTCAATTGGTGGCTCTTTGACTGACTCGACGACCTAAATTGAGGGACTGCTGCCCGTGGAACAGCACCGCATCTTCCCTCTCATGATCGAATGGTGAAGAAGGGTCTCCTTGACTCACATTTGGTCAACCGAGTAGAAAACCCACGAATAAAATCTTATAGCCAATTTACACCTGCTAAAATTACGTCTTGAATCGAATAGAGCAATATAACCCGCGTTCGTACGCGAAGAAGATCAGGTACAGTTTTCTGCGATAAAAACCGTGACCGAGTCCGGGTTTCGTCTTTCAACCGAGGAGGAGCACTCGTGGAGGAATCCAGCTCACGCAAATGGTCACCGTCAGCCAACCCTCAGTCGCTGTCAACGCCGTTGGCGGGCCGGAAACCAGGTGGCGCTGCCGTCGATGTCCTTCACAGTTATGCCGAACATCATGCGGCCAAGGCGGCAAACGGGGATGTTGCCGACGAACCAGCAGTTCCTCGCCCTCCGGAAGGTCACGCTGTCCCGGCCGCTGGTGCGAGTCCTGATCACCCCCCGCGGTCTAGTCGCACATTGGAAAGGTCTCCGTCCTTAACTCCTATTCATCGTGTTGGCCATTAATTTAGCTGAAGTCTGCGCCGCCGGGCCACACGATCCGTGGCTGAGGGTCAGGTGAAGCGGAAGCGGGGGAGGGGCGGCGTTGACCTACGACAGAAAGTTGAAGCCGGTGCTCCAGTTCTCCTCGTGGCCAACGGTGTAGGTCTCCGCGCTGGTCTGCTTCAGGGAAGAGGAAACCATCAGGGAGGATGCGAGAAGCACGGGTGGAGCGGCGGCATGCTCCACGACGCCAATAATCTCGGAGAATAACTCCCAAGGGAGAAGAAGAAGGATTGCCTTATCGAAAACTAGCTTCGTCACGCCCGAAGAAGTTTTTCATCTGGAGACATCGGATTACTATAAGCCGGCAAAATAAATCGAACATCTTCGACAAATGATAAATTAGACATCCGTTCTAATATGTAGATAGATAGAGAGATAGAGAGGGATTACTCAGATTGTAGTCAAAGGCGTCAATCAATATGTAGCTTTAAAAGGGCATTTACGGCTAATCCATGGGCTATGTTTGGGTGCCAACAAAGTCGCCCCCTGTTTCACCGAAGTCGAGTTTGCCATCATTAACCTCGGGTATGGGGTTCGAGAAAGATCCTCAGGTTTCTCTTCGGTGGACTCTGCCTCCCTCTCTGCGCATCTCACGTGGCTCTATGAGTAAGTCAAAGGCATACGCGCACATCTTCGGTGACAGTTAGTCTCGACTAGGCATGGGAGATCAACGATAATGATATGCTTTCTACCGGGTCTTGATTATTTTTTATCTTCGGGGGATGGCATTGGATAAAACTAATTTATTGATTATTTTCTCCTTCTTATTTAAATATTTATAATTCATTAATCCCGCGTACGGATATTGTTACACGGTAAATATTTCCCTGTTCTGTCTTAAAATATGGGCTTTTTTCTTTCTTTTTCTCCCCACGGCAACGTCTTATCCCTGTTCTTTCTTAAAATTTATGCTTACACTTCTTGCGACGGGCCGTCCAGATCAGATATGTGGCTACCCAGCCCGGAGGAGGCATCAGGATGCCACGTAGCTGCCCCTGGCTCCGCGCGCAGACTTGGTCATAGGTTAGATGGGATCTTGACGGCGGCAACCGTCCAGGTTTCCCGCACGGCAGGCAGGATGTCAGTTGCCGTTTATCAGTTGACTTTTACATGCACGGTGCGGCGTCAGTCAAACCGTGGAAACCCGAATTTAACTCGGAGACGAAGCCAGAGGCCACCATAGGCGCCCGAAGCCACGGGGTGAGCCAGAGATAAAGATAGATAGATAGAGAGAGAGAGAGAGAGAGAGAGAGAGAGAGGGGAAATTGTCGTGGGCACAAGAGGCCAGTCTCTAGCGGACGTTGACCGCCACTACCATCAAGTTCTAAGCCGACTCCGAGTGTGCAGCGGTTGGAGGGCTCGTCCTGTTCCGCACCGGCACATGAAATTCTTCCTGCCTCTCTCCAGTAGACGAGCTCGACAAATGCTTTCGGCAGGTTCAGCGGCAGGGGCGCCACTGCCTCGCGAGCCTGTGCGAGGTCATTAGTCCCGTTGAGGTTAGCTGCATGGCAAGAAGACCACGGAAGAAGGGAAACGGCTGCCGAGACACTGGACCCTGTCTGGCTGCTGAAATTTTCCTCACCCGATCGGCGATCGCTGTAAACACCATATCCCAGAAACGAGAATCACTACTCCAGAAAACATTAACCATGAGGAACTTTGGCCACTAAATTTTTCTCAGAGAAGGGGATCCTTTCTCTTGAGTCTGTATCCCTATACTTAGTGAGGTACGGCATCGTCTTCGTCATCCTCTGCCATGGTCTTCCCCCCTCCTCCCGACAAACCAACGCGGATTCCCTTGTGGCCGCCGAGATCTTCTCGAGGACCCATTTGGATAGCCGGGAAACAACAGAAAATGAGGAATTATTCATCGGCACGTTGGAGCTCTGACGGAATGATCCCCGTAAAACACGGGAAATGAGCGCTCTTACGTGTTCCAACATGGGAAGGCCGAGCTTCGTTCTTCCCGTCAAACTTCGCCCCGTCTTCTTCCTCTCGAAAAGCAGGATGGGACCGTCGAGATCCCGATACGTTTTCCATCTCGGAAATAGACGGTCACGATTCGACAACACGGCTTGTGTAAAGCCCAAGTGGGCTCCTATTGATTATTTTATTATTATCCAATAAGCGTGGGGACGGCCGGTGTTCGTGGCTGTTTGTGGGCCCACGACTTGAGCGGAGTCCACGTAGGGAACGGGGAGAGAGAGAGAGAGTGGACGAGGGGGATTCGAGGACCACACAACCGGGGACTAGGATAATCAAAGGTTATCCGCGAGATACGATAACACTCCGATTCGTAAGTCGGTCGTGGGAGCGGTATAAAAGGAGACCGGAGAAAATAGGAGTAGAATTATAAACTGCCGCACGGAAAAGAAACGACTCAAGAAACCGAGCGAGGAGAGAGAGAGAGAGAGGGGCCGATGGCCAACCACGACGTAACCACGCTCGCAGAAGCTCTCGCCACCGCCGGCAGACAGGGTCCCCAGAGAGGAGTTCCGAGCGGCGGGAGCGCGGGGCTTTCTCGCAACAATCGGTTCAGCGACATGGAGTTGGTGGCGGCACAGCAGCTGGTGATGCTGAGCGAGAGCAGCAGCGAGGAGACGGCGCTGCCGGGGGCAAGCGGCTTCTCCACCGCCGCCGCCGCCTCCTCCTCCTCCTCCACCTCCCTACCTTCTGTGAGCAACGCGCTGCAGGCGCCCGTGGAGACGACCGCGGCCGGCGAGGACGAAGACGGAGAGGAGATGTCCACAGGGCCAAGCACCCGCAGGCGGCGATACCGGTCGATTCGTATCATCTATGAGATCACGAGCCCAATCGCCGGCGACGGGAAGTGGAGGAACGTGGCGCAGCGCAGGAAGCCGAATCGTGCATAGCCCGCCGGTGTCTTCGCTCTGGACGGAGTTAATTATTGCTGTCGGGGAGAAAATCGCGGCGCTTGGGATCCGGATGATCATTTCGTGCATACATACTTCGGGTAACCATCTCCTCTCCACCGCCGGATCACGGAGCAGGCGGCCGCGGCGCTGGCTGGCTGTGCTGTGCTGTCTGTGTGCAGACTTCAATCTCTCTTCTCTTTTGTTTGCGACGGTCGCCGGAGGACTTGAAGATTTTGGGATGTTCGGCGTCGCCTGGGGCGGGCACGAAGTGACCGCCTGAACCCGCGTGAAGACCACGCGAAGTTCCCAATTTCACTGTGGAGGCCACGGGATCGATGGAGAGTCCTCTTCTTCAATCGATCGGCGGGATCCCGCTGGGGAAAAGGCCGCTCTTCATTCCATGGCTCCTGTTCCTCAGTGGGTGTGCATAGGAGGCCGTGCTGCGTGGGTCGATGAAGAAACGATCAGATTCCTTCCATGCAGAACCGCCCCGTTAGGGCAGAAGGTCGCTGCAGGAACTCATGTAGACGACTATCGTCGTGATCAGCGATGGTTCGCAGTTCATCTTCTGTAATTTCTTCTCGCTGGAAAAACGATAATAGATTCCACCCACCCGGATGATCATCTCGTCTCGAGAACCCGTTTTTCTTTTTTCTTTTAGGGTTTCAAAATATGATAAAATTTGAATTTTTTGCCATGTTGCTTTTTTTTCTCCTGTTAAATCCTCAATCCCGCCGCTTTATGTTTTTGCCAAATATGTTTCCCATCTTCGCCGTCCTCGAAAATTACTTCTTCGGTTGAATACTCACGCCATACATAATTTAAAAAAGGTGGGAAGAAGGTGATCATCGGACTGTCTCAAGCAGGGCGGCCTTCAGCCGTCCTCCTCAGGGAAAAACAGGTAATACTCTCGAAGAGCTCCTCCACCGTGCACACCCAGATAACTATCTCCTTGGGGGTTCCTCGGAGAGCGGCGGCTCGGAAGCCTGAGACTCGCTCAGACGCCGCGCCGCTGACTCCGCCCCGGGGTCCTCAGCGTGCGATGGGCTGCGCCGCCTGGCGCAGCTCGGTACGCGGAGGCGTGCCCGAGCGGGCATTAGTAGTTGATCGAGTCCTGCGGGACACGCCTTGCGTACGTGCCGGCAACGTGCCGGACGGCTGGCTCGGGCGTGAGCGGTGTGCGCTCACGGCGGCCTGAGCCGCCTCTTTCCGGGAAGAGAAACCAATAACATACGATAATTGATCCTCCCTCCAATTGGGTTTCAAACTGTTTCGTTCAGATTGACTCGGATTTTTCCCAAGTCAAGGTCCAAAGTCAGCCAACCTAGTTCCCTCCCTCATGGAAAGACCCTGGAATTGGTACGCGTCAAAGCCCCAGACTGAAGAATCCGCGGTCTCGAAGCCTGAGTCTGACCTCGTCAGTCACGAGTCTTGTAGACAGGTATGTCAACGGTGTCGGCGAGAAGTCATCGACGATGACAAGATGCATTTTTTTTTTTCGGTTCACTAAAAAATCATTGTAAAAGTAGAGAAATCTGATGTAATGAATTTTCTTTTCACGAAAATTGATTAATTGGCGGAGAAAGAAGATGTCATGGGGATGGAGCCCATGATACGATTTTGATGATGCATGTGACAGATAGCTCGTGGAATGCATTGCTAGGAATCACTTCTGACAATAATTTCAGGAACGAAGAACGAAGATTAATGGGCCCGTCGAACAAGTGTACGTTGGCCCATTTATCATGTAGCGGGGGACAGGGTGGATCATGGGGGGCTGGCACGAGGAGGGTGTTGGTGTAAATATGAAGACAATTAGGGCTATGTTAGAATTCAAAAAATACGAGGCTAAAGTCGGTAAAGAACGATAACCGCAATTCGGCCCATCCGTCTTGTGGAGGTCAGCGTCGTCATTTCATAAGAGTTACCACGAGGAGGGTGTTGGCATAAACATGAGGATGTTGAGGACTATTTTAGAAAATAAATACGAAGTTTTAGGGAGTATAACTATGGAAAATCGGTAGAGCGGCTTCTCCGGCTCGCCGATGCGGTCTCTCTCTCTCTCTCTGCCCACCGCCTCCAGCTCCCTTGCCATACGCTCCCTCTCCTCAGGGCTCTGCGGACCCCATTGCTGCCTTCCCCTGCGGGTAGAGAATGCGAATAGTCTCTCGGGGAATCGATTAGGGCTCTATCTCGCCGGGCGATTCGATACAGAGCTCCCCGTTGACACGGGATCCACGGCTTCCTCCACCAGGTAGAGACTTCGAGGTGAGTCTTTATTCTCCAGCCCGAGTCGTTGAGATATTGTCTCCGGTTTCCTCATAGAATGCCTAAGATTTCTTTGCCGATTGACTATCCGCTGATTGATTCATTTTACTGCGTCAGATGGGGGAGAAGATGAGAGAGAAGTGGTAGCCTCTTGGTATGGTGTGATTGTGATGCCCGCACTTGATCCAGTATTCTTTCTAGAATAAAAAACTTTTCCATCGTGTTCTCTCGATCTTTTTCACTGACGCGTTTTGTGGAGAAGTCTTTGAGCGTCGTGATCCTTCCTATCCTTTAGTGTGAGTGGGCTATCTATCATGGCCCTGACGCAGCGTTTACTATGATATTCCTTGTATTTCTCTCGGGACCTAGGAAAACTCTACGATGACCAGACTAGCTCATCTTCACGTTCTTTTCGTTTCTTCTATCTAGTATTCACCAGTAACTTAAATCACACAAGGGGGGTCTGTCCTTGCATTTTTATCCTATGTATCATTTTGTTTTCGGATTCATTACTCGCGAAAAAAAGATATAGGCTGACCTCATCAACTAGTGTCTTACATGTCCGGGTGTTGGTACGCATTCTCAAGAGTTGTCCTAGGAAGAATCCCTTGATGTCCGGGTGATGCATTCGCATCAGGTTGTACACTTGATAATTACAAGAGTGGAGACAGTTTAAATGCGGACTCGAGAATCGAGATATCCTCAAATCTTCTGATAAGAGGTTTTTCAAGTTCCTAATCGTGATAGTGGAAAGAAATGACAAGCTGTACAATTGTACATAGGTGGTGTCGGTAAACAGCAGTTAAAAATCAAAACAATTTTATAATCTAACAATCAAGCATTTCTTTATGAGTCTTTTTCAAGCTCTTTTTGACTGTTCTTCACTGTGATCAAATTTTTTCCCAATTTTTTATTTGTTTCATGCTGAGTTCCTCCCAAATATCTTTTATTTTAATTTTTAGCTATGAGGAATCTCGGCCAACTCAGTGCTCTATTTGTTATCCGTTGTCTTTCTGAGGAGACTATCGTAAAATAAATACATGTTTATAAAGTTTTCTGCCATTGTGAAATATGTTCGTATACTATTTAAATTACACAGAAACATTGTCCCATGCAGAATTTTTGTTGAAACTTTTGCACATAAAGATGGAAGATAATCATCATTGTAGTGGTGAGAGCCTGTCACCGTCCACTGAATGTTTTGGAAGAAGCAGTGTCCTCTCACCAGTGAACTGCGAAAAGGTGCAGGGAGTGACTGGTACTGCCAAAGAATTATGTGAAAATGGGAGTATGGTGAAGCCACATGAATCTGCTACAAGTCTTCCGAAGGAGGTCTACGTCTACAGACAAGATATAGTCAAGTGCAGCAAGTATGAAGATATGCTCGGGGTTGTGTTGGAAGTTTCTGGCGATTCGGATTCTGACGCGGACCTCACAGACTCCAGTGATGTTGAGGATGACGAGGGTAAAGTCAGTGATAGTAATGGTCGTAGACGTGGTAACGTTAACAGTGGGATTGGTAACAAAGGTGGGAACAGCCTGAATGAATCACCAAGTGAAGTTCAAGTCAGAGTAATGTGGATTGATGGTTCGGAGACAACAGATAATCTTGGTGATATTGCTGTTGTGGACAGGGAGCTTTTGCACGGTGACATAGTTGCTTCTGTTTCAGATCCAACAGGGCAACTTGGTCTTGTGGTTGACGTTAATATTTCGGTAGATCTTCTAGCTCCCACTAGTGAAACGATAAAAGATATCTCCTCCAGGCAGCTGAAACGTATCCGTGACTTCACGACAGGTGATTACGTAGTATATGGGCCATGGCTAGGTAGAGTTGATGATGTTGTGGATAACGTGACTGTACTACTTGATGATGGCTCTGTCTGCAAAGTTATCAAGGCTGACCCTATGAAGCTTAAACCCGTTTCAAAGAGCATTGTTGCAGATTCAGGTTTTCCTTATTACCCAGGTCAGCGTGTAAGGGCTGTTTCTTCTTATGTTTTTAAAAATTCCAGGTGGCTTTCCGGTTCATGGAAAGCCAGCAACCTTGAAGGTACAGTTACGAATGTTCAGGCAGCGTCTATTTTTGTCTACTGGATTGCTTCAGCCAGCACTGGAACCGGTAATAGTTCAGCAGTTGTCCCCAATGAAGAGCAGAACCCAAAGAATCTAACATTGTTGTCTTGTTTTGCCCATTCAAATTGGCAACTTGGTGATTGGTGTATGCTTCCATCGTTACAGTCTCCCTTATCCTCGTCTACTGGTAACGTAACAACAGAAAATGCGGATGATTCCCTTACAGAATGTAGGTCTGACGTTGCGTGCTCTACAGAACAGGATGGTGATACCCAAATGAGTGTGAAATGTGCAGAAAGCTCTGAGCTAGATCCTTATGTCCCTGCCTTAGATCTTAAATGCGAACATGCAAGAGATCAGACATATGCCGATGACATAATTCACGACGAAGGATACAACTCTGTGCTTGATGCTTCTGCTGACCGTTCAACTTCTTTGCAGTTGGCAGATAACAGAGCTTCAGATTCATTTGTAACAGAGAACTCCAATGGAGGAATTTTTTCCTCTGAAAGGAAAGATGCGGTTTGTGCTGACACAGCCTCTGATAATGATTTAGCTGAAACAGCTGGAATAAACAATAGTGAGCTACAATCTGGCACTTCTTCTCATCCAGCATCAGTTCTGTCAAAGGAACACGCCCATGAAAGTGCTGCATCCCGCAAAAAGCTACGCAAGGTCTTATTTAGGAGAGAGAAGAAACTACACAAAAGAGAAGAATCATTTCAAAGGGCCTTTTTTGTTGCATGTACCATGACAAAAGTTGATGTGGCTTGGCAAGATGGAACTAAAGAATTTGGCGTGGATGCTAAGTCTCTCATTCCAATACAAAACCCAGGGGATCACGAATTCTTTCCTGAACAGTATGTGGCAGAGCAAGCTTCCAATGAAAGTGATGATTCTTATGAAGTGAAACGTCTAGGAGTTGTTAAAAGTATCAATGCAAAAGAAAGAACCGCATGTGTGAGATGGCTCAAGCCTGTTTCAAGGCCTGAAGACCTTCAGGAATTTGATAATGAGGAAGTGGTTAGCGTATACGAACTTGCCGAGCATCCAGACTATGACTATTGCTATGGTGACCTTGTTGTTCGTCTTTCCCCACCATCAATCTCTGCTGATGGTCACATTTCTGAAGATCCTGTGGGTGAGAAAGATCATTCCGATATGCCAAAAGATACTGATCAAATGGATCAAAACAAACTGGAATGTGAGGTGAATGAGACATTTCAGGATGAAGCTGATATGAACTTTTCAAGTTTATCATGGGTTGGGCATGTAACTGGTCTGCATGATGGTGGCATTGAAGTCACATGGGCTGATGGAATGATCTCAAAAGTATGTAGACATTCATGAATTAAACTTTGACATCTTCAACATCTCTCGTTGATTTCATTATTGCACAAAACTGAACAAAATAATGAAAGATTAAATTGACGAATTAATTTATGGTGATTTCCCAGGTGGGTCCCCAGGCAATTTATGTCGTTGGTCGAGAAGATGGCGAATCATTCAATGGGGGAAGTGAAATCAGTGATGATGGTGCTAGCTGGGAAACGGTTGAAGAAAATGACATGGCTACCCTTGATGTTGCTTATGAGGTGGTTCAACATTCATGCTATGTTATTCTCGTCTAGCTTCATATTTACCTTTTTATTGCTTTTTGTGAGGCGCATCTAATGATTTGTGTCAATGCTTGATCAGGATGCTGATGATCAACCGCCCACCAAGAACAATGTTGATGGGGGAAATGGCTCCACAAATACTAGTGATCATATTAATCCTGTACGAAATGAACCCTTGTCTGTTTTTCATGCTACTCTCGGCATTTTTACAAGGATAATCACTGATTTATTCCCACAGGGGAGGAAAGAAAGGGAACCCTCACTTTCAGATGAAGATGCTATAGTGAATATTGAGTCTCATGATAATCATGAATCACCTATGAGAGATAGTGCCTGTGGCGAACCTAACTCTCAGGAATCCGACGTACTGGATGGCCAACGTGCACAGAACTCTGGAGAAAATGGAGAAGTAGACAGTAGTTTATCTGTGGCAGCGGGAATTCTAGTGAAAATGGGGAACAGTCTAGGTGATGACATCCCAGAGGAAATGGATGTTGACAGCAATTTTCAAAGAGTTTGTGATGAGCATGGCTCATGTAGCTTTAAACACTTTGATATTGCAAAGGAACCCTTGGACCATCATTTCTTTGGTGGAACTGAACAGGTAAAGGCAATTATTTGCTTCGTCAATTTTCTTCTGGTGCAGGCACAGCCATTTGCATATTATTTGTTGGAAAAATGCATCTTTGGAATGCGTTATCTATTTTATTAATTTCATTTCAGGTGCTTTGTGGAAGGAAATGGACGAAGAAGGTTCAGAAGGAATGGAGCATCCTCGAGAAGAATCTGCCTGGTGTGTACAATCACATTTCAGGGATGATTTTACAATCTAGGTTTACATACACGCCCTGTGAAAGATCCCTAAAACCCACTCGCTCTTCTGATCTCCATACAGATGCGATTTTTGTCAGAGTGTTTGAGGATCGTATGGATCTCCTGAGGGCTGTTATCGTCGGGGCATGTGGAACTCCATATCAGGACGGCCTCTTCTTCTTTGACTTTTTCCTTCCCTCCGAGTACCCTCAAGTTCCGCCGGTACACCCTTAATGCCTTATCAATTTCTTCGTGTTACAGCATACTATCATTCGGGAAACGTAGCGCTGATATCAATGGTTTTTTTTTTTTTTTTTTTTTTTTTCATCTACTAAAAACTTATAGAGTTAGTTCTTCCCATTTGCAGTCAGCGTACTATCATTCCGGAGGCTTGCGTATAAATCCTAACCTGTACGAGGAAGGTAAAGTCTGCCTTAGCCTGCTGAACACCTGGACGGGCAAAGGAAACGAAGTTTGGGACCCAAATTCATCAAGCATACTTCAGGTCTTGGTGTCCATTCAAGGTCTGGTGCTCAATTCTCGGCCATACTTCAATGAAGCCGGCTATGAGAAGCAGGTTGGGACTGCCGAAGGAGAGAAGAACTCTTACCCATACAACGAGAACACCTACTTGCTCAACTTGAGATCAATGCTCTATCTCCTGCGAAGACCACCTATGGTAATATATATACACATATTTAATTTTAAATGCATGAAAATTTTATGAGCACTCTGGTTTATGCTTTCAGTGAGCAACTTGATGATTATTCTTGTTATGAGACTTGACAATCTCCGGAAAATATGCAGCATTTCGAGGATTTTGTCAGAGATCATTTCCGCAGTCGGGGACCTTACATTCTGAAAGCCTGTGATGCGTACATGAACGGCTGCCCCGTTGGCTCACTGACCAAGGACGCGTGCATGACTACGAAGAGCAATGAGCACTCCTCCGTGGGTTTCAAGCTGATGCTGGCCAAGATCACCCCGAAGCTGTTCACGGTTCTCAGTGATGCTGGAGCAGACTGCACGGAGTTCAAACACCTCTCCGGATCCTCCTAGCTAGAGATCCTCCTCATGGCGTCCCATGCCCATCTGTCTGCATTTTTAAAGATGTCGATGGCCGATTCCATGGTTCCCACGCCCATCTGATCAACTGTATTTTATCAGCCCATTGTTCGCTTCCAACCCAAGAAATTTCTCCCCAAGTTTCATTCATTTGCCCGGAAATTCTGCCAACTGTTCATACAAGAGTTGAAGGAACGTATCTCATCCTAAACTAGCAGTGCGCACATCTTCTTGCTCTGGATCTTCGTCATTCAGCCTGATCTCCACCAGTTGAATGCTTCCCTGCAGCTTTGAGGCCTTGGACGGGGGCATGAAGGAGAAGGCATCCACAAGCTTCGTGCACTTCCATCCCCATTTCGCCATCAAGTACTCGATCAGATGATGCCCACTGAACAATCAACCCCAACACTTTGAATTTCTTCCGTTCGGAAACCAATCCAACGCCAGGCTGAAGGAATAGTAATTAATACCTCCGGTTGTGGTAAGCGGTTATGAAGACACATCCGGCTGTGGAGCTCCGCATGAGGAGGGCGGTCACCGTCGCAAAGAGGTCGTCGAAATCTTGGAAACATCAAATTCTCATTCGATATCGGAAAATGGAGATGAATGAGATATTAGAGTTGGGGGGAATTATGGGCAATGATCTTACCAGAGTTATCATAGAGCACGTCGGCCCCCAGCACAAACCTGGGCTTCAGGCTAAGCAGAGGAGCATCCCATTCCCCCCAAGTGAGCCCCAGGATCTACAAAACTGATAGAGTGATGATGGTATGTGGATGGAGGCCAAGGAGAAGCTCGCGACTGCTCTCAAGCCCTTTCTGATGGCGCGTACCTTGCAATTTAGTCCGTTGATGCTGCAGGTTCTTCTCATGTTATCCAGAACCTGCGCAGAAAAACCAGGAACTCTTTGAGAATAATGAAATTAATTGTTCCAATGATTGATAATAAATGATTTGTTGCACCTCTAGGTTGCTTGAGTCGTCGGTCAAAGTCACATCTGCTCCCACTTTGGCAGCCGCAAGGCCTGGCAAGGCAGTCCCTGCCCCAAGCTGCTCCACTCCGGAAGATCATCATAGGGTTAAAGATTTTTTTATTTCTTATTTCTAACCAATTTCTTGTCTTGAAATGGTCCGAGCAAAAGAGGAATAATTTTGCTAAAAGCGTTAATTTAGTCCATGAAAATTTAAAATGGGTTTCAAGAGAAATCACTCTTTTGTTAGAACATGTTCTTGCCGCTAATTAAATGAATGTTGTTGGAAATGGACTAGCTCTCCACAGACTTGAATCAACTACGCCCTTGAGAGAACTGGGTCTTCTATGAACATGAACATGCTTCAGGATGGTAAGTTTTTCGTGGACATCAGATCGTGATCATGCAACCATGATTTATAATGTACAGGCATCCATCTTGTTACATACACTTCGGGAAAAAGATAATTAATATCAGAAAATACCTCTACCACAGGTTCATTCAAGAAACGCGATCTCTGCTGCCACACGTACTCGGCAAGAACAATGGCGCAGGGCCAAACAAACATTCCATACTCCTCTTGGATGTTCTATGAGAGCAAAGGAATTTATCTTCAGAGAATTCGTATTCCATTGGCACCAAGAAACGATACAAGAGAATGAAATCGGGATTGGGACTTTCTGGGCCTTGAGGACGACGGAGCTCAACTCAGAAGATCTCAGGGAGGGAGGTTTTCGATCAGTGACAAATTTAATGGGGGGAACGGGTAGAGCTCTCCGCCACTTACTTGAGAAAGAACCCACAACCGTTTCCAGGATCCTCCATTTCTAATGGCCAAGTTCTGGATGAATAGACCAAGCAGGCCGGCGATATAATAATTCGGATATCCCTGAGGAGATGGCTCATTTTTCTAACTACTTTCGCTGGCGTCAGACGGGGGGGGGGGGAACGAGGGCGAGGCACAAGCTCTGGCGGCAGATGGGGGCGGAATGTGAGAAGAGTTGGGGATCGTGACAGAATATCAATCAGAGACGGGTATCAGTTCCCTTGTTCTGGTACCTCAACGATATCGATGGAGAAATCGCAATCGGAGGAGGGATCGTTGCTATCAGAGAAGTTGTGCCGAGAAATTTTGGTCATCCTGTTTTGGGAAGTTGGCGGAACGACAGCCCCAGACACGGCTGACGTTGCAGTCGTGAAGCTCGGCGGAGAGGTGACGTCTTCCTCTCCCTCCTCTACATCCGCCATTGTTGGGCGGCCTTCCTCCTCGGGTACCAGCGGTCGAAGTCCCATAATGGAGAAGAAACCCCGAGGGGGGCTGCATACTTATATCAAACCTTCTTTTTTATATTTATTTACTAATGTACCCCTATTCAAGATCAACATTTTTTTTAACATAAGATGTATGAGCCTAATGGGCCTTTTGTATTCTCTCTCTCTCCCTCTCTCTCTATATATACATCTATACATACATAGGGTAGAGGACTCTCTCTCCTCATTCTCTGTTTACGCTTCATGCTTCAGACCAATAGCCCCCTCTCTCCCTATATACATAGGGGGCACGTCATTGGCCCACTCTCTCATCCTACCCCTCCTCTCCCTCAGTGCTGATGCCACCAGTATCTCCTCGATTGGGGATGCTAAGGTTTGCCACTTGGTTAGTCTTTTGTCCCCATAGCTACCTCAGTGCCCTCCACCCTTCTCTTGAATATTTTTGTGACACAAGTCAATAGTCTCGTATAAGTATTTCATGGGACAAATTATATATAATAGGTGACAAGCTTCAAGTACTTTATCCATATGATAAGTTGTGATCTATCACTAAGGATCCTTTTGAAGAGAAGAGTGGCAAATATGATGAATGATGTATGATAGACTCAATCGTTATTTTTTAGATGTTCAAGAAATGACGACTGAGTTTATCATACAACATTTATTATATTTGTCACTTTGTTTCTTATAACCAACTTTACTCTATTTTGTACATTTACTTTAATACTTACCTCCGAGTTAATACCAAAGATGTATTTAAAGGCTATGTAGGTACATGAGTAAAAATCGACTATGGATTTAAAGTACAATGTCCTGATCACATGTAAAATATGAGAGTTAATTCTTCATTATAAGGATATTAATATTGTCATTTGTAAGTGGGTGTTTATACAATAGTATTCTTTGCAAGGTAATATTATTCGGCACAAAGCAAGTCTTATAGTTTGGGGCTTCTTTAAATGGCAAAAGCACATTGAGAGATGAAAGCTAGGGGAGCGAAATATATGGTGTTAATTAGTATGACATTTTGTTTAGTTGTTCACCTCAACTTCATTTATGTACTATTCTCTTTAGCTTTCAATTAAGAGTAGACGCTCATACAATTTGACATCTTTAATGACTTTACGATGACTTGACCCAACAAGTCTTAACGGAATAACTTCTAAGGTATGCTACTCAATAGGAGTTATCTTAGTTATGACTTCTTAAATTGGCTATTTATGGACTTAAACAAAGTCTTGGATATAGTTTGTCAAGTTTAGTTAGATATTGACAATTCATGAGTTCACTATGTGCATAGTGTACCTTATTGTCTTCCACAAATAGATTGTTACTAAGAATATTATTCTAATAGTTTATGTTGATGACATCCTTCTCACAAGTAATGACATAGTTGATAACATAGATCAAAGTTTATCTACATAAGCACTTTGTCACTAGAAATATGGGTAAACTTCACTACTTTTTTAGAGATCAAGTTCGACTATTAGCATAGATGAATGATTTTGTCTCATTGCAAATATGTGCTGAATTTGTTGGAAAACATTGGTATCTTAAGATGTAAACTTGAGTTATCATTGATTGGTTCAAGACCTTATTTATGAGACACCACCTCTCCTCTCCTTGAGGATGCCAATTGGTATCGATGACTGATCTAGAAGTTAATCTACTTGACAATTACTTGCCCCGACATTGTTCACACTAATTAGGAGTATTACGAGTGTTTACATATGTAAAACATACTCCAGGATGAGACCTAATATATCAGTGACATGGACATCTCCAAGTTGAGGTTTACTTAAATTTTGACTATTTATGTGACAAGGGTGATCACAAATTTACATCTGAGTCTTGCACTTAGAGAAAATTTTGTCATTTGGCCGTAGTAAGAAACAAAACGTTGTCTTTTGCTTTAGTGCTGAAACTGAATATAAAATTATGGTAGATACGACATATGAAATGAGATTGATACATTCACTTTTTCAAAAGTTATTTTCTTTAACATGTACTCCTATGTTTATGCATTATGACAATTAAGTGACAATTTTCATCACAAGTAACCCAACATTTCATCAGTGTGCAAAGCATATTGAGGTGGATTGCCACTATATCTATGATAAAGTACTCAAATAACTAATCAGATCAACTAATGGATTGTTACAAAATACTCTTTGTATCAAGTTGAAAATGTTGGATATCTACTCTCTAACTTCAGGGTGAGTATGAGTGGGTCAAATGAGTTGTATGGGCCTAATGGGCCTATATACACAGGGTAGATGGCTATCTCTCATTCCTTCTTTATGGTTCACTCAAGTGAAAATTTGATTAGAGGATTGCAACTACAATCAAACATGATTCCTTCTTTACGCTTCACTCTAGTTGTTACTCTCTTAAGAGTAACAACTACAATCGAACATGATTGCATCTGTCCAACAAAAGGCCTCTCATGTCATAAAAAATAATAAGCTTATACATGTGGCTCAACTCATTTATCAGTGAAAAATTTGCCATCCAACACTAGTGAAAATTTTAGAGGTAAATTTTGTAGAAAATTTAATATTTTAATGTACATCTTGATGCATCAACAACACATCTAACTTGAATTTGGTCTTTAATGACATCATGTTATCTGAATCAACAGCCAATTATTGAATTTAATGTTCACGAATAAATATGTAAAAAAAATATTAAAATATATCTCTGAGTAGTTAATTTATCATTATATTTACTCTAATTGAGGTTGCCATTAATTTTTCTCAAAGATGCCGTCGATAGGTGGGTATAGGGCTCGACTTGGTTAGCAACCGGACCAGCTTTAAATAAACTTTTTTATTTCGCCCATATAGAGCTCTCTCTCTCTCTCTCTCTCTCTCTCTCTCTCTCTTCTATCGCTATTTTAGATTAGTACAAGTTTTATAGGATTCGGGCCAGACTTCATTTCCTGGGCGTTTGTTTCCCATGGCTCTGTTGTCCGTAATCCCCGGCACCGCCTCCTTCTGGAAGGTCATCCTCTAATGGCGATCGAGTACAACGTGAGACGATATCCTGTTAACCACGTAATGCCCCCACGCTCCGCCGTGGAAGATGCTCCGCCACGAGTTCCGCACTCCACGTTCCCAGTTTCATTCGGACAAGATACCCGGCCCGCAAGGGACGGCGGCCGCCGCTGGTCTTTCCATGCAAAACAATTTAGGTGATGAAAATCCGGCAGCCACTGGGGTTGCTGAGGAAGATCGGAAAATCTCTCTCAGGCTGAAGTCTACAGGGAAAGATGAGGAGCTCACCAATATCGTGCCGAAGCTTCGACGGATGAACATGGCGTGGACAGGTGCCGGCCACCGCCGTAACGGCGCGGTGACTCCTCTTCAACAGGCTGAGTTCTCAGATACCTGACTCCTTCTCCCCCGGTTTGCGAGGAGTCATTTCTTGAGGAACTGGCTTTCGGTTAGCCCGGATTGACCGCCAATGCAGGATAAATTCTTATAATATCGAGCATTGTTGCGTCGTGTATTGGCCGGCGTACGGTGGTTAAACACATAATTAAGAACAATCAACGACGTCATCTCTTCTCTAAATCGTAGACAGTTCGCCGCGGCGGGGCGATGCAAAGGACCTGGCTTTCTCGTAGGGTGAAACCGAAGCAATCTGCGGTGATTCCGGCCGGAATTGGTCGGTCCACGGCGGCCCATGCTGCAGATCCACCGATGTTGTTTCTGTTCCGCTTCCTCCCCGTTTAGATGAAATAGGAAAGATTCAATGCTAACTGCCGTGGGGGTTGCTCCGACCAAACTCGCGGGGGATGCTTCCCTTTTGTCGGACAATCCCGATACTCCTCTGTGTCAGCCTTCTGGATGGCTCTTGCCGTGGAAATGGGAGACGACCGGAAGTTCCTGCCCCCAAAAGGATTAAGTCAGAGGAGATCCCACGAGGTAGTCGTTCGACCAACCGTCGTCAACAAGGTTGAGACCACATTGTAGCGTGAACTTATTAATTACGTAGATAAGAGATGGGTATATAGATCGACGAGAGAGAGAGATAGAGAGAGAGAGAGAAAGAGGTGGTGCCATGCCGTGTGGCCGTTCATCTGCGGAGCTTCAGTTTAGAGAGAAAACCGTGCAAAGAAGACCAAGAAACCAGGTGAGGGGAAGCGCGTGACGTGTGTCGGGGCCAATAATATCCAGATGGAATGAGCCATTGCTTCCTTCTCCTCCCCGGCCCCTTGCCACTATAAATCCCACAGCGATCTTCTTGCCCCCTCTTCTCTCCTTTCCACAACAGCCGCCATATCTGCATCCACTTTGGTGCCCTTTGGTCTGCGTTTGATCCCTGGTAGAGCTCCGTATGTGTTCATAGGTTAAGACCATAGGTAGGTGCGGCCCTGCTTTGATCTTCGTTTCAGGAATCAGAGCTGGTGGGCATGAGGAGGGAAGAAGGTGAGTCTCTTCTGTTGCACTCCTCGGTTGTTTTCACGCTGTCGATGTTGATCATGGAGGATGGTGCGCAAGGATCCCCTTTGTCGATCAGTTCGTCATATCTGAGAGTCAACAAGAGTCTAGTTTTTTCAGATTCCACAGTCGTTTTCTGATTTAATGAAGCGCACGCTTGTTCTGCCACATCCGAAAGTAACATCCATCACTTTTTTCTGCGTCAGTATCTTCTTCTTCTTCTTCTTCTTCTTCTTCTTCTTCTTCTTCTTCTTATTTTTACTCTTCTAGATGCCTGAGCTCCGGCCGGTTGCTCCTTGATCTTATTCTCCTTCATGGTAGCAGCAGCATGCCGACCACGATCAACTTGAGCGAGGAGTACAGGGAGGTCATCCGGACGCAGTCCTACGAGGAAGTCTACGCCCAGATTCACCGCCACTTGCGGCAGTGCATTGCCCACTCCTACGCCTCCTCACCCCCGCAGCCGCAGGAAGACGAGAACTTCACAACCGCGCGTACCGCCCCTCAGACCTTGAGGCCCACTTCTTCTCCCGTTTCTTCCCTCTCATCACCTTTCTTTTGTTACTCCTCTCTCCCGCAACACCTTCTGGAGCCCCACGACCAAGAGGCCCTCTTGGCCTCGGTGCACGACCCCGATCTCCATGGCCTTTTCATCGACTATTTCAACGCCAGCTTGGAGGCCTGCAACATCTGCGGCACTCTCCTCTGGTCCATCGAGCAGCTCCGCCGCGACCACGGTAGCGTGCAGAGGCTGTTCAACCACGTCGTCGACAGGGCTGACCTCGCCTCCTACGTCGAGCTGCAGAATCCGCTGTTCGCCCTGAAGACCGTGCATTTCGACCGCATCCATGGCCTATACCAGTCGCTCATCCGGCGGCTCACGCTCGCTCGCGACAGAATCCTGAGGAGGGCGCAGCTCCTTCGACTCGTCAAGAAGGCGTCGGGTTTCGCCTTGGTGGCGGCGTGTGGCGCACTGGCAACCGCCGTCCTGGTGCTGGCGGCGCAGGCGGCCGTGGTCCTGGTGGTGGCCGGAGTGCCGGCCATGGTATTCCCGTTCTCGGCTTGGGTGCGGCGGAGGACACGACCGTGGCGGGCCCACCGGCTTGTGCGGCTGGCAGCGCAGCTGGACTCGGCGGCCCGGGGGGCGTATATCATGAGCCGAGACATGGAGACGATCAGCAGGATGGTGACGCGGCTGCACGACGAGGTGGAGCACGAGAAGGGCGTACTCAGACTGTTCCTTCGGAGAAGAGAGCGCTTCGTGCAGGTGGAAGCCGCAGAGGGGAGTGGCGGTGGCGGCGGAGGGCTTGCACAGCAGCTGGAGGAGCTCGAGGAGCACGTCTACTGGTGTCTGCTCACCATCAAACGGACTAGGGGGCTCGTCGCACAGGAAGTAATTGACGGTGCATCTCCGCCGCGGACGGTCCCTGGGAGGCCGAGTCGTTAGATCGTTCGAGACTAATTTTGTTCGTTGTTCATTATTATGATTATGCCTGGTATTGATAAAGAACTTTCGTCAGAACTTTCACGCCACTTCGATTCCCGGAAGCTTATTCACTGCTGAGCGATCTCTGAGAGGTGGTCCGGAAGCTTCCTCTTCCCAGCTAGCTCTCTCTCTCTCTCTCTCTCTCTCTCTCTCTCTCTAACGTCATCATACCAATATTTAAAATATATCGAGAATTCTCGAAACAACGAAGATTCAGGAGATGGAAAATTGATTGGAAAAGACTAATTCATCGTCGGACACAGCGAAGAGAAGATGGGTGACCTGGGAGACACCATCCTTCCCTAATTCCCGAGAATATATCTAAGAAAATATTTCGGACAGTAGACTGAAGCAGGGATCCTCAGAGCTTTGACTGCCCGGCTATGTCGATGACGAATCGGTAGCGGACGTCGTTCCTGGAGAGCCGATTCATGGCCTCGTTGATGTTGCTCGTCTTCACGAGCTCGATGTCGCAGGTGATGTTGTGCTTGCCGCATAGGTCCAGCATTTCCTGTGTCTCCCTCATCCCCCCGATCAGGCTTCCCGCCACCACTCGCTTCCCTGACATGAATCGACGGAGAGACCGTCACCGTTTATGATGTCTGCTTCGACCCGAGATTAGCGAGCCAGGGAGATTTAAAGAGGTTCTTACCGAATATGAGAGGGAAGGAAGGGAGGTCCACCGGCGCCTCCGGCGCGCCGACGAGCACCAGCGTGCCGTTCACCTTGAGCAGGTTGAGGATGGGTCCGAGCGAGTGCTTGGCGGAGACCGTGTCGAGGACGAAGTCGAGAGTCCTGGCCGCTCCCTGCATCTGCTCGGCGTCGGTGCTCAACAGGAAGTTGTCGGCGCCGAGGCGGCGCGTGGCCTCGTCTCTTTTCGAAATGGAGGTGCTGATGACGGTCACATGGAGGCCGAACGCCTTCGCGAACTTCACCGCGACGTGCCCAAGGCCGCCCAGGCCGACGACCCCAAGCTTCGTCCCCGGATGGAGCATGTTGTGGCGCTTCATTGGGCTGTACACCGTCACCCCCGCGCAGAGCAGCGGCGCCGCCGCGTCCAGCGGCAGGGCGTCCGGGATGCGGACGACGTACCTTTCGGGGAGGAAGAAGCAGAACCAAGAGATTGGAATCGGCAAGGATAGCCGTGCTTTGCCAGTCTGAGAATCTAGAGGATGGAATACCTCTTGTCGGCCACCAGCATAGAGGAGTAGCCGCCGTAGGTGATGCTGCCATCCCAGAAGATGCCGTTGTAGGTGAACTGCACCTTCTCACAGTAGTTCTCCTCCGACTGCTTGCAGAAGTCGCACTCGAGGCAGGAGGCTGCGAGGCAGCCGACGCCCACCCGGTCCCCGATCTTGAATCCGCTCACGTTGGTCCCGACCTTCGTGATCAGCCCCGTGATCTCATGCCTGGGAAGGAGGAGAAGAAGAACAGGAAGAACAAGAATCCCAATTAGTATATTTCTCGCGAAAGTAATTGATGGGGGCCATTAAATCCTCCTGCGCCCTCTTTAAATGCCCTCTAAATATTGTATCCGATTCAATTCTAATTTCTACCTTTGACCTAAATAAGCTACCTGATGGAACGTTCCCCCCCAGATCCTCCCCACCATGGTGGCTCCTATTTAGTATAAATGCCAATCTGTTCCGCATGTACAGTGGCGACTCCTCCAAAACAAGGATCTTGACGGAAGACCAGCAGACGGCGGTGGGGGCGGAGGATAAGGGGACGAGGAAGTAGACGCACCCGGGGACGACAGGGTACATGGTGATTCCCCATTCGTTGCGGGCGTAATGTATGTCGGTGTGGCACATGCCGCAATAGAGGATCTTAATCGTCACATCGTTCTCCCCATTCTCCCTGTTCCGTTTAGAGCATTCGTTAGCCGGAGAGACGAGGCGAGAACAAGAGGAGGATGAGAAGGGTCCCTCTTCACGGGGGATATGCCCATACCTTCGCTTGAAGATGAAGGGGCTTATCCTACCCGAGGCATCGTAGGCTGCCCACCCCTCCGTGTGCTTCGGTGTCGTCGCTGCCATTCTCTCTCTCGCGCGCACGCTCGCTATTTCCTCTGTCTATCTCTCGTTGTCTGTCTTCTGCGGCTGAAATGCCTCCTTCATAGTGGGACTTTTTATGGACAGTGATGAGGGTCGCTGGGATTTCTGACCGTAGCCTTCTCTGCACTTTCTGAGAAGTGATATATCAGGGGCGTGGTAGGCGGTATTCTTAAACCCCCCTAAATGGTCTAAGATTCGATGTTCCATGGTCGATTTCTTATGTATTTCGCTCTCCCACATCCAGTCGGGGAATCTTTTCTTAACCTTCAACCGACTTCACTCCGACCACGAGAGTTCTTCGTCACCGTTCCATGTCTATTGTGAGGTACTTTGACCTTGATGTCTTCTCTCTCTGTCTCTCTCTCTCTCCCCCGTACCAGGCAGAGTATCGCTAGGAAGAAACAGCTGAACTGGGTCAAGGCTGTCGTGGTTGGGGAAGAGTGCCCATCAAAGGGAAAGCCATCTAAATTTCCTATCGACCAACTTAATAATATTTCTTTTTTAGGGCAGAAGCAACGTCTGAGACTACGAAGCAAGTGCAGCGCGGATTCTCGAGAAATCACATCGACGGCCGAGCAATGATCGCAGTCAGTAGCCATCCGTCGTGTGAAAAGAAGCGCGCAAGTCATCGCGGGGGGTGACGACTCTCGCAATAAGGGAGTCTGTCTTTCTGGTTGATGCTCTAGGGGAAGAAGTCAACGGCGCGTACGAGAAAATATGATCTTCTTCGACGAAAAGATTGTCCTTTAAAATATCCCTATTTCTTGACGCAGTGGCTTCTTGCACTGAGGTAGCTGGGAAAGCCGCTTCTTCAAGATCGACGAGCAAGTTTCCAAGCCTCCATGGAGTGGGAGCTCCCTGTAGCTAGTAGAACCGCAGAGAGGAAGAAAACTTCTGCCAGGAACTTCCAGCTCAAGGTGGCCGAAGAAGAGGCTTTGGTCCGCCGACTTGATCCGGCTATGGGATCGACTGGATCGATCCGCCGCCGGCGACGTTTTGCGGGACGAGGAGCTCGAAGTAGTGACGGTCAGCCGCAGTTGACCGCGCTTCCTTCATGGGACCTGCACGAAGGCAGCACCATTTTACAGCGCGTAGACAGAAGTATCCCTAAAATGTACGATCATTTTTTTTTATGACACGGCCGGGAGAGGAAGAAGTACGTGGAGATGGCGACCTCTGGTTGTGGACGGGGATTACGGCGCCGCTGGACAGAGCGATCTTCCTCCATGCGGGCTCGGCCATCTCGACGTACCGGAGCCGGGGGTTGCACCACCCGCCATCGTCGTTGGGCCGGCGGAAGTTAGCAGCGGAGAGCTTGAACGACGGGCGGCGTAAGTCACAGACGATATTGCATCACAGCCCCTACGCCGACCTGTCGTTGAACAGAGCCTTACCTCCATGCCCCTCCTTCAGAGCCAAATAATAAGCGTACACCCCCATATTCATCATCGAGATCGAGAAAGAAGAAGCCGTCGTCTATCTGACGGCCGGGAAGGCACGCGCTGACGGTGGTCCACGCCGCGCACGATGCAAACACCACCGACTGTCAGAGAACGCCGACTGGGAAAGTTAATGAGTGGTGAGACAGGCGGGGAGATGAAGAAGACAGTAGAGATGAATGCGCCCGGCGTTGAAGCTTAAATGCCCGAGCACCCCGTTGATGACACGAACCTCAAAACTGCGCATCCTCACCACGTGCCTTCCTGCAACTCCCGCAGAGTCCATGCAATTGGGGACACCTGAAGCGGACAGCGGCCTCCCCTTGCACCCTCTTCGATGGGTCCCTGCAAGAAAACCTGCAAATCGGAGTGATCACTCCCGGCTTCCTCTAGAAATCGCCGACCAGACGGAGGGAGAGCTACTTCACGACATCAATGGTGGCTGGCGCAGAAGGCGCGGAGACAAATCGGAAAGTTCGTGCTCAGATTGGTTAAAGGTCAACAGCAACATGCATGTGAATAGACGGAACAAAGGGGAAGAAGCGAACATCGTGATTCTCGATCGAAGCAATTTTGATATCCCTGTGATCTCTCTAGGGTGGGGTTGGGAAAGGGGCTGGCCAGTCGAGACCTCAGAACTAGAATTCCTCGTCGTCCTCCTCGGCGATGTGCTTGGCGAGCTCCTCCACCTGCTGCTGCCTCTCCCTCCTCTTCTCGGAGCTCTCCTTCTCCTTGTGCGAGTTGGGGGGGAAGCGGAGGGCGCGCACCGCCTCGTTGTGCACGTTCAGGCAGAAGGCGATGCGGGAGTTGAAGGCCGCCTGCGGCTCGTTGGTGGAGTAGACGTCGCCGGTCTCCTTGGACACCATCCAGCCGCCGGCATGGTCGATCGTCGCGTCGATGGCCCCGTCGCGTATCGCCTTTGCCACAATGCTCTCCGCGTCGGCCACCGGGTTGGGGGAATCCAGCCGCAGCTTCTTCGCAACGTCCGCAAGAGATATCCGAGAATACGAGATGCTGATATTGCGGAGGCCCGTTCTGATGACGTTGTGGCGCAGCCGGACGATCAGGTTGTGGGTCCTGTCCTGGCTGAAGGTGCCGGCGTACTTGTCCGCCACCGCCCGGAAGAGCTCCAGGTCTCCGATTCTCACCGCCTGAAACCAGAGAGAAACCATTAATCTGATCACCCCCAAGAAGCCCTCTTTCTCTCTCTCTCTCTCTCTCATCTACGTTGGTGAGGAGATTACGTTGGTGAGTTCGAAGTAGGGGGTCAACGCCTTCTTCATGCCCTTCTGCATGAAAACCGTCCTCTCGGGGATCTCTCCGAGGAGGAGGCGGACGATGATGGCCCACTTGTTGCACTGAATTCTGAACCCCTGGGCTCTCAAAGGGGCCTTCCGGGCGGCTTGCAGGAGGCTTTCCTTGGCGTCCGTGTACTCGAGCTGAATGGTCATGATCTTCCCGTGGTAGAACAAATACCGGCAGAACTGCAGAAGAAAAAAAGAAAGAAAAAGGGATTTTAAACGTCATTAAAGAGGCCCAAGAGCTCCTTTCCTCTATTGATTCCGGACATTATATTCTACAATCACAGCTTTGCCGCCATGAGCAATTTTATCACAGTGACGGTGGATAAAGCTAGCTCTAGACCGGGTTTTGATGTGAAATCAGGGTTAGATTATGCAATGGAAACGATTTTAAATGGAAGCACAAGCAGTCAAGGCAGCACCATTCCTCCCTCATTCATAAATTATCTCGAGGTGTTCCTACTTCCGCTGATGGTATTATATGGGTAATAGATGAAATCAAACGACAGAAAACATAGAGGGGGGGAAATAATGACCTGCTGGTTTGAATGAGCTTCAAAACGCGGGGCTTTTGAGCGGAGCTTCTCTGCCTGGTCATACAAGTTGTAGTGGAGGTAATTACGAAGAAGAAGGTTGAGGAGGGTTTCCTGCACCACGCAAAGGCAAAAAATACATTAATAAAAAGAAAGAACTTCATAAAATGGTCGCAAGGTCCCAGAAAACAAAAAAAAAGAAAGGAAGGTGGACTAATGCCTATCTCCGCTGAGAACAAACCTGCCCCAGTTCATCTCGGCGAAGAGTAGCCAGGCGATGCAATGCAAGAAGATTCCTGAGAAGGCAGGCCAGTCAAGATCACGACGATCATATAGAATATAAGCAAGATTTGGTAGCAAGAAGTGTTCTCTAATTAGCAGTACTGCATGATTTTCATCAGCTGTTAACATAAACAGCTAAACAAGGGCGTTGATACCTAGTGGCACATGAACAACAAAGCATATATAAACCTCTCAAATTGCAATGAGGGTTGCATTTCCTTGTCACAAATCTAGAAGACTCACGAGGCTTCTATAAAATATGGAAGGCTAAAGATTTGCCAACTCCCCTTTTCTCTGTACCCATTGATGGAGATGAATGGAGGAGGCTATGGGTAGACTGATGCCCAATATGGGATCTGGAGAACTATTGTTGATATATAGGATGCCCGGTCTTAGAAAACCAGACACAAAAGGAAAAACAAAAAAGGTGGCAGACCAATGCTCTTACATCCTTTAGCTTACAACTCACCCTCGGATTTCAGCAAGACTGTTAGTAAGCTCATGGCTATATGAGTAATAGAAGTACAATCTCGCTGCCAAAACATCAACTGTTCTTCGATTCAAGATTTTCAGTCTAGCAATGCTTGCTGAGGAACATGCCTTGGCCTGCGAAAAGCATGGAAAAGAATGAGGAATACAAAAAAGGCTGCTTTACGGGTACACTGCAGAGGAAATTTGGATGTCAATCAATTAATAGACAATGAACACACCTCCTCGTATCTCTTCTTATCTATCAGAAAAATGAGCACAAGTAAATAACAGTAGATCTCCAGCTCGGGTAAAGCATGCTTTGCAGGAGCTTGAGCCGCTGATGTTGCAGTGTCTACATCCATATCGTGATTGTCTTCCTAAAACCAGTAACGAAAACAATGTGACTCAGGACTTGCATGATAAAGGGTGTTTTTCATAAAATTAACATACCATTGACATCCCTTTTAGAAAATTCTGTTAATCTCAATGAAGGTGAAAGCAACGTCTAACTACACATGCACCGTTCTCACCGCAAAGTACACGAGATGCAAGAGAACAAAATTGGAAGTGATACATTTTACCTTCGAGAAATAAAAAAAGAGAGTATCCGAACTGCATTCTGTGAGCAGGATCAACAATAATAAAGTCCAGACGGTAAGGAAGGAATTCAGTTCAGAATTTTTCCCAAAATGTGCAAAATGTCAAGAGGGTTTATAGCAAAAAATGTGTTGCCTATACATGCCGTTTCATGAATATTTTCCACAATTAGAAATTCATAGCTCAGAAATATTTATGCGCACACATATCAATTGTGCATATACTATACATTAGACTGTGCAAAATGGTTTCAAATCAGACACTCATCAGAAGATTTTCTGATCCATTTTCAGAAGAATTCGTAGAGAAGGATTCATAAAGACAGAAAAACAAGACACCATTACAAATGGACTTTGATGTTTTCTCGACGTTTAAGGGGAAATTGTAAACAATGGTGGTCAAGAACAGACAAAACACGAAATAAAATATACTTCCCAAAGCAGACTACGATTTTTAATTATACACTGCAAAAAACCAAGCGTCAAATATCTTCAACATCCACTTAATCAAACCTGTGAATTTGGCAAGAAAGTTCGGGATTCTCACCAAGGTCTAGCTAAATAAATTTCTTAATCCATTTATTTAATTTCTGATCGAATTTGGATCTTGGTTACACGCATAGCTTGTTCCTGATTCAACAGAACAAGACAGTTCCTTACTATTTCGAACAGAGACGTAACACAAAAAGGCGTGCTTAGTATTTGCTTTAACAAGGGATTCGTCCGATGAAAACTTGACCGTTCCCAGCTGGTTTTAATAGTTGTAAACCTTGTTTCTATCAGACATTTCACATTTCTGTTTATGATCGCCATGGCCAGAGGACACATAAGACCGACATTAACTTTCCCTTCACTGAAACTTCTTAGTTGTACAGTAACAAGTGGCTATACAAATGAATGTGAAGGCTTACATCAATAATCTAATGACCCACGCCTTACGACACTATTGTCATCAGATTTGTTTAATGTTAGTACAACTTCCCTTTCCTATTATGAGTGAGGCCGTAAGATGGAAAGCATGACAGAATCAACCAATTAATGAAAGTTTAAGAAGTAGTGAGGAAAAAAAAGGATAGGAAAGATGGATATCTCCCGGAAAAAATGCACCAACTGATGCCCAAGACCAAATAAGTGAGATAGATGTACAATAACGAGATGACAGGCTCCTCGTAGTAAACCTCACATCATAAAAGAAATAAATTAATTGGATCAAGGTATTGAGAATAGCATCTAACTAAGAAACGATAAGGGCAGAATTGTTGTCATCTGGTGGAAACATAGCACCAACATAAAGACAAAAAGAGCAGTCTTTGTGGTCAAAGAATTAGAAAACAAGAGAGGGTAATCCCTACGGCAATATTAGCTTATTCCAAAACATAAGCACTCAAAAGGTCGACAATCTAAACGAAAATACACAGAATATCCCTCTACCTACAAACTAACTCAATTGATGAAATTGGGGTTTGAAGAGTGACTTACTTAACTTATAACTAGGGGTCTGAGCTCAACAAACATGGTTTGATAAGTTAATTCCAAGGACAAGGCATAACAAATGGGCACTGTACCTTATTCCAAAATTCCAAACAGTCAACAAATGAACAAATTTGAATCACTAGAACCAGCAACTTATCCCCCCCTTCACAAAATTACACCGTTGAAAAACACCAATAAAACACCACCATGGAAGGCCATAAAAAAGATTCCATTATTTCCATGCAATGCAAATACTCAGGTAAGAGGAATTTTAAGAATTAGAACAGCGAGGCAGCCCATCAAGAATAGACTCTACAACTCAATAAAATGCCCCACAGGATTCCTTCACTAGTTCAAGAAGAAGTTATTAACCTCCATGCACCCAAGCATGAGGAAAAATGTAAAACGTTTGTCTTATGACTTAGCCTTTTCCCACAAAGTAGAATAACGTACCATTAAAAAATGACAAAGTCTAATGTCCCATATGCAAGGCTCTATCCAATTGAAATATGACAAAATACAAAATTCTGACCGGTCTACTTATAAGTGCGACAGATGAAGGCAAAATAATCAGACAAATCACTTGATGTGGAACCACATGGACCATTAATCGATTTCCATCTGAAGCGCTCAATATGGAGACAGCTGGTGACATAATTGAGAGGATATAATCAAATGAGAAGCCAAGGACTATAGAGCAGAAATCATTGAAAACTCCAAGAAAATTGGGATAAGAATATTATGCAAGATAAGTGGCATCATATGAGAAAGCCAAGATGGCTGGCCATAAAGGGCGAATGAAAGAATGCTCCACTAGATGGAAATTTCTGCGCTAATCCAGTTTTTCTGTGAGTATATTTGGTCAAGACCCAGTTGAGCACAGAAGGGTATAAGAGTAAAGAGGCGAACGACCTCCAAACAACTAACTTTACAGAATTTTATGCTTCATTCACTCAAAAATCATTGTGCACTCTACTATCCAAAAAAACATCCAGAAAAATCCAACGTAACCTTCTTCCTACATGAATGTATCAACATTAAAACTTTCAAACGTTTCGTCCTCCTCCCTTCCCAGCAGGAGAGAATTTATCATGTTGGTAATTTCGTGTTTTTTTCCTCAAAATTATCTCAGCAAAGGCCACCTATCTCTGAAAACCTGATATTTAACCTGTGTCCAATGGAGGACTTAAATTGGAATAATATTCCAGAACTATACTCACCATACTAGAATATTTTTCGCACCGATAAAGTATCTTCCAAATAATGTTCTCTAAGCAGAGCCATTTTATTATCTTATGGGCATCAACAGAGGTTTTGTGTTTCAAAGAAAACATTCAAAATTTAAAACCATCAATATCGCACTACCAATTCTGTGACAATCCAGCATACAAAAGCAGTAATGTCAAACTACCCTACCACATGAGGCCACCACTTAGAGATCTGTTCATTCAGAAGAAATGCAGAGTAGATTGATGGACCAAATACTGTGTTCAAAATTGCATTCAAAATGTTTCTCATTTGAGAAAATGGAGCAACGCACCTATATAATTCTATATAAAACGGGTCGGGTAGTAAAATGTAACAATATTAGTATCAGAAGGGATAAACACAATAAGGTAAAAAAGACCAATGTGCTATATGCCTTCGAAAAAATACTCACCAACACATGAAAGTGAAGTACATCCCAAAGAAAATCACAACATTGACCCGAGTAAATGAACGTACCAGCATGATGCAGCAGCCAAAAACTCATTAAAATAGAAAAAAAACAACCAATCACGGTTTATTTTGCCCAGCTAAACATCAGTGGGTAGGTTCACAACAATAGTTCTTAGATATACAGTTCTTAGATAGGGCGTTTGCGATATTTTCATTACACCTATGACAGTGGTACATGTGTAGCTCAATGCCTTACCCTCAAGGCAGATAGCTTTTATTCTGTGCATGACAGAAGTATAGAAAAAATTGAGTCCGTCAATCATTATCTACAATTTTCCCCAGTTTATGAATTTAAGCTATGTATTCTCAACATTTTGAGTGCCCCGAGAAATTCGATTTTCGTCCAATGATAACCGAAACTGAAAAATAGATCTCAGCTTCTGTTATGCTTCCAGAGTAGAAAAGGACGATCATCTTGCCCCATGTGGGTCAAAATGTGGGTTCGAGTCTGGAAGGGCTTCGAAAGACCATCACCATGTTAACATTCACAGATCTTCTAATCATTTTCAAGACTTGTGGAAAGAAATACAGTAATAACATGTGCATTTTTCAAACAGTTCCAAACCTTCTTGAAATAGAAAACGATTCAATGGCCACTAGAATTATGAACGTATCTATTCAAGGACCAGAAATATCCAACTAACATGAAAATTTAGTCATTAATATCTAAATATAACTATTGATCATATCCATAGTTTCACAAGAATGGTGAATCCTGGAAAACACCGAGGTTCCTCAGGAAACCATTGCTCACAAATTCTTGCTACTTGACAGCAACTTCGATGGAAATTCAGGTTGCAAGCGATCTCTTAGTAACATGAGTAGAGGGGATGAGACATCGATGCTCATAAGCTTCATTTGTACGAGTTTACCGCATCCAAAAGCCAGGCACCTCATCCGCTCAGTCCTTAGTAAACTACAGTGGCTAGATGGCATTCGGTAGTATCTGTTGGCAGACTCAAGCACCAACGAGAGAGAAAAAAAGGCAGCAGCAGCAGAGGAGCAACAGACATCTTTCATAAATTCAGGCAATTGTCCATTCGGAACAAATAGCCCATTTTTTTCAAATGAACTGCTTAAAAACCAGAAAAAATACAAAGGAGTATCAAGAGGGAAACGAGTCATTTGGTTGATAAAACTTAGCCCCAATTAATCAGTCATCCCAACACAGCAACCTTCAGCGAACATAAAGGCACGCGATAATGTAATATATGAGACGCGAAAGAAAGCGCAAGTTAAAAATAGTCACCTTCGAGAGATAGGATGACAAGCGAGAATGAACCTCGGAGCCCGGCACCAGGGCATAGCCGAGAAACGCGGAGATTACCCCCGACGTGAGCTTCTTTCGAAGCACGATCGTCAGGCGTACCGCCCTGACGATCCGCCGAATCTCCTTAGCGTAGGCCCCTGTCTCGATTAGCGCGACGATCTCTTTCAAATCTGAGAAATTTCATCCGGAGACGGAGCCCAAAAAATGCAAGAGAAGATAAGTACGACCCACAGAAGCAACCGACAGAAGAATAAGAAGAATATGTTTTGTATGAGGAAAAAAAAGAGATGCTCGAGTTACGCTGGAGGGTGGAAGGCCCGGCGGAGGTAGCAGAATTGGAGGGGGGCGCCTGGGGCTCTTTCATCTCCACATCCTCTAGGACAGGAACATCCGTAGTCATCTTCCTAAAGAAAACTGATCGAAATGGAATGGAACGCGAATGACGAGAGACGGACGGATCTGGCGCTAGGGTTTTGATTTCTCCCAAGGATGCCTCCGCACCCCCACTGCCGAAGAGCTCAAGTCCCTGGAATCGCCACGGCTCGCCACTCTCTTTCTTCCTTTCCACTTCTACTACGAGAAAAAAAGAAAATCTCAATTAATTTTTAACCCAATAAAACCGATTAAATTGCATATATAACCCTCTACTTGTACATAGGTACAATGAATTAAAATAAAGTATTTCAGTTATTTATTCTCTTTTTATTGCTGCATATGAAACGAAATCTCTACGGGAAAATCCCACACGACGTAAATTTTAAAATCGGCTGTGAGACTTTTTAATTGAACAATTACTTTTTTTCAGGGGAATATATTAATTGCGAATAAGTCCTTGTATTCTTTTTTTTAACTTATGTCTCCAAAGTTAATAGGCAACATACTCTTGCTTGCCCATCAAGAAGCATCGGATGTACACGAAGCACTTAACAGTCACCGCTCTACCGAAAACCCCTCTCATAATCATCGTTTTTTTATCTTTGCTCCTAGTTTGCTTTATCTTCATCCAATATTACCCTAAAAGATCATTTTATTATCAGAGAAAGGCAGGAAAAAGGGGTAAAATTGCCATTTCATCAGATTTATCCGCCATAGTTAATTTATTGAATTCCAACGAATTTTTTCGTGATAAAATACCTCACATAATTAAAAAAGATGGATTGAATTGATCATTCGAATAATGGCATACATCCAGTCATTATTATTATTATTATTATTATTACATTTTAAATTATTTTATATTTATATGCTTATTCATCCCATGGCACCTTCTCAGAATCAGAGCTTTTTATTGCTTCATTGTGAGATGCGAAATACTCGGGTAATAAAAGGGGCTGTTTTTCTTCTACCAGGCGTTCTACGGCCCGTTGTGGTCGCTCAGAGAGTAGTCCCTGGAGAGCTCCGTTGACCGTCGGATGGAGAGAGGGGCCCACAGTCGAAGGTGGCTATGCTCATCAGCTTCCTGGTCATCAGCGGCGCCAAGAGCCTGTCTCTGATGAAGTTCATCACGGCGCCGCTGCTCTGCTGGATGCGGCCGATCGCGTACGCCGTGCAGATCAGCTCGAAGCTCCGCCATTTTCTCTCCTTTGCGTACTCTTCCAACGCCGCCTCGATTCTCCGCCGCTCGTCGGCGGCGGCGGCGCCGGGTTTCCCCCGTAAGGCGCCGCCCAGGCACCTGGCCAGGGTGACTCCGTCCTCCAAGGCGGCGCAGCCGCCCTGCCCAAGGTCGGGGGTCATGGCGTGGAGCGCGTCTCCTGCCAGGCAGACGCTTCCCCTGCAAATTCCTCCCCAGAGGAGGTCGCTGGGCCACCGGTACCTCAAGGGAGAGGAGACGATGGCGCTCGGCTCGGTCCTCTCCACGGCCTGCAACACCTTCTTGGGCACCTTCCGGAGGTTACGGAGAACATGCTGCTTCATCTTCGCCATGTCCTCCTCGACCTCCTTCTCTGTAAAGAGGGCAGGAAGTGGGGATGCGAGTTGGCCTCAAGAATGGAAGAGACGCAGGCGTGTTATACCTTCGGGGGAGGGACTGAAGGTGAAGAACCAGTAGACGTGGGTCTCGTCGCAGGGCAGCACGCCGGAGCGGAAGCCGTTCCCCACATACTGGAGGAAATTGGCCTCGAAGCCATGGCCGCCGGGGAACTCTGCGATGCCTCTCGCCGCCGACCGTCCGGCGTACGCCGGCCCCCTCAGCCCGAGCCATTTCGCCACCACGGAGTTCACTCCGTCGCATCCGACCAGCACCTGTAACGCCGCGATTAGTCTCTGGTTCTTCTCTCATCAATCTCTGGTTCCTAGGTGGGTTACCTTCGTCCTGACTGTGGAGCCGTCCGCCAAATGCAGGAGCTTCAGGGTTCCCTGCTCCTCGATGTGGACGACTTTAGAGCTGAACCTGATGGTGCCGTTGGGAAGCTCCTTCGCGAGGACATCCACCAGCAAGCTCCTCCTCACACAGCGGACCTCTGGCTGCTCACTATATGGTAAGACGCACCCTTATGACGCCATCGCCGTCTGCAAAAAGGACGAACTCTAGAAGAGTCGTGAAGGAGAAGCTTACCCTTGGTCTCGTGCCTCGAAGGCCCTCTTCGAGGTGATGTCCCCGGTGGCCGCAGAGCCGATGATGACCCTGCAACTCAGTGACTGTTTGAGTAGTTCTACCGACGAGCAGAGCTCGATATCTCAGGTCGAGGAATGAAGCTTACGCTCGGTGGAGGAGGTGCTGCCGCCGGAGAGAGTCGGCGACGCCAAGCTCGTCTAGGGCTCTCCAAGCATTGGCCCAGACGGTGAGCGCGAAGCCGCTGGAGCGCAGACTGTCTGACCATTCCAGAACCAGGCTCCTCAGTCCCAGCCTAGGGCAACAGAGGATAACTGATCAGAGAGGGAGGAGGGAAGCTTCAGAGTGAAGAGGAAAAGCTCCACCACCCGCCGCAGTCGCCGGCGGCGGCGGTACCTGTGTATTCCCAGAGCGGTCGCTAGGCCGGCGATCCCTGCGCCGACGATCACGACGTCCTCGGTTGCCTCCATATCCGACGGAGAGCTCGCCGGGTTGTTCGCGCAGGCGATCGACGGGGGGGCTACTTATCCATCTGTTCGTCCTCGCCGGTGAATAATCTGAGGTCACTGCTGATGACTGAACAGTCGGCGGCTCTGCTAGCCGCCGGCAACGTGGACGACCGCCCGAGGAGGTGACGGCGGAGGGCCATCCTACTGGACCCCCGGTGGCGGGCGGGCGCACTGAACGACAAAGAAGTTTACAGAGAAGCCAGAGATAGAATTGGACCATCTGGAAAATTTGCATTTATAGGTATAAGATTCCTTTGATTGTTCATCAGATTCATACTACGTTAATCCGCATCTTGATTGTTCAATTGCCCTCCACCCAATCTCCTTTCGATGATCTTGCAGAGCCATCTTGAGAATAAATGAGCCATTTGGTCGAAGAATGTCGATCAAAAAATTTTGAACTTGGGGAAAACAACCGGAGCGCATCAGCATTGGATCTTGATAGACTGACGGTGTTCATCTTCGTCCATCGCTGGGAGGATTTCTCTCTCCGTCCCTCTGCAGATCCGCCGATCTTCGGTCGCCGGAGGCCGGTCGAGTTGGATTGCTAAATATTCCATAACTCGGCGCCGGAGTACCCCTATCGTCCGGAGGCGTCGATCGTCCTCCCCTTGGATCAATCTGCTGGCGATTGAGGTTTTCTTGCTGCCGTGGGATGTTCCGGGGTTCCGATCTCGATCGCTCCGACCACCGCGAATCGCCCGCACGAAGCGATCTGCCGAATTCCTTCTTCAACTCAGATCCTGCGTCACCACCTCTCTCCACTGGTCTCCCCTGATCAGACCTAGGGTTCGCTTCAATACCTCTGCCGTACCTCTGACCATGTCCGACGGGCAACTCTGAGCGAGAGGCGGCGCCGGCACGGCGGTCCATCTGGTCCCTCTCAGATCCCATCGCCGCTCTCGTGAAGCCATTGGCTGGTTTATTGAACTTCGAAGAAGCGGCCAAATTTTCAGAAGAGGCAGAGACGACGACGTTTCTCTTCTCGTCAGAGTCAAAGGCAATAGAACGTCGGGCGTCAGCGAGGACCTCATTTTCCACGTCTGAGTCGCTGTCCAGATCTCCGCCTGCGTCCGAGTAAGCGGCGGCGCCGTCCAGCGCAGTCGCTGGAGCGGAAGCAGCCTTCCCCGGACCAGACAACCCTTCAGCCGCCTTGCAGGCCTTCTTCCGGGAGCCTTTCTTCGAGCCAAACTTGACATGCCGAACAACGACATACGCCTGCTGCTTCTCCACAAACGGGCCGCTCTCCACGCAGATCACATCTTCAATCTGCAGACATCCAGTACAAGAAGTCTACATCAAACCCTCCTGCGTCCTGAACACGACGATGGTGAGGATGGTAGGGTGGCCAAGGAGGTCACCAGATCAGTGAGACGATTCAGCAGGGCCCCAAGATCGCACTCCTCTGCGCCTCTCTGCTTGGAAGGAAGCGCCATGCACTGTTCCACAGAGAAAGAAAACCTCAGCAGCTGCTACATCCTCTCTGTGAACACTGCGTGGCCGCAGCAGCTCAGCAAAAGTGGTGAGACTCTCTAATACGATGCTATTTCCAGTAATAACCCAGAAGCAGAAGAGGAGGGGACCTTCACTCTGTAGCCTCGTTCTACAAGCCCTTTAATTGTCTCCGCCTTCACTTCAATATCCTTTTGCTCCTGTGGAATGATCATAAATAAAAACGTAATCTTTTTCTGCCAGTGGATGGTGCAAAGCTCAGAAGTAATTATCAGCACTGATATGATGCTAATGATGTTGAATCACCCAACAGAAATCAACTGAGGATAAATCAGGTCAGCCCATCCATTTATAATAAATACCTCTTCTGTTGGCGATATGAGACTACCAAACCCTAGAAATCAGTGTATTTATCCAGAAATATAATCATTGTATGTGAAAATAAATTGAAGATATGTAAGGAAAAGGGAATGTAGATATTGCAATTAATTTTGCATGAAACTCGGATCAAGGTGAGTGGGAGGCAAGTGCTTGCTCAAGAAGGGTTTAAGATAACACGAAGGCTGATCCCAGCTGAGATGGACGATTTGATTGGCTAATTCATTGACTAATAATCAGTTTATCGTCCATAACGACAAAATAAAATAAAATAAATCTAAACAGCGGCAGACAGTCAGCAGGATGAGAGAGAGAGCACTCACAATTTTTCCTTTCAAGCGGACTTCTTTGAAATCCCCTTTGCGTATGGTAGATTCTGACTGCAAGGTGAACCAAGAACAGATTGTAGTTCATCTCATCTAAGTATACAAAACTGAATAGTTGGCACCAATTGGCCTAACTGGATCGATTCATTAATGGGAGCTTGTGATCATACATTCAGAGGCGTAATAAATAAATAAGGACAAAATGGTCAATAACCAATGCAATAATGCGATAAAAGACCAAGTATTATTACACAAAATGCCTCAAATAAAATCTTTTTTTGGGAAGATGGCCTGCTATAATCAATATAAAAAAGGACGGGTGAGTCAACTTAATCTTTTTTTTTTTTTTTTTGGAATTTCGTTCTGATCGCTGCCACTCTGTTCTCTGTCAAGTTATGCGTTGTTCAAACTATTTCACTGTTATAGACCCCAATCATTAAATCCTGCATCACCATGTACGTCAAGGGAGGCATCTCATGCTTAGCCTCATAAAATGAATGCAGCTAGAGAAACCTAGGGCCAACACAAGATCCATAGTATGCTCCGTTTAAAGCAGATAACACTGGAATGGCTTCCACCTAAAGAATGAATAAATGAGGGGAGAGAGCGCAGAGGGTAACAAAATCAGGATTATCTCATAGAATTAATCTAAGCATCTTTCTAGCAATACCCTGATGATTTTGGAAACGAACCAGGGTATTTAATGCAGTGATCTGGGCCATGATCCTAGGATTATTCATAGGAAAAAGGACAATTTAGTGAAAGATTACAAAAAATGAAATATTTTTTTAGTAAATTTCAAGGTCAATAAGATTTTTGCACGACATTTTCAACCCGACCCACATTTTTTGTCCAATCATTACTGAAACTTTATTTACCATCCAAGAAATTGGGACTGGTTAAAACAACTCCGCGACCATCCATATCACAACAAGACAGCGTAAGCTTTAAAGCATCACAGGTTAATGTAGAGGAAGCTATGGGGGAAAGAGCGTGGCCTTCCATTGGAGTCAGCGCATTAAAGTTCTTGTTTTGATGAAACTATACTCTGCAAAAAACAGTCGGTCAATTCTTGTGGACCGAAAGTTGTTCTGGGTATGGCTTGGTAACAGCTGATCTCGTTCAAGGCCGGAACCTGAGCCCCCCCATGAAATTATAAAGGAAAAGTCTGGAGCCCACTGTGAATTCTGACAACTCTCTGTGAGAATCACCTGCCAAGGATTGATCTGATCTCCTTCCAGGATTAGTGTCCTTTTCTTCTTTAATTTGGAGAGCAAGAAAATATGAAACTAGTAGCAACCGCTGTAATGAATTTACTCTGAGAAATAAGGAAATAATGACAAAAACTGCTAACTTGTAGGATCTTATAGAAGAAAAAATCCACCGCTGCTTTTCGGGCCTTCCTAGTTTCATATGGTCCTCTTCTACATAAATCGTCTATCACTGTAGCCGGTTCGTCTTTCACAGAAACATTTATAGTTTTGCATTTAGTGCCTCATGAGACCGAGTTTCTTAAAAAATTACACAGGAAGATTTTATTTTATTTAATTTAATTTTTACCCTTAATAGGTAGCATAGAAAGGACCCAAAATAAATAATTAATAACAAACCCACACCAACGTAGAAAAACTACCAGAACATGAACATTCTTACCTTGGTCTTGGCGCGCTCCTTTTCCATTGTGTCCTTCCTGAACTTCTCCTTATGGTAGTCCATGATTTTGCAAACAGGAGGCTTTGAAGTTCGTTGGACCTTCATTTCCGTGGCAAGATGAGGAATTCAGAGAAGTGTTATTGATAAACAAGAGATATGGAACATGCTGAAGAGAGAACATTGGGTGTATATCTGCTCTACAAATTGAATGCACGAAGAGCTATTTCCTTCTACCAGTGGCAAGGAAGCAGGAAATGTTGAAATATATGAACCCTAGAAATAATAAGGGTAGAATGCAAACAATGAGGAGCTGTGGCCTTATGAAAGCAATCGTGATGAGCAACAAGAAAACGAGGAATAATGCACACAATTTTATTTATATGTATATGGCACAAGTAAAATTGAATTTATTTATATTTTGTTGTTTCAGAAAGTGCAACCTAGTAAAATTAAACTTAGATGTTATTTGAGTGATAGTCGTATTCGGGTACATCCCAATAACCTTGTTTAACCTAGGGAAGGAAAAACCTGCACTAATAAAGTCGTTGATAATAATCACAGAGGCATATCAATGTCAGAGACCCCCAATGTCCTATCCAGTTTGGAAGAAAAAAATACCAGAAAACATTCCACAAGTTCTTTCTGACTGTAATCCTGACAGAAGCCATTTTCTTACCTACATTAGCTATACCACAGAGACCTTGATATGCATATATATTCAAATCGTAAACATCAATATTAAGAGAAAGCAGGTTTGTAATTGCTATAATGAATTTCTAGACGACTCTGGATACCACCACATCTTCAAGATAAAAATTAAATATTTTACCCGTTTTATGATTTTTCTCATTCTCCATATGAAATCCACCCAAATATTCCTTCCCCTACACTTTCCATCTCTCGACAGAACTTCTCAAACTTCACAGAAGAATTGAGTCCATCCGTGTCATTAGTGACCATTACTTAATCTCCCATATTATCCTCCCCAGAAGCTTGTTTACGGTGACATCGTGGCACTCCTATAAAGAATCACCTCTGTGATGGGTTCCACATCCTCCTCAAACTTGTGTTTTCTCATCAAGTCCTACACAACTGGTTTCTCTAGGGTTATCATCAATCAGCCGCTCTTTGCCAGGGTAGTCTCCATCCCTCTCAGAAGTAGCTGTTGCAGACTAAGGCAGGACTGGTGAGGGCACCATAACAGGCACCTCTGTTGAAATGCTCCACAGCACTAGACCGAACCACTCTAGATCTCCCCACAGCATTTCCTATAAGATCAAGGGGAAGGGTTCTAATTTCCTCTCCTACTGGAAAGGACCTTTCCGTTCTCAAAGTGCATCACCTTCGAACCCTAAATCATTGCCGAAACTATCGGTGGTTGCAGGAACCCAGAAGGAAGCTGGGTAGGCTCCAAAGGAAACACAACGTGTACCCAGTATGCCCCACCACAGATCCATATCTGGTATTGGATCAAAGCCCATTCAATCTGAAAGTAGAAAGACTTATGTTTGATCCATTAGAAGTCGCAAGGTCGAAGTTCAGCAGAAGAACACGGAATTTTCTAAATGTCCAAAGTTTTCATTGAAGATGAACCTTATTTGGTGAACCGAATGTGTCCACTTCTTGAATTAAAAACTAAATAAATCAATAAATAGTATCTACCGTCTATAGCAGAAGGAGAACGATTCATCAACTGGGTAATAAACCTAACCCCATAAAATCATGATCATGATAGTTTAATCAAGAAAAAATTGGCCATATCATCCTGTTACCAATTTACAACGGCCAACCCCAAGGTGGCATTGCCAAAACCAAGGCCTAATAAACGGATGGTAAGAATTGAAGTGAGCTGCAGTGTGATGCCCAAGCAGTCACTGAAGCTTACCCAGAATCGAATACAGGCATAAATAAAATGAAAAATTTGAAACTTAAAATAAATAGTGTACCTCGACTAGATCAAGATCGAGTTTTCTAGCACGGCCAAGAGCTTCTTCCCTTGACACAATCGTATGCCCTTGAAACAGAAATGAATCGGAAAATTAGCTCTAAATCAAAGTCCCGAAAGTAAGCCGGACGAAAACCAGTGAATGATGATGATCTGTGAGGAGAAAAACAACACGCTGATGTGGTTCCTTCATTCATGGTAACCATCATCCTCGCAGCATCAATATCGCGTAACTACGGTAGAAACAGAATATCGAATGCAGCCCGAACAAGAAAGATAACGCAGCAATAAAAAATAAAAAATAAATCCGGTGCGCACCGTCGTCTGTAACTAGTCGAATAAACTTAGCCGTGATCCCCTCGTTAAGCCTGGGCCCTTGCATAGACTTAAGATCTTCTTTAGGTTTTCCCTGCGATTACCCAGAAACAAGATCATTTTATTTTTTTTTGAAAGCGAACCAGGTAAAGACGGTGGATTTCAGAAGAAAAGGAAAGTCAAAATGAAGAGACAACGAAGGCACCTGAACGGGGACCGCGAAGAACCTTGCGGCAATGTACTGTATTCCGTCTCTAAAGCGGCTCGTGGCGGAGACTGCCTCTTCCGGCGCCATAGAAGCCGGGCACCAGCCCCCACCGCCACCCAACGACGCCCTCGCTCCTTGCACCTGCGAGAGGCACAGTCTCCTGCAGGGGAGGGAGAGGCGGGCGGACCGGTCCAGAAAGACTTTGTGCCAGAGCGCCATCTCCGTCGACGCGTCGACCCTCGGAGCACTGATCGTGAATTTTCCGCAGCTGCCTCAGGTTTTGCTCCCCGAGAAGCCCAGTTCTGTGCCGCAATCGATCCTCTTCGGATGTAATGCCTATTTGCCATTGTTTCCTTCGGATTTAAACGGGCCGGGCTTCTCCAAAAGCCTGGAAGGTCTCTCCGAGCCACCTGGAGACCAGCCCATCGTCCGCCTCCATTCGATGCCTAATTTCCTATATTTGATACAATCTAATCAGCCTGGTTTTCGGCACTCCGAGCCCTCCTGGAAGACCCTAAGAACTTATGGTAAACGCCCGTAGCTTTCACTTGCAGACTAAATGCCGACTATGAACAGGAAGGCTTCTACTCTTAAACATGACGCCCAGTGGGGGGCGGCGATGGGTCAGATTGGGCCTCAAATAGGAAAACAGCCCGGCCCAAAATCTTAAAACCCACTTCCTCCCTCTCTTATTTTCTCTCTCTAGAATATATGCATATAGAAAGAAGGAAGCAAAGCCAGCATTCCAGATTTTTCTCCGGGCTCCTGGAGTAAGCATATGTGTTCCAACTGTCAAAAAAGGGATGCTGCTGTGAACAGATCTATTAGCGAAGTATAATCTCATCATCTCAGTGTACATTTACAATAAGTACAGAAATATTCTCTCAACAAGATGAAAAAAAAATGGGAAGAGAGAGAGAAAGGAGGCAGACGTATGGGCAGCGTATAGTGAGTGATATTCCTGTTTCTGTGTGTGTGCGTGTGTGTATGCAAGCTGTGGAGGGCTGTGTGAGCTCTACAGTGGAGATCTGAAGAAAGAATGCTCAAAGAATGGCCATGCAGAGCAGAGACAGGAGGGGGAGAATCCATCTGAACAGGTGAGTATTCAGCGAGTGGGTGGATGAAAGGGATGGCCCCATCCCCCTGGTTTTGTCTCTGTTAACGGTTGCTTCCTGGTCCAAGCCGCTGGGGGCTACCGCAATAGTCGGTGGAGCACCCGGGCTCCCTGGTTTCACTGTCAGAGTGCTGGTCTCCTGATCATAACCTGGGTGCAAACAAAATCCATGTCAGCATCCAAGATCAGCCAGGAAAGTAGCAGATTTTATGGCCTGGCTTCGACCCCACTCACAGTTGAATTCCTTCCAACCCAACACGAGCTTGTCTCTGTTGAAGACAATTCGAAGCCCGGTCATGAAATTCTCTGCACAACAGATCAGGACCCGGGATTTATTACCAATTATAGAAAAATAGGAACGCATCAGTCCACTCAATGAATATCAGATAGACAGCGGTGTTGACTAGGCATGATGCGAAGAGTAGATTGACCAAGGATTAGTGGGATTTGATGGTGCTAAGATGGGTAGTTCCGGGCTTACGTCCAATGATATTATAATCGTTGCTCTTGGTGATTGCCAAGCAGTAATATGCGTTGACCTGCATCATAAGAAAAGAAGAGGCGAGAAGAGGAAATCAATTGAACACACCCAGGTCGATGTGAGATCTGATCCTCTCAATGCAGTGTGATCTTACCCCATTGGAGACTAATATTACGGGTCGATGCACGAGGAACTCGCTTCCGCCTTCCATTATCAGGCCTATGGAGGGCACTTTTGACTCATTAGGCCTGCATGTTTACCTTTATAAATAAGAATTTGGCATAAAAAAGAAAATTCCCTTAAAATTTGATTTGGGTAGGTCACCGATTAACCTCAGGACGTAGCAATATTCAAAAGGAAGATCGGGGATGGAAACCCGCACATCTTGGACATCCGAGTTAAACTGCAGTGAAGAGGAAAAGAAGTCAACGAAACGGGGTCATACCGTAGATTAATCCTTCTCGAGCTAAATTATTTGAAGTACTCACGCTCCGGGCTATAAGGGAGTAGACAGGATCGGTCAAGTATGTGAATGACGTCCCAGAATCCACTAAAGCTCTTAAAACTCCAGTGAGCATAACTGACCCGATCCTTATCCCATTCACAGTGACGATATAAGTGGGGCTGGCACAAACATTTCACCAGAGTAAGAGCAGATTAAATCGTAGTTGACTCCTCTCGAGAAAGTCTAAAAATTGACATCTTGATTCCATTGAGCTAGTCGGATAATAGATAGTCGAGATAAGCACCCACTGTCGCATATGGGGGAGGCACTAATATTCCACAACAGAAAAATAGGCTGAATTGAAGTCAACTATCCACGAAAATATGTCATCGAATTTAAAAGTCAGCATCTTGATTCCATCGAACAAGTCGTACGATAAACACGAATAAAACCGGATTAACTTGAAGTCAACTCTATCTGAAAAGTCTGACAGTTCGCATCTTGAATCCACGGAAAAAGTTGGAGGATAACAATTCGAGACATGAACTCACTATCGCCAGTGGGGCTGGCACAGAGATTTCACAAGAGGAAAACAAGCGAGATTGAAGTCAACTCTTATCGAAAAATTATAAAAGAGAACGTCTCGAATCCATGGAATCAAGCCAGACGATAAATAGTCAAGATGAACACTCACTGTCGAGCATTAGTGTACAATGGGGTTTCAGCCTGGTCAGAGCTGCCCTGGTCACCAAATCTTATCCGTCCGATGCCGTCACGGCCGAAGCACATGGAAAACGAGTTTGATGTGATGCCCGCCTTTGATAAGATGCTGGGGACTGAGATAGCGGTCATGCCGAGACCAAAGAGGCCGTTGGGGGCTGCAGAATCTAGGAAATGGCCCGTCTGAGTCTGTCCACACCTTTGAAATGGAAGTAAAACTCAGAGGACATTACAAAAATTGAAGAAGAAGAAGAAGAAGAAAAAATAAAGTGCACTGATAGAAATATGCAGAAGCTATGAGGCCATGCCTCCGACTATGTTCGCCTCACGCTTCATCATTATGGGTTCCATTGGAAATCGAAATAACTATGAAAAGAAAGAAGGCTGCAGATACCCGAGTACGACTTGAGCTTCGACGGTTTTGTTGTGAGAATCATCTGTTCTGAGGTGTAAGACGTCCTGAACTAAGACCCCGGTTGTGGACGTATTCTCAGACAAGTATCTAACGTTGTACGGACATTGACTGTCTCCCGCAGGGCATTGACTTTGGAGCTCGCAATATACACTGCTGCAAGGAATAGTCTTGCTGGTTGACGACGAGCTGGGGCTATAAATACTAAAATTGGAATCCACACCCTGCCACAGTATATGTAAGTTAGGTTGGAAGCAATCAACATGCCTGCCACGAAATAACAAAATTGAGGGCATAATAAGAGAATCAGAATTAGCCAGAGACAGTATGTTGATAACCAGAGAGAGAATCTTTAAGAACTCCCAGTTTCTTCTTATCCGCAGTGAAACTTAATTGTGCGGAAAGAAAAAAAAAATCAAAGTCGGAACTTTTATTGATGGTTAAAAGATTGAGTTCACAAGCCAGAAAAGAAACGTTTTTGAGCCTTTGTTGAATCGGGAATACGCCTTCTACTGTCTCTAATACCAAGTGGAGAATATTGAACATGATGATGGTTCAAACCAAAACAGAAAAAGCCAGGGATTCATGTTCGTTGACGATGCAGAGGCCACAAAAAAGGACTACTCAAAAGTCAGCGCCTTTTGTAACCGGCTCGATGTTGTGACCTGGGCTTCATAGTTTATGCCGTTCGCATCATTTGAAGCCCATGACGCTGTCATGAGAAGCGTTCATTATTTTGTTTAAGAAGAACAGAACGAATCAGAGATTGATTTTATGGTGAAGACGAAAGAGATTTTAAATCTACCAGGCTACATGAAAACTATACAAAAAGCCAATCATGGAACGGTGAGCTGCCGTGAATCCTCACGCTGATGTTTAGGATGGTTTGGTTCTAAAAAAATTCTTGATCAGTCAACGGAGGGGAAGAGGATAATACCAGTCCGTAATTCTTGGAGGAAGTCGGAGCACAGCTCTTGCAGTCGCAGGGCAACCAGAAGAGATCGCTTCCGGTATCAAGAGCTACGAAGAAGCTTGTACTGGGAGTCCCCACTGAAACCTCCGCGTAATGCAAGCTGCGCAAAAATAGGGGGAAGAGTTACGGAGGAGGAATTTCCAACTCCATCTTAAAAGAGAGACATATAAATAAAAGCTAATACTGAAAGTGCTTACAATCCCAGAGTGCGGACCCGTATAGTCTCGTTCCCCAACAAGAACGTGAGCGGCGAATCGGCACCGGCAAGGCTCCGCCCTCGGTGAACCCGGTCGTGATCCACCAGCGCGGCGTAATACTCGACAGTCCCTTCCTTCGGCCACTGCAAGGGGCTCCCATGCCCTTCAACCCAGTTTCCAGACTCCGCCCACTGCCTGACTCTGTCGGAGAATCGGTGGTGGAAGTCGAACCCGAAGGTGCCCGCGAGGCAGCCCGTCGGCGTCCATGGCCCAACGGCGAGGAGGAAGAGGAGGAAGGTGGATGGGGCCGTCGCCATGGGGGCAGGCTGTGGTGCTGTGGCGATCAATACCCAGGGATCCTTTCAAGGGGTTAGCGTACAAGAATTGACAACGGGGAGGGACGGCGACCTCAACATGTGCTGGAAGAAAGTCAATGGTAAGGAGAGGGATTGTCCGGGGAAGGCACCGCGTAGGCTCTCCTGTTTCCTTTCCTTTTCCATGACCACAGCACACCCATTTAACTTTTCTCTCATCTTCTACCGCTCCCTCTCCGCGTCGTAGAGGAGGAGCACGCCGACGAAGGATGTCGCGGAAGGCTACGACTCGGTCGTGGGAGATGGAGCCACAGCGCCGACGCTTCACCAACCTTGCGGCCTCCATTCCCTCAGCCATATTTCGTATTCTGAGGCAGACAAACGCGGGACGACGGAGCCCGAAGCTGTGAAGGTGAAAGGAGCGTGAGGTGATTGCGACATAGAGAGAGAGAGAGAGCTTCACTCCCCCCCACGAAGAAACCAGCGGGGTCATCACCAGCCCAAGGTGAAGGACCGGATTATTTAAATAAAAAACTAGCGAAATTAGTACTCGCGAGGAGCAAGCTCCTGGCTGACAGAATTGCTAAAGCATAAAACTTGTATCCTTTGTTTGCCTGAGTTCGTTGTTAGCCAAGCTTTTCCTCTGGCTGATGACCTAACACGTCTCAAAGGCGACGAAGACCCCACATAAAATCCCCTCTGCGAGTAGGGAGCACGCCGCGTGAAAGTTTCTCCTCCTGGGTAACGTCAAATTATTCCTTCGTCGGAGTTATCGGCCCAGCCACAAAGAGAGAGAGAAGATGTCAACTTTTTTGAGTCTTCTCTTATTATCTTCGTAGGCTGCTCTTTACGGACGTGTATAGCCGACAGTGACTTGCCTTCGACGCGGCCGGAAGATTTTATTACCAGTCAACATGTCGAGAGGGAAGTGGTCGCCAGAGGAAGACGGCGAAGTTAGAGGGGACGTATGATATAGGGCAGGTGAACGTCACGGACCGACCGGTGACCGTTGGCGATCGGTGGAGAAGCACGTCAGCCTGTTTAACCTTACGGCGAACGTGTGGGCCCGTCCTTGGCGGCGGAGACGGGGCGAGGCCTGAAATCTTCCATCAACCTTAGCCCTCTCCTTGACTAGATTACTCTGCGAGGGGCGGGGGCTGACGGAGGCGATAAAGGGCGTGTTCCCGCCGCCCGCCAACGAAAACTGGTAATATTCTACAAATCTAATGTTCCGGGACTTTGTTATCCAAGTCAACTCTGTAAAAGACGTATATATGAATATATTTTTTTCTGAGGTTTACGATCTCCATAGTGACTTCATCTTCATATACTCTCATCCTAACCTTTCGCTCCCCTTGCGGAGCCAGAGATATCTTCGGCGGTAGATCTTCTTAACCTGGGCAGGTGAGAAATCTACGTCACCCTCCATAATTATGAGTTTAATAGGAAGGTCAGTGGCGTACCATCTACTGCACTTACAGCTGGATTCCTTCCAACCCAGTACGAGCTTCTCTCGGTCAAACACAATCCGCAGGCCTTCCATGAAGTTCTCTGCGCACCAGGAGGGTCATTAACTTCTGATATTGTGTATTATCGAAAACTTAGATCATGATTATAATAAGATAAGGAAATTATGAGCTTACGTCCGATAATATTTATGCCGGTGGACTTTATAATTCCCAAGCAGAAGTATCTTCTCAGCTGCGTCATAAGAAGGGGGAGAAGATGAAGTCAATGGAATAGCTCTCGGTCTATAAAAGATTCGCTCCTCGAGGTGATGTTTGGTCTTACGCTAGAGGAGACTAATATTGTGGGTTGAGCGACAGGGAACTCGCTTCCGCCTTCCATTATCAGGCCTATGGTTGGCACGGTTGACTCATTAGACCTGCAATTTGACTGTATAATAAGAATGTGGGGTCATAAACAATGTACATATTTAAATGACATTAAATATGTTATAAAATAACCTCAATTCATAACAATATTCGAAGGAGAAATTAGGCCCTGGTGCTCCACGCTGGTCTTGCACCATCGAATTGAACTGCAACAAGGAGTCAATAAATAGTGAACTAGGGTTAAATTATGTTTTTCCCATAATTTCATAGATTTAATTTAATTACCCACACTCTCAGCTAAGATGGTGTAAGCAGGGTCCGCCAAGGATGTGAAGGAGGTCCCCGAGTCCACGAGAGCAATGAAGCTTCCAGGAGCGGAAGATGTCTCGACCCGCATGCTGGTCACATTAACGTCATACTTGGGTTTGGCACTGGAAAAGAAGATCTACGTAAGGAAATCATATTCAGTAGGGTTGGCTTTTTTTCTTAGGGGGAAGATAGAAATAGTCAAATTACTCGACAATCACAATCATTCCGTCGGCATTGGATGACAGAACCTGATCTATATTATAGCATGAATTATCATATATTTTTCGATCTGAAAAATAACAATCAGCATTGGTATATTGACAAGGAATCTGATTATCCAACTTAAAATCAATTGAGAGCGCATGAAATAATGATTTTTTCTTTGCAATGTCTAATGTACGTCTCTGGATGAATTCTCACCGGGATCGATGGGTGATAAATGGGGTCTGGAGTTGATCGGAGCTGCCCTTGTCGCCAAATCTTATTCTCCCGACACCATTCTTCCCGAAGCACATAGAGAAGGAATCTGACGTGATGCCGGCCCTCGACAGGATGCTAGGAACCGAGTTGGCCTTCAGACCCAGCCCAAAGAGACCATTGGGTGCGGCATACTTCAGGAATGCGCCTGTCTGAGTCTGCCCACACCTTCACGATGGAGGTACAATTAAAGATATTAATTGGATGAGTGACTAGTCAAAATCAGGCATTCAAGAAAAGTCCGAAAGATTGGTTCTCAGCCGGACCATTATGAAGCCTGGATAGGGCTCAATCTCAACCCCTAACACTTTGTAGAGAGAGAGAGACACAGAGAGAGAGAGAGAGACTTATAGTTGAATCACTTCGTACCCATCTGAATTGGGTCGTGTTTTTTTTTCTTTGGGCGGGGGGAGGCGACTGAATTTCGAAGCCTATGTCCGAAAATTCAGTCCGTGCTTCTATGAGGCTCCTCGGAGTGAAGGAGGATTATGGAGACCAAACTACGAAGGGAAATGTGAATAAATATCAAAACGAGGGGGAGATAATTACCCAAGTATGATCCGAGCTTGAACGGCGTTGCGACAATAATCATCGGTTATGAGGTGCAAGACGTCCTGCACCAAGATCCCAGAGGTGGAGGTATTTGCGGTCACATAGGTGATGCTGTATGGACATACACTGGTGCTACCCTCCACAGAACATTGGATCTTGTTCTCGCAGAATGAGCTGCGGCAAGGCAGCCTCTTGCTGGTTGACGAGTTTCTGGGACTGTAGATACTGAAATTGGAATTTCGGCCCTGTGACGATGCAAGTTTGATGTGAATTATTATGTGTCGTCATAGCGAGAGAGAGAGAGAGAGAGAGCAAAGTGGGTGATCATGGAGATCATATAAACCGTCCCAATATAACCCGTCCCAATATAAACCGCCGACGAGAGAATTTTTAAAGCAAGGACAGACAATAAGAAAGGCACAATTAATTCGCAACTTGTGCGGTCGCATTAACGGGCCAGGCTTGAACAAGACTGCGGCAGAAGTGAGGCAACGAGTGTGGGATGTGAAGAGAGAGAGAGAGAGAGAGAGAGAGAGAGAGAGGAGAAGGCTTGACGGAGAAACCAATAGAGACAGAAATGGATAAACAAAGTGAGTCTGCATGGACTTATGTGTTGACTTCAGTTTCACTTTGCCTTTTTAATTTGTCCTGAGACAGAATATCATTTGGTTATCCCATTTTAGAGCAGAGAGCAGCGGATTGACGGGTTAAGTTACGCCAACGAGAACACCGGAACGAAGAGAAAGGACGACAGGAATACAGAAAATAAAGAGGAAAAAACCACATCAAGCGGAAGATACCAATCCGTAGCTCTGAGAGGAAGTCGGAGCACAGCTCTTGCAGTCGCAGGGCAACCAGAAAAGATCGCTTCCGGTATCAAGAGCCACCAGGAAGCTAACGCCGGGCGTCCCCACCGAAACTTCTGCGTAATAGAGACTACGAGGAGAACGATCACTAATTCCACAAAGAGAGACGAGCCAGACGCAGGCAGGAGTTGATAGAAATCCTCCAGGAGAGCTTACAAACCCAACGTGCTGAGCCGGAATGTCTCGTTCCCGTCGGAGAAGGTAAGCGGTGAGTCAGCGCCGGTCAGCCTCCGCCCCCGGTCGTGCCCCGCCAGCGCGGCGTAGTACTCAACGCTCTCCATCTCCGGCCAGCTCCGGGGGCCGTGTTTCCCTCCTACCCAGTTACCCGACTCCACCCACTGCCTCACCCTATTGGAGAACCGATGGTGGAAGTCGAACCCGAGGGCCGCTGCGAGGTGGCCCGTCGGCGGCCATGCCTGGGAAACAAGAAGAAGGAGCACAAAGACAGGGGGTGCCGTCACCATGGCAGGAGCCTGAACTCACGGGCGCCCGGGGGTGGTGTGGGATGGAGGGAATGATGGGCGCCTTGGAGGGCGTACAGAAGAGGCAATTCCGTTAGATCGGCAGTGGGAACACCCATTTAAAGGGATTTTTTTTTCACGTGTGGCAGAGTGTTGGCCTAATTTTCAAGAACATCGGTTTTCGGCCCGATTTAATGACAACGCTAATCTCAATCTCTGTAATAATTAACTCATCATCATCATTAATCTCGCTTCAACGTGCATCTTAAATGTCTAACTCTATGTGTGGGAGAAACGATATGTTCTTCAATAACGTCCCATTAAGAGGTTTGATGTGTCAAGCTCACCTAGAACCCTTCTAGATGTGACGTATTTCATGCAATGGATGGGCTAACCAGACATGACACATCCTCCCCCACTTTTGGGAATAAGAAACCAACATGATGTTTATAATTTACAGCGTCCTCAACCAAGAACTTGCATATGTTTATTAATTGAGTGCTTTGTAGAGGGAGGACACACTATCTCTTAGCCTAATGGGCACCTTATTGCTAATGCTTAGGTGTAAACATGCGTGAATGATGGGTTTTTGGTTTTCTCATGCGTGAATATATTCTGCGTTATCCGAGAACCAGATCGTGATTCTGCTAAGATAATGAAGTTCTGAACTCACCTCTAATGATATCAGCTGCATCACTCAAAGGATGAGAAAAGGAAGACAACTGACGATGTCCAAGCTTATGTAATATTCATAATATTCGATTCTCTCAATGAAGCCTGATGTTACCTGATTGGGGACTAATATTTGGGGGTTGAGCGACAGAGAACTCGTCCTATTGTCGGCACCGTTGACTTTTGAGGCATGCGTGCTTGGCTTTGTGAGTAAGAACGTGGGATAAAAAAAAAGGTCAATAAATCTGATCTGGATAGGTAATTAATTAACCTTCGGATGAAGCAATATTCGGAAGGAATAATGGGGATGGAGGGGTACCCTACGTCTTGGGCCATTGAATTAAACTGCAAAGAAGAGGAAATGAAGTTGATGAAACGGAGGCCATAGCACCGATCTACGTCTTTCCCTGTTGAATTATTTGAAACATTCACAGTAAAAATGAGTGAGGAGCATCCGTCAAGTACGCGAATGGCGTCGCAGAATCCATTAAAGCACTTCAATTTCCGGAACAAGCGATTGATCCAATCCTCATTCCAGCCACTGCAGGATCGTAAGTGGGTTGGCACAGACAAGTTGAAGTCAACTAATACCCAAAAATTCTTAAATACAATATATCTCGAATCCACGGAGCAAGCCGGCTGATAAGGTGGCAACGAGGAGGGGCGGCAACGGCTAGATGTGATGAGCGAGAGAGAGAGAGAGAGAGAGAGAGATGTCATTCACTTCTTCACTTTGTCAGGCTGAAAAGCAGAAAATTTACTCTTGGATGCATTCAGCAGGGTTGCCACGAGCTGAAAACGAAGGCCCTTAAATAGTGATAATTTTCCTATTCATTTTAAGTTGCGATTGACGTGTAGATGAGGAGTTTTCTGCCGATTGGAATCTACCAGGTAGATAAGGAGTTCCCATTATGAGAAAAGTCAACGGTACGAGAAACACGATAAAGCTTTGTTGAGGACCGGGAGAGGGAGTCCGAGTGAGCGAGATGGGAGGGGAGAGAGAGAGATCGCCACGATGACTTGCTCACGTTGTTCGTGAAGGCGTTGCGTGGAAAAAGCTACTGTCACTCCGAAATTATCCCGTCCCTGACGGCATAAGCGAGCTAATCCAATGTACTGAGCAATTTTTAGTAAGCACTGATGACTTGATAACTCCAGTTTCCTCCAATTGAGATACTGGAGGTAGGTGAGGAGTTCCCATAATGAACAAAGTCAACGATGGGCAACATAAGATTTATCTCGCTCAGTCGCTCTCCCTCCTCGACTCTCTCTCTGTAGGTTCTGAACAGCTTGAGCACAGTCAATAATAAGGAAAATACGAGGAGGGAGAACGAGAGAGAGAGAGAGTTGTGTATTGCTCTTTCAAATCTTTTCAGTTCGCTTCCTTCCGGAAGCCTTCGCAAGGCAAAAGCTACTCTCCGCCGGGGGATATTCCTTGGTCGACAACATGGGTTTATACCCGATGAGACGAAGGACCAGAGGTGGAAGAGATTTGACTCGATCCAAACATACCTCAATGATGACTAGATCGCGACCAAATGGTTGAATAACAACCCTTTTTGACTTATTTCAGCCTCCCCAAGAACTTCTTCTGCACAATCTCTTATCCTAAGTTTTCCCCCGTCGTGCAGATCCGGGGATCTCCCCTTCACAAGGTCTTCTTGACCTGAGAAAGTCAAAACAATATATTATTCACTGTATAGGAAGATCAATGCGTACAATTCACTGCACTTACAGCTGGATTCGTTCCGACCCAACACGAGCTTTCTCTCGGTCAGACACAATCCACAGGCATTCATGAAGATCCCTGCGCACCAGGAGGGCGTCGACTTGATGATTGACCGCGTAAGTAGAATGTGAGCTCATGAACAAAGCTTTTAATGTAGAGGCTCGAAGCCCATTTGTCGTATCGTAGAAGTTCCATGATCACCCAATCACAGACTTCTCTCTCTCTCTCTCTCTCTCTCTCTCTCTCTCTCTTTCTCTCTCATGGGGGGTATGTAAAGGATTGGCCCCTAGCCAGGCTCCATCAAGGATCCGGGCGCGACTTCAGGCATTGCTGGCGTTGGACATTGGCTCAGCCATTTAATATCTTTAAATGTGTCTCAATGGTGAAGGTGTCGGCAAACTCAGACGGTCGCTTTCCCAAAATGTGTGGTATGTGCGCCATCTCAGTTCCTCGCATCCCTTCCTTCGTCAACAAGGTTGCTCAGATCGACGCTGACGCATTCATCATTGATCGATCGCAGAGAGAATCCATCGAGACACAGATTCCAGATATAGCAAATAAAAATTGATACTTTCAAATACCCTAGCAAGTCAACTCTTTAGCCGTGTTATCATGGCCGATGGTTATTTATCAACTTTCACAGGCCTTTTATTACTATAAAGTAATTCATAAATCATGCAGCTGTATAGATCAGTTCATGGCGTTTATTTCCAATAAATTTTGAGCCAGATAAAAGTCAAACCCAGATATGATGTTGGGGCGAACAGAATGCGGGTTGGGTTCAGGACCCCCAGATCCCTGGTGGACCCTGTTTAGGCATTTAATGAAAAGTGTGGGTAATTAAAATTATAAAATTAGAGAAAAATAAATCCATATTTAGTCTTTATAACTATTAATGATCTCCTTATCGCGGTCCTGATGCCACGGTTCCAGGCCAGAGCTAAGCACCCACTTCCAATTTCTCTCTCGAATATTGCTACCAAGTAAATGGCCAGCGATAGAACAAAAAGATTAGTAGGGAGAGAGAAGGCCGGATCAATTAGCAAGTTGGTACTGGCGGGCTTGAGCAAGACTCCAGTGGCGATGGACATAGATAGAGACAGGTGGGTTAGAGAGAGAGAGAGAGAGAGAGAGAGAGAGAGAGAGAGAGAGGTTGTCACGTGAGTAACCATGGGATGGTCATGATAGTAACGAAAATTACTATCAAATAAAAATTAGCCCATGAAGAAAGTTACAATCTTCTTTTCAAAAAGAGCTATTTTTAAGTCATCATCATCTTTGGTCCATGTAAAAATAAACTTTAGATTAGATGATTAACCATAAAATGACTTGTTTACCTACACACATTACCTCAGTCATAATAGTAACGCAGGCTTTGGTTAAAGGTCAACGCCCGCCTAACCAAGGACTTCCAGATGCCAATTAAGTGAGTGATCTATGGAGGGAAGAGAGTCTGTGAACTCCACTCAAAACTGATCTGTGACTTCTGAATATCTTCAACGTCGTTAGTAAACCAAAACACAGGAGAAAAGCTTCTGTAACTCCGTTCTTGTCAGAAAAAGATCAAATAAGCTGAGACTACCAAATTAAAAAAATAAAATTATAAGCTCAATGCAAAAACCTACACTGTAAGGATCACAAGTTTTGAGTTAAAGTCTCATAAGAAAATAGCCCTTGTTCTTGGCTCCTGTGACATTCTTGTGCTGGAGCAGCATATTCCAATTATGCTTCAGAATAACAAGGATAAAAAACAGGGTAAAAGAGGAGGAGCATGAGCAGCAGCAGGAGTGTGCCACAATGAGTGTTGTGGTTGTGCAAGAGCATCTGTAAAGAAGAGGAGCGTTCCCCCATAATGATAGTGTTTTTTTTCAGATAATCTACGGGCGTTAGTTCTAAGTACAGAAATAAAGTCGCAGAGTTGTGTCTTCCTCAATCTCTGCTCATTATACAGCCGAATTAGTACCATACATACATCTAGATTTCGGTATATCGAATCGGCATGATGTGGTCCTCATTAATGGTCAAATCATATGCAAAACTAGAGGGCTAATTCATATGCTCCAGCGCATCATTTGTATGCAACATCTAACCATATGGCTGTTTTACGTCCAGCCAGATTGTAAAGTCATGTGGTGTTTCTCTTCCTCAAAAATGTTCCAAGAAAGTAAGAAAAAAGAGAAAAAAATAAATAAAAAAGAAACTATAACACGACACAAAATGTGAAAAAAAATCGCATCACATGAATTTACACTAGTGGTATGGTACATCACAACATTTGAGGTACGAGTAATCAAACAAGATTGGACTTTCTCCTCATATCTGATATGTATTCCAATCAAAAGTGGGTTGCGAGAAGACCTCATAGTCAGTCGGGCCATCAACAAAACTATCAACCCCCTGCAAGCCTTCCAAGAGAGAGAGCTGAAACCCATCGGTTCTTGATGGAATTAGCTTGTAGAAAAATAACACCCCAAGTGTAAATATCGCCTGCAGCTTTGTCGAGTCTCCCTGGACAGAGAAGAACAACAACATCGACACTAGGAACATGACGACACAAAAGTGCATGATGCACAACACCCTGTCCATCAGCTTCCCATCATTACCGGGTGGGAAGCCACGAGCTCTGTACACAAACAAGAAATTATATTTGTCCACAAGGTACCGATACCCAAAGTAGGCAGCACCAATAGGAACCACAAGCGGCGCAAACAAAGAATAAATCATAGTAAGCGCAAATATAGTCAGGTTAAAGGCATAGTACTGGGCAAAGTCAAATGTCTGCTTCGGCATGTGGAAGCTCCTGTTGATCGGGTAAACTGAAAGATCCTGTCCTTGCAAGTCAACCCCATTCATTGCCGAACCATTCCCTCTTTCAGGTACAAGAGGCATCCTAAGTGAGTCTTCTTGGTGGTTTTGTTCTAAAGCATATTCCTCACTCTGCTCTGGGACCAGCTGCAGCATGTCATTCTTCCGAAACTTCTTAAGAGCCTTCTTAATCCAGGGAATTGGAGCTAATAAGTCAAATGATATTCCCAAGAAAGTGCTTGTGATTAGGAAAGCAAGTGCTGAGAGACACGACCTAGTCAAGAAGGACGCACTCATGTACTGTTCAATCCGCTTACAATCCCCACCGTCTAAGTAGCATTTGCCCATTTGAAGTATCCAACCCTCTAATGACGATTCCACCAAAGCACGCAAAAGGATGATGTTCACCAAAAAGAAGCAGACCATCTTAAGCAATGCAGCCCGTTGCTCCCCAGAAACTGTTAGATGCTTCTCAAACTTGGAGAGGTACGACAGAGCTGATGGGATCACGATGTACATGCTGACGAATATGAGAACATTAGGCAGGAACTGCAGAATCACTGTCGCAAACCAGCTGGAACCCTCAAACCAAGTAAACCAGATCTCCGCATGGTCCAATGCTTCAGCATTGATTATCCGGGCAGCACTCTTCATTGCATTGATCACTGCAAGAGGTGAGCTGCAGAAAAGGAGCATCAGAAGAAGGCATGTGTTGACGGCCACTCTCCTTAGCCTGACGAATAGTTTACTTGAGCCCAGGTTGTTCCAGTATATGTCAGCAGCAGATGGGGCTCTCTCTACCCTCCACCGGCTCCGTTCAAGCTGAAGCTCCATCAAGGGAAAGAACTGACCGATTGGTCTATTCTTCCTCTCGCTCCTGAAATCCCTAACAGCCTTGTTGGTCGTGTACACATCCTTGAAGACCACAAAAGCAATACCCGCACCCTGTGCCCGGCCTTCCTTGTAGTCCAAAAGCTTTCCCTGCAAATTTATTTTCATATTTTGCAATTTCCTCAGCCTCTCTTCATCAGTGAATCCAAATCTAACAGCAGCCACTGCCCAGGCACGCCTCAGCCTTGCCAATAGAGAATTCCAACCATTCTCACCAGCATCATCGCCACTGTCACGACTGGCACTGTTGTCCATCCGAGCTTCCAGCTTGGAAATACTGTCCTGAACATCAGCCCAGCTCGTGACGAGGCCATCCAGGGTAGAGAGATCGAATGGCACAACAACCCTGTAGACCTTCCCCGGATAGCGGTGCTGGAAATACTCCTCCAAGGTGGCCTTGTCGGCGGCAAGAAACTTCGGAATCCCTTGTACCATGATCGTGAATATCGCGATCGAGTTGGCATTAGGATCACTGGGGTTTCCATTTCCATCCCTGAACCGCGTGATTCTGAGCTTCTCCTCGATCTTGGAAATCCCAAAATGTGCAAGGACTACGACAAGCACCATCAAGAAGAAGTGAACCCAGAGGAGCGGAGAACCACGAGATATGTGGTTAATGGTTGTCCGCGAGAACTGATCGGAGATTGGTGCGGTGCCGCCATAAAGGTTGAGAGGAAGAGAAGCTAGGACAGCAACAAGGGAGATGGAAAAGAGAACGGCGAAGCTCCCGCGCTCGGTGTGGAGGAACTGGGAGGCGTCCGCGCCGCAGTGGAGCGCGATTTGCGTCGCCGTCGCGTGGTAGACGGCTAGAAGCTTTGCGAAGAGCGCAGCGGGGCCCGGGATGCGGCGGTGATCGCTGCGGAGCTTCACGAGGAGGAAAAGGAGGACGCAGAAGGCGGCGCCCACGGCGGAGATATTCAGAAGGTACTGGATATTGCCATACCACACAAACTCGCCAGGATCCGGCGGAGGAGACGGAGGCGCCGCGGATGAGAAATTGGCTCCCGGGAGGGAAGACGGAAACGGGGCCATGTCGCGGGGTGGGGTCGTCATCTCGAAAGGCAGAGGCGGAAGAAGAAGAAGAAGGAGGGGATGCTCTTCATGCGAACGAAGCCACAATCGCACCCCCAATTACCTCCTCACCGAGACGAATCCAATCCCTACCATTCCTCCGGAGCATCAGCGCCTTTACAGGGAGGGAAGACCCAGACGACGCTGGCGGCCCCCCGTCGCCTTCCCTCCGAAGGCAAAGTGGGAGAGGAGGTCCGTTCACAGCCGGAGTTTTTCACGCTTCCATAAAATGTGTCGAATTATATCGTCATAATTACAAAATACAATAATTTATAAAAAATGTTGCTCTTATTTACGATAATATATATATATTTCTACGAATCCTTCCGCCCTGTCACTGAAGTGGCTTCGTGTGGGCGGCCCAGTAAGTAGACAGGCCCATGACTGAGCGCGCGCGAGAGAGGGATATCACGTGTGGGCCACGTGAGCCTGCCCCAAAGAACGCCCAGTGGGGCAACCGGCCGGCCGTACCGTCGTTTTGGGGGGGGGGGGGGGGATTCGGCGCGTTGCCGGCGCTCGTGCGAGGGGCACGTGCGACCTCTGAACGTGGGTCGGATGGCGCCTTGCCTTGCTGGCCTCGGCCGCTCTCCTCCGTTGTTTCACTCCCTCTTCTGCTCCATAAGCCCACAACCCTCTCTCTCTTAATGTTTTCTCTCTCTTCTGTCATCTGTCGCCACTACTGTTTGCTGTTTGCTTTACGTAATCTTCAGTCGGGGTGGTACAAGTTTTGAAAATGTCCTTTTAGTAGTTATATTTGTGTTTATATCCTTAAGTGATTGGCTTGGCCACCATCAATTTGAGTTGACTCGTTCCTGGGAATCCTCTCGATGGCTTAGAGAGAGAAAGGGACAGTCGGAGAGAGAGATAGAGATAGAGAGAGACAGAGAGAGAGAGCAGGGTATGCCCGCTGTCTCCTTTGTTAGAGACATGGCAATGGTTGCCGAATTAAGGCGGGCATAAGGACTAATATTCATCTTTGGAGTGAAGAACGTAAAATGAAATGTTTGGGAGGATATATAGAAAATATTTATTTAATTTTCGCCTTATTCTTCTCCTCCTGCCTCCACTTGATCAATTGGGCTTCTGTCACCCTCCCTTTCTAGAGGCAGACACTTAAAAACCTTATTTTGGGTTCTTCCTCGCTCCGTCTCTCCAATCGGCCGTTTGGGCGTCTCTCATCCTCCCATTCCTCCGCCCACCTCCTCCACCTCCAGCAGCTCGGGGGCGCCCCTTTATCGCCTTCTGTCTATTCGATGCGGCAGATCGCTAGATCTGAATCTACCTCGGTCGATCACATCGCGTAGGCGGGTGCCCTTTCTCGCAGATCGCTGTTCACATCGCCGGCGGTGGCAGGAGGCTGGAACTTTACGGGGGAGATTAAGGCGTATGGAATTTCAGCCGAGAAGCTGGTATTTTCATCCGCACACCGCCAACCTCCCTTGCCCTTGAGGTCCCGGGGGGGGGGGGGGTCTCTGCTCTCTCTTCTGGACAAATCTGTCATTCCTCGACCGCGGAGGATGCTCTGCGCCCTCTCGAGATAATTTTTTGATCGATTTCTCCTTTTTGGATTTGTTGATGCCTGTGCAGAGGGAGCAGTGGGTTCTTAATATCTGGGTGTCGGGGAATCCGAACCTGGATGAGAGAGGGGCATCGGATTGAGGAACCGTAGAGGGAAGGTGAGATCCTGCGGGACTTATTAGACGATTACCCGTCTACTTTCTTCGATTTTTCGATTTCGCAATATCTGGGCTTCCATTTCTCAGAAAGATCTTCATCTTGGTCCCGCGTTGTCTTGATTTCAATTATCTCTGACGGCAGGGTCAGAGGAGGAAAATCGGATTAGGGCTTGCATTTTTTCCCATTGATGTTGCGGTGAGGTGAGATGAGAGATGTTAGCGGGGTTGATGAACCTCGGGAGGGCCTGCTGGCAGCCATCGTCCAGTAGGTATGGGCACTCTGGTGCTGACGCCGTCGGCCGGCAGGATGGTCTCCTCTGGTACAAGGACATCGGGCATCACTTGAATGGGGAATTCTCCATGGCCGTCGTCCAGGCCAACAGCTTGCTCGAGGACCAGAGCCAGGTCGAGTCAGGTCCCCTCAGTTCCCTGGAATCCGGCCCCCACGGGACCTTCGTCGGGGTTTACGACGGCCATGGCGGACCTGAGACATCCCTCTACGTGAACGAGCACCTCTTCCACCACCTGAAGAGTAAGCAACTTCTGATCTTGTGATTGTTCTCTTGCAAGAAAAATATACTGATTTTGTCCTTCATTCCTGTGCGTTGATAACGCTGATGCGAATCTATGTCTGCTAGGGTTCTCGACAGAGCAGCAATCGATGTCCGCCGATGTCATAAAGAAGGCCTTCCAAGCTACGGAAGAGGGCTTCCTCTCCCTGGTCGCCAAGCAGTGGCCGGTGAAGCCGCAGATTGCTGCCGTCGGCTCTTGCTGCCTGGTCGGCGTCATCTGCGGGGGAAATCTCTACGTTGCGAACCTAGGAGACTCTCGCGTGGTCCTCGGGAGGCTCGTCAGGGCCACCGGAGAGGTCCTAGCGATCCAGCTCTCTGTAGAACACAACGCGAGCGTGGAGTCCATACGGCAGGAACTGTACTCTATTCACCCAGATGATCCTCAGATTGTGGTCTTGAAGCATAATGTCTGGCGCGTGAAGGGCATCATACAGGTTTTTTTTTTCTCATCTTCTTTTTATTGCTTTATTTGTTGATTTAATTTTGCATTAATCATAGGTGAAAACTATGCGACAGTGCTTTGAATCACCAAATAAAATGGTCCCGATGTGATTTTTTTGTCCGCATAAATTCCCTGTTGTTCATTGGATCTTATAATGCGCGGTGCAGCCCGCATGCTTCTTCTTCCTCTGCTGTGTATTGATGTCGTCTTCGGTTCCCCCCATCTTGCAGGTTTCTCGGTCGATTGGAGACGTGTATCTGAAGAAGGCGGAATTCAACAGAGAGCCTCTTTTCTCGAAATTCCGCCTCCGAGAGCCTCTGAAGAGGCCGATTCTGAGCGGCGAGCCTTCTATCCATGTTCAGGCGCTGCAACCATACGACCAGTTCCTCATCTTCGCCTCCGATGGTCTCTGGGAGCATCTCAGCAACCAGGAAGCCGTTGACATTGTCCGACGCCATCCGCGCAATGTAAGCCGTTGACGAGTCTTTCACTTCCCAGTTGGGTGCAAGATCGTAATCTCTTTCTCGGCTTTTGGGCCGGATTAAAATACTCGATCGCCCATAGTTAACGCCGGCGGGAGCCAGTGGGGCTAATATCTCTGCATGTCCACAGGGTAGCGCCCGGAGGCTCGTGAAGGCGGCCCTGCAGGCCGCGGCCAAGAAGAGGGAAATGAGGTACTCCGACTTGAAGAAGATCGATCGGGGCGTGAGGCGGCACTTCCACGACGACATCACCGTCGTCGTGGTCTTCCTTGACTCGAATCTGGCTGGCGGAGCCGCCGCCTCCTCCTTCAGGAACCCGGCCGTCTCTGTGAGAGGGGGAGGCATCAGCGTCCGACCCAGCTCTCTTGCCCCCTGCGCCACCCTACCCGAGCTGGGTTAAAATCTTGAACCTCTCTCTCTCCTCTGTGTTCCTCGCCTCTCTCTCTCTCTCTCTCTCTCTCTCTCTCTCTCTCTCTTCCACTGTAAACGGGGGAGGGGGCCTTCCCGAATTGTAGTGCTTCGTGAATAGTACAGATCATCTTCTTCCGGAGAACATGAAATCTTTAGCTTAATGATCGTTGGTTCTTCATCAGTCCGCTGTATTTTCCTCCTCCCTCCGCTCCCCTCCCCCCAGCTAGTGGTCTCTGGTTCTTCCGCTCTAGCTTCAGCTCGGAAATGCTTTCCAACCGGGTGTTCTATCCGGTCAATGCCCTGTCAGAGCGGTGGTGGCGATGGCGGCGGCGGAGTGGCGTCCAGCTCGACCGGATTTACTGCGCTTCACCCCGTCGCCGAGTTCCTCCGACAGCGCCGCCCGAGTTCAACCCGGTCGCGTGCCTGAGTTCCTACCGCGCAAACCGAGGCGCTAAGCTGTCCTCCTCGGGCCCGGGTTAGACCGGGCACGAATATCCGCAAGCATCGTCATGGACATTTAGGTCTTTTCACATATGAACGATTCCCGACGCGCCTGAGTTGATATGTATAACTCGGCCGCAAGTTGCTTTCACCGGAACAGTGCCCTCCAGTGCTGTGTCATTAATTACTTTTTAATACTTTACTCCTCGTCGGCCGGCGGGCTTAACGAGACGACCGCCGGAGACTCGGAATCGCCGAGCTCCGCTGCCGTGCGAACTCAGTCGTCCTCTTCCTCACTCCCTCCCTCCTCCTGTGCCCGAGAGCTTCCTCCTCAGGTTGCCCTTCGTGGTTGGTGGAGTCCTTGCTCGCCGTTGACCCCCTTCGGCACGAGGCTTATCCGGGTAGAGAAAATGAAAATGAAAATGACGAGAAAGGAGACTCTCTCTGCTCATTCTCCCCCTGCCTTTCCTCCCCCGTCATATCATCTCTGTCACAGTCCAGCGCCCACAACAGCACGGAGATGGACTCGTTGACCGTTGTCTCTCGGGTTGACAATCCAGGGCGGGGAGTTGACTGCGGTATCTTCCTAATCGGTGAATGTCTCTCAGATAATTCCAGTGCTTAAATTCTTTAAGTGTTCGCATCCCACGATGAATGTGGTCGATATGGTCTCGTCAATCATGGTGCAGCCGACCGTGCGGGCTTGGTTGGGACCTGAGGAACCTGAGGAACCTGAGGAACCTGAGGAAGGAGAGGAGTTTCAGATGATCGGACCTCGGCCCGTTGTGTCGTCCGACAGGAGGGTCATGATTGCTCCGTAGTACAGCCGCCTCTTTCTTTTACGTGTTCGTGGGGCGAAACTCTCCACCGTGACGCCGGCGAACAGTGGGGTCGCAGACGGTGGCGCAGCCGCGTGGCGGACTCCGGCGACAGCTACCTCTGGTTAGATTTTCGTAGAGGAGCTGCAACGGTTTCTTTTTCTTTCCTACGGGAAGAGTGCGGCGGTGGGAGGAGCAGAGAAGGGGGCTGGTGGTGGAGCGTCGAGCTGGTTCGTCTCCTAGAGCAGGGGGAGATACCATATGGGGAAAGCTTTTCCAATAGATCTACGAAAATCATTGCTGTTGTGAATGGATTTAGTATTTAATGCGCCTGTGGCACGAGTTGTCGAGCAGATTACCGCCATTGGTTGCACTCTCTCCGGCCACCGCCAGCACCGCGGCGACCGCGAAGGCTGCATGCCGGTAGCACCAGGTGGCGCTACATGACAACAAATATGAGCCCGTGCCCCTCCCTCTCCGCCCCCGCCTCCCCCGCCACTTTTTTCCCTCCCTCTCTCTTCTCTCTCTCTCTCTTCTCTGTGTCTCTCTCTGTGAGAGCAGCTAAATGAAACGCAGGTATTTACACACTGGAACCTGGAGTGGTCACAGGTGTGAGTAAGGGTTTCCGCATCGCTGTTGTCCATTCTCCACTGCCCCGCTCCGCCTCGTTCTCCGGAGTTGAGAGGGGGCACAGGGAAAGGAAGGGATAGATGGGGGGATGCGCCGCCTCCAGGCTAGGGGCGGGGGAGGAGGACGACGCCGTCGGCATCTGTAGAGAGAGAAAACGGCTCTTGAAGTCTGCCGTCGACCGGCGGTATGCTCTGGCAGATGCCCACAGCAGGTACATCCACTCTCTCTACACCGTCGCCGGCGCCATTAGCCTGTTCGTGGCCAGGCACTCCTCCCCCGCTCATTTTCTCATCACTCTACCGTCTGCCCCCCCTCCCTCCACCTCCACGGTCTCCGAGCCCTCCTTCCTCCGTCAGACCCCGTCGGAGCCCAAGACGGAGACCGCCGTCTTCAGGTGGTCTCGTTCACCCTCTTCGTCTTCTTCCTCTGCCACCTCGGAGGGCGGGGAAGGGGTCGGGGATGCTGCCGTTGGGGCAGGGAAAGGGGGAAATGTGGAGATGGGTTATGGGTGTTTCTTCGCGGAAGACCCTCCGCCGCTGCCGTCCCCCATGAGGACCTTTGGGTGGGACTTCTTCGATCCGTTCGACAGGGTCAGAGCGGCAGAGGAGGTCTCAGTGATGGCGGGCCTCCACAGGAGCTCTGAGGAGGACCTCAGAGTGGTGCGGGAGGAAGAGGGCATACCAGAACTGGAAGAAGAGGTTTTACAGGGGGAGGGCGGCGGAGAATACATCAACGACCCCAGCGGAAGGGGGAAGCTGGCGTCCCTGGGCGGCGGCGGCGGAGACGGGAATGCCAACAGCAGCGAGATGGTGGGCCGAGCTACGGTGGACGTGGCTGCCACCGACGGGAACACCGAGAAGGCGGAGAAGGGCCTGACTCTGCTCGACACGCCGGCGAGGGACAGGGAGCTGCTCGAGGCCCTGAAGGACATCGTCGACCACTTCATCAGGGCTTACGACTCCGGGAAGGAGGTGTCCAGGATGCTGGAGGCCAACACGCTTGACCCCCATGCCGGTGTGGAGGAGAAAAAGGGTGAGCTTTATTTTTTTCCCCCCTTCTTCCTCCTTTCACCCCCCTTTCCCCTTTCTTAATGGCCGCTAGGGTCCTCCCGTGAGCTCCCTCAATTATGTAACTCGTCAACTGCCTCATGCCCTCATCTCTTGGCTTCCTCTCTGCGGCGGAGGAGATGGGGAAGGGCTCGCTCCCTTCTTGTAGCAGCTCTACCTTTTCCTCGAGTCTGGCCGGCCCCCAGAGTCTTCACCAGTTCATCTCAACCTTCTTTCTCCCTCCCCTTTCCCCAAGATAAGCAAGGCGCCCATGGAAAGCTTGAGCTACCTGGGAGTCGAAGTCCTCATCCATCATATCATGCTCTAATGTCACCTTCAGCAGGCTGACGAGTTGAGCACCAGCATTCGATCGAATCCCTCCAGGGAACACGGAAGAAGGCTGATCGTTTCTTGTGTGATTTGCTGCTGATTCTTCCGTTTCGGGTGCAGAGAACTCCTCGAAGCTGGTCCAAGCCATCGCATGGCACCGGTCACCTTCTACCCAATCTTCGTCTTCGTACAAGAGCTTTCTGGCCTCGAGCTCCAGGGACAGTTCGTGGGCCGACGGCAGAAGTAGCCTCTTCGATGATTACGGGGGGATGGCCTCAGGGAGCCATTCGTTGACCCTCGAGAGATTATATGTCTGGGAGAAGAAACTGTACGAGGAAGTCAAGGTAATGACGTCTTCATTATCCTGCCTCAATCCTGCTGGTCTATGAGCAAGAGGTGTTCTGGTCAACGCCGAGAGATTTTGGCGGCACCTTGATAGCTTCTGCTTGGTTCATATGAGGTTCTGATTTATATATGCATTTTCCTTGTTCCCCCTAAGAAAAAAAATCCCCTTTATTCTTAGAATTTGATGGCTCAATTGCATGAGAAAACCCGGCAAACTGATGAAGAAAAAGGGGATTTTGGAACCAAAATATGGCAAATTCAGATAAATATATGTCATATTTTAATAGGTCTTCCGACATGCAGGCTGGCGATCGAATCCGGAGAATCTACGAACGGAAATGTTCACAGCTCACGAACCATAGTGCCAAAGGAGTTGACTCCCGCTCCGTGGATAAGACCAAGTCCGTGGCCAAAGACATGTACACAAGAATATGGGTAGCCGTGAGGAGTGTGGAGACCATTTCGCAGAGGATTCAGAAGCTGAGGGACGAGGAGCTTGAGCCTCAGCTCTTCGAGCTCCTCAAAGGGTAAGTTCCAGCATGAGCCTCCTCAAATGCCTGCCCGAGTTGCTAAACGTAGCCCTGCGGTAATAACGCGTTGACTTTTTATTCCATGGATAGCCTAATGGAAACCTGGAGAGTTATGCTGGAATCCCATGAAACCCAGAACCAGATCATGCTCGAGGTGAAGGCGTTCACTTGCCCGGCGTACGGGAAATTCTGCACGAACTTGCACCGCACCGCGACTTTCCAGCTCCTCGCCGAGCTTCAGAACTGGCGGGTGTGCTTCCAGTGCTATCTGACGGCGCAGAAGGCCTACGTGGAGGCCATCTACGGCTGGCTGTCTAAGTTCATCGCCCCCGAGGTTGAATTTTGCTCCCGCGGGAGGGCTACGGCTCCGCCGCACAGAGTCTGCGGGCCCAAGCTCCTCGTCATCTGCCAGGACTGGTTGACCTCTCTGCAGAAGTTGCCCGAGAAGTCGGTCTCCGGTGCCATGAAATCCTTTTGCAAGGATCTGAGGATTTTATGCGCTAAGCAGGACGAAGAGCAGCAGCAGAAGAGGAAGGTCGACAGCCACGCGAAGGAGCTCGACAAGATGGTTCTCGCCCTCCAGCGGGCGGAGAATCGCATTCTGGAGCCGAAGCTCTCGGAGCTGAAGGCGGAGAACGATGTCTGGCATCGGGTGGAGGGCTTGGCCGAGAGGAAGGATCGGTTAGACATGCTCAGGGCGAAGCTGGAGGCGGAGAAGGCGAAGCACCATGAGTGCATGCAGGATACGCAGAGGGTCGCCCTAAACGGGTTCAAATCTGGCCTGGCGAACATCTTCGACGCCCTCACCGACTTCTCCCGAGACTCCCTGAAACTCTACAACACCCTGGCCATGGTCAACGAGAAGGGGCAGCAGCTGGTAGACGAGGACGGAAAGGAGCCCCCCACGCTCACAGAGGGCAACGAGCCCGAGCCCGACTGCAGATGATCCGCGACCCCTTTGCTCTTTTCCCCTAGCGGTCAACCAGATAGCGTAGCGAAATCTGTATATTAGTGTTTCCTGCATGGTTTGACCTCACCAGCTCTCTGAGTCATTCATCAAATGTGATTCTCGGGAGAGTCAACGGCGAATTGGTTCATCGTCCAGTGGTTTATGCTTCCACACCCTTTTTGTTCATCGTCCGCGACCCCTCTGTCCTGATGTACGTAACGGCATGGTTGGTCCTCAGGGGGACGCAGGCCTGTGCGAGCATGAACCCTCCATCGCAGCTGTAATTAATGTCTGATTATCATTTGATTTTGACTCAGTTGCTTCTATAAAGATCCGCCATGATCTGGCCAAGCTTCTCGGCATTGCAGGGAGAGCCTCCTCCCCATCAACTACAAGATCATGCTAAATAATACAGTGAACTTGACATTGATTACATCGGGTTACAAGGTCTCGGCTTCAGCCTATCTAAGATACAGAGAGACCAGGAACTGGGAGAAGAGGATGAACTCGCTTACAATCACAGCAGGAGAATGAATCCCGAAGAAGGGTACGATGTCGACCTGCAGCCATTGCTCAACTACAGATCCCACCACCGCACCAGCGACGAGCCCCCCTGCAGTTATAAGGGTCGCCTTCCCTGAAAAGAAAAAGAAGAGGAGAGATAAAGATTACTGGGTATATGCTTCTGAGCTGTGAAATATTTTCCGCAGAGGGAGGATGAAGAGGGCAGAATCTTATAAGGATGGGCTCGAAATTAGCTTTTCATGGAAGAACTGTGAGGTTAATTTGCCCCATACCCATCATTTGTAATTGACACCTAAGGATGAAGCATGGTGCGGGGAGTTTCCCTTTCGCGTTTGGTAATTTAGGCTTGTTGATCCGCTCATGCCATTAGGGCTTGCTAGCCTGCTCTGCAGGAGGATTAGGATCTCAAGAACAATAGCTGGTGCAGTTTCGCCATGGAGCTCTGTCATTCATCTTCTCAAACTATACCCTGGCCTAGAGCATGGCATCGCAGAGAATGTGAGGGTGGTGCAGGTCCTAAAATGACAAAGCCTATTCTTCTCGTTCTGTAAACCATGGCTTAGATTTTCTAAGATGAGAAAAATGTCACAGACTAACTAAATGATAAGATATCAAAACGTCGAAAGGAGCAGAGTGAAGACTAATTGATAGAGATCTTAGGGAGGGAGATCTACGAGCACTATGATCATCCAAACACAGACAATTTCAAGAAGTATAGGAGCGATGGGTGGTAAACAAGCATATCAATCAGACCATTTATGCGTGCAAACATGAACTGCGTGAAAGTTGCATCTGGGTCTGAGATAGCTACATGTTGGAATCCTTGCTTAAAACCCCGACATCAATTTCCACAATCATGGTTTATGAAGATGGGTAACAAATCGGCAGATGGTCACATTGAATCGAAAGGATCCTGCGTTTTTCTAAGACATGGGAAAATTTCTAATTACCTGTAAGTGAACAGAGGCTTGATTTCAAAAGCCACTAATCAGAGACCACACAGTTTACTGCATAACTACCTGTGAGCATAGGGATTAATTGAGAAACTCAGGCTGTCGCTTACCTAGATTTATGTTCTTCTTCGTCAAGAAGTACAATGAGGCGCCAAATCCAGTGGCGAGTATGAGCCCTGGAACATCCGCTCCATTGTATGCCCCTCCTGTGGGTGCGGAGGCGCCACTCACAAAGGTGAATACCATCAGCGCCCCATAGACCCCTCCTTGAATACCCAAGTTTCTTGTGGGTGGAGACTCAATTGAGACCGGGGCGTTCTTGACCGTTGATTGCAGCCACTGAGGCATGGAGCTTGAGCCTGGAACTCTTGCAGGCTTGACATCAGCGTAGCGAATGCTACTGTTCACAACCTTTCCAGCCCTGCGTTGGGTCAGACTCTGCATGAGCAGCATGTCATATGCTGCCTCTACCTGCACCACGTCCAAAGGAAAATATTTGTTAATTTATGGGTACTTATGGAAACCAAAAAAGAATTTTTATCGACGCAAGAGATGCCAAAATATATGATTTATGATGGGCTTTAGTTAAAATAAAGATGTATTGAGAGCTGAAAGAAAAGATTTGTACCGAAAGAAATTATTCAAAGTTAGAGTACCACGAATTGCGGCCAGAGTTACACATATGGGCTGTTTATTTCTACAACGAGCTCTTAGAGTCGTCAATGAGAGAAGTTGGGATGCTCCTGTTCTATTGGCGAATTAACCCTCCATTTGTAATCAGACTAAAGGAGTGATCTTAATTTAAAACCATTGTATCCGCATTCAGCTAAAAGAGGGAAATGCGTGCGATTGTTAGGAGAGACATTCTGCAGATTCAGGTTCGCATGCTGTTAATAGAGCATGCCCTCGGTCCTCAATCACGGACCTGCTTCGGTTTCTTCAACTTCCTCGATGAAATTTCATCAATTTTTTACGAGGTGCAAGACGTCTGCCCATGAATCTAGGCTGCCCAGAGCTCATGATCAAAAATAGGCATTTTCTATGATGCATCGACTGGATAACAATGCCCAATTCTAAGAGAAAAGTATGCTGAGAAGAATCAATAAAACTGAGAAGATTCAGACAGCACCCTGGCGATGGCTTCCTGGTCGTCCTTACAGGAAGCGACGATGGCGTTCTTCGCGCGGAGGATTTCATCAAAGGATGCGCCCTCAGACACTCCCAGTAGCTTCAACGCGCTCTCCAGAGACATCTCATACGGCGTCGACGAGTCATCGGCCCGAAACCCCGCTGAGGAAGTCACGATTCGGCTCCCCGGAGAAGTCCTCGTCGGCGATGGAATGGTGGTGACGCCCCACCACCGCCTCCTCTTACCCACCGGCCCGGGCCAGCGATCCGCGAGGCCGGCGAGCACAGACCTTGAGGATGACGACGATCCGGCGCAGGGGGCTGCCGCCGCGTTGGGGAGGATGATGGCGCGGTTTAACGCGAGAGCGGCTGCCATTGCTTCCCTTCGCCGGCTCTCCCCCTCCTCTCCCTCTCAGTTACCTATTTCGTTACTTGTCTGTTTTCTGTTTTTTATATGGAAGACGAGATCTTTTATGAATGAAACCAAAAACGCCAAAATAGGAATAAGAGAGAGAGAGAGAGAGAGAGAGAGAGAGAGAGAGAGAGAGAGAGAGGAGTACCTGGTCAGCAACAAGCCAAGGAGCCGCCTCTGAAAACCATTCCGGGCCGAGTCCAACGATCGGCCCAGAAACAAAGCGGGCTCCTCCGCTGCTCTCAGCCACCGTATCCTGGTCGGGCTCCTCCTCTCTCGAGCCGAGGATCTTTCCCTGTCTAGTCGCGCTCAGCGGAAGGTCGTCGTGGTCGGTTCCGGCTGGGCTGACCTTGCCTCTGCACACCACCTCACCAAGCAAGCCCACAATTGCTTGCTTCTCTCTTCGATTTCTGTACTTTATGAAGTTATGACGCTAACCCAAGAGAAAGGAGTGGCTTCGTCTCTGTCTTGGGTGTTTCAGGGGTTTCGATGTTACAGTTCCTGATGCGGGGAGCTGCCCTGCTGAGGAAGTAGAAACAAGTGCTTAATCTTTTACCTCAAATGCGTCTATGGTCGTCTAAGAACTATCCTATAAGAACTTGCAATCTTATATGAGAGTTCTTGGCATCTCCGTCTTTTCTTGCCATTTTCATGAAGCATTTATGCCGCCGTTTATACCAGGCGCGAGAAGCTTGCTGAGTTGGTTCTAATGCCCATGAAACGCTTCGCCAAGGCGTGCATCTTTTGGATGAGACGACAAGTTAGTGCTCTTTAAACTTCCTCTATTCATAGGAATTCGATACTATTCAAGAACCCACGACTGTCGCATTTAATATCGATGCCCAGCCTCTGTCTGACACTTTTCCACTCAATATCGGTTATGGCTCTCGTTGCTTACACCATCACAAGGGAGAAGGACGACGGGCTCCCATGCAACACAACGCATGGAGAGACACCTTACATGGGATCATGCCTCCAGTGGAGGTAACGGTAGCCTCAATGTACATTTGTTCAAAGGAAACTATGGACGCAGTGGGCACCTGTTCCTAACAGGAACTGTATAGATTTTCGGGAAAACTTTCTTCAAGGCGAAAAGAGCAAGCTGTAATTTAAATAACCTTCAATTTTTTTGTTAAGGGAGTTACCTACCTTCCCATAAGAACTTCTTCAGCGATCAACAGTTCGATACTAGTTTTCAAAGGATGGCTAATCACTTTGTGTATAACACAGGCTTTTGGTATCCCTATAGCAACATTTTTTCTCCTTTGTAGAAGAGCTTGGTAGCCAGCCACACACGAAGTGGGCTAAATCGGAACATTATTCTCCAGAAGGAAAGAACGTTTGCTGCTTTTATTGGGTCTAGTTTTTTCTATTAAATGCCCAATTTCTTATTCACCGCTGTAAAAACTATGATAATTTCGGACTGGTCAGTATACTTGTGGACATCACTGAAAGGACATATGGTCTTCCACAGTTCGCGCTTCCAGTATTTCAGGGTCTACCTCAACTTCCAGCGCCCTTCAGTGCATTATTGTACCCTCGAGTACATGACATCATTCTCTTGCGCCATTCTGAGGTGCTAGAGTTTTCTTATCTTCCGACGATAGTCAGAAGTTTTCTCTTCGGACGTAGTTTCCGCACCTTCCTTTGGTCAATCGTCTGTCAGCAGTTCCTCTTATTGGTCCGGGTATCGACATTCTTAGCAATGTTTTGATCACCTTATTCCAAACATGTATATTTTATTCAATAAAAACTTTAATTTTCTTGAAGAAAATGTTTTTGGCTGGTCTTGACGTGTTCTGTGCTTTGAATGTGCGGCGATTGACTTTGACAACACAGCAGTTTCTTGGGGGAAGTATGATTCAAGTGAGAGATTGAACTAGGTGAAAAGAAGATAGATAATTTTACTTATCCTGACGACGAGCATGATTTATATCGCTGATGAAGCATTCTAAAAGAGAAATCTTGCAAACCTTAATCAGAAATCTCAAATGACAGTGACTAAGAGGTGGCTTTTTAAAGAGTTTGGCTGCTCCGGGGGTTTTTGGTCCGACGGTGCTGCTGGGATTGTCCGCTCCTGCAGAGCAATGCAGTGCACCTGCAACACTGGGAATGCTTTATTATTGTGTATTTGTTCAGGTTCGATTTCTGGGCTTTCACGCAAAATTTGTATTGCATTAACGTAATCTATCTGAATTATGGAATATATTATGGGATATTACTAATTCTTGCATCATTTTCTTGTTGTTCCCTGGTTTCAAAAAATACCAAAACTTTGATGTATCATGGTGTCGGGGATCTGTAAAAGAGATGATTTTTATTCCATGGGTGGAGCCTATGAACTCGGAAGGACGTAAATTTGATGAATTCCAGAGAATATGAAAACCACGGATGCATTTCTGGAGTGGTTTGTGGAGAGGATGCTCATGAATTTGACGCCATAGTATTAGTTGCCGATATTCATAAACTTCATTCAATTGTTACAAGCAGATAATGATTGATACATCTGTCTGTATAGAGAGAATGATATCCCCTTGTCTTCGCTCGCCCTCTCCTCTGGTTAGACATCCGTCAACCCATCCCTAATTTTGATAATCACTGTCAATATTAAGAAATATGTAGGTTTAACCTGCATAGAAAGGAGGAATTCCTAATGCGATGAAACTTTCTTCGCGTGATGCAGTGTCTGTCAAGATATGGATGGATGGAAAGGTGGGTTTAGTCTCTTTCTTATCTTTGTGCTGATTGAGTAATACTGGGCTTTGATTTAGTCGGCAAATCGTCTGTGTATAAGTCCATATCTGAAAGGCTTGCAATATTTTCAGTGGCCATTTGAGGATTTAACGGCGGCATGGACATTCCTTGACTTGAATGTCATTTTCGATGAATATCTGGATGAATCTTCAACAGTCTTAAAGGCTGATTTTATGAGTCGATTGCGCTTTGTTACTTTATCTTGTGATGCCTAAATCGCCATACTTCACAACCGTTGCTCCTAAGAGATGAGAAAATCGTGAAGAACCTTTCCAACTGCTTCAAAGACTTAGAGGAGGCGAAGAAGTTTTTAGATATCCAGCTCTGTACCCCACTTATTCCCAGGTGATTCCTGAGGGCGCCGAGAATATGATCTTGCCTTTTTTATAGATTATTTATGCTGTTGAAATGAAAACTTTGTTGGATATAAATTGCGATTAGATATAGAATGCAAAGCACTCACAAGTAGGCTAGAGAAGAATGGGGATGGACCATTACTTCCTAGCTCAACGCTTTGACAGAAAATTCTTGCCTTTATGGATTTTTCCTGCAAAGTTTGAGCAGGTTCTTATCGACCAACCTTCCTATTTTCTCTCTGATCATGATGAGATTGCTGCGCATTCATTAAATCTTTTCTTCTTCTAGGCCGCAGCAGTCCAGTAGGTTATTATCCTAAAATGGATCCGGGAGCTTAAATAAAGAAAATCGTCAGTAGCCATACACTAGAAGAAATCATATTTATTATTCCTATTTATAGGAATGTAGAGTTAAGGCTTCTTGATCATTGAGACCATCTCTCTTTTTCCGTTTTAGGCTATTTTATCTCTACGATCATTAGTTATTCGTCCACAATGGATGCCTGCCTTTTTCGTGATTTCTCTCTCGATGTAGAGCTAGCTTATTTCTCTATAAAATACCACTATTTCTCCCCTCCTTTGATTATAAAATATTCAATTTTTTTGGTTTCAATTTTTATTTTTATTTGACGCTATGCACTCCCTCTTTTCCGATTGTGGGTTAGATTCAATCAGAATCTGATGTTTACTTCCACGTAAACATCAGATATACGATGAGGAGAGCAACTTGATTTGCAGACTTGTTCGTGGCTGGAGACTCGATGATGACCCGTACAATCGATCCTGCTCACAAGTGGAGTATCAAGATCTCCTGGCAGTCAGTCTTTTGCGTCCACTCCAGGGAGCCATGCTTCTTCGGCAATAGTCACTATCGGAGGGCCTTGACGAGGAAAAGTTAGGTATGGCTCCTGAAAATCAGAAATGGCTGAGGATGCCTCTTTACGCCATTACAGAAGGCCCTTGGTTCAGTATCTTCCTCTTTATGAGATCATGGGCAGAGATCGTTCCACGAGATTGTGAACGGCGTGGTATGCTCCTTACCCATCATTAGAAGGCATTCTGCGCAATATTTTTCTCAATGGAGGAACAGGGAATTGCTTCGCGGAAAGTGCGCCCAATGACCGCCATGGTGCACTTAAAAAGTTTGGCAGAAACGTAATCTGAAAGTTCCATCGCCCGCATCTCATTTCCACAGGACAAAGCTGTCAGTGGAGGGGACTCGAAGTTGCGCAGATCGGTTCCTCGACCACCTCCGCGAGGGGAGCTTCGCCGTGGACGAGGGTGGGTAAGGCCCCCATAGAAGCAATGCGAGGCAACAACATGACGAGGGCGCCGCAGCTCCCCTTGTTGATTCGAGACGAAGAATGGGCATTCTGAGGAGTTTTTAGACGAAGAGCTGTGGGCTTCAATGATTGAAGTACACCGATGACTGGACAGGCATCGGGAGGAGGCCGACAGTACACCGCGACTGAATGATTAGTTCGTCATCTGCCGTTCTAACAAGGCATAAAGGGGGGGTCTTGAACTCCGGAACGGGCGAGCTCCGTGGTGGGAAGTGGCCATTATTGTAGACCCGATCCCTAATTAAGGTGGTGGGTGGGCGAGGAGCAGGAACATACCAAAGAAGGGAAGGATCAATGAATCCTACGTTTGAGGCCCACTCATGGTGGCGAAGCTTATTTAAAGCGTTGGCCGGAAGAGTTTGTTCCTTCGGTCAATGTCTCATACTGACTCAAATCTGACGATAACCAGCCACCGTGGATGTGACATTTGACTGGAAGAGCTCATTTGATATTTGACAAAACCTGATCTCAAGAGTTTTCAAACGCACCCTGTTTACCATATGAGAGAGAGAGAGAGAGAGAGAGAGAGAGAGAGAGATGCTGGCCAGGGTGATTTCCTTACTTACCAACGATGCGACAAAAAGGCGACATTTTTCGGATCAATTCCACTTTTGGTAATTAAATTAGCAGAAAAACTGGCCCATATCGTTGAAAATAATGCCCCACGCGGACGTCGTCGTGGGCGAACATCAATGTTAGGTTGACTAGGCCAATACGGAACTCTTGCGCAAGCAAGGGTATATTCCACAGGACTCTCACGTTCACATTCTAGAGAGAGGAAGGGAGAACCTGGTGAGATCAATTATTTATCCCTCTCTCTCTCTCTTCGCATATCACGTATTTGATGCGAAGAGAGATGACGATACTTCTAGGTGGGTGACTTCGCCCTCTCAGAATCCAATCGCATTCTCTGTACTGAAGGGAGAATGAAGTATAAGTGGCGATACTCATTATGGAAAAGAGATCCGACAAGTCTCTGTAAGCTTTAATCTATTCCTGCATATCACGTAGATTTCAGTTTCTTTCTGTTCAAAGCGATTACTTATTTTATTATGCATTATTCCCTACCTTATTCTTCTACGCGTGATAGTTAGCAAATGACGCATCGTGGGCACGGCGATCTGCTAAGTTTAGTCGCAACACGTCAGAACTTTCCTGATGAAATGGGCTATTTTTTTTGTCTAAACATTTTTAATGAGATGGCATTGTTTGATCCATGCAAACAATGTGCATTGATTACCAGTCTATCTAGAGAGAATCACTTTCAGCGTGACTAATGGCCTTCCAACCCTGTGAACAAGTTTACACAGTCTTGCAGAGCCCTCAGAGTAAGAGCTCTCTCTCTCTCTCTCTCTCTCTCTCTCTCTCTCTCTCTTGTTCTCTTTCTCTATTTACCTATCTTTCTGCCTATGCAAGGAGTCGAAGCTTGCTGATCGACAGTAGCTTAGGCAGGCCATGTGGCAGTCGGACAGCTCACGTTGGGCTTCCACCGACCGGGATGAGAGAGACCACCGGCGCATATATATGCGAGGCTCTCAGGAAGAGGAGAAGGCGGCAGCGGCAGAGTGGATCCCCGGCAGGAGGTTGGTGGGCGAGTGGACGGCTCCAGCGGGGTATGCCGGTGGCCGCCTACAAGTCATGACGGCATAACGGGCACGAACCATGCCGGATGAGCCAGTCATCAATGCACGGCAGATGGAACATGTGCCCGCAGTGGGGCAAGCAGCGCACTATCTCTCCAGCTTGAAGGTCCTACAAGGAAGGGCGGACGCGTCGATGTTAGGAGGCATCGTGGAAGAATAATGGCCGTAGTAGCTGCGGCGGTGGCCGGAGCTCGCCTCACCTGCAGGCACACCGAGCAGCAGAGCTTCTCTCCCGAGGAATCGGCGAGGTTCTCCACGGTGAGACGGATCTTGGAGATCCTCTCGACGGAGGCCCTCGCCATGCCCTTCGTCCCTCCGGTCTCGAAGATGTCCGTGGCCTCCCGGAAGGGCGTGTTCCTGGCGCTCATCTGTGGAGACAAACCCAGTCAATGGCGGAAGATCCTCGGGAAATCTAATCGGAGTTTCGGTTTTTGTATCTGGCCATCTCGCCGTCGCGGCGAAGGTGTGTACCTGGCTTTGTACTGCGCTTTGCACTGCCGGGCCGACGTCTTCTCGGACCAGCCTCCCGCTGAACAGGCTTCCGATGATGTCGATCTGCGACAGCAGCACGATGGGGAATTTCAGTGAATGCCGAACTGAGCGGAACAAACTATTATTGTTGATGATAGTGGAGCTGGTGCAGCGGCGAGAGGAGGAGAGAGGACGGGCGTACCACGAAGAGGATACTCCAGATCCCCGACCCGTGGGAGCGCCAGATGACCAGACACGACTCCACGACGTCCATGGAGAAGACGGCGCCGGATATGGCACCGATTCCCGCGCCGCAGAAGAAGCCGCTCTCCGTGGCGAGGCCCATGATGGCGCCTGTGATGGCCCCTATGAAGGAGCCCACTGCGGCAAGACACGGTAGAACACAGAGGACGACCTTCGTCAGCGGAGTTCCCCAATCAAGTGTGAAGTAAATGGCGAGAAGTTCGATTCTGGTTGTTGTTCTTGATTGGACGAGAGGAAGACAGGGAGAAGAGTACCAACCTATGGCGAAGACACAGGTCAGAACCCCATACACGAAGTTCCCGACCAATTCAGACAACACGGAGCCGATCCTGCCCCTCTCCCCCTCCAGCGGATCGCCGGAAGATGTGTGACCGGCCATTGGATAATCCCCAGCATCGTCATCGTCAATGGGAGAAATAGAAGACGAAGAAGCTGAAACGAGCGAAAGAGTGGATGGGTAAGGAGATGTGGTGCACTCATACTGAAGAGAGTGAAGGAATTCCATCGACTCTCTTCTCTGAGAGGGTCTGAGAGAGCTGATGCTGGCGGGGTTGACGGGAGAAGACGATGAACGGACGAGGTATATATATATATATGTCGAGAGAGAGAGAGAGAGAGTAGTACTCGTAATAGTTTGGGGAGGAGGAAGGACCAACCACCACCCGAGGATGATATTAGTGCTGGTGGGCCGTGACGGCTATTTAAGAAATCCTCTAGTCATGAAGAAAAGCTCAAGAAAAAATGGATTCTCTACGCACTGCCGTGGGCCGCCGGCTGTTTCACCCACGCCGATCGGAAATTTAAAAAAGGTCTCTCGTGCTCGACCTCGTCCGCCGCCTCTCGGGCCGTTCGGGAACGTGGTCAGCTCCGATCAAACCCACGGGTCCTACTAAGACGATGACCCAGAAGACTGCCTTCGTCGGCCGGAAGAACCCAGCCGACGCTGCCGCAGGCGCGGCTCGGTCGTAGGTCAGGGAGAACCGCCAGTCGGGAGTAGAGTTATGGCGAAGCCGACCTCATCTTTCATTGCCTGCAACTCAGAGCCTCACGACGGGGCCGGCCAAGTAGATGCCGCGCCCTTTAGCCTTCATGACTGCACCGGTAAAGCTTGCTTGGGATGCATGCATCCCCCCCGTCAAGTTTGGACAGAATCTTTGCAAAAGCCAATTGGGTTTCCTCGTCTTAAACGGGACCCCACCGCGACAACATCAGCCAGGAAGCGCCCTACATTAACTATTCCACATTTATATACCTCCTCGGCGTACGTGGAGGCCCGCGCCGCCGCTCGCCGGTGTTGCCGGGCGTGCGGGGAGATGAAACCGGGGGGGCTACGGGTCCGACGACAGGCAGCACGCTGGCAGGATGACGCCGTCTCGGTTGCTATCATCGGCGCAGGATGTCGTGGCAGATGAGACGATGCTCGCGCCAGCGCGGCCGGCGGGAGCGGGTTTAATAGCGAGGACGACTCGCGGCGAGGGTACGAGGCGGGTTACCCTGTGGGTTTACCTCCAACTACGGCGCCGTCGAATGAGCGGTCCTTGCAACTATCTGGCCATGAAATGACGATAGCTAGGGCGAGAGGGACAGATAACCTTCCGTAGTGATCTATATGCGCGAGCAAAGGAACAAGATCTTAAGGGGGAGGGAGAAGGAGAGAGAGGGAGAGAGAGGGGAGACGGGCTGAATGACAGTGGTCGAGATCGCGAGGAGGCCACAAACTGGACATGATCGAGAAAACAATTCCACACCCGTATTGGTCGTCGTCGTCATCCTTCTCGTCGAGGTCAATCCGGACGTAAATTTGTCGGGAGGGGGGGGGGGTGATTTCGTTGATAATGGGAACTTTCGTGTGGGAAATAAAACCTTAAAGTGATCTTGGGCATGAAAGGAAAGCTTTCACCAGGCGGACTGTCTGCATCTGATCAGATCGAATGCTCGACGACCAAACGGAGTAAAATGGATCGACTGGACTCCCCCCTCCCCCCCCCCAAGATGAGAAGATGCCCAGTACATCATTTCTGAACTCTACCAGGTACATCGACATCAGTAGACTCCGTCGGGAGAGACGAAAGACCATCGTCAACGCTCTAAAACCCCCTTAGGCCCTTCCGTATCTTCGCAAGGGTGCTGAAGATCCTCTTCTGTGAAAAAAAATAAAATTCGACGTCAGAAAATATTATGCTGTAACTTTGATGTATACGAGATAGCCATCAAGAAAGAGACCCCGCAACCACAAACGAATGCTTCAATAAACCGCAGCATGAGATCGCGCAATGAAATCCACTCGCATAAATCACACACTTCGTGGCATCAATCTAGCCCCCCCAAGTTCAGTTTATCAGTTGACTAACGGCTTAAGATCGCAGTATGTCTGCCGACTGATAAAGATACGGCTCTGAGGTCGGATCCTAGGTTAGTCATCGTGATATCTACCTAGCTGTCCTAAGCTTGACGGAAAGGTGCTCATGAGAGACAGCCTCAGGGCATGACAATCAGAGGTTTGACCGTCGAGCCAAATACCTCATGCATGAAGGAGAGCCCTTGGGCATGATTTCAGAGAAAGAAGATGGATGAGTACCTCTCGGGTTTAACTTAAGCTTTGTACTCGTGGATGTGCATCCACTTGGTGCATGACCATTTGTTCCCCTTGATAACGGGGCACGCTCCTGCAGGACAAAACAGAGAACTTAGAAGAAAAAAAAATAAAAATTCAACGAAGGTGCATTCATTAAATTACGTATTTCTCTATTTTAGCTTAATCGGTGTTTTATATCCTGAATGAGCTGATGAGCATTCAGTGGAAGACCAGTCAAAATTCTACGGATTTTCTCCGATTTTTTGTTCGACAGATGGCTGAAATGGCTCACCATGCAAGCTAGCCGGGTCGAGAGATGCGTCTGGCCTCATGCTCCAGAAAAGTAGGGCGTCCCCCCTCTTCGGTTTGACAGCAAGTCCCCTCCTGCCACACTCAGAGAGCTCCTTGTAGTGCGGCAGAGTGCTGCTGTTTACTTTGACGGTGGGGAAGATGGTCTCACCACCTTCTTCGACGTCTGAACTGCAGATCACGAAGAAAAAAAAATCAGATTTTTTTTTTTTCAGAAAACGGAGAGTGATATGAAACAAGGATTTCGAAGCGTACAGGTACATGAGGAGGGTAGCCATCCGTTGACCCCCGTTCTTGGTGTTGAATTCATCCTGGAAGTAGTCAAAGTGGGGTTCATACTTTTGTCCAACTTCGTAGTGGAGAACTTGAAGGCCCTCCCCATGCTCTGTCAACCCCAAGATCAGTTCCGACGTAAGAACGCAGTAGTGACCAGAGGTCATGAAGACGAAAACTATGAACGCAGCCGCTTGTCTGTGAGTATAAGTTGTAGAAAAATAAATATATATATATATATATATATAATGCAATGTGAATGTTTATACTTTATCATACATCGAAGTCAAAATACTCAATACAGAGTCGATAAATCAGGATTTTCTGAGACCATTCCAACTAGAACAACTGCGAGGATCGCAGATTTCATGGAAGGGGAGGACTAGAATGTCCGATGCCTATGATCTATGGTCCTCGAGCAAATGGGACAGTTGTTCCAGTATCAATGACAAGTGCCGATGAATAGACAGAATGCAAAAATGGAAGAATAGTTTGGCTATCTAAGTCAAAAAATAAAGATGTATCTTTGTATTGTTTGTGTTTATTTCACAATTATATTTTTTCAATACACCATTGTCAATATGAATTATATGAAAACAAATCCATTTTTTAAAATGAAAGAAATAAATACTTGTGTTGGATTGGCGCAAAATAAAATATATAAGAAATTTGTAGAAAAATATACGAAATAAGTGGAGAAAATCTCAATTTTATTCAGTCACTAAAATTACAATAAGAAAGATTAACTCATTTTGCTTGGTAATTGCGGTTTCTGTTGGCGCAAATCCGACCACTGCAATGCCCGTGAAGCAACGACCAAAAACTGATAATTTCAGCGCACTGGTGATTTTTGTGCTGTGCGGGAACGTAAGATTCCCTTCTTTTCATTTTTTCTTTTTTTAAATGAGCTGAAGAACCAAGAACACAATTTGCCGTTTTAGTGGAAGAATCAGTATAATTGAAGCTCCGGCAAAAATAAACAGAAAAAATGAAATTATATGAATTATGTGAAAAAAAAGATTCCCTTATTTTTCACTTTTTTTTTTTTTAAATGAGATGAAGAACCAAGAACACAATTTGCCGTTATAGTGGAAGAATCAGTATAATTGAAGCTCCGGCAAAAATAAACAGAAAAAATGAAATGCAAGTGAGACGGTAAAATAATGCTCTAATATATGGCAATATTGCTGATTAATGCGGCCATTTTTCTCATAACTTACCGACAGGAATGAAGGTGAAATCTGCAATTCTTTTCTCAATGGCACGTATAACCTTGTCTTGCCCCCTACTAAAAAACATTCCAGAGCTGGTGCGAACCCTGTCGGATGAACTGGTTCAGAATCTCGGAAGAATAAATTTATTACTTGAATAAACATAAAAACACTAATTCGCAAGTCTTTGTTTGACTTCACAGTTGACTTTAGGAACCTAAACTTGGTGGGAAGATGGATCTCATGGAGTAAAGATCATAGCAGGATCAACGGAAGAATTAAAGCCTTCTTTGTCATTTCTAGAACTGATGTGGGAATTACGAGGAAATTCTCAAAGATAAAATGACTAGGAATGAGATAAGTAAAATGCGCAAACCTGCTGTCCATGCTTTTGCCAGTTTTGCTGTCAACAACCGTTGACTTTATCATTCGAGGCTTTGCCATCTCAATTAGATACTCGCACTCCTCAGCAGACTGCACAGGAATTGAGCAAGTTCATGAATCATTCCCTTAAAAAAAAAAAGCACAAAATGGATAAATAGAACGCTTGCGACGACCATAGACCAACTCAGGGTCAAACCGAAAATTTGAATTTGTGTTAATTACGTATTATGATTTAGAAATGCTGAAATTAAATTTTTATTGACTACGAGTATTACCAACTTATGTTTAGCGTGAAGAACGCAAGAAACAGGGGAGGTGAAGAAGGATCAACAGTCAAAATCAGCTCGGTAAGAACGCGAAAAGTCAACATTAGGATATTCCCATGCTGCCTGTCAGACCCTTGCACAGCGTAGACCTTTTAGTTTCATTTGGCCGTCCGGATCAAAGGATGAATCGATGAGGAAGGGCATCAAACTGCCTCGGCGACCATCCCCAGCGGGCGGGACGAAAACTCAGGCAGCGAAGAACAGGGAAGGCGAAAATCTTTTCGGGTAAGTTCAGAGACAAATGGCGCACCAGGAAATTGTGATAGACGAACGCCCTCGGCTCCCAGGAGACGACCTCCGTCCACTGTCTCCCTCTCTGACCCAATCCATCGCTGAAAAGGAAACACGATGTCAAATTCTAAACCCATCGGCCATGCCTCCTCCAGCAAGTTAGACCGCCGTCCTGCCAAGGCGGAAATGGCAGCGATTGGGGACGGGATCAGCATCGCCTACCTCTCGACAACCTTCCTCCTCGCCGTCGGGGACGCATATACAGGGTGGTTGATCTTGGGGGAGTCGCGGTCGACGGGGAGTGAGAATATGCTGAGGGCAAGGCGCAGGATGAGGACGACTGATATGAACAATAGTATGGTCACCATGCTCTGCAGAGGCGACGACGACTTCCTGAAGGTGAACGCTCGGGCATTTCGCATGAGGCCCTTAGCCATTTTCCCAGAAGCTGCTGGGTAGATTCGGATGAAGACGGAGCCCGCTTGCTCGGAGGGGACGCAGCGGCACCGCGAGATATCGGTCTGCGCTTTCGTTGAGGTCGGGTCGTCGAAGAGCTCCTGGTTTGGACCCGGAGGTTTCCATGGCTTTCTTAAATACGGACGCACCCGAAGAAACGGAAAACCCGAGCAACGGACAACCCGGGAGACTAGGAGTTGCAGGAGCAGGGAGGGAGTTCTTGCTGTGGGCGCTGTCTGAAATACAGGAGACGGCTGAAAGACTAAACCACCATCAGCACTCTTTCTCCAGCATCACTCGGTGCAGGTCAACGTTGCAGGGTGTTTCCGTAAATGTACACTTTTTAATTCCCCCCGCCCCCGGAGTTTCTCCGAGTCCACGCCTGAATCCCACTGGCGGCGGGACCAGGTTTAGGGGAAAACTGCGGCGCGCGCAAGTCATCGCCGGCGACTGCAACCACCGCGGCATCGCAGGGACTGCCGCCCTGCGTCTCACGGCAGGCCGTTTCTCTCTGATACGCCACGAAATACAGCCGTAATTAGTCAATACTCAGCGGTCTTGACCTAAGATCGGATCGAGTATAATCGGTCAACCCACCATCGATCGAAGAACAGGGCGAGCACCCAACTCCTCTAAATATCTTGGGATCAACGGGAATTTTCCAAGGTAAATAGCTCAATAATATATTATAAACAGATTAAAAAAATAATTAACCTTTAGGAAGAACGGGCATGGAGTCTCCGTTCTGCAAGCTTCTCCACCAGCTCCTCGTGCTTAGTGAGCTGCCCGGCCCTCTTCAGCACCGACAGGACCGCCTGGGAGACTCCGGTGGTGGGCTCCATGCCCTTCTCCTCCATCATCTCCCTGAACAGGCGGTAAGCCCTGTTCCAGTGCCCCATAGAGCAGAACACTGAGATGAGCACCTTATAGGTGTTGTTGTTCGCCTCCACCCCCTCCTCCTCCATCTCCCTCCTCATCCTCAGCATCATGTCCGTCGACCTCGCCCTCCCGAACAACTGCATGAGCAGGTTGTAGGTCACGGTGTTGCCTCTGCACTTCACCTCCTTCATCTTCGCGTACAGCTTGTGGGCCGCATTGACGTCGCCCAGCTTCAGCACGCATCGGAGGACGAGATTGAAGGTGGAAGCGTTCGGAGAGCACCCTCTGTAGACCATCTGGTTCAGCAGCTTCAGCGCGGCGTCGAGGTTGCCGCCGTCCCGGCAGTGAGCCTCGATGAGGAAGTTGTAGGTGATCTCGTCGGCGGCGCAGTTGAGCCGCTTCATCTGGTTGTACACCTCCAGAGCCTTCTGCGTGCGGCCGGCTTTCACGTGGACCCTCATCAGGCTGTTGAAGGTGGCGGAGTTGGGGACGCAGCCGCCGTCGATCATCTCGATCAGGACCTCGTTCGCGCGGTTGACCTGGCTCGCCCTGCACAGCGCGTCGATCAGGACGCTGTAGGTGTAGACATTGGGGCGGATCCCCTTCTCTCGCATCTCCCTGATCACCCGCTCCGCTTCGTCGATGCGGCGAGCTCGGCACCAGGCATGGACCAGGCTAGTGTAGGTCACCACGTCCGGCTGAAACCGGTGGCTGACGGCGTCGAAGAAGGCCTGCGCATCGGCGGCGCGCCGCTTCTTGGATAGCACGGAGATGAGGACGGAGAAGGCGACGAGGTCCGGGGGGCAGCCGTAGTCGTCCATGCGGTGGAAGACATGGGCAGCCTCGGCTGTGAGGCCCGCCCTCGCGTAGCGGCGGATGATGGCGGAGAATGTGCGGAGGGTGGGCTGAATCCCACGGGAACGCATGGCGTCGAGGAGGCGCCATATCAGGTCGAAGTGGCGGAGCTTCCCGGCGAGGTCGATCATCGCGTCGAAGGGTTCGGCCGCAGTGGACTCGGCGGCGGCGGGGGAGGAGAGCCACCAGTTGAAGAAGGCCAAGGTCTGGGGGAAGGGGATCCCATGGCGGGGAGCGGCGCACTGGTGGATAACGTGGTGGACCAGGACAGAGGAGACGGCTGAAGGCCGAGAGATTAGGGAAAAAGAGGAAGACAGGGAAGGGATGACGTAATCGAAGGGGATCCCAGCAGCAGACGCCACAGTAGTGGGGTTCCTCCGGCCGTGATCCTTGATCAGAGCGTGGAATTTCTCGTGGAGGACCCTGTCGGAGGCGGAAACGTTGGAGCTGGGGGTTCCGCCGGCGGCTTCGATCTCGGCAGAAGTCGGAACTGATGACGAACCAGAGGAGCAGAGGGGCCTAAGAAGGAGAAACTGGGAAGAAATCGAAGAACCGGTAGAGGAAAGACGATAAGAACAGGCTCCCCGAGCTGGACTGGCCATGCCTGCAGAGGACCACCGGCGGTGCTCTGGGTTTTACCGGCGACCGCTCTCGTAGGGTTTTGCCGCCGCCACTGTCCTGCTGGAACGACGAGAGAAGTCCTCACCGAAGAGGACGCCTCCTCAAAGTCGGCTCCGAACAAGGACTATTCGGACTGGGCTCAGCCCATCATTCGAAAGGACCTGGGAATTACAGACCGGCCCGGACCACATACGTGTCCGACTCAGAGCCCTGGGCCGTTGACCGAGCTCGATCATCTTAGTCGCTGAGTTGACTGATACTGAACGTGATGCTTTGGATTGAAGGAAAAGGCGTGTCTGGGTCCTCCGACGTGGGAGGAGAGCGGTCCGACGTGGAACGGGACGACAGCGGCTCTGGGGAAACGAAAAGACGTCCGTTAAATATTATGAGCTTTTACCAGAGAAAAGAATATGACAATAGAACGGACCATTTTGTGGGGCCTATTCGCCAGGTTAATGGAATGAAAGGTCATGAGCCTAGACGGCTGAGGGAAGATGAGCCACACGCGGACGTGTCAGGGTCCAACGTTACAGTAGCTGGTTGGCACCTTGTCTTAGCTCATGTCGTCCTCTCTCTCTCTCTCTCTCTCTCTCTCTCTCTCTCTCTCTCTCTTAGGGGCGAAGGTTTCGTGCCGTCTGCACCGAACAAGTGACAGCAACACGGCTCTGGAGAATATAAGATGGGAGTGGAATGGTAGGAGGAAGGGGAGATCTCAAGGGGATGGCTTAACCAGGCGGTCAGCGGGGGAGTGGTAGCTCGGAATGGTCGTTTCGTGAGGGGCATGTCAAAGAGGAAGCAGGAGGGGCCGCAGGGAGCGAAGCGATCGACTTGGAAGATGAAGAAGATGGCGGCGATCCAGAATCAGGGGAGCAAGGAGAGGAAACGGCCTCCATCTCCGCCACCGCCGCCACCGTCGAGGTCCCCATCCTTGACGAGGATGCCCAGACAGGCCCCTGTCATCAGCGTGACCAGGGACGAGATCGAGAGCTTCTGGCGGCGGAAGAGGATGGAGGAGGAAGACCACCTTCTCGCCGCCCTCAAGGCCGCCGCCAGGATCAGGGCCCGTAACCTCAAGGTAATTCTCTCTCTCTCTCTCTCTCTCTCTCTCTCTCTCTCAACCCAGATCACAGATCACGATAATCCAAGAGCAAAACCTGCGATTATAAGCAGTACGAAGTATCAAGCTGTTGGGATGTGATTGCTTTTTCGGTCTGATGATCTTCAGGAAGAAGACTACAAACTCTTCGAGGCGTCGCTCGAGGGGATCCTCACCAGCGGCTGCGACAGCAAGAACTGCGCCGCCAACCAGGAAGCCCCGAAGAAGGGCAAGGAGCTTGGAGCGGTCATCAGAGATTGGTAAGCTCTCGTCCCCGAGCCCCAGATTCTCGGTAGGCAAACCAGGGAGGCGATCACGCCGCCGCCTCCCAAGATGACGTCTTTCGTCAGCCTGCCCTTCGCGTTACCCTGTGTTCGTCATCAATCTTTATCTTCTTCAAGCAAGCCCCCGTGGCGGATAGAGATGACCGTCGTCTTCCTCCTCTCTGCCCCTCTAAATATTCCGACAATGACAACCTCCTACCCTTCTTCCTCGCAATCACAGAGAAAGAGAAAGAGAAAGAGATAGAGGGTTTTATATACATGGAATTCTCTTTGGGGATGCGTAGGTGGACGAAGAGCAAATACGCGTATCTGAACCAGCCGGCGGTCCAGTCGATGGAGGCGGAAGCGGCACGCCACCGGGCCACCACTTTCACCCCCAGCTCTTACTTCTGGGCCACCGGCGCCGTCCCCGCGCCGAGGCCCCCACCGGCTCTCGGAGTTTTCTAATACGATGCGCGGAAATGGCTGCTCTCCCGCAGTTCGGGGAGGTCCTTGATCGATTTGGTGTGCAGTTGTGTATAATCCAGGTCAAAAGACCCGTTCCAGCCCTGCCTTCTGCATGTCGTGTGGACATTTCTCTTCCCTAAATATGTTTGACTCCGTCGGATTATCCGCCGCCATGGTTTACTTCCCTCCGAGATTCGTTCAAAGTGGCACGTAAGATCAGGAAAATTAAAAACTTGGGCCGATTTGACTTCCCTTCTACGGCAAAAGGGCGATGAATCCTATGAGCGAGATGCCGCCAATTGAACTACTGGAAGGATAATTCAAAGAAAAAACTGCTGCCCGCGATAATTGATCTCCAAAACTAGGGAGAAATCTGCAAGAACCAATTACACTCCCATTAGCTATGATTGGCAAAGATGCCTCCATGTTCATCAGCTTTAGATCTCTCCTATTCACCCAATTACACTCATTCGGACAAGATCCACAGGCCGATCAGGTAAACCACTCTGAAGTCAGACACTAGAAAGCAAGTGTTCTGTCGCGTTGACTTGAGCAACACAAGATCCATGATTCCTCTTGTGAATGCCAAGGAATCTTCGCGCAAGAAAAAGTAAAGAAGATGAGCAATCTAGAAAAAATAAAACTGACTTCCCCGGAAAGATGAAGCCAACGATGCATGGGTAAGCAGCCGCGACGAAGACAGAAAAATCACCCTAAATACCAGCTCGCGAAGAAATTTTCATGGTTTCTCTCCTTGATGTTATCAGATGGTGAAGGGAGGAAAGAAAAAAGGAACTCTCCCATTCATCTCTTCCAAGATCGCTCACAAGTTCACTTAAATCACAACCAGGCAAAATATCTGTTCTTCCATTTGACCCTCGTCTTATTGGCTTCGTCGTAATAGGGATTGAAGACTGCTTGGCCGCGCTATGAATCATAATGATCGATTCTGTCAGTAATTTTGGTTCAAGAAAAAAAGCCCTGCATCCGTGTAGTCTACAACAATCGTTAAGACATCCGTGTGAACTCAAATGCATTGCATTAAGACAGATGAATGAAGGTAGGCCCAGTGTTTGCGTCCCCCAATGTTAATGACTCAGAGAGAGAGATCACTCGTCCGACGGAAGAACAATGACGACGAGGAGGACGACAAGGACGCATACCTCCTTGAGATCATCCCCGCGGTTCAGAGGATGATCCATACCATGCTTAACTGGAAGGCTACAGTTTACATCTGGATCTGAGAACCCATCTGAAGAACCTTTCATTCCACAAGAAAACTAAGCGGCCAAAAGCCATGTAGCAAGGACGACCTCAGACTGACCCAATACGTATGATTTTGCAGACTATGAGCACAACACGACGTTCCACTCAGTCAACAAGGCTTCAAAGCTTCAAAGCTTCTTCCTAGGCGGCGACTACGGGAGGACCCTGAGGGCCTTGGTCTTAAAACGGTACCTAGGCGCCCGGGGGATGACTTGGCTGGGACCGAATCCGTACTGGCCGTTCCCCTGCATCATGGGCGGGCCGTCGTCGTAGATGTGGCCGACGACGGCACCGCAGGGGGAGCACTGAAGCCTGGTGCGCGTGCGATGGATGCCCCAGTAGTCGATGGTCTCGAAGAAGGGCCGGATCTTGTCTTCCTTGGTCAGCCGTAGCTTCGACTCGTCGGCCCAGGAGAAGGACAGCGACCCCTTGTTCCCGGCCTCGAAGTAGGTTTCCGGCGGATAGAGGTAGGCGGAGCTCAGATTCAGGTCCGCCCCGCACTTCACACACCTGATCGCCCATCTCATCCCATATAGTTATCGAAGATTTTCACGATACAATCGGGAGGAGAATCAATTACGAAGACGAGGGGAATGAAAAATCCCGGAAAATGATCATCTTCAGCCACGGCGAGGAAGACAACGGTAGGAACGGGGGTGAAGAGGTTACCTACCTGTAGGTGGAGGAGGCCATGGCGATGCCTCGGGACCGTGTGGGTACGTCAAGACAGGCAGAGGGAGAACAGATGCAAGGCGGGGTGTTTTCTTCTTGTTCCCCTCTCCCTCCTGCCCGCTAAAGGGTTCGGCTTTCGATGGGTCGTCGGCGGCGGCGATCTCGGACTTTGACCACGCGATGCCGTTTGCCGGGGGAACAGGGGAAAAGGGGCTCGGCGTTGGGGAATTTCCTTGTGGCAAAATAAAATAAATAAATAAATAAATAAAAGAAACGTCAGGGCCAGATCTTGTGGGATATCTGGAATTCTAATTTTACAATAAAATAAAATATACGCAATTTATGAATAAAATAATATCCCCAAACCCGAGCCAGCTCACCAGCATTTTCCAACACGGGTATATCGATAATTAACAAAAGCGGCGGGACGGTTTACAATTTTAAAGATCAGAGCCGTTCCCTAAAAATTTTTCGCTCCTGCAGAACTCTGTTTTCCTTACAACATCCACGCTGCTATTAATGGGAAGAAAGAAAAAAATGGCATCTGGGATGACTTTTCCCAAGAATATGGCGTAAAAATGTCATCTTCAGAACCAGACCAACGCAGTGTTGCTTACCAGATATGGCATGCATGCATTCCATGGAAGAGCGAGCGTCATTCTGGTGTGGCGGCAGCTAGGCGTGGCGCTGCTGCATCTCCAGCATCTCCTTCAGGCCTTTCAACCTCTGGTTCCCTTCGCTGATCAAGAAACGAATCTTCTGCGCACCATCGGCGTGCCGATTCCTCTCCATCTCCTCCCTGATGCTGTTCCTCAGTTCAGCTGAAAACATGTCCCCACGGTTCAGCAGCCGAGGTCTGTCCGTTCCTCGGGCGAGACAAACGGGGGCGAATTTAGAAATTTTCTCTTCACCTCTGGCATGAGGAGGAGCCATGCGAGCAGCTCTCAGAGCCTCCCTGTACAGTTTCAGCACTCGCGCCCGTACTATGAAAGCTTGCAAGTCCAAGGCGAGGACCATGACGTCACAGTTGACAGACGAAATTACGATATTTTTCTGGCAAGAAAGTGATAAAGTAGTTCTAAGACAGATCAAATGCATGGCATCTCAGAATCTTAAGCAGCAAATCAAATACAAATGGATCGGTGAGGAAGCCCAAGGTGCTCTACAGTTTCATCTCCTTCTCTTCTGCAAGTAACCAGGCAACTGCATGCATTACGGCTGCTTAGAAGATGATCCATGAGAAAGTGAAGAACCACAATTTTCTAAGAGAGATGGGGTTCAGTGGCTTCCCATCCAGAGAGACCACTGAAAGTGATTATGAGGACAATATCTTCTCTGAGATGTTCAGCAGGATCTACCCCCACCCAGAACAACTTCCTCTTCAGAGGATGGAGCACACCTCTCTGCCTCCATCATCTCCCCAAATCACGCCTCAGCAGACAGAAAGAGAAACGGGGCATGCTCTGCCATACGAGGAAGACAGAAACTTGAAAGAAAAAGCGCAGATGAGAGGAAATAGAAGACAATTGGCGCCCAGTCTCCCTTAGAAAGTTGAGATAAAATTCCCTGCAAACAAGACAGTACCAGTGCCTGATATATGGCAATGGACTTACACTTACGAAGCACTGAGCCGTCATTCATCATATGTAGCTCCCCTTCCTTGGTCGCTTATAACTCCGGTGAATTGTCTATGGTTAAATAACGTGCACAGTTGACCTAGTTCTGACCGTCCTCTGAAATAATATCCGCTGAAATCCAATCGATTTATTCAATAGTAATACAATTGTTGGAAACAAATGGTCAAACCCAAGTTTGAGCACTACCCAATTTCGCATTTTGGGCAGACATTTGAGCACTTCTCACAGCCATGGATAGGGGGATCCCGGTGCCCAAGTGCCACATGAGACGACATTAAAAATCCAAAAGTCAACCCACTTCGGTGCAGCACAGATCCTAGACTTTTTTCACCTGCATAATCTTTAAGGATGTAGAATCAAAGAATGGGGGGATGACATCATGAAGCCCAGAAAGACCCAGAAAGGAATTCAAGGATGCGGACATTTCCCCGACTACTCCAGAGATTCTGAAGAAAATATTTCGAATAAATCTGAAAATTTTACAGTTACCCGCATTCCAATGTGTCCCACAAGAAGGTAGGCGTCGATTTGCCGTCAATTAACCTATGAGTTCTCCAAGACAACGGGAATAAAACCCACCCAGTTCGTTCCAGGTTCCCTCCATAGAAAACAAACTGTAGAATATGAGGCATCAGAATGCGACTCGGTAAACGAACGCCTCCCCTGATATCTTCCGACAACGCGCAAGGATCAACGCCCGCCTGGTCCCAAAACAAAGGGCTATTTGCTGGACTAGATAGCAAGGTAGGAAGTTGACCAAACCCCAGCAGAGCTGTGCCCTAAAGCGAACCTTGCCAAATTGAGAGTAAATCCCAAGGAAACGAATAGATGGCACAGAGCCAAGTCCCTGCCGGAGATTGTGGAGGTGCAGCACGAGAAGGGTTCGCCATCAAGCATCGCCAAGAAGACAATGAGGGAGCCAGGAGGGGAGGCGGAGACCGAGAGCGTACCACACTTGGTTATCCAAATGGGAGAGCTCGTCAGAAGCGCAGCGACACGGGCACGGCCGGTGCGAGAGGAGCTGATTCGCGGCGACAGCAACCACGATCGCAGGAAGATCCGGGGAAAACCCAACAGAGGAGTGCACGAATGGAAGATCAGCCGCGCGTAGGCAGTTCATCCCATGGCCCGTCCGAGTCGGGAGAGGGAGAAAGATTCGCGCTTTATTATATAAACCCACCCAAATCGCGGTGAAGAGGCTCCTTCGCGGTTCCATGGATGATTTACATGCCCGGTTTCATTCGTTAAACTAGTGACTTAATTCAATAAATGCCGCAAAAATGTTAGCAATATTTTAATCCCACCGAAATTGACTAGGAGAAACGTGTCTATGTTTTTCAGGATGCCTTAATCCATCAACCCGCTTCGTCAGAAAAACGAAAAAAATAGACGTCTGAGGTAAAAAAAATTATCGAGATTAATTCGCAGAGGACGCTCTGCGAGGGGGAAAGTCAAACTCGGCACCTGCAGTGGTTATGGAAGGCTGTACACGCAGTCGGCAACGGGAAGGAAAGGCGTCCAAGCGGACGGCCTCCACGTTCAAAACACGCTCCTGGGCCCGGAAGTAGCTGGGAAGATGGTGGTTTAAGGTCGTCATCGTTCTCTGATCGTCAATTCCCACGCAGCCTATCTCCCCCTTTTTCTCCCCCTCTTCCTGGCACCGCCCTCTTCTTCTTCCTCCTGCCAGGCATCTCCCGTAGGGTTCCTCGTCTTCTTCTTCTTCTTCTTTTGTTCCCCCCTCCTCTCTCTCTCTCTCCCTCGACACCAGCGACTCCTGTCTTGCACAGATCTACGTGAAAGATCGCCTTTTGGCTGGAAGTTTGAAATCTCCGCTTTGTCTGTTTCTGCGCCTTCTGATGGAGAAGCCACCGCTGAAAGCAGCGAAGGGTAACCAGCTCCTCAAGTTCTTGCCGAGGGCCACCTCCTTCTCCGTCCCCAACCTGGCCTACAGCCCTGGCAGGGAGAAGATTCACACGCGCAGGGGCTTCTCCGGCCCGATAGTGCCCATGTTCCCGGCGGAAGCGGGAAGAAAGCCCCCCGGCCGGGACTACGAGACTCCCGAGCCCTCGTCCCCGAAGGTCTCCTGCATCGGTCAGATCAAACACAAGAAGAAGATTTGCAGGTTGAAGAGGTCCCCCTCGTCGCGGAAGGACCAGAAGCCGCGGTTCAGTATTAGCAGGATATTCCGAATCAAGTCAAGATCGGGCGGGCGCAGCGACGGTGCCGGGCCGACGCCGAAAGCCACGAAGCCTCCGCTAGCACCGAACAGGGCGCCGCCGCCGCCGCTGGGCCAGATGAGGAGATTCGCAAGCGGTCGCGACTCGTTGGGCAATTTCGACTGGAGATCACAACGAGTGGCGACGGACGAGACGGCGGAGGACCCCTGGGACGACTACACGTCCGGCCGAGAGAGCGACGACGACGACGACGACGACGGGGCGAAGATTCCCCACTCCGCTCCCATGGCGGTGGGCGGCGCCGCTGCCGCCTTGGAGCCGAGGAAGGAGACGACCCTCTGGAGAAAGAGGACCATGACTCCACTCAGACCTCTGAAAATCGGGTGAACGATCCCTCATCATCATCCGTCCTTCCTCTTCCTCCCCCCCCGGGCCCATGTGTTAATTTCCAGCTCTTCAGCTCAAGAAAATTCTGTAGATTCAGTTCGATCAATAGAAATCATCATTTTTTCGGTAGAACGACGAACAGTAGAGACGACGCGCATATAATAATAATAATAATCGTCGTCGTCATTATCATACACGCATTAAGTTGACGGTATCCAGTACGCGAGGATCATGTTACTGATACGGCATGAAAATCGTTGATTGCGCCGGCAAGTGCGAGAGGTGGGAGGGAAGCTTCAACTGCGCGTCCCATGCCGTCCCGGGCTGAGCTACCTGATGTCGACTCTCGATCCCACGACTCCTCAGGATGAGAGATGATCTTCGCTGTCCCGCTTTGGCAATCGTTCGGGCGGAATTTATGACGAGGACCGGACTTCTGTCAGAATTAATTGATTACACCTACCATTGACCTGGGCATCTGCAGTCGGGCAGGAGAGGGGTCTGACCCTGCGCGGCCATGGTGAGGAGGCTTCTCATGGTGGAAATGTCGCCGCAGTTCTTCTTCCCCTCTTTCACAGTCAGGTCAGGTAGCCGGAGAGTGCTCCAGAGGAGAACCAGGAAGGGGCCCGCTCTGCCGTTATGGCGGCGCCGAGGGACTCGCAGACGGCCAGGGCCAGCGGTTCCGCCGTATCACCGGCGAGGAACTTGTGTGGGGGGCCTCACGTCAAGGACGTCCACGGAGCTGCTCGCCGGAGCCTTCTTGATGCCCATCTCCGTCATCACCCTCCTCACCCTCTCGACCTCGTCCCAACTCCCGATTCTGGCATGCGCGTTGGAGACCTCCACGGAGAGCTCCGCCCGCTCGAGCTCGGCATGGAGGTCGGCGTCGTTATAGCCGGAGGAATCCTCGTCGGCCGCTAACAGAGCGCGGAGCAAGGAGCCGCGGACGACCTGGTTGGGGACGAGCGGCATGGAATCCACGAGCCGCTGGGCTTCTTCCGACAAGCCGGCGCGGCCCAGAAGGTCGACGACGGCGCCATAGTGCTCCAGTCTGGGCACCACGCCGTGGGCGGAGGCCATTTCCTTGAAAAGCTCGAGCCCCTCCTCGACCAGGCCTGAATGGCTGCACGCGTGCAGCAGACTGGTGAAGGTCACGGCGTCCGGCTTCAGCCCCTCCCTCGCCACCATCCTCTCAAACAGGCGGAGCGCCTCCGCCCCCCGGCCGTGCTCCGCCAGCCCGCCGATCATCGCCGTCCAAGCGGAGACGTCCCTCGTCTGCATCGTCTCGAACACCTTCTTGCCGTCGTCGAGGCTACCGCACTTGGTGTACATGCGGAGGAGGCTGGAGCCCACCTCGACGGGCCAGGGGCTCGCGCGGCGGCGGGTCATGAAGCCGTGCACGGTCTTCCCGTTCAGCAAGGAGCCCGAGGCGGCGCAGCACAGCAACACCGCCACGAGTGTGTCGTCGTTGATCTCGACGTTGTCCCTGGCCATCCACCAGAAGAGGAAAACGCCGCCCGCAGGGTTCTCCGACATCTTCCCGTAGGCGGAGATGATGGCGTTCCAGGTGACGACTCCCCTATCGGGCATTTCGTCGAACACCTGCGTGGCCGAGTCGATGCGCCGCACGGTGGCGTACATATGCAGGAGCGAGGTCTGGACGTGAATATCCTTCCCGAACCCGTGCTTCAGCAGTAACCCGTGGTGCTGCTCTCCCTCGCCGGGAGAGTCGCCGGGCGGCGGCGAACGCGCGCAGGCCCGGAGGAGGAAGGGGAAGGAGAACTTGTCCGGGTAGATGCCACGCTCAAGCATGCGGCGGAAGAGACGAACGGCCTCCAACGGCGTTGGGCCGCCGGAGTGGCCGCGGATCATGGCGTTGAAGGCGAAGGCGGTCGGGTCCTCTGCATGGCGGAAGAGAACCCCGGCGAGCTCAAGGCCGCCCGCGACGGCGGAGGTGGCGCAGAAAGCGATCGCGCGGGCGACGACGAAGCGATCCCACCACAGGCCCGCCGTCACGACGCGGGCGAGTATCCGGAGAAACCCCGGCATTCCGGTGCAGGCGGCCATGGCTGCCACCATCCGGTCCCTCGTCCTGCCTCCCGCCATCCTCCTGACCTCCACTGACGCTGTGGAAGGGAAACAGGAGAAGGCAGGTTTTCAGGAAGGGGGAATTTAGACCAGATGCTCGCAGACCCACCCTCTATCGTCGCTCTCCTCATTCGCACAGCACCCCACCGATATCCCAACATTACATGAATAGAACGACATGGGCTAGTAAAAAAATACATATTTATTCAGGGCAGATGGGTATCCGTTCGGGCTCAGAGACTATGTCCATGGCGAGCTCGCCAGCGCTGACCGTCGTGAAGTATGTAGACTGAGGCACTCTCTATCTCTCCTTGTCTCTCTGTAAGCGGAAAGGATGATATTTTGGATGCTTTAAGTGCCATTATTTTATTTGAGATGAAGAAAGACGAACCAGTGACACTCGTCGATCAAAACCAAATTTATGAACGTAGTTCCCGATTTGGTATGAAATCGGGGCGAAGAGAATGACTATGGAGGAGGAGGCTATCGTCGTTTTATCGAATTAGTGTAACAATGGTTCAGGTGATGCGGACGCCTTGGTATCTGAGGATCTCGCCGACGAGCTCCCCTTTGCCGGAGCCCACGTACCTCCCGGAGATCTCCCCGTCGCGGATAAAGAGGAAGGTGGGCACCTCCACCACGTCCATGTCCTTGAGGAACTGCATGCAGCTTTCGTTCTCGTCGCCGTTCATGCGGGCGAAGACAACGGCGTCCGCCATGGAGCGGGAGAGCTTGAGCACCGTCGGGTACACCTTCACGCAGGGTCCGCAGTGCTTCAAGCCCACGTCCAGCACCAGCATCTTCCCATCGGCCTTGCTCCGGGCAATCAGAGCCTCCACCTCCTCTCGGTTGTGCAGCTGCTCCACCAGGGAGTGGTTGTCGCCGTAGTAGAGCACGTCCCCCATCAGCTGGTCTGGCCCGATGCCCTCCTCCTCGTGCACCTTCTCCATGGCCTTGTAGAAGGTGAAGTGTGGGACCTTCTCGACGCCCTCCCGTCGGCAAAGCTCCCGGGTCACGTCGGACTCGTCCCCCATCACGAGGATAAACACCACGTCGCCGCACTTGCGGCTGAGCTCCACCATGGCCGGGTAGATCTGCCGGCTCTGGGGGCTGTGGATGGCAGCGAACTCCACGACCACAAGCTTGTTCTTGGCCGCCCGCAGCGCCGCCTCGAACTCCTCTATGGTGTGAACCTTCTGCACCCGTTCGTCGTTCTTCACGCTACTGGCGTTGCTGGCGGCGGGGGTCGCCGCCCTCGGAGGAGAGCACAGGTTCAGGCGCCGGTGACCATCCCGGAGCCTGTGGGGCAGATTTCTGACCCTGCAACCGGCGAACCAGAAGGCAGGAGAGGCGGAGGAAGAAGCCACCAGTGGTGGAATCCCCGACTTGGATGGGGAAGAAGAAGAAGAAGAAGAAGAAGAAGAAGAAGGCGGTGGTCTAAATAAGAAGCTGGAAACAGCAGCCATTCCGTCGGCCGGCCGAGGGGGCGTACGGCGCTGAGCTGCGGCAGGTGCCAAGAGGAGGAACTCCTCCTCCTCCTGCTGCTCAGTGAGACGGTGGCTCAGCCGTGGCCGAATGGGCGAGGGGAGATCGGGGAAGAAATCAGCGACTTGCCCGGTCGCCACCGGATTTCATATCCACTCGTTATCCTGTGGCTCTCGTCTCTCCCCATCGCCGTCCGCAGTGGCGGCGGCCTGATTTTTCTACCCTTAAAGATATTTTTACACCCTACCCCTTTTGGGCCTTGAGCTTCCGGCCCAATAATCCCCAAGGCAGACCCATTTCAAGGCCGGATAACGCGCACCTCCGATGGCCGTTTTCTGACCGTCCATCTCACCCCTGTCCGACACGTGGTCTGTTTAATAATCTGTTTTAGATCCTGATAACGTAGTGGAAAGCAAATATTAATCCCTAAATCTTTATTTGCTTGATCGGCCTTTAACTCGAATCGGACGGCCAGCAGGTCAGCTCACGGTGTTGGATCCGCTGCGGAGTAATTCGCAACCGATAAAGCGAGGGGAATCTTTCGGATAGGAGGATCCGATTCATAGGGCCCCACCAGCAAGTCGGGGTGAGGGATGACGAGATCTGAGGACAACCATCGCCGCCCCCATCCCCGTCAATAAAACCATTGTTTTATCGTAGTCATTCCACCTCCTTCGCTCTCCCCACTCTCTCTCTCGTCCTTTCAACATATCCGCCGGCGCCGCCCCCAATCTCGCTTCCCTAGGGCTTTCTGATCGACAGGATCTCCGGCCGGTCTGCTGGTACTGCTGGTGGTGGTGGTGGTGGTGGTTCTTCTTCTTCTCCTTCTCCTCCTCATTTCCTTCGGGAAGCTTGGGGAAAGTGCATCCCAGGGGAGTGGCAGGATGGAGACGGGGGCGTTGGTATGCACGGCGGCGTTGATCGGGCTGGGGCTGTACTGGTTTGTGTGGGTTATGGGATCGGCGGAGCAGAAGGGGAAGCGAGCGGTGGAGCTGAAGATGGGATCCATCTCCCGTGACAAGGTCCAGGACAAGTACAAGCAGTACTGGTCCTTCTTCCGTCGTCCCAACGAGATCAGCGAATCCGCCGAGAAGGAGAAGGTCCCCGCGTTCGTGGACACCTTCTACAACCTCGTCACAGATATCTACGAATGGGGGTGGGGGCAATCCTTCCACTTCTCCCCCTCCCTCGCCGGGCGCTCCCACCTGGAGGCCACCCGTATTCACGAGGAGCGCGCCTCCGACCTCATCGGCGCCCGCCCCGGCCACCGCATCCTCGACGTCGGCTGCGGCGTCGGGGGTCCGATGCGCGCCATCGCCGCGCACTCCCGCTCCAATGTCGTCGGCATCACCATCAACGAGTACCAGGTCAGCCGCGCCCGCGCGCACAACTGCAAGGCTGGCCTGGACTCCCTCTGCGAGGTCGTCTGCGGCAACTTCCTCCAGATGCCGTTCCCGGACTCCAGCTTCGACGGCGCCTACTCGATCGAGGCCACCTGCCACGCCCCGAAGCTGGAGGACGTCTACGGCGAGATCTACCGGGTGCTCAAGCCCGGGGGGCTCTACGTCTCCTATGAGTGGGTCACGACGCCGCTCTACCGGCCGGAGGATCCGGAGCAGGTGGAGGTCATTCAGGGGATCGAGCGAGGGGACGCCCTCCCCGGTCTGCGGCGGCAGGACGAGATTGCTCAGATCGCGAAGAAGGTGGGCTTCGAGGTGGTGCGGGAGGAAGATCTGGCGCGGCCCCCGGCGGGGCCCTGGTGGGCGCGCCTGAAGATGGGGCGCCTCGCGTACTGGCGCAACCACTTGGTTATCAAGGCCCTCTCATTCCTCGGGATCGCGCCCAAGGGGGTGGCCGACGTTCACGAGATGCTCTTCCTCACCGCCGCCCACCTCAGCCGCGGCGGCGAGACCGGCATCTTCACCCCGATGCACATGATACTCTGCCGGAAGCCTCTCGACAACGCCGCCGCCTAAGTGAGCACCTTCTCCCATCGGAGGTTACCGACCGTTGGGGGCTCCTCGTCTTCGCTTGCTCTTATTTTTTTTCTTGATCTCTTCTCTAGGATTTGTTTCATGTTGCTTGGTCAATTCTCTCTCTCTCTCTCCCCCCTCCGCCCCGGGCCACCCTCCACTAGTAGGAACCGCGCCGCGGGGGGTTTTCAATTCCGTGTTCATCTGCTTTCCCGAGAGTTAAATGGAAGAAATCTGACAGTTACAAAGACCCCCGCCTCTTCCCGCTCCTACCCGACGGGACGACCGCTAGGGTTAGGGTTTCCAACCCTTCCCGGTGATGCCGCCGGCGACCCCGCTCCACCCTTCGAAAGTGTAGGCCTCCCGTGACGGTCCCTCCACATGGTTCTAGTAAACACACATGGGAGGCGGCGACGTGTCCGCTACCGCCTGTATCCGCTGTCACGGTGCTGCCCCCCTGTGGCCGCCCTGGCGCGGCCGGGCTTGGCGCCGCGCTGGCAGGGACGAAGCGCCGCGCTGTAATCTTCTTCGCTCCTCACCTGAAATCTTATATTTCTTTAACTAACCCCGCCCCCGCCGCCTCTACCGCCGGCGGGCTGCCAGGAGGAGGAGGCCTTTTGAATGTGTCAGTACTCGCTTGCCATTTGCGTGATGGACGGTTTCAAGGCCTTGTCTCTTCCCGCGCCGCTCACATGCGCAGTCTGGCCGTGGTGCCCCACCACCACCACCACCACCACCACCGCCGCTGCCGCGGCCGCTGGCCATGGCCGGGGAAAAGCCTGGGCTCCCCCTCCGTTTTATATTCGAGCACGTGGGGGAAAACGGACGGAATGTGGCTTCGGGGACAGCTGTGCCCCGGTCCCTTCCTCCTCCTCCAGGGCGGCCGCGCCAACATTCTCCGATACCTAGAAAACAAAGCATGCAGATGAATGAATTCCGAGCGATGTTGACAACGAGGTCGGGAACGCACAGCAGACACCTTCCCCTTCCTCGTACAAGCTGGAGGCGCTCTCACTGCACCTCTCCTTCCCCTCTGCCAATACCAGGAGGCAGGAGAGAAGGGGTGGGGATGGGAATCTCGTTGAGCATCAGTCAATATCTTCCTGTGCGACGAGTGGGTGGGAGAATCGACTTTTTCCCACTACCGACGAGCTCGATGCGTAGATCACGGAGTGTATTGGCTTTACCTCTGACCTACCATTCGGCTGCCGCGCTTTGGTGAGGATTTCGCCAAGTGTTTGATCTCCACGATCGACGATCTCGCCATGTGTTTGATCTATCGAGTGCATGCGGAGGAGCTCGCTCTCAAGCGTCACCGACGCGCAGGACCGATGAAAAGCTCTCAGTGGGGGGCGCACGTCTCCTCCCACTGTCCTGGCCTCCTCTGCTTTGCCCTCCATAGCATCTTCTGCTGAGTGAGAGAGAGGGGAGGGGGTGTGGGGGAAGATGGAGGAGCTTGCTAGGCTGTACGGCCTCTTCGTCTGCGTCTTCCTGTACAATTTCTCTGCATATATGGTCTCCCCGGTCATCACCGACGTCACGATGGCGGCGATCTGTCCCGGCAGAGATCGCTGTAGCCTAGCGATCCTCCTTCGCGGTCTCCAGCAGGCTGTAAGCTTCTCTGCTCTGCGCCGCAATTTCTTCTCACTCCGCGTCGTCTACCCCAACCTTCGTCCTCCTCCGCTCGATCCATTACTGGTACGGACTGAGAAGTTAACCTTTAGTAGCGTAGACACAAGGTCTGGCTGCAATAGGCTGCGGCTTTGCGATCGGACAGACTTAGCTCCTTCCAGGCTTTCTCGGTTCGATTTGAAGGAGATCAACAGCGTGATCAGAGAATGTTCAAACGAAAGGGAATTACGATCAGCAGTCTACGACAAACCTGTCTCAGAGAAGCCGCCTATCGACACTCCCGAACAGATTTGTGCATTAGATCGCTGGAGTTGCCACTCTTGCCGCTAGATTCCAGAAAGGACCCTGCAGCTGTTGATGATATTTGACCATTCACCTCTGCAGATCACAGGAATGGGAACCCTCCTGGTGACCCCCTGTATGGGGAGTCTGTCTGACAGGTACGGCAGGAAGGCACTCCTCGCTGTTCCCATGGCACTGGCCGCGGTTCCACCAGGTAACGCCACCGATCTTGCTCATCTTCTTGGACCTCTGCCAGCGATCTTACCATTAGACCGAACGGAGGACAGAGAGTCTCCTGGCGTAGACAGCTAGCGGCGATCGTTCTCCAGCCGCTCTTACTAGTCGAAGGCCGGCGGAGCGGCGGCGAACCTGAGCACGCCGGCCGATGAAGCTTTTTCCTCCGTTGCCCCCCGCCGGAGAGCAGAGCTCTCGGCGCCGTGGCCGGGAGATAAGGTGTCAGGTCGGAGAAAAGCCAGCAAAACGACTCCGCCCCAACAGACTGACACCCCAGGCGAGGCCTCCCGTCCTCACCGAGCCCGGCCCCACCAAAATATCCACCCCCCAAAGTAGACGACCCGAACTTATTTCGGGCCGGGCCAAATCGGGCCTCGGGCTGTCCCGGCCCGGTGGTGGGTTTCGGTGGGTCCCCTCATCTCTAAATGTATATTATTTACTCGACATTTCACTTTTTCTCGGAAAATTCTCTCTCTTAGCTCGCTGAAAAATATACCATTTTTCTTTAAAAGATGCGGAATTAATCAGTTAAGATGCCCGGCATTCCACTTGGAAATCTCCTATTTTTTAAAAATATCCGCAGAATTCTGGGTTTTCTTTACTCCGCGCCGATCATTCATGCGATGAACAGTGTGTATAGAAATCTAACGCTCTCTGATCGATCGGGTCACTGCCTGCAATGTTCGTCGACGGAATATGGGATGATCATTCCTCGGTGTCGGGTATCATTGGCATACGGTTTTGTGATCTCGTCTCTTTCTTCCTCTGTTGGGTTGCAGCGATTCTTTCCTGCAACAGGACGCAAGCCTTCTTCTACGTCTACTACGTAGTGAATATCTTCACCGGCGTAATCTGCGATGGCAGCTTGCAGTGCCTGCCCATTGCCTACGTGGTGAGTTGGAGTCTCCTGGTGTTCCAGCAGTGCAAGCCGATGACACAGCATGAATCAGAAGCAGGAAATTCCTTTCCCGAATCTGACGAAATCTGTTGTCTCAGACCAGTCGAACGTCCAATGCAGGCGGACGAGGTCGGCGAGCGACGGCGGGCCTCCGCCATCGGAATGCTCTCCGGAGTCGCCATGGTGGGATTCGTCGCCGGAATCCTGACGTCCCGCTTCCTCTCTACGACAGTCACATTCCGCGTCGGTACCCCCTCCCCCCCCCCCATTCCATTCTGGTTATCTTCTCATTCGCTGATTTTCTGAGCTTTGGTTTCACAAGGGTTCGCGTGATCGTTAGGTCGCCGCCACAATGGCAGTATTCGCGGCGTTGTACGCGCGGGTGTTGCTCGTGGAGTCTTGTAGACCCGGAGGCGCCAGCACCTCTGCTCAATCTTCTCAATCGATTCCGACATCCAGACTTTCCGGGCCCGAACCCGGGGGAGAACCGCCGCTTCTACCTTCCGTCAAAGCTCCTCTTTCGCTGCGCGATCTGACTACATCCTTCGGCTGGTCAGTTCTCACCGGCTTCTTTTTCCTGTTGTCATTACCCACAGTTTCTTGTGCTCTGTCAAGTAAAGATGCTTGCTGGAGTAGAAAATCGGAATTACTCAAGGAACGAATGTAGGCGAAATTCTCAATCCACTACAATTTCCTTATACATATATATATATATATATATATATATATATATATATATATATATATATATATATATATATTTTCATGTATTATTTTTATTTTTCTTGTTTCCTGGTGAAGATGGTGCTCAGAAAATATCGAATTAAAACTAGTCTTGTCTTTATTAAGAATTCAAATGAAAATTATGTGAATTGACTAGGAGTATCTAGATTGAACAATGTGTGATTCTAAGATCTTGGAGAGTCACCGTCTCACGTTGACTTAAAACTAGGCTCTACTCTAATTTTTTGGATTTCTACGTCATTTTAAAGTCTCTTGAATTCGTCTGCAGTTTGACGTTTTCAAGAGCAGCAGTTGTTGCATTTCTAAGCAATCTTGGTGAGGGAGGACTTCAGGCTTCATTGCTGGTACGTTTTCCCCTTCCATAATCAAGAAACTTCAATCTCTCTCATCCATGATGGTGCGCATATGATTTTGAAGTTGTGGAAAATAATATATATGGATCCCAATTCAGTCTAAAATCACGAGTAATGTCTAATATTTTTTTCATAGCTGTCTGAGAAACATTGAATAGATGAAGCTGAAACCTATAAATGTCTTCAAAGGATCTGTTTTGCTCTTCTCATCCTTCTTGAATGATTTTTGCTTTTTTTCTCTTTCAGAATTTCTTGAGGGGTAATAGTTTTGAATGTATATCCTTTTTTCATCATAGAACTCTTCAATGGCATCCGATCCTGTGAGATCTTTCTTTAACATCTCCTCATAGTTCTGTCCACTCTTCTACCGCCTTACCAAAGATCATTCTCCAGATGACAGTCGACGAAATTTATCTGACTTTTATCTACTATCTATTGAAATTATTGGCAGAAATTCTTTACTCTTGTATTCTAGGAGATAGTTCAACATCCAAAACTCAATGCCCCAAAAATCTGTTACGAATCCAGCATTTAAAGTCCAGCATATAAATTCCCATATCTTCTGTGTGTGATTCAGTGGGTCCCTTTTTAATTTTTTTGGACCACAGTTTCCTTTATTGTCAATACTTATTTTCAGGGTTTCTTAGTAATAATACGTTATGGGAACTTTAGTAAAGACAAGTTTTCTAATATGTTGGAAACTTTCGATGGCAATGTTTGTCTCATGGATCAATCTTGAAAAGTTTAATCAAATACACACACACACGTGTGTGTGTGTGTGTGTAGGTAGATAGATAGAATATAAACACATGAACACATGCAAACTGTATCACTATCTTATTCTGCATTTAGTTTTAAACGGTTAAAAAAAAAGGAAATTATGAATTTTAGTAAGATATTAGTTACATCGTCATACCTTTTTTTCAACCGTGGTTAATCATCGTTTCTTTTATTGGAACAGTACTATCTTAAGGCACGGTTTAATTTCAGCAAAGACCAGTTTGCTGATATACTGTTGGTAGGTGGCATTGCTGGAGCTATCTCACAGGTATCTGAGAAAAGTTAAACTGCTATACTATCCTTGAATTCATAACTACTCTACAATCTCGTTGCAAATTCTCTATCTTGTGGTCATAAACAATCAAATCCCATCCAGTCTCTAGTTTTTAGTCGGAATTTTGTTTCATCTGGATGGACAAACTTTATCTGCTGGCTAAAAAACCTCATCCAACTAATTTTTTTTCACCAGCATTATGAGATCTGAGCTGCTCATTCCCACGTCGGGCAATCCACTCCCACCTAGTCATCACAGAGTTTCATGTTATGCAGTTATTTCTGATGCCCTTACTGGTACCTACCGTTGGAGAGGACAGATTGCTCAGCGTTGGATTATTGGCAAGCTTTATAAACGTATTTTTCTTCTCATATCCCGTTTGGCATTTTGTTCTTGAGATTTTTTTTCTTTCAGGCCTTGAAGCAATAAGATATTACCGTTATTGTTAGTGATCTACCATTTCTTACTGATGCAGATATTTCTATACAGCATAGCATGGGCCTCTTGGGTACTTTCTCTGACCTTTTACCATGTAAATTCTGTTTTTTCACAAAAATATACTTTAGGGTATATTTCTATCATAGAAACTGTTACCTGCATCTACGTTTCTGCCAGTAGTTTATCATTTCTTTCTGAAAGGAACTAGTTCCACGTTGACCCGTTAACATTATGTCCTTAAACCCTACAGGCGACGAGTTTTACTTTCCTATTCACGAGCATCTCTGTGTACCTATGAAAGATGCTCAACTATGTAGAAACCCATCGTCAAACCCTTTATAATGGGTACTTTCTACAAGCGCTGGTTGTGGCCTTTGTGTCAGTCTTGGGAAGGAAATAACCCTTGATGATATTTAACCAATCCCCATGTTTATTTGTACCCAATCTAGAGGCAGTTCTTTCCGTGTCATTTAATCATAGGCTGGATGTGATCGCCGATTGGGCATCCTCATGGGTAGATCCATCTCCTGGGGTTCTTCTCATTGAGGCCTTTAGCAATTTCATTTCTTTATTTTATATTAATTTCGTTTATTTTATTTTTTATCATCTTATAAATCATATTAATATTTTTCAACTGACAGGTGCCTTATATGACATCTGTGGCAGTAGCCATGACCATCCTCTGTCAACCCTGTGTGAGTCTCACTAGTGCTCGCTGTCATTCATTCACTTTTTGGAGACTCTCAGCGGTGCTGTCTCTAATTACAATAATATCATGTAGATTAGGACCATCGTCTCCAAGGAAGCTGAACCCAGTGAGCAGGTGATTTCATCATTCCCATCGATGTGATGCATATTTCCCACAATGTTCCACTCCCATAGTAACCAAATAATTTGGAGTTTCAATGTGCTAATCATCAAGTAAAAATTCAATCAGGGCTATAACCAGCTATACTAATTGCATAGAAACTGCCATACCTAGAATTGAGATGAATTCAGCTCATTCTTCCACATAATACATGACAATATGCTGAACCATACCCACATCTTCTTCATGGAAAAGATGCACAGAACCAGATGAATGCTGCAGCCTGAAATTTCTATGTTCCTGTTTAATCCGTTGCAGGGAGCAGCCCAGGCCTGCATTTCTGCCGTATGCTCCTTCGCAAACATTTTATCTCCACTAGCCTTTACACCTCTTACAGGTAACCTTGCAGTTTCTTGTTAGATTTTTTTTGTTCCCCTTCAACAGTTCTCACCGGCGGCCTTCTATGATCTCCAGCTTTGTTCCTATCGGAAGCCGCGCCATTCAATTTCCCCGGTTTCGGTCTCTTGTGTGTCGGGATCGCACCGGTGAGCAGTTCCTCGTCGAATGCGCTGTAGATTTCCTGTTCTTTACGATTTCCCATCGACTCATCTCTGCCTTCTCACTGCAGATGGCTGCTTTCATCCAAAGTCTCGCCATGGCTCGGTCGCAGCTTCCACCTCGCAGATGAAAGCTCTCAGATCCCGGATACTTCCACCCAGCTGTGAAAAAGAAGGCGGCCTTCTCTCGGCACCTTGGTGAAGCTAGCTTCCATCGAGCTGGAAGGGAGAGAGAGAGAGAGAGAGAGAGAGGGGGGGGGGGAGGGAATGGTCAAAGTGGGGCCGATGAAGATGGCAACTCCTCGATGTGCATGTGGGTACGTGTCGAGACGCGGTCGGCGTGGCAGTTACTCCTTCATGGAGAGTAATTGAATCGTGTCCTTGTCGGTGCCGTCTGACAGCCTGGGTGCTAGTTGGGGATTCGATGGGGCTTCTCGGCTTCTGCTGCGTACGAATCCGCAGAGTGCACCATCTCTCTGCGCTCTCGCAGTCGGCGAGCTCCGGCGAGAGGGAAGATGGAGGCTTTGCTCCAACGTTGAGTCAGAGCAGAGAGAGGCGGCGATCGATCTTACTTCGCTTGCGGGGGTAGATTGGTTGTCCTGCTGTGCTCTGCCCCGGTCACGTTCCACTGTCTCTGTCTCTGTCCGTCTTCCGATCTGTGATCCCGAGCTGCCGCCTTTGCTGACGGCATTAGCCCAGGAGGGTAACATGGCGGCTCTCATCTTCTGTCCTTTGATGTGATCTTCTTCCCCCATACTAAATTCCCCGCCGACAGACCGTTGCTGGGGGTAGTCATCCTCACGGCGCCGCCGCAAGCGCCCATGGAGGACGTCCCCCTCGAGTCGAGCCAACTTTCCGGGAAGGTCGTCCTGCTCCATGGCGACCTCGAGCTGTGGATACGCGAGGCCCGCAGCCTCCCCAACATGGACGCCTTCTCCGAGAACCTGCGGCGGTGCTTCGCCCCCTGCCGAGCTCCGTTCGAGCGGCGCCGCCCAAAGGAGGAAGCCAGACCCCCCTCCCACGATCGGCGCGACCGCCATCATAATATCATCACCAGCGACCCCTACGTCACCGTCGTGGTCGCCGGCGCCACCGTGGCTCGCACCCGCGTCATATCCAACGCCCAGTTCCCCGTCTGGGAGGAGCACTTCGTCGTACCCCTGGCCCACAGCGCCGAAGCTATCGGCTTTACAGTGAAGGATAACGACGTCTTCGGCGCCCAGATTATAGGCACTGTCAGTATTCCGGCGAGCAGGATCGCTTCGGGGGAGCTCATCGAGGACTGGTTCTCCGTGCTTGGTCCCTCCGGCAGCCCGCCCAAGCCGGACACGGCACTTAAACTTTCTCTGCGGTTCACGCCCGTGGATCTCAATCCCTCCTACAGGGATGGCAATTGCAATGGGGTCCAGGGCACCTACTTCCCTATGAGGAATGGAGGAGCGGTGAAGCTCTACCAGGATGCCCACGTCAAGGATGGCGAACTCCCGGACATCGAATTGGAGAATGGGAAGATGTTTGAGCATGGCAAGTGCTGGGAGGACATCTGCCATGCCATACTGGAAGCTCATCATCTGATTTATCTGGTGGGTTGGTCAATCAATCACAAGGTGAAGCTTGTGAGGGAACCCACAAGAACATTGCCAAATGCCGGGCAGCTGACGCTGGGAGAGCTGCTCAAGTATAAGTCGCAGGAGGGTGTCCGGGTGTGCTTGTTGATCTGGGACGATAGCACTTCTCACGACAAATTCTTTATCAAAACGGTAAGTGGCCTTTGTAACGTTTGGCCCTGTAAAACTCAAGGAACCCTCCTCGAAGACTGAACGAAAACAGTCTCTTGTTAGTTCTGTGCCTCTATTTCCTTGAAGTTTGTTTCCTGTTTTGGGTGCGCTGCTGCCGTAGCTCTCCACAGTTGCATATTTTATTTCCTTTTCACCCTCGGACAGATTAACTGACCTCCTGAGTTTTGAAGCACGATAAGGCAACCTGTGATCATTGTCTGATGAAACCTGTGAGTTGCATATATTAATCTTTGAGAACTTGGTAATCCTCCAGAGTTAAGAATCATCAATCTGACTGATTTGAGGGGTTTTGTGTTTATGCGCTATGTTAGCAACCTGTTTGATGCTCCTCACTTGGAAAAATAACTCACTTCCCGATGATTAACCATAATTGATACTGTCAGATGTTCCATCTAACAACGAAGCCCATCTTCATCATGACGGTGAAGAGAAATCCCAGTTCATCCCATCATTGATTTTTTTTTCTAAGAAGGGCATCGATGCTCCATTTTAGCATGTCTACTCATTTGACAAGTTTGTCAACCATCTAATTTCCCTAACTAGATTAGTACAATTTTAGTTAATGTAGTTTAATTTAAATATTTCTTTATCATCGCTGTGGTCAATCTTCATATTGGTATCTCGCTTAGGATTTGTTGGAGATCCCAAAGTGGATGGGTAAATTTCTTCTATCTCACAGAGTGAAGAAATAAGATGCGACAGAAGGAGAGAAATGCAGGGAGGCTATGATTATATGCCATTTCATGGCCTCGGCAAGCTAGCTGCTTACTAAGATTTTTGTGCGAGATTGACGACAGCAGAACAATTAGTTAATTCTGGGCACAAGAATGATATTTCATACCCAATATTACCATCTTGTTATCTAAATGAGAGGAGGCGTTATAACTCTTGTGCCACATCACAGTGTTTGCGCAGGGGTTTTACTACCTTGCAAAATAGCTTAATGTTCAAGGGTCTTAGACTACTGTTGTGTGCGAATCGTCAATCGGAGATAGCGCTAGTCCGTATTATTAACCAATCTTTGTGAAAAGTGGTGATTTCTTTGCTTGCTTTTCAATGTTGATATCCACTCTTGATTCGTGGGCATTTATATTTGCTTTCCTTGTGAACGTTAAGTATCCTCTAGGCTTTGTTTTTGTTGGCTAAAGACTTGATGATTTCAACTTCTCATTATTTGTTCATTACCGTTGTCAGTGTCTATTGAAAGACCACCTTATGCTTCAAGAATATTGAAAGGTTTGATTAAATTTATTTTTTCTTGTCAAATGTTTTTTAGAAGCCTGGAAATCAGGTGTAAGCCAGGTCAAATTGAAAATCCATGAGGCTTAAAAAGAGTTTTCTTCTCTTGCAAATGTCGCTAAATTCTGATGATTCTTTTGTAAAATTTTCGGACTTGATAGAGTGAATTGAATTTATTCTGTCCGAATCATCAGTAGACGCAAAAGCTTTGTGATCCAAGGAAAAATCTACCCGAACCCTTCCTCAATGAATGTGCCTTGGCATTTTGTTGTTTGATATAAACCTTAGAATTTTAGCACATATTGCAAGCTTGAAAAAAATTCATATCTAATAATCCCAAGGCAGCTTATTATTTTCTGGTAGCGTAATTTGAATGCTCAATTCTTTATTTTTTCTCGACATACGGAGTGATATTTGGTTCCTGGTACAGGAGGGAGTAATGTCAACTCATGATGAAGATGCCCGGAATTTTTTCAAGCACTCCTCTGTCATCTGTGTGTTGGCGCCTCGTTATGCCAGCAGTAAGCTTAGCATTTTCAAGCAAAAGGCATGATTTCTCCTCTCTTTTTTTCAGGATTTTATTTTTTATCTTATGGAAAGTTTTGCCTGTTATAAAAAAATTTATGTGCTTTCTATTTTACCTGTTATACGTATGACCAGTTCTTCTTACAGTGAGTATTAATTAATTTTTTCCGACCTAATTTAAATCATGAGAACATCACTATACTTAACCATCCCTGTCATCTGCGTCGGAACAGTCAGTCAACTCTGTCGGTTTGAACCAGTATTTAACTCTCAGTATCCTAATCAATAATCGCTACTACGCTGCTTCTCACTCATTTGAATAAAAAATGGCTAAAGTTTAGAAGTCAGTACTCTAGTGTCTGTTTATAATTCTTTACTTGTAAAATGATATAGCACATAGCAATATTTCAACAAGGATACCAAATATTTCGCTAACCCCTCTTCTCCATTATAGCGTAGTCCCACTTCGCCAACCACTGGAGATAGGATTACATGCAGTGGAAGACACAAAAGAGATGTGAGGAAATGAAAAAACAAAAAAAGAGGAATCTGCGGCTGTGTGTGTGTTATTTGTGTGGACTATGTGTGAGGGTCTTCTGCATCTTATACCTATTTAATCGGTGATGTTAGTAGCGTTTGACTTTAGGTTTCCTGTGTGTGTAACCAATTACAAGAATGCTAAGTTGAGGAACCCTTTCCATTCTCTTGTACTTGGTTCCCCTGCAGTTCTTTCTTACGGTGAACTTTTGTTTCATTGACTCTCCTGTCTGTTATTTTTCTATATTTCTGACCTCAAATTGATGCATTTTTGTCCTAAGTTCTTGTTTATTTCTTGAAATTAACTTGTTAGTTTATTCTCCACGGATTGAAACCTTGTCTTCCTCAAAATTTTAAGCTCATTATCCTGTCTCTCTGCTATTTTGCATCTAGGTCGTGGGCACCATATTTTCACACCACCAGAAATGTGTGATTGTGGATAGCCAAGGTTCTCAAAATAGTAGAAAGATTACTGCTTTCATAGGCGGTCTTGATCTCCGTGATGGACGCTATGATACACCACAGCACAGAATATTTTCTGATCTCGACACTACCTTTCTCAACGACTTCTATAATCCTACATTTCCTGTAAGCATCATTACTCTTAACTTTTCTTGCTCAATAAAGCTTCTAGATCAAGGATAGCATTCTTATTGGATTGACTTTCACTTGAAATTTTTTCTTATCATCTGAGGGTCAACTTATTCATGAATCACATACTTATGGTAATGTTTTCGATTTTATCACCTCTGTCGTCGATGTATGCGTGCATGTAGATAATCTTTTCTGTAAGGTTAAGGAAATTCCACGCTCAACTTTATCCACAAAAATGATTGCCTGTGCATTGTTAAAAGAGCCTGCTTCTTTTAGTTGGTAAAGGTGCAAGGGGCTAATCCCATAGCTCTTGTGTATTTAGTTGACGTTCTCTCAAGAAACAAGAACATTTAGGGTGTGGAATGGGAGGATCTTGTTCAAAGATTATTTTACTACCACCTCCCCTCCCCCTTGTTTACGTCCTGGAACTAAATTGAGTGTTCCGCCAATTACTCTGATATCTGACGCACATGTAAGTCGGAGGCATCAGTGAAAGGCAGCATTCAAGTTATGAAACAAAATTTTCTCGAATGTTAGTATTGAAGACGAGCTAACATGATCAAGGAAAATATAGCATGGAATTGCTGTAAAAATACGAGGGTATAACATGAAAGTTCCTCTTAAAATATTAGGATCTAAACAGGGTTATCTACATAGATGTCAACAGGTCAGTGCGGCTTCTGCTTGACGAGCTCAAAAAATAAAACTTCAGACATAATCTTTGAGAAGTCTAGGCAACGGCTGGTCAAGCCCTGCCCAGCCCTCGTGGCCATTTGCCCAATGGTGGTTTCCAGTGAGACAAATTCGGTCTGTCATGAAAGGAGGGGGAACACGTGCCAGATGGTGGACCTTGGGGTGATTCCCACTGAGAGGTTGGTGACGGATGCCTGGGGAAACCAAAGACAGATAATGGGGAGTGCTAGATGGGGGGAAACAGAAGAAGGGAGGAGGGGATGATGGAGAGGAGGGACAGCTAAAACAATAGAGAATGTACTCAACAGAGGAAATGGGAAATAAAGGATGATACCAGTTAAAAGGGGACTAATGGGTGGGATTGTATTTGGTGAGAGGGTGCCACCGGTTCTAAGGGTTTCTACTTGGTGAGGGGAGAGGGAAGGATTGCCACATGGATGTTGGAACGCCTACATGGCAAAGAAAATGGACTTTGAGATTGGGCCTATTTCTTCATTCCAGATTTGATTCTGAGATTCAAATCCGAAGAAACTTGTCCAAGTTAGGACAAAGTTGGTCCATTGACACCCCTTGGCCTATGTAAAAGGATGAGCAACCTTAGACATAGAAACGTTTCCCTAAAAACGAGTACCTGGGGGATGATCCTCGTATGAACAATACCATTTTTGTTTGATTCAGCCTCAGTCCAAGTGAGTGAACTTGGAGCTTAGAAATATCTTAAATTTAGATAATAGGATATGTAAGAAACATGCATCTAAAATATATGCGGTTATAGGTACTTTTATGATAAAATCAATTTTAACTATGTTGGAATAAAGAGAAGATATTAAGGTTACAATTCGTACCCGCCTTTCTCTCTTGTTTGTGTGTGTCTGTGTTTGTCTGTGTGTTTGTGTGTGCGCAGAGAGAGAGAGAGAGAAAGAGGAGACTGGGCTATGCACTATAAGACCTAATATGGCCCAAGCTTACATATTCTAAATGACTCACTAACAAGCAAAGCTAGTGGTCTATTCCGATTTGCATAAAAGTTTTAAGTTTGTAGATGTAAAACGCTTCACATTTCAGTATGTTTGATCACGGTATATGTTATTTAACGCTACAAGTATTCATGCTTTTGACCTGCATATGTGAGGTTGATACTTGGACGTGGCTGAGTGAAATCTTAAATGCCTATTCAAACAAAACTATTTTCTTAGCTGCTTCTGGACCGTTCTTTTTATTTTTCTATTTGTTTCATTGTCTAATACTTCGAGACCCAGTTGGTTACAGTCTAATATTTCTCCATGTTATGGTCTGCGCTAGGAAGGTTTTAATTAATTGCCCCTTCCAAGTAGAGATAAAGTTGAGTTGATCAAAGAATAAGCAAGTATGTCCTTTGAAATGATGTCCATGGTATACCCCATTTTTAGTATGCTGTACCACTCATTATCGTTATCATTGTCTAAGTTTTTCTCCTTTTACTTACTTGGGATTGGGATATGAAGCAACAAGGTTCCCTTTGATTACTGTGGTCCATGAAATCTATCTGTTGAGAAACGCCTTCCATTTTTTTCTGTAGGCAGAAATAAATGGCCCTAGACAACCATGGCACGACTTACACTGCAAGGTTGAAGGACCGGCTGCGTATGATATTCTTACAAACTTCGAGCAGCGGTGGCGAAAGTCAACAAAATGGTATGAATTTGGTCAACGTTGGAAAAGAGAATCTCACTATAATGAAGATGCTTTAATCAAGCTTGAACGAATATCATGGATCCTTAGCCCTTCACCGACAGTTCCGAATAATGATTCTTCTCTTTGGGTTTCAAAGGAAGATGATCCCGAAAACTGGCATGTCCAAGTGAGAAGATTTTATTCTTCACTTGTAAATAATGTTTTTATTTAAAGTTTATGATGTCCATGCGTTGACATCTTCTCGAATCCTTTTGTTCTCAGGTTTTCCGGTCAATTGACTCTGGCTCTGTGAGGGGGTTTCCCAAAAGTGTTAAAGAGGCTGAAGAACAGGTTAAAATCTAGAATAGCCATGTTACATGAATATAACATATGCTATTTTTTTGTGTTTCGCCCATGAACATTTTTGTGTTCAAGCCCTACAGAGTTAAAAAAAAAAAAACTCTTATAAAAAAAATAAATTTGTTAGAGGCTGATCATGTCCTGTGCAGCAGAATAAACTAGTTTTATACTTTATTGGAAATCTTTCCCTACCCTTTCCGGACGGAATTTCACGCATTGTTTTTGTCACGCAGAATCTTGTTTGTGGTAAGAACCTGAAGATTGATAAGAGCATACATAAAGCATATGTCAAGGCAATCAGATCAGCAAAACACTTCATATATATCGAAAATCAGTATTTTCTTGGTTCATCATATGCTTGGCCTTCTTATAGTAATCCAGGTACTGTTAACCCTCCTACTTCTGTTATCTGCAGTTTTACTTTCTATATTTAAAACTAACAGAACCGTCTTTAATCGTTGTTGATTTTTCTCCATTTAAGTCAATGCGCGCACATCATACATGATGAAGAACGTTGATATAGAGTTTCATTGACTTTTCTGGGAAATTGTGTCAGGTGCCGATAACTTGATCCCTATGGAATTGGCCTTAAAGATTGTTAGTAAAATTAGGGCCAAAGAGAGGTTTGCAGTGTATATCGTGATCCCAATGTGGCCTGAAGGGGTTCCTACTTCAACTTCTATGCAGGAAATTATTTTCTGGCAGGTATTATAGTTTGATCTTTTGAATTGAATTGAGAATTCTTGTTTGAACGTCGATGATAATGATGAACTTATGCTGAAGGTATCATAGATTTATTATCATTTAGTACGGTACGAGATTAACGATGAAATAAGTTGATATCACGGTAATACGGCTTGCTTGATCCAGGTTTGGACCTGCCAATCCGACGCCATGCCAATTTGACCCTTTTTTTTTTTTATGTGACTAATCCATAGGAGCTCACTTCGTTATAATTCCATTCAGGCATCCAACCTTTTCTGTTCATGGAATGGTAGTCCTATCATTGACATAATTTTTGACATACTGATTTATGACAGACCTGCAGAGAAAAAATCATTCAGGAACAATTAAACTGCCTATATGAACTATACACTTTGCATCATGCTTCACATTTTGAAGAGACTTGTTTGATAGTCGATGGACAACTGCCTATTTCGGAATTGTTTTGCATTCTTGATATGTGCTCCTGGTTGAAGATAAAAGAGAGCATGAACTAATTTGTGGATTCTTTAGCTCAAAATATTAAAAGAGCATCTAAGAAAACTTCCTTGGAAAAAAGCTGAAATATTTCTGTCGGGTAATTTATGATGCCGTTGTAGGAATGATCCATCTACTGTTGGTTAACATATTTTTCGAATTATTGCTTGGTAGATGTTTGAGAGAGCAATATTCAGATGATGAGTCGGTAGAGACTCAAACTAATAATGTTCAAACTGCCCACGTTTACCTAAAGTCTACGATGAATAAGAGTGAAATTATTCCATGGATAACTTAGTACGATGAAATGATTTTACCCGGAGATGCCCGTGGTTCACAAGATGGGTTCGTGCCAGATCACTTGTTTCTTGCTCAAGAAAGAACGAACTATACGTCAAAACGTCCTTTTTTACTGATTCTTTCGTCCGGAACCGTAGAAATCATTTGAAGGGGAGAAAAGAAGCGGAGAGATACAGACCGTGCGGGGAAAGAAAGTTGTCATTCCGGCAACAATCGCACCCACACTCCCCAAGAACCGGAAGTTCAAGCAAGGTGAAAACTATGGGAGTAGAGAGCCCCTCGTCCAAGGACAAAAAGACTGCACAGTAAAGACAACAGGGTAAACGGAAGAAGAAAGAACCACATGCACCATTAAGTTCCATCAGAAAGAACCTTTTTTTCCTGCAGAAACGTTAGAAAGATGTTTGATAAACCCATCTATTGATAATGTATCTCTTGCCTAATCTCCAGGTTTTGCAAATATACACAGTCAAGCATATAAAACCCAAGTGCTCTGCCCTCGATGTAGCACTAAGACTTGCACTCTAGGACTCCAATGTTGTTGTTTCACGCGTAATCTCATTTACCTGCACAATGTCGGCTTGTGGAATCTTCTCCCTCCATATTACTGTGACTGTGTGCCTGAAAAATGGGAAAAAGATAATTTTGAAAGTTTTCTTTCGGTATATTTGTGCCAAACCGGAGTTATATAAAACTCGAGAATTTCAAAGTGACAAGATCATAGCTTTATCATATACTGTTTCTATTATGCTTTATTCGATCGTTTTTTTCCTTCAGTATCAGCATTGGGTAAATTTTGTGCTTCCCTTGCAGGGCCAGACTATGCAGATGATGTATAGACTCATTGGACAGGAGCTTAAATCCATGAACATTGAGGATCAACATCCACAGGATTACCTTAATTTTTACTGTCTCGGGAATCAGGAGCCAGGAGAAACAGCGAACCAAGGTTCAGAGAAAAGTGTTGCGGTACTACTCGTCAACCTTGGTCTTTGCTAAATTGGATGGCATGCCACATATTTTTGCACGACAGCCTGTGTGCTTAATGCTAAACCACTGTGTCACCTGACCCATTTCAGGGAAAGTAGCTACTGTATCATATTCACACCCAATCCCGTCTCTGTCATTTGCTCTGATAAATTTCCAAATAACTCCAGGGATAGCAGTATTCGATGATGGCTATCATAACATACTGACACTCTCTTTATGTGGATGGCAGAGATACTTTTGGTAAGCTCTAGGATCAGAAAAATGACCTTAACAGCAGCGGATGTAGTGTTTGGAATGGAAAGTTTGTTCTGTTGAAAAATTCCTTAAATGACCCCATCAGGTTCTTCAATTATCATACCTTTCCAGGGATGACCTCCAAAAGATTTAATTTCTGTATATTCTATGGCAAATGACAAATGAATCATCGATTAAAGAGTGTTGATCCAAATATGGCGCGGTATTTTTTCACTTGCCGCAATTATAAGGTGTAAATTTAATCATCTAGCTGGAGATAACGGAGCAGGTTCTTCTTGACTACTCTTTCAGGGCTTATGTCAGAAGAACAGGCGTTTCATGATTTACGTTCATGCAAAAGGGATGATAGTAGATGATGAGTATGTGATCATGGGATCTGCAAACATCAACCAGAGATCCATGGATGGCTCCAGAGACACCGAGATCGCCATGGGAGCATATCAGCCCCACCATACATGGTCTCAAAAGAGTAGCCATCCACATGGGCAGGTCGGCACTTCTATCCATCTTTCCTGTAGCGATTGTCATTATTTTCTTTTGCCGTTATTAATTAGCATAGTTATATCACCTACATATGACGTATTAGGGCTCCTGCAGTGTGTTTTTCTGCATTCTTTCGGGCAAGCTTGTTGTTCTTCTGTTTCCTTCACTGTCGGGTTCTCTTACAACCTGCCTCGTCCTCCTCCTCCTCCTCCATTACATCATTTTCCACGCTGACCCTTCAATCTCTTCTGCCCCTCCTCTCTCATCCCTGCCTCAAAAGGTCATCTTTCTTCTTCCTCTCGTCACCCAATCGCATTTCCCTTCAATTCCCATTTAGGGTTCCGAGGGAAAAGAAGCCTCGCTGCACTTGCTCTCTGTCATTCTACAAGGAAGATTCATTATTTTATGGCTGCAATCGATCCGCCCGCAGGTGTACGGGTACCGGATGTCTCTTTGGGCAGAGCACCTGGGGGCGGTGCACGACTTCTCCAAGGAGCCCCACTCGTTGGACTGCGTCAGAAAGGTCAACGAGGTAGCAAGAAGCAACTGGGCGAACTACGCTTCGGAGGAAATGATCCCATTGCAGGGGCACCTCCTTTCCTTCCCAATCCTGGTCGACAAGGACGGAAAGGTGGAGCCCATCCCCGGTCAGGAGGAGTTCCCAGACGTCGGCGGGAAGGTCCTGGGGGCGCCCTCTTCCCTTCCCGATTCATTGACCATGTAATCAGACACCAAAGTAGCTCCATTGTCGGTATCTATCTTCACACCTGGTTGTTGACTATAATTCTGGGCCCTGCTTGTGTTGTTACGCCCCTAAAAGATCCTGTTTTGATTCAGTTTACTCCCAAAGATAATTTCTTGATTGGTGTTGGCCGAAGTCGAAGAAGATGTTTGTGTTCGGTAATCAGACGAAGCCTTTCAAGCTTTAGTTTCTTGATGTACGTTTCCAGAGGTAGAAGACGAAGTCTTAGGGTTTGGGATTGGTGGGGGCCGCGCGAACGCAGGCCCCCGCTGACACAAATTATGACGTCCACTCTCCCACTTGGGGAGATGGTAGACTGGCGCCCCTCCGTAGTGCAATGGAGATCGCCAACCTAGGCAATGGGCCTCATTGATCACCCATAGACCCCGTCCAGGTAAGTATGTTTGATGCGTGGGGCGATTCCCATCTTATAGCCACCGGTCCTCCCATATCCGGAAATTAACCGATGTGGGACTATCATTAAATCAATGCCCAGCTCAAATGGGAGGTTCCGAATGAGCCTGTATTTACAGAGGTGATTGATTTTGAAGTGTGTGGGAGGCGGCTCAGCTCAAGGCGCAGTCGCCGTTGGGCAGGTCATCGGCTGCATCGTCCAGGCGGAGGTCCCCGTCGGTGTCGGCGTACCGCAGAAGGAGATCCACGAGCTCTTGTTCCCCTCGGGGCTCGGCACGGTGGCGGCTCTGCAGCGCGATGAACATCCGCAGGAGATTACGGGGTACGCCCCGGCGATGCCTTCTCCTCCCATGGTGTAGCTGGGCCGGAGGCGATCGCATTGTCGTCGTCGTCGTCGTCGTCGTCGTCGCCGCCGGAGCCGGAATCGAGGTCATCGTCGGAGTCGAGGTCACCATCGGAGTCGGAATCGGCATCGTCAAGGTCGCAGTCGTCGTCGGTGTAGTCGCAGTCATAGTCATCAAGCGCAAAGCAAGCAATTCCATCAGGCGTCAGAACCTTCCGCAGAAAAAAGGAACAGCAGAGAAATCAGGTCTCCCTCTGCCGCCTGAGTTATAAAAAGCTACTGTAAGAAACCATGTTCTCAGCAGTGGAAATGACTCTCTTCTTCGGATAGAGGGTAGGCAGTTCAAGCCAAAAATAGAAGAATATTACAGTTTTTAGGAAGAAAAAAGGGAATATTTTCAGCAAAAATTGCATCACATCAGATGTCCCCCCGTCCGCTAACCCAAAAGTTCTAGAAAAGCTAATGTGAGAAATATTGTTCTTGGCAGGAAATGGGTGCTCGTTTTTCAGACATAAAATAGCCGATTCAACAGAAAAAAAAGAAGAATATGACAGCTAATAGGATGGAGAAAAGGAAACTATTTACTGCAAAAAATGCAACATATCAGATCTTCCTACCTCCGCCACCCAGGTTCTAAAACGCTAATGTGAGAAATCTGGTCGCTCATTTTGCAGAAATTAAGTAGTCCTCCCAACTGGATAGATGGAGGAATGTGGCAGTTCATATGAAGAAGAAAAGGGAAATCTTTACTTCAGAAAATCCATACAATCTGATCTTCCTCCATCTATTATGCAAGTCCTAAAAAGTAATATAAGCACTCCTGTCCTTGGCATGATATTGTGGCTCTTTTTCAGACAATAAACAATCCATTCAACACAAAAATAGAAGCATATGCCAGTTTGTAGGACGAAATAATGGAATATTAAAGTGAGAGTGAATACCTCGTCCAAGTTCACTGGAGGTGCTGGTTCAATGGCATTAGGGGTCCACAGCTTGATGTCATCCTCAAGACCGCTGCTAGCAAGCACGGTAGCATGAGGGTGGGGCTCGATACAATTAACCACATGTCTGTCTGCCTCCATAGCCCTTAAGAGCTCTCCATCTTTTTTTCTCCAGATGAAGATGCGTCCACAGTCTGATCCACTGACTACATATTCACAATTCGGGCCAAAGAAGTTCACACCCTTTACCGTATCACAATTCTGATGCCCGCTGTAGGCTTGTGGCCCAGGTTTGAAATCAGTGTCTATGTCAGAGGCCGCAGCAGAGCTCGATCCTGATCCACTCCTGGTGGTAGCAGGCTCAAGAGCAAGTGAACCCGGCTCTGGCCCCAACCCTTCCTCCTTTGAGAAAAGGTAGATAAGCTCATCATTGTAGGAAACGAGGAGCTCACTACAGTTTGAGAACGCCAGTCCTGTGATCCCTACTTGGCCGTCACCAATCAAATGAGGTGGGCAGAAGGAATCAACTGGATAATGGCCATCAGTTGATCCATCCCATTTATATTTCCGAATGTCATATAGGCGTGCATACTCGTCTGATCCGGCAATGGCAAAGAGACTGGAGTTCCGTGGGTCTATTGCAATGGCATTTAGATGAACGGTTGCCAAGTATGACGATCGGCCACGGAATGATTTGCATGTGAATAGCGGTGTAGCAAACTGTGTTCTCAGGTCAAACTGCAGAATAAGAATAACTCGTCAGGAGATATTGGCGGATTTAATGACCCAATTGCTGCAAGAGAATATGCGGATCAAGAGACACTAACATGCTGAACCACGCCATCTTCACCACAGCTGTAAAATATGTGTGAACTTCCTGGGTCAAAAGCCATCTTGTGAGCCCGGCCTTCATGCTTAGCCAGCATCTTGGTTTCCACCGGCCCACCTTCTAGGATCTGGGCATATCGAACCTGCAGAATAAGTCAAGTGCGAAGGCGTTCAATGTATAGTCGTCCTCCACAGATTGATCAAACTAATCAAGGGGGAAACATCATACCTCACCATCTGCAGCACAAGTCACAAGGTTCTTGTTGTCTGAGTAAGGCATGATTTTTGCTTGGAAGACATTGTTTGTGTGGCCCGAGTGAAACGACAACCTGGGCCGTCCGGGTTCCCAGTCCCAAAGGATTACCATTCTGTCATCAGATCCGGATACAAGAATGCCACCATCTGTGTTAAAGGTTACTGTGTTAACGCAACCCCTGTGCTTTTCCAGCTTGTTGTGGATACTCAACCGCAAAATAAGATCCTGTAAAACGAGAAAGATCAGGAGATAATACACGGAGAGTTTGTGAACACAATTTTTTAAGAATTCTTTTAATAGATGGTGTTCTAGGCAGGAACTTGCAGGATCAGAAAATGGTCTGCTTTTCACTAGTATTTCGGTCAACAAAAAGGCAAATCACTGGATAAACCAGGGAGAAAAAAAAATTCGGCCAATAGCTTCCAGGTGGCTCAAAGATGGCATGAAACAGAAGATATAAATGGATAATACGGCCATCTTCACATACCACCAGGCAAAATATCCTCCTACACATGACACTGCAGCCACCATTTTTCAATGACAGTAGCTCATTCACTGTTGCGACAGTCAAAACGGAGGTCCAACCACTGCCTCTAATTTACTTGGAGTGACCGGACTAACAACAGGGGAGCAAAAAGAAAGAGGAAAAAAAATGCAAACAGAAGGATGGAGAAAATAAGTTAAATGAAAAAAAAGGAAAAGGAAAGAGGAGAGGGAAAAATGAAATACATGGAAAACAAGGCTGAATGTTTAGGAGAGAACTGAAGCCACTTAGATGAATCATAATTGGTGGTAAATAACTTATTTTAACCCCAAGTGATGATGGCTAGAATGAAATGCAAATGAATCCTGATTCGGTTCGAATCCAAACATGAGACTTTGCCAAAATCACACTTTTCAAAGCATTATTAGGCGACAAGATGCAATTTGCGAGAAAGATATTTGATCACTTTGGGTATCATTCCATGTTTATCATTCTGAGCAGCACGTTGGAATCCTTAACTGGCAAAAGAAATATTGTCAAACTATTCCTAAACTATACATAACTACTATTTGAAAATTTATTGCAATAATATTTTATTGAACATAAATTAGGCATCCCATATGAAATGAAAACACGGTCTACCTCGTCTTTGACATAAAAAGCACGTTCAACTCCAAAATTATTCACAAGGGGGAGGGGGGGGGGATACCCTCTTCCTTCCCTTGTGAATACGAAGAAAGAGAAGAAAAGCAGGAGGAGAGCGCGAGGTTGAGAAACAGAAAGTGCGAGAGACAAAGGAAGGAGAGACAGTAGAAAAGACCAAAGAAGGCAGAACGGACAAAGGCTGAAACTGAAGGAAGAAACTGAAGAGGGTGCAGGTGGGACGAGGGGGAGAGGGAGATGAAAAGATGGGACCATAAATACGGATTCACATGGATATAGAGATCCCATCAAAATAAAAATTGTAGCACAGCAAAAAGGATCTACCCAAAAAATGCTTCAGTGGGCTGGGGTAGTCATCGGATAAACTATCTAACTGAAAAAAAGACGATCAATCCACAGCAAACAGGGCAACCAGGACGGAAACTCAAACTGACCTCAGATGCCCCAACACGGTGCTTGAAGGTCCGCGGGTTGAGGTCCCCAACCTCCCGCTGCCACAGCCGAACGATTCCCCCTCCCGAGCCCCTTCCATTCTTCCCAATTCTCCCCATATCCACCCGCACGCCGCTCACGATATTAACCAGAAGGGCGAATAAAAGGGATCACAGAACAATCTATATCAGAGAACAGGCCAAAGGCTGTAACTCGATGGAGGAGCGGCGGATTGATGAGAACAGGGAAGGCCGCTTCGGCCGCCGCCTGGAGTCTCGCCGGCAGGTAAAAGCCGGGCGGAGACGGAGACGTGAGGACTATCGGGGGCAGGAGGAGACCGCTCGGTCGTGTCACAGCAGGTCCCCCGTTTCAAGAGGGAATACTTTATATATAACTCGGCACCTGGAGTTCGTTAATGGCCGCCCCGGTGTATCGTGAACCGCAGGCACATTTTGCCTAATCTCCTGAGAGAGAATCGGGCGGGTCACGAACGCGGAACGGAACGAGTCCACCCCCTCGGCCCCGTATGACTGTAAAAGGGCCGGACCGAGTCCAGCCGAGTGGGGTCCACTCGGGAGTAATTTCCCCGAAAAAGATTTAGCAAATGAAATATGCAAACGTGAATATTTACTAAAATATTTTTAAACTATTTTTGAAGGAAGCAGAAAAAAATTCTGAGGGCAGATATATCTGAAAATGGAAAGCCTAGGCGTTGAGGGATGGGAATTTTTCTTTTTTTTTTCCATATCTGGATGTGTTTCTTCGAGTGCGAGCGGTGACGGGAGCCCCCCATGAACCCTGATCGACAGAAACCCCCAAAATCGTGCGATCTCGGTCTCTCGCCCGTCTCGCTCTGCTGATCCCCCTCCCGGCGCCGCATCCCAGTGCCACCACAGCCGGAGAGAAGGGACCATGGCGGCGTCGTTCATGGCCGTCAGTCATTCCCCGCCGGCCTCCCTGAAACCCCATCTGAAGCTGTCGCCGATCCCCGCCGTTGTCCGCGGAAACCCTAGCAAAGCGCTTCCTTATCCGTTCCGGCCGGCCTTATCTCCCCGCCTTGTTGTCCCGTGCTCCTCTGCAACCTCGTCGCCGTCGGTCGATCCGGGGCCGGCGTCGTCTGTTGCTGCCGCCGTTTCTTCCTCCAAGCATCGCCGCCACACGGACGAGAACATCCGCGAGGAGGCCTGCCGGCAGCAGAACACCACCAGCCACAACCTCGGCCTCTCCGCCCGGTACATCCCCTTCCCCCGTGGGTTTTCAAGCGAGAGCGATGAGTACTACTCCCTGGATGAGGTCGTCTACCGGAGCCGTTCTGGGGGGCTACTGGACGTGCAGCACGACATGGCCGCCCTGAAGAAGTTTGACGGTGCCTACTGGAAGGCCCTCTTCGACTCTCGCGTCGGTCGGACCACCTGGCCCTACGGGTCCGGCGTCTGGTCCAAGAAGGAGTGGGTCCTCCCCGAGATCGACCCAGAGCACATTGTCTCCCTATTCGAGGGAAACTCCAACCTCTTCTGGGCGGAGAGATTCGGCAACGAGTACGTCAGCGGCATGAACGACCTCTGGGTCAAGCATTGCGGGATCAGCCACACAGGCAGCTTCAAGGATCTGGGCATGACTGTCCTCGTCAGCCAGGTGAATCGCCTGATCCGATTGGGCCGTCCAATTGTCGGCGTTGGCTGTGCATCCACAGGTGATACGTCAGCTGCCCTATCTGCATACTGCGCCGCCGCCAGCATCCCTGCTTTCGTGTTCCTTCCAGCGGATCGCATCTCCATTGCTCAGCTCGTGCAGCCCATTGCGAACGGAGCATATGTACTCAGTCTGGATACGGATTTCGACGGCTGCATGCGTCTCATCCGAGAAGTCACCTCTGAGCTCCCAATCTACCTTGCCAACTCTCTCAACAGTCTGCGCCTCGAGGGCCAAAAGACGGCTGCCATTGAGATACTTCAGCAGTTCGACTGGGAGGTCCCAGACTGGCTCATCGTCCCAGGGGGAAATCTCGGCAATATTTACGCCTTTTACAAAGGGTTCGAGATGTGCCGCGAGCTTGGACTTGTGGACCGCATCCCTCGTCTTGTATGTGCCCAGGCGGCCAACGCAAATCCACTTTATCTTCATTACAAGGCGGGCTGGGCTGACTTCAAAGCGGTCAATGCAAGCACAACCTTTGCTTCTGCAATACAGATCGGTGACCCTGTTTCCATCGATCGTGCCGTGTACGCACTTCAGAATTCCAATGGAATAGTTGAGGAGGCAACTGAGGAGGAGTTGATGGATGCCATGGCTAAGGCAGACCTTACAGGAATGTTTGCGTGCCCTCACACTGGCGTTGCTTTGTCAGCTTTGATCAAACTAAGGGAGAGGGGAATTATTGGGAAGACGGACAGGACTGTTGTTGTTAGTACAGCCCATGGGCTTAAGTTTGCACAGTCCAAGGTTGCCTATCATTCCAAAGAGATTGCAGACATGACATGCCGGTTTGCAAACCCACCTGTAAAAGTGAAGGCAGATTATGGTTCAGTTATGGATGTGTTGAAGAACGTCCTGAAGAATAAGATTTTACCCGTTAAGAACGTGGTTTAAATGTCAGAAGTGAGGATGTTCATTTTTCTGAGAGCTGTAAGTCCCCCTTAGGAAATTAACTGCTGTTCGAGATATAATTTTTCTCATGTGTTCCTCTCCTTTTTGCGCGTTTGTCGTTTGCTTTTGTCTCTTTGTAGTTTGCCAATAACTAAATGATATATATCTATCTGGTGAGCTCTGTGTCATCAGTTTCTCAGACGAATTGACTGTACCGCTAATTCAGCTGAGCGTAACAATTTTCTTTCATGGTCATTTGAATTTTTTCTGCAGGAAAATTGTCGAAAGAACTTTGTCGTCTGTGATGTGATGCTTTCTCTTCCTCAGGAAATGATTGTCTAAAGAACTGTGGCAATGTTAATCAATTTTTAATCCCCTACTTCATCTTTTTGCTGACGATGTTTTGAGATTAAATTAATAATGTTTAAATAGCTGTGTTTACACTATGTACTCACGTAGATTGATGTCATTACCTTCCATTTCCTCGTTCGTGTTTTAGTTGATGTGTAGTCTATAATTTGGATGAAGAGTATAATATGATTTTATTCCAAGGCCATTGGCTCTCTTTATGTTGACTATTCCTGAGGCTCTTGGTGTTTTTTAGATGTTTCAAGGCTACTGAAAATCAGAATGGAAAGGAAATGAAGAAGCAGAAATTATAGTCATTTTTTGTGCGACTACACAACTATGAATGAGCACTTAAGTCTTATCAATGAACGAAGATAGGTAAAGAATCAGGAGAGTGAGAATATCCGTTTTTTCTCAGCAATATATAAGGTTAGAGAGATGAAGAAGAGTGTGAACAAGGGTAGGGCTGCAAACAAGACATTCGCGATCGGAGGATTGCATGAGGTTTGCATGACCCTGTATGGATAATGGGCATAAATTATTGATTAATGCGCTGGATGTGATTAGAGACTGCATCAAGAAATTGATTCACTAGCCAAATAGATTATGATATATCCCTAATCTTTTGCAGCTGGGGGCCAATTCATCTACGGCTCTGTTTGATTGAGTGCTCTAAAGACTGCTTAAATGCTCTGCCTTTTCTTTTTTGCCTACAAAAATTTCTTAGTCAGCCAAGGAAAATAGACCCGGATAGCTGAGCTTCCGTTCAAGGAAAATAAAACTGTAGATACATCAGTTTGTGATTATAGATCCATAGATTAGTAAGGCATTCGTTGAAAAAAAAAAAAAACGTCTTCAACTGAATCTCTAGCTGTTGGATCAGGTTTCAAATCCCTTGAATCTCGGGCTGTGAACCATTGGATTGAACTCTTTTTTTCAAAGGGTAACTGTCTGAAAGTGTGCTGAGGAAGAAGATTAACTCGATACTGTTCTAGTCCTTGGCAAAGCCTTTGGATTCGGTTCTTATTGGTCAGGATTAGAGAGGATCATCCGAGAAACCCATGTCTCCGCAGCTGTTTACACTGAATGGTTCATCCCCGATTAATCTGAAAAAATATGTAGCTGCTGTAATGATCCAATCACAATGAACAGGAAGTTGATGTCTAGAGAGAGAAACATGGAAGATCGTGGGAAGTTGATAATGTTCTTGTTTTCGTTATGCTCTCTAGCATGGTAGTGATTTCTTGATCCATTACCGTGGAGGAACAGGGGAAGACTAGCCCCCAAACGTCGTGGGCCTGTTTCATAGCCCACTAAGCTCCATTCATTATCCATAAGTGGGCCTGTCCCCCCCCTGATCTGCCGTCCAAACGGTAACATAGCAGGCTGAGGGCTGACGTCAGACCAGGACAAGAGGAGGGCCCACTCGCAGCCTGCACGAGAGGAGGAGCGAAGGGAGTAAAGAGGAGAGGGATGGGCTGTTGGGCCAGATTTAATGAGGGAATCCTCGTCTGACAAGAGGAAGATGAAAGGCGCCGGCACGCGCTTATAAATGCCCGACAGACCACATTTCCGAATTATCTACTCCAGAAAAATGCTAATATTCCATTAAAACGTCATTAATACGGATTTATTGTGTAATAAATATCTGTTTAACTGCATTTATTCCCTCCCCCTCCCCCTCCGAGAACGTCAGCCATCTCATACGGCCTCCGGTCCTCATTTACTCACCCCGCCACCGCGCCAGACCACATAAACACCGAGCGATGGGACGCGTCTGCTACCCTGTGGGGCACGTTAGCGGGCCTATCAATCCACGCGCCGACCAGAACCCCCCACCCCAACTCCTATCGTGGCGTGGGCGTCTCCCTCTCGTTGGAGACTAGCATGCAGCACGAGCTCAGGTGGTGGGGGGGAGGGGGTGGAGGGTGGAGGTCGCCGCTCTGGCTGGGATTCCGACGAGCTCCCGGAGTTTTTGGACTGCTATGGAGCGAGCGGCTCCGACGATCTCTCCGTCTCCCCTGTGAATGAAGAAGACTAGATCTGAGTCCTGTTAGATTAGCCGGCGGCGTGATGAGGGTGGTGGGGAGCTGGCACCTTTTCCTGCAGAAACTGCGGTGAACAAGGAGAAGAAGAAGGGAGATGGAGGTGGAGATGGTGGAGAGGAAAGTGAACGGAGAGAAGCGTTGCCGGAGAGGGCGGGCACTAAGGGGCCCGGAGCTCCGGTGCTCGACGGAGGAGCTGCTGCTCTCGAGGTGCGGCAGCGGCGTTTGAAAGGGAACTAAGATATTGGCACGGCTCAATCAGACAAACCCTGAGTGGGGAGTGAGTCCGTTGGATCGGCGTCTGAATGAGCCGGGCCAACATCACAGTAGCCGTTTCAGAGTGCATAGGGTCGACCCATCTTCCTCCGTCGTCTAGTTTTCCAGAGGCAAGAGGGAGACAGTAGGAGAGGGGGGATGAGTGAGGAAGACGAAGAGCGCGAGGGAGGAGCGGCGGAGGGCGGAGGCTCCAGGATAGACGAAGGCAAAGAATGTCTTTGCACGAATTTAAGGAGCCCGACGCGTAGAAACCGCATTCAATGAGCTCGTCTACCAAACGAGAAGAGCAGGCCTTTGCATTAATGGGGAAGAATACGCCCCCCCGCCCCTCCATACCAGTGCAGCCTCCTACCAATATTCTCTCCATCTACTTCTCTGAGAGTGGGCGAGACACGCAGAGAGAGAGAGGGCGGTAGAGAGCGAGTCCATCTTCATACACAGTGTGCAGCGATACATTGTGACCCACGGAGATCTCCTCATTCTGCTACATTGGCCATGCACAAGACCCCCGCAGGCAAAGTTACCATCCCGGTCAATGCCTTGTCCGACGCTCAGCCCTCCCTCGTTATAACTGATCCACAGGCCCCTTCCCCCTCTGCAAACACGAGACCCCTTTCTGTCCGACTCTCCAACATCTATACACGTGATTGCATTAACTCCTCCCCCACGAGTAACAAGTGCAGTAGTAACTATTTATGGAATAAACCCGCCGCAACGGGTTCCCTGCGGCCACGCCGGCCGGAGGAGGGGAAGTCTGGGAACGCCGGTGAACCTGGGGAGTTCTCTGGCGGCGCCGCCCCGCCACCGGTGAATCTGGGCAGTTCCGAGCCGGCGCCCCCCCGTAGAGATGTCGCCTTTCTTCCTCGCGGAAACCCACCGTCTAATGGGTTTCTACCATTTTATCACCCCCCCTCCCCCACCACAGAAGGAGACCGCCGGCGATGAGCGAGAGAGGAGAGATAACGGATGGAGGGGAGGGTCCCACGGGGCACATCGTTCGGGGGGGGGGGGGACTTGACCTGTTAGTGAACTGTGGGGCCCTTCGAGAAGCCATTTATGAACAAAAGGAATGGATATAGAAGGACATGGAGTGGAAAAGCCCAAAGCTACCCTTTCACCACAGTTCTACTTCGTCGGCTTGCAGGCTGACATCAATGCCTGTCGGTGCTCTACAGTACGTAAGGGGTATTTATGTATTTATGGTTTATAGCTCTCGGGTGAGCTCGCGTTTTTGGCAATGGACTGCATTTTGGACCGTTATTATTATTCACGCAAAAAGGATGCCATTGAAGCTAAACTCCCATATTAGTCATTCGAGCCCATACGAATCGAGTTGAGCCCATTTATATTGGGCCAGCCCAATTTGGCCTGTCAGCTTTAACCTCATTGTTCTAGCCATGAGCGTGGAGAGAAAGAGAGAGAGAGGAGAGAGAGAGAAGGCTGGTGTTCCGCCGGGCCCACTTTTTCACTGGGCTAATCGGGCGGGTTTTGGGTCTGGCTGGGACATTGAGCCCATATGAAATCGAGTATCACTAAGAATCTGCATCTAGAATGGGCCAGCCCAATTTAGCCCATCAGCTTTATCCATAATATCTCATTGTTGTAGTCACGAGCGCAGAGAGAGAGGGCTGGTATTAGGCCAAACACAGTGTGGGCCCACTTTTCCAGTGGGCTAATCCTGGCATGGCTGGGACATTAGCCCATATGAAATCGAGTGTCACTAAGAATCTGCATCTAGATGGACCAGCCCAATCTGTCCCATAAACTTTAACCACAATGTATCATTGTTATAGCCAAGAGCGTGGAGAGAGGGAGAGAGTGAAAGAGAGAGGGCTGGTGTTGGGCCAAACACGGGGTGGGCCCACTTTTCCACTGGGCTAATTCAGCGGGGAGTCTGGCCTGGGCGGGACATTGAGCCCATATGAAATCGAGTGTCACTAAGAATCTGCATCTAGAAAGGGTCCGCCCAATTTGGCCCATAAGCTTTAACCACAATGTCTCATTATTATAGCCAAGAGCGCAGATAGAGGGAGAGAGAGAGGGCTGGTGTTGGGCCAAACGGTGTGGGCCCACTTTTCCACTGGGCTAATCGGGCGGGGAGTAAGACCTGGCTGGGACATTGAGGGCCATCACGCTGATGGGAAAATTTCCCGCAGTCAAATCACGAAAGTACCACAAAATTAGAAAGTCGCGTGTGCTCCAGTTGGGCTTTGTACGCACCATGCCGGCCCATTTGAGTTGGGCCCAATTCCATTTTAGCTGGCTTCGTAACCATCCCATTTCCAGGCGCGATCTGCCACGGCCCATTGGGCTTTTCTCCTACTCTGTCCTTCTGTTCCTACAGTCGGCCCACTTCATCCGTAGTCTGGGGAGGTGCAATAGCCGATTATCCCGTGTTGAGGGCAACAAAGCCCCAAACGAGTTCCACGCACAAAACGTCCGCGTTCAACGAACCGATCTTTAGTTACCAAGTATGGGATCTATAAAACCGTCCTGGTGCAATGTATCAAGAACTGTGTCCCCCCTGCCCGTTTCCTCTCTCTCTCTCTCTCTCTCTCCCCCCCTTTTGAGGACGGATGGCACGGGGTCGATGAGCACCATAAGTCAAACCAGCTGATTAGGCGCATTTCTTCTCCGGTTTGAGCAATTATGCGAATAATCTCCGCTGACGTCGTCGTGCTGACCCGAGTCCGCAGGTTTCGCCCCTTCCACGTTATTTGGAGCGCGTCGGTGACAAGTCCCCGGAGATCCTGAGCTTTGGACGGTGCGAATTAGGTATCGTCATTCTTCCAAGCAACTCGTGGACCGGGTTCAATGACCTACACACAAAGCTACCTGTAAAAAAATAGGTATGAATATAATACGGATGCCATTGGTTATTGAATATGATCGATTATAGTGAAGAAAATATGCCAATGAACGTGTGGATATATTTTTAAAATATCGAGGATATTAGGGTTATTTTTTTATAGAAATTACATCACATTAAAAAACTCAACTCCATCTAATATTGCTCGTTATTTCCTTATTTTATTTATAATACACCGCTTTATTTGTTCAACAAGTTGGGATCACCCAACAAGTAGAAGAGTAGTAGTACAAGCCAATGTGATCACGTGCCTGTCGCACGAAAGTAATCACGTGACGTCAGAAAAAATTGCTAAAATGTGGAGGCGAGGAGCAAGTGTCTGGATACAATGTATTTAGCCTACCGACAAGTCAAAAATTGATTAACCCGATCTCGACCGTCGTTTGGCGTCCACGGAGGATAAGTGGGCGCACGGAAAAGAAAAAAGAGGAAAAATCCAATTCCGAGATCGTAAATATCAGGCGAAAATGCTATCCGGTCTGCTGTCCCGCGGAGGCCGCGGAGATCCGAGGGGCCGAGCTGGCGGCGACGGGGTCCTGCCAACAAGTCCACCGAGAGACGAAACGTCAGCGCTGACCTCGAGGGAGAGTGGGGCTCCTCCTCCCGATTCGCCGCCTCCCGCCCGCCGATTGCTTTAACTTGCTTCCAGCTGCATCTGCTGAAGATAAGATATTTTTAAGGCTCCCATTTTTAGGGTTCTTTAAGGCGGCGGATCCCCCATCGGCTCCTAGTTGCCGCCTCCGCCGTTGAAACCCTCCCCGAGTGAGAATAAACTGCGGGCCGGCGGCATATTCCACGGTCCGCGCGAGACTCCAAGTGCTTCCAAGTGGAAGCCACGTGGGCGGTCCTACTCGGAGTCGCGTAGGCCACGTTGGCCGCACCGCGAGGCGCACGATCCGCATCGGCGAATTTTATGGGCGCCAGGTGGGCCCAGGTGGCAGGTATGGAACCCACTAGGCCAGGCGTAGATTAGAATAGCATTATCCGTTCCTCGTGGTGATCTGTCCGGACGACTTCGATCAGCGCCCGACGCAGGGGTGAGACCATTTTGACCGGCTCCCCGCCCCACCCGGTGGGGACATGTGGGGCCCACAGACACGGTATTCTTCTAGATGGCTCTCGATGCAGCTTAAGATGCTCTAATATGGGTACATATGGGGGGGAGAGACGGGTGGGAATTATTTTATCGAGGATAAAAATGGCATATCGAGAGAAGGGGGTGGAATTAAAATAGGGTATAAAAAGGGCAACCGTAGATCTCGCTGGACGAGAGCGGACAGCACATCATGTGGTCATCGAGGAGGAATGGATAACCCGAGGCCTGGTAATTTCACCCCCAGACCCGTCGCCGCTTCCTTCCTCATGCAGACAGGTGAAGGGGCTTTAATAGTATAAAAGTCAATATCTACTCTCTCTCTCTCTCTCTCTCTCGTATCGCCGTTCGCCGGCGCACTTTTCACCATCTTCGCTGCCCCTTGCGTTTCTTTCTGGTTGCCCGATTGCTACCGTTCACGTGAGCGATGGGAGATCTCGGAGACGACTTCTCCGCCGCGTAGGAGCCCCTTGGGGAGGGGGAGAGCGAGGCATCGGGGGGCTCTCTCATCGTCGTATCGCCGTGGCTCGTGGCGCGGTGGATAGTAATGGACGATAATGAGAGCTGCAGCAGCAGAGCGGTGGATTCGTCGCTGACGCACACTAGGCAGCAGCGCCAGAAGCTCGATGTCTACAACGAGGTGCTCCGCCGCCTCAAGGACAGCGAGGACGCGGGGCTCCCCGGCTTCGATGACGAGCTCTGGGCTCACTTCAACCGCCTTCCTGTCCGGTAATTATCGCCATCCTGAGCCATTCTTGCCCCGCCCCCTCTTCCTTCTCTTGTTACCTTTGCATCGCTTCTCTTTCAGATGGGATAGTTGGCGTTTATATTTCATACCATCCTTCTCGCTTCGCTCTGTTGAAAAACCTTGATTCCCCTTGACTCAGCTACGATCCTGCACTTCATGTTGGCGATCAAAGCATTGCTTCATGACTATCCTTCTTGGAGATCCGCTTTCTACGTCGTTATAGAATACGAAGAAATTCATTATCGTAGGGTTTCCTATCGATTTGAGGGATATGATTTGCTGGAGCGTGCCAAGTATACTACGGTTAACGGTGGAATTTTTCTGGAACGTAGATTAACGTTATCTGCGAGCTGTGAACGCAGGTATGCACTGGATGTGAATGTAGAAAGGGCTCAAGACGTTTTGATGCACAAAAGATTGCTGCAGTTGGCGATGGAGTCATCTAATATGCCTGCATTTGATGTACGCATTGTTCAGGTGAAATACGCTCAACCGAAAATTGATAGTCTACCGTTTTCGTCATCTGACTCACTTGTTGCGTCCTATGGGGGCGGTAGACGCCTAAAGGGACTGGTTATCAGTTAGCTATCGGGCCTGAAGATATCCTTCGTCGCTCGGTATGCTGTGTTTTCAGTGGAAGCTGTCCCTTTGGACATAGGATAGGAGGTTTCGCGATGGACCGATTTCCCTCTAGGAAATATCGTTCGATCGTGACGTGCAGAAGTTCGTCTCCATTTTCAATAATTATTCCATGATTAATACTCTACTAAGATCCACGGGAAAATAGTACTACATTTAAGGTTATTGAGAAAAACTATTCTGGAACGAGAACGTGATTATATTCAAACAGTAGACAGTTTTATGTACTTTGGGGCACACCTTCAGATAAACTTACTCGGAACAGCTAGGAATCTATTTGCAACGCCTGTCGTTCCATTCTATCGACTGTAAAATATCCTTGCCTTTTCGACAAGCCTTTTTCTCCGAGCCCTTTTCATTACAAAGTGCAACTTCCAGCTTTTGTTAACTCCTGCCATAGTTTTCCTCAACATTAGATTCATTTGTTCAACTCGTTTGGAACTAGTGAATAATACTGTCTGCTTAACACTTAGCCATGAAAACTGTTATCAAACGACATTGGTGTGGAAAACATATTTTCAATTAGATTTAAGTTTCAACCACTTAAACTTGTCATTGAACCGTATGATTATTCTATTAGCCATGGTTATGGCTCATAGAATGTTTTATTGGTCATCCCCAATCCAATAATTATGATAATCGATGACACTATGTGTTCCTTAGATAATAGAAATGTTTACTTCATTTATTCTCGATGCACGAATAGAAAATTGATTGAGGGAATGCCTCTTGGCGACTATTTTATCATGCGAATTGACCATGTTGAAGAATTCTATGCAATGATACTTGCATGTAAAACTGTAAGCTTAGTATGATGAAGGGTAAAGGAGAACAGAAAGTCAATTCGTCAAGACACGCAGTATATGCAGGAATGTAGGGGTTTAAAAGATCGCATGCTCCAGACATCTGAATAATATCTTCCGCGAGAAATGGAGTTGAGGAAAAGGAGATGGATTGGGCATACTAAACTTCCACAAAAATGCTCCATTCGTCCTTCTAAGTTTTGAAATTCTCAAGTCTTTTCTCTATGTTCGAAGAAAAGTTGTAATCCTTATAGAGACCCTCCTGTTTCACACCTTTTTCTCCAACCAGAGTCCTTTCTTCTGAGACTCGATGAAATGCTTTATTAGCTTAGGTAAGCGAATAAGTGATCTCTCATATGTTGTCGTCTTACATAAATGGCCATGCCTACCTCAGTTGACTTCCACCAGATATCAATGTTTTGACAGCCACTCGTTGAGGGTAAATGGTTGAAAGTTAGGTAAAAGGCGAGGCCTTACCATACGTAGAGATTGTCCCGTTTTTGGAGTTGTTATTAGACCTTTTCTATCTGGACTGGGTAAGAATAAATTGAGATACGGAGTGGTAGCCCGTCATAGATCTCTTGAGGCGTTAGTATCTCAGTAACACAGCATATGAAGTACAGTGTCCAGCTCATTCTGAGAAACATCCGCTCAATGTGCTTTGCATAGAATTAAAACAGCTGCTTCATGTCATAGTATACTTTGGGCATTGTGGATCACAATATTTTTAAATTATTTGAAAAAGTCATGAATCAGGTTATATTCTCTTAGCAATATTGAAAGGTCTTTTCCGATTTTCATTTCGAAAAAAGCAACTTGGAAAGCCTAAGTTCATTGAAACTAGCGTCCAACTGTTTGTGTGCTCTGGAAGTAGCGGCTTTTGCTTTTGTTCTTGCTTATTTCATTCTTGAATATTTCTCAGCTTCATGCATGTTGGGTGATGATTTTTCCGTCAATATGTACAGATTCGACATATTATGACATTCTCCTTATCCCTATAGGTTCCTTCCGCTCATGATTCATTTGGTTCTGACTTGCACGGGGAAGATGAGGCACAGAGTTCCTATACTAACTTTCGTAAGAGAAGGTTATTCGCCTTTATCATAACTATGTCTTCAATTCGACCATTGTATTTTTATGCTCTATTTATCTATTACTTTCATGTTTTGATAAATTTGAATATGATAATTTAATTATTCTTCAGCATTCATCCTCCGCCTGCATTTGGGTCCTCACCTAATCTGGAGGCACTTGCTCTCGAAGCTAGTAGAGACAAAGAGCACGTTGAAGATGACGATTCTGTTACATATACGCAGCTACCCAGGTCCTTTTTTGTCTGTTTTTTTGATAGAAGCCTTAGTCATAAGTTTGATCTACAATTTAATTCTTCTTCTATAGAGTTGCTGTCCGGTGTGATTCCCTTTAAACCGTTCCTTGCTTCCTTCTCAAAGATTCTTTTTGTTCATTCGTAGGTTGGACGTTGTTGACTTTAATAACAATATTTGTCTTTTAAGTTGGAGTCAAATTCACCTATTCTTGTTTTCTCTTTAATTAGCGTTTGCCATATTTAATTGACTCCTTGATGAGTCAGATAAAAGAGCATTTCAATCTATTTTCTCTTTTGATATTTACCAGAAAGGTTAAATAGATATTAGATTCACCTGCATCCACCTTCGGCTTTGATCCAATGGTGGCATAAAATATTTAATGTACAGAAATGATAATTTTTTAAATATTGATTACGATAATAATTAGAATATTTGTTCGTTGATCAGATGCCAAAAAGCTGGGATATGTACAAGATTGTGATTCAGTTGATCTCACGTAGGTGTGAGAAAGTTGGGAACCTAGGCATGCCCTATATTACATGACTTTGTCGACATTTTTTAAGGCACTGTTCTAGTGAAAAGTGGGTAAGATGCCTAAAGATCGGGGCTACCTAGACTAGTGGCATGAAAGGTTGCAATGGTGTCAGGATTTCTGCAAATTCTGAAAACCCTAGTGCAGCCATTGGTTTATGCATTGGATCACGTTGTAAACGAGTGTCATATGTTGTGTTATGATAAATGCCGTACACATCACATGAGGATTCAATGCACATAACACAATGGGAGTAGTTGAACTATGATTCACTGTGGGGGAAATGGCGTCAATTCCCATTTTTATCAACCTTGTGGCCAAAACGGATGTGCAAACACAGTTTCCGTTATGCACATCACACACTGGCAAAGCAATAGGTGAAAGTTGTTCGAAGTGGGTGCACAAGGCATCTCTCCTGTCCGACTAAGTGAAAGGTGGTGGAGCATTGTCCTGATTGCCTACAAAGCCTTAACCTCCGCGTAAGCTTGAGTCCAACTTGGCACCGTGCAAAAGCGATATTCAGCATTAGTGCCCAAGATTGTGGAAGGAAAATGATCTCGATGAGTGTCACAAGTGGGAAATCACTTTCAATAGAAATCTCCTTTAATAGTATTATTTACAACAATAATCTTACAAACTTCAAATATATCTGAAATCTAAGCAAATATCAAATGCACCAAATTGTCCTAAGACTGGTTCCCACTTGTTCTGTCAATGATTAGAAGTTCTTCATAGGAAAAGTAACTTGAAAGGACATCAATGCTAAATTGATAAATTACAGCAGATAATGTGCCGCATGCTCTGTTTTTATCATCAAATTTTGATCAGAGTAATTATCCAAATTTTATGCGCTACATTAGTTTACCACTTATTCTACGATAGAAAATCTGTGAGGTAATCGTTCTAGAAGGTGTATCCGCTTTCTTCTTCTAAGATTCATTTTTAGTTCCCAGAAGCTTAGGAACTTCTGTCTGGTCATAACTAAATGACTTTGGTTCGGATCAGTGTTGTTTTGTCCATGAGAATCTCTTTTTGAGATTTCTATATCCAAATTTATTTTTAAAGGCATGTCACTGGATGCTGTTTCAGGTTTACAATAGCCCTTTAGCATTGTTGGACGTGTAATGACAACAGTTTTGTGAAATATTTGCCTATAACATGCTTCCTCTTATTTCTATATTTTTTTTTAAGTACACGCAAAGCATCATGATATTTTCTTCTCAATGATTGATTCTTTCTGCCATATAATGATGGTGCAGGCCGTTACACGAAATTGCCTTTTCAGCAGATGACAAACCCAAGCTTCTCAATCAGGTAATCTCTGTTTGTCCCTTTTACTGTCTTAGTTTTCGCGGTGCCACCCAGACATGATCCAATATGAAGTGTAAAAAGTGGTAGGATAGTCCTTTGTCAGATTTTGATATAGACTTCGTTCTCTTTTTCTCTTTAGTGCAAATACATTCTGTGAATTAGTTTTATATTTATAATTATAATATAATATTGCTTTATTGAGTGATCATTAATGATTAATTGGATACCAATAAAATCATTCAGCTTATCGGTACGGTCATTAGTTTTGGCCTTTGTAGATGCTTATTGAACATTGGTGAGCATGACTTATCTTGTCTTCCTACTTCAAAGAAGTAGGAAGACATTAGTCTCCATGGTGAATCTGTTATCGAATATGATATTTAATCCAATTTAAAACCGGACCATCTTCATCTCAGATGGTTTACTTTATTGCCTTTGATTTATGATGAATTTATTTCTCCGATCCCTGTTTTTTGACTTTTGAACTAATTATGGGAAGAAGTGTGTAGAATCTTTGTAGTGCTTCATATAATGTATAATGCATTTTAAATGTGTCCGTAAACTATGAAAGTTCTGTGTTCAGTTGACGTGTCTGCTGTCTGAACTTGGTCTAAACATTCAAGAAGCTCATGCCTTCTCGACAAATGATGGCTATTCATTGGATGTGTTTCTTGTCGATGGCTGGCCATATGAGGTAATCCCGCCTCTTTTTTTCTTTTATCCGTGACTTCATTAAATTATTTGATTGATATTTTACTTTTTCGCTGATTTTTTAGGTGCGTTTTAATTTCTTCATTTATCAATGAGTTTAAATTTAAATCATGCAACAATTTTGACTCGAATCCTTAATAACTTGCAAGTCAAATATTTCAGGAAACCGAGATGCTTAGACACGCAATAGCAAAAGAAATTCAAAAGATTGAGGTAATTACTTTAGTTCTTATCTCTTATCTGGTGTATGCTTCTGTTTTGGGTAACTTCATTGATAATATGATCATACAGAACGATTTTTCTGTGCTGATTTTTTTCATTTTTTATAAGTGCGTTCATTTTCATTTAATTTATGGGTGTTTGCTATTCTTGTGCATTCATTTATGTTTAGTGTATTTATAGTTAAGTTGGTTGCCAAGATTCCCCAGATTTGACTAGTATTTTTTTTTCTCTCTCGAGGAGGTTAATCTAGGTTACAGTCAATAAATGAATATAATGGTTAGGAGATCAAGACAAGGATTCCAAGAACTTGTTTCGATTTCCAAGGGTTTTTTCAATAGCATCATTGGATTAGCTTAGATATTTTTGTGTTGTTTGTCTAGCAGAAGTTTTTAGCTATTGAGGAAACATACTCTGTAGGTTTGCAGTAGAGACTATATATCTCTCGAGAAGCTTGGGTTTATAACGTGTGAAGGGGGTTGCAAGTTGAGGGGTCGACGTTGAAATGGATTTTAGGCAATTAATCTGGTTGCATTCTATTTTGAGGTGTATCTTTCGACAATTAATCTTTAGTGGGGTAATTTGTAAATCCCTGTTGTCTGTTATCATTCATGTACTCGTCAGCATTTAATGTTCTGACCTGAAATGATCTTAGCGTGCAAATTTTTCATTTCTTAAGCTTTGATGAAGATAGTATTCTATTCTTTATCATTTCGGTCATTCATTTATGCCCTTATTCATGTGGAGGACCTCAACCTTCTTGGGTAACAATTTCTTCAACTCAGATTTAACTTTAGGTCATTGTTTAATGACATCTGGTGCATGTGATCTTGTAAATCATGAGTTATACCTGCATATCTTCGTGGAAAACTAATGATTCATGCATTCTGTTGTGAATAATGTGATGTGACATTACAGAACCAATTACCACCAAGGCCTCTTTCGTCATCTCCTATAGCTGATCATGGACAAATTGGCAATGAAGCGACAATTGATTATCTCCAAATACCTACCGATGGGACTGATGTATGGGAGATTGATGTCAGGCGCCTTAATTTTGAAAACAAAGTAGCATCTGGATCATATTGTGACCTGTAAGTATTCCAAATTAGTGTGGATTTTATGTTGAAATGGGTTGATTATTTCGCTGAAATGATGAAAGTCCTTTTCAGTTATAGAGGGACATACTGTAGTCAGGATGTAGCGATAAAAGTACTGAAGCCTGAGCGTTTAAATGTGGAAATGCAGCGGGAGTTTGCTCAAGAAGTTTATATTATGAGGTTTGAATGAATAAATATATGTTTTTTTCTCTGTGTGATATTTATGGCTCATTGTATAATGTTATGCGATATTCTTCTGTGTGATTTGAATGGTACCATTGACTTTTTAATTGCCTTACAGAAGTCAGTAGTCTCATATTTTCCTAAGATGGCTACATGTGGATGAAGTTGATTTTGCTTTCGAACTTAAAAATGATATCTTTTGGTTAGATCATTGTCACTGAGCAATGGGTTATTTGAAGGACGCTCATTGGAAGAGAGATTTGGGAAACTGACAGAATAATGTCTGTGAAACATGTGGGAGATGAGAGTTTCGAAATATAATTGGATTTTTTTTGAGGAACGGGAAAATCTGTGCATATTTTGCTCTCGTTGCGTCACTGGAGCAACAGCTCTTCTTTGCATTCTCCATAATTTTTGAACATTTATCTTCGCATTATGTGAAGATAAGCTGACAGAAGAAAAAAAATAGAATGTGCTTCACATGTTAAAATCATGCGTTTTGAAATGCAAACTTGAAGAAAAACAACCTGGAAGATCTCCTTGCTTACCAACTGCATGTTACTGTCATGTAAATACGAAACCATCTTATAAGGTCGTGTCTCACCTTATCTCATAATATGGAGTCGAATCCTGGTAATCAAAAGTTGTTCAAACCGTGAATTTCGCCAAGAGTCAGCAGATTCTTGTTGATTCTTATCCAATTTCTGCCAGTAGACTTTAAACACATGCTTTCCCCTGGCCGGTTCTTTCAATCTAGTTTTGCTGAGTTAGTATTTCTCCTATGAGTCGAATCTTCCTGTCAAGATTCTGATTCTTGTTGCATATTTCTCCTATGATCCTATGAGTCGAACCCTAAACATTTCGAGTCGGCTAAAGTTGTTATCCGTATAACCAGAGCGTAGGTAGTCTCTCCACAAAAAGTGTTTCCGTCTGTAGTCAACTGAATCTCATATTTTCGGTCTCTTATTTGCAATTATACAGACTTGACTGAATTAGACTCAAGTCACGATTCATATCTTTCCTCTTATTCATGGCAAGCAAGAAGGCTGTACCACAGAATCCCAAGTGTTATTGGAAATCAAGAAAGTATCATGTATAGTTTTATCGATCTTTGTGATCACAATTGCTCGTCACAACTTTTTTCATTTTCTTTGGGTTCCATGGTGGAAATTTAATTTTCCAGTTATGACTTGAGATTTCCCTATTGAATTATGACAATCTTTGTCACCATGTATTCATGGACCTGATTATGTAACATTTAAAACCTGTGGTTCGTAAAACTGTTATCATCTACTAATTTTAATGCTTGTTACGAAACTGGTGGTTTATTGGCAAGACAATACAATATTGATTTATCCCTTGTTGCATTTTCCAATTTTTCCATAGCTCACTGTGCAGTTACGATTTTTTTATGCCTTGCTTGAGAAACCGATATATTCCGGTTAAATTATGCCTTCAAGAATGAAAAGATGAAATTTTAAAAAGTGAAAACTCGAAATTCTATTATGACGCTGAAAAACATGTCCCCAGTAAGATGTTCGACTTTACTTGAATGGCTCTTCTTCCAAGGACAGACGGATTGATAACCCCGAGATCTACAAGTTTATTGAACTGTTATCACAATTTGAAACAAAGGAGACGACATAGAGGCTGGAGAAGAATCAACCGATTAATTCTGAAAGAAAAAAATCGTTGAAGGTATTTTGTTGACCTCATTGCTGCACAATGATTCCAGGAGGCTACTCTTTGGTGTTCATTATATTCATTGTATAAATTTATGATTGAGGGGAGTGATTCAATGAATGGATATTAGAGTCCCTTGTCGGTCTTAGGCTGATGTTGAATTTATGATCACAATTCTCGATTAGACTGAACAATGAAGGCTATCGATAATTTAGTAACTTAGAGTTTGGAGGAAAAGGTTGCAAATAATGAGAATAAATACAATGGGTATGTGAGAACTGTTGAAAATGGATAAACGACCTCTGTCACAGAGGACAGAGGGGAGAACGGTGGAAACTGCCTCGAGATTCATTCATCTCTAACCTCCACTATATAGGGAGGAACCTTACACAATTTCTGCAAAACACCCTCAGTTTTTCACAGAATTGTCTAACGACCTCAGAATTCTAACGACCTAGAATTTTCACAATATCATAAGACTGTTGGAACCTGTTTATGACAGCTATTATCTGTCCTAATTAGAAACAAGTCAGATTAGATAGTAGAGAACATGTCTAATACCATATACCAGAATTGTCTTACAAATCCAACTTATTGCTTTGTGTATATGGTATTACACATGTTCTCTACTATCTAATCTGACTTGTTTCTGATCAGGAACATGTCTATAATAGCTGTCACAAACAGGTTCCAACAGTCTTATGATATTGTGACCGAAATTTCGTTTCGGAGTGAATGGAATGCTAGAAAATGTTGGAGGCCTAAATTCCTCCGCCATCTCCTTATTCTAATCTGTCATTCTGAGGGGTCATTCTGAGTCATCAGCTGGAGTGTTTCGCGAGTTTCTTGGTCCTCTATTCCGGCTAAATCCTTGAGATGGATTATTTGGAGATTAAGTTCTGTTTTATTTTTTGAAGCCTAGCTGGCCAAGAGCTAGAATTTACTAGCATATCTGGATCGCAGAGCTAGAGGAACAGCTTTGGATTCTGTTTAGTAGACGTGGTAATGTAAAGTATCTACTATGTTAGTGGTGGTTGCATCTATGTTTGAGGTGATGGAATCACTGTACAATCATTGAGTGAAAGTAGTGACTCCGTAAGCATATAATGCACTCTTTGCATACAATACAGGCTTCTTCTAATTTACTTTTTGTATAACCCGGCCCAGTGGATTACAGTCTCTTTGTTTTCATTTCTACAGGAAAGTTCGCCACAGAAATGTAGTACAGTTTATTGGTGCATGCACTAAGCCGCCTAATTTGTGCATTGTAACAGGTATTGTTAAAGGCTAGTGTGTTTTCGAGGCCTATTACATCCTCATTATCTTGACACTAATGCACCATTGCAGTTGATGCTGATGATTGTGCTACTTGGCTTTCTGTTCATTGTTAGAGTTCATGTCTAGAGGAAGTGTGTACGATTTTCTCCACAAACAACGGTGCACGTTTAAACTCCCAGCATTACTCAGAGTAGCGATAGATGTTTCTAAAGGAATGACCTACTTGCACCAAAATAACATTATCCACCGGGACCTGAAAGCTGCCAACCTATTAATGGATGAAAATGAGGTAATAAATCTTGCTTCGTTTTTCACGTTTTGATACATACCAAAAGATATGTATTTAGATCCGACTTATGGTTGCCTTAGTGGCAGGGATCGAGATTGCTTATCTCTGTTCCATGATCAGATGTGTTTCCTTTTATCTAATGATCACTTGAAAATTTATCTAAATTGATTCTTCAGTCTGGTGTTTCCATTTGTGCCTGTTGCAAACAATTTCCTACCGATGCAAATTTAACTTATTTCTTAAAGAAGCTTTCTGTTGATGAGTATTCATGCGAAAATTTGTTGTTGTGAAGATCCTCACTGTAATTAGAATGAATCGAACGAATCGCCAATGGAACGATTTATAGAACTTTCGTTGAACGTGAATTGACATTTGACTTTCAAAATATCGGGAGAATTTTTTTCTATCGGATCATTTACTTTGTTATTATCCAGGTCGATGCCTGATTTGCCGAAAATTTTGTGGTCAGTAACTTTTATATACCCTTCAGGGAACATATAGCAGGAGTCGGGAAAAACAGAAAACCCCTTTCAGTTTTTTACTTGGTTTGAGTTGTTTTCGTCACACAAAAATTTCTAATAATGTCTGCTCAATGATGTATACGGAAAGTATTTTACTCAGGGAAGGAATAATGTCTTGCTTTTTGAATAATCTGGATATAGTCACTTCTGCCGATTCATCCTGCTGTATATTTTTGTTATTTCTTATATAAGGTTGTATTCAGATGGGAAATTTTTTTACCAGAAGAACTGTGTTTATTTGGGGGGAGTCTTTAGGTTGTCAAAGTTGCTGATTTTGGAGTTGCAAGAGTTAAAGCTCAATCTGGAGTTATGACTGCTGAAACAGGAACATACCGTTGGATGGCTCCTGAGGTACATGAAAGACTCTTATATCACAACTATTTTGAGCTTATACAGAATTGCCATCGAAAATTTTAGTCTACATGTTTGAGCCTAAGTCAATAAGTGTACGTATATAACCGCAGTTCATCTCTTTCTTCCGCTATGGGGAATTCTAGTAGGTATATGATGGCAGGTATGCGATGAGAAATTGTCATGTACACATGAGCACACCCGTCGCATGTTATTTTACATTTATTATATTATCTTTGGTCGCCTGTCATTTCATGGGTACTGATTGAAAAAGAAATCTGTAATAATTGATGATATTTATCTTTGTGCTGCATCTGGTTTGGACTTCTTGGTATAGAGGCTTGCTGTTATCTGATTTATATGTTGATGATGACGGCTGCATACAGTGTAATAGAAGGAAATAGGCTGGGGGTTTGATGTTGTATGGGGAAATTTTGGAGAGGAAACAGACGAGGATGGTGGTGTGGGGAGGTGAGTTATCTGAGAAATGATGTCATAGGTGTGGGAGGAGATGGGGCACTGGGTGAGGTAAACAAGGCAATGAAATGAAGGGGATAGATTTCTTTTCACTCTAGTGATCTTCCAGAACTTCTTCTTTCCGAAATAGGAAATTACAACTCGATTGTTATCCAAACTTGCCCTTTTATTTGATAAGATATCACATTTGGACAACGACGGTGGTGGCTCTGGAGGTCAACAATGACTATGAATGTCATACCAATCAAGCCTGTATAAACAGAGCATACTGGCAGAACTTTTCAGCGTGGCCCCTCCTTTTCTGTTGGTGAGGTGGAGAGGACCTTTCTGTTCGTTGATCTGAAAAGTCTATTCGACGTTTGTCCTATTGGTCCGTCGTGAGGCCCAATGTTTGTTGATTGTTGATAATAATCATGTTGATAATTTTACGTGTGCGGCCTTCTGGCCCTGAAGCATTCGACCGAGAATTTGAAACGCCATTGAGTGAAATCAGGAGCACGAAAATAGTAAATACTTGTTCTTGTTATGAGTGAGTGGAGATATGAATTGAATGGCATTTGGTTTTCAAGATATTGAAGCGACACCTAATCTACTGGATCTAGAATTCGAGACCCTGGCCATTCCACTTCAGCTGGTTATATTCGAATTTTCGAGACTTTGAGCTATTGGGCCATAAAAACTCTGTATGTACGTACGTACAAGAGACCTAGATGCATCTATCGTAACCTAAAGCTGACGTTGGTAACTATTTTCGAAACATAGTTCTAGATTTTGATTTTGATACGGATGGAAAGGTCATCTGAACATTCAGTGAGGAGTCTGGGTAGCTGTCACATTCAGTGAGGAGTCTCATTCCATTACTGCATTTATGTTTTTGCTGAATTATTTTTTCTTAAAGAGTTTTTGCTTCTATTCTTGGGTAGGATGTGAAACGCTTACTTGGGTAGTATGAATGCATCGAGAGGCAATTTTATTTATTCTATTAAAATTTAATTTACCTTTTTAGGAGCCGCCATTTTTTATTTGGCACTTTTTATGTTACTTGTGATCGCTGAACTCGCAGTGTAACTTCTGAGGTAATATTGCAGCCCAACAACATGTACAGGATGTTCTGTTATCTCAATATTTTTGTCCCTCCATCATTCAAAGACATAACTTAATGTTGTTTATTATGAAGGTGATAGAGCACAAACCCTATGATCACAAAGCCGATGTTTTCAGTTTCGGAGTCGTCTTGTGGGAGCTACTTACTGCAAAGGTAGATATGATGCAACCACTACTCCATTGTAATCTGCAGATGCTATGTTCTTCGCAAAATATTTTATTTCCAAAAGAACGATCTATTAATTATTTAAATTCTTATCATGTTAGTTGAAACTTATTCGTGGCAATATTCTCAGCTTCCGTACGAGTATTTGACGCCTCTCCAAGCAGCGGTAGGGGTGGTTCAGAAGGTACATTCTCCTTGGTCATTTGTAGTTCAAATCATAAATCGTCATTCGCGCTTTGTTTTCTCCGCCTTGCTAGCCTATAGGAGAGTTGTCTTCTTTACGCTAGCCTATGATAATTATTTCGTTATAGAAGAAACGAAAATGGAGATTCACTGTAAAACTTTAAAAGACCAAATGAAAAAAAAAACCCGTTGAAAATGTTATCAACCAAAATATTATCAGCAGGGTTGGGTTTCTGGCTTGGGTTTCCTCTACCACCGCCAGTAGTAGTGCTCCTCCACTTACAGCACGCTAGCTCTTGGTCAACGTGGAAGGAGGTCGGACTATTCGACGAGTTAGATGGGTGGTGTCGGGGCTCGGGTGATGAGAATGTATCAGCGTCAACTGTTGCTCTGTTGCATATATCCTTCTCCGAATTCCTTTTTCTTTTTCTTTTTCTTCTTTTTTCCTTAAACTTTCTTGGCTCAGGATCTCGCTTTATCTGCAAACCTTTTGTCTACCTGGTTTAAAAAAATAAATCCGGAGCTCAAAGTTAGCCAAACCATAAGGGAAAGCTCCGGAGGAAAGCTCAGACAACTTCTCTATGGGATAGGAAGATGTTCGCTTGGGCCATATTTGCCATCTCTGCAGTTTTTTTCCGAGTCAGTAGTCGTCCTTATTTCCAGGGTCTGAGGCCGACCATACCGAAGAACACCGACCCGCGGTTGACAGAGCTCCTGGAACGATGCTGGCGGCAGGACCCCAACCAGAGGCCGGATTTCTCGCAAATACTGGAGATACTGCAGAATATTGCGAGGGAGGTAATGGTGCACCATACCCTAGCATAAAAATCTGCTAGCCTCGGATTCTTCCCTCATTTTGACTACTCAGCAGGTGGGAGACGAATCCGAGGACCGCCGCAAGGAGAGGTCAACTGGCAGATTCCTCTCGGTCCTCAGGCGGGGCCATTGAGCCTCCCCCCACCTCCCTTGATGTCTCTTTCTTTTCAAGTCCTAATTTGGTGTCTGTTTCCTTTCTCTTCTCATTTACCCAGATCCGTCCTCCATTTGCAGCAGAGCACTTTGAGGGTAACGTTTTGTAAATTTGGGTACTTTCCTTTTACTTTTAGGGTAATCGAAAGAAAAAAATAAATTCGAGTCTTGCCCCAAGCAGGGGGCGCCCTCTTCCTGTCGAAATGGGAAGCGTTTCTCCTTTTGTCTACCTCGGCTCGGTCATCCTTCGTAACCGACGAGAGAAAGAGAGAGAGACACACACACAGAGGGGACGTACAGACCCTGCCACACTAGGTACAGAGGTCCACTCTCTCTCTCTCTCTCTCTCTCTCTCAGGCAGGCGCCATGACTACTGGCCTCGGCTTCTCCGTCCGTCTCCGCCTGGCTCTCTTCCTCAAACTAGCTCGGTGTTGGTTCTTGGCTGGCTGCGGGTGGTGTAATGCTGGTGACGGCAAGCATCGACCGAATGCATGCCTTCTGGAGACCATTCATGGCGCCCGGCCCCTACAAGCAGGGGGGCGTTGACTTCGATCACCTGAAGAAGACGACGATGCTGTTGCCCCAGCCGGAGACGAGGCGCCCGCAGAGGAGACGATGCGGATGGATGAATTTGAGGAGCATTTCAGAACTTCACCTGCTCCGGCGTCGGAGGCGGCACCGACCTCCGTTCTCCGGAGGAGGAGAGCAAGCGGCGGCGGAGCACCTCGGTGGAAGGGTTCTTGGAAGGGAATGAGGGACTCTTTTAAGTTGGCTGATGGTTTCCTGAGTTCCTCCATTTCCATGTCCATGTCCAGACAAACGTCGCCTCCGGTGGCCTTCTGCTTCTAGAGAAATTCCTCGATGAGCTTCGAAACCGGCTGGTCGCAGCTCCGCCACTGAGAACGGAGGTCAGCGCCGCCTCCGACGACGGAGGAGGTGAAGTTCTGAAATGCTCCTCAAATTTTTCCATCCACAGAACGGAGCTCCTGGTTCTCTTGCTGGGGCCTCCGCATCTTCGTCTTCTTCAGGTGATCGAAGTCAACATCCCCCTGCTTGTAGGAGCCGGGCGCCATGAATGGTCCCAGAAGTCATGCATTCGGTCGATGCTGGAGCCGCCGCCACTAGCATTACACCACCCGCATCGTCTTCTTCTTCCTGCGCAGAACTGCCTCTGACTGGGTCTCGTCCTCATCGCCTGGAAGCACATCCTCCACCGGAAGGCGGTAATGGATACCAGGAGCATGGTCCTGGCTGCCCTACGTCTCCATAGTGGGGATCGAAGTAGCGGGCGAGCAACTTTACATCATCATCTCCTCGGCCCAAGCCCATTAATGCATTAGTTTCCTTCTTTAATCGTTTCTATTTATAATCATTAATGAGGTTATAAATAACCCCATGCGGCCCCAAGAACGGGCGAAGAAAAGTTTTTCGGCCCCATGAAGGTCAGCGAATCGTGCTCCGTGAAGGAGAAGTCGTGGAGACCGCTATCTGTCCACCTTATACCGTCGCCGCCTCCTTCTTCCATCCGCTGCCACCGTCCGCTCCGCCACCGCCACCACAGTCCCCTGCTACTGTCCGCTGCCACTGCCGCCGCCTTTTCGTGCTACCCTCACCCACCGGTCACGGTTAAAAGGCCCCAGCGGCCCCGAACCGGTCCGGCTCAGAGCGATCGCCATGGAACGCCTGTACAGGTTGAACCAGAAGAATGTGTCGGCGTGGCGCATGAAGAAGCTGATGAACATCGTGCGGCATGGTTCTCTCTCTACGCTCGACGAGCAGATATCTGGTGCGAGTGGGGAGGACAGATCAACTGTGCAGATTCCGACCGAGAACGGGGTGAAGGCCGCCGCCAAGAAGATTTTGGATAATGTGGCCAAGCCTGGATCCGGGTAAGCTCTACTTCTTTTGTATCTCATCTGTTTTTCTCCGACGTGTCACGAACCTGGTGAACTCAGTGATCAGCGAGATCTCGTTTACCGAGTTGAGTGCCCTTAGGTACGTAATTTTTGGGTCTTTTTTCTCAAGTTTAGTGTGGTTTTGTCACCATTCAACTCAATGTGGTTTTTTGTCGAGGGAAATAAGAGAACATACATAGTATTGTAATTCCACTCATTCAAGGAATTTTAATTACAGATTATAGTAAGAAGGTCATCGATCTCTGGAATGTGCGAGGAACTTAGGGAAAAAGAAATATAACACATGATGGGTAAGGAACATAGGACTCTAAAGAGTTCTCTAATGGGTCACCTCTTCGAGATGACAGATCTGTAAAGTCATCTTCCTTAATTGCATCCATTAATCTTTTTCTTTTGTCTTCTTATAATTGAGGACTCAATTCGCATTGAACTACTCTATTGCTTGTGCCTCTCTAATCACGTGACGTCTCAATTAGCCCCCTACTGATCATTAGGGAAAGTATTAATAATTATTGGCCTAAGTCGTGAGTGGCCAATTGACTGTCATTTGCCCATGATCTATATACTTGATTATCTTCTATGGTTGGATCTAGGATGTTGGCCCATGTGGGTATCTCGTTGAGTCTAATGCCTCAAAAATACTCCCCCTCAATTGACACATCTTGTCCTCAAAGTGAAAGTCTAGAAATTACTGGAGGATCATGTGGGCATGCTCTCATGTGTCGTTGGTGGCCGGTAAGCCCTATCAATGCATTAGGACCTTGCTTCAAGTGGAGCAGTGGTGGACGACACTAACCTCTACCAGTTGAAGAGTCTAGGAGAGGTCATCTACCACTTAGAGAGGCCCACTAGGTTCAAAACTATTAATTGCCTAGCTCAACCACGACATGTGAAAAATATGGTGGATTTGAACTATGTCAAGAAGTTTTAGGAGATAGGCTACTAGGTCAATCCACTATTAGATGTTGAACATCTCATAAAATTACAAAGATAGCTTCCCACATGGCCATCGAGCCACAAATATTGTTGATAAGAAACACTCAATTCAATGTGAAACTCTGCATCACACTATTGATGATCTACTTGCTTGTTCATGCACACTTGGGCTCATTCTAGGTAATGTTTCAACTAGATGAAAGTTTGATCTCTCTCTTGAAGCATTTGGTCTAATGAGTCAACTACAAAAGGAACCTAAAAGATAATAGCGGAGGGGGGAGGGATTTATTCAGTGATATTCAACATCATGTTGAATATTACTAAATAAATATGATGCCTAAGTGATATAATAATGACTCCACTACTTGGGATGGTTCCCTAGAAAATATCAAAGATATAATTTGAACCCATGTTTTATCACCTTTGACTAATTGCTAGTATGCATATGATATGAGCTTATGCGTTGAAGTGTTGTGACATGTAGTCAGAAGAGCTCGGTCCAAAAATTATTGAGAAAGATACAATCTTTGTCGGATAGTATGTATTTCAAAATTCTATGAAGACTGACCACATCTCATAAGAATGTTAGAGACATGTCCTTTGTAGAAAATGGGTGTTTCAAAAGTAAGAAGTGGACGCATTTATTGAGTCAATCTATGATCAATATTATTACATTAAACTCATTGAATGATGACGACAATCTTTCTACAAAGTGTATGATAATATCTACTCAAATTCATTTTAAATGAGAAGTAATTGTAGTCGACTAGCTAGAGACAAATTTTTAGACTTCTTTTGCTAGTAGGCTGAACAATTGGCAACATATTGTTAAGTTTGACATTTCACCACCCTCCACATAATACTTTGTTAGATTTTTAAATAGGTGTAGTGAAAACCTAAGTGTCTACCTATGCGGGAGTCATAGAATTCTTGTGGGATCAAAAGAATGAGAGTGAAATGTTTTGAAACTAGTAGACGTCCCTTTTAAAATATTAACCTCTACTATGTTGCATATGCCAATCATCTTTCTAACTTTTAGAGAAGTTGTCCATTAGAATTGTGACATGTTCATTTCTAATCTTTTCACAAAATTTAAAAGTCTCATGTTTGTCTATGAGGAACTACAAATCACCTTCATATTTATGACGGTCTCTTGTATATGAGGGCTCTTCTTAGTAGGTCTTTGAAGCTCTAAGAAATCTATTTTTGTCGGTGTGAAAAAGATCTAAATTTTCCTACAGCTGCTATGTCTTTGAGAAAAAAATTTAATGCAATAGAAGTACATGTATTTGACTCTCCTTTTTTATATATTTTTGGTCATGGAGTTCAATTTCCTCCTCTAGTATGGAGCATTACCTTTATGGGGCTTGTGTTTATCAGAGTGGTCTCAATCATTCAATCTTTCTCCCATCATTTGATGATGTTGAGATTTAATCATTTTGATTGTTAGAGTTTTACTGTAATTATTAATTTATTTCGTCAAATTTGAAGGAATAAGACCAAATTGCGATAATCAAACATGAAAGTATGTGTACTTTGCTTCCACAAATTGAGTTGTCTTCATTATTTATTTGAGCCTTCAAGGATCAATCACACAATCTCAACTTAAATTTTATTTTTGATGTTGTTGAGGAAGGTATTTTCTAACATTGGTCCAAATATTTTGATTGATACTAATAAGGAGCTTGAAGCCCTCAAAGTACTTGGTCATGGTACTGTGTTGACAAAAACTTAAGAGTTTATCATATAATGAATTGAATTAATGAGAACTATACTTCTCAATAATTGATTGTGAAAGTGTTCTAATTTTGAAATGAATGATGCTCCATAACCCATTAAAATTAATACAACATTAACCCATTCATGCTCAGCCTAATTAAGATAAGTTGTTTTGAGAATTGTATAAGTTGAAAAGTACAACTATGTCTTGAAGATTTAGCTTTTGAAATTGAGCCAATAGAAGGTTATCAACTTTAACCTCTATCCTTACCATAATTCAGGTCAGATTGTTCCTAAGGAGGGCTGTGGGCTGATTAGGGTTATAGTATCTTGTAAGCCCTTCATCTTGTGAGGAGGTGGTCTTCTGCACCTAGACTCCTTGAGAATCCATGATTGTAAGATTAGATAACTAGAGATTTTATTATAGAATGACCTTAAGAGATTCTAATGTTACAGTGATGTCACTAAGCTACTAGTTCATTGCCATATGTTCCTACCTAAGGTCATTCAATCATTGCTTGAGTTTAGTTTGATCAATCATGAGTGATTTCTCATTGGTTCTAGTGGTAGCAACATGTTGTTTGAATTCATTCTCTAAAAATTCAAATCAGCTATTATTAGGCTTGGGTGACATGGTAGAAGTGGAGGCTCTAATACTAGTGTGCCCCACTTTAGGTTGAACATACCTTAAGCCAATAACAAAAATAAAGGAGAAAGAAAAAAAATATAGTATGATGATTCTACTAATTCTAAGAACATCAATTATAATAAGAGAGGCATTAACCTCATAAGAGTTTGCTGATGTGTTGTCTTTTAGAGACAACATCTCTCTAAGGTCTTTGTTCTTCTTGATTGTCTCCCTTCTTCTTCTTCTTCTTCTATCTTCTTATAATTAAGGACTTGGTTCATATTGAACTGCTTTCTCGCCAACACATTTAGTTGCTGCCTTCAATCACGAGTGGTTGACTGGTAGTCGTTTACATAGGATCTATGTATACTTGATTATTTCTTGCAGCCAAATTTGTGATTTTGACCCACATGGGTATTTAGTTGAGGTTAATGCCTCAACACATCGTCTGAGTCCACCACAACACCACCATCATCTTCCTCCACTAAGTGACAACTGTTGGAGTCTGCCACAACATCACCGTCATCTCCTCTACTTTGACTATCATCATCATCCAATGTTGACCTTCGTATTTTTAGCTCAACATGGAATCTAGATGGCGCTGAAGCCATGCACTACTGTAGAGCATCTTCTAGACGTATATGACTTGTCTCAAAACACTATGAGATGTGGAATTCATGTAGTCACTAGAATTCTATTCTTTCTCTAAAAACTCTAAAAACTTTTAATTTATGTCAATTTATTTTAATATTTTTGTTCAAATTATTCTTTTCAATTATCATAATCATTCTTTTGATTTCATTTCTCAATTTGATCCTTCAAATTCAATTTTTTTTTATCAAATTAATAACCAACGGAACTCTTGTTTTTGAGAGTCATTCTTTGGAGATGATGTCACCGTGATAGATGCCTCTGAATTTCTCTCTATTTCAAATGTTTTCAATTGAATACAAACAACTTCTAAAAAATCGTAAAAACTCATATTTTTTGAGAAAAACATCAAAACCTTGCTCAAAATTTTGATGGAATTCTTGAGATCAGACCTCTAAAATTCACTATAAATTCTCAAGTAATTTTAAATTTGAATTAATATATTTAATTCAAAAATATTTTCTAAAAACTAAAATACAAATATTTTCTTATTTTAAAATTTGAGTGATTTACAACACAATGACTGAATCACATCAGAAGGTCAATCAGAACCCGGGGTTTCATCTGAAGGACATTATTCCAGTTATCTTATTTTACTCGAGTTCTCTGCTGAATCCCAATCTAATTCGGTCCAATCCGAAGGAAAGGGCCGTCTTAGAGACACGCGTCCAGGAGCGGGAGGCTGCCCAAGGGACATAAAGACCCTGCCACATTTGCAGGAGTAGCCCCTGGTCTACTCTCTCTCATGCAGGCTGGCCTTTGCCTCCCCCCTCCCTCCGTCTACTCCTGGCTCTTCCCCAAACCATCTCAGTGTTGCTTCTTGGTTGGCTGCGGCGGTGTAATGCCGGTGAGGCGGCTCCGGTATTCGACCAAATGGACGCCTTCCGGAGGTCATTCATGCCGGCCGACTCCTACAAGCAGCGGGCTGTTGACTTCGAGCACCTGGAGGAGCAACCCATCCTCTCCCGCCGCCTGAGCTCCCCTGGTGGCGGCGGAAACGAGGGCTACGCCGGTGGACCATCGACAGCGTCTAGTTTTAGGCGTCGGAAGGAGGGAGCTGCCGCCGCCGCCGCCGCCGACTTCTGTTCTCAGCGGCAAAGCTGCGAGGATCCGGCTTCGAAGCTTATCGAGGAATTTCTCCGGAAGCAGAAGGCCAACGGAGGCGACGTTGCTCTGGACATGGACATGGACATGGAGATGGAGGAACTCAGGAAACCATCTACCAGCTCCAAGGAGTCCCCCGTCCCTCCCCAGAACCCTTTCACCGAGATGCTCCGCCGCCGCTTGCCCTCCTTCTCCGACAGCGACGGCCGTAGCGAGCGTAAAAACCCGATAGCTCCTCCCTCCAGCAGAAATCTCACGGGCGGCGCCGCCGACGCCGGAGGAGATGAGGTTTTGAAATGCTCCTCAAATTTGTCCATTCACCGGGTCTCAGGCAGGCTGCGGACCAATACAAGGTCGAGGCTGATGGATCCTCCCCAGCTCCCTTCTGTAACTCCGAAGAATCGGTCTGAAATGGTGTCAAATGCGGAGAGATTAGGGAAGTCCTCGCATCAGTGCGGTGAGGACGTCGACGACGACGACGACGACCCGTTTCTAGACGAGAACATCCCGGAGGAGTTCAAGCGTTCCAAGGTCAACTCCCTCGGCATGATTCAGTGGGCCAGCCTCTTCCTCGTCATCGTTGCACTGATCTGCAGCCTCACAATTCCCGTCCTCCAGCGGCAGACCTTCTGGGATCTCCGTCTGTGGAAATGGGAGCTCCTGGCTCTCGTGCTCCTCTGCGGGCGCCTCGTCTCCGGCTGGGGCGTCCGCATCGTCGTCTTCTTCTTCGAGCGCAACTTCTTTCTGCGCATGCGCGTCCTCTACTTCGTCTATGGGGTGCGGAAGGCGGTGCAGAACTGCCTCTGGCTGGGCCTCGTCCTCGTCGCCTGGAAGTACATCATCGACCAGAAGGCGGAGGTGGAGACCAGGAGCAAGGTCCTGCCCTACGTCTCCAAGATCCTGGTTTGCCTCCTGGTGGCGACTCTGCTGCGACTGGTGAAGACCTTCGTAGTCAAAGTTCTGGCATCATCGTTCCACATGAGGACGTATTTTGATCGGATTCAAGAGGCCCTCTTCCACCAGTATGTGATCCAGACTCTGTCGGGCCCTCGCTCGATCGATCTCCGGGGTCTGAGGGAAGAAGATGAGGAGCAGCAGGTCGTGGCCGAGATGCAGAAGCTCCAGATGGCCGGGGTGGCGATTCCGGCGGAGCTCAAGCGGGCAACGATGGCGAGCGAGCGCGGAGAGGCCAACTGGAGTTCCTCAGAGCCTGCTGTAGGCGGCGGCAAGAAGAGAACCGCTCCAGGAGCGGGGCTGAAGAAAGGTTTCAGCCGGCAGCAGAGTGCAGGGATCGCCATGGAACGCCTGCACAGGTTGAGCCAGAAGAATGTGTCGGCGTGGGGCTTGAAGAAGCTGATGAACATCGTGCGGCATGGCTCTCTGTCTACGCTCGACGAGCAGATATCTGGCGCGAGTGGGGAGGACGAATCTATCGTGCAGATTCTGACTGAGTACCAGGCAAAGGCCGCCGCCAAGAAGATTTTCGATAATGTGGCCAAGCCTGGATCCAAGTAAGCTCTGCTTCTTTTCTATCTCATCTGTTCTTCACCCATGAGGCAGGAACCTTATGAACTCGTGGGCATTGAGGTCTCGCTTACCAAGTAGAATGCCCACAAATGAACTCGTAGGTGAAGTCTTGGCCTTTTCTCTTAAGTTCAGTATGGTTTCTGTCACCTTCAAATCTATCATATGGTCCTTGGCCTCATATTTAACTAGTTTCAGCATCGCTATAGTTTGCCCCCGAGAGTCTAGGACGAATTCGTCGAAAATATCATATAATTAGCTCTCCTGCGTGCCCACAGATGGACCATTGAACACTCCGACGCCTTTCAAGTCTTTAATTAGGTTTTTGTTTCCGGAGGATGCGACGTGATTGAGCCATGTTTGAGGTTTTGCGAACCTTGATTGCCTTCCATGAGGCATCTTCGTGATGAGCTTCTTGATGAGAAAATTATGTCATGTAATCGAGAATTTATCAAGCGCAAAGAAAGAATGCGGCAGCTGATCTAGTTGAAGTGGTCTAATGTGCCAGTCGTCATCTTTCTTATTGCTACTTTCCATGGATCTTCCGGTGGCATTAAATTGTTCATCATGTGAGAATCATAGTTACTAAGCTGTACATAGAATGTCAAATGCGCTCGGGTTATCCAGAATATTGAAGTTTGTCAACTTTCTTTGGATGAAACATCCAGATATAAATTAAGAAAAAACCAGACCATCTAATTAGAAATTAGGACCACAGGTTTGCTTGGAAATTCGATATTCTGACATATTATCGATTTTTCCTCGTATTCTTGCAGTCTTCCGATCCATTTCACCAATGCCCTTTGACTTCTTGAATTCTGGCAGAATGGACTCTTGGACCCTATCATGCGACTTTAAAAACCTTTTTTCACTGTACTTTGTCAGAGAAAATTTTCTTTTCCTTGAGGAGATATTACTATTCATACATTTTTCGTCAACTGTAGATCACGAGAGTGTGTATTGAGTATCAGGGTATGACTTGATATGGTTTCAAAGTAAGCCAAATGCTATATGGTTCATGTGTCGAAAATGATTCATGAGCACCTGAAAAGTCAACTTAGTTTCAGGAGAACTACACCTCCTTTTCTTCTTCTTCTTCTTCTTGCACTGCTTGCACAGTCTGCATCGTCTTCCCTCAATTACGAGCTACTGTTTTCTAAATTATGCGTTTTTATTTCAAATCATGAAGCCCTCACAGAAATCGACCTCTGTGCCATAAACATCTTCAGGCACATCTATCTCGAGGATTTGATGTGTTTCATGGGGGAAGATGAAGCTCTCAAGGCTATGGGTCTTTTTGAAGGAGCTCTGCAGAGCAATCGAGTTAGCCGGCGCTCGCTTAAGAACTGGGTGGTGATTGATCCTCCCGCTCTTCCCTTCATCTTTTGAATCAGGGCCTCATACAAAATCGACAATTTCATCAGCATGAACGCCAGATTTCTTTTGAAGCTTGCTTCATGTTTCTGCAGATTAATGCGTTCAGAGAACGTAGGGCCCTTTCATTGACGCTCAACGACACCAAAACCGCCGTAAAGAGGCTGCACCAGATGGTCAATGTTGTCATGGCCGTTGTCATCTTTGTTCTCTGGCTTCTAATTATGGATCTTGCGACCGTTCATCTTCTGGTCCTGGTCAGCTCCCAGCTCCTCCTGCTGGTTTTCGTTTTCGGTAATACCTTGAGGATGGTCTTCGAAGATCTTATCTTCCTATTTGGGATGCACCCCTTCGATGTTGGTGACCGTTGTGAGGTAGACGGAGTTCAGGTACTAAACACTGCACTGCGCCTTCCTCAAGGTATCTGACGAGCCGCTAAGACCATGTATCTCCGAGTTTCAGATGATCGTCGAGGAGATGAATATCTTGACGACAGTCTTTCTGAGGTATGACAACCAGAAGATCGCTTACCCTAACAGCGTGCTTCTGACCAAACCCATCAGCAACTTCTATAGAAGTCCGGATATGTGGGACTTCGTTGACTTCTGCATCGACGTTGCAACGCCCGAGGAGAAGGTCGCATTGATGAAGGAGAGAATCAAGGCGTGAGTAGCAAAATTAGGCACATTCATCTTCTTCTTATTTTCGGACAGTGCGTTTAGATTCATTTTTATACTGTAACTTGGGCAGACACATTGAAGAGAAGGAGGACTACTGGTACCCTAACCCTAGTGTGATGCTCAGAGATGTGGAGGACATGAACAAGTTGAAGGTTTCGATCTGGTTGCAGCACCGGATGAATCACCAGAACATGGTGGAGAGGTGGACGCGGAGGGAGCTCGTCGTGCAGGCGATGATCAAGGTCTTCAGGGAGCTTCAGATCGAGTACAGGATGCTGCCCCTCGACGTCAGCGTCAGGAACATCCCTCCTCCATCCTCATCCCGACTGCCTTCTACTTGGTCAACCTGCGGCTGAAATAGTGCCCTACCTCGCTATCGGGAACCATGAGTCAACTAGTGGTGAGGTCTTGTCCGGATGAATGCTAGTTTTGTCGGCCTCTGGCCCACGTGTTCTACAGTTTTCCTGGCCATTGGGTGCCTCGGCGGTAAAAAAAACATCTATTTAGAGAAGTCAACGCTACTATCAGTCAGATTCTATCAATGCTTCGATGATTCCGATTGAGTTAAGCGAGGGTTAACTAGTGATGAATTTGGAAAAGCTCTCGAGTAATAAGACGGCGCCATAACCGAAGGTAAGTGTAAGAAATCGCGGTCCACAGCACAAGATCGGAGACAGAGCATAAGTTGACCACTCGTGAACCTTCCCTTCTCAGTGTATGGTGGTGCGCCACCTTATCCTCTGCCGCGGCTGGTCGCTCTCGTCCTTTCTTCCCTGTCGATCGGAAACTTTCAGAAGCTGTTGGAGTGGAGAAAGGGAGGAGGACGAAGAACAGGTCGCGTCGAAAGGAATGGGGAGCGTGAACGTGTACGGGCCGCCCGCATCGACGGCGGTGGCAAGGGTGCTGGCCTGCCTGCTGGAGAAGGAGGTAAAGTTTCAGCTCATCCCCGTCAACATGGCCAAGGGGAAGCACAAAGCCCCCGAATACCTCAAGATCCAGGTAGATTCTCCGAGCTCCCCACCCTCGAATGTGAAAAACTAGAAAGCCCCCTTTCGTTGATGGTAATCTGGGATCTGTCGGACGGTCTGAGTCAATCCCGTGGGTTCTTCTTCTTCTGCAACAGCCCTTCGGCCAGGTACCCGCCTTCCAGGATGAGAGTATCACCCTCTTCGGTATGGCCTCCTGTACACCGCAACAATCTGAATCGATGCTCCGAGAATGTGGGGAATCATCTTTGGAAATCTTTTGCAGAGTCTAGGGCCATAAGCCGGTACCTTTGCGACAAGTTCGCCGACAAGGGCAACAAGGGTTTGTTCGGCAATGGCCTGCTGGAGCGGGCGTCGATCGAGCAATGGCTGGAAGCGGAGGCGCAGTCCTTCAACCCACCGAGCTCCGTGCTCGTCTTCCAGTTAGCGTTTGCGCCGCGCATGAGGTTGAAGCAGGACCCGGCCGTCATTGAGCAGAATGAGGGGAAACTGGCGAAGGTGTTGGACGTGTACGAGAATCGGCTGGAGGAAAGCAGGTTCCTGGCCGGGGACGACTTCACGCTCGCCGACCTCTCCCACCTCCCCAACGCCCAGTATATCACCGGCACCGACCGGGGGCATCTTCTGACCTCCAGGAAGAACGTGAACAGGTGGTGGGAGGAGATATCGAGCCGGCCCTCTTGGAAGAAAGTGGTCGAGATGCAGAAGGCTCCCCCTTCTTGATCGGCTCAGTCGTCCTGTTCGTTGTTCCTTCTTCCTCTGCATTTTCTCGCTCAAACTTTGACCTTAAAGAGACCCGCTGTCGTCCGAATTTCCCCATCTCTGCATATTAAATCTAAGTGCTTTCCCATCAACCAATCCCGGTGAGCAGACTATGAATGGAACGAATCGGAAGCAGTTTCGATTATAATATTTTTCGCCAAAGTGGTTGAATTTCTAGTTTGTTCAGCATCTATTGGATGCCTCTAGTCCGACCGATTTATCGGTCTTTGATCTCTGTGTGATCGGAGTCGGTCGAGACGGCCGTAACATCTGGTGGGCTGGTGACCCGATGACGACTGAGTGATTCGGACTATTGCGAGGGCTCGTCTCCGGAGCCACACGGAATTCTTCTTCCCCGTTCTTGTTGTAGTTCTTGTCGAGCGGACGAAAGATGATGCATTGCTTCCTACACAGTGAAAGGGTAAGGTCGTACGGGGAAGGACGAGCAGCAGAAGATTTGATCTTCTACTTTCGGGCTTCACCACGGAAGAACCCATCTTCCAGTTCAGGACGCCGAGTAACAACATTCCTTACCCATATCTTGGGAAGAATACTGGACACTTTCCTTTTTTTTTTTCCTTTCTCTTTATCTTTTTCCTTTCACCGCCATCAGTGGGAGGGGGAGGGGAACCAGTTGTTTCTTGCTACAGCACCTCCGGCGGCGCCACCTTAAATACGGCACACAGTTATGTATGCGACGTGGGAGCGGCGATTTTCTGGCGAGTTTGAAGCAGACCCGAGTTTCCTCTGCTCTATAGAGAAATTAATGGCGTCTGTGACCGTTCTTGGTTCGCCGGCATGCACGGATGTGGCGAGAGTTCTCGCCTGCCTCTTCGAGAAGGAAGTTGATTTCCAGCTAGTGCGACAAGACAACTTCAAGCGTGAACGTAAACTGCCCGAGTTCCTCAAGCTCCAGGTTAGTCTACTCTCTCTCTCTCGCTACGTATATTTATATATAAAATTTAGATAGACACCTACTCTATGTTGCTTTCCCTCTCTCTGTGTCCGTAAAAAAAGGACTTCCCACTGTGAGTATTACTCGTTCTCCCTTGCTTCTTCTTCCCTTATCTTGCAGGATCCTTCCGGCCAAGTGACTTACAAGGAGGCAGATAGAACTCTCTTCGGTAAGAAACATACCCGGTTAACATCTCACTGATCTACGGGAACCTGTCTAATCCACCATTGCTTGCTGCTTTACAGACTCGAGGGCGATTTGCCGGCACGTGTCGAGGAAATTCGCGAGGGCACGGAAGAACCAGAACAACCTGCTGGGAACGGGGGCCCTGGAGAAGGCCTTGGTGGAGCAGTGGCTCCAGGTGGAGGAGCAGCAATTCGAGAAGCCCAGTTCGTTCCTTCTCTTCAACCTGGCCCACGCGCCGCTGATCGATGAACACGACGTTGACCCGGAGGAGATCGCGCGTCAGATAGAGAAGCTCTCCGACGTGCTGGACCTCTACGAGAAGAGGCTGGCGTCGTCGGAGTACCTGGCGGGGGACAAGTTCACGCTGGCGGACCTCACCCACCTCCCCAACTCTCACTACCTCGTGAACAACACAGAGAAAGGGCGCACGCTCTTCAAGTCCAAGGCCAATGTCTACCGGTGGTGGGAGGCGATCTCGTCCAGGGAGTCATGGAGGATGGTGCTGCAGTTGCAGGAGGAGCGTCCTGCCCTCCTTGAGAAGTAGATAATCTGAGGGTCGGGAGCATCATCTCCCGCGCTCCCATCGTCCTTCTGTGGTGTTCATCTCCCGTTGATTCCAGTTGGATTGTCTTCCTTCGGTTCATCTGCCCTTCCATCGTCCTTAGTAGTGGGGATAAGATCCTTGTGGCAGCTCTAGTCTGGCTAAGCGGCTAGCAAATTATCTGCCTGGATAACATAATCGCGAAACGAGCAAAGCAGATTATCAAATTATCTCTCACTCCATGCTTCTATTTTCTCGTATCTATCTCTCCCCTCCCCCCTGCCTCTCTCTCTCTCTCCCCCTCCCCCAATCTACCTGTATGTCTCTAGCCGTCTATCTTCTTTATATCTCTCCTTCTGTAGCTATCAATTGAGCATTTTAGCTCTCTATCTATGGTCTATCAATCTATAATCCAATCTCTCTCTGATTCTTCCCATTTGTCTCACAAAGGGAGCGCACACAACTTAGTAAATGACGGCAAAAGGAAAACATGGAGAGTATCGGATCACCATGTTCTTTTCTTTCTCCCCGATCTTTGCCGGCCTTTTCTCCGAGATAATGTAAGAGCAAGCCACGGCCGCCAGCCACCCAACACGTACTACTGAGTCATAATTTACAGCCCTGGATGACGTGAGGAAGTTTGCACGGGGACAGCTGAGATCCCCATTGCCTGTGATTCCTCCTGAGCGGCTCAAAAGATAAATCGGATGTCATTAAATCGACGTGTTTACAGCAAGCTTCGCCGCCGGCCGCCGCCAGTGAGGAGATCTTCCCTCCTTCCATTCGGTACTACGTCAAATAGGAATGCTTAGAGAACCTTATTATCTTTTCCGGTTTAGGACTCCCCACCGACTTCTTGTGTTCGACGGGAGCTAACCAGTCATAAAGTCTGGAGAGATCATTCGTTTTCAGTGTTGAAAGCTGAAGGCTTCATAAGACTGATGGAACGTAGAGGTGACGAGGGGTTCCCCTCTGGATTCATTCGTGCTTTTGATTATATACCATCTCTCTCTCTCTCTGTGGATGGGGAGGTAAACCTTACGTGAAGCTGAGATGTTTGTGGAGGGATTGAACGCGGAAATTGGTCCGGAGAAAAACCATAGTTCAACCCTTCAAAAAAAAATGGTAGCAAGAGTAGAGATAACTGAATCTAATTCATTTCTACTGATTCATTATACGTTGAGAATCAAACAAATTGTATAAACTCCTGAGAACGCGCACAAGAATTGATTCTCATTGTTCGAATATAATTAGAATGCTTAGAAGAAATTCGTTCGGCCGTGTCCAAGTGCATCAACAACCTTGTCCGAATCTTAAAACAAAAGGAAATCGAGAAATGCAGAGTGAAGTGGCTGCGTTGAGGGCATCTGGGGAACCCTGGCTATCTATGGATGAGAAGCCCTTTGATATGAGGCCGTAGTCTGTAGTCGGGAATGCTTCTGAGTTCGAGCAACCCTTGCAGCCCGAGTCACCGACAGCCCGACTTGCCGAATAGGCGAGGGGGGCTACTTCTCTCTTTGCCGTGCTTTTCAATCTTCCATTGAATCCTCGTTGGGTAAATCATTAGCCCGGCATCTTTTCTTTCCCGTTATGAACGAGCCTTCGGGCCAAGAACTCTCTACCCCCGAGAAAGGGTAACTCATTGGCGATCTTCATGAGGACGCGAAGCGACGGAGGGGGAGCGAGGAAGGGAGCGAGTGCGCGCGCGAGAGAGAGAGAGAGAGAGCTCTCACGTGAAACACAGCCTTTCTCTTCCCCCGGATTTTTAGTCATCTTTAGCTTTCTTCTTTAATTTCTTTTCCTTTGCCCATATTTTGCCATATGGGCAAGCAAGGCACAAAATCCCTGCCCCGTCCTCCCCCCACCTCCTCGAGCCGTAGGTATATAAATCCCGGCTCCCCGGCATGCAACGTCCAGTTGTAGTCTGCACACAGAGCCGTCAGGTGAGAGGCGGAGGAAGAGAACACGAAATCTCCAGTTGCATCGCTTCATCCGGGCGCCATGGCGAGTGTTAAGATTTTCGGTTCTCCCACCTCGACCGACATGGCGAGAGTTCTCACTTGCCTCTTCGAGAAGGAACTCCACTTCCAACTGGTCCGTGTGGACGCCTTTCACATCAAAGAGCATCAGCTCGAGACGCTCAAGATTCAGGTACACTCTTCTTCTTCTTCAACTATTACTGCCGCCGCTGCTGCTGCTCTTAATATCAATTTATGCATATGTTTCCCACGATATCTGTCGTCTGTTTACACTGGCTGGCGTTGCAGCCCAACAGACTAGGAGCTACCTTTGAGCACGGGGACATCACCCTCACTGGTAAGATGATACGGCCATGAAACATTCTTGGTAGCAGCCAAGTTCTGAATGGATCTAACGTTCTCCTGGGATGGTCCGCAGACTCGAGAGAGATTATTCGTTACGTGGCGAAGAATTTCCCCAAGAGGGAGGAGCTTCTGGGGCCGGGGATGCTGGAGAGGGCCTCCGTTGAGTACTGGCTCAAGATGGAGGAGAACCTGTTCGAGCCTGCGAGCTCGGCCTTGCTCAACCTTGCCTTCCCGGTGAACATGCCATTGGAGCATGATATGGACGAGCTCTACGAGTGCAAGAAGGACCTGGCCGAAGTGCTCGACATGTACGAGAAGCAGCTGTGGGAGACCAAGTACCTCGCTGGTGACAAGTTTTCGCTGGCCGACCTCTCCCACCTCCCCAATACCCAGAAGCTCATGACCACCGAGTGCGCATCCCTCTTCAAATCCAGGAAGAAAGTGAGCCAGTGGTGGACTGACATATCCAGCCGGCCTTCTTGGAAGAGGGTGATGGCCATGCAAGCGAAGTCACCGGAGGTCGCCTAAAAGACCAGCCAGAACAACGTTTGGTGCCGCCGCCGGCAACCGCGAATTCTGTGTCGTCGACCTTTCTATTTCCATGCCGAATTGAGTCAGCCTCGTGTGTGTGTGAGGGGCTCTCCCTCTATCATCTCTCTCCCCTCTCCTCCCTGTTCGGCCGGCGATGTGACCCTCTGGAACGTCGTCTGATTGCTTATTATCCGTACCTTCTTACGTTTCAAATGGTCCACTATCTTTGTCAACAAGAAAATGCGCTTTGATGTCTTCGTCTCTGTTCAGGTAGCTAATGCCTGCATTGATCTCGAACCAGGCTCCGGGAAAGACAATTAAAACACAAAAAATCTAACTCTTTCGGGCTGAAGATGACTTTTCAGTGAACTTGGGAGGCATTTACTGAAAAGATAGATGTTGGCCGCCACCAAAGAAGATGGGCACCTCCGAAGTAGCACTTGTTTGACCGCTAATAACGTCTAAGATAGCCGATCCAGACGTTTCTCACGGTGAAAGCTCCAAGGCACCGCAAACTATGACAATAGCAAACGTTTTAGCAGGCAAGAACCAATCAGAAAGTATGAATGTCAATCCAAACATACCATGGAACAAGTTAAATGTCAAGCTATTCTTCTGGGCATCGTTCAATTTAGACGCTTATAGTATTTGATTGTCAATAAGCCGAGTGAGTCTAGAGTCAGATTTTATTTATCTTCAGATGTAAGTCTTAAAAATCAGCTCCATGAAAGAAAAATGGCCAATGCTCTGGTCCAATCCCCGTCTAAATACGGTCTGGGCTTTTTGATAAAGTTCTCCCAGAACCTTGGAATTTATTTTACTGGCAACCTGACCTCTCTCTCTCTCTCTCTCCATGCATGGCTTCGGTGATCGGCTGTGCGGGGCTTAAATCTTCATGGGTGGCTTCCGTAGAGGCTGTTTGTTCCCCAGTATCTCGTGACAACCATGTTAACCGAGTCTACGGCACCTTGAAAAGACAGACTTCTCTGAAAAGGGTGGCATTAGCCCGACAGACACCAGCTGGTGAAGCGAATGACTTCAGAGTCACGGCCCGAGCAGCACCTGCTATCCCCGAATTCTGCTACCAGAGGGACAACGCTGCATGGAAAGAGGAGACGACGTGTCTCCTACTTCCGATTGCACCAAAGCGGCCGGAAGTGATAACACAGGGGGTGTTCTTTATCCTTTTCCTTTGTTCTTTCTCGTTCCGCTGCTTGGTTTCCGTTCCTTCTTTTTCAGGGATCTTATTCCTTCGCCCGCTGCTCTTTTCCTTTCCTTGTCGAGCGGGATTCGAATGGGAAGACTGATCTCGGATATAAGCAGAGCCAGACCCTCCTGATATCTCTGTACTTCTACTCACACACAGGAGAGACAGAGAAGGGGAGGAGGGGTCGATCTCTGTGCTCGAGGTGAAGACTCTACGATGTCGGCGCCGTCGGTGAATGTGTACTATACAAAGCCTATAATGCCGGACGTCTCAAGAGTGCTGGCGTGCCTCTACGAGAAGAAGATCGACTTCGAACACATCGACATCTACGAGGGCCAGCACAGCGTCTCCGGGGACCTGCTCAAGCTCCGATCCAGGGTAAGCCCAGCACAGCCATCGCCGCCTCCGCCGCCGCCCCCGGCCGGGAACTGACCGGTTTCCCTGCGCAGGCCTCCAGCCGAATCCACGGTGCCGCCATCGAGGACGGGGACACCAGGCTCTTCGGTAACGCAGTCAACTCTTCGTTCTTCTGCAGGCTCCATTTTTTGTTCTTGAAGTTTTCGGCCAAACTCCTTGACGAGCGATGCGGGGGGTTACAGAGTCGAGGGCCATATGCCGGTACCTTGCGGAGAAGTACAGCTCGCGGGGGAGCCGTCTGCTGGGGAGGGACCCGCTGGAGAGGGCGGCCATCGAGCAGTGGCTCAAGTTCGAGGAGCAAAGATTCGATCCGCCGAGCTGGGAGCTGGCGTTCTACCTGGGCTTCGCGGCGGCGCCGCCGGACCGCGCCGCCATGAGGGACGGCGTGAGGAAGCTGTCGGAGGTGCTGGACGTTTACGAGCAGCGGCTGGGGGAGAGCGAGTTCCTGGCGGGGGACGAGTTCACCATGGCCGACCTCTTCCACCTCCCCAACTCGCACCACCTAGTGGTTTCCGGCCTCTCCCACTCGGCCCATCCGGAGGTCTCTGAGCTCTTCTCCTCGAGGAGGAACGTGAGACGGTGGTGGGAGGCCATCTCCGGCCGGCCCTCCTGGAAGAATGTCGTCGACCTTCTCAACGGGGTCCCCGTTCAGAGGACTTCCCTTCTCGCCGGCGCACCTGATAATGGCCATGGTTGGGGGCCACGCTTCACCGAAGCCACAGCTTCTCCGTCCGCCAATACTGGGGCAGGATCAGCTTCTCAGCAGCCTCTTCTTCCTCCTCCTTCTCAGCCCAAGAGTACAAAGGTAAGATCCACCAACGGAGGGAATGATCCAGCTCGCCCGGCTTCTCAGCAACCTGGTTTCTCTCCAACCCCCCAGGAACGGGCGGAGGCATCTCCTCAAGCTGGTCCCCAAGCTGGGACTCGGAGTGGAGAAATCCCTGGCACAGACAGCAGCAACCCACCAAAGCGAGATCCTCAACAACGTTCTTCTTCTCTGCCCCCCGAAAAGGCTGAAACGGCTTCCCAAACATCGAGAAGACCACAGGTAAATGGGGCTGAACCCACCAACGGAGGGAATGCTCCAGCTCGCCCGGTTTCTCAGCAACCTGGTTTCTCTCCAACCCCCCAGGAACGGGCGGAGGCATCTCCTCAAGCTGGTCCCCAAGCTGGGACTCGGAGTGGAGAAATCCCTGGCACAGACAGCAGTAACCCAACAACGTTCTTCTTCTCTGCCCCCCGAAAATAAGGCTGAAACGGCTTCCCAAACATCGAGAAGACCACAGGTAAATGGGGCTGAACCCTCCAATGAAGGGAATGCTCCAGCTCGCCCGGCTTCTCAGCAACCTGGTTTCTCTCCAACCCCCCAGGAACGGGCGGAGGCATCTCCTCAAGCTGGTCCCCAAGCTGGGACTCGGAGTGGAGAAATCCCTGGCACAGACAGCAGCAACCCACCAAAGCGAGATCCTCAACAACGTTCTTCTTCTCTGCCCCCCGAAAATAAGGCTGAAACGGCCTCCCAAACATCGAGAAGACCACAGGTAAATGGGGCTGAACCCTCCAACGGAGGGAATGATCCAGCTCGCCCGGCTTCTCAGCAACCTGGTTTCTCTCCAACCCCCCAGGAACGGGCGGAGGCATCTCCTCAAGCTGGTCCCCAAGCTGGGACTCGGAGTGGAGAAATCCCTGGCACAGACAGCAGTAACCCACCAAAGCGAGATCCTCAACAACGTTCTTCTTCTCTGCCCCCCGAAAATAAGGCTGAAACGGCCTCCCAAACATCGAGAAGACCACAGGTAAATGGGGCTGAACCCTCCAATGAAGGGAATGCTCCAGCTCGCCCGGCTTCTCAGCAACCTGGTTTCTCTCCAACCCCCCAGGAACGGGCGGAGGCATCTCCTCAAGCTGGTCCCCAAGCTGGGACTCGGAGTGGAGAAATCCCTGGCACAGACAGCAGCAACCCACCAAAGCGAGATCCTCAACAACGTTCTTCTTCTCTGCCCCCCGAAAATAAGGCTGAAACGGCTTCCCAAACATCGAGAAGACCACAGGTAAATGGGGCGGAAGCGGCTCCTCAAGCTGGTAATAACCGGTCTATTCAGGGCACAGCAGCCAATGGAGCAACACTTTCCAGCCCAGAAACTGCTGGTGGCGGTGCTGCTGAGTCGAAAACTAATCAGACTGGTGGCGCTTCTGCAACTCAAGATGGGAAAGGAGACGATTCCCGTAAGCCAACCACAGAGACAGATCCTAGCGGCTCAACACGGACAGGACCTGTCCCAGAGGCTCCATCATCCTGAATGACTGGGGCAAAATGCTATAGCCCTTGATCAATTCCCACTGGCCCAAATTTCCTACGGTAGAAATTCTGGGCGATGCTTGATTCAGAGTTCCCTTCTGGCATATTGAATGTAACCCTCAGCTGGTCGCCATTGCGTTGTGTCTAATTTCCCAAGATTGCTGTTCCAGATGCTCAGCGTGCCTCTTAATTGAACCTCTTGGTGCTTCTGCTTTCCGATCTAATATAAAGAATGTGCGGCTTTTCAGTGGTTGATCGGAATGAACCACCCAGAGATCTAGTAAGCTATAAACTAGGATGCTGCACTCAGAGAGAAGAGCTTGTTTCTGAGGAAATGGACGGCCAGAAGGTGCTATTATGGCATCGGAAGCCCAAAAAATGCAGCAAACCATAAGCCACACTCATTGAACACACTGCTAACATGTTTCCAATGTGCATTATGGGCAGCGCTATGTGCCAAGTGGGAATCTAACCCGTTCATAGCTTGCATTTTTTCTCTAAATTTTCAGCAGAGTCGGGAGCTGCTCTGGAACATGTTCTACATAGAAAGAGGAGCATCTGGAGATGGTTAATCTATAACTTTCCATCCCTAATAACTCGGTGACTTTTGAACCCCTTCTGCCGGTGCCACTCTTATCTCTCCCTGTGCCCCCAAGACTGTTAGAAGCCAGCATGTGGCACAAATCAAACCTCGGACTGGACTACATGAACCGTGGTAACACTGACCTCTGAAATTGGAAGACAACCACAAGCTAATCAACACATTGCAGAGAGTGTAACTTATAGTAATGCTCACCTCAGCTTTGTCCTCGTCCTTCACGTACCATCTGGCCACTGCTCGGCCCATGAAACCTTATGACCTGTCTTTGTTTGAGAGCAATCCTGGCTCCTGAAGTATGACACGCACAATTGCTTTCACTCTGCTAATTTACGCCATCCTTTCTAAACAAGAGGGGAAAAAAGATTTTTAATGACTCCTAAAGTGATCCTTATCTCTCCCACTGCCGGGTTTGAATGGCGATGCTCCTCAAACATGCATCCGAAACTTGTGTGATCTGGAGGGTCAATAAACCCATGAAAATATTGCAAGAAAATCATCACTCATAGGAAATTAGGTTTTTCTGTCCTTAGGACTGTGTCTAGCAAGACCACGACAAGATCACATGTTCAGCAGTACCACTGAGCTGATCCGTGTCTGAAGAGTTGCGCAAATGGAGATTATTGACAAGGTAGCAGCTCTTATCGTTTCATCAGGCGAAGTAACTCTCAGATGGATTTCAGATGTTCAGGTATATACCAACCACGGATTGGGGAGGATAATTAGCACAGAAAAGGACATTTATAGTCATAAACCCCAAAAAAAAAGTTATTCTCATCAGCCAGTACAACGTCTAACCCTTAGTGTTAGATGGTACCGTTGTATATTTTTCTCCCTGTGCCATGGCTTCTGACGTACTTGAGCATGTCATGTAGGAAAAAGAAAAAGAAGAAAGAGGAGCGTAGTGTTGTGAGGCAATTGATCATAAGAGGACGGACAGATGGTAACATGGTGACATGAGGGTTGAGGGAACGTTCATCATTCACGAAAGTAAAAGGTGCCTCCGCATGCTTACTTAGGAGCTTATCTACAATTCCGAAGGCAGTTCATTCTGTACCCACGCAGAGTATCCACCCGCAACATCTGTGACGCCCGTAAAACCCTGAATACAAAGAAGAAGAAGAAAAAATCAGTTAATCTGGCTTAATTATTGAGAAGAAGAAATTTAGCCTTTGAGAAAAAAAATGAATAGGCATGCTGCCGATCAGTCGTGATTCTTGTTTCTGTCAGAACGCCTCAACTATGGCGATTGAAACTCGTCAAGGCCTTTATATGTTGTCTTGGGAAGGATAAATTCATCAAGGACTAGACAATAATGTGGGATAGTCAATAGACTCGCAATTTATCCAAATAATTATAATGCACAGAAAATACAATTTCATCATTTTCCTTCAAGCATCACTTTGATGAAAAATTAAAGCGAAGTATTTTCTCCACGCTTCAAGGAAAACTTACAGAAGAAGTGAGATCAGTTGCAGCCATGAGAGATCTCTTTCCACTCTGGCATCCCTGAGAAAGAGAGGCATATATCTCAACTTGAGATACATTAAATGAATTCAAGACAAATTAAACGGGACAAAACGTATATGCACACACCACAATTATTTCGTCATCTTTTCCGAATATAGAAGAGACTTCCTCCAGGAACTTGGGATTTTTCGACATTCCTGAACACGTTTCAAAGGGAAAAGACAATTTGGTATAATTAGTAGTTAAAAAAAACCCGCTCAAGAGTCAACAAAACCAGTCAAGATTGGTAATATTCACTAAGAATATAACCAAAACTAAGGTATGACTCACTTTCTCTGAAAAGTCTATCTACAATCGTCAGAGTTAGCGTCACTGCTACCACTGGTGCATCACTTTCTTGCTTGAATTCAGGAACATAAGATAAACGCAGTGAAGGGAATTCTATGACCACGAATCATAGAACAAGCGCACACATGTGGATACAGACGCTCGAACAAGCTCTATGCTTCCATCACAGCCTATTTCGTAAATGCAGTTAAACTATTGGCCGATTCAGAGATCGGTCTGATTTAGAAGCAAAGCAGACGATAGTAGATGATAATTCTTTCTGATACATGTGCATATAGAGGAATTTTCAATTTATTTTATGGGGTATGAATATATTCCAAGTTAAAATTATAAAACGATTATTTCCAAAACCCATATTCGCCGACTTCGTCGATAGAATATCAGCAGACAATGCGAACCTGATCCGATCCTGAACATGTATGGGATGTTTATGGCCCCGATTGGACGCCCAGCACCGAACTCTTCCGGCGTTCTGAAGGAAAGTTAGAATACCAAAAACTTTAATTCTCTGATATTCCAAGCAGGGAAACTCAAGCAACTCCATCATCGTCACTAAGCATTTACGACAATCTACCTGACATCCAGGTAACGATGTCCAGCTTGGAGGAGCTCGTGAGCCACCCGTACGGGCACTGACCTTGGGACTTCAACTTCTTGCGGACTCCGCTCCGTCCCCATGGATCTGTTGTATTATTAAAATGAGAAGCAGAGGGGGGGACGGAAATTGAAATAAGGAAGAACACTCATCCAAGCTTCTTCAGATAATTCATTGCCCGTCAAGAATCAAAACCTGACGCATTGCCGGAAACATCCAGACCCAACGGGCGCTCTCAAAAAGCGCCGTTTACTGGAGCCGTACGTCGGACATGAGTTCATCTGTAGCACGACTCTGAAAAAAGGGGCATCGCAATTATTCCGGATTTCACAAACAAGAAAGAAAACGAGAAGTGTACAGCGGAACAGGAATGCCGACCTCTTGACAGCCGGAGAGGGTAAGATCGGTGTGAGAGAGAAGCGAAGAGAGGGGCAGTTAGCGGTGGCCATCGCCGCCTATATCGCTCTGGTCTCTGTTGCGGCGTCTCAGGCGCGGATCAAATGAAAAACGGGTGGACCTCCTCGCTACCTCTCGCTTCGTTCTGATCGCCGCCGGAGATTGAAGCTGCTACCCTTCGGCTTCGTTTATATTACCTCCAACTCCAACGTGCACGCCCGTGGCAACTCGTCCTCGGGAACGGCGAAAACGAACGGTTACTGACTGGATGGCTTCGACACGTAGGACAACGGACAGGGTAGGCCCAAAAGGCGGCGCCATATCCGCTCTCTCAAAAAAATCAGGATAAGCCCCGGACCAAGAATGAGCGAGGAGTTGACGAGGAGAGAGAAAACCCCCTGCAGTTTATAGTTTATAGTTCCGGCTGGTTAACTCTCTGAGGAAATTCATCGGACACCTTGCAGAAGGAGCGATAGTTTGGCCCCCTGCAGTTCCCCCGTCGTCCTCCCCCTCACGACGCCCCTCTTGGCCGTAATCTTTCCCCCGCAGGCACAGGCTGCGGCACGGGGGTATGCCCGAGAAGCTCGCCGGCGATGGCGATATTTGGCGAGGGTGAAACGAGAGGCGGCGGAGCAGCGACGACGGAGGCGTGACGTCACGTATTAGGCTACAGACCATTGAAGCATTTGTGGGAAGAGAGTCCATGTGCTAACATCTCCCTCGTTAAGGAAACATTTAATCAAACAGGCGGCAGGGGAGGATCATTTTCCCGCTGGGCGAGCTCAGCTCTGGGGAGTGACGCAATGCTCTGCTGAAAGCTTTAACCTTTCCCTGTACTCCTGCATCTCCCGCTTGTACCTTTCTTTATCCTTCAGCCCGCAGTCCTGGTACACCTGCAACGCCAGAACAGAAGGAGTAAGAAAGCAGGGGTCGCTATTAATGAGCTCTTTGCCTTGGATTTCCTCCTTCCTCTTCTTGTTCTTCTCTACTCACCATCCTCTCTTCGTCCGTTAGCTTGCTCCAGGACGCGCCGATCATCTTGCTGAACTCCCTCTCCCTGTGCGGGTAGAGAGTTTTGAGCTTGGAGTGCTTGTCGGCGAAGAAGAAGTTATAAGCGCTCCTGTTGGGCTTGGGGTGGGCGGGGTCGCGGCTCCTCCACCCCTTCCGTCGCCGGCGGTGCGCTCTCCCCGCGGCGAACCCATCGGCGGCACTGAACCCAGACGCCGGCGAGGTCGGCGGTGTGCCCGACGGCAGCGCGTGGTAGAGCACTCCGCGGAGGATCTCCGATCCCAGGTTGACCGTCACCAGGTAGCCGTGCTCGAACTTGCCGTCTATCGTCCCCGACACCGTGAAACTCGTCGCGGCTGCTTAACAGAGAACGAAGAAGAGACGTAAGAGAGAGAGAGAGAGAGAAAGAGAGAGACAGAGACAGAGAGAGAGTGGAACGATTACCTTTGCCTTGGAGGGTGGAAAATACTCTCTTCCTGTTCTTGGCCAGCTGCTGTTGACGGGGATCGGAGGAGTCGAACTTGTAGGGGGAGGTTTTGGCATGTAGCGAGGCTGGATGAGGACAAATTGAATCTGATGAGAGAGAGGGAAGGAAGAGGAAGCAGAGAGGATGATCGTTCCCTCTGTACCTGGGGGAGGAACCAGGGGGCCTCGCCGGCCATGGAGATGGACCTGCTCGAAGTGGTGGAGGAGGTTCACGTAATACTTCCGGAGCACGAAGGAGGCGCTGGTGGTCGTCGGAGGGAATCTGAACACCGCGATGACCTCCCTCCATCGCCTATCCGCCGTGACCTGCGAATTAAACGATGCCCCTTCAGACGAACCCTGCTCGAAGATCATTAAAAATCGCAGTCGTATCTCCGATGTTGCTCGTCCGGCGAGGAAGGACCTTCTCCAGGCCGCCTCTCTGGGTGACCTCCGCGTAGAGGAGATGCAGGTCGAGCTCCTTCCCTCCGATGACAGGAATCCTCCACATCGCAAAGGAAACAGGGTTAGAGGACGAAATCACTAGAACAGATGTGCGTTGGATGGTCATATGTGTGAGGGGAAGGAACCCAAGAGCAGATGTTCAAGAATGGGCGAAGATGGGGTCGGGCTTACATGAATTTGGTGCCCATGATGGAATGGAAGCGTCGGAGACTCTCTCCGAAGAGGACGGGGTTTCCGAGAAGCTCTTCCTGCCGCAGCAGCGGAGAGGGATAGAGCTTCCCCTCGTCGCCGGCCGCCACCGCGTGTCCCCCATTACCGGCGGGCACAACCACCGGCGCCGAAGCCACCGCCGGGGTCTCCTCTCCCCTTCCGTCGACTTCTCGAGCTTCCCCCTTCCTCTCCTCTTCCTTCTCCATCGCCGCACCTAATACGACCCGGAGGTGGATTAGACAGACTAATAATAGTTATCTGCAGAAGGGAACCCTCCTCCGCCCGCCACCGTTTGCAGGAGAAACGCAACAAGTGGCCACCGGGCGACGACGTAAACAACAAAAAACCAACCGAAGCTCAGATATGAGAACAGGGAGAGAGAGAGAGAGAGAGAGAGAGAGAGAGAGAGAGAGAGGTTCACAGGAAAAAGGGGAAATCAAAAGCTGCCAGAAGACTGGAAGAGTAACGGCTATTTTTTATACCATCAACATGGGAAAATCTCCTCTCACGTTAGCCATTATTAAATCCGCGTCTCCTCGTCCAAACTCTAGACGTTGCATCGACGGCCACCGCCCCTGCTGCTACCGCGTAGCCTGACCCGTCTCTTTCTCTCTCTAACGCATCTCCTCCTTCTAACCCTTCCAACGGCGCCTTCTTTATTAGCTGCTGCTAGGGAAATGAGAACCAGAGCAGAAGCAGAACCCGCTCTGCGAGAACCGGCCAAGGAACGGAGTCAGAGCCCTTAAAGCTTCGCCTCCGCCGCGTCTTCTGGTACGTCGTCGGGTTGTCGGCGGGGAAGAACCAGGCCGTACCCGGCGGCGTATCTCGCCGGAAGATTAGTTCGAATCCCTGAGGTATCTTTTCACCGCCATCGCAATTCATTCCTCGGGATTAATTGCTTCCGGCGGAATTCTGTCTCCTCCGGCGAGTCACATAATTGCCCGATACGGAAGGTCCTCCCAGCCTTCACAGGCCACCCGTGACCAGAGAAGAACCCTTCCACCTTTCTCTGCTCGCTGTCCAGGCAGTGAGCAGAGAGAGAGAGAGCCCAATGGGGGAGATGACGTCACTCGAACGTTACTCCTTCCCACTTTATCCGAAAGGATGATGATAAACGGCCTAATGGGCCCATACACAGAGCCCATATGATAATGCGCTACCGGGCCGGCCCAATAGGAAAACGAAAATGAGCTGGCAGGCCTGTGTCAACAAGAGGGGGATTTTTAAGAGGAGGGTAAATACGTAAGTTCAGTTTTAGGAGCTGAATAGTGAATCGTCTCCACTCCGTTAGAAGACCGATGGCGCGGGGTTCGTAGAAGGGAAACGATGATGGGAAGATGAGGATGGCAATCTTCGTGCATCTCTCATCCCTGAGCCCCTCGACCTCCTTCCATCTGCCGACCTTAACCTTCCCGCTCATCGCCGCGGGGTCAAAGAGGGGGACGGCAGTGCTGCTGTCTCTCTCCTCGAGGTTTAGATGCTGGTCGGGATCGTCTCCTCCTCCCCCTCCGTCTCCATCTCCATCTCCTCCTCCTCCTCCTCCTCCTCCTCTATTTGACTCCGATGAAGCTTCCTTCAGGGGGAAGGGCTCCTCGACCGGAGACAATTCGGCATACATCTGGTGTGCAGGCCTGGGAGCCCTGGGATTCGTGGAGACATGCTATCTCACTTTCCTGAAGGTGACCGATTCGGAAGCCTTCTGCCCCGTCGGGGGGGGGAGCTGCGGCGATGTTCTTAGCAGTGACTATGCTAGCGTCTTTGGTAACTAGCTTCAACTCTCTCAGTTAGCTTTGGTACCAATTACGTCTTCCATAGCTTCTTAATCATGCCGTAGCTAAGTTCCTTCCAATACTGAGCGAAATTGAGGAGAGCTCTTGAACCAAGGGGTAATACTAAAGTCGCACCATATTTTTTTTTATCGAAAGTGAGTGTAATGGAGTTCATATAATCTCAAAGGGCCGTACACATGGACTTCGAAAATGTATATTTGCCATCTGAGAGTCATATAATAGTTAGTGTAAACTAACCGTCAGAATCATGACATGGATTTCGGACGGACTGCGGTACAGGGCAAATCCCAAACTGAGTGTAGAGACACGCTTAGAACATTGTGGACGCTCTCTTTATTATCTTTGAAAACGTCGGTTCAGACGATAATGAAGCACTTATGTTCATTTTATAATCTGGATATCGAATCGTTTTGTGAAACATTAACAACCAGATTGTGATGTACTACTGAAAATTGACATAAGCTACAGTAAATTTTATGCGACTTGCGGGACACGAATGCAAATTTTTATCATTAAGTTTACGTTAATTATGTGGAGCCATAGTCTTTTGTCTGTGGTCTCGAGGATAATATACGCATTCTTTCACAATGCTGTATGTATTAACCAATCTGAAACGATGCTATGCGATTGTGAATTTGAATCCAAGAAATGTAATTAAAAATCTCCTCAGTAAAATTTGAAGATAAATTTATGATTTTTTATTTTATGTTAGCGTCATTATTATTTTTTAGAGTATAGATATTCTTTGAACTCTTGGATTACGTTGAATTTATCAGCCCTTGCTGATCCCGTCAATATTTCTATGAAACTTGTCACCAAACTTCATCTCAGTTCAAAATTCCCAAAACATCAAATGTCTGTCATGGTAGAGATCTTGGTTAATGCCATCTGTAGCCATGTTTCGACAATGCTTTTGATTAATGGACCAATTCTGTAAATTTCTTCTTTTCGGTTCATTGGTGTTCATAATGGTGCAAAGGTTTTTTATCTTGTGACGTTTAGGCAAAAAGTCAATCACTGTGCCTGGTAGTGTCTGCTTGTGTCGAATTGTTTGCTGACCATGTGAGATATATATAGTTTCCATTCTCGTACAGGTCTGATAACTCCTACTCTTGCATCTTTGAAAGAGAATTTCATTAATTTCTTCTTGCCAGGTATTCCACTTCCATTGTATGGTGCGCTTGCATATGGTTTTGTTGCGTTTCTCGGACTGCAGCTTTCTGGAAAGAAAGCTGTTTTTGGGCTCGGAGAAACAGATGCTCGTTTGGCTCTTCTTGGTTCCACAACATCGATGGCTACAGCGAGTGCTTATTTTCTTTACCTTCTGAGCACAAAATTCGCTGGGGTATCTTGCCCATACTGTCTTTTTTCAGCTGCTTTGTCCTTCAGCTTATTCTTTATTACTGTGAAGGTACAGTCTCCTGTGTTTGTTCTTCTCCTGGAATATTTCGTTGAGGGGAAAATTGTAACTTATCCGTAGCTTTTGATTTGTGTAGGATTATGGGTTCCAAGAGATCAAAAAACTAGTTGGTGTACAATTAGTAATTGCTGGATTAGTGGTGGCTGCATTAAGCAATTCATACAGTACAGCAGACTTACCAGTGTAGGTCCTGATATTTGAAATCTGGTGTCATTATCTATTTGTGATTCGTCTTCGAACCTGTATCATTTGTTAGTTGTGAGTTTCTTCTGTTTCATAGAACTTGCTAATATTGTTGTTGATTTGTTGGACATATGACTACAGCAAAAGATAGACTCTTTCTCTTTGGTGAAGCTGCATATTTTCCTGTGTTGGTCAAAGGGATGAATTTTGCATACTGGATGATGTAAAAAAAATTATCAAAAAAGTTTCTCGCTCAATTTTATGTTGTGTGATCTATGTTCAAGGTATACATTATACATGTACCATCGAATAGACTTTTATCTCTATTTACTCATGACAGTCTGGGATGATATATGAAGGTCCATTAATACCTGTTTCTCAAGGTTCCTTTGTGTAAACTTGTTTTTCTTAGTTTCCTCGAGATTTCATCGTTCGTATTTCTGTTACATGCCCATTACATTGCGCTGGATCTGATATGCTTCAGGATACATTTTCCAATACATCCACGCAGTTTCTTATGACACTGAATATGTTTTCTCGTAACTTTCTTAACCTTTTTTATTCAACTCTTCTTATTCCACAGGATCATCAATCATTTTTCTTAGTTAATGTGGATTGGCTATTTAAGTGACGATCTGCTTCTTAAAAAAAATAGTTTTTATTGTCTTGTTTTAAAAGACATTGTTTCTTATTTGAACAGCTCAAGTGACATTGACCTGGAACACTTTGAGACTGAGATTACATCGGAATCGACTCCTTTTTCTATTTCTCTCGCAAAACACCTGCGTGCCATAGGAGCTAAGATGTATGGTGCGTTTTGGTGTTCACATTGTCTAGAACAGAAACAGGTAAATTCTCTTATATACGTATCCCAATAGAAATGATAATTGCGAGAAAAGTGAGTTCTAATAGAGCATTGTTGAACTGGGTTCCACCATTCATAGAAAAAAAATGAAAGTTTGCATAGTTTTTACCTTCTTACAGGACCTCATCGTCCATTGATCTATGTTTTATACTCTAGTTTTATGTATGCGTAGAACTGGCCATTACCATTACACGGTTGTGTACAGTGTTTTAGGAAGCTGCCAGTTTGTTTGGTTGCAACTGGGCGATGTGGGACTTGATCATTGGAAAGTATGTAAAAACTTTCAAAAATGTCTAAACCCGCAAGATTTTCAGGGTTTTTATTTAGAAATATCTCAAGAAAGAGTGCTACTGCTCCGCATTGGTTGAGTGAAATGAAGCATGTTTAATCAGAGGGGGGGGGGATTTGATTCGGAAAAAAAGGAAAATGACTAGTATTATTGGAGATGCACCTCATTCCAAGACCTCCAATACATCTCCCATGCATCTTTCTTACTGTCTCCATTTCGATCGACATAGGATTAGTGCGTTTCCTCTTCGCGTTGTGGCTGCAGATGTTTGGGCGTGAAGCCATGAAGATTGTGGACTACGTCGAGTGCTTCCCCGAAGGAGCTGGTAAGGGAAAGAACATACTCAAGGAATGCACAGATGTGGGCATCGAAGGCTTCCCGACTTGGATTATAAGGGGCCAGGTACAGGGTCCTTGCTTCTTTCGCCTTTAATGCCCTTTTCGGTCATCTAATTTTCAACTAAGTCTTTGCGAATGCCGTCGGTGTTAGTCGATTTGTGGAGCTTTGAAACAAGTATTATGAGCCCATTTCGCAGGCTATCAGCGGAGAACAAACGCTTTCCGATCTTGCGGCAGCGTCTGGATTGTCGTCTTCAGACGGGCTTTCTGCTTCCGAACCTGGAAGGACGAACAGGTAACCCAAGAATTGCCATCGTTGTCCTCCGAAATCTAGCTAAGGCAAAGTACTCTGTCCACAAATCGACACCATCTGTTACTGATAGATTCGCCTACGATGTATATGAATTAGCATCTTGGTATTGATAGCATTTTCCATTCCGGATAAGAGATCATTATTTATTTCATGTTCGTGGTGTTTTCTCTCAAGTTTTTATATTTTTTATATCCCGGATCAACGGGGGAAACCAGAAAATCGGAACTTGCCGTTTACAAGACTCACCGGTCGTTCTTTGTTGTCGAGTTCACCGGAATCCCACCGGGACGACCTCCTCGCCGCCGACAGACAGACGGCCCCCATGCTACGGTTCCCCGCGGTTCGGCCGCATTAGGTTAGGGAGCTGGGCGATAAAAGCTCCTCCGCATCCCAAAGCGCGCTTGAACGAATGAATTACAAGAAACTCACTTGATAATTCAATCAATTTAGAGCCGGAATATGTGCCCGTTGTTGTTTTCTCTCAAGTCGCCGTCTGTTTGGGGTTGCTCTCCGCCACGGCGGAGGCGGTCTCCGTAAAGTGGAAATCAGGGTAGTTGCGGCGATTGAGAGAGTGCAGCCACAGCGCCACCGCCCCCTCTTTCTCCTCCATGGCAGCGATGTGGGGAAATATAAACTTGGCCTTGAACGCCTCCGCCGCCGCAGCGTAGGCCTCCATGGACACCGCCTCGTGCGAATCCTTCCACTTCTGGTTGTACGAGGAGAAGAGGCACTCGTCCAGGTACAGCCCCACTTCCGGCGCCGTCGGCACGTTGACGTTCACGTCTCTGAAACACACCAACAGTTCAGGTCAGCAATGGTTTTTAAAGATCGAGCAGGGCGATGGAAATTTCAGAGATTGCAGCTCCTCCGCACTTCCTCAGCGCCGTCTCCATCATCGACTCCGGCGTGCAGTTTCTCATGACGGCGACGGCGAGCCCGATCATCTTCCTAATCTGGTGAAGCATGAAGCTCTGGCCGATAACCTCGCACCGCACGAAGTCAATCCCGGCGATGGTGACCACCGCGCCGGCGTCGAAGGAGACAATGTAGCGGCGTGCGGAGGGGTCCTCAGCCTTGGTTCTCGTCGTGAAGTTGTGGAAGTTGTGCGTGCCCTCGTAGCGCTTGAGGATGGCATTGAACCTCTTCCTCTCCTCCTCCCCGTACCGGAACTCGCTGGTTCTCCCGGCCATCTGCGGAGCATCTTCTGCCGCTTCTCCCTCCTCGTGGGAGACTCTGATATTTGCTTCCGACTCGTCTCCCACCTTCCGCTCTTCTGTGGCCGGCTTAGCGTCCTCTGCAGAAATTTTTGGGTTTGGTCCGGTCATAGAGGGATCAATGGATTCAGCGGAGCCCTCTGGTCCATCGCCATGCTCAATTCTGCCCACCGTCGTTGCAGGAGGTTTGGATTCAGAGTCTGCGGCGGGGTCTTCTTCTACCCGATTGCAGGGCTTCTCCGGCGGCCGGCCCATGAGGCCGGGGACCTTGCGGCCCCGCTCGGAACACTCAATGCACTTGGCGAGCTCCTTCTCAGAGCCCATGCTCGCCACAACGCTCTCTCTGTCCGGGTGGGCGTTGGGGTCCAGCGCGAACACCGGGAGGAGGTAGATGTACCGGCGGCGATCGCAGAACTTCTTGGCGTTGAAGGAGGCGGTGACCCGCTTGAACCCGAAGACCCTGATCTGCGGGGCGAGGTTGGCGTTGAGGCGGTCGACGAAGCCTGGTGGATCGACATAGAACCTGCCGGAGACGACCTGCCCGGCGGCGCTGACGCCCTTATCAGTGCGGGCGGCGCGGGCCCAGTCGTAGCGCCGGGGAATCCCCCGGTCTGGCTCGGGAACGCCGCCGGAGAGGAAGAGGGCCTCCTCGAGGTCGCCCTCTATGGTCCTCGCGCCGGGATTCTTCTGCATTCCCTGGTACCCTGCGCCGCAGTACCCGAGGACGATGGCCACTTTCCGTCGTTTCAGCCTCCGCTTGGCTCCGCCGGCGCCGTCGCCGGCAGCGGCGGAAGAGAGGGAAAGGCAGGGCGGCGCCGCCGCGCCACCGTTCTGGTGGTGCTCAGCTTCTTCTTCCTCGTCGGAGGCGCTCGCGGAGGACATCTTCAGCTTCTTGCCGGGAGGCGGCGGAGAGGAGGCCGGCGGCGGTGAGGAAGCCATAGTCTATAGCATCGCGGGGGAATGACCGCCGGCGACGGAGGAGGAAGACGAGTACACCAACCAGAGAGGTTTTCTGCCACTGCGCTAGGGTTTTACTCCGAGAAAACCCAAATGAATAATCGAACGGGGAATGGAAAATCCGTTTGGATGGGAATCACTTCTCCGCGGACAATCAATCACGGGCTATAGCCCATTAAAGGCGGATCCCCAGCAGATGGGTCTGTTTTTACCCAGTGTAGATCCAAGCCCATTAGGGCGACATCAGAGGCCCAATGACAAACTCGGCCCGTTCACCTCAGCCCACCAGATGAGGTTCAACGTGTAGTAAAATATCTCCAAAATCGGCGGTCACATCGGAGGCCCCTGTCGAGAAGAGTCATCATTGTCACCAGTGTCCGCCACTCGCCCGCCACCGCCGCCCATCGTCCACGGCTCCGGTGAACAGTGGGCCGACCAGGGAAGGACAGGGCTCTCTCTCTCCCTGTGTTAGAGAGAGAGAGAGAGATAGAGTGTTAAAGAAGAAAGCTAAAGATCAGTGAAAAACTGGGGAAGAGAGAGAAGTCTCTCTCACTCTCTCTCTCTTCTGGTGTGGCTCGCAGCGGCCGGCGAAAAGAAAGGCTACGAAAGCCATCCTGTGCGCCGATCAGTACTCATGCCATCTTCGTTTGACGCGACTACGATCACGTCTGTCGTCGCCTCACCACTCCACCAGGGTCACCGGGGGCCATTGTTCTCCTCGCCATCTCCGTGGGTCTCTCTCTTTGTCTGTGTGTGTGTGTGTGTGTGTGTGTGTGTGTCTCTCTCTCTCTCTCTCTCTCTATCTCTTCACGGCTGCCCCTGAACGCCGCCAGTCTGAGAGGCGACGCTCCAACAGGTGTAGCCCTTTTCTCCCCCACCCCCATAAACTCCTGAGTTTTACTTTTGTCAACGTCACATGGTCGCGAATGCTTCTTCATCATCGTCCTTGTCGCAGGCACTGTTAGGGTTTACTACAGAGGAATAAGAATAAGACGGACGTCTACTTCACTGGAGACATTCAACGTATATTATTAGTCCCGATGACGCTTCTTTTTTAAGGCAGCTCATCGCCAAGCACTTAAAAGACAGATGCTGCAACCGGCTTTAATTCTCATCGCCTTCGGCAACTCTTAATGCCAAGAAGAAGATGAAGAAGACCTCGCACTGTTCCTCCGCTTAGACACCCTGTAAATTGTCAACTAATTATCAAGAAATAAACTTGAGGAAGATCGGACTTTGATTGGATGAAGTGTCACTCATTTTTCTAGTGCATCAGTAATGGTGCCATCAAATTTCCCGCTTGATATAGTACAGTAGTCAGTAGAGCTGCTTTGCTCTTGTACTGCCGGCGGCCCCGCCCCTCGGATTCCATTCCCATGACAGCTGACCTGCGGGCCAGCCGCTGACGGTAAAGGACGGGGCACCATTGTTTCAGAAGCGGCGAAAGGCTTGGGAGGTCGATTTGAATCCAGAGGAACTCGCACGGAAAAGATCGGTGCTCGATACACTATAATAAAACTCAGAGTTTTAGGTGCTCGAGGTCGTTTGCTAATGATTCCCCAACGTGTGCCTTCATCAATGCGAAGATCTGTGTGACAGACGGGTGGGTGAGGAGTGGGGTTTAGGGTTTTACATTGACTCGAGGAGAGCGGTGAGGCTCAGGCGGCACCGACGCCATGAATGCTCGGTGCGACAGAAGGAAGGTGTCATGAAGACTTATCATCCTTCGTGTCTGCTCCGTACATTTGATAAGCATTTTAATAAATAGCGAAGCTCGGTGGAATGAAATAAACCAGAGATGAGTCATTAACGATCCTGTCGGAGCTCACTATTAGTCGACGACACAAGGATCCGCTCGCGTGCCCAACGCGATGACGTCTCTAATAATTCCGAGGTGAGGAACCAGCTGGGATGGCATTTTCCATGACTCCACTAGCCGACTGCAGCTGTCAGTCCTGATCCTCGCGTGAGGCCACAGGGCTTGCTATTTCCTCAGAGAGAGAGAGAGAGAGAGGCGGTGAACCGAGGACGAAGGGTCTGCTCGTCTATTTTTTTCCTGCGGCGCAACTCTTTCTTTCCCTCTCTCTCGTCTCTCGTAGTTGTCTTCCGCAGTTCCTGTCCTGCACTCTCCTTCCTGTCTCTATCTTTTCTCCGAGTGTTCTTGTACTTACGAGGCAAAGGGACTGAAGGTTGACATCATCGGTGGCGTTTTCATGTGGATTTGTTTCTCAAAGGGTGTCTCACAGAGCCCATTGGCATTCTGTCCACCTCCATGTTGGAGTGAACTTCTTTAGAACCCCATGGGAGACCCTGTGGGAAGACGGAGGTGGACATCCTGCCAACTGGGTTCTGTCGGTTTCTCTTTGCGGAATCCATGTGATGATAGTTTCTCCCTCCGCTGGTCGTCTTCTTCAATCTGCCCTTGCTGCGTTGTCCCTTCACGGCACCCTTTTCAGGTATTCAATCCCATCAGGTTATCCCCTCGTCTCCTTGTCGATTGTTCGTGGCTAAATAAATCTCTACTGGATCTTCTTCCCCTTCCTGGTCTGTCCTTCAGGTCGTTTGCGGGATTCCAAGGACACTCAGCCGCTGGGCCCCAACCTCGTCTCCTTGAGTTGTTGTGCTGTGATCTTTGTGCCCCAACCTTCTTTGTATGCTTCAGTCTTTCGCCTGCGTTGTTGCACCGGCCAGGGGCTCACGCTGTTTCTTTCTTCATTTCCAGAAAGATTTCCCCGAGCGACGAGGGAAAGAAGTCGCGGTTGTAGATATGGTTCAGACGCCGGGTGAGCTCTTTCCAAGCATCTAGTTCTTCTCTTCTCTCTCCTCTTCCTCCGGCAGACTGATACGAAGAAATTCGAACACGAACTTTGTTCGTGTTTATGCAGAACGCATGCTCATGTAGGTTTGCTGAAACCTGTCGTCACCCTGATGCTGTCGGGGCTCCGCCTCCATTGCTCCCCGGTAGTTCGATGAGATGAACAGGCTTTCTGGGTCCGTCCGGCATGCACGTTCCTTGGAAGCTCGCGATCCCTGGTATCCATCTCTGCAATACCTAGGGTTAGGGTTCGTTCTTTTCCCCTGCCAGTGTACCTCGCCACTGTATGCAATTCTCAAGTTGAAGGTCGGGCGATCGCGCCGGTAAGCAGGAGAGAAGATCCCGTGCGCCGCCTGCGATTCTCCCCCCCCAGCGTGAAGCGCGCGGTAGACGGCCTCGTACGAGAGGAAGCTGGAAACGTCGCTCACTTCATCTGCCCGCATACAAAATTTCCTCAGCAGGCAGAATTTTGGAGTCCCCCACCTACCGATCCTTCCCTCTTTCCAAGATCCTGTCCAAGATCTATCTTGCTTGATTCTTCTAGGATGCAGGAATCTTCCGCAGAAGATCTCCCAAACGGGAAAGGTCCACACTGAAAGCGTTTGCATCAGCTTCGACGTGAGCTAAATTTTCAGAGACCGTTTTAGTCAAGAATGAAATAAAATTTCATCGATTTTGGTCAATGTCTACGCGATACCCATCTGATGGTCAACGCAAGCTTAAGGAGGTTTGTACTAGGGGCTAATGGAAGATGGTTGAGCCAGCTGGCTCGTCACTCGTCTTGCCATAAATGACTTGACAAAATGCAAGGATTTGATTAAAGTGATCTAGCAAAGGGCCCCCCGGTGCAAGTGTCAGGGCCTCTTTCTCAGGTCCTTTCTTACATAAAAGGCCTTCTCCGGCCAGTGCACCCGCCGGTCAACGGCGTCCTCAGTCTCGCTCAGGGGCGGCGCCGCCCCTCGAGTCCTTGCCGGCGGCGCTCAGGTTACCTGTGTACGACGCCCAGAGCCGCTCCACGTCGGCCGGCACCAGCAACCTTCCGGGCTTCCCCTCCGGCTCGCCCTGGAGGCAGCCGTCTTTGCGCCGCGACAGCTCCGTGCCGGGGCTACCGGTGACAGGCGTGGAAGAGCAGAAGGCGGGCGTGGCGAACGGCGAGGTGCACGGGGTGTCCTGCCCTGAGAAGGGACTGGGCGATATCTTCTTCTGGATGGGGAGTCCTCCGAAGCAACCCCCCGCCACGTTGAACAGCGGCGGCGGCGCCGTCTCTGCCGCCGAGCATCTCTTCGTTGCGTCGTCCACGTAGATCACGTCGTCGATTCTCGCGATGATGTTGAAGGCCAGGCTCTCCATTACCCTCGAGTAACTCTCCAGGATCGACTGCCCCACGTCCTGCGAGACCACGCTCCACCCATTATATAGGCAACTCCACGACGACTAACTTGCCTTGTTGTATTGAAGCGATCGATCCTCTTCTTTACCTTGTTGTATTGAATCTTGTTCATGTCGAGAACGGTCTGGGGGAGGGCGGGGTGTCGTAGTCTCAGCCTCTGCAGGAGGCCCTCGGCGCGCTCCGCAAGGCATTGGTTCTTCTCTGTGTCGCTCACGAGGCCCTTGATCTTCCCGCTCCATGATTTCTTGGCCTTCCCGTTGTGGGCGTGGTGCCTCTTCCAGTCCTTCTGGCCCCAGACGTGTATGGCTGTCTCGATCCTGTTCGCAATCTCCACCGCGTGGTGCTCCGATGATAGGTCCAAGCAGTCCAGCAGGCATTCTGGAGAAAACTGCTCCGCCGTGATGTACCGGTAGATGATCTCGCCCAAGCAGGATTTGCCGGTCTGCCACGAGAGAGAACAATGAGATTTTACGACTAAATTTTCGATTCATGCATACATATATATATATATATATATAGAGAGAGAGAGAGCAGATTTGCACAAACACTAGAATAAAGCCCGCAGAGATCAGTAGAAAAGGAAAATACTTGGAAAAATGAAGAAGAGACCAGGCAACAACGACGCAGCATTGTAGAAGGTTTATATGAGTTCATGAAACGGGATTCAGTTCTAGGATATCTAACACAGGGAGCTAAGAGCATTTTTCATAGTGAAGTTGAATCTCACATAGGTTAGAAAACCTGAGAACACTTTTGCGGCGCATCTATCAGTCGAATCTTAGTTAAGAAGAGCAGCCGCAAGTTATTTCGTGAGATCAGTACTCAATAGGATATCAAAATTCGGGAAGCATTTATAATTTACTAAAATCAATATAAAACCAGGCAACAGAACATATGAAACAATTCTCAACAAAATAAAGCAACTGGAATAAAAAAGATAACATTTCCCATCGCTTGTCGAGTATCAAAGTCTTCAAGTGAAATAGCCAAGAACGACGATCAGAGTCCAAAACCTTGCATGCATCCTCCAAGGATGCATGATTAGAAAGGGGCCGTGGGAATGACAATAGGAGCGATTGTGGGTTGGGATCCGCATTTATAAATGGATAATTATTGTTCTCCTTTCGCTGCCCAACGGTGAAATGGAGGATGGCAGGACATGAATGTTTACAAGTAGCTCTTTAAACAACTTTTGACTCTGGATCGCGTTTTATACTTGAACAGTGAGCCAGGAAAAATAAAAAAGAGAAAAAAATCAGAAGGAAAGTTTGAGAATCACTGCAACCATCCAAATGAAATGTATACAGTCAAGTTCTTTAAAAGCTCCAAGAAATCGGCTTCATTGCCCATTTCTACATTCCAAGCCAAGGTATCTAGTAGATCAAAGCGGTCACCCACCACAGTTCGCAATGACTCGTGAAGAACTCCTATATTCATAGAAAGATAATTGAATAACCTATGCATTCTAAAAACTCTCACTTGGCAACATCGGTTTCTTCACTCTGTTCCAAAAACATACATTGATGAGCATCTCATACTTTTGGCAGCCAATGATAGAAATTAAAATATCTTCTGTCGCTGATTCATAAAACAGTTGCCGCCAAGAGAAATTATAACACAGAATATGAACCTTCCCCATTGAAAGAATACGAATCTGCTCACCGTTGTCCTCCTTCCCACACAAGCTTTTCAAAGGAACGCATACCGACCGGCCAAAAAGCTTACAACCTCATTGTAGGTAACAGCGACATCTTCCATGCATTAAGATTGTCTGACATGGCCGTTGCACAGATGATCGAATTCCTCGGGTGAATTAATAGTATGATGCATACATGATAACTCAACAGAGTGTGGCAACAGATTACCCAGAGCTTTGCATGACTCGATTTAGGGAAAACCTATGACCGCCCTTTAAATAGAACATCTCTCTCTGGCAAACAAGGAAGGTACAGAAAAGTGTGGAGCATGTCTTGCAGAAACCAATTGGGCTTCGATTGAGTTTAAACTCACCCAAAATAACCTCGAGAAATGATGACATTTTTAGCTTCTTCTACAGAAACGTTTTCCGCAGCTTCCTGGACAAACTCTAAGTTACCAAAGAAGCATACATATCATTAAATAGAACCGTAAAACACACAAACTATGTTCAACATGCGAAATTGATGAATAAGGAACACAACATAATCCTAGAATTCTAAGACGATTGCCTTAAGGGAATTTTTTGACAAATTCTACCAACAGGGTTTGTGACCAAGTGTGCTGACAGCTTGCCTTTCAGAAAATGAAGATCAGCAAGGATTTACGTTTGAAAGATTTTAGGTGACTTTCTTAATTTCCCCAGAAATTCCTGGTTTTCGTACTAGCATTCAATCAAGGCACAGTAGCTTGTAGTTCAGGAAGCAAGGCTGGTCACATTTAGATTCGTCATAATAAGAAGAAAACCGTTCTATCAAAAGATAAAATGCAGATCCCTAAGAAAAAAAGCGACTAATGGCAGGTGAGAAACCAAAAATATCACTAAGCACACTCTCATGCCGAGTTTTCGAGAGGCAAATAAAAAGCCCCAGGAAGGGACAGACAGTAATAATTTGCCAAATTTTCTACCATTCTAAAAGTTAATGAAATCGGGCACAACAGCAATAACTGCAATCTAATAATCTATGCCCTTAGGAAACCGCCATAAAACCAACCGAATAAGGTGCAGGGGCTGATACGTCACAATTTTATTGAATAATAATTTCATTTTTCCGCGGAGAAAACCACAATTGTGAATACAAATATAATTACTACTCACTGACGATCGAATAATCTATCTAAAATCAGAAAAAAGGCCTAGGACCACAAACATTACCGTTTCTACCTTATAAAGCATAAACTTCATCATAAAATTTGCACCAAAGCTAAACCTAGATATGAATGACACTCAATACAGCATAGCGTCAAATTAACAGGAACATAACCAGATACCAATTACACAACTCAGAAGCACCAAAATCAAAACAGGCTCGACAACATTCAGCTTGAACATTACCTTGGGCAAAGTTTCCAAGTATACATCAGGGATCTCCATCTCAGCAAGTACCCCACTATTAATTGCCATAGCTGCCTTGAGAATCTGGTTGGCACAATCTCTACATTGTTGCAATCGTTTCCTGGAATCCTCTGATAGCCCAGTTGGCGGAACCCTGGGGCATGGAAGCCACCATTTCTCTTCCTGCCTGGGTGATAGCCTCTCAAAGGAGGATAATGGATATGCAGTGTTCTTACCATCATTAGCATCAGCAACTAAAATCTCCCTGTCAACATACGAGAAATCCTTGTCGCAGAAACCGTCCAGTATACTAAGGAGCATAGTATCAAGTTTTTTAAGAGCTGGAAGATTCATGTATAGGTCAGAGCGGGGACAAGGGACCATCACTTCAAAGGTTCCTCCACCAGGGAACTCCTGAAAAGAAGGAATCAGCTCCACGATATAGTCACACACGCTCAGCAGCCAGCCCATCTCTCTCTGCCACATTGTCTTCTTCTGCGGCGCTAGTGGTTCTAGTCTCCATAGCTCTCCGAACACGGTGGCTGCACCATTTCCAACAGCATGGCAAAAATGGGAAACAACAAACTCGATTACTCCCATTTTATCTGGAAATTCCGCAAGGCTAGATCAATAGAACATTGATGATAAAATCCGGTACCCGAGAGATTAGTGATGGCATTGGAGATGGCAAGAGCGGTGCATACGCCCTTCCCGCCTCCGGACATGTCCTCCCCAAGCAAGAGTTTAGCAAATCGCTCCTTCATCATCTCCACTTCTGCAGAATGGAAAATTCTAATTATAACAAAACTGGAGGTCGTCAGAACCAGAGGCACAACAGATCTTCAATCCTCAGAAGTAGCAGAGGACCGTCCCCTCATCTAAACTAAAAACAAGAAGGTAAGCGAACAAGAGAATAGCAACAGAATGGAATGCACCAGATAAATCTACTTCTGTCTTCTCCGTCTTCCCTTCCCACACGAGCAACCTTCCCTCGCTGATCCCTGACGTCATCGGGCCTGCTGCCAGAGAGAATGTGGGTGCAGCATTATGGCCAACTGCCGCCGAAACCGGCGACGATAGCAGGGAGCCCGAAGGTCCAGGGTCGCCGGCGTACTGGCGGGCACAGAAGTCACCGGAGCTCTCGGACTCGCTGACATCGGCACTCAGACTGTAGCTTCCACACCGTTCACTCTGCTGATCGCTCCCATCCTCGTCCGACACACTCCCCATCGCCGACATCCGCCCGCAGAAGAAAAAACCCTAGTAAATACCTCTATTCCCTGCACCAGACGGGAACTAGGACGAAGAAGAGAAACAGGAACGAAATGTGGCCGACATAGAGATCAGGGATCCACTACGCGCGCGTCGGCAAAGGGCGGCTCCGGCTCTGCAACGGCCCCTTCCATCCCGTTCTCCACAAGTGATCCGTCCTCTATCAACTGGGACCAGACAAAAGCGAACAGGGGATCAGAAGAGAGAGATGAAGAGGATGTGAGAGAAAGGAAGGAGTATGTGTGTAGAAGGCGAAGAAGGCGCGAGCCACTGACCCTCTCTCTCTCTCTCCTCACTATCTGTATATATATTTCCACTGCCGCAGCTGCTGCAAGCGACGGGGAAAAGCAAAAGAAGGACAATCGCCGCCCCCACCACCTTCTTTTTTACTTTCCCGGCGACGAATCGGGTACAGTTACCCCCCTCCCCCCCCTCTAAGCGCATCCGACGCTGATCTTTCTTTTTTGTCGCGGCCTGTCTTCAGGACAAGAGAGCCTGCCCGGAAGGTGACCACAGCACGGCGGGCACAACCTCACCTTCCTAGAGATAGAAAAACTCAGACGGAGAGAGAGAGAGAGTAAAGAAGACATTATTACTCTATAAAGGGGTAGCTCAACAATACCACATTACTTCGCTGTATAATTTTATCTGCCGGCATTACCACGCCAACTATTCTGTACACGTGGACGGGCACTATCCGTCGATTAAAAGTCGACGTGGACTGAAAATCCACTTTTTCCCGCCCTTTAAACCCGCTGCTCGGACGGGTCACCTTGCGTGTGTGAGTCCACCCCGCGATCGATAGGAGGGCGGTCTTGGGAAGTCTCGACGGTCCGAAACCCCATCCACGTGACAGGTGGCGACCGGCACACGGAAGAGCCCCATCCATTTGACAGGTGGGCTGGGAGCTGAGCTGTCATCTCAAAGAAAGCGGCCTTGGAAACTGTCAACCTCACAATTTCGTAATTGCGTCACCGATAATTTTACTAAAAATAAATTCCCGTCAATCAAAGGATTGATGGTGCTCTTCTAATCAGGACCGTTGGATAGGTGGGCCTTTTGGATTACTGAGGCACGTGGGTCTAGTGGCCATGTCATCACGCTTATCACACATGTATCCCGAAATGATCGACAGCTGGCATTTTTCATGATCATCGAGAGGCTCCCCCCCCCCCTCCCAGATGAGTATAAATATCGTATTTGTGCGATGAGGGGGAATTTCTGGAGAATAGGCGCTCGTCTCTTCTCCGCTCCGGAGGGGTATCAGCGGGAGCGGAGGCAGAGAAGGGGGAGCGAAGATGCCGAAGAAGATGGGGATCAATAGCAAGGCGGAAGCTGCCAGAACGCGGAGGAGCGAGGCGGAGTCCGATAGGAAGGAGAAGGTAACCCGCGAGAAGGAGGAACAGTACTGGAAGGAGGCGGAGGGATCCAAGTCCCGCGCCGCGAAGAAGCGCGAGGATGAGGCGGAGAAGCGCGCTGAGATCGCTGCTCGCAAGGCGGAGAACCGCAAGCTCGCTGAGATGGAGCAGCAGGAGATCGAGCGGGCTATGAGGAAGCCTGACAAGAAGGTCGGGCGTGTGTCTATACCCGTTCCCAAAGTTACCGAGGCTGATCTGCGGCGCCTACGGGAGGAGGAGCACCTCCGTCTTCAGAGGGAAGCTGAAGCCGCCAAGAAGAAGCAGATTCGGACGACGGAAGAAGAGGAATACGAGAGGATGGTTCTGGTGAACAACACCAACAGGGACGACTCATTAATCGAGGCTCACAGTGTGGAGGAAGCTATCGCGAAGATTTCTGTGGCTGAACCAGCAGTGCTTGCCGATCGGCACCCAGAGAGGAGACTGAAGGCTTCCTTCAAGGTAACTGAAAGCGTACAAGCTTTTTCTTCACGTTCTGCCGCGGACTTTCCTGCAATCGGAAAAGGACTGGAGCATTTGCCATTCGATTCAGTTACCGTTGATGGATTAGTTTCTCGGGCTGCTGAATTTTTACGTTTTTTCTCCGTTGACTATATATTAACGTTTGATTGTGAATGCCTTTTATGATGACGTTCTGAGCACTGTGTTTGACAAAAAAATGTTACTGCATCATGGATTTGGGGACCCAGAATAGGTGGCACATAAGGGAGGTAAGTGTGGCACCCACATTGAATAAGTATTCAGGAAATGAAGTCCTCATGTTCCCATGGGAGGTAAAAACATGAAAGCTTGTTGGGTGGGGAAAAGGAAGATAACTAAAGATGCATTAGCCATATACAAGTTGCTAACTAAGAAGGCGTGTTCCGCTTCCTTGATAAGTTTAAGAGGTGATTCTTCAATTCTGGGATGAATTTAATGCATCTGATGACTGAGAAGAAGAATCATGTTTCCAAACTTCAATTCAGGTGCTCTTGTAATGCACCACATACAAGAGCGCGTTTTAGATGTCATTTTTTGTTTTTCTCAAAAAAAATAGTTCTTAGTTTTATTTTAAATTCCTGGAGTTCAGTGTTTCCCCAGTGATAAGAATTCCTGACGATTCTCGGACGAATTTATCATTTTTTTGGAAATATATACCTCGTGGATTAGTCGGTGTTTTCTCCATGTGTGAGGCAGGACTCGCCTCGCTTTCTATTTGCTCCAGTAGAGTCCCAGCTTTTGTTGTTGCTTTGACAGAGAGAATACACTGGTAAAGGATCGATTTATCGCTCTACTCTTTCCTGGGGGGTTGCCAAAAATGTAAAATGGCAGTAGGACGGTGATTGAGAGGATGTGTTAATCAATTATTGCTATCGTATGTTATCCTGTATATCTACGCCTTAGTGGTCGTTTCCTTTGGTTGAGGAAGATCCTCGCTGTGTATCAATAGATCACAGTAGGTAGGGACTTGGAAGGAACCATTGGCAATGGAAAAAGAACAGCCAGCTATAGGGTTCCTGCTGCTCAGTTGGGTATATGAGAGGGAAGATCACAACGGTTGTTGTTGTGCAGACTGGGAACCATCAGATAAGTTAGAATACTTTTGCCATTGGTGCTGGCCCGCATCGACACAGTTGGATAATTTTGCACTTAAGCACTAAATGACTGCAATTGACAGACAGTGGCCTTTATTGAAGGTCCCCGTCATTAGTAAGCATTGTACACTGTTGAGGGAATGAGAATAGCCTATCAAAGGGCTGTGGAAAGGTCCTAGCAATTGGGAAGGTGTGTGCGGAGGGAGGTCCCTGCAGGGATGGTAAAAAAAATGGGGATTGCCACAGAAGGTAGTTTAGCCAGCTACAGCTGGTGTTTATGTCTCTAAGTTCAAATATTTTCTTTAAGTTATTGCGAAATTTTCATAAACTTGATATTTTTACGTGCGAATGAATGGCCACCGGGGTTTTTCTGCAAATATTTGTGCATGTCATCGATGGGCGGGGTTCTTACGTCACTTCTGATAGTTGATTCTTATAATTATAGTTTTGCTAGCTTTTCTTCAACCTCTTTCAGTGTGTAATTCTTGGTTCTTCTGTCATCCTCACATTTGTTGTTATAGTTTTTTATGAGTTATACTCTTTATAGCCATTGAGTGGTTCATTTTTCAATACAAATTACTTATAAGCAGAAGATTTGATTAATTGAAAATTTCACACAGGCCTTTGAAGAGGCAGAGCTTCCCAAATTGAAGGAAGAGAAACCCGGGCTTACTCTCACCCAGTACAGAGATATGATATGGAAACTATGGCAGAGATCTCCAGACAACCCTCTGAATAGACAGGTACCACTAAATTCTACGAGTACCTGTCCATCCTTGCATTTTTCTCAAATTCAGCTCTTCTGCTGGGAAACCCGATTCAGTTACCTTCACAATTCTTTTATTTCAGCCTCGGTTCTTGTGTGTATTGAATCTATTAACAGCTCTTTCTTTATTTTTCTTTCCTCTGCTGTTGATTCTGTTTGTTGCCTTCCTACTCCTTCAAGAGGGGCTATTTGTTGCACAGTTGATAAGATACTTAGGGGAGTTCTCATTGGCTGTGTTCACAGGTTGCGGACTGATTCGTCATAAAGAGTAAAGTTGGGCTTGTTCTCAGAGGCAAGTACACGTGGTTTTCTACGCGATCTGTATGTGTGTGGCAGCTATTTATCTTCACTAAGATGGATCCCGGGTGCTGAAAAGTTCTATTCGTTCGTACTGGTGGAGGTATTAAATCAGAAGAGTTGCTACGTGAAACTTCAGCCTGTAACCTCCCTCAAGGCAACCAAACTTTGTCGTCATTTTGGTGAATTCCCCAGCAACAACATGCAGTATAATCAGCAAGGATGTCTCAAAAAACATAACTTCTCATCCACGTGCTGTGGTACAACTTTGTAGGCCATCATCCTCCTCTTAGATATCGACTGCAGAGTGTTTGAATAAGGAAAAAAACTATGCGTACATTGCAGAACATCAATGCTTGCTCTGAGGTTTTCTCTTAACAGTTTCATTCGGTTGGCTTCTCACTGGCCAGGTGCTTCAGGATCGCTCGTCCAGACTCCTGAGCAAAGTGCTTCTGCCTGAGCCGTACATAGGGGTACCCAATTGCTGAGAGCATGTGAGCTGGTTTTGAGAAGGAGAAGATCTCGTAGAAGACCTGGTCATTGTCGTCCCACTCTACCGAGAACCGTTCTTCTCCGGCCTGCATCAATCATACATGGGGAAAAGGTTAGGTTTTGGCCACTCAAACTGTAGAGAGCCCACAAGGAGGAAAATATAGCAGAATAAATTGAATAGAGCGGGGTTTTTTTAAAATATCGGATCTTTAGTTTGAAGAGATGGCACTTAAAAGGGGAGAAGGAAGACTAGGAAGAATTTATGCTTTGGCGCTGCCATGATCATCCTCAATATCCTCTTCTTAGTTCTTGTTCTTCATCTGCGATTAATTGGGATCAAATAGTATTTTAATGCCGAGAGCTTGGATCCATGTGAATGGAGGAGAGTAGGGCGAGGCCCTGCCAGAACAAGAAAAAATGGGGTTTTTCTTGGCAGGCTGCTCATCGAACTAGAGCAATCGCGACTGATCGACCGATCCTTGAGAGATTTGGCTCATAATCTCGCAGGATTACCCATTGCCTCCCCAAAATCAGAGTCTCGGCTCATAGTAGGAGCTCACTAATCAGACCTTCACCGCTCTGTGATTCGTTTGATGTGAGGTGGGGAGGAGCCGAATACCAGCAAGTGGCCGCGGAGGGTGCCGCTGCCGAAGCTGAAGGAGGCCTTGGAGTTGCCAGATGGGCGGCGGAGCTCTCCTGTTCCGCTGGCCAACCCGGCGGACTCGCCGCCGCTGGAGGCGTCGGCAACGTAGGCGATCTGCAGCGGCATCGCCATCCACGGAAGGATCTCCTTCACGCAGACGCAGAACTTGGTGCCCTTCTCTACTGGCGTCTCCTCCTCCACGAAGGCCCACCCGAGACGGAAGTGCCTGTAGAGTAAGAAGGAACTGCAGATGAAGAAAGTGGCAAAGAACGAAGACAGAAGGGAGGACGAAGAAGAAGATAGAATTGCAGACGAAGAAAAGGGCAAATAACGAGGACAGAAGGGATGATGAAGAAGAGAGAGAAAGAAAATGATAGAATTGCAGACGAAGAAAAGGGGAAAATAACGAAGGCAGACAGAAAGGAGGATGAAAAAGAAGAGGGGCTGGTGATTCTATCGGACCTCCAAGCGCAGAGCGCGCTCTTGGCGCGGCGGAAGGTGTCGGCACCGGAGCCCAGGAGGACGCGCGCCCGGTTGACGTGGAAGCCGCCCCTCGCGAGGGCGGCCTCCGCTTCGTCCGACGCTGCCCCTTCGGAGGCGCCGCGGTAGTGGGCGTCGTAGTTGAAGGCGCCACCGCTGGCGTCGACGCAGGCTTTCTGCCGCTGCGGCGACGGCGGCCTCCAGCTTAAGAAAAGGACCATCTTCTTTCCCGCCGAAAACTTTCGGGATGCGAGTGAGATTTCAAGCACCACTCTTCCCCTACCTTTTTCCTCTTCCTCCCTCTTCCAAACGTCTATCACCACCTCCGATTCTTCAACGTGGGAAGAACAAGAGAAGAGGACGAAGACTTTGGGCAAGACCCTCACTTTCCTCCACTTCTGCCAATATTATCTCGTAAAAAGCTGGTTTTACTCCATTAGTGGAGTTAAAAACTAAAGAGCTTTACTGCTCCTTGTTGAGGCCTCCATTTATTAGGACTCGTGGGTACCGTGTCCCCTGCAAGATTCACATTCATGCTTTCTTCCCTAGGGGTGGACTAAAGCTGGAATCTCTAATGACGCACTTCACAGGTCTACGCGCCCAATATAATGACCCAATGGGCATAGAACGGCGTATCCCAAACCAGGGCGGGATGTGACAGCTTTCTGTGTAACAGCTGCTCAAAACATCACACTAATCGCCAAGAACATAAAGGAGATGGTAATCGTCCCGCGACAGCAATTTCATGATAAATGATCGAGCGACGAAGAATGGGGCCCGGATGACGTAACCCGGGAGATGAAAGCATCTTACCCACATACAAACTGCATAAGAAGATTTAGCGTACTTTGATCCTATGCCTAATTCTGGCTCAGAAGAAGAGGGCTCTCCAAGAAAAAGTCAATGCCGTCCACCAACGAGCTCTGGCTTTCGATGGAGACAGACAGGTTGGGGAGACCAAAAAAGAGGTGGGCTGGGTTAGAATTTCCTCGCCATTCACCAGAAGACGACTGGTTGGGATTTGTGCGGCTGCATATCCCAGTCGGCAACTCAATCAAAGCAGTCCATCTTCACGTCGGTGACATCAAGCTGCAGTATCTCCGCTCGGCAGCCCAGAATGGAACCAATGCTGCAGAACGTAAGTCCAGAACGTCAGTCGAGTTGGGCGGGGGGGAAGCTACTGAGAGAGAGAACACTTCGAGCCGGAGAGGCAGCTCCACGAAGAAGAGAGGGAAAAAAGAAACGAAGTTGGAGTACTCTTACTTCGGATGAGTACGCCCAAAATCTCCGTGCACAAATTCCTTGATATAAGTCCCTGCCTGTGATCCGGTTCGAGGTGATGCCGCACACGTTTCACGGATGCAGAAACATTCGTTGGTCAGCGAAAATCGAACTGAGTGGACAAGACAGGACTCAAAGAGGAAGACTATAAAATCTACGAGAGAATACGACACAACAGGAACGAAGCCAACTAAAGAATCACTCGCGAGTATAGACCAGCCTGCATTGGGATAGATGATATAGTGTTCCACTGAACTGCCAAAGGAACTATTTGGATTCACAAAGGAAACATGAAAAATGCCCGGGAAAGAGAAAAAATGGAGAGAAGACCACCTGCATCAGAACACAAGTTTACAAGTACTCAACGTCTGTTCTTTCAGTTCATCACATCTACTATGAGCCCATTTAGCACCAATTTTAGCTTTTCACATGCAACCAAAAAAATCCTGGCACTAAGTCTCTTCTAGTCTCTTTCTCATCATATGATCATCAAAGTTTAAACACCTTCCTCGGGATTATTTCTTTAAAATCTTACAATTGCTATTCTTGTTTATAATATTTTTTCCAAGATTGTTCTAAAAGATCCTTATAATCTTTATGTGATTTTTTTCCGAACAAAAACTGCATTATGACCAACAGTGAACCAATCACAAGGGAACATGTAAACCTGTAGCACAGGATGGTATGGAATCCTTAGCCGATACCTTGTTAGTTGTGAGAAGAATAAGTTTCCACACAAAAATTCCTAACCTTACATTTGAATGCTAGAAGCGTACCAAAATAACCCATAAGATGAATTAACATCTCCATTCTCACCAATCGGATATGAGTTGGATGATCTAACAGATGTTAAAAACGTGTTGCCAGTCTATACACCAGTTGCCATCTTGTTGAAAGAAAGCAACATGAAACTCCCTCGTTTAATCGAAACTATGAGCATGTAGCAAAAGGAAGTACCTGAGTACACAGATGAAGCAAAAAATACTGAGAGCTGCCGGCAATTTTTTCTGCGGTCATCCTAATATCAACCATGGAAAATGCAATGGAGTGTTACCAAGTTAGGAAAAAGATGAATATCAGGACGTATATCAACATAAATCGAAAATGAATTGACGTATTTCCTACCAATGTATCATCCGTTTCCGATCCATTGGACTTCGACGATGAAGCACTCTAATTGGAGTTCTTTGTGTGATTTCCTGCACAAAAATCAGAAACGTAGCATGCCTCTCCTGAAAGTTGGGCCTAACATTCAACTCAAACAGAATGAAGGAAAATGAAACCACATTCTCAGCAGAGAAAGTAGTTGTTGCTATCGAGCTGCTACATCAGAAGAGCCCTGACCACTTTTGCGGTATCATAATACCATGTATCAAGGAGAAAAACTCAATATTTAAATGAAAGAGAACTGTCTACTTTGTTTCCATCAACAACCCTAGAAATTTCTGGATACCAGATGTCTAATTGATCATCTTAGAAGTATTCACACCACATGTAATATCCACGTTTGGTTTTCTAGAATTTTTCCTCCAACTACAGGAAGTTACTAGAGAGAAACTTAACATCAGAAGAACCTCCTCACAATCTTTTTCATTTTTTGGCTTAATTTATCATTTTCTGCATTTAAAGAAAAAGAAGATAAAAGCTTTTCTTTCATTCGAAAACCAGATAAGGTACGCATAATTCATATTTAGAACCAATTTATCGATTATAGGTTGTACACTTCATTTGTATTTATACTGTCCTTTATAAATGCCACACAATTGTAGTCATTTGGTCCAGCAGCGTGGCCACAGGATTTTCAGCGAGGAACCACTTGTACAATATGACCATTTAGAAAGTACCATAAATCCACTACTCTCAGAGCATTTAAAGGAGCCTATGTTTCTAACGCTCTACGAGCACCAGTATCACATACGAATCGTCATGTTTTCCACTTATAGGCCATCAAGATGTGAGGCCTTTCTCTTATGCAGATTTTAGCAGTATTCACTGTGTTTCATCAGTAGAGATGGATAAACTTACAGTGACATTCATATAACATCCTCCCAAAAGATGAAGCTAGAAGGCGCTCAATCGGTGTAGAATGACACATTGATTTGGTTCCGGAAATGATCAGTTAAAGAGTATGATGAGGAAAGAAAAAAACCTTGTAGAGTGTTCCATTGCATTCAATTTTTATCTAAAAGAGACATCTTTAATAAATGCTATCACTCATCTATTCTGTATCTTATCCAGTGTAATTTATAATTTCGCAAGCACGGTGTTAAATATGCTTCATTCTCATCTTTTGTATAAAAACTGAACTCGAAAAAGTACTTTGATTCCGAGTACAAGAGCCTAGCCTTAAACTTTATAAAAATCGATGTCGCATTAAAAACGTAAGTCTAGACACATCTAGACAAACGTAAGAATCATTCTGTTGATAGAAACCAGGAGAAAACCATCTGGCCCTTCGAACTTATAGGGTCCCATGGTGAACACAATGTCCTTGACTTCCTCCTTCGAAAGGCTGTAATTGAGAAGTCAGCATTATCGAATGACTATTTTAGGAAAGGTTCAATCTCCATGTAGCTTGCATATTTCTTCTTCTTCAACGAGTTTTGTAAGGTTTAAATGAAAGTATTGATTTCAGAGAAGCTAGTTGGTGAAAATACTTGGAAACGTTGACAAAGTAAAACGCATGAGTCACTAGGACAATGGCAAATCATGAAAGATTATAACAGCTTACCATGTTTTCAGTTGAATTTATCTTACGTTCATCTTCCTCCGTAAGTGGCCGAGAAATCCAAACCACAGCTGCATATTGTTTCTATACGAAAATAAATGTTCATATTTAATCATCCAACAGTTCCCCAACAACAATTGACCGACGTAGTCAGGAACATCATAAAGAATAAAAGTAGGATAAGAATGGCATGCAAGGAAATAAACAACCTGTTTCTCTGCTTCCCCCTCATGCATGAGGCTCCATGCCTCGCTCCCAATCAACTTGAGATTTCTCACTTTAATCTGCTCAGAAGAATGTAAATGATAGTTAACAAATAGACGTAAAAAAAAATGGCCACCTCTACCACCAAAATTGAATCAGTAGATCCATCATATGAAGATTACTCACAAAGTCTACGGGATATAACTTTCTGATATCGTGGCACTTAATGCTCTAAATTATGCAGAAGTTTCCTCCATAAGAATGACACTTTTACAGACGTAATTTCTGTAGCACACGCAGCATGCAAAAAATTTGTTTTATACCTGTGTTCATGGACCTATTTTGTGACTATTTGACACATTTTTTCATGATGCCACTTATAATTTGACGTTTAATCCACAGCTTCTGAATGTTTTCTCCTCTATCAACATGACATGATTGATTTCAAAAAGTAATCTAGAGCATTACACATATATTTCACAATAGGGGACTTACATATCTATTTTCGGAAGCATTTATTTTTTCAGCCATTTCACAAATATCATTGGAAGATGGCACAGATCGTGCATTTGAAACTTCAACAAGAAAAGGACGACCAGATCCCAACATCCGGACCTGAGAACCATCGTTATTAGTAGCTCATCAGAAGAGGACTAGAATAATAATGTTTCATCATAGAGATCGCATGTACGTCAATGTCTTCTCTCCCCGCAGCGTGAAACTTGTAGCTGTCGCCTTTGCAAACAAGAAGAATATTGCTCCCAAGTATCTCCTGGCAAAGAGAACTGATCAATCAGAAGCACAGGGATAGCACCTGGAATAGGGCGAAGATAAATGACAGGCCCACAGCAAATAATATTTTAGATGATACAAAAAACTACCTCAACAGACGCCTCTCCCATTCTTTCATCATCTATTATCCAGCGTGTCTGGCTGACCTTTCTTGAAAACTTTCCGGCATACGTTTTAGAAACCAGATATGGCACACCAAAAAGCATTGGCAGAGAAGCAAACATAATGACATGAAAGGATCCAACCATTAGTCAATGGAAAATTATCAGGTAGTACTGCAAATAAATGACAATGTTACTCGGCTGGTAAAGAAAAAAAGATATTTGAAATGGGAATTTGAATTTGGTGGATCATATTTATGCCCCTTATCGGAGTAACAGGGCATAACATCGCATTTGATGAACTGGGAAAAGTAAAATGAGCGTTTGAACAGAGTAGATTGCATGATATATTAGTTGGCAATCATTGTAAAACAAATATTCTGTGGGTGTAAAACTCCAAATAGAGGTTCATGAATGGTTACCAATGTTAAAACTGAAAAGATTCTTCCATATTAAAGGGACATCAGAATAAATTTAACCACAGATAGAAAACATTCGTTGATCATTTTCTTCTTCAAATATCAGAAATCTTGAGGCAAAAAGGTTTATGTATGATCGGATGTACCAGTATAGATTTATCAGTTCGCATCCCACTGATGATGCAAGTAATTGCACCCTTAGGGCATATTAACAGAACCTTGCTCCATCAAGGATGTAACGATCCAAACATAAGAATGAGACTATTAAAAATACCACCTAACAAATCAAGAAACACAGAGCAAAGGGGCAAAATCTGACTAAATTCTTGATCACACAGATAAAATAATAATCATTGCATGCATTTTCCAACATGCAAGTAAATAAGAGGCAGCTCAAATAAATAACCACCGTACCTTCAAATATCTTCCACCAATGTAAATTGGCATTCTATAATATTGAGTACTCAAGACGCATGATTCCTTCACCTTCAAACAGAAAACAAAGAACGCAGGTTCGTGTGTAAGGAAGGGGTGTGTGAAAAGTTGTGAAAAGTAAAAAGAAGACAAGATAACATCCAAAGGCACTAAAGAAAAGCAACACCTTCTCTGGGGGCAATATAAAATGTTCACAGAACACATCATCTTGAAGGTCATTAAGAGCTCTTCGAATGGCTGTGTCTGACTCATTTTTTTCCTGTAGGATACATTCTTTTTTGACATCTTTATTGTATTCCTCAGCATCATGCCTGACCATCTCTGCCCAAATAAGAAGGAACTTTTGTAATTGTGAACGTTTGTGAAGACCAGGAAATTACGCAGGGGAGAACTTCCTCAAGAAATTGTCAAATGTGCGTTTTATAATCTAGGAGTTCAAAATCTGATGAATTCAAACCATTTAGTCTACCTGAACAAAAATGATTACCAGATAATTTCCCATTTGGCGTACAGAAAAGCAACTTTTGTACAAAAAAAAAAAGGGAAAAAATTCGTGTTGATGACCACACATTTTAGCAGCAAACAAGTGTAACAGTTATCTCAAAGAGAGTGACAATGGAGGATTATCTAGGCCAAATGGATAACGTTGCTACAGAGAGTTTTTGAAGTTGAAAAATGAAAAGTGGATCTGGTCAGTTTCTCCCTTAATGCGAAATGCAGTAAGAACTCTGACGTCATATGATCCATCAAGTATATCCTATCAACGAGTCTTATCAACAAATTGTTATCAACTAAATGGATCGCTAGAAACCTACCAAATATCACCTCAATGTCTTCTAACTTTCGAATGGTAATTTCAAAACATCCAGATAAATGTGGATATATTAACTAAAAGATGATATACTATATTGTTTGTTCTAATTCAATGTCTTCCTGGCAGATCTGAAAAGTTTTCCTGTTTTCAATTCGTTCACTCAATACTGCCTCCGTAGGGAATCCAAGTCTCTTAATTTGTCAAGTAGCTGCTAAAACTTTCAATATCTCACAGTTGAAGAGTTATTATGCATTATCAGACATAAACTTACTTTAATAATGGAGAACTACAAACTAGCCTCTGTAGAATACAGGCAAACAAGACTATTGGCACTATTTAAGATATTACAAGAAATGAAAAAGAATTGTGTAGATGGAATGACAGAATGGCGTCCTAAATTACCTTTTTTCTTCCTGTTAGTACCCTGTGCTTTTGCGAGAGAGGTCTGTAGATCAACTGAGGTCTTAAAATGAGCATAAATCAATCGAATACGAAAAGAATCCATGCCAAATTTAACCCCCTGCACAGCTTGAAACCTCAAGTATCACAACTTGATAAATAATAACAAAAATGACAAATTAATAAAAACATTCAGTAAGATAAGGATGTCCTGAAGATAAATACCAAATTCTTTTCGAGGGAACCACTTATGGATATTTTTAAGGCATCCTTCACTGAGATACAGTCCATGGGACATTTCTCTCTGAACCAATCTTCTGATTCATACTTGTTTTTCATATACAGCCTATAAAAATTTACAGAAAAATATATGAAGGCAAATTCTGTGGATACCTTACAGGATAGCATCAAGGAAATTTATGAACAGGTCAATATGGTAGCTTCTGCACACGAACCCCAGTCCCACCATCCCTGATAAAAATTCCTGACTCTACTATCAAGTTCAGTGGACTGCTTAAAGATGAATTTTATTATGTATAAAATTGAAAGGTAACAGTTCTCTGGAAGCTGAAGGACAAATAACAGCATATAAATCTCAATAAACATCATATATAACCTTCGAATATAAAAACAATTCTCAAAAATCTGTCTACCAACCATAAAATAATTTTGGCAAATTATCCTTGCAGGAAACAGGCAAATCACCAGATTGCACGCTCATTGGCCAATATGACAGGCGGTATAGAGATCTCAAGACAGAAGCCTCCAATTTGATGACCTTCTTTCTTTATTTGTTCAGAGAGCATCACTGTAAAGTCATCGATAGGGTTCCCTCCTCCAGGAGATCGGAAGCATTCCTTTCCGTGATTGAAAGTGAGCTGCAATATTCCTAAGCAAACACAACAGTTATCTTGTGGGGGTTCTATTTCCCGAGAAAAATATGAACAGCTCCTGGGCCCCTGGGGAAAAAGACCATTTTCTTCTAATGTAACGTTGCTAACTATTGATTCACTGTTAATAGACCATAATGTTGAAGGTGTGAGCTTCTGCCGACTGTAAAGATCTCCCTGGACTCCGAACATCCGAAGGATGCATCGACCGCACACCTGCAATACGAATAACAAAAGGGTAATGCCCCTGTACAAGGCAATTATTATCTTTTATCGGAAGCACATCTAGAAATCGATTAAATTACAATGATCTAGCATAAATGAAAAACTGAAAAAAAATTAGATTTTCCCAACGCCCAAACAGGAGAAAACGAGACTTCACAAGCTGTGTAATGAGAATTCAGTTGGGAACCTTTTCATAATTCAAACTGTGTCCCTTTCCTTCTGATCGGAATTAAGGGGAACATAATTTTGGCATTTAATTGTTGCCTTTAGTACCATGGCACATAAGAGAACGCTGATATTGACACTCAAAAATTGAGTCTCCTAATGGCAATCCTCTCCAATGACCGTAAAAGGGGACGAGTGTCCTGGTAGCGTCGCAGAACCAGACTCCACCCCATCAGAAAGAGGAAATAAGAATTTCAACAAGAAAGACAGAAAAGGGTGAAATTAACTTATGCCAACAATTTTTTATCTTTTGATTTTTTTAAAAAAAATTGTACAGAAATTTTTTGGTGTATAACTTATACTTGAAATTGAAACAATGTGAGAATGCAGTATTTTCTACAACGAGATTTTGCATGAGGTCGAACTCAAATAACCCAGAAAGGCAGTATTCTGCCTGATTTTAAACAAGGCGCCATAATTAGAGAAATCAATGGTGCAATTAGAAGCGCGTAAGGATAGCTGAAATGAAAATTTTATGGTGAAACCATTTCAATACTCTGATCTTATTTATCCATTGAAGCTAATACATATGAAGCACCAATACCATTCCCCATCAAGGAAGATACGAAAGCATCTATCTTTTATCAAGTGGAAAGGGAGAATCACGCGACAGAAACACTACGTTATTACTCTTAGGTTGCCTAAACCATAGGTGGATCGCCATCAGATACAGTTGGACCGCACGTAAGGTTGAAATTCTTCCCTACGGCCCGAACCACAGAAAAAAAAAAACAAATCATTCATGAAGTTTTTGGGCCCTTTTTCCCATCAGCAAAAGCGGCTACGACAAAAACAGCCGTCACAAGGAGATCCTTCAAAGCAACCTAACAATGTACGAACCACCAAACGAGCGTAGCAGCCCGCATTTTACTCACGCAGAGAAAGCAGAAAGGGGAGACTAAATGCCATCATAGTATACAAGTGCTGATAGGGACAAGAACAGAAGAAATAGAGGTCGAATTAGAGTGATGGCTGACCCCGACGGACAGCAGGTCATGAATGACGTGGGGAGGAGGCAGCGACTCTAGAGCATCGACGCGCGCGCTGCTTGGGGAGCTCGACCCTCTGTCTCCTTTCAACCCTTCCATCATCTCGCAAGAATCGTCCTCCTGTGCACCCCCGGTTTCGCCTGCTTTCGCCGCGGGCTCCGGAGACGAGCAAGAAACCGCGACAGGAGCGGGAGAAATCTTCTCAAAGCTCTCTTTTCGCTGGGTCGGTAACAAAAGGAAAACCAAAGCCAAAGGGGAGCGAGGCTCATCATCAAGTAGCCCATTTGGAGCCCATATCGGCAACAGTAGAGAGGGCCAGCCTAAATGGGTCCACAAATTGGTGACCCATGACGGCTCAAGGTTGACTCCTCTCTCTCTCTCTCTCTCTCTCTCTATCAGAGGCCAAAGCTAGCGTCCATCTCGGAGCCCGTAAACGAGACAGACCTGAGACGATTAGATATTATTTACGTCGAATAAAATATGAGTAATAAAAATCTGCTGCGGGCTCCCAACGTAGCTGACCCAATTTGTTTGAAGCTCTACATCCAGTTTCAGTCAACATCCCTCAGGCATAGCGTGCGAGCAAGTCACGTTTTAGAGGGACGATGGGATGTGTTGGAGCGCCATATACCCATTGAGCACCGCCCGTCCTCGTTCCTTCACCTTCGTCAGATAGGTCACCCTGGATGGCCAAGAGACCACACTAAGCAATACATATACATAGGTATCGTAGAGAGAGGAGAGAGAGAGAGAGAGAGAGGTCAATGGTGGTTGACCCTGAGCCGTCGAGGCACATCTCTGCGATGAGGGTCTCCCCGGGGTACACATGCAGGAGGAAGCGCCCAAAGACAGCTTTCACTGAGGAGGGCTCCCCGTTGCAGAAACTCTTGATGACGGCCCTCACAGCAAAACCGAGAGAGCACAGGCCATGGAGTATTGGCCGATCAAATCTTCAAAAGTCAACACGAGATGAGATCAGGAGGCAGAGGCATCAGCACCACAAGGAACACTAAAGCACATCGTCTTCCAGGACAGAAGACTGTGATGGCATCAAGCTTAATAGACCCAAATTGTGAAGAACAATGCAAGCATTAATAGCTCCTTTGATCTTCATAAATGGCGAATCGGTAGTGTGGTCAGTGATGGATGCTAAAATGGGAAGAGGTTCACAATAGAGCATACCAGCATAGTTATCAACTACACTGCATCCCCCGACTTATGTTGATGCATGAATAGACCGAATAGGAGGATGACTTCAAGCGAAGAAGTGAAAACAGTGATTCAAAGTTTTGTTAGGAATTATATGCTTGCGAGCTGATGTTTCATTCACCCCAAGATTGAATTTCACTGAAGAGTCTGCGAACTTGCATATGTTTCAGAGAAATTTTATTAGACTTACCAACGTAAAACTTTAGACTAGAGCTAAACGGAATATTCTAACAAGGAGGAAATTTTTGAAGACATAATCAAAACCTAATAAGGATGGCCAGCGGTATGGTGGAAGTAGGAAGCGAAAATCAAAAAAATCATGTCATACTCTGATAGGTGCCCAAATTGAGACACCAATAGAAAGGAGGGAATAGAATGAAAAGTGCAATGAAATCTTATTCCACTCTCTGCGAACATGGACTACAAGACTTTAGGAAGGCACACATGACTCTCAAACCCCAGACCTTGAGGGTGATACGAGGTGACAAAGGGAAAAAGGACAGGGAAATTGGGAAGATAGATGAGGTAGCCACTTAGGAACCCTCGGTTGGCTGATTCAAGATAGCCACTCTCCTCTCTCCACTCGGCAAGCCGGGAAAATACTCGAGAGTCTCTTTCTTCTTCTTCTTCTGTCTTTTTAAAGGTCGTCCTCCTCATTGCTTGCCGACTGGTCCACCTGTCCTTCTGCAACCATTTGTCTGTTATTCTTCATTTTGCTCTTTAAGGATCCCAATGCATCGATTTCATGCCAGCCATTATCTCGAGTCACTGATCTTGAGGGTGAAACGACTGTATATCAGCCGTTCTCTTGCTAGGGTCTCAATATTATTCTCCCCAAAAAGTCTCACCTTGTTTTCAAGGTGGAAGCTTGGATAATGACAGAGGATGTCGTGTGCTTTCTCCCAAGTGAACTCTTTGGGTGCGGCATCTTGCCATTGTATTTGAACATCCAATCCAGAAGGTACATGTCAAAATTCCAATAGTTGGGCTGGGGATGTGATCCAACGATGCTCCTCGCCCATTTGTAAGGAGCTGATTGAGCCTGAGAAGCTGTTGGGAATTACCCGTTTCAACTGAGAAATGTGGAACACATTATGAATATGGCTCGACGCCGGAAGATCCAGTCGATAAGCCACTGGCCATATACGCTGAAGAACTATGTAGGGCCCTAAAAACCTTAGTGCTAGCTTCTCGTAAGGCCACCAAGCAAGGGAAGTCTGCATATATGGTCGCAGCCAGATATAGACATGATCACTGATTTCAAATTTAAGTTCTCGACACTTGTGGTTGACATAATTCTTCTTTTGAGCTTGAGCCTTTAATAAACATACTTTCCATTGATTGATTGTCTCGTCACAATCAAGCAGTAACTGATCGACTTCAGTGTTGGCCAGTGACTTAGTATCACAATAGGGTCAAGGGGTCGCGACCATATATGATCTAAAATGGAGATCGACCGGCATAAATATTGTAATTCGTGTTGAATCAATAGTCGGCCCATGGAAAACCATTTACTCCAATGTCTCAGTCGATTACTTCTGAAACATCTGAGGTAAGTCTCAAGTCCTGGATTTACCACTTCACTTTGCCCATTGGACTGCAAGTGATAAGAGCTTATTCTCCGCAGCGAAGTGCTTTGAAGCCAGAATAACTCTGCCTAGAAGGAGCTTAAAAATATACGATCTATATCAAAAATAAACGACTTTGAAATTCCACAGTTGCACCACATCACGAATAAAAGTATGAGATACTTCAACAATCATAAACAGATGTCGAAGGAAGGAGAAATTCACCTTTTTCTTAAGCGATCCACAACCACCATGATAGTATTAAATCCGTTGAAGACCGATAAACCTTCAATAAAATCCATGGTTAGGTCGGACCAGATTTGATATGGAATCAGAAGAGGCTGGAGGAGGCTGGTCGGAGATAACGCCTCTATCTTATTTCGTTGATAGACAAGATAGGCAGAAACATAGGAGTGCACCCTCTGCTTCATCCGTCTCCATCTCACGTTCCAGGCAATGCGTATGCAAGTTTGATGGAAACCCGAATGACTTCATGTGGTCGAATCATCGAACTCTTGTAAGATCTGAAGAATGAGTGTAGAATTCGAGGATAAAACAAGTTTACCTCTATAAAATAATTTTTCATGTTGTAGAGAATAATATGGCCATTTATCTAGGTCTTGAGGAAGATCTAAGAGAATTATGTTGAGCTGTGCATCTTCGCAGATCTCCTTATTGATGACAACGATGTCCAGTAGTTCTGACTGCGATAGCTCAATTGCTTGTAACCATACTTTGTCAGGAGCTCGAGATAGAACATCAACGGCTGTGTTTTCTTTCCCTAGTTTAAATTTCATCTTGAAGGAGAATCTCAAGATTTTGAGAACCATTTCTGATACTCCGATATGACATGTCTTTGATGGATAATATATTTTAGACTCATTTAGTCAGTATAGACGCAAACTTGTGTCTGACTCACAATTGCCATCAGTTCATGTTTGTAGATGGATTTCAGTCGGCAAATAGTTGTCAACGCTTGATTGAATAGGTGATGGGTCTTCTCCTTTGCATTAGGACGGCCCCTACTCCTCAAAGAATTATTTTCAGATCTTGAAAAGCTATCTTTGTGTTTGTATTCCAGTTAAAGGCATCTTTCGTTAACTGCTGCGTGTGAGGCCAAGCCTTGGAGTTGTAATCCTAGATGAAGCGTCAATAGTAACCTGTGAGACCCAGGAACCTTCGAAGTTCTCAGAGACAAGGAGTGGGCCACCGCTGTACAACTAGCACTTTGTCTTGATCTACCACCACCCCGTCATTGGGGATCTAGTGATCCAAGTAAGTAATCCAAGATTGTCCTAATGAACAATTTTGAGGATTCATGTGGAAGTTGTTGTCCTGTAAAATTTGAAATACTTGGAGTAGATGATGGAGGTGCTTTGTCATGTTCCGACTGTAAATAAGAATATCATAAGAAAATATAAGCACAAATCACCTTAACACTACATGGAAGACATCATTCATCGTCTATTGGAAGGTCGCTGAAGTGTTGGAGAGGCCAAATGGCATTACGAGAAACTTGTAGTGACCCTTCGTGTGTGCAAAATGTAATTTTCGGGATGTCTTCCGAGGCAGACTAGAATTTGATGATACTTGGACTGTAGGTCCAACTTCAAAAAAATTCGAGCTCTATGTAGTTTGTCCATCAGTTCTTTGACAACTTGGATGAAAAATCTGTCGGGAATGGTGACCTTGTTGATCGTGCAGTAATCCACGTAAAATCGTCATGATCCATCCTTTTGTCTGATGAGAAGGGCTGGCTTGAAAAGGGACTCTGGTAACACCGAATGATGCTTGAAGACAACATTTATCGAACCTACATCTCCAACTCTTTTTTTTGATAATATAGGTATATGAATGGCTTGGCATGCACTGATTTGGTTCATGGTTCTAGCAGAATCCTGTGATCTAGCTCGCGACTAGGCGATGTTGTCATCTTCAGCCGATGTGTCATTATTGGCTAGTTCTTGTGAAAAATCAGAATCGGAACGGGTGAAGAGAATGAATAGATCCTTCCTACACTAGTGGCCTATATCGAACTTGTCGTCGCACTGAAAACAAAGTCTTTGGGCTCTCCGGGCTTAGATTTCTATAGTGGTCATGTTGAGCCTCTTCTTTCGCTCCGCCGCCTCCGAAGTACTGTGGTTAGGGGGTCCTGTCCAGGCCCCCCCCTCTCCCATCCTACAGAAAGCACTAGTCTGCGGCCGCCAAGTATCTGAATTCAGGCCCCTACTTCGTACAAACTGCCCGCGCAGTTTCGGGATGGTGAGCTTAGCTCCACCATTGCAAAGTTCTTTTCCTTTAAGTGCTGAGCGGCGGCCATTT